TTCGGTTGTTGGTCGCGGGTAGTTCTTGATGGCGTCGATGCGCGAGGGATGCACTTGGATGCGTCCTTCGCCGATGATGAAGCCGAGATAGGTGACGGTCGAGTTGAAGAACGAACACTTCTCGGGTCGGATCTTGAAGCCGTGTCGGTGGATCTTGTCGAGGACCAGTTCGATGTGGCGGATGTGCTGGTCCTCGTTCTCGGATGCGATCAGGATGTCGTCGATGTAGACAAAGACAAAGTCGTCGATGTACTCACGGAAGATGTCGTTCATCGCGGCTTGGAACACGGAGGGACTGTTGGCGAGGCCGAAGGGCATCACAAGCCACTCAAAGTGGCCGTACTTGGTCCTGAAGGCCGTCTTGGGGGTGTCGGCGTCGGCGATGCGGATCTGGTGGAATCCGCGTTGCAAGTCGAGCTTGGAGAAGACACGGCACTTGGACAGGCGGTCGATGATCTCGCGCATGTTGGGCAGCGCGGTGCGGTCCTTGACGGTGATCTTGTTGAGGGCGCGGAAGTCAAAGACGAGTCGGAACTTGTCGCCCTGCTTGACCCAGAAGATCGGTGCGCCGAAGGGCGAGACGGACTTGCGGATGTGGCCGATCCGGAGCAATCGGTCGAGTTCGTCTTTGAGTCGAGCGAGTTCTTCGGCCGACATTTGGTAGAGCGACGACCAAGTTGGCTTGGCAGAGTCGTCGAGTCGGATGTTCATGTCGATGCCGGGTCGGTGAGGCGGGAGTTCCTTGAGTTCGTTGAAGGCATCGCGGTACTTTGCGACGATGGATCGGTGTTCGGGGGTCAGTGGTTCGAGGACACGGGCGAGTTGGGCAACGGGGTCGTAGGGTTCAACAGCAACTGTATTCAAGTCACTGCTCAGAGTACAAACATACACGGCGCCGGGAGTCGAGGCGAGTGCGTTGATCTGCTGGGTCGACATGTGGTACTGGGATCGGAGTTCGAGGGTCGTGAGTGGCATTCCGGAGTCGGGTCGCGATGCCGTCCAAGTGTGGTGCTTCCCGTCGATCGAGAACTTGATTCGGTTGGAGGGCCAGTCGATCTCGGGGTTGGTCTGGTCGAGCCAGTTCTTGCCGAGGATGACGTCCCAGGTGAGTGGCGCGGTGAAGAGGTTGATGCGGGCGTGGTAGTCGTGGATGGTGAGGTCGACGGGATCGGTGACGGAGGACGGGAAGGACTTGCCGTTGGGCATCGTGACGGCGTTGGCGGTGGTCTTGGTTCGAAGGTCGAGGGTCGAGGCGAGGGTCTCGGAGATGTGCGAGTTGGTCGCACCAGGGTCGATGAGGACGGTGATCGGGGAGCCGTTGAGGGTGGCGTCGATCACAAGCAGTCCCTTGCCGTGGTTGGCGGCAATGCGGTGGGGTTCGTCGATGAGAGGAGTTGATCAGGTGAGGTCCGGTGGCGAGAGTCAATAGTTCAGCGTCGGGGGTCGGAGTCGGATGGCGGCAACTCGCCGGGTCCTTCAGAGGTCGTAGGATCCAGGGGTTGCCGCCTCGTCGTTTCCCTGATCTTCGTAGAAGGTGGCCTGGTCGGCGGTCTCGACGATAGGCGTTGATGCGGGGCTGGTTCAAGGGACACTGCGAGGCGATGTGGCCGAACTTGCGGCAAGCGGAAGCAGCCTCCGTTAGCGGCGAAGATACTCCTTCTCGCGGTCGGTGAGCTTCTTGATCGGGCGCATGTCGACGTTGTCGAGGTCCATGGCGTTGGGGTCACGTGCGGGAGGCTGGGTTGGCTGGAAGGCGGGACGAGGAGGACGGACCATGGGGCGGAACTGCGGCTGGACCAGGCGGAGCGCGGAAGAGAGGAGGACGCTGGAACTGGAGCTCGCGGAAGGGTTGGTCACGGAACGGAGTGCGAGCTGGCTGCTGGATCAGTGGTTGAGATTGACCCATGATGACCTCGTATCGCTCGGCGAGGGCCATGGCATCTTCGAGGGTGGCTGTGTTGGAGTCAAGCTTCCATTCGACTTCGATGCGCACCCTGTGCTTGAGCTTGGTGAGGTAGCGCTGCAGGTTCTGGCGGTTGTTGCTGAAGGTGGGGCAGCTCGAGGAGGAGATCGCGGAAAGCGGGAGTTGAACTGCTCGACGGAGCCGGTGTGGCGCAGTGCTTCGAACTCATCCTCGGTGGTGCGCAGCGAGGTGGACGGAAGGAAGGTGTCGCGGACGAGGGACAGGACGGCGGCCGGGGTCAGGTTGTCGAGTTGCTTGCCCTGGGACCAGAGGCGCCACCAGGTCTTGGCCTTGCCCTTGAGGTTCATGGCGACGGTGGCGACGGCGGTGGCGTCATCGAGACTGTGGAAGGCAATGTACTCGGTCATTGAGAAGACAAACTCGTCAACGACAGCAGCCTTACGCTCGCCAGTGAAGGCGTCGGGGAGCGGGATCTTGGGACGCTTGAAACCGGGAGGGACCGTGGGGAGATTCGGCTGGGCGGTCAGGGCGGAGAGGACCAAGGGCGCGGTCCTCGAGCGAGAGTTGTTCGAGGGCCTTGGAGGCAGGCATTGACGGCGGGATCGTCCGATGCTACCATGTCAGATCACGGGATCAAGAGGAAGTCAAAAGAAGAAGATAGAGAAGGTGCTTTTATTGATCTTAGCGAGGCTAGGATCTAGGGTCAAGTGTCTTGGGGTCGAAGGTGATGACCAGAAACATGAGCGGGCGAAGGCGGGCTATTTATCTGTCTGGCGGTCCCGGAGGCGAAGCCTGCCGCAGCGGGGGCGAAGCAGCGGAGGCGGCGGGACAGCAGCCAGGCAGCAGCGGCTAACCGGAGAAACATGTGAAAGTCTGACAAATGCTCGGTGGCTGACAAATGCGGGTGACACGGCGTCTGACTAATGCATGGTCGATGACAGATGCAGGGAACACAGAGCGGCGTGTGCAACATGAGAGCAAGGAAAAAGGAAAGGCGTCGCAGGACAAAGGAAAAAGAAAGTGTGCAACGCAAACAGTGACACAAGTGCGACGGTGCAGCCTGACGGGCAGAGAGATCTGTGACACAGGGCATAAACTCGACAACCTGACCCCGGCCGCCGTCCTGTCCCTCGTCCGCGACACCTTCCTTCCGTCCACCTCGCTGCGCACCACCGAGGATGAGTTCGAAGCACTGCGCCACACCGGCTCCGTCGAGCAGTTCAACTCCCGCTTCCGCGATCTCCTCCTCGAGCTGCCCCACCTCAGCAACAACCGCCAGAACCTGCAGCGCTACCTCACCAAGCTCAAGCACAAGGGTGCGCATCGAAGTCGAATGGAAGCTTGACTCCAACACAGCCACCCTCGAAGATGCCATGGCCCTCGCCGAGCGATACGAGGTCATCATGGGTCAATCTCAACCACTGATCCAGCAGCCAGCTCGCGCTCCGTTCCACGACCAACCCTTCCGCGAGCTCCAGTTCCAGCGACCTCTGTGACGAACCGGCGTGTTCGTCACATAGCGCGTGCACGCAGACTGAGCGACGCAGCGTGAGAACCTCGACCCGGTTCCCCGCACCGACTCTTGCTGGGCCCAAACTATATAAAGGCGCCATCCCCGTCGCCCGAGAGGCCCAGCAAGAGGAATCACCTGTATTCTCCTGCCTTGCCCTGCGTCGTTCGCCAAATAAACGACCGTCTCCAGTCCCCGTCCCCCGATCCCGTCCTGCTTCCGCCCTGCCGTCGCCTCGCTTCCGTCCTGCCTTCGCTCGAGCCTCGCCCGCCGTTCCGTCCTCTCCAGCCCTGCCTGTCCGTGACAGCCAGCCCCGTTCCTCCCATTAACCCCGACCGGTTCTCACGCCCCTCTTCCCTGCCCAGTCCGGCTTTGTTCCTGTTTCTTACAACGGAGCTCACTCGATCGAGCCAGGCATTCCTCTAAAATCCTCTCCGATCCCTACCTTTCTTTTGGAGAGAAAGCTTTGAACTTCGATCTCCTTCCTACTTGAATAGCAATAAACTCTTCTCCCTATTCTTCTCATTCCCCCTCGACATGTCTTACGATCCGTCCCCTGACTTAGGGCGTGGGAATCGGGACGAAGGAAGGAACAAGAAGCAGGGGTAGGGAGCAAAGGGGAAGGCACCAGTGTTGATCTCTTATTCAGAAAGGTGATATTACAATTTACTGGGTGTGCATTCCCTCTGGGCCATGAGCTCCTCTATTTATACTTCGACCATCCAATCTATCATATCATCGAGATCAGCCACGGGATATTCCACGCTGTGATCAAATAATGAAAATGAATGTACTAATCTCGTGAATGATGCAAGAGGGCTCGATCACTTTCCACCACCATGTCCATGGGGACCATGACCAACTGCCGCGCCACACCCCTTATCATGTCACGCGTCCATAACACTCTTGAGCTTAACAATAAACTCCAGGTAGACATCACCAGTAAAACCAGTCCCGGTTCCAGTCCCAGTCCAATCCCAGTCCCAGTCCAATCCCAGTCCCAGTCCAGTACTTGGCATTACCCCATATATATCGTTGTAACTCAGCATGAAGCTGTGGGGGTCGTGGTGGAGAGTCTCCACACTCGACTGCACGACCCGGCCATTGCGATATGTAGCGACCGGGTCGAGTTGTCATATAACCTGGCCCAACATGGGTGGGGTACAGGCCAGAAAACAAGAGAGGCACGGCTAATGACGACAGCAGATGCTTAGTGGGCTGGTGTATCCTGAAAAATCAATTTTTATGGCCGGATCTGTGAGTCATTAAACTGGTCGTTTTGCTCCCTCCTGATACTTGTGGTGTATTTCCAGATCCCTTCGTTATCAACATCGATCATATGTTCCTCAGCTCTTCATTCTTGGGTTTCCGATCATCCAACTCATACATTACCGTCGTTTTCCTTTGGCTTTCGTGTCCATGATCTGTCACCCATAATAGCCTCGACGATGCTTGCAAGTCAGTCCATTCAATATATTGTCACCTGCTCTGTCCTCAATTTAGTATGCTCTCACCCCAGCTGCCCACGCCCTCAATGTCCAGACGGCAAAACACAATATATTTTTCGAATTTATGAAGGTCATATCTTTTTCGAGATTCTTTGGGACTGTAAAGCAAAATAGGACGATATTCAATGATTCCTCTCCATTTTATTCCAGGCAGCGCTGTTTCTTGCAAACTGTGACCAAATGGGCAATTTGTGTGGCTCTATGATCTAATTGTGCCTTATTATCATCTCATATCTCTCGGAATGATAATTCAAATCGAGATCGACCATCAGACCCTTTCTTGATTTTCTGGAGCAGCAACAGGCTCAAATGGAATATGAGTGTGAGGGCAGGCTCCAGAAGTCCAAGTAGTAAGAGTTTGGTTGGAACGAATGTATGCTGTGAATCGATGAATCCTGTACGAGCGGAGATCACGACTGCCCAGCTCCTGTGCAATAACGAATATGGAGTTGTTTGTCAGCCCTTCAACTGATATGACCCCGCAACCCCACTCTACTTCTTCCATTCCCCATTCGCATTATTCCGCATCCCTGCCAAACCTCAATTCTCCGATCATGACAAAGACTACGCACCTATCGACAGAGTTGATGCTATAGGCGTATGAAATATCTCCCGAGATGCTGGATGGAAGCATTGCACTTGCATACGTAAAATTGTCATACTGAGCCGATGGAGTGATGGAGTAATGCCCAAGATACTGATTTCCTGGGGTATTGCTCATGTCAAACAGGAACAAGTCGATGTTCCCGGGTAGTGCCAGTTCAGAAAGCGCAGCATTGATCACCCTGGAAATGAACGTCGTTAGCTCGTGGATGCCAGCTTACATTGCCGATATGGTCAGATTTCACGTACATGCTTATCTTGGTCACTCCGATCACGATCCCAAAGGCCTGGTTTGTCGTGCCTGAAAGGCCGGTGACCACCGAGCCGTTGCTAACATACAGTGGCATCATAATCAATGCCCCGTATTCCGGAATAACCGACTGGACGAGTCTGACACGCGCGGTGGAGGCAATCCCCCCTGTCTGTATCGCTTGATCGATAGCGGCTCGGCGAATCGGTTCCGAATACAGATCGTATCCAAATGCTGCCGTATTCCCGGCCACTGGTTCAGCGTACTGAGCCCAATGTGACACCATTAATCATTCGGATTGGTGAAGCAGTTGTGGCTGTCATATGGTACTACCACGGACTAGTTCAGCAATGGCCATCATTTCATGTTCCCGCCCGACCCACCTGCACAGCGTAGTATACAGTCTCATTGGGAGCAACGATGAGGGTTCCGTTTGCCAGTTTCTCGGTGTAAGTAAAGGTTGGAAGGTAGTTTTGTTGACCCTCAGCTTCCCAGCTGAGCCTCTGTTGGTATGAAGTAACGTAGGGGGCGAACTCGACAGCCTGCAGGAAAGGATTGCTCCAAATAGACGTTGATGTCGCGGTATGGAAATTCTTTCTTGATACAGTCCCGTTCTCAGCAATGAAGTAGTTTGCCATCATCTTGACAGCGCAATGTCGAGGTTGATATTGGGGTCAACGGCATTTACCAACAATGTACATATTGTGTGCGAAGGATTCATGAGCAATAAGGAGCGTGGCCGCTCACCTTTGTGTAGAATATCGAGCTATTGAGTTTAGATTCGACTAACGGGCCGGGGTCACAGAGCCGTACATTTAGATTCTTCATTTTCCTTGTTGGTCTCAATTTCTTCGTAACACCAAAGCCATCATGATACCGACCTGCCGTTGCCATCGTCTGGGCCGTGAATAGGAAATGATCCTCGGCGATCGAAACCTCATCTTGAAAGGCAATCTGCCACTTGTAGATTGCAATTGGGATCGAAAGCATCAAGCTTGTTATCAAAACAAAGATGGAATAGTGTCGAAGGTAGTAGTTGATGACCCGCCGGAAGAGCGACACCTTCTGTGGTGGGACATCAGCTCTCGGCGAGCTCATATCTTCAGGCACAGCTAGAGCCGAGCGGACGCTCCTCTTTCCGATTTCTTGATCGACCGACTTGCTCATATCCAAAGGTTTGCGTCAGGTAATTGTGGGTGGTGGTACCGCCGAAGACTCGGCTGGGAGGAGCAGGCTTTATAGCCGTGTAGCGAGAGGATCTACGCCTCACGTCACCCGTGAAACTTGCGTCAGATGGTGAATCGAATCGTTTTCTCTTGCCATATGGCGTCTCTCGTCACTCGCATTCTCGATCAACTAGAGCGGTGAAGTGACGGATGCGGACGGGCTGCTGCTTCTCTCTGCCGTCCCTCCAGACCGCCGCGACGACCCACTCCCTCGTTCGCGGGGTTGCAAACGCACCCTGGCTTTCCCACCCTCGTTCGTCGCGTCTCTTCCCCATCTTCCTGATGAGCGAATCACACACCGCTGGTTAGTTCTCGGATGAGTATTCGCGTCCTCGTGTTCGATCTGCTGCTCATTCGATCGATCTACAGCGGATGACTCACATAACCGGACTTGTCTGATAGGCGAGCTTACGCCCGAGATTGAGCGTCATCTCGCTGGCCAAGCCCAACAAGCAAAAGCACACTCCTACTCACCTTACAGCAAATTTCGTGTTGGCGCCGCTTTGCTCGCCAAGTCTGGCAGAATCTATTCCGGTCTGTGTGCGATTGGGACTGCAGCATACTGGGGGGGGGGGCTTTTTCTGGTTTGCCGCTGAGCTATCTTCTGATCGGACATCTTCGTCACAGGCTGCAATGTCGAGAACGCCTCCTATGGAGGCTGTATCTGTGCAGAGCGAACAGCGTTCGTCAAGGCTGTGGTAAGAATCTTGATATCAATCACAAGTCATTCTGATTCGGGGGACGCTTGGGCTTCGAGACAACGCTCTGCCCAGTCCCTCGCTTCATCCAATAACGCAGCTGTGATTTTCACAGAGCGAAGGAGAGCGCGAGTTTGTCGCAATCTTCATTTCCAGGTAGGCATTTGGCCATCGCTCGCTGGAAATGAACCGACGCTTCTTATCCCCGTCCACAATCCGTCGACAAGTGTGCAAATCCTGACCTTGGCGAGTTCTGTCACCACAGCGATCTCGAAGATTTCATCTCTCCGTGCGGCATGTGTCGCCAGTTCATGGTCGAATTCGGAAAGGGCCTCAAGGTAGCTGCTTCTCCTGCCATTACCCTGTGCTTCAGACCGGCTCTGGTGAACAGAGTAACTTTCGGCTGCCCGCTGGGTGACCGTTGTTGAGCCCCATCGCCTAAAGATCATCCTCCATCCTTATCTATCTCAAACCGTCCTCCTCTTGCTTTGGCGAGCCAGGTCTACCAAACCAGCATCAACGGGACCTGGAGACTCCAGCGGCTGGACGAGCTTCTCCCAAACAGCTTTGGTCCTGAGGACCTGCAGCCACAATAGGTCTGCCAGCCGCGGAAGTGATCGCCCAGTCAGTGGAACTGTGTGCTGTTCTGAAGATGTCGGCCAGGGCCCAAAGCGCAGTGCGAATGCAAGGCGCCAAGCAGAAAGCTGTCGGCCGGGCTCGTTCCTCTGGCTTGCTTGCCTCGATACAAACCAATATACCATCCTTTGATATGGATCCATACAAAGATCTGCCGCATGAAACATTGACCAATGATGCTGCTCACGGCAGCCCCCTTGATCTGACCAGCTCGATGGAGGCAGAAGAAACAGGTTGCTGTCTTGTTCACCTCCCCCCCCCCAGCGATCGCTCGTAACCTACCTTTAGCATATACACATGGACTGTGCACAAACTGATCTGTTTCCGCTACCAGAAGAAGCTCTTCTAAACAAGCTTGAAGGAATCCAGAGGAGAAACAAGATCCGACGTCAGATTCTTGCAGCCTGCCAAGAGTCTATTCAGATCATGGAGCAGATCAAGGCGTATGAACTCAAGAGCCAGGTGGACGAGCTCACAATCGAGAACGCCGCACTGCTCCAGAAGATTGGTTTTCTTGAGGGAAAACTAGCTAAACCGCAGGGTGATGGAAGCATCTCTAAAGTTTGCGACAGTCAGAATCAGAATCAAAGATCAATGAAGGAGCAGACAAATATCAAGAATGATCCAGCTTCCGGCCGAGGTCCTTGCAGGCTCGCCCACAATTCGGAGACGGTCGTGGCCGTCCCCAGAGCATCCAAGAGCCAAGACAAGCCCCACCCATCTTCTCAGTCGCCGAGGCCTGCAACGGCGGTGTTGGAAATGTTGCCGGCAGACCCCAAGTCAGCAGCGGAGCCGCAGCAAACCCGGGCAGGTGCGATGTCATGATCGTGTCTGAGAGCATCTATGCACTGCGGCAAAGGCTATTGTACAGCTACTATCCGACGACGAATGCACTAATCTGATATTTCGGCATCTCCTCTTGCCAGATCATGAGGCTGAACTCGCCTCTGGACCCGACGACATCGAACCGCTCTCAGGCATTGCTTTGCGGTGAGACGAGATTCGACACACTACTATGCCGACTTGGGCAACAGGATCTATCGTTTGTGCTTATGCGCCACGAACCTCTGGCTCTTCGTAGGAATCGAGTGACTTCGGCCGCCATTTTCACTAGCAGAATGGCTGGCCGACGACTGATTCGACTGGGAAATGTCACCGTTGAAAGCAAAGGCACGGAAAGTATTGCAGGTGACTGGGTCACCGTGGGCATAATCGGCAACAAATCTGAGCCCAGAACCAGCAAGATTCAATCAAAGTACATTGTCGTGACCTTGACTGATCTGAAGGGAACGGCTCTGAATCTGTTCTTGTGGAAGTCGGCCTTCGAAAAGCATTGGAAAATATTGCCTGGGACGGTCGTGGCGATGCTGAATCCCCGGATCAAACTGCCAACTCAGGTAACCTTGCGTGCATGACCTTGCTGGAATCCTGCGGCCAATGAAGCAGATGCTTGCGGAAACAGACTCGACCGGCCAGCGGTCACACCTAGCAATCCAAAAACCCTGTTGGGACTTCCTAGCTTGAATTATACATCATTTTTGAGCCATTCGATTAAGCTTGCCTCAGAGGGCTGGCCTTATTGACTCCCCCGCCTATCCTGTGACGGCATCCTTTCGGCCACTTTTCAACACAGACTACCGGGGTCCTCGGGTTGAATCTTGATGATTCAAACCAGCTCATGGAGATTGGCACAAGCAAGTACTTTGCTTACTGCCAAGGACTCAAGCGAGTGGGATCACTGTGTCAAGAAATTATTGATCTGTAAGTTTGGGTTGAGTTGGTTGCATAGCGCATCGGATGAGCGGCATTGGCAAAAAATATGCGTGGGAATCCCATTTGGCCACGATAACTCATTACTCACTTTGCTGGCTGTCCAAGCCGCCACGGGGAGTATTGCAAGTTCCATGCAACACACGCCTATCGACAAGCAAAGTCGAATCGCCCAGAGCTTTCGCTGAGGTTGGTATCCACACATAATTGGTCGATGTCTGCTTCGATAAAGCGCTGCAACTGATTTCCATCTGTTCGATCTAATGGACGAATCCAACAAAATATCCCAACATCGTTTGTAGTGACTCGGTCACTCCTTCTCATAAGGAGCTCTCAAAGCGAATGCACGCAAGGAACCATATGGCAATGGATTCATCGTACGTTATGAAAAGTGGCGAGGTGCTTTCGATCTCAGACAGCGGATGTGCCCACAGGCAGAAGGGCCAAGGCGGAAAGCGTGAATCAGTAGTGATCGAGGAGCAGATGATGTAAGTAGCATGTGCTGCAGACAAGGACGGCCAAGGAGCTCGATCCATTTCATGAGCCGAAGCAATATTCAACCTGACCGGAATCCTCGCTGCTGATAATCTACAGGCAAATCATCCAATTCGATTCATCCGCCGGAGCACGAGCACTTAAACGGGCGCGCGGAATTGAAGTCGAAGAAAGTAAGATGGTATCCCGTATGTGCCTGGGCCTCACCAGTCCCACCACATCACAACTCGCACTAATGGCCCCCAATAGCCCATCCTAATGTGGCTCGATTCTGAGCGCGCTTCCCAACGGAGCTACATTCCTCGATTCCGGTGGTCACGATTCTTCATCAACACCAACATACACTGTGTTTCATTAACTCCTTCACTCACTGATCTCCAATATTTGCACACAGCCGGAGCAGATCCGAAACTTAGACTCGTGAGCAACGACTTTGTGAGTCGCATGGGCTTTGATCCTATCACTGGCCAAACGGTGCGCACCAAGCCCATCGCCCCGGGGCCCAAGGCGACGACGGAATCGACCGATGTTTCCAGAGGCGTTATCCTGGACATGGACAGCGATGACGAAGGCAGCAGCAACCAAGACAGCCTGTTCCAGGTGAGCATGACATGACAGATCCTCAGCTCCTTTTGTTCGCCAGTCCGTTTGTTAACACGTCACGCCCTGCAGAAATTCATGGAGCGGAAGAAGACGGGGAATAGCACCTGAAGACGTAGCAGGGTCGTGCGAGACCCGGGAGAGGCATCATTTTGCTTGCCAATTGCCCCTCTGTTTTCTGGACCCCAAATGCACAAATCCAGTATTCTACAGTTGTTCCAGAAAACGGGACTTTGCCCCTTTCTCTGGCATCAGAGGCCTGGAGCCTGGTGAACTTTAGTAGGCCCTGGTGAGCAAGCCGTGTGATTGCTTCGTTTCTGGTTGGAAAACACCGCCCCGAATCCACCCGGTCGATCTCCTGTGGCGACGATCTCCTGTGGCGACGATCTCCTGTGGCAACGATCTGCTGGCATGCCGGGACCATGTTCCTGGCTGCATCGATGGCTCGATTTGGGGGTGGAATCGCTCGAATATCAAGTCAACCTGACTCCCCGTGGGTTGGAAGCGTATCTCTTCCTTTGCTCCCACGAAGCGTTTCCCAGGCGATCACAATGTTGGTCTTCTTGGGCACACTGTTTGGCCATGGTGGGCGATGGATGGGGTGTGTATTCACATCCAGAAAAAAATCGCCATCTGGGCTCAACAAGGTGTCTCGTTTCGTTTTGGGAGAGCGGCGATGTGGTCAAGAACACACATGTGGAGTTAGCGTCGATCGCCACAAAGGGAGAGTGGCCTGCACAGATCCATCGAGGTGTGCTTGTGTTGCAGTGCTTTGGGTTAATGCACAATGATCCGGAACTTCACCACCACAACACCAATGTGACCAGGAACATGGTCCCGGTATGCGAGTCGATCATGACGGTTTCCAAGGTTCGCCAGAGCTAATCGGACCAGGAGAGAATCACGCCGGGCATTCAAGTTCGCTGATACCAGCCGTGATCAGATTCCACAGCCGTGATGCCAGTACCTCGTCGCCATGCAGCCAGCTCAGCAGGACGGCTGAGGGCGGGCCAGTGACAGCCACTCTAATGGACTTGCCAACGACGATATGATCCTTTGCCCACTCGATCCGAGCGGCTTTTGATGCTAAATCAGCTCGGATTCGCTCGTAGAGGCGACCCAGGACTATCTTGGTGATGTCAAGTGAGGTGGATTCGGATTCGGATTCGGATTCGGATTCGGCAGCAAGTATCGCGCGTGGGTCGAATGCCTTCCTAAGGACGCATTCCAGCTTCAGGCTGCGGAGCCCTAAGGAGCTTTCGGCCTCTGAAAAGTCCACAATCTTCATGACCGAGCCGGGAATACACGACAAGATTCCTTGGAAAGGAGTACCCTTGTCACGGGGTCGAATGGCTTTCAAGTTCGGCTGACCCTGTCCTCCCAGCAAGCTGTCGAGATCAGGGACGGCCTCCAATTGTGAACGATCAGCCAGCCCTTTGGATAAATCGACCGGCACAAACTTGTTGGACGGAATGATGATGCTCTGACCATTTGCCGGATTGAAGCAGCCCACATGCGGAATCTCTTGCTGAATCTGCTTCTTCAAAACCTCCATCTTGGATCGCTCGCCGTGAACCATAAGGACGTTTCGAGCTTCACACATGTTAATGAGCTGCAGAATCCCTTTTGCATCGGCATGGGCCGAAAAGGACAGATTCTTGACCTCCATCTTGACCTCTACCGTGGTCCAGTTGTCGACCTTTATCTGCTTCTCCCCCGCAAGAACCTTTGCACCGACGGTTCCGGCGACACAGTAACCCGGCAAGATAACCATGTTGAGAGGGTTGCTGCACCATTTCTTGAATAGCTCGAGCGACGTGCCAGCGTGGAGCATGCCCGGAGTAGTGAATACGACCATTGGAGTGGGCTCCTCCGCGAGATGCATGGAAAAGGGCTTGATGTGCTTGAAATCGAACATGTTGTGATCGACAAAGGTCTGCTTAATCTTTTGATTGGTCCAGCCGATGAAGAGCTTGTAATATTCGTTGGCTCGCTCGGTCAGGCCGCCAGAAAAGTAGACGGGCGCCTTAAGCCCCATTTGCTCCCAGTATCCTTCAACCAGGATGCAAAGCTCTTGAGCCCGGCCCAAGGCAAACACCGGAATGAGCACCTTCCCTCCTCGGAGCACGCAGTCGTGGAGGCTCTGGAGAAAATACTGCTCTCGCTCGCGCTTCGAATCTCGGATCGTGGTGGCATAGGTTGTTTCGGTAATGAGCACGTCAGGCCGACATCGATCGATCCAGGCGGCGCCGAGATGCCGATCGGGAGTCATATTGTAGTCCCCAGTGTATACGACCGATTGGCTGCCAACCCGCACATGAAACATGGCGGCTCCCAGAACATGGCCTGCATAGTAGGCCTTGATTTCGATGTCGTCGTTGACCTGGAGCAAGAGTTGAAGGTAAATGTAAAGTAGAAGTAAGGTAAAGCAAAATAGGGGGGGGTACATAACCACTTTGATGTCAGCATCAGCATCAGCATCAGCATCAGCATCAGCATCAGCATCAGCATCAGCATCAGCATCAGCATCAGCATCAGCAACCGTATCGTCAACTACCTGGATGGTTTCATGCAGATTGATGGGGGTGACTCTCTTCATACAATTCTTGATGTCTTGTGCAGAAAAAAAGTTTTTCTCGCCCTTCCGCTCCACTGCAATCTTCCGCATATCCTCGAGCAACACCGGGCAAACGGCCTTGGTGGGATGGGTCATGTAAACAGGACCATCGTATCCGCACGTCTCGGTGAAGAACGGAAGAGCACCGCAATGATCCAGGTGGAAATGCGATACAATGACGCAGTCGATCAGCGCCGTGTAGTCCGCCGCTCGGTTGGTCCTGGATATATAGGAAAAATCGGGATATCGTCTCGGATCGCCTTCCGAATAGCCCATATGCATGCCGCAGTCGAACATGATGTTTTTGGTCCCGATCGACACCAAAACGCAGCTCCGACCGACGTCTTGGCCGGCGCCAAGGGGAACAACACGGATGACTTGGGCATTGGAGGAAAGGAGCATGATGTAACTTGTGCTCGCAGGTTCTGATCGGGACGACGCTCTCAGAACAGCAAGATCTCGAGGAGTTGCAGGCAAGGGGATAGGCTTCCTGCGGAGTAGCGCTTTGACCACGATCTGCTTGTCGGAGTGATCCAGGAGGCTGTTCGCTGTCGGCCGCTCCTGGTCCGTCGAGTGAAGCGCCGATCGTAAGCAGATCGATTGAGAGAGATCGGGGGCTGGCGGGGCCTTCGCGTCCAAAGGGAACCGCGAGGATGCCCCTGGGGCTGCGACTGGGCAGGAGCCGTCGAGAACTCTTATAAGGATCGATGCCATTGGATCCCTGGGCTGCAGCAGGATCGACGTCGCATCCGATGACTGACGTATGCCGGGCCGGGCCAGCAAGGCTGACGTCCGTCGCGGACCACTGGTTGAGACTCCCAGACCCAGTCCTCTCTCCCGACCCCGAAAGGGCCTGTGTCTCATCCTGCATTTGGTCTGCACATCCCCATCAGCTCCACCGCTGCCAGTCCTGAAGCCGGTCCATGATGCCTGAATACGATCTCCAGGAGCAACAGCTAGTCAAGCGTCTTGATCTCAAGATCCTCCCGATGCTGATGGCGATGTGCGTGTGGCACACATTGGTAGGAAGTATCCCGGCACCCGTTTGTTCTTTGGGATGGCAACTATCATAGGCATCCGCTGACTCGGCCAGGTCCGTTCTGCCTGCCCAGGTTCGCACGAATCTTTCTCCGGGATCACTCATGAACATTGACAGCGAGAGCGCAATGGCGCGAGAACTCAACCTGTCGCCGCCCGAGCTCCAGTGGATATCGCTGTCGTTTTATATCGGTACGGCCTCTGGCTTGCCGCCGGTTCATGGAGATGCTCGTCAATGCCCTAGAACCTGTATTTTGGCCGGCTTGCTTCGATATCCAATGCCCATCAGTCCGCTCACCTTCAGGTCTTCGCCGCAGCCTCGGCACTATTTGCACTCCCATCAAATCTGGCAATCGGGATATTTCGACCATCTAGGTGGCTCGGTATGTTCCAGCTCTCAAATGTGCTCCCAAATGCACCTGCAGCGCTCCGAAGGAGAACAACTTACTGACCGTCTGCCCTTGCCGCCTCGACATAACTGGCTGCGCTGAACGAATCGGCTGTGTAGCCAAGTAAGCTAATTCGTGATAGCTGTCTTGCGTCGAGGAGCGGCTGCTCTGTAGATGCTACAGTGCAGTTGCCACTGCTGCCTGTATCTTTTCGAAAGCATCGCAGTTGCTGGCGAATCGGAGAGCCGTTGCTTGTGTCTACGACCCCTGTTCGATGGGGTCAGGCCAAATGACATCCGCTGCTGCGGAGTACTCAGGCCCATCAGTAACAGTCTCTGTATCACGCGGCCGGGTGCAAAATGGCGACTCTCTAGCATGATGGTGTTGTGGGGAATCATAGGGTCGGCTATGGCGGCCCTCCAAGACGTTGGTGGCTTTGTGGCCATCAAGGTATTTCTGGGCATCACAGGAGGAGGGTAAGTCGGATTTGACTCGGTTGTCTGTCGCCCTTGTGGAACCAATTCAAAGTGTCGACAGAGTCGATTGCAGGCGCCAACGTCGTGTAAAGCTCGGAGACAAGCTAACTTATTTTGTGAATCGATTGCTGTACCTAGATATCTCCCAGCCGTGATGCTGTACATGACATTCTTTTACACCCAGCAAGAGCGCGGAAGGCGCTTTGCGTTGATTCTGGCCTTTGTCGGGCTCATCGAAGCTTGCTCTCCGTTCCTCGCCCTGGTTCTGGAAGAAATCGATGGGATCTTTGGCCTTTCGGGATGGCGCTGGTATGTAGTGTTGGTGGTAAGCTCCGGGGCCGAGCTCTATCATTCGATCTCGCGTCTGGAGCTGTGACTGTGACTGTGACCGTGACTGTGGCTACGATTGCGGCTCACCTCCTCAACGCTATTGATGTTTTGCTAGGCTCTTCCTTGGCGAAGGCTTGGGATGCCTTATCATTGGACTTTTGAGTTTGTAAGTGCAGCACTTTTGAGCCGGTGCCGATTCTGAGGAGGCGGGGTGGGGGAGGAGTTGGAACAACACGACGCAGAAGTGTTTGGCGAGTATAGCTGTCAGCGCTGGGACTGTGATCAGACTCGGCAGTTGAGGTGATGATCGGCGTCCGGTGAAACAGTGATCCAGGAGGGGTAGAACCGAACCAGTTCTAACGGAATATGTACATATTGAATTCACAGCAAGTGTCTGGCAGACTATCCTTCAACCGCATCGTATCTTACTGTGGCAGACCGGGTGCTTGGTTCATCTCGACTGCAAGACCAGGAGTCCCAGAATGAAGCGGCCTCCGAGTTCAATCCGATTGCAGACAACGTCAAGAGCCTCCCAACTCGTACGTTTCATTACTACCAACTCACCAACTGCATCCAGAGCTACCAGCTCTGGATGCAAGCGATTCTATTCATGGCTCTCCGAAGCTCGCTCGACTATACGACGATCCTGATAGAGCAGTTTTCCTTGGAGATTGTGCACACGTATTTGCCCTCGACAGAGCACGGTTCGGGACACTCATCCAACATCCCAATTTCGGCCTTCAACGTATACGGACAGCTTTTGACGACGCTGCCGTTTGTTGTTACCATCCCGCTTGCACTGAAGCTTGCAGAGTGGAGCGACAGTAGTCAGAGTCGCAGCTATGCTCTCGGTCTTTCTGTGGGAATTTCAGTCGGGTCGCTGCTTGCACTGGTGTGGATGCCAGAGATAGCTCCTGTGCACTACATCTTTCTGGTGGCAGCGACCGTGGGAAGCGCATCGGCACAAGCGATCCTCATGGCATTCTCGCTCGAAGACTCCCGCGGAACGACTCATCGAGCATCGACGATTTCTATCCTAATTGCGATGGGCTATGTGGGCGGCGGAATCGTGGTGCCCTTGTGTCTAGGGGCCGACGGCACCTACAAGGCTAGAGTCACTGCTGACCAGCTCTCGATCGGTTATGGAACCACTCTGGCAGCACAAGCCCTCGCTCTTGGAGGAGTACTTTGGACGAGATATCGATCAGGACAGCAAGACCAAGGACATCTGATCACTGCGGCAGATGATATATGGGAAATGAGCCCAACAGACTCTCTCTCGAATTCAGAGAGAGGACTACCCTCTGGTCCAGCCAAGGGACTGCTGTTCCAGGGATTCATCTCAAAGCCCAAGGCAGTTAAGCCGAGCGCCAAAGCCCGACACGACGATGCTGACTCGGCCAAGTCTGGCAACATGAGTGATTGGGATCTTCGCGACTATTCATCTGGAGGACGAGCGATAGTCGAGTGAATTCTTTCGATGGGCTGGGGCACCTACAGCACCGACAGGCAGACACCAGTATGTTTCTTTTGGGAATAAGGTCGAATTAAAGAGACACCCACACATTCACAAGCAACGGGACGATGGTCCTGAAGCCAACCAAACCAAAGAGATTGCCAACCAGGACTGGAAACAATTGCACGAAAGTTCAGCAGGCTTCAGGCCTCTGATGCCAGTGAAAACGGGTACTGTCCCGTTTTTTTCTGGATCGACTGTAGCACATGCTTGCTTCAATCAGACCTGCAGTTTCATGCATTTGACTCATGGGAATTCGAGGCATTGTCCGGTTCAATCGCACATGTCATCGACGATAGCCCGAGCCCGGGTGCCCCCTTTCGCTTTGCGAGCATTTCGTCATGCCGTTCGGCGTGCCGTTCGTCGTTTCCCATGACCGGATGGGCCGACGATTGTGCGATGCGATCGGGTTGTCATCTTGAAGAGCAGACATGCGTATCGCTGGGCCTCCACGGCAAACAAACACCCCCAGACGTCCATCCAGGGATTCAGGCGCCCTCCCCCGTCGCCTTGGGCACCCAGGCACCGCCCAGCCCGCCGTCTCGGCGTCGGCCACCCCCGCAGGCGCCCACGCCAGGCGCCCAGCCACGCACGCCGCTCCTCTGCGCCGTCGCGACACCGCCGCGCCATGGCCATGAGTCACAAGGCACAAACCGGGAGGGAGACGACGCCTCGGTATCGCCGTCGCCTGTCCCCCTGCCTCAAAACCCCCCAGCGGGCGCCTCCAGTCGTCGGTGCTGCTTTCGTTTGCATCCCGCTCGTACCATCGCCGGACCTTCATCGACAGCATCGGCATCGACATAGGCATCGACATAGGCAGTAGCAGCCACGATCGCAAGGCAACCAGCAATCGCCACCAACACCACCAACACCAACACCACCAACACCAACACCAACACCAACATCAACAGTCATAGCAGGAACGCCATCAATCTACACTTTTTTCTCATGATGTTGCCGTCGCGCACCACATCGCTCGTTGCGCTCCTAGCGGTATCAGCAACGCTCGTGCAAGCCCAGCAATCGTCCGGCTGCCTCGTCCTCACGGGCTCCAAGGCTTGTCCCGACTACCAGCAATACGGTACGAATCGTTGGCACGACCAACGTGCAAGTTTTGTATTCTCTAGCAGGCGTGGATCGCTTTGCTGTTACGGAACTTGCTCCGTCTCCAGGAAGCCAAACACTTATCCGAATCCTCGTCGTTTACGTATCGGATCTACAACCTTGCGGCGTGCTTCTGCTGCACACCGACAGCGGTCAAGGCCATTGATCAATTCAAGTCCGTTCAAGACTTTGACAACTTTGTGTTTGCGTCTTTCGACAACAACACCGCGTACCAGAGCCAGTTTCAGTCCTTTTTCGACTGCCCGAACTGGAAGGGATCCGGCGAGCGCTTCCACATCTCTGTCGTATGCACCTTTGTAAGTCCTTTGCCGTGGCGCCATGAGAAGCTTGCCTTGAACGCACTTTCGAGGCCCATAGTCATGCACGTTGCGGTTGCTGATGTGGCTTTTACTCGTACACCTCTATGGTTTCAGTTGGTTGCTCAGTCGCAGTGCCAGCAGCCCGCGCCGTGGACGCCATTGTGTCAAGAGTCATGTAATCTGTATTTGAGCTCGCTCAATGCCGTCTTTGCGAATCCAGCGAGCTGCAACCAAAACACCACATCCCAATTCTCGCAACGCCGGGGCATCCAGAGCGATTTGCAAACAAGTGCCTATGCTCAGTACTGCACAACACTCCCAAAGAACAGCACTGGTGCAGCCTGCACGACGGGCATGAAGTTTGAAGCCACGCAGTGTGGTGAGTTGTCGGCGCAGTTGCCGGATCATGGACAACGAGATGTGTATTTCGTGGGCCACTGGCTGCTCGAGCATTTCTTTGCACATTTTCGCCTTGGATGTCCTTGGGCAATCTCTCTTCGCCGGACGATTGTGCTGCGCTTCATCTGTCGTCAGGACTAATCTTGTCAATGATTTTCTGATGCAGGATTTTTCAACACGACCGACGCTCAGGCGTATTGCAGCTCGGCGAGTGGCAGCAATGATCCGTGCTGTCCTCCGTTCGTCAACCAAACTCTGCAATCCGAGTCCAAGATCCTGCTACCCATCGATCCAAAAGTCTGGATCATCTCCGCTTCGGTGCTTGGCGTAATGATCCTGGGCGTGGTCTTCTATCTTGTGTGTATCCGGACCGGCCGATGGAAGAAAAAACGAGCCCAGGCCTTTGTCCCGCTCCCCGAAGAGACTTCGCCAGCAGGCATGAGTGGTTCTGGATCGATGCTCGGCAGCGCTTCCACCCAACGCAAGAGTCTGTTCAACTCGGATGGCCGCCGTAGTTTGTTCAACGGCCTTCGTAGCAATCCAAACGGCCGGATCAGCGTTTTCAGCCGCAAGTCCAAGATCAACGTTGCATCGGACTTTTCTCGGCCGGACATGGAAGCCCTTCCGGTGCCCATGTTTGTCCCGCCTGTCCCCAGCCTGCCTTCAACATCCCAGCGCACCAACATGCGCATGAAAGTTATCGAATCGTACACGCCTATGATGACGGATGAAGTAGCGCTACGTCTGAATGACATCATCTTGGTCGAAGAGATGTACGACGATGGTAATGCGACATTGAAGCAACACACTATCCGGGCTTGCTCAATCCGTTTGGAACTGTGGGAACAATGATTCTCCAGCCATATGTGAACCTGTTGGGTGTTGCGCAAATGTGTGCGTATACGCTCCAGATCCATGTCTAACCACTCGGGTACAACCGTTTCGTGTTTCTTCGACAATAGGCTGGGCAATCGGCCAGAACGAAACCAACGGCGGGTCGGGCGCTTTCCCAATGGCATGTGTGGCTCCGTTGTCGTCGGCTCCGCAGGAGGCGCGGGCGAGCCCCGTCCAACAGCGAACCAACTCGCTGATGGCGACGCCTCGATCGTGAGCGCGCAGGCTAGCTCGAGTCGATACATTTGCACTGGCTGGCTCGGTCGACAAGTATCGGTGATAATCTGTTGTGCGGCGTGGGGGCGGTAGTGTTTGTCTACGCATCTCGAAGTAGTCTGTGAAAGTAAATGCGAGGCATCAATCCTGCCTTTCGGAAATGGAGTTTGTTTGAAACGAGAAGAGACCGTTGGTCCTGAATGTACTTCATGTCGACCACTGGTTGTGTTTGGTTTGGAAAACACCGCCCCGAATCCACCCGGTCGATCTCCTGTGGCGACGATCTCCTGTGGCAACGATCTGCTGGCATGCCGGGACCATGTTCCTGGCTGCATCGATGGCTCGATTTGGGGGTGGAATCGCTCGAATATCAAGTCAACCTGACTCCCCGTGGGTTGGAAGCGTATCTCTTCCTTTGCTCCCACGAAGCGTTTCCCAGGCGATCACAATGTTGGTCTTCTTGGGCACACTGTTTGGCCATGGTGGGCGATGGATGGGGTGTGTATTCACATCCAGAAAAAAATCGCCATCTGGGCTCAACAAGGTGTTTCATTCTGGGTCATATTTGTTGGTTTGGGAGGATTGCCTTGAGATACAACACGTATTCGGCCTCTGGAGAGCTCCATGCAAGGTGTGATTTCTGAAAATCCGGAAGCCGAGTCAAACGAGTCGCTTTGCTCCATGCGTGGGTACTGGCAGCATTTGATGTGTATGAGCTCTTTCGCTCTCTTCTTGTAGGGCCCACAACGAGTACCTTCAGCCCCGCTCAAAGAGAGCAGCTGTAGCTCCGTAGACGAGCGTCAGGGCAAGTGAAGCGAGATAGGCGGCCCACAGACATGGAATCGGCCATTTCTTGGTCGAAAATGCCGATATGCAGCGTGAGGGGGTTGCCGCAGGGACGTTTCGAGGGTGCAGCCGGGTGCCAGCACAGGGAGAAGGACGAAGCCACAGATTAGCTGATCGGTCCACCATGAAGGTCGTTATCAGCGGTTGGGCGACGGTTCCCCAACAATTTGATGATGGCGGACCAGTTGAGCAATCGACCATGACGGCAACGGCGAAAGCAAGACAGTTCGTTCTCGGCGACTGCATACTTGACTGCTCCTTACTCATTACCTGCCAAGTCCACTGCCAATCCAGAGGCAGACAGAAGGTACTTGCCCAGATTGCAAGGGTCGCCAGCACAAGGACATCGCCGAGCAGCAGCCAGAGGTGGCTGCACTGGCCTCTGCCGTTGTATCCGAAGGATATCGAGCACAATGGTGACAATAAACATGCGATATCATTTGATAGGCAATCGAATTTGACAGAGAAGCAGAGACGTGTGAAACGGACGAACGCAGAGTGCTGCTTCGATCGGTTCAAGCTTGTAAGGCATACTGACATACCGGTGCTCAGCATCGATCATACTCCTCCAGTCGAGTCTCCACAGACTGCCGATAGGAAAGAACAAGATAGTCGAGACATAGAACGCCGCAATCGCAGTCTCGACTCCATAGCTGGATGGTGAGGTTGATGTATTCACGGGCAAGGCGAGCCCATTGCAGCACATAACAACCAAGAAGGCGAGTGAGTTGGGGTTCCGAGTCTGTCTGTCTGTCCCTCCTCCGGCTTTCAATCGTCCCTCCCACTCAATCGCAGGCAACGGGATGCAGATTTGCGGATGACCCGAGTTTGCCGCAGGCCATGCTATCCCAATTGATTCGGGATGGGTTGCTGACCTTGCCAACGGAGAGCCAAACAGGACAAACACCACCAACAAGAGGGCGGTGCCCAGCAGGGTCGCTACGAGTCCGAAGAGCAGCGAACTCACTGCCTTCTTGACAAGCCCATAGGGACTCTAACGTCGTCATGCATTGAGAGCGAGAGTCCAAATACCGATCGCAGACGATGGATGGGGTGGCGGAGCGCCGGGAGTGAGCTTTGACCATTCAACCCGAGCATCCAAGCCAGCCAAGATCGCAGCAAGTTCAGTAAGCCGAGCAGATCTCATAGAAGGAAGGAGAAACGCCGTGGGCCATCCAGCGCAAGTTTGCAGCCGGGCTCACGTCCGGATGCTGAACATTACATGAGTAGATTTGCCAATCCAGGCCGGGACGAACGAGAACGCCAGCCGGGTTGCAAAGGCCCATCCAGCAGCGGCTTGCAGCAGCTCCGGGCTTGGTTCCAAAGGAGGAGGGATGAGTAGGGGAAGTCCAATAACAACGAACGAGATCCAGTCGTCGCCTGGCATTACGAGACGCCGGGGATCGCCGAGTGCAGACAGAGCAAGGACAGGCCGAACACAGGCAGATTGAGGGCAGGCCGCCAGCAGCCAAACCCGCAGAGAGGTGGAGGGCGCATTGCAGGATCCACGATCGGAGCGCGCGATCTGCGTGGTCAGAAATCAGAAGCGACTCCTGAGCCACCAGCCTCAGAATACGGCCCGTCGATACCGAAGCGGGAGTGGAGTATATGCGTGGATCGAGCAAGTCGATCGATCTCCTGGATGAGCGATGTCGGTCGGCGCTGTTGCAATCGACTCGGCCGATGGGATGCCCCTCTCTGATTCCTGAATGCACATGGCCCAGAACACAACGGGCGCCATCCAGGTCAAGCACGGAGGCCAAGCGACCCGAGTAGCGAGTATCTTGATGCTGAGCAGCCACACTTTGAGCGGGGCTGTCCAAAGGGTCGAATGGATGCACCAAACTCCCAAGTCGAGACATCGATGCAGCCAGGAACATGGTCTCGCCACAGGAGGATCGACCGGGTGTATTCGGGGCGGTGTTTTCCAAACCAAACACAGCCAGTGGTCGACATGAAGTACATTCAGGACCAACGGTCTCTTCTCGTTTCGAACAAACTGTGAAATTGAGCGATTGATCATATCAACAACAGCATAGCCATGATGGGAGGAGCAAGCGTGTCGTGAGCGTGTCCAAAGATGACTACAGGTAAGAGTTGTCGTGTACCGTTAGATGGGCTGCATCAGCGACCGAACTGGTTGTTGCCGAATCCAGGATGCATGTTTGCGCCGCTCTGCATCATGGCAGGATTGAAGGCATTGGGATTCTGAGCCATGCCCATCATGGCAGGGTTGGCAGGGTTGACTCCAAGGGCCATGGGGTTCATGCCGGCGGTTGCTGGGTTGAAACCGGCGGCTGCTGGGTTGAAACCGGCGGCTGCTGGGTTAAAGCCGCCGAGCTGGGGATTCACGACGCCGATACCGGGGGTGAGCCCCGGTGCTCGCGGGTTCATACCAACCAGTCCGGGATTGGCCAGGCCGCTGTTTGGCATCATACCGGCCATGCCAGCAGACTGGCCGATGGTTGGCTGAGCCGGGAGCGAGCCTCGGTTTAATCCGCCCATCATCGGATTGATGGCACCAGTACCAGGCACAACCCCCATCATCGGATTCATCGCAGGCAGGCCCGAGCTCGTGCCCGGCATTGTGTTGATGGAGCCCATTGGCACACCAAGGTTCATCCCTCCAACCGCGACGGGGTTGATGCCTCCAGCGACTGATGTCATAGGGCGATTCAGTCCCGGAGCGATTGGATTGAGGGGGACCATGGAGGGATTCATGCCACCGAAATTCGGACCAAGTGCCTGGCTAGGCATATTACCACCAAACGTTCCTGATGGTCCCGTTAGCGAGCTTAGGTTGCCCGAGCTGGTACTGTTTGCCAGGCCTCCGAAGGAGTTGAAGGAGGTGCTGGGTTGAAGGCCGCCTAGCAACGATATCAAAACAGATGACAATCGGCTCGTCAGAAAAAGTCAAGCTTCTTTGAGCGATTTCCGCGGGTAGACGGGCCCATTGCTCCGCTCAGGGGATGCCCGGAGGACACCGGTGGCTATGGGCCAAAATCTGAGAGATGCAACAGATGGAAGACTTTGCGCGTGCAACCACCGTAATCCAACCCACCAGGACGAGTTGGGCCAAGGGAGGATACGACAGGTGCTTGTTGTGCAAGGGCAGCATTAACTTCAGGACGCATGATGGGAGAAATGGGATACATGCAGTTAGCATGCGGTGGAAAAAGTCGCGAGGCAGCAAGATGTCAATACACTTACGCTGAGCCGCTGGCTGGTTGAAAACCGACGGTGCATTGACGTTGATGTCCTTGAAAACCGAATATCGATCACCTAGAGATTTTGTGGTCAGTCCAGCCAAGATTGGCCATTGCCAGGCTGCATCGATCAAACGCACATACCTGTTGTTTGGGGCTGCAGAGACGGAAGCTGGCCCATGCTGAGCGAGTTAGGGATGCCGATAGCGCTGTTCGGCATGGAGATGGTGCTGCTACCCGTGTGCTGAGGCTGAAGGATTGAAACAGGTGCGGATGTGTTCATGGCCAGACCGGCCGTCGAAGCGTTTCCGAGGGGAAGTGCCGGGGCAAGATTGCCCACCAGCGTTGTGGGAGCGACCACGGGCTTTGGAGGACCAGTTGGAACGAATCCACTGATTGGTGCCTGTCCGAGTCGCGGTGCGGGGATCAGCGGCGTTGTCAGAGGCACCATGGGTTTGGTGGCCAGGGACGGCATCGGTGGCGGAGCGGATAGGGCGGCCATCTGCTGCTTCAGCTGCTGCTGCTGCTGCTGCTGAAGCTGTTGCTGTTGTTGCTGTTGTTGGAATTGCTGTTGCTGCTGTTGGAGCTGCTGCTGCTGTTGCTGTTGCTGAGCAAGAAGCTGCAAATTCTGTTTTTGAAGCGCCTGGAGGGTCTGCTGCGCCTTCTCGAGGCTCTCGGTTTGAGCCTTGAGCTTTTCGGCCTCGGCCGCCATGGCCTGAGCCTTCACTTTTTCAGCCTCGGCAGCCATCTGTTGGGTACGGGAGACAGTCACGCTTTGCGCAGCCAGGTCGCGGGCAGACGCTGTATCTTTGGCGGCCACAGCCTGAGCCAAAGGCTTTGAGGTCGTGGATTTTGGAACATCCCAGGGATCGTTTTTGATTGAAGAGGCAGCGGCCAGGGTGGCAAGCCCGCTGGCGGTGGAGTTGGATCGAGATGGATGAGGCGATGACTTTGGCGACGCCTGTTTTTGGGCGGTTAAGAGCGTATCCTTGGCTTGGCTCAATGTATCAGGGTTAATGGTGGATCCAGGCGGCCGAGTGGCTGAATGGAAGAGCGGCAGGAGAGTTAGCACCGACGGATCATGTCATGGGCCGGGAGCGGCATGTCAGGGAGACTACTCACGACGGCGGCTTGCAGATAAAGGTGCTTCCAGGCCCTGCAAAGTTCGTGCAAACTCCTCGTCTGACTTGAGCGTCTCTTTCTGCGCACCCACACCGGCAACGACGAATACGGAACGGTCCCGGAAAGCAAAGTTTTGACATTCCCAGTGCGGATGGCGTTGCGCACCGAACCAGGTCGAACCGGACCGAAGAATCGATGTACCCAGTCAGCATGCAACCGAAGAGCAACAACGCCGCGCAGCCGACAGTGCAGATTCCACAGCAATTCACACACTCGGCAAACAGCCTCCAAACGACAAGGCACTCAATGAGCTGCACAGCTCGAAAGCACGGCAAAAGGTAGATCGCAAAGCAGCCGCCCCAACATACCTTGCGAATGGCATCCAGAAGCTGCAAGTTCCGCGTCTCGGCCTCCTTTTCCATGCGCTCGCGGTCTGAAACTGGTATCTGGTCATGAGAGCCTCCAGAAGGCTTTGAGGCCTTCTTGATGCGGATAATATCGGGCTCGGAAACACCCAGTGCCCGAAGAACCTCGGTGTCGAGATCAGGAAGGACCGATTTGTCCATCTTCTGCTCAACAAAGATGCGCGCATACTTTTCCGAGTCTGGAATAGTACAATGGGCCTTGATCAAGAAATCCTTCCAGTCAAAACCGTTGACCATGTACTGGCCAGCGGTGGGTCTGGCCGTGGCTCGAGCGGGAGCCGGAATGAATTCGTTTCCAGGTAAAGTGCGGATAAACTCGGAATCGTCGGCCGAGAGCTTATCCAGAGCAACAGCAATCGTGACGCCATTTGATTTGAGCAAGTGTACTTTGCCATCGACAACTCCAAGGTACTCAGCCTCAACCTGGAAGGAGCCTGTTCGGTCGGTCCAGGTGCGAGCGATTTTGTTCTTGGTTTGGCTGGAGCGCGGACTGTCGCCGTGGGCGGTGGCGGCTTCGGCGGGGCGGCGGGGCATAGGAGGGGCTTCGTTAAAGGCGACGCGTTTGGTTGAGTCCAAGGCAGGACGGCCCGGGATCGGTGGTGCTCGCTCCTCCAGCGACGGTCGGCCGGGAAGGGCTGGGGGTTCGTTCAGGGAAGGACGCGAAGGGATTGTCGGAGGAAGATCAATGTTCGGGCGCTGGGGCACCAACGGGGCCGCTGGAGGAGGCCTCGAAGGCAAGATAGGGACGCGCTGCGGCAGAGAAATTGGCTCGTTGGCTTGGTCTTGGCGCCGCATGCTGTCCAAGCGCTCGGGTTCTTGGTCCAGGCTCGGCCGGTAAGCCGGGCGCTCAGGCACAGAGATCCGGGGAGGAAGGGCCACCGGAGCGGCAGCTGAAACTATTGCGGGAGATGGAGAAGCCGTGGCCGATGCTTGCTCCTCATCCAGACGCTGTTTGAGCTGCACGTATGTTGCAGGCACGAGGCCCTCGCCGCTTCGGCCCTTGGCCACGAGCCGAACCTTCCACCAGTCAGAGTCCGAGTCGTCGGAGACCATCAAATTATCGTTTTCTCGAATCGAGAGCTCTTCGTCCGTCTGGGCATCGTAGTCGTATAGAGCAACGGCAATCTTTGGAGGAGCAGATGACTTTTGCAACGCAGCCGGAGAGGGCGTAATGACTGGTGCAGTCGGTCGAGAGGCGGGCGATGGCCCCGGGGCTATAGGCGGAGGCACTGGTGCTGCCACAACAGGACTGGGTGCGGCTTGTGGTACTGGGGCTCCTGAGAACGTTGGAGGAGGGCCAGAAAGAATCGGAGCCGAGATCTTGCTCTTGGAAAGGCCAAGGGCAAAAGTAATCATTAGTCGCGAATGAGCGAGCATAGCGGTCAAGCCAGCCACCAAGAGGAACAACCTACCCGAGTTTTGATCTCCTCCAATCTCGCCACAAGACTCTGGATATCAGGCTTTTCGCCCTCGTACTCGCGAACGCCGTCGCTGAACTCGATGATGACTTTTTTCTTCTTATCGGTAAACTTGCGAACCTGGCTGAATTCCCACTTGGCGATAACGGTCTAAAAATAAAAAATAGAAGGATGGCCTGAGACCTATGCTGCAGCCGGGGTGAGCATGCAGGCGGTTCACGGGAGTAGGCTGTACCTCAGTCTCGGATGTGAAGTATACAACATAGTCGTCGCTGATGCCCATGCGCCCCTTTCGGCTGTTCTTCTTCTTCTTCTTGTCAATTTCCTGATGTTAAAACCGAGAGCAACCTTAGCTGCCTGTGTTGAACGAGAAGGTTGCAATGGCTCCCAACGTGCGTAGCGGCCCACTGAACAGCGATAGGCTGCCGGCTGTTGCCGTCGCCTCCATATGTGCACCCGGAACGAGCGATATATCGTACCGTTACGGAGAACAGTTTGACACCTGCGGGCGCATATTCGCTGGCGGGCTTGGCGGGCCTGGGCTTTGCGGCGCTTGAGAAGCCGAGTCCGTCCAAGGCACTCAGGAGCTGATTCTTTTGATCAAGGGCAGCCGGTGCGTGGGTGGTATCGTCTTGTTCCGGGGCAGACATTTCTTCGTGGGGAGCCTCATCTTGCACCATCTCGACTCCGTCCTGTGGACGAAAGAGGAATGGCGATAAGTAGCATTAGACAACCTGGAATAGAAACGAAGAAAGCGAAGTCTCCATCGCATTGAGGTCAATGAATGCCGATGTATGTGTACATATACCTCATGGACGTAGGAAAAGGGCACCAAGCCGATGCCATCAGCCGACTTGGCCAGCCACCAGTCTTCGTCCAGCTTCCAGATGATGTCCAGGCGAGCGTTCTCGGCAAAGGTCAGTTCATCATCGGTTAGGGCGGTGTAGTCGTAGAGTGCTGTTGCTTGGGCGACGACGGGTGCCGCCTGGATGTAGCTCGTGGGCACTAAGCCCGTCAGAGGCTCTTTGAAGGCATCCAAGGGCAGCTCCTTGACGGACGTCCAGTCCGGATCCGAGTCATCCAGGACAAGCAATAGGTCACCCTCGCGGATGGTGAGCTCCTCCTCTGTTCGAGCGTCGTAGTCGTATTCAGCCCTTCCAACCCATTTGCAGTTCATCGCGCCGAGTGGAGGTTAGGTGTTTTGAACGGAGCTGCGCCGTTCAAAAGAAATTCGAGTGGTAGGGCGGGCAGGGGCTTGAAAGCAGGAGGCTTGGGGTAGGTTTGGGCCTTGTCGGAGAGCACGGGGTCGGGATATGGTCAATCGCTACCAAGAAAAGAATGCAGCGCTGCTCGGGCGGCAGGGCGATAGCAGGGAGCAGAAGATGGACAGAGCGAGGAAGCCGATGGGCTGGCTGGCGGTGGTCAGGACAGGGGGGCAGCGACGGCGCTGGTGGGCGACTGGCGAGGGAAGGGGCCGCGGCACCCCAGCACAGCGCGACAATGGGTCCAGTGGAGACGGATGTCACCAGGTCATGTGGGATCCACGTTGGCGCTGCGCCACGATCCATCCATCACACCAGAACCTCAGCGACCAGCGAGGGCAGTTCCGGCATGGCGCATATGTATTCATGTCAGGGATCGAGCTCAGTACTCTGCGTCCACGATGATCCGCATTGTCCGGCGGCGTCATGGGCGGGCTGGCACTGGTTAGCCTGGTACGTGGCCAGGCAGAATCCCCCCCCCAGAGGTTGCCATGCGAGCTGTGGAAAAGTTGGACAAAGACGGGGCTGGATGGTCGGATGAAAAACCGCCCGGTGACTGAGTGGTGGGTTACTAGACTCACGTCTTGCAGTATGCACCGCAAAAGCGCGGCGGCGGACCGCTTTGCGATCGCGCTACGTTTCTAAGAAGCCTTGGCACCGGAACCTTGGCCGCGAATGATGTTTTTGATATAGAACTCGCCGGCCTTATAGCTGGAACGCACAAGAGGCCCACTAGCGACGTATCGGAATCCAAGCGATTTGGCGACGGCTTCCCAATGGGCAAACTTGTCGGGATGAACGTATTCCTCAACCTGGGGGCAACTTTGATCAGCAACTCACAAACACGAGTAGCCTTGATGTTAAAACGGCTCCCGAGAGACCTACCTTCATGTGCTTCTTGGTGGGCCGCATATACTGGCCGAAGGTGATGACATCGACATCGATTGCACGGAGGTCTGTCGATGAGCCAGTGCAAGTTCAATCACTTGGGTGAGATCGCGCCACCAATTGCTGTGTGCTAGCAGTATTCTATGCCGAGAGCATTGGATACAGTTCTGCCACGACGGTGACGATGTGAAGAGAGCCCTACCCTTCATTGCTTGCAGCACTTCGTCGTCTGTCTCGCCGAGTCCCAGCATCATGGATGTTTTCGTGACAAGGTCGGGGCGAACCGACTTTGCCTTTTCCAGCACACTGAGGGACTGTCGGAAGTTGGCACGGCGGTCGCGGACGTATTTTTGGAGGTTCTCGACGGTCTCGATATTGTGGGCATAGACATCCAACCCCGAGCGGGCAACTCGCTCGACGTCATTTAGGTTGCCACGAAAGTCGCCAGTAAGGCACTCGACGAGTATTTGTGGCGCCCTGAAACGGAAGATTGAGTGTCGATAATCCGTAAGGATCCCGGGCCTGACCACTCCGTTGCACATGCCCATCGCGGTCTTTTGCATGCAACACTCGCCCGCCAAGCGGCGGGGACCAGGGCCAACGACTTACTTTTGCTTGATGAGCTCCACGGTCGTGCCGAAATGATTGGCACCTCCGTCAGGCAGATCTGTGCGATCACGGTCAGAAATCCACATGAACACAATAGCACAATAGCGCAATAGCGCAATAACTGATGCAGCCTCGCCAGGGTCATCTGGTACTGCAGCGACGACTCACCATCGCGATCCACCGATGTGAGAACAACGTAATCCAAGCCCCAGCGCGAGATGGCTTCGGCTGTACTTTCGGGCTCGGTTGGGTCCAGCGGAGAGGGATTTCGGTTGGTCTTGACAGAGCAGAAGCGGCAGCCACGAGTGCACTCGTCGCCCATGAGCTGCATTGCACGAAGAGGTGGCATCAGTGCGATTGATCGGCAATGCAAAGGATCGGCAGGATAATCAACTGAACGTCAAGCATCTTGGGTTTGATCGACCTACGGGCTTACCATTATTGTTGCCGTTGCCGTCTTTTCTTCACCACCACCCCAGCAATCGCCGATGTTGGGGCAGCGGGCCTCCTCGCAGACAGTGTGAAGCTTGAGGCCTCGGAGATCCTGCTTGATCCGATTGAAATCGGTGCCGACAGGAATGTCGGTCTTGAGCCATTCGGGCAGGCGGACGTGCCTGAGTGGTGAGTTTTGTTTCGTACAGAAACGTCGGGTCAGGGCACAGAAAAGGGTTGACAGTCAGTGAATGCTGGGTGTGCTCTCTGCTTCTCACGAGCTAGCGTGCTCCAGAAGCACACGAGAGTAGGGGCAGACTGTCCCAGCACAGTGGGCTACAGTATCGCAAGGGACTGCCGGCTGTACTTTTTGTTGAAAGGCTTCGATGAATCCTGCGACTTGAGTTCAAGAGCCTCTTCGACCGTGAACTGGGATGAAGCCTTGATGAACTCTCCCAACGAAGGGCCTTTCTCGAGCTTCTCAGAAAACGCCGACGACGACTTGGGCCGGAGAGCAACAGCTGACGAAGAAATACATCTTTGGGAAACCGTGCCGAGCAAGCTCCACCGACGCATAAGCAGAGACATTTTGCGCGAGGGCGATGCAGATCGATGCAAAGCAGTCCAGCAGGCCAAGAGCGGACCCGCTGTGGTGCTTGCGGGATGGGTGCGGAGGAAATCGGCGGCTGCCTCGGGCCGGCTGCGGCTGCGCTCCGGCCCCACGCCGCACAGAGACACCGAAAATGCGGCGACACAATGCGCAGCACATCCGGATGTGCGCAGCAATTCGATGCGCAGCGAGCCATTTTTTTTTGTTTGGCATCGACCAAATCGACCAAATCGACCAAACCGACGACCAAATCGACCAAATCGACAGCGTCGGCCTGTATTTTGTGCGAACAGGAGCCCCCTCACAACAACAATAGCAACCGGAGCAGGTCGCCCAGTGCACACACAAATAACCATCAGAACTATGCTGCGAACAGCGTAAGTGTCGCCTCGCCGTACAGGGCACAAGCTGGGCGGTCAGGCGAGAGATAAAGCTGCGGTCGCCGATGGTCACTGATTGCTGGCTGGTGCTGCGACTACAGAAAGCCTAGAACCGCCGCGGGCAAGAGAGCCCTCAAAGACAAGGCACCCAAGGTTGTCGAGGATGTCAAATCCGCCGTCTTCATCCGTGGAAGCACAACCAACGAAATCACCAACATTGCGCTGCATGAGCTGGTAGGCCCGCTAGCCCGCAGCCTCGGGTGCTTGATGCGTTTGGGCCTCAGGCGCTGCCTTGCCGCACTATTGAGAAGGCATATACTGACCGTTTGCGTATCATTTGTAGCTCGCGCTGAAAAAGCCCCATGGAGTCATGTTTTCCCGGAAAAACGATATCCATCCGTTCGACGACCCCCAAAAGATCGAGTTCTTTGCCCAAAAGAACGATGCATCGCTCTTCGTCATTGGCGCTCACACCAAAAAGCGCCCGCACAACCTGACGCTGGTCCGCACCTTTAATTACCAAGTCCTGGACATGATCGAGCTTGGTTTGCAGGGCTTTGAGCCCATGTTCGAAATACCCGTGAGTCTTCTGACGAGCCTGTGTGTCCGATGTTTTGCACCGAGCTCCTCACGCTCTCTCGGATCGCTGAGCCCTCGTTGCCACACACTCTTGCCACGCAGGGTCCAAAAGCCTCGATCGGCAACCGTCCGCTGATGGTCTTCCAAGGAGAGTTGTTTGAGACCGATCCAAGCTATCAGCAAATCCGATCGATGCTACTGGACATTTTCCGGGGCGAAGTATCGGAGCAGATCGATCTCAAGGGCATCGAGCATACGATTGTGGTCACTGCTGCGCCCGATGGGTTGCTCTACTTTCGGGTTTACATGATCGATTTGAGAAAGAGCGGAACCAAGTTGCCGCGAGTCGAGCTGCACGAGATGGGTCCGTCGTTCGACTTTGTTGTGCGTCGAACTCGCTTCGCACCAGACGATATCAGAAAGGAAGCCATGAAGGTTCCCAAAGAGACCAAAGTCAAGAAGGTCAAGAATGTTGAATACGACCCTATCGGTGACAAGCTTGGCCGTGTTCATGTTGGCAAGCAGGATTTGGCAAAATTGCAAACCCGCAAGATGAAGGGACTGAAGCGCACAGGAGCAGATGAGGATGACGCCGATGTCGGGACCGGGGCCGATGGTGACGAGCCCCGCGGCAAGAGGAGCAAGAACTAGAAGATAATGACGAATATGGTCTGCGAGGTGGACAGCAGAGGCAGCTTCTCAACCACAGATGGCACCGCCGCCCAGTCGGACTGCCATGAAACAGTTCACGTTGACGCACCGCCTCCAACGACCGCAGATATCGCTTGACATAGCCCGATGCGACCAAGCACACGTCATCGAGCCTCCGACCGGGATCGAAAGTGCATATGGTCCTGGCTGACAAAAGTCTCGAGGTCACAGACCGGCCTGACCTCGACGCTATTTCAGGCGGAGCGGCGAAGATCTTGGACTTTGAATACATATTCTTGAATCCCAACGGCAGCAGTTGATTATTGCGCTTCCTGCTGCCATCCTCTGCACCCAAAGGTGGATATCTCGCAGGCATATCCATGTCGCAGCGGATATAGTTGGTACAGAATGATTTATCGGCTCGGTACATCACGATCCAATATCGCGAGATCAATGTAGCCAAGGATATGGTCGAGGTGCGCAGGTCGACAACCACTCATTCACGAACGACCAATGATGTACAGAGCAGGTTGCCGACCCTCCTCCTACCACGCTCACTCGCAACGGTGGCTCTATTCCCAGTCGTCGTTCTCCTCGATCTTTTCCTGAAAACCAAAGATTGTACTTCGCACGGCTGCCTCAGTTGTTTGTCCTTCGCTTGTGATGACCTCTGCAGCACGGGAAGAGTCGGTCAGGGCCGCCGAGAGGTGAAATGGGCGTGGGAATGCAGGGTATGGAATGCAAGGCACGGAATGCGAGCAGGGCGAGCAAGGGGAGGGCAATCCGCATTAATATATGCACGGGCCAACAGCCTGCCTCAGAGACCGAACGGCTGCCTTGGTGCCGCCCAAGGAAGGAGATGGAGATGAACGCAGCTTTCCAGAGCAGACTCTCGGCAATTGCTCAAGGAACACTTACTGGACTGGCTCAATCGCTTTTCGATCGCAGCAGTGGTAAAATTGTCTGTGCTTCCCAATTCTTCAAAGCCCACCAGACTGGCTCCGTGCAGCGTTCGGAGCAGGCCAAGAGACCAGTATCAGATCCAGACATGAATGTGCGTGTCCGTACCATCAACCACAGCAGATTCCGGAGTAGCGAACGAATCCGAGATTTCCCTACCGATCCACAGAGATGCCGTCCACAAACGATATGATACAGGGAAGCACTTGGATCTTGAGCCTCTCCACTAAAAAAGGGACGCTTTCGACGTCAACCTTGGCGAATTTGGTTTTGAAATGCTTCCGCGAGAGAATCTAGGAGCCAGCAGGTCGCCGAGAGTGCCAAGTTAGCGCCTGGATCAGAGAGCCACCACGATACCACAGCATCGACGACGGCCGAAGCATTTGGTTCGAGCGATGCAGGTCTTTCTTGGGGGTTCCAACCTCGAGGTGCTTATCTACGATCTGGCAGCGGCGAAACTCCTTGTGATAGAAATGGACAATCACATGTTTGGTTTTGGTGCATGTTTCAAGGACCTCTTTCTCCGAGGTAATGTTTTCGTAGGTTCCGTGGGCATTGTTCTTCATTTCCTGCAGCCTCTCGACCCTTGTATTGTCGGGGCAGGACAGCGACAGAGGGTTGCATGGCTTTAGGACGGGATCTTCATTCAGCCGGCTCAGATGCGCATGGTGCCGAATGAGAACCATCGGCGACTGCATTTGGCTCCGGACGCCTGGAGGCGAGAGGCTCAAGCAACAATGGTAAGAGCTTACTCTCGCTTGAGCTCCTCCATCCGCTTTTCGCGGATATTGGAGTAGTCAATGTCTTCGTCACGCTCGAGCTCCTTGAAGAGCTCGTCGTCGTCATTATCGAAACTGTAGCAAAGTGTATTCCGTTCGCCGCCGAAGGTTAGCACAGCGCAGTGGCGGAGCACACGGCGAGGAAAGGCCGAGTTGGGGGCTGCGTTGGAATTGGGGCTACGATGGATCTGCGGCTAGAGACAGGAACATACGCTTTGGACATTGGAGATGTGGCTCTTGCCAGACGGAAGATCAAAGGGAGAGCGCAGATTCCGGCTGGCCAGATCGCCGAAAACGGATGACCCGAGGCGGGGGAAATGTGGCGTCGCTCGCCAAAACCGAGACCAACCACCCGACGAGAAGCGAACCTGGCCAAGTGACCAGGGCTCTCAATGACGATGCACTATGGAAATGGGAGATGTCCCGGTTCTGAATATAATGCATCGATTTCAGCTGTCCCATAGCAGAGTCACTGGAGCACGCTCGCTATCACTACGGCACTCTTGCGTTTACTCTCCCAGGCATCTTGTCGCAGCCACCTCGGCTCAAATGCAAGAACGCAAGCAAGGAGTAGCGGCCGAATTGCAGCGCCAACTCCGAAATAGGTGGGGAGATCCGCCTCCGGAGCGAATCAGAAACACGTCAGCATCGCACATGAGCCACCCAGACACTCCGTTATTTTCTTGAAGCGGGTATGGTATCTCGCATTTTGATTATTATTATTATTATTTTTCGCTCAGCCGCAACCATCTGACTGGGCGATTGTCTTGCTTTCGCCACCCAAAGACGCAGGCGCGCATACCATACTCATGAAGAGCGGCGTTGATAAGGACGGGGACGCTGGCGAAAGCACCCAGCCGTCAGCGGGTGAGACGCGTTTGTCGTCGACTCGTATCAACAAATCAATTCTGGGATCCTCATCGGCTCTGGCATCCTGTTAGCGTGACTCCTTCGAGGACTAACTGAACCATGATTTTCACTGTTTTTCCACGGCCCGCACGCACGGGTTCTAGACTCGTCTCGCAAGGGCCGGACTGCAAAGTAAGCGTTCTCCCCCCCCTCTCATTGCAAGAACAATCAGACCCTCAGGGGAGAAGGCTAGCTAATGTGGTGTCAGCGGTCAGAGTCGTCCGACCGAGCACCGCTTAGATTCATGCCACCCGGAGATCTCCACCGTTTTCATGACCTTTGCAGTGGCTGATAACTGCCCTCGTGGAAGAGACGCTGAATACCCACAGGATCCGGCAACCACGCACTCTGACTCTGGCCTTGATCCTCCGCCTTGCAGCTTCAACAGCGATGTTCAGCAGTATATGAACATCCATCACTTTGAGCAACTTATGATCACTTTTCGAGAGGCCGAGATGGAAGATGGAGAAAGTGGTTTCGATATTAAGCAGGCATGGGCGCTGGATTCCAAAACTATGGACATGCACAGCTCGAACGGATGCTCGCCCTCATATGTCATCATCTTTCTTTGTATGCTCGCTTCCTTCCCGCGAACCTGCCCCCGATTACTTAAGCCAATGGGCTGATCCTTCGTACTCACTTCCGCAGTTTCGAGAGGTGTTCGGCAAGGTACTTGGCGGCAATTTGAGTCATGATCAAATGACGATGCTCTTTATGAAAATCGACGCCAATTCCGATGGTACTGTCGATTGGGACGAATTCTCGACCTATATGATGAGTGCCGGCCAGGGTGCCCTCGGGATCGATGAGAATGCTGGCATTTTCGACGACCGTACCCGAAGGCAAATCAACACTCCAAACAAAGACATGATCAAGAGGATCGACTACATTGCGAAGGAAAGAAAGTATATCACTGTTAGGTAGGCTGATCGGTTGATCCAAATGGTGCTCTTTGTGTCAATTGCCGAGAGTCGGGAAAGTAAAATCTCTGAGAGGGAGCGCATTTTTACGCTTTTAAAAGTTGTCCAGTGGCTGTGCATACAATATCGACCTTGGACCACAAAACACCATCTCACCTCCATTGGCTCAATCCCAGCCGAGACGGGGCTATATGTTTGTGGTCACCAAAACTCAAGCTGCAGAAAACGATTTACATCAAGGACTTCACTCCGGGCATGTCGTGGATCGCTGATGCCGTGTATATGCAAGATCACAACAAGTTGGTTATTATCACCGATGATAGGCAGTAAGTAAGACGCAACGATGGGACTGGCTCCAAACCCCAGCGCGGAGTCGTTCTGAACCAGCTGCTACCACGGTGTTGTGGTAGCCGTCGAGGCAAAGTAAGGATCGAAATGAACTGTTTATCGAATATGGCAGGCTCTATATCTACGAGGTGCTTTCGATCAAACCCCGAATCGTCGTGACCATATCGCAACTCGAGTACAATCCGCTATGCATTTCTTATGCGGGTCCGTAGTGCGATGGATCGCGTGGGATGAAATGTGTCGACCCGCAGTCGAACTGTCGAACATGGGCCAATTGATACGCACTCTTGGGCGGGATCCATACCCAACCAAGAGCAAGAAAAGTCCATTTGTGGCCAGGAGTACCGAAGAGAACTGACTCAAATACGTACCTCCGTGTCTCAGGTCACTACGATGAGGACACTGATCTGATTCTGTTTGGAGATGACGGCGGATACGTCAACATCTTGACCATCACACGACGCTTTCTGGTTGACTGTGCCAGTGATGGCGAGCTAAGTGAGCCGTGGACCTTGTCCAAACTCTCCAAGAAGGACAGCCTCAAGCGAAACAACGTGTCGTTTTTCCATGTAAGCTGGTCACGCTTATCAGCAAGTGGACGCTGGTGACGAGACGACCAAACTCTAAGCGCGCCCCTTTCCCTATCTATCTATCTATCTATCTATCTATCTATCTATCTATCTATCTATCTATCTATCTATCTATCTATCTATCTATCTATCTATCTATCTATCTATCTATCTATCTATCTATCTATCATCTTATTAGCGAAAAGTTCATAATGATTGGGTCCTCAAGGTGCAGTACTATCAAGAAATGAATGCCTTCGTTTCTTGCACATCAGAGCCGACAAAATCTCTCGTCATCGGTGACCTCGAGCGCAAAACAGCGAGATACATTCATGTACCCAAAGGAATCAAGTGCTTTGACTTTTGTCGACGTCCAAGCTTTCTGGTCACCGGTGGTCGAGACAAGATTGTGTCGGTATCATCTTTCACAGATCAATGCATACGCATAGGCTTCGGTGATAGATGAGCGATCAGAGTCATTGCCCTTGATTTGTAACCACATGGATTCACTTCATGCGCGCTGATGGTGTCCGGAAATGTCCTCCTGTTTGTATATTTGCTCTAGTCGACTATGGAATCCATATGTTCTGTCCAAGCCCGCTGGAAGTCTCTATGGACACAATGCAGCAATCGTCAACATCATCGTCAATCACGAGAACAGCCATGTTTTGAGCCTTTCTGAGGATAAAGTGAGAATTCGTATAGCCACGAGCATTCTCACTACAGGCGTGATCTCCACGATTTGGTGGGAGAATCTATGTACAGTATAGCTCGATCAAACTAAGCCTCGAGGACTCTAGGTCGTCAAAATATGGAACGCACGCAACCTTAACTGTCTCCAAACTCTGACGGACAAGCTTTGGCACCGGCCTGAGAACATCATCTCTGCAATTTACTTTGACCAACACAATCACCAACTCTTGACAGGGAGCAATCGACTCGAAATTTGGCCAGTGAGTCTGCTGCTTCGGTGTTTGAGGATCGATACCCTTCGGCGGTGCTTGTGCCATGAGAGTTCACGACTGACAGAAATAGGATCTGCCGAATGAATGACAATCGCACCAACACAAACTGGGCGCGTTGATGCACGCACACTGATCCATACCAAAATTTCAACAACAATCACATTACCTCACTATCCATAAGCAACTATACAAAAACCTCAAACAATCCGCCGCTCGGAGTCACGATGCACCTGTTGTGGGTGGCATGTTCAACGAAAATTTTCACCAGGTTGTGAGCGCCTGTCAGCTTGGAACTGTGAGCATCTGGGATCTCGGGACAGGAGAGAAAATCTTCCAATTCAATAATGCCCATGGGGTAAGCCCGTGAGTGCGGCACTAAATGTAGCGACAGACTGTTGGATCAAGCAGCTTGGGATTCATAGAGCGCTGCTGCCAGTGATAGGCTGGCTCGAAAAGCCATTCTGATCCACTCCCACCATCACCTAGAAACTAGAGATTACTTGTATGTGCTTTGATCGAAGTCGTCGTCGACTCATCACCGGTAGCCGAGATGGGATCATCAAGGTACAGCACGTTGTCAGAAACCCGGTTTCGTGAACATGCTTATAGCTTGCCGGAGCTCTTGCGGTCGATCATACTGTCGCTGCACAGGAAAGCTGTGTGCTTCATGGTCTTGTCAGTTCGGCGATAGCCGGACGATTTGGTTGCTGGTTTGCGTTGGTGGAAAGCCCCTCCGCCCGTCTGCTCGTGCTCATTGCCCAAAAATGGCCTCATCGTGACTTTGGCTTGATATCCGAAAGATGTGGAACTTCAACAACGGCCAGATCTTAAGGAAAATGGTCAAGGATAATACCATGGAGGCAACAGATGTAACCTTTGTCGAAGTAGTGAGTATAAAGCGTCTTTCACTCGCACGTGCATTGGCGGCACAGCGCAACACACCCAGGTGCCCGGCATACATGCATATACGTGTGTGGTGCACTGCAATTCTCCTCAAAATGGGATGTCTAATGTGTTTGTTGCCTGAACTCTCTACCCAGGGGGCAAACAAGTACATCATTACCGTAGGCTGGGATCGTAAGATCACCATCTTTCTCGACGACTCAAGCCATTTCGAAGCCCGTCCAGTCCGAGTGCTGAACGGCATTGGATCTGGCGCACAAAGAGGGTGCGTCCTAGCGCGATTTTGGGTTCGATTCCTGGTTTATATGAGACTGGCGGTTGCGGAAGAGATACCTGCTCTGCATCCGTCGTCCTTGTGTCAGGACGCTATCTTCTCCGACTGACTACATCTCTCAAACATGGCTATGTAGACACGAGGACGACATCTCCTCGGTTGCGTTTTGTCCACCCAACAGTTTAGCAACTGGAAGCATGGACGGCGTCATTGTCGTCTGGAATCTGGAGTCGGGCTATATCAAGGTTGTGATGCGTGAGCCGTTCCTCGAGCTGCGGAGCACAGAGGAGAGGGCTGTCGAAAAGGTACGAGAGTACTGTGCCCGGATCGCAACCGGGCAGCTCGCCGGTCTCGGGTTGGGAGAGAATGCGGAGAAGCTGGGTGTGAAGCTGACTAAACAGAGTCATGCTTCACTCGGTGTGGCTCGCACAACTTTGTCTCCTCGCTGCCATGAACCTGTGTTGCTATACACTGTTTGCGCAGTGGTCATTGCAACATCATTTGCTTGAATACCGGGATTGATCGATTATCTTTATACACACTCGCGAGTTATAGATCATGTTTCTCGTCAATCTCGACGACGAATCGGAAAAGTCCAAGGCGCCCTTAGTCTCGTGCCACTCTGATGGCTGTCTCAGATTCTGGGATGCACTGGAGGGTAAAATGATTTGCGAAGTAAGTTACATACCCGATTGCTCACAGCACGGATTTTGCGGCGTAGTTTCGCCCATGACAGGTCGCATTGATAATGTGAGCGAATGTGACATCATGATTTTGGTTGTGCGAGAATGCGAGATTGCATTGCATGCGGTTTGACACGGCTGTGGCTCGGATGCATACTAGATGAATTGCCAATCGTACGAGAACGAAGGATTGACGTCCATGGCTCTCAACCCCGAAGTGACAATCCTCTTCGTTGGTGGGTCATTTGGACATGTCCGGGTAAGTAAGATCGTGTTCGCCTGCTGCCCAGCTTTACGGGTTGGTATTGCTATGCCCTGCGTACGAACAGATCTGGACACCCTGACATCTGACTTGATGCTCGAGCCAGATCTTTGATATCAAACTGGCTCACTTTGAAGCAAAACGTAGCCATAGCAGCGGATGCGTACTCCGAAAGGAATGGCGAGCACATGTGCAGACAATAACGGGGTAGGCTATCGGTGACAAGGACGCACATTGCGATCCGACCAGCCGTATCTGTTCGTGATGCAGATTCAATTGTACTGTGTTTGGCAGCTTTGGATAATGGCATGACTAGCAGCATGAACTCCATGAAGGACTACACCTATGAGAGTACTGTGTGGCCTGGAACCAAATGTGTGGAATGGGTCGGTATGATGACTGACCTTCCCGTCCAAATCCAGCGTCAACTATGTCAACACCCAGGATGTTGTACTGACGTCGTCCAAGGATTGCACCATCCGGGCCTGGACCTTGCAAGGTCCGAATTGCCGTTCGATCGATCGATAGCTCCCGCGAGTCTCCGAGACGTTAATTGTGAATGCCCACGGAGCAGTGAAGTTCTCAATGCAAATGCTGATATCTGTGCTGGTGTTGGCTCCAGGGGTACATATCGGCATTTTCGGCCAGGATCAGCCTTGGGATCTATCGGACCCCGCAACCTACATGAGCGCACCCACCGATACGACTCACGAGACTCAGCTGGAAGAACAGCGCAAGGAGATGATGAGCAGACAAAAGGAGTTGCTGAAGAAGAATGTAATCGAAACGTGGCGAGGTGAGGCACTGGGACACTGCGCTGCTCGATATCTCGGATACGCCAAGCAAAGGCAACTGTCGCAGAATAATCCGCTGAATGGATACTGCACCTCTGAGATCGCCCGAGGCATGAGCGCATCGAAAGATCTCGTAGCACAGACAAACATACACCAAATCTGGTGCTGTTGATATAGTCCCGCCAGATGAAGCAGAGTCTCCTGATATCGTCGTCACGGGACGCTGTTTTGGAGGGTTGATGTTAACGGCCACGCAATTTTCGACAAAAAACAGGACTGTCTAAAGACTTTCAGCACGCCGAGAATGACGGTACGATCAAATACGGCCTCCCTTGGACAAAGAGTGGTAGCCAGGCCACCAAAGCGCATTTGCATTCAACAGGAGGGATGTCGCTGAGAATCGCTGGCTTCGTTTTGTTTGCAGAGCTGGCTCACAGAGAGTTCACCTCGGATGAAGAGGACAAGCTGTTCCTGGAGCGACTTAAGCGACTCCGGTCAAAAGCCATACAAACTCATGTCACCAAGAAATGGAAAGGTTGGTTGGATGGCCAGGTCTATCACACAGGATCGGTAGAGCGGGGCTGGTGTGACACCAGAATCTCGAGCGGTGGTTGCCAGGCGTATGTGTGTACACTGTCGATGGTGCACAAGCGGTGAAGATGCCATAGTTATTTGCGCGGACTTGGAGGACATCGAATTGACCCTCATCATGCCAATGGCTGGCTCCAGAGTATTGCATACGGCGACGGAATGCGCAAGACTGGATGATCACCGACGACCTCCGCGATGTGCAATACCTGAAGGTGGGCGTGTCTCGACAACTTGCACCTTTGTCCTGCCAGTATATTATCAGCAGAAGTGTCGCAGATGGCCTTGGCTTGTGCGAGGTGGACTTTGCTGGATTGAGAGACGCCAAGTGGCGCCATTGGCATCAGGCACTCGACACAAAGCCGAAGCTCACCATTTTCTTCACGGTGGCGGATTCAGCAATCGTTCTTCAAATTTGACTCGGGAAGGCGACACCGACACGGCCGGTTGAACATCAACGCCAAGCACGATTCTGTCTATCATATGATAGAATGCCATCCTCTGGACGATATACCCAATTGTCCGATGCCGGGAATCAAGCCCAAGGCAACCAAAGCACACGATGCATCCAAGCAAGCAAACGCCCAGGCGCTGGTGAGTGACTTTTGGCCGACTTTGAGACTCTTGTATCCCGGGCCCCGAGAGGAAGCAGATGGGATGAAGGTCAAATGGATGCATCTGCTCATATTGCTAACCGAATGCCGCTGCTGAAACAGAGACGAGAGCGCACGCAAGTTACAAGACAGGCGTAGATATTGTGATCGCTACGTACTGGCGATACAGTGGCACCACGGTCAAGATCTGAGGACCGGTTGGCGCCGCAGTGTGCGCGGATGAGCATGGTGTGGAATATATGACACTGACAAATGCAATGTGCAATGTGCAATGTGCAATGTGCAGTGTGCAGTGTGCAATGCGCAGAATCCATACTCAAAATCAACCACAACGGAGCCTCGCCGTATCATGGACGCCTGTTGACCAGGTGGCTCATAATGTATCTCCAGTGAGTGTTCTCACCGCTCCATGTTTGAATCGTGGGCCCCACACACCCACTCATATCTTGCAACCGAGCAAGTGCACCAACTGCAGCTTGCCAGGAGCCCGCTTTCAGTTTCAAGGTCCTTTTATTCCCACTGCACTGTGTGCCTTCCTGCAAATCATCGCTGGGGCCTGTATGCTTGCTCCAGGGGCGCATCTCAGAGCTTTGTCTTTTCGCGCTTCTTGGTTGCGTTTTTGATGGCCGTCAGATTGATTTCTGCAGCCCACAGACTCTGGAAGATACTGCGCTCGTAGGTCAAGGACTCGGAGATGGAATGGCAGTCGTCGGCGTACTGTACGACCCTCTTCATGTTCCGGATGATCTGCGGTGAGTGTTGCGTGCCATCTCCAGCATCGCCCAGATATGAGTTTAGGATGCGCTTGGACTTTTCAACAGCATCGCCAGGATCGGCAACGGCATCTGCAAGGCCGATGGCCATGCAGTCGTCGCTGCTAAGCTTGGGAGAGCTCGAGAGGACCTGAAGTGCCTTGGATTTGCCGAGGATCTTGGTCAGCCGAGTGGCGCCTTGTGACAGGGGGAAGATGTGCGCGATGTTGGGAAGATAGGCAAGTCAAGAGAGCGTGCGAGGATGATGAGACACTGGTTCCCGCTCGAGAGAATCTCTGGTGGGCAGAGTACCGATTCACACGGTCGTGAGATAAGCGGCACCCTCTCCAACGGTCAAATAGCTCTGCTGGACAACCGCCAAGGCTGGGAACGAATGGGAACCCACCTCCCCATCCTGGCACGACTCCCATTTTGACCTGGACGAATCGCACAATCGCATTCTTGGCGACAACTCGGTGGTCGCAGGCGGTGGTGAGCTCTGCGCCGCCACCAATCGCATATCCTGTTGCATGTGGCCAAGCGAAAGGTGAGCCAACAAGCACCATGTCGGCAGAAAGGGGAGGTTTTCAGTACAAACCCGACCTTCGACAGCGGCGATGCTGATGAGTGGAAGCTTCTGGAATCGCTGCAAGGTATCATGCATTAGCGTCGACATTTGCTTGCCAAACTCGGGTTGGAGCGGATCGACCAGCTCAGTTGAGCACGACAGATCTGGGACACAGACGGGATTCGCCGGTCGTATGGACAAGGTCAATCGCCGGTCATATGGACGAGGTAAATCAGTAAAAGTGAGACACGAATAGCCAGGAGCCGAAAGCATCGACGGTAGTGATCGATAATATGCATGCATTCAGCTCGCCCTTCAAGTGTCCTTACCAAACCCAGAGCAGAAGCTGTCGCTTTCGCCCTTAACGATGACGCCTATGAGCTTGTTCAAGCCCTCGGATGCATTCTGGGCGGGCTTTGGAGACCGCCCATGATTGACCGCATGCTCGAGCTGGTCCACGATGTCTGAAAGCTGCACCATCATCGACGGCGAGAACGCATTCTTTCTGCCTTTGTTGGACAGCTCTATGATTGCAATCTCTGGGTGCTCCGGTGCGACGTGGAGAGTGACTCGGCCGTTCCCGATTCCTCCGAAGGTGGCTCGGATCGAATTGAGGTCAAGTCCGGCCGCGGTGGTGAGCTGTCGCGGAAGAACGCAGGCCCGGGCAGCGCTGAGCCCCAAGCCATATAGGACGGGTCTGGAAAAGAGAGCTCCGTGAATCGACATACTGCAGATCAAAGAGTGGCGGATTGACGAAGCCGCACCAAGGAGGGGGGCTTGCGCCGGAGCAAGAGCGAAATGCGCGCCTTGCACATGCCGAGAACGCTGAGCGAGAAGCAGCTCCTCGCTGTTGGGACGGCCTCGACTGATGGAAGATCATGGAACTGATACCCAAGGAAAGGATGACGCCTGGTCGTCTTCGACTGAGCAAATGGCATGATATGTATGAATGATATGACCCAGCGACGGCGTGCCTGCCTGGGCCCGATAGCCTGCTCCTGTCGACCACACTGTTGCGGGCCTATTGCATATTGCAATGGCATAAAATGTGTCGCATTGAGCCCAGTGGAAATTTGGAACGCTTTGAGCATGGTGTGATGTTTTTCAGCAGCACCAGCACCAGCAGCAGCAGCACCAGCACCAGCAGCACCCGCAGCTGCCTGCCAGTGCGGTTCATGATCATGGAACCAACAGACCCCGGCCCGATCGCACAAACCAGGGCGAGTTCTAAATCACGTGAGTGGGCGGTTGCAACACTGGCTGGAGCCGGCTGGACACGTGGCCGCGGCTGGCTGGAGCCGGCCCATGGCACAATCTCTGGCTCGGCGCGGATTGGCTGGGGGCGAGTCACCTTGATGGCCGGTGCCGCAACAGGCAGGGCGGCAGCCAATGGGAAAATCCGCGAGTGCGCACACGCGTGCTCACACAGTGTCAGAACAGCACAGAGAGCGTGCAGCCTACAGACACACTGGCACGCCGGCACATTGATGCAACAGTGCAACAGCAACGCGGACACACAGACACACCCGCGCGTGATTGGCCCGCGAGACAACTGGCACCGCACACACACACGCAGCACAGCCGCGCACACACAGACTGTGGCTGCCCAGCCGGCGCCCTCGTCTGCCGCCCATCGTCTTTTTTCGCCCCTGCGAGCCCAAATGCGCTTTCGGCCTTGCCCTCGTCTGTCTGTCCCGTCGTCTCCTCCCCTGCGTCTGAGTCCGCCGGTAAGTCTTGGCTGCCCCCAGCCGCCCCGCCCTGCATCCCAGTCCAGTCCAGTGCAGCCCAATCGCCTCTGTTTCGATCGAGCTCGATCCAATTCAGCTCAGCCCAGCCCATTTCGTTCTTTTTTCAATCAATATCTTCCTTGCGTGTCGGTGTGCTTCTTGGGCACCTTTCTGTCCATCTGGGCTGCGGCACCTGCTCCCCAAATCCAATTCCTTGTCGACGATCACTAACTCTGCCGTTGTGCATCGGGCAACCCTCATCCTCCCACCCGATAGCCCAAACGTCTCTCCCCGCTACCGTCGCCATGGACCGTTCCGCAGGCCGCTTCTCTCCAGTGTCGGCCATTTCGCGGGTCGTCAAGCGTCTTGCTTCCCATCCCCTCGAAATCCTTGCCATTGCAGTCCTCATCGCCTCTTCATGCTACTTTGCCCTCGTCCACGCCTCCTTCCAGACTCCGGAGCTCGCCTCCCTTGTTGAGCCTCGGGTCTCGATCTCGGCCGGCCACTATCTACCCGTCGATCCCGCTGCACCCTTCCAGCCCGAGCGTGTGCTGCTGCTGAAGCACTTCGCCATCACCCTCCCCCCACACACCCAGTCGCCGCCCCAGGGCGTCTTGGCAAAGTCGGTGCTCCACTCGGCCCTCAAGTTCCAGCAGGCACTCGAGTCTCTGGCCGTTCTGAACCTGCATGGCACTCGATATACTTGGGGTGATCTGTGCTTCCGCGCCAGCGCAAAGTCTGCGTGCTTCGTGTCTTCGCCCTTGTCGATCTGGAAGAACAATGCCACCCTCCTCGAGGCTGATAACGACGTTGCAGCTTCGATCTATAACTATGTCAAGTCGTTGGACTCGACAGCGTCGGTTCACGCCACCCTGGCCAACCTTGTCCTCGCTGAGGATTCGTCGGCCTCGTCGCTGCCCAAGGTCTCGCTCTCGTCGTCGTCCCTCACCATCTCGCTCCTATTCGACGTTACCGATCACCAGAGCTCCCAGCTTGTCCGTCTCTGGGAGCAGAAGGCGGCCCAGCTGCGCCCCGCTGGTCTCTACATCCACACCAAGGTCCAGTCTTGGGCGTGGTCCGATGCCGTCGCCAAATTCACCGAGTATTTCGAGGTAGGGCCCCTCCCAATCGCTCTGCTGTCCTTGAGTTGAGCTGCTGCAGCCTCGCTGACAGCTGCAGTCCGGACTGATGGCTCCTGTCTCGACATGGGGCGAACACAAGCACCACACCTCCCACACCTCCTCTGAGCCAAATCGCCGCATTATCATGCGATCATCTGATTTGCACTTGCCTCAGCCCCTCTCCAGCTTGAGCAAGCCGAATGCTGATTCGACTTGGCGATACGCTAGCGCTTTACTTGCACAGCAGCTCTCGTGTGCGCGCCTAACGAACCTGTTCGCCTATTGCCCTACAGACCTCGACCAATAGCGACCATCTGATCCTGTTCATCAGCTTCCTGCTCATGCACGCCACCTTTGTCACGATGTTCATGAACATGCGCAAGCTCGGCTCGACCTTCTCCCTGGGCTTCTCCGTTCTCCTCAACGGCACCTTTGCTCTGCTCCTGGCACTGGTCGTTACTCGTGCCGTTGGCATCAACCTTGGCATGGTCCAACTCCTTGAGGCGCTTCCCTTCCTCGTCATTAGCATTGGATTTGAGAAGCCCTACACCCTCGCCAAGGCCATTATGGAGTCGTCTGCCCTCGACCCCAGCGCTCCTATTGGTGACCGCGTTTGGAACGGCATTGCCAAGGTGGCTCCTTCGCTCCTCACCGATTACGCCATGGAGATCGGGGTTCTCGCCCTTGGCAGTGTTTCTGGAATCGGCGGTGGCATGTCCGAGTTTTGCTTGGTGGCCTGCTGGATTATCTTCTTCGATGGCATGTTCATGATGACGGCCTTTGTTGCCGTTCTGATTCTCAAGCTCGAGGTAGGCGCGACTGTGCTCTTTCTCAACATGTGCGCTGCTGGCGTTGGTGCTTTGGCCACTGCCTTCATGTCCGTTCCTAGAATCGCGAGGGTCTGCTTCCGATCACCTCGTCATTGACTTCATAATCGCGTCTGTCTGTAGCTCAATCGGATCCGTGCCAGCGGCAACGGAGGTGATAGTGCCAAGGGGCTGTCGTTTGGCAGCCTTGTCGCCGACGCCTTTGAGTTTTCCTCCTCATCGGACCCGGCCGCTCCGCCCAAGAAGGCAAAGGGCAACGACAGCTTCCTTTCGCGGTTCAAGCTCATCTGCGTGAGTATTTCCGTTGATACCGACCACTGTGCATGGATCATATCGCTACCAATGTGGTAGCAGCGTCGCCCAAGACCGTCTCGCCTCGCTCGCTATAGTGTCGATTACCTTTGCGCTCCCAGTGGCTCCCAGCGGCTCCCAGTGGCTCCCAGTGCCTCTCAGTGGCTGCCAGGGTTGCACATATCCATTCTGACATGGCCAATCTGTTCCTTCATTCCGCACTCTCTAGATTCTGGCTGTCCTGGTGGGCCATACCCTCAACGCCTCCTCCGTCCAGACGGATGCGCTCACTGCCCCCGCCGTAGCGGATTTGGCCAACCCTGCGACTGCCTCGGTTCTCAACACCATCTCGACAGAGCTGATTCAGGATCAAGTCTCCACGATGATCAAGGTGGCTGCCCCCACGGTCGCGTATCCGTTGCGATACAGCACCGAGGAGCTTGATGGAACCCAGGCTTCGATCTTTGAGCAGCTGTCATCGGGCTTCCAGGAAGGACGAATCTTTGGAACCGTTGCTCTGGGCATTTGTGTGCTGATTGCTGTCTTTTCGATCGCTCGACCTGAGGAGCAACTGACCATCACCCCTGGTACCGCTCCGGAGGCTGCCCCCGAGAGCCCAAAGTCTCAGGACGGCGCTGCCAAAACCACCGTCGAGCCGGTCTCTAAGAAGGAAGCCGTCGCTGCCGTCGAGCCTCTCAAGCTCGTCTACACAACCAGCAACGATGTGCGGACAATTGACGAGTGCCAGGAGGTGCTGAAGAGCGAAGGCTCGCGCGCCCTGAACGACATCGAGGTTCTTGCCCTTGTCAAGGCCGGCAAAATTGCCCCCTACAATCTCGAGAAGGTCCTGTCGGATCGATATCCTACCGATGAGAAGAACACCGACTACATTCGCGCCGTCCACATCCGCCGCATGCTCATTGGCGAATCCATCAACTTTGACATTGTCTCGAGCAAACTGCCTTTCGAACACTACGACTACGGCAAGGTTCTTGGCCAGTGCTGCGAGAACGTTATCGGATACGTGCCTATTCCCATCGGCGTTGCGGGCCCCGTGCTCATCGATGGGGTCTCGACGCAGATTCCCATGGCTACGACCGAGGGCTGCCTGATCGCATCCACCTCTCGTGGCTGCAAGGTTTTGAACATGGCCGGCGGTGTCCACACCGTGCTAACAGGAGACGGTATGACCCGCGGCCCGGTGATCCAATTCCCGACGGCCGGCGACGCCAACGAATGCCGGGTCTGGATTGAACAGGGTCCCGGCGGCGACCTGCTCGAGAAGGCCTTCAACTCCACCTCTCGCTTTGCCCGTCTCAACAGCATCAAGGTTGCCTTGGCCGGACGCCTCATGTTCATTCGATTCTCTGCTGTGACGGGCGATGCTATGGGCATGAATATGATCTCCAAGGGCGTCGAAAAGGCCCTCACTGGTGAGTGATTTGTCGATCTGCACGGTGACATGACCATATGTTCGTGCCTCTGTCTCTTGGCATCTTCCCATCTCTGCGTGTGTGCATGCCTGGACACTGCGTACAGAAAGACGCATGTGTTAAACTCGGCCTTACCTCGAGCATGCGTGTCGAGCATATGTGCTGGGCTCAAGCAAAGTGCATCCGACTGTGCTGGCAGCCTCCGCGACCTGGCCCTGATCCGTATCCATCGACACCCACCCCCTTCCTGCTACTTACGCCCACTTCCCCTTCATGCAGAGCTCAAGGAGCGTTTCCCGGCCATGCGCGTCGTCGCTGTCTCTGGAAACTATTGCACCGACAAGAAGCCCGCTGCCATCAACTGGATCGAGGGCCGAGGCAAATCGGTTGTCGCCGATGTCACCATCCCTGGCTCGGTCATCCAAAAGGTTTTCAAGACGACCGTCAATGACCTGGTCCAAACCAACATTGCCAAGAACCTGGTCGGATCGGCCATGGCCGGATCCGTCGGCGGATTCAACGCCCATGCGGCCAACAACCTGACGGCCATCTACCTGGCCACGGGCCAAGACCCGGCCCAAAACGTCGAGTCGTCGCAGTGTCTGACCTTCATGGAGGCAGTCAACGACAATCAAGACCTCTATGTCTCGTGCACCATGCCATGCATCGAGGTCGGCACCGTAGGCGGCGGCACCAAGCTCGATGCGCAGGAGTCGTGCTTGAAGATGCTCGGGGTTGCGGGTGCTAACCAAGAAACGCCGGGCGCCAACGCCCAGCGACTTGCTCGCATCATCGCCGCGGGTGTTCTCGCTGGTGAGCTGAGCTTGATGGCGGCTCTGGTAACAGGAACCTTGGTCCAGAGCCATATGGTTCACAACCGCGCCGGCGGAGCACAACAGGCCGCCAAACCGGCTGCCCCTGTCTCAAGCTCAAACGGCTCTGCTGCTGCCGGGGCCGCTGAGAAAGCCCCCGAGGTCGTTGTTGGCTCTTGTATCAAGTCTTGATCTGCATTTTGCGGTGGGCCTGGATTGCGAGGCCAATGCACCACGCACTTCTCCCCCGGGTTTCGGCTACTTCCGCCCGTCTTGCCTTGTCTCCCTCCTGTTTTTGGCTTCTGCCTGGTCGCTACTCGAGCTCCATATTTGGTTGAGTAATAGCATACAGCTCTCGTCTGAAACAAAGTTCATCCTGGCGATATGGATGTGGGTGGCCAAACGAGGTCGGTCATCAAGCCAGGAACAAGAAGCGAGAGGCTAGAGATCCGGCCAAGACATTCCAAACGGCGATCTCGCTCGTCGGCACTCAGAACTTCCCAGTCCAATCTTCCTGTCGCTCGTTTGCACGGAGAGCGGGTCCAACATGACAAATTCGACATTGAGTTTATTGAATGCAAAGAGGTTGAATCATAGGAATGGGAGAAAGATTGGCGATGGGCGCATCGGTGTGTGCACGGGCAGGTCTCGCCTGCCCGACAGCGGGGAAACGTCCATCAGAGCACAAAAGGTAATGAGCGAGGCAAATCCAAGGAGAAATCGATTTGAAGGCCGATGGAAATCTAATCCAGTTGACTGAAAGCACCGCAGGAGTGCTATAGACTCCGACGGATGGATAGGAGCGGGGGAAATGACATGAATTGGAGGGTGGGGGCACTGGGTGCTCCTAGCGACGGCCTGACGATACAGAGTCACATCTGAGAGAATGAGAAGGAAAGGAGTTGAAGTCGAGAGGGAAGGAATAAACCGATACGATGTGCCTGTGAGGCAAACATCGACAGCTTGGTGGGCGGACGAGACAGAAAGCTTGCGAAACCGGGTTTGGCAATGAGCGCGAGAACGAAAGAACGTCGACGGCATCGGGCGAGACGCTGGCCGAGGTGCTCAGGAAAGGCTCTTAGAAGACCCTGAAGGGACCACGGCTGCGAGACCGTTCGCGGAAGGCGGCCAACGAAAACTTGCGGGGCGAGCGACCACGCTCCTCAGGCTGCACGATCTCGGCTACTTTGGCCTGGAGGGCCGAGATATCGGATTGCAAAACAGGGTTATTGACAACGTCCGATGGCCATGGCTTCTGGCCCTTTTGCTCCTGCTGCCGCTCCTGCTGCCGTTCCTGCCGCTCCTGCTGCTGCTGGGGCTGCTGCTGGGGGAGAGTCTGGCTGACGTACCCATCCGAGTCCCGGGCTTTGCCAACAGCAGCGCTTGGGAGTGGCGCCGCTGCAGGGGGCTCGGGGTTGAACGCTGCAAGGGTCGGCGGGGTGCTGGTGCGGCTGTCGGAGCGGCTGTCGGAACCGCTGTGGTCCTCAAGTATGGTTTCTTCGGCCAGGTTGGTGGCTCGGGCCTCGGAGAAACGTACTCGAGACATGGTTGACTCAGTCATGGACAGAGTCGGGAAAGTCGTCTCCAGTTGGTCTCGAACCAGGATGCCTTTGGGCGACGACGACGATGTTGCGCCAAGTTCGAGGCTGGTAGTCGATGTCGACGGGAGGGTAGTCTGGAGCTCGAGGCTGGTCGCCGAGGTCGACGGAATGGGCGGCAGCACCCGCGAGTCCAGGGCCGAGCCAGGACGAGGCGAGTCCTTTCGCTCGGTAAACGCAAGACGAGAGACACTCTTGGAGCGCTTGGCGCTCAGGGCCTCCTGCTCCGAAGGCTTGGACTCTGAGGCCCAGGGAGGGAGGGACTTTGCGTACTGGAAAGCGTGCTGGAGTGCCTCAATCCAACGCTGGTACTCCTTGGATGTCCGAACGCCATAGCGGAACTCGGCCAAGCCAGTCTTGAGAGCGATCTGACAGGCCGAGCCGACCTCCTCCTCGTCCTTTATGGCCTTGACCGAGGTCAGGGGGATGAAGATGCGCTCGTTGGTGCCGACAATCAGCACGGGCGAACCTGAGACGTTTCAAGGTGAGAAATCTGTCAGCCAGGTGTATCTCCAGGCGGCCAAGACCAGGGGGTGTTTGGGCAGAGCGATCAAGGCAAGGTTTGTGAGTGGGAGACGGACAAGGTCGACATGGTGGCCAGGGCGAGACGCAGATACGCTCGGACCGGGCGATTCAGGCCTGGCTTGGCTTGCCTCGACTTGGGCAGGGGCGATCGCAGACAAGAGCAGAAAGGACAGGCCGGGTGCTGCAATATGGGGTGGGGCTCTTGGCTAACCAAAGTCCTGGCGAGCGATGGCAAGACGGGGAGCGCAGACACACATACCCGACATGGCGGCATAGCTGATGTGGCCAAGGACCTCGACCGAGTTGGTGTTGGAGGGCGCAAGATGCTTGACCTTGTCGAGCTTGAGCAGGGCCTCGTGGATAAACTTGATGTCCTGGGTGGTTTTGGGGTTGCAGAGCAGGGCGTTGCGGTAGTGTTTCTTGACACCGCCGAGGCGCCTCTCGATGAGAATGCCTTGATAGAGGATAGGAGTGAGCTCCGCTTGGTCGTCGTCCCAGACCATTCTGGACCACATCAGATGAACGGGAGCGAGGGTTGTTGGACGGGTGCCGGGGAGGTGATGGAGCAAGACGAACGGTGTCGGCCGGTCCAAGGGGGGGTGTGTGCAGGAGAGCGAACGAAACGCACAGAAAACCAGCCAGGCCCGCGAGACAGAAAGAGCAAGAAAAAGGCTGCCCCACCGTTACTGCGTCCCTCCACCGCCCGTGGTGCTGTCCGCCTTGCAGAAACTGAGCAAAGGCCATCCACCGTCCGCCATCCACCGAGGACACGGCCGGACGAGAGGCGGAATGGACAGGAAGAGCACAGTTCCCCAGCCGCAATCACACAGCCCGGTGGCAACAAGCACCTCAGCGGCACTTTCCTTCTCAAAACGAGCGGCCGAGCGGGTCGTGCAGTCCTCGCGCTGCCCGAGCACCAAGTCGCATCCGGCGTTTGTCCATTCGGAACCAATGGGCAGCGGCGAGGGATCCCAAGAGCAACAGCGAGCGAGCGGCATGCGCATACAAAGCCCATGGCGCCATCTCCGGACGGCAGCCGGCGAAAGAAGACCGGGCCGAGATCGCACCATCGTGACGAGGGCAGCGTCTGGCCCGGTCCCACGATTCTCCCAGCAGGTCGCGGTCACTCCTGTGCGCAATGGACTTGTCCCTTCCGGCCTCGTTACCGCCTGGGATGCCTCCAAGCCTCGCTCGACCAATGGTGGCAGAGACACCAAGAACAGGATGCGTCGAGCAGCCCTCCGCATCCTCGAGCGCACCCGATGCCTTGTCAACGATCTCCACCGCAAGGCAGCCAAGGTGTATCATTGCAGGGAGTGAGTTGATGATAGATCGAGGCATCAATGGGGCTCTTGGACACGCTGAATATGGAGGCAACCTTTGGCAGGCAATGTATGAGGGCGTAGCATCGCAAGGCAGCTATGCGAAAGTCGAGTGTGCGGCGAATGGTCATGGCCAGCGCGCCATGGTATTGGGTGACAAAAAAAGCGATCGATGGTCAAAAAACCATGGTGTCCCGTTTTTTATTGGACTGGCTGTAATACGGGCCTATATTTTGCGATAGCGACGCAAGTTCCAAATCGACACCATCTCCAAGGCCTTGCTCGTTCCATAAAGCCATCGAGCCAGCATAGTGGCCGGTCGACGGACTTGCTCGGACACAGAGCATTGCCCTCAGGCAGACATCTGGTGGGACTGTAGTGCAGCAACGCTCTCCTTGACCTTCTTGCACTTGTCTATCAGGATCTGCACGGCTTCTATGAAGATGACGTTTGGCTTCAGCACGCCCGTGGACTCGACGCTGACTGTGTGCCGCAGTAAGTGCCAGATATCCGTTAGTGTCTGCATCAAAGCACGGCATCGCAGTCGACTTGATCCCATGGCCCCACAGGCCGAGTCCTCGTTATGAATTGGGTCCCGGCGCTGCTCTGAACATCCTCGTTCAGCGAGAGCCCAAGAAGCGGGCTTGCGATTCTCGGTTAAATCGCAGTGCACATTGCTGCGGCGATCTGTGAGAGCATGCTCGAAGCAGCCATACGTACAGATGAAGTGGTCTCGCACACGGGCAAGCCGGACTTTGTTTTCAAACTCCTTATGTCGCAGCACCTCGCGGCTGACGGTGTCCTTGCGTGGATTCTTGACAAATGCCTCGCGCACGCCGTCGGCGTTCTTCTTGATCCCGATGACACCAGAAGGGAAGCAGTCCCGGAACTTGTCGGCATCATCATTCAAAATAGGGCTCAAGATGGTGATCTCAGGAAGCAACCGATACGACGCAGTCGCTGAGCGACGCAATCGTGTCCGAAACCATGGCGACAAACAGCAAGAGATATTGAAGTCAGCGCAGTGTCATACACAGCGAAAGTTCAGCCGGCGTCGTTCAAGGCGGCTGTAGCCTCAGCCAAGGTGAGGTGCCGTACTGTACTGACACCTCTGGCTCGACTGCGATTATACTGGCACCAGCGTGCGAGTCCGGTGATGCTTCCCACCCATCGACATCTGCCGGCATGATATTCGTCACAGAAAATCAACCTACCCACTGGAGACCACTTGGCGTGCTCCTTGCCAATGCCCTTCTGGCAATGCGCTTGGAGGCTGATCTCCTGTCCCGGTCGTAGCTTGGTCAAAAGAATGTCGGTGTGCACGGGCGCGATGGGAGTTTCGGCAAATCGGACATCCTGCTCTCCTTGTGGTGCCCAGATCAAATGCCGACTGAGTGCTGTGCAGTAACCAGGGATCGACCGATTTAGATACTGCATGGAGCTCCCATTTGCCCGAATCTGTCGCCCTGGCATACCGGGGCTTGACTAGTCCTGTCGACGACTGGCAATCACCCGTCGTCTGCTGCCCATCAACACCGACTCGTCACAGCCCCTATCGCATTTGTCCGTTGAAATCCGAGGCAGGCCTTTGACCACTAACCACTCGAGTCGATGTACTTGTCCTCGGGATTAACGGCGTTAGGCGGCGATTTCGGATTGACCTGACAGGCAATGTTGAAATCAAACACGATGGTGTTCATATCCGTGGGCGGATCCGCGTCTGTCAACAGAAAGGATAATCCGTAAGTCTACGGGTCCCAGAGCCCAGGGTCCCATATTGGTCAGGGTCCCGGAGACAGATGCCAGCCCAACAGTAGCGGACAGGCACTGCTCCCCAGCCAAAGACAGGCACTGAAACTTGCATACCGCCCATTTTGAAGTCAAAGAATCGAGGATCGGCCAGGATAGGAATGAGACCCAGTCGGTGGGCCAGGATTTCGTCGTGCATGATTGTGTCGTTCTTGAAAATATAGACCTTCTCGATTGCCATGGTCGGAACCTGCGATGTTCGGATACAAAAGCGCCGTCTGGGATCAGCGCGATGCGGCCCAGCAGCTCTACCATAGCCACTGTACCCGAGCCTCTGGCTACCGGAGCTATTCCAAAGGCTTCGGTGCCAAAGACCGCGCATACGACCAGCGAAACGGAAGGAAAGCTCGAACCTCGCCGATCATGATTCTTCGGAAGGCATTCGCGATAGCCGCATCGACTCCGATCAGATCAAACTCCATATCGTCCTTGGCCATGTTGGTGACAACGACCTTGAAGCTCTGGCAACAGGATTCGGCCGAAGATTCTCGATATCAGAGAGCGCTCGCGGTATTGCAACACAGATCGCAATCCATTCATGTCGGGGCGAAACTGCTCGTCGTCAGTCCAGCAGTACCTTCTTGAACTTTTCCAGGTCCCATGACAGATCTTCGCCAGGGAAGTTGTGGGGAAACTCCATCGACGAGACCTTATTCAGATATCAGACAGTCAGTCGAGTTGGATCGGTGAGTCGACTTCGGCATGCGACCGTATCGGTGGCCTTGCTCATGTGTATGTCGACGATGAGCGCGATAGAGTCTACGACGACACGCCGGACCAGCAGCGGGCCAACGGACTCGTATCCCTCCTCCTCCTCCAAGTCAGACAAATGAGCATGTCGCTCGACAAGAGAGAGACACCGTATGGACCGTGTAGTCTGTCGGGTGTGGGAGCGAAGAGAATGCTAGAACAGCAAGCAGCAGCAGGGGCAGGGCCGTTGGTGGGTATTTACGTGGTCGACCCGAGATTTCTCGATGATGACTCGCGACCGGATCAGATCCATATCTTTGTCCGTGGGTGCCATGGGTGCCGCAGTGGATGTGAGAACGATGCTGCCGTGTGGTGTACTCAAGCAGGCCGCTCGTGTTGGTCGTTAACTTGCTTGCTTGCCGGATTGCTTGCTGGATTGCCGATGATCGCCGGGCGATATTCAACCCGCGTTCAAGAAGAAAAACGGGGCCAAATGGAATTCATTTATCGTGCTGCGCAACCACGTGTCGCCCACGTGCATGTCCGCGATGTATTCTGGTGAACCACCACCACTCCCACCCCCTCCAAGAGCTCACGGAACTAGTGGGCGGTAGAAGACCACGGCAATCGAGTGCTCGATATGCACAGCGACGACCGTCGCCATGATCCTACATATTTAGCGGACACGCCGGCTGTATTTATCTCGGCCATGATACTCCAAGAGCAACAGAGCCAGGAACCTGGGCGCACATGAAATCTCTGGCATGTTGCGCCGGAGGAGTCGGTCCACACCGGCTCGGGAGCAGACAGGGGCCCCCCGTGATGCTCCGTGTTTAAAGCAGCTCCACATAGTTGCCGGGGACTGTCGTGATACAGATGGCGGAGAGATGTGGAATGCCAAGCGCGGAATGGTGACGCCGACAGAGGGATCAGCGAGTGGATCCGATGTGCGATGTGCGATATGCATCAACAAAAATCAGCCACAGGGATTGGTTGGTTAGCACAAAAACGAGTCGACTGAAGCATGGCTGGAAGCAGGGACGTCCACGCGCAACCTACATAGTCCGACGCGACCATGGACAGAGCCTTGCCACCAGTCCTCCGAGACAAACTCGATATCCAGGATGTTGTCGCCAGCATTGAAATTGAGTTCATTCTCTTCCTGAGCTTCGTAGTCATACTGCATGCGATCAAGCACGCAGACTCGTCCGCGTCAGTATCGTCGAACAGCCTGTCGACAAAGCCAGCAGCATCTGAAGCCAAAGAGTTCTGTTTGAATGCAGCCAGAGCCTCCCAGAACATGCACGGCAGCATACCAGAGCTGTAGCACATCTCCGAAGGGGAGCGGATGTCGGGACAGGAGGGGCTGGGACAGGTCGGATGGGCTGACAAGAAGATGATAGAACGTGAGACGCTCGGGCCGGGGTTTCGGTTTTTGCGCCAAGATGACAGCATCGTGCACAAATTACCTCAGGCGACGCTTCGCGAGCGGGCTGCAGCTCGACATAGTTGGCCGGGAACAATCCACGCTCACCACGGAGATTGGCGCCCTCCCACCAGCCTTCATCGACCTGCACAATATCAGTGATGAGCTCGTTCTCATCGAAGCCGATTTCGTTTGATTCCTCTGCAGCAGGAGACAAATACGGAGGTTACGAACGAGACCCACATAAACCGACGGAGCGCCATCCGTCAACAGGGGTCCGTCGTTACTCCCACGAGCCAGCAAGCGGAGCTAACATACCAGGCTGATATGCATAGAGCGACACGGCAGCGAGCGATGTGGCAGCGGCCTTGGGACGAGCGGGAACTGGATACAGCGGGGAAAGACATAGTATGAGCCGATTAGAACCCATTGCTCTCCCCCATAAACAACGTGCGGCAACGGCAAAAGGACAAACATACCTGGAGCCTGGGTTAAAGCGGCCGCGGCTGCAGCCTGTTCAAGCGCTCGCTCTCGCTCGAGCTGCTCGAGACGCTCCCGCTCTTCCCGCAGGCGGCCAAGACGCTCTTGCTCCTCCTGTTCTTGCTCAAGACGCTTCTGTTCCTCGCGTTCCTTCTGGCGCTGTTGCTCTTCGCGCTCGTGAAGCTGCCGATTGCGTTCATGAAGTTCACGCTCGCGCTCTTCGAGCTCTTGTCGTTCTCGATCTGCAGTCGCCTTCTTCTGCAACTCCTTTTCTTTTTCGGCCTCGAGCTGGTCTCGCTCCCATTGCTCTCGCTCCGCCTTTTGACGAGCAACCCGCTCGGCGTACTCCCGATCGCGTTGAGAGACGGCTGGGGATGGCGCTGCTGCTGCTGCGACTGTGACCTTGGCTTGGGTGCCAGGACGAGGTGGGACCCACTTGGGTGTAGGGCTGGGGACTGGGGCAGCTTGTGGGGCGGTGTATGCCGAGGGAATTGCAGGCTTGGTCTCGGGCTGTTGCGTGGAGCTGAGTCGTCCGGAACTGAGGGGCTGCGGGTTTGTGACGATCGGTTTGTAGGAAGCGCCCTGATGGTATACCACAGATGTGAGCAATCTCATCTCGATGAGAAGCAAAACAACCAGCAAAGCCATCCAGAATAGTACCGAGAAAGCACAAAGCACAAGCACGATCATCCATCAATCGTATACGAGTCCCCCAAGCCGCTCAGCAGCCGGGCAACCAGCAACCAAAGGTGATGCTAACCACTGGCTCCGGCTCGGCATCTCGTGCGGCATTGCCGGCCTCGTTGTGGATCGAGTATTTTGCGCCGGAGCTATCTTTGACCCGCTTCATGATGTAGTTGGGATCGACGTCGGACTCTGTACGAGCGTTAATGTGGACATGGTGGCCCTGGTGCAAGGCGAGACATCAGCCCAGGAGCGTCAGGCCAGAGCAGTTCTTGAGGGCCAGCAACCAAGATGCACAGACGCAACGACGTGACATGCTCGGCCGAGCGGCGATACGCACCCTGAAGAAAGAGATGGCATCATTAACCCAGACATTGAAAAGGCCTTTCTTGGACACTGGAACGCCGTCTCCGAGCTGCGGTCGTTGATGGGGAAGGATGTGTCAGCTCGCGGTAGAACGGCAAGCACTGAGCCGCTGACATGCAGTGATTTGCCCGCCCGTCGATGACGAGCAGCCTCCAGGGCAAAGTTGGCAGACGGCCACCGCAAGACGCAAGCTCAGGGCTCCAACAAGACCACACCGGGGACCGAGATACATACCCACGAGATCAGCACAAATTTGTTGAGGTTTGAGATTGGCTCCTTGACTTGGCAGAAGGCAAACATGACCTTGCCCTCCTCGAACTCCTCTTGGAGCTCCTCGAGGCCACCCTCTGCACGGACAGTGTTGTGATGGATAAGCAGTTGTGTCGGTTGGATGAATATATGAGGGGGAGACTCGGCGCACTTGCGAGCTTGATTTTGCTTCTAGAAGAGCAATCCGGTACGACGCCTTCGCCAAGCGACCAGCCGCATACTCAGCCAGGCTATCGCTTTGAGGACTCACCGCCAGAGCCGATGTATTTGATCTCGGAGACGTTGGCGCCGATGACAGAGTACAGGGCCCAGTTGGTACGGTCAGCCTCGCTCAAGACGGCCGAGTAAGAGGCATTGATGTCGGCCGCGAAGCGAGAGAAATCCAAGTGGGAGGACATGGTGGAGAGTGTGCTCGAATTACAGCAAAGGGGGGAGTACAAAAGGAAAATAGGCAATGGAACGCAAGCGGGCCGATGGGTCGGTGATGTGTCGATGTCTGCAGAATATTCACCGCTGACGCTCGGCGATGCAGGGGATGTCTTTGGCGAGATGCGAGTCGAAGCGGGTTTGCTGGGATGGCCAGGAGGCGCGGTTTTTGCCAAGGGCCGTGAACCCGAGGCCACCAGCAGCCCCGGCACCACGAGCAGGGTATCGTTGCCAAGAAGCCAGCAGACAGAGGAAGCCGGCAGCGAAAGCCAGGGCGGGCTCGAATAACTTGCTGTATCTGGGTTGTGTCCGACGGCACCTCCCGCCGGTTGCGAGTCCGGAAGACAGTGCGAATCTACTCGAGAATCCATTCGGCGAACACGCCAGCCCTCGCGTCTCCACAATCGATGCACACCGTATCCATGCTCGGCTGCGTCGACGATGCGATATAGTCTATGGCAGCCGAGACTCTTGCAGCCCTTGGCAACATGGGATCTCGCAGCCGCTCGCACGTTGTGGACTACATGGGGCAGCGCGGCTGGGTGGGAATCGATGGGAGTGACGGACGGTCATGTATCTATTCTCGTCCAAGCGAAGCAGCAGGTGTGCCATCTCGCATTGTGAACACTGCATTTGCCGTGCAAGGGCATTTGCCGCGCAATGGCGCAAATGAGCGGCAAACCGCAGCCGATTTTCCCTCCAAAATCGATGGGCCCGATGTTCATAAAGTTGGCATCTCGCGAGCGAGTCCGTCCAAGCTATTTCGAGCCATGGCCTTCCTTGGTGTCTCCTTTCCCGCATTGCCGACATTGCCGACATTGCCAATGAGCAACCCCAAAGCCCCCTCCAAAAAGCCCGTCTTGATCTTCCTTTTGATCTCGTGCGTCATCTTCCTTCTTGTTGGCCTTATTGGCAACCCCAATGGACTGCTGAACCAGACCCCTCCTCCCTCTCATGATGTGCCGGCTGTGATCGAGCACACCGATATTTTGGCACCGCCTCCAGTGCCATCGCCCGATCAAGAGCTTGTTGAGCACTCGAGAATGCTCAATGTTCTTCAAACTAAAATGGGCCTGTCCGCAGGAGAACTCAAGATGCTGCTGCAGCACTTTGAAGCCTCCCAGCCCCCCAATCAACCGACCGTCAATACCGAGTGCCAGAGCGATGTGGCATGCGGTCGTAAGGCGTTTCAGAACATTTTTTGGTTTCTGACAAAGTCGGGTGTGCTTCCGGTTGCCGCACCCTGGAGTGGACATCCCGAGAAAAACTTTGACCGAGTCTGGATCGAGGATTTCTTCCGAGAGTACGCCATGACCCATACGAAACCGGGATCGCGATGCCTGGAATGGGGAATCCATTACACCGAGGAGTTTTTCGGCCAAGTCTGTCAGATCCGCGATGCACTTGAATACGGCGGACCCAGAAGCCCTGTCACGCACGCAACCGGTACTACCTTTTACGGAGACGTCCATAGCCTGCCCGAGGAGATGAGCAACACCTTTGACATCCTGATCATCACCCAAGTCCACGAGCACCTCTGGAATCCCATGAAGGCAAACAAGGAACTCTTTCGCATTCTGAAGCCGGGAGGTCTTGTATATGTAACTGCGCCGCACATTTCCGTCTTCCACGGTGTGCCGGACGACTTTTATCGATATACAGTCAATGGTCTGAAGTCGATCTTCATGGACGCTGGATTCGAGTGCCTTTTGGCGAGACCATATGGAAATCTTGGAACAACGGTTGCAACCATCATGGGTTTCGACGTCGATAGCTACACCACAAGTGAGAAGCACTACGCCCCTGCTGAGGATGGGCTCTATTCCGAAGTCATGGGAATCTTCAAGAAGCCACTTTAATTGTGTCCGGTACTCGCGATGAAATCGCCGCGATCACAGCATGGTCGAGTGAAGTTCGCCAATAAAGTGCTCTCTGTCACTGGCATCACGGCTGGGAGTCTGGGAATGTGCTTCACCGAATAGCTGTTCGAAATGTGAATGAGACACCCAGATTCTCATGGTCGAGAAAAAGCAGTCTTGTTGGTTTACAAATTGTTGAACGACAAGTGGGGCACACCGTTTGTCTCGGCCAAAATACGGTGCTGAGGGAACCACACCGTACTCGGCGAAGAGCCCGATCCAGCGTGGCCCAGAAACGACCCCTGGTTTCCTCCACACGCCTTCGCCACCCGCTCTCACAACCCTCGTCTCCAAGCATCAACATGCGATCGAAGGGATTCAAGCGTTCGAATGAACCAGAGTCGACCTCCGACGACCCTCGAGCGAAAGCGATGAGAGCCGACCCGGCACCCACCACAGACTCGATATCCATCGCAGACCTGGTACCCACCGCAGACTCGATATCCATCGCAGACCTGCGTCAACCTGGCCAGAATTGTGCCAAGTCCTTGAATGCCGATTCCATTCAGGGCCACTCGCTGCCTTCATGCTCGGGGTACGATCTCCTCATCATCCTCATTCGCAACCACGCCTTTGTGAGGACTCTCGGCCTCCCGTCGCTCAACAGACTCCCCCGGCTTGCCCGGCAGTTTGCGGACATTCTGTCCCTCGTTGCCAACGACCATTGGATGGATCGACTTTACCACCACCTGGAAATCACCGACCCTGCTGTATATCAGATTGCCAGCACAAACAGCAGGGTTGTTATGGAAGGGATATGCGCCCTTCGCACACGCAGCGGTGGCTATCCTCAAAGCCGTGCGGCCTATCAGAAGGAGATCTTGCTTTGGTGGGCCTATGCACTGTCGCCAGATCTGGAGAGCGACTTTGGAAGCCTTATCGACGATGCAGTCACCAAGGGAAGCCCCCATCACTGCCTCGACAACGTTGATACAAGACCAGACAAGATCAGCGCACTGAATCTCCAGGATCAGTTTCGACTCTTTGACTGCCTGCAGATCCTGCGAACAAAATCCTGTCCGACATGCATTCGGAACATACGGCAACATCAGTTGCGCGGAGCCTGCATTATTGCTCGCTTCGAAAACCACCCTCTCCACATTCCTGAGCACATGTCCCAACTTCTTCCACACGAATACCTCCGGTTCGAAAGGAGCCAAGTCACCAAGCTGACCCTCATCGACTGCTCCTTCGAATCCCTTTCGGGTTGGCCGCAGGCCTTGAATGCTCTAAAGTCTCTCACCATCGTTAGGACGTCGATGGGACGTCCGATCGAGAATCTCAAGAGCATGCCGTTTACACCCAGATTGGAGTGCTTGGTACTTCCGGACACATTCCGAAGCTTCGCAGGTGCTGATGACAATCTGACCTCCCTCAAGACACTCGATCTTGGCGCTTGCACTCGTCTCACGTCTCTGAAAGACATGACTCCGCTCCCAAAGCTCCAAAGGCTCACGCTGCCACGGTCGAGCCACAGTCTGGTGGATGTCCCAGACTGGATCGGCAAGGTGAAAGTGTCCAAAAAGTGAAGTGGAGGACGCTTTTTATTGAGCTGAAATACACCAGCTGCTTGGAGAGTGTGCTGAAAACAACCGGGATGCAAAAGTGCATGGTCCGGGAATCGAACCCGGGTCTGCCGCGTGGCAGGCGGCAATTCTACCACTGGACCAACCATGCGAGCTTGACCTTGATCTCAACTTTTGGATCCACAGGCACAGGCTCTCCGTCGCACTTTTATCAACAAACCGCTCAACACTCTCAACCAACGACCCCCTCCACATGCCCCCGACCCAAACGGCCATCAACGAGATGGCCATAGACACCTCGGGCAGCTCTGCTGCCCAAGAACCAGGCCAACCGGACGAAAATCGCAGCCTAGAAAGCAACGGCCATCAGGTCAGTAGCGCCAATATCACCGAGGCCACCGAATCAGCACCCACCAAAAAGCACCGCAGGGATGGTGAGCCCATCCAGCTGCACGTCGGTCGCAAGAAGACCGTCGAAGAAATTATCGAAGAGCTCTATGCAGATTCGGCAATCTTTCCCAACCCGCCCGACGTGGTTGAAGAAAAGAAGTGGGCCCTCTCGATCCTCGAGAAGGCCAAGAACAACACTCTCACCGACCAGGACTTCATCCCGGTCGATTTCAAAGACATCACCTACCGCCGCTTTAGGTTTGTCTTCGCTCTGAAGGCAGACCAAGTTCAATGCTCCCGTTGCAGAGGGAGCAAGCCCCCCGCCTGGCGTATCGACGACGCCCAGCACTCGGTCGTCTGCAAGAACATGCTGATGAGCCCGGACGCCGCCACCAAGGTGGAAGAATGCGGGAAGCATTTTTCCATCCTCGTATTCTGGGGCCTGATGACCCGCCATGACGAAGCCGGATGGAAGCTTTTCGAACAACGGGCCTCCCTCGCCGATGCCAGGGCTGTCGGGAAGCGCGTCTGCGCCACCGACATGCGCAAGAAGCAGAGTCCACAACAGCAGCTTCAGCACATCCAGAGTGAGCTTCTCAAGAAAGCTCAGAAGATTAACGAAGAACTCGCCAAGCTGGACCTCAGCAAACCCGAGGAAGTTGCTAGACTCAAGGCCCTGACCCAGAGCGCCACCGAGTGCATGCAGACGCTCGCCTCCGAGCTGGAGCATGCGTCCCGGGCCATCTCGGAACGCCCAGCTCCGACATCCTACGCAGCAGCCGCCCAGCGGGGTGCCAAGAAGCAGCCCGACAACAAGACAATCGACGCGCGCAAGCTGGCGGCCCTCGAAAAAGTCCACCAGGAGGCCGATGCCGGCAAGAAGAACGAGGCCATCGGCGCCATCCTCCGCGGCCGTGACCCCACCGACGGCAAGTGGCTGGTGCCCAAGACTGCCACGCCATTCAGGATGATCAGATCCTCGGTCCCTGTCGAGGAAGGACCCTTAAAGGATAGGATGGACAACGCCGCTTGGGTTTACGTAAAGGGTATCCCTCGGGGTAGCTACCGCACGATCAGACAAGCTTTCAAGGAGAAGGGCTTTGCCACCAACCAGATTCTCAATATCAGCTTTGTCAACAACAGCGTCTGTGAGTTTGTTCTCAGAGACAAGAGCTCGAGAGAAGAATTCTTGAAGCACATTACGGACATGAAATTCACTGAAGTCGCACAAATAGACGTGTCAAACTTCACCGAGGCCGAGAAGGAGTCCAAGAAGCTCCAAATCAAGAGCTTCATTGAACGCGCTGCCAGGATATGTGCGGAATCCAATGACCTCCTCACGGCGACCTTGTACCAACGGAAGATGAACGACCCAGCCGTCGCCGAGCAGATCACTGCTAAGGCGAAGGAACTGGCTCGCAACAAACCAGGCCGCCAAGAAAAAGGCGGACGCGAAGGAACCACTCCTCCCCGCAAATGATGCAGCCCCAACCTACGCCCACTATTAGGTTCGCGACCCTGAATGTCTGCGGACTTGAAACCTCTATACACGAGGTTATCGAAATGGTAAAAGCAAAAGACCTCGACTTTATAACAGTCCAAGAAACGTGGCTCAAACCACAGCAATCCATCGGACCTTACAAGAACCTCATAGTTTTCGAAACCCGAGAGCCATATGTCTCTGTCGACGGCCTCGCAAGAGGCACCGGAGGAATCGCCCTCATTCGGAACCCGAAAACCACCAACCTCGAAGACTTTAGCAACTTCCGCGTTGGACCTCATCACACGAGCATCTGGTTCAAGTTCCGAGGCATCGTCTTTGGATCTTTCTACCTCAAGCCTGCTCTATCAGCCAATGCGGCAGCCCTGCAAAAGTTCCGAGAAGCCCTGTCGGCCATCAAGACCAACACCACAGAAATGAACAATCCTATCCCATCTGTGATCATGGGCGACTTCAACACCCGCATGGGCCAGACAAGCAGAGACACCCATGAAACCGCCAACCGTTTGCAACCACTGCGGACAGCTGTAGCGGGTGGCTTCCTGGAATTCGTGGATTCGACCAACCCCACGGGGCAACACTGGACCCACGTCGTCAACGGGAAGAAACCACAACACTCAGTACTGGACCTCTTCTTTGTCTCGACGGCACTGAGACACAACGCCAAGACGGTGACGGTCCACTCCAACGACACCTGTAACTCAGACCACCGCATGGTGTCGATGGAACTTGAATGGAACGCCGCCAGAGAGCCTGCCCGCCCACCAATCCTCGTGTGGCGAACCAACAAGCTCGAAGATCCCGAAACCCTCCAGCAATACACGGAAGCCTTTAGAGTCCACCACCCAGTAGTCGTAGAGCAGATCACACAGCTGGGAACCCGGCTACCACAAGAGGACGGACCTATGGCACGCGAAGACGCCGAAGCCCTCGTTGAATCTGGGTGGAATATCATCAAGAACCACGTCACAGCGGTGGCACAAATCGTCATTGGGAAGCGAAAGAAGGATGGCCCGGCTCCCCGCAACGGCTTTTGGACCCCGGAAATGGCTGACATCAAGAAACGACGAAACACGGCTTATCGAATCGTGAACCAGTCCCCACAAGGCTCGAGAATCCAACTGCAGGCCATGGCCGACTACGAAAACATGAACAACAAACTCAAGGACCTCATACGACGACAGAAACGCGCCTTCTACAACACCTGGGCCCAGTCTCTCTCCACCAAATCGGACTCTGAGCTCCTCAAGGAAATCAGCAAGCGAGACAAGGTCAAAAGCGGCTTCTTCAACCGGTCGATTCTTCCGAACGACCAAGACAGCATGGACCAGTACCGGGCCCACTTTGGGAACATCTCAAGTCGTCTCGGTGTTCAAGAAGCCAACGATACACCGCGTCCTCAGGAAATACTATTCAGTCGCCTCTTGGGCCGCGAAATCACAGCAGAAGAAGTAAAAACAGCCATCCGACGCATGGGGAAACACAAGGCCCCTGGGTCCGACGGGATCAGTGCCGAGCTCCTACACCCAGTAACCGACCAAGTCTCGGATTGGCTGCGTCAGCTCTTCAACTGGTGCATGTGGACCGGCATCGTCCCTCAAGAATGGAATGTCGCCATCAACCACCCCATCTGGAAGAAGAAGGGCGAAGAAGAGGACATCAAGAACTATCGCCCGATCTCTCTGCTACAAGTTGTCCGAAAGGTATTCGAAAGGATCTTACATAGCCGACTCCTCCAGGAGATGGGCCCCATCGACATCTCCCAAGGAGGCTTCCGCAGCAACAGGGGAACCCTGGACCAGGTATTCGCACTCGATTCAATCGTCAAGTTCCTACAGAACGACGGCCACACCCCGTGGATCGCGTTCATGGACATCAAAGCCGCGTACGACTCAGTTGACCGGGATCGGCTCTGGCACAAACTCGAGCAACGAGACATCCCCCCGCATACCATCCGCATCCTACGCGCGCTCTTCGACAACGTGACCACCGCTGTTCTCGTGAGCGGCACCAAATCCCGGCCGTACTGGCTGGAGATCGGGCTGCTGCAAGGGTCGGTTCTTTCACCCACCCTCCACAGCCTCTTCATGGATGACCTCGCACAGAACCTACGAGCAGTCACATCACCCAGAATAGGGAACCTCATCATCAACAATGTCATGTACGCGGACGACATGGCGTTGGTAGCAAAAAACCAAGAAGACCTCCAAAGACTTGTTGACATCTCCGAAGCACACGCAGACGAAAACAATTACGCTTTCTCTCCGACCAAATGCGAAGTGCTTACCGCGGAAGCAAACCCGACCCCAATCACACTCAAGGGAACACCTCTTAGCTTCGTCACCAGCACCTACAAGTACCTCGGGGTGCAGTTCGGCCCTGATGGCATCGACGCAGAGGCCCACGTCACTCAACTAAAGCACAAAGCCCAGTTCCGAACCAAAGAGCTCAAGGAACACGGCATCTTCAGCAAGTCAGTCTACCCTGGACTGATCGTCAAAATCTACAAGGCTTTCATCCGGCCCCGTCTGGAGTACGGCCTTGCCATCGTCAACATGAAGGGCCCGATAATGAACACTCTACAGGGGTGCATGCTGGACACACTGCGATCGGCACTCAACATCCGCCAGAACGCGTCTGGTCCGGCTGTCATGACAGCCACAGGAATCTACACCATGGCGACCAGAAAACAGATACTGATGATCAAGTGCTTCGGACGGTGGTTCGACAGGAAAGACGACCCAGGATATCTTGGATCCCACGTGCTCAAGTACATCACCGAGTTGCCCCCAAGAAACCCAAACAAGAAGATACTCTCCAAGCTGACCGGAAGCGCCGCATGGAAGGAGCTCGAGAGACAGCACCGAGACTCCCCAGACAGAACAAGACTGGACCTGTTTGAATCTGGAACTGGCACCGGCACACCCATCAAGAAGGCGGTGATCGTTCACAGTTTTGAAAAAGAGCGGAAGCCCGAGAAAGTAATGTCGATCGCAGGCACCTACAAGTGGGAAGGCGACCCCATCCTGACAGCGCGGATGCCAGTAGCAACAGTTGCCCAAGCAAGGAGAATGCTCCTGTGGCGAGTCGGGTGTTTCCCACCTAAACCCGACAAGGAGTGCAAAAAGACCGGACCCAACGGCCCCAAGGTGTATGTCAACAGAAAACATGCAGCAGAATGTGTCCGAGCCAAGGACCGACTCGAGAAATATGTTCACCCCACATCGATCCCCGAAGGCATCACCTACATCGACCTTGCAATCGACGCACTCCCCAAGTTGGCTCGAGTGCCAACAAGACCACTCACCACCGATCCTGAAAAACAGAGAAGATGGCGTGCCAAGCGCAGCCGAGTACTGAACAACAGACCAGCGATCTGGCTGGATGTCGTGGCGGTGCTGGATGACATCGCAACCAAATGTCTGTCGTGGACAGCGGCCCCTCGGGCTGACCAATCGCAGCAAACAAGTACCTGAGAAAGAAACCCTCCCAGACGCATGAGCAGACACTTGGACAGGGAAGCCGGAGCTGGAGTCCCAAACTGTCACTGAATGGATGAGTTCGGCAAAACTTGACATCGCCGTCCCTCCGCAAACAGGCCCCATGGGATAGAGAGCTGTACACCGACGACCCAAATGTCCCGGTTGGCAAAGCCAACACCCAGTGCCAGAGCCCAAAAGGGACGCTAAGGCAAAGTCTTTAATAAAGACCCACCTATTGACTGGACCAACCATGCGATGGTTGATTGATTCCAATTTGTATATATCCCCTATCAAAAGCAGTCGGCTTCGATTGATTGTTGGCCATCGCCTCTTGGCCCATGAGATTCGCAGTCATGCCCACATCGACCATCGCCGCCATGGCTGTCGCAGCAGGAGGCGCAGCTTCTCTCCTGCCAGACAAAGAGGCCGTCCGTCGGTCCTTCCGCCTCTACAGTCACCAGCCGCGAGTTGACCCAAGCTCCCTATGCCAGATTATTGTGTCCACCCTTGCCCATCCTTCTCGGGCGCATGCAAAGCCATTCCCGCAGTTGCGATCGAGGGACCACGGCTGCTGTTGACGCCCTTCGACGAGTCGATCACGGAGGAGGAATCCAGGACTCTGTATCAGTATTCGTGTGTTGACCAGGATCTCTATCGATGGATGCGATTTGACCCTCGCTCCGGCTACGATGTCTACCGCAACCAGCACCTGATTGGGCGATGGACCCGGAGTGCCGATCGCCTTCCTTTCATCGCTCGCGACAAGCACACCAACGAGATTGTGGGCATCAACAGCTTTATGAGCATCAACGGCAACGACAAAACCATCGAGATCGGGCATATCTGGACGGCCGGCCCCTTCCAGGGTCAAAAGGTGGCCCTGGAGTCCACGCAGCTCCTCATGCGATATGCGATGGACCTTGGCTTTGTGCGCATCGAATGGCGAGTAAGTGTCGCTCGTTGGCCTGGCTTTTTCTTCTTCTTCTTCTTCTTCTTCTTCTTCTTCTTCTTCTTCTTCTTCTTCTTCTTCTTCTTTGCTCTGCAACTTTCTTTCTCGTTGCTGCCAAAGCACACAGCTGGCTCCAGCTCCCCATACTCACGGACACTCACCTCTGCGATGCGGGCTGCAGACCCACCACAAAAATGTACCGAGTCAAAGGACCGCCGCCGCAGCCGGGTTCACATTCGAAGGTATCTTGAGGAAGCAGCGGTTCCTCAAGGGCGAGACTCAGAACACGTTCTCATACTCTGTGATCGATGACGAGTTCGATGCTGTGCGCAAGACCATCGATGCTGTTTTTGTGACGCTGAGGCCGATTGAGCGACGTCCAGTCCCGGGCTTAACCGGCGAATAAATTCAGTGCGGGTTTGGATCAGATCGGACCGCAGACCCTTGGCTGGAGGACAGGGCGCACATGCGGGTGCGGCTGCAAGTCGAGATTGCTGGTGTGAGAGTGTCGGATTCGAGATCGAGAAAAGCGCGGCGGGCAAAAATGGTTTCGTCCGGGATCGAACCGGAGACCTTGAGTGTGTTAGACTCACGTGATAACCAACTACACCACGAAACCCGAGCACTGTGACAATGCCTTGATTGTACTGCGAGCGCCGTGTAGATATCCCAAAAGCACCACAAACGACCGGATGGAAACGACCGGATGGAAACGATGGCACGCCGCTCTTCGGACAGAATCAGCGCTATTCAGTCCACATGCATGTATTGTCCCGCTTCGATTTAGGCGGGCTGGAACGAGCTGGCGCGATGAAGAAGAAACAAAAATTGCACAAGCGGTTGAGGGAGATAGGTGACGTGGTGATCAGGCGTTGTGTGTGGTGTGATGCGATCGCAATCCGATCGGCAGATAGAATGTGCTACCATCGCCCACGATCTGCTATGCTTCCTTGTCTATGAGGCACACATCTTGCTTCCACGTTGGCGCCTCTGTCGTGGGGGCCGCAAAGGACTCGGTCAACGGGCTTCCATGAATCGACTCATTCTTCGAGCGCCTCTTGATGCGGACAATCGTGGTTGTCGTCGTGGTTGGGGTTGGGGTCACGGTTGTGGCTTGGGCCGAGGTCGAGGTCGAGGTCGGCTGGCCTCCTGCAGGTGATGGCGATGGAGGAGCGCTTTCCTGCAGGACCGCTGTCGCGACCAACGTGCTTGTGTCTGATGCAGTCGTTGCCGAAGTCGCGAGCATCGAGGCCGAGGTCGTTCGCTCTATCCTTCCAGGAACTGCGGTGTTGATCTGTAGCGTCCGTGATTTGTCATCGGCAGACAGCAAGCGATGGGCTGGTGGAGTCTGCTGCGACAGCGGCGGCCCAAAGTCCAGTTCGACCTGCATCGACGGCCTTATCGAGCCGTCATCTGAGTACAGGTCGTCGAGCTCGCCATCATCATCAGAAAACCCATCCTGGGACATGGCCTCCTCATCGAACTCGGTCATGCTTCCAATCTCCGAGTCCATGAAAGTCGACGCTTCGTACTCGCACTCCTCGGTGTACCGCGCCAACGCATCCTGATAGTGCGCGCGAAAGTTGAAAGTGCTCATCAGCTCTTTGTCATTGACAAGCGGGTGTAGCAAAAGTTGGGATGCAGTCGGCCGTTGTTCGTGGTCACTGTGGTGTCCAATTTGATTGCCGAGAAAATAAGCATGAGCAAACAGTCGCCACATGGACAGCGAGTCAGTCCAAGGATGTACCAAGGAGTCGATGGGTGCGAGCGGACCCGACAAGCGGTGCAATGCGAAAGCCGCACGCAGGGTTTTGGAGAAGACCGATTCTCGTCAAAAGTGGCAACGGATGTCTGATCACTTACAGAGTGAAACACTTCTCCAAAAAGTCTTTGGCCTCTGGTGTCAAGTCGTCCGGAACCTCGGGGCTGTTGCCCTTGCCGAGTCGCCACATTGTTTGCATTTCGTCAAGCCGGCCCCAAGGGTGGTGGCCCGTCAGCATCTCGAGGCACACGCACCCCAGACTCCAGATATCGACCTTGGCCGAGTACCCTTGGCTGCCCGAGACCTTGACCACCTCCGGAGCCATCCAGAAAACAGAGCCCTGCACAGACATGTGCGAGTTGTAGCGGTAGGCAATCGCACTCTCGTACTTGTCCTTCTTGGAGGTGCCGAAATCGCTGATCTTGACCGTTCCGTCGTCGACAACAAGCACTGTTGTAAATTTGCAGAGGCACACCGTCAATACGCGACACTCGGAGAGGTGACTAGGCACGGTTCCGGCTCCCCTCGGTGCCGCCACTGGCACCGGTCATCTTCTCGAGCCCGCTCAAGCTGCACACACGCAGCAAAGGACGCTTTCGAGTGTCTGTGCCCATGGTATTGTCCAATACATTCGCCTGTGCCATACTAACCATTTGCTCCCTTGATATCTCGATGGATGATGCGCTGGTCGTGGAGATACTCGATGCCACGCAGAATCTGGCACGTCAAGAACTGAACCAATGGGACGCTGAATTTGCCGATTTTCGTGAGCAAACTGGCGATCGAGCCGCCCGAGACGTACTCGAGCAAGACATTCATTTTGTTGTCCCTGATTTCAAAGTCTAGCGCGATATTGACTTGGTCAGCGACGGAATTGTCTGAGGGGGGGGGAGGCCATTTGTGTTCGCTTGGCAAACTCGAGGAAAAGGAAGGGGCTCGACCTCGACCTCGACCTCGACCTCGACCCGCTGCATTCTAATGCCGCCAAGTCGATGCATCTCGCATCGGGCGCAATCCGATACAGTGATGCATGTAGCGGCCCCACAACCGCGACAGTGTAGGATTTGCAGCATGATATTGGCCCCCGCGTCGAGACCCCCGCACAGATCTATGCCACGACATTGGTCATCTGGACTCACCAAGATATCGAACGATGTTGACATGGCTCAGTTCCTTCAGAATATTGATTTCCTTGTGCAGGGCGTCCACCATCTTCTGCTGGACCTTGAGGCGCTGCTCCTCCATGCGATGCCCGGGCTTGGCTTCGCCAAAACCGACACCGAGCTCGACCTGCTTCACAGCCAGCAACTCGCCGGTTTTGGAGTTGACACCCAAGTAGACGGACCCAAACGAGCCCTTCCCAAGCAGCACACCGAGTGTGTAGGTAATCTGACAATGCGGTGCCGACAGGCGAGCTACCGAGGTCGACGCCGCCACAGCATGGTCGCTGCCCTTCAGCGATGCGACAATACCCGACGTTGCTGCCGAGCTGACAAGGGTGTGTTGGGATGGCGGCGGCCGCGCTGGGCTCATGCGCCCTGCTTCGAGCCCTTCGTCGAATGAGTCAGGCTCGGACGTCAGTGGTGATGCAAGGCAGACCGATGTGGCACTAGACGATGTGGCCCAGCTCTCGGTGCTCGGATTGCGCTCGCGCGCAGGTGGATTGTGCACAGAATTTGCCTCTCGCAGCCGGGAGCTGGAGTACCGTGGCGAGAGCTGGGGGCTCGATCGTTGATGGAGTAGACCCTTGGAAGGCTCAAGGTTTGTGGCAGCTGGGGCGCTGGATGGGTGAGTAGCGAACTGCTGTGGCTGCTGGGATGCGCGCTTGACGGGAGAGAGAACGGTTCGAGAGTATCGCCAAGCCGTGGTGCGAGGAGCGCTGACAGTGAGCTGCACTGCATCGGAGGTTGTTTGGGTGCTTGGTGTCTCTTGCGAGTGCGGCAGTGAGTTGACTGACACGAGGTCATGTGCAGATAGTAGTGGTGGAGATGGCTCCGACGGAAGCAACTGCACCTCGGTGGAGAGCGAAACAGACTGAGCGGGCGCAAGTGTGGTTGTAGGTGCGGGCGCAGGAGCCTGGAGAGATCTAGGTGCTGGCTGGAGGGTTTCCATGGATGAGGGTACTGCCAAAACATGCGGCAAATCGACCGAGGGAGATGTGTAAGGCGATCGTGGGCGAGGCTCCGACAAAGGCGTCGCATCCGTGAGTTTGCTGTCGACCAAGCCCGAGTCCGGCGCGACGGCTGTCTTGGGCGGCTGTCTTCTTTGAGAACTCTTTCGGCCGATTGGAGGAAGCGGCGAAGCCAAGCCGGACGGTGCCGGCTCATCGTTGTGAGAGATGCGGCTGAGGCGAGACAGCCGCATGACAAGCTGCTCCTGGGTCGTGCGGGTGTGGTACTTGTTGACCACGGTATCCTCGATCATGTCTTTGGGGCGCTCTAGGAGTGTGCTCTCATGGCTGTGAGTCGGTGACTGAGGAGGGCGTCCCTCGGGGCTTTGACTGGACTCGACGCCTTGCGACACATCGCCTTCGCGCTTGAGGGATGGGAAGTAGATCTCCAGCTGATGCAGAATGTGTTCACTAGGCGGCCGCTCGCCAAAGTAGGCCGGCTCTTCGTATTTGCGAGATGGTGCAGTGAAGGCCCGGTGGACCGGCGCTTGGGCCGAATCGGGCGGACTCGACACATCCGTGCGCAGATTTGATCGCCGGAGAGGCGAGCGGATGCTGGCGGCCGTCGCATTCACAGAGGCACCGGGCGATTTGATGCTAAAGTGACGAGAGATTTTGGTCCTGGAAAGGGCTTTGGCGGCTGGAGAGGCAATGGTGCCCGACTCATCCAGAGTAGCGTCGAACGGATGTGGGCGCAGCCTCGTTGCAGCCGAGACGGAGGCGGGCAGCGACTCTGGATTTGCAACAGGGCCTGGATGTGTGAGTGCAGCAGAGAATTCAGAGACCGGCGGGCTTTGAGCTCCGTTTCTTGGGCCAACGGACGGTGGCTGGGCGGCGGAAGCCGGCTGGGAGTCGTCCTTCGAGGGCACAGGCGGAGCGCCGGCAGGATGGTTTGGGACAGACGAGCTCATCGGAAGCGACGGGTCCTTGATCTGGAACCGAACTGGAACGACGGCCTGGCGGATCTCTGACTTTTGCGGTCTGATGGGGACGGTGATTGCCTTCTGAGGTACGGCCTTGGGTACAAGCGCATCCGTTCCGAAAAAGTCGGCGAGCGATTTGGATGCGTTGTGGGAGACCTTTCTGGGTCGTGCAGCCGAGGCTTGAAGAGGGTCGACGAGGGCGTTGGCAGGCAGCGACGGCTTTGTGGGCGAGCCGGGCTCGGTGGTGATGGGATGGATATTCTTTCGGAGGATCAGCGATGCGGCCTTTTTGTGGGACTTGCAGCGGGCGACGAGCTCCGAGTCGTCGAGATAGCGCACTGGAACAGGACCCGGGAGGGAGGGGGTGCAGGACAGGGTGCGCCGACGGGGATTCGAGCGGGAGGATGCAATGCAATGCGATGCGACAGGTTAGACGGATGCGACGGATGCAACAGGCACGACAGGCTCGATGCAGCCGGGGATGGATGCAGGCCGAGCGAATCGAATGCCCTGACGATCACCAAGACAGAAAAACAGACGGCAACAGCGCACTGTCGGGCTGTCCGCCCAACGGCGAGCGCAGCCGGCGCCGCAGCGGCGCGGTAGCACAACGCCGCTGTCCAGGCAGCCGCCATGAAAATGCCACAGGCCCCCACAGGCCCCACAGGCCGCTCAGTCCACACAGGAGGACGGCTCGCTCTGCCTGCTGCTGCTCACCTTCGCTGAGCTTGCCCGACGGATCCGTCAGATAGACCCCAAAGTACTCTTCCTCGCTCCTGGAGATGTTAAACTCGTTGAGGATGCGGATGCGGATCTCGCTGGCGTGGCCGCAGTCGCGCAGATTGATTGCCAGCGTGCGCTGGTTCGGACCAGTTACCCGGACTTCGTCCTGGCCGCCCAGCCAAATCCATCACCATCCCCACCAGGGCAGAAGCAGAGGCCGTGTGTTAGTGTCGGGACTATTGTTAAGCTCTTTCGTCAGGGCTGTTGTTGTTGTTGTTGCTGTGTTCTGGGATCAGGGCCCCCTTAATCCCACCAGGTCCTGGCCATATCTCTGTGGCGACATAATGCTGTCTGCCCGGCTCGGGTACTCACCTCTCCAAGACGGTCGTCCTGCAGCGCCGTGACGGTTCCCGGTCGGAGGTGTGAGTGTTAGAATGTGTGAGTGCTCGGAAGTGTGAGTGCTCGGAAGTGTGCTGGAACACAAATCCCCAAATGCAGCTTGGGACTGTGGCGGACCAGCCGACGAGGGAAGCAGCCGCATTCTGATCTCGATATCAATGCAAATGTTGATGCCGATGTCGATGCCATGCCGATGCCATCGAATACCTTCAGCCCGGATCCCCCCCGCCTAACGCCCTGCCTTCTTCATCCCCGTATACACCGCAGCTTCTCCCTCCCTCCCCCAACACCACCCGATCCAAAACCTTACCTGGGAGCAGACTCGGCTCTTGTTGTGCATAAGCTTGTGGGTGAACCGCTCGAGAAAGGACGGCGCTGATGCCGCCTCGACAGGATCTGGTCCTGGGGTCGCTGCGCTGCACGCGCTTGTTGGGGTCGTTGATGCCATTGTGCCTTCGTATCCGAAAAAGTCAAAGATATCGGGGCTCTTGGAGGACGGCGACGTCTTCTTGCTGGTCCTGGTGAAAGACATGCCGTCGTTGCGCTTGGCCGACGACGATCGCGGCATGATGCCGGCCAGGGGACTGACGCCGGGCCCGCTCCCGGCGAGATCGATGGATCGTCCCGACCTGCTAAAGGCGTATGACGCCGGAGCAGCATCTGGTGCTGGAGCAGGGCCGGCCTTGGAGATTTCTTCGGCAGCGGCAGGCGACGGGATCGCTCCGGGGGCGGTGGCCCCTCGTCGATGGATCGCCAAGCGGGGCAGGGGATTGCGATTATGACGGCCCAGCTGGATCGGCCGCACCGATGGAGGGGCATAGATCGGCCCGTCCGTTGGCCGGAGAGCGTCGAGCTGGCCTTCGGTGGCAAGCGATGTCGAGGGAGAGATCGATGGCGGCCCCGAGTAGATTGAGGGTGCAGAGTAGACCGAGGGCGAGGCGCCGGTATAGATCGCTGGCGAGGATGCCGAGCAAAGGAATGGGGCCGAGTGGCTCGCAGAAAGATTGACGCCGGCGTGGGTCGTGGTGAAGCCGGCAGCATTATGATGGCTTAGGGAGGGGTTGGCATTCGGGTAGCTCGCCAGGAGACTGACGTTTGGATGGCTGGGTCGTCGCGGGACTAGCAGCGAGGCAAATCCGCTGGTCGAGCCGACAGGTGTGGGAGGATCGAAAGGCAAGCTTGGTCGGCGTGCTCCCCCGGCGCTGGGGCGAACGGCAGCTGGGATCTGGAAGCCGTCGGCGATTGGGGTGAGTGGTTGCGCCGAGCGAGGCCGCTGGAGCTCTTTGGCATGGGCGACCGGGGGGTATTCCGCCAGTCCGGGCGCATCAGCATGCTTGCCGAGAGCAGGCCCTGGCTGGTCGACGACGAAGGTCCTTGTCGGGCGAACATCAGGGGCCATCTCCAACCCGTAGTCCTGCTTCAGGTTGCGCACAGCCTTCATGAAGCGCACAATGTCGGCGGTCGAGACCCTGCCCTCGCAGAGCTCCTTGACATCCGAGTACGACAGATCAACGAGCACCCGGCCGTCAATGTCATACTCGAGCAAAATGGGCACAAACGGAGAAGCCAGCCCGACGTCGCTGATCCAGTTCTCGACCTGCTGGACGGACCATTGCAGCAGCATCTCTCCGAGCGGGATCTCTCGCTGGAGGTCGTCGGTGCTGAGGGGGCCCCGTGGCGAGGCCGAGGCCGATGCTGATGCTGATGCTGATGCTGATGCTGACGGTTGTGTGCTAGCGTCGATCCAGTCTGCACTGGTATTGATCCGGAGCGAAGGGTGCATGGCGTTGCTGACCTGACGACGAAAGCAATCAACAGAACCGATCGAGCGGACTCGATGGGGGCAAAGGCGGACAGCAGCAGATGCAAAAAGTAGTGGAGGGAGGAAACGAATGAAAGAAGAAAGGCAAACAAGCCGATGAGAGGGCAGGTGCTTGCGAGAGGAAGTGTGCTTGTGGGAGAGCAGATGTCGGCCAGAGGGATACCCCGCTGCGAGTAAATACCAGAGGCGATGCGAGAGGGTTGATCCAAGCAAGACAGCGAAAGGAGTGCTCAAATGGCCGAGGCAGCTGAGGTAAACACTGGCAGACAAGCAGTGAACGGGAGGCAGATGCAAGGGAGACGGCGGCGGGGAGGGGGCGGGGAAAGGAAGATCTGCGGTGTGGGAAGCAGAGATCCCAAGGCGAGCCCGCGGGACCAGATTGGACCAGATTGGACCAGATCGGACCGAGATCGCAGACGAACGACCCGAGTCGATATCGGGGGGGGGGCGGAATGCCGAGGGAATGCCGAGGGAATGCCGAGGGAATGCAGAGGGAGTGCAGAGGGAACGATGGTGGCGACAGAATCAGGCCGGGTGGGAGTCCGCTGATCGGCGGACCCCAGCCAGATGCAAACGAAGAGCGATACGACTGTCGGAAATTGCCCGGGAATGATCTCAAATAACAACTTGTGTGTTTTCAAGTAACGATTTGGGTGTGTTTTCAAGTAACGACGTGAGTGTGTCTCCAGGGAAGTGCCCGAGCGAGCCCAAGCACAATCCCACCAGAGTCCAGCAGGGCTCATCAGATGTGCATGGTCGTCGGCGGTGTCGACGGATCAATCGCCGTGGGAAGCGCCGATGGCCGATGGGCGATATTGTGTCTGGGTGCCGACGGCGATTCTCAGCGCCAACGATTCTATCAGCGATATCACATTCTCATATGCAATATCACATTCTCATATGCAATATCGCATTCTCATATGCAATATCGCATTCTCATATGCAATTTCACATTCCCGTTTGCAATATCGCATTCCCGTTTGCAATATGATAATATCGCCCCCCAATTCCATCCCCTGCCCCCCACCACGTTTTTTGGGGATCGCCGCCATTGTGCCGCCCGCACGCTCGGCAAAGCCTGTTCGGCACGGCTTCCTGTTTCGGGATCTTGTGCGCCCCCACGCCCGCAGGTCTCAGCGAGGAGTGGCAATCCCACCCGCGAAAAAAGAAAACCTCGTCGGCCGTGATCATCGCATTGCTCTTCTGCAGACGCCATCCAGCGGGCATCATCCAGCGGGCTCAATCCTGCGGGCATCATCCTGTGGCCTCCCTGTCTGCTCCCCTGCCTGCTCTTCGGAGGCATCGCACGCATCTGCCCTCCCTGCCCCTCTGCTGCCCTCCGTCAAGCCTGTGATCCAAACCCCCAGCGTTATTCTCGCCCTCGACTCCATCGTGGCCGCATTCCTTTACACCATCCCCGTCTGGCTGAACCCTCTCGGCTCTCCATGACCTCATTGCCGTCGACTCTGGCCCTGGCCCTGGCCTCGCTGCGTTCCTCTTGGTCGACTGCCCTCTCGGCATCGCCCTCGATCGCCGCCCATGTCCTCCCGCCGCGCCCGTTAGCAAAATCCTCGTCGAGTTCGCCAGACCCAAAGCCAGGCCCAAAGCCAGACCCAAAGCCAGGCCCGAGTCCAAACCCAGACCCTGCCCTTGCCGCTGCTGCATCGCCCGAGGACAACCCGGATCGCCAGCTCGACCAGACCCTGGCATCGCAGATCCCTTCGTCTCCTCCGCCGTCGTCGGCGCCATCGGCTCCGTCGCCTCCGTCCCGCACCCCGCCGCCATCGGCAAAATATCCCTGGGCCCACGAAGGATTCATTTCTCACGCCCATTACCGGGTGCCCAAGTACCCGATTGTACTGTGCCACGGTATGGATCGCAGCCGGTGCTCGCCGAGACCGAATCTGCGTTGGCCTACATTGGGCGGAATCGCATTGAATCGCATTGAATTGCACTGCATTGCTCGCTTGCTTGGCGCACCTGTTCTTTGCTTTGCTGCAATGGGTGCTCTCATGCACGCCATTCGCTCCATAGCGAGGTCCGTTCGCCCGTCCTCGCTGCTTCATGACTCTCATCCATGAGCGCACCACACCCCTCCCTCGTCTCTGGCTCGATGAGCTTGCGTTTCTGCGTGCCACTGTCCTGCTCGGACAGACGCATTCGCTGCGAGGGCCACACCGCCGCATCTTGATCCCTGTTTACTGCTGCTGCTACACTCCAGTGGCACCGCTCCAATGGCACCACTCCATTACCACTTCTCCACTATTTAATAGCCTACATCGATCACAGCGCCTTCCCTCCCGCCGCGGGGCTCCGAATCAGGGCTCGAAGCGTCGTTAGCAGCAATCGCGCCATGGAGCAGAAGGATGCCTCGGTAAATCACCGGCCCGCTCTGGTCGTTACCAGCCTGTCCGTGCATCCGTCTGGCCCGAGCGGTGCTTCAGTGCCGTCCCTACTCCGAATGCAGGGTTCAGGATAAATCGGCCAAGAACCTGTTTGGGCCAAGACTGCCTTCGTGCCGATGCGATCTCGACGCTGCCCTCGATTCGTCCTCGCCCCGGGATCCCTCCGATCCTACTTGCTTTCCGACCCTACTTGTTTTTCGATCCTGTCTGTTCCTCAGCCGATTTCCGCCGTGCGTTCGGAGTGCCCTTTTTACCGGCCATTTCTTCCTGACAACATCCTCGGGATCCACCTCCCTCTGTTTGATCTTTTTCCTGTGCTGCTAGATTGCCTTGCGATCTGCGCTTCGTACTTTGCCGCTGCCCAGATCCACCAGCCAAGTCACTCACGGCCTGTGTTTTCTGTCGCTAGGTCTCTTTGGCTTTGACAAGCTCGGCCCCGAGTCAATTCCGTTCCTGCAGATCCGATATTGGCGAGGCATAGCCGATGCCTTGCACGACTTGGGCTGCGAGGTCCACATCACACGGGTCCCAACCGTCGGTGCCATCCGAAACCGTGCCCACGAGCTGAAACGGTTCCTGGAGACTAACATGAATGGCAGGCGCGTCAATCTGATCGCCCACTCGATGGTACGCCCATATCCACGTCGATTCGAGTGCATTCGCTTGCTGCATCGCAGCTCGCTCTGGAAAGGGCCTTGCTCCTCGTTGTTGGTTTGCGCTGGTACCGCCGGCCCCACCACAAACCACCTCTCGCATCGCATGCGTGGCTTCGTCTCACCGGTCGCTGCTCTTCTTCCATGACGAACACTTCAGGGCGGGCTCGACTGTCGCTATCTGATCACCCATCTGCCCTCGACCCAATATTCGGTCGAGTCCCTGACGACCATCGCTACACCACACCGCGGCTCTGCATTCATGGACTGGTGTCGGGACTCGTTCGGCGTCGGTGCCCACGATCCCATCCCACCCGACTGCGCCGTCTCGGAGGCGCTCTTTGGAGTCAAGCTGCCCGGCGACGTCTCTTCCAGCTACACATCTCCTGACGCCCTCTGCCAAGACACGCTGCAGCCCAACCACTCACTCGTAGATGCCAAGTTAGTGGTCTCGGCAACCACACATCCCGTCATCAAGTACATCATGTCGCCGCTTGACGCCCCCGCCTTTGGGAACCTGACTCGGGACTACTGCCGCATCTTCAATCTCGCCACACCCGATCGCGATTCGGTGCGATACTTTTCTTATGCGGCCGTCACGAACGTCAGCAAGCTGGCCCCGCTTTATTTCTCGCACCAGATCCTCAACAAGATGGAGGGCGTCAACGATGGCCTCGTCAGCCTCGATAGCGCAAAGTGGGGCGAGTTTATGGGTGCGGTCGACTGCGACCACTGGGAGCTTATCCCGCCCAAGGTATGCGTCGAGGCTTTCGCTACCTGGATCCGTAAGGCTCGATACTAGTAGAGCTGCGCGAACGAAAGGAGATGACGCTGCACAGGCTTCTCTATTGTTCTATGTTCGCGGTGTATCGCTCGTATTGTTGCCATGTCCTTGTTGCGAGGAATCGTTGGTGCATGCACTAAAGACTGCCCATCGTTTCCTCTCCCACGCTCGTACTAGATCCGCGGTCTGTCATCCAGTTTTGGTATCAAGCGTGGCACGGCCTTCAATTCGATCGAGTTCTATCTGCAAGTCGTCAGCAACCTGGCCGAGAACGAATGCTGACACCGAGCTGAGCTCAATCTCCATCCGTCAACATCCGAGACTGCTGCCGCGAGTTTGGCTGCTGTCTCGGGTCGCCAATGCTGCCCAGATCGCCTGCTCCTACTTGTGTCTTTTCGGGCCCGCTCTCTCCCGCCCCCCCCCCATCCGCAAATCGAATATTTTGGAACCCTCCCGCCTCGGTTCTCGCCCCCCCCCACCACTCCTTCCCCCACTTTGCTACTATAATTTATACATTTTGGAGTGCCTCTCTCTGCTGGATTTGATCGGAGCCGTGAGCAGTTATCCCTTGTCCCTCCGTCCTGTGATCTCCAGATTCCGCCCTTGACCCTTCCGGCCCTCCCTTATCCCCTCCGATCCCCAGCGTCCATGTCTACTTCTATATGGCTGCCCAAGGCTCCCTCGGCATCCCCTCTCTACCCGGCGGCTCGCCCACTCCCACTTCCACTTCCACTTCCACTTCCACTTCCACTTCCACTTCCACTTCCACTTCCACTTCCACTTCCACTTCCACTTCCACTTCCACTTCCACACCCTCGCCGCGTTAAGTTACAGCCAATCCAATAAAAAGCAGGTTTTGGTCATTGAACAAATGTGTTGTTGCCTCAACACATCGCGCTGGCCATGACCATTCAGTGATACGTTTCTGGAACTGAATCAAGGACGCTTTCTCCCAAGCGACTGTCCCGTTTCTCTCTGGATCGAATGTATTTGATGCCTTTCACCACCATCACCACCACCATCACCACTACCACCACGAACGAATCATACGATCTGTCGTAAACTTAGAGGTGACCCCGTCTTCCTCTCCTTGGCCCTTCCCTCCTCCCACATCTTCTCCATACCACGCTGGAAAAAAACAACATTCCTTCAATATTGCTTGTCAAAGTATTGTGGCAGACCTGTGAAGTGGGAGGGTCGATGCATATGGCAGAGTATGTGACAGTGCAGGGAGCAGTCTTGGCTTGAAGAACAGGCCGAGCAGGGAAACGCCTCTGCATCCTATTTCATGGCCCGGCTCCTCCAGGTCCATCTTGACCTTCATGGTGCAGATCATCACACCACCAGCAGAGTCTGACTGATCCTCTCCCCCAACTCACCAGCATCCAGGGACCACCTCCATTCTCACTCGATCTCCACCAGACCTCTGTCGACTCACCTGCACAACCAACACGGACTCTGTCCAACTCCAACAACCATGTAGTACATCTACCGAGATATCCCGCTGCTGCTGGAAGGCGCATGGCCCGTGCTTCAGACCGTTCCTCCCCGCCAAGTATGCCAGTAATCTTGCTGGTGTCAGGCCCTCATTAAGAGCGATCCAATAAAAAACGGGACACCCAGGTTTTTGACCATTCATCGAATATTTTGTTACCCAAAACCATCGCGCGCTGGCCATGACCATTCGCCACACATCCGACTTTCGCACCGCCGCATTGCGATGCTACGCCCTCATCCATAGCCTGCGTAAGGTCGCCTCCATATTCAGTGTATCCAAGAGCACCATCCATCGATGGCACCGAGGATGCAAGCTGGATGACCCATCCCGGGTCCCAGCTCGCAGATCCACTTTCTTCGAGCAGGCATGTCCAGTCATTCGCACCCTGATTGAACAGGACCCGTTCCAGACTGGTCCTGTGTTGCGATGCAAGCTCGAGTCCATCCTCCAGAGGAAAGTATCACTCTCACTCTGCCACACTGCCATCCACCGAGCAGGTCTCTCACACAAGAGGGCAACACACCTCTACAAGTCCAAGCGACTGGATGAGCGAGTGGCACAGTTCAGGGACCAGGTCCGCTCCATCGACCCGCGGCGATTCGTTTTTGTCGATGAGACGGGGATCAGGAAATCCATTTTCCCTCTCTACGGATACTCACCGAAGGGTGCTCCGCTTCGCCAGCGCAATCACATGAAACACAAGTCTGTCTCGGCTGCATTTGCCATCAACCACTCTGGTGTGCTGCATCGCATGTACATCCCCACATCATTCAAGACACACTCGATGGTCGAGTTCTTTGATCGAGCGACCTTCCCAGACGACTCTGTGATTGTGATGGACAATGTCAGCATGCACAAGACAAGGGCTGTCCTGGACTGCATCGAGCGCCGAGGATGGTCAGTGATCTTCACCCCACCTGCCTCGCCCGACTTCAATCCCATCGAGAACTTCTTTGGGATTGTGAAGCATCAGTACAGGAAGGTGGCAGCGCTGAATGCGTCCGAGGGGTTCAAGATCGGGATGGTGACCCTGTTTGAGTCTGCCGTTCGGAGGGTGCTTCCAGATGTCTTCCCACGGCTGATTGAGCGAGCGATGCGCTTCTGGGGTTGAGTTCCCTCCAATCAAGCCGCCGTTTTCGCGTTCACATCCCTGGCTTGAACCTCTCGGCGATTTTTGAACAGGGTCACTTCCCAACCAGCCCGCAAAGACGGGCTCCTGCTCTCGGGTATAAATGTCCCACCTTCGTCCTGCTGCTTTCTTCCCTCATCTCGCCTTGATCGGATCATCGCGCTATTGTACGATAAAAAAAAAGTCTCTGCTCTGACCAGTACCACTGGCAGGCATCCAGCATCCTCTGCCCCATGCCTCCGAAGCGCAAGGGTGCCGGTGATGGCCAGCCTCGGCCACCCAGGCCCAAGAAAGCCAAGTCACAGTCGGAGCCTGTCTCTGGTTCGTATTCTGACCCCACGCATGCTTGGTCGTCTGTTGCTCCATCGCTCACCACCACTGCTTCTGCAGATCCAATGGATGTCGATCCCACCGAGCCTGGTCCATCTACTTCCTCGAGTACCGGCAAGCGATGTCCCAAGTGCGATGGCACCGATCACGAACGTTGCAACACCAGCAAATGTCCCAAATACCGGCCCCTCAAGAGTTCTGTCGTCCCACTCGTGGATGGAAGGTCATCCGCCCTTCAGTTCAGCTGCTTCAAGCAGACGATGGATGGCTGTTGTCTCAATCCCGCTCTCCGCGACAAGATCCAGGCCACCGTCGCAGCCATGACCCAGATCCAGTTCGAGGCATCCAGGCTGCTCAACCTGCACATCCTCCGGTGCATCGAGCAGGATCTTCCCGTCCCCGTCATCTCCAAGTCCACCCCTGCATTCATCCGTCAATGCTTCAAGATCGTCCAGGACGGTGCCCTCTCCCCGACCGGGGACACCAAGAAATACAACGAGCATCTGGTCGCTTCCTTTCGCGACTACCAGACCACTCGGCACGCAGACCTGCCTCCGGCCCCTCGTCTGCCTGATGGTGCTCACAGTCAGCTTCTCACACTGGCTGTCAATGCCTATGCCACCAACTGCACCACCCACCTCGACCTGGCCTACTGGCGACTCCTTCGCCGCTTCTGCGCTGCCGTCTTCCCAGCCAACAAGCACAAGCACGAAGCCATCGAGGCCTGTCTTGAGCTCTTCGAGAAACCAGGGCAGACTCCACCCAAGGCCGATCTCGAGTTCCTCTATCCCGACTTTGGCCACGTCCTGGACGAGTTTCGGTACAGCAGCGACCAGGACCGCTTCCGGGCCCTCCATCGCCTCTCACACCATGTGGGAATCCTCGCCCGAGACAAGATGGTCGACAATGTCCACAAGTGGATCGACTGTGACATGCCCGCCCTCCGAGTCACCGAGCTGCAGCGCCAGGCCAAGCTGGACGAGCTCACTGCCAGAGGCATTCCCTCCGACGACAAGAGGTTCACCACGGCCAAGTCGGAGCTCGGCACCACCAAGTCCAAGATCAACAAGCTGGCCGCTCGACTCAACTGGGCACTCAAGCAGCTCGCTCTCGACACTCCTCCGGCCGTGTGCACGATAGTTCCTCTATGCACTGCAAGGGCCAAGTACATCAAGATTGACACCGTCACTCTCTGGCAACTCCTTGACACCGAACATCGTCTTGGACTCACCAGGGACATGCTCAAGGAAGAAGGTGAGGACGGTGTCAACAACCAGGATCGTCTCTGGCGCAGTTGCTTCAAGCTGCGTAGTTCCCTCTTCCAAGAGCGGGACGTGAACAAGAAGCTGTTCAACTACGAGATCAGCACCGATGGCATTGGATGCACCATCGGTCTCGTCAAGTTTGTGCCTCGAACCGATCGCACCGAGACCATCGAGCCTCCTCCGACTGCCGAGCAGCGTATCCAGGCCCACATCGGCGACCCAGACCCCAACCGCACCACTTGGATTGGCATCGATCCTGGAGTCGGCTCCATCTTCACGGCGGTCATCCAAGCACCGGGCCACCAAGACGAGGTGGTCTCATTCTCCAATGGCCACTACCAGCAAATGTGTGGCCATACGTCCAACACCAAGTGGCACAACACCATGAAGTATCGACTCAGCATCGAGACCTGGATGTCGACCACTCCCTCGCCCAAGGTGTCGTCCTCGGAAGCTTTCAAGGTCCATCTCACCCATGTCCTGCGACCGGAGCTGCGAGTGCAGCTCGACTTCCACCTTGGCAAGAAGGCCCGTCACCATCGCTTCACAGGCCACAAGAGGCGCCAAGTGGCCGTCGACAAGATGTGCAAGGCCGTCCTGAAGCACGCCCCGATACGGACTGATGTGGTGATCGCCTTTGGCAATGCATCATGGCGACAGGGCAAGGGCTATGCATCCAGCCCTCGGAGGCAGCGGTTTGCTCGGTACTTTGAGCAGTTCGAGCACCACCGACGCCGTCCCAATCACCATCATGGAAGCGTCAAGGTGGCCTCGACGAACGAGTTCAACACCTCACAGGTGTGCACCAAGTGCCTGGAGCCAGTTCGGTTGGAAGGACTCGATGCGCCCAGTGTTGCGAATTCCCACTTTGTCAGGAGCTGCAAGAATCCCAGCTGCCGGACAGTGTGGAATCGCGACGTCAATACGGCGCGCAACATGATCACAGTATGCAGGTCGATTGTGGAGATCGGAGAGCGACCGGCGGTCTTCACTCGGAGGCTGCCAAAGTGATCTGTTTTATTTCTTGTGGCTTTGCTTGACGCAAGCACAGCACATACTACATGTTCATGGAAACGGCTATATTGTCCCGTTTTTTTCTGAATAAAGTGTAAGAGCACCCTCAGTGCCAAAGCCTGTGGCGAGCAAAGCCGAATACTTTCCAACAGAGCAGTTCGGTAGCATCCAAGTGAAGGCCGTGAGTCGCTCTCTGGTCGCCACAGTCACCGTGGATACGAAGGTCATGGTACTCTTGAGTAGATCAAAGATACGACTTTGCCCAGGCCGTGGATGACGGTAGCGTCGCAGTGCAGCGATGCAGATATCGAGAGCGCTGTGCTTGTTCACGAATGTAAGGAGTGGGTGTGAGTATTCAGATGCGACAAGTGTGTATTCAGATGCCACAAGTGTGTATTCAAATGCGACAAGTGTGAGTTCAGATGCCACAAGTGTGTATTCAGATGCGACAAGTGTGTATTCAAATGCGACAAGTGTGAGTTCAGATGCCACAAAAGCACCGGCCCTGGCTCAAACCAGGGTGTCCCGCCTCCTATCCAGTTTCCTCGCCAGGTTCGCTGTCCCCTATTTCCCCTGTTCTCGCTGCATCAACTCCCCACACACATCCAGATTTCATGACCACCTTTCGGGCCACATGCTCATCGACTACTCGGTTGCAGAGCTGGTTGGGACGAGCCAAGGGCTGGTTTCGTTCGCCACGCTCCTCACCATGCTTGCGACGAACCAATGGCGGCTCCAACACGACGCCCGCAATCTCGTCCAGCTCATGGTCTATCTCGACTGCTTGGCGTTTGTGCCCTTCTATCTGTCCCTCTACTACTCGACGCTCTCGCCCAGTGACTCGTACGGCTGCACGCTCGTTTGGCTCAACTGGATGTCGGATGTGCTGTGGAGCCTCAAGGTGCGTCTGGGTCTCTTCCTTGGCGATGTGAACGAGAGGGAGCGGGGGTTGCTGAGATGATGTGGCTTCGGGAACTCGATGCCGATTTGCACGAACGAATGCAGTAGACCCCCATGATAGAACACGTCCGTGCAAGTTATCAGTCCACCCCACCCGAGTCATTCGTCTACTCGCCCGACTCGCTCAAGACATCCACCTCACTTGAGCTACTGATCCAAGCAGAGGCCAGCACGCCGTTCCTGACAGCTACTCTGCCGACCCATCTGCCGACCCCATCTGCACAGGACTGCTTCCGAACGGCCTTCATTGCTCGGAAAATCCTGGTCCTAACCACTAGGTGGAGTCTCCAGATGCAGTGCACGGGCTATCTGATGTGCGGCGCGACCTCATATGCAATCCAGCAGTACCTCATCAGCACTATTTACGATCTCTCAAGTAAGCGGCGCGGAGGACCATTCCGACCTCATTTGCGTGCTGGCTTCTCCACCAGCCTGAGTCGCCGCGAACGCTTGGATTTCCTTGCCCCTCTGGGACGTCCCCGCTCGCGCCGTCAGGATTATCGTCTGGTCTATTGCCTGACTGTCGATTATCTACACGGCGAACGTATAGGCACATGCACCCTTGCCGATGCGATTGTGCCGTCGATGTATACGCTGCAGGTCTACTGGCTGCTTGTTTGGTCCACGGCTGGAGTCGTCCTGCTGTTGATCATGACGGGTCGCATCTACCCACAAGCAAAGGTGGAGGCGCCCACAGAAACCATGGGGTTGTTCGTCGAAGGGACGAGTCCGTTTGGACATGCCGAAAGCCACTCGGCCCTCACACCCGAGCACTCGACCGTTGAGACCAAGCGCGAGCATATGCAACTGTTTGGGGCCTGTGCCCTCAGTGTGCTCGTCTATGCGCTGGTGTTTGCCGACTTGGCGACCCAGAGCGATCTCGGTGGATACGCAAGTATACTCCTGGCGCTGGGTAAGGGCAGGCAGAGTAGTGTGCGGGATGTCCAGAGTGCGCGGCGTGTGCAGCGTGTGCAGAGTAGCATCGTAAGAGAGAATCAAGGCAGAGTGGGTACTGCTCTGGCCAGCTGGCCACAATGATCTCCCTCCCACAATGATATCCCTCCCACAATGATCTCCCTCTCACCGCCCTCATCTAACAGTTCCCACGACGGACCCATGCTCCATTCCCAGCCCAGAACATCATACTCCTCAGCGAGATCCGGCAGCAGCCACCAGAAGCCTCGTCCGAGGCCATGCAGGCTCCACCCAAGATCAACAGCACGCCGGAGATCCAGCCATTCTGAAGGCAGCGGTGCCTGTGGCCCGGGTTGCCCGATGCCAGGTGGGGCCACGTCCATGTGCATCCGTGGGTTTGCCGTGAGCCCATGGACCCAAAGCGAATACTACCGAGATTGAATCTGTGGACTCGCGGTGGGCTCGTGGTGGTGGACGTTGTTGGAGCTGGAGCCGTAGACATGCCGGACATGCTGGACACTCTGGATCATCTCGGCGGTGCTCGGCTGGCGTCGGTCGATACCTCTGGGCTGGTGTGCCGAAGAGAGCGCAGCTCCTTGCCTGCTTTGTCTCGACAAGCCGCACCAACCCCCCGCTCTGTTGGCTTGTGGTTGTCCCTGAAACATGCGCTGGTCTCGTTTGAGGTGGTCTCGTTTGAGGTGGTCTCGTTCGCGATGGTCTCGTTTGCGATGGTCTCGTTTGAGGTGGTCTCGTTTGAGGTGGTCTAGTTTGAGATGGCAGTCGATGCTCCGAGTTGCTGTCTCGGAGTGCCGCACCGTTGCGTATCGCCGTTGCGAGTCCTTTGGGCACTCCTCTGGACGATCCTTTGTCGCTCGCCGCTCTCCCCGATCGGCTTGCTCGCAGTCACCGCCGTCACTCTCGCTGCCCCTTCCGACGTCAGTCGCACCAGCGCGGCTGCGCTCGTCCTGGCCGACGGCCGCGCCGGGATCGTCGCCGGTCAAAAGCACTGTCCCTCAGGGCCGGCCTTTTGTCGTCTGCTCCGAGCCCAGGCCTGCCGACGGAACCTCCCCATCTCGATCTGCCTTGCCCAAGCCCCCTCCCCCAAGCCCAAAGTAAGCAGTCTGGGGCCCTTTGGGGGGCCCTCGTGGCTGGCGGCGGCCGATGTCGCTATCGTGTTATGCTATGTCGCTGGAGTTGCCGATGGTGCCGATGCTGCTGTCGATGTTGCCGATGTTGCTGCCGATGTTGGTGCTGTCGATGTCGCTGTGAGCTGCTTGGGACCGATACTGTACGGCACGAGTGTTATTTCTTTTGGCCCGATGCAGCTGCTGGTGCACATCCCTTTCTTTTATGCTTCATCCGGGGCTTCTTGTTTCAATCTGCATGCCGCCCCTCCCTTCCGCCTGTCCCGGCGGCTCGGCGGGCGACAGAGTTCCTGCCCCGTCCGGTGATCTCATCTCGCTTCTTTGCCGCTGCGTGTCCTATAAATGGATCGTTGCCATCCGTCCCACAGGCCGAAAAGATGCTCCGAGTGCCGACCCTGCGATCTCTCCCGCGATCCAACCTGCTGCTCGCTCGCTCCGTCGCAACGATGACCTCCAGTGCGTAATCCTGTCCGCCATCCCGCTCGCTATCTCTCCAGATTAGCCTGCTCGCTGCGCTGATTCGTCCCCTGTCCTGCGCTGCTGTCGATCGGGCTTGCCAGCCGCGACCAGTTGCCTGCAGCTGGTCTCTGTTGCGGCCGCAGTCTCCGCCAGTGTCCATCCCGTCCTGGCGCACAGCCTGCATCCGATACCCCGAGCCACCCGATGATGTCGGTTGGGTCAGCTCGTGCTGCTGGCTGGCCGTCATGTGGGGGTTTGGTCCGGGCTCGCTCGCACAAGCGACTGCACCCTGGTTGGGCCCCACAGCAATCGTCAGCCGGCTCGCTCGTCTATATAGAGCCCTCTTCGCTGCCGACCATCGACTTTGCTATCACACCCTGGCTCTCTCGGCGCCACCCTCGTCTTCCTCTTCCCGCACCCGGCAGCAGCTGCCCCTGTTTCGTGTGTTTCTGATCCCAGGTCCCGCTCTCTCTGTTCGTCGCCAACCCGCTCCCAACAATGACCATCCAACGAACAGACAAGGTTCTTCAGGTTTCCAAGCTCAACCCCAACGTGGTCAATGTTGAGTACGCTGTCCGCGGTGAGCTCGCTATCCGTGCCGAGCAGCTGAAGGAGGTAAGTCGTTTGCCCCGCTTGCATTTCCTGTGGCCAATCTCTCCAAGTGCTGGACTGTGTCAGCTCACCAGCAGCTCTCTCTCGCTCTCTTCTTTGCCATGCATCGCGGTGTCCCTTTGACCTGCCTCCAGCAACTCGCCAGCACCCCCGGTTCGCTGCCCTTCAAGACCATCACCAACTGCAACATCGGCAACCCCCAGCAGCTCGAGCAGAAGCCCATCACCTTCTTCCGGCAGGTGTGTCCATCGTTGTCGCTGCGGCTTCTTTGCCCAGCCAGCCTGTTACGCCATCCTCTTTGCGCCAGACGATGCCAACCACAGCATCGCTCCTCGTCCGTGTGCTGGCTGAGATCGGGGTTCCGTTGCTGTTGCTATTGTATGGGGGGCGTTGTTGGCGACGGGGCTGCATTATCGCCAATCTGCCAGAGGCGATCCGGTGTCCGATGGACATTGCCGCACGCGTTCTCTGATCCTGTCCATGGCTTGCGTCTTCTGCCCTCTCCCCCACCCATCCCCCACCGACGTGCAGGTTGCTTCCCTGGTCGACTACCCGGATCTGCTCAAGCCCGAAAACGCCCAGATCACCTCGCAGCTCTTCAAGCCCGATGCCGTCGACAGAGCCCGCACTCTGCTCGCTGCCATGGGCGGCTCCTCTGGCGCCTATTCTCACTCCAAGGGCATCCCGCTCATCCGCAAGCATGTTGCCGACTTTATCGAGGAGCGAGATGGATACCCCGCCAACCCCGAGCACATTTTCCTGACCGCCGGCGCCAGTCCTGGTGTCCAGCTCGTTCTCCAGACCCTGATCCAGAACAGCAACGTTGGCGTGAGTGTCGCGGGTCGATTCGTCCCGTTCGCATGCCGAGCACCACCGCATCCCCACCGCCTTTGCCTCTGCTGCTTTGGCTTTCATGCCCCTTGGATGTGGCCAAAGACACTAATCCAAAACTCGACTTCAGATCATGATCCCGATTCCCCAGTACCCACTTTACACTGCCTCCATCGCCCTCTTCAACGGCAAGGCTGTCCCATACTACCTCGACGAGTCTGCCGAGACCTTTGGTCTGGATGTACGTTGTCCAACTGGGCCCAAAGTGCACTGCATAATATCATGGATCTCGCCCGCCATGCTAACCCGACTGCGCCTGCAGATTGTCGAGCTCAAGAGATCCATCCAGGAGGCCCGCAACAGCGGCGTCGATGTCCGTGCTCTCTGTGTCATCAACCCCGGCAACCCCACTGGCCAAGTCCTGACTGAGGAGAGCATGAAGGATGTGGGTATCCACCAACTATATCTGCTGCTTCCGGCCAATCCCGTTTACTCAGCACTGCCATCTTGAGCAACGGCGGTCTCTTGGCGCTTTGGATCCTTACGTCCCTCTTGTCACAGATCATTCGTTTCTGCCACGAAGAAAAGCTTGTGCTCCTCGCCGACGAGGTGTACCAGACCAACATCTACCTCTCCACCCTCCCCTTCCACTCGTTCAAGAAGGTCCTGAAGAGGTAACATTCCCTCGACTGCCTGCGTGTATGCATGCCATCGAGCGTTGTGGTCCTGATGGAGCCTGGCCCTTTGGAGTTGCCGACCATTGGTTCCTGACCCCTTGACCTTTCCCTTGTGCCCTCCCCACCAGCCTCGGCCCCGCTTACGAGGGGCTTGAGCTCATCTCGTTCAACAGTGTTTCCAAAGGCATGGTTGGCGAATGCGGCCGCCGTGGTGGATACTTTGAGTGCACCGGTGCGTATGCGAGCGTTTGGCAAGATGGCAGTATGGCCTGCTGTGTCGAATTGCGAATCGATCTGCGATGGAGCGGCACCATTTTGCGACCTGCACGATGCACACTGGCACCTTGCTCACGCAGTCTACTCCACGGTCCGTGCCCGTCACAGGCGTCAGCGATGACATCATCGACATGTTCTACAAGGTTGCCTCGGTCTCGCTGTGTCCTCCTGTGCAGGGACAGGTCATGGTAGGTGTCGAGCAGAGAGCGTGGCGGTGGTTTGGTGTAGGTCGGTTCTGTGCCGGCACGACTGACTGCTACGCCGGTCGATCACTGGCGTGGACATATCTCGCGATGATGGTGCATAGTCGCAGCATATGCCTGTGCCGACCCGACTCTCGCGGCTATGGGTTTCGCGGCATCGTCCTTGCTGACTCTCGGCTAAATCAACTTGTCGCCTAGGTCGATCTCACCGTGAGGCCTCCCAAGAAGGGCGATCCGTCGTACCCTGAATACCGTGCTGAAATCGATGCCATCTATGGTATGTCTCGGTCATACTGGGTCTCTCGATTTGGGATTGCCAACGACACCATGGTTCTGTCGGTTGTGTCGCGTGCGGCACGGACAGCCGATATCTACAGCGCATGATGCGGACTGATGTTTCCATGTGTATTCGGAATGCAGAGTCGTTGAAGCGAAGAGCCACCAAGCTTGCTGCTGCCTTCAACTCGCTCGAGGGTGTCATTTGCCCTCCTGCCCAGGGCGCCATGTACCTGTTCCCCCGCATCGTTCTCCCCCAGGGCGCCATCGATGCTGCCCAGAAAGCCGGCAAGCAGCCTGATGCGCTGTACTGCATGGAGATGCTGAACGCCACCGGCGTGGTAAGTTTGAGACGTGTTGGTGGTCGGTGGTCGGTGGTCGGTGGTCGGTGGTCGGTGGTCGGTGGTCGGTGCTGGTCCGTGATGCTGCCTCTCCAGTCGTATCTGTCGCTGACTCGTATGCCGCATCATCCATCCTCCAGTGCATGGTTCCCGGATCCGGATTCTGCCAGAGGGAAGGTACCTGGCACTTCCGTTCGACTTTCCTGCCCCCCGAGAACCAGCTGGATAGCTTCATCGACAGTGTTGCCCACTTCCACAACAGCTTTGTCAAGAAGTACAGCAACTAATGTCCCATGCGCGGCGCTCCCAGAGTGCTGACACTTTGATGCAGCACCACCCCCCGTGGCTTATCCAGCGGGATTCCACAGTCGGCGGGTCATGTCACTGCCATTGCTCCCCCCACCTGTTTCTTGAATATACATATTTCCCACTGCAGCCGACCGTCCTGCGAGCCATATGGATCTATCCACTGAAAGGGAGGGTGGTGTGTGTTGCTGTCCGCTGCGAATCTGCTCGAGGCGCTGGGCAGGCCTGAGTCGCCGTGGGCTCGACGAGTATCCGATTCCTGGTTGCCACGAGGCATTCTCAAAGGCAACCGGCAATAGGTCGGTCTCCGTGGACATGCGTTGGTCATGGGTGTGTATTTGGGTCCCAGAAAACAACGACAGCCCCGACTCAAAACAGGGCGTCCGGCTTCGTAATGGGCATAAAGAGGAGGGGGGGGCGGATGAAGCCAACATATGCGGAATGCAAGTTGTGGATGGTGGTGAGGGCGAGAGGGGCGGAGGGGGCAAAAGGAGGGAAGGCGAGTCAAGCTCGATCCATTCTGCCCACCCCTCCGCCAGCTGAGAAGAAATGGAGGTCGGAGAGTGACGCAGCGGAAGTGGGAGGTGGATCCACGAGGCCCGCCACCTCAAGGCTTGAATCGGTGCTCCGAGTCGAACGGGTTCCAGCTGTGGACGACCGGATCCTCGTTGCTGATGACGGGGCGGCCTGATCGGCTCTTGGTGGGGCCGCGGCTCGAGGTTCCCAGCAGCGTCGAGATCTTTTCATAAACGGCACTGGCGGGGAAGCGCTTCAGCGGGAAGCGCTTCTCGATGCCGTTGGCGTAGACGGCCACGACCTCGGGCGGGTTGCTGACCCGGGGCTGGACGGCAAACTCGACGTACTTGTATTTCTGTGCCAGCGATGTGAGCCGTGTCTTGATGAACTCGACGGTGCCCTTGGAGTCGCCGCCGTAGCCCATGCGCGGATGATCGTAATAGATGTGCAGCTTGAGCAGTTGCGGAACAAAGGCTCCAGAGCCGTTGCGGGTTCGCGAGCCCAGATCCTGGTAGTGGTTGAGAATGAGATTAGGATTGGGATTAGGGTTGGGATTGAGATTAGGACTGAGAAAGGAGAAGTGGCAATTGGGCATTGGGCATCGGTAGGCGATCCGCGCCATTAGGCTGTGGCATTGGCGACGAGATCGGTCATAGCAGGCAAGGATTGAGCGTCGATCGCTGGGGCACTACTGCGATTGCACCGTTCGCAATGCTCGCGATCATGGCGGAGTCGGCTGCCGTCGCAATATACGCCAGCGACGACCGATCTCGATCGCCCATATGCTGATCCCTCCATCCAATTTTGATGCTGCCAGGTCCTCTTCGACGTTGTGCTGTGTTGTATTTGGCTGCGTCGTCCTCGGATGTGGGTCTCCGTCTTGTGTCGGTTTCTCTCGCTCTCATACTCCCGCCGTTTCACTCATTCCCTTCCCCCCCCCATCCACTCCCTTCCACCGGGCTGAGATTGGTAAAGGCGATGTGCCTTGGGTTCATTGGCGTACCTTCTCGGGAATAAGATTTTTCTTGAGACCGGCCTCGGCCAGTCGCTCAATGTACTTTAGCGGTGCAAAGCGCATGGTGTATGTGTGGAGGATCGACCCGATGATCTGGTGTTGTGTATTTGTGTGTGCTTGCTCGACTGTTAGATTGCTCGATTGCTGGATTGCTGGATTGCTGGATTGCTCGATCGCGTGGATGCAGATGTCCTCTATGAGCAGTAAGCGGGGCACCCTCAAGAGCAAGTGATTCCACAGGACGGATTGGTGCTGGTTCACTTGGCTGTCCCCAGGAAAACGCAAAACAGAGAGAGAGAAAAAAAAAGATGGATCGGTCATGTGTTTGCCGGGCGACACAGAACGGACGAGGCCCCCTGCGAGAAGGTCCTCGCTTGAACGAGGGCGTCCCCTCGTCTCGCGCGTTGTGGTCTGGTCTCGGCAACCCGCTGCTTCATGGCCTCATGCGGCGGCTTCGAGCCCAGCAAACTCATGGCAAAGTGTGTGGGAGAGATGCAGATCGACAGACGCAGGCTGAATAACAAGCCACCGACGAGCACAGAGTCAGCACTGGTGCATTTGGCTGTGCCGCATCTGATTTCCATGGTGTATTCGTTCGAGCGGCAACCAGTGAATCTGTATCCAGCTCGCTCCCACGCCATCAGGGAAGAGAGGAGCTGTACTTCCAGTGGCGTTCCGGAAAAAACCCCTCAGGGACAATGTCGCCTTTTCTTTGGTATCAGAGGCCTGGATCCTGCTGATCATCTGCAGACTGCTGTGGGCCTTGCAGCCTTGCGACTGCTTCCCGTCCTGGCAGGCAATCGGTTAGCTTCTTTGGGTTGTGAGCATCATTTGAATGCACTCGGTCGATTTCCTGTAATATCTCGACATCAAGATAGCCGAGTCGAGTGACTCAATCCACCTGCATTCTGCTTGGGCATGCCATTTGTTCATGACGGGGGGGGTGTATTCAGGATCCAGAAAAACAGCGACAACTCGGACCCCGAAACAGAGTGTCCCGTTTCAGTTTTGGGTACGCTCTACATCTTCAGAGCGAGCCCGATTGCAGCCCGATGCTGGTCGTCGGTCTTGCGGCCAATCGTCTCCAGTGACTTGTGCGCAACGAGCGTGCGTGTGTCGCCAGCGGGCAGCACAAACCAAATGGTATCGAATGCCACTTTAAACTTGCTCTCGACAACGTCCCAGCCGACCTCCACGACAGTGCCTTGGGCCTTGAACCACAGTTTCAGCACTGTCGATGGGGCGTCGATCGATTCGCCGTCGTCCTCTACCAGTGTAAACTCGCCAAAGGACGTGTCGGCCTCGGGTGACGGGAAGATCCAGACGGTTCGTTCGGTGTCTTGCTCGACTTGAATGGGGCGGGTCACTCGGCCAAGGGGAACTAGCGACCCAGAGCGAGCAAACAAGGCCCCGTGCTGCTCCAGAGGGACCTGGACAACAGCATTCGTACCGCTGGCGTAGGTCTTGCCACTCCAGACATCGAACCAGACCTGGCCGTGCTCCAGTCGAGGCAAGTACACCGATGATTCCCGCTGTCCCTCGGTGCAGACCGACGACACCAACAGAGCCGGCCCGAGCATAAAGTTGAACGACTCGTCCCAGCAGCTGGGGTCCTGGGCAAAGTCGAAGATCAGTGGACGGATCACAGGGCGGCCGGTCTTGTGGGTCTCGACATGGAGCGAGTAGAGGTAAGGAATCAGGCGGTAGCGGAAGCGTATGGCGTCGCGGATGATGTGAGTGACCTGGGGGAGTCAGACGCACCAGAGTGGTTAATTCGGGAATGCGATGCTCAAGGAGACCAGGACTCGAGCATTGTGGAATTCAGATGGGATACAGGGACCAGCTGGCGAGGCATATCAGGGCGACCAGTGGCATCGTGGGGCACTACTTTGGAGAGGACAGCAGCGACCGCGGCACCCAGATACAGCATGCGCACCGTATTTCCCCACGCCAAGCGCTGTGCATCCAATAACATGCAAATCCAGCATGTCTTACCTCGGGGTACATCCACGGCTCCGTCACGCCTTCTTGTTTCCACGAATGGATGCAGAAGCGAGGATGGAAGATGCCATTCTGGACCCAGCGAACCAGCAGCTCTGGCCCAGGCTGGGGCCCGCAGAATCCTCCGACATCGTGACCATACCCCATCGGCAGAGCCGAGAGCCCGCAGCTCAGTCCCATGGGGATGTTGTGCTTGAGCGTGTGCCAGCTTGTGGCATTGTCGCCGGACCAGGTTTGGACGGCGTAGCGCTGGACGCCAGGACAGCTCGAGCGGGTGATGAGAAAGGGTCTTCGAGACGGAGCGTGCTCGACCATGGCTTCGAATGATGCCGCCGCCATGAGCAGAGTCTGCAGGGGCCGGCCGGTCTCGCCCACAGTGAGGCGTCGGTCAGCGGAGCCGCCGGCGCGCAGAGCGACATAATCGCCATCGTCTGGGAGGGCAAACTCGTTGTTGTCATTCCAGATGCCGACGATACCCAGATCGAGCAAGCTGCGCACACCGGCTTTCCAGATGTCGAGAGCGCCTTTGCTGGTGAAGTCAAAGTAGCTTCCGAGGCCCGAGTCGCCTGCTCCGGAGCTCCAGAGTCGTGTTTCGGCCGGGCCACTGCCCTGTGAATTGCAACCGATCAGCGACACTCAGCGGCATCCGCGACGCCAAGTTGGTCCACATTGACGCAGTCGATGCCATGCAGTCGGTGCCAGGTCGCCAACGCCTCGATTGCAAATGAGTTTGAGACGAACACTCCGAACACTCTGAACACTCCGAACACTCCGAACACTCTGAACACTCTGAACATTCCGAACACACGGTATCGCTGGTGGAATGGCGGCCGGAGGCCACGGCTTACCGAGTGATGCGTGATATAGGCCCCGCTCTCCTTGCCCGACTGATAATCAGGATGGTTCTTCAGAAACCATGGCTTGACGTTGGCAGCGATACGGATACCGTGCTTCAGCATGGTTTGCACCATTCCTCTAGGGCCCGGGAAGCGACGACTGTGTGTGATGAGTGGCATTTGAGTCGATTGGACAAGAATTCTCATTCTGGATGAAAGGCACAGTCGCATCCAGAATGCCAATGCTGTCAATCGAGACAGGAGCCGGGGCAGGACTTACTTGTTCCAGGTAAAGACATTCCGACATCCATCCGATGGGCTCACTGGATCGAGGGTGGTTCCAGGGGTGTTGGGTGTCGTCATTGCCAGTTGATGGAGCGCCGAGGCGGGATTCAGGACAGGGTTCATGGCAAGTATGTTGCGGTTGAACATACGCAGACGAGAGCGGTCAGAACTAGCCAGTGGGCCAGCGCAACATGACAGGCGGCAGACGGAGCGTGGCAATGCATGAGTCTGAGTCGTTCTATTCACAGTCGTTCTGGTCGGCCAAAGCACATGGAAACGCACCGGTGTATCCAGATGATAGGTGCATCAGATCGCAAGGAATGTCGTGCTCCTGGCATTTGCGCGGAAAGTCCTCCAGGAGAGCTTGGGCGTTCTCGGCATCGGCGTATCCCATCGAGCTGGCGAGATAGCCCAAGGCAAAGCGAGGGATCAGGGCCGGTCTCCCAACCAGCTGGGCGTATCGCTCGACAACGTTTTGGAGGGCTGGCTGGGTCGGTGCGGCGCTGTGGGCAGCGCCAGAAATGACGTAGTAGTCGAGCGGTCCGTAGTCGGACCGATACACATTGTAGGAGCCCCAAAAGGCGTCGATCTCGCTGCCAAAGTCGATGGCGCCGGCACTCAGGTTGTCGTAGTAGAGGCCAAAGGCAAAGGGATCCTGGTGTGGGGTGCGGGCTTGCTGGTCGTGATCGAGGAGCATGGTGATGTAGAAGGGACAGACCTTGTAGAGCGGGTCGGTAGACTCGGCATTGTAGCCCAAGGCGTCCATGTCCTCGAGGCGGAAGCGCTTGCCGTTGAGGGCCAGCGGGCCGGAATGCTCGCCGAGGCCGAAATAGCGGTGGATCGGGTTGCGCTTGGTGTAGTGATAGACGCCTCCATCCAGGCTGCGTTCGAACGGATAGCCGCGGAAGGCCAGATCTTCGAGGAATGGGGTGTCGCCGCCCGAGCGAGACAGATCGAACCATCGAAGAGTCAGATCGCCGTGGTGGAGGGTGCATTCGACGCGAATGAGATCGGTCGAGAGGCTTGCAGTCCTGCCGGATACGATGGCGGCCTCATGGCGAGTTGGCTTTGGGCAGGGAAACAGATCGCCAAGCTGGGTGCGCGGAAGGCCAGGGGCGGTTCGAGAGGACTTGACGGATGCCCCGGCTTGGGGAACAGGCAATCCGTTGACGACAAAGGTCGGGCTGGACGAGTCGGCACGGCTGGTTGGGGGGAAGTGGGTGACCCGCACGAGGTGGTGGTCGAGAACCTGGACGGTCACGACGCTGCCTTCGGGGTTGCTGAAGACCAGCTTGCCGGGGTCGGGGTCGGCAGCGAGGCCAAAGTTTCCAGGGATGACTTGCTTCATGGAGAATTAGTGCGAACGACAGGAAGGCCGACGGTGCAGTCTCGGCGGCGGCAGATCAAGGCAGACGGAGTTGGATCAAGGGAGATCGAGTCGGATCCCGGCTTGCATGTCGCCGATGGCATTGCGCGGCGGTCATGCTCAAATCGGAGCCGCGCGGCCCGCCGAGGCCGAAGGTCATCGTTTCGTCCCGTTGAGAGCTTCTCGCGCATTCTGCAGCACTTCCACCGCTCTTAGGAGACCGGGGATGAGCTTCCGTCCTGCTGCGTTGCGAATGCGCAAAGCCAGGGAACGCTGCTCTGGGTCGCGTGGCGTGCCAGCGGCCATGATGCTGGGTCGGAGGTGGCGCTGCAGTCTCGTCACCCGCTCGGAGAGTGCATCGTTCATGCTGCCGCTGATACGACGAGAGATTCAGACCGCTGCCGAGTTGGGAGCTCGATATGAGGACAATACATCATCAGATCGGATGGAACGATGGCAGGAGGGTACATGGAACGATGACAGGAAAACACATGGAACAGTGGAAGGAGAACACATGGAGCAATGGAAGGAGAACACACCCAGCGAACACAAGCAACTTTCTCCCCCTCACCAACATGAGCACATGGAGCGTACCTCCAACCAGTAGGAAAGAACGTCCCCCCCCCAGCCAGCGCGGAAAGAGCATTCCCAGGCGGCAATGCTTCTGGCGACAATCCATCATGCGCCGCCCGTCCACAAGCGCTGAGACCCACTCCCCCCCCGTCACCGGTGCACCAGCCCGACCAGGCTTTTGGATAGACAGCGAGCGCCTCTGCGCCTGGGTCAGCGGGCGCAGAGGCAGCCGGCCGCCAAGTGCTGGCGCAGACCGGCGGGACACGGAAGCGCATTCGGCAACGGCAACGGCAACGGCCACGACGGCCCGAGACAAGCGAATGGAAGCGATGGTCCTTCGATGCACCTGTACGCCGTTGGTGCGGCCAGCTGACAAGCAATCAGCAAACAATCCAGCAGACACTCCAGCAGACAATCCGATTCACCAATCCATCCAGTTGTCGTGATGTCCCACGGGCCGACCACCGCTTTCATGGCCGCGCGCTCCTCGGCCAGCGGCGCGCCCGGCCAGTCGCAAAATTCCCGAGGGCCTCGCCCGCCGCCCACGCCCGCGGCGGCTCAGTGCGGGCGCCGCGAGGGCGTCTGGGCGCTGTGGGCGGGCGTCTCCCAGCCGGCGCGGCTTCGGCGGCCTCGCGTCGGCTGTGGGCCACAAAGGACATCTGCCACGGCGCCTCCTGGCCCAGCGCCGATCTGCCATGGCGAGACGCAATTGGCAACAGCAACGACAACGGCAGCAGCAGCAGCAGCAGCAGCAGCAGCAGCAGCAGCAGCAGCAACAACGACAACAGCAATGCCAATGTCAATGATATTGATAACCCCCCCCCGCGGTGATATTACAATCCGGGCGATATCGCAGCCCAAGGCCGGTACAAGTGCTGGAGAACAATCCTCCATCGCGCATCAGTCCATCGAGCCGATCCCATCCACCGATCCCATCCCGTCCCATCCCGTCCTGTCTCGCCCTGCGACACCGCCCGCGGCGCTCTCGGCTCGCGTTCGCAGTCGGCACTCGGCGCCTTGATGGCTGTCGCTGCTGCTCGCCGTTGTTGGCGCTGCGTCGGCGCCGCTGCCGTGTTCCCGCTGGCTACCCCCATTGTCCTGCACGGCCTTCCCACTGCCCGCACTTCCATATAAGCCGACCCCAGGCCTGCTCCTCCCCGCTGTCTTCGTTCCTTCCCAAGGCTCAGCTCCGTCGTCTCAACTTACCCTCTGCTGTCGTCTGGGCCCTCGCTTCTGAACGTCGCCTGTGTCTTTGGGAATCCTCTTACAACCAGCCACTACTCTCTGTTTGCTCAGTCTCTATCCAACTACCTTCCACTCACCCGCTCATCCCTCCCGTCCGCCATGCACACTTACCTGTGGACCTCTGCCGTGCTTCTTGCCGCCGTCGCCCCCTCGGTTACCGCCGTCAATCAGCTGGCTGTCCTCCAAGCCAGTACCGCCGCCGCCGGAACCGCCATTCCCAACTTCAACCTCAACCAGTTCCCCGTCTCCAACTCTCAGTTCTGCCGCCAGATCTTCCAGGAAAACCGTGCCGTCCAGGCCTCCAATGGCTCCCAGATCAAGACGGGCGCCTGCTCATCCACGCCCATGGGACAGATCCCCACCTTCAACAACATGGTCTCCACTCTGATCACCAACCCCGTTGCCGGTGCGACCCTCAACGCTGCCGTCGACAACACCGTCACCATCGATCTCCTCAACATGGCCACTGGTTTCTTCGATGGTCCGTATCCCCCTGATGTGTTTGCTGGTGCTGGAGCCAGGGCTGTGTCGAGTTGATTGCACCCGGCCCTGGCACCATGACAGCATCATCGAGCCACTGCCTGGTGATTGCAACTTCGCGTCGCGCATCAGCTGCGCCTCTTCCAGTGTGTCCATGTACTCATCTCCGCCAACTGCTCCCCATGCCCCCGCCCCGTTCACTTGCGCAGATCCCCAGCAGCAGTACTACATCTTCCCCCAGTCCCTTAACAACCAGGGCAACATTCAGGGACACAACCACATCACCATCCAGACCCTTGCCGTCAACGCCGCCCCTGATCCGCGTGCCTTTGTCTTCTTCAAGGGTCTGAACCAAGCCTCGCCCGATGGTCGTACTCTCTCCGTGACCGTCCCGGCCGGTACCTTCAAGGTCAACGGTGTCCACCGAATCTGCTCTCTGGCGGGTACCTTCTCTCATCAACCTGTGGTTATGCCCGTCGCTCAGCGTGGTGCCCAGGTGAGCCCCATTGCCCAATGTGCCTCCCGTCTGCATTCACACAGCGTAAAAAGTGCCATGTACAGCGGCTGGACTGTCACTGGTGCTGATATATTCCTTTCGCAAATAGGATGACTGTATTCGTATCATTGTTAAAAATGCTGGAGGCAACACCGGCAACAACAACGGTAACAACAACAACAATGGCAACAACAACAACAACGGTAACAATGGCAACAACGGTAACAATGGCAACAACGGTAACAATGGCAACAACGGTAACAATGGCAACAACGGTAACAATGGCAACAACGGTAACAATGGCAAGAATGGCAACAACGGCCGCAACGGAGGACGAGGTCGTGGCAACGGCCAGAACAATGGCCAGAATGGCCAGAACAATGGCCGCAACGGCCAGAACAACGGCCAGAACGGTCAGAACGGTCAAAACAATGGTCGCAATGGCCAGAACAACGGTCGCAACGGCCAGAACAACGGTCGCAACGGTCAAAACGGCCAGAATGGTCAGAACAACGGCCAGAATGGCCAGAACAATGGCCGCAACGGTCAGAACGGTCAAAACAATGGTCGCAATGGCCAGAACAACGGCCAGAACGGTCAGAACGGTCAGAACGGCCAGAACAACGGTCGCAACGGTCAAAACGGCCAGAATGGTCAGAACAACGGCCAGAATGGTCAGAACAACGGCCAGAATGGTCAGAACAACGGTCAGAACGGTCAGAACGGTCAAAACAATGGTCGCAATGGCCAGAACAACGGTCGCAACGGCCAGAACGGCCAGAAGGGTCAGAACGGCCAGAACAATGGTCGCAATGGCCAGAACAACGGTCGCAACGGCCAGAACGGTCAGAACGGCCAGAACAACGGTCGCAACGGTCAAAACGGCCAGAATGGTCAGAACAACGGCCAGAATGGCCAGAACAATGGCCGCAACGGTCAGAACGGTCAAAACAATGGTCGCAATGGCCAGAACAACGGCCAGAACGGTCAGAACGGTCAGAACGGCCAGAACAACGGTCGCAACGGTCAAAACGGCCAGAATGGTCAGAACAACGGTCAGAACGGTCAGAACGGTCAGAACGGTCAGAACGGTCAGAACGGTCAGAACGGTCAGAACGGTCAGAACGGTCAGAACAACGGTCGCAACGGTCAAAACGGCCAGAATGGCCAGAACAACGGCCAGAGATTTAGTCAGAACGGCCAAGATCAGTTCACCAGCAACTTTGCCCAATCCAACCAAGGCAACTCTGCTGACAACTCTGGCAGCTTCTCTGGCGACTTTAGCGGCAGCTTCAATGGCAATGCCAACGGTGATTTCAGCGGTGATTTCAATGCCAACTCGTTCTCTGACCCCTCATCGCAGTCCTCTGGCTTCGAGGCAAGCGCCAACTTTGGTGATGGTTCCGACTACATTTACTTTGTGAACTAAGCCCCCCCCCTCCACGGCTCCTCCCGCTCTTTCTTCCATAATGCACTACGGTTAATTTTTTATTCTTCCACTCGAGCGTCCCATTCTTCCCACTTTTTTTTCTTAGTGTACACATTTGTTTTGTGGTCGGCTCCTCCAGTAAACCATATGCTGAGCATATAGAGCGTTCGCAGTGAACGACGGGATCGTCCTGCTTCGAGCACATTGGTTCGCTCTCTTCTGGGTCCTGAATACACACATTCATTCGCTCTTCCTGCGATCGTTGTCAATGCACCAAGCCCAAGAGTCAACGACTCTGCAGCGCTGCAAAATGGGTTGTAGTTCGGTGGCCAGCTGGATCGACTTCTCATTCCACACCCAAGAGGAGGAGGAAGATCCACAACAGGACCCATACTGGCTGACTCGATTTGGAGTTCGAGCGGCAGGCATTCCGGATGTCTCGTTCCGCAGGAGCTATTTTATTCGGATCTCCTGTCATCCCGGAGTCCGCCCTACTCGCTGTCGATCCTGAGCATCACAAGCACTTTCTTGGCCAGTTCTCTCACAAGCACCGCGGGGTCATGCTGTCCCAGGCGCTTGAGTCGCGACTTCCACTCGTCCGTCGTCAGTAGCAGTGCCAGAGGTGTCCATAGGCCATCCACAATCCTCGCTTGCGGCTGTCCTGCTCCAAAGGAAGTCTCCGGCCTGGACCTTACGCCGCTGGGACGGGCTTCGGCTGCAGCGCCTCCTTCGGTCAGAGGCGCCGACAGTAGATTCTCTACGAGGGTCGATACAATCTTCAGAACTGAGAGTCGGATCATGACCTTCGGATGCTCAAGCCTGTCCAGCATCTTGTCCCTGAACGGCGAGCTCAACAGGATCTCTTGACATATCCGGCGTGATACCATCAACAGCTTTTGGAAAGGCCCGAGGAAGTTTGAAAACTGGGTGGTGCTGTTCTTCGAAGCTAGCACGAACCCTGTCGCCAATGCGCTCACCCCGCTGGGGGCGACCAGAACATCCTCGATCCTTGTCAGGTCGTCGCATATCCTAGCGGAACAGAAAAATGTTAGGGAGCGGTAATCGCATCTACAGCGACGGGTGCCGGTTTCATCCCGATTCACGATACCGAAGCGGCCAGATTAACATCGTCTCGATCATCTGTCAATCACCCAGCCCCGAAAACACTCGATCCTCTGTCTATCCCAGCCAAGTCGGTGCCACTCACCAAGCGCCCAGGGCTTCGAGGCTGTTGGCACTCCAGTACGGGTCCGTAAGGAGCTCCATGTACGAGTAGACTCCGCTGGATTCCCACAGGATGTTCCGAACGACGACGTTGGCGCCGTGCGTGAGATCACAGAGAATTGGTAGCGCAAACTGGCGGAGTGGGCTCTTGCTCGCCACAAAGCTCTGTAGCTGCGGGATTAGACCCGCGAGTGCCGTAAGCTCCTGCCGCTCCTTGCTCAGGCGACAGAGATTGAAGAGGATCGTCACCGCCTGGTTTTGCACTTCCTGCGGGTCAAATTTAGGGGGTTGCGGGGATGAATGAGTGATGCTATCCGGGGCAGTACTGATTCATGTGATGAGGCTGGTGGACTCGATTGCTTGGGTGCTCTGTGGGCAGACCTCCTGCGATTTTGCACATTCGTATCATCACCGAGCTCGACAAATCCGCTCATATGTGGCGGACACAAGCAGTGACAGCGTTTCCACGGTTATATCCGGACTCGAGCCGCCTCGGCCACAAGCACTTGTTTTCTCCTTACATACCATATAGCATGGAGAGCCCTTCTGAGACAGCATCGAGCTGATGAGCTGGATCATTTCGACGCTCTGGAGCGCATCGAGGGTGCTCGATTGCATCGACACATTCTTGATGCATTTGAGCACAACCACCTGAAGGCTGGGAGACAGGTGCGGCAGCGCCCGAGCGAGGTCTTGTGGTCGTGGCAGGCATTTCCGCGGCAATTGGAGGAGGGTGCCGAATGGTTGGAGGTTGCGCAAATCAGCATGACAGATCCAAGGAGTTCGGAACGAGGCGATATAAGGCGCCTCAGATCGAATCGAATGCAATTGAATCAACCGATCATCAATCCCATCTGGTGGTGCATCACTCCATGTGTGTACAAGCTACCTGTGTGTTGTCTCGACAACGTGCACAGAGTCGCTAGAGCTGCGCGGCCGAGCAAACAGCTCCACACATCCCCAACTGGCTCAAGATCATCACCTTTCAGACACTCGCGTCGCCCAAGCTTCTCCTTGATCGTCGAGTCCGCTTGCGAAAAGAGTAGCAGGAGCCCCGCCACTTTCTTGATAAACGACGAAGCACGGACATCAGGATCTGCCATGATCCATAGCAACGACGTAGTCAGCTTTTTGAGAACGCCATTTTTGGAGAGGATTTCGCAAAAGTAGTTCTTGGGCGTCGATCCCTGTGCGGAAGGAGTTTGGAAAGGGATGGAGGCATCGATGTCACTGTCTCAGCTGTTGACACACAGCAACTGAGCACGCCAAGAGGCACCGCATGCGCCCAATTGGCATCGAGGCTTGTTTGTGCTGCTCAAGCTCGTCAAGGTCGAGCAACGATGCCAGTGCATGCATTCAAAACGCTCCATATATCTGTATCTGTGAGGATAGCGCCGGCAGCGCTACCTGGAGCTCAAACACGCCTTCCATGGCGTCGATTGCAATCCAAACAAGCTCGTGCTCGGCTTGATAGTTGTCTTCGAGAAGCTGAGTCAGGATTGGCAGTCCTCGACAGGAAATGAACATCTGAAGAGTCAAGGGACTCGTCCGGCAGAGCTTCAAGACAAACAGGCCCGCCTCAAGGCGCACTTTGGATGGATGTTTGTTGAGCGTGTACTGGAAGATGACTGACAGGCTCCCCAAGAGGCAGATGTTTTCCTGGACTTGCATGTTTGCAACGACGACCTTGATATTGTTTGGTGGTTGATATCCACATTGGTAAGCATACAGTCCTGGTATTTCTCTGCTCCTTCAATCGTGCAAACGCTGCGGGGGGAGGTCATTTTGGCCTCTCACCGTGTTGATGAGGCTGAGCAGTCGACATGCCAACGGGGATGATATTTGCGTTTCCAGCAGCTCGATCAACGGTATAACACAGTGGTATGTGACGATCCGCGACACAGCGACTGGTCCGGCCGCTATAAGCATATTCAGCTGCATTGGAAGGATCGCAGTTAGAGTCATGCTCATGATGCGTTCCCAAGGAGAACAAGTCGAAGCACTGGCTGGCTGGCCGTCGACTCCGATATGCCCATCAGGCCCTTCCAGCTTTACCAGGTTATCACAGTGCTGTATGAGCACGGACTCAGGGATCCCAAAGCGGATTCTTGAAAACTCCTCCATGATAGACACTGATATCTTGGTATGATGCTCGTTGTAAAACGATGCTTCATTGGAGTGCGTTGGTCCATCAGGTTAGCCTTCCAGTGCTCTTCAAATGAGGGTTCGGATCACCGAGCAAGTCGAAGAGGATCAAGCAGAACCTGCTCGCAAGTTCCCTCAACTCTGACCAACAGCCTTGCTGATTTATCCACTTACACTCCTCAATCTCTGAGAATGGATCCGACTCGTTTCCGCTGTCATCCTGATTGACGGAATTGATTGAATCGGTCAGCAGCAGCAGCTTGAGCACAGGGGTAAGAGTACTTATAGGAGCGCAAACCGAGTCGTACGTTTTTATCATCATTATTTGACTCGAAGTCGAGCTTGTGGCTTTGGATTTTCTTGGAAAGCTCCATGTCTGCATAGCATGGCGGGATCAGGCAGCTGCTTGCGACAAGTGCTCGTGGCTCGGCGCAACTGGGTCTGTCCCTGGGCAACGGCGCTAGTTCGTCCGTAGGTACCCAAGCATGTTCTCTGTTCACGGTTCTGGATGACACCCACCTGAGTCGTGGAGAAAATCACCATAATCTTCGAACAAGGCGTTCTCGGCGTATTTCTCGACGGACGTATTTATGGCGCGCTGGGCGTCCTTGACTGTCTTCTAGTTTCAGGCACATGGGCCATCCAATACAGAAGCAAGCGCCTCAGGCTTCGAAATAGCCACGTTGTGCTGAAAGAGGACGCTGACATCGCACTGCAGAAGTACTTACCGGATCACTGGTGGTGGCCAGAGGTTTGGCATTCTGCATTTTGTCTGTGGCTGGCATGTTCCGAGATAGCAAAGCGCTGATCAGCAAAGTTTATGTACCGAGAGGGGCATTCAAGGCTCGTAGAGCCGAGCTGTAGACAGAATATGGCCTCGAAGCAGCTTGCACCCAGCCATGGCGTGGATTCCAGTGCGGCGGCATTATCTTCAACGACAGAGTCTCTTACGCTGGACTGGTGACTCGGATTTCGGGGCAAGCTTCAGATCCTGGAACTCAAAGTCGTCGTCCCAGCTCTCAAACGATATATCCAATGCCTTTGGAACGGGTTTGGCACCAGGCAAGAGGGGAGACGCAAGCGGCGGAGCTGATAGCGACGCTTTATGGATTTGTCCTCCAGTTGACTTTTTCGATTTTGTTTGGGCTTGGAGCCGCCTCGGAAGCGAATGGTCCTTATCCTGCAACTCGGAAACCTTCTTGGCTTCTTCAAAATCAAAATCATCGTCCCAGCTCTCTGCAACGGCGGACGCAATGAATCACCAAACTTAGCGACAGAATGTGCATGTTCATGAGGGCGGGCGGGCAGGAAGATGCAACCTCAATGTGCAATACAATTATTGTTTGCCGCGCCGTCGCACCACTGCATGCCGTTACTGTTGATGCTGCCGAGTCGAGCTTGGCCCTGTCATTCACATCTGGATGTAGTCTCGCACCAAGTGTCTCACCAGTTTCCTCTTTGACCATCTTCTTGGCACTTGCTGCCGCCACACTCGTCGAGCAGGAGCCCGGCTTCTCTGATTTCGGAGATTCGGCTGGAAGTGTTGTAAACTGTGCAGAAGCGGTGCTAGGGCGATGAAGGAGCTTTCCTTGAGACTCTGCAAGAGGTGTTGACCGCGACGAAGGCGGGGATGTTGTCGATTTTTGCGACAGATCGATTTTCGGTACAGCTTGTGCTCTCGCGAGCCGTTCAGGAGACTTGGAATCGATTGGCTGGATGTCCTGTGGATTGGCTTCAATGATCTGGACTGGCAAGGATGCCTCGGCGCCAACCGACTCAGGCACAAGATTTTCAAGCGAGGCGACGATCGGTGTCAGTAGAGTGCCAGTCGGGGCACCTCTTGATGGCGAGCTGACTTTCTGGGGGTGTGAAATGTTGTCAGGATCTCCTCTGCCTTGGTGCAGGCCCGTGCGCCTAGCATAGACTATGCCACTGGAGAAAGAGTGACCCACCTTCTGCTTGACTGCTTGCACCCATGGGTGCTTGGAGAGCTTCTTGGCTGTCACACGCAGGTTACAGTCCTTCTGGAAACAGTGGAGCAAAAAATCCTTGGCAAGCTGTCAAGATAGAGTGTGCGTGAGTTGGATATTTTGGGATATATCGCATCGCCTCCTTTCGCTTGAGGGGCAGGCGTGGTCTGACCCACCGGCGAAGCATTTTCAGGCAGCGGCGGATGTTCGTCTTGCACAATTCGAAACAGCGCAGACATTGGTGCGAGCTCATGGTACGGCGGCTTGCCCTGCAGCAGTTCGATGGTTGTGCACCCAACGCTCCTTCGGAGTTCACGAATACAACATTGATGAATTGAGGGGGGGGGAGGTCAGCGATGCACAACTTGACATGATACCAAGGTTCCCAAGGTACCATGCACCCAATTCATTCCAGCGGCTCACCAAATGTCCGATGCTGTTGTCGCTCCAGAGAGTTCGATCACCTCTGGCGCCACTGTGGATATGGAATACAGTTCGAGACCAACGCTCAGTGAATTTCAGTATGCGCGAATGATGTCCAAGGCATATTATAGGCCCTCTTCAGAGTCCATGGTTCGCCCTGTTCGTGTAGCAGCCAATGCTCCAGACTGTCACAGCGATGAGTCGACCGCTCAATGCTGCCCACATGCCGACATGGCCGACTTACTCCAATAAGGAGATCCCACAACGTGCTTGTCGTTGATGTCAGAGAGTTTTGTGGCCACGCCAAAATCAGCCAACTTGACGAAACCGTCCTTGGTTGTCAAGATGTTCTGTGTGTTGCAAGAGCGAAGGGGTCAGAGTCGAAAGGGTCAGCGATTCGTCAACGGGCCAACGCAGCACTGACCCCCGATCGCGAACGATGCTCGCACGGCGTTGGAGGCATTCGTACCGCTCCTTTGATGTCTCGATGAATGACGCCTTGATCGTGCAGATAGATCAAGCCCTCCAGCACCTGGGCGACATAGATCGCAACCAATGGCTCTGGGAACTCTCCAAAAGTCTTGCCGATGTGTTGGAGTGAGCCATTTTCGCAGTACCTTGGTAATGGATCCAGCGAAGCGTTGGTAAGCCGGGTGGGTATCTGCCACAAGCCATCAACGCCTCCGAACGCACGGTCGACTCTGCGGCCCGAGCCCGTATCGACCTCGCCGCCTCCAGCCGAGTATGGGCCTGCCCCCACGTACTCCATGATGATGTTGAGATGTTCTTTTGTTTTGAAGAATCCGATATATCGCACGATTTTTGGATGCTGCCGATTGATATCGTCGATTTGATGGTGTGAGTGCAAAGCGCTCAAGAAGAGCAGCCGACGCTTATGATTGAGGAATGATGCCGGTAATGCGACCCCGAAACTCTGCGACAGCCGGGGATGGACGATTCCGCGGCGGTGGTCCTCGCTACTTACTTGCAGCTCTTTGAGAAGATCAATTTCCATCTGCCCAGAGTACGCAATACAAACTGTATCAGTGACAGGGCCCGAAAGTGGTGGGGTGGCAGCCGAGGAATTGCAGAGGTGGTATACGTGCTGGCCCTACCATGATCAAAGCCAGCTCGTGCTTTGAGAGAGCATTGAGCTTCAGTTGCTTGATGGCGACGACCTCGCCGGTCTCAACATTGAGTGCGCTATGGACGACGCCAAAGGCACCTTTTCCCACACAATCCCCCAGCTGGTATCGATCTAACCGGACACCTGCGGCCGGCTTGGGCGACGTCTTTCTCCGGCTGAGCGAGGCAGACCGCATATCGGGCGACGAACGATGGGCGACTCGCAAGAGTGGGTGCGCGAAACGGGCAATTCGGACCAGACAGGCCTGGCTCCTCTCGGGAGTGAGCGATGACTCTATGGCTTCCAGCAAAGAGGACTCGGTCCGCTGGCGAGGGTCGAGCCGCCCGGCGGCCGAACCATCGAGCCACATGCGTCGACGCTGAATCAAGGCGCCATCCAGGCAGCACACCAGAGTCATGGTTTGGGCGGGAACTTGTCGATGTCGGCAGACGAACGGATTGCCGGCCCAACGGTCGTCCACAGCCGCACTGCGCTTCCGTAGGCCGGCCTGCACAAGGCAGTCGCTTCTTCAGTATCCGAGCGCACCATTCGCCCATGGCATGGCATGGCATGGCATGGCATGGCGAGCCAGCCGCAGAGGAGCATGACGGCGGGATTGCCTGCTGGCATGGGTGTTGCGGGTCCTCGCTTCGGTGGATCGAACCACTCCGTCGCAGGCCGTCGTCAGGTCCCCGTTCCAGGCCCAAGCGGCTCCCTCTGCATTGCCGCCCATCTGCCAGCACCAGCGGAAGCCTCCACCATGTCCTCCGTGCTGTACCTGGACGATTATCTCGATAGTATGCATCTGCGTCCTCTGGCGTCTCGCTTTTGTGGCAGAGGCGTATCTCCTCCGCGCTTGCGAACAGCAATCTGCCCCTCTGCCTCCGAGCCGATTCCGGCTTGGTTCCGACTTCGATTTCGATTTCGATTCCGGCTTGGCCCTGATTTCGACTGTAGCCTCGGCCGTGGCCTCAGTTCGGTTGATGTTATTCCATAGCGCACGTATACTTATCGTCAGTCATTCCATCGTGCATGTCGTTTCCTCATTTGCCCCACCGTCGATCCGGACCGACACGAATAGCCTCCGAGTCTCTGGCCACCGAGCTGAGCCGCCGGTTTACAGAGTTGCACGAGAACTTTGCTCGATCTGTTGGTACGCCTCGGCTATCTACAGGCTTTCATCCTCCACCGTGATAGAGCATGCCTGGGTTGGACTTCCTTGGGGTGTATATCTGGCCCTCATGATGAGCTCCGAGGGCATTCTTTGGCAACCATTGTCGCCTGTCCGCCGCTTATCCCACGTTTTGGTTGTCACAGCGCCAACAGGACATCTGCGAAATGATTTCAACGCCCTACTGTCTTGTCTGCAAACCGGTACCTCCGATCAGTGTGCTGAATCGGCAAAGCAGATCGCCGAGCGACTCGAGGCGCTGCTGGAGCTCACGAACGAAAACGTCCGGATCGCGATCGACATTGACGAAGTGGTAGGATTGTCCCGGCCTGCAGGCCGGTCTGACTGGCGGCAATGTGCTCTCTCGGTCAGCCACGGGTGCTCATGCCTGCAACCGGAGCCGGAACTGATGCCCAGCATCGCTGACGATCGTGCCTATCCTCGAAAGACAAATGCCCATGGAGGCCGCATGGCAGACGACTGTCTGAAGTTCAAGAACGATTCCGCCTTCCGGCGTCCTATCGGGCCTTCCAAGTACTCAGAGTCGGTCAGCGAGTTGCTCCCAGGTGTGCATCGAGATCGATCCACTGCAAGCCTCCAGAGGCCACCAAAGCATCCAGGTGAGCTTCGTGCCCGCTCCCGTACCAGAGGGCCCCGTTGTTGCTGAGAACGAACGATCCTGAGCTCGAGCGGCTGACAGCAGCCGAAAGTGCCCCATGACATCCTCGTGCCTATGCCTCGATAACGCTAATGCTTACCAACCCTCCATCGGAATTGACCGACGCATGCCAACTCTAGCGGATAATCTTCCGATCGGCGAGCCTCAAGCGAAGAGTGGGTATTGACCTCGAAGCCAGACCAGATTGCGACTACGCAACGCTTTGCGTCCATGCCATGCTTCGACGTCCATTTGGAAGACACCTCGCGTGCGCCCGCCGAGTCAGCGTTTCGGATATCCCATTCTGACTGTGCTTGGTTGGGGCTGATCTTTGTAGAGGCCACTCTCAAGGTGCAGAGAGCCGTCGATATCAAGAAGGACATTGCAACCCCGCCTCTTGTCGACAGCTCCAAAGTGACCTCCCAGTACAATGGCAACCGCAACGCAGCTGCCCCGGCACCAAAGCCGGCCCAGTCCGTCAAGCCCCACGGGCCTGTAAAGGGCAAGGATGCCAAGGTTGCTGAACGGCCTCAAGTGAACGAGTCTGAGCGACCGCCAGCGGGCGAGGCTGTCGAGGACGAAAACAGGTACTGCATCTGCGGCGAAGTCAGCTACGGTCGAATGATAGGTAAGTCGCCGAGTCAATATCTGTTGCAAGCGTGGTCCGGCATAGGCGTCTGTCTGGTGAATCTTGCCGCCGTTTCTCGACTGTGTGAATCGGATAGCTGACGTGTGCGATCCCGTTTGATTACAGGCGTGAGTATTGTGCATTTGATACCCTCCGAAATCCAGGCCGTTGTCACCATCGTCTCGCAGCTGGCTGATACAGAGCAACACCAAGGCTTTGCACATGTTTCCTGCGCTGACTCTATGTACTCGGGCTCTTGCTTTTGTTTTGCTTGGCTGCTGTGCACCCAAGTGCGACAATCCATCGGTAAGCGACGACTTGCACTCGCAGGAAAGCAGCCGGACGAGGCCAGCATCGGGTTGCCGCCTTCCCGCTCCTCAGCAGCCGCCTCTGATTCGTCAGACTAACTGCAAACACGCGCTCGTTCTCTGCACAACTGCAGTGCCCGATCGAGTGGTTTCATATCGGATGCATTCCGGATGTTGATTTTGAAAACGCCATGCCTGAGAAATGGTTTTGCCCGCAATGCCAAGAAGCGATGGACAAGAAGAAGGTAGGCTGCGAGGAGACCGACAGCCGAGACATGCACACCGGACTGATTATCATCGCGTCGTCGCCATTGTCCTCTGCCTCCGTCGCTCAATGATTGGCTGATTATATTTTTGTGTTGTCATTTGGTCGACATTCAATCTCTCGCAAACGACTCGACTCTGGGGCTTCGCATGGCTCGGAACGTGTAGAAAAAGTAACGTGGACGATCTTGGTCCGATTCATCAGTCCCTGTCTGGAGTGTACCACCATCACACAGGCTTCCATCCAACTCAATATACTTTGCATGCACTACAACGCCCACAAAGCGGAACGGGCCGTTGTGTGAGAGAAGACACAGTCATCTTCCCCTGTTCGTCCAGCGAGTGCCAGTGCGAGCGGAAATCCAAATGCTCCACATGCAATACCTTCGCCTCATGGATCGGCGCACTGCAGAGTGCCGATTCACACCCACCACAAGAGGGCCATCACCGTCGATGTACTCGTGATCGCCCCTGCCCATTGATCCCATGTCCAACCCTGTGCTCGATGGATCACAGTCCGCCGTCGCAGCATCAAATCAACGCAGCGGAGTGTGATCACTGTGCAAATCAGCCATCGTCATCGTCGTGTATTGTCAAGACCTGATCGCCCCGAACAGCTCGCCCCGATCACCGGCGACAGCGTCGATGACAGCGTCGATGTTGAGGGTCCAGGCGCATGTTCTCTGGCTTGGGCGAGCTGTGGATACTTGAAATCGCCCGACCACCCATCGCAAGTGCACGTAACAGACGTTGCATTCGGCGTCAGCCCGCATTGTGGCGCTACTTCCGAATTTCGACTGGGGCCGCCGTGCTGAAAAAGATGATTCGTGCGTCGGCTTTGGAAAGAGCTACAATCCGATACTGCTGACCTGGATTTCAAATCGATCGGAGCAGAGTCATCAGTCGACAGCGGAAATGGGTGGCTGCATTTGAAGCTCATGGGGGCGTCGCTGGCTTACCTGCGGGTACTACAAAGATATCTCCTGGCCCGAGGTCCGAGGTAACTTCGTTGATCGTGACGCGCACTTGCCCCCTCATCACACCAAAGGTCTGCGGGCATTGTAATGATGTCGATGGTTAGGGCGGCACATCGCTGCATGAAACTCGGACAAAGCGTCAAGCTGAGGAGCGGCTGGAGGTATCTCAGCTGCGCTTCCAGTACATGTGCTTACCATGGCATTGTTCCGCGAAGCTTTAGCAGGTTTCTCCGAGCCAGGGGGGAACACGAGCACACCCGCAGCAGCAGAGTCGCCATAGCGAAACATCTTCTCGAATGCATATCCTCCTTCTCCCGAAATCTCGGGGGCGACCATCGGAGAGGTAATGAACAGACCTGACGGATAGAACCCGACAAAACGTGACGGTGTGAGTGAGCTGTAGCCCGTCCTGCTTTCGTGTGCTCTTCTACGAGGAATCTCCGCTGTGAGCAGCCTCAACTGAAGCAAATGAAGAGACTCACGCAGAAAGTCGCTTTCCCCGCTTCGAGGATCAAGAACCTCGACCGCTGGCGGAAGTTCGTGCTTTTGCTTCTTTCGGGGCCCTCCATTAAGAGCCGAGTCCATATTGCCGTCTTTGTCATCGCCTTCATCGGTAGTCTCATGACTCGAGGGTTGGTCTGATGGCAAACGCCGCGATCCTGCCCGTCAGCGGTTCATTTGGAAAGCTGGCTGATCTTTGATCTTTGGGGAGACCACAGCGCCAAGGTGCAAGTGGGCCATACCTGACATCCGTGTCTTTCGGCGGCGATCGCTCGTACTCCGCACTCGAGGCTCGATGGCCGCAGGCGCGACCCGCGAGCGACCACTTCGTCGAACCGGCTCTGCAGCTTCTTCAACGCCGCCTGCCGTATTGTGGTCATCCAGAGTCAGCCATCGCCTCTATCGCGGCTCGCCACCTCACAGTAGCTATGATATTTGCGGCAACATGGTCTTTGGTGAGTGCTTACCAGTGTTTGTCTCTGATTGCTCGCTTGGGTCCTTTCCGTCCGCCTGGAGGAGCGCGCCACAAGTGCCGGTGTGTTCAGCAAGGTGAATTACGGTCTGGAGAGCCTTCATAGCCGATCTGGCCGGTGGCTGCTCGATAAAGATCAAGATTGTATCCGTGAAGCTGCTCACTCACATATTTGGGGAGATTTGGTTTCGAGATTCGCTCGGAAGCTCGCATCCCAGGCTTCTTTGATGCCGCATTCAGTCCTTTGAACGAACGCCGGGTGAGTAGCGCCGGAGACAGGCCACACGAAAGCAGTCACGCTGCAAAGACTATCCGCCCTGCCGACTCACGAGGTTCTCGATGCGGGCGCGTCGTTGAAGCGTCTGATGTCGGAGTGATGGCGCTCAGGTCCTTTCTGGATCGGAGTTCGCGCCGCAGTTCTACAGAGTCTTCGCCAGTCTGTTTCGATGGAGTCCGATCAGCCCGGTATTTCGGTACCTCTCCGTCCACGATCACACGACGTCTAATGGATAAGTCTTACTTCCTTGTCACCGAAAAAGCTTCTCGCCGAGCTAACACTACGATCCTTGTCGAGCAAGTGTGTATAGTGTGATAATGATACCTGATTTCCGCGGCTGTCGTCGGATGAACTCGAAGTCTCGTTCGAGGCATTCGCATTTGTGCCACGCTGTCATCGAAGAGGCCCAAAACAGCGAGATTCCGTCAGATATGAAGCGTCGATACTACCAGGGGAGGGGCAAACGATCGACAGGGAAAGTAGTATACGCCAGCGTAGACAGTCTTATTGCGCCGACAAATATTCAGCGGCATCACGCCAAGGCAGATGATGTGTTTGAATGGGATGACGCACCTTGGCCTGAGCGGTGCGTGGAGGCGTCGTATAGTACGACATAGACTCGTTGGAGGGTGTGGCGGTTTGCCTTTGTTTGCTGGCGAGCCTATCTGATCCTCGTCGGGACGCTGGCATATCATCATGACCAAACCCTGGTGCCCTTTCTGTTCTGTCTTCGGAGACACCTTTTGTGGCCTGGCCCTTCATTGAGCGTCTGGAATCTAGAGTATGCATTCAATAAGGCGAAAGATGGATGAGACAACAGCGTTCACTCTCAGCTGCGTAACAACTCGTTTTGGGTCTCGTAGATGCCCATTTCGTGGTGACTAATTTACCTCTACTCGTATCATTCTTGGGCGGCGGCTCGAGTCCACGGCGCCTACGAGAGGATGAATTTGTCTCGTGTTCTGACTCGCTGATTTCACCAGTCTTCGCAGAGCGGGGTCCTCTGGGATCATCGGCTATAATCAAAGCAAAATGTATCGCCAATCAGCACACGAACCAACTCCCAGGCAGCAGACATCCTGCCGACAAATCACGGTACCTGGTGCGAGGGATTCAGCGTGTGCCTGAGGCGGAGCCTTTGCGCTTCGTGTGCCGTTGTGCTGAATGTCGGCGGTGGTCAGTGAGGATGAAGTTAGGAGGGGTGGGCAACGGCATTCGTGAGTCGGTTGATGGCAGCTCTGAAGCGATCAGCTTACCTTTCGACGCGGATTGTAGCAAATAGACTTGGGTCGACGCCTGGCTTTGGGCTTTGCCGGCTGCGTCCTCGACTTTGTCGGTCGACTGCCTTCTTCCTCATCAGGGCTCTCATCCCGACCATCGCCGTCGATGCGTCTGTCCTCTTCGGCAAAATTATGCCGACTTCCGCCCTGGTGGTCCTCGTCTGTGGGGTCTGCGCCATCTGCAGAGTTCTCATGGTCGCTCAAACTCTCCTGACGACTGAGATCGCCCTGCAATCGCAACGAAGGTACATTACTGGTTCAGTTACAAAACACGCTGGTGGCCATCGCTGAGGATATCCATCATCGAACGAGGATAGAGAACTCGATCAAATAACGCACATTTTCACGATCGATTACCGCGCTATCAAGTTCGGATTCGTCGTCTTGGTCCGATGATGCTGGGACAAACTCACTCGATTGAGCCGTCGGCGCTTTCGAGTTGCTCAAAAACGCGGAGCGCCGTCTGGAGGGATGCTGAAATATGAGTTAGTTCGATATATGTTCGTGTGATTTGGTTGTGCGCGTGCATGCGAGTAAGCAGTGCAAAACAGTGAATCAGCAGGTTAGTGGACGAAAGCGCATCAATCATGCAGTGGTTGGATAGGCAAACTCAGACCACGGGCCGACTACCCATGCGTGAAAGCACATTAGGCTCCGCCCTCTGAGCCAGCCGTAGCAACGGATCTCTTTCGACAGCGAGCGACTCACTTTAGGAATGAGGGGCTGTGGATGTACGGGATCAGAGGGCTTGAGATCGAGAAGTATTTCAAGCCGCTCCGATCGCTTCCGTGGCGTGATGGCGAAGTCGGCTTGGTACAGAGTCCACGCCAGTGAGAAGTGATCGTTGGGGATACGTTTAGTGTCGAGAGGCTATCCTACAGCACGAGATCTGCACGAACTGCCCTGTGCAGAGTCTCTCCCCTGCCACAGTTGGATGTGATGATTTGAGGGCCAGCTTGTCGAGGAAGGCGGCAACGGCAATGCCCATGACTAGACATCTACAGAACATACATATCAGGGACTTTGGCCTCAGGCTTCCAGAACCGATCGGGATCGAGGAGCTGTCCTGATCTTCGTCACTGTCGCCATCGTCTGGATCGTTTCTGCTGCCATCAACGCAGTCATCGCGAGGTTCAGAGACGGATATGGCTGTCGAGGGTTGCTTGTTTTGAAGAGGTGCTGACCGTTTTGCCATTGGCGTCGGGATTCGGTTCTCCTGCTCAGGCAGCTGCTCAGCCCGCGAGCGCTCAGGAGCATGGGCCGATGCCACGGGTGTTGTGGAGCGTAAGGTACGCCTCCTAGTCGATGTGGAGAACGGAAACTCGGGCGATTTGGGTCCATGAGAGGGTTTTGCGGACGCTGGAGTCTTGGATTTGATCGTTGAGCTTGTTGGCAGTGGATTGTGGCCCGTATCGTCGTCGGACACTGGATGGGCGGGATCGGATCAGCAGATTGCCGCAAGCTGTTCTCAAACTGCCGCACACGCTTGCGTCCGTCTGGTTGTTGCGATGGAAGGCGTCCTGACACAACAACCAACCTCGGTCCGGTAGGTCCGTTTCCGAGTCGTAGTCTGCCATTGGGGGGAGGACGGGGTTCGAAGCAAATGCAATGACGAATCAGTAACGTTTGCCCGCCAGGGAACCAACATGGGAGTCAAAGGCCGCCGTGGCTTGGATTGCCCTTGAATCGTGCCAAAGCTGGTTGTATAAGCAAGCGTTCGGCGCCATGCCTCTAGGAGCGGCTGGTGCAACTGACCCGAGTCATCAACCAGAGGGGTTGCATGCGTCGATGCAAGCGTGTTGGGCATGACGACTTTGGCCTTGAAGTCAACAAAGTCCATTACGCCTCTGGCATCGGTCTTGATTGGCTCGACAGTGCGGAGGCCCGTTTTTCTGATCGATCGGCCGGAGCCGTAGCGGAGCGATTGCAGAGCGATTGCAGAGCGATTGCAGAGCGGTGCGTCAGCCACTGGCGATGCCATGAAGAGCCGGCGACTGTTGGCCGGGCCTGCTCACAGCCGGTCCGCCCGCGAGCGAACGGGGTGCTGCGTGACATGTCTGCACACCTGCCGACATTCGGCTCAAAATATCGATCTGGCCGGGGCTGGTACCGCTTGCTGTCCATGATGCCACCGGGAGGCTGGGTGCTATTGGGACGATGAGGGGGGGGGTCAGAGAGGCTTGAGCAGAAACCGACAGAGAGTCGCGGCTGATCGACAGGAATGCCTGGCGAGGCCGGTCCCAACCACCCGCGGCATGCATTTGCCCAAAGGCGGAGGGCGGCTCGATCCGGCAGCAGCGGCTCGATCCAGGCGCCTGGCTGGCCTGGCTGCGTCCAGCTGCACTTGCGTTCGCGGCTGCGGGCATCCCACAGCCAGCACCCAACACCCAGCAACACCAACACCCAGCAACACCAGCACCCAGGCAGGCGGCGCGACGATCGAGGATGGACGACATCGACAACGACGACGAGTTTCTCTACGGACCCGCCACGACAAGCGACCTGCAGTGTAAGCTGGGCTCGCTGCCCGCGTCTGCGCTGCCGCAAGGGATGGACGGATATCTGCGATCTTGATGCTGTGGGCTGATCTACCTCCTCCTGGCTCCCTGCCGACATCCGTGCAATCCGACGATCGCATCGCCAGCCCTGAGGTAAAAGCGTCACGACAAGCACTTGCGCGGAAACAACAGGACTATTCGGTGGCACTGCTGACTCGGGCCGTGCTGGCTCTGCGACGATGTCGTCGGCGATCTCGGATCTCCCACACGATCCAGAGCGTGCCTTCGGGCCGACCGATTTCACCTCTCTCTGACACCATCCGACTCGCCCTCGTGCCCGACAGAGATCCAGGCCTCGCTGCCCTTGAATCCGACTCCGACTTCCTGGCGGGTCTCTCCAGTGGGACAGGGTAAGTGGTTTGTGATCCAGCTCAGGCTGCCGATATCTTCGACCGCCATTCGCATATTGCTTCATACCCGGCCCGGCTGGCTGCGCTCATGCGCATATCTGTTACCGCATATCCAAAGATTTAATTTGTTTCCCTGGCTCCATTGATCTCCCCCCCCTGGATGTGCATTTGCAACAGGGCTGGGCCGATATCGGACGCCCGAGCAGCCCACGAGCACGACGATGACGATGGCAGCGACGACGCCGATGCCGATGAGGATGAGGATGTAAGACAATTGGTTCCTGTTCTGCTCTATATGACGCACATGCCATCATCGGCTGTAGTTAACGCGGGAAGAATCGAACGAGTTATCGCCAGTGAAACTCACCGCGACACTTTGTCATTCACTGCCATTTGTGTAGGATGTCGAGATTCTGCTGGAGCCAACCGATGGCGATGCTGAAGGAGGCTCGCCTGGACGTCGAGGGTCTATCGTCAGTGCAGCGGTTCCCGCCTTGGCAGCCAGCCAGGCTGCATCCGGATCAACTTCGGCAATCAAAGTCGTAGGCGGAACCAAGGCTGCAGGTACAATGGGTCGATTGCTGATCGTGATGCATACCAAACGACATCGAGCAGTCAACAGAATTGCATGTGGCTGATCGAAACAGGAGCAAGGTGACCCACAGAAAATGCCCTGCCCTGACGACCCGCACCGAACTTCTTTGGCCAGACACCGCATCGAAGGCAGTTGCAGTAGTCACCAAGTCTGCGGTCGATCTCGATGCCGTTGGACAGATCGATGGCCAAGATGTCTTTGATGCCGATCTCGAGTCATTCGAGGATAAGCCCTGGCGGAAGCCTGGCGCAGACATTACCGATTACTTCAACTTTGGGTTCAACGAGGCAACCTGGAAGGCGTACTGCGCCAAGCAAAAGCAGCTCCGCGAGGATCGCATTCACCCAAAACACATCAACAGGCCGATTGTGACCTATGAGTCCGGCATGGAAATGATGTCTTTTGACGGCGACCGCTTTGGTGGACCCCACATCATCGATCCCATGGGCATGGGCCAGTTTACACGGCCACCCATGATGCCGCGACCGATGCCGCGGGACGATTTCCCGCCTTCCTTCCTTGGTCAGTAACCAACGAGCTGTAGCTGAATGAAGCCCATGGTGTATTGAAATATGCCCAGTATCATCACAATTATCCAAGTATTGACTTTTGATCTACGTTTCCCAGGAAAGCGAGCACGAGAGCAAGACGAGTCCGTTATTCAAATTCTCTCCTCAGCTGATGATGATTCCGGCCGGTAAAAATTGGGCTATCGCACGGGTTGACAAAGGAAATCTGCTGTGTGTCTTCCTTAACTGACAGTATTGGCTCGGCGACTGCTCTCGATACCCAACAGCGCGTCCAAGGGGCCTGATGCGAATGATGAGTTCCACCTGCGGCCAGATGAGTCCGGTAAGCCCAAAGCGAGACCGCCACACCAAAATCGCTGCAATAGCGATGTTCAAGCAAAGAACTTACGTCTTGAATTGCAACATGCCGTTATGGATAGGTCCGCCCTTACATATGTTCCAAAACAGGGTGAGTGATATTGGAACCAAGTGTCGGCGACTGGGTGCTGGTGAAGCACAGATCGGCTCAACGTGCTCGTGGCAAACCGTCGATATCGCCTTCAGTCTTGACAATACTCCCGCGATACTGCGGCAGCTGCGTAAGACCATTCATTAACTCTCCACCTGGCATCGCCTGCAGGAGCCGTTCGCGCCTTTCCCACCCGGATTCAACGAGATGGGAGGCGGTCCAGGCGACCCGTTCCGCCGAGGGCCAATGCCAGTCGGACCCATGAGCGGGCCGCCGATGCCTGTTCCTCCTCGTGGCATGCGAGGACCCATTCCACAGCCTCTGCATCCTCAGGCCCCTGCTGTACTTCCGAGAGATAGGTGCGTTGCGGCAACATGCTGGACTACATGCTGGCTCCGCTCTTAAGGAGCCGAAATTGCTTGTTCCGACCAAGACTACTGTCTCGGATCGATATTGACTTTGGTGTGCTGCATATGTATCCAGAATGATATTCCCTGGAGAGGACCACGGCACTGGTAAGAGTCATCCGATGCAGAGCTGCAGCCGAGATATGTCGATCGACAACTAGGTCCGGCCCAGACCCTGGCCATAAACAGTGACTCGAAAATATGGCTTACAAGCCGCAGGCCGCCGAGCGACGCGGCTTCATCTGCTCGAATGGCCTGCGTTTGGTTTTGCTTCGCAACCCACGGATTCTCACCAGCGCTTTGGGACGCAGGACAACCCCGATTCCCCGACTCACGAGGCCAGTTCCAGCCACACCGAGATGGCGGCTACCATGGACCATATCCTGGCCGAGACGAGGCCGACCGGGTCAGCCATGATAGCTATGGTTCGGCAGGCCGCTTTCACGATCGAGACCGAGATAGAGACCGTGATCGAGATCGAGAACGAGACCGGGATCGCGAACGCGACAGGGACCGGGACCGAGACCGGGATCGAGACCGCGAGCGACACTCGGAGACAGTAAGTTAGAAGGACGATGTATTTCGCTCGTCCGCCGGTTCAACTTGGGTATGCGCCACACGATCCGTGTCCTCCCTTGCTCACACAGCACTTTGATCTTCGTATTGTGATATTCCGGCCTTCAGCGCGAGCCGCGCCGTGACAGCGGCAGGTGAGTTTCCTCCATAATGCCAAGGGCACCAGCTCACTAACCGCACCGCATGCGAGCCATTGCCAGAGGAGATGATTGGTTGCGGTCATCTTGATCTCGATATGAGCTTCTTTCGATGTGGCACGAATACGGTACTGACACTAACCTTAACCGTGCTCTCTGGGATACTCCTCGTTTCGACGGTATTAAACGTGCTGGATGTGCCGTGTTTGTACCGCCGTGTCCCGTCCTGCTACCAAGCCGCTCACGAAAGGACGACGAGGAAGCATACCCGAAGCGCCAGAAATAAACTTGGTCCACAATGTAGGGCATCCGTCCAGCAAACAAAAGCGCTGTCTCGGCTGCTCGAGGGCGAGTTCTGTCGGGGCCCAGAGTTCTGTCTGCGGTCTCCATTTGGGTCGGCCATCGCTGCGGTCGGTGATCGGCCATCGAAGGATCGCTTGCGGGCGAGAGGTCTGGGTCAAAGTTCATGGGCAACGACTGGTGATGGCCCTGGACTGGCTGTGGCGCAGACTGGGTGAGTTCACATGATTGGGGTGTTCGGCACCTTCTGGTCCAAGCGAACTGTTCCTGGCGACAATCTCACATTCAAGCTCAGAACCACCGCCCGAGCGATATGGACAATCTTGCCGGATACGGATCGTCGTCAGACGACGAGGCAGTCGATCAGACCAGCCCGGTGGCCTCCGCCAACCAGCGCATATTGCCGTCGCCACCATCGACAAAGTCCCTCGGCGGTCTTGCATTGGCGCTCCCTCCGCCCAAGCACACACCTACCCCGGCCTTGATCCAGCCGACTGGAGCGGATGCATCTGGAGCCCAAAAGAGAAAGCGAGTTCAGATCTTTCTGGATGTGCCTCAGGATCTAAACGAGGACGGCGACGAGATTCCCGGAGCTGCTGCAGAAAAGAAGCCCAAATCCGCAGGAGCAGGGTCGGGATCTGGGTCTGGGTCTGGGTTGTTTGCGCTGCTTCCGCCCCCGAAGCAGTCCAGCGCAAGCCTGCCGAAGCGTGCTGGAGGCAACGATACATCTCTGTTGGGATCGAGTTCATTGCTGGTTCCTGGCTCCGTCAAGAAGGCAACAGGGCAAGTTGCCCAGACGGCTGGTTCATCCAAAGCCCCGAAAACCGCGCCGTCCAAAGATCCGTCAGGCCCCTTATCATTCTTTACTCTCGGTATGACGGCTTCCGTTCGCTTCGATGCAGTGTGCATCCGTGGTCGAACTTTGGGCGATAGACATTCTGTGTACGTCGACGACGGTCGGCGACAGTCGCCATATGTTCGGGGCTGGTTTTGGCCACAGCGGATCGTGATGCGCTGCATCAAGTACTGATCTCTTTCTGGACGAACAACACCTATTTCGCAGAATCAGCAGAGCCCAAACCTGACGCGGATCTAAATGTATCGCCAATGGTCAAGGCTCCGTCGTTCGTGTATCATGAGCCCGATCCTGCACCAAAGCCAGCGTACGCCTCGGCAGCGTCAATGTATGCCTATCCGTCCAGTACACAGATGCACGCAAATACGTACCAACCGGCCGAGGATACGGGTTTCTCTGGAGCTGTTGGAGGAAGCATGTCACAAGGACAGTCCGAGTTATCTGGAATCGACGATGACAAGATGGTGCGTGGTTTTGATGAGGCATTGATTCGTTTCTGCGTTGCATGGCCGCGGTCTCGCTCGACGCAGCGAATATTGGCTCCGAATCCAGATGCATCGGATGCTCAGTGCCGCTTATGCTTGGTGCTGTTACCGGTCGTCCTCCTTCACGACCCCAGCCGCGAATGATAACCATGATGAATGTCCGCTGCTCACAGATCATGCGACTTGGCGGGCGGCATGCTCGGGGACCGCCAATGGAAATCAAAGAAATCCGCCAGCAAGATATTATCGGAGAAGGTTACGAGCGCGAAATCCAGAAAACCATGTCACTACCCGCAGCTGGATCCACCGCCTTTGCCGTTGAGTATCCGTGCTTCTGCGTGCCCTCGCAGCGAGAGAGCTGTGTTTCGCTCGACCCTTCTTCGCAGTAGCGCTGAATGAAACCCTTCCACTGTCACCAACCCATAGGGCATCCAATCGGTCTCAAAGCGAGTTAAATCCAAGCACGGCATCATGTCGCTTGCGTTCGAAGCCAAGCAGCGAGAGCAGGCTCTGCAGGAGCAGTATGCGACGGCCAAGGCCACCCGCAAACTCACCCAGGCAAAGTATGGTAAGACCCCCCGATCGCTTTCTACCGCTGCGCCGGTACACTAAGGGATCCGCAATCACCCGGCACTGCGAGGGAGGCCAAAATGAGCTTATGGAGTGGTATAGCCGCTCTATTTTCATCGAAATCACTCCCGGACTGACTCTTCACTCCGCCCTCCCCTTCAGGATTCTGAATCCCGAGCCACCCGCTCCAGGCGTTGATGACAAGCTCGTCTTGGAAACCATAGTCTTGAATACAGGGTCGATGCATATCTTTGCCCGCTTCCAAAATGGGAGGGGGTGGCATGCGAGCGCCGGTATTCATGATCCAGAGCAAGCCGGTCCTAATCGCAAATGTAGAGAGCCAAGTTCATGTTGCGAGCGCCGCAATCATGCTCTGGCCGGGTGCCACCCGCAATTTGGTTGTCAGCCACGACCGGATGTTCTGGGCAAGGGCCCCGAAGGAGTCAGAGGCATTGATCCGAGCCAGCTCTCTCTGGCAAGCAACCGATGCACGTTGGAGGATGGAGGCGCACTCGCTTGGTCGAGCCGGGACAAATACGAGGACCAGCCATTCGGCGAGCAGGATCGTCAGCACAACCGAGTCGCGGCGGACAGGGTCCGGGTGGTTCAGGAGAGCCAGCGGGAGTTCGATGTTGGAGACAAGCCGGAGCCAGTCCAGGAAGCCACCGACAAAGAGGATTGGCACATCGACCGACTCACTGAACAGCTGGGTCAGGTCCGAGTTGAAGCTCTCAAAGAGGCCCGAAAAAGCCTGATGGCTCTGGATGATCCGCACCGGGTCATGGGTATCGTATCGAATAGGCGAGCCACAGGCTCCGCTGCTTTCGAGAAAAGCCGATGCTCGCTGGGCGACAGAGTCGCTGCTGGGCGAGTCCCATAATGACCCTGGGCGGGTTGGCAACGGTGAGCGGGTCGCTTGGGGTTCGGGCGGTGGCACGGCCGGTCCCTGGCGAAAGGCAAACAGCGACCCAGATGGGACAATGGGACCTTCAAGAAGCGACGAGAACGGAGAGTTTGAAGGCCCAAAAGCCAAGTCGGTGTGCTCGGCCAACAGCCCCAGGTCCCCTGGGCCGCTTGCAAGACTTTGCTGGGGCAGGGTGTCTTGAAAGACAAGCTTGCGGCGTGGCGGATGCTGGGGAGCCGATGCAGCGAATGTGAACGACCGAGACGCTGTGTCTTGGCCAAATACGAAGAGGGCATCGGCAGGGATGTCCATGCTGGTATCTCGGGGGTTGTTGGGCGTGATGCAGGGACGTCGCGGAGGGGCAGCCGGAGATCTTGATGCGACGAGACTCGGACGGAGAACCGAGCGACGGCCGAAGCGGTTAGATGCGAAATGCAGCCGAGACGCAGCGATGGTGGGTGCGGTGGCTGCGATGCGATACGATGCGATGTGGCAGTTGCGGTCCCAGAGGCAGGCCAGAGCGACAATGTCGTCCAAGGCCAAGCGCAGCCCCGAGACGAGACAGGTCGGGCATGCGGCTGGCTTGGGGCGTTGTTCGCCGAAAGGTCCTCTCTTTGCCCATCGCAGCCGCCGGCCGATCCGCCAGCCTATCCACAGCCGCACTCCGATCCGGCAGCCTCTTTCGCAGCCTCGATGAACTTTGAGGATCGCAGCGAGTCCCAGCAGAACGAAATCCTGGCCCTGGAGGTGGGTGCATTGGGTCGGCACCGGCGTCTATCGCTGATGCCTTCGCTGTGGCCGTCCTTGAATTCCGCAATTGCCCGTCCTTCGCCGCATGCCTGTGACTGCATGCTTGGCCATGGCTTCGTTCGTCCCTGCCATGTACATCTTCGCACACCCAAAGTGTGTCCTGCAACTTGTCTCCTTGATGGCATCGTGCAGCAATGCCGTCGGCTCCTGCGTATCTGCTCGGACATTGACACAGCTCTTGGGCGATAAAGGCCATATATGACCAGGACCTCAAGCGATCACTGGATGGCACCAAGGAAATCTTCACCGTCATTGTCCGCCCTGACTTGCCCGAGTCCGTGCTGCTCTGTCCGGCTCCCGAATCCTCCCCCAGCCCCGACGTCAGCGTTGGCCCCACGGTCGCGCATCTGCCGCCCATCCGCCTCCAGTTTAGCTTCCCGCATGGATATCCAGAGAGTGACCCGCCAGAGCTGAAGATCTCCTGCTTTTGGATGACAGAGTCGCAAATTGATGGCTTGAAAAAATCTCTGCTGGAGCTCTGGAGCCATGAGCGAGACTCGGTAAGTCTGCCGCGATGGCCCTGGCATCGCCTGCTGGTCGTGCTGTGCTCTGACACCCGAAGCATCCCCAGGACTCTGTCTGATTCCTTTCGCCGATCTACTTCCGCACCGCCTCACCAAGATCATATACACGATCGTCGAGTATATTCGGTTCAATGCTCTCTCTTTTGTTGCGTTCGATCCAGAGTCAAACCCGGCCAGGCTGTTTCTTCCTCTGCAGCAAAGTCAAGGTGCTCGCTCTCGATTGAGCGACCACCAGGACGACCCTGCTAACTCCAACGACGCCAGCGTCGATAGGACTCGAGTCGATATCAGCCAGCCCGCGGCCGACCAGCTGGATCGCGACATGCTCGGGGAGCTGATGCAGTTTGATCTCATCGAAAGGCGGCGTGTTTTCGATAACACCACCTTCAAATGCGGCATATGCCTCGACTACTTCTCTGGGTCAAGCTGTCAACAGTTTCGAGCCTGCCAGCACGTTTTTTGCATCGAGTGCCTGCATGGCTACATGATGGCGATTATGAAGCAGTCTGCCGAAACTTGCCAGCGCATCAACTGCCCGGATCCTGACTGCTTCAAATCAAGGTCCCGCGACGAGCCCGAGGACTACGAAACGATCGGGGCTGTCGTTGGTCCGATTCGACTACGGTGGCTCAAGACCATTCGCGAGAAGGAGACCGCCATCAAGACCGGACTGGTTCCGAGAGCATGTCCTCGACGAGGATGCGGGACCGTCAACTACCAGGCCAAAACAACCAAGCTCGTTGAGTGCAGCCGCTGCAGATTTCCGTTTTGTGGATACTGCGGACTGACCTATCACGGCATCGCCAACTACTGCCCTTCGGATCCCGAGTATCTGTTACATATGAGCCAAGTGCAGGAAGCTGTCGAGCTCAAGGCCGCCGTGAGAGACCTTGGCAAGAGCGCCGAAGAGTACCTCGAGTTTCTGGAGCAGGCCCGCAAATTCAAACCTGCGTCGCGGGGTCCGAAACCAGCAAGCGAAAGTAACCCGAATCCCGATCCAGATGATGCCGATGTCCGAATTGCCGAGGTTCGAGAGCTTTTGGAACCCTGGAACGCTGCTTCAGAGAAAGAAAAGGTCGGGCTGATGAAGCAACAGCGTTTCATTGATCTCCGAGCGAAGATTCGCGAAGTTATGGAGGACAGGCTGTCGATGACGATTGTGTTGGCGTCAAGTCGGCAGTGCCCGGGCTGTGGAGCCCGGATTCAAAGGACAGAGGGCTGCCCACATATGACCTGTACAATGTGCTTCAGCGAATTCTGCTACGTTTGCGAGGCCCCGTACGGCAAGTGCCGGGGAACATGTCGAGACAAAGGAATGCCCTAGTCCGCACACTGGGCCCTGATGAAACGTGGCCTGCCGTGACGGCTAGGGCTGATCATGGCCGCAGCTCCTGAACAGCGCTCGTTGATAGTCCCTTTTTGATTCGCCATCGTCATATCGATCGCCATCGTCATATCGATCGCCATCATCATCTTGCTGCCCCAGCCGTTGTTGCAGTGTGGCCCACAACAGCCCGTCGTCACGTGTCGTCATGGGGCCGGACAACCAGACACCCTCCTGGCTTCGGTCGCATCGCTCCGTCATCCGCGAGTTGCTGTCTCGATTGTTCATCACCGTCGCCGTCGCTCCTGCTGCTCTGCTCCAAAGCCATCAAGCCCATCCACCATGTCCCTGTCCCAGCAGGATCAAGCCATCATTCGCGCGCTGCAAGCCATCTCTGATCCAGACGCAGAGCCCTATCGCCCCGGAGAGGATGGCGACGCCGACAGCGAGAGCGAGAACACGGGCCCTTCCGATGAGTCCGCTGCGTCGGCTCTCTCGGCAGCTCTACCTCCAGATATGGCTCGGATCGTTCAAAGCAACGACCGTCGACAGGCACTCGGTGTTGGTGGCTCGTTCACTGGACCAAAAGGCGTGGTCGCCGACCACCGATTCTTCCAGGCGCAGGAGCGCTCGCGTCGACTCGAGGAGCGACAGAGACTGGAGCAGAAAATTGCCGGCGGTAGTCTGTCCTCTGGCTGGCTCCAAAGACAAATCGCAAGCGAGTCCGGAGTTGCAGCCATAGGCGAAACCCAACTGGATGAAAATGACCGCCGTGAAGACGATCGCGAGCTGGACGAGTTACTGGAGGATTTCGAAGACGACCCCTACGTCCAGCAGTATCGATCCAAGAGACTGGTCGAAATGAAGCTGCTCTCGACCAAGACGCGCTACGGCTCCGTTCGCGAGATTCAAACCGACGATGAATTCGTTGCGCAAGTCGAGCAGAGCGAGCCCGACACCGTCGTTGTGATTCATCTCTATCAAGCAGCGAACACGGCGTGTCGTCTTGTCAATGGGCTGCTCGACGAGCTTGCCAAGAAATATCCATATGCAAAGTTCATGAGGATGGTCTCGACCGTGGCGCAGACCCATTTTGATGAGATCACCCTGCCGATTCTGCTTGGGTACCGAGGAGGCAGCTTGATCAAGTCGCTCGTCCGTGTCACAGACGAATTTCCTTCATGGAATCGAACCAACAGACTCGATCCCGAGGAGTTTGAGGAGCTGATGATCCAGAGCTTTGGGGTGGACCAGATATACAACATGCATGAGTGAAACGGATGCGGCGATTGTGAAATGAAACCGTCCGCTAGCCTTCAATGCCGAACGGCGAATCTGCTCTGAATCTGGTATACTGAATACACACCCAGCTGCCACCGGGAATGGCCAACCCTGGACTCGAGATCGTCGGGCCAGGCCTTCTCGTCCACGACCAAGTGCCGCACCCCATCCATGGTCCAGCCCGCAACGCCGCACATGACCGCTGTCCAGTCACGTGGCAAATCAATATCGGCCGAATTCGGCAGGTGCCCTGAGCACGGAGCCCAGCACCATTCGCTGCTGCCTGGTCCTGAGCGTCGTCCTGGGCGTCGTCCTGAGCATCGTCCTGTCTCAACCACGCAGCCGCTGGAATCGAGCACCAAGCTGCACCCACAAGATGTCGAAAGGCGATGAGTCCGAGGTTGGAGTAAAAGTGGTCATCCGAGTCCGCCCACTATCGGAGAAGGAAAGGTCGCTGGGCTCGCAGCCGGCCTGGGACGTCAACGGCAACACCATCACCCAGACGTTCCCGCCGGGAGTCGATCGCCTTGGTGGAGCATATGCCTTCGGTAGGTCGTCCTGCAGTGGCAATGCTCTTCAAGAAAGCGACAGCAGTCGTTTGTGTGTCCATTATGGCTCTCATCGTGCCCACTCATCCTTCGTGTTGGCTTTAGATGCTGTCTACGGCATGTCTTCGTCCACCGAAGATCTGTACCGGGGCTGTGCCCAGGAAGTCGTGGCAGCCTGCATGAACGGTGTCAATGGTGAATATCGATCGCATGAAGCATTGGCGAATTGGGATTGGCCGTCGACTATCGGCTATCGCTTAAGCAGGATCGGCGATCCGGTCAAGTCTCCTAGCCAACGAGCCCGATCGTCCATGAAAGTCGCATAGGGGCTCCCCCGTTTGATCCGATGGCATATGTTGCTCACATGCATACACACTCTCGTATCGGTCTCCTTGCACGGACGCCTGGGTGCACTGCAGGCACTATTTTCGCATATGGACAAACGTCATCTGGCAAGACCTACACGATGAAGGGCTCTGAAAACAGCGACGGAATCATTTCGATGGCGATCATGCAGATTTTCCAGACTGTCATTGCGGTACGCTCTCTGACTTGCGTCGCACTCAATGCAGCTGGACCAGGGGATCACACACCTGTAGCTGGACAGGTGGTCGATGGGATGTCGCCTTTCCCCGTGCCCCATAAAAGCGGCAACGGCCGCAATCGACCCTGACCATGGAAATCATGTCGACAGTCGTCCAATCGCGATTTTTTGCTTCGTGTGAGCTACTTGGAGATTTACAACGAGGTCATCAAGGACTTGCTCAATCCAGAAAACAGCGTCAATCTCAAGATCCAAGAAAACCCGCAGGTGCGGCATTGACACTTCATCTCGCAGCGACTGCTTCACCCAGATCGGTATGAATAACACAGCCTGCTACTTGTCACGTTTCTCTCGCACATAGAGCCGTGAGATGTTCATCAAAGGGCTGACGGAGCTGTCCGTGGGATCACTCGATGAAATCGATCAGTGTCTGAGAATTGGCGAAGGTAAGTCCCAGTCAGTTTGGCACACATAACCGCTTTGGACTTTGGTACAACGAGCCGCGTGAATGTTTCCTTCCCTGGGCAGTGAGTGGCATCGGAGTGTTGCGGTCTGTTGATTGCGCCCTACTGAGATAACATTCCTGCATTCGACATTAGCGAACCGACATGTGGGTGAAACCAACATCAACGAGTTCAGCAGTCGCTCACATACTATATTTCGGATTGTAAGTGTACATCTTGCGTTCAAAAAACGGCGACAGTCGAGGGCTGCTGTAGGTGTGGGACTAACACTGTATGGCTCTATTCACCAGACAATCGAGAGCGCGCCGAACCAGTCTGGTGCCTCGCTTGAAGACGTGCCTTCAGCGGCAGTGAAGGTCTCCACCCTGGTAGGCTTGGCAATATTGGAGTTTCGATATCAGTTGGCGTCAGTTCGTGGGGTTTGTCTCGCCGACCTGGGTACTGCTCAGTTTCTCGAGCCCCAGTTGGCTTACTGCTAACTCGAGTCGATAGAATCTTGTTGATCTTGCTGGCTCCGAAAGAGTCGGCCACACAGGCGCTGAGGGAGTTCGCCTCAAAGAGGGCGGTCACATCAACAAGAGTTTGCTGGCGCTTGGAAACGTCATCAAGAAGCTAACCGAAGAGGGCTCCGCGTAAGAAAATACGATCGCCTACCCACCCAATCTGCACCTGCCCAGCATTTGGCCAAGGCTAACACAAAAGACCTGTCGGTCGGCCCGTCTAACACACGATGAATCTGCAGTGCTTCGCATGTTCCTTACCGAGACTCCAAGCTGACTCGGATCCTGCAGTCGTCTCTGGGTGGAAATGCCCGAACCAGCATCATCTGCACGGTAACGCCTGCGGCGGCATATATCGACGAAACCCACAGCACTCTGAAGTTTGCGGGAAAGGCCAAACAAGTCAAGAATAAGCCTGAAGTAAATGAGGTACGGTAATCTGCACAGCCTATGAACGCAAGCCGGTTGCTGTGGTGTCGCCGTCGAATGGTTTCTTGGCGCTCCCTACCGGCGAGCCCTTTCCCCTAATGCCGACGCCTCTTCTTTCTGTGTCGTGACAGATCATCACAAAGCATGACATTCAGAACACGCTTATCAAAAAGCAGCAAAACCACATCGCGGAGCTCACCAAGCAGCTTGAAGAGGTGAGCACAGCGAAAGCCAAGGCCGAGGTCAGGCCTATATTGTTGATTTGGGCCAAAGCCGTGGCTCGTCTCCATCTTTGCAAGGAGATATTTTGCGTGTACAGTCGACAACGAGCTCATCCAAGCTCTCGGATTACGTACTGCTAGGCCACGCGGGCCAGTGACAAAATCGAGGCTGAGTTCAAGAAACGGATAGAAATGCAGATGAAGCAGCTTAAAATCATCCACGCTTCGTCGATTCAAGCGAGCGCATCCCGCATTCCGTCCAAGGTAAGTGGCGCCTTGTATCTGAAGCGCAGGGGCGTTCGCTTATCTTGCGCTGACTCACCGGCACGCTTGATTTCTCTGATATAGCGCAGTCGCGATGGCCCGCGCCGACAGACGATTGCGTTTTTCAAGCCGAGTGAATTTCTGGTGAGAATATATGGGAGCAAGCGAGGAAGGAAGGAAGGAAGGAAGGAAGGAAGGAAGGAAGGAAGGAAGGAAGGAAGGAAGGAAGGAAGGAAGGAAGGAAGGAAGGAAGGAAGGAAGGAAGGAAGGAAGGAAGGAAGGAAGGAAGGAAGGAAGGAAGGAAGGAAGGAAGGAAGGAAGGAAGGAAGGAAGGAAGGAAGGAAAGATATGATCGAATATGCTCGATAGATTATGGGTTAACACGGGTTATAGCTTGAGGATACAGCTGATGATGAAAACGGCGGCACTGCCGAAGGCAACGTCGGTGAAATCGACGGAGAGCCTGTGCGCAAAAAACGACATGTAGGTTGTTCGATCGTGTACGCCATGATCGATGGCGTTCGTTTCATGCCGCCGCATACTCCTCGATGATGCCTTGTCGCTAACCGCCATGAACTCAATCCAAGGTTTCGTTTGGAACAAGTACGAAGGGTGAGCAAAGCCTTGTGGCCCCATCCTACGTCGAGTTTGCCGAGCTGTCCAAGGTAAGGAAAGATTGCGTCGTCGGCTCCGATTCCGGAAGAGCGTTGTCTTGGATCAACCCCATATTCACCCTTTGAGTTCCGAATCTGTGCCACATCTAGAGTGCTTGGAAAGCTAAAACACTGCAAGTTGTCGACCATCTTGTCAACGAAGTCGATTGTCCCGATCCTCCGTCTGAGCTCAAAGTATGCTGCCCAACTATTTCGAGGCTACGCGCTTGTATGGTGCCTGGAGAGCGACGAGTACCTGTGTTATTTGGTTGACCCGATGCGATTTGCAGAGCCTGGTCGACTATGTGGAGAATCTTCGCGATTCAAATTTCGAGTTGGCCAAGATTCACCAACGTCACAGCCGGAGGCTGCAATCCGAACATGCATCAATCGAGTTTTTGGAGCTTGAAGCGACATGCAATAGCGCTGTACTCCTCGAACGAGCCGAGAACGCCCAAAAGGTACTCATGCAGACTCACCATCGTAGTGTTTGAATACTTGCGAGGCGATCGTGGGCTCTGACAAACTCAGGCATGCACGAAGCTGTTACAGCAAGTACTAACACCGTTACCGCCTCCATTTTTCAACGGTGTATTTAGGTCATACGGCAGCTTGAAGCCGAGGTTGAGCGATACAAAGCACAAATACTCGAGACTCAGCTAACCTCGATATCTCTGGAGGAGCAGTTGCGGGTTTCAATGGAGAGCGTTTCTCGCCTTGAATTTGCTGTACAGGGGTCACAAAATGAGCTTGAACAGCTCCGCTCCCAGCGTTCCAATGCCGTAAACGAACTAGCGGCACTGGCGGAAAGCTCATCCAAGGCCGCTGCCGACCAAGGGCGGCAGATCAAAGCGCTTGAAGTTCAGTGCTCCGACTACACGCATCAAATCACGGCAATGACCCAGACCGTGGAGAGCCAAAATGCCGAGATCCTACAGCAACAGGAGGCGCTGAAGCAGAGCCGACAAGAGTCATCCGAGCTTAGAGTCGCGAACGAGCGCTGGGCTGCCGAAGTTGCACACGCCCGGACGCTGCTGGACTCTCAGCAAACTGAGTCACAGTCGTTCTCCAGCTTCTATAGAGCCCTCAAGGACAGCATCCTCCAGCACGTGGGGACGTTGGCTGATTCGAAATCCATCTCCACGACTGGTGGCTCTGACGACGGGCTCGAACACATCCGTGTCCTGCTGAATCAGACTCTGGCCCCAGGCGACCTTGCTGCCGAGATGGGTCGGATGCTGGGACTCCTCGATGCAAACATCCGCCGTGCTTCTGTGGATAAGTCAAAGTCAGAGCTTTCTGAGATGCAACTAGCAAGTGAGCTGACTCAAGTAAAGGCTGAGCTTGAGAGCGTGGTTGACAAGTTGAGCCGCTCCCAGTCGGAACTCGAGAGCCAAAGCACCAAATTGCACCAACTCCAAGCACATTATGACCAGCAGGAGGCTACCAGCGGAGAGCTGCTTGTAAAGGTGAGCAAGCCACCGTCCCAGTAGCCGGATATACTTGTGTTTGGTGACGGAGGTGCTTGCTTCGGCTTCGTCCCAACTGATGGTCAATGCTTGGCTGGAACGTACAGATGGAAGATGAGCAAAAGCAAGAGAAAGATTTGCATCGAACCGAAATAGCTGAGCAAAAGAGCATGCTGAGCTCATCCGAGGCCCAGGTTGCGGCCCTCAAAGCCGAGCTTCATGAGAAGGTTCGAGCTACACCTCACTTTCATCTGCGTTGCTCGACTCTCTGACTCAAGACCACACAACTAACCAATTCGCTTTGCAGACTGCCAGACTGAGGGAGCTTGAGCCTCTCGAGGCCTTACGCCAAGCCCATACTACTCTAGAGCGCAGGCTTGTGGACCTCGAAACAGAGCTGAGAAACTGCACAAACGAGCGCGATCAACTCATCAACGAGCGGGTAAGCGACGATGGAGCCCGTGGGTGACTTTATAGCAGCAACATCCACTCATCGACTCTGCTCTACAGGAAGCCGAGGTTGCTGTAGCAAAGGGACTGACTGAGAGCTTCGAGGCTGTTGAGGCAGGCCTGAGAACCGTGGAGCAGCGGCTGGCACAAGCAAAGTCGAATCTCGCTGAAGTAAGTGATATTTGGGGCATTTTCGCTGGCAACAGGCCCTCGGCGCTGTCTAGCGATCGATACACGACAGTTTGAAGACCTGCAGCCTTCAAGGCACGAGGCACTACTAACCTGGACTGGCGGCGCCTGCAGTCCAATGCCCAAAACTCAGAACTGAAAGCCCAGAACACAAAAATGCTGAGTGAGATCAAGGCCAGTGCCGAATCGACTCAAGAGCTTCAGCGCGAGAACGCCCAGGTGCGTCGGTGCACGATTTTTGCTCCAGTAGTGCTGTCCATTGGATCTGTACTCATTTCCACACCACTTTCAGCTCGAACAGCGTATTCAGACTCTTTCCCAGAGGCTCGTGGAGCTGGAGAGTCAACACCAATCCCAGACTGAAGCGCTGGCGCAAAGTAACCTGAGCCTTGAGGAGGTCGGTGCTCGAACTTTGTTTACGCCTCCACTGTCCTCTCCACTTTGCGGACTGCATATATCATATCTGTGGGAGGGGCTGCTGTTGATCCCTTGGATCGATACAGGTGGCTCACTTGCTCTGACTACTATCTCTGCGCTTCTCAATGGACACTGTTTTCAGATCAAGGCAGAGCGAGCTCAACTTTCGCTGCGTGTGTCGGAGCTGCAATCGTTCGAGCAGAGGTAAGATGTTTTGCGTCCAGCGGAGTGCAAATATGCAGGAGATGATACCTCTATGTTGAGTATTGATGAACAGCTGTGAAGGAGTGCTGACTGAAAGTGTATCAACTTGGTTCAGATACCTGAATGCGCAATCGGAAATGCAAAGTGCCCAGGAAAGCCTCCAAGAACATGTAGGTCTAGGCACAATTCCACGCCTGAGCGAACTTTGAGGATGCTGATTCATGCGTTTCTGTCAACCGATCTCAGAGTGACAGCATCGTGGTCCTCTCCGGTCAAGTAGAAGCCACGAACCAAGCCTACGAGGTAGATACCGATAGCATCTCCTTTGGAACGCCGAGTACCGACGGCTCTTGTCGCGCGTGCCACCTGCTGATTCCCAAATTTCGGTACTATACCACATCGAACGTCCCACAGGCGCAAAAAGTCGAAAACCACTCTCTGAAAGATGCGCTTTCCAAAACGGCCGCTCAGAGCATGCTGTTGGAAGGGCAAGTTGCCGATCTGCAGCGACAGCTCGATGAGAACGTGAGCAGCTTGGCTGCTCTCGGGACCGCCCAGGCCAAAAATGGCGATTTTGAGTTGGTTATCGCCCAGCTCGAGGCCAAGATTCAGGTAAGGCCGTGACGGCGCAAAAGTAAATTTGCGTACATGGCAGCTCGACAGCTGATATTTTGCGGCAACAGACACAGCGAGATCAGTTGGAAGCCGACTCGACACGAAACCAGCAGCTTGAAACTCAGATAAGCGAACTTTGCAAGAATCTCGACCGCCAAAGCGAAGAGCGCGAGAGCATGCTGCGGGATCACTCGGATGCGTCCGATGCCTGTTTGAAGAAGATTTGCGCTCTTGAAGCACGGGTCCAGGTGCGATAGCCATAGCACGGAGGCCCAACACTGCGGGTGCGTGGCGTAGTGGCTGCTTCGAGGCGAGTGTCTGATATGGCCTTTGGTATGCGTTAGGAGCTGCAAGCCGCCGTCGATGTTGCCTCGGAAAACTTGACCTCCAAAGCCACCGAGTCCGAGTCGCTACAACGCCAGCTGGACGAGCTCAACCGAGCCTTCGAAGCACAAAAGACTTGCGCAGAGAATGGTGTTGTGGCAGAGTCGCGAAACCAAGACCTGCAAGAGAAGGTGAAGCGTCTCGAGGTGGATCTAGAGGTAAGGCTCTAGGGTTCGAAAGCAGCCTTCGAGTGGGTCCCAAAATGCGCCTCTTATTCCCGATGCGAACATTTTTGATAGGCTGAGAGATGCAAAGCTGAGGAGCTACTCGTCGAGATCGAGCAAGTCACAGTAGCTCGAAACGAATTGGAGGCTCAGCTCTGCAGCTCACGTTCGCTCGCTGAGCAATTTGAAGCCGATCTGGCGAATCAAAAATGCGCTTCCGAAAGTCTACGTAGTCAGCTGCAATCGGTTCAAGAGGACTTGCGGGTAAGCGATGTATTTCACCCTGCTGAGAACGTGCACACTCATCATCAGGCGCGCTAACATGGTCTTGGTGATGTACTAGATGCAAGCACAACAGCTTGCCTTGGTGGCAGCTGAGAAAGAGGAATGCTCCCAAGTAGTGAGGCGGCTTGAAGAGCACCTGGAGACCCAGAAGACCACTGCTGCTGTGGAGGCTGCACGCGCTTCGGAAGAATACCGCAAGCTGTCACTGCAGCTGGAGCAGGCCGAGGCTGAACATCTGGTACGACCCTAACTCAGTCGGTCGCGCTCGAAGCGGCATGGGGTACTTGATGCTTCGAGGAATCTGATGATCGGTTCATTTGCATGATTGATTGTAGATCCAGAATACGCGAATTGCTGAGCTCCAAGACAGACAACAAGAGAGGGACGCCCAGACACAAGAGCACCAACGTCAGTATAGCAACATGCAGGAGCGGTGCCAAAAAATGGAGCACGAGGTTATTTCGACCCACAAGGACTTGCAAACCTTATCCGAGATGCACAAGAGTGTCAAAGAAGCCTCCGATACCCTTGAACAGCAACTAAATAGCGTCCGTTCGGGTAAGCTGTCGCTCGCGTTTGCAAAGCTCAAGCGGTGTCTCATCCCGAATCATAACACGCATCCATCATGCCCACAACATGCGATCTCCAGAAAAAGAGGCCCACGCCAAATCTATCCAAGATCTTGAGCTGCGACTGGAAAATATGACTACAGTCATCAAGGTATGCTCTTGCTGTGTCTATCGGAGCGACCGGATGGAGACTAACACTGTGGCATGTCACAGACCCGCGATGACCGCATTCAAAGTCTACAGAGCGAACTTGAGGAGCGCACCGAAAACATGCACCGAGCACACCAGGTAGCGCTGAGCGTGATCGATTGCAATGACACGGGCTGTGGCTCAGGGGCTCACTGTGGCTATCCTTACCATCAATCAATGGCACCAGGAGCTGTGCGCTCATCGAGAAGATCTCCAAGCTCAGCTCGAGTCCTGCCTGAATGATCTCAATGCCGCTCGTCACGGTCAGTATCTTTTCCAAAGGATGTAGCTGGACAAAATCATTTGTTTGTTTCTTTGCTAACATTGCGCCTGACCCGCTGTAGACCTCTCGTTGGAGAAAAAGTCTGTCCTGACGGCCAAGAATGAGCTCTCTGTCCAAGTCCAGGCTGCCCGATCGCAAATCGAAGAGCTTTCGACCAGAAACGAAGTGAGTCTCCATTTGTTTCCCTTGGAATGGCGCAGTAGAGCATCGGCGACATTGTATGTGCAGCGCTATATAATAACCACAGTCATTCCACCAGGGGCTGCTGATACAAGTCCAGGATCTATCTGAGGAGCTGAAGCACAAGCAGCAGTCGCTCGATGAGATAAAGGCTCGCCAAAGTCAGCTTCTTGAGGTTAGTCGTGACTGGTAATTGGTTTTGCAGTTGGACCCGAGCTAAAACCAATTGGCCATCCAGAACATGCAACAAAAATCCAACGAATATGAGATTTTGGAGCAACGATCGATCGGACAGGAGAAGCAACTCCAGCAACAGTCTGAAGAAATCGAGCGTCTTGGCACCGAACTGCATGATGTGGTAAGCTCGACAGCGATTTCGAATACCGTAGCTAGCATTGCTTCACAGCTGCAAGCGCGCTCGCGTACTAATATTGCTAATCGACGCCATCAAATCAAAACACTGTGGACACACAGGAATCCAAGATCTCCGCCAAGGAAAAAGAGCTGCATAGTGCCATGCGGTGCCGCGAAGAAGAGCTGCAGGCCAAGCTGGAGCAGTCCCACGCCGAAAAAATACGGGCCATAGAAAAGGAACGGAGATCGCTTCAAGAGCTCATCAATGAGGCCACCAAAGGCGTGCAGCTGTCGAACGATGAAAAGTATGCGAAGCTCATGCAAACACAGACCGCAAAATATTCTCTGGACATCCAAGCACTCAAGGTACTATTGTAACTGGCTGGGCGCTGCCGGCTCGAAGCGATGGTGCAACTGCAATACTGATGCGTTCTCTCTCTCTCTCTCTCGCTCTCTCTCTCTCTCTCTCTCCCTCTCTCTCCAGGAAAAGTACACCAAACTCCAGACGACGCATGAGAAAGAGTGCCAGCATTTCCGAAAACTTATCGAAGAGCAAGACGAGCGGATTCGGCTGCTCCAGTAAGCCAAGCCGGACGAGATCTACCTTCTGACTTCGGTGGTGCTCTGCTCGTCGTTCGGCTCCGTAACTCGTACACTATGCTCATCAACCTATCCTCTCGCCCATACACGCGCGTCCCCTTGCCCACCAAACACAGGTCCGCGGCCCACGAAAGCGCCGCAACGGTAAGTTTCGTCATGTGCTACTGAGCCGAGGCGGAGAGACAGCCACGCCACTGACAACATTCCGGCTGATGTTTATTATTGTCCCACTGCATAGGCGAGCGATGATCAGGTAAGCCCCACTATTCCCGTTCACGTGCTGGTCTGTACAAATATGGCGCCAGCCTCTGTGGCTGAGTGCTGGATGACTGGCCCGTGTGTATTCATGCCATAAACTCTCCTGGACAGACCATCAACATCGACAAGTTTGGCGATGAGTCACAGCGTCTCCGAGACGAAGTCGAGATTCTTAAGCGCGAGCGCAAGCAAGCATCCTTGGCATTCAAAGAGAGTGAGTCTGGCAGCGCAGTACTGCATCGCGGCTCTGCTCAGCAATCACAATGGGATGGCTGAGACGTACTCGTTCCCACAGCTGAAAGCAAGCTCGTGAAGGCCGAAAGTCGTATCATCAAGCTTGAAGCGGCGCTTTTGTCTCAGGTTTGTTTCGCGTGTCCACTTTGCTCCATGTGCTGATCGATGCTGGGCTGACAGTCGGTGACTCTCCTCCAGCCCAAGGAGTCTGGCACCTTGGATTCATCTGCCCCAAGCGAAAGCCAAGTCCCACCAGAGCCTGCGAGCGATGCTCCCCCAATGCGCGAGCTTCCGATGCGGCGCACTCGCCAGCAACAACGGGCACAGCTGGCCGAGGCAGAAAAGACTGCTGCAGCAGCGACGGTGGCATGCGAGAATGCGCCACCCAATCCAAGTAATGCGAGCTCCGCCGGATCACGGGTAAGGATCGCTGACTATCCTCAGTGCATTCAGTGTCCCTGACTGGCTGGCCGACTGGCTGCTCACCACGCTGCGTCTCAATCTACAGAAATTTGCCAGAGGACGTGTGGGCGCCAAGCCCAAGACCGATTCCAAAGAAGAGAATGTCCCTGAGTGCAAAACGCAATAAACGATATTCATAATGAGCGATACGTCCCACGAGATTGACCTGCCGGCGATGTTGGTGAGCTTGCGCTATTCTCTCACCGGGTCTTGGCTGCGGATGGCCCATCAGCGGTATCGTCTTGGAGCGGTGTGCAGGACTCGCTGGCTCCAACACTCCAAACTCCGACGTGGCGCAGGCAGGGCCGTGCCACGTGAGCCCAAGCCAAATTTTGTTTGCCAGGCGATCTGCAAAACAGCGACGATCGACAGACGAGAGCGACGATCGACAGGCGAAAGCGACGATCGACAGACGAGAGCGCTTCTGGACGCTGAAAAGTCCACTCGACAAGCTCAAGTACGCAACGCTAGCCACCCCAGTCGCGCCTCTCCTTCATTTTACCATGGATGCCGCAAAGGCTCTCTCAACGCTCATCTCCAAGTTCCTTTTGGACGACTCCGAGGCGCCGTCGCATCTGGCATTCATCTCCGATATCCTCCGGAGCAATCGATACATCGAAGTTGTCGACCAGGCCATCGCTCGTCCCGAATATTCTGGCAGTGTCCCGGCCTTGAGCAGTGCTCTCCAAAAATGGGCAACGAGAATTAGCTCCCTCCTGCAAAGCAAGGACGAGGCGGTGCGATGGGTCGCCATCGGCTTGATCCGGCTTTCGATTGCCCAGTCCCCTTCGCTCTTCAAGCAGTCGGTCGCGTCGTGGTGCAATATCATCATGTCCCATATCTCTGTAAGTGCCACTGTGCTTGGATGTGTTTGCCTTTCGCCTGTCAGTGGAGCTGTTCATCAACTTCGCGATCGTCCGTGTTTCAGAGACCTCAAAAGGATGTCATACTATTTGAGTCGCTCGCCCTGCTGCTTGATCTTGTGGAGCGAACCTGGAGATTCCCCGATCTGGTCCGCGACACCTCAGCGCCATATCTTCACAAACTCATCCCGGTCGTCATTGCGAATTTGGACAAGAGTAGCGAGTGCTTCGTAAGTGATCTGGCCATCGAGTGTCGCATCACGACCGTCGCTGACCCGGGCACCCAGAGATGCTCGATTATCCTATTGCCGCACATGCTTGGGGAGGACTCTCGTCCCACCGAGCCGCTGGGCGGTTGTATTGTGCTATTGTCGCTTGCTGACCTGCCAACGCCCCGTTAGACTGCGATTTCCAAGAATCTCACCCGCGCAATCGATGCCTTTCCAACGGCATTCCGCGGACACATTGAAAAGCTCGAGTCGGCTTGCCTTCGAGTGCTGCTTCCTACAGAACAAGTGACGCTGCCGAGCGATTTTGTCGAGGCCGCATCGAATATTCTGCTCGCTGTTGGATCGCTCGGGTTACAGAAGGGTGACCACGAAGATGCACACATGCGCTTGCAAATGAAACTCATCGGCACGACGCATTCCCTGTTGGACCGCGCCTTTAGCTGCATCGACGAAGGTAAGCTTGATGCAGCGCAAACATCCCTAATCTGCCCGCGAAGCATCAATCTGACTGGCTGGGATGTTTGTGACCATGTGAATGGCTCCTTCAGAGGAATACGCCAAGATTTCGTATCCATCCTTCCATATCCCCGCACTCGAGACAGCACGGGATGAATCTCGACTGCTCATTTTGACCGCATGGGTCCGCACGATTCTGGAATGTCTATCCAGAAGCCTATGGTAGTGCCTCCTGACGAGCATGCGGCTCGAGTTGTCTGTTTCCGGCATCGCTCTGGTCCGATATGCACTGGATATGCTGTTCCCCTGCCTTGGCCATGACAATGCTGCTGGTCTGCGGCGCTAAAAGCGCACCTGTCGTATTCCATCTCCAGCATGGCACGGTCTGGTGTCCAGTCGCTTCAGTCCCGCCCGTATCTGAATCTCATTTCGCGAATCATGAATGTGTCGCGCGGCGCTTTGGTAAGCTCAGCAAGTGCTCAATCGAGCGACCACTGCCACACCGTGGAGGCTTGCTGGCTATGAATATGCGGCACTGATATGATTGCCTGCCACAGCCATCGCAGGGCAGTTTGACCATCGAGTTTGAGTCACTTCTCATGGCTATGGCTTCAATTCATGAGGTCACCATGGATCTACTCGTGAATCTCGTGACGAGGTGACTGGCATTAGAGCAGATGCATTCAAGTTCACGATATGGAATCGCATCCGGTTGACCCCCATCTTGGACCAGCATCGTCTCGTCTGTGTTCTCGGATGTGCTTATTTATGCTTGTCAAAATCTCCATAACTCGCTGCAGGTTCCGTGCTCACTTGCTGCGCGATGCAGCCTCGATCTGGTCGGCCTGTGCCAAGTGCCTCTCAATTTCCGAGCACTCGACGTATGTAGTTGGCTGTGCTTTATGCGAGCGTTTCTGTCACTGTCCCAGTAATCCGAGTGCCAGGGTATGTCGATCGTAAACATGCAACCAACGTTTGTCTCCCAACTCTTAGCACGCTCCGCATTCGAGCCTTCCACGCGGTTCGAAGGTGTGCCCAGATCCTCGGGCCCCATTTTGTGTCGCTGAGTATCGATCACACTATAGTTGAAGCATTGAAGTCTCTTGAGCAACGTGGTGCATCGCAAACAGTCAATCTTGAAGTTCAGCAGGTCCCTGGCCGCCCTCTGTTCGATTGAGCTTGCTGGGTCGATACGTGCGTCGCTGTTTGGATTGCTGTGCCTTTGTGCCGATATTGATACCCTGTTCAATTACCAGTCCAAAAAGTCCAAGGGCCACGACTCTCAAAACCACGGCCTCCCAAGCGACAATAGGCCGTGGGAACTAAAGACCGCTGCTGTCCAGGGTACGAGTGCGAGCCTGTTAGAGCCACTATATTTGAATCGTGTCGATCCTTATCCGTATTCGTAATCCATACAGCCATCGATGCGATTGTCAGCTCATCGCGTACCGTCGAGCCAAAGTTCCAGTATCGTATAACTCGCGCTCTACTTTCGACGCTCATGACCTCGAGTGTCCCTACCTATCACTGCGATTCCTACGACACCTTCAAGCTATCGTTGTATACGTGTCTGCTGGATACGCTGCTCAGCAGCTCTGCTACACACTCCGTCGCCCTGGCTCCGGCCATCCAGCTGTTCTCGCTCGGACTGTCCGACATCAATCCTGAGGTAAAAGCCCTCTCCCGATCGCGCGTATTTGATCAGCAAAACGCTTACCTTTCCAAACTGCTTCTACAGATCCGGGAGCTCTGCATTCGTGCCTTGAATATCACCGACTTGATTCAGCACGCGCGTCTGCCCCCCATCCAACGACAGACTCATGCCAAAGATGCGCACCTCCCACTCGACGAAAGCGCCAAAGATGCGCTGCATCTGGAGCAGTCCACGAATAAAGCTGGCACCTCGGCTCCGCTCGCGAGCTCGGGTCCCGAGGGCCGCTTTGAAGCGCCATCGAAGCGACCCAATGAGAGCTTGATCTCTGTACACGAGCCCAAGAAAATCAAGGTGTGTACATCATAAAATGGCAAGCCGTGCTGACTCTGAATCCCATATTGAACAGCTGTATGTTTTCTAGCCATCCTTCACGGAGTCGATGCGCACTCAAATCGCAGCTCATTCGGAGGTAAGCGCAGCTGCAGCACTGAGACCTCCTCCACATGATCGACACAGTCGGTTCTCGCTCTATTTACGCATCCGTCGCTTCCATCCGCATCAATGCAGTCGAAGGTGACTTACAGCCCGGCATTGCCCCTGGAGGCCAAAGAACCCGTACCTGCCCAGTCAGTTGATAGACCGCAAGTCGCTATCCACAACTCTGCTCCCCCGCAGCCATCTGCTGATCCCTCTCCGCTCGGAGGGGCCGCCAGCACTGAGGGCAGCCATTTCACAAGCAGCCGTACGATCGAGGCCGAAGGTGATGGTAATGATGAAGATGAGTACGACTTTCCCTCCATCAACATGGATGGGGACGATGAGAGCGACGAGGAAGAAAGCGAAGAGAACGAGGAAGACGAGTAACATACCAACACCCGTGAGGAAATGGGTTGCTTACAAGTATCCACAGCTCGCCCAAGCCAAAGAACATGCGCCTGGACCCTCAACATCGACGCTGTCATCGACGCTGTCGCCGGTGATCGGGACGAGTTGTTCGGGGCGATCAGGTCTTGACAATACACGACGATGACGATGGCTGATTTGCACAGTGATCACACTCCGCTGCGTTGATTTGATGCTGCGACGGCGGACTGTGATCCATCGAGCACCGGGCTGGACATGGGATCGATGGGCAGGGGCGATCACGAGTGCATCGACAGTGATGGCCCTCTTGTAGTGGGTGTGAATCGGCACTTTGCAGTGCGCCGATCCATGAGGCGAAGGTATTGCATGTGGAGCATTTGGATTTCCGCTCGCACTGGCGGCACTCGCTGGTGAACAGATGTGCATCGAGTCTCAGTGCCCAGACCCAGTCCCAGACCCGGTGTCCATCGTCTATCGTCCAGGAAGAAGAGCAGCGCCTCGGAATGGATGCCAGGCGATCTTTGTATTTTGTTTTGGAAAGTATATGAGGAAAGGTGACCCGATCAGCCCAGTAAGCCCATGCCAGCACTGTGAACCATATCCTCCTGCATTTCCTTCCAGATTGGAGCCTTCGTCATATCAATAGGATACAAAAATCCAGAGAGGGCAAGGCTCGTGAGGGTCATGACGGCAAGCGAGCCATAGCCAACCCACGTCATGACTCCCCGCTTCGTTTTCAGCTTCAAGACCCTAGCTGTTCCATAGAGTGCGTGATAGAGGCCGGCGGTGCCAAGGACGGCATAGTAGATAGGGAAAAAGTAGGGGTAGGTCATGGCCGAATAGGTGACCATGGACAGGTCCATCACAGACGGATCGACGAGATCTGTGGTTCAATAATCCAGATTTAGCCTTCGCATCTGCCAAGCCAAAGGGCCAAGCAACGTGTTCATTCACAGGCCACCGAGCATGCCCAGATCATCTTCTGTAGATTCTCCAGCCAGACCGGGGTCAAACTTACGATAGAGAGGAAACAGTCTAACGGCAAAGATGTGGCCGCTAATGAAAAACGCCAGAGTGTAGCCTGCTTTTCGATGCCAGTCGATCTCCCGCTGTGCAGCAACGATTGCAGGCGTTCCCTTGACGGCGGACTGTCCCTGAGAGGCCGACTTGTCCTTGGACTTGCTCTTGCTCTTGCGGAGCCAAACTCGTGCCAGACTGGCCAAGCCGTGAGTGGCCAGAGTCACGGCAAAGATTGGCTCGAGCAAAGGATGCTGGTAGATGGGCCGGACGAGCAAAAGAGCTCTGTTGGCCCACTCGTAGGAGACAATCGACAAGGCATGCCCGCTAAGATGGGCAAGAAGGACGCCGGAGAGCGTGGCGCCGCTGATGGCCTGTATCCTGGCGAGGCTGGAGTCCATGGTGAGAAGCAGATCGTGGCTGCGAGATGGAAAGGGCCGCGCGGACTGCGTTATATGGGGCAGGCGAGTCTGGAAAATCGGCTGGCGGGCCTCGACGCCGATTCGCTCGTTGGGCGGGATGCCGGGCTTGGCAGCGAACAACCTCCGGGTATTCGGGAGCATCAGTGCGCTGCTCCAGCGGTTCGCGGGCATCCGTAACGCCTGCGGCCGAGCCGGCGCACAGCACAAGCGGCCCAAACATTGCAGCAATCGCAACCCCAAGCACGATGCTGCCCGAGGTCGATCTCAACGATCCTGCGTCGGGGGGGGGCAATTACAAATGCGGGACACACTCGCTTCCGCTGTCAAAGAGGAGTCTCCAATCGACTGCGTCCATTTACAATCGAAAGAACAACTTTGACCATCTCCGGGTGAAGATCGTAGGCGGCCCTGCAGTCCCCACAATCACCCTGCACACGGCGGTCGTGCTGTGTGCTGCATTGATGTTGGGGCTCTGTCCAGGATGACAGCCGTGATTGCAGCATCGCAGTGCAGCGACACATGAATCAATGTATTCAGAACCCCGACGGACGTGCGGGCTCGGGAAGCAGTGTCCCGTTTCGCTGGCGACTAAAAATACGCAACAGCACCAGGAATCGGTGGTGATTTGAGCCCGGGTGGCCCCGGGAGTGGACTTCAAATCCACTGGTCGCGAAAGCGGCAGGGGTTCGATTCCTCCTTATCGCCGCACAGCCAACAATTGTTTTCAATCAGGGCTACCGTTTTGCTGGCCGCATACTCACACCGCCCAATCCCATGATCTTGGCTAGATTCATCAATCTCTGTCTGGAGTGCACCACCATCACACAGGCTCCCATCCAACTCAATATACTTTGCATGCACTACAACGCCCACAAAGCGGAACGGGCCGTTGTGTGAGAGAAGACACAGTCATCTTCCCCTGTTCGTCCAGCGAGTGCCAGTGCGAGCGGAAATCCAAATGCTCCCCATGCAATACCCTCGCCTCATGGATCGGCGCACTGCAGAGTGCCGATTCACACCCACCACAAGAGGGCCATCACCGTCGATGTACTCGTGATCGCCCCTGCCCATTGATCCCATGTCCAACCCTGTGCTCGATGGATCACAGTCCGCCGTCGCAGCATCAAATCAACGCAGCGGAGTGTGATCGCTGTGCAAATCAGCCATCGTCATCGTCGTGTATTGTCAAGACCTGATCGCCCCGAACAGCTCGTCCCGATCACTGGCGACAGCGTCGATGACAGCGTCGATGTTGAGGGTCCAGGCGCATGTTCTTTGGCTTGGGCGAGCTGTTTCAGTAAAGCTTTACTCGTCTGCTATCGCAGCGGCGGATTGTATCAGGCAGACTACACCCCACTGCGCCGCCAGGCCCGGAAAAGAGGATTTTGGCGCTTCTCCCGTTCATCTGCCTCTCGTTTCAGACGCTTCCGTTCTTCGGCTTGGGCCAAGGCAGTGCTCTTGGCGCGTGCGCTACTTCCCCACATGCGCTTGCGTTGTATCTGCTGATGCTGGAAAACGCCGGCCAAGTCATCCTCCTTGATGTCGCGCACAAACTCATCGTCGCCATCGGCGTCGCCAGCATCCTGTACATAGCACAGCAGCTCGTCCGACTCTCGCTGGACCGAGTAGTGGAGCGGCGGGTCGAGGTTGGGCGGAATAAGTTGATCGGCGCTTGGAATGATCTACACAACCAAACACGAAGCATCCGGACTTAGTGGTATGGCGCATCTGGCGACATCCCTATGGTGGACATGTGAGGTGCGGGAATAGTCGATGCATCGGCTTTGCGTCCATGACAAGCTCCGTTGTCATTCGAAGCTGGGGCAGCTGATCCGCCGCACCGGCAGCACACTCCTCGCGACATGGTGCAAGTTAGCATTACATGAAATTCGTAGCCTTGGTCAACCAGAAACCTTCTACGTTTTGCGCTGAATGCCACTTCGTCTGTGTCTTTGCAAACGAGCGTGTAGAACCGACTTTTGAAGCCCTCTTCATTTCTGCGCTTTGCTCGGAGAATACGACCCATGCGCTGGGCTTCTTGACGCCGACTGCCGAACTGCGACGATATCTGTATCAAGCACGTGGCTTCGGGTAAGTCCAGCGATGTGTCGCCGACCTTGGACAAAAAGATCGTGCGAAACCGCGGGTCGTTTTGCCGGAATCGGTTGAGGATCGACTTTCGCTCCTCGATATGAGTCTCGCCAAAGATATATGGCCTGCCGAGTTTGGTTGCGTAGTGCTGTTGGAGGGGCCGACAGCGATCCGATTTAGGACAAGAGAAAGGGAAGCGAGTCGGACGAGAGAGAGAAAGAAAAAAAGATCGGTCGTGGGGTGAGCGAGGCGATCACCGCAGTCACGAAACACTCCAAGAACGATCAACTCGTAGCACAATCATCCGTGTCCGCTCGATTCTCACAACTTGCCTTGAGGGCGCAGACATTGTCTGAGAACACAATGATCTTGTCGCCTTCGCGCTCCCGCCATCGAATCAAGTATTCGCAGGCTCGGAACTTTGTTGGATTCATTGCACAAAGTAGTCTTCTCTTGCTGAAGGATCGATCGGGAATACAAGGCGAACTTTAGCACCTGCCCTGCTGTATACAAGGCCGCCGAGCTACCTGCCCGTTTCAGGCCGTCCAGACAGGGATCCAGCTGTGTTGTTGCAAACATACCCAGGTGTAGATTCAAGATAATGCTTGTAAAACTTGCCATCCATTCCACACCATATTTCGGTGGCCTGGAATTGGCTCCGGCAATGGAGGGATTGAGTGAGCTTCCCGAGTCTGCGGGAGCTATCGGCGCCCGATCGGTGGAATGCACTCCCTCGCCACAACGTCATCGCTGGCTGAAGAGTAATCAGGATCAATCCTGCCGCGCCCGCCGACATCTATGACCCTACCTCGACCTTGGCAATGTGACCCCTGCCAGCAAGATCCATCCAATTCGCTTCAAAGAGCTTTGGGCCAATCAGAAAGTTCAGGTCTTCGATCTTATCGTCTTCACGGACCAGCGTCGCCGTCAAGCCAAGCTTGGTGTGGGCTGCCACCGTTGTCAGGACTCTACGGAAAACGTTGGCGGGCACGACGTGCACTTCGTCGAGGATGAGCAGACCCCACTCGCGGGAGTTGATGAATTCCAACATGCGCTGGGTATCCCAGGCTCGCTTGCCCGAGTGCGAGATCATGGTGTATGTCGAGATAACGATGCCGGCATCTCCTGCAAACTAGAGCACAGACAGGATCAGGGCAGGCATCGATTTGGGTGCTGTGATATGTGTGTATATGGATGGGGTGGCTCTACGGATGGATAGGCGGAGCAATACCAGTCACACAAGCATAGGGGGCACGATACCTTGGCTTTCTGATCTGCAGTAAATTTAGCAATCTTCCCCTCTTGGATCGTGGTCCAATTCTTGAATTCGTTTGACCACTGCTCGACTGAGATGCTGGATGGATGTGCAGAGCCCGTCAATATGCCGCCAGTCAATATGCCGCCAGTCGATACGCCGTCCATCGATACGCCGCCATCGTCGACCCGGAGACACTCGACTCATTTGCTCCAAGATTTGGAATCAAACTCATCGGAACCTTGGACTCTCATCCATATGCACTTCATCTTTCCCCAGACTGCGTCGTGGCTGCGATTGGTCGTGTGCTGAACCCTTGTATCAGTACGGCCTGCCACTGAACAAAGCTAACTTACGCATTCGTACAGAGAACCAAGGTACTCTTCTTGACTGTGCAGGCAGCAGTGATGCCTACGAGGGTTTTGCCGGCGCCAGTGGGCAGGACAATGATACCGCTTCGCGCCCGTCCGCCGCCGCCACCAAACATCTTGCTCAGACTCTTCTCCTGATAGTCTCGGATGATGGTTTTTGGACTCAGATCCATGTCCAGATTGGGGTTGACATCGTCGTTGCGAAAGTCGTATTCCTCCATCAAGGGATAGTCCAGGTCACGGCACTGTTTCTTGACGTCCTCGACTGCCTCCTTGGCGATCTCGAAGCTGTGCGAAAAATCCGACTCCTCCATGCCATCGTCTTCCTGATCGTCTTCCCGATCAAGGGTGATAACAGCGCCAAAGTCGTCCGAGTCCTGTCGCGCGGAGCCGTCGCCCATCTTTCCGGCCCCGGAATTGAGCTTTGACTCGCCGACTCCTTTGTGGGTCTTCTTGAGGAGGCTGTTGAGATCGTCTTCGTCGCCCTCGTCGCGTACCACCCGAGCCCTCTTGATCGTTTCATCCCGCAGAAGCAGCCGCAGGGTTTCTGGGTAACTTGACTCGATAAAATACCTTGGGATGCGATCGGCTGGGTTAATTCGGCCCCTGGTCGGCCTCCGTCAGAACAGCCAGCGCATATGGTCCTCTTGCACACTCGGTGAGGCAATCCCGACTCGATCACGGACACGGATTCGCTACCTGTTGTGCTTGAGGACAAGCTTGACCTTTCCATAGGACACCGTGCAGTCTTTGATGAATCGGACAACCCGATCCGGCACCTTCACCTTGGAGAATCGCTCGAGGACCTCGATGATGGTGGAGGTTTCCATGCCCACCGAGACGGCCGCATACAGAGAGTAGGCCGTGAGCTTGTATTCGTGGACTCGCGAAGGACGAGTGACCGGCTCGGATATGGTGGTCAGAAAGTCCTGCGCCTGCGAAGAGAGCGACGAAAAGGCCTCGAGGATGATCTTGCCATCGTCGCAGACCCAGATGGGCCGGGCTTGGTGGTCGGGTTTGAGGGTAAGGTAGGTGTAGTCGGACTTTGGCGGGGCAAAGAGCGGGGTCACGGTATCGACGAGGATGCGTTCGCTGTTCCGATAGAGATCGTCCTGGTCATCGACCCGCAGCGAGGCCTTCTTGGGCAGCAGCAGGGCATGCTCGGAGGCTGCTGGGTTCGGGTTGTTGTCGTAGTCGAAGGACGAGATCGCCGACTGGCTCTGGTCGAGCGCATCCGACGGCACAGGGCTGCTAGCCGAGATGTCTTTCCGCTTCAGCGAAATGGCGATGCTCATGGCTCAGGTCCCGATACTGGCACCGCTCGTTCGAACGGCAAACGCTGCTGATCCCGCTGCACTCTGGCCAGGGCTCTGCTCTGACGCCGAGCAGCCCAGCGGCTTCATCTGCCCAACGAGCACCGATCGGCGCGGCATCAGGGGGAAGGGCAAGGGCGTGGCTATATTTGGTGCTGGGTGCAAGCCCGCCGCGCTGCCTGGCGGATCGCCAAACAACAACCAATCGCCCAACCGACCATCCAGCCGATCACTCTGCCAATCGCTCTGCCGATCGCTCTGCCAGCTGCCCGGTGTGCTGCCTCCTCATTCAGCAACGACGTCTCGCACAGCCCGACGACCGACATGAACGACCTGCTCGCATCGCCCGCATTCGCCTCGACATACCAAAAGTATGTCGACGCCAAGCTCCTCCATCAGAAGCACCACAGCGCCAACAGCCCCTTCGAGCATCTGTATGAGGCCCGACAGCACCTGGTGAGCAGCCCGTGTTGCTGCGGCAGCCAGCGAGCTGGCTTCGTGCATTCCTATGGTCGTCCGCACCCCCGTATCAATGCTGACGTCCTCCCGAACCATATCCATTCCGTTTGTGGCTGTTGTCTCTTGGCGACGATCTGCAGCTTGAACTGAAATCCATTGTCGAAGACTTCTCCGGGGCTGAGAAGCACCAGGTTGATTCGGAGCTCCACCGTTCGCCCAGGCAGCGCAGTGACCGGATGAGTTGCTCGAGAAGCACATCCTTTGCCGCGATTAACGCCGGACAACATGATATCTAGATCCTGGCTGTCCTGGACTATCATCTCGGATGCAACTATGCAAACACCGAGGAGGGCTCCCAGGGCGAAAAGCTCTTGACGAAGAGGTTGGTTGTGCTATTTTGGTCCAACAGATGTCGAGCACGAACAGCCGCCGCCGTCCCGGAACCCGTACTCGAGCGGCAACATGATTAACGAGTCATGTTTCTTGCCAGTCTGGAAGTGCTGCGGCCTTTGGCATCACAGCCCTCATTCGTCGTCATCGTCATCGACGCCCTTAACCAGCTTGGAACACTTTGGGCTGGCTGGGACCAGGACAAGAAGGCGTCGGCCTTGCTCGAGGAAGCCGAGCAGCTCTATACGCAATTCACCTCTGGTGAACGGCAGCTGCCCCAAGAGTAAGCGACCATTCGAGAGCGGGACCAACGTACCGTGGATTGACCGAGTCCCTGCGTTGCGGCTCACATTGCTACGCTGTCATATCTTTCTGCAACGACCCAGCCCTTTGGTCTTCCCTGTGGTCGCCCATGAAGATGCAGTCACCAGTCTGGAGGATGCACACACCTACACCATTTACTATCTTGCCCAAATATACGGGGCCCGCCAGCTGACGGACAAATCGGCCGAATACTGTCGCCGAACCCTGGATCGGCAGCTCAAGAGATCCGACTTGAACAAGCTGGTAAAGTGACAGTGGGCGCTATCGTGCAAGTCCACGGCCTCAAAGAACGCCAGGTGCTGCAGGTCGGGCGAGGGTTGAGCTGATATTGAGCATATCTCTACCTCCAAGACATGGGCCCTCGACTGCATGACACTCTCGAACTACTACACCGATATCAATGCCTATCCAATGGCCTACCACTGTCTGGGTAAGCTGGCGATCCCCTGCCTCCTATCTGGACATAACGGGACAGTGCCGATAGCTTCCAGAGCCTCCGAGGACCAGGGGCGTGCCACCGGATGATCCCACCCTTGATTCACCCAGCCCGGCTCGGCCTTCATACGTTTGTTTCACAGCGGCTTCTGAGCAAATGCTGGGGGCTGTCGACCCGAAGCAATATTCTGGCGACGGCGACGACGACGACGAGAATCCTATTGAGCGAGCAAAAGCCGATTTGTCCTGGATTTGGGGAAAGTTTTATCTGGCCGCTTTGGACTTTGGCGGGTATGAGTCGAGCCAACATCCCCAGGGCCACATCCAGTGTTGCAAGTGGTTAGAGCCGCGGGAGCTCTGACCGAGTCAGCGCCTTTTCACCTTTCCATCAGTCAAATGAAACAAGAGAGTGATTTCGATCGAACCGTCGCTGCATCGACTTTAGATTCGCCCGAGGCATAGTAAGTGCATGCAAGTCGATTTCCGGTTCATCAGTTGGTATATTGATGCAGCGCTCGTACGCATCACATCATCCATAGCGATCAAGCCGGCGTGTCTCTCTTCAAGGACTTTGAGGTCTCGTACAAGCGTCCCAAGATTCCCTCGTCCAACATTCTTACATATCAGCAGGTCAGTGTTAAGCTTCCGGGCATAGGCCGTTCGTTCATTGGCTCCCAAATACTGAGCTATCACTAACACCTGTCCGTCAATGGCCTCTGCAGGCGCGCGACCCCTTCTTGGAGGGACTCAAGTGTGTCTCCGATGCGCAAAAGTTCTTTGCGTTCGACGGCCACGTCACAGACTATGTGTCCCTGGTGCAGGTATGGCTTGTCTGTCTCGGTGCTCCGTGATACGGCCAAATGGCATCACAGGCAGCAAGCTCTTCCCCTGTCTTTGAAATGCCCAGCCGCTACATCTTGAGAGTTGATGCACAATCACGGCAGCTCGCTGCACCGACAGCAGTACAGCGTACCTCTGCCTACTCGTTCAGTGGTCGATCGTGAAGTCGTGTGCTGCATCTGACTAAGCGCTGTGCCCCACCCAGGATATGAGCCAGCTGTACAAAGCCTTGTCCGTCTTTGAGGAAGATCCGGCACGGCGATTGTGAGTGCGGACGTCGATGCGCCTGGATTGGAGTCAAGAAAGACTCTGGGATACTTGTTGTTTGCGCAGACTCGACCCTATGGCTCACATGCACATTGCCTTGCCGGAACTATGCCTCAACCTGCACCTTCAGGAAGCTCCACAAGCGCCGGGCCGAGCTGGTCGCTCCAGTTCTTGTGGAAGTCAGCCCGGTTCACTACCTCCCTCAGACTCAGCAGCTTCAGTTTGAATTGGCTGCAGCCAATGAAGCCATGGTCGACTGTCGTTTGGTCATGTGGGAAGCTGAGCACAAGTCTATGGTTCCTGCCGATCGCGCAGTGGCGGCCGACCTGATTAACGAACTGTAAGCGCACACATATGCTTGCTGGTGCATTAGCGTACAGCTCAATCCCAGACGTAGCCGGTGCAACCTGGTGCTTACGAGGCGATACAAGGGCTTCCATCATCGTCGACCCACACTGTGGACTAACTCGATCGGGCTTCGATGTCCTTGGCTTGGCTGGATTGTCTCAGGGCGCTGGCATCCGTCCGACTCTACAGCGACTTTATCACGAGCTTTGCGGATGCCCAGACTCGGCAGCTTCCTGATCCTATTCCGGATGAGGACAACCTGGTACATATCCCGGATTTGAAGGATTGCCCGCGTCTGCCGGCCAGGATTCGTGGATTGCGGAACATAGCAACTGACACCGCGGTTGTGTTTCAGAAATCGGTTATGATGGCCCGCTGGAAAATCGCCCGTCTGTGGTCCCGAATGATACCTGTTCCGAGTAACAAGGCCGTCTTTGATCATGTCCAGCTGCGCGAACAAAAAGTCGAGTGGCTGCAGAGAAGGTAGGAGAACCGTGGTGCTTTGGGTGCCGGCCGCGGATGGCGTGCAATCGGCGGATGGCTCCAGGAAGGTGCTTGGTCTGATTCAGGATGTAATTGCTGGCCCTCAAGCCTGACTCAGTACGAGCGCATCAAGTCGTACAACAGTCGACACAAGATTCCTGGATTTGATATCGAAATGCAGATCATCGAGGAAATGTGCCGGCTGCTTCCCCAGCAAATCAAAGAAACTCGCCTGGGCATGGATATTTAGCACCTGCCCAAAACAGAACGGACATGCTGTCGTTTCTGGGTTGATTGTCCATTTGTTTTGGATGCGAAATACACACAGGCTCGTGATTTGTCCGAGAACGAACACCGCTACTGTCATTCGTCCCGCTGGGACGGGGCAAAGGGATGTCTCCCGTCCCTGTCGTGAGGTTCCCCAGCTACCTTGAGCCTCACCACCAGAGATATGTTTCCCAGGACGGCCCTCCCAACATCGGCTGACGGCAACAGCGGCAGTGACGAGCCAATTGCGTCTCATCAGTGAACCGCTCAAGTATGTGCGATATATTCCGAATCAAGCGAGGTGACCCATGTCGTCATATATGAGCCGCTGCATGCCTTGCAGCTACAGACGGGCAGATTCCAATGGATACGCCACCAAGGCCTCCAAGAGAGCGAGGCCGCCCTCGCGCTCAAGAACCTCGATTCTGGGCGCTGGGATGACCGAGTTGTCCATACGGTTCATGAAAACCATTGTGCAGGCCGAGGCCCGGATCGTCGCCGGGCTTGAGGGAGCCGAGCGAGAGCAGTGGGCCAGATGAAGGAGGGTGAAGCTCTCCATCTCCAGGGTCTGCACGTCGGGCTGCTTCTGAAGGATATGCGGGATCAGATCCTCGTTCCGGTCGGTAAATTGTGGATCGATGCGCCCCTGCGACGAGTAGAACGAGTCGGCGGTTGCGTTCATGCACTCGACCACGTTTTGGCTGCCGATCCGCTTCCTCATGCTATTGGCGACCTGCCGCGTGGAGGGGTGAGGGCGTGCCAAGCAGATTAGCTGATGCGGTGCCGGACACCAATCGGCAACATGCGCAGATGCCAAATGCAAATGCCACCGTCCACGGGCTGTGGTTCGTTGGCGGAGGACAGCCAGCGCGCTCATGGGCAGCACATGCAACTTCCTGGGACGCCCGTGCAACATTGCACCCACCAGCTGCGACAGTAAGGGGTCCGCAGGGACGGGCTTGGAGATGCGATAGGGGACATCGGCTTGGGCTCCGGAGAAAGCATCGACGTCGCGCTGGATGAGCACCGAGCCCTTGGTGGCGACTGCGATTTGCCCGGCGCTGATGCCGCGGATGCCGCCGCAGCTCCCGAAGCGTACAATCGCCATGGGTCCCCGGACGACGAAGCGAGCCTCACGCACGAAAAAGTCCATCATGGACGTGCCCATCCCGATGGCGACGATGCTGACCGGGACCGACTTGAACGAGCCCGTGATGGTCAAGAACCCACGGGAGGAGCAGTACTCAAACTCTGGGGCAGCATCGAGGAGCGCCGAGATTCTGCGGGCGCGCTCGAGGTCCCCGACTGTTATGATGCGATTAGCGACTGCAGAGACAGAGATGTTGGTTAGGGTCACAATCCCGGCCGGTGCGCTGTCAGTGGAATGGGATTGAGCGGAATGGGATTGAGTGGAATGGAGTGGTATGGAGCGGTATGGAGTGGAGGACGGCGCCGGGCCGAACCAGTGCGCAGATGTGTCGGTGGTGGTGGTGGTGGTGGTGGTTCGCCGGCCACCGAACGGAGACGACGAAACGTACTGTCTCCTGGCTTTGTGCCGAGATGATAAGTCCTGCCGTCCTCATAGACGGGGAAGTTGGCGTTCTGCAGTTGGGGCATTGGTGCGCGCCAGAGGGATTGGATTTGCGGGGGATGCTGGCGCCCGCAGCGGTCACGGAGGAGCGGTCGATGAGGACACCGGCACGTTGCTCGGCGAGAAGAGGAGCGCTTCTCGGCGAGGACGAGGGCTTCTCGCCGGGCCGGGGCCATGGAGAGTGGATGCGCAGCACGCCGCCGCCGCCGCCACCGCGCCGCCACCCGCGCCCATATATGCCATCCATCCCACATCGCCATCGCCATCCCACATCTCGGCCAGCCAGCCAGCCAGCACCGCATTGCGACCACCTCCCCGCCGTCGTTCTCCGCTGTTCGCTCACTCAGGATGGACTTTGTTAACTTTGGTAGGTTGCGGGCTGTCGCCGATGAGTGCAGGGCACTTCCTGCCTCCCAGTCCAGAGCGGTGGCGACAGAGCGGAGCGCTCACCGGCGACGGGCGGCTGGGTGCGTCTCTCTCCCTCTTGCAGCAAGTCGCTCTGTTGCTGACCGTCCTGCTCTCTGTTGTCAACAGCTCAAGCCGCTGTCGAGTCGCAAGTGCACCACCGCCAGGAAGGTGGCACACGAGACGGCTCGCAGAACCCTGACGGGCTGAACCTCCAGCTGCCCCACTTCATCACTTCGGCCATTGACAAGTTTTTGGACGGTATGTCTCCCAGCAGTGCGGGGCAGCGACTCGAGCAGGGAATCTCTCAGAACAGAGAACTCGACAAGTTTAGCCTTCTCGAGACTCGCGGTGGCAATGCTCTGCAATCTCTGGGCCAGTCTTGGATTCTGTGTGCACCAGGCGCTAACGCTTGCCACTGATCGTTATGCAGGACTCAAGCCCGACCTTCACCCCAGGGTGGTTACCGAGATTCAAGTTGCCCAAGACTGGGTCCTGCAGACCTTTGAGGATAAATGCCGTGAAGTCTTCCAGGATGTAAGTTGGAGGGGCAGAGGCTCTCTCGGGCGAGGCTGCTGTAGCTCAACAGGCCCACACAGCTTGCATCCACTGCTGCCATACCAACATGTGTCGCCGCTCACTGTGCTTGATAGATTGCCAATGGGGATTTCAAGGAGGCCGCTCTCGACTTGATCGGAGAAGGTGAGAAGCCTTACAACGCCGGCCAGAACCAAGGCCAACAGTATCAGCAGAACCAAGGTCAACAGTACCAGCAGAACCAAGGTCAACAGTACCAGCAGAACCAGGGCCAACAGTACCAGCAGTACCAGGGCCAGCAGAACCAGCAGTACCAGCAATATCAGGGCTCCAGGGCTGTTGCTGGTGAGCGTGGAATCGGCGGCGACCGCGGCATCTTGCAGGAAATCGGACAGGTTGCTTCGGAAGTCATTGGCAGTGCCGCTGTCGGTGGCTTCATTGGCTCCGCCACCAAGGGTCGCTTCAACCGAGACAACGCCAGAGATATCGCCGATCAGATGCTTCCTCTCCTCAAGAACGAGATTGGCCAAATGCTCGCCAGCGGCCACCAGACGCTCGCCACCCAGTTCACCGAAGCATCGATCAACCATATCAAGCTGTATCTCCATGGCAACATCACCACCCATGAGGTCGCCCAAGCCTCGGCCCGCGATCTTGGCGGCTTTGCCTCCAACATTTTCGGTGGCCAGCATCAGGCTGCCTCTCGCGATGTCGAGTCGGATGAGCACCACGGTGGTCTGTTCGAGATGTTCAACCGCAAGGTGAGCGAAGGTGTTCACCACATCCGCGACAAGGTTCGCCTTTCGCTCCACCAGATCGTCCTTCAAATCGAAGACCACCTCTGGTCTCTCCTCCCCGACGGTATTCGCCGCCCGCTTTCCGCCATTTTCGGCAACAACGGCCAGCGCGGCATCCCGAACGACCGCGGCATCATCGAAGAGATCGAGCAAGTCTTTGAGGAGGAGGTGCAGAAGCTGGAAAACGGTCTTCACCAGCACGTCCGCGGCCTCGTCTCCCAGGCGCACACTACCCTGGAGACCAAGGCGGTCATGCATTTCCAGGATGTGATCATGATCCAGGTTCACAAGGTTTTGCCCAACGCTCGCGTCGATTGAAAAACCAAACGCTCCTCACAGCGTTGGCAGCCAATGAGCATCAGCTTCGTCTTGAAGGTCAGCACTAGCGCTTGCGCTAGATGGCCCGGTCGATGTGACTGTAGTTCGTGATGTACTTGCATCACGAGGCACTCCTTGTAAATGTGTGACCCGCTCGGTGTGCTTGTACACTGTATTCAGGGGAAAATGGGACACCTGCCCACAACCCATTTGTCAGCGTAGTATGCGATGGCATGTGTCTAGCTAAGCCATAAGAAATATAACAGATCACTTTGGCAGCCTCCGAGTCAACACCACCGGTCGCACTGCAGCGATGCGGAAATCGAGGGTGCTGTGTTTGGCCATGATTACGATGAGTGGGTGGGTGTATTCAGGTTCCAGAGAAAAACCCCTGTCATGACTCAAAACGGGGTGTCCCATTTCATTTTGGAATCGCTGTATCAGCACAGGCAGAAGTGTGGCTACGGCGTGCTAGTTGACTGTTGCTCACGAATATTGGTCAGGGGCACAAATGGTATGCGGATGGTGCTCTTGAAACGGCAAGCACAGTGTATTGAAGGAACCAGCGTCGGACAAACAATCGTCTTGGAGACAGGATACTACATTTGCGAGTGATGTGCAACAACACATGCCTGGTTCAGGCCGCAGTCCACGATGAGCATCTGGTAAACTTGAGCACATCAGAGACACGGCCGGCGATCAGGTTGAAATGTCTGCAATCAATGCCGACGTGGCTTGGATGAACGACTGGACGGGAATGGCCACTTTCCAGTCGATGTGGCCAGCGCCCAAATACATCAAAGCAGGCTGGATAGATGAGGAGTCAGCAATGTCAGAGCATCGCTTTACTGTCCAAAGGACTCCAGGACAAGCCACAGCAACGGCCTGCCTCGGAAGTCTACGCTCTATTTCACCACTACACCAGAGTCGATGACCGCTTCAATCCCCACACTTACTTCCAGGGATAGGATGCTCTCGGTGACAATGATGGGCAGATTGGCTTGCATTCCTGTGAGTTGGAGGTATACCGTTCAATGAGTCCGACGCTCGCTTGCTGCAAGGACATGGGCCTGATGGAGCCAGCAGTCGCACCACAAACGATAACCTACCAAAGGGACTGACGGCGTTGTTTTCATACCCGGTAAGCTCAAGCGAAATGTCTTCCGGAGCCACCCGGAGATTGTAGTTCTTCTTGCTGACTGTCTTTTGCTTGAGATCGCGCACAAAGTTCATGAGCTTCTGGGTGTTGAGTTTATCGACATACTGCTCAAAACGGCAAGAGAGTTAGGCAACTGCCCTTCAAGGTATATTCTGCTATCTGCTCGATGCCCACCTGGACAATAACACAGTAGTACTTGGAGTTGGACGGGTCTGCGTGCAACAAAGAAGCGTTACTATCCGGTGCGTCGAGGCGGCGAGAGGGCTACGTGCAACCGCAGCATGACAGATGACTGACCCAGCAAGTCTCCGGTTGGCAAGTGCCGGGTGTTTTCAAACACAATCGATTTGCAGAGATGCGCCTGGCTGGGAGCAGCCAAGCGGAGTCTGTGGCCCCGAGAAAGCGATAAAAATGAGACGGCTTCCTGGACAGTGGTGCTGGGATTCCTGTTGCGGGCGGTGCTGGGATTACTGCGACGGGCGGTGATACTCTTCAAGAAACTTACGCCCGTTTCTGGAGAGGCCAGTCGTAATAGTCTGTTTACAGATGAGGATTGGGTCAGTACACAGAAGATCCAAGTCAGCACCGAGGGGATTCTTACCGGATTCAACTGAGTAGAAGCGACCAAGTCGATCGAGATTCAGACGCCTGAGTCCCTCCAGAACCTTGACAAGGGAGCAGGTCAGCATCGGTGCCGCCATACAGTGCCATTCCAGACCACTCTCATCCGGACCAATGACGCACCAAGGTGCAGCCCTGCAGAACATCTCTGTTTCTACAGACACAATCCCGCTGACAGCCACGGGAACGTTGTTTGATTCCCGCCGACCAAGTATGGCTCTAAAAGGAGTTACCTTCTTGACGCCGCTGGGTGCCTCCGAGCACAGCTCCTCGGCCTCTGCCGTTCTTCTCCACCAATTCCAGAAGCGAGCTTCGAGAGCAGGATCGGCATAGAGCTCCGAAACTTGCGAGATCAAGCCGGATATCTGGTCATTCAGCGACGCCCATTCGGCAGAGCGATCCACAGCGGCTTTGGCTGGAGATTCGAGCTTTGGTGCAGCGCACGCCGTTACAGTGCGAGCAACGGGGCCCTTGGGCTGCTCGAACCATGGGGCTCCGAGCCGTTCGAACATGGCGGGCGATGGCGATGCATCAAGCAAACGCTGCCAATCTGCAAAAGCCATCAAGACACCAGAGATGCTCTCACACACACACCGAGGCACATGGATCCACGTGACCTGTACCCTTGCCATGGCGACGGCAGCCAGCGATCGGGGGCGCAACCGCATCCCCGCTGCTGGCCGTCGTCTCGTCTCGTCTCATCGCTCCAGCATCCAGCCCGCCAGCCCACCAGAAGGAAAAGCAGCCGCAGAGCATCGCAGCCGATATGGTCTCGACGACAGCCGTCCCCAGTGGGGGCTTCAACTTTGAAAACTTCACCAGGTAAGCTGCCTGTGAGGATCGCTCCCACTGCTCATCGAAACGGCCCCCGATGCCTGTTCGCTTTGGCACTGGGTGCTGTCGATGCGCTCGCTCTTGTCTCTGGTTGAATCACCCAAGCCGGAGCCTAGGCCGATGACTCGCCTGATAAAGCGAAAGAGGTTTCAGAAATCTCTCTGGGGCCTCCGCCGCTCGCTGGGCCGTCAGTCCAGGGATTGGCTCTCGAAGGCAGTGTGTGCGTTCCGGATTCTGAGATCCGCTCGCTTGCTCTTGGCACATCGATCCAGAAATGCAATGATGCTCAACAATGGAACAGCCATCCCCAAGGCCACCAAGACCGGCACCACAATTGTGGGACTGATCTTCAAGGTACTTTCTCCGTGCCAAAGCGACGTGTTTGGTCTGGTCCCTGCCTCACCGTCTCGATGGAAGCGGCTCTGTCCATGGCTTCCCATCGGACCCAGGCCGGAGTGATTCACACCCATGCTCGTTTTTCTCGTCGCTACTCATCGATACGAAGGACGGTGTCGTTCTGGGCGCCGATACTCGAGCCACAGAGGGCCCGATTGTCGCCGACAAGAACTGCGAGAAGATTCACTATCTTGCGCCAAACATGTACTGCTGTGGCGCTGGTACCGCTGCCGACACCGAGATGACGACCAACTTGATTTCCTCCAAGCTTGAGCTGCATGCCTTGTCGACTGGTCGTGAAGCTCGGGTTGTGACGGCCATGACCATGCTGAAGCAGATGCTCTTCAAGTAAGCGCATTCCCACTTGCCACTCGACGCTCGCCTGGGTGGCACTGCTGCCGAGTGAGAAAGCATACGGAGCTCTCTCCATCACACACCGGCCTAAATTAATGCGGGCCCGAACCTCACACCAAAGGTACCAAGGACATATCGGTGCAGCTCTTGTCCTGGGCGGCTACGACATCAGTGGCCCGCAGCTGTACACCATCGCGCCCCATGGCAGTACCGATAAGCTTCCATACGTCACCATGGGTAGTGGATCACTCGCGGCCATGGCCATTTTTGAAGCCAGATGGAGAAGAGACATGACGGTGAGTCGGTGTGGAATCTGGCTCCCAAGATATCCTCCTCACCCTGCCGCCGATGAGTCCATTATCCATCAGAGCCAGAGCCGGTCGTGTCCAGAGTCTCACCTCTGGTTTCCCAACACAGCGCGAAGAAGGAATCCAGCTGGTCAACGACGCTATTGAGGCCGGTATTTTCAATGACCTTGGATCCGGCAGTAATGTGGATGTATGTGTGATCACCAAAGGAAACGTGGAGTATCTGCGAAACTACAATCGGCCCAACGAGCGCGGTGCAAAGGAGCAAAGCTACGCACGACTGCTTCCCCCGGGAACAACAGGTTCGTTGACAAGCACCAACATCCATCCATCGCACTTATCGACCCATGCCCACCACAGGAGGCGTAGCGCATACCCCGTCCGGTCATGAATCTGTGTTAACCGACTATCTTGCTCATCCATGGCTGTACTCCTTCTCTCCAGCCATTCGCTCGACCGATATCCGTCAATTCGTCACCGTCGCTGAGGCCGATGCCATGGATACAAGCTAAAGGGGCTGATAAGGAGAATCGGGCCACTCGGTCTTGTGTTAACCCGTCTAAGCCCGGTACCCTTGACGGCCAAATACATCCAATAAACAGCCATTTATCCGCGACAACCGTGCCAGCACTCATAGTATGAAGCGGGACACTACGAAATCATCAAGCGTTTAGCGATCGCTGTGGGCGCGCTCGGGTGCTCATTGTGGATCCATCTCGATTACGGCTAGTGCGATTGCGAGGCGCAGCATTATCGACAGCGAATGCTGTGGTGGCTCTGCTCTCGAGTCGATAAGCACTGCTTTGAAGATCAGTCGCCGATTCTCGGCAAACGCCCGCCTGGCTCGCATCATCATGAGCGGCCCGCGTTGTATCGCGCAGTAAATGCAATGCATCCAGAGTTTCGACCAACAACCACATCTTTTGTTGCCCCAAAACATCGTGCCCTGGCTGTGACACCCACTCAGAGGCCGCCGAAGTGATCAACTTCCACTGCATATGGCATTATGTACACAATCTATCTCATTCAACGCGTTCATTTCGAATGAGGCCAGCGCTCCGTTTTCCCATGTGCTGAGTGCAGCAAGCAGCCGTGATTGATGCCCAGGCTCGCTCATCCGAGCAAAGCATCCTCCTTGGCGGCTTCTTGGCCTTGATCTCGCCCGTTGGCCACACGATTGAGAGCAATTGGCATAAGCCGCATTGGGCGCAATGGAGACAGTTGTGGATTCGGTCCTGGCCGGGGCAGATGCTCACGGAAGAAAGCCCAAGTAAGCCCTGAACACGATCGAGGATCTCTATCGATCGAGCAGCTTCTCGCCGTGGCATCGGCGCCGCTCCGAGGCCCTAATGTGGGTTCATCACACGCTCGCAGACCCATGGACAAGCGGCAGAGGATGCCGAATCTTGCAAATCCACGCGATGTTCAAATCATGAGCGACATTTGCGCGCACATTCAGCAATTTTCGATGCTGCAGAAGCGAGAGAGCGCGATGAAAGGCTACCGGGATTTATTGAACTTGCAGGTATGACCGAGGCAAAGAAAGGGCAGCGACTGAACAACGGGTCGAGGACCGAGGGGCAATCGCATCGTCCTTGGATCGTCTTCGTTATCGTCTCGCCGGTTAGCGTGCCGCTGCGGAGAACTCCAATGTAACCATTCTCTCTTTTTCGAGAGATTTATCACCATGTCGATTGTGCTTTGACTCCGACTTGATTGTTTCTCTATTGCAGGAGATGACAGAGTCCTCCAAGCGCGAAGACGAGCTCTCGCTTGTTACAATGGAATGCATCATTGCCGTTCCCAACATTGCGAAGCGAAAGGAGCTGCTGCACGAGCGACTGATGTCAAGAATCACTGACGAGCGAGGCAAGTCCGACTCGGCAGCCCTTGCCACACACATCGTTATAATGCTCGATCTATCGATGGCTCACGCAGTATCTTGTGGTCAGAGCTGGCAAACTCGCTACAGAACCATCGCGATGAGTTTTCCCAGTTTATTTGGAAGCGACGGATGGTGGCACGTAAAGAACTTCGGGGTCTCTTCCGAACTGGGTCAGTTGAGCCAATTTGGTGTCATGGCGAACTCACCGAGACTTCCCAGAGTGAGGCGCTGCGGATGACTGAGTGCCGGCGAAGGTGGGCGGGGATGTCGGTTGCATATCCCTGGCAGAGACGTTGATCAGTGGCACTGTGAATTCGATTTCCTTTCTTCCGAGTTGCGGCCTCCCTCACGCTTGCTGATGATGCGCTTTGTTTCTCGCCGCGTAGTCCTGAAGTCATTGGGCGGTTCGGTGATATGATATCCAATGCCACCATCGAGGCCATCCAAGGATTTGAAAAAACTAACTTGTCGCGCCTGTGCAAGAACGCCATATCCACAGGAATCTGTGATGCCGACGACGTTGGTGGATACCTTCAGCGCAAGGCAGGTATCGCAGTGATTGCAATGCAGGCCGTAGTATCGGCATATCTATGCGGCTCAACCTTGGCGGTGGGCATCGCCGCGATCGCAGTTGATTCGAGTCACTCCAGTTTAGTAACTGTAGGACGACCCTCAGTTTTTTCTGGAGGCACCCAGAGATCCGACTCTTGGATCTATGAGCCAAGATCGTCTCTTTTTTCAAGTAACCCCGAACCCGTTCAACCTCGAAGCCCCAGATCATTCCAAGGCACGAGAGTGGATATGCATCTATGCGACGAATGGCATCTGGAAACACAGACTACTGGCCCAGCCGTCCATCAAGAGGTTGGTCCAAGACATAACTGAGAAGATTCGGCAGAACCCCGGGGCTTCTGGCAGCAACTCGTACAATCAGGCCATTGCCCGCGTTCTCGACGCAGTGCACCCATCTCACCGGCTGCTAGCCTCGACATTGGCCTATCCGATGTCAGCACCGAGCTTGATCAAGAAGCGGCTATCCTTTCTTGGCTACGCGCCGCCTAATCCTAGCGACGAGATATCCAACATTAGTCAGATGGACTGCTTGACGACGCTGAGACAGCTCAACAAAAGGCTTGATGAAGATCACCGGTTCTATTTCGAGTTCACCGTCCTTGACAAGAGCGACTGGAGATGCGGTGAGTATCATGCATCTTGTCCTCAGGGACCTTCACAAGCCTTCGGGGGGGGGTTGTCGAGTCAGTATTCAAGGGTACTGAGTTTATCAACACTGATGGACATACCTCAGGCTTCATCTGTGGCAAGCACATCAGCCCAAGAAACCACCTCACATTTCCGGGGAAAGACCCGCAAAGCCTCGGGTTCTCCTCGGACGGAAGTGTATATTACAACGGAGAAGCACGACCGTAAGTCGCAAGTGAATGGATCAAATATGATGGCAGTGGACCCAAATCGAGCTGCATAAGCTTGCCATTTGAATTATCGGGCAGAGGCTAACGTCCAGTGCACAGGTTTGACTCCTTCGCTGAAATCAAGGACATGATGGTCTTTGCAGCAATACGCACGTACGGGATTCTGGTTGATCTGGGCAAGAATCAAATATGCCTGGTGGTTGATAACAAGATCTTACCTCCCGGATTTGGGACCGACGCGGCGGAATATTCCTTAGAGGAGCAGATCGAGCAGAGGTGAGGAATCAAAGCCACGAACCCGCTCTCGATCGTGGTGGCTATGCAGCACCGTAGCCAGAACATGGATTCCTACGAACTTCCATGAGGCTAACAATATTCGCTTGGATGCAGCGAGTTGATATCTACTTGCCAATTGACTCCAATGCTGTCATTGAGTGGTACGTCTCGTAGCCCGGAAGCATTGCTGTGCCATTGTCGATCGTTACTTTGACGAAACTCCTGAGGGTCGATGCTTGCAGAATTGCACCGAGCGGGCTCGATAGGTGTGATTTCGTTTGCAGAGTACTTTGCGCACTCACTAGTGTTCTCCCTTACTCACCCTCACTCACTCGCTCGATCCTTGCATCGGTCAAACGCAGCCAACTTATCCTCGGCATACGCCGACCCGCCGCAATTGAAGGCCAACTTTGGCAGCGCTCCATTTTCTTTCAGCGTCCTGGGTCGTTCCTTCGACAGCATTTTGGCTCATCGCCCAGCAAAGCGTGCGTGCTGTTGCCTAAATTGGTATCTGACGCGACGGCGATTTGCCGGCACATCTGCGCTGTAGAGCTCAGGAAGTAAAGCTGGGGTTCATGTGCAATCACTCTTTCATCCTGTGCAACACTTGCCCGACATGATCTCACATCTTTCTCGTCCCTCCTGATTGAAGACTTTGACTCGGACGGGATATTTGATCCTGCCTCTGTCGAGCACCATAGAGCAAGCCAGGAAGAGGAGGAGCGCCTGCAATTGGTATAGTCTCTGTTACCTCACAAGTTAGATGCGGCACCCATAAGCAACATTGGTGGACGGCTCTCTGTAACAGTGGTCTCACTGACAAGATGTGGTTTTACAGACTCTGGAGAAAACACAATTCAAGGCGTCGATGCTTGCGGACACGCTCAAGAGCTTTTCGCAGTTCCCGCCTTCGATCTATCGGCGGTCGCTGGCTTGTATGAGGATTCAACGAGGTATGCGTCCGTTGTGTTGGTGCGTAAAACCTGCGAGACAGTGAGTCTCTCCGTCGGACTTACTGTCGTCTTTGCATATTAGTATGGAGACGCCACAGAGGTAGAATGGAGCGCAAGCGTATTCGTGAGGAGCAATACGCCGCAGCTACGATCATCCAGCGCATGGCACGAAACAAGCTCAAGAAGCTCCGAGCGCGGAAGAACGAGGCTGCTGCGATAATTCAGCGAAACTGGAGAAAGCTCATGTACATCCGGCTGGCCCTTCTCCGTATGTATCAGTCGCCACAACATGCTTCCATAGGCCCCGACGGTGATTCTGTACGTTGACTTTTTTTGTTGCCGCAGGGTGCATATACCAGCAGCCCATTCCTGAGCTGCACCGATGTGCCGAAGTCATACAAAGAAAATGGAGGCATTGGTTCATGTTCCGCAACTCGCCCATTGCGACGAGATACAATGCTCGGATCGAGGGTGAGATCCAGCATCGGTCACTCTGGAGGAGACCATCTCGCTCGTTTGGCGGCTCGTTTCTGCTATATTGCGAGCTTCATATTCTCGTACTCATGCCGTGCTCACGCCGTGCTCATGCCGTGCTCACGCCGTGCTCATGCCGTGCTCACGCTGTGCTCGTTCGAAAACCATAGTTCTCAATGTTGCTGCAAACAAAATTATCAATTGGTGGCGACCGCTTTTCAAGAAAATCAACGAAACGAAGAAGATACGAGAGGTGCGTGTCCTCTGCAGCGCCGACAGATCGATGGCGTACAGTTGTGAATGTGGGCACGAATTTCGTAAGCGAGGCGATGCTGACAGCGGCGCTTTGAGCCAACAGAGACACAAGGCCGCCACGGATATTCAAAGAGTGTACCGAGGTGTGGAACTACGCAAGGTTCATTGGCCGACGAGTTTTGCGGGGTCCGTTGGGTCTAACCATGCTGTTGACCTACAGGATACTACTTGCGGCAGCTCCTTCGCCCAGATTTGCGAGAAAGGCTGCGCAGACTTGGTGAATCCGTGGCATCCCATCGGTGGGTTTTGGACCGGCTGTCACGGTGCCGATGGCAATGCCACATGCTGGCACTCCGACACAGCGAGGCGGTGATGGGGATGTGATGCGAGAAGCAGACATCGATACTGTTTCCGGGACACTAACTCAGCATTCGCTGATACTCGGTCCTCACCAGGGAAGAGCTTTTCCGCATCCGTGGTGCATACATCTTGCAGAACGCTTGGAGAGCTTTCCTCGTCAAACGCGTCCGCTCCGATAAGATCAAAACAAGAAATAGGGCCGCCGCACGCATCCAGGCTTTCTGGAAGGGCTACTGGGTTCGCTCGCGTATGTCGCTGATCATGCCGGCGGTTTGGGCGGCAGCGAAGGTGTATATTGACTTGCACATGTCTGCGTTGTGCCTCTCACCGAGATATATCTTGTTGTCTCAGATATCCATCTGCGCTTCAGCTATGGCGAGTCCGTGTTCCTGAATGCGGTGCAGCGGGCCATGAAAAACTGCCACTTTATCATCAAGATGTACAAGCCGTGTGGAATCGTCTGCCCACGACGAGATTTATCGTCGCTGCACACCTGACCGACTGGGTGGATCCAAGGCGGCGACCACAAAGATGCGTGCGATGTATTTGGAAACAGATGCAGTTCAGTTTATCGTAAAGGAGGAATGATGGTCATGCGTGTGCTTCTCAAAGACAGAAGCGAGCAGTGCACTTGGGCATTGTATCCGTTGGATCACTTTGTGAGCGCCGCAACCTGCAACTGCGACTGATCCCACATCCGCGATAGTTTTTTGAGCTGCTCCAGAAACACGAATGTGAAGACTATGTGCGGCCTGGGCATCGAGAAGCGCAGTTGTGTCAATAGACTTGTGAGTGTTCCGAGGGCCACACTCAGCACACTACACTTACCCGATGCGCATGTAATGTGCCGTGAAGCCTTTGTAGAGCGCAGCCACGCCCTCGGCCCGAACAGTCTTCATGATGCAGTCGAGTGTGCCCGAATACAGGACTCCATGTCCGCCAGTTGCTTTTTGGTTGTACTAGATGTCGTCGGCATGGGGAATCGGTGAGAAGGTGCACTTTCGGACATTTCTCTCTCTCCAAACTCAAGAACGAATCGATTATACTAGGGGCACCGCCGTCACGTCGACGATCAGCGACAGCACAAGCAAGTGCAGCCACAGCATCGAGCCCATCGGCGGTTGGCTCCCGTTACATTGCGGCCGATCAAGCGTACAGCAAGCAGCGAGCTCGCCGCACACTTGGTTAAACTTGTCACCCACCATTCTTGTCATGGTCACGTCAAAAGGATTCATGGCTATGCACATCAACAAGCCCGTGATACTGCTTGCGGCCAGATGCAGGTCGAGGTTGCCATCGCCATACGGGCCGAGATGGAACCATCCTGTGCCCTTCAAGAGCTGCTTGGACTTGTCGTAGCTCGCCAGCTGGACAGCCGAGGCAACACCGGACCGGAACATGGCGGCATCCACACCTCTCCACAATCCGCGGAGGCCTTCGTTTCGGTAGATGATCTGCAGTGACCGGAGGGTGCCTTGCGTGACGTAGGCATGCTGGTGTCCGACCGACGACAGCTCAGGAGAATAGGACTGCATTCGCTATAAACCGAGCGATGTGGGATCGATTGAAGCGGTACGGATGGAGACGATGTCAGAGGGCTTCAACACTGGAAATGCCACCAGCACAGGCTCCAACACCAAGTGGCCTCCGCTTCGTTGGCCGGGCATTCCCGGTCGGTCCAGGCCGCGCCGTCAGGTGCTCACCGTTTTGACGAGGAACAGCGGACTGGCTGTCAGGGCACCAAGAATGCCGCTCGTTGCGCCGGCAGCCAGCATCACTGGAAGCGAATTGTGCTGGCTGTTTGACGACCACAGCTGGCCAATGACTTGCTGGTAGAACTGCTTGATGGGCTCGTACAGGCCGATACGACAGCCGTTATTGAATAACTGGTAGCCATAGGCAGGAATCAGACCCTTCTGGAGGCCGCGGATTCCCTCGTTCCTCCCGATGGTGATCAGCGCAGAGAAGGCATTTCCATAGAGCTTGCCACCGTTGGAGGTCTTTGAGAGCTCGCCCTGGAGCTGCAGCCGGGTCTTGATCACTTCCATTGGATTGGTGAGGGTGGCTGAGGCTGGGTTCCGTGAATAGACAGATGTGGTGAGAGCCCTGCACATGTTAAGCTTGCAGAATCAACCGGTGAAAGTGATGGCGAATGCCGTGGGCGGCCACCCGAATGGAGCTGCATCACGCTGATCCACGATAGCGACGAGCCGGATATCGAGCGCTCAGAGACGGAAGCGCCAGAGGCCCAGCCAGTGGGTCTTGTGTGGAATTCAGCATGTCATCGGTGCTAGGGGCGGACGATCGGGGCCAGAGTCGCAAATAGACATTACCACATGCGGCGATGGAGGCCATAGCGAATCCTCGGGCATGGCCGAGGAAGGTGACGTTATCGGAGGACATCTTGGCTGGCAACGCTGTGCAGACACTGTGCAGAAATGTAGAAATGCAGATGATGTGCACCCAATCTTGGAATGCAGCCCGCAGACGATCAGCCTCCTTCAGCCCGACCGATCCAGAGGAGCAGAGGCCGTGATGATGATGATGATGGTGGTGGTGGTGGTGGTGGTGGGGGCAGCGGACGCATTTGCTCTGGGTTGTGCCTGACAGCTCAGCCGGTCGCACACAAAAACGCCATCGAAAAATAGCCGCCGTCGCGATTGGCCCAGCGGCCGTGCCGGTCACGCCAGCGCTGCGCACAGCAAGGACCGCGAGACACGCCCCACGACACGCATCAGACCCGTTTGCAACCCGAATCGATGGCCCTGGGATGGCTCCGAGCATGCCAGCTCCATGTGTATTCATCAGAAGACCCCGTCGATGGCTGTGGTCTGCGGGAAGCAGCTGGGGCCAGGCCGTGTGTCTTGGCCGCGATATATCGGCGATGGCACAGCATCCATGGTCGGTGGCAATGCACCCACACGCACAGCTAGTTGCTCTTCTTGGGACCGGTGAGCAAATACCACTTGTTCCGGCTGTTGGCAGCCTCCTTGCGAACGGCTCGCTTAGTGTCGTCCAAGGCGGGGGCAAGGCCGCTCAGAACGACGGGCTTGAAGGGATGGAGATCAGAGTAGGCCAGCGCAGAGGGAAGCATGCCAATACAACGTATGGCGCCAACTCGGACGGGCTAATGGGGTTCACGGAACGGAAGCACATTGGTCAGCACTGGCGCCGCTTTCCATGGCTCTGCCCAGGATCTCTTCGCTGCTAAGCGCCATCGCGAGTAGCCCAATGACGTATCAACTCACGATTTTGTTTGTCTGCTCGGCATCCACTTGCGTGAGCTTCAAGAGGAGGGGCACGAAGGTCGACAGGTGTGTCGTCACCAGGTCTGGCACATCCTTGAGCATAGACTGCAGCGTGGCCAGCGTGCTGAGCTTGAGCGTTGAATCAGCCGATTCCAACGACGGTATGATCAACGGAACCAGCTACATAGGAGCGACAGGCCGCCGAGAAAACAATGCCACGATAGCGTGAGTCAAGGCAGCCGGATGACGGGCGAGTCGCTGGTGGAGCAAGCCGTATCTATGGCATCGATACCCAAGGACCAGTGATACACACCGAAGGCAGAGCGCCCAACAGGACTTGTTTCGGCGCGTTGCTGAGGAAGTACGACAGAGCCACAAGGTAGTTCGATTTGGCACCCGGGCCGGACGCATTGAATCCAGACGAAATCTTGGGGACAGCTTCAGCGAACAGACGCTGCTTGTACAAAGGCTGTCGAGCGAGACAATGAACGAACGATGGAAATCAGCACGACCGTCCGCTGCAGTCACTGTGCGGTGCTGAGACACATACCTTGACTGTGCAAAATGCCTTCTTGGTCAGGATCGAATCGTCAGACTCCTTTACGACGATGCTCAAGGCCCGAGCAGCATCGAGGCCCAGAGTCTGGTTTTCGATGAGAGCGAGCAGATCGCGGGCCATCTCGTAGCCAAGCTTGCTGGATTTAATCACCAGGCCTTTGGTGAGCTGCAAACGCAGGAAAAGGGGGGGTTAACAGCCGTACTCTTGTGGTGCGTTCGGTCGTGTCAAAACTCTGTCCGAGTCAGTATACTCAAGCTGGCTGCTTGCGTTTCCTACCCATCCATAAACGAGAATCAAATGCTGCCTCTGGGGCATGCTGCCCGTCCCGGCGGAGATGAGGGCCCACAGCTGCTGTTTGACGTCAGCGCAAAGTGTCTCCGAGGCTTTCTCTGTGCGGTGGGCCAAAGGAGAAGGGTCAGTGGGCTTTTGGATGCTTCCTTCCACGATGAACTGCTGGGTGGCTTCGGCATACCATCGGCCCCTTTGTTAATGATCGTTGCTGCAATCTGGGCCAGCGAACCAAACCAGATTGCCGTGGCTTCATCTACTGTCGCCTCCGACGCATCTAGCATTGGTTGCACGAGGGTCTTGACAAACTGGACCTCTGATCCGCCTGGCAGAGGCACTGTGGAGCGAAGGCAGCAGGCAACCGAGGCAAGAGGCTGGACGAGCACACGCTGCGAGGGCGATGCGAGAGGCTGCGAGTGTCGAGAAGGATGAATGAGCAGCTGAGCATAGCCAAAGAGACACATCGTACGGAGCAATATGCCGCCCATTCAACCCACCGAGAGCGGCCTCCAGGTGGCACGAAGGGCTTGGTCAGAAACGACGGCCTCGATGTCGCTCTCGATGAAAATCCGATAAACAAAGCTGGCGACTTCAGACTGCTCGCTGGAGACACAGAGACTGCGGGTCAGCAACAAACATGGCTCGTGCGGGATGACTGCGGCCATGGCAAGTGGTCAAGCATGAAGAGATGTGACCTACGTGAGAGGAAGCTCGCGCACAACGAGACCAAGAATGCTGGACAGCTTGTGCACCAGGCTTGCTGCGAGGGTCTGCTTGGACACGAGGCTGTTCACAACGAGCATCCGGAACATGGGTTTGACGACGCTGTCGACGCATTGCTTCAGCACATCGGCCTTATTGTCTGCCGTCTCGTCTTCGGCGTGGGTCCGCAGAACTGCAGCGATGGCATCGATCACATCCTCTGTGAACGGGAGACCGCTTTCCAGCTCCAAATGCTCTATAGGGCGGCGCGTTTCCAAAGACAAAATGTCAAAGAACCACCACAGAGCACTGCATGTTCGGCTGTGCTGATCTCTGCGTGTTTGAGTGATTGTGGCTCACTTGACAGCACAAAGTAGGGTACCAAGTCTAGCAATCGCAACGCGGATGGCTGTGATCAACATCCCGGGTGGTGGCCTTACCGTTCAAGATTCGAATCAGTCCAGGAACGATGACATCAAAGATATCGGGACGGATGCTCTCCTTTGTCAGGGCCTCGAGGTACAGCTTGGTGTTGTGTGTGTAATTTTGTGGATGGGTGTCTGAAAATAGCAGCATATTTCATCAGCTCTGGCCATTCGCCAGATAGGGCAGCGAGTGGCAGCAGACATGAACGCCATACCCCGCAGGAGTGCCAGGAGCGGGGACACAGAAAGCTCCAAAACGATATCAGCCCGGCTGTCCGAAACGGCCACGATGGCTTGGACGGCTTCATTGTATATCTCGACATCCACATCGCCCGTTATCAAGCTGTTCCAAAGCTGAACTACGGCCCGTATCTTGAGAGCATAGTGGCTGTTTAGTTGATACTCCACTCGAAGTGTTGTTGGCGTCGGCTGGACTGTAAGCACAAGACACCTACCTCAATTTCGGCAAGGCAACCAAGGTGAAGGGCCAACTCAAGAAGGGCCTTGATCGACACCAGTCGAACAGGGGCGTACTCTGATGCCAAGATGGCAGACACCCGGAACACTTCCAAGAGTCGATCTTTGTAGGCCAGAACAGGGAATTCTACCTCCCCGTCAACTGTGAAGCAAAGGACAGCAGCTCCGTCAGCCCAGTGAGTGTCGCCAATGTCGCAGACTACCCCAATCTTTGATGCTATCGTGCCTACCCTGCCGAGTTGATCCGGATGTGCCGTAAAGCTCACGACTTGCCACCAGCAGCTGAAGGAGCACGTCCATGAGCACCTTTCGGCAAACCGGCCGCTCTTCGGTCTTGAGCCACTCGAGCAGGACAGGCATAGCCTGCGATACGATGAACTGGTTGGCGGGATCTGGAGAACGGCGATGCATCAGTGGCTGCAATTGGCTTCGCTCTGGCATACTTCATTGCAACAGCACCAGCCGACTCTCACCAGAGGTTGCCGAAATGCAAGCGATGATTCTGCCGCTGCCCTTGGCGAATTTGTGGTCAGGGTCCTTCAAATATCCAAGGCACTTGTCTGTAGCCTCTTTGAGCAGGCCGCCAAATGCATCTTGCTTGTTTGTAGTGGCCGCAAGCGAGAGTGTTTGGGAAATGGCTTTGAGAGCATCCAAAGCAGCCGTCTGGAGCTCGTCGTTCGAGGCATGGAAGACTTCTTCGCTCAGGAGCTGCCATAGCCGATCGGTGTGGGGAACTAGGCACTCGGATCCATATGTCGCTGCACCGCTGACCAAAGCCTCCATCGAGTCACGCTTTGCACTGATCGAACTCGACGACAGCTTCTCAAGCAAGAACGGGACAGCAAGGGGGCCGAAGAGGAACGATCCGGTGATACATTCCCTAGCAGAGAGAGAGAGGGGCGGGTGAGATCCTCCGTGCGTGGTCGGGTGAGGTATGGAGCGGGTGTCGGCGTCGATCCTACCTTAGGCCCAGCCGGAGATCATCGGCGGTGATTCCATAGATGTCATCCGGAGGCGGTCTGAAAGTGATTGGGAAGTAGCAGGACACGACTTCGAATAGATCCTGTTCCAAACCAAGGGGCCGCGGCGACAGGGTGAGATACAGCTGCGTTGCATGCTCTCACAGCCGTGATATCACAAGCGACGACCTTAGAATCCCCGAGGACTCTGCGGTTACCTCGGTGTGTCCGGCAATGTCCATATGGCGCAAAATGCTCTTGATCGACCTGAATGACAGCATGAGGTTTCGGGGATCCTTTTCGCCATCGATACACTGGATAAAGCCACCAACAAAGTCTTTGTGGGCCTTACTCAGACCTGTGTGTGCGATGGATGTGAGTGCACTGGGGGAAGTCCTTCGCCAAGGAGTCGATACTTATCGACCCACTGACCCACTCGATCGATGCCGGACACACCATACCGTCGGCGTGGTTGCTGAGGAGATAATCAAATATGCGGAGGACGGAATGGCGAACGGTTTGCTGGAAATCCTGGACCGACAGCTCGTCAAAGATCCTGTTGGATAAGGTCAAGAGCCGGGTCAGACAAGGGATCCGCCCAGGACGTTCGGGTTTTGCAACTTGCGAGCACAGCAAGCGCTTGCTTGCAGACGCACCGCTTGGGGATTTCGAGGACATCGAGCTTTGGAAGGCACTCGAGCGAGAGCAGCTGAAAGATACCCTTGAGGGCATCGCCGACGCTTGGAGTATCGTGCAGGCGGTCCAAGAAGAAGCTCAGAAGAACGGACGCTGATGGGAGCAAACCAGACACACGGGGGCAGTTAGGAAACGCCCGCCATGAATCGTGTCCGCATATACAGCGAGGCTGGCTCTGCTCAGAAGCAATAGTGGAGCGCCGCTTGATCGTACCAGCCTTGGTGCCGACGGACTCGGGCTTGAGCCGAGCCAGAGTGTCGGAGAGCAGCCCGACCCCTCTGGAGCGCACAAATGGATCCGAGTTGGTCAGCGTGGGCCCCAGCAGCTCGACCAGGACAAATAACTCGCCGGAAGACGCATCGATGCGGGCGGCGATGGATTCGAGCGCATGGCGGTGGGCGGACGAGTCCGCGGTGGCCTTCAACGAGGCATCGATCTCTGTCTGCATTTCTGTTGCCGTGGGCTGTGCGATGGATTTGGCGTGCTGATGGATGCTTGTATGGGTCGACGGCAGCTCGGATGCGGTGTCGCCGTCGGTGCAGTCGCCCAGAACGAATGACAGGGATGCGATCGATCGATCAACAGGACCGCCGTTTGTCATCCGACATCGATAAGCGGCGGCTGCGCAGCCGCCCATATGGATTTAATAACTGCGCTGCGCTGTTTTCTGTCGGCCCACCGGAGTTTCTGTTCGGAAGGACGATCGGCTGCACCCGAACGGCATAACAGCCAGGCGTGCGACTTGGCCCGCTCGTCTCTGTTCCTGCAAAGGTCGCTGTTGGCTGAGTCTCCCACAACCCAACCAAGCCAAGCCAAGCCAACCCAAGCCAAAACCACCCAAGTCCCGCGGGATCGCCCACCGACGAGATCAACCCGCCATATCAACGGCCGCAAGATTACCCAAGCCAAAACCACCTCCCGCCATGTCATCTACCTGCCGAGTCGTCCAGGCATCCGAGGTCGCTGCCCGCTTCAGGTAATGCCAGCCGACTGCAGGGATGCGTTCGCATTGAGCGGCATCCACGTTGAGCACTGGCATAGCCCGACCCAATATGCAGACGATTGCCACACGCAGCATATTCTTGGTGAAAGGGCCGATGCCCAGATTGCGCGTGGCCTGGATCCGAATAGGAGAGTGACATCGGGCGCAGGGCCATCCGGGTGCTGCGGACGACGTTGGCAGTCGAACGGCCATGGGCTGCCATCAGACCGGATCGGTGCGGGCCTGTGACAGCCGCAGTGCGCCGGTACCGACGCTGGATTCGCACGGTCTGACGAATGCGGCTGCTCCTCTCGATAAACGCAGCCAAGAAATCAAGGCGGGCATATCCGAAAAGCAGGTCTCCCCGCTGCTGGTGGGATTCCTTGCCAATGAGGATCCTGCGGCCCATACCTACGCGCAATGGACCCAGAAGGCTTGCGAGGCTCTTGGCCTCCGATTTGAGCTGCGTGTCTGCTCGCGCACCGAGCTGGAAGACAAGGTCGTCGATGCCAACGTCGACGATAACGTCCATGGCATCATGGTCTACTACCCCGTCTTTGGCGGCTCCCAGGTAACGCCTGGCCACCAAGCATTCAAATGCTGTCGACTCCCCCCCCCCGGCAGTCCAGCCATTTCCATCTTGCCACGGGGATTCAGCGCTCGCCGTATGATTCATCCGATCGAGATAGACGCCGATCTAACAGCAACGGCTGTGCACCATGCAGGACCAGTACATTCAAAACATTGTCAGCGTCCAGAAGGATGTTGAGGTGAGGCTCCGCTGTCGTCGCCGACGTCGCTGCCGGTGCTTAAAGGCCGGCATGCTCACCCACCCGAAACACCAATCTCCCAGGGCCTTTCCCACACCTACCGATACAACATGTACCACAACATCCGCTACCTTGACAAAGAGGAGAAAGTCAAGTGCATCATTCCCTGTACTCCTCTGGCGGTGATCAAGGTAGGTGTTGGTACTTGTTTCCTGGTTCTCGTGCGATGCGGGCTCCTTGTGATGATGTGTGGAGAGATCGATGGAGCTCCCAAGCTGCTAAGGCTGTACTCTCGGGTCCAGCGAAGTCTCCTCACCGAATGCCCTTTGGCCAACCACACAGATTCTGGAGTACGTCGGGGCGTACAACCCCATCATCCCATACGGCAACCGACTGTTTGGAAAAACCATCACCGTCATCAACCGCAGTGAAGTCGTTGGACGGCCGCTGGCCGCACTGATGGCCAACGATGGCGCGAGGGTATTCTCGGTGGACGAGTTTGGAATCCTCGAATTCACTCGAGGCCAAGGTATCAAGCTCAACAAGCACGAGGTTGGTCGTCGTCCGTGCCGTTTATCGGCTTGTGTTTGGATCGTGCAGTCCCCACTCTCCCCAAGCGATCGCTGCCTGCATGGAATGGATGGGGGAGTGTCCGTTGGCGGTCGGCGCGGCTCCAACGCCGCAGCGCTGCCAAGAAATGTTGCTGAACTGTATTGGTGGACATACCCCGCGGAATACTGCTGCTGGTGATAAAACCCGCTAGATCAAGGAGTCCAGCGTGAAGCTCGAGGAAGCTCTATCTATTTCGGACGTCGTGATCACGGGTGTGCCCTCTCCAAACTACAAGATGAAGACCGCTTCCCTCAAGGACGGCGTCATTGCCATCAACTTTTCGACCTTCAAGAACTACGATCAGGACATCCAAGAAAAGGCGTCGATCTTTGTGCCCTCTGTCGGCAAGGTCACGATTGCCATGCTTCAAAGGAATCTGCTGAGATGCTACGACTACATGCAATTGGCCAAGTAAGCCTCTGTGCAGGACAGTCCGCGCAAGACACAAGAAGGAGAGGGAGAGGAGGCTCTTGGCCCCCCCCCGACCTTCTGAATACAGTGTCTGCGATCCCTACCCGCTGTAATCGACGACAGCGACACACTCTGTTGTCCAGCCGGCGAGGCGGATTGTGTTCGGGACACTGGAGGGGATGAGTTTCGACCCAGGTAACAGCATGCGGACTCTCTCGCAGAAGCAGGACTGTGCCACGAACGGTCAAAACATGTATTTGAATCATACGAGAACGAGTGACGACTCTGGGACTCGCATTGGGATGCCGTTCCCTTGGGTGCACATCGCGGAGAGCCCTCCTACAGCCGACGTGCGGCCTGGCGATCGCCAATCGAGTTCAGGTAGCTTTTCAGAAAGACGCGCTGCTTCTTGGCCAGGTCCTTGATCTTGTCAATCTCGGAATCTGTCAGGAGGAAAAGCATGCGGTTGCCCTTGCTCCGGTTGACCTTGCTGTCGAGAATGACGCCGTTCTCGGTGTCCCGGTTGTCGGTTCCGAACGAATTGGAGACAATGTGCTCGATGTCAAAGGCGTGCACGCAGCAATCGGGTGACGAAAAGGGTGCATGCTTGGCATCGGTCGCAGAGACGGTCCACAGCCCGAGCACATCTAGAATGAGCTCAATGCCATTGGAGCACTGGATGAGATGGCCGGGGCGGGTCTTCCAGTGCTCAACGATGGTCTTCTTGACCGACTCGGGAAAGACCGGGGGGCGGTCGAGGCTCTGGATGTGGGCGTCGTTGGGCCGGTCTGGATCGAGATTGGCGCGGATGAGGAACTTGAGCACCTGGTAGGCCAGCTTGCCGCGGACCTGGGTGTCCTGCAGCCACGAGGCCATGAAGGCGGGGTCCTTGACGGACGTCAGAATCTGCTCGATGTACTTTGCTCGCTTGTACGAGAAACTTGGGGCAACCTTGAGCGAGGCGGGAGCGGTAGGTTTCCCGTGGGTGCTGGGCGGCCGCGAGTGCGAGTGCGAGTGCGAGTGCGAGTGTGGGTGCGAGTGGGAGTCGGTGGGCGACGATGTGGGCGACGTCTTGGCCTTCTTGCGCTTGGGGCCGCTGGCATGGCGGTCGCTCGGGTCGGCATCGAGGGTGCTTGGTGGCGGACTGGGTGGCTCGGGCGAGAAGAGCGAGCTCCAAATCGGACCCAGGAAGGTCGAGAGTCCCAAAAACCCGAGGATACCAGAAGCCGCCGCATCGTCGCAGGCCGCAGTGTCGTAGAGCAGCTCGTGCAGATGATGTCCGTCAAAGACAAAGTAGCGGCGTCGGTGCGAGCTCGACGATGCCGACGACAGAAACTTGAAGCCCTGGTCGCGGGCATGGGTTTCGCTCACGCACGAGTAGGAGCGATAGAGCCCAAGGATGACGGTCTTGTCGACGTGGACAAATTCGTAGGTATAGTTGCCGCGGCCCTTGCCAGGGTCCTTGGTGCCGGTCACGACGCTGACCCGCCGACGATCCTTCCAGACGACGAAGAGGGTGTCCTCTCTCAGACGCTCGGAGACGAGCCCCAGGAGGGTCTGCATGGATGCGTCCATGGGTGCATCCATGGGTGCGGGAGACGGTTTGGTTTGGCGCCGGTGGGTGTGGATGTGGCAGAGCGAGAGCGAGAGCCGAGGATGCGCTGCTTTTGGATCGGGAGCAGAAGCAGATCCGACAATCCTGGCAGAGACGGTGGGGTATTTGACGGCGGCTGCCAGGGAGGCGACGGCGACGGCGACGGTGCTGTGGATGTGCTTGCGGCTGGCAGGCAGGGGCTGGTGGAGACAGAGTTTGGTCCTGTGTATGGATGGTGCGGTGCGCCCGGACATGGGCCGCCTTGGTCTGGTGTGATTTGGTCTGGCGGCGGTCTTGGCTGCAAGAGCGCTCTGGGGTTGACAGAGGGCGACGCACGAACGAAAAGGAGACGGACGGCGCTGCGTTGTTATCGTTCCTGTGGGATCGTTCCCGTGGGCGAGTGCATCGTCGATTGTGATGAGATTATGATAGGCCTCGCTACACTTTATTCAGAAAAAACGGGACAATATAGCCGTTTCCATGAACATGTAGTATGTGCTGTGCTTGCGTCAAGCAAAGCCACAAGAAATAAAACAGATCACTTTGGCAGCCTCCGAGTGAAGACCGCTGGTCGCTCTCCGGTCTCCACAATCGACCTGCACACTGCGATCATGTTGCGCGCCGCATTGACGTCGCGATTCCACACTGTCCGGCAGCTGGGATTCTTGCAGCTCCTGACAAAGTGGGAATTCGCAACACTGGGCGCATCGAGTCCTTCCAACCGAACTGGCTCCAGGCACTTGGAGCACACTTGCGAGGTGTTGAACTCGTTCGTCGAGACTACCTTGACGCTTCCATGATGGTGATTGGGACGGCGACGGTGGTGCTCGAACTGCTCAAAGTACCGAGCAAACCGCTGCCTCCGAGGGCTGGATGCATAGCCCTTGCCCTGTCGCCATGACGCATTGCCAAAGGCGATCACCACATCGGTCCGTATCGGGGCGTGCTTCAGGACGGCCTTGCACATCCTGTCGACGGCCACTTGGCGCCTCTTGTGGCCCGTGAAGCGATGGTGACGGGCCTTCTTGCCAAGGTGGAAGTCGAGCTGCACTCGCAGCTCCGGTCGCAGGACATGGGTGAGATGGACCTTGAAGGCCTCCGAGGACGACACCTTGGGCGAGGGAGTGGTCGCCATCCAGGTCTCGATGCTGAGTCGATACTTCATGGTGTTGTGCCACTTGGTGTTGGACGTATGGCCACACATTTGCTGGTAGTGGCCATTGGAGAACGAGACCACCTCGTCTTGGTGGCCCGGTGCTTGGATGACCGCCGTGAAGATGGAGCCGACTCCAGGATCGATGCCAATCCAAGTGGTACGGTTGGGGTCTGGGTTGCCGATGTGGGCCTGGATGCGTTGCTCGGCAGTCGGAGGAGGCTCGATGGTCTCGGTGTGATCGGTTCGAGGCAGAAACTTGACGAGGCCGATGGTGCATCCAATGCCATCGGTGCTGATCTCGTAGTTGAACAGCTTCTTGTCCACGTCCCGCTCTTGGAAGAGGGAACTACGCAGCTTGAAGCAACTGCGCCAGAGACGATCCTGGTTGTTGACATCGTCCTCACCTTCTTCCTTGAGCATGTCCCTGGTGAGGCCAAGGCGCTTCTTTGGACCCAGGAGTTGCCAGAGAGTGACCGTGTCGATCTTGACATACTTGGCCTTTGTAGTGCATAGAGGGACCATCGTGCACACGGCCGGAGGAGTGTCGACGGCGAGCTGCTTGAGTGCCCAGTTGATCCTGGATGCCAGCTTGTTGATCTTGGACTTGGTGGTGCCGAGCTCCGACTTGGCCGTGGTGAACCTCTTGTCGTCGGAGGGAATGCCTTGGGTAGTGAGCTCGTCCAGCTTGGCCTGGCGCTGCAGCTCGGTGACTCGGAGGGCGGGCATGTCACAGTCGATCCACTTGTGGACATTGTCGACCATCTTGTCTCGGGCGAGGATTCTCACATGGTGTGAGAGGCGATGGAGGGCCCGGAAGCGGTCCTGGTCGCTGCTGTACTGAAACTCGTCCAGGATGTGGCCAAAGTCCGGGTAGAGGAACTCGAGATCGGCCTTGGGTGGAGTCTGCCCTGGTTTCTCGAAGAGCTCGAGACAGGCCTCGATGGCTTCGTGCTTATGCTTGTTGGCTGGGAAGACGGCAGCGCAGAAGCGGCGAAGGAGTCTCCAATAAGCCAGGTCGAGGTGGGTGGTGCAGTTGGTGGCATAGGCATTGACAGCCAGTGTGAGAAGCTGACTGTGAGCACCATCAGGCAGACGAGGGGCCGGAGGCAGGTCTGCGTGCCGAGTGGTCTGGTAGTCGCGAAAGGAAGCGACCAGATGCTCGTTGTATTTCTCATTGTCCCCGGTCGGGGAGAGGGCACCGGCCTGGACGATCTTGAAGCATTGGCGAATGAAAGCAGGGGTGGACTTGGAGATGACGGGGACGGGAAGATCCTGCTCGATGCACCGGAGGATGTGCAGGTTGAGCAGCCTGGATGCCTCGAACTCGATCTGGGTCATGGCCTCGACGGTGGCCTGGATCTTGTCGCGGAGAGCGGGATTGAGACAACAGCCATCCATCGTCTGCTTGAAGCAGCTGAACTGAGGGGCGGATGACCTTCCATCCACGAGTGGGACGACAGAACTCTTGAGGGGCCGGTATTTGGGACACTTGTTGGTGTTGCAACGTTCGTGATCGGTGCCATCGCACTGGCGACATCGCTTGCCAGTACTCGAGGAAGTAGATGGACCAGGCTCGGTGGGATCGACATCCATTGGATCTGCAGAAGCAGTGGTGGTGAGCGACGGAGCAACAGACGAACAAGCATGCGTGGGATCAGAATACGAACCAGAGACAGGCTCCGACTGTGACTTGGCTTTCTTGGGCCTGGGTGGCCGAGGCTGGCCATCACCGGCACCCTTGCGCTTCGGAGGCATGGGGGCACAGGATGCTGGATGCCTGCCAGTGGTACTGGTCAGAGCAGAGACTTTTTTATCGTGCAATGGCGCGATGATCAGATCAAGGCGAGATGAGGGAAGAAAGCAGCAGGACGAAGGTGTGGCATTTATACCCGAGAGCAGGAGCCCGTCTTTGCGGGCTGGTTGGGGAAGTGACCCTGTTCAAAAATCGCCGAGAGGTTCAAGCCAGGGATTTGAGCGTGAAAATGGCGGCGTGATTGGGGAGCTCAACTCCAAATTGGAGGAACTCAACCCAAAATGATGGTGACTCAACCCCAAAGAAGTTCTCGATGGGATTGTAGTCGGGTGAAGCAGGTGGGGTGAAGATCACTGACCATCCTCGGCGCTCGATGCAGTCCAGGACAGCCCTTGTCTTGTGCATGCTGACATTGTCCATCACAACCACAGAGTCGTCTGGGAAGGTCGCTCGCTCAAAGAACTCGACCATCGAGTGTGTCTTGAATGATGTGGGGATGTACATGCGATGCAGCACACCAGAGTGGTTGATGGCAAATGCAGCCGAGACAGACTTGTGTTTCATGTGATTGCGCTGGCGAAGAGGAGCACCCTTCGGCGAGTATCCGTAGAGAGAGAAAATGGATCTCCTGATCCCTGTCTCGTCGACAAAAACGAATCGCCGCAGGTCAATGGAGCGGGCCTGGTCCCTGAACTGTGCCACTCGCTCATCCAGTCGCTTGGACTTGTAGAGGTGTGTTGCCCTCTTGTGTGAGAGACCTGCTCGGTGGATGGCAGTGTAGCAGAGTGAGAGTGATACTTTCCTCTGGAGGATGGACTCGAGCTTGCACCGCAACACAGGACCAGTCTGGAACGGGTCCTGTTCAATCAGGGTGCGAATGACTGGACATGCCTGCTCGAAGAAAGTGGATCTGCGAGCTGGGACCCGGGATGGGTCATCCAGCTTGCATCCTCGGTGCCATCGATGGATGGTGCTCTTGGATACACTGAATATGGAGGCGACCTTACGCAGGCTATGGATGAGGGCGTAGCATCGCAATGCGGCGGTGCGAAAGTCGGATGTGTGGCGAATGGTCATGGCCAGCGCGCGATAACATTGGGTAACAAAATATTCGATGAATGGTCAAATACCCGGGTGTCCCGTTTTTTATTGGATTGCCTGTAACGACGATCAGCCACCAGATTGTATTCAAGACCGAGCTTCCAGAGGAAGCGATTGCGAACAGAAGGAGCCGCTGCACGAGCGAGACCCCCGATTAGCGAAACAAAAAGGCGCCGTGCACCACCCATTGCCAGAGACGAGATGGAACGGATGCGCTTTTTGTCGGAACAACAGATAGAAATCAATAAAAATGTGCAGCCACCAAAAAGGAGTCTGGGAGCGAGTGTATCGGGCCAACGCAACATCATACACCCGGAAGCTCCACCACTCCACCTCCACCACTCTAGATCACCGTTGCAGCCTCGGAGAGCGAGAGACAGCCTCCCTCTCTTTAGGCAGAGGCGGCCATCTTGTTGAGGGCGCTACCCCACTGGAACCACTCGATCTGGTTCTCGTTGAAGGTGTGGTTGACGGTGAGGTCGACGACACGGCCGTCCTTCTTGGTGAGGCGGAGGGTAAGGGGCTTGCCGGGAACAAAGTTGCTCTCAAGACCAATGATCGAGACCTTGTCGGTAGACTCGACCTTCTCGTAGTCAGCGGCGTTGGCAAAGGTGAGAGGGAGCATGCCCTGCTTCTTGAGGTTGGTCTCTGTTGAAGGAAACGCCGAGATGAGGGGGTCAGGACATCGCAGACAAGTCGGGCGAGCGGACGACATGATGCGATCGGCATGATGTGATCGCCATGATGCAATCAGCAAGCACAGACCCGCACGCATGCCGGCGAGTCGGATCAACGATCGGGTCAGTGGGCAACAGGCGGTCTCATCTTACGCACCGTGGATGCGGGCAAAGCTCTTGACAATGACGGCAACACCACCGAGGTGGCGGACCTCGAGGGCGGCGTGCTCACGGGAAGAGCCCTCGCCGTAGTTCTCGTCACCGATGACGACCCAGTTGATGCCCTTGGCCTTGAGGTCGCGGGCGGTCTTGGGGACAGCCTCGTACTCGCCCGTGATGGGGTTGAGGACAGAGTTGGCCAGGCCGTTCTCAATGTTGATGGCACCGATCAGCATGTTGTTGGAGATGTTGTCGAGGTGACCACGGTACTTGAGCCAGGGGCCAGCCATGGAGATGTGGTCGGTGGTACACTTTCCCTTGACCTTGATGAGGATGGGAAGATCCTTGTAGTCCTTGCCGTTCCACTTGCTGAAGGGAGTCAGGAGCTGGAGGCGGTTGGACTCGGGGCTGACCGAGACAGAGACCGAGGAGCGGTCGGCGGGAGGGGCCTGGTAGGTGTTCTCGCCGGCGTCGTAGCCGCGGGGAGGGAGCTCGGGGCCCTGGGGAGCCTGGAACTTGAAGTCCTTGCCGTCCTTGGTCTTGAGCGAGTCGGTGAGGGGGTTGAAGGTGAGGTCGCCCGAGAAGACAAAGGCGGTGACGAGCTCGGGGCTGGCAACAAAGGCGTGGGTCTGGGGGTTGGAGTCGTTGCGGCCGGTGAAGTTGCGGTTGTAGGAGGTGACGATCGAGTTCTTGTCGCCCTTCTTGATGTCCTGGCGATCCCACTGGCCAATGCAAGGGCCGCAGGCGTTGGCAAGGACAACACCGCCGATCTGGTCAAAGACATCAGACTGGCCGTCGCGCTGGATGGTGGCGCGGATCTGCTCAGAGCCAGGGGTGATGATGAACTTGGCCTTGGCGGGGACACCGGCATCGATGGCCTGCTGGGCGAGCGAGGCGGCGCGGGCCATGTCCTCGTACGAGGAGTTGGTGCACGAGCCGATCAGGCCGACCTTCATCTCGGCGGGCCAGCCGTTCTTCTGGACGGCATCGGCGAACTTGCTGATGGGAGTGGCAAGATCGGGGGTGAAGGGGCCGTTGATATGGGGCTCGAGGGTGCTGAGGTCGATCTCGATGACCTGGTCGTACCTAGAATTGGATTAAATTGAATGGCAGGGCCGAGAAACAAAGTGGTCAGCAACAGTGGCCTGGCAACGCTCGAGGGGCGGGGGCGGATCCGAGAGGTAGAAAGCGACGGACCGACGGACGGACGGATCAGGCTCCATCGGTACAGCATACAGGATACATACTTGGCACCGGCATCGGCAGTGAGGTTGTGCTGGAACGCATCGGCCCAGTCGGCAATGTAAGGGCGGGTGGTAGCACGGAGGTAGTCGGCCATGCGTTTGCTGTAGGGGAACAGAGAGGTGGTGGCACCAATCTCGGCACCCATGTTGCAGATGGTGGCCATGCCAGTGCAGGAGATCGAGTCAAGACCAGGGCCAAAGTACTCGACGATGGAGCCGGTTCCACCCTTGACGGTCAGGATGCCAGCGAGCTTCAGGATGATGTCTGTAGCGTCGGCCCAGCGTGCGTGATTGTCAGTCAAGGGAATCAGAGGGTCGCTTCAAAGTACACACAATCGACATTGCAGGTGCATGACATGTGTACACGACGAATCGACGCGGTGCACTGCTGAATGCGCAAGCACACCCATCATGGCAACAGAGAGCACAATACACACCCTTGGGGGAGGTCCAGCCGCTGAGCTTGCCGGTGAGCTTGACACCGATGACCTTGGGGCACTTGAGCTCCCAGGGGATGTTGGCCATGACATCGACGGCATCGGCACCACCGACACCGATGGCAACCATGCCAAGACCACCAGCGTTGGGGGTGTGAGAGTCAGTACCAATCATGAGACCGCCAGGGAAGGCATAGTTTTCGAGGATGATCTGGTGGATGATGCCGGAGCCGGGGCGCCAGAAGCCAATGTTGTACTTGGCCGAGCAGGTGGACAGGAAGTCGTAGACCTCCTTGTTGAGCTCGTTGGCACGAGAGAGATCCTTGGGACCACCGAGTTGGGCCTCAATCAAGTGGTCGCAGTGGACAGTGGTGGGAACGGCGACGCTGGGGAGGCCGGCAGACATGAACTGCAGGAGAGCCATCTGGAAAATGCATACAGCATCAGTAACACGTACAATGCCATTTCGCCGAGGATGCCGTATCGTACTCGAGCCCAAACAAGACCGAGATGGGAAGGCCCTCGATGGCTTGTGCAGCCGCGTTTGGCCGACAGCAGCAGTGGTCACAGCAGCAAGACGAACCTGGGCAGTGGCATCCTGGCAGGCAACACGATCGGGGCGGAGCTTGAGGTAGGAAGAGCCACGGGCAATATCCTGGTTAACAGCATCGTCCAAGTGACCATAGACGATCTTCTCGGCAAGGGTCAGAGGGTGCTGGAGTCTGGGAGAGCAAGTGGCGGTTAGACCTTGATGGCGACAGAGCCACGGCAAAGAAAACAGAAGCCGAGATGGGTGCAAGAAAACGGGCTCGCCGCCCATTGGCGCCAACCCCGCCCGCGCATCTATCCGCCTGCCGCTGCGCTTGCCCAAAGGGCTCTGGGGGTCTGGGGGTGTTCTGGCAGATGGCTCACCTGTCCTTGACGATCTTGAGGTTGTTCTCAATGCGCTGGTAGTTGATGTACTGGCCCTTCTCGAGGTTCGAGATGGGAACCTGGGCAGCAGCAGAGGCAAAGGCTCTGGTGGAGATGATGCGAGAAGCGCCGCGGTGGGCAGACTGAGGGCGTCGGTAGCAAAGCGATGGGAGAGCAGACGGGCGGCCGTTAGAGACATGTTGTTTGGCAGGACAATACGGCGACTGCGCACCAGGTCGGTTCGTTGACAGTCAGCGTGGGATGAGCCCAGTCCAGGAAGGAGCGGGATGGCCATCGAGTCGCCAGGATCTTGGCCCACCAGCCGGCCACGATCGCATCCCATAACCAAGACGAGCTCTAACAACACCCGGAGACTGGTACTGCACGAGCGCACTCCATCCACCGAGCACTGGCCGGTTTCAGCAAACGGCAGTGCCGGGTGATTGAGGGAGGCGAGAGGCAGGGTGATGGTGGTGGTGCATATCTATCCGCATATCGACCTCCCCTGGCAGCGACGCGTGATGCAGATGGAGGGAAATGGAGGAGAATGGAGCGTGGAGCAAAGCAAGGCAGCCCAGAGGCGTAGCTACCTTCAGTTGCTGGGTCAGAAGCATCTTTCCTCAGAAGGAAGTAGGTCGGGTATGGGAGAAGGGAGGACTCGCGAAGAGGCAAAAAAAAAGTCGACACCGATAAGATGGGGGTGTGGCGATCGGAGGTTTGATATTTATGCGGCCACGGGGTGGCTGGAACCGGCGAGGCAATTCATTTTGCAGCACAGAGCGCGGCAGAAAAGAGAGAGAAAAAAAAAATGAAACGATAAGCAGGCGTGCCTGTGGGCGTGCCTGTGGGCGCGAGCAAGGCCGTTGTTTGGTCTGGAGACCTCGCAGGCGCGGCGGCGAATGTGATTTCGGGCGGTGGGGCGGCCTGATTGGCGGGCGGGGCGGCTGCTGCGCATGTGGCGGCGAGGGGGCGGGGCGGCGAGAGCGGCGAGAGAGCGACGAGAGCGAGCGAGAGAGACGCCGTCGATTGGTGAACGTCGATTGCCGCGTATCAGTTAGCGAATGTCAATTGCCGAGTATCAAATGGCGAATGTCAATCGTTGAACACCAATGTGTGAACATCAATCGTTGAGCGTCCGCGCCAAGTGCTCCAATGCAGCCGCCACGAACATCCATCCACCGCCATCGCCGTGTCGTTATCGCCGTCGCAGGCAGCAAGGTGTCCGTGGCGGCATGGTCTGCAGGCCCGCCGGCCTTGGTCTGGAGACCTCTCCCACCGGCCTGCAGACCAAATGCGGCTGGTCTCCAGACCGCTCCCGCCAGCCTGCAGACCTTGCACAACGGGTCTCCAGACCAGCCCTGTGCCACCGCTGCCCCGGCCCGCCCGCGCACAGGCGTCTTGCTGTGCGCATCCTGTCCACTCGCCTTTGGGCCCAGACAGGACCCCGCCACAGCAGGGGGACAGATCGCACTGCCGAGGGAGCGCCGACTCCTGCTTCTGCCTGCCTGCGTCGGCCCTCGCTGCTCGGGCTGCGGCTCCTGTCGTCTGCACATCGCTGAAGAGCTCCACCGCCTCAGTCCCGGCGCATCCGATGTGCAAATCGCCGTGGCTCTTCACATGCACGCCGCGCGACCACCTCCACCTTCGCACAGCGTCCGCTGCCTGTGGATCGCTCAACCGGCCAATCGCCCGCCGGAGAGCGTCGCACAAGATGCTTCCCACACGCCTCCGTTCGTGCGCCCTTGCTTGTGTGGGATGGGCGAGGCCGATCGATCTGGCCGAATGACTCCGATCGGCGCTCGCACTGATGGGAGGGACTCGGCCGATGAGATACTGGAGTCTCGGACCAACTCGATGGGACGGACAGCCGAGAAAAGGATTTGACCCACTTGGTTGGTGTTGGCGAGATGACATCGTGGTATACGATGTGATCGGAACACGAACGAACGGTGTGTCCTATTGTCGTTTCAACATGCCGCACACCTGCTCGGCGCGGGCTCCCCAATGTTCTTGCCGGCTCGCTTCTGCACAGCATGCTCTGGCGCCACAGCGGCTCGTCATGACTCCGGGCATGTGCAGAAGGACGACCAAGCCAGCCAAGTCAGCGCATGTCTCCTCCCACTACCTCGTTCGCCTCCCAAAAAATAGCCGCAGGCACCGCATCGGCCTCAGTACACCGTGCGGTTGTTCTCGTAGATTGCGTCCAGGAGCGCAAAGAGTCCATCGGTGAGCTGTGGGACGTGGCCGTTGTCGAGCAGCTCCGATGCCCCCAGCTGGGACTCGGCGCCATATCGCATGCGCAAGGTCGAATCCGCGGGCCCGTCGCTTCGTCCCGAGCCAGAGGCTGCGTTTGGATTGAGACGCGATTCATCCAGAGCGGCTCGCTGCAAGGGACATGGTCACAGAGCACATGGCCGCAAGACATGGACCGCACAAGATCATGTAGAATCGAGTCAGTGAAACGCGAGACAATCCGAGCCGGCCTCGAGGCATCGCCAGCACCACCAGCATCGCCAGCATCGCCAATATCGATTTGCACTTCCTACCTTGCCGGCATCGAGCTTGTCGGTCGGGAAGAACATGAGCCTGCTGTCGGCGGTTCTGGACATGATGTTCGACAGGTACATGGATCCCTCCATGTTGTTGGGCTCCCAGTCGGGGTTGTGCAGCTGCAGCAAACCGTGGTGTGGCAGTTGTCAAAGTCGGCTCAAGCCCACAATAGCCCCTCCCCTGTGCAATCAAGCAGTCCAGAGATCGGGGCTCCGAGTGCGTCTCGGTGCTGCCCGGAAATCGTGCCAGTAGAGTCTCAGATCCTCACCTTGAAGTTCAAAAACGACTGCTCCATCTTGCCGCCTTTGGACATGAAATAATCGTCTTGGGTTCCGGTGGGGGCGCCGTACTGGAGAGATGCGGTTCACAAAGAATGGCAAATGTCGTTGCCCAACACCGGGTCACAGGGGGGGAACAGGGTCAGTCGGATGAGCAGTGTCGTGACTCGACAAGCACCTCCAACCATGAGACTGGACCCGGACCGAATGTCATCACAGGGCTCAATGCACCTACCATGGAGTTGCCGTGCTTCTTGAAGTCAAACACCGCAAACGAGCAGACGTGGCCAAGCGACTCCTCATGGACCGTAAAGTTCCGGAAAAAGTCAATGATCGCCTCGCAACTCTTGGGCAGCGAGAAGCAAAAGATCAGCGGCACCAGGAAGATGCTCAGGATCTCTTTGAGGAAGGTCGCGACCTTGATGTCAAACAGCGACGAGAACTCGGTTTTGACCTACGAACAATGACAGCGTGAGATATCGACAATGTGTCGGTCAACCTCTTGATGTACTACATGCCCATCAAGTGCATCCCCGCAAGGACAGAAATCTATCCCAGCAGCGACAATCCTTTCCAGCAGTAGCAGCAGCAGCACACTCATGCTGGCCAGCTTGACAAATGCGAGGCGCAGCCAAACCGCAGACGACTTTGCTGTCGACTCTCGGCTGCGCTCACCTCCTCGGTGTGGAGCCTCTTTTTCCACTCCGGCGGGAGATAGTGGGTATCGTTTGCAACCGTCCGGATCAGCCGCTCGGGCTCGAAGAGCGTGTACTCGGCGGGGACCATGCCGCGACTCACGGCCAGGATCGATCCGAAGATGCCGATGTAGAACAGGACGGAGCCACCAGGGTGGAGCTCAAAGCCGAGCAGAATGTCTTGATCTACGAGTGTGATCACCGTCAACACCGCAGCAAACGATCCTGCTATGAACGACACAAATCTGGAGAGTTGTTGTGTCTGTGAGCATGGTGGTGCCTCGCTGCTCCGTGTGTCCATCGGCCAGTTCCGCGCCCACGCCATGATTGTGGGCGAGGCACAGCGACACAGACGTTCCGTGATCACAGCAATCGACTCACCTGGCCAGAATGATCATCCACTCCTTGGGAAACTGCTCGAGATACTTGACCGCGTTCTCGTAGCTTCGGTTCATCCGCTCTTGCAGCAGATGAGGAAGCTCGTTGAACTCGCGGAATCGCCAAGCCGCCTCGGGCGTGTACTGCCGAGCGCTGATCTTTCCGGGGTTTTTTTGGAACTCCTGTTTCGGTCGGGGGACATTGCCAGTGATCAGGGTACCGAGCACCGCGACGGGTTTATCCCTCCACCCAAACCGGCAGCAGCATCTTTGGCGGCGGATGACGCTGGCTTGTCATATTCACCTACCTCGGCATATCGGAAGAAAAAGTACATGACCAGCAAAATGACAAGGAAGGGCGAGACAACCAGGTTGATGATGCCCATCGTGATGAAACGCTGTCGGAGCCTGCAGGGAAGTGCAAGGAGTGTTGATTGACTGCTGCTTTCCTTCCCTCTTCACAGTGGTATCCAAAGCACTGAGGTCACCCGCCAACAGCACTCCATGAGTGCCATATGCAATGCTACCCGAAGCCACAACCTAGTTGATATCCCCATTTCTGTCGCATTAACTTTGGCCGAGCCCCGGGAGATACGTACCCATTGATCAGCGCCTCCCTGGTAAGGCCGTCCGGAAGATCGTTCGAAAGCCAGAAGGAGCACACACGTCAGTGTCAGTTCCAAGGCAAATTGAACGCAGTATGCGATAGCGGTGCAATCGGCATCAGCACCAGACAGAGAATGCCAGACAGAACAAAGTAGTGCCTATCTGTGTGTGTGTGCGTGCAATCGAACAGGCTCAAACAATCAAAAGTCAAAGGACGTTCCCGTACCTGTTCCTGTCCTTCAGGAAGTGCTTGCGCATCCTTCCTTTCTCGTCAAAGATATAGTAGAAGATGCAAAACTGCAGGTTCCACTCAATGATCTTTGTCAGGAACATGCGGCTGCCAAAGAACGGCAGGAATGGCACCTTCAGATCAAGAAGATCCTTGTTGAAGAGCGCAATCATATAGTTGTCGTATCGCATGATTCGGTTGGCGATGATGTACGAGTCCAAGTTGCCGTGTCGAGTGTCTGCGCTGGTGTTGTTGATTTCCAGGATCCGGGCGACGACATCCCGCCATTTGATGGTCTGCAGCTCAGACTGAACAGCAGGGTGAGCATCACAAATGTCAGAGCCGGGATGGGGCTTTCGCAGGACGGGGAGCTCGTGCTGTGGTGAACCCTCACTGTGCTCTGGGCAGCCACATTATCGCTAGGGTCGAGGTGTCAAAAGGCAGAAAGCACAGGACTCACGTTTCCGATTCCGAGCAGATCCACATAGAAGGCGTTGACCTCGAACAACTTGGGAATGTCCATAATGAGCCTCGCCATTTGATAGACCCACCAGATGATAAAGATGATCATTGTGGTGTAAGGAATGCCATGGATCCTGCGCAATCATCAGCATCGCGTCCATGAAGACGAGTTAGAAGCCGGTTCGCATGCTTGCTCGTTACTACCACTACCACCGCTACTGCTGCTGCTACCACCACTACTGCTGTTGCTGCTTCCCGCAATCAATATGCCTTCGCCGCGGATCCAACAGCCCCTGTGAACCATTTCGCTGCCTATCGACTCTTTGCCTTGCACTATATCGCCCCCTACCTGCTGACGCAGTTTTGGTGCACGACCTCGTAGAGGTATTTTTTGTCGTGAATCAACGGATAGTCGATGCAGTAGAACAGAAACGTGGAGAACACGACGATAAACGCCAGGATGCTGTGGGGCCGGCGTGGAAATGGTCATAGGTACGGAAAAAACATCGTGAGAATCTCTGGAGGTCACCTATCTGCTCGTGACTTGCGCCTGAGCCAACACCGGCAACCCTGGACGATGGCAGCTCAACCTCATGCAAACGGACCATAGGATGCTCCTCGACTCATACCGCCTGCAGGGTGCAGATCGACGACTTACAACAAGTTCGTGAAGCGGGCCAAGATAATCGCATAGACACCCTTGCCGGTGTAGTGATAGTAGACCTGGCCATGAATGAGTCGGTACATCACATAGTGAGATTGGCGCAATCGGACAGCACTACACCCACGTATCAGATCCATCTCTGATATCACCCATCATAGCGACGAAGCGTCGCAGTATACTGCTGACCAGGACGAGCACGTTTCCTTGGATCAATACTCGGGTCCCTCCGAGTTGACGTTAGAGTCCTTCTGCCTCTCCTTGCTCCTCGTCACAAGAGGCATATGTGATGCTTACCCTAGACAGAAACTGGTCCAGATCTCGAACTTCAACCCAGATGCGATATGCGCGCTCCCGGGCCTCAAGGGTTGCCCGGGTGACCCGAGGATGTTGGGTGGATGCTGCTGATGGAGACGTCGGCGCCCCTCCGTCACCGTGGGCACCTCGACGGGCACGGGGCCGAGGATACGGCAGCCCCAGTCCCCGCCGCAGGAGCTTTGCTGTTTTGCGAAGGTGCGAGCCCAGCAGCGACCGATACATCGGGGACGGACGCTCGCCTCGAGCCTCGAGACCTGACCGGATGGCTCGCGGGCGAACTGGGTCCATTTCGATCATGAGCGACTGAGAAGCTTCGCCGCTGTCCGAATCATCATCGTCGTCATAGTTATCGCTACGGTCGTCATCCTCGTCATCTTCGTCGGAATAGTGGTGGGTAACGACGTTGGAGAATCGGTACGGCGCCGACGGATGCGGCACGGCGCTTGGGTCCGACTGGGGAACGACAATCGATATTCGGGCCGGGGGAGGTCCTCCGGATGTCTGCGGGATTGCATGGCTGCCAGCGGCTCCACGGCTTAGAATGCCTACAGCGGCCGAGCACCAAGAGTCCGTGATTAGTCGAGCACCGCTGTGGATGCAGTAACACCACCGGAGCCACCGGAGACGAGCACAAGAGGGACCCTGCTCTTCCTTGGAGCAGCCAAGCGTGCAGCGACTGGGTGCAGAACGCCCTGCATCGACGACATACCAACGGGCTGGCCAAATGATTGCCTCGGGTCGACGGCACCCAGTGGCACTTCGCTTTCGACAGGCCCCATGAGGGGACCAAAGTGGGTATAGGCGCCACTGTCGCGGCTTGGTGGCGACATCGACAGGCCCGCTGACGGGCCAAATGGTGGGCGAGAGGCAGAGTCATACTGCGGAAAGAGGATGCCTGCTTGGCCCTGGAAACTTGGAGGCGGGGGTGGTGTCGGCCTCGATACAGGGCCGGCAAGAGGACCGGAAAGGGGACCTGCGCGAGTGTCGGCAAATTGTGTCGGGTCAGGGGCGGTGGCGGTCTGGTCCTCTTGGAAGGACAGCAACGGAAAGTCTGAGCCTTGGTTGTCCAAGAGAAGCGACGGGGGCGGGCCGTCGTCGTCGTCATCGTCATCGTCGTCCAAGATGCTGTTTCTTGGCGAGCGGTCGGATTGTGGGAAAGCCGGAGCGACATTGAAGGGCGGAAGCGCCGAGAGCGGATTTGGTGATGCCGGGAACTTGGAAAGGGGGCTGCTCGATGGGGGCGTCTTGGAGTGAGGATCCATTATCAGCGGCGCTGGTGGTGAGATGGGCGGGATGGCTGGGTGGGACTCGGGAATAGAACCAAACTGCGCGAAATGCAGGCGAGGGATGCAGCAGTGTGGGTATTGGACACTGAGACGAGCTGGGAATTGGATGCCGAATCGAACCGGGAGTCGAGTTGAGAACTGGGTTTGGAACGGGGGCGGGAATCGAATGCAGAGAGAGCCGAGGCTGATGAGGAAGGGCTTCCCAGCAGGGCAGATGGAGGAAGAGCGACAGGCAAGCAGGATGGGGCAACGACCCTGGCTTGGAGTGCGGAGCGTTCGGGCATGTCCGGCCACGAGGACAGCAACGCCGCCCGGACTGTGCCGCATCGCACTGTTTGCAGGCCGACGGCGAGTCAAATCCAGCACCATGAACCCACACGGCCGAGGCTCATGGCGCACGGCATCGCACTGCTGCTGTCGGCCGCTGGAGTCTCGGCTCTCGTATAATTCCTTGCAACAGTCCCGCAGCAGCCTCGCAAGCAGGCATTTTGTCGCCGTGCTAGCGCCATGCGTCCAGCGATGATCAGGAATCGACTTCTGTGGCGATCGACAGACACCCGCTTTATTTGTTGCCAGCAATGCGTCTGTTGTGGCGAAGAACGAGCGCCTGTCGTCCGATGATGAGTGTGGCCACGGCGAGCACACTGCCGTAGCCAAGGAACTGGAACAGGTTCAGGCGCACCCAGTAAAAGTAGAACAGCGTAAACCACGAGACAAAGGTGCCGATAAAGGCCACGCCAAAGACCGAGTGGCCGACCGAGGCAAAGAGCTCTCGTACGTTGGCACCCAGGAAGCTCCATGCGCCGAGCAGAAGCACCCAAGGAGCGATCGAAAGCAGGGCAAAGACCTGGGAAATGAGAGGAAGGGGCTGCTTCTCGTCAGGTCGGAAGACGTGGTGGATTTCGGGGAGAGGGCCGTAGTGCTCGCCGTAGCTGTGCTTGACAAAGAACTCGGGGTCGGCGGGGAAGCTGAGGTTGACGTTGCCGATGGGATAGACCACGCCAGCTTGGTCAAAGCGGCCGACACTGATGGCGACGGCATAGACGCCGGGCTGGCCCTTGAAGGTCTCCTGGATGGCCTTGCTGCCCAGGGTCTGCGCGGCACCGCCGCAGATCAAAACTGTCAGCACGACGAGACATTGCAGGAAGCCAGGATCGGCCGCAGGTGCCTCAGGCCGCGACATCGTCGTCACTCACCAGGTCGATTTTGCGGAGCCCAGCAGCGCCGCTGGGGCTTTCCAGAACCAAGGTCGTAGGCAGCTGGCTGCCGGCGTGGACAAAGGTGACAAAGGTGGCCCGAGAGTCGAGGCCCTTGCCGTTGTCGTCCTTGGTCAGGGCAGAGATCGAGAGCTGCTCGTCGACCTCGACGGCGACAATGTCATCGAGCTGCTTCGGGTATTTGAGGCTGGAGGGTGCCGGGACGGGTCGCCGAGCGGATCGGTGTGTCAGCGGGATCGGTCGATGGTTGATCAAGACGCACACGAGTCGAGCATGCGCGAGCAAGCATGGAACGGCGTCCTATCGCCAACCAGGCCGAATAAAGGCCATGCTCGACAGTCGCGAAGAAGAAGCCACCCGCGACGGAGAACAACCAGCGCCCCCCCCCCGGCAGCCATCCACGGCGCTGTGTTTCTCCGCTTGCACCAGATCAGCATGACGATCGCCGGCGCACACCTACGTTTGTGTGAGTTTTGGGCCGCTGGCGCTGGCGACACGAATCGCCACTTCCGAGACATGGACTTTGGCAGAGGCAAGAGCGACGAGCGCTGCCAGGACGATGCACAGCAGGACAGAGATACGGCTTGGGACACCCATGGCGGCTCGTTGGACGGGTCCGGTGGGGAGGCGAGCCTGGATAGCAGGGCGCTCCTCGAGATGGCTGAGAAAACGAGGCCGACAGGATCCAGAGCGCAGATTTCAGAATCTCGGCTGGGGTTGCGCGGCGGTGTGTGTGTGTGTGTGTGAGCGTGTGTGTGTGTGCTGGCTAGGGCTTTGGTTAGGGCTGCACAGGGTCAGGGCGCGGTGTGAAGGGGCAAGGGGACCACGGAGATGTGAAGGGCCAAGGAGATGCGAAAGGCCATGGAGGACCAAGAGCTGCTGGATGCTGCAGCCACAGTGGAATGGATGCTCTCCTGGTAGGCTCGTCTCTTCGCAGGAACTACATATACCTCGCTGACAGCACCATCCAGCTGCAGCAAGCGCTCGAGAACCCAGACAGATTGAGGAACAACCGCAACCATGTGTCCCAACACCGGCTCCGGAGCCACCAAATGCTATCTCTCTGTCACCGCGCTCTCTTCCCACGGCCCCAACGCCATACTCAACGCCTACGAGGCCAACTACAGAGTCACGCACTATCAGGCCCAGCAGCTGTCGCTCTTCTCGCACTTTTTCGAGCAGATACAGCGCCAGGATGGATGTGCAAGGCGTCCAGCAGAAGCGCATTTGTCTCCAAATGACCTGGCGCCCACCATACGCATCTCGCTTCCGATGCCCATGCATTTTGATGCGCTCCTCCACTGGCTCTACCACCAAGACGATGAAGCCATTCACCAAGCGCTCGATGGGGACGCCGACTCGGACTCTCTCGTGCTGTACTTTGGCTTGATCGAGAATGCTCGGTATCTCCTTGTTCAAGACAGCTTCTTCGAGGCCCTTGGTGTCTGGACGGGCCGCCGCTGGTCTCGTCTCTCACTCCACCTCCATCCCAAGTTCACCCACTTCCACATCCCCGAGCCCCTCATTGTGGCGGCTGTGTTGGCGGTTCCATACTCCTGCTGGCTGTATGACAGCGTCGATACACAGATGCTCGACAAGTGGGCCAACGACAATAGGTTCAAGCACAGCAAGATTACCAAGCGTCTGGGCCTGGCTTCTGGGACTGGATTCCAGCGGTTGGCTGCACAAAACCCATCTGGGCCCCCCACGACGGACTCTGAAGCGACCTTGCACCGATTCGGCGCACCTGTGGCCAAGGGTCATCAAGACGACCACTCGATTCTCGATCTTTACATCACTCCAGACATCGTCGGTACGCACTGCCGAGGTCTGGAGAGGCACGAGGTTACTGACGACGCCGAAAGCGACACCTTGCGTGGTGCTGACGTTGAGGATGAAGACTCGGATATCCTGAACCAAAGCTGGCCGGGCTCGAAACGAAGCCTGGCTGCACTCGCCTCCGGAGACCGCGCCGGATCGGCGAAAGGCGGCATCCTACAGAGTGCCCTGGATACAGTGGCCATGACCGGGAGCAAGATCAAGGGCCTGGGCTACCGTCTGAAGCTGTAGCGGCCAGAAATGCACCCTCCGGTGCTGCCACTCAAGTGCCAGTTGATCTCACGGTGGCTCGACTAACCAGACCTTATCGTCTCGAGCGCCACAGGTTCAGTCGTCAATTTGGAAGGAGGAGGGATCCTGTGTGCATGCGACACATGGTGTTGGATTGTAACAATAGATTCCGTTGATAGTTGAATGGACTTTTGGTGCATCGTCCCGGTGTTGCTTGATATGAACAGGCAAGATGCGTGCCGATATTGTCCGAGGGGCCGCTGCGGATCCATGGGATCTACGAGACTCATGGTTCTCATGGATACTTTGTGTACTGTGCTTCATGAGCCCCATAGCTGCCCACCACGCCACCAACTCACTGTCTCTGACTGGATTCTGCACCCGCACAGCCCTGGGCTGTCCAGCGTCGCTGATGACGTGCATGCGGTGATATCCGTGGACGCAGATGCATCCAATCTATTTGCTGTGCTGACTGTTCCATACCTTCTGGATGCCATAGACGTTGTTGCGGAAGGTCACCACAAGAATGCGAGGGTTCGGCGTGGGCTGCTGTCGGAGGCTGGTCTGCAGCTCCTTGGCAGCTTTTGTAACTGCATCGACGACAGCCAGGGTCCCGTCGCCGACCAAGCCTTGGTAGTAGATCGGACACCAGCGCTGGACCAGCTGCATCTGGTCAAACGTGACCCTCGGGGCAAAGATTTGATCGAGGAGCGACAGCTGCAGCTTTTTCGAGGCTTCGTCGCCCAGCCGCAAGTTGGCAGCGAACTTGAGGAAGAAGGCCGGCCCGCCTTCGCTGGCTGCCTTCTGGATCAACGAGCGAGAGACCTTGCGGAGGGCGCCTGCTTCTGCCGGAACAGAGCACATCAGTGGCTCGATCGCCACTTGCCGATAGACTGCATTCTGCGTGAGGGCTTCGTTGACGGCAATCATAGAGTCCATTCCCAGTCTGATTCCATGCACAGAGAGCATTCGGAAGGTATTCGAGTCCAGGCGAGTCTTGAGCGACTGGCCAGGCCCGGTGTTCGTGTGCTGGATCACATCCGCAGGACGCTCAGGCAGGCGCGAGAGCAAAGCAAGCTGGGTCTTGAGCCCTTCGGCAGTCTGCCGTTGCTTGTATTCCGGAGCGAAGATGACGATCGACGGAGCAATGCTCCTGACGCAGTCTTGGATGGCAGATCTGTCGCTAAAGATGGAATATTTCGACAGGCCGAGCAGATGAACGGCGACAGGCGACGCTGATCCCTGAACATAGATAAGTGGCTGGGTGCGAGCATACTGGAGCCACTCTCTGTCGGATCTCTGGATCTTGGGCTTTTGGGTCGCAAACAGCTCGATGACGGGTGTTTGGCTCCGGACGAGATGCTTGGAGAGCCACTGCAGCAACCGGGTGGTCATTGGCACGGCGGGTGTGTGATCTCTGAACGAATGTGTCGAGAGTGTGCAATCGATATCGTGCGCATGCAGCGAGTATGCGGTCGGTGCTGCAGGTCTGTGGTGAGTGCGTGGCAGATGCAGGCAAGAGCGGATAGATGGTGCGGATGCTGCGATCGCGGCGAGCTTGGCCGATCTTGAACCTTGGACGAGTGCGGGGCAGGGCAGTTTAGAGCCGACGCTTGTGAAAGGGAATGTATTGGAAACGGCAGCAGCGACGAGAGAGGCGAAGGCCGACCGTTGGCCACCCAGACAGGCAAGATCAGCGGGCCAAGGCGGGTGGTTGTGAAGAAATATATAGACATCGAAAAGCGGCAGTCGCCAATGCATCAAATGCAGATCCGGGCGATCGCGCGCAGCTCCGGACGACCTCGTCACTTTGACCCGGCCTCGTTGGGGTTGGAAAGCTTCGCGAGCTCGGCCCTAGGTCGGAACAAGACACTCAGTCGGCGAGAAAGGCGGCATGATTCTGCATCCACGCCGATCGCAGCGGCCAGCAGATGCGTTGCTGCAGGTTTGCTGCTGTTCTAGCAAGTCCGGCCCCTCCACTTGTCCTATGCTCGTGTATCGGGCAGAGTGAATGCGTGAACGGATGCATACCTCAGCTGCTTGGAGAATGCATCGTCGACATGATCCGAGTCCCAGTTGTCTCTCCAGAGAGCGGGGTCGTCGCGGTCCTCGTGGGCGACAGTCCAGTCTGCACATCGAACAGGGAGTGTCAATCGCCCGAAGCTCCATCTCGTGTGTGTGCGAGGCAGCGGGCGTGGGCAGCAGAATCGGGGCAGCCAAGACAGGGCACCCACCATCGGTCTCAAACTCTTCAAATTCGTCGTCGTCCTCGATCTCGGGCAGCTGAGGCGGCTTGGCCGGGGCCTGCTGCGTCTGCGGCGTGGGCTGCTGGCTGGGCTTCTGGAAGCTCATTGCGGAGACATGCCGGATGAAATTGATGGTGCAAGTCAACCGAACTGGACCGATTGCGAGTGGACGAGGACTGCGCATCTCGGATCGAGTGCGGATCGAGTGCGGATCGAATGAGGATCGAATGACACACACACAAGCAGCACCGCCACTCCCGAGACACAGCCCCGGTTCGATCCGCGCGTCTCCCACTGGATCGCCACACGCACACACACACAACGCCACACTCGCCCTTTGTCCGTCTCAACTTTCCTGTCGATGACTCAATCTGCTTTCGCTGTCATCCGCCGAAAGATATAGCTGCTCTCCTGGCCCGCCTCGGCGTCGCTTCCTGCACTCTGTCGCTGACTTCTCCGGCAGCCTGTTGGCTTTCGCTTTAGCTCATCAGAAGCCCCGCTACTCCTCTCTGCTGGTCTGTGTGCGTAACCTCGGCCGAGGCTCGCTCTCTGCATCGACTCAGCTTCCTGGCGATGTCCACGCTTGGTCTCTGCTGGTCCGCTGCGCCGTCAATCGGCCCGGTCGCTGAACTGTCAGTCGGTCTGGCTCGCGGGTGCGTCGTCCGGCCTCGGCTCTCGTTATGACTGACCATCTTCACTCTTTGCTTCAACCTGGCACCTCCAGACTGCTCCGCAACCAGGCAGATCCTCATCGGCCCTTCCCATAAAATCGCCGCTGCAACCTTGAGCCCCCCGACGATGAAGTCCGCCGTCTCCCTTTCGTTGACCTCGCTGGTCGCTCTCCTGCCGCTGGTTTCTGCAGAGGCAAAGTTTTACTGCGAAGTACCTGCGGAAAGGTCCCGATACTGCCCGTATCGACCCACCATCTCAACCAACGTCCTGGCCGTCGACAAGTATATTGCAGGTGATGTCTCAATCCTGCGCACGAGGGCGGCATCACAGCTACCGACAGAGCGCTGTCCGGCTGCAGGCTGAACAGCTGTGTCTGTCTGTCCCGTGCTGTTCACCCACGGATGTGCTCATGCTCTTTCCCGACCATCCTACTGCTCGCTGCTTTCAATCTACTGGTACCCCGTCCTTGGTGGAATCCCCATATCTCTCGAATATGTCCGTGCATCGGCTTGCTTCGCCCTCGACAGATGTGATCGCGGACGTGGGCTTGAACTTTCCCGGTGCCGAAAAGACGGCGTGCTACAAGTCTCTCATCGATGTCGCCTGTGTGATCTACTTCCCCCGCTGTGATGACATCACCAAGTTCGTCTTTCGACCATGCGACACCTTCAGGTGCGGCTTGCAGTGTCTTGCTCTGATATGTCTCCCTGGTGGCACGGAGAGTCCGTGAATGCGGCATCCGACTCGGCCTGTTCCTCGAACTGACGATTTCGGTATGGCGTATAGACAGCGAATGCTGAAGGAATGCTATCCACCCAACATGTATCTGGATCCCTCCATACTCAACTACAATTTTGATCTAGAGCTGTTTTCCGCGGACAACGCAACCTGCTCGCCCTACTCCGAAGACTTGGCTCCTTATGAATACGCCAACCCCGCCACTCTTCCCCTGTGTCCTCCACAAATCCTCCAGAGCCTCACCACCCGGTGCGACACCAGCGAAACGGCCAAGCAAGTCCACTATTACATGCCCGAGGTTGCGTGGTCCAAAGGCATCGACGGCTCGGCCGCAGTTCCGAACCCGGAAGAATGCAGCCGCCTCAAGAACGTCCCACCGTCCCAGCTGGTCAAATGCAGTAAGTGTCTGGGTCCCTCTGTGAAATGCACAGAGTCGGGTGCGGCTACTGAGCCAGTAGGTTCGGCTGGGCCGACTGGGCAATCATCCGCATCTGCATCTGCATCGCCGGCGTTGCCGGATTCTCTGCCTCTGCCGTTTGTCCGGTGGTCGGCTGTTTTCCACTGGCACATCGTCTCAGCCCCGGTTACGACTTTTGCCCAACATAGAATATCCGTCACCCAACGAATATGTCGGCACCATCATCAGATCGTTCACTTTCCCTGATGATCAACTGCATATGATGTTCAAGACCGGATGCACTTCCGAGCACGGCAGAGAGATTCCAAACTGCGGGTGAGTCTTCCCAGCGCCCAACAACGCCGGGTCCGTCGTCCACCGGAACCTGGTCCATGTTGCCAAGTGGCTGTCTTACACAGCCGCACTTTTATTCGTCGCTTTTCTGACGCATTCACATCCTGTTTGCTGCAGATGGGAGTTCACAGATGACTCGGTCATCTACGTCAGCCGTATTCCTCACGTCGTGGCTTGGCTCTCTGTTGATTTCCGTGTCAATGTAAGTGTGATGTCCGGCGACGCTCGTTTCCACTCATGGCAGCTTGCCGCAGCTCCGCGGGCCGAGCTTTATGTTGGCCCACGCATCGACTCGCACGTTTATCGCGCATTTGCTGACTTTGGGCTGTGATTGCTATCCCCCTGTCCGCATTCAGTCCGTGTCTGCAAAGAATCCCGCCGCCATCTTCTCGTTCTCGAGCATTTCCAAGAGCGGCCCCGAGTCCGGCTTGCGCTTCAGGCTTGACGGTATGCTCCAGCTGGATTATGTCTTCAATCAGTCCTCCCAGCTGGGGTATGCGATTCCGCTTACTCCTGGCAAGATCCAAACCGCCCGATGGGAGTATCGCTCCCGCAACACCGCCTTTACTGGCGATAAGGCCGCCATCGAGGTGAGAACATGCCGCCACATCGGTGGAGCTGCAAATGCCGCGTCGCACGATGGATAGGTGGACGATCCGTCTCGTCAAGTGGCTGGCTGTTCGTCGAGCTGGCAAAATCAAATCGTCCAAGCTGTATTCCATTTGATCGCCTGGGGCCACTCGACGGCCTCTCCTGATCGCATGGTATTGATGTCACTGCCCCACGGGCGCAACAAATCGCCCAACAGGTCATGGCCTTTAGTTTTGCCGAGATCGAGTGGGACTTTGGCGTTCCTCATATTCCCGAGTCGAATCCTGCCCCTGGCACATCGCGCTGTCCGCTCGCCAACTTGAGGAGTGTCGAGACTGGATGCAACGAAGCAAACACTGCCGAGAAGGTGTTTTACTATCTCCCCCCTGCCAACGAAAGCGCCCCGCTGGAGGCCTGTGATCGCACTCTGAGCGTCCCGCAGTTCACCAAGACCCCCTGCCGTGAGTATCGATGGATATGCCGTGCTTCATCTCGTAGTGAGCTGTCATCGTAGTGAGCTGTCATCGTAGATAGCGCCCGATTTTTGTCTGGTTGTGGCCCGGTTTCTACGTTTCGCGAGAACTCATCGCTTTGTCTATTTCGTATATGGTCAGTATACCCTTCGTCCCACTTGCCCGCCGGCACGGTCATCCGCAACTTTGACTTTCCCGACGAGCAGCGGGAGCGAATGTTCTCCACCGGCTGCAACTTCCGAAACGGAACCGCTGTTCCTGACTGCGGGTATACAGCGCGCACATCTCGATCGCATGACTGACTGGGTTGTGAGCCGAATGGAGCTGTGGGCTGGTCGCCTTGCTGAATTGCCAAGCCTATGCACTGACTGATACGTGTTTGCATAGATGGACATTTACCAATGACAACGTGCAATACAAAAGCACGCACCCTGACGTCGTTGCCTGGCTGTCGGTTGCTTTCAAGGCCGATGTGAGTCTTGACACTGCTGGCCTGAATGCAACAGCAAAGGAGCGACATGCAGCTTCGGCACTGCAAACTGGGCACGAGAACGGCATCCTTACCAGTGGTCTTGTATGCTGCTTTAGCTTGGTAGCTCGGATTCCCCAGCGATCATCTATGCGTTCAAGAGCATTGCATCCAGCGGCGGCCAGTCTGGTCTGGTCTTCAAATTGGATGACGCCGTCGAGATGAGCTATGTGAACAATCAGTCCAGCGTCATCGGATACGGCGTTCCCCTGACCAAGGGCAAGTCGCAGACCGCTCGGTGGGAGTATACTGCCGGGGCCGCAGCCGCTCCCGGAGACATGGTTTCGATCGAGGTAGGCCATACTGTCGCAGGTGCCCTTGGGCCAGGTGCCCTTGAGCCAGGCGCACAAGATCAGCGGGCTAACTGCGTCTCCATGTGCATTCGGGCGGTCCCAGACCCTGTTCATCCAGTCGTCCGAAGTCACTTTCAACTGGTCCGCAGTTGTCCCGGCACCCAAGCCCACCAAGGGCACCAGCTTCGAAATCATCACAAACGCCCTGCAGACCGGAAAGACCGGCGGTGTGTCTATTGGTCTGATCGTTGTGCTTGTCGTCGTTATTGGCGGCACAATTGCAGGACTCTCGATCTTCCTGGTGAGGCGGTTTGGAGGATTTGGAAAGTCCGAATACCAGGAGCTTTTGAATCCCAAGGGCATCGAGCTGGACAACTTTGACGACGACGACGACGAGGTTAGTGCCTGGCCAAGCTCGCTTTGGTTGCGGTCGGCTGATCTTGGACATGACACTGACCAAATGCGGCGCACCCTGGCTGCTGCGCTGTTTCGAAACTGCTCCTTAGGAGTTGGAGGCCGGGTTTACATTCCTGCGCACTGCAAACGACGGTGCACGTCTGAGCGGCGATAGCATTACCCCCATCCGACCAAGCGGCGACAGCGATTCTTTTGTCAACGGGCACGAGTAGATTGATGCATCGCTCGCCCGCGTTCTTCACATGCCTCATGGGGCCGTCCGAGCCCATTCTACGAGTCGCAATCGTAAGCACAGTCGCAGCCGTGTTGGCTTCAACTTCATGACTCCAACATGCTCTCCTTCCTCTGGGCATTCCCCCTCCCTGCCCAACACCAACATGACGGTGGTTGAGCACAGCCCTTATTGTATGCGTCGTCGGGGCTACAGGCGCCTTGAATAGATGTATTTGTCGACGTCTGACGTCCTTCATCCACCCCTTCTGAATGCTTGTTCATCGACGAATATCCTTGTGGGCTTGAGGGAGACACGAGAGGGAGTGCATGTGTCCGCGTTAAGATTGAATCTCTTCAGCAACACCAAGTCGTCAATTGCGCATTTTCATTCGATGCTGTAGCATCGGCGTGAGAGCGGTCTCGTGACGCATCGCTGTGATCCGTAATCCTTCCATGGGCATCGGATGCAGCGGCTATAGCCACTCTGGTTACGGAAGCCCAAAGCTGCTCTGTAAGCAACAGGCGACTTCTGAGCACGCGCGGCTGATACTCGAGCCTTGGCCGGCTGCTCCGTGACCACAGGCAAGCTGTTCTCTCGATCAGAGCCCCTTTCGTCGCAATCCCACAGCCAGATTCTTCCGTGGCGATGTCGACCGACCAGCCACTTTGGCCGCTACTGAGGGACCTAGTAAGCCAATCCATTAACCACGAATGAGTGCGATGCAGACGATCGCAGCCCAGGTTCGACTCTCCGTGATCAAGCGAGTGCCGAATGCGGACAACCAAGGAGAGCAAGACGGACGAGGAGCGGCATCGCCCAACCGCGCTGCATTCTGAACGGGTGGGTGGATTGCCAACGCATCAAAGAAGAACGTACCATTTATCGACACGATGCGTGACAACGACACGGGTTTGTAGAGCCCCGCCAGCGACCGGCGCTGAGACTCAGTACTCGCGGGCATGGTGCTGATCGGCGCCGCCGATGGCAGCGACTCGGGCTGTTGCACCGCGGCTTTGAAGTACTTGGACGCAGTCCCGACCGTGGCCGTCCGACAGCCCTCTGAACCGGCAGGTGCGGGACTCGCCGGCGGAACGGGAGATTGAGGGATGTACACGGGATCCGGGTCGCTGCTCGGGTCGTCCACTTGTGTTGCAGATGAGCTGGGATGACTCGGGCCCGTATTCTCCTCCCGCACACTCGCGATCTGAGGCGAGAATTGAACAGATTCTGGATTGGTGCTGGGAACGAGTTCTTCGTCGAGATCGACGATTGCAGGGTCGGACTCTGTCCCTGACTTTGCCTCTGATATCGCCTCTGACTGCCTGGGTGCGGATTTCGAGCTTGGAGCTGATGCCAACTCTGACGACGGCTCCGGTGGGCTGTCCGATCCACATTTGGGGAGGTTGATTGGAATCGGCTGGACGTGGACCAGCGGCGCCACGATCCTCGCAGGTCGGATTGGTGAAAGTGGAATAAAGATCTTGGTGTTGGCCTGGGAGGGCGATGTCGGACATATCGGGGCAGTGTGCTTGGTCGCTGAGGAAAAGAAGCGACTCTGCTGCGGCGTTTGTTTGGCCGGGGTGAGGTCGGTGCTCTTGTGCTGTGGTGAAGCATTGATATTGGTGGCGTTTTTCAAGTTTAGGACTTTGAGCGGAGTGCGCTGTTGCTGTGGGCAGGGCGGTGTGGGATTGCATAGGGCGCCACGCATGGATATAATGGAGTCCACGATGAGATCATCCGATAGAGATCAAGAATGGTCAGACAAGAGATCTTGGAACAATGCGGCGGTGGGAGATGAAGCGGTCGCCATCACCAGGCGAGTCGGACAGTTGCGCTGTGCGATGTAGAGCTAAAAGCTGAACCGAGGCAGTGGTGCGTACCGGAGGTGTTGTTGTTGATGTTGTAGGCGATTTGCTTTGGGCGTTAGGTCTATCCAGGCTCTGGTACACACTTTTGAGTGAGATTTCAACGGAATTCGAAGACAAAGCGGCCCCAGATACAGGACTGGTCTGGTGACCTGTTGCGCAGATCAAAGCAGAGTCGAGTTACAAACTGCAGCAGACATTCATGACAGCAGCCACCCATGACAGACACCCATGACACCAAAGCCATCTCGGTGTGCGATCGACAGAGAGTTTTGATCCAGATAGGTGGCCTGGGTGCGATTCGCTCGATGGCACGCATGCTGAACTTACTGTGGGTTAACGGGCGGTTTTCTTTGGCGACAATGTCTTCAAACGGCTGATGTGTTTCGGGATCCAGCTCGCCCAGAGCAATCCCTCGAGCAATGTCGGCTTGAACCATGCTGGCAGCGCGCAACCACCATTGATTTTATAGAAGGGAGGCGGAGGGTCAGACAAGGCAATGTCCATGCCAGGGCAATCGCCGGTGGCGGTCAATAGACAATGGCTAATGGACAGGGTCCAATGCACAGCGACGATACTCACGGTCCAAGAAAATCCAGGCCCCGCTCCTCTTCCGCCGTCAGTGCTAACGACAGAGGTGTCAGATATGCCAGCGAGCGGCTTTCGGGGTCAAACACCCGCTGGTGCAGAAACGTCCACTCGGCTCGACGGAAGGATTCCTCGTAGTTTGGTGGCAGATCAGGCGCTTTGACGGCTTTGCCCCAGTTGATCCAGCTCTGGATCACTTGGTAAGCATCGCGCTTGTTCTCCAGGAACTTTGCCGCCTTCTGAAGACCGATTCCGTGCGGAGACGCGAGATAGTCGCATCCCGACATGATGCACATTTGGCGGAACTTGGAAAAGTTCCACGATTGGGCTGCCAGCGCGGAGACCCTCATGATGTTGTCTCCGCAAATCTCGATGGCATTTCCGCCTCGATCAAGCTTGGTGATGAGCTGGGTGTTGAGCGACAAGGGTTCTTGCGGTGAGACATTGCCTGACATATGCCCGATGCCGGCTTGCATCGAGCGGTTGCATCATCATCGCCATCATCGCCATCATCGCCATCATCGCCATCATCGCCATCATCGCCATCATCGCCATCATCGCCATCATCGCCATCATCGCCATCATCGCACGCTCGGCGACATGATCCAGCCAGCGCCACCGCTTCGGCAGTGGATGGACACTGAGTCCGTGTTGGGGTCGATAGGAATTGACCAGCCCGAGGAGCATGGGCGCCACATACCCGCTTGACACCAAAGACGAGCAAGTCCGAGTCTTCGGAGAGCACAGCGTCGACATATCCAGTGCGCTCGAGGTACGCCATTTGCGCATCCGCCTCGTACGGGGCAACCACAAAATTGATCTCTCGGTGCTTGAGTGCCTGTCGAGTGCACGGAGAGAGGGGCGGCCAGCGTGAGCATCCAGACGAGGCTGTCCAGCTTCGCACCAGAAATCCAGAATCAGAGGCCGTCGGCCCGTCATGGTTTGGCGCGGCTGCAGCATCCGGTGTCCAAAGCAGTGCCGGAGTTCTCTCACCTTGATGACATGGTAGGCCATGACCGGCGTAATGTTGACCGACCTTTGGAAGCACTCGATTGCCTCCAGCTTCTTTCCGGCCCGGAGAAGCTGCATGCCCTTTGCTCGTTGTTGGTCGCGGCGTCTTGGTGGTTCGGTGCGGTCGCAGCGGCCCAGGCGTTAGTCGCTGGAACGGTGCAGGTGCAAGGCATGTGCTGCGGCCTGAATGGGCTCAATGATCGACGCTGTGCTTTCCAGAGACAAGCAGTACTCACTGACGACGCTCTATCTCGGTCGAGCGCTTCATTGGGAGCGGTGCTGCATTCGCATTGAACCACGGATGAGCGGAGTGGGCCAAGGAGCCAACATGGCAGGGGGAGCTGTGCGGAAACGGGCCGACTGCTACCCATGCCTTCGAAGTACATGCTCTCACCTCCATCAAAGACAATCACGGGCTCAATCTCGTGCTCTTTCAGGATGTAGACCTGTCTCATGAAAAAGTCCACGTATCTAGGCCCAAGCGATGGCGGCCGAGTCCCGAGGTCAGGATGGAGACTGGATCGGGCCGATTCCGAAAGGTGGTCCACGCGAGCAAGCAAGCAATCCACAGCATCGTAAAGCAGAGCAGACGGCAGGAGCCCATCCGTCGGCCAACTCACTTGGAAGTCTCATGGCTCTGCATCAGCTCGAGGGCACACCCGAATGCGGCCCGATGCAGCCAAACGTATCCGTCGACCGCGATTCGGAGGCCTCTGAGCTCGCTCAGATGGATCTCTCTCCGGATCTCCTTGAGGAACGGCAGCAACCCCTGGATACCCATCGGTGGCCGGCAGGGTGAGCGCAGGGAAGCCTGGGAGTGCGGGAGAGAGGGCCGATCTGAGGCCAGCGGTGCTGATGTTGGTCCGATGCTGATCTGGCGGGTGCTGGCGTGGACTGCCGATGCGCCCTGGAGCCGGACCGAGCCGGATCGAGCCCGGCCATTTCACATGGGGCATGAGGGGACCTTGGTTGGCCAAGGCAGGCCCGCTCTCCCCCTCCATCCTGCATCTACCGCCCCTGAACAATGGAGGGCCTCCAGCATCTCGTCAGCCATGCGGACGGCGTCATCGCATCGCAGCAATACCAGGATCTTTTGTCGATTGTGAAAGGCAAGGGACACCGTCTGCTTCTGTCGGCAGGTCGAATAGAGGGCGGCTGGTTCCAGAGCAAAAGCGGATCCCAGGCTCGGATATGCAATCGCCCGCGAGTGCATCCTGCTCCCGTTTGGGCAGCTGTCGGACAGATGTGCTTCGATGTGCATGTCGCCTCTCGCCCGTCCTGGCGATAGCACCGCGTTGTGTGTGCGGATTTGCTAACCAACCGCTTGCGCCCACTCCCTCCCCCATATCGGCACCCTGGTTCTGGTTGACGCACCGATCGGGGCCGCTGGGGCTATCGTTTTCTGCACGTCCACATCGATCCAGGCTTCCGAAACGGCGCAGTCTACGGTGATTCTCTTGTGCTTTATACCGGCCGCGGGTGTCGAGCGTGTGTCTGTGGCTGGTCAGCATGACGGCGGAACACAGCCAAAGGCCATGTCGGCCCAGGCATGGTGCAGTTCCCCCACTGCTCTCTGGGCTGAAGGCCGCCTCGGCTTGTTCCCAAGAGCTCGCATCGCCACATTTCCCCCTGGTTGCCTTGGAGCAGTTATTGATGTCACCCGTTCTCTCTGCAAAGGCGCCAAAATCAGATTTCCGCATGCGCTGGTGATGACCTTGCTCTTCAGGAAGGGAAGGTGAGTTGGATACCCTCTGCTGCGATTGACACCAGGGCCCGGAACACAGATACGGCTCCGCTTGGGTCTCCCCGTGGCCATGGCATGGCTTTGTGAATGGCGAATCTGGCAGCGTCGTCACCACGATAACCCATACGACGCTGGTGGGTCGCATCGGCGCCACCGTGTCAACGGCTGGATGGAATAACCCCTCCCGCTTGCATCGCCCATGTCGGCAGCTTGTCGGAAAAGGCCAAGTTTATTCTCCGTGCAACATACCAGCACAGCCGAAACCTGGCCTTCTTCGTGGCTATCTACAAATCCCTGATGCTTGTTCTCCGCAAGGTCCGGGGCGGCCAAGAGCATCACCTGGATTCGTTCGTCGCCGGCTTGTTTGGATCCATGTTCATCTTTGGCGAGGACAATCCGATTAATCAACAGGTATACTGAGGCAGAGAGAGCGAGAGAGTTAGCGGACTGGGGCTATGAGTCGGTGCTGAAGCTTCGCAGCAGATGCATTCGGGACAGTCTCGCCGCTATGGAGCGATATCTTCATGCGGCGGCACTTGAGGGTTGTGTGGGAGTGCACTCATCACACTGCAAACCATGGCCCTGGATGCAACCGCACTCATTGGCACATCTCTGCAATACTCCGGCAGATCAATTTGTATGTGTTCTCGCGGGTGGTTCTCGGATTCGCCAAGTTGATAACCGTCAAGAAAAAGTGGATCACGGCCCCGAGCCAGTCGTTCCGTATATTCGCCGTGGTGACTTGGGGTAGGTTCGGTTGCGGTGGAGCAGTTGGTGTCTGCTGCGGGCAAACAGTGAGCGGACTGTCGGTTGTCGTGAGGACGTGTGATGCAGATGTACAGAAGGAACCGCTGATATAGACATTGGACCACTGACAACCTCCTTGCCACTGTCCGCATCCAGGCTGTGTGATGTGGCTTTTCCGTCATCACCGGGAGACCCTCCAAGGCTCGCTGCAAGACTCGATGCAGTATTTGTACAACGACAGCGACATCTTTGACAACGTCATCAACTGGATTGTCTACAATAAATAGACTTGGCTTCGGCAAGCTTGACAGAAATTGGCCTGCGTACGTCTTTCGCAAATGACCATACCATCCCGCACGCAGATGCAAGTCACCCACTTCTGGACTCTGAATACACTCCCATACAACTCTCTCTCTCACTCTCGTCTCTGAAGCGCTGGATTGGACATGCTGCTGCTCGGGATGTTTGGCTGCACACATTGTATTCATTATTACATTAGACGAGCTTTTGAAAGTCGGCCGGATGCTAGAACAGCTCTATGTACAGAATGGCTTTTTGATCGAACAAACACAACTGCCTTGCTTTCTCACAATATTTCAGAAACACCTTCAGGTTGTTCGAATAAACCGGTGTGCCGGATAGACCAATGAAACACACAGGCTCCCACCCTCCCACAAATCAAAACAGTGATTTGGATGAGGCTGGATAATGTTCAAGCGCAATCAAGGCTGGGAGAGAATCTCGATGCAGCGGTTGATATCGCCGGCGAGGAGAGTGAGCAGCTTGCGATTGAACTCGTCGTCCTGGAAGCCCATGGCAAGCAGAGCCTGCGCCTGCTGCTCAAAGACCACCTCGGCTCGGTTGACAAGGACGGTGTCTTCGTTGCTGATGTCCGAGGTAGCATCCGTAGCGTAGAAAATCTGGGCCTTGTCGGGCACAGCAGGAATAGCAGGCACAGCAGGCACGCTGGGGATGGTCGGAATATCGATCAAGCCAGCCTTGAAATTAGGCTCGGCAACTTGGAAGTGGACGGCGGGCGGGGCCGGAACAGCAGAAACGGCCGGAACAGCTGGAACAGCTGGCACAACAGGAACGCCCGAAACAGGGGGCACGACCGGGGCCGCGGGAATGGTGGGCACGGCAGGCACGGCAGGCACGGCGGGAATCTCGGGGATGGTCAGCGACTCCAAATCGATTGCAGGGCTGGGGCTGGAGATGATTTGGATGGCAATGCCGCTGGCGGGACGGGGACGGGTCTCGACGGGATCTTGGAGGGGTGGGGTGGCCACGGCATGAGGCTCAGACGATTTCTGATAGAGCTGTTCGAATCGGAGGCGCTGCAGACGAAGAGCCTCTTGATAGGTCTCCTGAGCAGAGACGGGGCTCTGGGTCTGGTCGGCAAAGGAAACAACGGTGGGCTGGCCGCCGATATGCTCGAGGTCGCGCTCCACCTGCCTGAGGTCATTCTCGAGGCCATTCAGGTCCTGCTCGACCTCACGGGTAAGCTTTTCGAATTCCTGCTGAGTTTCGGGCGGAATTTGCTGGCCGTCCTCGCCTTGCTTGGCGGCACGGCGATAGTCACGCTGGGCTTCTTTGAAGGATCGCTTGAACTCTTTGAAGGCGGCACGAGTCTCGCGCTGGATGCTGCGCCAGTCGTCGCTGTCCCAGCCGGCCCCGTGGTGACCATGATGACCATGATGGCCATGATGGGCGTGGTGGCCAAAGGGACCGTGGTGGCCGCGATGGCCAAAGGGATCGTGGTGGCCATGAGGGCCATGAGGGCCATGAGGACCGCGAGGGCCGAAGGAGCCACGGGGGTCTTGAGGACCAAAGGGACCGCGAGGATCTTGGGGACCAAACGGACCTCGAGGATCTTGGGGACCAAAGGGACCGCGGGGATCTTGACCAAAGGCGCATCGGGGGTCGCTGCTGGGATCAAAGTGACCAGGGAATCCGTGGTGGAGTCCTCCTCGGCCGCCGCGACCACCACGGCCCCGGCAGCCGTGCTGGTGTCCTCCTCGGCCGCGAGTGCATCCTTCGCCGCGAGCATCGGTGTATTCGTGGATGTGGTTCTGGATGTGCTCAAAGCCCACGCGGATGGTCTCACCAAACTGGGAGGGAGGGAGAGGAGGAGAGACCAGAAGTTGCGTCAGTCCTGCTGGTCCGTTTTCTTCCAAATCCATGGCCATCGATGGCCAGGGGGCGGTCAGGAGCCAGGGGCGGTGATATGGCGAGCAGCGGCGGCCAGCGGTGCCAAGACCGTGGCGCCACCCCCTGCCTCCAGAGAACGGGAAGGGGCGCCGGGACCAGCCATGCGGGTCCACACTGGCGGGGAAGCACGGACCGGTGCTTACCTGGCTGAGAACCTTGGTGAACTGCTCGCCGAGCTCAGGGCGGGCGGCGACGGCTTCGTAGAGACCGCGGACCAGTCGGTCCAGCTCGTTGCCGAGACGCTCACCAGCGTCAATCAGGCTGGGCGACTCGCGGGGCTTGTCGGAGTCGGCAGCGCTCTTGGGAGCAGAGGAGCCGAGAGACTCTTCGATAGCGCGAAGCTTCTCAAGCTTGGCGTTGAGCTTGACACGCTTTCTTTCGATCTTGGCACGCTTGGACTCGATCTTGCGCTGCAAGTCGTATCCGCGCAGGTTGGAGTCCGGGTCTGAGTCCGAGCTCGAACTGGAGCCCGAGGACTCCCAGATGTCCTGGGGGCTCTCCTCGGCCTGAGGCATGGACACATCCTCAGCAGCAGGCTGGTGCTGCGAGTCGTCGGGCTTGGAATCCGAGGAGGTCACGGGAATGGAGTGGACGCCCATCGCGAATGAGGTGGAGAGGATTTGGAGACTGAGAACGTGGGTGTGGAGGACGACGAGGGTCGGCTCAAAGGCGGGTGTCTGAGAGAACAGAGGCGCTGGAGACAAACCGGTGGCGGGCGTGCGACCAGGGTTTATATGTCCGTTCCTTGGCGCTCCTTGGCTCGCCAAGGACGCTGCCCAGAAAAAGCTTGGCGTTCATGGCAGCCTCGTGGCAACGTCGGGACGGCGCGGAAGGTGGCGGAAACTCCGACAGCGTGGCGCGGGCTGCCAAGACGACACCGACCGAGGCGGCCGAGACGACGGCGGCGCGAACGAGGAGCTCCTCGCGGATGGGGTTTGCTCATGGCCTTTCGAATTGCAAGGATCAGGCCGGCCGAGATACGGCGGTTGGCGGGAGACAGGCATGCAGCGGCAAGCGCAAGCCGGGGGACATGGGGGGGGGGCGCTGATGGTACTCACGGAGAGACGACCGAGACGAGGCGGACTGGTCCGGACTCGGTGCGTCTGGCGATGGCATCAAATGGACAGATGAGGTTCACCAACGGCATCCGCAGCAGTTTGGAATGGCAAAGGAGGATCGGGTGATGGGATTGGATGCATTTCTCTTCACCCGCCTCTGCAGAGTGGATGGTCGCTGTGGATTGTGTATTTCCATCCAAAACGCAGTCACAACCAAAAGCAGATGCAGGGCACCCCGCTTCAACCGATCTGATCTAGAATCGACCCAGGCTCTGGCCAACACGGACCTTCTCGTCGTTGCTCACAGCAAACTCAAACTGCTTGGGGGCTTCAAACACCAACACCACGGTTGATCCGAGTCGGAATCCACCCAATTCTTCGCCCTTCTTTGCCACATGTTGAGGTTCGTACAGACGCTCGGCGTAGGTGCCCAGAGGCGTGCTGAACTGGTTCGTTTGCAACCCCTGTTGGATGGGCAGCGTGGATGCAGTGGGGTCAGCAAACCACCCGCGGCATACACAGGTCCCGGCCTCGCAACCGCCAGGCTGTGGGTCTCACCTTTTCGTAGTTGATGCAAATCGATCCAACGTTGGTGGCGCCAACAGGGACCATCGAGAAGAAGCCGTGGCTCCAGCTACCGAGCAAGGTGATTCGCTCGTTCAGCACAAACAGGTTCTTGAGGTGCTCAACCATCCATGGCGACACCGAATAGAGCTCGCCTGCATACGAAACAAAGAAAGCGCATATCCGAAATCAGTGCATCATCCACAGCGATCGACTAAAGACCGTATCGATTGCCAACAGCGCCTGCGCACTGGTCCATGCTGTGTTTCGTCCAGTCCGACACATGAGTTGTCTGTTCCTTGGAGCTAGACAGCCGCTGGGTGGGCACACTTATCCCACAGCTGTCAGACGCACCCCGCAAGTCATGCGCTGCCCTCCGCCCAAGGCGGGTCCCGTTCTTTCACCTACAAGCGATACGTACCAACAAAGTGACGGCGGGTATCAACTATCCAGTCGGCGGGGGAATGGAAGCGATGGTAGTCGCCAGGCGCCAGATAAATCACGCAGAAGAACAGATCGTTTCCAGGCCGAATCTTGGTCCAGTCGTGCTCAGGCCGGAGCGATACGGCCTCATCTTTGGTCTGCTCCGCACTGGACGAGCGCTGGCCCAACAGAGCATCCAACGAGTAGGTCACGCCTTTGATTTGCTCGACTTGGTCATTCACAACTCGGCCAAAATGCAGCACCCGTCCGTCTGCAGGACTGACCTGCAAGAAACAAGGGCATGGAACACCACATGAGTTTGGCAAAAGACGATGTGTTGCAAACACCCAGCATGCCCACACCCTCCACAGATCTGGATGCTTCCACCGAACCCTGGATGCATCTGCCATCGATGGCTCACCAGCTTGGAGGTCTCGTCAATGGGCCGAGCGCCGGCCTTGAGCTCGCGATAAAAGAAGGCCCCGAGATTGTCGTAGTGCTTGAGATCGGGATCCGCCATCTCGTCCAGGTGGCAGCCAAAGGCCTTGGAGTAGAGTCCGTAGAGTGGCTCTCGAAGAATCATGGGGACCGTCAGGCCGTTGAGCCATCCCCATGCCCGCGAGATCAGTCGCAGAGGCAACAGCGAATAGGCGTGGATCTGCACGGTGAATCCGATATCGATAAGTTGACAGCGGGAGCCAGCAAAGCCACGCACAGCAAGAGGCCGCTCGGTCGCAAAGTAGCTATCGTCGAGGAAAGGTGGCAACAGCCGGCCCGCTCGAATTGCCACAGACTCGGTCACGGCACTTGAGCGAAGGCATACCAACAGTGATCCCTCGACAGATACGCCGGTCTGCTGGGCGACGCGACGCTTCTCGCTCTTTTCCTTGTGGATGAGATGGAAGAGAGCCAAGATTGCGACACCAGCGCCGATCGAAATGGGCTTCCAGGTGGTGCCGGGCTTGGTGCTTTGACCTGGTGAACGAGACCCTCTATTGGTTACCAGGCAGGCACGACTGCGATCGCTGGGAGAGGTGTTCGAAGAAGATCCTCCGACTCAGGTTATCTTTGACAACATGTTGCGGCGGATGATAGTCGGCTGGGATCGGATTTGCTAACCTTGAGCAGCCGCGAGCCTCGCTGGACTCGAGGAAAACAGCCGTTGGCGAACCAGGGACGCCCGCTCACAGCGCGCATAGAATTGAGCGGGACGGAGCGATATGGCCGCAGAGGCAGCCCGGCCGTGGACCGCAAGCGTCGCCAGACGGAGAGAAATCATGCTCGGTTGCGACGGAGGAAGGGATGCTCAGATGCCGATCGGGGAGTTGTGTTTGGGTGACGATCAATGCGACCGCGAGCAAAAGAACCAGCACACTCGAGCCAGTCCAGCGCACTCGAGCCAGTCCAGCACACTCGAGCCAGTCCGGCGCACTCGAGCCAGTCCAGCACACTCGAGCCAGTCCGGCGCACTCGAGCCAGTCCAGCACACTCGAGCCAGTCCAGCGCACTCGAGCCAGTCCAGCGCACTCGAGCCAGTCCAGCACACTCGAGCCAGTCCGGCGCACTCGAGCCAGTCCAGCGCACTCGAGCCAGTCCGGCGCACTCGAGCCAGTCCAGCACACTCGAGCCAGTCCAGCCAGCTTGTTCCTGGCGCCGTCCTCCCATCCGTTCTGCAGCTTTGCTTGATCCCACACCACCCACATCGATGCCGCCGCCAATCCGCCATGTGCTCCTGTCCAACGACGATGGACCGCCGGACCCGAGCCGCTCGCCATACATCAAGCCGTTCGTCTTGGCTTTTGCGGAGCATTTCGGATGCAAGATAACGTAGGCGTCGGCGTTTCATGGAACCCTTGCATCTGGAGGGCCACCACACATCGAGGGTCGGATTCATGCCTTCCAAGGGGGCTTCTGTCCCAGGCACGCTTGCTGATTCTGACTCCTGTTGCTCTTCCAATCTCGATTCTCTGGACGCCGGTCTCTTCTCTCATCGTCGTCGGATGTGAAGCGTATGCATTCCGGATCGCCAGCGCTCGTGGGTCGGCAAGGGCATCGATGTGCAACAGTGCACCGTCACCGGATCCTATTACGATCCTGTAACCGAGGCCGCGGTCTCGGAAGCCGCAGAGCCATCCGAATCCGATATGTGGACCCTGCTGAATGGTATGGAGCGCATCGGTGTCATTCGCCCGCATGCCTCTGCCGCGCTGCAATAGCGCAACCTGTCGGTGCAAGTTGGCCCACCGATTCGGCTCGGCGGGCACAAAACTGATACCCAAGCAATGCTTTATGTGCTGCCCGCCTCAGCGACGCCGTCTGCATGCGTCAACATTGCCCTGACGCATCTGGTCGACAGCAACGACATCGATCTGGTGATATCTGGTTCGTAGCCGCAACGGAGCCTTGACCTCTGCTGCTGTCCTTGCAACGAACCAACCCGTGTCTTATGCTGGCCACCAACGAGCAACCGGACTCTCATCCACCAGGTCCAAACTTTGGCCGCAACGCCTCGGTGGGCTCGACCTTGGCCTCTGGTACAATCGGCGCTGCCCTCGACGGCGCTGGCTTTGGGAAACGAGCGATTGCACTCAGGTGAGCAGCATTGCTCCGTTTCGCTTGGCTCAGCCGACGATCATGTACAGCAGCGGCGCTTGTCGAGCGGCGTGGCTATTTTATTGCCGTTTGAAGTGCAGGGCAGTCCTACAGCCAAATGTTCAAGAATGGCATTCGAGGCTTGAGTGAAGGCTCACGCCCTTCTGCTCGCATCCCAGCTTCTCATACTACTCGCCGCCGGCCGAGATCACCAAATCATCGATCGAGAATGCCTGTGCATGGTCGATCCAGATCATCGAGCATCTGTGGGCAACCTGGGCCGACTCGGTAGAGGTGTACAACGTCAACATCCCGTTGATTGTGCCGTCCCAGCCCGGCATGACGATTCCCCGTATCCACTACACCGACTTTCACGCCGAGGCATTCCCGATGTACAAGCGTGTTGCTGGCCCATCGCTGTGCTTTGAGTTTGCGCCAGACTTGCCGGGTCAGAACGGAGTCTCGCAAGGCTCGGATACTTGGTAAGAACCCGGCTCTATTCTCGGGCTCGTCTGCGGCTACGATGGGGGCCGCCCCCCCCCCTCGCTCAAGGGTGCACTCAGTACTATCCTTGGCTGATATGTCGCTTCTGCTCTCCAGGGCGGTCAACCAGCAATTGATCAGCATCACGCCAATGAAGAGCAGATACGAATGTGTGCGCGAGGAGCTCGAGCGTCGCCGTCGTCCTGGGTAGTCTGTGGCTGCACCGACACGTAGATACACACAATCGACATGCAGACAAGACCCGCCGTGCGAGCAGATTGAGCGCGGCCGCGGCCGAAGGACTCATATCGTGACCATCTGGATGGCATGATCTGTTGACAGCGGATCCGCGAGCAGCGATTGTGTGCCGCTGAGTAGTGTGGTGTGGACTATCAATTCTGAAACTGGGAAGATGTTGAGCGGATCTGAATTGGATCCAGCCGAGTCGATAGTTCGAAATGCTTCATGTTGATTCGGTTGTTATGCGATGCACTGTCACGAGCGTTGGACATGAATTTGGATCCTTTCGATGACGAGAAGGTGACAAGAGGGCAGATGCCAGTGTTCCGCGGCCCGTGGCTTCTTGATGCCTGTGCTGAGGATGGCTGTGCGATGGTTGAATTGGATCTGCATCTCCAGTCTGCACATTCCATTCGCAGAAACCGACAATGACAGTATTTATCGCAAATGCGATCATGCTCCTCATGGCCCACGTCCTCTGGCCCACTACTTTATTCTTCAACGCACTGCATTCATGGCACCCATTCTCATAGTCTGCTGGCTCCGGGCGATCTTCATGCGTTGCATACCGCGACCACGACCACAGGCGAGACAGGCTCATTGGTGTCGCTGCAACGATCTCCGTGATCGGATTCGACAGCAAATGGCGGCAGCAGATGGCGGCAGCAGATGGCGGCAGCAAGGACAAGCCTGTACCCGATTTCACATGGTATATAGACACTGTTTTCAGATGATCGAATCACTCGACTGCAATGCACACACTTGCTTTAGCCCCATAGACCAAACCATCCCCACGATTTGTTGGCGTCCTCAGCCTTTCTCACTTCTTCGGCTCTTCTTGCTTGCTCGGCTTTTCTTGCTTCTTCCTCGGCCCGTCTCCTTTCTTCTGCTGCTCTGGCGGTGGCTTTAATTCTCCTTGACTCTGCCTCGAGCCTCCTCGCTTCATCGGCCATTTTGGCTTCCTCGACCCTCAGGTCATGCTCCTCACCGATTCGCACTTGATTTTCGATATACGCCATCAGAGATGGACTCTCAAAGATTTCTGCTGCGCGAACTTGATCCTCGGGATAAGGCGAGCTTCTGAAGTACAGAGCAATGATAAACTGCTTTTCGGGACTGTGGTGGTGGGAAGGCTGGTGGGGAGTTAGTTGGGAATATGTGGCGTGGAATGCGAGTAGCTATTCTTACCAAGATGACAGTGGGGTGGTAGGGAGCTTTGGCTGTCCACACAATGGACAAGTGGAGAGAAAAGTCGCATCGACCGAATGGACGGGTTAATTTGATATTTTGGTTGCCGTGGCGGATCCATTGAAGCTGGTTTTTGATTTCGGCCCATTCGGACGATGCCAGTGGAATATGGCTGTTGGGTGTCGCCACTTTGTCTGGGTACTGTGAGGAGCGAACAAAATTGCCGCTTTGCCGAATCCAGAGGATTTCGCTACCACCATATTGACAAGACAGTATCGACTTGCTATCGGGGCGGATGACCAAGTCGCTTACGATGCTTGTGTGCCCTTCGAGAATTTGACTCAGACTGCAAGTGATCGAGTCCCAAATTTTGATGTCTGACGACAGAATGATTCCTTTCCTCTCAACAACCGCCACAAAGGTGCCATCAGGCGAGATTGCAGAGCGCAGTACCGCTCCATTGAAATCCGTGAAGGTTCTTTTGATCGCACCAGTGTTAGCATCCAGATGTTTGATCGTACAATCCGACTCAATAATCACAATTGTGTTGTTGTCGGGAGCGATTGTAATGGCTGCAACATTCGAGTGTCCTGAAAAGGCCGCTTTCAACTTGCCAGCAGCGACGTCCCACACCTTGATTTCTCCGTCGCTTGCAACCGAAGCAAACCAGGTGATGTCTGGTGAAATGGCAACCAGGCACACATCTCCCGTGTGTCCCTCGATCGATTCCACTGGGCTGTTCCAATGGTTCTTGACACCCATCGTTATCAGGAACGGAATCTTGGTCTCGAGTAAGGATGAATAGGTCTTGTAAATCGCCGTCTGCTTTGGTGTGAATGCATAACCCGAGTTGTACACCTGAGGCGCACTCGCAATGATCGGGTCGGCAAACTCCAACACGAACTTATGTACATCCGTGACTATCTCCTTGGAAGCTTTGTCGAATGTTTGGGCGGGAGTATGCAAGACAATTTCCTCAAGCAAGCCAATCTGATTGACCAGATCCGGGATCACACCGATGAGCGAGCCGCATTCAAGCCAGTAGAACACATGGCTTGAAAGGAAGATGACCAGGGAATCCACCAAGCCGGATGGCTGGTACTGTCGCCAGGTGTATCGGTCAAGTGATTCATCCATCAGGCACCAGACATAATGGGTGATCCAGTGGGCAACGCTGTATCGCAGTGATGGTGTGATCTTGGCTGCGACCTTGTTCTCGAGGTCAGGGATATTGTCGTGAAAGTCGTAGATCTCGCAGAGATTGATCACTGGCTCGTGCGAGAGGATTTCCAGCAGGCACTGGGAGGCGAACGCCATGTGAAACTTGGGGGAGACATGGAACGGTTCGCTGCCAGACTCATCTCCGAGAAGATATGCGACGATCGACTTGTGTTTCTGGGCCTTGGCCATTGAGCTGCCTTGCTTATCGCGGCTCAGTTTGCCGGGGTCGAGAACGGGGCCAAGTTCCTTGATGCGCCGACGGACGATTCGGATGTCGATGCCAAAGAGGTCAGCAATCATTCGGATGGTCAGAGGAGACTGCGATGTGGCAATGGCCGAGATGAACAAAGTGAGCTGCTGCTGGTGGCGGGACTGGGCATAGATATTGGTGAAGGCTCGTTGGTAGCTGGCACTATCGTTCTCGTTGGCGACGGCGAACCAGAGATCAAACTGGTCGTCATCCTCCTCGTCGGAATCGAAATCGGCATCGCCACCAAAGTTGAGCAGCTGCAGTGCGTCTGCCAGATTCTTGACGGGGACTGGCTTGGACGTGAGCACTGCAGCAGCCGGAGGTGTCCGGGGAGTCAATGGTTCGGGAAAGGACACCCTGGGAGCGGATACTTCTTGTGTTGGCTGGAACGACTCCAAGTGACGATGGGTGACGATAATGGGTCTCTGTTCTCCGTCTTGAACGGGATGGATCTCAGCAGGCTGGCGGAGGATGGCGAGAATCTCGGGAAACTTGGGTCGCATGGCGGGATCCTGGTGCCAACAGCGCTCGATGAGGGCATGAATGCCGCTGGGGATGTCGTCGAACTGCTTGGGTCGGTTGCCTCGGAGGACTTGAGACTCAATGACCCTCTCCCTCATTGGCTGACCGTCGGCGGTGACCCAGATGGGCCTGCAGTTGTTGAGGACCTCGTACATGGTGATGCCAAAGGCATAGACATCGGTAGCCTTTGACGATCCAACTGGATCGTCATAATCGAGCATCTCCGGAGCCATGTAGTCAAGGGTGCCGCCGGCTGGCTGGTCGCGGCGAGTGCGGTTGGCCGTGGCCGAGGTGTGCTTGGTGCGGGACATGCCAAAGTCAGTCACAACGGCACTGAATGTCCCATCCAGCAGCACGTTGAGGGACTTGAGGTCGCCGTGGACAATGTTGTTGCCGTGGAGATAGGCCATGCCAGAGGCGACTTGGTAGAGGAGCCGGACCTTCTCACTTATGGGACGAGGTTCAGGGGCGGTGGTAAAGTGGTTGTGGAGGGTGCCGTTGGGCATGAACGGAGAGACCATGAAGGGCTTGGTCGCGGTGTCGCAGGCACCAAGTAGTGGAAGGACATGGGGGTGACTGAGTCTGTGCCAGATGCCAATCTCACGGCCAAAGTCGGCGAGCTCGTTCTGGTTGTAGCCTCGATAGAGCTGTTTGACGGCGACAGGGGCGTCATAGTATGAGGCAGTAAAAACCTCACCGAACCCACCGGCTGCGAGTGGATTGGCAGACCGGTCGGTGATGGCATCAACGGGAATGTACCAGGGCCTGTCAGCCATTGGTGGAAGTGAGAGACGGGATGAGGACAGATGCGGGTGAATACAGACGTGACGAGGGGACAAGTTTGAAGAGGAATGGCGGAATGGCAACCTATTTATCGCCCAGAAATGGGTCTCCAGACGGTATGTCGGTATACCCATACCGACAAGTCAGCATCAGCCATGTGATGCTGTTGTCAGGATACCGATATACCAAGGAATTCGAATCAAGCCAGATCTCGACGCCTCGATAAACCAGTAACCGTCAGGAAGAGCTGCTGGGCGGAAATGAAGGGCTGTTTATATGGTAAGTTTGCAACTGTATTCCGCACTGGCTGACATCGGGGTGAACGCGGGAGGTGTGAGGTGCATTTGATTGGAAGCACCACGGATCGGGCACACGGGTCTTGGCAAGAAATGGGAATCGCTGTTCTTCGGCCTCAGTCATCACGGGATCCCATCCCCCAACGAGTGGCTTTTCTCGATGGAAGTGCACCGCGCTTGTCGGCCCGTGCTCTGCCTTCCATCAACAAGAATGCTCGCTGACATTCGCAGCCAACTCTACCACTGCCGCATCCACGGCCCCGACCACGACCTGTTCCTCTCATACAGAGTCGCCACCGATGCTGCCACCGTCCAGTCCCTCAAGGAGGTGCTGGTGGCTGTTGCCAAGCGTCGATATGGCCAAGACATTGCCATCTTTCACGACAAACGCTGCCTGGTCGACGCCAATGACTGGCGAGACGGCTTTCTCGGCGCCCTCCCCACCAGCAAGGCCGTCTTCCTCCTCCTCAGCAAAGCCTCGATGGACCTGATGAAGGACAAGGCACTCTCCGGCCAAGAGGACAATGTCGTCCTCGAAATCAAGACCGCCCTCGATCTCAAGGATGCCAAACGCTCCCTGCCTGTCCTTCCCCTCGGTATCGCCACCAAAAAAACCAAGGACGGCGTCGATGTCTTCACTCCCTTCCTGCCGTACATGGTGTCCCTCCCCGACGACCCTGCCTTTGCCTCGCTCAAGCAGACCCTCGGTAGAATTAACCAGATCCAATCCTTTGGCTTCCGTCCCGACCAGATGCACAAGCGAGTCTACCGCCTCCTCAATCTCATCCATCCAGTCCAAGTGGATGATAGCACTCGCCAGGTCCTCGACTCACTCTTTTGTGACTCCAAGTTCCGGGTCGATCCCGTCCACCTCGACACTCTGCTCAAGCAACTCACCCTGACTGGCCGCGCTGTCATCTCCGGCATGGGTGGCATGGGCAAGTCTGTCCTCGCCATCCAGATTCTGTTCTTCATGATGGGCACCCTCGACGTCAGCAACAAGAGCGACCTCCTCGCCATCAAAGACGAGACCATCGGTGTCGCCCCGCAGTACCGCCAGGTCTTCTGGCTCAACTGCTCGACCGAGTCGACTGCCATCGATGGGTTGTGCGAAGTGTTCGATGGCGCGGTTGAACCAGAGAAAGTCAAGAAGCACGCCGCCAAGTTCCTCGCCAACACTCACGGCTATCTCCTGGTGCTCGACAATGTCGATGACATCAACGTGGTCGATTCTGTGTTTGAGCACTCCAAGTCGGTCGGGTTCAGCGGCGATGTGGTGGTGACGACCCGGCTGGCCTCGCTGCCTCCTGGTGCATTCGCCAGTGCACTCAAAGCCAAGATCCCTGGCTACAAACATGACCCACTCCGTCTCGTCAACTGGGACGACTCCACCACACTCGACTACATCATGTCGTCGTCGCCAATGATTGTCCAGAGACTTGTGTCGGACGAAGCCAAGAAGTCCCTCGACAGCATCGTGGCCAAGATCAGTGGATATCCACTCGTCATCCAGACATTCATGACGTTCTACGAGAACAACGAGGTGCCGCTGTCCGATATCGAGCGGCTGTTCTCCAAGGTCCTCGAGGAGCAGGATGGCGAGGACGACACGCGATCGTCGCTCAAGGTGATTGTGGATCTATCGCTGGACTCGCTGATGAAGCGAGGGAATGAAGGTATCGAGGCAGCCAGGCTGTTCGGTGCAGTCAGTCTGGTGGCGCCGGCCAACATCCAGTTCGAGTTGATCAATGAGATTGCAGAGCAGTTGGAGCTCAAGACCGAGGGTGAGTTGCGAGTGGATCGGAGTGCAATTGATGTCAGTGCATGGAACTGATCAGTCGCCTGTCCACAGTGGCCGATCTGATCAAGATGGTGGTCCAGAGTGGTCTCCTCCGAAGTGGAGCCGAGGGACAGTACTCGACACACTCGCTCACCCAGCAAGTGGCTCGGGAGTATGTCCAGGCACACGATGAACTGAATGTCGAAGGAATCGAAGATGCAACTGGTGAAACACTGCTCGCGTTGACTGAGTCGCTGTTGGTTGATGCTTATCCGTTTACGGAGCATCTCGAAGCGTTCGCATCTGTGGTGGCAGAGAAAGGCTATACCAAGGACGTCCACCAAGAAACCGAATATCGCATTGCCCGGATGGCCGATAGCCGTGGTTATTACATTCGCGCCAAGGAACTGTATGAACAACATCTTGTCAAGTGTATTGCGTTTTACGGTACACAAGATCACCCCAATGTCGCCACCACGATCAATTGCCTCGGTGACGTCGCCTCCTCCCAAGGCAGCTACGAGGTCGCCCTCAAGCACTACCAGGAGACACTCGATATCTATACCGAGATATATGGCACACGAGAGCACCCCTCAGTCGCCACAACGATCCACTGTATGGGCAATGTCGCCGACTCCCAAGGCAATTACGAACTGGCCGAAGCTCTCTACCTCGAGGCATTGAATATCTTTGTCGAGACCTTCAATACTCGACAGCATGAACAGGTTGCTTGGACCCTCGATGCTCACGGCAAGCTCAAGTATCTCCAAGGCCATCTTTCCGAGGCGCAGATCATGCTCCAGGAAGCCTTGGACATTCTCATATCTGTCTACAAAACACAAAGGCATCCTGAGATCGCAGCGACACTGAAAACCCTGGGTGACGTGTCCAATGCTCAAGGGGAATATGCAAGTGCACTCAACTTGTACCAGGAGGCTCTGGACATTTGGAGCCAGACCATCAAGAATCCCGAGCACAAAGATATCAAGGAAGTTACATTCAGCATAGCTGATACTGACAACAAGATTCGCCAACAATCTCATATTGTCACATCATCGTATCAGGATTTCTCTCACATGAAGGGGACTGCACATAGTCGAAGTAATCAGGACTGCCTCATTATGTAGAAGCATGCTCATTCTCTCAAGACCCTTTCCCACTTGTGCAAAACGGATGTTCCAGAATCAAAGCAGAGGGGGCACTGTACCTTACTCTGGTATCAGAGGCTTGAAGCCTGCTGAACTTCCGTAGACGGGAGTGGGCATGCAGCTGTGAGAATGTTTCTCGTCCCGGTTGGCAATCGTTTTGATTTGGTTGGTTTGAGAAGCAGAATCTTGGAAATACTCAGTTAATTTCCTGTGGCGATGATTAACTGGCGTTCATGTTGCGATTCGAGAGTCCCCCGAATGCATTCGGCCCTCTGAACAGCTGTATATTCTTGATGTCCATGGAAATCGGGATCCCTCGGATTCTCGTCCCCTTGGACACACTATTTGGTCATGGCGTGTTCAGGACCCGGAATAACAACGGCAATTCTGACCTCGAGCAGAGAGTGTTCCGTTTCGCTTCGGAGGTGTTGCGAGTATGAAATCGCGATTGGTTATTCCGTTGTTACATTTGGCCCTCCCGCCAATTGAGCAGCTTTCATCACCCGTGGGCTTCATGCAGAGATCCATCACCATGCAGCCCCAATACTCATTCAAACGCCCCCTGACATTGTCGTAAATGCGCTGGATCCAAGACCAGCTGCCGGACAGTATAGAATCGCGACGTCAATGCGGCGCGCAACATGATCACAGTGCGCAGGTCGATTGTGGAGACCGGAGAGCGACCGGTGGTCTTCATTCGGAGACTGCCAAAGTGATCTGTTCTATTTCTTATAGCTTTGCTTGACGCCAGCACATTACATACTACGCCGGCAGATGGGTTGTGGGCAGGTGTCCCATTCCCCCCTGAATACAGTGTACCGAGCTGGCCAACACAACCATGCAGATGGCACTCTCGCATCCCGCAATGAAGGCATCCCTGACGTGTTGCTTTGGGAGGATTGGCTGGGCCAGCAGACATGCTTTGTATATCATCATTCCAGTCGATGAGGTGGTAATGAATGTCACGCCCCAGTCGAGTGCAGCGGCGACTTTTCTCTGACCCGATCGCATATCCAGGCATCGGCCACCGTGTCTGGAATCGCATCTGCCGTTGCATTTGCCGCCGTATCTGCCGCTGCATCCGCACTGTCCATGTCACATCCCTTTCTGGCCCTTGATCTCTCTCCGCCGATCGTGCGCTCGGAGCGAAGCTCCTCCGAATCACGGAACCGGCCTCCAAGCACTTATGCTGTCGACCCCAGCGGCAGCGACGACGAGCAGTCCTGTCGGCTGAGCTCTCCATCTTGCCTACATCCTGCTCCAACCTCGGCCGGGGTTTCGCCCATCGCTCGCCATCGGCAAGATGCGCATGTCTACCACGATCTTCTGACCAAGATCCACACCGCCCTCGGTCCTTCGATCCCAAGTCCAGCAGCACCCACATCCCACAGCAACTGGCAAGTGTCAGATGGGCTCGCAGCGACACCGCATCCTTCAAGCCTGTCAGCCGGGCAGCACAGTCCTGATGGCTCGAGCAGCAGCATCAAAATTGATTTGGAGGCAGCCGCCCCGTCGTTGCCGTCATCCCGTTCGGCTATAGCTTCGCTGCTTGAAACGATCAAACAGGCGATCGAAAACGACCCTCCTCCAGTGCTTCCGTCGAATGCCCCCGACCCTCAGCCCCGCCTTGCAGCCAAGCCTCCACGCTCTTCGACCCTGAGCCAGCCGCCTGCTGCTCCAGCAAGGCAGCGGCCTCCGCTTGGGCCCTCGAACCAGCCTGGCCTCCAGGCGGCCACCCCGCCTGTGTCCATGCCAAGGGAGATCGACAGCCTATTCTTATCGCATCTGCAAGCCACAGGGCCTCGAATAGCGATGCCTCGAATCGAGTACGAGTCGTTTGTCTCTGAAGCCACCGAGGACACCCTAACTGAGGTAAGTGCTCCGGCTGTGGGGCTGTGGGGGCTGGAGGGACGGCGCTGGTTGGGAGGAGGCGGATCTCGGTGCTGTCGCGATGATCCGAAGCATGGCGGCTATTCGACGCGGCCATCAAATACCAACAGCCCTGTTCGATTGATCCCGGCCGCGGCCGCCTGCAGCGGAGGCTCGAGGCCATCCTGCGCAGATACTCGGGCAAGTAGGACCATATCCCCACCGTCGTCGCCACCGTCGTCGCCGTCGCCGTCGCCGCACGTTGCGTCGATGGTGGAGGATTCAGCCCGATGGCACCAGCAGGCGTGTGCCTGGTCGTGACTGGTTGCTTGGCCAAGGTCCTGCCGCTGCTGCCGAGACAGCGACTCTCGCAGCTCACGCAACCTGAACATGCTGTTCCCGGACCAAATGAGGTGGGGGCCACCGGATCACAATAGCGGCCGCTGCACTCCCGGCCGACTCCCACGAGATCCCAAGACAGCCTGAATCGGCATCATCCGTTCCGCCATGTGACCGGTCTCATGCACCATGGAGCTGGAGTCGGGGGTGTTGGCTGTGGAAGGCGGCTGCTGTCCTCTTGGTCGCTCTTGCCGAGAACAAACAATCCAACGAGCCCCAGCCAGGCAATGCTCACATCGTCTGCAGCCAGCGTCCGAGCCCGGAGCGATGGAGAATCGCGGGCCGCGATGCCGACAACAACCCTGGCCGTTGGGGTTATGGCCGGTGGCGCCATGCCCATGCGAGTGCTGCTCTGTTGCGAATGGTGTCAGGATCAAACAGCGCGACGGCTGCACTTGACTGCCGGGCTATGCGCTGGTGCATTGCCGTAATATCGCCGGGCATGCTCAGGCGATCACATTCTTTCTCTGGGTGTCCAGGACAGCACTCTCGTCCGCAACCCTCCCTCGGCTCGGCTCCTCCCCTTCCTCCCCCCCCCGCCACATATATCGCCGACTGCCGGCCCCGCCAGGGATGCGGGACTCGAACAGAACCGCCTTCCGCCAACGCTTGCACCCTATTGAGGGTGTCCATTCCGACGAAAAAGGCGGGAAAGCCCACCGACGCTCGCCTTGCCTCGGTCGACATCCGACTGCCGACCCTGGCCCAGGAGTAATCCGCCGCCTCATTCTCGGACCATCCGACACCAATCCCTCTGTCGACCGCCGACCTTTCCAGGCACCTTTTGGTCTGCCCTCTCAAGCCGGCCGCTGCAAGCAAAAGGCGACTCGTTCGTCTACCGTCCGTCCATTCATCTGCTGTCCATCATCCATTTGGCGCTCGCACTCATGTCGAATCTCATATGCTCGAATGACATCTTCAGCACGCTCCCTTTGGAAATCCTGATACGGATCCTCAAGTGCCTATCCACAATCCATTCGCATCTCATTTTTTCGTCGCTCTGTCGCCGGTCGCGGCATCTGCTGCTGATGCCCGAGTTCCAGCGATCCTTTGCCGAGTTCGTGTATCAGTCCGGGCGGCCGCCAAAGCCCGATCCCATCTACGGCCACCTCGTCTTCAACCACAATCCATATGCCTTTAGCGACTTGCCGGCGATGAGGAAGCTGTTCCTCAGGAGCCCGGTGAGCTACTTTGCGCAGGTGGGCCATCCCATGATCGTCAAAGCCCTGGTCCAGGACGGCCGCTTCGACGTCAACCATGAGAACGGCAATCCGATCTGCCTCGCTGCACGGTACGGCCGCCTCGACACCCTCCGCATCCTCGTCGGCTACGGCGCCGATATCCATGCCCAAGATGACTATCCGCTGAAGATGGCGGCTTGGTACGGCCACTTTGCCGTCGTCTCGTTCCTGCTGCAGAAGGGCGCCAACGTCCATGCCGGGCGCGACCACTCCCTGGCCATGGCGAGCTGCAACGGGCACATTGATATTGTCCGGCTCCTGCTCAAGCACGGCGCCGATGCCCATGCAGACCGGAGCTTTGCCTTGCGCCTGGCCGTCTCGACATTTCACTTTGACATTGCAAAGATCTTGCTCGAGGCCGGAGCCGACGCCCACGTCGGCAACGATTTGGCCATGCGCATGGCCACGATGAAGCGGGACTATGACATGATCAACTACCTGGTCAACTTTGAGAGGCGCAACTCAAAGCAGACCAACGACAATGCGCTCTCAGTCGCCACCTTTTCGATCGCTACGACCAGCGCTTTGGTTCACACAGCTCCTCTGGCGCCAGCCTCCCCGACAACTCCCACAACTCCCACAGCTCACATTATGCCAGGCTCTCCCATCACCCCAGTCTCGCCCACCTCGCCTGCCGTCTCATTCGCATCAACCGCGCTGGCCAGCGCCTCCACAAGCACTCGATCGAAAACCGCCACGCGGCGGTCTTCGTTCAGCTGGGCCATGGCCCTCTTTGAGCCTCCGCGGCCCCAAGGAAATCCGTCAAAATCGCAATAAGGTCGAAGCGTCTCTGCCCCCATGATGAGCTGGACGACAGCGGAGGAGCTCCTACGACCTTGTCAGCAGCCCAATGCGACGATGCGGATCGGCGGTGTTTGGTGCAAGTGGCGATCGTCTTCCTGGTGTCCATCTCGGAACCTGGCAAGAGGAAAGCGCCCGAGGCCGTGGGTATGACGATATCCATGACGATATCCGTGACGATGTCCACGACGATGTCTCTGCCCAGGTCCATGTTAATCGTCTCTGTATCCCCAGCGCCCATGTTGAATCGTCTCTGTATCCCCAGCGCCCATGTACACATCCATGTTTTGCCCCTTCCCCACCTGCCTCTTTGCAGAACTGTACTATATTTGCACCATCACCTGTGTGTCCTCGCCAAAAGCACCTGTTTCTGGACACTGGTTCGTTCCGCTTCATCAATACTCGACGATTCAGCCAGGGTTAATGACGTCCGCCTCGATATCACGCACCGGCTCTCCACACAGGCCCTTGTCCTTCTGCATCTTGGCCGATATTTCTGGCAACAGCCATTCCAGAAAACCCCCGGCAGTATCATCCTTTTCTGGCATCAGAAGCCTGAAGCCCGCTGAACTTGTGCGGGCCTCAGCGGGGCAGCGACTGTTTCTGGTTCTGGTTGGCAATCCCTTGGGTTATGTTGGTTTGGGAAGCATGGTCTTGAATGCACCCGGTCGATCTCTTGTGGCGACGATCGACTGGCGTACCGGTCTCAAAATAGTCGGCCTTCTCTAGTCGCTTGGCTTGCGGGCGCTGTGAGCACACCATCTGGTCATGGCTGCGATAAGGGTGGGTCTGTATTCAGGGCCAGATATTGGCAGCAACCCCGGACTCAAAACAGGGTGTTCCGTTTCAACGTGGGTGCGCTGTGCAGTCCATGCTGGCACCCATGCAGGGTATTCAGAACAAAGGTCAAATGCTCCCTTGCTAGCGGTAGTTCGGATGTGCTGCGTCTGGGCCAATGTGGTCGCCATCACACTGCAAGCCATCGGGCTGCCGCATTCTGTAGCCCGTCGCTGCCTTCGTCCTTGTTTGCGAATGCATGCAATTCTCCATCAGTACCGTTTATTCAAGGCCGTGCCTCCAAAGACGGATACGGCGTCGATAATTGACGGCATCGGCGGAGCAGGCGAACAGTCGATGGTCGTCCATTCATGAGCGCTGCTTGAGCCCTGGTGATATGCTGGCACTGCCACACTGCCAATTTGCTCGTGCCTGTGCTTCGTGGATCCGTTACTCGACAGTAAAACAAGCATCGATTGCAGGTCGCTTCAGCTGTCATTCAGCACCGAGATGCCTCTATTTGGCGACTGGATTGGGTATCCTGCCACAGCCATCATGCAGGCGGTGTTGGTGCTTCTCCCTCAGGCGGCTTCTCAGACCCTTCGGCTCCCTCAGCTTCTTCGGGCTCCTTGCGCTTCTTTCGCTCGCCCAGCGGGGCAAAATTAGGGTTGTGCTTTGCAACGCTCGTGCTACGTGGCCAAATGTACACCATCAGGTCACAGCACATGAAGAGTCACACCCAACAAGCTTCATCCGATTCAGGAGCATTGAGAGACTGTGTCGTACATCACACTTGCATACAGCAAGTCTTCTCCCTGGGCTGGTTTGCAAAGTACATACCTCTGCTGCTGCTGCTCAGCCCATTCCTGCAGATCAAGCTGGGGCTCGTCCTCGCTCTCGTCTTCGGGGCGATTGAGTTCTTCGCTGACTTGCTTCCATTTATCCAGCAACATGGCCTAAAACGGACCATTTTTGGAATCGGGGAGGCGGATGAATGGGGAGGCGGATGAATGGGGAGGCGGATGAATGGGGAGTGGATGAATGGGGAGGTGGAAACAAACACGGGCTCAAAGATCAGTCTCGATTGCAACCCACGCCACTTTGTGTTGGATGACAGATAGGATGACGGCGGAGAGGAGCGATGCAGTGACAGTAGTTTACCGTCGAGGATTTGACATGTGCTCGCTTGACCTTCTTGACCAGCCTTTTGATGGGTGGCGATGCGGCAGCACCGACATGCTGGCTCCCGCCTGGTGACGGCGCCTCACCATCCGACATGTCCATGTCCTCGCCTGCTCCCTGAGCGTCCGTCGACGGGGGTGGCGGAGGCGGAGGAGGGGCAATGTGATCGTCTGGGGGCGGCGGCGGCGGCGGCTCGGCGGTGGAGGGGAGTCCCTGCTCAGGTAGAGTCCAAGAGGTCAAGCCCTGTGTTATGGCCAAGACAAAGCCGGTGAGTCGCGAACTGTGATCGCTTCGACGATCGCCACATAGATGCCGGCCCACCATCGATCCAAGAAGCTATCGCTGTGGACACACAAGAACAGAGCACCGCACAGCAGCTGCTAATGTGCTGTCACGGCACGGCAGCACAGCAACGGGCTGGCTATTCGATGCTTACCGTGGACTCTTGGATGTAGTAGTACGTCATGCTGCTTGCGTCCCAGATGGCTCTCCAGGTTGCTGGGGCAGCATACGCTGTAGAACGAAATCATGAGTATGAGACGCGATGGATACTGTCGATCGACAAGCTCCCGCTTTCTTGAGGCTGAACGACCCAAGAAGACCAAAGCAAAGTAAAGCACAGCAAAGCACAGCAGCTTGAGCAGACTTTGATAAACAGAGCAAAAGCAGCGGCTGCCATGTCCCGATGATCAACGACAGCGTCCACAGCCAATGCCAGTTTCCGCAGCCAAAGATAGCACCCGCAGCCAAAGAAAGACAGATGCATACCTTCGAGCGAAGCAACAACAGCTTCCCAATGCGTCGTGATCTCGGCAAAGTATCCGTCCTTCAGGGCGCCCTTGCCCCAATCCCAGCGCCGGACGGCGTACTCTTTCTTGCAGACTCGGATTTTTTCCTTTTCGTCGTTTGTAAACGCGCCCGGCATCAGTACGAGAGCATCGAGCTTGGCGAGGACTGCTCCCGAGGTATGCTCGAGATGTGAGTTGGCTGGTGGAGGCTGCATCGGAGTTTGGAAGGAGTAAGGCGTGGGTCTGAAAAATATCGATGCCCCGGGACGCGGGTGGAGGAGAGCACTCGGGGATTCAGGAAAGGGAGATGCCCACAAGGTCGAGCCGGTGGTCCAGTTCCAGTAGATCCACGTTTCCGAGTTCTCGTCCCAGAATGGCTCCCACTGGCCGTGCGGGTTGGCCTCGGTCGGGGCTTGGATGCACTCGGTCGCCGAGGCCGACTGGGTTTCAGCAAATGGCATGAGAGGGGCAGAGCTTCCGTGGCCGACAGCGCCTGACTGGATTCCAAACAATAGATTACTGTCCATTGCTGTGCTGGTGCCGATGGAAGGGTCGGGCCGGGTATGGTCGAGAGCGACGGCAGCGGCAGCCTCGTCTTTGAACGGAACATCGCTTGGCTCTGGTGCAAGGGCAAAGGAAAGAAACGACGGCATTTGGGCTCTGTTAGCTCGGACCCGTTGAGATTGAGCCTGGACGAGCGACCCGCAGGATTGCCAGTCGATCAGAGATGCTGCTGGGGCGGGGAGCCAAACGCACTCGGGATGCCAAAGGCAACAACTGGACATATCAAGTCCTTTGGCTGTCAGAGGACGCTGTCGCAGAACGCTGCAAACTGCAAAAGGACGTGAGTGGCGTTGGAGAAGCGTAGCTTGAGTCTTATCAGGCTTTGCTGCTCAGATTCCTCGGCTCAGACTCGGTTGCGCATATTCCGTTGCATGACAGAGAGCCTATATAGATCGTGTGGCTGGGCTGGTTGAGGAGGATACTGGCGGTCCACTGCTTGGGCGGACTGCCTGATGGGCTCGGCTGACGCATTCACGAAAGCTGTAACTCCCGCCATCGAAATCGGAGAGTCGCAGGACAGCGATCTTCTGCAGACAACGGCAAGTGGAAGCGGGATGCCTATGCTTGCTCAGTGCCTCACTTGGTGACTCGAAATATCGGCCGCAAAACGGGGGTCCTTCAACTGACCTGTGGATACGGAGACCCGGCCCGCACCGTCGGCCGACAGGAAGCCTTGTGTTTGCAGCAGAGGGCTGTTGGCGTTATGGCTGTCGCTGGCGACGGCTTCATTGCCACTATTATCGCTGTCGTCGTCGTCGTCCGAGTACATGCTCAGACTAAGCAGAGGGTTGATGCTCTTGGACACCGGTGCAGGCTCCGGCTTGGGTGCAGGCAACGGACGCCGTCGCTTCGGCGGATCGATCGCGAGAACTATTCTCCTTGACATGTCTGGAGCACGGGCTGGGATGATGCCGATGGCGACAGGGTACGGTCGCCAAGCAGGTCGCCAAGCAGATCGCCAAGCAGGTCGATGCAACGATCGGCGGATAGCACTATCAAGCCGATGCCAATCAGGCCGATGCCGGGCTGCATTTTCTTCCTGCTTCTGGTCATGTGAGTATCAGCCTGATGAGCGCCACAGCCAGTCCAAGCTGCGCATGGAGAGTAATCATGGGATAATACCATTGAATCATACCATTGAATAGCACCATTGAATAGCACCATTGAATAGCACCATTGAATAGCACCATTGAATAGCAACAGCCGGCTCTGTCTGGCGCCCCCGAACACAGCACACCGCACGGCCCCGAGCGCCTTGGCTGCGCCTTTGGTCGTGTCTGCAAGGGGAAAGTGATCCAACGTGCCAGGGGGCCATTGCCAGAGCATCCAGGCTGTCCATGTCGCCCATCTGTCCGTCCTGCAATGGGTCGCATCTGCCGGCGCTGCATCGGTGCATCTGCATGCATCTGCATGCATCTGCCCACCCCGGCCCGTATCGGCAGCGTCCATCTGGGCAGACAGGATGTCCGGCTCTCCAGGGACTGGTCGAGTGGTCGGTTTGCTCGCCTTGAGGCACTCTTCGAGACATCGACCAGCACCCCGAACGTGGACCTGAGAAGATAAGGCTGGCAGCCGAGTCGAGCCGAGCCAAGCACCGCCATCGGTCCTGCTCGCCGAGTGACCCATCCATATATCGTCCGGCCGCACTGCCCTCCCCCGGGTCGCTTGTCTCTGCCTCTGCCTCTACTGCTGCTGCTGCCCAGGACCCATGCTTGCCAAGTGCTTTGCCTGCCTCCCTCTCCGGCGACCCGACCAGCGAACCATTCTCGTGCGGGAGAGCGATTTCATCCGGCCGCCGCTCTCGTCGCAGGAGCACTCCATCCGCCCGTCGTCGCCTTCGACCAAATTCGGCCCCTGGCACCACCCCCTTGAGACCTTTGTCAATATGGCAGCGCACGAGCCCGACTGCCTCATGGTCTCGACGCTGGAGAGCGGCGAGCTGCAGCAGTACACCTATCGCCAAGTCTGGGATCGGGCATACTCGATCGCCCAGGGTCTGAAGGAGCTGGAGGTCTGGTCTCCGGGACTTGACGTTGTGGGCCTGCACTGCGAGCCCGAGGCGCACTGGGTGTTCTTCACTCTGGCACTCTGGATCCTGGGGAAGTACGTGCCATTGCAGCCGTTTGCTCTGATATCCACCACCACGGCATTCACTTGCGCTGCCAAAGCGATCCAGCTCGCTCACCGTCTCGGCTCGTCCGTTTCTGCCTTGGCAGGAAGCCGATCTACTTTGCCCTCAACTGGTCTGCCTCTGTCCGCAAGATCGTGAGCGACAGGTACCTGCTGCTGGACCGCTGGAGTGCTGCCGCTGCCACTTCGGTCTCGATGCCACTTCAGCCTCGTCGTCGCTGAAAGGCCTGCCCATCTGTCCATCTGCCCTTGGCTATCAAGGCTGCGCGTCAGGGTCATCCTCTATGCCTGCACCAAGCCTGGCCGCATCGACGGCGTTCAAGCCATCGACGGGACCCAGTTTCCGCTGCTGAACAGAGTCCCATTCCCATCGTTGGAGATCTGTGCTCCGGTGCAGGAATGCATCGCTTATGCAGCGACATCTGGAACCACAGGTACGGTCGACTGCCACCACGCCCGACAGCATCCCCGACAGCATGTCCGCTATCGAAGCCGTCTGATCCAGAAGACTCACGACATCTGCTGACCCAAACCATCTCGGATGCAGGCGTGCCCAGAACGTAAGGCGACTCATTGTTACTGCAGGCGCGCTGTGCTCGATGCACATCCGTCGATGTCAATGCCACTGTTTCGGAGGCAGCCGTTGACTCGGTGTGATTCCTGTGTTCGCGCAGATACCCGATTCCTCATCGCGCCGCCATCAGCGTCGTTGACAATTGGCCCCGACTCTACGGATCGATGGGAGTGACTCAGGTAGACTGGTGTTGGTGGTGGTGCAGCAATCGGCCGCCATGCCTGATTTGTTATTGCTTGGACTGACCAGATCTCGCATCGATACTCCCTCGCATCGGCACAGGCTCCTTCCTTTGGCGGCTCGGGGCTCGGTACCATCGTACCGACCCCGTACCTCAAAGGCTCGCTCTGGTTTCCAAAGCCTACACAGAGCGTTACTGAGCGTGCGCGCGAGTTGATGAGACTCTTTGATGCTGGACTCGAGATTGCGTTCATGGTAAGTCCGCCCCCCCCCAATACCGCTCAGCCTGTCCAAGAAACCGCCCCATTCGAATGTGCACACCGAATCTCTTGCACATGATCATGCGCTGGAGACGAGTCTATCGCCCACGAGTACCGCCAGCCAAGCACCGGTGTCTATCGCGGTCGATGGAGCCCTGGGAAGTAGCTAACACATCACTCCGATCCCGTCGGTTGTGTGGCTCGCTCTGCAGACGCCTTCGTTCGTCAAATTCTTCTTCAAGATTGTCATTTCCGACAGACAAAGCGCCCAGTGGCCGTTCGTAACACGGATCATCATGGGCGGTGAAGTCATTCAGACAAGCGTCGTTGACCTGGTGAAGAGGCACATGCCGAATGCCAGCATACGCTGCGTCTATGGCTCAGCCGAGGTCAGTGAGTCAGTGAGTCAGTGAGTCAGTGAGTCAGTGAGTCAGTGAGTCGATCGGTGACCGCGGTGACCGTGGTAATCGATCAGCAAAGTGAACCGAAAGAATGTGCAGGGTGCTGGGGTCGTGTGCAAGTTTCGTCCTCGGGTCCGAGCTGTGTGCTCACGTCCTCTTTGGCGGTCCAGACCTCCATCATTCAGCTGTTTGTCTTTTCGACGATCGAGCCCCAGGATCCCACTCCTGAGACGATCGTCTACACTGCCAACAATCCAAAGCACCGGTGCATCCTTCTGGATGAGCAGGGCCGCTTGATCAACACCGTCGAGCGCAAACGCGGGATTCTAGGCTTTGCCTTGCCCAAGGACGACCCCATTCAGCGACACCCAAACTTCCAAGATTCGGACAACGCACACCCACTAACGGCCTTTGGATTCCTCGATGACGGATCGCCCCGGGTCTGCACTATGGATGAAGTCGAGCTCCTCGGCGAGAACAAGTTTACCGTGATCGGCAGGTGCGTTCCATTGGAGTTGATGCGATCAGCTCGATTCGGCATGGAAATGTCTGGATCACGGCAAGTGATCTGCAGGGATATGTGCCCCCACCATGTTCGTGGTCATATCTCTGGCATGCTGTGGGGCCCATCGCCAAATCCAGTTTGGTACAAATACTCATGCACCATCCCATCATGGACGCAGATATGGAAGAAAAGTCAGAGTCAATGATACAGTACTGGACCTGCAGATGCTCGAGGACCAGCTCCTCAAACAGATCGGAACCATCGCCATCGACTGCAGCTTTGTGCTGGCGCCAGACTCCCAAATCGTGCTCCTGTACGCCCCAAAGAAGGTGTCCGGCACCCCGCTCACCTCAAAACAGATCTTGGACATGGTCGAGACCATCTTCAAGTACCAGAACCTGCCAAAGTTTTCTATCAGTCGCTGTCTCGAGCTGGAAGAGCTGCCGTTCAGCGAGTCCGGTAAACGCGACATGCAGATTCTCAAGAACATTGTCGCCCGGGCCGATGTCTACGAGCTGGCAACATCGTTTCCGTTGCTGCCATCGGACATATCGCTCCGAACGCAGATTGCGCGCAAAGTGTCGCACCTGGGATGCTGCATCCTCGAGATTGCCCTGCTCGATGGACGCGACTACGACATCTGCAGCGTCGGTTTTGATTCCATCTTAACGGCGCGCCTGTCGCTGACGCTCAAGGACGAGTACGGCGTCGATGTCAACCCGTTTGTGCTGCTGTCGCCTGGAGTCACCCCTCTCCAGATTGCCGACATGATCGTCGAGGCCACTGCCCATGGGAAAATGGCACCCAGGCTTCCTACGCTCGACCTGGCCAAGGAAGTTGCAAAGTACGACGACAAGACGGTCTCGGGAGCATCGCTTCAGCCATTCCGATTCTCAGCCGCCCCAAACAAGATCCTCCTGACAGGTGCGACGGGGTTCCTTGGGTCTTTTATCCTGTCCGAGCTGATGGCGTCGTTTCCAAGGTCCAAGATCGCATGCCTCGTGCGAGCCGCTGACGACACCGAGGCAACACAGAGACTCTGGAAGGATGTCAAGATTGCGACAATGTCCGCATCGCCGCGAGAAAACAGCGGTTCGGAGTACAGCGAGCGCATCGAGGCTTACGCCGGCAATCTCAGCTCCGAGCACTGGGGCCTGAGTCCAGAGAAGTGGAGGCATCTCGCCGAAAGCGTGGAATTGATCATTCATCTGGGAGCAGAGGTCTATCGCGCATGCTCATACGACAAGCTCGTCAAAACCAATGTTCTCGGAACGCTCACAGCCCTGCGACTGGCCACCACTTGCCGCTTGAAGGCCGTGCACTACATCTCGACGATGGATGCTCTTCCGTGGTCCACCAAGGCGTCGCAAGAGATCTTCCAAGAGAAAATGTATTCGGACTGGAGCGTCTCGGGCGGATACGCCCAGACCAAGTGGGTGGCCGAGCATCTCGTCGACCGAGCCCACGCCCGGGGCGTACCGGCGACGATCATTCGGCCCAGCGGAATCGTGGGCGACACTATCTTTGGTGGTAAGTGTCGAGGTATTTGGCATGGCCAGCTGAAAGAATGGACAGTCCCATGGAGCGTACTCGTCCTGCAGTCTCAATGGCGCATGCGTCCTGTCATTGCAACGGCACAAGCGCGCGTCGATTCGCAGCAACCGCTTGCTCACGACTCTGTGTGCATATCCAGTTTGCAACAAAGACGAGTATATCTGGAAGTACGTCAAGGGATGCATCCAGCTGGGCGTGGTTCCTGTCGCCGACAGCAACGTCAATTTGAATCTGGATCCGGTTGACTATGTGGCCAAGGCCGTCGTTGCGATTGCCGGCTCGCAGGCAGCCCTAGACCAGTACATATTCCACATCAACGATCCGATGAGAAGGTGAGCCGTTGCTTTGACTGTCGTGCTCTGGCGGAGCGGCAAGGCCGCAGAGGAGCCTGAGCACTTTACCGAGTCATCGTTCCTGCGCCCACTCATGCGCCCATCCATCTCGATTGCCAACACAACCACCGCTGCACCCAGATTCACGGAGGAGGATCTGTTCCAGATTGTGCTGGATATGGGCTGGCCCATTCGCTTCGATACCCGCGAGACCTTTGAGCAACTAACGTCAAGCCCAGACTGTCTTGAATCGCATTCGCTTCTTCCGCTTCTCCACTATATCCCCCGGAGAACATTCGTCGGTGACAATGCGCACACACGATCGGTTTTTGCGTCGGCGGGCCCGCCCATGTTCAAAGCGATCCGCCGGAGCCTTGCCTATCTCGTCGAGGCCGGTTACCTGCCGGTTCCGCCGACGCAGAGGGCGCAACGGGAGTGAAAGTGCGACGGACCGACTGGCCTCTCGTTGCCGTCTCGGCGTGACGCTGATTGACACATCGTCGACAGTGCTGCCGGTGCCCAATATACGATATGGCTTCCAGGAGCGATGATTGCCATGCGGGGTGGTGCTCTGGGGACACAGTGGCGGTGACGGTGCGCCGTCCACAAACCGCCAGCGTTCTCGTCGCATCGACCTCGGCCTCGACGCCCTTGCAATCCGCTGTGCTGCGCTCGGATCCTGGGCGCCGTAGAACCTGCTCGACGGCCTTGTCGAGCAGCCTCAGTCTCGATGTCGGATTTCAGCGTCGGATTTCAGCGTCGGATTTCAATATCGTATTTCAATATCGTATTTCAATGTCGGATTTCAATGTCGGATTTCAATGTCGGATTTCGGTGTCGCACCAGCGGCGTTTGTCATCCGGTGCGCCGCCGCTCATTTGTCAGCGGTTTGTCAGCCAAGCCGCACCGCTCCCTGGGTCTGGCGCGCATGACGCTATTTAAGGGCCGGTCGGCCCGACTTGGCCAGATCGATTCCGCATCAAAGCAAGCACCGCCTGCACAATCCAGCCCGTCTCTGCGACCTGCTCGCTCTCAGCCCCCGTATCGAGCCAACCGCACATTGAGCCCACCGACCTCCATACCGAACCAGCACACCAATACCATGACCGGCCTCGTCAAGAACCCCATCAAGCTCATCGAGAAGCTCTCGATCCCGTACAAAACCCTCGACCCATTCCTGTTCTGCGTCTACCACAAGGACCTGTATCCGCCCGGCAACGAGCAGATGGAGCCACCCCGACGCGGCAACGGTAGCGACTTTGACCCCAACCAGGACTACCGGATGTACCACGGCCGACGCATTCCCGGCTTCCCGCAGCACCCCCATCGCGGCTTCGAGACCATCACCGGTGTGATGGAGGGCGTCATCGACCACAGCGACTCGAAGGGCGGCGCCGGCCGGTTCGGCAACGGCGACCTGCAGTGGATGACGGCCGGCCGAGGCATCGTCCACGGCGAGAACTTTCCGCTCGTGAACCAGGACAAGCCCAATGTCAACCGCTTCTTCCAGATCTGGCTGAACCTTCCGGCCAAATCCAAGATGGTGGAGCCGTCATATGGTACGTGAGTGCGTGAATGCGTGAATGCGTGAATGCGTTAATGTGTGAATGCGTGAATGCGTGAATGCGTGAGTGCGTGAGCGATTGCCCTCGCTGGCATTTCCAAATGACCACCAGCGGCGCGTCCGGTGCGTGCAATCGTCTCGCTTCAGCGCATAGGCGGCCATTCCACTCGGTCTTGCATCGTTGCTTTCCTGCCAGGTTCAATCTTTGCTAATCCGACCGCTGTCGTTGCCTTCACTGCTGTGGGTACCTTCGCCAACCTCGCACGGTTGGAACGGGATGACATCGCCGCGCATTTCGCCACCGCGCAGTGATGCACTGGGGTGAGAAGATCCCGGTTCATGTCGAGGATGACGGCAAGGCCAGGGTCACAATCTGGGCTGGCGAGCTCTTTGGCAAGAAAGCCTTGCCGCCCACCAAGGACTCGTGGGCGGCCGACCCAGCCCACCACGTCGGCGTTTTCTTCATCCAGCTGCAGCCGGGCGGGTCGTTCACCTTCCCGGCCTCGAGCTCGGCCACTCTGAATCGCACCTTTTATGTCTCGGAGGGTCCGCTGGTGCAGCTGGCCGTGAGCGGCACCGAAGTCAAGGACATTCAGAACAACCACTGTGTCCAGGTCGATCCGCTGCAGCCCCTGGTCTTCAAGAATCCCTCCGAGTCCGGCCAGCCCGTTGAGCTCCTCCTGCTCCAGGGCGAGCCCATCAACGAGCCCATTGCAAAGTACGGCCCGTTCGTGATGAACACCCACGCCGAGATCCAGGAAGCCTTTGACGAGTACCGCAGGACCGAATTTGGTGGCTGGCCGTGGGACGCCGATGCCGTCGTTTTCCCACGTGAGAAGGGACGTTTCGCCATCGTCAACAAGAAAGAAATCCGGCCCTGAGCTATTGCTTTGTTTCAACAATATAGCGAGCTATTCCACGTACTCACAATGGACCGCGTTCACTGATACTCTCCCGTTTGGCGGGGACTGCCTCTGGGAGCGTCATCGCGGAAAGGGGAGGGGTGCTGGCGCCTGCACATTGAGGGCACGGCGGGCGGCTCCATATCGTCCCTCCGAGCCTGTGGCTACCAATGTCATCGAAGGTGACGGACGGATGTATTTAGGATCCATGGTCATTGGATTTGAAAATCAGGGTGGGCCTGTTTCATTTCTGTAAATGCTGTGGGGAGGGGGAGCGCGGCCGGGAGCGATAGAAATTTGAGGCGATATGCCATATAGAGGACAGCAACGGGTGCAGCGCAAGCAGGTGGGTAACGAGGGTCTAGGAATCGGAAGCCAAAAGGATGGGCCGTAAACTACGCCCCCCGCAGGGTCGGTCGTATTGCTCGACGAATCTAGTAGAGGCTCAGAGCACCAAGGGCAGCGGCAACGAGAACGGTGCCAAAGGGAACGAGCCTGCCAAGGGTCGACGCAGCAGACTTGTTATTGGGGTTGGTGTTGTTGTTGGTGGAGGAGCCGTCAGCCCACCGAATCAGCTTGACGTTTTGGACGTCCTGGTTGAGAGCCGCCACGACGCCATAGTCGGTCGAGAAAGAGGTAAAGTCACGATAGGTGGTCTCCTCCCACTTCTTGAAGTCAAAGAAGCAGACGGACTTGAGCTTAGGGTACTTGGCCTTGATGGTGTCATTGAGGATCTGGTTCCACCAGCCCCGCTTGATATCGGCAACGCTGCCGACGCCGGGGGCCAGCGGGAGCTTCTGGGTCAGGTCACCAGAGTTGTTGAGATAGACGTGGTAGGTGGCAGCGGTCTCGCTGATCATGAGGGGCTTGCCACCGGCCGTGGCGGGCTTGGGCACAGCGCCAGCACCGCTTCCGGAAAACATCTCGTAAAAGTTGAACTTTGCGTAGGGAGCAGAGTCGCCGGGAGCCTTGCCCGAGGCGCCGCCGCTGAGAATGCCCTCGAACTTGCCGGGGACGGGGATGTCGTTGGTGACCCAGGGCCACTTGTAGCCGTAGTGGTACAGCTGTCGGAACGAAGGATGGCGTGGATGTGTTGCATTGGGGGGAGGTTGTGAGACAAGAGTGTATGGGGTATCGATGAGCGAGCACAATGTATGGTTGGAGAGAGTAGCGTCGGATATACAGCGCCGGACAAGCAAAGGTACCAACGAAGCCGAGCCACTGCACAGTTGGGCCGTTCGAAGATGTCTGCGTGGCCGATGCGATGGCTGCAGAAGGACAATGCTGCAACAGCGCCAACATACCGAAATGCCGACCCAGTCAACATACTGGTCTCCGGGATAGAAGGGGGTGTACGGGTCGTCGTCGTCGGTGAGCTGGCCGTCGTTGTTGGTGTCCATGTCGGTAAAGTCCTGGGTGCCCTTCAGGGGGGTCTGGGTGCTATTTCCGAAGGGATAGCCGTTGGCGGCGTTGGGAGACCACACCCAAGCGACCTGGGGGGCAAGCGGATGGACAATGTTGTAGGCACGGATATACTGCTGCTTGTAGAAGCTGGGGCGCTGTCCATACTTGAACCAGTTGCCTGCAGCGAGCGGGAGACGAATCAGCACCGAGAGGGGGGGGGACCGCGAACAACACGACAGAGCCAGGAGAGGACCAATGCCGTGGACGATGCCATGGGCGATGTCACAGGCAATGCCATGGACGTGTGCGCTGTCCAAGTGTACACGGCGGGGCCGTGTTGGTGGCCGTGTCGGTACCGACGAGCTTCACTTTATGCGCGGCAGAGACGGCGAGTGCATTCGCAAGCATACCGTTCATTTCGCTGGCATAGCGCAGGATGACCTTTCCACCCTGTGAGTTGTACTGGGCGAGCTTGTTGCCGAGATCGCTGAGGGCCGCATCCGACACACCGTCGAGACTGTCGTACATGAACAGGGTAAGCAGCAGAACCGCCCCGGGCACTGTCTGCATCTGCTGGAAGATCTGGGTCGGGTCTTGCAGGGTCGAGGAGATGTTGAGGTCGGACTGGAAAAGAGTCAGGGGCTTGTAGTTCAAGCGAGAGTTGATGGCGGTGGGAGTGTCGCCGCCGAGGCGATCGTACCACGTTCCGCTGCAGAGACAGGAGTAAAGCACGGCGGGGCAGCGGTGTTAGCGGCAAGTGTTGATGTTGGTCTCCGGCAGGCGGTGTCGGCGGAGGAGGAAGCAACGCTGGCGCTTACAAGTAGATACCGGTGTCGGGCTCAAGCGGAGCGAGGGCCGAGACCTGGGACACACAGGCGCCCACGAAGACGGCGGCAGTAGCGGCGGAGGCCAGGAACTTCATTGTGGGCAGAGCGAGCGAGAAAACCAAGGAGGAGGACCAAGATGCCAACGAAAACGAGGAGCACTTGGTCGCCTGAGGGAAAACGAGCACGATTTTATGGCGGCCGGGCTGCGATGGCGATCGGCGGAAACGACACGGCCGCCGCCGGACACGAGCCCGCACAAAATAAGGCGGGCGACAAAGCCGGTCGGGAAATCGTCTGTGAAAGCGACTGTGAAAGCGACTGTGAAAGCGACTGTGAAAGCGACTGTGAAAGCGACTGTGAAAGCGACTGTGAAAGCGACTGTGAAAGCGACTGTGAAAGCGACTCTCCTTCTTGGACAACAACGACTGTTGGGAGTGCAGACTTGGACTCGGCCAGCAACAAGCCAGTCTGGCCAAGAGGCAATGCACAATGGTGGAGAGGCGGTGCATTTGCGACAACACAGCACATTGCATTGCATTCTGCACAACAGGAACAGAGACACAGCAGTACAGAGACACAGCCAATACAACGACGCCGCATCACAGCCCGCAGTATACATTTCGCGCTTTGGTCACACCCTCTGGCGCAGCCACTGACTCCGTGGTCGCACCTGTACAACCCGTGCCACCTGCATCGCCGTCTCCCACCCGACACAGATACGCGCTGCGCCAGAGCGGAGCCGAAGCAAACAGCGCACCGCCACAGCTTTCCGCATCCGTGCTCTGTGCTTCTCGGTCACGACCGTGGTGCTGGGTATGCTTGCGGGGCTGGTGCGCTGCTGTCTGTTGATGCTGCTGCTGCTGCTCTTCCGACTGGGGCTCCGGCTCCTGCATCTGCTCCGACCGGGTTGGGTGTGTATCGGGGCAGCGTCGAGAACGCCGGGGGATCGCCGTTTGCGGCCGGGGATTCGTATGGCGGAAGATACGGCTGGACCTCGGCCGGACTCCGGTCGACCTCCACGCTGACCATGTTGCGGACTCGTGGGCCTGCGCGTCGGTTGTGCCGTCGGGCTTCGCGGCCGGCTTCCTCGATGTTTTCAAGCCAGTCCATTTCCTCGGGCCCAGCGCGGGCCTTGAAATACAGGTAGAACTGGCAGCCACACACGGCGATGCAGCAAACCAGCGGGATCACCCACCAGAACGACACGATGCTCTGGGCCACTTCAACCATTGTGTCGTGTGTTCAGAATTGAGGGAGGCAGTGATATCGATGGCGGGACAGTCGACTGAGCCAGAGAAGCGCAGGACGGGAGGTGTCTCGGACGTCGACGATGTTTGTGAGGCTGTTGTGCGTCAGGGCCTGGCCGGGAATGCACTTTGTTGCTGCTGGCGTGGGAACGAGCCAGACGGGGGGTGCTTTGGGTACAGATGGCGGGGGCCAGCGGTGTCGATGTCGATTATCTTGCGGCTCGATATGGTGGCTCCTCGGTGCGCTTGTGGCTTTCTTGGTGTCGATGTGCAAGACCGAGGCGAGATATGCGCTTGCCAGCCCAGCTGCAAGAAAATCCAGCAGCGCCGTCGCGGCCGCTCGCAGAAACAGTCCGCTGGCGAATAGTCCTGCGTAGAGACCAGTGTCCGCGTGGACGAATTCCAGCCGGACCAACCTTGACAGGGGAGCAGCATGCCAATCATGCCCGCCCAACGACGGCCTGTGGCCGCAGCGACCCCTGTGGTGCAACCTTGCCTCCTGCGGCCGATGCCTGCCCCTGGCTGGACGCAGCCCTCTCCAGCCCGTCTGTGCGCTCAAACACACTCAAAGCAGCCTGCAGCGCATGCATTACATCGTTGTATATTGGCAACCCCCCGGCGGTGCTGTGATATTACAAGGAAAGAATAAATGTGGTCACCGCGCCGTCGCTTCCAACCGAGTTGGTTGGTAGCCAACACCCATCCGGCTGGAGCTGCCCGGCTCCAGAGCAACCGATCGACTCGGCGCTCCAGCCAGCGCCAGTGTGCAGCTATAGCGTCGCTGCCGACGTATTGTACTGCTTTGCCACGACCCCAGGCGGTGGAGGTACTGCAACCGGCGGCGACGGCCGGCACGGCGAGCTGTACCCTGGCAAGTCGTCCAACTGGGGCATGAACGGCGTCAGGGGAGTCTTGTCGTATTCGGCCTTGTAGACCGGGAGCGGGATTTCCGTGACAACGGTCATGGTCTGGGTCGGCACAATGTCCGGCAGCGGAATGTCTTCGATCTTGAGGGACCGCCGATAGATCCAGAGGATGCAGCTAAAGAAAAGAATACAGAGGATGGCCGGCACAATCCACCAGAATGGACCCGCCAGAAAGTCGGTGCTGCTGCTGCCCGTGCCGGTGGTCGTGACAATGTTGGTGTTGGCCATTGCGGCTGTGATGCGGGACTGATCAAGGGGCCCTCAGATTGTTTGCGACTGAGTCGAAGGCCGGGGACTTGGCAGACGGCGCAAAGTTGGATTTGGACTGCAGACCGATTCTGCGCGGCACGCAAGCAAGCCCGCCGCACAATGTGCAAGAGCTGTTGGTCTGTGTGCCAGATACTCTCGATCGACAGCCGGGTGTGCTCAGGAGCCGGCTTGCACTTTTGCTCGGCTCGATGCAACTAGTCTGCACCGAAGAGCCTGCAGCAGGGAACGCGTGGCAGATGGTTTCAACAGTCGGTTAGACCGAGCAATAGTCAGGAACGAAGCGCCTTCCGAGTCGATAAACTTTGGCGTTCCAGACTCGGGGACGAATATCACAGGAAAGGTGTGTGCTTGTCGAGCAAAGGGCGAGGGTGCAAGGTTTGGTGGAAGCAAGGTTGGAGAGTCATCCATCGTGCCCGACCATCCCGGCTGGTCCTTTTGAACAGCGGCTGGGGGCTCGTCCGCTCGCCGGCCAAGTGCGCTTCGGCATCGGCGATAATCATGATCGGGAGTTCCATTAGCCGTTCCAGCAAAGAACTTTCCTGTTCGGCCTGCCACGCCATCCAAGGGGCTGAATGCAGGCCCGCTCGTCTCATCTCTCCCTCATCGGTTCTCTTGCTGTCTGATCTCCCCCAATCACGGCATAGGATGCCCTCCCATTGACACGGCGGCTGGGACAATGCTTCCACCAGAAGCCGACTGCATTCCTCAAGCTGTCCACGGGCAAGTATGGCTGTCCATTTGCCGCTCCGACTCGCCATCGCCCAGCTGTAAACATGGATATGGCCAGATTCGCCCTCGTCCTTACAGCGTTTCCAATATGAAATGGGACACCCCCGTTTTGAGCTATGACTGTGTGGTTTTCTGGAACCTGAATACACCCACCCACTCATCGCATTCATGGCCAAGCAAGTATGTCCAAGGAGACCGAAGTGGTGATTGCCTTTGGGAATGCATCCTGGAAACAGGGGAAGGGATATGCATCCAGCCCACGGAGACTCAGGTTTGCCAAGTACTTTGAGCAGTTCATACACCACCAGAGACGACCACCAGACCGATCCGTCTCCAAGATCCATGTGTGCTCGGTGAACGAGTTCAACACGTCCCAGGTGTGCTCACATTGTCGGGAAGCCAAGCGACTCGAGAAGGTCGAGCATCTTGATATCGAGAAACCACACTTTGTCCGGAGCTGTACAAGCTGCCATATGCTGTGGGATCGAGACATCAATGCCTCAAGGAACATGATCTCGGTATGCCAGTCGATCATCGCCACAGGGGATCGACCGGGTGTATTCAAGACCATGCTTCCCAAACCAACCAAAACAAAGAGATTGCCAACCAGGACGGGAAACAATCTCACGTCTTGCTCACTGGAGCCTACAGTCAGTCAGCGGGGTTCAGACATATGAAGCCAGGAAGGAACTGTCCCGTTTCTTTCTGGACCGACTGTATGCAGCCAATGAACGCCGCATGGAACGCAAGACTGTTGCCAGCACCTCTGTAAATACACAGGATACAATTTGTCGCCTAATGCCCTATTTGTGAAAGCTTTAATCATGACAATGTCTCAGATTCGGCCGTGATCTTGAGCCGGGCCAGTGGCGGCACAGATGGCAATTGACTGGGGGGGGGGAGGCGCCAGCTCCAGAAGGAGAGTGGTCATGATCGCAGTCACAAACAAGGGGGAGGCAAGTTGGAAGGGATGGGGAGGCGGGTTCGAGAGAGGAGCGGCCGTTCTCAGGTAAAGTCAGATCGGTGCTGGTTGTCTTCCTCGTTTGTCTCCTGCCTTGCAGCTCGCCATGTGTTGACCGCGAAGGCGACATCGCACATCTTGCAGCTCAAACTTACCACGGCCGGGCGACGCTGATCCGCAACGTCAGCTTTCTTTTGTTCTTGGGCGAGCACAGCCCGGTCCTCAGTACGGGCGTCGGGGGTTATTCAGCGGGTTTGGCCTTCACAGGCAGCAGTCAGTATCGTCGTCGCAGGGCATCGTCGTCGCAGATACCACCATTGGCAGCACCGCTGATGATATCCAGTACGATCACCACGTCAACGTCCCCGCCGTCCAGACCACCAAGCAGCTGTTCGTTTCTCGCATCAACAGGTCGGAGACCTCCGCGATAGCGGCTTTGTGAAGCCCAGAGCACGCTGCTCAAGAGCGACAAGTGCTGCCAGTTGCCACGCGCGGCCGCTCATGAATACGACAGTCATGACGGCATGGTGATGCCGCGGCGACGTCGCAGGAGCCCTGGTGCTCCACTTGCTTCGCGAAGCAGAAGGACGGCATCTGTCAAATACCTGTATTTGTACGCCAGCATCATGCGCTTGCGGTAGAGCGCAAACTCGTCATCGGCAGCGGATACGTCCACATCCGCGGTGGATCCAACGCCGCTGTTGCTAGGCCCGACCTTGGTTCTGTGGCGTGTGGGGGCAGAGACGACGAGGTCTTGGTCAGTATCGTCGTAGCAATCCCGGCGGGGCTGCCGCTCTGCCTCGGATGCAGTCGAGACTGCCAAAAACACAGATGGGCGGACAGCGTTTCGACGCTATGGCCGACACTACCGATGTTGTTGAGGGTGATGATGCCATGGGGCCACTTACTGGTTGATCGGCGCCGTGATGCCCTCTTCGTTCTTGCCCAGACCAGCACCGGACCATCCTTGCTTCTGGAGCATCTTGAAGCCCAAGTTGGACTCATTCAGCTTGGCACTCTCGTAGTCTTCGTACACAATGTCCTTCTTGCTCTTGCCCTGTCGAGCAGCTTGGACCTCTCGCTGGAACCGATCGAGCACTTCCTTGGGAATAAAGTCCTGCAGATGATGGCCATTCGATCGCTCGGCCGCGTCTGTGAGACTCCGGGCAGCGTCCTCGGTCTCTTGCATCTCCTGCAGTCGTTTCTGTGAGAGGGGCGGCGTGATAGAGGAGACGGCGGCAAAGCGCCGCGGTTACATCGCTTGCCGAGTGGCTTATGGATATCGAAAATGCACATCTACACAGCAGCTCAAACAGATGCATTTGCACCGCAGCGCTGCTTCTCTCGCCCCGCAGCCCACAGGCTCTGTCCTGCGAATTCGGCAGCAGGTCTTCCTCCGAGACAGGCAAGGCTCATTCCACACAGTTCGCTGCGGTTCAGCCAGTCAAGCGAGAGCCGCCTGCGCCTACCTTATGCTCAAAGGTGCCATCTCTGGTGAGGATTTCGTCCTCGGGAAAGGCCCAGTTGCCGTGTCCAACGTAGATCATGCCCGGAAGTCGCTCCTTCGAGGTCTTGGAGTACTTTGGTCCGTCTTTTTGCATGTCTGGCGATGGGCGCGGCGGGTTGGCGGGCCGGTTCGCACGCGGCGGAGCCGGCAGAGCTGGCGACGAACCGACGCTGGAGTGAGGACCAGCATCCGAGTGGCCAGACGGCCCAGTCCCCCAGCGGCTGCGTCGCTTGTCAGCCGCGCCAGAGGAGGAGTCGCTTGGTGGTTGGGAGGCCGTGGCGGCATCGGATGATGTAGCGGACGCTCTGGAGGACACGGGCGACGAGGCCTGGGCAGGTCGCTGCTGGGTCTGCTTGAGGCTGGCCTGGCCTCCGAGCTCCCGCAGCTTGGATCGATAGTATCGTGTGGCGGCTGATTTGCTCTCGGGCTTGAGGAAGCTATGGGTTCGGCGATCCATCAGACAACAGCCAGACAGCGCCAATGAACACACCTCCCAGACATGGGGACGCAGCGGCCAGCGGACAGCTCGGGGATCTTGGGCTGGCCGCGTGAGGATGGATGGTACCCCGTCTGCTCACGACCGGTCCTTATGCTTACTTGAACAGCGGATTGTCTGGATTCTGCTCGAGCATGAACGCCTCCATCTCCTCGCCGTTCTTGGCGATGAATGCCGCCACCTTGTCGATCACCGCCCGCTCGCTCTCGGTCGGGACATCCGAGCTGTCGCTCACGGATGCCTGATCGCCACCAGAGGGCTTTGGTCGTTTGTTTGGATGCCCAACGGCCGGCGATGCCAAAGGTGCGGACGGGATCTTGGCACTGGCACTTGCTTTGGCATTGGCACTTGCCTTGGCGCTGGCATGCGTGCTGTTGCTGCTGCGGCCGTCGTCATTGTTGTCATCGTCGTCGTCATCGAGGAAGACTCGCGAGCGCTTCTCCGGCTGCCTCAAGGTCACCGTCGATTTTTTGAGGGTGAATGCCGACTTGGACGCCATCGCTGCTGATTCTGCGGATTCCCAAGCCGAACCTGCGCTCCTGGGAGAACGGGCGTGTTTGAGGCAGCACGCGGAAGCTGCACATCCAGGTCATGTGAGGGTATGTGCTGCGCCACGGGCGGTCCAACCTGGCTGGACACATTGCTCCACTCTCTGTTTCGCCTGGAGACAGCCCTCCTGCGATCGTGCGCGGCCATTCAAATGGAGGCCATGTCTGCGACGGCTCCAAGCGCGATGACGTGAGGTGGGCTGATGCGGGTCGAGCCGAGGCCTGCTGGGGGGGGGCAGTGCCGCATCTGCGATCGGATGGAACTGCATGCAACTGTCTCTCTGTGCATGGGCGGTCCGTGCATGGCAGGGCTCAGAAGAAAGGGATCGGTGCGGGGATGTCGACATCAATGAGAGGCTCGGCCCGCCGTCCACGTTGGGGCGACGCAGGGCTGTTTGGCAGAGGGTCTTTTCTCTGAGAGGACAGCGGGCATCCTGGCCATCGCAGGGATCGGCTTGCTGTGGACCCTGTTCCCACGACCCGCTCCCAATAGCACCGACATGCCAGACCCTGGCCAGTTCACTTTGCTCGATCCTCGCCTGATCTTCGCTTGACCCCCGCTCGCTCCTCCGTGCTGCCCGCGGGCTGGCCATGCGACGTCGCCCATCCGAAGAGCCAACGTCCGCCCGCTCCGCTCTCCAATGGACCGACGAATATCGACGATCGGGTGGCCGGAAACTCGAAGCAAGCGAGACTGTCCCCCTCCTCAGCGATCGTGCAGCCACACCCGCTGAGCCCCGATGGACAAACGGGTTGCTCAGGGAGCGAACGAGGGTCGAATGTGACTGATCGGCGAGCAAGAGGAAAGCCGTCCTTGGCCATTAGCCGCAGCGAGCCGACCCCAGATCAAGGCGCACACCACCAGAAACCACCACCATCTGCAAGCCTTTCTCATCCTCGCACGAATGTCGATTGTCGAATCGACGATGTCAGTTCAAACAACCGAGAGGCTCTCAGCTGCCAGCAGCGTACACTCGCATGGCACTAGATCGCTCTCATCCATGCTCGAACTTGCAGACCCAGCCGGCGGAAGCGAGAATCGCGAACGAACTGCGTCGCCCGACACCTGCTTCGACGTCCCGATCGTCGAAGAGAGCGTTGGTCTGCTGATCGAAATCGAAGACTGCGAGCTAGTAGCTCCTATTGCAGCTGCTCCGAGGTCCCGAATATCGTTTCTGGATCAGGGCCGTGCCCGGAGCGACCGGATCGAGCTCCTCGACTTCCCACCGCCGCCTCAGACACGGCTATCGCAAATCTCAAGCAAATATCGCAAGATTCCGTTGCGGATGACTTCTCTGGGACCGATGGAGCCGGTGCCAAGTCCGTCCGAGCCAACTCGCTTGAGCATCCATGACGACGGCTGCGACATGAACGAGGCCGTCGCCGCCACGCCGAGGATCGAGTCGGTTTGCACCGGACTCGGGATGATTGATCTTGCTGGTACGACCGGTCTGGCCGATGCGGTGACGGAGAAACCACCAAGTGCCTGCCTGTGGGTCGAGTCTGCGACTTTGGATAACCCTGCCACTTTGACCCAGCGCTCGCATTGTGCATTGCCAAGCCGCTGACCGAGTGGGATGCCATGAACTGGCTCGAAGGCGCTGTGCTGCTGGCCGAAACAGCAGCAGCTATGAACATCATGTCGACTCAGGCGAGGGTAAGACCAGCAGAGAGGACTGTGGTGCGGCTATAGTCGCAAACGCACGGCTCGGTATGGTCGGATCTGCGAGCACGGCATCCGCTGGACACGAATCATGGCGCTCTGTCGATCCATGCTGCACCATCTCATGCCAAGCTGAGCTCGCTGTGTTCTGCTGCAGACGCCCGGGCTCCTTCTTGCGGCATGCATCCTTCTGTCGCTCACGTCAGGTAACGAAGAGCACGGGTCGATTGCGAGCATATCCCACCCTCCTTCGATTGCAAGCATACTCCGCCCTCCCTCGATTGCAAGCATTCAACCTCCTCCGATACGAGCTGATGTGCTTACAAGGACAAGCGTCTGCTGGAACCTTTCCCTGGCTGAGCTCCGTTGTTTGCATGACAGCCTTCCATCTCGCATTCACGCTCTACGCCGTCGAGGCTGTCGCGCAGCAGATCCGCCGGTGGCAGCTCGGACACAGCCCGCTGCTCGAGAGCGAGATCGTCCTGCTTCTTGTCATCGTGATGATCCGGGTGAGTCTGGCGAGAAGGCAGATCGAGGAACCGCGAGCCCGCCGACACGGGGAGTCATGTCCGCGAGTGTTATCACCCTTGCACTGACGCTGTGGGTATTGGTCTGTGCGGGGTCCTCCAGGCTCACTTTCTCGCTTTGGCGTGGGCTTGCTGGAGCAGCCAGGTGAGCCCTGTCCGGCTGCGCTGTCTCTGCTGGCACCCCTCTGTCCCAAAACGTCGCCTTGGCACTCATCCCATCTGGCCTGCTTGCAACCCGAATCGCTACCGGGCCGACAAAATCGCACCAGAGCGCAGAGGCCTCGCCAGGGGCTGCGCTCTCTTTGCCCCGTCTGTGCTGGCGGCGTTGGCGAATGCCGGTTCCCCCCATGCGCCAGCCATGACCCGCTGGTGCCATCGCCAAGACGAATCGCCCTCATGGTCCCGCGTCATGCCACCTCATCATGCGGTGCAGAGTGGGGGCGGTGACCCCACAATCAGGCCGAGTGACTCTGTGACGCTGCTTGCGAGTGCTGCTGGTGATGTTGGTGATGTTGGATTCAATAGAGCCCACACAAACAACGGCAGCCACAGCACAAGAGCGCCAGCCAGCGGCGCCGTGCGACGCACCCGCGCCGACCCAGCGCGCCCGTCGCACGGCGCTCTGCGCAGCCATCCGCGGCCGCCTGCGATTTCGTGGCTGCATGTTTTCTGTCCCGACCCCACGCCAGTCGCTCTTGTGCCATCATCATCCAGACGCAGGTTCGTTGCCAGCACCCCCCAAGAGCCGGGCTTGCTGTCCAGCGGATATATCTACGCCCTGCTGCCCCTGTCGCTGACGATCCCCGGTCCCTCCGGTCTTTTCCACAGGCTCGAACCCGCTCACGCCATACCTCCCCACATCATGAACCCGCCTCCAGCGCCAGCCTCCAACGAGTCTGCGGCCGTTGGCCCTGTCATGGACCGGCTGCCCTCTCGTCCGCCTTCGTATGTCAGCCGCATCAGCTCGGCCGATCTGCCTCGCCCAGACCCAGAGAGCCTCGCCTCGCCACCGGCCCGAAGCCGGTTCTGGAGCTCGTTGCCCAACCGGTTGCTCAAGCAACTACCTCGGTCGTGCATAAACGAGCGCTTTGTTCCTTCGTCAAGTAGGTGCTATTTTGGCCTGAATCGAGGGCTGCTGGGACAGGGGGCGCTCGCAAGAGACTGCGCTGCTCCGAGATAGCGAGTCCTGCACTCTGATGGTCCGAAGCATCGTTGTCAAATCTCCGTCGCTTGTCGATTCGTCAGCCGGCATCATCGAGACGCCGATGCTCACTTCGTCTCCGTACCAGCCTTGCTGACGTTGTGCGTTCTCCTGCTCCGCCAGACTTGCGGTCGGGCCTATATGTCCTGACCTACCTCTACATCGTCGTCAGCTTCCTGCGTATGTAGTCTGCCTGCCGCATTCTCGCCGAAGAGCCTGTTGACGGATCTGTGCTCGCGGATCTGTGCTCGCGGATCTGTGCTCGCATATCTATGCTGCGCCCAGCTAACCGATGTTCGATTGGGCTTGGTGGGCTGTTCAACAGAGCTCGACTCGAGCGTTCGAGACCCCCAGCAGCTTCTACAGAACATCTACTCTCTGGTCGACTGCAGCATGATCTTGCTCAACTTCGTGGCCCTTGTCTCTGTGCTCGTTGGTCTCTCGGCAGTGAGTTTCCTCTGTCCACAACTGCATCGGCCTCGGCTTTGGCTTCGGTCCAGCCCGAGCTTGCCGTGGTTGGGAGCCCTCGGGCATCGTCGACTCAGTCTCATGATGCAGTATTCTCGATAAGCTCACTCTCCGCCCTTGCCTCGTTCCTGCGCTTGGCCATTGCCGAATCCAGCAACGAAAGTCCATCATGACCGTCGTGACCATCTGGTCATTCATCTATGATGGTTAGTGGTGCATCCAAACCCGTCTGCTGTCTGCGCTTGGTCGGTTTCGTTGCAGACCTTACTTACAACCCTGTCATTCTTTTGGCAGTCTATGGTCTCATAGCCTATTCGTTGACAGCGGCTGGCCAGATCCCCAGCACCGACAGCGCCTCAGCCACCCCCCTTATCCTCCTCATTCTGATGTTTGCCATCCAAGTTTGCAAGGTGAATATGCAATCGAATGCGTCGGCACTGCAGTTCGCCAGAACTGCCCCGATCTATCCCCAAACCCTGAGGGCAATGGCTGCTGACCTGTTTGTCTTGTCTTGTGCAGATTTACTTCTCGCTCGTCATCTATTCGTACACAATGGTAAGTGCAGTTGGGTGCCTTTCTACAGCATCGACCGCCGACAGTCGAGTTGATATCGTCGACTTGCCGCCGGCACCCGCGAACCTACAGCTCATCCCGTCCTCCTTGCCCGGCAGTACCTGCACCTGAACCCCCAGAGCCTCGAAGACATTGATCTTGAACTGCACTCGCGCTCGCCGTGGGATCCGCAGGATGATGAGGATCTGCCTGTCTATCAGCCTCGTCCGCCCGGCTACAGCGAGACCCCACACACCGCCGACTCCATCGCACCAAGCCGCACCCTGCGGCGAGGAGCCCGGAGCACCGAGAGCATGGCTCGCAGAAACCAGAGCACAGCGCAGAGCACGTCGACGACCCACGAAACCTCCGTTCCGCCGCCTCCGGCTGACAGCATTCCGCCGGTACCCTCGACCTCACAAGCAGGGGCGCCTGCACCCGACACCAACACAGACGCTGCTGGCTCTGCGTCCCAGACAGACACACAGTCAGCGTCAGAACCGGCCCGGCCCGACTCACAGGAGCCGCCAGCCCGTTCATAGCACTCCAAAAGCCCCCCCCCTCCATCTTGCTGTTCAAGCTTGGGCTGCTCGATTGCTGCTGAGCAAATGACCAAGTTGACGGGGCGCACCCGAGTCTTTCATTGTGTATTTTTGGCCTCTTGCTATCGAATTATTTGTGCCAGCGCGAATACAATCCATCGAGCCTCTGTCGAGCGCACCTCTTGCAACCACATGTTCAGTTGAAATAGACACTGGCCTGCTTTTTTCCTGCAGAAAGCCAAAACAAGAGCCAGAGGCCAAGCACAAGCCACAGCAACAAACATGAACGGCGGAGCATGGCCGTCGGGTGGCCAAGTGCCCACGCCCGAATGACCAGCGGGCTCGTGTCATGCGGCCAGGCCTGCCAGCTTGACCACCGCTTTGCCCCTCGACGACCCCTGGCCCTATATATTCTGCTTCCGGCACGCACTGCTCTCGGCGTCCCATCGCACCAGATCTGGTTGCTTCCTCAACAGAGACACATTAACCTTCGCCGCCATGCTTGCTTCCGAACGCTCCCGCCCTGCCTGGTTTGTTGATCTCACGGGCAACACCGAGGCCAAGAGCAACCGCCCTCCGGTGCCTTTTGTCATGACCAAGCTCACCCACGCCATCGATGTCTCGGGCTCGACTTCTGGAAAGATCCTCGAGATCGAAAAGAAAATCTCCTTGGCCTTGTCGACCAAGGAGCGGCGGCTGAGCGTGGTGCCGTGGTCCCATAGCGCCGGAACCGTGGTCGACACTGCAACTTTCCTATCGGCCTCGGGAGGCACCGAGCCCGCTACACTCCTGCAGAACGAGCGGGTCCGCAAGGTCATCCAGGACTCTGGCGCCTGGGTCCTGATCACCGACGGCGAGATTTCCAGCGTAAGCCCCATTCCCCACCGCATGCAGGTCAGCGCAGTGCAGGATCCAGCGTGAGCCGCTACTGACCCCCATCTCTTGTCTGGTATACAGTCCAGCGTGCAGCTGTTTGCCCAGCTCATCGAATCCGAGTCGATCACACACATCCCTATCGTCATCATCATGGTCGGCGGGAGCCCCAGCTACAACAACAGTCGCCCCGCCAACGCCAACGTCAGTGTCGGCCTGCCCCTCTTTGCCGTTTGCGACCACAGCCTCTTCTTGTACGTCGACTACACCAATTTCCAGGCGGACCAATCGGCCTATCTTTTCCAGTCCAAGGGATGCTTTTCGACCTTAAAGGAGTCGATCGCAATCACCCCAACCACCACATGGTCCGAGCTCCCTGTCATCGCCATGGAAACCCTCAAGAACCATCTCATCCCCGTCACGGCCAAGAAGCCCCAAGGAGTGATCACCCTGACTCCCGGCCTGAGCATCAATCTCGAGGCTCTGCTCGCGCAGAAAACCCTGGATTCGGCCGACTGGAGCATGATCTTTGACAACGATGAGGCGCGCAAGGTGAGGCACTCACCTGCACTCACCTGCTCTCACTTGCACTCACTTGCACTCACCTGCACTCACTTGCTCTCACTTGCACTCGCCACATGAATGCTCACCCCCTCGCACACTATGGCATGTTCCCACAGAGTCTTCTTCTCACCTGCAAGACCCGCGGATGCATCCCCAAGCTCCGCGACCTGATCAACCGCAACCAAGTCACAGTGCCCGATGTGAGACTGACCGACGAGGCTGGCGTCGGCAAGATGGTCCAGGAGCTGCAAGAGTTGCTCGCATCCGGCAGCTACGACCAGGAGTACGTCGTCGACCTGAAGAAGCGCATCGCCCGCGGCAACCTCGAGAACGAGGCCACCTACCGAGAGAACGTCCGTCAGAGCCGCGCCGAGAATGGACTTTTGCGCGAGAAGGTCCGGTCCGTCCAGATCGTTCTCGGTGAGCTTGCCGAGATCGAGCGCCTCGGCTTCTCATCGCAGGTGCTTGGCCGACTCTCCAACCGCGCGATGCGGGCCGAGAAGGTGTCAGAGTCTGCCCAGAGCAGTCTCCTGGAAATCAGCGCATCCCTCGACAAGGCCGACACCGAGGGAGCCTTCCGCGCCGAGTGCCCCATCTGCTTCGACGAGGACGCCATCATGTCCATTACGCTGACCCAGGTTGCCGCCGAGCACGTCGAGCTCAACACAAACGACTTTTGCCTCGACTTCCCGTTCGCGGTGGGCAATCGTGAGCACAACGATGTGCTGTCGAGCCAGATGGCATGCATCCGCTGTGCCTCGTACTGCCTGCAAAGCCACGGAACCACAACTGTGCGTGAGAACGCCACGGTTAGCATGTAAGTGATGGAGACAGAGGTGGAGATGGACATGGAGTTGCATATGCAAGTGGATAGGGAAATGGACCTCCGAAAGCGATTGCTTCTGGTGCACCTTGAAACTCGAGCTCATTCGTCTCCCTTTGACCTCCAGCCCCCTGATCCGCATGCACAATAACAACACTGCCGTCATCTGGAAGAACTGCCTGTCTGTCGGCCTCACCAACGGCCTCAAGGTCGGCACCGTCGTGCCCCTGTTCATCTCGATCCTGTACCATGCCCTCGGCTCCAAGGGATGGCTGCAAGCCGGCGCCGACGACCAGCAGTCTGACAACGCTGTCCGTCGCCGAATGTTCGAGTGGGCCCTGAACATGCTGGTGCACACCTACCACACAAAGCACAACTTTCAGGAGAGTGGCAAGTACGTCCCGTTCCCCGAGGCCATCGAGTGGATGTTTGACGACTGCGTCAAGACCGGCTACCAGGCGTTCGGCTACCGCTACCCGATGAGCGGCTTTGTTGTACTCTTTGATCTTGCCAAGAAGATCCACTACCCCCAGGAATGGGCCAACGGCAAGATCATTGCCCACCGCCGCATCATGCTGCTGCTGATCGACAACTACATGCGCTCGGTGCTGCGTTCCTCGTGGGAGACCACTGCAGATCAGGTCAAGAGAAAGCTCTACCGCTACCGCTACTCGGCGCCGATCGAGGGCACCGGCCGACTGCTCGTGAACCTGGCCGACTCGACACTTCCCAACTACGAGGTCGAGCAGATCCGGACGATGCTCCGGTGCATTGGTCTTCCCGCGGACCAGCTCCCCTTCCCCGCGGCCACAACCGTTCTGCTCCGCCGCCTGATCGAAATCAAGGCACACAACTCGATCACCGGCACTTTAACGGATCTGCGAAGCAGATACACCTCGATTGTTCACGCTTTCGAGCGCCCCGAGATCGTCACCGAGCGCGATGCCCTCGATACCCTGCACGAGATGTTCGTTCCCGAGAATGCGGTCGCCGACCAGGACCACTCCCACATCCCCTTCGCCACTCCCTACGGCCCCTCAGTGATCCGTTGCGCATGTGGATACCGGTTCCTGCCTGCAGGCTACCGGGGCTCGCTGGACAAGATGTCGGCCCTGTTGCGCAAGAACCGCGCAGCACACTTCCGAGAGGTTTACCGATGCCAGGACCCCGCCGGCCTGCCCCAACGGGTCATCCAAGTGAACGGCCAGGACCAGGCCCCCAACAGCATCTCCAACAACCTCAGCAAGACCATTACTCGCTGTTTCCACGCCCTGTCCCAACCCGAGCGTGACGAACTGCTCTCTACTCCTGACAAGCATCCAGAGTTCCACCAAGCCGTGCTCAAGCACCTCAGTCAGCATGGACGGGGCAACATTTACGACAAGGAGCTTGACCAAGACGTCGGTCCGGCGGTATCCAGCTTCTTCGAAAGGGTCGCCGAGATGGGATACGTGAACGAGCTTGGCGGAAGCTGCTCGATCATTGACAAACTGAAGCTCGAGATAGCTGCTGCTGGGGATGATGTCGATGTCGTGGTGGTGTGAGTTTCGACTGGGCGCCGAAGATATGACAACACTGAAAATCGCTGGACACTGCACCGATGAATGGAAGCGCAATGCGATGACCTCTATATATTTCAGCAGAGCAGCCAGTGGCCCGGCGTGGACTGAGGGTATGGCCATTCAATATACACTTGCTTGTGACCCAACGATGGTGCCGACAGCTTCCACATCGGCAATCACGACCATGCTGCGTGGCGTGTGGGCAATGATGCAGATGCTCTGCGAAGGAGTGGAATATCGCCGCCGTGATCGACACTGAATGGACTTGCAGTGGCTGTCCAGTAGCACATGCACCAGAGTCTTGCGGGACTTGCTCATCCGATCACTGGCGTGGCAATCCGTTCGCTTCTCGATCCCACTCGGCGGTCTTTACCATCTCCCACAGCCCGACATGCCCCATCGTCTCATAGTATCATTTAACAGTCCCGTCATCTGGCGGATCTCGTCATCTCCCACCACCTGGCGCAATCTCCACCTTCCGCCATGTCTGTCGCTGCATGAATCCGATCGCGAGCGGCATGACCAGTGCTCATATTCCCACGCACCAATCTCGCCAACACCGCTGATCCCCACACCACCCACTCCGGGATTCCGACGCCCTCCGTTAGGATTCATGCAGTGCTCGGGCTCGCCCCGCTTTGGAGTCCAGCGCGGCCGCCGCTCTCCAGCGCCGCCGACACCTTGCTTGCTCGCGAGTATAAGTACTCCCGCCGACACCTCGCCCTTCTTCCAGCACTGCACCGCCATCGCAGCCATCACTTCCATGACAGCACCAGATCTTTCTCGCATCTCGGCCGACACCTTGTCCCTCCTGTCGTCTGTCGCTGCCGCACCCCTCGCGGATGTGCTCCAGGTTGCTGCTACTCTGTTCTCCGTCCTTGACAAGATCCAAGAGAACCACCACTCCTGGATACTCTTTGCCAGTGCCTTGCATAACGTCCTTCATGCCCTCGCCCAGCCTCGGATCGACAGCTCTGACTTTGCCGAGTCTGTTGGTCGCCTCCATTTGCTGCTCACCCGGGCACTCCAGCTCACCACTGACCTCCAGACCCGCACCAGAGTCGAGAGGCTCGTCAAATGCCACATATGGCTTCGTATGGTCCAGCAGCTCATCACAGAGCTTTCTTCGATTGCCTCAAGCGACGTTCTTGCTCTCTCCGTCAACTGTGATGGCATCCTGGCCGAGCCCCATCTCCGCCAAGCCATTGATGCCGACACCGCCCAGACCCAGGCTCACATCGCCCAGATTGCCCAACAGCTCCAGGCCGACGATCTTTCGGCACTTGGCGAGGTGGACATTGCTACCGACATGCCGGACTGGCAGCTCTGTCAAGCAGCCGATGCCCTGGTCAGACTTGCCGATGACGAGTCGACTCCCAGGGCACTGCTCAACAGCATCGTCGCTCCGCTCCTCCAGATGCTCCAGTCGCAGTCTGCAGTCGCCCGCTCGATCGTCAAGGAGTGCTGGCGCATCCCACGCTCGGCCATCACCAACCGCTCGCCCCACCCCATCGTCCGCGAGGAGTATGCAGAGACCCACATCGCCTCGTATGTTGGATTCGATGTTGCTGCCAAGCTGTTGCTCCTCAGCTACGACATATCCGAGATGTCCATGTTTCGGCGCAGACTCGGCATCTGGCACGGACTCACCCATCCAAACATCCTCCCGCTCTATGGCGCCTGCGATACTGCCGAGGAGCTCTTCATTGTCACTCAACTCATGCCAAACGGCACCCTCCGCGAGCACGTCTCGAACCCTGCCAACTCTCCCACCCTCGGCGAGAGGCTCAGGTTGATGAACCAGGTGGCTGCTGGGATGGCCTATCTCCACAAGAACGGCATTGTCCATGGGAACCTGGACCTGGAGAGCATCCTCCTCGACGACTCCCTGCGTGCCGTTGTTGCCAACCTTGCCGCTCACCACATCTGGTCAGCCGCTGCTGCCGACGACGACAGCTTTGTCGAGTACCGGGCACCCGAGATGCTGGATGACGAGGACTCGTCCGAGGCCACGACGAAAGCTGACGTCTACGCCTTTGCCGTCGTCCTCTACCGGACCCTGAATGGCGGCAGGACAGGTTGGCTGGCCAAGGATGGCAGACCCATGAGGCCCCATGCGATCGAGCGCCAGGTCTGCAAAGGAGGCCGGCCAAGGCGTCTGGACAGCATCCCCGACGATGTATGGGCCCTGATCGAGCAGTGCTGGCACCAGGATCCCGCTCAGAGACCGGGCTTTGAAGAGATTACTCTGTTGCTGCACCCGCACATGGATACCCTGGCTTGTTCCCGTCAGATTACAACAGCCCGCTCAGTGACAGGACCCGACGTATCGACCCTGAGTGAGGACAAACCTGTGCCGTTGAATGCCACAGATCAGCCCAGCGATGGGAGACAAAGCGACGACAATGTCAAGGCTCCAGGCGATCAAGCGACGACTCAAGACAACGCACCAGGCAGTGTCGTGGATCAACCCGTGTTGCCAACGAAGCTGGGCCCTACGCACAACGAGATTCCTCAGTCTGTCGAGCAGGAGCCTGCACCCAAGTCCTGGGTTGGCAAGATTCGATCAAGCAGCATCACGGATATACTGGACATTATCGATACGATCGACTTTGCATCAGATGACAGCGACAGCGTCGACGACAACCTGGAGCTGTCGTTCTCGATGATCCGCACGCTCGAGAGCGACTCTAATGTCATCAAGCAATACCGAAATGCATTCTCCAGCATCTATAAGCAATCCAAGCATCCGAAAGAGTTGCACGCCGTCGTTTCAGCAATCGCCCTGACCCAAGCTCGCCTGACCCCTGTGATCATCTCCAATCTCTTAGGACTCGATATTGGAACAGTCAGAGCAAGCATACAGGAATTGGGCCATGTCATCGATGCTCAGCACAATGGACGCTACGACAGTACCATTTCGCGACTCAAAACTCACAAATCGGTATCATCATTCTTGCTCAGCGAGCAGTCGCTCGGCGAGCGCTTCCATGTACCGGGCAGGCTCCATGTGGTACTTGCATCCAGGTGTCTGCAAGTGATTCTCTCGCACGAGCCCACGATCAATATTTGCGATGTCTACGACTTGCACGACAAAGTGCCCGACTTTGAGGACAAAGTCAAGTCCAAGATCTCGCCGACGCTCCGGTACAGCGTTGCCTCATGGATTTCCCACTTTGTGTGGTGTCTGAGCCCGGACTGGATCACTAGACAAACTTGGAGGCAGTACAAAGACGCTGGATTGATCGAGCTGCTTTCCCGGTTCGTGTCGAGCCATGCGTTCTTCTGGCTCGAGTGCGGATCGCTCATCAAATCCATCAAGCCCATCATCGATCAGCTCGATATTCTCTGGGAAGCCATCGCTCGGGCACCCAACGATATCATCGACAACAAGACCAATGCGCTCGTCTGGAACATCAGAAGGTTCCTGCAAGAGTTCTCCGAGCCGATCGCCGCAAGCGCACCGCAAGTGTACAATTCGGGATATGTCTTCACACCCAAGGACAGCTTGATCTACAAGACCTATGCCTCCGCCCTCGAGGACAAGATGCCGTTCCTGGTCACGGCTGGACTGCCAAGAACCTGGGACTCGGCATGGGAGCCAAGCCGGGTTTCTAACTGTTTAATCAGTGGAGCCATTGTGACCCCACAAGGAGAGTATATATTGGGAAGCGACTCTGATTGGAAAAACGGAGATAGTTCTGTTTGGGATGCTTTCACCGGTCAATACTACGGCTCGTTGCCATATGGAGCCAATTTCAAAACGGCTCGACTATCGAACGACCGCTCGTTCTTTGTGGCATCGACAAGGAGCAGGCTCATCATATGTGATGCGAATAATTACAGTCTGAGGCACACTCTGACCCCCACATCCGGCGGAGTTCAATCATTCGCAATAACGGATGATGATACCAAGATAGTGTCTGGATATGGTGATACTGTCGATATTTGGGATGTTGCCACTGGTGAAAGGGAATCCGGGCTCACATTGCCAAGACCAAAGGGACGATGTAATGTATACATCAGTGTGTTGACAACATTTGCTCGCTCCAATTGAGGTTCATGATATCAAAGAGACCAAGTGCTCGCGCATTACTCACCAGAATCACTTTGTTTCATTCGGGTGCATCAGTGGTGGGCATTTCTCCAAGTGGAAAGTTGGCCGTATTCCGAAATGTTGACAGCACAATCAAAGTATGGGATGTTGAGAAGAGGGCACCAATGCAATCTCTCTCTGGTCACACCGGCAGTATACACGAATTTACCATATCAGCCGATGAGAGCATCATCACAGCGAGAGGATATGATAAAACAGTCGCCTGGAAATTGGAAAATGGTATATTCGTCGAATCAAGTGCGGTGCAGCCTCTAACATACGAGAATGGCGACACTTGCATCAAGCACGGAGGCTGGAGCCTGGTCCAAACGGCAGCTTCATCCAAGTGGTTCAAACACGGGCCGCATTTGGTCTGGGTCAAGAATGTCGATCCCATTTGGTGTCGTTACAACAACCCTTACAGCGGCTTGTTCACATCGACATCAACCCCTCAGGCTTTGAAGTACATCCTATATGTAAGTTGCCCCATAGTCCTGGCCAGCCTTCATGGCCGCACGTCTAATATCTGCACCGCTCAAAGCCCATATACCAGGACGCACCAGAGACCCACTTTGTGATGGCAAGGTTCCTCAGCAGTTCGGACGACCCGGAATGCCAGACCAGAGCAACCGAGCTCTTTGCCAAGGCCGCACAGGGCGGCTGTGTCCGGGCTCCACTTCAGAGCTTGGAAGTGAAGTAGCTGCAGTATGACTTGGCCACAAGTTGCCAGTACAATCATGATGCCGACTCAATGCATGTGCAGGTCGTTAACGCTGCAAACAACAGTCTGCCTGCATCCAGAGCCCTGAGCACGATTGACCATGGAGTTGCGGAATATATTGTGGCTGGTCCGGAATAGACGTGCACCCGGCTCATCCGAAAGCACCATCATGTGCTCAGCGCTGCGAGGGCATCGGCAGCACCATGCACGATTGCCAGAATCATCATCAGAACAAGCTCAAGGGAAGAGGCGCTTGGGGTCACGAGGGAACAGCGAGGTCTTGCGGATGTTGCCGAGGTTGAGGTAGAGCATGATAACACGCTCCAGACCTGTTGTAGAAGTGATGGTTGAACGTGGTGGTGAGCAGGTGGCGATGGACCCGTTCGCGGCAGCTTCGGCGTCGGCCCTCTCGCAGACACCCAGCACGACAACAACTTGGGTTGTCATCGCACACAAGCGAGCGTGATACTGCATGTGGGTGCACTCACCAATGCCACCGCCGGCGTGCGGAGGAGCGCCGTACTTGAAGGCGTTGATGTAGTCTTCAACCGTGGCGGGATCGACTTCATGCTCCTTGATGCGCTCGACGAGCAGGTCGTAGTCGTGGATACGCTGGGCACCGGAGAGGATCTCTTCTCCGCGGATGAAAAAGTCGTACGAGTTGGAGTAGCCCTGGAGCGTGGCGGACGGTTAGAATCGGCACAATGGTGGCTGGCACTGGCAAGGACGCTGGTATTGGGCTGGTGTGCAGCGACTTACAGGGCGGGCCGGATCGGGCATGGTGTAGAAGGGACGCACGGCCAGCGGGAACTTGTCCAAGAAGAAAAAGTCGGTGTCGTACTTTTCGCGGACAAGGCGGCCAAGGAGGCGCTCGTTGGCAGTGCTGTCGTGGGGGATGCGAGTAGCGTCGGTGAGCAGCTGCCATGTGTCTCATCAAGGTTCTGTCTGCACGCAGTTGCAAACTAGTCTCGTGTGCGGGGACAGCATCTGCAGCGATCCTTACGTGAGATCATCAAAGTCGCCCATCTCGGCGCCGGCCTCACGCAGCATGCGCACGGCCTCCGGGAACTCGAGAACCAGGGTCTTTTCGCGATACTTGAAGTCCTCGAAGGGGTACTGCTTCTTGACCTGCGCAATCTCGTCCGCAAATCGGGTCTCCAGACCCTTGAAGATGTGCACAAACAGACCGTCAAACAGATCGAGTGCCTCGTGGTAGTGCTCCTCGATGGTCATCTCGAGATCGAGGCCCATGAACTCAGTCATGTGTCGGTGCGTGAACGAGTTTTCGGCACGGAAGACAGGGGCGATTTCGTAGACACGCTCGTAGTCGGAGCAGATCATCATCTGCTTGTAGAACTGCGGCGACTGCGCAAGGTAGGCAAAGGTCTTGAAGTACGGGATCTTGAAGACGTTGGCGCCGCCCTCGCTGGCAGCTCCAATGAGCTTGGGAGAGTGGATCTCGATAAAGCCCTTGTTCTCGAGGAACTCACGGAAGAGCTGGCCGACTCCGGCTTGGATGCGGAAGATGGCTTGGTTGGTGGTGGTCTGGCAGAGAGATCCGAGTCAGCGCTGCCGAGCGAAAGTGCGGCGCGAGACGAACGACTGACGGGAGCGACGACTTACGCGGAGATCAATCACTCTGTTGTCGAGCTTGGTGTCGAGGTTGACACGGTTGAAGCGGCTCTGGATACCAACACACCGTCAGCACACAGCCAAGGGCCACAGCAGCAACGGTGCTGGTGGGATCTGCGGCTGACACATGAATCAACGGAGAGTGGCACGCCACCGCAGTCACTTACATCGGGGTTGGCTTCCTCCTCCTCGGTGGGCTCGGGACGCGATGCGTCCTCGACGGAGATGGGCAGGCGAGCGGCCTCGCTGACGACGTGAATCTGGGCGGCAATCGACAACAGGTTGGCCGACCGACTCAAACCAGGGCGACAGGCACTTGCCAGGCATCGCACCTCCTACCTTCAAAATCTTCAGCTCAACGTCCTGGATCACACAGCTCTTGACCAGTTCATTGGGCTTGACAATCTCGGCCTCGACCTGGACGATCGACTCAAGGGTAATACTGCGAGTCCAAGCCGTGCCGGTAAGCCGTGCCGGTAAGCACCACGAACGCCGGGATGAGCGAATGCGCGCGGCATGGTGCATGAGGGCCCGAACTTACCCCTGGGCAAACTTGAGCATCTGCTTGCTCACTTTATCGGCGTCGAGAGCAAGCACGCCCTGAATGGTGACCATTCTTTCGCGGAAGACGAAAAAGGCGACCTTGGAGCCTGTCGCCGGCATGGAACGGTACAGTGAGGATGCCGCACGCCGATCATCCGCTGTTCGAGATCCGAATGCGGCTGGACACACCCGCCTGCAGCGCTGGAACAGGACATACCGGCGGCTCGGGAAGTGTGGACTCGGGCACTGAACAGCACAGTCTCTCCGACCATGTCGGGATTCAGCGAAGCCAGCTTGGTGCGAGCGTTTCCTGGAGAGCGTGAATGGCCGTAATGAGTCAAGGAACTCATGCTCGGGAGCCGGCCGGTGCACAAAAGATGCCAGTGACAGATGGGCTGGATGGATACGAAACAGCGAGCCAGCCCCAGCACAACACTGCGGATGTTTGGACGAGACCGGTCCACCTACCGGGGCGCTCAGTGGACTGCATCAGGGGGAGCTTTCCATAGGATCCAACAGAGTAGTCCTGCAAGAGACGGTCAAATAGCCAGGCAAAGCATGGTTCCTGGTCAACACATTGCAGAGAGGATCGCTGGATCTGCATCGAGCCGACGGCTTTGGGCTCTGGAGATCAGCGAGAATCTTACGGGCGAGGCGGCTTCACGCGCAGCCTTCTCAGCGGCCTGGAAAGTGATGCAAAGACACGATTGAGAATGGAGTCAGGGATTTAGTCGACGGCTGCGATCCCAAATCGCTCGGCGTGGTGGATTAGAGTAAGACCGACGGCGGGTCGATATGCCGCGCACTCATGGAGATCTGTGCTGTCCACGCCAACTGGCACCCGCACCGGCAGTAGTCGGCCCCTCCAATACACAACTCGGTGTGCCTCGAGCGCACCTGCTTGGCCTCGAGCTCCTTCTTCTTCTGCTCCTTCTCCTTCTGCTTCTGCAGTTTCTTCAGGGCACCCTTGGAGAGGGGCTTGCCATCTTCGCCGAGCACGACTTCGGCATCCTGGGGAACGACTTGGTTATCCATGGCGGGTTTGTTCTTTTGCACCGGCTTCTCGGTTTGCGGGACGGGGACGGGGACTGGGGCAGCGGCTACAGGAGCAGGCGCGGGCTGGGCGGGTCTGTCGACGACGAGGGTCTGAACCGAGGAGTATTCAATATCGAACCAAGGGGCTGTTTCGAGCGAGAAAGGTCAGCGACGCCACCGCCATGACGGCGATCCGATGCAGACCGCCGCCGACAATGCAGCTGTGCGAGAGTACTTGCCGCCGTTCCTTGACATGGATCTGGATCTGGATCAGACGCAGGCAGGGCCTTCAGACGGGGCTGGATCGCGGAAATGTCGGGCAGGACGAGGATGCGCCGACACGGCCAAAAAATAGGACAGGCTCGTGTAACCGTTTTCTTTTTTCCAGCAGGTGGCGTGGCTTTGCCTCTGACGACTCACACGATCGAGAGGGCAACATGATGCCGGCGATGCCGCCGGTGATATCGCCATGCATGCTGCAGACGATGTTGCTGGTGATGTCGCCGACGCCGGGCAGCAGACGAGTCGATGTGGTCGTGGCTATTGTGTCAGATGGATCAGCGCAGTCTCGGCGGTGGATGCCGAATATGCGAGTCGACAGCACCAACAGTCGCAGCGGACAGTGTGCTGGCGTCATAGCCCGCTCGAAGCAGAGCACGATCGATGTTCGTAAGACCGGTGTTGCGTTGGCAGCCGAGGTTATACACTTTATTCAGAAAAAAAAACGGGACAATATAGCCGTTTCCATGAACATGTAGTATGTGCTGTGCTTGCGTCAAGCAAAGCCACAAGAAATAAAACAGATCACTTTGGCAGCCTCCGAGTGAAGACCACCGGTCGCTCTCCGGTCTCCACAATCGACCTGCATACTGTGATCATGTTGCGCGCCGCATTGACGTCGCGATTCCACACTGTCCGGCAGCTGGGATTCTTGCAGCTCCTGACAAAGTGGGAATTCGCAACACTGGGCGCATCGAGTCCTTCCAACCGAACTGGCTCCAGGCACTTGGAGCACACCTGCGAGGTGTTGAACTCGTTCGTCGAGGCCACCTTGACACTTCCATGATGGTGATTGGGACGGCGACGGTGGTGCTCGAACTGCTCAAAGTACCGAGCGAACCGCTGCCTCCGAGGGCTGGATGCATGGCCCTTGCCTTGACGCCATGACGCATTGCCAAAGGCGATCACCACATCAGTCCGTATCGGGGCGTGCTTCAGGACGGCCTTGCACATCCTGTCGACGGCCACTTGGCGCCTCTTGTGGCCCGTGAATCGATGGTGACGGGCCTTCTTGCCAAGGTGGAAGTCGAGCTGCACTCGCAGCTCTGGTCGCAGGACATGGGTGAGATGGACCTTGAAGGCTTCCGAGGACGACACCTTGGGCGAGGGGGTGGTCGACATCCAGGTCTCGATGCTGAGTCGATACTTCATGATATTGTGCCACTTGGTGTTGGACGTATGGCCACACATTTGCTGGTAGTGGCCATTGGAGAATGAGACCACCTCGTCTTGGTGGCCCGGTGCTTGGATGACCGCCGTGAAGATGGAGCCGACTCCAGGATCGATGCCAATCCAAGTGGTGCGACCGGGGTCTGGGTTGCCGATGTGGGCCTGGATGCGCTGCTCGGCAGTCGGAGGAGGCTCGATGGTCTCGGTGTGATCGGTTCGAGGCACAAACTTGACGAGGCCGATGGTGCATCCAATGCCATCGGTGCTGATCTCGTAGTTGAACAGCTTCTTGTCCACGACCCGCTCTTGGAAGAGGGAACTACGCAGCTTGAAGCAACTGCGCCAGAGACGATCCTGGTTGTTGATGCCGTCCTCACCTTCTTCCTTGAGCTTGTCCCTGGTGAGTCCAAGGCGCTTCTTTGGACCCAGGAGCTCCCAGAGTGCGACGGTGTCGATCTTGACATACTTGGCCGTGGCAGTGCATAGAGGGACCATCGTGCACACGGCCGGAGGAGTGTCAAGAGCGAGCTGCTTGAGTGCCCACTTGATCCTGGCGGCCAGCTTGTTGATCTTGGCCTTGGTGGTGCCGAGCTCCGACTTGGCCTTGGTGAACCTCTTGTCGTCGGAGGGAATGCCTCTGGCAGTGAGCTCGTCCAGCTTGGCCTGGCGCTGCAGCTCGGTGACTCGGAGGGCGGGCATGTCACAGTCGATCCACTTGTGGACATTGTCGACCATCTTGTCCCGGGCGAGGATTCTCACATGGTGTGAGAGGCGATGGAGGGCCCGGAAGCGGTCCTGGTCGTTGCTGTACCGAAACTCGTCCAGGATGTGACCAAACTCGGGATAGGCCTTGGGTGGAGTCTGCCCTGGTTTCTCGAAGAGCTTAAGACAGGCCTCGATGGCTTCGTGCTTGTGCTTGTTGGCTGGGAAGACGGCAGCACAGAAGCGACGAAGGAGTCTCCAGTAGGCCAGGTCGAGGTGGGTGGTGCAGTTGGTGGCATAGGCATTGACAGCGAGAGTGAGAAGCTGACTGTGAGCACCATCAGGCAGACGAGGGGCCGGAGGCAGGTCTGCGTGCCGAGTGGTCTGGTAGTCGCGAAAGGAATCGATCAGATGGTTGTCGTATTTCTCATTGTCCCCGGTCGGCGAGAGGGCACCGGCCTCGACAATCGTGAAGCATTGGCGGATGAAAGCAGGGGTGGTCTTGGAGATGACGGGGATGGGAAGATCCTGCTCGATGCACCGGAGGATGTGCAGGTTGAGCAGCCTGGATGCCTCGAGAACTGGATCTGGGTCATGGCCTCGACGGTGGCCTGGATCTTGTCGCGGAGAGCGGGATTGAGACAACAGCCATCCATCGTCTGCTTGAAGCAGCTGAACTGAGGGGCGGATGACCTTCCATCCACGAGTGGGACGACAGAACTCTTGAGGGGCCGGTATTTGGGACACTTGCTGGTGTTGCAGCGTTCGTGATCGGTGCCATCGCACTGGCGACATCGCTTGATGGGACCAGATGAGGGACCAGATGAGGGACCAGGCTCGGTGGGATCGACATCCATTGGATCTGCAGAAGCAGTGGTGGTGAGCGACGGAGCAACAGACGACCAAGCATACGTGGGGTCAGAATACGAACCAGAGACAGGCTCCGACTGTGACTTGGCTTTCTTGGGCCTGGGTGGCCGAGGCTGGCCATCGCCAGCACCCTTGCGCTTCGGAGGCATGGGGACAGAGGGTGCTGGATGTCTGCCAGTGGTACTGGTCAGAGCAGAGACTTCTCTTTATCGTACAATAGCGCGATGATCAGATCAAGGCGAGATGAGGGAAGAAAGCAGCAGGACGAAGGTGTGGCATTTATACCCGAGAGCAGGAGCCCGTCTTTGCGGGCTGGTTGGGGAAGTGACCCTGTTCAAAAATCGCCGAGAGGTTCAAGCCAGGGATGTGAACGCGAAAATGGCGGAGTGATTGGAGGGAACTCAACCCCAAATCGGTGGGGACTCAACCCCAAAGAAGTTCTCGATGGGATTGAAGTCGAGTGAGGCAGGTGGGGTGAAGATCACTGACCATCCTCGGCGCTCGATGCAGTCCAGGACAGCCATTGTCTTGTGCATGCTGACATTGTCCATCACAATCACAGAGTCGTCTGGGAAGGTCGCTCGCTCAAAGAACTCGACCATCGAGTGTGTCTTGAATGATGTGGGGATGTACATGCGATGCAGCACACCAGAGTAGTTGATGGCAAATGCAGCCGAGACAGACTTGTGCTTCATGTGATTGCGCTGGCGAAGCGGAGCACCCTTCGGTGAGTATCCGTAAAGAGGAAAAATGGATTTCCTGATCCCCGTCTCATCGACAAAAACGAATCGCCGCGGGTCGATGGAGTGGGCCTGGTCCCTGAACTGTGCCACTCGCTCATCCAGTCGCTTGGACTTGTAGAGGTGTGTTGCCCTCTTGTGTGAGAGACCTGCTCGGTGGATGGCAGTGTGGCAGAGTGAGAGTGATACTTTCCTCTGGAGGATGGACTCGAGCTTGCACCGCAGCACAGGACCAGTCTGGAACGGGTCCTGTTCAATCAGGGTGCGAATGACTGGACATGCCTGCTCGAAGAAAGTGGATCTGCGAGCTGGGACCCGGGATGGGTCATCCAGCTTGCATCCTCGGTGTCATCGATGGATGGTGCTCTTGGATACACTGAATATGGAGGCGACCTTACGCAGGCTATGGATGAGGGCGTAGCATCGCAATGCGGCGGTGCGAAAGTCGGATGTGTGGCGAATGGTCATGGCCAGCGCGCGATAACATTGGGTAACAAAATATTCGATGAATGGTCAAAATCCCGGGTGTCCCGTTTTTTATTGGATTGCCTGTAAATGCAGCTCGTTGTTCCAAATGCAGCCAGTACGTGGCCAGCCGCAGCGTCAGCCCGCCCGGCTTCCAGGCGCTGCGCATTTTAATTGGCAACCGTTTTTTTGTTTTTTGTTTCGCGCTGGCCGATCGATCGTCTGCTGCTGCTGCTGCTGTTGTCGATCGCACTGCATCCAACGCTCGCCACACCATGGGTAAGGCTGGAGGAAGAGAGAAAGGGGAGCCAGCAGGACAACGCACACCGAAGGGCAATCGGTAGAAATCAGCGGTGCCCGGTGCTCGATCTGTTCTCGCGCGAGGTGTGAGCAGCAGCCTAACGCAGCCAAGGATCGATGGTGCGGAATGTTGGTTCGACAGACCCGCCCCGCACGCTGGCTCCCGACAGCGGCGATATTAATCGGGCTGCAAGGGCACGTCGGCTTTCTCCATCTCACTTTGGTTGACTCTCTCCCAGGCCTGTTCACTCCGTTCCGCGCCATCGGCTATGTCACCAGCGATGTTCCCGTCTCGATCCAGGCTCGCGGGCAGTCGTATTTCTTGACGACCTCGATTGGCAATTCGTTCCAGATATACGATGTAAGCATCTGGGAAGGCGAGCAGGACAGCGTGCTCATAAATGAGACAGAAGCATCAAGCCAACGCCAAGCTCTTTCGCCAATGGATGCATCACGGGCTTGAGCATCGATCGTTTTGAGCAGCTCGGACCAACTGTGGCTGCTGCTGTATGGCCAGGACCGACAGCCGCCTGGATTGACCATCCTGTTCTTTCGCTCTCTCTCATCTCGCGCGACTGAATCCACTCCCGTGATGCCTCGAACTTGGATATGCTGGCTCCGATCTTGGATATGCTGGCTCCGATCTTGGATATGCTGGCTTCGATCTTGGATATGCTGGCCCCGACCTGGCCATCCATCGGACATTTTGTCCCATGACGGTGTTTGCTTGGTCCCCATACCAGATGGCCAAGATGGGTCTTTTGTTCGTTGGTAAGTTGTGAATCTCATCGACAATGCCTGAGCGCTGTTTGCACTGTTGTTCTGTCGCCGCTTGCTTGCCATTTGCTCACCACAGGACTCGATCTGTACACCAGGCCCCCAGACTCCAGCCCCGATAACGGCGATTCTGTCGCATGGCGACTTGACCTTTGCGGCATGCGGGTCCGGCGAGATCATTGTCTACGAGCGCGCGAAGGAGATCGACCGATGGACATCTCCCAACAGCACAGCTGAGATTGTGCAGCTGTGCATCTTTGGCGATTTGCTTCTGGCCATCTGCGACGACAATGTGCTCCGGATCTGGAACCACGCCGGCCGAGGTGAGCGGCTCAGTCGGTGCTCCCGCTTGTCTTCAGCGGTCTGTGCCGGTCGCCGCTCCTCTGACTGACGATACTGTGACTTGCGACGACTCTGTTCCCACAGAATACTACAACGAGCTCTCGTTCGGGCCTGGATTCCGCGCCACCTCGATCATTCACCCGAGCACCTATCTAAACAAGATTCTTGTCGGAAGCCAGCAGGGCGAGCTGCAGCTCTGGAACATTCGAACAATGTGGGTTATAGGACAAGTAGCAGCGAGCCATCGTGCCTGCTACGAGGTTGGCCGCCACCTCAATCGACTCGGCAATATCTGCAACTCGCCTTGGTCATGGGTTCGATATGAGATTGCTGACCATGTGGTGCCCTCACTAGGAAACTGATTTACGAGTTCCCGACGTTCGAATCGAGCATCACCTACCTTGCACAGTCTCCGGTTGTCGACGTCGTTGCAATTGGCCTCCTGGATGGCACAACGGTGATCCACAACATCCGATACGACGAGGAAATCATGCGGTTCAAGCAGGACGGCAAAGTCACTGCAATTTCTTTCCGCACAGGTCAGGGTCTTTGAATGATGGCAATGGGGGATTTTACAAGTCTGGTCAGAGCGTCAATGAGTCCGCCTATCTGTCTGGACGTGTAAGAGGCATGCAGTGCCGGTACCACTCTGTCATGGAGAACAAGATTCGTCCATGATGTCAGCGGACACGTATTGAACTCACTCAAACATCCATGTATCCACAACTCCCCAACTCCACAACTCCGCAACTCCGCACACTCAGACGATAAGCACATCATGGCAACCGCAAACATGAGCGGCGACATTGCGCTCTGGGACCTGGACCAACGCAAGCTAGCGCACACTATGAAAGGCGCCCACGACGGTAACGTCACCACGATTCAGTATCTCAACGGGCAGCCCGTGCTCGTCACGGCCGGAACGGACAACTCGATCAAGCAGTGGATCTTTGATAATCTCGATGGACAGCCGCGAGTTCTTCGATCGCGCAGCGGACACCACCAGCCCCCAACCCTCGTTCGCCACTACGGTCCTGACGGACACATTCTCCTCACTGCCGGACGGGACCGGTCTCTGCGCATGTACTCGATCATCCGCGATGCTCAAAACTGCGAGCTTTCGCAAGGTATGCACTCCGTGTTGCCGTGAGCTGGGCGCTGCCATGGATTATCTGGCCGCATCGACACTGCCGGCCGTCTTGTGCGAAGCCCCTGCGTTGCAAAACAAGCGGCGTCGATTCTTTACTCAGCCGACATGTCTTTGCTTACCACATTGCATTTGCGCTCTCCTTGGGGTGGGCATCAACAGGATCGCTCGAGAAAAAGTCCAAGCTCGTTGCTATGAAGATTGACGAGCTGAAGCTTCCGCAGATCATCCAGATTGCTGCATGTATGCCAACCACTGCTCTGTTCTGTAATTTCCGCCAATACCATTGTAAACCTGACGATCAAGGCACTTGCTAACTGCCTCCACACTACCTGATATTTCGGTTGAACGCCAGCCGAGGCCAAGGAAAAAGAATGGGACAATATCATAACCGCACACTCGGGCGAGTATCAGGCCCGGACGTGGGAGTTTCAGCGCAAGGCAATCGGAAAGCATCTGCTCGCCACCACTGATGGATCGTTTGTCAAGGTAGAACCAGCGCCAGGCCGGGAGTGGATGGTGGAGGGCCACGGCCCGCCACGGACACCGAGCCGTCATGCTGGGTGGGGGACAAGGCAGGGTCTGTTCGGTTGCTGCTCGTCCTCAAAAGCTACCGACACTGAACAACCGTTTTGCCATCAGTCTGTCGCGATCAGCAGTTGCGGTAACTTTGGATACGTCGGCTCAACCAAGGGCTTGGTCGATATGTACAACCTGCAGTCGGGTCTGCACCGAAGGACCTTTGGAGGCTCCCAAGGTGGGATTTGCAGCCGGCTCGTCTCAGGGGTCGCATCGCTGTGATTCGGAGCCATTGGCGATAGCAGCGCTCCAAGCAAGGAGTGACCCTGCACCGATCGATGCTTCGTCCGATGAATCTGCACCTCCCGTGTGCTGACCCGCGTGTTCAACTTCTTGGCCATAGGACACACAAGAGCTGTCGTTGGGATCTTGACAGATAATGTCAATCAAGTCCTGATTACTGGCTCGCTTGACGGAACAGTCAAGGTAAGGTGTCGACCACGAGGTCTGGCATGGAGTATTGGGCATGAGGCAAGGAGGATGGCGAGCGGTCCAAGTAGGGTCAGGTTGCTCGGGCTGGAATTGAGGCTCACGTATTGACCAGATACACTCCAACAAACACCACCGATCCAGATCTGGAGCGTTCCTAAGGGCCACTTGATCGGCACGGTGCAGCTGGAGACACCGGTTTCACTCTTGACGATCCACAAGGAAAGCGGCCTGGTTGCTGTGTCGTGCGACGATCTGTGCATCCGAGTCATGGACATTGAAACGCGCAAGATTGTCCGTGAGTTCTGGGGACACCGCAATCGAGTAACCGACCTGGTAAGGACGAGTACGCTACTTTGGCGGCTCTCAGCACGGGAAGACGCCGAGTCCTGTCGGCAAGACTTGTGTGGTCGTCTGCGTTTGCTAGACGTCGGATTGGTAGGGTTCTTACCATGCGACCGCCATACCAGACCTTCAGCCCCGACGCACGATGGCTGGTGTCGACCTCCCTCGACGGCACCATTCGAACATGGGATCTGCCGACGGGATATTTGATCGACTGCTTCAAGGTTGCCAACGTCGCCACGAGCGTGTCGTTTTCGCCCAAGGGCGACTTTCTGTCGACCACCCATGTCGACCACGTTGGCGTGTTTTTGTGGTCGAATCGCATGATGTTTTCAAACATCTCGCTGCGCAACCTCAACGAGGAGGACGTGGACCAAGTGCTGGTGGCCCTGCCGACCGCGGCCAAGCTGGACGACACCATCCACGACGACGAAGATGCGGGCGAGCCTGGTACGTTGTGGATGTGCTATGTGCTATGTGCTATGTGCTATGTGCAAGGTTCGACAGATTCGACGCCCACTACCGCGCAGTCTTGTCACTCACCTCCGTCCTTCACTCCTATTGACTCCCAGCCAAGAACGATGAGCAAGATGAGGGCCAGACCGACGACGAGCTCCTTTCGCTCGAGGCCATTACCGACAAAATGATTATGCTCTCGACACTTCCAAAGTCTCGGTGGCAGAACCTCCTCAATCTGGAAGCCATCAAGAAGCGCAACAAGCCCGCCGAGGCGCCAAAGCAGCCCGAGAAAGCGCCGTTCTTCCTGCCGACGCTGCCTGGCGTGACAACAAAGTTTGACTTTGAAAGCGCCACCAAGGATCGTGCCGACGACACGGAGACTCGGAGCCATGTGCTCAAGCTGAAGGACATCAATCCCACCTCGCACTTTGCAGAAGCACTCAAGGCCGGCCACCTGTCGAATGATTGTAAGCGATGGGGTTGCACGGAAGGATGCACTGCAGTCGCACATGTGATGCTTGGTAGCTTGAAAGAGAGGGTATATGGTGAAGAGACCATCGACCATCAACCATACTGATTGCTTGCCGCAACGCCGCGCCACAATCGTCGCCAGACTCTCAATTCATCGATTTCGTCAAAACGCTGTCGCCGTCGAGCATCGACTTTGAGCTCCGCACGCTGAGTCCCGAGGACGACCACGCCCAGTTTGTATATCTCCTGCGGGCCTTGCGGCAACATCTCGAGAAGCGCCGGGACTTTGAGCTGATCGAGGCGTACCTGGGCGCCTTCTTGAAGGTATGTGCGGGCCGATGCGACATGCGTAGTGGTGCTGTGAGTCGCTGTAGGGCGTCTATGGGAGCTGCTTGCTTGCTTGCCTGGTGGACTCGCGGCGGCTGCATCAAGGCTGCTTCTCATCGGCGGTGCTGACAAGTGTATGTCTGTTTTTCAGATCCACGGCGACGTCATGGTGTCCCAGAGCGACAACGAAAGCCTGCAGTTGGAGCTGCAGCTTGTGAAAGAGGAGCACCAGCGAACCTGGGGCGTGCTGGAGTCGCAGCTGCACTATGCTCTCTGTCTTGTCCAGTTTGCAAAGGGCAGTTGATTCGGCGCACGGGAAGGCAGGCGGGGCCGCAAATGCAAGACAGCGTGCGCTTGGCCTTGGCGCCATCCATGTGTCTGCGAGCCCAGGTCATGAATACAAGCATCCGCGATCTGCCGAACATGTCCGTGCCTCGCGCGCCAGGCTCTGTGTTGTCTGGCCGCGCCAGCCCGACGCCCAGCGAGTACCGGCCGAGCGCCGTGCGCATACAGCCCGACGGCCGCGAACATATCGGCGAGCCACACTCCCCCACCCGCGGTGCCGGGCTCGCACAAGGCCGGATGCTGGCACCCTGGCACAGTCGGGGTCTGATGGATGCGAGCGGGACCGGATGCCATGCAGAGGACGTCGCTGCCTCCCGCCGCTCATGCCCGGTGTACACCTGCGCCGTCTCTCCGCAGCCCTGTTCTCGCATCGCTGGCAAACCAGTGGGCTCCGCGAGCGAGTGCGGGTCTGTCGGGTGTGCTGGGGCCGACGGCTGGTGGAAGCCGCAAAGGAACGCGCGGCCCAAAAAGGCAGGCCTCGCCGACCAGAAAGGAAAGCTGCGATTTCCCGAATAGGCAACGCCTGGTTTGTTTGTCGCGTTGCTGTCGCCCCGCCGGCATTGTTCGCCGCCCAAGGTTGCGATGGCCGAGGTGCTGGTGGGCTGCGGTGGCCTGGTGGCCTGGTACAGCAGCAGCAGCAGCCGGACGGTGGGCCGATACGGCAGGGCAGATGCTTCCTCCGAGCAGATGCATCGACAGCGACCCCATCGGCACCAGGCAAGTGCGTTGGCGCTGTGCGTGTTTGTTGGCCAAAAGCCGGAGGACGATGGCCGCCACACACACACGCGCGTCCTCGCTGTGCTCTCGCCAGGCCCTCGCCAGGCCCTCGGCGCGCTCTCGCTGTGCCCGTGCGCTTCTCGCCGCGCCGCTAAATGAATTTAATATCCCTTGGCGTCCTCGGCCTCTTCTTTCCTCTCCCCCTTTCGATCCTCCCATTTTCCCTTTGTTGCCTCTCTCCCCCCATCCTCCCATCTGCCCGTCTCGTCTGCCTCGCCATGCAAGCCATCAAATGCGTTGTCGTCGGTGATGGGTGCGTACCGCCTGCCGTCCGCTTGCGTCGCCAGGAGCGCTGGCCTGTCGCTTGGAGGGGGGCGGGCCTCTGTCTGCAAAGGGCGGGGGTCTTCGGCCCTGTTCCTCGGGCGAGTCGGGCCGCGGCTTCGTTTGCTTCGCCGAGGCCTCCCGCTGCTCAACGACCAGCGCCGAGACGTTCCTGTCTGCAACCATCCGCAACTGCAGCGCAGGCAATGGGCTGCTCCGTCGGCGCCTGTCTGTCTCCGACCCGATGCTCTTGAGTGTCCTGTTTGTCCCCAGCGCCCGGCACTCCACCGACTCGGCCTGTTTGCATGCTTGGCCACCGAGCCGTACCGGCGCTGTGGCCCTGGCTCGCTCGGCCTGCTCCGTCTCGCTGTACCCCCACGCTGCCGCTCGTCCATCAGGCCTGGCGACGAATCTCAAGCTGCCGCCGGAGCACGCCTCGGGCTTTGCCCGAGTGGCCGAGCTGCCAGACTCGCCAGCCCGGCCAAGCTGTGGCTTTTCTCTTGGCAGCTGCGTCAACCCGGAGCCCGCGCCGCCACAGCTCATATCGCCCGCAGCCCGTGGTTGTGGAGTTGCCTCGAGCGAGTGCCTGCTGGAACATGCATGCACCTGGGCGTTCAGCAGACGTCACGGAACCCCTGTCTCCCCCCCCCTGGCTTTTGAGGACACCTGCAACTCGAGAGGACAAGGCCCGGTTGGGTGGGGGTGTCTCGCTCGACCGCATTCCATCAACTCGGAACTAACCCGCCGGTGTTTGTTTCTGCCCTGCGTCCGATTCCTGTCGACTTGCAACTCACCACTCGACTCATCCTGCGGCACCATCGCCTCGCTTTATCGCGCATCCTTGTGGCCCTCAGTGCCGTCGGAAAGACCTGCCGTAAGTCGCGCTATCACCTCCGGCTACGGACCGCTGCCTCTCACGGGCGAGCTGCTTGCCACTCCTGAGCCTGTGCTGACGAACCTTGCTCCTCCTCGTTTCGGCTCGGCTCGGTGTTTGTGCGCTGCGTTGCAACCGATACTGGCTCAACTCGACCCGGTGCTGCGCCTCAAACGCCGCCATCCTGCGCCTCCAATCGCGATCCAACACAACCACCGCCGCAACAGTCCTCATCTCTTACACCACCAATGCCTTCCCCGGCGAATACATCCCCACTGTGTAATGCATCGTGCCTCTCACGCATCTGTGGCAAGCCTGTCGAGCCCTGGATGTCGGCCGAGAACATGCTCGTTACCCCTTGCCATACGCTAACCCGAGCCATCCCGATTTGCTCCCGGTGCTCCGCTCTTCTGTACGTATGTATAGCTTCGACAACTACTCTGCCAACGTCATGGTTGACGGCAGACCCATCAACCTGGGTCTCTGGGATACCGCCGGTCAGGAGGATTACGATCGCCTCCGCCCTCTGTCCTACCCCCAGACCGATGTTTTCCTGATCTGCTTCTCGCTGGTCAGCCCGCCGTCCTTTGAGAACGTTCGAACAAAGGTAACGGTCGAATCTCGAGCCTCTCGGCCGGCAGGAGGAGCCGCACACGTTGCGCGACAGCCATTCGGGCGCATAGGGCCTATGCCAACCACGACCCTCGAGTTCTCCGGTGCTAACACGATGCTTCCCTGTGGCCTCCTATGCGGCAATGCGCGGCTTACCCCAGTGGTACCCTGAGATCAGCCATCACGCCCCCAACACCCCCATCATCTTGGTGGGCACCAAGCTCGATCTGCGCGAGGACCGCGACACCATCGAGAAGCTCCGCGACAAGCGAATGGCCCCCATCTCGTACCCGCAGGGCCTGCAGGTCGCCAAGGAGGTCAACGCCGTCAAGTACCTCGAGTGCTCTGCGCTGACTCAGAAGGGTCTCAAGAACGTCTTTGACGAGGCCATCCGCGCTGCGCTCTTCCCCCCTCAAGTTGCTAGCTCCTCAAAACGGGGAAAGGCCTGCCAGCTCCTCTAAGCGCCCGCCTTCTATCCTCACATCATCCGACCGTTGCCTCCATGTTCGTCCTTTGTAGTTTTTTCCCCTCTCCGATCTCCTTGTTGCTTTGCTCCTCTTAACCGGTAATGAGATTGTACTTCTGTCATATGTTATCTCTCTGGCCTTTTTTGTACTTCACTAGATCGCTCGGCGATTGCCCCCATCTATTGTCCCTTCCCTCCTCTCCTCCTCCTCCTCCTCCTCCTCCTCCCCTTTCGGTGTCCGTTCCTGCCTTTTGACAGCTAGCATATACATCACGACCACTAGACTCTCGGACTCTTTTCGAAAGAACGGAACTGGATGAAAGAAAGGCATTCGAAACAAAAGAAAAAAAAAATCCTCCAAACTTTTCCCTTTCACAGGCACAGTCTTGTTTGCCCTCCCTTCTTCCCCCTCATATCTTCATGTCTGGAGAGCTGCTGAGCAACAAAGAAGAATACGGAACTGATGTTCGCAACAGCACCGCTGGGTGGATGTGGGTGGACTGCCGACCGTGCGACAATGGGCGAATAGCGGCCACCACCCAGATAATCCGACGGCCTGCCACTTGTGCAGACACTTGGATGCTGCCCCTGGCTTTGGTCTCGGAGGACATGAGCATTCAGGCACATCTCCAAGCATCACATCTTCGAGTGCACCTCTGTGTCATTACATATGCCATTGCCAACATCCGATGGCACTGCCGGCTGGGCTGATTCGCAAGGCAACTCGGCGACAACTCTCCGAGCCTCTCGATCCTCTCGATCCTCTGTCCGCAAGCTGCACATCCCCCTACACATCCCCGCATATTCCCTTCATCGTTCCCACGCACCGGACTTTTATTAATTACTGGCCAGCATCCACACCCAGCCAGAGCAGCTATTCCACCTCCCGCCATCCCGGTCCACTAACCCTGACCATGTCGTCTCTGGGCACAACCTCACTGCCGCCTTTGCGGTCCAACCTGACCACTCCTCGGGATCGATCCGACCCAACCCGAGCATCCAACATTACACTCGCCGGGACATTCTATGGCTCCAAGCCTGGAACCGCGGGCGGCCTCGCAAACAGCGCCAGCGCAAGGGGCACCACCGCCGAAACTCTTGCGGCCCTGCGTTCTGGCTCGAGCGAGCCTTCCGAGCGGCCCGTGACCCCTCCAGCCCAAACGTTCGATGAGTTCCTCGCCCAGCTTTCGGCCGAGCGAGCGCTCGCCGAGTACCGTGGAGGATCCAGCGGCGAGTCCAAGGAGGAGCGCCAGTGGCCCGATGAGTTCATCGACGACTCGGAAGACACCCGCGAGAAGATCATGCGCCAGGACGAGCTGGGGCTTCGCTCAGACGGCTCCGGGTGGGGACTCCCTCGAAAAGAATGGCCCCGAGTCGAGCTGGCAGGAGAGGCCAATGACGGGCCAAAATCCATTGATGCCAAGGCACTGAAGCACTGGGAAAGCCAAGGTAGGATGGTCGAGTCGGAAAATTGTGGGAACTGTTGTTGTCCCATCCGTTCCCTCTGCCTCTCTGTCCACAACGTGCGGGTTTGCATGCCAGCGAGCCAACGCCGCCTGCTCTGCCATGACGCACATGGACAGGACGGAGTATCGAAAGGAAAAGTATTGTCAATGCCCTCACTTCGGGACCACCGCCCCCGGAACGTGCTTTGGACAGCATTCATCTCAAACTCAAGCGAGCGATTCCATGTGAGTGATTTCCTGCTCCAAAGTGGCTGTCGACGAGTGGCCGACATTGCAAGGCAGAGTGTTGGCAAGGGCATCAATTTGACCCCACATCACACTCTCGGCCAAAAGCGCTGAAGCACCTGGACGAACTGAACGACCACATCGCCATCCTGACCGAAAAGCTCCAACTCAACTACCCCGAGGATAGCATCCAGCTGATCTCTGATGGGACAGAGTCCCCCACGAGCCAGACATCACCAGTCCAGGCCGAACCACCCCAGAGAGAAGCAGCCTCGGCGGAAGAGGGCTTCCCGAAGGTGCTTGAAATCTGTGGCATATCCAAGGAACGGCTGGAACATGGTATGCGCACTCGCCTGGCGGGTGGCTTGGCTTGATAAAATCGGGTTGCCTGTGAAGTCGCCGATAGTACTGTGTGGTGCTGCTGTCATTGTCTCGCCAATAGGTTTCGTGTCGGTATATAGATATCGCTCCATTGTATTCTTGAAGCTAATTTCTCTCCTTGCACCTCAGCATCGAGTACTTTTATCACGCAACTTGCAGATTCCTACGAAGTCCCACAGATTCTGGACAAACCGCCGGATCTCAAGGCTGAGCAGGAAGCCAAATTGAAGGCCAGTGGTGGCTACCAGCTGATTGAAGTACGGGATAGTATGGCCTGCGGAGAGTCGTCCGGGGTGACTCTCAGGGCACCCCACGGTGGACATGTCGCATTTCCCATGGTTGAGGGTGGATTCTCTCGAGGGACGTTGCTCCAATGTCCTGCTCGTTCAAACCGCGATTGACTCTAGTGCACATCTATCCACTGTTAATACATCGCACCACGCCGGACGATGACACCGAACAACATCAAACGACACCGAACAACTCCGCTCGAATCTTCGTTCCCGGCTGTAAACACACACGGCCCTCAGTTCAATCACTTTCCGGGCTATACCCCAGACCGCATGAGCCCGCTTCCGAACGAAATACTTGCCAAGCCCATTATCGTAGCGGTGCTATCTGAAAAGACCAGGACGGTAACGTGCACTGAGGCTCGATCGTGCGCATCGCACCGGCGACGAGTGTCATGGACCATCGCCCTCAAAGGCTGAAGTGTCGCACGAGCAAGTGCTCTGTGCGTATGCTTTCCTTCCGTCTGAACAACAACACCTCACCAACCGCCACCTGAATCCACGAATCCATACATCCAGGACAAGCAATTTCGAAAGTGGCGCCGCCGGATTGTGTCCAAGAAATGCATGGAGATCGTGTATGATACCTTTTGGGTGGTGTTTCTCAGGATCTGGAAGGCTGAAGCCGAGAACGAGAGCGCCAACAAGATGTTCCTGCGGATCTCGCAAAACTATGTCGCGATCTTCTCGGAGCTCAAAGGTGTCGACAACGATGAGTTTCTTGAGGTGAGCAGGAGAACGAGTGCCGCCATGGATGTTTGATGCATCAGTACAGTATGGAACCTTGGTGTGCCGTTCGAATCTGTGCAAAGAGGCTCCAAGGCGGCGGCGCAGATGCCCACAGAGTGGTTAGAGGCACAATAGACCAGGAACAGCGGCCATCGTGTCCCATGCGATATAGAGCTAGCACATGCAGCGGTGCAGACCCGGCGTCTCCGATATGCACCGGACATGATCCAAACTCATCGATGGTGGGCGATTCCAGATATTCCCCGATCTTCTCGCTCAGACAGTGTACCGGTGCTTCTGTGAATGCTTCCCGCGATCGACGCACCAGTTCAATCGCGATTTTCAAATCAAGATCTGTGATTTGATCACAGAGTGGATTTCAGGTCTGTCCGTCGTTGGCTTGTATGGCCCGGTTGGAAGAGGCCCGTACTGACCATTCGATCCCGTGCTACAGGCATCAAGCCCTATATTCCGTCTTGCGTCAGCTGGAAGCCTTACATCATCACTTCCCAGAAGATCCAGGGGCGAATGGCTGCCGATTCGGACGCTGCCAAGTCTCACGAAAGCGGTGCGGCTTCGTTTGCAATGCTCGTGCCTCACGCCTGCCTCAGATGGCATACCTGCTGCATTCGATAAGCTTCCCTTCAACCCACAGCACGCTGAGACATGATTTCTGATTCTGTTCCCAACAGCTCTCGATATCAGCGACACTTCTGGATACGGCATCGATCGCTTGGGCGACGGAATCAGGAGAGAAAAGATGGTCGGTAAGCCGGCCAAGGGACAGCGCATACGGCTGCGTGGTTGGGCTGGGCTGCTCTGATGTCGACACTCCGAGCAGCGCCGGGCTCGATGAAAGTGTACGGAACAGTGATCCGACTTGCTCTCGGGGCACGGAACGCCACTGTCGTTCGCTGTCTCTCCGCTTCTGGCCACAGGCACCCCCATCATGCATCGCCGGGCCGGGTCCCCAGATACGGCGGCTCTGGTTTGACACCCATGGCAACAGTCCGATCATCGCCAAGTATCTCGAGGTATATGGATTCGGCAGCGTCGAAAAGAAGCGGATCCATGTCCATCGATCCGAGGTCGTGCGCAACTCGGTTTCATATCCTTTTGCCGACGCATGGCCTGACGCCGCTCTGTTGGGTACCGCTTGGGTGTATGATGCGCTCCCGGCGTCGGCCGATATGCAATATCGTCTGCAGGCCTGCTGGGTATTCTCGCGGTGCCGCTTTCGGCGGGGCATCCTGACAAACGATCCTTAACTCGCACGCGCGATTTGGGTTGGCTGTTTCTTGTGGTGCTGCTACAGAGGACGCACCGACCTACCGACAGATCATCATGGAGTCGGCTCGCAACTCGAAGCGTATCTACCGCCAGTACTTGCATAGCCAGGAGGAGGCCCAGAAGGAACGGAACCGCATGCTGCAGGAGCTGAACCAGCAGCTGAGCAAGGACCAGCGAACCGCGTGGAGGCTTCTGAATCGGCCCCAGCTGGTGAGTACCGCGGAGCGAATCTGGGAGACTGCATGGTCGGCGATGCGCCGCGCCGACTGTTGCAAATCCAGTGAGTTGCTGGGTTTGATATCCAGATCTACCGAACAATACTGGGCGAGGCAAGCCGGTCAATCTAATGTGTGCTCACTCGCTCACTCCCGCTTGCGGGACGCAGGTCAAGGAAACCGCGGACGAGCTCGTCGAGAAGATGCACCAGTCGATTGCATCGCAGGCGAAGCAAAAGAAGGGCGTATCGGCTGTGTCCGTGGGCGGAGAATAGACGGCAGGGCGTCCGCGGCCTTGATTGTTCATGGCTATCTCATGGCGCTTCATTTCGCGAATGCAAATGAATGAGGCTGCAGCAAATGAATGAGCTGGCTGCGCATTGTGGCGATCCACACTCGATCCGCCCTCGCCCGCCCTCGATCCGCCCTCGAGCCAGCCCAGATCGCGAAACAGCGAGGGCGAGAGCGAGGGCGAGAGCGAGACGCTGACCGAGACAGCGAAGGCACCGCGAGACGCCGACGAGAGCACACCGAGAGCACACCGGGAGCGCACCGAGAGCACGCCGAGGAGCGGCCAGGCGCAGACACGCCGTTTTTCGTTTGTCTTTTTTTCTCGGAGTCGGCAGCCTTCCCCCCGAGACGCACATCGAGGTCGTTTCGGTCTGTCTCTTTCTCCGTCCGTTTGGCTTTCTTCGTCGCAAGTCAGCAGAGATCCTCCCTCCCGTCGCCAACGCACACGACCTTTGCCTGACCGCCATGCTCGCCCGCCAAGCCATCCGTGTTGTACGTATTCCCTCTCGATCGGAGGCGAGCGATGGCCTGCGCGACTTGTGGTGTCCTCTGGTCCTCTTTCCAGGCCCGGCCATCATCTGCAGCGACCTCGGTCCGCTCGGATGCCACCAGCATGCGCGTTGTCCGGAGCTGTGTCTTCCCTGAGCAAGCACGTCGGCCGGCGGCCAAGCACTGTGGTGTGCAGCGTCGTCGTATCTATGCACCGTCGTCCATTGCGTGTGGCTTGTGCATCGGCTGTGATTCCTGGAGCAAGCCGGTTCCTCTGCTGGCATGGATGGGACCCTGCTTTGCACCACAGACGGATCTGCTGAGGAAGAGCGCCCTGGGTTCTCGGCAAGACAGCCAACTGTCTCTGCGAATCGTTCATGGTCGCTGACGGCTGTACCAGAACACCCTTCCGATCTCATTCTTGACCGGTGCTCGACTCTTTGGGCGGAACATGGGCACTTGTGCTGACGCCTCCCTCTCTTTCGATGTCTTCCGTCCATCCATGCGTCCAGGCCTCTCGCTCGTACGCGACCGCCTCTGCTTCCGTTCAGGTACAAACCGCACTTGCTTCCTGCTGTGGTCTGCCATGTCGTGTTTGCTTGCGGCCCACGCCATCCGATCCCCGCTTTCAACAATCACTCGACACGACGACAACAACATCTGCTCGTCGGTCAGACAATGTTCATGCCGATCGATTGCGACGTGCATGTATCAGCGGCAGACGGGACCATGGAATTGGCTGCAACCGTGGCGCTTTGTTCAACACGGATCGGATCATCGAGATACACAGTTTTTGATCCGAAAAGCTTGGTGGCAGCCCAACCGACCACGCCTTCGGTCAACGGATGCGATATGGAGGCTGTGGTCCATCCCTGTGCATGTCCATGCAGACTCTATCGGCAGCAATCGACTGGGAAGTGGGCTCTGTCTTGGAGCGTTGCCGACCGCTGTTTGCTGCCAACCCCGGAAAACAATACCACATTTCCACTTCGCCACGGTACTCCCGCCTGGCATCATACACACTTTTGGGAGCCTTCAAATCACAACGCCGACTTGCGGCCAGCAAAGCTGAAACGATGCCGACACGATGGTGCCTCCCAGGATGATTACATGTTCGCCAAGCCTCGTTTGCTAAGAAGCCCTCTGTGTCATTCTTGTTCCCTCCCCCGTTTCGATCGTGTCGCAGGTCCCCGTTGCTCTCTACGGCATTGAGGGTCGCTACGCCACTGCTCTCTACACCGCTGCCGCCAAGAAGAAGAACCTGGACACTGTTGAGGCCGATCTCAACCGTCTCCGCGCTATCTTGGACAAGGATGCCAAGCTGAAGAGCTTCCTCGAGACCCCCATTGCCAACAACACCACCAAGCGCGAGGGTATCAAGCAGCTCGTTTCCCAGTCCAAGTTCTCCGAGACCGTTGCCAACCTCCTGGACCTGCTTGCCGAGAACGGCCGCCTCGACCACACCTCCAAGATCATTGATGGCTACGAGCAGCTCATGACTGCCCACCGCGGCCAGGTCACCATCACCATCACCTCTGCCAAGGTAAGTTCCGGTGGCGGTAAAGCGCAGGACGAACAGGCTGGTGCTGGGCCAAGTAGATCGCACTGTGCTTGCAGTGGCTAATGCATTTGATGCATCATTTTATGTACATGTGCATATGATTGCCCCGCTCGCTGATTTGCAGGAGCTGGATGCCAGGGTCACCAACACCATCAAGGGCCACCTCCAGAAGAGCTCGATCTTGAAGGCCGGCCAGAACGCCAACATCGTCAACAAGGTCAACCCCCAGATCCTCGGCGGTCTCATCATCGAGTTTGGCGACAACACCATCGATCTGTCCATCTCCTCCAAGATCACCAAGCTCAACCGCCTCTTGACCGAGACCATCTAAGCTTTGCCGGCTCTCCCTTCCGTCTTATCCCATCCATCTAATGCGTGCGTGCATGGGAAGCTCTGCAGCGGTTTGCTACTACTCCCTTGAGCGATCTCTCACCTCCTACATGTGAGCAATAAACACATTACCCGAATTCGAATCAACGCGAAGCGCACGGGCTTACGGAATCCGCTTCAGTCGTGCCATAGCGGCGGTGCATGGTGTTACGCGGTGCTGCTGTCCTAGCAGCGCTGCTTCGTCGCTGCGGCTATTTTCTCCCTCCTCTCTCCCCCCCCCTGCGTTTCGCAAAACTCTCGCAGCTGAGACAAAGGCAGCATTCTGGAGAGAACCTTGATGCTTTTTATCCTTAGGTTTTATTCTGGCAGCAAAAATGATGCGTTTCGTGGATGCTCTCTTCCCTTGAAGAAAAGAGGAGGGAATGGAGGAAAGGAGAAAATCAGAAAAGTAATAAAGCGAAAGCACAAAGGGCGTCTGCCTCCAAGAGGTGTGAGAGGCAGGACGCAGGAGGTGAAGGCACAGGTAAACTCGGCGTGGCCCAAGATCCTGTTGGTTCAGGAGAATGGTGTTGGTGTCCGCAGGTCGATAGACGTGATGTGTTCAGGCGGCGGGAGTCGCGCTACTGCCAAATCCTCAGAGGAGGCGTTGGGTCGTGGAGAAGATCGCAACTAATAGTGGTCACGCGAGAAGTTTGGGTCTGAGGAAGCGGGGTGGTGGGTCAGTTAGCATTCGGGCGGCTCGAGGCGGACAATGGTGAGGAGCCCACTGCAACCGAGACTGCGATTCCCCTTGGTCTACTATTGACCGGTCCGCTATCCGTTATGCTGGCGCTGGGTGTCCATGAAGAAGCGGGCCGCAACGCAAGCTCATTTTGCCCACCACCGAGGACACAGACCTTGAATAAAAGGCACAAGAACCTGTTGATCCAAGCATTTGGTGTTGGAGAGGGGGGAGGGAGGAGACGGAATGCAGGCACAGTGCCAGACGTTCATGCGAGAGCATCGCCGTCAGCACAGCAGCGACTTGCTCCGGGAGACAGCATGGCCCAGCCAGGGCCGGAGCACTGGTCTGGATAGCGCAAGTACCAGCGCTCCGCTTGTGGGCAGAGGTTGGGCGTGACATTACGTGCGGTGGCTGCGGCACCACTGTTCAGCCAGGAATGTGTGCGAGCAATACATTACCTTGGATCCAGTCTGAAGCAGAGGATGGCCTGAAAACAGCGGCAACCAAGACTGGTCAACACCGATTGCCAGCCGTTGCAATGGTGCAACTACTGCGTACGAATGCTCGTCCGCGACAGGAGTTGTCTATCAGTCAAGCTCAAATCCAAGCAGGCTATGGTGCTATCTTACCAGCAACACTAAGTAGAGGCGAAATTGGAATGATAGTGCCAAAAAATGAACGGGCAGGTCGGTTGTCAGCGCGAACGATCACCGGCATCACGAGCACACGATGGCTGCGCCAAGAATCCGGGTCGGGGAGACTCGCCTGATTCCAAAGGCACACTACTCACATTTGCAGGAATCGTTCGAGACTGGACCGACGGAGCTCGATGAGTTCGTCGCTGAATCGGTTTGAGAACACCTTGCCCGGCAGGCTTGGGATGTTGACCCTGTGTGCAGGCCGACATGCGGAAGCGAGTCAGAGGTGACGAATGGTGCTGCTCCCGATGCAATTGGCACCGCGGCATCGACCGCAATCCATCGGGGTGCGGTGGCGCTGGTGCAGCTGGATGGGTGACGAGGCGAGGTGGGTCCTCCTCTTGGGCTGCCGCTTCTTGGCGGTCTCCCCCCCTCCAGCCCTCAACTCGAATCCGCCCTCGAGCTGCACCCTCCACAGTCTGTGTGCATCGTTGCTGAAACCGACCTGGTGCTTTCGCGTTCCAGAGCATCTCGGAACCACTCAAAGTCGCTGTATCTGCGACGCACGACCGAGCTCTTCAGCTTGAAAGCCGGGATGTTGGTCTGTGTCGAAAATCGAGGCCAGATCGATCAGTTGCCTGGCGGACTTTTCTGGGCTCCACAGCCGAGAACATGCACCAGGCACGTAGAAACCGAGGCGACACATGTGGGCTGCTGGTGCAGAAAGGCGCCGAAACAATCGTCTCGCCAAGTCGGCTCCTGGCACCTACGCTGCAAACGATCTCGTAATCGACGTATTTGTTGCGACCCGAGCCCTGGAACTGCGGGTTTCGAACTTCAATCTCAAGGTAGTTTTCCGGGATGCCGTAGCGCTCCTCGGCAGTCTATATCCACGATATTCAGTACGAGTGCATGAGGCGAATGCAGTCAGTGGCAGACAGGGAGCGAGCGAGCGAGGGAGAGCAGAGCGGTGTGCCTGGCCGCCATGGATAGCGGTTGAAGAGTGTATGGATGGCGGAAAGGGTAAAGGCACAACAGCGACGAGCCAAGAGAGCTCCTCTGCGCTGCCGCTGTTGAACATCGGCGCCGACATCGCTCGTTCTGACCTGCTCCCGGAAATCGTTGTTGGAGAAGGAGGCTGGACGGTAGGGACAGAGGCGAGCGATGGTCAGCGGTGGCAACAACATAATCATGGCGCCGAGAAGGAATCATGTCAGCGCTTTCGCAGGACCCGAGTTGATCGGTTGATGTGGGATATGCTGGCGAGGCTCCAGGGGTGCACAAATAAGGGACCCTCGATACAGCTTGCGCCGCTGCGTCTGCGACTGACGGGCGCAACCGGCACAAGAATCGGCCACTCCAAGCAGCGCAAGGAGAGAGTATGTCTGCGACGGTCTGGGCTGCCGGTGGATATTCGGGTCTGCGGTGAAGCGCCGAGACAGCAGTGCATCCTGCTCCAGAGACAAGGGCCTTTCCTACCGTAGGGTCTGATCGGGCCCATATCTGTGACTCGGGAGTGCAGAGAGAGGGGAAGGGAGGCAGCGCTGCAGATCGGAAGATGACAACGACGATGGAGCGGGACGATGAAGCAAAAACAGCCACAAAGCGGGGGCTGGCGAGGCCAAGCGCAGCGGCTGCCGCGCCACTGGCGTGCCCATCCGCCCTGGCTCTGTGGGCACAGCGGCTGACGGAACACTCAGGCCCAGAGCAACCAGGGATGCCGCTTCACTTCATCGGGTGTATTGTTTGAGTACAGTGCGGGCACTCCTCGGCCGGGTCACTGGGTTGGGCAAATGGACCTTGGCTTGGACTGGAGCTCTTTGACGCTGTGGATAGCCCACAGCAGATCCTGGTCGGCCGCCTTGCGGTACCAGTCGAGAGCGATTCCGATGTCCTTGGAGACACCCTCGCCGGTCTCGTAGCAGCGGCCGAGGTACCACTGTGCGTACCGATTGCCCTGTTCGGCGGACTTGCGGAAGGTCTCGGCTGCCTTGACGAAATCATTGGCAATCGTGCGTCCCCAGTAGTAGCATCGACCAAGTTCCCACTGGCCATACGGATCGCCCTGGTTTGCAGCCAGGGTGTACCACTGTATCGCCGCAGCATGGTCGATGGATACTCCCAACCCCCAGTAGTAGCAGCGTCCCAGCCAGACTTGATTGATGCAGTTTCCGTTGCTGGCGAGCCGCTCAAAGATGCCCACGGCTTTCTTCTGGTCCCGCGAGGTTCCGAACCCAAAGAACACACACACGGCCATCAGATGCTTGCACAACCAATCTCGCTCTGATCCCAGCTGGCACAGCTCAAAGAACCGACAAGCCACAGAGGAATCGGAGAAGGTGTTATCGCTGAAGGCCAGACATTCGCTTTCTCCAAGCGGGAACAAGTCCGACCTGCTGTCGCGGATCGTCTTGACGCCCTTCAGTTGGTCCCGCACAGTGCCGCGGCCGAGATAGTGCATCCATCCGAGCATGTGGGTGGCGATGGGTTTGATGATCGGATCGTCGGATTGGGTGCTGACTTCCTGCCAATGGTTGAAGGCAACTTGATCGCTCTGCTCGACGCCATGGCCGATCAGCGCAAACCAGGCCATTCGGTGGCGCGTCTCCAGGTTGCTGGTATCGGTGCCGATATCAAGGAGCTGAGCGACTGGCTCCCGGCCAGGGTTGTCAGCAGGAGAGCGACCAGAGATGGCCTTGACAGCATCTGCCCGCTCACCGACCGGTCCATCCGATTCAGACTCGGGGAGAGGTGTTGCTGCATCGAGAATTGCAAGGATCTGAGGGAACGCAAGCTGATCCGATGGAATGCAGACGCAACAGCGCTTGACGAGAGCCCAGATGCCGTCAGGGACACCGTCGACTCGGCTGAGGCTTTGGCCATCACGGATAGCAGGCTCGGTAGCTTGAACATGCCGGGCTTGCGCGTCGCCAGTGGCCCAGACCGGCTTGCCGTCGTTCAGGACTTCGTACATCAAGATGCCAAATGCATGGATATCTGCGGCTCTCGATGACTCAGCTGGTCGCTCGTCGGCGAGGGTCTTTGGCGTTCGGTTGTCGAGACTGCCGTCGGTCTGACTCTTGGCTGCATGCGAGTCTATCGAGACGGATGTATGCTTGATACGAGACAGCCCAAAGTCACTGATGACAGCATTGACGCCACCGTCGAGGAGGACATTCGCAGCCTTGAGGTCGCCATGAGCGACATTGTGTTCATGGAGATACACCATCCCCGCAGCCACTTGGCGGAGCAAACGGAGCTTCTCCCCGAGGGAGACAGGGGTGGCTGGGTCCGACACATGGTCGCGGAGGGTGCCGTTTGGCATGAAGGGCGAGACCATGAAGGGAGGAATCGGATTGCCGTCGTCATCCCGGTCGCAGGCACCGAGCAGGGACAGGACGTTGGGATGGCTGAGCTTCTGCCAAAGATCGATATCGTGATGATATTCATTGAGCTGATGGGTGCTGCATGTGTCGAGGAGCTGCTTGATGGCGACCTTGGAGCCAAGGTATGTGCCGGTGAAGACCGAGTCAAGGCCACCACGACCGATGGGGTTGGCCGAGCGGTCGGTGATGTCGCTGGGCGCGATGTACCAGGACAGCCGCTCGGGAGAGGGGCGAACGAAGGGCTCGCTGGCCATGTTGCGAGGGATGGATGCTGGAAGAGATGAGTTGGAGGATGCAATAATGGAACAATGGCGCGATGGGATGACGGAACAATCGAGCGGTGGGATGACGGAACAATGGAGCGACGATTTGATGGAGTGATGGATGAGTGGGAATGTGGATGGCAAGCACTCGATCCATGGATCCAGCCATGTTCATGGTTTGGTGGCTGTGCCACTCCCGTTCCATTTTGCCCATCTCGTCCTCCATCTGATCGCTTGGATATCATCATTGCCGCTCCCATCACATCAGTCTCCTGCATCGCACATCATGGCCAGTGCCCATCCCACAACCGACATGGCTCGCCTTGCCATCGACGAACACAACCCTGACATCTTCACCATCATCTGCTGCAACGACAGCTTCCAGCTTGCCCTCGACCACAACACCATCAAAGCCCTCCTCCAAGTGTGCAAACGAGCCCAGCCTCTCCTCAGTTCCAAGCTGACTCGCTTCCACACCTGGTGCCAGAATGCAGGACTGTGTCGTTCCGATGGACAGCTGCGAATCGGCATCACACCGAGCGACCGGATCGCCCTCTCGATGCACTACAAGGATCAAGCTGCAACCGATCGATCCTGGCTCGTTGCCCTGGCCTACCGGGGCAACACTGTTGCCTCGTTTATCCTGGCTCGCATCCTCCAAGTCGATCTCGACAGATGTGAAATGAGACGATCCGTGCGCAAGACAACTCAGCAACAGGTCTTTTATCATCTGGAGAAGGCCGCCAACGCAAGCCATCTGCTGGCGCAGTGCTATCTGGCCGAGTGCTATCATCAAGGTGTTGGGGTCGACCGAGATGACGCCAAGGCTGTCGCTCTGTATCGCAGCCTTGCGGACCGTGGACTCGCCCAGGCTCAGATCGGTCTCGGTCGATGCTTCGAGAGCGGTGAAGGTGTCGATCAAGACTATGGCATTGCCATCGAATGGTACTCCAAGGCTGCAGACCAGGGCAGCGACGACGGCCGTCTCCACATCGAGTTTCTCCGAGGATGGTTCTCGCTCACTGGACACGGTGTCGAACAGAGCGATCAAATTGCCTTTAGCCATTGGCAGGAAGTCAGCACCCAATCCGACGATCCGATCATCAAACCCATCGCCACCCACATGCTCGGATGGATGCACTATCTCGGCCGCGGCACTGTGCGGGACCAACTGAAGGGCGTCAAGGCGATTCAAGACAGTCGATCGATTGGGTTTCCGTTCGGCGAAAACGAGTGCCTGGCTGCACGGCTGTGGACCGCTTGTGGTCCTCCAGCATCCCGCAAGTTCTTTGGATTGTGCCAGTCTGGATCGGACCGAGACTGGTTGTGCAGGCATCTGACGGCCGTGTGTCTGATCGAGGGCTTTGGCACCCGGCGAGACAAATCAAGAGGAGTCGAGATTGCCGAGCAGCTCGCACACGACGGCCATAGCGATAGCCAGTACTGGATCGGAAGATGCTACTACTTTGGCTGGGGAGTGGTGGAAGATCACAAGAAGGCACTCGAGTGGTTCAGCAAATCGGCCGACCAGGGCAACTCGTACGGACAGTTGGGAGTCGGCGAATACTGCTACTTTGGCGACGGGGCTGCCGAGGACCACGCCAAAGCATTCGAATGCTTCCGCCTGTCGGCCGAGCAAGGCAATCGGCACGGGCAGCTCGGGCTCGGAGCATGTTTCAAGAATGGCTATGGAGTCACCCGGGACATTGACACTGCCCTCTTCTGGTACCGCAAGTCTGCCGAGTCGGGTCTCCGAGAGGCCCTCGATTCCCTCGAGGAGCTTGGCCAGTAGTCCTGTCCGACGATCAACTCTCGATGGGCTTGCAGTATGACCAAGCGGACATGGCGAAACAGCCCATCAGGGTCCGACAACCTCGGGGTCGGTGGGTCTGCGGCGACGGCGGCCGTCCTTGCAACACCGGGGTCGCCTGTCCTCGGGCCTGCTGGTCCCTGGCACAAAATGATTGCAAGGCCGTCTGGTCCTTGCCTGTGCCCTCCCCATGGACAGTGCCTGCCCAACCGCCGTGGGCCTGTGCCTCGAGTGGTTGGCTGCCCCCACCCATCCACCACAACGACATCCACAGCACATCCACAGCACATCCACAGCACAACCACCACCGCAACCCTCTTGGTCTGGCCATAGAGTTTCACGCACAAACGCAGCTGGCTTGCAGATTCCAATGCATTCGCACACCTAGCCTGTTTCTCCAGGTGCATCCACAATATATCCCGTCCCGGCCTCGCGCCTTGATCCACGGCGGGTCTTGTCATGTCGCCCTCTTGTCCATTCGCCATCGCGAGATCGCCCTCCACCAGCCGGGCACAGAGCGCTGTTCTGGCAGTATTCCCTTGATGCCCCCTCCCACAGCCTTGCTGGCTCTCCTTGGCGCATCCCCACAGCAGGTTGTCCAGCGCCTTATCGCGGCCGCCCAGCAAGTATTTAGACCAACTCCCCGTCCACCCTCCCGCTCTGTTGGCCGTCGCATCTGCCCTGACTCTGGGCCCTGGCTGAGTACATCTCGCTGCTTCCCTCTCTCCATCAAGCGTCGTTGCTCTGCCTGGCTTTCTGTTCCCAAGACCGCTCCTCTGGCTTCTCGCCAGCCCGTCAGCCCGCCAACCCCATCGCCCTTGCTTCCGTTTCCATCTCACACACAACCTGTCGTCCCTCGACTGCTACCGCAGCGTCGCATAGATCTGTCTCCTATCCCGCTCCAGCAGCTCTTCCGCACCATTCACAGTCGCCAAGACCCCGCGGCCATCCCCGCCTCCAGCCAGCATGTCCTTCTTTAGCTGCTTATGCTTTCCGTCGTCCTCCAGGTCACATGGAGGCGACTCGCCTCCCCTGTTTCCCCTGCCGTCTCCCAAACCCCATTCCGAGACATCTGGCCATCGCGCAGGCAGCAATCTCATATCGACATCACTGCCTGCTATGACCCGATCGGCCTCAGCCCTGGCCTCGTCGCCACGGACATCATCCGACTCCAAATCGACTCTCCAGCCGCCCACCCCGACGAGCACCACCGGCGTCCCTCCACTGCCGAAAATGCCGCCCTTCTGGGAATCCATGCCGTGGATTCACCCCATGCTGGCCCTGGTATCGGTGGCCGTCCGAGAGCCGGATCGTCTGGCCATCTGGTCCTTCGGCTCGGGCGGTTTGATGGCTCGGCCTGTGCGCATCACCTACTTGGAGCTGTGGCGTGCTGCCTTCACTCTGGCCGAGAATCTCAAGGCCGTCCTTCCGGCCACCGAGCCCTCCAACGACCCGGACCAGCGCCTCGACTCTGCTGTCGCCGCCGGCACAATCAACTCCTCCAAGAACTCGAGCCATTCGGATTCGTCCGGACGCAGGTTCTTTCAGCAGACCGAGACCGTCGGGATCTTTGTCGACACAGGCCCGGACTGGATCATAGCCATCTACGCGATATGGATCCTGGGCAAGTGCGTATTGTGCGCTGGACTGGGCCTGCTTTCGGCACCTGATCTGGCACTGTGGATGCACTTGTGATATCGCAGTTGCATGCCAACGGGGGCAACTTGTACACTCGTCATGAAATGTCGTCTGGCTCGTGACCACCCCATTCACATCGCTCCTGACCACCCCATTCACATCGCTCCTGTACCGCATTTCTCTCCTGCTCAGGATTGCCTGTCCGCTCTACATCAACAGCCCGGTCGAAGTTCTCAATACTGCAGTGGCTCGGTGGGTGTCTTGTCCCTCTGCTCGATTTGCATGATCAAACCCTGGCCAGGTCTGATCCACTCGACAAATGTTTCGATGGCACCCGTTTGTGGATGCCGTGCTTGAACCTCGCCTGGCTGACTCGGGTCTCTCCCACCAGCCTCCAGATCAACTATATTCTGTATAACGAGAAGATGCCGGATATCGGGATGACAGTTCGCCTCAATATCAACGACTTCCGCAAACCCATCGAGGTCCCTCCGCCCGATATCACCTTCTGCTCTCCAGTCAGCTATTTTTTGATCTACTACCAGTCCGTCGACAGTACCGGTATGTTCTTGCCGGCTGCATGCATCGAGTGGTTGTTGGGATGCAAGTCGCAGAGTCACACACATACACAGAGAGACCCTCATGCTCAATTGCCTTCCCCGAACACCATCTTGGCGTTGTCCATCTCAAAGGCTCCACTCAGTTGTAAGTTCGGTCTCGGCTCTTGACTTTCCAGCAGTACTACCTCCGTCGCCCACGCTTAACCCGCTTGGCAATAGCTCTATTCTTCCCGGCAGCTCCGCTCGTGGCTTTCGCACAAGCAACTGGTTCGCCCCCCATGTCAAAACCTGTATTTCTATGGTTCGTCCAGTCTCGCCTCCAAAGGGCTAATCGATTGCTCGTAGCGGCGGCTGATTGTTTAGTAGACCGGCAAGACCGCTGACCTGACTACCGTACCCCCTTCGTCTGGACAGGGACCGACGTTTGCCCTCTCGGTGTTTCCCCTCCTTGCCCAAAGCAACGCCCGTTGCTCGCTGTGGGTCGCTCGCTTGGCAGAGAACATGTTTGAGAAGGCATTTACACTCTTCATGATGCTCGACAGCGGAGTCGAGCAAATCACGTTGGTACGTTTCGCAGTGTATTCCTGGCCTGGAAGTGTCGCCAAAGTGCGGCACCTAGGTCACGATGAGGGCGGGTCCCGTGTGGATGGCTGTCCAGTATCGCTCATCTTTGGACATCCGATGCTTGCAACTTTGTATGACTGCCAGACCCCCATCACAATGCGGTTCCTGCTCAGCATCAAGGGCCGGGCCGCAAGCTGGTCGCGCCTCAAGTATCTCATTATCGGCAGCGAGGTTGTCGATCTCCCGCTCTTGCGCGCTATCCGCGAGCTCATGCCTCAAGTGATAATCGTTTGCGCGTACAGCTCATCCGTGGTAAGTCTTGCCCGATAAACTGCTGCGATCGACTGGACAGCGGCCTCGTGTTTGCCAAGAGGACATTGCCATGGTTTGACCTCGGTTGGCGGCGCCATCATAACTCACTGGCGTGTCCTTATCTGACGACCACAGGCAGGTGTCGTCGGTGCCTCGGCCAGATGCCTACTTACTCCGAAGGATCCTATCCCGAACCGCCTGATCTACACCAACCTCAACCCGACTTGCCAGCCCAAGGTCATGGACATGTTCAGCATGGAGCTCATGGAGGGAAGCCGTCATAAGCGCGGCGCCCTGTGCTTCTTGATCCCCAAGGATCTGCCGATCGTGAATACTCCGTACTTTTTGTCGCCGCACAAGTACTCGCCGTTTGGTTTCCTGCCCGACGGACGGCCGCGTGCGCGTTGCCTTGACGAAGCCGAGATGGTCGATGGACTTTCGTTCGTCATCCACGGAAAGTAAGTGTGTGTGCAAGGATCGCCTTTGTGGAGGCAGGCGGGTGGAGCGAGCGGATGGATGGACGGATGGACGGATGGATGGACGGATGGATGGAGCGAGCAGATGATTCCAGGGAATCTTCCTGCCTAACTCGGCCGATGTTGACCTTCTTTCGTTTGTGCTTTGTTTGGCAGGCTGGATCGTCATATCCAGTGCGGCGACGCCTTTTTCGACCCGCATCCTGTCGAAACGAGTCTGCGCTCCGATCTGGCGGCGTACATCTCCGACTGCCGGTTCATTGTCTCGTCCAACCACCAGATCTTTATCTTTTACACGTCGCAGATCTCCAACCGCGACGCAACCGACACCTTCATCAACGGAGTCATGCACGACGCACTCGTGGAGATATTTGAGAGGGAGGGCATCCCATTGGAGCACATTCCGACTCCGATCCGGGTCTCGCACATGCCCTTCAGTCCGTCGCTCAAGTTGGATCGGCACCATATCCGGAAGATCCTCGATGAGCTGCTGAGACAAACGACCGTCCCCATGTCCGAGTACCTCGAGCAGGTGGCCCAGATCCCGCTGATTCTCTTTTCCGAGGCAGCCCCGGGTACCTCGCGATATCCGATTGGGCTGGACTTTTTGGTGTCGTGCCAAGCCTCGTTCATCGGTGCCCAGCTGTACCGCCTGCCGCTGTTCGAGGGACGCGACTTCAAGCTCGGCAGCCTGGTTGCCTTCCACCAGCAGGTCCACGGAGCCGCTGCTGCACAGGAGCTGGACAGGCTCGCTCGGGAACACCAGCGGCTTGTGCAAGAATACGCACAGCAAGTGGTCGGTCTCCAGATCGACGAGAGCACGGTGCAATCGCTTGGTGCACTGTTTGCGAATGTCGAGGCCTCGGTCTCTGACATTGGAGCGCTGCTCTGCACTCGCCGAGTTTAGCAGGGAGCGCGTAGAGGCTATCGCAGAAAAATACACCCTGTTGCTTGTTTGTTGGAACTCGTGGGGCAGGGAGACGGCTCTGCTTTCTCCTCCGCCGCCGCCGTCGCCGCTGTGCATGGACATGACGGGGGGGGCGTTGTCCGAACATGCCGTTGGGCCGGGATCTCCGGATTGCGCGCCGACGGCTGGGTGGGATAGATGGGTGCAACCGGATGGTGTGATGATAGTGCGTGCAATTGGACGATGCGCTGATGAGGATGACGGTGTTGGAGCAACATCGCGCCACCACGACCGACAGATCGTACAGCCAAGCCACAACCCCCGCGCCAAGGACCCGGCTGTGGTTGGCGCGTGGGCACGGTGGTGGCAGCGCAGCGGGTGTGCCGCCACAGTCTCTGTGTTCCGGGTGCGGCTTGAGTCGACTTGGCTTGGCTTGACTTGGCTTGGCTTGGCTGTCAGTGTGCGTTGTGTCGATTGAGTTTCTGCAAAACGCGAGTGGGCCAAGCACCGCCACCCGAGGATTTGCTGGGCTGCCTGATTTGGGCAGCGGTCACACGGCAGTCTCTGTGCTCAGTCGCTGTGCTCAGTCGCTGTGTGCATCAACAAGCACCGCTGTCCCAGAGCGGTGCCCGGTCGCACACGTCGCACACGTCGCACATGCGCCCCACACAGACAACCGCGCGCAGCACGGCGCCGCGCCGGCCTTTTGTGCCGCCCCGCCGTTCCTCCTCCGTTTCCAGGCCGCCTCCTTTGCTTGCCCCCAAATCCTCCATCGCCGGCTGCGTCACTCATCTCCTCGATCCAGGTCGCCGATCCCATTTGCCTGCGTGCTGTCCTCTCGGCCCATCCGTCGTCCTGCTTTCCCTCGCCCTGTCGAACCGACCGCCCCGCCATCGTCTCCACTCCTGCGTCCATGCTTCAGCCCCAGGCCCCTGACCCGGCCCGCGCAAGCCCAGTTGCCGAGCTCAAGACCCCTATTCATGCACCCGAAGCGGCCGAGCCTGCTACCACTCTGGCCCAGCAGGATGCCCGGCAAGACGCCCAGCAGGACGCCCAGCAGGCTACCCAGCTCCCTACTGCTCCTCCAACCCCAAAGACCCCGCAGCTCCAGTCGCCGTCGACTCCCGATGTTGGCTCGACCCCGTCCACAAGAACGGCTCCTACGCATCTGTCGACTCCCTCGACCCAGCAAACTCCCTCCAGCCATCTCACCCCGTCGACCCAGCAAACTCACTCCAGTCGACCAGTTCTGACGAGCCCGTCCACGCTTTCCAGCCAGCAGACGCCTCCCGGCCAGCATGTGCCGTCCAATCTCATGACTAGAGATCTGCCCTCGAATTTGTCGCTGCAGTCCTCCGAAGCCAGCTTCTACACCGAGCCTCCCCGGCCCAATACCTCCAGGCGGGCAGCGACGCCGATCCCAAACCTGGCCCACGCATCCTCGTCGTTGTCGTTGACGACTGAGACGGCATCCGTGACGTCCTCTCAGATCCCCGTCACCTCGTCGCCGCTCTGGTATGCTCGGCCCATCGACACCGACAGCGCTTTCCGCGAGGCCATCTTCCGCCCATTTGTCCGCGAAGGATCGGTCTCGTCCCTTGGCCACCGAGCCTCGACCCTGAGCATGGCCGATAACCTGAGCCCGCAGTCCACTTCGGCGCATCCGCCGCTCGCTCGACAAATGACCGCAACCACGTATTCGACCGAAGACGGCCGGGAAGTCACAGCGTCCTCGGCAATCCGGGATGAACTATCCCCCATCCTCAAGTTTCTGACCATTGTGCCGCCGTGTCTCACCCAACGGTGCACCTGTGGCTCTGGTACGAACGCCAATTCATCGGCAGCGATCCCCGGGTCTATACACCCAACATTTCCCGCCCTTTTTTGCATCCAGAGCACGGTGCATATGGATCCACTGACACTGCGTTCCCCTCCATGGACTCCACAGATTTGCTCGTCGGTGTCTTCACCCTGTCGTTTGTGGTCATTGGCCTGAATATTCTCGGTAATGTCATGTTCGATCCGCGGCTTTCTTTGGCGAACCATGGACTGCCGCCAGGATCCATCGACTCACGCGCATAGCTCTCTCTGCTGGTCTTGCACGTCGCTCCCTCTGCAGAAATCATCAACTTTAGCAAGTCTACGGATGTGCTGCTCCCGAGCAAGCCCGCATTGCTGGTCTTTGACAGCATCAACGTCTTTGCGCTCTTCATTTTCGTGTCTTGTGTCTCAAGAATCGAGGTGGGTACTGGGTGAGGCCGTTCTTTTGTCGCTCAGGATCCGTAACACTGGGGCACTTGGGAGATGCCATTGCCAGCACGGCAAAGCTGCCCGCTCCCAAATACTCTGGGTGTGCGGTTGGTGCTTTCGCCAATATCCTCAGCTGTGTTGATGTGGCCATCAGGCCGACACGAATGCTTGCTTGATAGGGCTTTGACATATCCTTGATGCATTTCTGGCCGCGTAGCTGTTTGCCCTTATCGGTTTTCAGGTGCTGTGGTGCACCATCTACACGGGTAAGACCTGCAGTGGCGTGGCGTTGCTCCCCATCGTTAATGATGGAGGGCTTTGATGTTTCTTCGCCGGCAGCACAGTCGCTGGCCAGCATCTGACAACAGCCTGCCTCCAGCATTCGCCATCGTCCAGATCGCTCTCGAGATTCAAAACGGGCTCTTTGCGCAATTGTTTGTCGAGCTCGGCAACTCAAACATCAACTCGTTCGAAAAGCTGGTCATTTTCCTTGTCAAGGTCGGTAGTGGTCTGGTCATTTTGTGACTCCTTGCTGTTGGGATGTGGGAAGGGCCGTGTCGATGATGCTAACGACTCTGCTGGTCCACAGCTTTACTTTGGCTTGTTCATGTACTCTCTATGGTTTGTAAGTACCTCTTCGGCGAGGCATCGCCCCCCGCGGTGCTGGATCGCTGTCAGGAGCAGCTCTACTGCGTGCTGCTGGATCGATTCTGTTGCACGGGTCGACCTGGCCGAGTCAGCTTAGCCGGGTGGTTACATCGCTCAGCCGTGTCCTCTGGCTGAATCCCGACCGTTTTCCATCCAGAGCATCGTCCGTGAGCCCGAAGCCTACTATCCCAACGACGATGACGTCTCGACGGTTGCATCCTCGATCGAGCCCCTGCCCGAATACGTACCACCCTACCGCCGCACTCCAAGTCTCCGTGCCTCGAGTATCCGCAACCTTGCCCTCAACATGGATCTACGCTCCGCATCCCCGCCACCGCCGTACCAAAGCGACATCGAGAGCCAACCGTACCCCAGCCCCCGGTCTTCTGTCCATAGCCTGCAAGGCCACGGCTCACACCGGTCGCTGAGATCGCTGGCTCTGATTCCCACAGCGCAATCGCCAAATCAGGGCACGTCCGCTAACATGTTTGGCCAGCGTGCCCGACGAACGCATTCGGCCTCGTCCCTGAGCCGAGAAGCCCAGATCACCATGGGCGATATACCACTTTCACGCTTTGCGTCCGACATCCACCCAAGCATTGTCACGTCACTGTCCTCTCCCCTGTCGTCTCAAGCCTCTGCAGGCAACCTTCCGAGGGCCGACCCTCGTGCCGCTGCTGCAATCAGCCCAGGGACGCCCGTCACACCCGAACTCCGAGCAACCTCGGCACTGCCCACACCCACGATCAACACTCCACGCATCCCCTCACCATCACACTCGGCCGACCTTGGCGAACCTGACCACGGTGCAGCGTCATGAGAGCCACGAACCTGCGTCCGGCACGTTTCGGTTGTCCGGCCTGGCCCGCTCCTGCATTAGAATCAGGCCGCGGATGTTCTCCAACCTACCGAGCGGCAGCCTGCTTGAAGTCGAGTCCCCTGCGCCAAGAGCAGCGGCTCTGTTGATCCATTTTCGATCCCATGCCGTTTCGTCGCCTCATCAGTTCTCTTTTACAGGCAATCCAATAAAAAACGGGACACCCGGGTTTTTGACCATTCATCGAATATTTTGTTACCCAATGTTATCGCGCGCTGGCCATGACCATTCGCCACACATCCGACTTTCGCACCGCCGCATTGCGATGCTACGCCCTCATCCATAGCCTGCGTAAGGTTGCCTCCATATTCAGTGTATCCAAGAGCACCATCCATCGATGGCACCGAGGATGCAAGCTGGATGACCCATCCCGGGTCCCAGCTCGCAGATCCACTTTCTTCGAGCAGGCATGTCCAGTCATTCGCACCCTGATTGAACAGGACCCGTTCCAGACTGGTCCTGTGTTGCGATGCAAGCTCGAGTCCATCCTCCAGAGGAAAGCATCACTCTCACTCTGCCACACTGCCATCCACCGAGCAGGTCTCTCACACAAGAGGGCACAGAACCTCTACAGTCCAAGCGACTGGATGAACGAGTGGCACAGTTCAGGGACCAGGTCCGTTCCATCGACCCACGACGATTCGTTTTTGTCGACGAGACAGGGATCAGGAGATCCATTTTCCCTCTTTACGGATACTCGCCGAAGGGTGCTCCGCTTCGCCAGCGCAATCACATGAAACACAAGTCTGTCTCGGCTGCATTTGCCATCAACCACTCTGGTGTGCTGCATCGCATGTACATCCCCACATCATTCAAGACACACTCGATGGTCGAGTTCTTTGAGCGAGCGACCTTCCCAGACGACTCTGTGATTGTGATGGACAATGTCAGCATGCACAAGACAAGGACTGTCCTGGACTGCATCGAGCGCCGAGGATGGTCAGTGATCTTCACCCCACCTGCTTCACCCGACTTCAATCCCATCGAGAACTTCTTTGGGGTTGAGTCCCCACCGATTTGGGGTTGAGTTCCCTCCAATCAAGCCGCCATTCTCACGCTCACATCCCTGGCTTGAACCTCTCGGCGATTTTTGAACAGGGTCACTTCCCCAACCAGCCCGCGCAGACGGGTTCCTGCTCTCGGGTATAAATGCCACACCTTCGTCCTGCTGCTTTCTTCCCTCATCTCGCCTTGATCGGATCATCGCGCTATTGTACGATAAAGAGAAGTCTCTGTTCTGACCAGTACCACTGGCAGGCATCCAGCATCCTCTGCCCCATGCCTCCGAAGCGTAAGGGTACCGGTGATGGCCAGCCTCGGCCACCCAGGCCCAAGAAAGCCAAGTCACAGTCGGAGCCTGTCTCTGGTTCGTCTTCTGACCCCACGCATGCTTGTTCCTCTGTTGCTCCGTCGCTCACCACCACTGCTTCTGCAGATCCAATGGATGTCGATCCCACCGAGCCTGGTCCATCTACTTCCTCGAGTACTGGCAAGCGATGTCGCCAGTGCGATGGCACCGATCACGAACGTTGCAACACCAGCAAATGTCCCGAATATCACCCCCTCAAGAGTTCTGTCGTCCCTCTCGTGGATGGAAGGTCATCCGCCCCTCAGTTCGGCTGCTTCAAGCAGACGATGGATGGCTGTTGTCTCAATCCCGCTCTCCGCGACAAGATCCAGGCCACCGTCGAGGCCATGACCCAGATCCAGTTCGAGGCATCCAGGCTGCTCAACCTGCACATCCTCCGGTGCATCGAGCAGGATCTTCCCGTCCCCGTCATCTCCAAGTCCACACCTGCTTTCGTTCGCCAATGCTTCAGGATCGTCCAGGCTGGTCCTCTCTTGACAGCCAGGGACAATGAAAAATACGACAACCATCTGATCGATTCCTTTCGCGACTACCAGACCACTCGGCACGCAGACCTGCCTCCGGCCCCTCGTCTGCCTGATGGTGCTCACAGTCAGCTTCTCACACTGGCTGTCAATGCCTATGCCACCAACTGCACCACCCACCTCGACCTGGCCTACTGGCGACTCCTTCGCCGCTTCTGCGCTGCCGTCTTCCCAGCCAACAAGCACAAGCACGAAGCCATCGAGGCCTGTCTCGAGCTCTTCGAGAAACCGGACTCGACTCCACCCAAGGCCGATCTCGAGTTCCTCTATCCCGAGTTTGGCCACATCCTGGACGAGTTTCGGTACAGCAACGACCAGGACCGCTTCCGGGCCCTCCATCGCCTCTCACACCATGTGGGAATCCTCGCCCGAGACAAGATGGTCGACAATGTCCACAAGTGGATCGACTGTGACATGCCCGCCCTCCGAGTCACCGAGCTGCAGCGCCAGGCCAAGCTGGACGAGCTCACTGCCAGAGGCATCCCCTCCGGCGACAAGAGGTTCACCACGGCCAAGTCTGAGCTCGGCACCACCAAGTCCAAGATCAACAAGCTGGCATCCAGGATCAACTGGGCACTCAAGCAGCTCGCTCTCGACACTCCTCCGGCCGTGTGCACGATGGTCCCTCTGTGCACTGCCACGGCCAAGTATGTCAAGATCGACACCGTCACTCTCTGGCAACTCCTTGGTCCAAAGAAACGCCTTGGACTCACCCGGGACAAGCTCAAGGAAGAAGGTGAGGACGGCATCAACAACCAGGATCGTCTCTGGCGCAGTTGCTTCAAGCTGCGTAGTTCCCTCTTCCAAGAGCAAGTCAGGGACAGGAAGCTGTTCAACTACGAGATCAGTACCAATGGCATTGGATGCACCATCGGTCTCGTCAAGTTTCTGCCTCGAACCGATCGCACCGAGACCATCGAGCCTCCTCCGACTGCCGAGCAGCGCATCCAGGCCCACATCGGCAACCCAGACCCCGGTCGCACCACTTGGATTGGCATCGATCCTGGAGTCGGCTCCGTCTTCACTGCGGTCATCCAAGCACCGGGCCACCAAGACGAGGTGGTCTCATTCTCGAATGGCCACTACCAGCACATGTGTGGCCATACGTCCAACACCAAGTGGCACAACACCATGAAGAAGCGACTCAGCATCGAGACTTGGATGTCGACCACCCCCTCGCCCAAGGTGTCGTCCTCGGAGGCCTTCAAGGTCCATCTCACCCATGTCCTGCGACCGGAGCTGCGAGTGCAGCTCGACTTCCACCTTGGCAAGAAGGCCCGTCACCATCGCTTCACGGGCCACAGGAGGCGCCAAGTGGCCGTTGACAAGATGTGCAAGGCCGTCCTGAAGCACGCCCCGATACGGACCGATGTGGTGATCGCCTTTGGCAATGCATCATGGCGTCAAGGCAAGGGCCATGCATCCAGCCCCAGGAGGCAGCGGTTTGCTCGGTACTTTGAGCAATTCGAGCACCACCGACGCCGTCCCACTCACCCTCACGGAAGCGTCAAGGTAGTCTCGACGAACGAGTTCAACACCTCGCAAGTGTGCTCCAAGTGCCTGGAGCCAGTTCGGTTGGAAGGACTCGATGCGCCCAGCATTGCGAATTCCCACTTTGTCAGGAGCTGCAAGAATCCCAGCTGCCGGACAGTGTGGAATCGCGACGTCAATGCGGCGCGCAACATGATCACAGTGTGCAGGTCGATTGTGGAGATCGGAGAGCGACCGGTGGTCTTCACTCGGAGGCTGCCAAAGTGATCTGTTTATTTCTTGTGGCTTTGCTAGACGCAAGCACAGCACATACTACATGTTCATGGAAACGGCTATATTATCCCGTTTTTTTCTGAATAAAGTGTAGATCCTTGCCCTCTCCTCCACTTCCTTTCCTTTCTTTCTTTCTTCTCTTCCTTTTTTGACGAGCCCATCGCACTTTGCACGGTTTTGCTTCACTCATCTGCCCACTTCTTCCACCGGGACAGCACCACGATCCCATCTGTGGCTTTCCAGCGACTTTTTCTCTCTGTTTGTTCATGCTGTATCTCGCCCCGGGCGTCCAGGATGACTTGAATGATGCAAACCCTGCATGAATACACACATTGCCATTCCACATCTTCCCAGGCGAACCGGCCCACCAAGACAACGGGGAGCAGATCGGAGATCCTTGGCAGGCGAGCTGCGTTCCCTTGGCGATCGTGTGAGATCCACGATGGGGGGCATCTCGGACATCGTCGGGTATCTTGTGTATCTTGGGCTGTGGATCTGATACCGCCCATTCGCTCTGCCCCCTTAAGTATCACTCTGCCCCCCCCCTCTCGTCTGCCATCGCCGCATCTCAAGCAATACGCGCTCTCCTCTCGTCTGCAAGGTTGATATCGCCGTCGGTTGTGTTCTGATTGACCCTGGTTGCTTGATTCTGCCCTCGGGCCGTCCTTTGTCTCTGCACCTCATTCTTGCCCACAATCTTGCCCACAATCTTGCCCACAATCTTGCCCACAATCTTGCCCACATTCGCTCGCCCGTCCATTCTTGTGCGTCGCTTGCAGGTTCCTGGCCACTTGTCTTCGCTCCCGCTTTTGCTTCCTGTGCCCCTCTCTCTGTCCGCTTGCCGCCCCCACCCCTTGGAGGCCGTTGCTCTCTTGGTCCGCTGCCTTTGGCTCGCCTGTGCGTCTGTCCCGCCATTCACGCACTGAGCCCTGTCTTGCCCCCCATCTCGCCTGCTAACGTCCGGTCGTTGTTCCTCTGTCGTTGCCCATCCAGCCCCTCAACGTCCAGCCCCTCAACGTCCAGCTCATCAGCTTCCTGGCTCTTCCACACCCAACTTCGCGACGCCCAGCTCCCTTTAGACATGGACGACCTGACCGACTTGGTTTGGAAGCAGGCCGGCGGAAAACCCACCCAGCCTGCTGCCACCCTCAGCGCTCTCTCATCCCATGCCAGCACCACCGCCGGCAACCCCAACCGAGCCACCGGTCTTTCGGGCTCGCCGATGGCCGGCTCGACCCCGCGAACGCTCTCGCCCAACCCGTCGCATCCACACTCTCCTGCAACGGCCCCGCGCATCTCGCCCTCCTTGAACGCTTCGGTCGTGGCTCCGTCGCCAGGGATGCAGCGCAACCCTTCCCAGCAGTACGGCAGCCATGCCTCTGCGGCGCCGCATCAGCGCAACCTGAGCTCGTCGCCAAACTTTGTGAGCTTCAACCCAACAGCTCCCAGCATGGCCGGCGTCCACTCGATCCAGCGCACTGGGACGCCGACCCACGGAGATGATCCCTTTGGCAACCTGGTGTCCTTTGGCTCGGCGCCCAAGCCGGCCTCGACCTCGGCCTCGGCATCGGGGTCGTCGCTTCCAATGGCAGAAGTACAGCGCCAACAACAGCAACTTCAGCAGCAGCAACTCCAACAACAGCAGCAACAGCTCCAGCAACTCCAGCAACTTCAACAACAACAGCAGCAACTCCAGCAACTCCAACAGCAACGACAACAACAGCAGTTCCTGCAAGGCCAGTTTTCTCCCCTGTCCAAGAGCCAGACACCCCAGCCTCTGTCGCAGTCGCTGTCGAATGCGCCGCTCCTGCCCAATCTGCAAAATGGTTTTAGCTCGCCGATGGCGGTGCGGTCGAGCTCGCAGCTGAATGGTGAGCGTCCATACTGCATACTACATACTACATACTACATACTACTACATACTGCATACTACTACATACCGCATACTGCACAATGCATCTGCTGACATGCTCGGTTCTGCTGACCCACCTGTTCCTCCTGTTTATGTCGGCAGGCGGACTGGTCAACCCCGCCGATCCCTTTGGACGCTCTCCAGGCAGTGCATCGGGCGCCAGCATCCAGCAGCCCCAGCCCTTCGTCAACGACGCATGGAACCTCGATCTACTTGAACAGCCCAAGCCCTTGGCATCGCAGGCTCCCGGTGCACCTGCCCAAAGCAGCGTTGTGGGCGACGACATCTTCGATATCAAGTTCCTCGGGTCGCAGAATCCCGTGGCGTCATCTCCATCCAACGCCGAGAAGCAGCCGGCCTCCAACTCTACCGACGACCAGCATCCGCTTGGTCTTTTGGCTCAGCCTGTGAGTGCCTTCTCGGCAGCGACCCCGGTTGCATCAGGCTCCGCACCGGGCTCGGCAACGACCTCCCCGGCAACCCGCTCGGCAGCCTCGCCTGGCATGCAGCCGTCTCCGTCAAGCTCGCAGCCTCGCTCCATTGATGCCGCCCCTCCACCACGCCCGCCTCGTCCAGCCAAGCCCGATAGCGGCGACATCGACTTCAAGATTGCGCAGCTCATGGACTTTGGCTTTGACGACCTGAGGGCCAAGAATGCGCTGGAGGCTGCCGGCTATGATATCCAGAAAGCGCTGGACCTGCTGGTGGGCTCCGAGTCCCCCGCTCCAAACAGCGACCCCCATCCCAAGCCGCCAGCAAAGCCCCGGCCCGATCCTTCTCAGAAGGTTGCACGCTACGCCGACGACTACGAAGCGGACGATGGTGGTGATGCCATGCCCGGCCGGTATGCGGCGGGCCCGTCCGGCTCCGCCGGCCTGAGCCAGACCTCGAACCAACTGCTCAACAGCGCCAGCGCCTTAGGCATATCGGCCTTGAACAACGCAAAGAACCTGCTGTCCTTTTCCAAAAACAAGATCTCGGAGGCTCTTGAGAAAGCCTCTGCGCGCATCGACGACGGCTCGGCTGGACGCGGTGGATCGAGCGGCATGTCAACGTTTGCGTCCACCATCAAGAGCGGTCTCAGCACGGCCTCGTCACAGCTCAAAGGGCGGCGGCCCTCGGACGATAGCCCAGACGAGTACTCTGACGGTCCGGACAACCGATACCGAGGCTATCAGAACTATACCGATTTCCGGGATGATGACAGGGGTGCGACTGGCTATGCATTCGCCCCATTTGCCGACAATGACGGCGACGGCGATGACGATGACGAGGGCGAGGATGACCGAGCGGCCCAAGAGGCGCTGAGAAAGTCGCGCGAGGCGTACAACCAGAAGGTGCTCGCCGCCTCGGCCCAGCAGAGCCAGAGCCAGAGCCAGAGCCAGAGCCAGAGCCAGAGTCCGGCTCGCGGCAGCCCCGGTCGGCCATCGCCCTCAGGCGTTTCGTATCCGTCGGTCGCAAGCCCAGTCGTCTCGGAGCAGCCCAAGCCAAGTGTCAAGGCTGTGGACCTGTTTGACTTTACCTCGGACTCGCCCTCCGCGGGCCCGGCACGGGTATCGCCGTCTCAGCCAGCGCCGGTCCGGCCAGCGGCCTCGACACCCAAGCTATCTCCTAAGAACACTGCTCCCGAGATTGTCGCCACACCCGCCCAGCTCGAAGAGTCGCTCAAGTACAAGGACGAGGGCACGGACTATTTCAAAAAGGGCCAGTACGGCGATGCGGAAGAGTCCTACACCAAGTCGATCGTGGCCCTGCCCGCGGGCCATGCCAACCTCGTCGCCCTCTTCAACAACCGCGCTGCTTCTCGGCTGAAGACTGGCCACTACGGCGGCGCCATCGAGGACTGCAACTATGTGCAAAACGTCGAGCCCGGCGAGGTCAAGTCGCTGCTACGACGTGCAACGGCGTACGAGGCCCAAGAAAAGTACCGCGAGGCCCGAGACGACTACAGCCGGGTTGTGGCGACCGACCCGTCGGTCAAGGCTGCCTCCCAGGGTCTTTTGCGCTGCGCCAAGGCAGTCTCCATGAGCGAGAGCGGCGGACACGCACTGGAGCAGCCCGCCCCGAGCGGTTTGGGCGGCTCTGCTGGCGTCTCAGTCGCAGCCAGCGCACAAAACGATCTTGCGTTCTTTGAGTCGCCGACGGCGGTACCTGGCGCTGCCGGTGCTTCTGTCGAGATTGCCCGCGAACACGTCCCGTAAGTATCGCACTGCGCCGCTGATCGGTCAGGCTATGTGTGTGTGGAGGAGGGGAGACACGGCGGGATGCATTTGTCATGATGTTCGATGGAGCACTGCTGTGGTTTCACACGGACACTGAGATTTCTGGCTCTCTGTATACGTCGTTGCTCTAGATCCTCGAACCCCCAGGTCCGGGAAGCAGTCGACAAGGCGGTGGAGAAACTGCGAGCGCAGAACATCCAGAGTGAGCAGGAGGATGCTCTCAAGCTGCAGCTCAAGGATCAAGTTGACATGAAGGTACCGTGGTGGCTCAACCATTCCTGTGCACAGGAGGAACCAGAGCATGGCCCTGTGTTCTGGCTGGAGATGATGTCTGGCGGCTGGGTTGCTTGAGGCAAATTGGCTGGACGAGCGAGAGGGGTGCTGGAGCGTCAATGATGATGAATCGCCTCTTATAAGCGCATTCCGGACGATTGCCCCTTCCAGATTGAACAGTGGCGCTCGGGCAAGGAGAAGAATCTGCGCGCCCTGTTGTCATCGCTCGAGTCGGTGCTGTGGCCTGAGTTGGAGTGGAAGCCCATCAGCCTTGCCGAGCTGATTCAGCCTCAGCAAGTCAAGATCAAGTACATGCGGGCCGTCGCAAAAGTCCACCCAGACAAGGTGAGGCGTTATGGGAAAGCCCAATACGGACGGCGGCATCGGGACCGGCGGGGGCTTGTTTGCGGATCGGCCTCCCATGTTCCACCGATCCCTTGGCGTGGCTCCTGCCAGGTCACCATGTCGTCAAGCCGTCAGGGGATCTGTATCGAGTGGGAGAACTGACACCCGTCTTGGCCCCCGTGGGATGCTGACTCTTGCTCCGCCCACTCCCAGCTGAGCAAGGACTGCACACTCGAGCATCAGCTGATTGCCAACTCGGTGTTCAGCACCCTCAACAAGGCATGGGATGAGTTCAAGGTCCAGAACGGGCTATAGCGGCCGTATATCCGAAGCCGAGGATGATTGATGTCTGTGTGTTTGTGTCCGAAAATGAAAGCCATAGACGCAAGTTGTCCTACTCCGTTTCGTGAGCGACGAAATGCACTGTCTTCCGACGCAACGGCGGGGGAAGTGGCTGTTGGGCGGGTAGGAGGCAGACCGTTTTTATCCATTGGATCGTTGATATCTGGAAGAGCAGCTCGCCATCCACTTCCGGATGGCTTGATCTCGTCTGCGCGCGTGGGTGAGCGATGCGTCGCTCCAAACTCATGAAGCCGCTCTGGTTGCCGTCCCATGTGCGGCAAAGACCGCGCCATCCAAACAACAGCCAGGGATAGCTTTCAGCGTGGCTCCAGGCATCTCTATCCCTTTCACCCCACACATCCAATCCAGGGTGTGGTTGATACATGCACCCGTTTTGGCGGGCAGGCGGGGAGGCGGGGCGGGCGGGCGAGTGATCTTCAGTGGAGTAGATCGGGCCGGGTATATCAGGCCAGGGGAAGCAGCCGGCCGACGGGATCGACATTCCCATCGCAAAATCAAGTGGATTCTCCGACGCATCCGGACCGCCTTGCACAAGCCATCGCCACTCAAGCACAACACTCGACACAGATCGATTTCAGGTTGGCGATGCTGCGTTGGCGATGCTGCGTTGGCGATGCTGCGTTGGCGATCAAGCCGCTGGGCATGGCTGCCGGTGCCTCTGTTGTTCAGCACCGCGGCTGATGGACTCTTGCCTCTGCTGCTCAACGCCTCGGATTCCCTTCTCGGGGGCCATGTCCGGCTCTAGCAACACCCAGAATGCAGTCGCTCGACCGTTTGCTCCTTCAAGCCCTCGTGCTGCTGGCGATGATGTTCGGCGTCTTTGCCTGCACCGACTGTGATGACGACGGCTGCACACTCGGCGACTGGCGCTGCTGCGACGACTACTCGCTCGTACAGCGGTGCGCATACGACCAAGACGGCCAGCTGGACTGGCTCGTTGTTGCCGACTGCGGCAGCCAGGGTCTGGTCTGCGTCCTGGACGACTGGGAATGGTGAGCGCCGCACCCCGAGAGAGAGAGAGGGTCCTGTCGAGCAAGGGGAAGTAGCCAGGATCTTGGTCCCGGCAGCATGGCTGTCGTGGTTGCGCACATCGCCCTGGACAGCTTATCACAAGCAGCTCACCCTCTGCCTATTGCATTTCTCCTGCCTGCCGCGTGCGGGACACACCAGCGTCTCGCCTGACCTCGTCACGGACGACCACCACCTTGCCTCGTCGTCCTGAGCGGGAGACGGGTTTGTGGAGGTCAAGTGACGGACCAGGCATGGGCGATCGGAAACAGTTGCCAATGCCAATACCATGCTATCCAATACCATGCTATCCAATACCATGCTATCCAATACCATGCCACCCCATGCCGTTTCCTGTCCTGCGACGCGCCGCGTTTGGCCCACCGACGATGGTGCCATGGGCAAGCGTGCGTGCTTGTGGCCACGCTGGGAATCGGCGCGCCTGTGCTGGTCAGCAACTGTCTGTGTGGCGGCGACAACACGCGACGGCGATCCTGTCCCACAGAGGGTTGCACGGCGCGGCGCCACAAGGGCAGCACAGTTCCGCCACAGTGCTGTTGCATCCCAAAGCACGCCCCGTCGCGATTGGACTTTGTCTTTGGACGGTCTTTGAACGGTCTTTGAGCGGCCTTTGAATGCTCTCGGAGTGGTCTTTGGGCTTGGTCGCGAGTCTTCCGAGTCGGCGTTGGTCGTCTTTCGTCGTCGCTGGTCTCGTTGGTCTTCTGCATCGCCGTCCCCTGAATTCCCGAGTGGCTTCCCATATCTCCCTGTCCCTCCTGTCCATCCTGTCCCTCCCGTCCCTCTGGTTCTCGCCGCCATCGGCCTTGCCTGTGAGTATTCCTCGCCCAACAGACCGCCAGTCCCCTTGCCCAACCCCGTTGCACCTCCGATGCTCCTTCTGCAGACCCATGCCAGAGCCCTCGGGCGTTCCGCGCAGAGCATCGCTGTCGGTGGGCCAATCATCTGCAGTCTTCGCAGAAGCCTCTGTCGAATACATTGCGAATCAGCCGCCCTGACGACAGCGCTTCGTTGCCGCTGGGCCTTGGCCGGATCGTCCTCAGACCCTGTGCCGAACATTCACCCCACTCGCTCGCTTGCTCGAGTACTCTTTCGAAGCATCCATCGCGAGCACCGAGGGGGGACCTTCCATCTCTACTGCATCGGCTGCATCGGCTACATCGGCTTCATTCCACCGCCTCGATTGGCCTCCACGATCCTTCGATTCGACATCCACCCGTCCCTTCGTGGCTTCTGTTCCGGAAATAGCCCCCCCCCCAGACGACCCTGCCCAGCACACCACATCTCCTCTGCGGGCATCTCGGCACCGCCAACGGCACGGCCGCATCGGTCGAGCTCCTGCTCCCGCCTCGCACTAACCCCACTCCACTCGCACATCCCCTTCCGCCGCCCAGCCCCAAATCTAGGTTCCCCAATCCGCCCTCCGATACGGAGCGAAACCCTCGCCGCCGAAAGTCGCCCCTCCGTTTCCTTCATCCATGGAACGACCATCGCTGCAGCTCTCGCCTTCGATTACTCCCCCGTCCCCGGCCCGGGCAATTCACTCGTATCTTCCCAGCCGCCCCAGCGTCTCGGCATTCTCACCTCCGCTGCCGCCGGCGCCTATCAGCACCCTTGGATCCTCGGCCAGCAAATCCCCGGCAAGCATGTCGCTTTCCTCCATCGACACCACATCCTCCGGCCCCAGATCCGCCGGGCTTGCCGGCCATGCCAACGGCCCTCTATCTGCAGGTGTCGCCGGCACCGATTTCAAGTCCAAGTCCAACGCCCTGTTGGACCCCAAAACCGATGTCGCCGTCTCCTCCACACACCATGCTGCCAGCACGACTGCTTCGTCGTCATCGTCCTCGGCGGCCTCGGCCCCATCGTCGTCGGCCGGCGACTTCAACAACACCGCCTCGGGCAGCGGCCGTGTCGTCTACACCCAGTCCGAGAAGATTGGCCACCTGCAGCAGATCTTTAGCGAGTCTCAGAAAATCGCCTACGCCGGTCTCTGCTACCTCCTGATCCTGAGGTTTGCCGAGCGCAGTGTCAAGCCGTACCTGGCCAACTCCACCAATGCGTACTATCGTTGGTTCGAGAGCGTCATGGAGAAGCTCTACATCTATCTCGACATTCCGCCGGCAGGTAGGCTCTCGTGCAGGCTCCTGAGAGAGCTCGAGTAGAGCGCGAGCACGGCCGAATTGTCCAGCAGCTGTCGAAACAAACGCAGCAGCAGCATCACGGACCATGCGCAAGCCTGCCGTGATGAGCAAGCCAGTTTCAGTGTTCGCACCCAGGCCTGTGTCGGGGGCATCGGCTCTGCTTGCAGGGGGGTCGCAGTTCCGCTGGGCTCGTTCGGTGTGGTGCGAATCGGCTGGCTCCGTTCATGTCGATTGCGATTGCGCTTTGCTGTAGGTGAGGCTGGTGGGGCCTTTTTCTGATGCGCTGTGCTCTTCTCTCCCATGTCTCGGCTCTATCGTGCTGCTCGTCGCCGTCGCTCAAACTTCTCAGACCGGAAAATGATCCGCCGTCTGGCCGAGCACGGCGTCATCCCATCCGACCTTTCCAGCACCCTCATCAGCGATGCCAAGAAGGCAGCGGAGCGCCAAAAGGAGCTCGAGGAGGCCAAACAAAAGTCCGAGCAGGAGCTCCTCGACCAGCATCTTCCACCCGCCTTGGACGAAGCCGGCCGCAGCTCTTTGGACCTGGACGACGACGACCTGCCCTCGGACATCCGCTACACCATCCTGTCGCACTGCTTCATCCTGTCGATCAACGATAACACATATGACTCGCGGTGTCGCACGCTTCTCCGCGCGCTGTCGCAGGAGCTGCAAGTGCCCTGGCTTGATGTCATCAAACTCGAAACAACGATCGCGGACCAGCTCCGGATCTACGACTTGGTCTCCGAGATCCGCGAGGATGGCTCCGTCGTCGGCCAGCGCAACAAGCTGGAGAACTCGAAAGCCTGGCTGTTCATGGGGCTGGCTACGCTAGGTACGGTATCGCTTGGGCGTACGGGCGCTGCTGGAGTGCCTTGGCGACATGCATCGGGTGCTATACTTGCGCTCCTTTCTTTTCGACCTCCACGGCTTGTCCCTGCCCAATTACTCCAAGGAAGCGAGCTGTTCCTCTACCACTAGCGCTGACATCCATTTCTTTGCAGCTGGCGGTGCTGTTGTCGGCCTAACTGCGGGCCTGGCCGCCCCAATGATTGCAACAGGCGTCGGAGCGGCTCTGGCTCACCTTGGTGTTGCAGGGGCGGCTGCTACCATCACCACGTCAACCGTAGCGTCCACTGCCATCATCGCCACGGGTGGTGCCGTGACCGGAGGAGGTAAGGGCCCACTGCGTGACCGACGTTGCAAGGAAGGGTGTTCACATGTGGCAACCACTCTCTGGCTTCCGTCCATCGGCTGTCCATCCTCGGTTCCTTGGATTCTGCTGGTGGCTCATCGCAAGGCGATCCTCGTCTGTGTCGATGTAGCCCCATGCAATCGCTTGCGTCCACGGCGGCTCCTCACACTCTGCTGGTCTCTGCCCCGGCTCAGGCATGTCTGGATTCAAGATGCTCAAGCGCATGCGCGGCATCAAGGACTTTGAGTTCGTCGCGATTGATGACGCCATATTTGCGATCGAAGAGAATCGAGAGAAGCGCGATGCCGAGCGACGACGGCGCGACCGAAAGGCTGCCCGGCTTGCTTACCTCAAGAAGCAAGAGGAGCAGCTGGCGCTGCAGCAGAAGCTCAAGTCCCAGAGCGAGCAGGAGTCCTCCGAGCCCAGCAGCCTCAGCCACTCAAAGTCGGTCGAGAAGCGGCTGCAGCTGAACGAGGGCCTCGCCAACTACAGCTCGGTCGGCTCGTCATCACTCGATAGCCTCACGACAGACGTAACCCAGGACTCGGCTGCCGTGATCACTTGGTCGCAATTCAAGGACTCGGCCAATGCCAACCCCAGCGCAAATGCCAGCATCGGTGCCAACTCACATCGCATCGCCTCAGCATCTTCGTACCCCGCTGTCAACGGAAGCCCCTCTGCCCCGTTCGACGTGTCGGCGCTCTCCGAGCCCCTCAGTGAATCCCGCGCCATCGAAGACGCCATCGCACCAGTGGACGATCTGCCGATCCTCGCCGACGACCTGTCCGTCCTTGCCCTTGGTGCCACACCCGCAACTCTGGACACTTTTATCCAGCGGCGTTACGACTCGGACGAGCAGATTGACCGCGAGCTGAATGCAGACAGGGAACCACGCACCATCGACCTCTTTGTTGCCCCTGACTCGCAGAGCGACATTGCCTTCCCACCCAAGGCCAACTCGGAACTCGAATCGGCAGCTCAACCCATGGACGTATCTGTCAGCGCGCAGCTGTCCGAACAGCGGCCTGTCACCGGAGCCAATCCATCGTCACTCAGCACATCTTCGAGTCTCGGCAAGAGCGTGGGATTCGAAGTGTCTGCCGACGTCTCTCCACCATCGCTTCGGGTGGTAACGCAGGAGCCATCACGAGCGCCCTCGGAGATGGCCTATACTGAGTCCGAAACGCTCCCGTCGGCCCACCCAGACGGCACCGCCAAGAAGAAGCCCCAGCGGGCCGAGACCGTGATCCCGCAAGATACCCACAAGCTCCTGCCTCCATCGATCCGACGCCAGATGCGGCAGCCGGCGGACGGCGGCAAAACTGCCCCGCAGATCAAGCAAACGAATGTGTTGATCACAATTGCTGGCTGGGTCACCTACGGCGTCGACGACCACACGCTGCCGTTCTCGACACTCGAGCCCAACATCTACGGCGACCAGTACACACTCGTGTGGGAGACCAAGACCCTTGAAGAGCTCGGCTCGGCGCTGAAGCTCTTGGGCATGGAAGTGGCTTCGTTTTTGTTCCAGAAAGGCTTGGAGGTGACGGTGCTGCCTATTCTGATGATGGGCCTGACCGGACCGCTGTGGATGCTCAAGCTGACGTATCTGCTCGATAACCCGTGGGGCAACGCCCTGGGCAAAGCCAAATGGGCTGGCAGGGTATGTTTTGAGTGCAACGGCGGAGGCTCTGGACTCTGTGGGGACATGAGCGGAAGCAGGATGCACCCGCGATCCCGAGGAGAGACGTATCGACCGTCGAGGGTGCAGACTGTCAGGTGAAAACGTGTGCTTGCTTGCTTGCCTGACTGCTCGCCTCTGCTCACCGTGCGACTCGGTTTCAATTCCTCACGCTGCAGGTCTTGGCCGACACGCTACTGCAAGGTGCCCAGGAGAATCGGCCCGTCACTCTCGTTGGGTTCTCGCTTGGCGCCCGCGTGATTTACTACTGCCTGCTGGAGCTCGCCGAGAAAGGCGCCTTTGGAATCGTGGAAGAGGCGTACATGTTCGGCTGCCCTGTGATGGCCACCAAGCTCGAGTGGGAGCAGATCGCCTCGGTAGTGTCCGGCCGTATCGTCAACGGATACCTCTCCAACGATTGGGTCCTCGGTGTGCTCTATCGGGCATCCTCGGCCTACTGGACCGACGTTGCGGGACTGCGCCCCGTCCAAGGCGTGGCCGGCATCGAGAACTACCAGCTCAACGACATCATCAGCGGGCACCTCGAATATAGGGTCGGCATGCCCAAGATCCTCGCCCGGGTCGGCTTCCAGGTGACCAGTGATCACTTTGTCGACATTGAGGCTGAAGAAGAAGCCCAGAAGAATATGTTTGCAGAAGATCGGAAGCGCCAGGCCGAGGCCAAGCGGCTCGAGCGCGAAGCACTGCTCCAGAAGAAGCTGGAGGAGTACGAGCGCAAGAAGCGCGAGAAGGAGCTCGAGCGCCAGGAACGCAAAAAGCTGGAGATTGCGACGCAGGCCGCCATCGAGGCCCAGCGGATCATGAGCGGCAAGAACAAGCCCGAAAAGTCGTCATGGTTCTGGGGCGGCCGAAAGAGCGCCACGGCTGCGGGCCCGCCATCGGCATCATCGCCATCGTCGCAAGCAGCGTCGCCTGGCTCGTCGCAGTCGTCGATAGCGGCAACGCCGTCGATGGTTGACAACTCAAGCGAGGACCAAATCGACGAGGAGTTCTGGCGGCCGCGCGAGATCACATCGACGGCCGAGCCCATCGTCATCGACAACCAGCGCATGTCGGAGCTCGAGGCCATTTTCGGCTCGCTATCGGCGGGCAAGAAGCGCAGAGCCGCGGACGGCAATGAGGACGACGACGACGACGACGCCGACGACGCCGAAGATGACGACAATGCAATCGTGCTTTCGGATGCCGTGATCGAAGCTGCGTTCGAGGCAACCGACCGGGGCCTGGGCCAGCTCGGCGCCGGCGACCGCGACCGCGACCGCGACCGTTCTGATCGCGGCTGCAATGACGAGCACGACGATGACCATGACCACGACCATGACGATGACCGTGACCACGAAAACGAAAGCAGCCACGGCCAGTAACGACCGGGTCGTAACACTGCCTCTGAAACGTCGATGGGTTCACTTCTCACCACGGATGACATTGGGCCATCGTGCCCCGCACACCGTCTGCATGCTATGTCTCACTCGTCCGACGCGGCCGATCTGCCACCACCTGATTGCTAACACTTTGCCCTCCTCTGAGGGACGAGCGACTGCTTTCTGTCCTGAATACAGTCCCGTTGCACCGACACTTCCGACATGTCGCACGCCATGTGCGCACTTGTTCCATGGCATGTCCCCGACAGGGGCACATGGCCCAGCCTCCCAGGGACCAAAGTCCGCGCGGAAACGAGAGGGAGGGGGACTCAAATTTGCGATTGCTGAGCCCATGGGCAGCCAGCCGATCGCGTGTGCTCATGCGAGCCTGTGCGGAGGTCCGTTTGTGCGCCCGCAAGAGGAAAGGTGCCTTGACAGCGGCCACGGCAGGGCGCGGCACAGGGTGGATGGACTTGCGTCTTTCGGCAGGGACTGGGTCGAAGTCGAAGCCAGAGCCGCAGTGGAAGTCAGAGCCAAAGTCAAAGCTGAAGGTCCTGCGCGCAGCCGGTCAGGTCTGCAGCGGACCATTCCCGACCATCGCCGACCACCATCGCACGGGAACAGCCCGAGACCGTTCCCCCAATGTCCTCCAAGAACGACCGATTCCCCCTATTTCCAGCCGCCTCCCGCACACAGATTCGCGAGGCCTTGTGCTGTTGGTTCCTTCCTGCCCTTGTCGCTCCAAGGACACGCGCGGCCGTGCGTACTTGGTCCTTTGTGCTGCTGTCCCCCTTCAGCCAAGCACATCGATGTGTCGCCCTCGATCGCTCCTATAAAGCCTGGCCTGGGCGCTCGTTTCGGATCGGCCCGTTGTTCGCCGTCAGCGTCTCCTGCACGAGAGCCTCATCGCTGCTCATCGACTCTCTCGCTTACTCGTTCATCTCGCCATGCTCTCCTCGACTGTCGCTTCGGCTGCCGCGTTTGTGCTGGCGCTGGCTCCTGCCTTGGCCACCGCCCAGTCCGGCAACTGGACTCCCGGCCAGGGCACGCACTATGGTAGGCATTGTTCGAGACATGTCGGAGGACGGCCAGCCTCGCCTCGAGATGAGTCCAGATACCGCTGCTGTCTCCCGGGACACTCTTGGCAGCTGGATGTTCAGCCATTGGCACTAGGCGCCTCTCTGTTGCATTGGGCGCTTGTTTGCTGCATTGGGATGCTGGTCTGTTGCGCTGGATGTCCATCAATCCCCCTGGATGCTCACTGCTCGCATTCGACACTTGCCGCCGGGATTCAGGCCCCTTCCCTGCCTACCCCGCAGCTTCTGAGCTCGGATACTACCCCAACGATGTCGGCGTCGGCTGCTCGAACGGCCAGCCCGGCGGTGATCCCAACTGGAATCTGGTTCTTGCTGGTGGTGTCTACCCTCCTCCTGCTGGCACCCAGACCGTCTGGCCCAAGCGCGCCACTGTTGCTGTCTCGGCCAAGTACTGGGCTGCCCAGTATGCCCTTGCCGGCATCGCCTACAAGGCTCCCATTTGCTACCAGGTATGCTGCATATGGCCACAGACAGATGCATGGGCGTTAATGTGATTCGCGTGGATCGCCAGTGCTATTTCGCTCCGACTCGGCTCCGACTCGGCTCCTGCGCATGCTGTGGTGTTGACCGTTTGCCCTCATGGCTCTGCTCTTGATTGCTTTGAACTTTGTGCTTGCGCCTGCCCATGCCTGATCTCGGGCATCAAGACCATCTGGATCCGCAACGCCAACAACCACACCCAGATGGTCGAGGCCACCATCGTCGACTTTTGCCCATACAGCGGCTGCACCTGGGCCGAAGAAGATCTCGGCTACAACGTCGATATCTACGGCAGCGCCACCTGGGATTTGCTCGGCGGCCCGTTCCCCACCGTCGGTCCCAAGGTTGACATTGAGATCCTGTGGCCCGACTACCTGAGACCCAACGCTTCCAACACCGTGCCCCCTCCCAAGCCCTCGTCGACCAGCGCCGCCACCACTAAGGCTCCTTCTCCGACCACCAAGAGCACCAAGACCACTACCACTACCACCACCACCACCACCACCACCACCACTACCACTACCACCAAGCCCGTCAAGACCACTAAAACCACTAAGACCAAGACCACCAAGTCCAAGAAGACCACCAAGCCCCCCAAGTCCAAGAAGACCACCAAGCCTCCCAAGTCTAAGAAGACCACCAAGCCTCCCAAGACCAAGTAAACGGACGCCCTTTTGCCGATGCAGTCCGCTTCAATCCCTCGGCTCAACCACGGCGCATCTGGCCATGCGCTCGCCATAAATCTCACTTTTGTCTATGCAATTGGCTGAGAATCTCAAATACAGCTTTCCCGTACCAAAATGGGCCCTTTTCTTGAATCTCCAGACCTAATACACTTTTAATTCCCTCCTATCTCCGAGCCCGTAATAGCATCCACATTGTCGGCGAGACGTGATCGATGAGTGTTTCTGTGTTGCCGAAGGGGTCATCAAAGCGCCACTGTGCTGCTGCTGCTGCCACTGCTATTGAGCAGCTCCACAAACGCCTTTGAGATCTTGCTGCTTTCTGTGTGGAAATAATAGGGCGTGCCGTTGAGGGTGGCCCAGAACTTGTCCTTCTCGGAGGTATCGAGTTTGACGTTCTTGATCTGGCTCAGATAGAAGTGGGTGCCGGCCTTTGGGAGAATGCGGGCGTGTGAACCCAAAATCGACATATCACTAAGAAGAGCATAAAACCAAGAATGAACCACAAAAGCCATCCTCGACACACGTACCGATTCATCCTCATCCGTCATCCTGAAGAATGGATCGGTGTGCTTGCAAAGCTGCACAGATACGTGGCTCCATTGTCCAAATATGCTTGCACGACGCCATTGCATTTCAGAGTTGATGAAGTTCTACAGACACAAGATGGCCACGGATTAAAACGGGGTCACGTCGGGATCGGTTGCATACTCTTCATTTTTGACTGGACATCCGGTGCGGAGCAAGACCAGCATCACGAACGGACATTTTCATCCTCTGCGTCGCTCGTGGTTGGTTTTCGAGCCAGGGTCTTCTTGTGCAGAGGGGTGGAGAGCATCATCGAGGAAGTGGACATGTCCTCGTCAGTTTGCGGGAAATAGACAAAGCGGAATATGTCGAGGGTGACGGGGAGGTTCTGGGTGGCAAAGAGGCCAATCCACTGGATGATCAGCCGGAGGAGCGATCTCATCCGCACAGGCATGTTGGTGTTGGTGACCTGCCATAGCTCGAGACCCATGCACAGCCCCATGTTGAGCAGCGCCATCACCACATATGTGGCCTCCCTGTCCTCCCTGTTGTAGATTCAGCAAGTAGAAGCGTGGTCACAGTCAGAATCGCAGCCAGAATTGCAGCCAGAATCGCAGCCAGAATTGCAGCCAGAGCCACAGAAAAGCCGAGACGCGGCCACGACCAGAGTCACAGGCAAGCAGAGCACAGACAGGGCCAGAGGCCGCATCGGTACCGCCAGCAACAAGGATTGATGCCGCCAGCAGCAAGGATTGATATCGTCAGCATGGATCGTGGCGGAGGACTTACTCGGGAGGAACCTGTTTGCGGCAGAATCCGATAACCAGGCTACCCAAAACCAAGAGCCCGATGTAAATGTACAGCACAATAGTGATGCCCGTGGGATTGCCGAGAGTGTTGACACACTGGTAGCTGTAGGTGGTGTCGGTGTAGGTGGTTGTCATGGCTGAAGACTGGGTGGCGGCCCAGACGATGAGGAGGATCTACCAAACAACAAATGCGATGGCAATTTGAAACGGAGCGATATGGCGCGAAGTGATGTGGGTCGGAAAATTGACATGGGTTGGTGTGGGGGATGTGGGTCAAAGACGGAAAGACAGCGTATGCACACCGAGTCCAAAGAAGTGAGGTTAGCCGCAATCGGCAGAAGGAATACAATCGGGAGGGAGTGTAGCGGATGTGCCAGGTTGTGCACAGGCGGAGATGATGTGGTAGAGACACCAGAGCGCCAGGGTGACAGTCCCGAATAGTATGGATGAATGAGGCGAATGGTATGGATGAATGAGGCGAATGGTATGGATGAATGAGGCGAATGGTATGGATGAATGAGGCGAATGGTATGGATGAATGAGGCGAGTATTATAGGTAGTCGAGCAGTCGAGCAGTCGAGAAACCAAGCCAAGTAGTTCGAGCAGAGTAAAGCAAAGCAAAGGGAGGTGTGTGAGTACAATGCACCGAATTGCGCTGCAATCTCGGGTCCTCCGCTGCAATCTCGGGCTGCACCATCACAACACCCCAACCATAGTGCGATCACCAAAGTACACTGCCTATACTCGCACCTAACCTCACTCGCCACCCATGCCACGATCACTGCCTGGTTGAATACCCTCAACAATTCCAGCGCTCTGCTGATCCCGCCAATACCACTGGCCCGGTGCACTCCGTCGCATTGCATCGCTTCGTACAATTTGGATCGTCCATGTGACGGCAAACGAGATCAGGAAGTGCGCGTTCTTGTACTGTCGCTCCATCAACTTCTTGTTTCCTGTGTTCGGCCACGACTTGGATCAGAATCTATCGCTGCTTTGCATCATGTCCGCCGTATCATTGTCTGTACCGTATCCGCTGCACCATAACGGCTGCACCATAACATCTGCACTATAGCGTCTGTGCCGTGTCCGCTGCACCAGATTCGTTGCGCCACACCCTCGCTCTATTCAACGGTGTGGGGGCCACTCAGCATCATGGAAAGCACTGCCAGAGTATATCCGAGGATACAGGTGAAGCTGTGGCGCAGATCAGCGGACACTTACGTCCCATCCGGAACACTCGGCCGATCTTGACCATGACCATGCTCTGATCGTGGACGAGCGATGGGAGAGCAGTTGAGGTCGAGAAGACACGATTTGGCATGCGGTTTGGCATGCGGTTTGATGAGTGGTTTGGTGTGTGATTCCAGTGTTCGAGTGTCTCGTCAGCGAGGCTGTGATGAGGCCACTCCCAATTCCGCCGCTTGTCGACCGGCCGACCTATCGACCAACTCACTTGCACATCTGTACATCTTCACATCTGCACATCTGCACATCCGCTTACCAAGACAGCCGTGATTCCAAGGCCAAGAAGCCAGGCGTCGAGCTCGCACACCACAGAGGATCCCGACAGGTCAAACAGACCCTCGATGGCAACGAGCAGTGTTCCAAACTGTAGGTTGACCCCAATAGCCACAGAGCGTATTGAATGAGCATATTCTTGGTCAATGTGAGCTGATTTGACGCTTTGTATCGCAGGCTCGTTGACCACGACCACTGACCACCAACCACTCTCATCGGGTATGCATTCGCTCCGCCTGTATCTCATGCACCAATATACTCGGCGAACTCAATTGCATTTGCACACAGCCACTCTCTTGGCGTGCTGCCGTGCTGCCGTGTTGTCGTGCTGTCTCGGTCTCGACCGCACGCTTTCCCTCCAAATCAACTCGACAAGTTCTTACCGTCACCACCATGTAGTAGACCAGTCCGGTCCGGGAAATCTCAGACTTGTTTCGATTGACGATCACCATGAAGAACGAAGCAAAGGCCGCGAGGACGTGGATGCCATAGAGGACGCCAAAGATGATGGCAACGCTGTCGGTTCCGCTATCCGCGTTCCAGAACATGAACAGATCCGGGGCATACTGTGGGTGGTCCAAGGGTGGGAGTCCATTGCTTGTCGTCCAGTCTGGGGTCATGAGCCAGGTGATGCCACTGCTGTTGAAGGTCCCAATTTTTGTCCAGTTATAATACGGAGCCTGTTGATTTGAACCGTAGATCTGCAATATAATCCCGGGGCTGTGCGGCATGGGATGGTATTTCAATATGAGTAATCCACTCGAACAGCTGTGGCGCACTACATCGTTGTCTTGGATTTTTGCATCCCCTCAAGTGCAGTCAACTCTCTCTCCACTGCTGTCTCGGTGTTCTCCAGCAAATCGACTCACAAGTTTTGACTTCCGGTGCTGTCGAACCTGTGAACCCGAGATGATGTTAGTATTGCGGACGCTCTTGTTCGACAGCTCAGCTCATTTGTCGATGTGACGTACGTTATAGGGGCCGTAGCAGTTCCCACGAAGTTGGTTTTGGTGACCTCGGCCGGAGTGAAAACACCTTGGTGCGTCAGGTTGACTAGATAGCTTGCGTCAAGCCCTCGCTCGTTCAATACCTGCACAAAAGAAATACATTGTATCGGTATTCGCGCATCATCTTGACAGAATCTGGAAATCAAAACGTCTCCCTTACTCGGTCCCAGGTCGTCACGATCGCCATTATGACATCGAAGGTTCGCCTGTGAAGCGAAAAGTGTTACGAATTGCTCTCGGTGGTATCAGGACACCATTTCATTCGTCTTACCTCGCTGGCTCGTATGGCAGCAAGCTCACGCCGTACCACCCTGGATCTTGGGCTTCGGCTGCTCCAAATCTGCAACAAGGGAAGAGATAGCCTGCATGAGTTTACTCTCTTATTTCAGCGCATTGATACTTTGCCGCCCACACAAGCCCATCACACCATGTGTCATTGGACTCGACTCGAGCTTGTACCTCGCGATGATCTCGGCCTGATAGCTAGCGTTGAGCCACTGAGTCATCGGTGAGGTGAGGTTGACTCCCTGCCAGATGAACCACGCACGAGTGGATCGGTCTCGTCAGAATCAATCAGAATTGGTCGTGCGCTTGCATGAAGTTCTATATCTCACCATATCAAAGCTAGGGATAAGGAAGCTTCTCGAGTAGCTGTGTGCCCCGGCACCAAACGAATTGTCAATTTGTGTGTTGTTTGCGCCGTAGTATCCGAGGGTTTGGTACGAGCACCACGCCTGCATACGCAATCTGTTAGTTCGGAGCTTATTGGCAAGTCTCCAATCCCTCTGAGAACGCTACCGCCACGCAGAATGATTGTGCATTACGTATTCTGGTCCGCGAAATCCGTATTCTCTACATGGATTGGGATTATTCTGTTAGAAACAGCTTGCGGATCCAGCCCAGTACTTTCCGTGCTGCACAGTCGCACTTACATAGCGCCGTAGTAAAACCAGTCGACCAAGTCCGGCTCCACTCTGGAAACACGGGAGGCTCATGATCAGTATTGGCGCTACGTTGTATAAAACACTGGTCTACTGGGCGTCTGGTTTCAGACACCAGCATTTCCAGATACCCTTATGCACACGGCGGTCACAGAAAGCCTACATCATGTAGAATATTCGGGCATTAGAGTTGTCGAGAGCTTGGTACAGAGGATAGAGAATCTCCATCATATAAGTGCCGTTGTTGTAAGCAGCAGCCGGAACCTGAAATCCTGGTGGTTGCAATCCAGCGTGTTTGCGGTTGCAAGATAGACACTCGTCAGATCAGACGAAAACACTGAGCGAGTATTCCGGGCTGCGGAGCCGCTGGAGCCATGAGGGTATGGACAGTGGTAGCGAGAATATCGTGGCGCTTTCCTACACACATCTTTCAGCCAAGGTAGTTTCTGATGCTGGAAAGCACACTACCTTGAATTGAGAGCAACTTGAGACCAGCGGCAGTTGCTGCATCAACGAACTGGCCAGCGAGGGTTCTCTCCAACGTTGCAAGTGAGTAGACCAGAGCCACTTGAGTCCAGCCAAAGGAGTTTGCGAGATTGATGAATCCGGTGATGCCGCCCCTATGTCATATTTGAAAGGGTCAGGGTTGAGGAGATAGCCTTGGCTGAGCCAGGTATTGCATACCCATTTGCGATTTGCTCTTGCCACGCCGCCACAGTTGGGTCAAACAGCATGCGAACGAGTTTTTCTGTTCAATCTCATTTCACTCGCCGACCAGACTCGCCCACGTACATGTAGTATGCACGGAAGAAATATGGATAAAGCTTCGAGTTGGCGAGTGTCGGGCTTCCGCAATCCGAGCAGATTTGTGGAATCTGATGGATCATATTCGGTAGCCGTGTCAGCCAAAGTGGCAGTGAAATCTCCTGGGCCGCGATGATGCCACTCACCATTTGGTATCCGCTGACGATCCCGGACTGGATGTTCTCGCCGCTGCTTGGTCCAGCGACGATCAAGGTGCAGTTGGCTTGAGCCATTTGGTATGCCGCCACCGCCTAGTCGAATCAATGAGATCATGTAACATTGCATAAGCCGGTGGCTCTTTTCCTTGGACGCATAATGAACACGAGATTGACACAGGAGAGTCGAAACTCGTGATACGGCAGCGGCATTCAGCGCCACGAGCGACTATAGAAAGGAAAGGTGACTCAACTGCCAACCCGTAGTTGTTCTGCACATCAATGGGAACAGGGTAAAGTGTTGCATCGGGCATGATATTGGTACTGTTATTGATCATGGCGATGGCTGTGTAAACGATCATCTCCACCGTCGCGCCGACTTGAAGGAGCGTATTTGGGTACTGAGAGTCCGTGGAGATTCCAATGCATATCTAGGAGCAGAGCGATAAGCTGAGTGTGAGCTTGGGCGAGATATGGCCCTCATAACGCACTCCGGCAGTTTCCAGCGGAGGACACATCATGAGCCCCGATCGATGCGATTCGGCCTTTCGGGACTCGGAGATACGACCCGATCCTTTCGGAGATCTGAAATACCGACTCTGTTGCGCGTCTTGTTTTGCACCCTCGTCGAGGTCGTAGGTCGGAGAAGAGCAGCATAGAGCAACACCCGCAAGAGCACAATCGAGCGCATCGTGGAAACTGTTGCGCATGCGCTTCCGACGATGGTGTAGAGCTCGGAGCTGACGCTCAGATGACGGACGCGGAGATATTTCAGGCCATGCCGTGCTTTTCAGCGGGCAGACTCGATAGTCAACTGAGGGGTTCTGGCCCAATCATGCGAAGCCTCCTCTGCCTGCCTCTCGAACGATGAGATCCATCTTGGGGTTCACTTTGGGGTCTTTTTTTGTGATCCGACAGACTCTGGGGCGGCGAGCCAACTGACCAGCATCTGGCTGTTCGACTGGTTACTTGCTCAGTAGGCAGTCCAAGTGACTGGCCCTGATGCTCAAATGATATCCACCCACAGCACACAACTCAAACCTGTCCCAATGCATGTCTAGCACATTCAAACCGCAAATGCTCCGGCTTGGATGAGTTGCGTCAAAAGGTTCGAACGAATCTTCATCAAGCAGGTCCTTCTGTGGCAAGTTGGGGCCCATATTGCGTCAGTTCACTTCCTCCAGGGAGTTGTCGCCCAAGGGGTGTCTCCAAGGGTTGTCGCCCAGACACCTCATTCTTCAATCAGTCGTCCAGTCACCTGTCCAATCTTCGTAGACGCAACTACGAGTCACTCAGGAGAGTCTGAATCGCCATGGCATCTGCTGGTAAGCCTTATCGCTGATTTGTCTGACCGTGATGGTCTCTGACTTCTGCCACATCGCCCCTTCGCATTTCTCGGAAAATTAGCGGCTCATAAGCCCTCCACCCCCCTCGAGCCCTCAATTCTGCGGTTTGATTCCTGGTACTTTTTGATCCCTTCCGGCTCTCAAGGCAATGGCCCCCCGTAGATCCATTGTGGTCCTCTTGGTCGCGCTTATCGGGATCTCACTCGTTAGCGCTGTTCGCGTCCACAACAAGACTCGCAATACGGTAAGTTCATATCCTATCGAGAGTACAATGACGGGAGGAGCCGGCGTAAATTGCCGACTCGACGTGCGCAATAATCCCGAGAGCCATATCGACGCGACGCGCACCCTCATCGAATAGTGTCCCGCACAATTCGATCGCGCTGGCGCAAGAGACCACCGGCTGACACATCCCGTATCGCCTGTCTGTTTAGATATGCATCGGAATCACGACCATGCCGAGATACCCGAGCGGCTTTGCAGCCCAGCTTGGCCTCACGGCCAATATGGCTGCATATACCGCCATCGATGTTGTCAACAATGACTCGACTATTCTGCCGGATGCTACATTGGTCCCATTTGAAGTGGTCTCGTACGGCGTCCCTGGTCTCGGTGTAAGTGTTTGATTCCGGATTGCAAATTGCAGATTGCACGGCAACTTTGGCACAGATTCCTGACTGCACATCCAACTTTCCTTCTGGCACTTCAGACACTGGCTAGCTACACCATGGCTGCTCACAATTGCACAATCATCATCGGCGACCCGTCCAGTGGATCAAACATTCAATCGGCGGTCATGAGTGGCTACGAGAAGGTACGATTCGTTTGCACGCACTCTGGGTCAGATGCACGCTTCAATATCGAATGCAATTCCTGTCCAACCACTATGAGCCAACTCGTGCTTTGATCACAGGTTCCCCAAATCTGCGGCAACTGCGGTAGTCCAGTCTTGTCCAACCCACCCATCTATCCATACTTCTTCCGAACCTTTTACATGTATGTTGTTGTTCGCACTGCATGGCCTTGTGTTTGTGTATGCCTGGGAGTCCCGTCAACACCCTGAGCTCGGCTGCTCGCTTTGAGGCTGTGCTCAGTCGTGGTCCAACGCAAGTCCAGCGGGCGATTCGCGAGCGGCGGCAGTTGTTGCTGACGCGATTCGACTGCATTTAATCTACCGATGACACGCAGGGGTTTTGTGGGAGGCGTCGTGTCTGTCGTCCGTGGGTTCGGCTGGGGCAAGATTGCGATTGCATACTCGCTTGATGTGCTCTCCAGTAGCGTGGCCCAGTGGATTGTCAACGACGCCGCAGCCTACAATATTGAGATTCTCACGATCCAAGGTTCGTGTGAATCTCGGACAGCCAATGGGCCGAATGATTGAGGAGATGCTCTTTTGATTAATACGTGTTGGCCTGTGGCAGCCTTTCAAATCAGCGGCAGCGCATATGGCAACACTACTGCCATGCAACAAGAAATGATTCCTATCTATCAATCCATCAAGGCTTCGAATGCCAGGATCATTGTCCTTATGTAAAGCGAGCACATATCAGCGGGCGGTGCTTGCTATCGCAGTCTAGAAACACTTTGAGCATCGCTCATGGAGCATCAAAGTTCGAATTAACACATTTATCGCCACCCATATAGAACAAGCGCCGATATCATAGACTGGGTATTCTACGGTGCAGTGTAAGTAACGTATACCCGCAGTGTTTTTGGAATAACGTACTCAAACACTCTGCCCGAACGACCAGATCGTATGGGTTCAAGGGATCCCAATATGTGAGTTTCTGGTTGCAAGCTCGATCTGATACGGCCGCCTTCAGCAAGCTGATACAATTCAATGTTTCAGGCATGGTGCAGCACACAGCCGATGGGTAGCTCTGGAATGAACAGCACCCAAATCGACAGTGCCTATGGAAACGGAACCCATGTGTTCTCAAGAAGTGTCCTTGTTCCAAACTTCTACATGGTATGTCGGTCGCGAGCCAAGGAAGAACATATGGCGCATGGCTAACGCGAATACTGCCTCTACCTTCATCTTGAAAGTACTACAACTACAACACCTCAATCTTCCGAACTTTCAACACAACATACCGCTCCGAGGTTGCTTACAGGTGGGTGCCGGCAAGGTATTTTGCGTGATTCCAACTTCATTCGTATCTGACTCGATTCACCAAACAGATATCCTGGCTCGGCCGCTTCGATCACTTCGTGGCTCTCGGCTGACGGTTCGGTTCCCTTCGATACAGCTGTGTAAGTCTACAGTGTGATTTCGTACTCCATTTACCAGAGCCGAGTGTTTGGTAGTAGCGACCTTCTCATGATGACGACACACGGCTAAAATACGAGCTTCGATTTCAGGCGCGTTTACGATGCCACCTTGGCAATTATCCACACATGGGACAGGGTATGTGGCAAAGCAGAGCTCTCGCTATTCATAAATTTTGATTTGGGGAGTATTGACAATATTATGTTTCAGATCTTGAACCAGCTGGGCCTCGATGCGAGCTACATTCCGCAACTGACAAAGCAGGGCGTCTTTACACCCGCTGAAGTCACGAACACCCAGTATCTGGGAATTGGAACACTCCCCGTCTCGTAAGAAACTGAGCTGCTTTTGGAAGTGTGGGGCAATCATTTGGCTTGCGATGAACTGAGGGCAGCATATTTACTGATTTCATAAACATAGGTTTGATAACACCGGAAGTGAAATATTGTGAGTATCGCCTTGGATACAACTCGCCCCTACTTTGATGAAATCCGATCACTAATACAACAATGATGATGACAGTACGGGCGTTATCCTCCAGAATTACGGCCCAACAATCTATGCGCCCGCATATAACATGGTGGCAATTGGAACCTACACCGCGACTGGAATCAATCTCACCATGACCCCAGACTGGACGACAAGCAATGGACTCCCACCCTTGGACCACCCACAGTATGCCCCGGATCTGTTCATGTTCTGGAACGCGGATAGCGGAACCGACAGCGTTGCCATCATCTTTGGCGTCCTCTATGGCATCCACGTCCTCGCGGCCTTTGCTTCGTTCTTCATGGTGATCGTCAATCGAAACAAGTCTGAGATTTCCCGGACCGGACTGGTCTACTACATGGTGGTGACGGTAAGAACTTGTCGAGTTGATTTGGAGGGAAAGCGTGCGGTCGAGACCGAGACAGCACGACAACACGGCAGCACGGCAGCACGCCAAGAGAGTGGCTGTGTGCAAATGCAATTGAGTTCGCCGAGTATATTGGTGCATGAGATACAGGCGGAGCGAATGCATACCCGATGAGAGTGGTTGGTGGTCAGTGGTCGTGGTCAACGAGCCTGCGATACAAAGCGTCAAATCAGCTCACATTGACCAAGAATATGCTCATTCAATACGCTCTGTGGCTATTGGGGTCAACCTACAGTTTGGAACACTGCTCGTTGCCATCGAGGGTCTGTTTGACCTGTCGGGATCCTCTGTGGTGTGCGAGCTCGACGCCTGGCTTCTTGGCCTTGGAATCACGGCTGTCTTGGTAAGCGGATGTGCAGATGTGCAGATGTGAAGATGTACAGATGTGCAAGTGAGTTGGTCGATAGGTCGGCCGGTCGACAAGCGGCGGAATTGGGAGTGGCCTCATCACAGCCTCGCTGACGAGACACTCGAACACTGGAATCACACACCAAACCACTCATCAAACCGCATGCCAAACCGCATGCCAAATCGTGTCTTCTCGACCTCAACTGCTCTCCCATCGCTCGTCCACGATCAGAGCATGGTCATGGTCAAGATCGGCCGAGTGTTCCGGATGGGACGTAAGTGTCCGCTGATCTGCGCCACAGCTTCACCTGTATCCTCGGATATACTCTGGCAGTGCTTTCCATGATGCTGAGTGGCCCCCACACCGTTGAATAGAGCGAGGGTGTGGCGCAACGAATCTGGTGCAGCGGACACGGCACAGACGCTATAGTGCAGATGTTATGGTGCAGCCGTTATGGTGCAGCGGATACGGTACAGACAATGATACGGCGGACATGATGCAAAGCAGCGATAGATTCTGATCCAAGTCGTGGCCGAACACAGGAAACAAGAAGTTGATGGAGCGACAGTACAAGAACGCGCACTTCCTGATCTCGTTTGCCGTCACATGGACGATCCAAATTGTACGAAGCGATGCAATGCGACGGAGTGCACCGGGCCAGTGGTATTGGCGGGATCAGCAGAGCGCTGGAATTGTTGAGGGTATTCAACCAGGCAGTGATCGTGGCATGGGTGGCGAGTGAGGTTAGGTGCGAGTATAGGCAGTGTACTTTGGTGATCGCACTATGGTTGGGGTGTTGTGATGGTGCAGCCCGAGATTGCAGCGGAGGACCCGAGATTGCAGCGCAATTCGGTGCATTGTACTCACACACCTCCCTTTGCTTTGCTTTACTCTGCTCGAACTACTTGGCTTGGTTTCTCGACTGCTCGACTGCTCGACTACCTATAATACTCGCCTCATTCATCCATACCATTCGCCTCATTCATCCATACCATTCGCCTCATTCATCCATACCATTCGCCTCATTCATCCATACCATTCGCCTCATTCATCCATACTATTCGGGACTGTCACCCTGGCGCTCTGGTGTCTCTACCACATCATCTCCGCCTGTGCACAACCTGGCACATCCGCTACACTCCCTCCCGATTGTATTCCTTCTGCCGATTGCGGCTAACCTCACTTCTTTGGACTCGGTGTGCATACGCTGTCTTTCCGTCTTTGACCCACATCCCCCACACCAACCCATGTCAATTTTCCGACCCACATCACTTCGCGCCATATCGCTCCGTTTCAAATTGCCATCGCATTTGTTGTTTGGTAGATCCTCCTCATCGTCTGGGCCGCCACCCAGTCTTCAGCCATGACAACCACCTACACCGACACCACCTACAGCTACCAGTGTGTCAACACTCTCGGCAATCCCACGGGCATCACTATTGTGCTGTACATTTACATCGGGCTCTTGGTTTTGGGTAGCCTGGTTATCGGATTCTGCCGCAAACAGGTTCCTCCCGAGTAAGTCCTCCGCCACGATCCATGCTGACGATATCAATCCTTGCTGCTGGCGGCATCAATCCTTGTTGCTGGCGGTACCGATGCGGCCTCTGGCCCTGTCTGTGCTCTGCTTGCCTGTGACTCTGGTCGTGGCCGCGTCTCGGCTTTTCTGTGGCTCTGGCTGCAATTCTGGCTGCGATTCTGGCTGCAATTCTGGCTGCGATTCTGACTGTGACCACGCTTCTACTTGCTGAATCTACAACAGGGAGGACAGGGAGGCCACATATGTGGTGATGGCGCTGCTCAACATGGGGCTGTGCATGGGTCTCGAGCTATGGCAGGTCACCAACACCAACATGCCTGTGCGGATGAGATCGCTCCTCCGGCTGATCATCCAGTGGATTGGCCTCTTTGCCACCCAGAACCTCCTCGTCACCCTCGACCTTCTCCATGCTGTTCGCAGCGAGAAAGGATCAGACACCCATAGTATCAGCACGACCCGCGGGGGAACGACAACCAAGAAGCCTCTGTTGCGCCCGCAGAACACACAAAGTGTTAGCAATGTTGATGTAAGTCGCTCATTGATCAACTGATCTATTTGCTGATGATTCATTCTGACTTGTTATCATCATCAGCTCTTCACCAGCGCAGACGTCATTTGGTGCAAGAAAGGTATTTTTGGCCAATGGAGCCAGGCCAGCATCCAATTTTGCAAATACTACAAGCCCTTCCTTAAGGTTACGGACGAGGGCGACAAGGTGAGGGTCCGCTCAGTCCTTGTGTGCCCGCTCTGGTCATGCACAGACTCCCTTGACCACTCGGTGCTGGATTCATGTATTAATCCACCCATATTGCAGGGATGTGGATTCCATGTCCCTCTCAGCAAGATCTCCGGAGTGGACATGCACATGGTCGAGACCGACTCCTTTGTGGCTACTCTCGACGGGTCCAAGTACACATTCCAGACCGAGAACGGGGACATTGCATCCAAGTTCACGTCGCTCCTTGGAACCCAAAAGCCAACTCCTGGAAGCGGCACCGTGTGATAAATTACATGTCTCTCGTCTGCGCTGCATCAAACGCACTTTGAATTACTCGGCGTTTGATCGCAGTTTCTCCCTTATCACTCTTCGAGTTCTTCTCCGTTTATCATCTCTTCTCGACTGTGCTCGGCATGATATGTATGCTGGTGCGACTCAATGATGGATTGCCCGTTTCTTTTTGGAGCTCGAAAGCGATGTTATCGAGCTTGGCAACTTGCATTTCGGCACTTTATGATTGGTGGCCAGGATCGCCACTTTGCACAATACGCAGACCAGCAAAAGTCCGCTTCAAATACAGTCCATCCAGCAAGAAACGGGACGGTCACTTTCTGGCACCAGGGACACAAGTCTGCTGATCCGTAGGCTCCAGTGAGCAAGCCATGAGATTGTTTCCTGTCCTGGTTGGCAATCTCTTTGTGTGGTGCATTCACTCGACCCTCTGGACTGCTCCATGGTGTATCGATATCAAGATACTCGACCTTCTCAAGTCGCCTGGCTTCCCAGCACTGTGAGCACCCCTGGGAGGTGTCTTTCGCTTGCGGTGAGCCATCTGAGCGAGAAAGCGTCCTTGATTCAGATCCAGAATTCCATCACCGAATGTTCATGGCCAGCGCGCGAGTTGAGTGATAACATTCACCAATTCTCAAACCCCGGTGTGTCCAGTTATTATTGGATTGGTTGATAAACTCATACGCTTGTGGCCTACACGGTAGTGAGTGTGTGCTTGTGCAATCCGAGCTCCACTTGTGACTGAGCTGTGGGGTCGACTACATTTCCGATTTATTGAGGCATCACATATGCTTGAAACGCTTCTTGGCAATCCTTGTACTGGTATCCGTTTTTGAAATCCAGTCCCCCAAGCGGTCTGTTTTTCCCATCGACCATGATGGTGCGGATGCCCAACCATTCATCCGCGCATTTGACCCAGGTCAGATCATTGTCACGATCGAAACAGAACGTCCCCGGGGAAGCTCCAGGGCACGGTGGGGAAAACGGCGATTTCAGGGGGGCATTTGGCGGATGCAGATCCATGAACTTGATCATCTTGTTTCGATATGTGGCCATGAGGGCAAACTTGCACAGAGGAACCAATGTCAGCCAGCTATCCACCCATCGTCGATAGCTCTCAGCCTCGCCACCATTGCGTTCGAGGCAGGGGCTTTGATCCGAAACAAGTCGAACACCCACCCTGTGACCGATTGCGCGGTGGGTCCGATAGATCTTCTCGGCAGTGTCGCCACTCCAGTCGATCGCCGCCTGGGATTTGACAATCTTCGGGGCCTTGGTCACCATGGATGAGTCCTGCACCTGGGCTTGGGCCTGATTAATCCAAACTCAATTAGTTCCAGCGTCATATTATCGGAACTGTCGTCGGTGCCGTGTGGACGATTTTTGCCGACCTTGTGAGCCTCTAGGGATCTGAGCACCTCAGCTAACTGAGATGCACCGAGCTCCGCCAGTCTGTCATGTAGCTCGTGGTAGTAGCAGTTATCGGGGATATCCTGATTTCGTGACGCTTCTGTTAGCGATTGATGCATTCGCGCAATAATTGAGCTGGGGTTTATCCTGACGAGCATCGACCAAACCCTTCGTCGATTCAGAGGATACGACAGTATCGGATTGTACAAGCAGCTTGTTCAACTGTGAGCTAGATGTTCACTCCCAACTTACAATCGATGCCTGTCTCAAGATCTTGCCAGCGTCAAAGCGAGAGGGATGGAGCTCGATGATCGAGACGCCCGTGGACTGATCGTTGTTCAAGAGAGCATAATCGATCGGGGAGGCGCCTCGGTATCTGATATCGGTGAATGACCACCATTAGCGTTTGATGTGCAGAGTCACATCGTTGGCCGATCAACGGCTCTCGCTGTGGCTGATGCGACACCAACGAGAACGAAGCCAACCTTGGAAGTAGCGATGGATGAACATTGAGGGTACCGGCCGAGAAACATTGGATCAGCCGCGCTGGGATGAAGTATCCAAACGAAACGACGATGCCCAGATCGAACCGGGATCCCGACGACTCTGGCATCTGATCCACATCAAAAGCGCGGTGAGCAACTTGGAAAGCGATCTGGTCGGCTCCATCGGGTTACGGCTTTCAGAAATACCTCCCATCCTTTGAGTGAGATCGGCGGGGCAACATGGACCTTGATTCCGTTTTCCAGCGCAAATCGTTTGAGAGGGACTGCGATGAAGCCGGTGCAGGGTGAGTCCGACCCGACCGACCGACAACCATGCCAACGCACTTTGGGACTCACGATGCCTATCGGGATCCCAGGACAAGAAGGTCGACTCACCGTCTTTGTCGTGTGGGTTGCTGGCTTTGTAGTCGGCTCCTCGAGGGACGACAACTTCGACATGCGAAAGGCACTCTGTCAAAGGCATACAAACCCCATCAGCATCAGAATGCAACCAGTTTTGCAAAGCGTGCAGCTACTGCCTTGAATTCGGGTGTGAGGATCTCTCGAATTGCTGCATTTCACACAGTCAAGAAGGGCGCTCTGGCCGGGGGCCAGGAAATGCATACCTTTGTCATGCAGGATGCGACGCAGGGAGGCAACCGAGAAGCGGTCTGATCCAAAGAACAAGACGCTGTGCTTCAGACAGCCTGCAGACGATGCGAACAGCCGCCGCCCGGGACGGCCAAGCAGATGCAAGTTCGCCACAGCCGAGCGGATCATCAATACCGATGGCTGTCGGAGGGAGGGAGAATCCGGCGCCAGATGCGGGACGACGATCAAAGGCACCGCCGCGATCAAGCTTCGAGCCGGCGGAATGGCTTTGTGCTGCGCGTGTTGCGACCCAGGCACGAAACCAACCCAGACCATGGACAGCAACGATGAGGTCTTGATATTGCCGACGTATGCCAGTAATCAAGCCTCTCGGAGAGCCACTTTCGGCGTCCGACAAGCACATTCATCCACTGGCCGCAGCCTTTATTTTCTGATCTTCGACACAGTCCCGTATCTCTTGGACATGTGCTGGACAGGGATTGGCTTGTGCATCAGAGACTGTGACTATGCGCCAACTTGCGGTCAGCCCACGACTCTTGGCCACCCATGTCATATATCATAGTTGCTTTATAATATTGCTGCACCATAGCCACTGTTTCGTTTGGCGATGCATGCGCCCACTTTCAGCAAGCTGCTATGCGGCCCAAGAGCTTAGCCGCCAACCCGAGCCAGACGAGCCTGCTTCTTTCGTTCGTAGCACTCGCGGATGCTTTGCTTGATTGCCGAAGCGTTGGAGCTGAGCCGTCGCGAGACGTTCTGGGCGAGCGCATCGTACTAATCCAAGGCAAACGTGTGAGCTCATCGCGGCACAATCAGTCTCCACAGCGGTCAAGTGGTCGCACAGCCTCGATGTCCTTACCTTTTGCTTGGACATGGAGTACTCGCCATCGCCGACGGTCATCGGGTCGAACGGGTTATCATCAAACTTGGCGACTGGAATGTAGACAATACTGACTGGCGATTGTGCTGCAGCTGTATCAGCCGAGGCAGGCACGAGCTGAGTGATTTCAAAATCGGGGCGACCCTGCCTCTGCTTGGTGGGTGGGGGAAGATATCCGTGCTGCTGTGCAAAGCTATGGAGGGAGCCAGGGAAGCTGGGAGGCGAAAACAAATGCCCAAAGGGACAAGGGCGATCAATAGTCAGAATACAGCGCATTAAGGAGGCAACCAGGCAACGGCAGTGATGCTGGCGGTAATGAATGTACCAGCAATAAACGTAAGCGCTCACCCGTTGCTGATGACGTAGGAGCTTGTGTCGAGCGCCAGGAATATGTCGACATTACGACCGGCCCGAGTCAGGACATCCAAGGGGAGGTTTCGGTCGGTGCCTGTGCTCGAATCGGAGCAAGTCAATCAAGCTGACAGGAACGGCTCCGCAGACGATACGATTTGGACGCTCGGCACGACAGCAACAGCGCATGGATGTCGTGAAGTACTTGCCTGCATCGAGTAGCTCAATCGTGGCATCAAATTGCACTCCTGGCTGCGGCTTGGGAGTGTTTGCCTGCGACTGGTATGCCATATTCCCTGGAGCAGCCCGTATCGACGGTCGTGTAAGCTCGACTGAGCGCTGGAAAATATGGCCATCCCTGGCGGCAACGACGATACCTACATATTTTCCCCGGAGGCAGCGTCGCATCATAGAGCACCTCTCCGGCCTTGGTGCTTTCGGCACGCTCGATGGACTGAGCTCGCAATCATATGGCGTCAGGGCTCCAAAACAAAGCAAGGCACATATCGTGAGAGTCAACCATGCACCCGGCGATGGTAAATACACACCGCACGGAGTTCGCTTCGATAGCTTTCTGGCAGAAAGCTTAGCTTTCCGAGAAGCTGCTTCAGAGTTTTGCCCCAGGTAGTGCTCAAGGCGCTCCCAACGATGCTGGAAGAAGGGATAACACATCAGTGCCCGAAGTATGTTCCAAAGGTGCTGCGAGATGCGTGGGGCTGAACCGGTACGCACCCAAGAATCAACGACAGATTCTGCTCCATGACGTTAGCAGATCCCAGGGCCGGAACAGAGCGTCCATCAATGAATCGGCGCCCAAAGGACCAAGTTGGGATCCAGGCTGGAACGTCCATAGCAATACATCGGGTTTGGCGAAAGAAAGACGTCGTGAGCATGGTGGACTGACCCAGCACTCTGCTTTCTACCAATGCACCCAAGGGAATCATCGGATATACTCTCATTCAGATCCTCTCGGACGCAACGCACAAAAGCGCCTCGGACGAGCGAAGCCCCGTGTACCTGAGAAATCCACAGCCCCGATCTCAAAAGGCGAGAACTCCATCCAGTTGTATCGCGCGGCTTGGCCGCTCTCTTCGACGATGGTAATGTAGGCCGCGCGGTCGGCTTTGGTCCAGTCGTCGGAGAACCCGGGCTCCCAAGGCCGATCGATGTGGATGGCATAGAACAACGGAAGCGGCATCTGTCCGCTCCGACAGAGCTCGGCATAGTAGCTGAACTTGAGCCGCCGACGGTCCCATTCCGGGGTCTTGACGGTGCCAAACAGGATGCAGTCCAGCAGGACCGAGTAAAAGTCGACGGCGTCCAGCTTCTGTCCCGAGAGCCTCTTGATCTCGAGCGCACCGTAGAAATCATAGACAAACGGCGGTATGGCCTCGCCGGACGCCCCAAAGCAGACCAGCGGTGTAAGCCAGCGCGTCAGCACCTTTTGGACTGCTTCGTTGATATTGCTCGGCGAACAGTCGGCCACGTAGAGGAAGCTGAGACCCCAGCATCCGCCGCTGACTCCTGCACGGATACAGAGCCACAGAGTGTAAGCGAGGCTCGGTCATAGCAGGGCACCAGAGGATGGGCAGTTCAGGTCTTGCCTGCCAGATACATCAGGGAGTCGTACAGTCCCTCTGCATTGAGGGTTTCGATGAAGGCTGGATGGCACAGGGTGAGAAGTCAAACGCGGAAGTCATCAGTACAGCCGGCAAACCGAGCGATGGACGGAAATATGCGCATGCCTGGTCGTATCCCCTGTTCCGTTCGAAGCACCAGGACAATGCATCGCACCTGCTGTGGCCACGACAGACCGGAATCCTCCACCGCTGACCGAGGCGGCAATGACCGGTATGTCTTCGAGCTCCACCTCGCTCACAGGAATATCCAGATAGCGGCAGAAGCTGTCCTTGATGGCCCTGAGTCGGCTCTGCTGAAAGACAAGCTCGTCCTCCCCGATGGCGTTGTCGGTCCTGTTATGATGGACAAGGGGGTCAAAGCTTCTTGAGTGCGGGCCCATTGGCATCGAAATGCAGCTGCAGGGAAGTCGACCCGTTGAGACCAACCTGACGACAGCTTCGGTCGTGGTGTGCGGGCTCTGGCTGGCGTCCTGGGACTCGCTTGCAATGGTTTCGTGCAGATCTGAGATGCTCGCTCGCCAGCGCTTCAAGTCCAGCGGGGTGCTCTTGGCCCACAGCGGTACCTTGGCGCCAATCGTCTTGAAGAGAGATATCATTCTCTAGCAGCAATCGGGCGATGGGCGATGGGCGATGGGCGATGGGCGATGGGCGACGAGGCTGTGGTCCAAAAGACCAGACAGGGGCTGGTCGAGGGAGCTGCCGGATGGCCCTGGCGACGACGCCCTGGCCCAAGCCGGCGTTGTGCGAGGCTGGAGGTGGGTGAATTCGGGCTCCACCTGGTCCCGACCACGCCGTCTCTCCCGATCCGGCTCTGCAACAGCGCCGGTTGTCCGACTCGCAACCGGCCTGCCTTCCATCGGGGCTGCGGCCATGGCAAAGCCTGGCATAGCCAGGCCTGGCTCTGGCCGATTCATCAATCGATCGATCGACTGGCTGGCTGCCGGCAAAACACCACCGCGCCACGAAATCTCGATGACACAGCCACCCGGCTCGAACCGTGTGGTACAACCCGGGCCAATGAAACCCGGGCTGATACCCGAATCTGCCTCTCGATCGGCTTCGCTGCAAACAAAAAATATGAACGCCGGGACGTGGACAGGTGAGCGCACTGTGGCCGAGCATCAAGATGAGGTGCTTGCACCGGCAGCCCGCCCGAGCGCCCATCTCAGCAGGTTCATCCAGCAGACAAGCCGGCTGATGCAGAGCATCCTTGCAAACGACCGGGCTGGGCCGCATTGCGCTGGGCTCATGGCCAGACGAGAGCCAACAGCAAGAGCCTCAACTGACCCAGAGTCACTTGCATCGTGCCCGACACTGCAGACGGACACACAGTCTTCTGGGGCGACTTCCAATGCCAAGGATGCTTCGAAATACCGCTGAAGGGGGTGCGGTTCCGATGCCTCGAGTGTCCCGACTTCAATCTCTGTGCCGAATGCATGCCCATGTCAAGCCAATACCACAGCAGGCACCCAAACCACAAATTCTTCCAGTGGGAAACCCCGCACATCTGGAGCAACGTGCACTGCGATTGCTGCATGCGGCCTATCGTCAACGAGCGTTGGAGGGACCAGTACGAACCCAGAATCAACCTCTGTGCCGGCTGCTTTATCGAACGAGATGTCCACGGCTACAACGGCTACTTTGAGCTCGTTGGCTACAACCAAGCCTGGGGCAACGTCGGCTGCGATCGCTGTGGAATCGAGCCCATCACCGGCGGCCGGTGGAGGTGCCAGCGATGCGACTCGTTCAATCTCTGCCACGACTGCTACAAATTCCACCTCGATACCGACAAGGCATTCCACGGCGACGACCACCCCTTCGATCTCTGCTCACCCCATGTCGCTGGCGCTCCGAGGGAGGTATCGACATCCAATTTTCACTCGACCGAGCCACCGGCTGGCACCAAAGTCGTAGCCCCTCCGCGAGCTATTAACGGTCTCAGCACCGACGAAATCGAGTCCGGTAGGTGCTTAACAATAGCCCTGCCCTCATTGCTCTGGAAGGCCATTGGCGAGAGGCCTTTTTTTCGTGCTGGTTGCTCAAGTTTCATCGTTCCAAACATGGCTGTGGCGCGGTGGGCATGCCCTTGTTATTGGCGTGGCTGGCTGACATGACCATATTTGTGCTTTGTGTTGGTGGCGGTCCCAAGCGCTGGCGTGCTCGGTGTGCCTGGAGCTGCCAGTCCAGGCACAGACCATCAGCTGTGGTAAGTGTCATGGAGAGCAGGAGACGGAACGAGGGTTGGGGATACGGTATACGACCAGGTCATGGGGGAGCGGACCGCAGGCAACAGCAACAGCAACAGCAACAGCAACAGCAACAGCAACAGCAACAGCAACAGCAACAGCAACAGCAACAGCAACAGCAACAGCAACAGCAACAGCAACAGCAACAGCAACAGCAACAGCAAAAGCAACAGCAACAGCAACAGCAGAAACACCTCCGCTCACATTTCATTCACCTTCCCTCACCAGGCCACATGTTTTGCTACATCTGCCTCTACAATCTATGGAAGAGCACACCTTCCAAGCGATGCCCCTGCTGCCGCGACCAGCAGCACAACAACCGCCCTCCCAACCGAGCCATCGCCGTTGACCAACTCATCGAGTTGCTCATGGCAAAGTGCCCTGACGCGGCAGCCAAGGACGAGTACAAAAACAGGAAGACAGAGGCCGAGCAGCATTTTCGACAGCAGGGTTGGCGGCAGCTCTTCACGACATGAACGGGGAGGCAGCCGCGATCTCATCAGATTTGTGTATGGAGCAGAGAAAGACAACCCAGAGAGCCGTCGTTACCGCATGGTTTCTACCAAATGATTCCCTGTTGGTTCATCGCCACCACCCGACCACCTTCACCACCACCACTACCACTACCACGATCACTACCACCGTCACCACCGTCACTACCGTATTCATCGCTCGTGAATATATGAGACCGATCTCCACGGGCGATAAACACCTTGCACCAATGTGCGCCACCGTTTGGCGTGCTGGATGAGGGCACATGCATCCGGCTGCAACACACAGCGACTGGAGGCTCCATCAGGACGGCACATTTTGTTTTGCCCCTGGTGTGGAGGGCCCTAGGTCGCATCCTGCGCGCCCGCGGTCTCTCGTAACGCAGTCGTCCGGGCGGACATTGACACCTCCCCTCAAATTTGGGCCTCTTCGTGGTCTTGGTTCCATGCAGATCACTGATATTGAATCAACTCTGCCATCGAACGAACCAACCACAGGCCGCGACTCTCGGTGGTCACCTGGAAAACGGGCGATTGCGCAAAAGATGCCGCAGCAAAGGGCGGCAAGCTCACAGATATCGGTTTTTGATGGTGCGAAGCGGATCAGCAATGCCGTGGTCAAGCCACGGCCTACCGAGCGACATGTCACGCGATATGACAGGGGTGACTCAGTGCTGCTTGATGAGCGACTGATGATGGTGGTGGATAGGCTCAAAGGGCACAGCGGTGGTGGCCATGTTGGTGCGGTTGAAGGGAGGGAGTACCATGCTGCAGAAATGCGCATTTGTTACATTCAAGGTTCGGTGGTGTCTGACCCAAAGCTATTTAGCACGATCGTAGCCAAGCAACCACCAACCTCGAAAGGGTCTTGGTCACACTCGCCAGATCCAGTGAAAGGAAGTTGGTGATAAAGTGGCCGATTTCAATATTCTCGTGGTTGCCGCGGAGGGCATCCGAGTTGGCACCGTGGGCGTACTAGTGGCAGAGGAGAAGCATCGTGGTTAGTCCTCATCACCGAGCAGCGACCCGGAAGCACCTTGACGTGCTTGCGACAGTATGTCGGCGCGCGACGCTGCATATCTGCTGAGCACGGGCTTGAAGCTCACCAAGTTGACATCAACGGCCGAGTGCTGCGATGCGGCAGTGATCAAAGACCAGGCACACACCGCGCGAAACAGCGAATACAAGAAAGGCAGTCAGTCCGATGCATCACGGCGATATCAATGGCGCAATCATGTCGTGCCCTCTGGGATTCCAGCCTGGCAGAAGAGCTCGCCGCACATGGCAAGGCAAGCTCTGCTATATGTCAGCACGGCGCCATATCGGGAGATCTGCTCGGGATCTGCTGCACGGAACTGATGTGTGTCGTCGCAGTTCAACGTACGCCGTGAGTGGCCCAGCCCAACTGAGCGCGGTCGCTGATGATGGGGCTGAGGATGTTTTCGATTTGCGAGGGCAGGAGCCCGGGCTGGGCGAGCTTCTGGACCTCCTGCTCCGTGTAATCATGGACACCCAGCCATTGCTCAAGCACGACCGTCTTGACAAACTCGGTGCGGTTTTGGCCGTTGTAGGCAGCCAGGTCGGCGCTGATCTTCTCGCTGGAGCGGGTGACGTTGACAAGAGCCTCGGGCTTCCACAGATACTCGGGGTAGCTGGCACTGTCGACCTGCTTCGCGACGGAGAAGCCACCGGTCTCGTGGTCCGAAACCTGACGGGGCACAGTGTTGGCCAGAAAAACAAGGGCTCAGAGTCAGCAAGCAAGGTCCCGGCAGTCCTTCATCCACCATGGTTATTGCTCCGGTATCTGGTGCGCGACGCAGTGTCGAGCAAGAGTCAGCAAGAGCGCCCCCAGAGGCCAAGCAACGGAGCCAGCGGCAGCATACCGATATCATCACGGTGCCGGGGTGAGCGTTGACGTAGCCAATGACCTCCTGGACCATTTCGTTGTAAGCCAAAATTTCGTGGACATGGGTGGCAGCGTCGTTGCTGTGTAGAACACAGGGTATGTTAGCTCCTCATACAGTCGACAGAACCGGCCGCTTCTCGCCGTCGGTGTGCTCCCGTCAAATACCCTGCAGCCTAGTTGCCGAGTGGCCAGTTTGCTCACCTGTGAGCAGCCATGTCGATCCTGCTTCCCTCGATCAACAGGAAGAATCCCTTGTCCGAGTTCTCAGTGGATGAGGTCAGGATGCTGAGGGCTTTGAGAACGGACTCTTTGATCGAGGGTTCCTTGGCGGGATCGCGATCAATTTCGTAGGACATGTGGTCGCGGGTGAACAGCAGCATCAGGGGCAACCTGGGCACGGCCAGGACCCGCAGCGGGGGGGGGCGAGAAAGAGCCGCATTCGATATGCGAGGGGTCGTACACTGATCAGCACTGCATCCGCAGAGCGCGAATGCAACTCGGTTGAGGAGTGACTTACTTGGCATTTGAGGCGTTGAGGTTGTCAAAGTCCTGGCGGGTCGTTCCAACGTGCCAGCCAAAGTCCTTTGCTCGTTCAAAAACGTCGATGCTGTCCTGGCGGCAGCTGTTGGCGTCGGTGTTGGGCAAGAAATGGCACTGCCCTCCGCCAAACATCAGGTCGGTCATGCGACCGAGGGTGTAGTTGCCAATCTCCTGCAGGGCGATTTCGTTCTGTAGAGAGCGGGGGGGGGGTGAGCCGAAATTATCGCCAAGTCGGAGAGTGTTCATTGATGGCTCTGGAGAATGATGCATTCAGTTCAAGCTTCCGGAATCGGAAAGAACAATTACCTCCTGATCGCGGTGGATGGCGTGAGAGGCAAACGAGGCCGGGGTGGCTGAGCAGTGGATGAGAGGGAGAAACAGGGAGGCCGCCAGTCAGTCGAGCGAATGCGGGGCGGCACATCCCCAAGATATTCAGACCAGGCCGTTTCGTACCGTGGGTGATGCGGGAGGTCACGACCAAGCCGGTGGTGTATCCGGCGAGCTTTGCAGCCTCGAGAACAGTTCCGCAGGGCTTTCCGGAAGGATCCTGTGGATGTTGCCAGGGGCCCGCCGAGTTAGCAGGCGTCCGCTCGGCGCGCACATAGCTGGCGATGGGGGGTTTGCTCAGGAACGTCTGGTTCTTCATGGGCCACGGACGACACATACCACACCGATGGCTCCGTTGTAGCTCTTCAGGCCGCAAGAAAAGGCCGTGGCACCGGCGGCCGAGTCGGTCACCAAGCTGCTGGAGCTGCGGGTGCGCGAGCTGCCGACTGAACGAAGCATTGGACAACAGGCTGGGTCAGCGGCGTGCAATTGAGATTGCGGACGAGGCCGTCGAGCTCCGATCCCATAGAACAGGCGAGGGCGGAGCCGAGGCGCTGGGCTGCTAGTCATTTCGGGCTTGCTTACCGAGAATGGTATCGAGGGGAAGCTGGGAGTCGTATGGCAGGTCGTTGATGTAGGTGTGGTAGTTGCGGGCAAAGGTTTCGGAAGCTGGTCCGAAGCCTGGGGCAGTAACGCAGATCTTGGTTGGTGAATGCCTGCCGAACAGCCCGGGAGCACTGCAGCACCGAGCCGTATGCATGGTACCAAGGTGGACCAAGGTCTGTAGTGGGCCGATATCGGCTGCCAGAAAGGACAATACCCACCATCGGACACCATCATGATGACATTGCGCCGGAGAGGCTTCTCTGCAGAAGTGGGAGAAATGGAATCGGCTTAGCCATGGACAAGATATCGGCCTGAGCGGGTCCGGAGCAGCGGAGGAGTAAGAATGGCAAAGAGCCGCAGGCGATGCCTAGCGATGCCCAGCGATGCCCAGCGATGCCCAGCGATGCCCAGCGATGCCCAGCGATGCCCAGCGATGCCCAGCGATGCCCAGCGATGCCCAGCAAGCCAACCCGGGCCTCGCGAGCACGGAGGAAGAAGCCACAGCCGATTGTCGGACAGCTGCAGCAGAGAGCAGGCTTCGACGGGCAGCGCACCTGTCATGGGATAGAGCACACGAGCAATCGAGAAAGCAAAGATGATGAGCACCAGGACGCCCGCAAAGTAGGCACACAGCGTGCGCTGGTCCCGCTTTCGGTAGGTCAGGACGCTGGAGCAGCAGACGACCGATTCTTCGTCTTCGAGGTCATCGGCCGACTCGGTGGAGGTTCTGGCCGGGTTGAACAGCCGCTGGCTCTCGGGGTCGGGCATGCTTGGAGAGGACGCTTGCGGGCTCGGGCAGCGGGGGACTTGGACGGACTGCTGGGGCGGGTTGTTGGGCAGATGGCTGCTGAAGACCGAGCCAGCTGAGCTTGCGGCTGAGGCTGGATTTTGGGCGCCTCGTCAAAGGCATTTGCGGAACGGGCACGAGAGGGGACGGCGCGGGGGGGGGCTTGGGAAAGCAGGACGGGCCTGGGCCCGATGTGATCGGCTGGGCGACCGAGACAGGGTTCCTTGGGAAGAACGACAGAGCGCCGCTCGGGAAAGCCCTCGGTGCCGATGGATCAAAGGGCAGTGCTTCTGATCGGGATGTACCCTGGGTAGAACCGAGGGATGGCCATCGACGGGGGAGGTTGCCCCATCCGAATGAGACAATCGCACGGCCAAGAGATACACCAAGAGATAGCCAAGAGATGCTGTGGATCGACGAAGCAGTCCGCGACGATATCCGACATGGCAGTATTGGGCATGGATTTCGTATTCATAGAAATTTCAGTGTGGCTCGCCCACATTCATCGGCCATCATTCCAAGGCGGCACTAGAGCTCTATCCGCCATGGACGGTGGCAGCGACAGTGGCGAGCGAGATCTGTATGTGCGCTGCTTCATGACCAACATACACCAAGCCAGCGTGCAGTGCAGATCTGCATCTGGCGATATTAGAGCCCCAGACCGATGAATGGTGTGCTCGCCGCAGAACTAACCCCGAGGCGGCGATCAGCGAGTGTGCCCCGGCCCCTCAGCTAGTCCCAATTCCTCTATTTCGCTTCGAATCTCGTGTCTACAACTCTTTCTTGCTGGCGACGATCGACAGTATCCAGAAGACTGCATCTAGAGGCCCGAGACGCTCCTGGCGGAGTCTTCCCCCTTGGACACCGGGGAGGCCTCCTCTCCGGAGCGGTGAATGTACTTTAGTCGAGTGCCGGTGATTTTCTGCTGCAGCTTGTAATAGGGCTGGATGCCGAGCTCCTGGAGGATGTCGTACATGATGAAGAGAACATCTGCCGAGCGGGTCTCGGGCAGCTCCGTGGCAATCTTGCACATCTTGGCCTTGACAAGGGCGTACTGGGCGTCGTCCAGGATCGGAGGCTGGCCACCGAGATAGTACACGGCTTCGAACCAGTCGGGCCCGTAGTTGGAGGCAAAGAGCGATTTGTGGTAGATGAGCAGGTCGCGGTCCAGGACGGAGATGTTTCGCAGATGCAGCTGGCTCGCGATGTGGCCGAGTTTCTTGAGCTTCTCGGACGACGAGGTCGGGTCGTACTTTCGCTTCAGGAAGACGGCGAGTTTGTGGGTGTAGTTGGAGAGCCGCCGTCTCTTGCCGGGGGTCATGTCTTGCCCGCCGGTGGGCTGCCCTGCGCTGGTGCTGGTGCTGGAACTGGTGCTGGTGGTGGAGCAGGCCAAGGACTGCGTGGGGTTTCTTCTTGCTGCCGCTGGCGGCATTGCATGTGCTGTTAATGCTACCGATGCTGTTGATGCTGTTGATGCTGTGCTGTTGATGCTGTTGATGCTGTTGATGCCAACCGCCGTGGCCATGCTGCCGATGGCTGTGGCCGTGGAGCCGCTATCGCTGTCCGCACGCACAGATCCCACCGAGACGATGGAAGGCTGTTGAATTGTGCCGATACTGGGTGTGCCGCAGCTGTTGTTGGAGGAGGCATGGTCAAAGGACGATGCCGGAGTTACCTGCACCTCCAGTGTAGCGCCGACGGCAGCAGCACCCCCCAGGCCTGCAGCCATAGCCGGGCTGCCGCAAACGTCTGATGCCATCCAAGACTTTTGGGCATTGTAGACAAAGGCGGGAGTCAGCGGCTGTTGTAGTTGTTGTGGCTGCTGCTGTTGCGGTTGCTGCTGCTGCTGCTGCTGTTGGTGGTGGTGATGGTGATGGTGATGATGGAGGTGGGCAAGCTGCGGGGAGGGGTGGTGGGATAAGGGCTGCGTCTGCGAAGACTGAGTCGACTGCTGGTGGTGGTGCATGTGCTTGGCTGGGAATTGAGTGGCACCCTTGGCGAGAGGCGAGGCCAGAGCCGGTCCCAGACTTGTGGGCGAGGAGACAGATCGATCGAGGTACGGATAGGATGCAGCAGAAGGCGGTTGAGGCTCGGGCGCAAACATGGGATCATCTGCGAGATTCCCCCAGATTCCCGAAGGCGGATAGATCAAGACGTTGAGCTCGACGGGCGACATGACCCGGACCGAGCCGCTGGAGTCCAGAGCCTCTGGATACGTTGGAGAGTAGAGCATCAGATGCTCGCCGTCGCCGGGGTAGAACGCACCGGTGGTGGCATTGTTGTAGTAGAGAGGCACGGGCTGTGGGCGCGGGTTGACAGAGCCGCTGAAGTTCAGGAAAGCCGACTCGAGGTGCCTGACCTGGTCCTCGGTTTCTGCATCAGAGAAAGGGCCAGGCCGCCCGGGTGAAATGAGAGTGTCGAGGTGAGCACGCGCGAAGGTAGCCAGAGTATCGGAGATGCAGCGATTGGGCGTGGGAAAGCATCAGACAACAGATGCGCCATGCCGTGGATGAAGGCAAAAGATGGATGGAACAGCGAACGGGGCGAAGGATGTACGTTGAGCGATTGTGCAAGACACAACAGCGACGAGGGTTGTGAAGTAGCGAGTTTATGGAGGAGCCGTGCTCCAAGCAACGGTCTCGACATGGCAACGATGATGACGATGATGATGATAATTATGATGGAGGGGAAACCATGGCACATCCGAGGCACACCCAAGGCACATCCGAGGCACACCCAAGGCACAACCATGGCACAACCAAGCGGACTATCAGCAGTCAAGACATACCCATGTCCTGGCTGTGCAGCTGGTAGTCGTCATGATAGTAAGTCGGCTTCTTGGGCACAAACTTTTCTGTCGAAAAGTCGTCGATATGGTCGTCCGAATAAGAGCGGAACATCTCGCAGAACTAGGATCGTGGGGAAGGGAGGATATCTGAGAGAAGGGAACGGCGACAGTCACATGTGGTTGGATCGGGTTGGCAGTAAGTGTCGGGTCAGTGACGTTGGGATGGTGGTATCGAGGGAGAATCAGAGATGGAGGCAAAGATCGCCAAGGTCGAGAGCAAGTGCAGAGCATCGAGACGGTGCAGTGGCAGGACAAGTTAGAGAGAGCGAAGAGAAGACAGCAGAAGCAAGCGGACGCATGCACCAGCCAAAACGACAGCTGGATGGCTGTTCCGGACAACGGCCGACAATCCACAAGACCCGCTCGTTTCTGGGGAGACGAACGCCGAGTCCTGCCGGCGGAGTGTCCATCCAGGCCCGCCAGGACGGCCAAGGAGGGGGGGGGGCACTGTTGGCGGTAACTCGTCTTGTGGATGTGCGAACCATTCCCACGAGCAGCTCGGGATCATACACCAACAATGTGGTTTCCAGTCTTGGCTTTGCGGGCTCAGAGTACCACTCACGCCGAGCCCAGAAGGTACAGGAGAGACTTACATCAGGAGGCAGCGCCTTCTCGCAGAATATCAACGGCAAGTAACTCGGGAGGGGGGAGCCTAACAGTAGCACTCGGGCAGAAAGAACAGAGAGAGAGAGAGAGCTCGCGGAGCAGGCGCGGCCAAAGAGGGAAGAGTGCTCGCCGGCAGCGGCTGCAGGGCATCCGCACCTTTTTGTTTCGAGGAGGCAGCTGAACAAATGACGTTAGATGAAGGAAGGATAGGTGGGTGAAATCAGAGCGATACCTCATCCCTGATTAGGACAGCAGACGTACGCACCCCGGCCAATCACACGGTGGCAGAGGTCGCAGCGATCGCCAGGGCGAGCAGAGGCAGCGGCATCCGAGCGATTGGCGGAGGAGGCTCGACCTACAACAACAAGTGTGCATTGGCTGGCGGTGCTTGAGCCCACGGACGACGACAGACCACGGAGTAGCACGAGCCAAGGGAGATGCGACAGCCAGAAACAGTCGCAGAACGGGCTGGGCAGATCCATGCGAGGGAGCATGGAGGCGTATCCGTTGGGCGAGACGAAGAACGAGGCGGGCGCAGCACCACGGGGTGCGACTGGGAATTGTGTTGTGTGGATAATAGTGTAGTGTGGATAATATTGTTGTGTGGATGGGGCACGGAGAGCAAGGCGACGATGGATCCCTCATGCACCATTCACCATTCACCATTCACCATTCACCATTCACCATTCACCATTCACCATTCACCATTCACCATGCACCATGCACCATCCACCATGCACCATGCACCATCCACCATGCACCATCCACGCGCACATGAACCGGCGGCAGATTCAGTACCATGTCTTTTCTAGATATTATTGAGGTCCCGCGAGGATTACACAAAATTGATGAGGTAACAAAAAAAGACAAACAAGACCGTGTGGATGGAGGAGGGCGTGCAAGAGCAACACGGACAGAGGCGCAAGTTAAATATTCGGATTCGGTTTAACTTGGAAAAGATCTTGGAAAAACAGCTCGTAGTCGGCCGCGGAGATGAGCCCGTCCTCCTCGAGCAGAGAAGGCGAGGGCGCCGACTCGGGGGTCGGCGAGGTCGAGGGCGACGAGGACGAGGACGAGGACGACGAAGACGACACAGCGTCGATATGAGGATTGGTTTTTTGGTGGTACTTTAGGCCAGCTAGAGTAGAGTACGACTTGCAACACAGTTGGCAGGTGTACGGGGTGGGCTTTTTGTTGAGCGACCGAACACCGGGGCGCTTGTGGAAGTGCTTCATATGCCAGCGCAGACCCGCTCCCGTCTTGTAGACCTTTTCGCAGTCTGGAAGGGTGCACCTCCAGACGCGCTTCGGGGCTTCTTTGGAGAGAACCGGCTCTTCCAAAAAGGGAGACTTGGAGGGAATGGCGGTGGCGTAGGGGGCAGCAAAGCCCTGAGGAGCAGGCGAGTACTGCATGGGGACAGGGGGGACAGCGGGGTAGGGGTAGCTGTACTGCTCGACGGGGAAGACAGGCTGCGCGGGCGGATACGAGGCACTGGACAAAGCGATGGGGACGGGCTTGAGGGCGGCAGGATGGGGGACACCCGAGGCATAGATCTCGCCGGCGGGGGGGCTGGGAGGTGGCGTGTAGCGCGAGGGCATGTGGGGATGCACACCGGCAGCCATGAGGGACAGAGCCATTCCAGCTGGCATCTGGGCCTCCATGGGAGCCGAGGGGTGAATCGAGCCGGGATACACGGGCGAGACGTTGGCGGGGTACGGGGCGACTTGGTGGATGGGAGAGATGGGTTGGGCCTGGAGGCCGGGGTGGGCATAGCCGCCGATTGAGGGGTTGTAGGGGTGGGTGCTGATGGCAGCAGGGCGGTGGTGCTGATAGTGGGGGTGGTGCTGAGGCTGATAGTAGCTGTAACCATCACAAAGCGAGGGGGCGTCCGAGAACTCGATCAGAGGACGGTCAACGACTGAAGAGGACTTGAGCTCAGCTAAGAAGCTCTCCAGTTCGTTGAGGTTCAGAGGAGGTTGGCTGTGGACAGATGGGGGAGGATGCCAGGAGGTGAGTGGATGGGCGACGAGAACAGCAAGCGACAGGGAATGGATGCCGAGCGGCGGGGAACGAAGCCACCGTGCCGACTCTCTGTTGTGGAAGGAAATGCAGCCAACCACTGGCGAGCAATCGCACCCAACAACACAGACTCTCGACGAGACTCACCTCGGAGGCATAGCGGAGACAGGCGACAGGGAGCTCATCATTTCGAATGATAGTAGCACGAGCGAGAGAGTTTATATGCCTATGAGATGCAGGTGGGTCGATGAGGAGAAGGTACCGACTAGCGGGGGGGGGAGAGTTGGGGGCTGTAGAACGACACCAGGTCAGAGAATCTAGAGAACAGCTCGCGGTGGGAGGGGAAGGCGTCCAGCGTCCTTGGGGAGAGAGGTGGTCGGCGTGAGGCAGATAGACAGGTCTCGGGGAGGATTTGGGCAAGAGTTGTGCAAACGGGCAAAGACGGGCGAGGGGCGAAAGGCATATATAGCAGCCGCAGGCCAAAGACGGCAGACGACCGGGACAGCGACTGGGACAGCGGGGGATGAGCGTATGGCGGGGGGGGCGACAAGGCAGCGGAGCCAGCAGCCAAAATGGCAACAGCACAACAAGGGACAGTCGCGCGAACAGCCAAATTTGTCGCGGCAACAAGGACGCTGCTCAGGCACCCTGGGGCATGGGCGGTTTGGCCGGCGGCGGGTGGTGCGTGCGGATGTATGGGCGCCATGGGGACACAGTCTGTGTGGCTGGCGGCTACTGTGTGTGTGTGTGCGGTGGAGTGCGCAGCGCGGTGCCGCCGCGGGTGCGTGATTGGCCGGAGACGGCTCAGGGTGACTGGACAGTGGGCTGCGGCAAGCTGCAGCTTGCTGCGTGGAGCGAGCAGCTGGAACGCCACAGTGTCTGTGCCAGGATTCCGCTGTCTGTGTGCCAGGCGCAAGGCCCCAGCACAGCCGACCACACAAGCCAGGTGCTGCGCGGCCAGCGCGGCAAGGGAGGAGGGCCGAAGGAGCCGTGTTCTGTACAGACCGAGCTCGAGCAACAGATGGCGGCCTGCCAGGGGTGGCGAGGGAGGACAGCGTCTGCCAGGCAGGCGGGTGGAGAGGGCAGTCTCGGTCCTGGCCTGGCCTGGCCTGGCCTGGCCTTGGTCCTGGCCACGGCCTCGGACGTCCAGGGCCGAGCAGGGCGGGGCAGGGCAGGGCAGGGCGGGCTGCCCACGGACACACCGAGGCCGTGCTGGACAATGTGCGGTCAGATGGGGCCGTCCAAGTCACCAGGCGGCGATGCAGGCGGCTGCCTCTTGTCGAGATCCGGCCCAGAGAGCATGCTTCCGAAGAAACACAGAAGGACAGGCAACGGCAAGGACGCAGCACCGATCCCGGCAGACCGGAACAGGCAGGATCCGGGTGCAGGCACAGTGCTGTGTGCGATTGTTCTGGTTCGCGCTGCTCGTGCTGTTCTGCGTTGTTCTGCACTGCCTTGTCTCGGACACAAGCGCAACAACGGCCGCGAGCAGATTTTAATGTGTCTGGGTGGTCGCGGTGCGCACCCTTGCACTTCCCCATGGTGCACCGCCAGCGCGTCCCGATACGCGGTGGGCGCGCACAAGGCCCTCGTCGCACACGCCGCCTGAGCACCACATGCCGCTCCTTGTGCGATGCCGTCCGCTCTGAGTCACCCTGCTGCCAGGCCCACCCGCCGCCCTTGCTCGGCTCGGGCCAATCGCGGCGTGCCCTCGGGCTACTGCGCACACCCGCCGACGCCACAAGGGACTGAGCAGCCGCGCTTGTGTGGCTCGGGCGAACATGGCCGGGCTGGGATGGATGCCAGGGGACTGGGGCGCTGTCCCTGGCAACCTGCCGTGGGCATGCGTCGCGCGGCTGTGCGTGCGTCGGACATGGAACGAGGGCCCCCTCCCGCAGCAGCGCCAGGGCTGGTGATGCTGTCCTTGCCAGGAGCACGTTTGCCGACCAGCGTGCATCCGGGAAGGATGTGTGGGTGCGTCCGGGGTGGGTATCGCTGGGGGACCGATGGATGAATGGGTCTGCCGAGCGATGCATTCTGACAGGACATGAGCCCGGTGGGGCTCAGCGCAGGCAAGCCCACAAAGCAACAATCCTCCAGCCGCCCGCCGGGAACGGCTGCACGCAACTGGCTCCCGTACCCGCGGCGAGACGCGCAGGGCGGCTCAAGCCGCACTTGCACTTGCACTTGCACTTGCGCTTACACTTGCACTTACACTTGCACTTGCACTGGCTGCGACGTCCACGCCTCCCGGTGTGCATCCCGGCTGGTCCTCGTGACAGGCGCCGCCCCCGAAGCCCCCCGACGCCATCGAGACACTGGCGCTGGATGTGGCGAGATGGCATGTGCTGCCGACACGGGGCTATGCCGCGCAGATCCGGCGCACACTCGCTGCCGAACCCGTGCTGACACAGCGACCGCACAGCCAGTGCATTTGCTTGGGCAGCGCCAGATGGACCAGCATGCGGCGCCAAGCCGACCAACAAACGAACGACCCGAGATCCGTCCGCCTGCCCCGCCGTTGGATCAGCGGACACGCTCGGATCAGCGGTGCTGCTGGCCGGGTGGTGGTGGCCCATTGCAGCACCCAGCACCCCAGCCCCTTGCTTGTCAGCGAGTCTGTCTGGACTGTCGCTGTGCACATCTCCCCCTCGTCACTCTCCCCCCACTGCCTGGCCACAAGCACCCCCAGCGACGGCCAGGGCCGGGGGCCGCGCTGCCGCGTGGGGAGGAGAAACGGTGACGCGGTCACAATAGGGTGGGGACCAAGCCAACGCTCGCTGCGAGACGCGCTGGTTGGTGGTGGTGCCGCGCGGGTGGCGCGAGTGCAAGGGTGACTGCCGAGGCGGGGGGGCAACAGGGACATGGCGGATGGTGCCGAGACAAGGCGGCCACGCGAGGAGGGCTGTCATGCAATTGCAATCAACGCAGTCAGTGCAATGAACGCAGACAACAAAGCCAATGCAATGAAAGCAGACAACAAAGCCAATGCAATCAGCGCATTCAATGTAGCTGCTGCTGGAACAGCAACGCTCACGCGCCCTGCGTCGCACAGACTGCGCGGCCACTCCGCCTTGCCGCACTCCCCCATGTACACTGGCGCGCGCAGCCACTGTCACGAGACACACCGCTATTTCTGTCGAGTGGGGACAGTGCCCGGCCAGTGCCCGGCCAGTGGCTGGCCAGTGGCTTGCTGCCGTCGCTGACAAATGAGCTTGTTGCGGGCGCACAGAGAGTGCAGCGAGCGCAGCGCGGCTGCGCAGGGGCACGCGGCCGGCGCGTGGCCAGACACGGCCCAGACAAGGCCTGCGCTCGTGAGCCGCGCTGCGCAAGTAACAGGGGCCTTGTCGCCGCGGTTATCTCGGACACCCGGCGGCTGTGGCTGTGACGCGGTGCCTTTGTCCAGGACAGAAGCACTTTCACCCGCTCAGGCGCACCACTCGTCCCGCCGAGCACAGGCCGCGGCAAGGCACTTGGCTCGCACACGTTGGTGTGACGGCCGGTGCTGAGCAGCGCAGACGCAACGGCTAATCCACAATCACTGGCCGGACGCAGCATGTCCTGTAACGGGAGCAGTGGCCGGGCGGCGCACTGGCCCTGCAGCTGTGCGACCCGCAAGGCCCGCTGTGTCGCCTCGTTGTTGTCGCAAGTGCCTCGCAGTGCTCGCAGTGCTCTCAGTGCTCCAGAGCGCTTCGTGGGTGCGCCGTGGTGCGCCGTGGTGCTGCTCAGCATCTCGCTTCAGCCGCGCGATATTCCCGCAGCCACTGTGTCCAACTGCAACCTCGCTGTGGCTGTTCCTCCTCCCCCCACACAGTCGCTGTGGCATGGGCAGTACCCGCGGCTCGCCACGAATCGCGCTATTGCAACAATCTCATCGCCCAACCGCCACCCCGCCCCGCCCAGCCTTGCCCTGTCCAGGCACATCTCCTGCCAACCTTGGTCAACCAGCATAAAGACAAGTGGCCGTCCCGCTTGATCCTCGGGCCGTTTTTTCCCTTGGAGCTCGTTGTCTCTCTCCTCATCTCTGCCGACTACCCCTCTCCACCCACAACCTGTGCTCGACACAGCCATTCGCCTGTCTCGATCCCCCCCCCGATCTCGCATACTTTCCCTGGTGGAACTGTTGCTAGCTCGCCTTCCTCCTCCAAGCCCTTTCGACTCCCCTGTTTTGGCATCTCCTTCCCCGATCCCTTTGATTCTCGAATCTCGAGTTGTCCTCTAGGAAACCCCCATTCGAGCCTCTCCAGTCCTCCTCCTCGAGTCTCTCCGTCCTTGCACATTCGCTCCCCTTGCCTCGAGCCCGCTCCATGGTTGTTCCGGATCACGAACACAGCATGGTCATGATGGACAATCAATTTTATCAACCTCCCGATGCCTCGTGGATTTCCCACAAACACATGTCTTCGAGTCTGCCGTCCTCGCCGATGCAGCACCACCCCTATCAGCACATCCAATCCCAGAGCCAGCACCAGCAGCTGCCGTCGCCGTCACAAACCCAGCCCCAACAGCACCTGCCGATGCAGCAATCCCACCCATCACTGCTGTCCCAGTCGCAGCATCTGCATGCCTCCCAGCAGCCCCACAACCTGCATATGCAGCAGCCCTCGCAACAGCCCCTCTTGAACTCGGCGCACACCCGCTGGGCCGAGGAGGTGGTCTATAGCGACGAGTATCTGCCCATCGACGACAGCCATCCCAACTCGCAGTTCCAGCAGCAGCCCTCCTTCTGGACCTCGGGCGGATACCCCACCGGCGGCTATGTCGCCTGCAACGACAACGGATACATCGTCACCACCTCCGGCACCATCTCGACCCTGTCGCCGGCCGACTCCTTTGGCCACTTCGAGGGCCTGTCGTCCCAGCACGTCGTTCACCTCCAACATTCGGCCCTACTCGTATGTCGTCCCGTCCGAGCTCTCGCCATCGACTCCCCAGTCCTCATATGGCTATTACGAACCCGCCGCGACCCAGCACGTCTATCCACCCGACTTTGCCTCGTCGCACTTCCCTCCTCGCCATCAGTCGCTGGGCACCTCTGGATCGGCCTACGGCTCGTACGTCCCCACCACTCAGTCGGCCCCGGTCGCTGCCCCTGACGGCACCACCTACGTTGCCCCCGCGCGGCATGAGTCTCTCGAGCGCATGAGGCATTCGGACAATGCCGATCCCGCCTCCGGCCACCTGTCCCAAGCCGGCCTTGTCGGCACCGTCCACGGCCCGGTCTCCGTCTTTCCCGAATCCTGCCCCTACCCCGGCTATGGCAAGGCTGCCGCCCCTGACCATCATCTCTCGAGCCAGCCAACCCCGGCTGCCTACGGCTCGGCGCCCCACCTCCCGACCAAGCACATCTTCGGAGCCCATCTGGACCACCACGGCGCTGCCTCGGCCCCGTCGCCCTTCCAGCCTCGTCGACGCACCACCCTCTCCAAGGGCTCAAGTTCGCTCCCCCCGAGCACCCTGTCGACCCCAACGCTCTCGGTCGCCGCAAGCCCGGCCACCACGGCTCTCACTGCCTCGTCTTTCCCGACCCCCCAGTCGCAGATCATGTACAGTCCGCCCTCGCATGTCCTGACCCCGGGCACCGCCTATGGCCAGCCGCCAAACTTCACCTCGCCCGTGTTGCTCGGTCTCCAGAGCATCTCCAACCAGACCCCGTCCGTCAGCAGCGCGTCGCCCGCCCAGATCTCCCAGTCGCCCCTGCCCTTTGCCCACGATCCCATCACCCCGTCGGCCATGCCCCAATTCTTCAACGGCAGCGACAACCCGCAGCCGCCCTACTTTGTCACCGGCTTCTCGTCCTCGGCCTATCCCACCTCGGCCATCGCCCCTCTTGAATGCAGCTTCCGCTTTGACCAATCCGAGGCCATCGAGGACCTCACCGCCTCTGCCGAGCCCGTGCCGACAGAGCCTGTCGAGCTGCCCCCGTCGGACGCGTGCGAGGTCGACAACGACGATGGCGAGTACGAGCTCACCAGCCCTGGCGAAGAAACAGAGTGTCGCTCGCGCCCCTCCCAGTCTCCCGAGGACCCCGAAGTCGTCACGATCGAGCGGCCGCCCCCCGACGGACCCCAGATTTGGCGGTGCACGCCCTTCCCGGGCTGTGACAAGCAGTTCAACACTCGGGCCGGCCTGCGGTACCATCTGCATACCACCCACAAAGTCACCTGCCGGATCGTGACAAGAAGAAACGTCGGGCAGTACGGATGTCAACTCTCTGGATGCAGTAAAACCTTCAAAACGCGAGCTGGTCTTCGCTATCACCTTACGCACCACCACAACGACGACGCCTCGTCTCCACGCCTGCGGCCTCTGGCATCGCCGCCAGTCTCGAGTCCCCCTTCGGAGCACCTGACCGATTCATAGATCCGATTTTGCCGTCTCGAGTCCCAAAAGTTGCGCGTGGTCTCCCCGGTTCGGAGCCACTGGAACCCGACAGAAGAAAGATGTCCTCTCCTCTCCTCTCCTCTCCTCTCCTCTCCTCGACAACATAGAACGCAGCAGCGACGAGCCGCCGCCCTCTTCCTCCGCGGGCCATCCACTGGAAGCAGCAGACTTTTTTTTTACAGGGCTCTTAGGATCCTTTGGAGATGACCGACACCGCCCTCCATCCCGCTAATCTTTTTTACTGTATGCGATGCTTTCTGGATCCTGTTGACGAAGACCATGACCTCTTTGATATTTGCACGCAATGTGCCCTCGACCTCCCGCCTCTCTCCTTCGCCTCATTTACCCGCCAAGTTTTCCTCAATTGACCTCAACCTCAGTCTCAATCTCGACCGTGTATCTTCTATGAGCCCCTGTGCTGGACCTGAATATCTCCCCTTCCGCTCGCCGTCCGCTGCCACCCCACTCCACTGGATGTGCAGGACACGAGCCGCTTCTTTTTTTTTCTGTCTTTGGATATCACCCCCCCCTTCTCGCGATCGGGATATATTTTCCTTCCCCTTCTCTCTCCCTGTCGTTCGTTCCCACCGTGTTTGTGCCGCCCCGCAGCATTTCGTCAAGCCCCCCCTGTCCCGCTCTACCTGCTCTCCTCGTTTTCCTCTCTCGCTCTCGTCTCTCCTGTTGTTCTGTCTTGCTCCCCAATGCTCGACACCAGTTTTGTTTGTATATCAGCGAGAGGAGGGATGTATGGCACAATCCTCATACAGTATGATTTGAACCCCCCCCCTCCATCCAACGAAGCCTGTGCTGGCGAGAGGAGAACGACATGGAGCAGAATGGAGGAGGCAGTCCAGTCCAGAACCTAGCACTCGCCATTTCGTCCGCCTCCCATGGGTCTGTGTCTGCATTGCCATGTCTTTGGGGCAGGTCACGTTGCGCACGTGATGCGCCAATCTTGCTCCTTCCGGCCCGCCGGCTTCCCTCTTTCCTCTCGCCCCTTTGCGCTTTCTTCTTCCTGCCTCCCGTTCGGGCTGATCATCCTCGAGGCATTACTTGCACTTTGCGCCTGCTCCAGCGCCCGTCCGTGCGTGCAGCGATCCTAGGTGCTGCACCGTCGCTGTCGCAGCTCGATCCTCTTTCTCCGTCGACCCTGGTCCAGGAACCTCGGCCGCAGCATCCTCCGGCTTTCTGGGCGGGGAGGCTTGCTCTGCTGGCACCTTTTGGTGTCTGATTTGTTCCGAGTCCTTTGTCTTGATCGCGCCCAGCCTGGGAATCAACGCCGCCCCCACGTCTCCATCCGGTACCCATCCCGCGGCTCGATCCTGGCCCGAGTCAATCCTCCAAGCTCCTCTGCAGCCATCAGCAGCCCCCAGAGCAGCCGCTGCCCATCAGTTCGCAGCCACTCTTTGTTCAGCCGAATTGCACCGAATCCCACCGAATTGCACTCACAAGCTCTGGCATCGCAAATGCAGGACCGCCAACGCGCCAGCCCTGAGGCCCTGTCGATCCAACAACTCTGCAGAGAGCTGCTCGATCTCAAGAAGGAATTCTGCCATCGCATCGACTCGATCGTGCTGCGATACGGCGGCGTGCATGCGTCCGGTTCCGTCTCAGTCCCACAAGACCTATTGCCGGAAACCACCACGGCTCGTTCGCACCACAAATCCGCTGAACACCGCTCCCACAACCACCACCATGGCCACCACCATCATCAACAGCAACAGCAGCAGCAACAGCAGCCACATCCATTGTTGCCGTATTCTCAAATCAGCCACTCGGTCCAGGCAGCGCCACTGGAAGACCAGGACCTTTCCGCATCGATTGAATGTGAAGATGACGACGATAATGTGGATGCCGATGATGCCAACTGCCCCGATGACGGCAACGAAGCCGACGACGACAGTGGCCTCAGCAGCACCGTCCAGGAGCTGATCCGCCAGCACCGAGAGCTCGAAAAGGCCGCCCAGTCGGAGCAGCAGCTCGTCTTTGTCGAGCCCGCAGTGTCGTCCATGCTCCGCAACTGTCTTCCGCAGTACCTCGGCCAGATCCCTGTATACAAGCTCCCCCGATCGGTGCTGACCCGCATCGTCGCAATGCTGTTCTCGCCCGTCGACGTCCAGAACCTCCTCAAGGCCCTGCGGCTGCATCCGCTGCTCCTGACAGACCTTGGGTGGTCGGCGCCACCGGACGCCGCGGGCTCTTCGTCGCTGTCGGCACCACTCTCGTCCATACCGGATATCCCGGGCCCCCAGCTTCGGGACGACGAGCCTATCGGTCATATCATCATCAAGGCCCTCAAGTTCACGCCACCCAGCAACATCGCCGCCTCGCTCTTGCTCAGCTCTCATGCCGCAGCCGCCTCTCTCTCGGTCGAGCTCGATGCTCTCAAGCGCAAGGCCTCCCACCCGCCAGCACCCGACCTCGACCTTTCCCACGCATCTGCCCTCTTCCCCATCCCATCCGCTGTCCCTGGCATGCAGCTGTCTGCCCTGGCTGCTGCCTATCCCGTCGGCCAGATCCTGCATCACCTGCAGCATTCTCGGGCCTTACTCTCCGCGGCCCGTCCCACCAGCCAAAGTAAGCGCCCCAAGATCGACTCCCCGAATGCATCCAAAGACTCTGTTGGATCGAGCAAATCGCCCAGGCCCACGGGCTCGCAACAGCAACAGCAGCAGCAATGGGTGTGCCACTACCGCGGATGCGGCAAGAAACACTCGGGCGTGCCCGGATCACACAACCACGCAAAGGACGGCCCCTCACTGCACGGCTCTCCGGCATCGACTCCCGATCGTCGCTATCGCACCGTCGGTCGGTCTCATGTGCATCCAGGGCTCCAGCTGCATCCAAGCCTGCACAAGACAGCGGGCATCTCGAGGTCCACCCTGCAGCCCGAGGGCATGGCCGCGCCTGTATCTGTGTCTGTATCTGTGCCTGTGCCTGTACCCGCATCGGTGCCGAGGGACTTTATGATTGGACTGGACCAGGATGGTGCTGGTGCTAGTGCTGGTGCTAGTGCTGGTGCTGGTGCTAGTGCTGGTGCCAGTGCCGGTGGTGTCGCAGCCTCGACAGATGATGGATCGGCATCCCACACCGGCTCCGATAGCTTGGATATGGCCGCCCATCTCGATGACGACGCCGAGCTCGAGGCAGCAGTCCGGGCTGGGTTTGACGGGCACATGGAGACCGATATCGATGTCGACCTTTGTCCTGACGCTGGCTCTGAGCATAATCCTGAGGCTGACCAGGATCCGGACAATGACCAAGACCAAGACCAAGAACAGGACCAGGAACAGGACCACGGTCAGGATCATCACCAAGACCAAGACCACGACCACAGCCACGGCCACGGCGGCCAGTTTCGGTGTCATATCGTGGGCTGCGACAAGAGCTACAACACCACGGCGGGCCTGCGATATCACCTCAAGGCCACCCACAGCGCCATCACCGACCGCGCCCAGAAGCTGAAGAATCGTGAGATGAAGTACTGCTGCCACATCTGCGACAAGTGGTTCGGCACCGCTGCTGGCTTGCGATACCACAACAAGGTCGCTCAGCACCTCCACCACCATCATTCTCACCCCGATCGCAAATAAGTCCCCTCCGTCCAATCGCCCGCCCCACTCGCTTCCCTCTTCCGTTGGATAAGTGAAGCCGCACGAATCGCCACCGAGGACCGGCTCCTTTCTTGACTTAATGGACGGCAGCTGCGAGACACTCGGAATCTGCTCGGCACCTCATCGGGAACACGCAGTAGCCCGCTGCCGTTTCGTGGCCTCCTCGCCCCCTCGCCTCCTCGCCTCAGTCAAATGCCAAATGCCAAATGCCAAATGCCAAATGCCAAGCGTCGAGCGAAAGTGCATCCAAGCCGCTCCCCACGCACACTCCTCTGATACCCATGCAAGGCCGCTGGACGATGCCAATTGAGCTATTGTTCCATCTCTTGGCAAGTGAGCGGTCGCTACCTGGCTGGTGGATGGCCAGCGATGGGCCGGTGAGACAACTGAACTGGAGACGGGGAGTGGAGGTACTATCAGAAGGTACTATCAGAAGGTACTATCAGAAGGTACTATCAGAAGGTACTATCAGAAGGCACTATCAGAATGGCCGAATCCTTCTCTCACTCCTGGCACTGTGCGAGACCGTATCAAATGCCCCTCACTATCACTGTTGGCTGCTCCAATATACTGTCTCGACACATGTCGCCCACACCTGTTGAGGCCGCACCTGGGTACTACGACGAGTGACGGGCAAACGGCGAATGGATCGATGGATGGATGCGTTAGCTTGGATCCAGATCCAGGTGGACCTTTGCCAGAGCGAATGGCACTGCTGATTGTATGAGTGATTTTTATATTTTGTTATTGCTATGGCTGTTATAGCGATTGTCGTAGTTGTAGTAGTTGTTACTGTTCAAAGTACGGTGCCGAATAAGCGGCGCAACTGAGAGTATGTAATAGATGCCAAAATTATAGCATGATCAGGAAAGTTGGTGGCGTGGGAACCAAAGGAGAGCTGGTGCGTACACGACCAAAGGCGGCAGCCTGGAGACGCCCTGCCAAAGAGCCAGAGGCACGGCAGAGAGGATGGCGTCTGGACCGACTGGATCAGAGGAGCGGTTTTGCAGATTCAGGAGCAAAGGAAGTTCAGGCATGAAGCAGTCGGAAGTGGCACGGGGGGGATGTCGCATCGAGGGACTCAGGGATGAAAGCTCATGATCGAGGGCGGTGAATAGAAGGGGGAGACGGTTGCAACAGAGGAAGGGAGAGTAACGAAACCGAGGCTGTCGTGAGCGCCGTGCCCGAGTGGTTCAGTCACCGGCGGAGAAAGCGACCAATAGACGAGATGGATCGAGCGGCTGCGACTTCAGCGGTCGGGATGATGAAGCAGTCGCATCGGAGCCAGCACCGGCAGGGACGTTGGCACCAGCACCGCGGTCGGGGCCGACGGCAGTGCCAGACAGGCCAGACAACGGCAGCAGCCAGCAACCAGCAACCAGCAGCAGAACATTAGGCTCGAGGCGAAACAGACTCGCTGCTGCGGTGCGGGGATGAGCCGTGCCGGACGGTCTTGTTGTGGTATCGCAAGCCAGCAGCGGTGCCGAACCACTTGTCGCACACCCGACAACAGAACTTCATCTCACGATTCTTCAGCTTCTGGGCGCGGTCGGTGATGGCGCTGTGGGTGGCCTTAAGGTGATATCGCAGGCCCGCCGAGGTGCTGTAGCTCTTGTCGCAGCCTTTGAAGTGGCATCTCCAAGTGTCGTCGGCAGGACTCTCGGCATGGCCCAGGGCCGAGTCGTGGTCAGAGTGCGACCCGTCAAAGCTGCTCGAGCGTTTGTTGGCAATCTGCGGCGAGTTCTGGAAGTGATTGTCCATAGAGAGCTTTCGGGCGCCGGATCGCAGGCGTCGCTTTGAGAGTGGATCGCTCATGGTGCCGAGACGCTGCAGCTCATCAATGGTGGGCTCGTATGACGGGGCAAAGGCTTGGAAGGACTTTATAGAATGGGCTTGTGTCGTCGAGAACGAAGTGGACGGCAGTGCGGCGTCGTACGAAGCAGAAAAGGCCGCAGAGCCGGCTGCTACTGATGAGGGCTTGACCACGGCGAGCTCGTAGGCCGGCTGCATGTGGCTGGAGTTGAGTGGCGAGCTGATGACCGAGGGCGGCGGAGTGAAGTAAAGCGGTGCGTTCACTGACGCTGAATGGATCGAGGCAGAGAGATAGCCGTCCTGCAGCTGGGTGGAATCGGTCGAAAGATGTTCGCACAGGACAGGGCCCATGATGGATGCATCATGATGGATCGGCGCGACGTGGCTGTGGTTGTGACTGTGACTGTGACTGTGACTGTGGCAAGGGTTGGCGAGATAGTACTCGTTCTGGCCATATGTGTCGGTCGAGCAATAGCAGGAGCAGCAGCCACACAGCTCCGAGCTGTCGATAGGAGGCTGGTACACATCGCCGTGCTGGGCGGCGAGATCGCTGGTAAGCACGCTGAGCGGAGCCAGGGGCGAGTTGATGTCGTCGATGGTGTAAGTCAAGTCCTGGGCAGTGTATGGGGCAGGCTGGGTGTGCAGCGACTGGAATTGCGGTGGTTGGAGATGTGGGGGCGGATGGCCGTGAATGCCCTCGATATAGGTGGGCTCGGGGCAGTAGTAGAGCTCCGAGATGGTGAAGTCGGTCGGGTGAGACTTTGGAATCGAGAACGAGTAAGTCATGTAGTTTTGGGTAGCGAGCGAGTCGATAAGCGAGCCTGCTGCTATGGGTTCGCGGCCGTGGGTCAGATCGTAGTGCTCCTGAGGTAGAATGAGGGCCGGGTAGGCTTCGAGGGCGGAGGGGTTGGTCGATGGATGGAACTCGGACATGGCGTAAACTGGGTGTGAGCCTGTGTATCTAGAGATGGGAGGCGGGGGGAGACACCAAGGTGGATGCAGCAGACGGGCGTCAGTTGAGAGTTTGGTGAGAATACCTCACATCGGAGCCAGTCGACACAAGAGATGAAATGATGCGCAAAGAAGCTGCTGAGGAACAGGCAAGGGGTGACTGTACAGCCGAGTACGGCACTGAGGCTATCAGAGGCAAAGCACGAATATAGCCCGCACCAACAAGTCATGGTGGCCGAGAGGGTCGGGTGAGAGACAACCCGCGACGACCAGGTAGTCGAGCGAGTGGCAAAGTTCAAGCAAGGCCAGAGAGGTGGGCAGTCCGTTGAATGAGACACAAAGTAAATGGGAAGAGTGTTCTTGGGAAACAGGTAGTAACGCCGGATCCAAGAATGTAATGAAATAGAGACGAATGGCGGTACCAAAGCAAAGTCGACCAGAAATGGATGCATCGGAGTAACAAGAGAGGACGGAGACAAGTACTTTGGAGAACGAGGCATCAAAACGATCGGCAACACGAACACATGCCCTATCTAGCCGAGTGTGTGATGGTGGAGGTGACTTACCGACAAACAAAGACGGAAGATGGGATAAGATTGATGCGAGAGGGAAGAGGGGGGGGGCAGATGAAGGCGAGAGGGAAGGAAGAAGCGCCACGGCCAGGGAGGAGGGAGGCAGGAAAGGAGAGCGACGGCAATGGGCAACGATTGCGGTTCTGGAGGCGAGTCTTATGCCCGAGACAGTGTTGGGGCAGGGTAGGGCAGGACAGGACAGGACAGGACAGGGAGGTGGAAGGCAGGGATGTGAAGGGAAGGGGAAAAGGTGAGCGAACGAGGTGGTGGTGGTGGTGGTGTGGTGGTTGAGAGGAAGTGTTACTGAGACGGCACGAGCCAGGGACAAACGAAGACTGATCAAACCCTGGGCGTCGTCGGCATCGCCTTTTCTCTTGCTTATGAAGGCCGCGGCGGGAAGGTTGGCGACGACAGCATGCAGCGGGAGGCGGCGGCAGATGGTGGAGGGCTGACCGAGCGCCGGCGGGGGGGATAAGGGAGGCATAGGGAGGGAGTGGGCGGGGAGGAATCCACAGGGCGGCGGAGCACTTGCGACGACACCGCCGACATAACGCGATGGGCTCTCTGTGGAGACGTAAACATGGCCGCGTGGAGCCGTCCCTCGCAGCGATGCCCAAGGAAGGCCCAAGGAAGGCCCAAGCGAACTGATACGCATGATGCGGTGCAAACAGAGGTACATGGTCGCTTACAGAGAAACAGAGTGGATCCAGCATGAAATGGGACTACAAACGAGTGCAGTTGGCGGAAGATGCGATTACCAGCGCAAGCCGACCCCACACAGCACTGGCCGTCCCGACGCAAGGTTCGCGGCCGCCACATTTCATTGAGCGGCAAGGAGGGCTGGCCAAAGGAGAACGCCATTCAAGGCCGCTGTACTGGCGGCAAGGGCGACGGATCCGGGCGCTGGGCGTGTGGATCAGCGGGGCGACGGTCAGCCGGCGAATGTTGATGGGCGGCCAAGAGGGGAGGCGCGCTGTGGCGAGGGGTGAATTGCTCCAGCAAAGACGGGCAAATCGGCCAACAAGAGCACTCAAATCGGCCAACAAGAACATGCAAATCAACTGCAAGGGGCAGAATTAAGCTGCAAGGAAGCCATGTCCACCAACCCCGCATGCCCACCCCCGTCCGCCCCCAGTGCCCCGGGGCTCTGAAAGACCGAGGCGCGCAATGCAATTAAAATTGAACCGAGGGCCTTGTTTCTGGCACATCGCCGGGCGGTATGGCAGAGGGTAACATGGAGAAAGCCACGGGGGAGGGAAAGTGTGGAGGGCATCATGGGCAGTTTCATGGACGACTTCATGTGCAGTTTCATGGGCGACTCCATGGACGACCTCATGGACGCATCGTGCGGGATAGCACCATCCCTGCGGCCATGTCGAGACCAACTCCATGCATCTGCGCCCACGCAGCGTGCGGTCGGAATCGGGTGTCTCCCCGCTCTGCGCCTCGGCCCGGCTCCACATTGCCGAATGGATCTCACGGTCCCAACTCCACACTGCCGAGTGGATCTCACAGCCCCAGTGCCTCAGTCCAGAACGGACCTCTCGACGCCGAATGTGCTCCGTCCTGCTGGAGTGGTCCTGCTGGAGTGGTCCTGCTGGGGTTGGACAGCGGCAAATGGACCCACATCCCGCACCAGCACCAGCACCAACACACCGCACGACACCCCGATGCATAATCACATATCTCCACACATCGACACAACGCCATAGAGTACCGCACTCCACACTCGTTACCGGCGCATGCCCGCACGAGTGCTTCTTCGCCATGGCCTTGCTTTCCCGAAGCGCCCCCACCCCCAACTTCCACGGTCGACCCCACAGTGCGTGCCCTGCGCCAGTGGACCTGACAAAGACAAGGTCATCGTCGCAGTCGAGGGAACCACCCTTGGAGCGCAGAGATGCGGGGCGGTGGCGGCAATGGCGGCGACGGGGCCATGCCGCTCGCCGACCGTCTCCCACTTGCGCTGCCGCCAGCAAGAAAGCCTCACGTGCCGCCTGGCTGGGCTCTCAAAAAGAAAGGCGGGCGGGGGTGGGCTGTGCTGCTGCCCAGGGCGAAGGACGAGGCAGGGAGTGGGCACGCCTGGGAGATGCACGGCCGTCCTCGAGGGGATGCATGGGCCGCCGTGCGAACAAGCTTGCGCAACTGGAGGAAGGGTGGGTCTGAGAAGCGCAAGGACATGTGCCGCTGCAGAACGAGGAGTGGGCGCTGCGGGAATTGCAGATGCGGGAACGGTTGAAGCGAGGAGGAGAGGGGAACCGGAGACGACTCGGCTGACAACCAGCCAGCCAGCGGCGCCCTCTGATTGCAAGCATGCGGCGTGGACTCGAGCATGGACTCGAGCACTTGGCGGGGGGCAAGGCTGCGGTGCCATGAGACGAACTTGAGGGGTGTGCATTGGATTGCAGTTGAAATTGCGATCCCATCAACGTATTCGCATCCCATTAACGTATTCACATTCCATTAACGTATCGCAGTTCCAAATGCAATTGCAATCGCTTTCCCATCGACCCATCGCTATCCCATCGCTGCCGCAGATCCGCGGCAAGCTCCTGCTCCGGCCCGCACCACCGTCGTCCTTTGCCCGGAGCCACCGCCCCTTGCCCAGGTGCCGCCGTCCCATTCTCCTCATCTCCGATCACACCCGCAAGCAAGGGAGCCGCCCGCGTGTTCTTGCCGCCAGCGCTCGGGCAGCCAGGAACAAGCGCCGCCCTGGCAATCCGCTGCATTCTCATGGTTTTCTCTGGCGGCGTGCGCTGCTGCTATCGATGGGCGACAAGCGAAGAACGATTGCGTTTGGTCCGTATCTGCCGCCCTCTCGCTTGCGCCCATGTCGTTTTCATGTGCTGCTGCTTCTTCAGCATCCGGCTGGGGGGTCATGCGTCTGCAAGCCATCGGCCGGCTGACCTGCTGTTGCTGTTGCCGTTGCCGTTGCTGTTGCTGGACCTCGTTCTGCCCAGCGCGACTACAGTCGTCTTCGTCCCCTCTGCCACTGCCACGACATCCCGCTCCCCGCTCTCATCGGTTCTCGCCTCGCTCCGCGGCGACTTTCGTATCATTTTGCACCGACGCTGATCGTTCGCTCCTCGACTATCGATCCACGCGTCTCGGCGCATTCTGTTCTTTCACCGCTCAGCTCTGGATGGCACCGAGGCCTCCCGGTTCGCCCTGAGCTGGGGCTTGGGCAACATTGTCCAGCCTGCATCTGACCACATTGTCTTGCTTTCCGCGGGTGTGATCGAGGACGACCTGGGCGACCTCTTTGATCACAGTCTTGATCAGCTCGCCAGTAACGGGCGTCCCGACGAGCGACCGTCCAGATCCGAGAAACGGGTAGGACATCCAGCGACCGAGCACACCCAGTCGCGTGCCTGGATGGACGGCGCGAATGCTCGTTTTCAGGACCAAAGACAGCGCGGAGGCATTGCGAATTCCATCCAGCCGATGCTGTGTCTGAGCATTTTCGGACAGATCATGACGTCTTTGTCGGCCCACAGGCGTCCCAGGCAGCAAACACCGCCGTCGGGGCAGCAGAACAGCTTCTCCTAAGCCACTATGCCGGCTCGGTGAGTATCCGACGTGTGGCCATGATGGGTTGACCAGCGGTGCTATTGCCCAGAGGGAGCCGCATTATGCAAGGAAACTACACCGCCGCATTGTCCAGAGAATCGACTGCACCCATACTCATCGGCGCTGTCTCCACGGTCTAGCAGGGTGTCGATATCTCGTACGAACTGATATCGTTAAAAACAGAGGACCCGCGAGACACCATCGCCAATTTTGTGGACCAGATGGACGTTGATCTTGTGGTTGTGGGCTCGAAGGGAGCGGTCTCGCTTCAGAAGTAAGCCTCACGCCGCGGGACTGGTACATGGACGCCAGAGCGGCCTCGTTGCCGTCCCTAACCCGTGTTTGTTGCAGGCTGTGGACAGGCTCTACGGGCGAATATCTGGTCCAGACTCTGAAATGCCCGGTCTTGGTGGTCAAAGACAAGAAGAAGGCATAGCTGTGTGAACGACACGGTCCCATCCATAGCAACTCACAGGACTTGGGCAAGAGTAGCCGTACGAGGAGTGTCGCCGCATGTTATTCTTTGGTATGATCAAGAAGTGCTCCCCGCGATACTTTTGCCGCCCAAAGCAATGATTCCGATATTCCTGGGTTACAGTGTATCCAATTAAAAACGGGACATCTGTGTTTTTGACCATTGAACGAATATTTTGTTACCCAATGTTATCGCGCGCTGGCCATGACCATTCGCCAGTGTGTCCAAGAGCACCATCCATCGCTGGCACTCCGAGACCAGTGTGCAGGTCGATTGTGGAGACCGGAGAGCGACCGGCGGTCTTTACTCGGAGGCTGCCAAAGTGATTTGATTTATTTCTTGTGGCTTTGCTGGACGCAAGCACATCACATACTACATGTTCATGGAAACGGCTGTGTTGTCCCATTTGCTATGTGTCCAGTGTATAATCGGCGATCATGGATCAGCCATATATTGGCATGAGCACAGCGTGCGATGCAAGGGCGGACTGTCTGTCTGTCTGTCTGTCTGTCTGTCTGTCTGTCCCTGGTGTCCACCGGGGTCGCTTTACTCAAGCATGTAAATTCTGGAGGCAATGTCGTTGACAATCCAATCCAGTCCGTTGACGAGGTTCTTTCCGGTGACGGCACTGCAGCCCTCGATGTGCCAATGGTGCGTTTGGATTTCATCGAGGCTCAGGATCTGTTTCAGGCAGAAAACACCTGACGTTAGCAGGAATCCCATGTGGTCGCCACAGCGCCGAGGCTGGTCGGGACGAATATCCGTCGTCTCTGGCTTGACACCAGCAGCCACCCACCTCACGGATTTCCTGGGCACCAAGGGCGGAGGGAAGATCGGCCTTGTTGGCAAAGATCAGCAGCGAGGCGCCCGCGAGTCTCTGGAAGAAGGCAGTAAAGCACGATCAGATAGGACGGACCAAGCGGTCTGGGCGGCTATGCAGTTCCAGCGGTCTCAGGGACCCGCACCATCCATGGACGGGGGATTTGACTCGGTTCAGTTGAGTCCGGTTCAATGCAGCCGTTTGGATAGACGCTTGGCCCAGCCCAAGCAGGCAAGCTGCGACGTACCTCTTCCTGGAGAAGGCTCTGAAGTTCGCGCTTGCAGTCTTCCAAGCGATCGGCTCTATCGGCACTGTCCACAACCCAGACGAGGCCGTCCGTTTGCTCAAAGTAATTTCTCCAGTAGGATCGGATGGATTTTTGGCCACCAATGTCCCAGATGTTCAGTTTGTAGCTATGTGTTGTGGTGCGGCAGAGACCGGTGGAATGGTAAGGAAGGACAGCGAGCAGCGAGGATGAGCAGCTAGCATCCGCCAGAGCCGGGGGTGCGGTTCGTGTGGCGGATCGCATACTCTTTGTGCTCCAGGGTTTTGATGTTGAAGCCCAGGGTCGGCGAGATGGTGGTGATGTCCTCGCCGTTGAGTTTCTTGAGAATGGTGGTTTTGCCGGCATTGTCAAGGCCGCTGGGCAATGGAACGATTTGGTCAGGACACATCGAAAGGGATCGACCGGGGAGCACGCATCGGCAGCAGGGAGTGGTGTCGAGACGACGATCATGAGCCCCAGCCATGCCCTGTGCGCTGTACATGTGGTGGGGAGACGACCAACGGCCCAAGGATCAAAGCAAACGAGCAGCAAACGGAGCGGCTGCTTACAGCATCAGGAGTCGCATCTCCTTCTCCTTTTGCCGGTTCTTTTTCAGGATCGTCAGCAGGCCCATGGTGTCGCTTGGTGGTGTGTGCTTGCTTGCGGGTCGTGCTGGATGGGGCCGGGATGGTCTGTCGTCAGGGAGAACATATGTATCGGCGACGGCTGGATGAGGGACAGCCAGCCGCAGCAGCCCCTGGAGACATGGGCAGGTGGCGCGCAGCAGGGCGGCGCGCAGCAGCGAGCAGAATTTTTGTTGGTCGAGGGGATCAGGCGCAACGGCGACCCAGCACCACCGCCATCAGGATCAGAGGTGCATAGCGGCTTGCAGCGACCATGTCCAAGAGTACGGCCGGAAAGAGCAAAAAGACCACCAGCACGGGCACCGGCAGTGGTACGGCCACCGGCCCGGCGATCTCCAAAAAGGCTGACCCCAAAGCAGGATCCAAGGGAGTGGCCGTTTCGTCCAAGCCGGACGGAGCAGTCGCTTCGGCCCCGCCCAAGACCAAAACGAACGAAATCGACGACATCTTCAGCGGCAACTACTCAAAGGATAAAGGGAGCGCCGCCGGCGAATCCGAAAAGCGCAAGGCCCCCGAGCCTGTCGCCGCCGGGCCAGAGCCCGCAAAGAAGAAGAAGGGCAAGTCCAAGTCCAGCTCCCAGAGCGAAAGTCAGGCAGATTCCAAGCCCACTCCTTCAGCCGAGGCCAAGGCGACGGCGACGCCAGTGGTCGTTACCGTCGATCTCTCGCAGGCCGGCAAGGTTGAGAAGACTGAGCTTCCCGACGACACGGATGGATTTGCCAACAGCCGTGGTCTAAAAGTGCGAGGTACCGACATCGGATACGAGGAGTCGGGCCTGGGGGATGGTTGCTGGCCTTTGCGCCGCACAGTGGCTGATACCGAGGGGATTGGGACGGCTGGCGAAGATATGCCCTGCAATCGCTGGCGAGGATATGCCCTGCAATCGCTGATCAGCTGCTGACTGTTCGCGGTGTGCAGGATACACAGAAGAAGGATACAAAATCTACGGAGAGGACGAACTGTTCTCTTCGACAGGAGGAGGTGAGGATCGACAAGTCGCCGGGTGACTTTTGGGACAAACGGAGCGAGCATTCTCTGCGGGCTGTTCCGGCTTGGGCAGGCTCCAAGTGTTGCTAACACCTCCGCGCACCTGCCGCCGATTCCGTGTTGGCTCGACGGACGTTGATCTGCCTGATTCACAGATACGGAGGACTGTCCGTTCGATTGCCGATGCTGCTACTGAATCATCCCGCGCTGAATGCCCATACTATGTCCGATGGGAGCTGGAGAACAGACCTCTCAAGCGATTTCGATAGGGAGCGGCCGCATTGGCGACAAGATCTGGTGTGCTCGCGCTTATGCCCCGGAGCTGGCGTGGCTGCAAGCGCCCGCTTTGGTGCACCCTCTGCATCATCGCAGCTTGGTCCGGTTAGTGCACAGTGGCCATCATGTGTGGTGATTGGAGAGAAGTGATTCTCGTACAATCGCAACGTCATGTCCTGACGTGGGTGATTCAAGGAGGCAGGCGAAGGCATTTGCAAGTCAGAGTCTGGACGCTCTCGCCTGTACCTTCCTCCCTCCCCTCCCTATCGTTAAATATATCCGAAGCTCGACCCACATACCCAAACCGAGTGGGGGTAAGTGGCGGCCACCGCGAGAAGCGCGAAGAATCATCAGAATACGCTGGTTGACACCCACTTCAGAATCTAAGCCGCTGCGGCGAGTTTCGATCGCCGACAGCCTCTCAAGTCCCAAGAAAGTGCATCAATAGCCCCCGAATTGGCTGCTTTCCGGTGCTGCCGTGACAAAAGCCCTCTCCACTACAGGTTGGTGCATCCGTGTGAGTGCATAGACAGATGGAATTGTGGAGCGGAGGACCGAGAAGCAGTGGAGTGTCGTGGAGCAAAAGTCCGGGGTTGGGCGGAGGCACTGGGTCACCGACGAACCAACGCATCGGGAATGCGCGTTTGGCTGGAGAGGTCCCAGTGTCGCCGGCCTGTGCAGATAGCCTGCATCAAGGCAGACCTTGAACTTGGGCGGGTTGCTTGGTCGAGTTGGTTTGCACGCAGCGGAGTATTGAATGGATATCCTCCTCGTTGTGGGGAGGGGTCGTGTGGGACTGGCGCCGACGAAGCCCCAGACCGTGGGAACGCGAACCCCAGCTCGGGTTGTGTGTACGAGCAAAGATGTTCCCCAGCTGCCTTCACCCGCATGATCGAAAGGCGGAATGCACGCGAGGCTCAAGGAACACTGCTGCCCCATCGGACCAGCACGCATCCACAGAGTGTGCACGGCGCTGACACGACTGTTTCGTACCCAGTAGCTCCGCGCGGCGGCATCTTGCTGCAGTTGAACGACGACCATTGATCCCCAAGCACATTCTGATAAATCTGAACTCGAATCAAGCCGTGCACCATCGAGTCTGCGTGCCGAACGCACAAGCGCACACCAACACTCAGTAGTTTCCCACCCCCGACATCGGGTCGAAGCCTCGGCGATAGAAACATCTTATATAGGCCCTCCCAGCACAAACGGACTTTGCCCCAGAGTCTCTCACGCTAGCTACGAGAGCGATCTGGAGACGTCCGAAGCAGTCAAAAGGCAAGAGCGGCGGTTCGCGCGCATATCCGCCTGGCGCCGCGTTGGCTCGGCAGCCGTCTAGAGGGCTTCCTTCTCGATAAAGACTATTGTATCGCGCAGTCTGGTACTACTCCACTGCAATCGCGATCGCGGATCCACTCGGAGGCAAAGATATTGACCATGGAGGTGCCAAAAACGAAAATGGCGCTTGGGAGTGCCATGAACCTCGACAAGGGAGAACCATCTCAGGCCAAACACGGAAATCTGCTGCCCACACTTTCGAGCAGCTGGATGGACCGGATTTTGAAGTATTACTTGATCCCCGAGGCTCCGTTTCTCAAGTATTGGAACATCATGATTGTTCTGATATCCATCATCAATGTCATTCTCCTCACCTTCATGGCGGCGTTCCAGTACCACGACATTGCATCGTGGTTCATCTGCTACTTGATCGACCTGCTCTACCTCATCGATATGTACCAAAAGTGCCACGTTGCGTACCTCCAGAACGGATTCTGGGTTGTGTTCCCCAAGGAAATGCTGATGAACTATGTGACCTCGTGGGAGTTCCGCTTCGACATTATCTCCAATTTCCCGGTCGACCTGTTTGGCTTCATCTTCTACAACTATCCGAACACACAATACTACGTGTCCATCATCCGACTCACCAAGGTTGTTCGATCGGAATACCTGTTCCGCTACTTTAGAAAGCAAGAGAAGAAGTTGCATTCGTCCTTTGCGCTTCAGGTTGTCAAGTTCATCACCTTTGTGATCGTCATCAACCACACGGTCGCCTGCATTTGGTTTGCGATTGGCTGCCCGAACGGCATTGGCGATTGCAACGATGGTTCGTGGGTGAAGCCAACGTCCGGCTTTCTGAGCAACGGCGGAACCCTGGTCGAGATCGACTATAACAGCACGACGGCTATGTATGTCGCGAGCATCTACTGGACAGGTAACGGCCGAATGCTCGAGAACATGACCGCGCCGGCTGTGTCGGTTGTGTCGGTTGTGTCGGTTGTGTCGGTTGTGTCAGGGATTGGCGAAGAATGCTCAACTTTTCACTTTGGCCGAGAGACCGGTGGTGTCAGTGCAATTGTCCCCACCTTGTGCCGAACGAAAGTGAAGCAGATAGGTGTCGCGGTGATCGTTCGACACCATAAAGCTGAGACAACGAGCTCAATTGCATGACTGACTTTGCTTCTTCGCAGTGACAACTATGACCACGACTGGATATGGCGACATCCACCCAAACAACCTCGGCGAGCGAGTGTACGCTCTCGTATGTATGATCTTGGGAACGTTCTTTTACGGATACGTGTCCGGTAGGTTGATCTCGCCCATCCGCCTCATCACTTCCGTGCGATAGATGGTGGAGCCAACATGCTGGATTCTCAGAGACGCAACAGGAGCTTATACAGGACACTGATTCTCCGGCCATTCCCTGTCGATCCCGTGTCGCTTACTCGCTGCGTACCTGCCCTGGCCTGCCTCAGGAACGATTGCCTCTACCCTCTCGAACATGGACTCGTCCCGTGTCGCGTACAGGCAAAAGCTAGATGCCGTCAAGCAGTACATGGCCGACCGCAAAATGGACGTTGACATGCAGCACCGCGTTCTCGACTACTATGACTATGTCTGGGACAGAAACAAGGGCCTTGCTCTCAAGAACATGTTTGAGGATATGCCGAGTGCCTTTAGACGCGAAGTGGCCCTGAATCTGAATAACCAGATAATCGATAGCGTAAGTGCTCCGGCGCCGTCTGTCGCGCTCGGTCGTGTTGGGCTGTCCACATCCGAGGGTAATGTCGGTCGGTGTGCGACGACGAATGTCTGGGAGTCTGTCTGTGCATCCGACTTGCGATTCGCGGGCATGGGCTGGCCACACGGTATTCATCTCGTCCGCTGCTGGCGCTTTCACAGACGGCAATCTTCAAGCAATGTTCCATCGGGTTCCGCAGACACATTGCCATACACATGACCCTGCATTTGATTACTGCCAACGAGTATGTGGCACATGTGGGCGAGTTTGGCACCGAACTCTACTTTATCTCGCAGGGACGGATCGACATCTTTTCACCAACCGACAAGCGCCCAACCTCGTCGCTAATAGAGGGAGCTCATTTCGGTGAGTATGCGTGCAGTTTCGGTGCGGCGGGTGCTAGCCGGGATATGCGAATCGGGAGGAATCGGGAGGAATCAGGAAGCAATGGATTCGACCTGTGCGATCGTCGACGCATCGTCTGTCGGAAGCAGGGATGGCTGCGATATGCACTCCACAGTGGCTATGACCGTCGAGCATGCCCTTGCAGCAGCTGTGGACAGCCATGTGGTGTCCCCGCTCTCCCGTTTCCAGCAGTCTATCCGAGATAGTACTCGCACTCGCACTGACATCGATGCTACCCTTGTTGCCTTCCTGGCCCTGGCAGGCGAATACGCCGTGATCCTTGGCCATCGCCATGAATATTCGGCTCGGGCCGTCTGCAACACCGATATCTTTGTGCTCACCAAGGAGCATCTCGAGGAGGCCTTCGTAGCCTTTCCAGCCGACCGCGAGAGCGTCTACGAGATTACCCAGGGTCGCTACAAGAGTCACCTCAGTACCAAAAAGTCGCGCCAGCACCAAGAAGAGGCCGAGGAAGAAGAGGAAGACGGTCCACTCCTTCCCGAGACGGTGCTCACGCCAGCACCCGATCATTTGACTACCGGGCGAGGACACGATACCGGCCGGCGGAAGAGCAGCGCCTCAGTCTTTGGTGAATACGGAACCCGCAAGCAAAGCATGGCCACTTCCGGCTTTATGGTGATGGATGCCAAAACCCGATCAAATCATCAGCTCAGCGAGAACCTGGGAAGCATTGGTCGCCTCGAAGGCGACTCTCATCACGGATCGCTGTCGAGGAAGCACTCGGTCAGCACCGGCCAGGTCACAGAAGGCCGCAAGTCCTCATCTGCAGCGCCGGCTCCGATTTCGGGCATCCGCTCGTCCGTCTCCAAAGGCCGGTTCACGGCATCGGGCTCTTCGTCGCACGGCGTGGCGGATCTCGAGGCTGCGATCCCGGAGGAAAGCCAGCCTGAGCCGCGATCGTCCGTTGGCCTGGGTCCCAAGAGGGGATTCATGACCCTGGAGCGAACCAAGACGGCGTCGTCACCCAAGGACCTGTCCACGGGTCGGTCTGGCCCACCCGATGATCCATCGCAGCCGCGCTGAAGGCCATCATGCGGTCGTCGCGGCGGCTCGTCAGCGGCATTTGCCTATCACCATTTGTGCGGCTGACGTGGGTTCACGAACACTCCTTCCTGTCTCATACAAAGCCCGTCCAGCACAGAGCACCCTACTCGGTATCCACGCATCTCATAGCCGCCAGTCTGTCGTGCTTGTTTCTTTCGTTTCGTTTCGTTTCGTTTTGTTAGTCGTGTCATCCCTCCCGTCCATTTACCGTTGAGCAATCATCACCACTTCTGCTGTTCCGCTACATTTCGTCTGTCTCTGATCCGCTTTGCTGGCCATCTTTCTTTTGGATCAGCTGCGGTATCAACAGTGCTCGCCAAATGAAGCGCTTTTGTTTTTGAATCAAATACACACATCCATCACTCATAACGATCCCCCGCCATGCGCTCGGTGAAGCCGGAACCGAGACTATTTTTGAGATGGTTGTATTGACCGACTGAGGTATCTCGACGCAAATAGGAGGCAAGCAAACACATGGTACAACGAAATGAACAGTAGCCGCAGGCAGCATGTCAGCCTGTCAACATGACTGCTGCTTGGGACGGCTGGCGGGCGCATCCAGAAGGCGCTTCCCCTGTCAAAGAAGCAGCCAGCCCAGAGGCCCATCGAGAAAATACGTCGGTGGGAGAATGGTGGCGAGTAGGATACATCGGTCCAAATCAGAGAGCACTAACCAAATCAGTTCAGGTAAGAGGAACGGGAAAAATCAAGTGGCAAGAGGGTTGAAAGGGCATGTAAAGGAAGGGAGAGCGCAGGCTCGCGGATGGTGTCGCATGCTGCAGGGATTACTTGGCAACGGCCATGGCAACGGCGTACGAGCCGCTGTGGCTGATGGTGATCTTGACCTCGGTGATGCCGGCCTTCTCGACAGCGGCCTTGGCATCGCCATGGAAGGTCACGACGGGGGCCTTGCCTTCTTCGCGGGTGATCTCAATGTCCTTGAGCGGGGCGGCGGAGCCCTGGTCCCAGACAACGGTGCCGGCGGCGCTGCTGACGGCCTTGACAACGGCCTCCTTGGCGGCCCATCGTCCGGCATAGCTCGAGACGGGGCACGACGAGGAGGTGCAGTAGGCCTGCTCCTGCTCGGTAAAGTTGCGCTCGACAAAGACGGGGTTCTCGGCGTTGATCTCGGAGATGAGCTGGACGTCGAGGCCGACGCCGCGGCCAGAGGTCTGGTCGATCTCGGCGCTGGCGCTCAGCAGGGCCTTGGTGACGTCGACGTCGGGCTTGGGGACGTCCGAGGTGTTGGAGTTGAAGTTCCAGGAGCCGGCCTTCTTGTCAAAGGTGGCACGGGCCAGCGGGTTGAGGTACACGGACGACTGCTGGGCATCGGTGTAGGGAGCGGCCGACTTGACACGGACAAAGGCGCCGACGCCAGTGAGGGTCTCGTGGAAGTAGCGGTAGGAAGCGGCCTGGCGCTTCTCACGCTTCAGGAGGTACTCGTTGTAGGCCTTGGTCTCGAGAGCAGCGAGGGCATAGTCGGGGTGGATAACGAGAATCTCACCGCCGGCCTGGCCGAAACCGAACGACTTGAGCAGACCAGCCTTGATGCCGTCGGTCTGGATCGAGCGCGACGGGTACAGGATGTATTTGAACTTGGAGAGTCGGTCCTCCGCGTTGTCCAGGTTGCGGTTGCCGGGGATGATGCCGGTCTCGAGAACCTGGATGACACCGTTGAGCATCCAGGCGGCAGCAGCACCCTTGGGGTGGCCGGTGAGGTACTTCTGGAAGATGGACGGGAGCACGTTGCCCTTGGTGCGGCCGAGATGGGCGAGCTGCTGGTTGACGGCAGACGACTCGTTGTAGTCGTTGGCCTTGGTGCCGGTGCCGTGGAACGAGGCAACGCCGATGTCGTCGATGCTAAGGCCATAGGTGGCAAGGGCGGCTCGGATGGGCGAGATGGTGGGGTCCTGCTTGGCAAACTCGTGGCTCCAGGTGGCAAGGGCAGCCTTTTCCTGTGGAAGTGCAGCAGATGACATAGATACCGCGGGGTCAGCAGCGAACAAGATGCGACGATCGGAGCAGCGGCGGTGCCTCTGAACATTGCATCGTCGCAGCCCAAGGACACACAATACAGTCCTGCCGCACCCGCGCTCCTCGGTGCGTGTCCGTCGTCGATCGGGCCAGGATCATCGGCAGCGCTACTTACTCTGCGCTTGCCCTCCTTCTCAATAAAGGCGGTGCGCTCCTTGATGAAGGTCTCGTCAGCCTCCTCGCCAGCGGCCTTCAGGGCAGAGACCTCATCGGCAAGAGCCTCGTACTCGTTGGCAACCCAGGTCTTGATGTATTCGCGCTCGCGCTTGAGCTGCTTGGCGCGGTACTCAAAGTTGAGCAGGGGAGACTTGTGCTTCTGCTGGGTCTCGCGGGCGGTGGTGAGGATACCCTGACCGGGAGCAGGGACGGAGCGGCTGTTCTTGTCGGTGGCAGTGTTGGTGCAGGCGACGATGGCGCGGATGGGGACGCCCATCTTGACAGCCAGGTCGGCGGTCATCAGGACGTGGATACCCGCGCCCTGGGACTCCATGAAGCCGCCGCGGGTGTCGGAAGCCGGCCGGCACATGTCGCGGGGCTCGCGGCCGCGGGCAAACTCGTCGAGCGAGTCGGAGGTGGCCTTCATGTTGGCAAACTCGTACGAGCCTTCCTCCTGGAAGTCATCGTAGCCACCACAGATGACGACCTTGGCGCGGCCGCTGAGCAGGGTGTCGACGGCAATGTCGACGGACTCGGCGGCGGTGGCGCAGGCGCCAACAGGGGTCTTGATGGGGCCCGAGGACGACAGCAGAAGCATGTTGACCCAGGCGGGCATGGTGTTGATGAAGGACTCCTGGAGAATGTCGTTCTGGACGGGCTTCTCAAGCAGACGCTCCTTGAAGAGCTTCTGGAGGGCGCGCATGCCGCCCATGCCACCGCCCGAGGTGTTGCCGAGCTCGGAAACGTGGATGTACTGGTAGAACTCGTAGGGGTCGGTGACACCCGAAGTCACGAGGGCCTCGACGGTGGCAACGAGGGCATACAGGGTGATGGGGTCGACCTGGGAGACAATGTCAGCAGGGACACCGTAGCGGGCCGCGTCCCAGCCGGTGGGGATCTGGCCAGCGACGAGGCGGCTGAACTTGAGGGCCTTGGGGACGTACAGGGTCGAGCCCTTCTTCATGCGCAGGAAGAGCTGGTCGCCGCGGTTCTCAATGACGGCGGCATCGCCGTGCTGCAGCTTGAAGGCATCGGCCTCCTCCTTGCTGACCTCGATGGGGGCCATGTCGGTGGTGATGGCAACCTCCTGGAGGAAGAGCTTCTTGTTGGGGTTGTAGCCCTGGAAGAGCTCCGACTCGATCAGACGGATACCGGTGTGCTCGAGGATCTTCTCCTCGTACTTGGACTTGACGTTGAAGTCCTGGACGGGCTCCTTGGTGGCGACGTCGATCCAGCCCGAGTAGTTGGGGATCTTGCCGAGCGGGCCGTTGTGGAACTTGATGAAGCCCATGATCCAGGCCATTTCAATGCAGCCCTCGAGCGAGAGCTCGCCAAAGGCCTCCATCTCCCAGCGGGTGCGCGAGCCACCGAAGGGTCCGACCTCGCCAAAGCCGGTCACGACAATGACCTTCTCGAGATCGAGCACGCCCTCGAGGTGCTTGAGCTTCTGGGCGCGCAGCTCGGGGAACTGGAACTTCATGTTGGCCCGGGGGGTCACGACGACAGTGTCCTGCTTGGCGGGGCCCTTCAGGGTCTTGTTGTCGAGGATCTCCTCCTGGGCGATGGCGCGGCGGATCTCCGAGGTCTCCATGAGCTCGCGGCGCAGGTTGGACGACACGGTGTTGAGGTCGGCGACAAAGTGCAGGCCGCCGTTGAGATCGGCCCAGATGGGCTCGATGCCAGAGAGCTTGACAATGTCGGGGTGCAGCAGACCAACCAGGTTGAAAGCCATCTCGTGGGTCGAGAAGGTGCGGGCGCCGAGCGACTCGATGCCCTCGGCAACCATGTTGTTGCCAGACATCAGGCCGGTGCCACGGGTCCAGCCGATGACGGCGCCAATGATGGTGAGGTAGCTGCTCCACTTTTCGGCATGGAAGCGGTTCATCAGGGTCTCAAGGGCAATCTTGGACTCGCCGTAGAGACCGTCGCCACCAAAGGTGCCGTGGTTGGGCGAGAGAGGCAGCATGACCGCGGCGGGACGGGTGTCGTAGCCGTTCTGTTGCTTCTTGATCTTGATCTCGCCAAGGAGGCGGAGGAGGTTGGTGAGCATGATTCTGTGGGCAAGCTCGGAGCGGGAGTCGATGCCGTCGAGCTCGCGGCCCTGCTCGGGGATGGCGGCGAAGGGCACGACAAAGTCGAGATCCCAGCCGAGGCCGTTCTTGAGGTCCTTGTCGTAGATGTAGTCGACGAGAGCCTTGGTGTCCTGGAGAGAGCCGCCGTTGAAGGGCACGACGACGAGGCGCGAGCCCTTGGAGCCGTACTGCTCGTAGATCGAGCGGTAGTACTCAGTGACGCTCTTTGAGAAGCGCGAGGTGGTCACGATCACAGAGGCACCGCCCTGGAGCAGGGCCTTCAGGATCTCGACACCGATCGAATCGCGGCCGCAGCCCGTCAGGAGGGCGTGGCGGCCCTTGAAGGACAGACCCTCGGCGGCAATCTGCGAGAGAATGTCGAGGTACTTTTCGGTGTACGAGCAGTCGGGGTTCCAGTGGCTGGGGTCGGCGGCGTCGCGCTTCTTGAGGAAGATGAAGGGCAGGTTCTCGGCGCCAAAGCTGTCGGGCAGGCTGTCCTTGAGCTCCGCAAAGATCGAGTCGATGCTGGTCTTGACAGAGGCGTCGAGCTCGGTGGCGCCGCGGACGAGGGCCTGGAGCTCCTCAAACTTGCGCTTGACCGAGTCGGTGTTGGGCAGCTTGGTGAGCTGGCTGCCGGCACGCATCTCCTTGACGTAGTCCTTCATGTTGCTGGCAGCGCGGCGCTCCTCCTTGTAGACGAGCTTGCCGTCGGCCGAGATGGTGGTCTTGGGCTGGGTGGGGCGGTAGGCGATGCTCTTATACACGGGATCGGCCTTGAGCGACTCCTTGACGTTGTCCAGCAGGACCTTGCCGAGGGTCTTGGCGCGCGAGTAGTTCTCGCCATTCTCCTCGGGGCAAGTGCTGATGTAGTACTCGATCATCTGCACCAGACCCTCAAAGTCGTCGGCGCGGTTCATGATGTGCAGGCAGCGGTCCATGAGCTCGCGGTCGACGCTGGTGAGGCGGCCAAAGATGAAGTCGTAGTAGAGCTGGATGGCGTCCTGGCGGGCCCAGTTCCAGTGCGAGTCGAACTTGCGAGCCTTGAGGATGGTGAACAGGGGCTTGATGCCGTCGGCGTAGAACTCGCCGTGCTCGGTGTTCCACAGATCAATCTCCTTCTGCAGAGTCTTGGAGCTGCCGCGCTCGGCCTCGGCGGCATGGGCGCCCTCGAGGAGGTCGACATCGAGGTACTTGGCAAACAGCTCGAGCTGCTCGCGGATCATCAGATCGGTCTTCATCTTGTGCAGGTTGAACTCTTCGCTGTTCATGGCAACGACGGCGCCGCCAACGGCGACTCCACCGGCAGCACCGCCGCCGAGCGAGACGCCGACCTTGGCGGCGTACGAGCTGGCGGTGGCATCGAGCCAGGCCTTGGCCTCAGCCTCGCTGCCGAGACGGGAGGCGGGCTCGCTCACGAGACCGTGGAGCAGGACACCGTCGGTGCGCTTGGGGCCGAGGCCCTTGGACGACAGATGGGCCTTGACCTGGCCCATACCAAAGCCGGCAGGCATCTTGCCACTGACGAGCTTGTTGATCAGACCGCTCGAGGTCTTGCCGAGGGCACCAGAGTGGCCGTTCTGCAGAGCGTTGGCGATCTCACCAAGGGCGTTCTCCTCGGCCTTATCGGCGAGGACGTTGCCAAACTCGGCTCCGAGATCACCGAGGATCTCGTTCTGCAGAGTCGACTTGCCGCCAACGAGGTCCTTGATGCTCTTGTTGAGAGGGATCTCGGCAATGGGCTTCTTGAGCTTCTGGGCGACGAGAACGACAAGGACCTCCTTGGCAGTGAGGGGCTCATCGGGGATGGGTCCAGCAGCAGCGGCGGCAGGGGCGGCGGCGGCAAAGATGGGGCCAGCAGCAGCGGCAGGGGCACCGCCGCCGAGCGAAATGCCGACCTTGGCGGCGTACGAGCTGGCGGTGGCATCGAGCCAGGCCTTGGCATCGGCCTCGCTGCTGAGACGGGAGGCAGGCTCGGAGAGCAGACCGTGCAGCAAGGCACCCTCAGTGCGCTTGGGGCCGAGGCCGTGGGCAGCCTTGAGGTGGGCCTTGACCTGACCCATACCAAAGCCGGCAGGCATCTTGCCACTGACGAGCTTGTTGATCAGACCGCTCGAGGTCTTGCCGAGGGCACCAGAGTGGCCGTTCTGCAGAGCGTTGGCGATCTCACCAAGGGCGTTCTCCTCGGCCTTGTCGGCGAGGACGTTGCCGAACTCGGCTCCGAGATCACCGAGGATCTCGTTCTGCAGAGTCGACTTGCCACCAACGAGGTCCTTGATGCTCTTGTTGAGAGGGATCTCGGCAAGAGGCTTCTTGAGCTTGTGGGCGACAAGGACAAGCAAAATCTCCTTGGCAGACACGGGCTCGTCAGAAACACTGCCAGCAGCCACGGCGACGGGGGCAGGAGCAGCCACGGCAACAGGGGCAGGCGCGGGAGCAGCAGCAGCAGCAGCAGCGGGGGCAGCAGGGGCGGCCTCGGGCTCGGCGGGAGCGGCATCTTCATACTGGTAGTAGATGTCCTTGCGGTCCTTGGTGGTGCAGAGGGTCACACGGCGGGCGGTGACGGCGTCGTCGTAGGCCTCGTACTTGATCTTGAGGGTGCGGCCGGCCATGCCACAGAGGACGGGGCTGGGACCGACCTCGATGAAGCGCTCGACATCGTACTCGCGGAAGAAGCGGTCCTGGGTCTCGATCCAGCGGACGGGGCTGGCAAACTGATGGGCAAGCAGCTCAATCAAGAGCACATAGGCAAGGTGCTGCTGGCCGGCCGAGGTGGCGTTGGTCTCCTCGTCCCAGTTGGCCAGGATTTCAGTGAGCCAGGCCGAGCCGGTCTGCTTGTGGACGCGCTCAAAGTAGTCCTTGCTGATGCTGAAGGGCTCGGCAGTCAAGTTGGGGATGTACTTGCCAACAAGCAGCGAGACGTTGACGAATCGAGCCTCGAGCTTGCGGCGGAGGACCTCTCGGAAAGGAACGACACCGTTGAGCAGGAAGCTCGAGTGGAAGGGCACGTCGATGCCGGGCAGGGGGATGGTGGCCACACCGCGCTCGGGGATGACGAGGCCCTTGTTGGCAGCCTTCTTCTTGCGGGCCACCTCGAGGGACTCGTCGCAGATGCCGTTGAGCAGCTCCTCGATCTCCTCCAGGGTCTTGGTCTTGGTGAGCTCGATAAAGTTGACCTTGAGGGCCTTGATCTTGTCGAGGACGAGGCGGAGGGTCTCCAGGTTGGTGAGCTCACCGGCAGCGACGTACTGGAAGTTCTCGACGTTGAAGTTGACAATCTCCAGCAGGTTGTTGGAGCGGCGGGCGATGCCGTCGATGATGAAGCGGAGGGCCTGCTCGCCGAGGGTGGGGCCAACGCGGATGGGGTTGATGGCGCACATGCCGTAGTCCGAGCGGCCCTCGCTGTCGCGAGGAACGGCCGTCTGCATGGTCATGCCACGGTAGAAGACGACATCGACGAGGGACTCGATCGAGAGGACGCCACCGACGGCCGAGAGACCGGCGTACTCACCGAGACTGTGGCCGGCAAAGGCACAGTCGCTCTGGACAAAGCCGTTGGCCTTCATGTCCTGGAAGGAGGCAATCTCCATCAGGGTCAGGGCGGGCTGGGTGAACTGCGTGGCCGAGAGCAGGCCGGTGGGGTGGGTGAAGGTGAACGACAGGGTGTTGTCGTTGATGCCGGGGAAGAGGGGCAGGCTCTTGAGCTGGCCGTCCTCGAGGACATCGTAGGTCATGCCCTGGTAGTGGCGGCGGACGGCAGCACCCTTGATGCCGCCAAAGTGCACCGTCTTGGACTTGGGGTTGCTGCGGACAATCTCGAGGATCGAGACACCGTAGGTGTTGAGCATGTGCTGGTCGGCGCGGTCCCAGATCTCCTTGGCAACGGGCGACGAGGCGTACAGGTCCATACCCATGCCGACCTCCTGCGAGCCCTGGCCGGTGAAGACGTAGCTGGTGGTGGGCTGCTCGACCTCGGCCGAGCCGACGAGGACCTTGGCTCCGCGCTGGTTGAAGGTCTCGATCTGGATCAGCTTCTTGCCGTTGAGCATGCCGACGTGCGAGAGCTTGGTCTCGAGCTGGTCGCCGGGAAGAACCATGTCCATGAAGGTAACCTGGTAGGCCTTGACGCGCTGGGGCTGGTTGTTGGCCGCAAAGATCTCGACAAACTTGCGGGTCGAGGCGCTGGTCCACATGCCGTGGGTGATGGTGCCAGGCAGGCCAGCGAGGTCGGCAATGTAGGGGTTCACGTGGATGGGGTTGAGATCGCCCGAGCTCTTGGCGTAGGTTTCGTTGTTGCCGGGGACAGAGGCAACGGCAGGGAAGACCTTCGAGCCGGGGAGGATCGAGTAGCCACCGTTCTTGAAGTGGATGGCCTGCTCGATGGGCTTGCCGTGGCGGTTGAGGTACTCCATCACCACGTTGCCGTGGGCAACGTCGGCCTCGTAGACGACCTTGCCAATCTCGACCGTCTCGCGGGTGGTCTTGAGGAAGACAGAGCCGTTGGTGGCAATGTGCGAGAAGACCGTGGCGTTCTTGAACTTGGCAAAGCTCTCGAGACGGAAGATCAGCACCGACGAGGGCGTGATCTCGGGGGCGGTCTCGTTCCACTGGATCCACTTCTTGGACTTGAGCACGGCAACGTCCTTCTTGGTCTTGAGCTCGACCTGCATGGGCTTCTCGGCCGTGCGGCGGAAGGTGTTCTCGTAGTCGCTGAACTTGCCGCGGTACAGGAAACGGCTGATGATCTCGATCACAGCAGAGCCGTTCTTGCTGAGGACCGCCTTGACCTCGACGGTCTTGCCGGCCTCGGAGATGATCACCGAGTTGATGATGGCCTCGGTCGAGATCTCGTCGCCGGCGCGGATGATCTCCTTGGAGTCGATCTGGCGGAACTCGTTCGAGAGATGGACGAGGCGCAGGAGGTCGCCGTCGATCTCCTTGGGCAGAATGGCGCCGACAAGCGACTTCCAGCCGGCGACGATGGCAAAGTCCATGGGAGCAGGGACGTTGTCCGTGTTTGTGGAGTACAGCTCGGCGTGGTTTCCGATGATCTGGGTAAAGTCCTGCAGGCGCTTCTTGTCGACGACAAAGGTCGAGCGGAACACGTCCGTGGGGGTGAGGGCAGACTCGGAGGGGCTGATGTACCAAAGGGCGGCATAAAAGTCCTTGATGCGCTGGTTGCGGCCCTCCATGACCTCGTGGATCAGGGCATAGCCCATCGAGGGGACGTACTTGAAGAAGAACTGCAGAGGAACGTGGTCAGCGTCGCGCTTCTCGTACACGGTGACGGCAATGGCCTCGCCCTCGCGGGTAATGACGACAGCAGGGTGGCGGTCGGGAAGCTTGCTGCTGGCCGGCGAGCGCTGGCTGTAGACGGTCAAGACAACGGGGTTGCCCTCGGCGTCGAACTTGGCAAAGAGCGTCTGGTTGGGGCGGGGGCGCAGGATGGCGTGGACGGGGTTGGAGCTGATCTGCTTGCCCTGGAAGATCGAGCTCTCGGTCAGGAGGGCACGGAGCCAGTGGAGCTTGGGGCCAGCCAGAATCTCAAAGAACTCGGGGCCCGAGGGAAGCTCGGACTCCTTGCCCGAGAGCTCGTACATGATCTCGCCATCGTCAAGGTGGGTGACCTTGACGCCGGGGAGGTTGGCGGCGGCAATGCGGGCAGGGCTGGCGCCGAGGTACTCGGCAACAGGGATGCTGGCCTCGTCGCCGTTGTAGTACTTCTCCTTGATGAACTCGATCTGGGCATTGTAGATGTTGCCGAGAATGTCCTTGACGGGCTCGTTCACGACCTTGCTGTGGGCGACGGCGACAGGGCCCTGGAGAATGGCAACACGGCCGACATCTTGGTCGGGGACAGCGTCGACGTCCTCGGACTGCCACAGCGAGTCCTTCTTGAACCAGAACTCAAACTTGTCGTCGAGGACGGGAATGAAAGGACCGGGCTTGCGCCAGGGGATGGTGGTGATGGCCAGGAAGTGGAAGACGTCCTCCTGCGTCAGGGTCTGGACACGGGCCTCAGGGAAGGCGTCAAAGAAGCCCTCGGAGAAGACGATGGGCTCAGAGTCAAGGACGCTGTAGGACTGGATCAGCGAGGGAGAAGGCTTCTTGGAGAAGCGCTCCTCGACACGGCGAAGGAAGTCGCCAAAGGTCTCCTTGAGGGTGAAGTCGATCCAGCGGGTCTGGTGCTTGATGTAGGTGGTGTCCAGCAGGCGATCGGCAACCTCCTTGTAGGTCATCTCATGGAGCTCGCACGAGCGGCCGTCAGCCTTGCGGCCGAACCAGGGCTTCTGGAAGTCCTTGTTGAGGCGATCGATGATGTAGTCCTTGCGCTGGAGCAGGGCGGCGACACGCTTCTCCTTGGGGAGCGAGAAGATGGTGTCGTCCATCTCCTTCCAGAAGAGAATGCCGCGGTTGGCAATCTTGTGGATGGGCTCGCCGAGCTCGGACTTGACCGTGACGATGTTGCCAATGGGGCCCTTGTAGGTCTTCTCCCACTGCGACTCGTCGGTGATACCGGGGGCGTCGACAATGAGCTGCTTGACCGAGATCGAGGCCTTGTTCTCCTCGGCGACCATGACACGCGAGCCAAGGAGGATACCATCGAAGGGCATGGGGGCATAGTCAAACTTGGTCGACCACTCACCCGAGAGGTAGGGCAGAGTGTCTTCGTGGCCACCAAAGCCACTGCCGACGACCAGGATGATGTTCTCGCAGCGGCGGATCTGGCCGTAGGTCTCGAGCATGGGAGCGTGGAAGTCCTCGAACGAGTGGTGACCACCACCACGACCACCGGTCCACTGCAGAATGATGGGGAAGTCAGGGTGCTTCCTGGCAATGTTGACGACGCGGAGGATGGTGTCGACACTGCCGGGCTTGAAGGCGACGTGCTTCAGACCAGAAGCCTTGAGGTTGATGACAATGTCGTCAGCAACATCGATCGAGGGGACACCGGCGGCAACGGTGATACCTTCCATGGGGACGCCCTCCTTGCGCATGGCGCGGACCAGGGGGTACTGGAAGCCCCAGAGTCTGGGGTTCAGGAAGAGGCAGTTGAGGGTGATGGCCTCGCCGGCAGGAACCATCTGGAGGATGTTGTTGACACGGCGACGCAGGTACTGCTCGGTGTGCTGGCCACCGCCAGCGAGCTCGACGTGGAAACCGGCGTTGATGACGGCAGCAACAAAGGGCTCCTCGACGGTACAGGGGGTCATACCGGCGACCATCAGCGGGGGCTTGCCGAGCAGGCGGCTGAAGGGGGTGTCGAGGTGGATCTTGCCGGAGCCGGCGACCTGGATGAGGCGGGGCTTGTACTTATCGGCCCAGTTGATGGCGCGCTTGACGCTCTTGACGTCGTAGTCAAAGACAGCGGACTGGTCGGGGAGCGAGCTCTGGGCATCCAGAGTGCTGGCGAGGACGACCTGGACACCGGTGCCCTCCTTGTTGCGCTGGGTCAGACCGCCGATGCCGGAGGAGCCGCCGGGGCCAAAGTCGAGGATGTGGGTGACGTTGTCGACCTTGGTGGCAATCTCCCAATGGACGGCCTGGGTGCAAATCTGCTCGACCAGCGAGATGGTCAGGCGCGAGCTGTTGCGGAGGTCCTCGCCAGTGTTGGTGTGGTAGACAGGGATGGCGATCTTGGCGGCATCAAAGTCGAGGTTCAGCTCACTGATGTCCTGCTCAAGCTGCGCAGGAACATTGACCAGGTACTCGCTGTGGAAGGGCACGGCGACGGGCAGGAAGCGCGAGGAGAAGCGGATCTTGCGCTCCGAGTGGGGGACACGGGACTGGTCCAGGCCGGTGGGGGCCTTGATCTTGCGCAGGGCGACGTTCAGACCGTAGAGGGACTGAGGGGGACCGGTGCAGATGGTGGAGCGGGGGCCGTTGATGAGAGAGAGATGGACGCGGCGGTCGGCAGGCAGATGCTTGTTGGTGGCCTCGACGTGCTTGACGACCTCGGCAGAACGAAGGCCTGGAGGCGGGGACAGGAAGCGGACAAGTCAGGCGCAGCCCCGGCTTGATTGCACATATAGTAGCGCACGCCAGAAACCAAGCCGCGCAACAAATCTCGCCTGTACTAACCGGTGACGGCCAACATCGGGGTGGGGATACCCTCGTTGTTGCTGAGCGAGTCCTGGAGGATGTTGGGGTTGATGGTGGTGCGAGGGACAGCATTCTGGGAGCGGAGACCCAGCCAGAAGAGCAGACCAAGGGCCTTCTGGGTGTTCTCGAGGAACTCCTTGTCGGTTTCGGACGAAGCAATGACGACCGAGGAGATAATACCCTGGCTATGACCGGTAGTACCTGGTGGAGCGAGCAGAGTAAGCGGGTCGGCAGGGCGAGCAGTTGGGCTCGTGAGCGAGAAGCAGCCGACAGAGAGCGAGACAGCACGAGCGAGGAACGAGGAGCAAAGTCGAGGACAAGATCGGAAACCCAGTGGCCCTTTGAGCGAGAAGCGGGTGTCGCAAGGGGGGAGGGAGAAATTGGGGGAGAAGCACAGCGCCACGAGGCTTGTCGGCCCACGCAAAACAAGAGGGGCTGAGGCGGCGATCTTGCCCGGCCAACAAGACAAAAGACGGCGGCACCAGCGGACCGAGGGACGGGGGGGCGGAGGGGACTGCAAAAGGAAAATCTGCCCGACGCTGTGCACCCACACGGAGCGGCGACAAGGACGGGCGGACCGGGCGAGAGCGCAGGAATAGGAGGACGAGATGCAGGCCAAGAGAGAAGCGGGATCGGTGCAGATCATGGAATGGGGTGTGCAGAAGGGCACCACGCAGACGACGATGCAATGGTGCAATTGTGCAATTGTGCAAGTGGGGGCGCCAGAACGAAGGCTGGAGCGGGCAGCCCGCAGCAAAAGAGTGCCATCGGGATTTACGTGGGCAAAAGGGTTTCTGGCCGGCGGTGCCAAAATGGCTTCACGGAGCCCAACCGGCGACAGGAACACAGCGGGCAAGAGCACAGCGGGGGCAGTTCCTACCAGTAAAGAGTGTTCGAACCTCTGCGGGGGTTTTATCCACGATCTTGAGCATGATCCAGTAGTTGAGGAGCTGGGTGAGACCGATGAGGGGCAGACTCAGGTGGGTGTCAAGAAGGGTGTTGGTGCTGGGCCGGGTCTCGGGGCGCTCGAGCCAGCTGATGACATCGATCTTGGAGGCCTGTGCGTTCTGGGCACGCTCCGACTCGGAGTGCTGGGCCAGGGTAAGGGCAGCCTGGCGAACGAAAGCGATGGAGAAGGCACTGTAGGTCTCGTAGGCAAAGACGAGCTCGTCAAAGTACTCCTCGACGTTGCCCTGGCCACCAAAGACGGCAAAGATGCTGGCCTGCTCGCTGGCGACCTGGGCAAAGAGGGCCGATTCGTGGGGGAGGAACTCATCGCGGGTGACGAGGCTCTGCTTTCTGACGGCAACGAGGGCCTGGTAGTAGTTCTTGATGACGCTGGCACGAGCAGCGGCGGCCAGACTGCGGGTGACGGCGTGGATGTTCTGGTTCTTCAGGACCGAGCGATGGAAGTACGAGAGAACCAGGGCAACAAAAGGCAGAGCAGCGGCGTCGGTAGCCGCATGGTCGAGCGAGATCTTGAGGAGGTTGGCGGTCAGCTCGATCGCAGTGGTCTCCTCGTCCGAGACGGGGAGAGCGTCCTTGATGTGTTCGGCAACGGGCCAGAGCGAGAACGGCACGGGGATGCTGAGCTCGAGGCCGTTCTGCTTGAGGTTCAGAGGACGGGTAGTAGCTTGGGCGGTGGAAGCCATGGCGGATCGGTGAGTTGGTGGTGAGTCCGGGGAGCTGAGATGGAGCAAAGTAGGAGCTGGCAAACGCTGGATTTGCGGTGCAAGCAGGGCTTTATCGTATCGGTCGTCAGACGAAGAGCGATCGTGGGATTTCCTTTGACAGAAGGAAACCTGGGCGGCAATCGCAGGGGGGGGAGGTGAGAGTGGGTTTGGTGGGAGTTGCTCTCTTCGCTTCAAAGAGTCAGATTGACAGGGTTCTGACTAGATGGACGAAAAGGGCAGACGGCGAGACTGAGGCTGGGGGGGGGAGAGATACGATGACGGGCGGGAAGAACGCAGGGCGGCGGCGACGGCAGCGTAGTTATAGGACCAGTCGAACGGCTTGGGATGCTGCCAGGGCGATCGCGATGGCCCAAACAGGGCAACTTTTTGTTGCGCTTTTTTTGGGGCGACGGGAGCGGCGCGCGACAACGGCGGGCGGCTTGGGGAGTGTGCGCAGCGCGACCGTCGCACGGGTGCGACATGAGTGCGTCGCGTCGCGGGCGGGAGAGAGGGCCGTGGTTGGGAATGGCGATAACGACTTTGTTGGCTGGTGCGAAGAGGCCGCCTCGGGGGGGGGGCCAAGCCGACGACACCCCCAAACTCCACGACGAGGGGCGAGAGCACCTAGGACAGGGCCGAGACGGGAGCTGATTGGAATGCCGGGCATATGCACTGGATGTGGATCGCACTCGGACATGGTGGATGCTTGGACATGGTGGATGCTTGGACATGGCCGCCAGAGAAGATGCGTTGGCCGATGCTCCGACACCTAAGGCACACGTACACACACCACTCCGAGAAGGAGCGAGGGCGCTCTCGTCGAGGACAATAAGGCGCCTCTCGCTTGTTTCGTCTCTGTTGCCGCCACCGATTCGACACCAGGCCGCCTCTCTCGACGACCGATCCAGGGCACCGACGCCTGATCGGGCCCTCGCTGGGTGCATCCTGCAATGCCTCTCCTCTGCGTCTCGCCAGTGCTGCTGCTGTTGTTGCTGTTGCTGTCGCTGCTTCTCACCATCGTGCCTGTGTGTGTCGCCGCGGCGAGCATCTGGCCCTGCAGACCGGCGAACGGCAGGCCAGCCGGCGTCTCGGTGATGTGGAATGTATTCGTTATCGAGCCCTCTGCCGGTTTTTTTTTTCGGCTGTGTTGGGGGGCAAGTGTGGGCGCGTCCCCCCGCACACGCACCAATGGGCACGCAGGCCTGCTTTCCTTTTCCGGCCGACGACGCCACGCGTCCTGCCCCAAAAACCACAACAAGCCAGAGACAGGGGCACTCGCGGTGACTCGAAGCGCCCTGCCACAGCCAAGCGCGGCCGGCCATGATCTGGGTCGCCGCGTTTCATGGCCCAAGATGGGTTCTCTCGTTCATGCATTCCCCCCCCGTCCATGCGCGCTGCTGGTGCTCTCATCGGCCGCTTCTGCTTCACAGAACGGCGCGGCAATCGCAGCCGCTTGGGGTTGGCTGTTGTCGACGACAGGATCAACGCGCGGCCATCACAATCAACAGGGTCAAGAGCGACCTTCGATTTGTCAACGGAGCGGCCACCTCCTCCCCAACAATGTCGGCGGCGCCAGAACCCCCGAATCGCCTCTGGTACTCCCCAGGTTTGCTTGGCAGTTGGGGGCGGCGGACTCAAGTTGGGGAGAGATGCGATGCGGAGACACCAGTCGATGTGCATTTCTGGGGAGATTTGGGCTGCAAATGGGGGGCCTGTCGCAGGACCGACAGAGCGAGCCATGGAATCTATCAACGTGGACGAGTCAACTTGGAGCCAGGGCAAACTAGGTTTGCTGGGGCGGGCAAAAGCAGTGTCCCACGGGTTGGACCAGGGTGCCGCCAATCGAGACACTGTTCACGCAATCGCCCGCTTTGGGATGCAGCACAGGCCAGCAGATGCAAAGGTTGGAGATGGATTGGGTATCGAAACAAACACTGTCGAGATCGGTGAAGCTTGTGCTATTGTGATACAGCCAACCGAGACTCATTCAAAACCGCTTCCGGAGATATTCGTCCAGAGATAATCCTCCAAAAGCACAAAACAGCAGTAAAATATGCGCAGACAACAGCCCGCCTGTCTAGGGGGCAGCCCGCCCGTCCATGCGACAGCCTCGAGACGCTACTCGTACTTCTTGGCCACCATGCCCTCTGGCGGAGTCACCTCGACCCGCTTCTTGCCGACCTCGTCCCAGTTGGTCGAGAGGCAGGTGCCATTGCTTTCGACATAGCTTTTGATCATGGCGCGACGTGTCTCATCGGAGGCGTCCTTATAAATGGTCCGGAACAGATCGTTCAGGGCCTCCTCGCCCTGGCCCTTGTCGCCTTCGATATTCTTGGCAATCGCATCCCAGTTCTGAGTTGAAGGCAGCAAGGAATCAGCCGTCCGCACCAGACTCGAGTGCACCGACAGCCCAGTTGGAGCGCATGGAGCGAGCGGATCGGATCGGATACATATAGTGTGCAAGACAAACAGCGAAGCGGGCGGTGCGGAGGTGTGAGCCAAATAGCCAACGGGTGCCCGCGACACTCACCTTCTTGGAGGAGGTGGGATATGTCGGTGCCTTGGCCATCGTCTGAGCGAGAGAGCTATCCTCGCCTTCCAGAGCACCCCACTTCAGGCCCTCGTTGGCCTTCTTGAGCTTGATTTCAATCTTTGTGGAGAGCACCGAGTACTTTGATTCGGAGGGGACAATCTCATGCGATAGGGGATCGAGCTCAAGGGAGTAGTCGGATCCTGTCGATGGCAGCTTGATGGTGACGGATGTGGCTCGCTCGGTGAAGATGATCTCGACATTCTCGGGCTTGGCATGCTTGACAAAGACTGAGATGGTGACAAAGTTGTCGTTCTGGAACCACTCGTGGCGGATCTTGGACGGAGGAAGGAAGCTGGCGGTCGTGGGGATGCTGGCAGGCGCCGTGGTGCTGTCCGAGGAAGCGGTGCCGTCGGCGGCCGGGGCGACGGGATCGACAGGAGCGAGCTTGCCACCTGCAAGAGTGTCGGCGTCAGGAATAGCGGGAGGAATCCACCGATCCATCGTCAATCCATGCATCCAAATAGGATGGTGGGCATGGCTCAGTCGTGTATATGCACATGACGTTGCTGCTTTTGACATGCGCGTGTGTCTGGGGAAGAGTGGGGCTTGGCTCGCCACATACCTGCTCTGACGAATTCTTCTGTTGCATTGTCAAAGCCCTGCTTGGCAGCAGCATCGTCGGGCTGGACCTTGAGAACTTCGCCAAAGGCCTCGCGGGCTTGGGCCCATTGCTTCAGTGTGGCCGATGTGGCACCACGTCGCAACTGGGCCTTGACAAAGATACCCTGGTCGCCCTGGGAGAGAGCGGCGGCCATCTGGGCATCGCTCAAGGCCTGCGAGTGCAGGCCGAGCTTCGTGTAGGTGCTGGCGCGCTTGAGATAGCACTCGGGGTTGGAGGGGTTGGCGCTGATGGCTTGAGAGTAGAACGAGAGGGCTGTCTCGTAGTCCTCATCGACAAAGGCCGAGTTGGCCTGGGCTAGAAAGGCGAGTTCGGCCATGACTGCGGGTGCGGAAGTGAGACGGTTTCAGGAGATGGTCGCTGAGCGGATTGTGGATTGACCTCTGCTTTCAGTCAGCCGAGGCGGGGGCGGGAAGAGCAGTGCGGGTCAGAGAGACATCCAAGATGCAAAGCGGACCGGACTGGGATACCATGAGCTCTGATTGCCCGAGAGGGTGGATGCCAGCGGTATCATCGCTGGGCCCCGCCACAGGGTATCCGTCGATACCCATGGTGCGACGGAATCGGCCCGATGCGGCGCGAACAAACCCAGAGGCACATCCAGTCCCTTCTGGAAGGCTGCTGGCTGGGCCACCGCAGACGGGAGCATGGTCCGGAGAATGCGAGAAGATGCGATTGACGCCGCGAACGACCGCGGACAAATCACCAGGGGCAGCACAGATCGTCCGAGTCGTGTCCAGCAGCAGCAGCAGCAGCGACAGGCCCGCAGCCAATAGCTCACCAGGATACGTGCGATCGGGACTCGAGGATGCTCTCGGCGATGCGTTGACGATGCGTTGACGCTATGCTGATGATGTGCTGATGATGCGCTGGCGATGTGATCGGCGGCTTGCTCGGCAGTGCGATCGACGCTGGATCATCAGCTGGCGGCGCGAGTCGAATCCCTTGATCGCCCCCATGCCTTCGCGCATGGCCGCTCCGCTGTGGCGCAGAGTCACGTGAGCTTCCAGGCGGTTCGAGCCGGCTCCGCGGTGTTCTTTTCTCTTCGGCGGGCTTCTGTGGGTGACGCGGGCGGTGCGACGCATGGCATGCGCGCTTCCTTGCGCCGGCGCGCCCGTGTCTCACGACGAAAAAAAAGATCGACAGGCGAGCCCTCGGAAGCCCGCAGCAACCGCCTGCCCCACACAGACCACAACAGCGCCGGCGCCTGCCCGCAGTATTAAAAATTCATTAAAAATTTTTCACAGGCGCCGCGCGGATGGAACCCGAAATTTCGTCCATTGGGTTCTCTGCAAAGCCACACCCGCATGCGTTTAAAAGCTCTCCGCTCGCCCAGCGCTGCTCTGTCCCGTACGGAAGTCGTCTCTCTACTTTCATCTCACAACCACCATGTCCAAGGCTGTTGGTATTGATCTGGGTACTACCTACTCGTAAGTGTCGCCCTGTCGTTGCCTGGCGTGCCCTGCGGTGTCGCTGCAGCCTCTGCGATCCTCCTGATCGGCGGGGCGGGAGCGATCTGGTGCTTGATCAGCGCCTGCCCGCGTCGCCTCGAGGGAGAGAGAGCGAGTCGTCGGGAGCAGCCCTCTCGTGCAGATCGGCCCGCTCGTGCAGATCGATCTCCTCGTGCGTGTGGCTCCTGAGAACATCACACGCCAGCGTGTTTTGTGCTGCCTGCGTCTCCGCCCCTTGATCGCCCCAGTCCCGCGGCCTCGCTCCCAGATCTGACCATCGGCTTCCTCTGCTCTCTCCCGCAGCTGTGTCGGCGTTTGGCAGAACGACCGTGTCGAAATCATTGCCAACGACCAGGGTAACCGCACTACCCCCTCGTATGTCGCCTTCTCCGACTCTGAGCGTCTCATTGGTGATGCTGCCAAGAACCAGGTCGCCATGAACGTAAGTCCTCTGTCGCGTCGGCTGTGACGTGTTGTGTGCAAGTCGCCTGCCACTGTCTCCTCGAGGCTATCAGGGCAACAGCGCTGACGCCTCCTCCCGCTCTCTGCCATCTGCTTCCAGCCCTTCAACACCGTCTTCGATGCCAAGCGTCTCATCGGCCGCCGCTTCAACGACGCCGAGGTCCAGTCTGACATGAAGCACTGGCCCTTCAAGGTCGTCAACGTCGACACCAAGCCCCTCATCCAGGTTGAGTTCAAGGGCGAGACCAAGACTTTCACCCCTGAGGAAGTCTCCTCCATGGTTCTCCTGAAGATGAAGGAGACTGCTGAGGCCTACCTCGGCACCACCGTCAAGGACGCCGTCGTCACCGTCCCCGCCTACTTCAACGACTCGCAGCGCCAGGCCACCAAGGACGCCGGTGTCATCTCGGGCCTCAACGTCCTCCGTATCATCAACGAGCCCACCGCTGCCGCCATCGCCTACGGTCTTGACAAGAAGATTTCCGGCGAGCGCAACGTCCTCATCTTCGATCTCGGAGGTGGTACCTTCGATGTCTCCCTCCTGACCATCGAGGACGGTATCTTCGAGGTCAAGGCCACCGCCGGTGACACCCATCTTGGTGGTGAGGACTTTGACAACCGCCTCGTCTCGCACTTCACCGAGGAGTTCAAGCGCAAGCACAAGAAGGACCTGACCTCCAACGCCCGTGCCCTCCGCCGTCTCCGCACCGCTTGCGAGCGTGCCAAGCGCACCCTCTCGTCTGCTGCCCAGACCACCATCGAGATTGACTCTCTCTTCGAGGGTATCGACTTCTACACCTCCATCACCCGTGCCCGCTTCGAGGAGCTCTGCGCCGACCTCTTCCGCTCCACCATCGACCCCGTCGAGAAGGTCCTCCGTGACGCCAAGATGGACAAGGCCTCCGTCCACGAGATTGTCCTCGTCGGTGGCTCCACCCGTATCCCCAAGATCCAGAAGCTCGTCTCGGACTTCTTCAACGGCAAGGAGCCCAACAAGTCCATCAACCCCGATGAGGCCGTTGCCTACGGTGCCGCCGTCCAGGCTGCCATCCTCACTGGCGACACCTCCGAGAAGACCCAGGATCTCCTCCTGCTCGATGTCGCTCCCCTCTCTCTCGGTATCGAGACTGCTGGCGGTGTCATGACTGCCCTCATCAAGCGCAACACCACCGTTCCCACCAAGAAGTCCGAGATCTTCTCGACCTACGCCGACAACCAGCCCGGTGTTCTCATCCAGGTCTACGAAGGTGAACGCGCCCGCACCAAGGACAACAACCTCCTCGGCAAGTTCGAGCTCACCGGCATTCCCCCCGCCCCCCGCGGTGTCCCCCAGATCGAGGTCACCTTCGATGTCGATGCCAACGGTATCCTGAACGTCTCTGCCGTCGACAAGACCACCGGTCGCTCCAACAAGATCACCATCACCAACGACAAGGGCCGTCTGTCCAAGGAGGAGATCGAGCGCATGGTTGCCGATGCCGAGAAGTACAAGGCTGAGGATGCCGCCGCTGCCGACCGCATCCAGTCCAAGAACGGTCTCGAGACCTACGCATACAACCTCCGCAACTCGATCAACGACGAGAAGCTCTCTGCTGCCTTCAAGCCCGGAGACAAGGCCAAGCTCGAGTCTGCCGTCCAGGAGGTCATCAACTGGCTCGACCACAACCAGGAGGCCTCCAAGGAGGAGTACGAGCACAAGCAGAAGGACCTCGAGAAGGTTGCCAACCCCATCATGAGCAAGCTCTACGGTGGTGCCGCCCCCGGCGGTGCTGCTCCCGGTGGCTTCCCCGCCGAGGGCCCCGGCCACTCTGGCCCCACCGTTGAGGAGGTCGACTAAACGGCTCTGTTCCCCCGCATCCATCACCCTTCTGCCGTCTTACCCATGTGCGCCCCCTCCCCCTTTCATTCTGCTATTCCACACGAACGGGCATTGCTTTGAGTGATAGTCCAAGAGATGTTGTCCATTGTACATAATGATAAAACAATGACTTTACCAAAAGCAATCACGAGCGTCGCCGGTCCCGTTCCAATCCCATGGTGCATGTGTGCGGATGTTGTCAGGGCTGTGCGAAGCTGGAACGAGGGGCTGAACCTGCTTGCCCTCTGCTCATCCCCCGCGATCGTGATTATTGACTCCACAGCATGAGTGGTTGGATGGAAGAGCAAAACGAGTGTATTCAGGAGGTCAATGTTCTCAGCGCAGAGCGGGGTGTCTCGGGTCCTTTGCCCTCGACTGCACAATATTGCCGTGGTAAAAAGAAGAATAAGGCAACTCTGACGAACATGATGAGCAGCGATCGGGCGGCAGGGAAGGAAACGATGGGAAGAGATTGGTTGGCTGGATGGTTGTTGGTTGTTTTTTTTTTTTTGTCCGTGGGCCTCATGGTCGGTTGTTCGTGGTCTGCCGGCCCTGGGTCGTCAGCAGGCCGGGTCCATCTTGTAGGGGCGCAGTTGCTACTGGTCACCGCTCTCCGAGTGCAGCGTGCTCGTCGTTTCGCTGGTGTTGAAGCGGCTCTCGGTGCCTTCGTCGTCTCCGTCGTTGCCGTTACCGTCCTCATCGCCGTCGTCGTCGTCGTCCGACTCGCCAAACAGCAAAGGGTCGTACTGGCCCAGCTCGCGGAGTCGGCTCTTGGAGAGCTCGTGGTCGAATCGCAGGGCCGCGTCCTGGTATAGCAGCACCGCCATCAGGAAGCTGCGGTCTGCCGGCGGCTCGAGTGTCATCTGGCCGAGCTTGGAGCTAACTTCGGTCAGCGACGGCGCTGTCGAGGATGTGAGCTGGATGTGGGTCCGTGGCGAGATCGAGCGACCGCCGGATAGCGCCTTGGACTCGGCAACAGGGTTGCCTCCGCCCTCGACCATCGACACAAAGCCCGCTTCGTATGCTCGCCCCAGCCAGTAGACGGCATCCGGGTGGTTCGCCTCGCGGCCTTGTCGGAGCATATCGACGGCCTTGGCAACGTTCTGTTCGAGCCCCCCGAGTCCGTACAGATAACAGCGCGCCAGGTTGGTCTGGGCATAGCTGCCAAGCTCGGCCTCGGGCAGCTGCATGTACGCCTGGACGGCAAGTTTCTCGCTGCGCTCGACGCCCCGGCCGTTAAAGTAGCAGTTGCCGAGGCCAATGTATCCGTTGATGTCGCCTTTGGCAACCAGCTCGCTGTAGGACTGGAAGGCGTGCTTGTAGTCGCCGAGGGCGTAGCTGCAGTCGGCTATCCCGTGCAGTGCATAGTCCAGCCCATCGTCGTATGCTTTTCGATACCTGCATGCGCAGTGTTGATGGGAATGTGAGGTCCAGCCACTCTGATTCCCAGCAGAGTCTGGCCAGTCCCCAACGGCGCATCACTTACCATTCCAACGCCTTTGGTATATCACGCTCGACGCCGACGATGCCATGCTCCAGGATGTATCCCACATTGTTGGTGCCCTTGGAGTTTCCAAAGACGCTGGACTGCTGAAAGAGCTCCATTGCAGCAACGCCGTCGAGATACGGCGGGAAGCAATGGAGGCAGCCCAGGGCAAAGACGCCCATCGGGTCCTGATAATCGGCGGCTAGTCGGAGGTAGTTGTATGCGCGCTCGACGTTGTGTTCGGTGCCCTTGCCTTTGTCGAAACAGCGACCGAGCTCGTAGTAGGAGGGAAAGTGACTGCAATATACGGAGCATGAGAGGACAAGGCAGGGCAGGGCAGGGCAGGGCAGGACCAGACCAGTTCTCGTCATGATCGGCGACTCCGAGGCGTTGGTACTGATGTCTCCAAACTGTCCCCCCTGCTCGTCGCATCCAGATTGGTTCCATGTACTTGTGGCTTTCCGCTCCGAAAGGCCCCCGCGCTCTCTCGGGTCCCTCCTCTCCTCTCCTCTCCTCCCCTTTCGTCACGGTCCACTTACGCTTGATTACTGGCGCTCTGAAAGAGCTCAAAGGCGGTCCTTGTGGCTTGTTCCTCGGTGAGCTCCGTCTCGAGTTCCGGATACGAGTACATCAGCAACATGGCCATGCCGTGCTGACCGGCAGCAAGCCCAGAGTCGGCAGCCAGTTGATACCATTTGAGGGCGGCGGTCTTGTCGGTCTCGACAGAGAAGCCGTTTTCGTAAAAGGTGCTGTCGACAATGGCGTTTTCCAGCCAGGGTTGTAGCAAGGGTTGTATCCCCGGTCCGTCCGTTCATTCATTCATTCATTCATTCATTGGTTCGTCCGTTGGTTCGTGGATATACGGCGAGAGTCGGGTGGTAGTCATCGATAGTCGAGCGCAACATCCGCCGACGATTGAGTGTATCCATGATAGATCGCCACCAGAGATATAGATCCGCCGCGACAGCCGCCAGGATGGAAGTGGGCAGATCAGCTTCGTCGCCCCAAGCCTGCGATGCCCTCCACCGCTGTTTTCCTGAACAGCCAGCGCCGTTTTCCTGAACAGCCAGCGCCGTTTTCCCGAACAGCCAGCGCCGTTTTGCTGGACAGCCACCAACTCGCCCAGCCTTGCCTTTGCTGGGGATGAGCCATCTCTTCCCTTGCTATTCCCATCCCAGCCACCCATTCATTGACTCGTTCGCTTGATCCACCCAGATCACACTCGCTCCTTACCCGACGTTGAACTGAGCGCATGGGTCGCCCAGACGGGCGGCCTTCAGGTACCACATGAGCGCCGCCTCGTAGTTTTTCTTGACGTCCGGCGGTGCCCCTTGAAAGTGCAGGTTGGCCAGCGCGAGCATGGCCGGAACCGAGTCGGACGACTCGATTGCGGCCTGGAACCACGAGATGGCTTCGGGATAGATCTTAGCCTCCAAAAAGGCGTTAGCGGCGGCAAGTTGGGCATCGACGTTGCCTGTCTGGGCTTGTTCGACGAGGGATCGGAAATGCGGCTCCATATTTCAGAGCAAATAGGAGAGAAGGGGAGGCAGAGTGTAGAAAGTGGAGGTTGCGGGCAGAGCGATGGCGACTGTTGCCTGAATGCTTGAGATTGCGCTTGTGGTAGTTCGATATCGTATGCTCGTGATATCGTCTAAGGAATCAGCGATGGTAGGTCCAGAGAGATTGGTCCAGAGAGGACTGAAAATCGATGGCTGCAGGGACTGGGCGATGGAGCACAAGATCAGCGTCGAGAGAGAGAGAGAGAGCGCGAGGGAGAGGAAGAGCAATGTCCCGGACACAAGTGGGCTGTGGATATGAGGCGAGATGGTGGGTCGGCTGTGTCAGCGGAACGGGGGGGACCGAAGCAGAGGGGACGCAGTGGGCTGGTGAAGCCGGACGAGGAAGAGAGCGATGAGGCAAGGCCGGATGGTGCTGTGTCGAGATCAGCAGAAGAGGTTCAAGGCAGATGGGGATGAAAGAGAGCAGCCCAGCAGGACAAGCACGGCCAGGGCAGCCAAGGGAGGACGGCAGGACGATGAAAGCCGAAGCATGTTGGCCGAGCACGGCGGGGGTGGACACGGACCATGGCCGGCCGGGACTGAGCGCCGGGTCCGCGCCGCCACAGTGTCTGTGGGCGCGACCTGGCACAGACGCTGTGGGGTTCGCCACTTGTGCTGCGCGGCTGGAGAGCGCGTCGCACAATCCCACGCCGTGCGACGGAGCACGCGTGTCGCTGCCGCGGGTGTCTTGCTGTCCCGTGTCGCACATGGCTGGCGACACACACACACTCTCTCTCTCTGTGCTGCGCATCCGCAGCCGACGCGTCCGACTGGCTGGCGCGTCGGCACCCGCGCAAATGTGTGTCCACCTGCTCAGCCGCGCGCCGTGGCACAAGAGTCGCTGTGGTACACACGGCACGCAATACCCAGGGCCGCGTGACCCTGGGCGCTGGCTGCAGCAAGGCACGGGTTGCAAATGGCATGTGGCACCGACACCACGCGGCGACATGGGACGCAGTGCGATTCGCAATCGGCGGGGTGCCAAACACAGGAGCATCCCCAACATCCCAGCATCCCCAACATCCCAACATTCCAGTATCCCCAGCATCTCTGGCAGCGCATTGGTCTTGGATTGTGGGCCTTTCATTTTGGTATACAGAGGCAGACAAGCGTCCGTCGCGGGCGCCGTGAGCAATTCAGCGTCCGCCATTGCAAGCCCTGTTGCGCACTTGCAATTGTTCGTGCTCACGCGTTACTTGCATAGATGCGACGGCGGGTCGCTTGGGAGAAGAGCGGCTGCCCAGTGATGTGTATATACGATGGGGGTAGGGTGCAGGGGAGATTGGGTTTCAGTCGTCGAAGCAGAGCTCGTCGTTGATCAAGCCGGGGTCGATCGACATATGGTATGCCACGTAGGTTGTTGGATCGTGCAGCCGACCGAGACGGAGCAGCGCTTCCTGCGAGTCTTTGTCCTTGGCCTTGAAGCCCTTGATGTACCACTCAATGGCCTCTTCGAGGTTCTTGGTGCATCCAAAGCCGTTCTCGAGGCAGTAGCCCCGATAGTAGAGGCTGGTGGGATAGGTCTCCAGCGTGCCCATTTGAATCAGTATGTATGCCGCATCAAGGTTTCTTTCGATCCCACCCAGCCCTTCCAGGTAACAGCGGCCGAGCTGGAGATGAATGGATACATCGCGATACTCCTCTGGAACCTGCACATAGTGGAGCACAGCTTGGTCATAGTCTTGCTTGACGCCATGCCCAAAGAAGAAGCAATGGCCCAGATACGCATGGGCGCTGGTGAATCCATCCTTCAGCGCCTGCTCGAGCTTCTCGTAGACCTTGTCGTACTCTTCCAGCCAGTACCAGCACTCGTAGATTCCAATCTGGGACTCCTTGAAGCCCATGTTTTCGGCACGGGTGTACCTGCACCGAGTGTCGGGTGCCGAGTGCCGAGTGCCGAGTGTAGATTGGTTGGAGACGAAACACGGTCAGTTGCAAAGTGATGACGAGTATATGCAGCTATCGCTAGCCAGCTGTTACGAGGCAGAGGGAAACAAGCTTGCTTTTTTTGCTTCTTGCCTCTTTTTGGCCTTGCTTTGGCACCCAGCCACCCAGCCACCTTTAGCTTGCAATGCCACGCCCGTATCGCGCTGTTGCATACTTACCAGTACATGGCCTCGTTGTAGTCGAGCTCAAGACCAGCGAGTCCCCACTGGTAGCAATGCCCGACGTTGTGTGCAGACATTCCGTCTCCCTCGGCTGCAGCCCGAGACCACAGCTTCAGGGCCTCGGTCTGCTTCTTGAGTGCCGGAGTCGTAAAATAGATGTATCCGGTCAAGAACAGAATTTTCGAGGACTCGGGGAGACGCTTCAGGATCGCCAGAGCCTTGGTGCTGCTTCGAGCGCAGCCCATGCCCTTGGCGTACATGCGCGCGAGTTGGTACTGTGCGTCCGGGAATCTATGTTTGGTGAGAAAAGGGCAGAGTCGCGGACAGGTCCGATGAGACGAAGAAGGCAAAAAAAGTGCTGCCAAGGCTCCAAACCAGTTCTTGTCGGTGTTGCACAACAAAACCAACCGCATGAGGCAGCTGCGTTCGACAAGCACACTCACCCAGCTGCTGCTGCCTGGGCCATCAAGGAAAACGACTCTTCGAGGGCCTTGGAATCGGACGTATCGATCTGGAGGGCCATCGCAAGATGGAACTGAGCGTTGGCGAACCCGTGTCGGATCGAGAGGCGGTACCACAGGATGGCTTTGGCCATATCCTTTTCGATACCATAGCCGTTGGCATAAAAGTATCTGTAGGTGCACGCGAATGTTGGGGGAGGGCAGCAAGAGCGGGCCAAACGATGACAAAGAGAGGAGGAGGAGGTACAAGTAAGCAACCAGACACCGACGTTGTCATCAACCGCAAACGATGAGGGCGGCGGTGATGGAAATGCAGAGGATATGGGGTCAGTCGCAGGACACGATGCCTCCCGCTTCGAACCACGCATTGTCAGATTCGATCGGCGAAAGCGGGGCCACACCGACGCAGCTAACGGTTGCCAGTCCAGAGGCTGGCAAGTCCACTATGCCCACTCCAGCTTTACGCCGGTTACCGATATCGGTTTTACTCTCGCAGCAATATCCTTTCGATGTACCAACTCCTTGGGCAACTGGCTGCCCAGGTTGACAAATCGATGCGCACCAGTCCAGTCTTCCTCGTATCCATCTGCGATCCTGTCCGCCTGGTCTCATCTCTTGCCCGGCCCCGATACATCCAACCGCGCCGGAGCAAGATCTGCCTTACCCGACATTAAACTCGGCGACGGGGTCATCGGACTCGGCGGCGCGTTTGTACCATTCCAAGGCATTGGAGTAGGACTGGGCGGTGCCAAGGCCCTTGGAGTAGATCCGAGCCAGGGCCATCTGGGCGGGCAGGTGGTTATTCTTGGCAGCGAGGGTCAGAACCTTGGTAGCATCGCTGTACTGCTTGTTCTTGAGATAGTACTCGCCCAGGGAAAAGAGCTGATCGAGTGAGCTGCGGTCGGCGTTGGGAAGGATGCGGTTGAGATCGGGGGTCATGGGCAGGGGAGCGGACGGGCTGGGACCGGGCGGTTGGGGTGTTGACATGTTGAGACAGGAGCGACGGATGCGGATGGCAACAGAGCAGCGACGTGCGTGGGGCTTTGGGAGACTGATATACAGCCGAGGCAGAGGCAGAGGCAGAGGCAGGTGAAGCACGACCGAGGGAGTGGCAGATAGAGCGGCAGAAAGAGACAGAAGCAGCAGCGAGCTTGACCGGAGGGGTCCAGCGATTGAGCAGCAGCGTCCGCGCGGAAACAGGGGGACCGACCGAGGGACAGGCAGCGCCGGATGGGAGATGGCCCAGAAAGCCCAAGGCAGCAGCAGGCAGATAGAGCGCTCTGACCCGCACCGACGGGCTTTATAACCGGCGGACCGGGCTGGACAGAACGAACAGAAATCACCAGGCTCACCTGGGCCGGTGCTGGTGGGGCCAAGCACATCCAACTTTGGCAGTCGCTCTCGCACGAACCAGGCTTGTATGGGGTTGCGCCCTTGCGGACAGCAACACCCGCTCCCGGAAGAACAAGCGCGGCGGGCCTGTTTCACAGCGCAACGGAAGAAATTAAGGGCTGTGAATGGTTGCTGCAGCGGGGACAGTGCAAGCTCTGGCTTGCAATCGCGCCGCAGAACAGCACCCATCGCGATGGTGTCCGCACCAGACCGATAATGCTGCATCCATGGCATCACGGTGGCTGCCGTTGCTGCCGGTCACTCGCACCACCCACGGAGCCTGCTTGCCGAATGCGGGCGCGAGTGGTCTGTCTGCAGGACCCCGCCAAGTGTCGAGCATCGGATCGAGCATAATATCGGGCATAATATCGGGCATATCGAGCATAATATCGAGCATAATATCGAGCATAATATCGAGCATAATATCGAGCATAATATCGAGCATAATACCATGCAGCGAATCAAGCAGATAACAACCACATCCAGCAACCACAGCCGGCGCGCACCGCACAGCCCGATCGCCAAAAAACAAAGCTCAGGCGTTGGTCCGACGCACAAACAAAGCCAGGACGCACGTGTCCGCCCGCCCGATCCAGTGCGGATCCAGTGCGGGTCGAGTGCGGATCCAGTGCGGATCGCACGTGGCGGTGCCGGCCAGCTTGTGGCCACGCTGCCCCTGGCTGTCGACCCGTGCTGCCGGCTAAACGGCGAACGTCGCTGATTGGTCCAGCGCCAATGGGGCCTTGTGTGCCCCCGTGAGTCACGCCACCCCGCCAGCCCGGCCAGGTCCGGGACCCGGTTGCACAGAGCGGGCGCCGTGCGACTGGATGCTCCGCCATCCGCACGCTGGTTGGTCGGATCGGCTGTACGCCGCCCTGCTCGCTGCCTCGCCACAGGCCAGACTGGAGCTGCGCAGCCGGCCGGGTCCGTGTGGCAACGGGCCCTGTGGCCGCCTGATTGCGCGTGTGCCCGACCGAGGAGGGTTGCTTGTGTGCTCCAAATTGCGCTGGCTTGCCTGTGCTCCAAATCGCCTCGGATTGCCTCCCCGTAATTATCCAACTCGCTTCCCCGGCCTCGACGCCCCCCGATATCCATTCTGCATCGTGCGACGGGGAAGCGGTGCTCCAAATCCTACCTGCTCTCTCGTGGCTGCGGATTGCACCGCGGGCTCGCTGCCGGCAGAGGCTGGTCCATATTGCGCATCAGTCCACCGGAACACTCATGCTGAATCCCTCCCCAGAGAGCCTTCATATCCGCGTCCGCGCTCATCTCGCGCACCGAATGAACTGTACCCGCGCCAAGCACCTGGGCAGCATCTTGGCGATACCAGCCGATAACGCCCAAGGCCCAGCAGCAAGTGCCTGGCCGCATGCATGAATGAACACGGAGCAGCAGATGCGCAACCAGACGTGCAACCAGACGTGCAACCAGACGTGCAACCAGATGTGCAACCAGATGTGCTATGAGCCGCATGCCATTCAACCGAATATCATCAAGGCCAGCACCACCAACGATCAAGGCAGCCCACGGAGATGCACCACATGCATCCAGCCCCTTGTCGATTCGTGTGGCGGCCCCTTGCCATGCGGCCCTTGTGTCTGTCCCTGCTGCCCGCCCCCCCATCCTTGCTGCTCACCCTGTCTCGCGGCTCGCATGGGGCCGGCTGACTCCTCTTGACCCGCTGACGCTCCGCTGCCCGGCCAGGTCGGTTCATAATAGACACCCTTCCCCCCTGCTTGAGCCGCTCTCTCCAACCATCCTTCCAGCCAACCTCTCCTCTGCATCGGGACCCCCTCTCGGTTTCCCCTCTGGCTTGCTGGCTCAGCTCCATTCTCATCGCTGCTCATCCGTTCTTCCTTCCAATCAAAGCCCATCCGCCTCGCCATGTCAGCCGTGGTCTCTGCCCCTGAGGGCATCCCATCCGTCACCATCACTAACACCACCACCACCGCCAACACCACCACCAACACCAACACCGTTGCCGTCGCCGTCCCGCAGCGATCCAGCGTCCCCGGCTGCTCTGTTTGGGTGTCGCGGCACCCGTCGACTTGCGAGCGTCTGGGGATACCGCATCGGTCCATCAAATCCGTCCTCGACGTTCGCTCCGTTGTCGAGGTCATTGTCGACGTCGAGGTCAACTTTGCGCCTCAGTACTGCGCCTTTCTCAATGGCGACGAAGACAGCGACATCGAAGACGGCGGCGACAGTCACATCCAACTGCATCTCGACCCCATGAGCGACGATGACCATCTCGGCAGCCATCTCGGCAGCCATCTCGGCAGCCATCTCGGCAGCCATCTCGGCAGCCATCTCGGCAGCCATCTCGGCAGCCATCTCGGCAGCCATCTCGGCAGCCATCTCGGCGACCACCACAGCGACGACGACGTCGACGACAGTGATCGATACAGCTACGTCAGCGAGCGCTACCACTGCATGTACTCTGTCGACAATGCTCCTGTCGCTACCCAAAGCACAGACTGCCATCCGTCTATGGATCGCCGCGAGCAGAGCTCGCTCTCGCCGCCGCCGAGATCCGCGGCCAGCTTCTTCCGGTACTCGGACTCGTTCGTCTCCGAGATCCCCCGGTACGAACAAGCGATGCTGCAGACCCTCGAGATGGCCGCCGCTGTCGCCGCCAGCAACGGTGCCCCTGCCCACCCCAGTGCACTCAAGAACGAAGTCCATCTTGCTCGCCAAGGCACCCGCCACAGCCGGCATCACAGCATGATCGACCAGCAAAGGACCATATCCTTCTGGGACAACAGCATCGACAGCAACCCGCATGCCAGCAGCGACATCGCCAACATTGCCGCCGACGTCGTCGCTGTGCCTGCAGGCTCAAGTAAGCGCACTTTCCAGCTGATGCGAGCCCGCCACGTCTCCAAGGACAAGCGTCAGCATCGGCTCGGTCAGAAGCAGGCCTCCGACTCGGGTCTGTACATCCGCCCGGCCCGGCCAAAGCCCATACTGGCGCCCCTGAGCACTCCGGCACCGCCGCTCAAAGCCTGGCTGGCCAAGTCGCCGATCCTCTCGAAACTCTTTTCGAAACCGTAGAGAACACCCGCCATTCCCCCCGTCGCCGCCGCCGTCGTCGTCGGCGATGGAAATTTTTTGGGACAAACTCTATTTAATCGCATTGAAGTGCATCAATCTGCACCAAAGTCACATCGAAGCGCATCAAGTCGCTTCAAGGCGCACTGAACAACACCGAAACACACAAAAGTGCATCAATACGGACTAGATAGCATCGAAGCGTGCTCCGCTTGCTACGAAGCGTATCGGAGAGGATCAAGGAATGCCGCTGCCTTCCCAGCGGCAATTTGCCCCCCCCCTCACATCCCGATCGGTCTGGGTCCCGGCTCTGGGCCGGGCAGCACTCCGCCCCGCCGTCCTCCGGGGTGACGCTGCTGTCATCAGCCCCCCCCCAACTACTCCTCATCATGTATCCAGCATTGCTCACCAGGCCTCCCCTGGCATTAGACCCCAACGGGATCGATCTCTGTCGATGAGCGCATTCGCACCCCAACGAGGGAGACGCAGACGTTCGCAACGACCAGCATCCCCTTGGTCGCAGTGGGTGTGCGAAAAGCCCTTGCGACCAAGAGTCAAGCCCTTGCGACCAAGAGCCAAGCCCTTGCGACCAAGAGCCAAGCCCCCCCCCTCCGCTCCCGACTTTGCTGGGTCCGAGTCTCTATAGCAGAGTAATGCCATCCCACTCCCAGAACTTCATAACCCATGGCGATCAGGCATATATAGCGCACCAAAAACGAAACGGGGCACCCCGTGCTTGAGTCGGGGTTGCTATTTAATTCTGGGTCCTGAATACACACCCTTGCCAACATGGCCAAGTGCGCTCGCAATGCTTGGAGGCCAAGTGTCGTCCGGTCCCAACAATGTTGATCCCGAGAGCACTCGGCCTATGTGAATGTGAATGCAGAGTGTGAATGTGAATGCAGAGTGTGGTTTCGGACGACAGCATCCAAGTCGGACGACAGCATCCAAGTCGGCCGACGGCATCAGTCCGGCAATCACATTGCCCACTCCCCGACGAACTCTTGCCCTTTGCCAACGACGATCGTCCTGTAATCGCATCGCACAGCCCTGCATCGCCCCTGGGTCTGTCCGCCAAGACATCCTTCCGCCAGGACAGCCCGCCAGGACAGCCCGCCAGGACAGCCCCGCCCCATGGGCGTCGGCGCTGCGCCCGCATTCTTGTGCTGCGTTTGTGTCCGTGTTGTGCCGTTGTATCCAACATGGACACAAGGCCGTCTCCCACTTCAACTTTTGCTTCTGCTGCTTCGTTTTTCACCATCGACTTCCTCAACCCCCATCACTCCCCATCAACGACTTCAGCTTCAACCCTCTCTCCCCATCCGTCCATCTCGGGACTCTGTCGACCCATCTCGAATCCCATCTCCCATCTCCCATCTCCACCGCCATGGCCGAGACACAGCTCCCATCGGTCTTCCCCGACCTCGATCCTTCGCTCGACGTTATCGTTAAAATCATGCTCCTCGGCGATCCGGCCGTCGGCAAGTCTGCCATCTTCTCAAAGTGAGTCTGCGGTCCCACCCACAGGACTTTCTTTCCATCGCAGTTTCTTCTCTGTCCCCTCACCCACCTCCTTTGGTCTTGCTTATTCGCCGGCATCCCCTGTCCCCATTTACATCGGAACTCGACACTCCCCTCTCTCCCACTTCTGCACGCATTCAGCGCCTCGCCTGCCGCTTAGATGCTCATCTTCTTCCCTTACCCTCCAGATTCAAGGAAACCCTCCCTCCTGCCTCGGCCCCACCTGCCGCGGTCGGTGTCTCGGGCCTTGACTTTGCCACAACAATCCTCAGAATCGCCCCACACGGAGGCCGGCTCAAGGCCCAGATCGTCGATTCTCCTGGCCATGACCGATACCGCTCCATCCTTGCACAATACTGGAAACTGGCGCACGGAGCCATGGCCATCTACGACGTCACCAACCGCGAATCCTTCGAGAACGTCCAGCGCTGGATCCACGACTTTAGCCGGTGTCGATCCTCGCCCCACAGCCAAACGCAATCGCTCGGCCGCGAGTCCCGCTCCAACATCATGATCGTCGGCACCAAGTGCGACCGTGCCGAGGCTGACCGCCAGGTCGAGACCTCGGTCGCCCAGACCTTTGCCCTCGAGCACGGCCACCTGTTCATGGAAGTCAGCGGCCTCGATGGCACCAACATCGATCTGGCCTTCAACGTCCTCTTGACCGACATTTACCACGCACTCGTCAAGGAGCGTCGGTTCCAGCAGCAGCAACTCCAGCAGCAGCTCCAGCAGCAGCTCCAGCAGCAGCCTATCGAGCCTCACGCCGGCTGGTCTCCAACCTCTCGCAAGCGCACCTCCTTTTTGGACTTTGGCACCTTGGTCGCTGGCCTGGGCTCGGCCCTCTCGGTCTCGTCCATCTCCCCAACGCCTTCGTCCTCGTCAACACCTTCGCCACAACCGTCCCCGGTGCTGTCGTTCACGTCGCTCCCGTCGTCCTCGGCAGCGACCGAGCCCGCCAGCACCGCTTCCCATCATCGCTCTGCGTCGCTGCCCAACGCGGCCTTTCACGCTCCCCGGGCTTCTCGGCTCGCCTTGGATGGGCCGCCCTCACCGCCAGAGTCGCCCCAGCCCGCTCGCCACACCTTGCCCAGGGTCTCAAGCCTCCCATCGTCACTGCGACAGCACGATCTGCTCGAGTCGCGGTCGCCGCTGCCCCAACGCGCCTTGAAGCGCACTCGCTCAATATCCGAATGGTTTGCCTGGGTCGGCGATACCATAACCGAGGGCATCAGCACCATCCTCGAGGAAGACGACCGTGAGCATCCACAAGTACAAGCACCAGCACCAGTGCAAGTGCCGCCACAAACTCATGCACAAGCTCACGTGTATGTTTAGGCATCTTAGATCAAACTGCTGTGGCTCGTCAACTCTGCTTCGACAGCACTAACGACAATGTCACGGCGCTCAAGCAGCGACATTCTTGCTCACACGGCACAGCTCCCTCTGCTCTTGGTAGCGCCTGTGGTGCATATCATTCCCTCTGCATTTGCGGGCCCTGTTCTCTCGAGAGTCCTTATCCTCTCGGCATGATCTGTTTCGCTCGGTGGAGGCCAATCGGTGCCTCCCCACCCCTCCGTCCTGTCTTCGTTTCTTCTCACTCAATACATTCTACACACGAGCAAACTGGCTCTTGCGCTTGAGGACGCAGAGCCAACGAGGACTCGCCGAAGATCCTTCTCGCTGGTGTCGTTGCTGCCTGCTCGGCGGTCTCGATCCACATCGTGCCCACGACCGCGGTCGTTATATTACATGCGGAAGACACCAAACTTGGTGTCTTGGACAGGGGCGTTGAGAGCCGCGCTAAGGGCCAGGCCCAGAACATTGCGGGTATCGGCCGGATCGATGATGCCGTCGTCCCAGAGCCTGGCGCTGGCAAAGTAGGGGTGGCCCTCGGCCTCGTAACGCTCCTGGATCGGCTTCTTGAACTCGGCCTCGGCCTCAGCGCTCCACTGCTGGCCCTTCTTTGCCTTGGCGTCGCGGGTGACTATTACGGAGTAACGGCGAGTTTAGACGTCGGCTGCGTGGCCGTCTGCTGGCTGGAGTACGCCTCGGTTTCGTCATGTTGTAGCAGCGGTCGCAACGATACCACAATCGCAATGACTGCTGTGGCTCCCTCCTTGAGGGATGATGGATGCACTTACTCTGAGACAAAACTCCGGCTGCCTGTTCACCGCCCATGACACTGATCCGGGCTGTTATCACGCACGAGATAGAGTCGCGATTCAGTCCAAAACCATCCAGCAGCTATCCACACGCACGACTCTAGCAATTCACCGGAACTTCGAGCCTTCGCTCTGCGCGACCGGCCATCTGGCCGTCCCAAACGGCTTACCATTCGGCCACATCCACAGGAAGCGGGGACTGTAGGCGCGACCGCACATGCCATAGTTGCCTGACAGGGACAAGGAGATCAGTCGGTCTCAAGGCTGCAACTCGCCACTAGTGAGCAACGACGCTCGGCAGAATCCAAAATGCAGGACCTACCAGCACCGAATGAACCGCCGCACAGGACCTGCGGTGGTGATGGGCCAATCTCGACATTAGCATTTCCATCGTGGAGCTGAGCCCTTCGGTCGTGGGCTTCAATCCATCTATCGTTCTCGGGCGAGGACAGCAAACTCTGCAATACAGCCCCCAAGCCCACCGAGCCACCGTCAGGCACACTCACCGTGAACTTGGGGACATTGGCGCAGGCAACAGCCGTAACCATCTTGGCGCCGTTCTTGGCGATTCCGCCTGAGCACACGGCATCCGCACCAAGTGAAACATAGGTTAGCGACGCTTGTAATGGCCAACGGCAAGGTCTCCGCGGGACAATCGCTGTGGCTGTGGTGTTGCATGGCCAGCAACCGATCGATCATCTCTTCGCCGGACACAAGATCGAGAGGCCCACCTGCTTCGGCACTCTTGCCGACCATGAAGCCGGTGATGTTCTGGAGGAAGACCAGGGGAATCTTGCGCTGGCTACAAAGCTCGACAAAGTGGGCACCCTTGAGGGCAGACTCGGAGAAGAGAATGCCATTGTTGGCCACAATGCCAACGGGATAACCGTGGATATGAGCGAATCCTGCAAGCAGGTGATTTGGACAATGGCAGATGGCATATGAGCGTGCATGTGTGGGAGTGCACTCTCGCGAGCAGACCAAAAAGCCAGGCTCCGTTCTTGGCCAGTCAATCAGCGCTGCCTCCTTCCAGTGGACTCAATAGCCTTACCGGTGACGAGCTGGCGACCGTAGTACTGCTTGAACTCGCTGAAGCGACTGCCGTCAACAATACGCGCAATGACCTCCTTGATATCGTAGGGTTTCCTCAAGTTGTCGCCAACGATGCCGCCAATCTCAGAGGGGCTGTAGATCGGCTCCTCTGGTGGGTAGATCGTCGTCTTGGATGTGTTGTGCGCATTTAGTCAGGCGGGGCAGCAACAGGCCAGCCCGAGTAACCTTCACCAGGCACAGCTCCGGCGCAGGCAGCAGGAATGCAAATGAGCCTGGCGCTTGCAGGATTGCGCTTCTAATAGCGACTCTCCACCATCCGCGTGCGTGGAGCCGAGTGACGCATCGCATACCTGGATGTCCTTCTTGAAGTTGAGGTTGGAGATGATCTGGCGGCCAAGCGCAAGCGCGTGCTCATCCGAGTGCGCATAGTAGTCGGTGACACCGGAAGTCTGTGGTGAATTCGTATGAGTGTTATGTTGATGAGAAAGACCCTCGCTGTATCGGCAGGATACCCATACACCTGCAGTTCCTCACGCCCTCGGAACCCAAACTTACCTTGCAGTGGAGATCCGCACCACCAAGCTCCTCGGCGGAAACGTCCTCGCCCGTGGCGGCCTTGACAAGCTGGGGTGGATCAACCGGCAGCCGCAATTCTGTTAGTCGGGGCATCAAATTGGTAGCCGGCCATCACTGTTGCACATCGTTTCGTAGCTCCGAACATGCGATGCAGCGGCAAAGTCTCAAGCACTGAGAGAGAACGCCAACGCACCGGAGGGCCGGCCAGGAAAATGGTGCCCTGTCGCTTGACAATGACACTCTCGTCTGAAGAGTGATTTGCCGCCATGGCAGCAGCCGGATTAGCGATCAAAGTCGGCTGGACACACGCAATCTGCGAGCTCTTGCCCACGATCAAAGACCGCTGGAAACGAGAACGATACTTACCGGCCATGGCGGGAACGTAGGCACCACCAGCCGTGCAGGAGCCCATAACTATAGCGACCTGTGGAATGCCGGCTGTCGGTGCCAAGACAAACACGACCGGTCAGCAAGTTGCAATGTGCTGCCGCTCATGCGGCCCAAGTGAGCTCACCTGCAGAGAGGTTGGCTTGGTTGAAGAAGATACCTGCGAACGAAGGCCCGAGATGAGTTAGTACGTCGGAGAAATTGCTTCAACAGCTCGATTGAGCCAGTAGCATAACCAAATCAATCGACCGGAGCAGCCGAGTGTCTATTGCCAAGCGAGCGTGCGAAATTGCCTCCGCACAATCTCGGCGCCTGAACAGGTTGTGTGCCGGCGGAAGTCATCAAGATTCAGACATGATCGAATCGCAGTGCTTCCCGCCCCGATTTACAACAGCTACATACGTCCAAAATGCTCCTTGTCAGGGAAGACATCGGCCTGGTTGGGCAGGTTGGCACCACCGCTGTCGACTGCAGCAATGCAGCGTCAGCAAAAGGATGGTCAGGATGGAAGAATAGCATGAGTACGTGCATACCGCAACAAGTGCCCACTTGGGCCGAACTGCACATGGCACGCAGTCGATTCGATTCATCTCAACTCGACAGCAGTAGCAGCTACTGGGGGGGTTGATTCAGCGCATACCAAGATAGATGCAAGGAAGTCGATTCTCCTTTGCGATTTCCTGTGCGCGGAGATGCTTCTTGACCGTAATCTATGAGTGAGCGAGCACGGGGGGGTATGTATGCATTCAGGTCAGAGTTTGATAGCTTGTTTGGGACATCTCGGGCTCTCCGGTGTCGATCGGATATGATCTTACGGGATAATAGGTTCCGCCTTTGACGGTCGAGTCTGCAAAACGATAGGCGTCAGCATGCGAGGCCGAGTGCACCGGCGCAGGGCCAGTGCTTCCGAATGATGGTGAGACACTGATCGCTCAATTCAGAGCTTTGGATGGTCAGGGGTCCTCACCGTTGGCGACGATCATGCATTCCACCCTGACAGAAACAGTTCGTAAGCGACTCTGCATCATTGAACCCAATCTCTTCGAACGGGTCTGCGCTGGCTGCCCCGATTGCATCGCGACGGCTACGAAAGCAAGCATTACCCGCTAACCCGGCCAATGCCAGTGATGATGGCGCCGGCGGGAACGTGGTCGTCGTAGAGATTGTAGCCTGATATCGAGCAATTGTTGGGCGGGTCAGTCGACAGCAAAGCGACATGGAGGTTTCGCTGGACGGTCTGCCATAGATATACAGAACTGGGATAGCACACTTACCGGCAAACTGAGAGAGCTCAAGGAACGGGGATCTGGACAAAGGCATTCGTTGCAACAGACCAGAAAGGCGAAAGGAGATTAGCATCGGGCGCCGGGAGCTTCCACATCTGAGCAAGCGTTCTGTACACTGCTGAATGCGGCTCGCACAGCAAGCGAGCCATCCAGAATTCTGTGGGTGCGAGAGGCGGCACATACCCAGGATCCAGAAGAGCGTCGATGCGATCGCGGGGGAGTAGCTTCTTGCGCGAGAGATGTCGCTTCCTGGCCTCCTCACCGCCGCCTGCAGAACGTTGCATACACATCCGACGAGGCGAGCGGTGTTGTTGGGAATAATGTGAGCAGAGCGCGGCATATACTTCCCGACAGAGACACCCGTGGCGATGATCATGATCATGATACCCGTGGCGGCGAAGACGATCATGATGCCGAGACGGCGATGGCGGCAGTCTGACGATGATCTGCAGGGCTCTCCTGCAGCTGCACCAAGCACAGACAGCGCGACGAGCATTGCAAGAGGACAGGAGCGACTCCCAATTCGCGTACCCAGCTTGATCTTGTCGACATCAGCACGGAGCTTTTGGGTCAGAACATCCATGCGCTTGGCATTTTCCTGCGTGCGAGGACCGTGGCGGTTGGCATGCGTGCTTGTTAGTGAGGCGGATCACACACAGATGCCACCCAGAGCACTGCGATTCCAATGGCTTGGATACTCGCGATCGTGGACCATCGATACTGCCGGACGAGCTAGTCGATGCACCATGGAGGTCCGGGAGCTTAAAGCTGCTGTGGCTGTTGGACCCAGACGACGCCCGCTGGAGGAACGGATCGTGAAGCACATACTTTGAACTCGTCCGAGGAGGTGTCAATGGCGGACTGGATCACCGGGTTGGGATCGAAGGCAGCGCCGAGGGACGAGTACAGACGCACGGCGCTGGAGGCAGCCTGGGCGATCGTGGGAGTCGCCAGCAACGTCGGGCGGACGGCCCAGCGAGCGGCGCAAAGCATGCGGACAGCCCCGGCAGATCGGAGAGAGGCAGAGCTCATTCTGGAGGCACGCTGGATGTGGGGGGGGGCGAGTGGGGTGTGGGGTCGATCGAGCGCACCAGATCGGCGGAGAGCAAGCGGATGGACGGGAAGCGCTGGAGGGCCTGGTCGAAAGGGGGTGTTCTGTCGGCGCCTGCCTCGAGGTAGGGCCAATTCCGAAACCCGTCGGAAGCGGACGCGGCCATAACGGGGGGCGACGGGTGGGGAGCCGACGGAGGGACAAGAGACATGCGGTGGAGACGGACGATGGACAAGCTGGAATGCCGCACTCTGTTCCGGATCTGCATACACCCAGTCCATCGCCCGTCATGGCCAGGCGCAGAGCTGTCCAGATGGGCTCATCCCATGGCCTGCCCACCGGGACTCACAGATCGCTCAGGGGCACACACTCAGGGACACTCTCTCCCATTTCGTTCCGAACATGCTGTCGTGTATTCTGGTGGAAGAGCTGTGGGCCATGAATGGCACCAAGCTGGTGCTCTAGGCAACATCGAGCTTCAACTTGACGTTCATGGCCACCAGCTCGGTGCACAAATATCTAAACACATACGGGATCGGCACAATCTCGATGCCCGAGCTCGTGGCACAGTTCATGCACTCCACATGCCGCTTCTGGCCGCGGATCGTCTCGCTCTCTGTGGAGCTCGACAGGGGACTGAGGATCGAGCCGCACAACCGACAGACGTAGCTTTGCGAGTAGTCCGAGCAGTTGAAGAGCCGATCCTGCAGCAGGAACGAGACACCGTGCGCCAGCAGCGAGTCGCGCTCCATCTCACCGAAACGGATACCGCCGGCTCGCTTTCGTCCCTTGACGGGCTGCTGCGTGAGGTTGTGGACGGGGCCGGTGGTGCGCACCTGGTACTTATCCGATACCATGTGACGCAGACGCTGATAGAAAACAACCTGGATTGCAAAGCAGAATCGTCAGCGCACCGCCGCAGCGCTCTGCCCCGCCCATGCTCTCCGTTGCCGACACAGGTCGCCTGCATCCACCAGCCAGAAAACGGCGCAGCGGCGGACAGGCACCGCCGTGACACTTACTCCGATGTAGATATCAGCCTTGAACTCGCGGCCAGTGATGCCAGAATAGAGTGGCTCGTTGCCGTGGTAGTTGTAGCCAGCCTGCTTCAGCTCCTCGCCAAAGTAGTCGGCGGCCGAGAAGTTCTCCGTGAACTCAAAGGGAGTGGCGTCCTGGGAATGCCCGTGCAAGGCGCCGGCCTTGCCTGCGAGCGACTCGACAAACATGCCGATGGTCATACGCGAAGGGAACGCGTGCGGGTTGATGATGACGTCGGGCTGAATACCCGTCTCCGTGAACGGCATGTCGATCGAGGGCCATTTTTGCGAGATGACACCCTTCTGGCCGTGCCGCGACGAGAACTTATCACCGATATGCGGTGGACGGGGGATGCGGTACTTGATGTGGATCTTTTGCAGCTCCTGGTCTCCCATGTCGGATCCTGTTCGCACAGAGCAGCCATAGGGTTTAGTCTCCATTCCATTCCGGTGGCATCTCTCCGGTTCGCTTCGGCCCGGCGATCTCAGGCGCTTGCATTTGCTGCCACGCGAGGCTGCCTGCCCAGCACCAGCTGCCCGGCATTCGCAGCCGCGGACTTACCAATCAGTCGGACCTCGTCGACATAGGCATCTTCCATACTCTTGTACTTTTCGACCATAACTCGCCCAGTGGTGTCGTTGATGTAGGTGTACAGGGGATCGCCATTCTTGAGCTTGACGCCGACATGGGGGAGACCGTCGTAGTCCACAAAGTTGGTCAGCATCTCGAGCATCTTGTTGCTCATCTTGGCGCCGCCCTCTGGCGGGACGAGGCCAAAGTGGTGTGTGATGCCTTCGCCCGCAACGCGCTTCTCGGACAGATCGATAAACTCGCTCTTGTAGACAGTGCCGTAGCCGTAGCCTCGCTCGTGCGAAGACTTGTTGATGATGGAGGCATCCTCCATATCGTAGCCCGTGTACGAAATAACGGCGACGACAGCGTTCATGCCGTTGGGGTAGCCATCCATGCCATAGTCATTGAAAGCGCGGGGACGCACGATGGGCGACTGGCCAGTCTGCAGGCGGTACAGCTTGTTGTCGGTGCGGTGCGGCAGCGCAATCGCCGGGGTTCCCATGGACTGTTTACCCATCTGGAATCACAGACGCATCCGAGAGTTTGGCGTTAATGGCGCCGATTTGCTGAACCGCTTTGCAATCGCAGTGGTAGAGGCCGCTGTGCCCGATTGCCAAAGTGAGATCATGCAATCCGCAGCACGCTACACACTCGATGCTTACCTGGCACTGGTACATATTACGAGGACTCTGGTTAAAGTCCGAGAACGGTGTGTTGCTGGCAATGACACTGAGCATGCTAGTCGGCGACAGCTCCTGGTGGGTGGTGACTCCGGGGATGATGTCCTCGTTCATGCAAGCAATATCCATAAAGACCTGCTCGAACGGGCCAACCATGTCCACCTCGCCGGTGGCCAGGTAACGGACGGGTCGGTACATGCGAGCTGCTCCCGAGAACAGGAAGAGGCCGGGGTACTGTCCACCACGGGAGGGGGGCACGAGACCAATCTCGAGATCCAAGGGCACCTGTCGTCGGATGCGATTGCAGATGTTAAGCACACCGATGCGTGCAACAGTGCCGAGAGTCTTGCCACTCATGGTACAGTACTTACGCCCTTCTGCCCCGCGACCTTCCAGTACCGGAGGGTGTCGGCAACCTTTCTTGCGAGCTTGGCGGTGCAATAGCCAATGATCTCGCCGTCCAGCTGAACACAGATCACAGTGTTCTGTTGGACACTGCGAATGTGTGCCGGGTCAAGCTCGACGTCCTCAAAGCCGTCGTCGGCCTCGGTGGCGTCAGTCATTTCGGTGTCGCCAGCGGCCTTGACCATGCGGGGTCCACCGGCGTTCATCTGCGATACGCCCAAGGACGCAACCAGGGCAGGCACGCGACTTGCGTCTGACGGCTCGACCATGATCTTGCAGGTGTGACTGAGATGGTTGAGCAGACCACACGGCGAGCCATCTGGAGTGTGCACAGGGCAGAGGAATCCCCAAGCCTCGGGCAAGAGCTTGCGGACGGTGGTGGTTTTCAGCTCGGCGAAGAAGGAACCACGGTGGACCGATCGGAAGTGGGCAATGTAACGGAAAAAGTTGAGCTTTTCGGCAACAATTGTGTATCCGGAGACCTAGATGGTGCACGGACGGGAGAGAAAAGCCGAAGGCAGGTTCAGGTTCAGGTTCAGGCTCAGCTTCAGGTGCAGGTACAGGACCAAGGTCGGTAATGAAAGTAACCAAGCATACCTGCTGCAAGTCCAAGCCGGTGTTGCTGACAAGATTGCCGGTGGCCAGGAAATATTCCATCTTGCGACCAACATCGCAGTTGACTTTCTGGATCACCTTCTGCATGTACTTGTCTGATATTGGAGTCAAAGAGCCAGCGTGAGGAACATGCAGGCAAGGGGTCGCACCATGGCGGAGCAGCAATGTCATGCGTTGTTCGCTCGCAAAGAGTGCATGGGCATGCGCTGCGATCATGCTCTGCAATCATGTCCAAGCACAGCCGCTGAGGGAGAGAACTTGTCATAGATATGAATGGGATCGAGTGGAGCATACTCACTGTCTTGGAAGTCGACCGAGGCAGGGGATCGTCGAATATCGATCTGGATCTGTGTCTTGATGCCCGTCAGCCAGTCGTCAAGCTTTTCCTTCATGTAGTTCATGTAGAGATGTCCGCCGAGCAGGATCTCCTGGAACTGGGGCGAATCTGGGTTGTCCGAGGCGCATTCTCCGGCAACCAGGCTGTACAGCTTCTGGATCATGAAGCTGAAGAATGTCCAGCATAATTGCAAACGGTCACGAGTAAGTCGCCGAGCTTAGTCGAGAGCGGCCAAGGACCACTGATCGACCAACCAGTGACGCACCAACACATGCGCCAGAGGGCCACATGCGAATCACGGGCAGCGACTTACATCAGCAAGTCAAACTTGGCCTGGTTGCTGCCAAGATGAACCAAGCAGATGGTTTTCAGGAAGGCGACACCGACATCTTCCTTGGTCGAGTCTTCGGGCGAGTTGAGCATGACATGGAACTTTGATCCGAGATAGTCGAGACACTGCTTGCGAGTGTAGACGCCGTAGCGCTTGGCCGAGCGCAGAAGCAGCTCGACACGGTCTGTCAAGAACGTGTTGTCGGTCTGGCCCATGGTGATGCGCTCAAAGATGTCGCGGTCGGTGGCATCGATCAGCGAGCGCAGAATCAGCATCACAGGCACCATGTACTCTTGTTTGCGATAGGCAAAGCGGAAAGTAACGGCGCCGTCGCTGCAGTAGTGCACCGTGCAGGTCTGCGAAGACTGGTCGTTGCGGGTGCAGCGGATCTGGACACCGTATGGAGTGTAGGTCGGGCCTCTGTTTTGGAACGAGCCACGGACCAGAGCGATGGCGATGTTGCGTCGAGGCACGATCAGCAGACGAATGAGGCGCTCGATGCCGTTGGTAATGAAATATCCTCCAAACTCGTCGGGATCCTCCTTGAGGCGCACGAGCTCCTTGGGCGACTTTCCGTTCAGATTACACTTGACCGACTGGAAAGGAAAGCGCATCAGTCATGGAGCCCACTCGTGGTGGAATTACGTGCCAGACTGGCAAGCATAACAGCGCGGGCGCTCCGAGACTCAGCCGAATGATGCGCAAGCGTGCGAGCATGATATTTACCCGGACGAGAATAGGGAGATTGCCGAGATGCCGGACGTGAGACTGGACGGGACCACCATTGACCCGCCAGCACAGCTTGCCCTGCATCTTTCCTTTGTAGCTGGTGCCGCGCTCACGGCACTCGGCAGGAAAAACGACGAAGGAGTCGGCCTTGGTGCCCTCGATCACGGGCTTGCCGACCGAGACGCTCTCGATCCAGACTAGATCAGATAGACATCAGCACCGAGACCAATGTTAGCATATGAACCAGGAGCATTTTCATGATCATGTGGCAGAGAGAAGAGCAGGGATGTGTACGATCCAGACGATCCCAGCGGCAGCGGCTGAATCGGGGACATTGGTGGCGGCGCGTTTCAGCACCGAGGCCGAGTCCGAGTCCCGAAGCCGAGATCCGAGACAGGAGGGAGCGACATGGACACATACTCTCGAGCTTTGGGGTCGACCGCTCGAGCTTCTGGCCCGAGCCCAGGTTGAAGATGGTAGTTTTTCCAATGTTCTCGATGGCCATCTCCATCAGCGACTTGTCGCCAGTGGACGACTCGAATATCGAATCGAAGGACTTGACGTGGGGAGCACTCAGCTCAGCCAGCTTGGGATAGTGCGGGCCATCGTTGGAGGGGTTAATGGCCTCGGCTTGGCGCTCGAGCGTTCGGAAGGTCGACGATAGCGCCTTGACTCGGGGATGGGTTGGAGTGACTTCGGCGCCGGCTTTGGACGACTTTGCCGACGGGGATTTCGCATCCTTTGGCGCCATGGTGACGGTTCAGCACGATCGGACTGTGGATGGCCACAAGACAGGCGGGATCTCGGGCAGGCTGGCCAGGGAGATGGGCAGATGCGGCAGACCCGATGGCGACTGCAAGTCGTTGGCTCGCGTTTCTCTGGGTGTGCATCAGACACTTTTTTTCTTCTGCCAGCCAGCCAATCGGTCCCAAAAAAAAGGATGTCCAAATTAATTAACCACAGCCGCGCCCTGGTTGGCTGGCACTTTTTTTTTTCAGCCAGGCGCGTCGCCGGTGACAGAATCGGACTTGGACGCCGAATGCCGATTGCCATGGAGATGTCCCGAGCTCGACTTATATTTAGCAGAAACGAGGGGAGGCGAGACGATCTGCCTTGGGGGCTGGTCCCTACGAGCGACAAGTCCGTATCCACCACCATCGCGGGATAGGCACTCACTCCTTGCTGGACTTGCTCGTTTGGCCTTGATGCGAACGCAGCAGCGCAGCGGCTCCGAGCACAGCGACCGAGCCGGCCCCGATGAGCAGCGACGCAGCCATGCCCCACCACACAAAATCCCGCTCCTTCTCCACGTTCATCGTCTTCTTGTAGAGCCCAAGGCCATGGGTGGCAAAGAGCAGCACCGACGCGACGGTGCCCACGACTGTGTGGATCGCACGGTATCTCTTGCCGCTCCAGATGCAGGCCGGCAGCAGTTGGCCCAGGGTCATGACGGCCCATGTTGTGATGCCGAGCTTGCCATGGCTGGTCTGCCAGTGTTGATCCTTCATGCTGTATATGACGTAGACCGATGTCGAGAGCGCCAGGCCGGACAAAAACTGAAAGTTGCCGTGGCTATCGATGTGTCTGGCCAGCGTAGGCGCTGGGCCCAACGACTGGTAGCGCGGGAACGACAGCGTAGCTCGGATGGTCAGCGTCAGCGCACCGATCGCCAGGAGGGGATGAAGGGTGAACAGAGAGACGGAGCTTGGAGAGAGTAGAATCCGCATCAAGGCGAGGGAAGCGTAGAACGCCAGGGCAAAGTTGAGCAGGAAGACGGCGGCTTGCGCCAGCGACGAGAGGGTCATGGTCGAGCGATCGGGGTCGACTTGCAGACGACAAATAGCGAGCGGCGGCTGATGGGATACAGGCAGATCCCCGGCGATGCGGGGCGATTCGGGGCGATTCGGGGCGATGCAGAACGGTGAACGAACCAGGCTCGAGGTCGCGCGGCAGGGCGGGCGATGGCTTCCCAGCCGACCTCAGCACCCGACGGCGACAGGGTACTTGAAGCCAGCCGGTGGCCCAAGCCGTTCCAGCTCGTCAAGCAGCCCACGATGATCTCTTCCACCAACGCTGCATCCGCTGTGCTTGCCTTACTGATGCTGGCGCAGACGGGAACAACGCAGGCGGCACTGCCCTCGCCATCGCCCAACAGCACCTTTGACGTCTATCACAACATCATCAAATGGTGAGTCCAACTCCAGAATGTGTGTGGAAAGCAGGGCGCTAGAGGAAGTAGCGTCGGGGCACAGAGTAACTGGTCGGCTGGGCGACCAGCTGGAGCTAACAGAGCCGGCCTTGCCTCCTGCCAGGGTGCTCATCACTCTTGGAGGATTCCTGGGGCTCTTGATGATTGTCCTGTTGATGCTGGTTGCGATCAACTATCTGCGGAACAACAAAGAGTCGTTGTCGGCCAGGCGCTTCTCGTCCATGTGGGAAAAGCACCAGGCCGAGCTGCACGAACGGCTCGAGAAGCGAGAGGAGCTCCTCAAGGCGTACATGGACGAGTACATTGCCAAGCATGAGGCGCTGGCCAGCAAGACAAGGCCGCGGAGCATCCGAGGCCATGCCCGGGCAGTGCCGCTGGCGCTTGAGCCGTAGATCAGCGCAGCGGCCTCGACGTCACCACCATGCTCGTTGCATCTTAATGTATTGGAATAGCCATGTTTTGAGCGGGGATGTGCTCGCAGAACTTTGGGCTGGATCCAATACACAATGCTGAGAACGACCAAGTGGATGAAACCCTTTCCCTGAGTACCTGTCCCGCGATCAACCCATCCATCCAGATCGTCGAACAACCCATCCATCCAGATCGTCGATCGGCATCGGCATACAGCCCTCCAGCGCACAGCCATGACGCATCTGGTCTTGCGCGGCTGGGATTGTGCTGTGTCGACCACGCGATTCGGCCCGCGCCCAAGCCACACGGGCTGGCGCCTGGATTGATGACAAACAATCCGGATCGAGCCGGCGCAATTTGCGTTTTTCGCGGGCCTTGACTCGTCTTTTTTTGCCCCCATTGGCGACGTCGGGCCTGCGATTCCGTTCGTACCCTTTCGTCTTCGTCTCTCCGCGCCCTGTTGGCTGACCGATAGCACGATTGCTCTTTTGTGACAATGCTGCCCAAAGTCGTTCGATCTGCCGCCGCCCGCTCGGCCCAGTCGGCTCGCGCCTACTCGGTCCTGAGCACCCAGTACAGCGCTACCACCTTTGTGCGCAAGGGTGACCAGGTTGCTTCGGCTCCCCAGGCCAACAAGGTCGTCTCGAAGTCAAAGTCCGGCATCACCGTCGCTACCTACGACAGCAAGGGCCCCGCTAGCTCTCTTGCCGTCGTTATTGGTGCTGGAAGCCGACACGAGTCCGCCCCCGGTGTCGCCCACCTGCTCAAGTCCTCCCTCATCAGAGTATGTCTCGTCGCGACAGATCACGTCTCTACTTCCAAGCATCTGCTGCCTCGTATGCTGCCGCCCACGGCTCGAACTGGGGCGCGAGAGCCTGTGTGGCCACAGTTCTGCGACTGGATCAACGTTTCGGGACTGGTCCGGGAGCAACCCCTCGCGACTCGATGCGGAATGCCTTCGCCGCGGTTTCGGGGCACCCATCCGAGCCCTATCTGCCATTCTCGCCTCCCGTCCTCGCCAGCGATGGGCACATTGCGTGGAAAGCTGCACTGAGGATACGAGGATCTCTAGGATCGGTTTTCATCTCTGCCATATCGGATACGACACACGGCATCAACTTTCGTAGCCTCTCGACCGGATCTCATGGATGTTCACACGGGATTGAGGCTGCCGACGCTCTTGGAGACAGAGCGGCTTGGTCGTGAACGAGATAGCACATCCCCAGTCGGCTAACGCCCCTTTGGCTTGTCTGTATTTCATCTCCCCCCCCTTCAATGTCTGCCATGGCACGGTTATCTAGAACCTCCCCGATGACACCATCGTCCGAACTATCCGTGAGACCGAGCTCCGTGGCGACAGCTTCTACGCCTCTCATACCCGCGAGAGCATCGTCCTTGGCTCCGACTTCCTCCGTGATAACCTGTGGGTATTGCCTGGCTCGTCATCCGGCCATTCATTTCTATGATGTGTGGCCGTGCGGGATCGACACTGCGAGCAGGCACTCTGTCGGGTGTGGCAGGCACCAACGCTCATCCCGCATGACCACGATCCCGTCGGATCTCGGCTCTCCAAAGTCCGCCAGACTAACCCGGTTATCTGCGATCCTTTCCCTCAGCGTCGATGCCGTCCCCCTTCTCCTGAGCCATGTCTTCAACAAGCAGTTCCACCCCTACGAGTTCTACCGCATCGGCCCCAAGACCGCCGCCGAGTCCTCGGTCACCCTTGCCGACCCCGTGGCCAGCTCGTTTGAGGCCGTTCACCGCGTTGCCTTCCGCAACGGCCTCGGCAACTCGCTCTTTGCCTCCGAGGCCTCCGTCAAGGCCCTCAACCGTGCCAAGCTCCACGAGTTTGCCAACAACTACTTCACTGCCGATAACATCACCATCGTCGGCAATGGTGTTGCCCACCAGGACCTCGTCGAGCTCGTCGACAAGGCTCTCGAGAGTGTCCAGGTCAACGCCAAGAAGGCCGAGACCACCGCCACCAAGTACTTTGGTGGTGAGCACCGCATCGAGGCCGGCCCTCAGTCCACCGCCACCTACGTCGTTGCCTTCCCCTCGGTTGCCCGTGGCTCGAACGACTATGCCGCCGCTCTTGTCCTGAGCTCCCTCCTCGGCGGATCCCAGCGCATCAAGTGGGGTGCTTCTTCGGCTCTCCTCGGTGAGGCCTCCACCGCCAACACCAGCTCCTCTGCCTTCAACGCCTCTTACTCGGACGCCGGTCTCCTCGGCTTTGTTGTCCAGGGCCAGACCGCCGACGTCAAGTCGGTTGCCCAGCGATCCATTGATGCTCTCAAGAAGATTGCCAACGGCAGTGTCTCCGAGGCCGACGTTGCTGCTGCCAAGAAGGCCACCATCATCGACGCCGAGGCTGGCGTCTGGGGCAGCCGTGAGACCTCCGTCAAGGAAATCGCTGCCGAGACCCTCACCACCGGCAGCTTCGCCGCCCCCACCGACTTTGCCCAGCAAGTACAGAAGGTCACCGCTGCCGATCTCAGCAAGGTATGTGTTGATATTGTGCTTGTGCTGCATAAAGCGTTGGGGTGGCCGACTTGGTCGACAAACAGAGCATGTCCCCGAGGGCACTGTTCCCGCCTAGCCACCCGGCTCTCAGAACGGCCATCTAACTCTTTGCGCACCCTCTTGCAGATCGCCCGCGCTGCCCTCGCTGCCCGCCCGAGTATTGTTGCCCACGGAAACACCGTCAAGCTCCCTTATGCCGATGAGCTTAGCTTCTAACTGCTTTCCCAGTTAATTTTCTTTGGCTGAGAAATTGATCCTCGTTCTCTTGCATTTGATATGACCCTTATTGAACTACATTCCAGTCTGCGCGAACGGGGCACCCGATTCTGAGGCCAGTGGCCATGTTTTTTTTTCCTGGCTGTTGAATACACACACCCATTCACCACAAAGCCGTTCGGTGCTGCTGTCGTGAGATCTGTCGCTTGGCCTGTGAGTTGCGTCGTCTGCGTCTTCCTCACACAGGGACACCCAGAGAAACGACTTGACTCACTTGGCCGGGTGTGTGATATGATCCAACTACGCCGTGTTGATCTGAATGAGACGATGCGTCCCATTTTTTCAACACGCCGTAACTAGATCCCGAATACACCAATTCGCCTTGCCCATCAGCACGCCAGGAATACTGAAAGCCGGGCGACTCGTTCGATCTGACTGTCTTGCGGACCGAGCGTATTCGAGACTGTCCTGCAAACCACCAACCCGCAATGGTTGCTGTGGAGGACATTCAACGGCACCGCCGTTCGCTTTTCCTCTGAATACGGTGCATTGCTCGCTTGGATCGTGTTGCTGAACCACTCATATGTGATTGACATCGTCACCCCGCCGTCCCCGCCTCGCCCGAGACTCCCCGCTCGCCTCGCCCGCTTCTCCCTCGATCAGCGATATTCAGCCAGGGTCACTGAGCAATCTTAGGCTCCACCACCTTCACTACATCCTGTATCTTGTCCCATCAACCAACCCGTTTCGCATCGACCTGCATACACAATGGCCACCGTCCATGTAGGATCGCTCTTCATCGCCAGCGTAGACTGCCGCACACTATCGTCGTGAAGAGCCTTTGAACACTCCCGTCCACGTCGACCCGGCTATTCGCGATAGACGGCGATGGCATTTGCTTGGGCAGCGGTAATTGACTATCGGATGCCATTTTCTCCGGGCCCACCAGGCGGGTCGCAATCGACCCACCGATTTTTTGATCACCAACCGGCGACGCGATGAAGCGAACCGCAACCAGATGAAGGAGAGGACCAACTACTACGCGCAGACTCGGCTCCAGGTAATAGACCTAAAACATGCGGACCCGGAGCGGGCTACGAGAGAGATATTCACCCCTTCCTCGACCCTTCTTCCTCGACCGTCGGGGAAATGTGGCACCCTCGCCGCCGCATAGTCCGAGTTTGAAGAGTCATCGGGGACCGCGATCCGAAGAAACCATCTCTTCAAACGATACGAGGAGCTGAAGACACAAGAGGAAGCCACTCTGGAGGAGCGTCGAGCCAGGTTAGCGATGGTGTACACTCATCCAGCGACACTCGCCCTGACTGCACAGGCGCTGGTTTGGGTTGCTTTTTGCACTCCTCGCGATTCTACTTGCTCATCTCTTGGAATCGATGGGGGTCGGTCGCCTCCCAAACTCTCAAACCCCCAGACTCCGCGCCCTGCTGGCAGAAGACGAGGAGCTGTATCGACAGGAGCTGCTGGCCAAAGAAGAAACCAAAGAGAGTCGCCTGGCGGCCATGAAACTCAGAATGCAGGAACTCAAGACCAAGCGCGAGACCGAGCGAAAGATGGTCGTTGATGAAAAGCTCCGACAACGATGGAGGTCAGCGACCCTGTCCACATTGGTTGATTGCTACCTGGTATCCAGCGGCATTCATCCAGGATGCGGGACTACTGTCTGGACCTCCGTGGCCGCGAGTCCAAGGCCAGTGATGACTGGGGACTGGGGGCTGGGAACGTTGCCAGGAGGGGCAGTTGGTCGATGCCACTCAGCCCACCACAGCTCGCTCTGCTACCACTATCTACATCCAGGAATGAATGCGATGAACTCCGACAGATCGAATCGCAAGTTCTCGAGCTCGAGGTGGCCGACGCTCGAGCCGAACAAGTGGCCGAGCTCGAGGAGCGCAAGCGCTATGCTGCCGAAGGTGAGCTTGCAACGGCACACCTCCATCCGGCTGTAATCCGGGTCATCTTTGCATGTGCTTGGTCCCGTCATGGGCGATCAGGCCAGAGAGAGCCCCCCCCTCCCGCACTAACGATGCTATGATGCGCTGCTCTCCGCTGTACCACTTTGCCGTGATGCCGTCCTCTAGAGAAGAAGTACTTTGATTATCTGTGGGAGCAGGATCGCCAACGAAAGATCCAGCGGGAGGAAACCGAGCGCCAGAAGCGCAAACAGCAGGATGAGGCCGCTGTCACGATGCTCAAAGAACAAATGGAGTCGCTGCGCTTGCAGGCCATTGAAGAGGACCGCTTGAAGCGCGAGGAGGCAGCGCTGATGGTCAGTAGGCGGACACACTGGCTCGACAGGCTAGCGAAGGAAGGAATGCGTCGCCTGGCGGCTTGCTCCTGATTCCCTCTGGGTGGTGCTTCGGTTGCGTTGTTCGAGCTGCGCGGTCTCACTCTCGATGGCAACACGGCTGCTCTGTCGACACGTATTCACAGCGGCAAGAATACGAGACCCGTCAGCTGGAAGAAGAGCGAAACCGCCTGAGAAAGCAGCAGGAGCAGCGTCAAATTCAGCTCGAGCTTGACAACTTCAACAAGCTCAAGGTCAGGCAGAAGCTCGAAGAAGCACAGGAGGCTGTTAATATGGATGTCAAGATCGTCGACCAGTTCTTCAGGATGGACGAACGAGACCGGGAGTTCAAGAGCAGGAAGAAGGAGGAGATGCGCAAGGAGATGCAGCTATATCGCGAGAACTTGATGACTCAGAAGCAGGAGCAGGAGGCTGTGCAGAGAGAGATCGAGCGAATGCACAAGGATGAAGAAGAGAAGGTAGCAACGAGTCCAGCTTTGGCTCTCATTCTTGTGCATGTCTTTTGCTCGCTTTTGCTTGGAGAGCGTCGATACTCGCTCTGACCGAGCTGCTGTTCGATGGGCAACGACAGGTATGGCAAACCCGCGCGGAGAAATGGCAGCGAGAGCAACGTGCTCGCGATCGCCTGATGAAGGAGGTTCTCGAATGTCGAAAGGAGCAGCTGAAGAACGCTGGTATGAGTGGTTGCCTGTCGCTGTATCGTGCGATTCAGCTGCACAGCATCCAGACTCACCTTCATTTCCACAACGATTGCCCGGACTGCTCGACTTAGTCGAGATCAACAGAAGAAAGCAAGAGCAGACCAAACTGGACCGCGAGCGGATTTTGCACCAACTTGAAGTCGCAAAGCGAGCAGAAGAAATCGCACAAGAGAAGCACCGCCAGGCGATGAAGCAGTACACAAGCGCACTAATGGAGCAGATGCGCGAAGTTCGTGTACAGCGCCAAGACGAACGGAAGCAACTTGAGATGGAGGCTGCTGTTGACCGGGTGGGTATAGCTGCAACGGCAGATGTGCAATCAAGGGTGCAATGTGCCTTGGTCAGATAGCCATGGCCCCATAGGCATGCCAGCGAATCGGTAAAGTGACCCCGCCGCACTACCGTGCACCCACCCGATAGGATGCTGAGGAAAAGTTCCGAGAGTTGCTCAGGCGCGAGGCAGAGTATGCACAAAACATACCCAGGTGGGTGAATGATGCAGTGCACTTCTGCGTGCCAAACCGCCGCGATCTGCGTACTCCATCCGGTTGCTCAGCCGAAACAAGCAGGATCAGTAACAAGCGATGGCGTCCGTCGCCTCGTGCTCTGTTTCTACACCGACGGCGAGAGCGGTGGCCCATGCTCACGCCCATGCTCACGCCCATGCTAACCCATGCTAACGTCCACGACGACCCAGGGCCAGGGCTTTCGTGGCGCTGAATCCCCCAAGTTGATCGCCCCCTGGAATCAAGGGCCCAGCTGCCGTGTCCCAGAACGCAGCCCACATTCAGCGAATACTTTTAGTGGATGCGATCACAGTCACAATAAAGGCGGATTGCCTCGAAAGTCCTTCTATGGATGCATCCAGGGGACTGTCTTGACAGCTAGCAATCCAGCAATGCACCGGGTTGATGGAAGACGAGGGCAAAGTCGCTGTGGATTGTGATTGTATTGTGTGGGAACAGTGCGACACAAAGACGAGAGGTTGCATCGAAGGCTGTTCTTGGATATTCAGAGCATCTCGCCGTCGTCGTCCATGTTCTTGGATCGTCCTCGGCCCCTTCCCCGTCCCCGTCCTCGGCCACGCCCACCCTCCTTCGCTGTGGTGCGTGCTCTCGACCGGGTGGTGCCCTCGCCAGCAGCTTTCGCACCACGACCACGACCACGCCCTCGTCCGCGAGTTGCACCACCACGGGATGAAGTTCCGCCGTCATTGCGATTTGGACATGCCGACGCAAAGTGGCCCGGCTGATATCAACAGGAATGACGCTCGGTTAGCTGGAGTAGTCGAAACTCGGCTCTGCCAGCAATGCGATGTGCTTACCTGGTTACAGGCATAGCAGGTGGACTGCGCTGCACCTGATCCGCCGCTGCCTCCTGACTTGGATGGGCATGCGTTTGCAAAGTGACCGGCCTGGAGAGACCGAGCCAGTGAATGAACCATTCTCTCACAAAATGCACGACTGCGTGCGAGCAGGCCTTTGGCACATTGAAACATGCCCAGGCTCCGGATCATGTTGATGCGCAGTCTCGAACCAGCAGCAGCGGCGACGTACCTGGCCACAGACATAGCAGGAAAAGTTCTCCTTGGCGTTCACGGCGGACGGATCTTGATCATCCCATTGGAAAAACTTGCATTTTTGCGACTCTGACTTTGGGCATGTCCATAATCCTCGCCCGTGGTTCTTGCTCATTTTGTGAACTGCATAGAGCTGACACTGGCACTTGGGCTTATCATTGTCCTCAGGCCCACTTGCTAGAGTCCTGTATGGTGTCAGACGCACGGACTTTGCCACACAGGCCGCAGAAGACAGACCGTTGGCATGAGTGTACTTGTTACCTATTTCTTCCAAAGGCACATCACTCTGTAGACAGTGCCGCCAATGTTCCGGGCAAAGGTCGCACTCGCTCTTCAGGAGTCCACCAGAGAAGGGACCTCGCGATATTACATCGGTCCGCTCTGGCAACACCGGGATGCCAGCAGAGTCTCTGATCGCCTTACCGGTTTGCTACCGAATCCCTGCTTTGCACTTCGATTCGATGGAGGAGGAGTAGAGGGTTGAGGCGTCGGACGAGCCGCGGTGGTGGGCCTTCCGGAGCCGCGGTAGAGCGAAAACAGCTCTTTCAAATCTTCATCGCATAACGCACAGCTAGTGTACTTTGAGATCCACCCGGGCGATATCAATGTCAGCGAGTGGACTGTAACATTGGATGCAAACGAGCGGAGGCCAGCGAAAGGATGCGGGAGCAACAGCGGCATGCGGCCGAACCCGGACCAACCTCAGACGAAATGGACGGCGGCACTTTGTTCGCTGGGAACTGCATATCAAGCATATATACAGGACTGTCTGCTGAGCTGCCGTTCAGGTTGGTGGCGTTCAGAACAATATCAGAAATCGCAGTACCTGATGCGCTTACAAGTCAGTAGCACGCGAGCTAGACATACCTGCATCGAGGGCAGATCTTATGCGAAAGCTCGGCGCTGATGAGGATGCTGGGGAAGAAAACGGCTTCCTTGCACTCCGGATAGCCTATACAGCCTGCCAATGCGGTATGGTTGCCGAAAGAAGTTAGTCTGAACAAGGCGCTTCCAGCAAATGGTGCAATGCGGCCCAGACACCAATACGTGGCCACACATTGACGCACATACCAATCATCAAGAATCCTGCCTGTGTCCGCTTTAGTGACATGCTCTTGTCGCACTTTGGGCATTTCCGCACGATCTGAGCCATCGACATCCCTTGCGAAGGCTAGGCACGGGTGGAGTGTTAGCTGACCTTGACTCGTGCTCGATACACGGGCTGACTATCATGGACGGTGATTCAGATGCCGTGTGGTTGCCGACACACCCTACCTCTGGCTCTGTTGGATCGTGGCCAAAGTGAGCCGCAAGCGACTGCAGACACAAGAAAGTTAGATATGGCGCTCGGTTACGCTCCTCAGCCTCCGTCCTGCTCTCAGCGTGAGACAGCGTGTTGCGGATGAACAACCACGAGTCAGTCTGGACACTGCGACCGACCTCAATGAGTTTGTTTTGTTCGTTCTTTGCATTCAAAAACGCCTGCTTGTACATCTCAACGCCCTCCTGCACAACTTGCTCCTTGGTCTTTTCTCCTCGACAAATCTTGTTGATATTGTCTTCGAGCTACCGTTTGGATTGGTCAATGAAATGACGGATTTCCAAACTAGTGCGGAGTCCAAGGATGCGAACAATGCACCTCGGCAACAGAGCGCCCGAATTCCCACAAACAGATAGGCGTATGCATCGTATATCAAAATCAAAAGCGGAAGACGTACGCCGCATGGGTCGCCAGCGCGAGCAAAGCCGTGAGCGCCTCACCTGGCTCCGCAAATATGGCTTGGACATTGCAATCTCGATTGACATCGCGTCGTATCCCTGGACCAAACCCATGCCCAGTGTCGTCGGGCTGAAGTAGCCTCGCTCCTTGGTGGCGTACTCGCGATCAAGAATCTTCTTGATGTGTTCGTGGATGGTGGCATCCGTCCCTGGCAGCGCAGATATCGGAGTGAGGACATTGCGGTTCCTGCGAAAACCTGTCGAGCCCCAAGTCTGCAAATATCCCAATGCCAACTCGGCTCGGCTCGGCTCAGTAACATCAAGGACCGCTCTATTGCTGACTCTCCTACCTATGCCGCTGTTGTTCATGAGGGTGATCAACTCCGCCTCCGTCAGCAACGACGGCCGCGATGTCTTTCCATCAACCATCTCTAGACGCGACGGTTCGATTTGTTCATGCAGCTCGAAGTGGGGTATCGATGTGCTGCTCCAGTTATCGTAGATGTACACTTCGAGATAGTTCTTCTCGAGAATTGCCAAGCCTGTGACATGCCACCGGGATGAATCAGCACTCAGTTGCGGCAGTAAGTTGGCATGCGGGCGATCGATCTACCTTTGGCGGTAAATTTCTCGCCGGCAATGTCGATTTCGACGACTGTTTCATGACCCTTTGCATCGTCGGAACAACACGCGAGAAAGCGACGAGCGGCAAAATCGTAGACCCGAGTCTCGTCCTCAGTAAGGTTTCTGGCCTCTTGTGTGGGATGGATAGGCGGGTGGGCTTTGTCGTTGTTTTTGCCTTTGCGTGGTCTCTTGAATCCCCCTGCCAAGAGTCTGAGGAGTTTCCGTCAATGGTCTTGCACTGTTTTGGGCGTCGATGCCACCACACCCCGAGGACTCACCTCTGGGCGTATTCCCCCCAATTTGGATTGGATGTTTGTTTCTCGATCAAGGGACGGAGCTCAAAGTTGTCCTCGAACACATCCGTCTCTGTCCTGGGATAACTCAGGAAACCGCGGTTGTAGAGGTCCTCGGCAATCTGTGCACAGGCAAAAAGTGGTCAGCAAGGCCATGGTACCGAGAAAGGCCTGGCCCCAAGCAACTGCGATTCAAATCGTGTCGGACCTTCATAAGTCTGTCGGAGGAAATGCGCAGATGCTTTGAGGCACTCTTCTGGAACTCGACGGTGGTCAGAGGGAGAGGCCGCCTGCAGACGTCGATAGTGTCGTCAGTACCATTGGCTCCCTTCGCGAGCGATGCGAGCGAGACGCTTGCGCAAGCGATGGGTTTGCTGCTGTGAATACTCACCACTTGTCTTTGGGCTTGGACTGCACCGATGTTACCGTTGCCACCGGTTGGTCCATGCAGAGTTCGTAGATGACAAAGGTTGCTCGCTGGTCAAACAGACGATTGCGCTCCCACGAAAAGTTGGCTGTCTGGCCATCCTTGGCCAGGGTCACTTCGATCTTCCAGAACGCCTCATGGACAAAGCTTTTAGCCTTGAGAAACTGATCGACCACAAACCCAAGGGTTGGAAACTGGCAGCCACCTGAGTTCCGGATAGCCCGAGAGCAGGCTCCACGATTAGCATCGGTAGAGTACTGGTAGAGTACTCAACCCTCGCGACAGTCGCTCGATCATCTACGCCCTACCATAGCTGATCGGATCGCTCTTTTCATTCAGCTCTTCAAAACGGGGCCGCAGCAGCAGTGTCTGGAATCGCGTGAAGACGGCACCAATACGCAGATCAAGTTCCTGGCGGGCATCGACTGCATCCACTTGATTCGGATCCAGGATGGTGAGGTTGCCCCAGGCTTCGCGGATTTCTCTGTAGCGAGACAGGGGCTCGGTGAGGTTGCTGCTCGCCTGACCAACAGCGCCAGCGAGCGGCAATGCGTGGTAGCGGATTCACTCCTTGGACATATGAGGCTTTGTCGCCGCAAAATCAGAAAATGAAACAGGGCCCACCTTGGCTGAACCACAGAGAAGCGCGCTCGCTTCACTTGAATCCTTGGGTTGGACTCGCAGCAGATCATGGCGATCTCGGCACCAATGTTTTCTCCCTCAAGATCACAGTCTGTCCAGATTACGACGGCATGGGCCCGCTTTGCCTCGGCCTGGATGTTCTGGGCGACTTTTTTGAGATCCTGCAGAGCCCGCGACAGGAGATCGACCATGCTCAATGGTCAGCTGGAGAATCGACGGCGCTCGAGCACATCGAGCAGATATGTATCGGACCGCGGGGAGATCATCGATCTTACCGGACGGATGGTTTTGTTGACTGGGAGATCAAAGAGCCGAGTCATGTCAACGCTCTTCCAGCTGCGATACTCGGGCCCAAAGTCGATTTCGTACAAGTGCCCTCGGACCGCTGTCATGGTCACCGTGCACAGCTCGCCTTCGTAGTGCTGCTCAAAGTCATAGTTCTTGGTATAGGTGTCTCCGGTATTCCTCTACGCATGATCCAAGCGGCGTTGGTCGACACAGGCCATGAATGAATGAGTCGGCGAATCAGCAATCCATCATGTGCTGGAAACAGAACCAAAACCGAAAGCCAAAGCAAAAGCGGCAGCGGCCGATGGGATCGTACGGTTTGCGATTGACCCGATGATAGGGCGGAGGCAACGGACTTGGAGATCGACGGCTTCTCGGCAACACACAGGATCTGTGCGGGGGGGGAACAGCGACGACGGGAGCAGGGGTCAGCGGTTGCGTTGAGACAACTGCGTCGCTGGTTGTGGATGGCACACCTTCTTCATGGCGATGAGCTTGGGCTAATCTGCCAAGATCCACGGGCATGCAGAGAGATGCAGAAGAGGCCAAGAGATGCAGAAGAGGCCGAGATATGCAGAGGAGGCCGAGATATATATGCAGTGGTGTGCGAATGGGGAGCACACGACATGGGCTGCGCAGTCGGCTTCGTTCTCGGGTCGCAGCCGATCTGCTGCCAGAAACCGGCTCTTCGTGCTGCTGGGGGTTGCCGAGCGACGCCATGCCGGCGAACAAGACGGCCAATGCCCAGTGCGGCAACCCGCTGTTTCTCAGGTGGATCAGAGAGCTCCAGGAGGAGGTGGGCAGGACGAATGCGGGCTCCAAGCTAGTCTTTGTCTATCGCAAGGTGAGCCAGACCAGAACTGCGGTGCTCGATGCATTCGCAATCCAGCCGATCGCCGTTGCGATGGTGGTTGCCGACGAGACGCCCCAAGGAACGACTGGCACCACTTTCCGAATGGATAATCGAGTGCTCAAGTCTCTGTGATCCGTCTGCTGCTTTCTCAAGTCTCTTTTTATTTTGCCGACGCAGGCCGCCAATTCGATGCAGTCCTATCCTGTCAATCTCAACGACCGCCCTGGAGACTGCATCAAGCTGGCACACATCGGAAAGCATATTGCGGACAAGATCACAGCCAGGTGGACCGAATTCCTTGAGAATGGCGGAGATCCATCCGAGAACATGCCCAAGACAGGGGTATCGGCTGCCAAATCCTCTGGAACGTGCTCTGGTCGAGCTGATCGAGGCCCCGCCGCTGGCCTCGACAGCCACGATCGAGATCACGACATCGGCAGCTTCGTCGATACATCGGCAAACAGCAGAGGTACCATTCTTCCTCGTCCATCTCCGCCAGGTTGGTGAGACTGTCTGGGCTCGAAGCTGCTAACTGATCCAGTGGTGGAGACTGTCCGATCGCCGGCTCCTGAGCCTCATGGCAGCGATGGGTAGCTGCGACAGAACCACGCCCCTAACTTCACTATGGCCCATGATCAACCCCAGCTGCATCTTCGGCGTCGATACGGGTGGCAACAAGCTCCTCAAGCGTCCCGGCTGCTGTATGCGGCCGTGTCGAGCTGGAGCTGATCGAGCCTGGCCGTGCTGAAACGACTGACCCCCAGCAAGCGAAAACGAAAGCAAACGGATACGTCCCAAAACACCGGGGAGCCGCATACGCTATCCTTATGGTGCTCTACCAGCATCCGAACGGAGGCCTCGGCAAGAATGAAATCATCGCAAAGGCCGCCGAGCACACCGATACCCCAATGCGGGCAGCCTCGTCCGACTCGAGCGCTTACAGTGGATGGAGCAGCATGTCGACGCTCAAGCGCAAGGGCTTGGTAGTAGTGCAGTCGAATCCTCCAGTCTTTGTTCTCTCGGAGTCAGGCCGGGATCTGGCCCAGCGGCTCGGCAGCGCCCATGGAAACCCACAAAGCGCTGATGGCATCAATGTCCCGACTGGTCGCCCAGCATCTCCACGCTCGCCGAATGACATGCAGCGGCCAGGCTGCCCGACAGATCGTCTCCAAAAAGACCCGGAAGGCGCTCCGGCACGGCACGAACCGTCGCCGGATATTCGAGCCTTCTCGAATTCGATAGAGCGATCGCGGAGATATGTCTCGTATCAATGTGTTCGGTTGGCCTCGCGCTCCAGCACGCTCTTGCTCCGGTCGCCATCCAAATCACCGATCCGAACACGACCGTCACCTCGTCAGCGACCTCCTTCAGTCTGGAAAGTCACTCCCAAGAACTCGGACTCGACTATTGTGCCGGAATCAGATGACGAAGCGATCGGATCTCCGGTTCGACGGCGCACTAGCATCGCGCGATCGCACGAGCGTTGGGAAATCGCAGTCCGGTCGAGGGATGGAGATGCTGCCGAGCCGTTCAACTCGCCATCGGCACGGCGCAGGGTTTTGTCATCCCGACGCTCTGACTTGTTGGACTCGCCAGATGTGGAGGGGCGCTGTATGGGACAAATGGACTCAGTGCTTGAGACGATCCATCCGACCAAAGCGAAGCGGCCGCACGACTCGGGCGACGATATCGATCGACTCGGGGCCACTACGGCAGCGGAATATCAAGGCAAGAAACAAAGAGCAGACCCTGCATCGAAAAATGGAAGTCGGGATCAGCCCTTCGAGACCACCAGTTCGTTCTCGGACCGCTTTCCGGCTATGCTGCCAACAAGTCAGCTCGGTATTCTCGACCTGCTCTCGGACTACCGTAGCGCCCCAATTAGATTCCGAGGCGGGACGTTCGATATCCACCTAGTCCTGGATTCGCGCGAGATGGGGCTGAAATACGATCGGGACGGCATGGAGCTGGCTCTGAAACGCAATGGTGTCCAAGTCTGCCGTCGCGCTCTCGTTTTGGGCGATGTGCTGTGGATCGCCAGACGCAAATCGCACTCGAATGTGCCCAACCCCAAAGGTGAGTGCCAGAACATTGATTCCGGGGACAGCACAGACACATGCTTATCTCGGGCATATCCGTTGCAGACGAGCCGCACGATGAAGAGATTGTCCTGAACTACATTGTTGAACGCAAAACCATGAGCGATCTTGTCTCGAGCATCATCGATAGCAGATATAGCGAACAAAAGGTTTGCTTCTCGCAGCTGAGCAACGGCGAGCCTGACCCGGCCTTTGAATGTGCCGCTGACTGGACAAGCCAGCCCTATGTAGTGGAGAGATGGCTGTGCCGTATGCAAGCAGCATACTGATGGGAGGGGAGCTCGAGCAAGACGGAGCCAGTATCTCCCAGGGCGTCGATATCCAAGCGGCGAGATGGGAATGCACGCATCGATGCTCTACCGTCCATAGAATACCGTAATGACTGATGCCCCCCAATATTCGCTGACTCAGTTCCGACTGCACTCATGCTGTATCGACCATGTCACGTACTTGATCGAGGATGTCAACTCGCACGAGGCCAAGAGTTTTGGAGAAGACTCGATCTTCACGGCGCTGGCGTCGACGCAGATCCAGGACGGATTCTTCCTCAAGAAAACAGCCAATAACGACGACACGATCGTGTATCTAACCAACATGACCCGAATGATCGAGCGCATGTACTTGGTAAGCACTCAAGGTGATGCATTTGTCTGCGTGGGGGGGGGGTCGGCGAGCTGTTGTCCAAACCAGGATCGTCGACCGCAACAATATCCATTCCTGCAGTCGGTCTCCCAAGTACCCCGGCCCTATCGGACTTGAGCCGCCATCGCTGCATTATTCTGGGCAGCAGACTCGTTGATCGGATTGGGGCACAGCGGCGACTGACCCGATATGGTCAATCCGTACAGGAAACCGATTTGGTCGCGATTGCGCCTCGGGATGTCTATCCGTCCACTGTCGAAAGGCTTCGTCGACAACTCGGCAGTCGCGACCGCATTGTCTACCATTTATCCTTCAGTAGCTTCCAGGAGATCAACCAGAAAAATGCCCGCGATACACTGAGGGATCTGTGGATCAAGCAGCTGCTGTGCATCAACGGCGTCAGCGCCGAGAAGGCCGTCCACATTGCCAACCACTACCCGACGCCGGCACTGTAAGCATCTTGGCTGAGCACTCTGCGGCAGCTCGGATGTGAACTCTTCAGCGACTCGGCCATTCGCTCTGCAGCAGCTCGGACGTGCACTGACTATTTCGATATTTTCCAGTCTGAGAGCGGCGCTGGTCCAAAGCCAACAGCCGGCCGAGTTGCTCAGCGGACTCGGTGGAATCGGGAGGCAGGCCATTGGCAAAGCGCTCTCCAAGAAGATCAGCGATGTCTTTATTCTCGAGCAGTACCCACGGGCGGATCGGTGACATTGGCAGAAACCTGGCACTGCTGCATGTCGCCCGGCTATCCGAGTCAGGGCAGAGAGTGTGTCGGGAACAACAGAGAGAACACAGCATTTCCACAATCAATAGCCACATTTCATGGTTTGGAGCAGCAGCCCTATGCAGCACGCTCGGAACGAAACAAGATAGTGCCGATTTGCGTTCTTTCGCAGTTCAGCCTCTGACTGTTATTGGTCTGGAGGAGCACAGTCTTGAGATATGGTGTGCATTGAACCATCGTCGGGGGGCTCCGCGGGCTCGATGGACAGTGCCTTCCCCTGCTTCCACGAGGCATTCCCAGAGGCAGCCTCAACGTCATACTGCCTGGACACACTCTTTGGCCATGGCAGACGACGGATGGGTGTATTTGCACCAGAGAAAATCAGCAGTATCGGCTCAAAACAGGGTGCGCTGTTTCGTTTTGAACGGGCTCCATCTGAGCACCCGGCCCCTTCCGGGCCTCATCCTGGACTCATCGACGCTCCGCCGGGCACGGCCTTCTGCGATCGGCTGCTCCTGGGGACCGCAAGCTCCTCTTGCCGTCGCCAACCATGACCCACAGAGAAGAGCTCCCCACCCCGCGGCTGCCTCGGGAGGCCAAGAACATCAAAAATGTATGGCATCGCCGGCCAGCACGCCGATCTCCGGATATCCTGGCCAGCGAGCTCCCAACACACCTGCTTATCGGGATACGGCCGGCTGCCGAGAATCGTCTCTGCGTCTCGCAGCTCGCAGCTCGCATCACATCTTGCATCTGAGGCTGGACGGCCCACAACCCATCGGCCCTAAATCCCTCTTCCTCACTCTCCCGTCTCTACCCTGCCATTGCTTCTGCAACTTGCTCGGCCATCGTGGCCTCCTCGCCTTCCTCGCTGGCCAGTATTACACTCCGATACCAATCGAGATCGACGAGTCAAATCATGTGGACTGCAACAAAAAGATGCCGTAAGTGGCAGATGCCTCGGCTGGCGACCGATCGAGCTTCCTGCAGCCCGCATTGCCTTCGACTTTATCGCCTCGCCGCCGTCGGTTGCGCATCCACTCCTATCTACTAGCGCCGCCTTGCTTCCCCCTCCATCGAATCTGCTCTCGAAAGTGACGGTGATCGACTCTTCCTGGCCACTAGCACCCCGGTCCACAAGCATTTTTGCATGATTTGCGCTGGAACAGCCGAAGCCAACAGGGAAGGCCAGCCGGAGGATCTCCTGGGATGCAAAATCTGCCGCGGATCTGGTACCGTTGTCTGCTCTTGCTGGGGCTCTGCCAGCTTGGATGGCAAGGCCACCGGGGAGCCGTCAGACCAACCGACATTGTCTCCTTCCCGGCTGCCAGTTTGGACGGCGATCTGTTCGGGATCGCTCTCCCCGCAAAGCTCGGCCTCCCTGTGGTGGAGGCAGGGGGGCGACGATAGGAGACTCACCGGCTGCATCCTTCTCCAGGTCATCCATCGTGCATGGGCATCCCCCCACTCGCTCTCAAAGCAATCAAGGCCCAGACCAAATGGGAGTGCCCGAACTGCAAGACATGCAGAATATGCGAACGACCCGATCCGGAGGTTTGAAAATCCCCCTGGCTTGCTGCTGGCACCGTCGGCGGGCCCAGAGGACCAACTCGCTTCATCCGCCCCGGCGCTGACTGCCTTTCGACCTCTGTCCCCCAGGACAATCTGCTCTGCTGCGACCTGTGCGATGCCGGCTATCACACGCACTGTCTCAACCCACCGCTGAAATCGATTCCAGAAGGTATCTCCCGTCCGGCATGAGAGTATGGTGCTATGGATCGATTGGCGTCGTTCTTGAGACTGTTCCATATCCATTTCCGAGGGCATTCGGCCCCAAGCCAACTGCTCAGCCGCTAATATCCAAAACTCCTTTTCGCCCCAGGACATTGGCTGTGCCCACACTGCAAGCCGGCCCCAAAGCAAGAGGCACCTCCTCCAACGAGCACGCCCAAGTCATCCTCGCATACCCCCCGGACACACAAATCCAACGGCAGCACGGGCAAGCGAACTGGCTCGGACTCCAGCCGGAAGCTCGCCGAGTTGTGGCCGACCCTCAAAAAGCGAAAGCACAGCGTGGCTGTATCTGACGACGAAGAGACCGACCAGAAGCCAGTTCCGTCAACACCGACGCCAGCGAGCACCAAGAATCGGCGCTCGACAGGACACGGCTCGAAGCACCAGGGACAGACCCCTCAGGCAGCTTCTTCCGCTTCGGTCCATCCGGATCCGCCGTTGGACAGCATCGGCAACAGCTCGCCTGGGCTTTCTAAGCCTATGAAGCTGAGGATTCTGTTCCAGGGCAAGCCTCTGGACCTTGGCGGTCCTGCTGGTTCCGACCGGACCGACGAGTCACCCGAGTCGCTTGTAGAGGTTTTTGGAGGGCGCTTGACCGAGGCCGAAGTCGACATTTCCAAAACCACGCCCGAGCAAAGCGATCGACAGAGATTCCATGCCGCCCGAGAGATTGTGCGCGTGCAGGTATGCCTGCCCTTGGATCATGGCATTGCGCTTCGTGATGCTCGCGACCAGTGCTGACTGAGGTTTCGTGCCCCTCGACAGAGCGCCGAATTCGAATTCAAACACCAACCGCTAAAGTCCGAGTCGTTCGACGAACTGGAGCACAGTGACGATTGTCGCGGGTCCGTGGAGTCGGGTACCTCGTCTCTGCACAATTACCGCAGCCGGCTGCCCGCAATCAAAAGCATTCGTTTCGGCTCTTACGAAATCAACACGTGGTACTCGGCGCCGTATCCGGAGGAGTACAGCCAGAAATCAATCCTCTACATTTGCGAGTATTGTCTCAAGTACATGAAATGCACGTTTACATACGAGCGGCATATGGTATGTTGGCCCCGATGGGATAGCGCGGCCGAGTGACCCGACCCAAGGGCGAGCAATCCAGCAGCGCGGCCACGGCATGCCAGATGGTGGTGGGATTGTGGTTGATCCGCCGAGTGTCCAAAATCGCTCACGGCGCTGTTATGCAATGCAGGTAAAGTGTCCCATGAGACACCCCCCTGGCGATGAAGTCTATCGCGACGAAAACGTGTCGATCTTTGAGGTCGACGGACGGAAGAATAAGGTGAGCTTTGAACGCTGCAAAGTGATGGGGTATCCCATGACATTCGAGGGCATGGAGCGCTCGGAAACCTGGTCCGTCTTTGCGCAATGCCATATCCATCCGCTGGGCTTTTGGGTGAAAGAGTTCTTTGACTCTTTTGACAATTTGCGTTCTCGAGACCGCGTGGGGGCGTTTGCTGAGCCCTTTGTTGTTGCTGTCCCAGATTTACTGCCAAAACCTCTGTCTTCTTGCCAAGCTGTTCCTGGACCACAAAACGCTGTATTATGACGTCGAGCCTTTTCTGTTCTATGTCCTTACCGAATCGGACGAGAAAGGGCACCACTTTGTGGGATACTTTTCCAAGGCAAGTGTCTAACGAGATCGCGCCCAGTCCCACGCTCGCTTTCCAGCTTATCGAACAATCGCCAACATATCTTCTCCCTCAGGAAAAACGCTCGTCAAGCAACTACAATCTGTCGTGCATCGTCACGCTGCCAATCCATCAAAGAAAAGGATACGGGAATCTCCTTATTGACTTTAGTGAGTGTCCTGAATCGGCAACGCCAGCGGGGTTATCTGTTAGTTGAATTGGTCCACATCAACTTGGATATGACGGTTGAGCGATCGCCTTAGTTGGTTGGACTGGCCGAACCGAACCTCTCTGACACTGGCCCGCACTTCCTCCAGGCTACCTCTTGTCGCGGAAAGAGGGAAAGCCTGGGACGCCAGAAAAGCCCCTCTCGGATTTGGGTGCGCTGAGTTACCGGAACTACTGGCGGAACACCATCATACGGGTGCTGAACAAGCATGCAAAATCCCTCAATTTGTCGCTGGAAGGTGGGAATGAGGTTGCGGCAAATTGATCGCGATCATCGTCCGCATCGGATGGTTGTGAGAAGTGCGGTCTTGATGTCTGCTGCCTCCACTGATCTCAGCGTTCCTCTCCAAATACCATTCTCGCTCACAGGTCTCAGCAACGAAACGGGAATGACCCCGAATGATATTGTCGCAACCCTAGAGTGCATGAAGCTATGGACGCCACCCTCTCCCGATGATGGAGAATGTACGCTGCTCTTCCCTGAGGATCTCATATCAGACCTGGCCGAGCGGCTGGCGTCCAAGCGACACACTCTGGCAACTGAAGAAAAGCTGCGGTGGACGCCATTTTTGATGATGCGGCCTATTTTCAAGAGTGCATCGGAAGACGAGTTAGAGCCTGCAGAGAATTCACCATAGCAACAATACAGTTCTTCCAAAGTGACTGTGACACCCAGATCTCATGGCTGCGGGAAATAGCTGCGAGCGGTGAGCAGCATTTATCGACGGGGTCTCTATGCCTCGATCGTGAATTGTGGCGCATCGCATCGATGGATGATGGATCACAAGCTGCATATATTGCAGCATGAGCAACCCTTGGTGATGCAACTGCTCAAGGTATTGAAGAGCCCTGGTCGACGTGGGCTGGGCACATATCACATCTACGGTGTGGATGGCCGTAGGGAATGGCGGGTGGGTGTATTCCCACTCCGAATCAAGTCACGATGTCCCAAGCACTGCAGTACATATTGTGGCTACAGATAACACAGATGAAAACGGAGCACTCCCTAATTTTCTTTGGCATCAGGGTGTCCCATTACAAAACTTTCTTCGACTTGAACCGTGACGGCTCTGTCGTTTCGACTCGACTAGAACTTCCTGTCCGGACAGCAACGAGCCAGCAGCAGACCCACATCGTCATCTCATTGCAACCACCACGAGGGGGAGGGAGGCAGTTAGGTCCACACGTTCTCAAAGGGATAGGCGTTCATATCAAGGCCGTAGCTCAGCAATCGCTGAACGACCTTGACGTGGCCGTTGGTCATGGCCAATTTGAGCAGCAAGCCGCCATGGGATATCGTATCTGCGCCGTGCTGGAGAAGGAGCCCGACCACTTGATCATGGCCATGTTCGCACGCATTCTTGAGGGCCTCGTCAGCGTTGGCATGCACATCGGCATCGAATTCCAGTAACATTTGCACAACCGCCACATGGCCCATCTTGGCTGCCGTTCGCAGAGCCTCCCCGTGCGCTGCGTTGATATCGGCTCCACTCTCGAGCAGCAGTCTGAGGATCTGATCCCGTCCCTTGGCAGCGGCTACACGCAGGGCCTGATTGCCGGCGGCTTGAACGTCGCATCCCAGTCCGATGAGAAGACGTACCAGCTCGACGTGTCCGTTCTCGCAGGCCAGTCGGAAGGGAGCGTCGTCGCCGGCTCGGAAATCAACGCCGCTTTCGATCAAGAGCCGGACGATTTGCTCGTGGCCCTGGCGCACGGCTTGTAGAAGGACATTGGAGGCGCCGTCGGCCCAGTGCGGATGACGGTCGCGATAGACTTGAAGTACAAAGACGACCAGGTCGTGGTAGCCCAGACAGCAGCCCATACGCAAGATAGCCAGATTGTTGATGCTCATGTCGGCGCCAAAGGCCTCGAGGGCCTTCACGACATGCAGATGGTTCTTTCCGGCAGCCGCAATCGCGATGGCAGACAGGCGGTGTCGGTCAAAGGAGGTCTGTGAGTTGCCCAGCAGGAAATCGACAATGGCAAAGTGCCCGTTGATGGCGGCATAGTGGAGCGAGAGGTCGTCGTTGGAGTGCACATCAGCCCCGGCGGCAATAAGCGACCTGCAGGCAAGTAGATCGCCGAGGAAGCAGGCACTGTGCAGCACCCCGGTGCAACTCGAAGCACTGACAGAGTTGTGCCTGAGGATCATCTCGAGGACGTGAGAATTGCCCGAAGTCGTGGCCCAGAGCATGACCGGCAGCATCGGCGAGTCGGAGGTGGTCGAGGGCCGAGATGAGTGCAGCTGAATGATCGTCTCGAGCAGATGCTGGGGAGCCGCCCTGGATGTCAGGAGCTTGAGCGAGGCCAGCAGACCCCGAGTGGCAAGCAGTGAGCGACAGAGCAGCCGATGCACATCCTGCCGGAGCTCTCGATAGAGCCGCTTGCTTGCCGACAGCAACCTCAGCGAGTCTGAAGGTCTCGAGATGAATGCGAATATATGGATGGAAACGTCGGACGGGATGCTTTCCATGGGCGCAAGCAGCGATGTGTTTGCAATGGTGGTTGGTGGACGAATTGCGAGACCGCGCAAAGGGAATGAATGAGGAGGATGCTGGGCGGCTCGCAGCTGCACCCAGGGCGGTCCGGGGGCTCGGATGCACTCGGATCGACGCTGAACCCCGTGGCTGCTGCCGGCGGCTGGAGAAGCGTCGGCCTGACCTGGTGATGCACTCGGCGCAGCCTCCGGTATAGATTACAGGCAATCCAATAAAAAACGGGACACCCGGATTTTGACCATTCATCGAATATTTTGTTACCCAAAACCATCGCGCGCTGGCCATGACCATTCGCCACACATCCGACTTTCGCACCGCCGCATTGCGATGCTACGATCTCATCCATAGCCTGCGCAAGGTTGCCACCATATTCAGTGTGTCCAAGAGCACCATCCATCGATGGCACCGAGGATGCAAGCCATCCGAGCCACCCCGAGTCCCAGCTCGCAGATCCACTTTCTTCGAGCAGGCATGTCCAGTCATTCGCACCCTGATTGAACAGGACCCGTTCCAGACTGGTCCTGTGCTGCGGTGCAAGCTCGAGTCCATCCTCCAGAGGAAAGTATCACTCTCACTCTGCCACACTGCCATCCACCGAGCAGGTCTCTCACACAAGAGGGCAACACACCTCTACAAGTCCAAGCGACTGGATGAGCGAGTGGCACAGTTCAGGGACCAGGCCCGCTCCATTGACCCACGTGACGATTCGTTTTTGTCGATGAGACAGGGATCAGGAGATCCATTTTCCCTCTCTACGGATACTCGCCGAAGGGTGCTCCGCTTCGCCAGCGCAATCACATGAAGCACAAGTCTGTCTCGGCTGCATTTGCCATCAACCACTCTGGTGTGCTGCATCGCATGTACATCCCCACATCATTCAAGACACACTCGATGGTCGAGTTCTTTGAGCGAGCGGCCTTCCCAGACGACTCTGTGATTGTGATGGACAATGTCAGCATGCACAAGACAATGGCTGTCCTGGACTGCATCGAGCGCCGAGGATGGTCAGTGATCTTCACCCCACCTGCCTCGCCCGACTTCAATCCCATCGAGAACTTCTTTGGGATTGTGAAGCATCAGTACAGGAAGGCGGCAGCGGTGAATGCGTCCGAGGGGTTCAAGGTCGGGATGGTGACCCTGTTCGAGTCCGCCGTGCGGAGGGTGCTTCCAGATGTCTTCCCACGGCTGATTGAACGTGCGATGCGCTTCTGGGGTTGAGTTCCCTCCAATCAAGCCGCCGTTTTCGCGTTCACATCCCTGGCTTGAACCTCTCGGCGATTTTTGAACAGGTCGCTTCCCCAACCAACCCGCAAAGACGGGCTCCTGCTCTCGGGTATAAATGCCACACCTTCGTCTCTGCTGCTTTCTTCCCTCATCTCACCTTGATCTGATCATCGCGCCATTGTACGATAAAAAAAAGTCTCTGCTCTGACCAGTACCACTGGCAGGCATCCAGCATCCTCCGCCCCATGCCTCCGAAGCGCAAGGGTGCCGGTGATGGCCAGCCTCGGCCACCCAGGCCCAAGAAAGCCAAGTCACAGTCGGAGCCTGTCTCTGGTTCGTATTCTGATCCCACGCATGCTTGGTCGTCTGTTGCTCCGTCGCTCACCACCACTGCTTCTGCAGATCCAATGGATGTCGATCCCACCGAGCCTGGTCCATCTACTTCCTCGAGTACTGGCAAGCGATGTCGCCAGTGCGATGGCACCGATCACGAACGCTGCAACACCAACAGGTGTCCCAAATACCGGCCCCTCAAGAGCTCTGTCGTCCCACTCGTGGATGGAAGGTCATCCGCCCCTCAGTTCAGCTGCTTCAAGCAGACGATGGATGGCTGTTGTCTCAATCCCGCTCTCCGCGACAAGATCCAGGCCACCGTCGAGGCCATGACCCAGATCCAGTTCGAGGCATCCAGGCTGCTCAACCTGCACATCCTGAGGTGCATCGAGCAGGATCTTCCCGTCCCCGTCATCTCCAAGTCCACCCCTGCTTTCGTTCGCCAATGCTTCACGATCGTCCAGGCTGGTGCTCTCTTGACAGCCAGGGACAATGAAAAATACGAGCATCTGGTCGCTTCCTTTCGCGACTATCAGACCACTCGACATGCAGACCTGCCTCCGGCCCCTCGTCTGCCTGATGGTGCTCACAGTCAGCTTCTCACACTGGCTGTCAATGCCTATGCCACCAACTGCACCACCCATCTCGACCTGGCCTACTGGCGACTCCTTCGCCGCTTCTGCGCTGCCGTCTTCCCAGCCAACAAGCACAAGCACGAAGCCATCGAGGCCTGTCTCGAGCTCTTCGAGAAACCAGGGCAGACTCCACCCAAGGCCGATCTCGAGTTCCTCTATCCAGACTTTGGCCACATCCTGGACGAGTTTCGGTACAGCAACGACCAGGACCGCTTCCGGGCCCTCCATCGCCTCTCACACCATGTGAGAATCCTCGCCCGAGACAAGATGGTCGACAATGTCCACAAGTGGATCGACTGTGACATGCCCGCCCTCCGAGTCACCGAGCTGCAGCGCCAGGCCAAGCTGGACAAGCTCACTGCCCGAGGCATTCCCTCCGACGACAAGAGGTTCACCAAGGCCAAGTCTGAGCTCGGCACCACCAAGGCCAAGATCAACAAGCTGGCCGCCAGGATCAACTGGGCACTCAAGCAGCTCGCTCTGGACACTCCTCCGGCCGTGTGCACGATGGTTCCTCTATGCACCACCAAGGCCAAGTATGTCAAGATCAACACCGTCACTCTCTGGCAACTCCTTGACACCGAACATCGTCTTAGACTCACCAGGGACAAGCTCAAGGAAGAAGGTGATGACGGCATCAACAACCAGGATCGTCTCTGGCGCAGTTGCTTCAAGCTGCGTAGTTCCCTCTTCCAAGAGCGGGACGTGGACAAGAAGCTGTTCAACTACGAGATCAGCACCGATGGCATTGGATGCACCATCGGTCTCGTCAAGTTTGTGCGTCGAACCGATCACACCGAGACCTCCGAGCCTCCTCCGACTGCCGAGCAGCGCATCCAGACCCACATCGGTGACCCAGACCCCAACCGCACCACTTGGATTGGCATCGATCCTGGAGTCGGCTCCATCTTCACGGCGGTCATCCAAGCACCGGGCCACCAAGACGAGGTGGTCTCATTCTCCAATGGCCACTACCAGCAAATGTGTGGCCATACGTCCAACACCAAGTGGCACAACACCATGAAGTATCGACTCAGCATCGAGACCTGGATGTCGACCACCCCCTCGCCCAAAGTGCAGTCCTCGGAGGCTTTCAAGGTCCATCTCACCCATGTCCTGCGACCGGAGCTGCGAGTGCAGCTCGACTTCCACCTTGGCAAGAAGGCCCGTCACCATCGCTTCACGGGCCACAAGAGACGCCAAGTGGCCGTCGACAGGATGTGCAAGGCCGTCCTGAAGCACGCCCCGATACGGACCGATGTGGTGATCGCCTTTGGCAATGCGTCATGGCGTCAAGGCAAGGGCTATGCATCCAGCCCTCGGAGGCAGCGGTTTGCTCGGTACTTTGAGCAATTCGAGCACCACCGTCGCCGTCCCAATCACCATCATGGAAGCGTCAAGGTGGCCTCGACGAACGAGTTCAACACCTCGCAAGTGTGCTCCAAGTGCCTGGAGCCAGTTCGGTTGGAAGGACTCGATGCGCCCAGTGTTGCGAATTCCCACTTTGTCAGGAGCTGCAAGAATCCCAGCTGCCGGACAGTGTGGAATCGCGACGTCAATGCGGCGCGCAACATGATCACAGTATGCAGGTCGATTGTGGAGACCGGAGAGCGACCGGTGGTCTTCACTCGGAGGCTGCCAAAGTGATCTGTTTTATTTCTTGTGGCTTTGCTTGACGCAAGCACAGCACATACTACATGTTCATGGAAACGGCTATATTGTCCCGTTTTTTTCTGAATAAAGTGTAATTTGTTCAGGCGACAGCTGACAGAAAGAAAAAAAAGTCGGTATTGCGAGCGGCCCAGAAGCGGAGAGCGGGCCGGCGGGGCGACAGATAGACGCAGTGTGATCGGAGCAAGAATAGGGCCCGGGAGAAGCATTTCGCAGGGGCTGGGAAAACACTGTATCCGGAGCTGGCTGCATCCTTATGCTGATGGCTGTTGCGAGGTGCATTCATTTGCGATGCCGTCGCTTGCGTCTGCGGACCAGCTCCCAGCCAATCTCATGTTTTGAGCGGACAATCGTCCGCTGGACGATGGCCACAGGATTCTGCTTCAGCAGAGCGTTGACTTCGTTGGCCTCCACGGTTGGGAAGCGCTCATATTCAGGGGTCGTAGTATCTGCCATATTGGACCAGGGTGAGTATGTCGATGTCGCCAGAGCGATATGCGTGCTCTCGATACCGAGCGCATTTCCAGCATAATCCCATCCGACACTTTCTCCGTCCCGATATCCCGCGTCCAATCGAACCTCGACGCTTCGAAACAGGCGGGTGCGTCTTCCAGTACGTCTTGTGGCTCTCCACAATTTGGGCGGAGAACGGGCTCCGGAGCTGATCATAATCCGGCGGCAGCATCGACTTGTGCAGATACGACGGCAACGGCAGTGTGTTTAGATAGCTCTTGATGCAGTATTCGCTGCCTTCGTTCACCTGCATCACGGGAGGGTCGTCCATGCGAACCGTCTTGAGGGCATGTTCCAGGATATCAATGTCCGGGAGCACCGGCCGGATCCGAACCTGGCCGCCAGCAAGCGAGATTCAGATGGTCAGGAACCATGCAGTCGAGCACGAACATGCAGTCGACAGCAGCCCGACTGGAGCAAGCTCGAGAATGACTTCCTTTGCTACTCGACCGTAGTGTATGCTGCAGATACATGCCCTGCTGCTGTTGGGCTCGAGCGGACGACGGATCGGCCGATGCATCGATATTTCTTGGACAGCGTCCTTGTGGTGCTTGACGAGGCCTGGAATCGCAGTGTTCCTGAATATCGTCGAGTAAATCCCAGGCTGTCGAGGCTGCCGCACCGGATCTTGGGCCTGAGAATTCCCCTGAGGCAGGTCTTTCGCTCTCCGCGACAGGGCAGACCCGCTGGGCCTCCTTCCGTCACATACAGGACTGTCGGGCTTAGGTCGATCGGGGTGTTCTCCCTCGCCGCGATGCTGTCCATCTGTGCTTCGGGCCGATCGACAGGGTACCCGACTGCCCCAGCGGATATGTTTTGGAACCCTGGGCGGTAGCATCTGCACTACCGAGGGCTCCGGGTGGAATGGGTCCGTTGGGCTATTGATGGGATCTCTGAAAAACGGCATGTCCGCTGGCTGACGAGCGTGGGAATGGCTCTGTGGGAATGGCTCCACGGGAGAGGTGGATGTGCGAGTTTCTGACGATCCTTTGATACTCTTGGATATCCATCAGTGTCGCTCCCAATCACCCAGCGGCCCCTCCCTCAGTCCGAGCCCTGTGTGGGATTGGAAACTCGGCGCGCCGACCATCGTTTCTTCGGGCTGTCCTGTTCACATCGCCTCGTTGCGGCCATCCACATCGCCTGCCTCGAGACTCGGCTTCGAAGACACCTCCGATACCGCCTGCGCTTATCAACTGGATAAATTCTGCCAAGATGGTACATCCTGTGTGAGGGCGATGGCGAGAGTGCGTCCATTTCTGCCAAAGATACGAAGGCTCCGAAGATCACTCATTCCCAACTACCCCTCGTCCACTTGACGCTGCCCTTCGCTCAGATGCTCTCCAGAGCCAAGCCGGCCGTGAGCTCGAGCTCAGCGCCGTCGTCTGCATCCGGGGACAACAAAAAGAAGATCCCAAAGCTCGAAACCTTTATTGCTAATCGAGACTACACGGGCGCGATCACCATTTTGGAGGTGCGGTATCCTGCTGCTTGAACGCGATGAGGCCGAATGCATACCGCCGGAACGTCGACTGGTTGTATGAGCCTATGGTGATCAAGCTGCCACTTGCATCCATATCGCTGCCGATACCGATGACGCGAGTTCCAGTTCCCATGCTCAAAATCCTAATGAGAGGCCGCTTCCTGCTCGCATCGACATGCAATATCTAGTTTCAAAAAGCCACAGGCAAATACACCACCGAAACGCTCCTCTGGCTCGGCTACGCGGCATTCCACCAGGGCGAATATAAGAAGGCGATGGAGGTTGGTGTCCTCCACTCTGTGGGCGCCAGAGCTCCGATACCGCACCAACGAGGAGCACAGAGTCGTAATGACTTGCCGTTGCAGCTCGGAATTCTGATTGCGAGCGTGTCCTGCTGGATATGTGCAGGCGGTTCTCCAATACGGAAACAGACGACGCTTTGTGCGTCGCTGATAAAGTCGAAGGAAAATCGACTCGCATTGCGCTGTCGTTGGTTTTAACCACCCCAATTCTCTTGTTGCCATGGCTGAAACTGTGACTCCTCGCGACTGTGCCGTATATCGGCTGAAATCGAATCAAAAGACATATCTGGCGCTCACTCAGGAATCGTCGTGTGATCCGCTGGTGCACCTGTATCTGGCTTGCTGCTACTTTTTCCTGGGCATGTACAAAGAAGCCGACGAAGAGGCACAAAAGGGTATGCTTCTGGGCGGGATTTCGAGCGCAAGGAAGTCGCGGGTTGAAGTGCGGGATCCTGCGTTGAGGAGCCACCACCGAGGCTGCAGTGCTCATAACCGGATATTTGGAATCAGGACCAACGTGCAAGCTGCAGAACCGTCTGTTGTTCCACTTGTCTCACAAGTTCAACGACGAGAAGCGGCTGATGGGCTATCACCAGAACCTGCAGGATGTGATCGAGGACCAGGTAATGCCAAAAACCTGTCCGAAACCTGTATCGAGCTGAGTCGATGTGATTTCATATGGCGCAAGTTTTTCGGCGCCAAGGCACTGGGAACTGGTCTATCCTGTTCCTTAGGATCGGAAATATGGCCGGAAGGACTCGACCAACCGGGTGAATGATTAACGTTGCTCTGTATCCCACCTCTTCAGCTCAGCTTGGCGTCGATCCATTATCTCCGGAGTCACTACCAGGAAGCCATTGATATATACAAGCGCATTCTGTTGGAGAACAGGTGAGCCGCATGTTTTGGAAGGACCGCATGGCCAGTCCGTCACATGGACCATCCGCATCCACACACTCGCTCTCTCCCCGGCCCCATCCCCTACAGTCCGGCTGGACCAAGGGATGATGATCAAACTGATTCACATGGTGTGCGCTACAAATACCATGATCTAGAGACTACCTTGCAATCAACGTTTATGTCGCTATGTGTTACTACAAGCTCGATTACTACGATGTCTCCCAGGAGGTCCTGTCCGTCTATCTTCAGCACTTCCCAGACAGTGTGATCACGGTCAATCTTAAGGCCTGCAACCACTTCCGTCTATACAACGGCAAGGCCGCCGAGGCTGAACTCAAGGCCCTTACGGACAAGACCTCGGCTCACTTCAAGTTTGCCGAAGATATTGTCAAGCACAACTTGGTGGGTAGTGCCCAGAGTTGCTCCGCCTCATTGCAGGGCAACTCCTCGCCCATATTTCGTCGGCACAACCAGCCCACTCGCTGCTGCGGAAGACCTTGAGTACGGCTATAAATATGCGGTGTGACTCCCAAGTTGATCGACAGTATCTTGACGAGAGCTCTTCCATCCTAGGTTGTCTTCCGGAATGGCGAGGGTGCCCTCCAAGTCTTTCCACAGCTTCTGGATGTGATTCCAGAAGCGCGCCTCAACTTGGTCATCTATCACCTCCGTAACGACGACATCATCTCAGCCTTCAATCTGATGAAGGATGTCGAGCCGTCCACACCCCAGGCAGGCTACCGTTGCGCTCCTGATTCAGCTGCAGCCCGGCTGGCATCGTACTGACCGAGTTGGATGATGTTGCACAGGAGTATATTCTCAAGGGCATCGTTAATGCGTGCCTCGGCCAGGAGCAAGAGTCCAGGGAGCATCTGAAGATTGCACAGCAGTATTTTCAGCTGGTCGGCGGTTCGGCCAGCGAATGCGACACGATTCCTGGCCGACAGTGCATGGCATCCTGCTTTTTCCTACTCAAGCAGTTTGAGGATGTCCTGATCTACCTCAATTCGATCAAGGTGGGAGCCAAGTCGAAGTTGAGCCGATGCTGTTCTCGTGCGGCGTCTCGATGTGCAGCTGCATTAGAGATGAGGCATCGGAGACACGGGATATGCCGCAGCTCGATTCTGGGCTGTGATGGTCGGGCGCTTTCTGCCGATGCCTCCAAAGCTGTGATCGTATCCACGCAGTGTGATGGAAAGAGATTCTCGAGCTTCTCCTGAGGGCTGAACGGTCTGCATCACTCGTTTCCCAGGGTTACTTTTACAACGATGACACGTTCAACTATAACTATGGGCAAGCCAAAGTTGCCACAGGCGCCTATGAGGAAGCCGAGGAGATTCTGCTGATGGTGCAAAACGAAAAGTTCAAAAATGAATATGCCTATCTCAGCCACTTGGCCCGTTGCTGTAAGACGCTGCGATTTGACTGCCAATCGATGCTGACTGTGGAGCCTCTTTGGTGGGATTCTGACAGTCACTGGCCTCCGGCAGATATCATGAACAAGAAGGCGCGTTTGGCTTGGGAGCTCTATCTGAAAATGGAGACCTCCAGCGAATCTTTCAGTCTGCTGCAGCTGATTGCGAATGACTGCTACAAGGTGTGTATGCCTCATCTGGTTGTTGCTCAAGAAAGTGCCGGACAAGCGTGCAGTGAGTCTTGATGGGTGTGCATCAAAAGGCTGTGCTTGCTCACCTGCCCATCCGCACTATCAACTGCGCTCGACCAACAGATGGGACAGTACTTTTACTCGGCCAAAGCGTTTGACGTTCTCGAGCGCTTGGATCCGAGCCCCGAGTATTGGGAGGGCAAGCGAGGCGCCTGCATCGGCGTTTTCCAGCAGATCATCGCCGGCCAAGAGTCCAAGGAGTCCTTTCGAGAAGTCATCAGCATGCTCCGGAACACGTCCAACCCGCAAGTGGAATACATCATCCGGGTGATGAAGAAGGCATGTACATAGCGACGGATGACGAGACATGTTGCAGCATGCTGCCTCTGGCAAGAATGATGATATGGCGGTTTGCGGAGCCTGGCCAGGACCGATGGCCAGGACCGATGGCCAGGACCTATGGCCAGGACCGATGACTCTTCCGCTCACAATCTCGTCAATCTGCGACAATAGTACGCCAAGGACAGAAGGATCCCAGTTTAGCAGCGGATATCAGTCTGCTAGACCGGACGGCCATCGCCTGGGCTGGTCCTTGATTTCACTGGCCGTTTTGAGGTTGAAATTTCCAAGCCGAATCGTGTTCTTGGTTGCAGAGTGCCGGCGGTTCCTCTTTGGACCCTAAATACATTCACGCCGTTCGCACCGCCGAAGCAGGACACGGACACGCACCGAGACGCTGTTGGCTCGGGTCTATCAAGTGCCTTGGTCAGTCCCCAGGATGCCACTTTCGAGTGGCAGGGCCGCTTGCATCCCCGTCTGCGTCACTTTCTGCACTCTGCCGAGCAAATCGGGAGTATCAGACCCCTGGATGTCACCGCCACACCGAAGCTCGCCACCCCCGGCACTCGATCACGTGTCGATGCTCGTCACGTGTGCCTGACCCTGGCGGTTCCGCTGCTCCTGCTGCCGATCCAGCCAGGACGACGATCCCCATCGGCCCGCATCGATTTGTATCGTGCTGCCGCTGCCGTCGCTGGGCTTCAACATTCCTCCACCTGCGTCGCTGCATCCTACGCCATGACCGACTCTCAGCCTGTGAAGATGGAGAAGGATCTGTCGGCTGTCGCCGACGTCCAGATCCCCGAATCCGAAGCCTTGGCGCAAGTAGGATCGCCTGGACGCCCTCGGTCGGCTCTGCTTGATCTCACTGGCACGAGCAGTCCCACATTCCTGAGCTGGGACGTTTGCGAGCTGCCGATCTGGTCGTGTTCGCAGTTAGAGGCTCCACCATGCGTGGCGACTGACACTCTGTTTCGATCTGTACATGGGTGTTGCTTGTTACTCCGGTTATGACACGAGCAGAAAGGAAAGGTTTCTGAAGCCCTGGAAATCCTGCTGGTTCTCGAGAAGCAGACTCGCTCGGTAGGGTCGCTCTGCAGGCTTGTCCGCATGGTGCCGTCGAGCCTTGTTGCAGCCGATACCCCAGGCGTCGTGCACGGGATTGACCCCAGCCGGCCTAACACTGCCGACCCAACCATCGTTCTTCACCAACCTGGCTGGTGCCGTTGATTGATTCGCACAGGGCGCCGATCTGGCCTCGAACACCCGAGTGCTCATCCAAATCCTGCGCATCCTGTTCAATGCCAAGGATTGGAAGGGACTCAATGAGCACATTGTCCTGCTTTCCAAAAAGCATGGTCTTTTGAAACAAGTGGGTCTGCCTGCTGGGCTGGATGCGCAGAAGCTATTCGAGAGAGAAGCATGGGCTGAATGTGTGTCCACATATGCAGTGACACTGGGCTCGCGACTGATGGGTGGTTGCTTGCAATCCTGTCTCGATTGCACCCTGGCTGCAGGCCATCACAAAAATGACCCAAGAGGCCATGACGTTCATCGACAAGACTCCCGACGAAAAAACCAAACTCGAGCTGATTGACACCCTGCGGGTTGTGACGGAAGGCAAGGTAATGCTGGGGAGAGAGCCGGCAGACGATCCAATATTCCTCCGGCATCGTGGCCCGGCTGCCCTTATACCGCGAGATCAGCACTGACTGGTTTGCAATCGCTGGCAGATTTATGTCGAAGTTGAGCGTGCGCGCGTTACTCGTCTGCTGGTCAAGATCAAGGAAGATGCTGGCAACATCAGCGATGCCGCCGATATTCTGCACGAGCTGCAGGTCGAGACCTTTGGCTCGATGGAGCGGCGGGAGAAGACCGATTTTATCCTGGAGCAGATGCGTCTGTGTCTTGCCAAGAAGGACTACAACAAAGTTCAGCTGATCAGCAAGAAAGTCAGCCAAAAGTTCTTTGATCTCCCTGAAAACCAGGTACGCCCAGCCCGAGGCTTTAGGCACGATGTATTTCTGTGGCCAGCGCGCTGGAGAGCCAGCTAACCTCAGTACCTCTCGGATACAGGATCTGAAACTTCGCTACTACGAGCTGATGATCCAGCACGCTGTCCACTCGGACCAGTCGCTCAACGCTTGCAAGTACTACCGCCGCATCTACGACACGCCATCGGTGCAGGAGGACGAACAGAAATGGACAGAGGTGCGAGACGCTGGAGAAGAGCGTCAGGGGGGGGGGCGACATTCTGTGAAAAGAGTGCTCGCAGACATTTGCAGTTGTAGCAACGCTTGATGCCGATTCAGATTCCTCGAGAGGAAGCCGAGCGAGTGACGTGCACGGATGTGGACTCACACCCAGATCCGATTGGCAACAGGCTCTGCGCTTTGTTGTTTTGTTCATCATCCTGTCGCCCTACGACAACGAGCAATCGGACTTGATTCATCGCATCAACGAGGACAAGAACCTGGCAAAGCTTGCTCCATACAAGGAGCTCATCAAGTGCTTCACGACGGATGAGTTGATGCGATGGTCCAAGATCACAGAGATCTATGGTACCCTGCTCCGAAACGCCTACATCTTCCAGGCCAGCACCGAGGACGGCGAGCGACGATGGAAGTTGCTGCACGACCGTGTCGTTGAGCACGTATGTATACGGTCAGACCGCCATAGAAGTGTGTTGTTGGTTGGTGGGCTGCGCTACTTGGACTGATGGACAGACAGGCGACATGGGAGCTCACTCTTTGCCCGCAAACATCCCAGAACATTCGTGTGATCTCAAAGTACTACACTCGCATCAGCACGAAGCGTGCAACCGAGCTGCTGGATCTGCCCGTCAAGGTACGCACAATGAGCTGGATTTGGTTCAGATGACAGCTGTAGCAGCAGGAGTAGTAGTAGCAGCAGCAGCAGCAACAGCAGTATTGACAGAGATCTTGTGCCCCGGACGGGGACTGACACTCTGTCGCTGTGTTCAGGATGTGGAGGAATTTCTTTCCAAAATGGTGGTCTCGAAGACAATCTACGCACGCATCGACCGCTCGGCCGGTGTCATCAGCTTTGTGGCCCGAAAGGACCCCAACGCGGTGCTGAACGACTGGTCCAACAACATCAACCAGCTCCTCGAGCTGATCGACAAATGCGGCCACCTGATCGCCAAGGAGGAGATGGTGTACTCGATCACCAAGACGGTCTGATTGTGCCTGCCGCGCATCTGTTTTCTCTTCGCGCTGGCGACTGAGACTGTGTTGCCATTGGCACAGCCCAGGGCCAGGACACATCACATGGATCCGAAGCAGACGCCCTGCTTTTAAGCCGGGTGTGTCACTTTCTGGGTTCTGAATACACCCCCTCCATCCCGCCCTGTGATTCTACAGTCCCAGTTGGCCGCGCAGTATGCGATCGCAACGTCGGCGCGGCGCACAGCACGATCGTGTCTTGGATGCAAACCGCAAGACGGATTCTGCCGAGGCACAGGGGGCGCCCACCGCCACGAGACGGCGGCGCTCAGGCGCGACGCGTTAGGGCGCACAGGAGCAGCGAGACGATTGCGGGCTTGGATGGACGGATCCGCATTGAAATGCCGGCCATGGCCGTCCCATCCAGCATATCCCATCGAGCATATCCCATCGAGCATATCCTGTCGAGCATATCCCATCGAGCATCACATCGAGCATCCCGCCAGTCATACCGAAATGCGATTCTATCAAGTGTCCGCGCTCGTTGCGCTGGTTTCGGCCGTCGCTGCCATCCCCATCCAGATCACCGATCCGTCGACCCGCAGTGAGATGCTGTGCGAGAACGCCAAGGCAGCCCAGACGCTGAAGGGCATCCAGACGCAAAACAACATTGCTGGTCAGACCTGCCAGGAAAGTGCCTGTCTCGGCGACGGGTCGTTGGGTCTATGCAACAACGGCCAGCTGGTGCGAGTGGCCTGCCCCGGAGGCACCGAGTGCCAAGTGCTGCCACTCACGAACCGCTTTGGCGTCAGCATCACCTGTGGTAAGCTCCTGCCGCATAATCCAGCCCTGTGTGTCGTGGTGTCGAGAGCCAAGTCGGGCTGGGTCGAGTCGAGTTGATCATAGCCCGCTCTGCCCTTTCTGACCCGATTCGCCCGACGATCCCTCTGCGACAACAGAGGCAGCCCAGGACACGCAGCTCCGGATCCAGGACAACATGGCAAACTGCAGCGGCTGAGCCGCGCCTCCTCTTCTTTCAACCGGTTGTTGGCCTTTGGCTGTTGTCAGCGACAAACGACGACAGCAATCGCTACAGCGATGGGTCGATAAGACACCACTGACGAGCCGCCCAATGATTTCAATCACAGCCCTGAAAATATGAAGATTGTGGGGGGAGGGAGGGTGGTGTTCCAGCAAGCGCCGTCTGGAGCATCGACATTGCCGTCGCCTGGCGCACCGAAACCTCTGCATCTTAAAGAGCTTACTCATTTCCAAATCGGAACACACGCATTTGTGCATGCCCATGTCAGGCAATACATTTTACTCGGTCACGAAACGGGACAGGTGGATGGTCGCTCAAAGTAATCGGCAGGCCACGACATTGCAGGGACGCGGTGCGGGGGATGGCATCATGAATTGTCTACCATGAACGACGGCCATTGCAGTCAATCCAGAAAGAACGGGACACCTTGGTTTTTGGTCATTGACCGAATAATTCGTTGCCTCCAAACATCGTGCGCTGGCCACGACCATTCTGTGATGCGTGCTACACTGTCATCTATAGCCTGAGAAAAGTTGCCTCCGTATTCAGTGTGTCCAAGAGCACCATTCACCGCTGGCAATGCATCATGGCGTCAAGGGCGCGCATCCAGTCCCAGGAGGCAGCGGTTTGCCAAGTACTTTGAGCAGTTCAAGCACCGTCGCCGCCCACATCGCCCTTATGGCTTATCTGGATGCATGCCATCACATACTACGCTGACATATGGGTTATGGGCGGTGTCCCGCTTTTTCTGAATTAGGTGTATCGGATGATGGCCGCTGCGAGCGCTGCGTCGGATGCCGCAGTTGTGTCTGGTGTCGCGGCATTTGGAATGGCCACGTGTTTCATTTCACATCCACTTTTTTTTGGCGGCCTTTTCAACACCCCGCTGGCGACATTGGATCGCATCCGCCGACAGAACAGCAACCACCGACGATACCAGTAACGAAGCACGCCATGGCACCGAGAAACCCCAAGGTATGTCCCCCCAGGCAGTGCCTCTGGACGTCCGTCGACACCGCCCGGCACCTCGTTCAGCTGCTGCTCTGGCACTCTGCATTAACAGTGATCCACCTGTAACACAGCGCCAAGCAGCCGACGATGAATTCATCGATGCAAATGACATTGAGCAAGTCATCGAGCTGGGCAATGAAGAAGCAGAGCCCATGAGCGAGGATGAAGAGGCCGTAGATCATGACGAAATGGACAACGACATGCTTAACGACGACGATGCCGAGCACTACGACGATGATGCAGATTTTGATGACGAGGATGGCCAGGAAGGAGGTAGGCAGGAGATCCTCTCTGGGGTCTGAGCTGTCTGTATGCCCCGCTGGAGAGATCAGAGAATCCATTGGAGAGTCCATTGGAGAGTCCATTGGAGAATTCGTTCAGAGAGCCGAGCTGACCGCTCTCTGCATGACAACATCCCAGACGAGATGGAGGGCGGGGATTTCGTTTTGGTCGACGATTCCATCCAGGGCTTCTTTGACCATAAAGGTAGGAGCACACTCGTTCATATGGATATTGTGCCCTGGCCAAGCAACCTGCCGCTATCGTTGCTCCTGGGACGAATGCACACGAGCTGACCCCGGTTGTCCCGACGGAGCAGAGCCCGTCTATACTGTCGCTCTCCATCCCACCCAGGAACACATCGTTGCAACTGGTGGTGGCGACGACAAGAGCTATCTGTGGCGTCTCGACAACGGCGAGAAGATGTTTGATCTCGGAGGTATGCAGCCTTGGCTCGCCGTGGCGGCACCGAATCGCAACCAGCCGCTGGCTATATCGAGGGCACTCGAGCGCCGACGAGTTATCCAAATGGCAAGCAGGCGCATGGGATCGACCCTTCAAAGTGCTGTGGGAACTGACCACTCTTCCGTATGCCGCATCCGATAATCGGCTTCAGTTCACAGCGATACCGTTGCCGCCGTAGCGTTCAGCTTTGACGGCGCCTTCATTGCAAGCGGTGGCATGGACGGCAAAGTGTTTGTCTTCAAGGTGTCCACGGGCGAGTTGGTGGTGACTCTAGATGGACCCACCGAAGTTTCGGTAAGCCTTGGTCCGCTGCAGTGCATGGATCCACGAGACCGCCTGAAGAGCGGCCGCTTTGGCAGTATTACTATACTTGCGCTGGCGGTGCCGCTGCGACTGGCTGTTTCGTTGTGCTAACTGATATGGGCTGTCAACCGAATCGGGCATGGTCTTGGCTGCTTGACTGGATTGCCAGTGGCTGGACTGGCATCCCAGAGGGCCCGTGCTCCTGGCCGGCTCCGCCGATGGCACCATCTGGATGTGGCAGATTCCATCGGGAACATGCATGAACGTCTTCTCTGGCCACGTCGATATGGTTTCTTGCGGCCAGTTCACACCCGATGGCAAGGCCATTGTGTCTGGATCCGACGACGGCTCTGTCATCATCTGGGACCCGAAAACCGCGGCGGCACAGCTCAAGCTGACGAGCGAAGACGCTCGCTTCCATAGCGACGCAATCACTACGCTGGCCATCAACAAGGACAACAACCTCGCTCTGACCGGATCGGCCGACAGCACTGCCAAGCTCATTCACATCGGCAACGGCAAGGTACGCCCACCCTGTGTTTGCCATTCAACTTGAACGTTACAGCATGTCAGCCCCTCGGAAGTCGAGGCACTCAGATTGGAGGGAGCATGATGTCTAGGAATCCGAAATGCATAATGCTCTTGATCGTGTATCGAGCGACAGCCAGAGATTGTGTGGCTACCGTGCGGTATCTGCGATGCAGGGGCTGGGGCGATTCGCCTCTGGTTCACTGTGTTTGGTCAGCAGCACGAAAGGAGCCGCACTGACGGATTGTCTAAAACGACCGCTGGCTTTTCTCTCACATTCCCACGACGGCTATCAACGACTATGCCCCGCTCATCGCTGCATCACTTCAAGATTGTTGCGTCGTTTGAGAGCCACCAGGACTCGGTACAAGCTGTGGGATTCTCGAATGTGTATGTAGATCTTGCCTCCCGATCGCCATGGCATCTCGTGATGATCTTGATGTCCAGGAGAGTGAAACGTGTTGATCTCCCCAGATCCAGCCGCATTCATCGACTTATTCCCTCTCTACTGGTATAACCCCAGCCTCCCTTTCGCCGCCACGGGATCGATCGATGGCAGCATGGCTATCTGGGATGTCACGACCACCAAGCTGCGGCAAACTGTCAAGCACGATGTTCGTGATATGCGCCGTGATGTGCAACGCAATGCAGTGCAATTGAACCCAGCTGCTGGCCTCCACTAACGCAGACTCCACACTTCATTCACCCCTCCGCACACCTCTGTTGGAATGGCACATCCAGGACGTCATCACGTCGCTCAAATGGCACTCGGACCAACCCCTCATCACCACCGCCTCCGTCGATCGAACCATTCGGGTCTGGGACGCTCGCACTGGGAACTGTGAGCGGGTATTTAACGGCCACCAGGATGTGATTCATGCCATTGCCATTTCCAAGGACGGCAAGACGGTCGTGTCGGCCTCGGAAGACGGCACCTCGCTCGTCTTTTCGGCCTAAGAGCCGGTCCCCTCCGCCCAGGGTCTGGCTGCGACTCGGTCATTTTCTTGTCTCGCCAGCCCAATTGCATCGCATCGATGATGGCTGCTCTCATGCTCAATACAGACTCGCTCACACGAGAGGCTGCATCAGTGCGGATTCTATAGAGATGCATGCTTGCGGGCTTGAGGTCTGGTGCCTCATGGAAACGACTGAGCCACCTCGCCCTGGTCACGTGTGCCATCGGCTCGACTCATCCCGGTTGGCGCGCATTACCTAAGCGCACGTGATGCACCCGCCAGCCAGCCAGCCAGCCAGCCAGGTTTTTGTTTTTTCAGGCCAAACGGGAGAGTGCGGCCTTTGGCAGATGTTGGCTCGTTGTTGAACACTCGACGATTCCTGGGACCCTGCTGCACCGGACGACGCCGTCAAACACAACGAAATGGGTGGCCACGGAGATAAATACCCCCCTGTCCTGATCGGTAAGCCCCTCGTGCCCGTCTGACAAACCGCAGACCCCGCCGATGAAGTAGGGGATGGCGAGGGAGAACTCTCGACGCAGATGCGCCGTGTTGTGGCTCGATTCTGGTCATAGAACGCCCGGTGATGGCCCGCATGTCGCTCGCCGCAGACAGGTGACGCTCCATCCTGGATTTTGCAGATCCCGCCATTGAAAAATGGTATCATATGAAGGAAAGCACCCATGCGTACTTCAAGTTTGACCGACGCACCATCAAAATCACGCTTGCTCTGACCGTTCTTTTCCCTGCCGTCCTCTATGTCGGCTCCGTCTGGAACATGGTAAGCGTCTATGTGTCTGACGGATCAATCTGCACGCCTCTCTGGAAGCTCCCACAGCGTCAACGGTCGGTGTCGCGAGCAGACCCTGGCTTAAGGACTCGAAAGCCCACCGGGATCGGGGCTAGTGGCCAAGCGATCTGGAGCAGCAGCACGGATGCAAAGATGGTTTCCAATATTGTGATGCCATTCGTGCTGCACAAGTGGCACCAAGCCATCTCGGGGTGACCGATGTCTTGCCGGAACACCAGACTTGATCAAGGATCCGGGCTGTAGGAGGCTATGACTCCTGCACTTTGGTCGACCCCAGGCACACAACGGCCTGCATCCCAGCACGGATCTCTGTGACGGACGGGACCGAGTAGTTTGAGTGATCTTGAAGCTGGCTCGAAGCACTCTCGATTTGGACGATGCCAACGTTGTGCAAGAATCCGCCGGAACACCTTGCAACGCACTGCCTGTCGTGCACCACATGCATCACCACATGCATCACCACATGCATCACCACATGCATCACCACATGCATCGTATGCGCTCTACTCACCGCAGATGCTCTCGGTATCTTGTCTGCAGGGAAACTTCAAGCCCCGCGGAGTCCGACGAGGAGAGTCGTTCTGGAGCAAGCCTGTATCGGAATAAGGCGGTTGAAGTCGCAACTTGACCGCCATCCGTCCTGCATTACATCAGGCAATCCTCGAGAAAGTAAACAGATAGAGCGTCTGACTTGCCATCCTGTGCTCTTGAGTAATAAACCACTGCTCTCTCCATCAGCCAAGGACTTGCTCTCTCCGGCTCTGGTATCGAGAGCCGGTCGTCCGTATCGGAGCGACCCAGGCAGCCAGCGCCGCTCCATCTGTGCCGAGGATCGATTCGATTGCGTGTATGCTATCCAGAGCCAGCAAGCGGGCCGCCTGCATCCGCTCGCTTCTCTGCTCATGCCGGCCCTCGGCCGTGCTCGCTGCTTGTGCATTCGCCGGCAACATCCTCATGGTCACGTGTGTGGTTCGAATGCATGTTTTCTGTCCTGAGCGCAAAAGAAAACCGCGATCGCTTGCAGGCTCTGTCACCACCGCAACGCAATCGTCCCGACGTATCCGTCGCTCCGTCGCCCCAGCGATCCAGAACGCATCTCGGTCTGTCTCCAACTGCCGCTGCGGTCTTGAGGACACCCGAAACTTCTTTTTGGGTCCCATCGACTTCCCATCAGCAGCATCCAGGCTCTTGTCGCCCTCCGATCGTCCTGGAACCGCGTTCTCATCTCCAGCAACCATCGGCTACAAACCAGTTCATCCGCCTCCAACAGTCGATTCATTCGCCAACCCACCAACATGTTCACCTCTGTCCTGTCCCGAGCCCGGCCTGTGGTGGCCTTCCGCAGCAGCGTACTCGCCACAGCCGGCTTCCAGCAGCGTGCATCCTTGTCGACTCTGTTCAACAACCTGTCGCTGACATCCAAGCCTGTGATCCGCAGCACTTCCCAGCCCAACCCTCTACAACCCAGCTACCAGCCCCAACTCAACGCATCCGTCTTTGTCAGCCGACGTTTTGCAGCCTCGCAGCTGCGTCCGCGCCGAACCAAGTACCGCAAGGCCCATAAGGGCTACTTCAAGACAAAGTCCGGCGGCTCGCTCAGAGGAACCCGTGTCTACTACGGCGAATATGGCCTGCAGGCCGCAGAGGGTGGCCGTATCCGAGACAAGCAGCTCGACAACGTCAAGGCCTGTGTCAGACTGGTGATGAAGTCCGAAAAGGGTGCCAAGCTGATTCTCAGAGCCTTCCCGGATCGCCCCGTCACGGCCAAGGGCGCCGAAACCCGTATGGGCAAGGGCAAAGGCACCGTCGACTACTATGCCACCTGGGTCTCGGAGGGACGTATCCTGTTTGAGATCCGGGGTCTGCCGGAGACCTCGGCCCTTGAGGCTTTCCGCATTGCCTCGCAGTCGCTCCCGATCCGCACTCGTGTCGTCCGCCTCAACCGGGACTCCAAGGTTGCTCCTCGTGTGCTGCCCTATTTTATTCGGAAGAGAATCACTGACAGCGCTCGCTTCGAGGCGCTGAAGCAGCGTGAGAAGACCTGGACGGCAGCCAAGGAATTGGCAAAGGCCTAATGTGCGCATGGCCGCCGCGCCCACACTGTGTCCATTTGTGCTCGATTGAGGCCTCGAATACATCATTTCAGACAACCAAGTGGTCTGGTCAGATAGTCTGGTCAGATGCGCTGCGTCTGCCGTGTGTTGACGCAACAGAGGCTGGCCATTTGATTTGATTTGATTTGATTTGATTAGTTGATTGACTTGATTTGATTGACAATATCGGTGAAAGGTTGATAAAGGTTGGGAGTTGCGGAGCAGAACGTGGACTGCAGTTTTCTGATGGTGCTTCAACAGACCGATTGACCCATACAAACGGAATGAATGCATCTGATAGCCTCGGATGTAATCGATTGTGGTGACTGGTTGAGGTAGCGGGCGATGTCCAGCCAGCCCTCCGAGCGAGCATTGTCAAGGCTGTGCCATCCAGTCGGCTAATCGTACAGCGTCTTATTGACAAGACTCACGGGTATGTCCTGCAGACGAGGCACACCCAGCGACTGAGCCGCTGACGGATCCAAAAAGTCGAGAACCTTCCGGCGATCGGGTTCAGATGAGAGTTCGAACAGGTTCTGGTGCTCGTCAGAAACGGTGTTGAACGAGTCAAGTGGGTCTGTGCGGACGAGATTGATGCCCGTATAGGCTGCAAGGGTGAAAGGGATGAGCATCAAGATCCAAAGAGGCACAGCCAGGCCCCAATACTTGTTTGGATAATAGTAGATCCCCATAGACTCCCATATCGGATCTGGGATGAACATCCACAGCAGATACAGAGCTGGACAGACGCACAGGGGGTAGGGGCAACGTTCGAGAGAGAGCGACAGGTTCGAAAGGACGGTCAGTACGGCTGCGTTGCGATACATCCGGAACGAGATATCATCTGCCAGGTGCCCCGAGGTACATTCTATCGGCTTGGCCTGCTTACCGAGCACAATGAAGGAGGTCAGATAAAGCACAAAGCCATAGTACTCGCGGATGTGCGAGTCCTTTCTGTGACCGAGTGTCTGCGACATGGCATCAGGCTAAACTCAGAGCACGGCGCCAGCAGATGGGAGAGATGGGAGAGATGGAGAGGTGGAGAGGTGGAGTGATGGAGTGATGGAGTGATGGAGTGATGGAGTGATGGAGTGATGGCAGATTGGGTGCAAGGGAGCCTGGCACGAAGGGCGGTGTGCTTGAGCGCAATTGGCTCCCCGCGCCCTCGTCGCTCGAAGCCGGCCTGTCCTTCTTCTCATCTCCCCTCCGATCATTGCCGCTGCTCCACGCACCGGACTCGCCGATACCGCAGAGCCATGTCCATCAAATTTATCCTCCTGGTGTCCCGACAGGGTAACTGGCGTGTCGGTTGGTCGGTCGCTGCTGCCTGCCCAGATATCGCTTCACAAGAGCGGGCGCAGCCATACTGCCGCTCGGAAGGGCATATGGACAAAACGCTGTCCTGCTTGGCCGAGACCAGGCTGCAACCAAGCTGACCTCTCTTATCAATCAACGCTCACTATTTGTGTGGCCAACGCTTTATCGTGCAATATGGCTGCACCTGCTGTTTGGATCTGGGCGGTGGAATGCGTTCGCCAATGGCCGTCGGCTCTGCGACCAACACATCGATGACGATACCTTCATTCTGCGCCAACGAACCCACATCGAATCCTCCGGAACCACACCCTCTGCTTCTCAGGAAAGATCCGACTGACCAAGTGGTTCACCTCCGACTGGGGTCTCAAGGAAAAAACCAAGACCGTCAAGGAAGTCAGCGCGACGGTCCTGGCCAGACGAACCAAGATGTGCAACGTCCTGGAGTATAAAGGTGACGATGACGGCGGCTTCTGTTTTAAGTTGGAGACTGGCGCTGCACCATAACTTCCGGATGTCTTCTGCGACCGAGCCCGCTGCTGGGCGCGCTGTGAACGCTCTCCAAGGCGATGATTCGTGCTGCCGGCCGGCTCCTTGGGCAATCCTCGCCTGCATGTCGTATGGAGCATCGAAGGAGCTCTATCGTTCGGGTCGAGCGCTAGGTTCAGATGGATTGAGCTCGGTTCAATTGGATCTGGTGCTAACGGCTGCTCTGACCCAACAACTCTGGGCACGTCTTGTCGCTATGATTAGACTACAAGGTCGTGTATCGAAGGTATGGTCTGGATCGCGAGCTGCGGGTGCGGAGAGGAGCTCACCTCATTCTTTGCCCGGATATCGTTTCTGATGTTGCGGGTCCCCGTCACCCACCCACACGGGCGGCTGCAACTGCACCACAGATACGCAAGCCTGTTCTTTGTTGCAGGGATCGATGTCGACGACAACGAGCTGATTGTTCTGGAGGTCATCCACCGATACGTCGAGGTTCTGGACAAGTGGTTCCTGAATGTGTGCGAGCTCGACATCATCTTCAACTTCCAGCAAGCTTACATGATCATGGGTGGGTGCGCCTGTGCCTAAGGCTGATGATGGTGCAAATGCTGATCCGGATCGAGACCAGTGGAAGAAATATCTGCGATGCTCATCTGACAGCCGACCTGCTACTGTCTGACAACTTCAAATCCGCGACAGACGAGATCTTGATCGGAGGTGAGCAGCATGTCTGTGTATCGAGTGCATGGCAGCGGTGTGGGTATAAGTGCGCATGGATGCCTCCGTTGGCTCACAATGCGACTCTTGCTCGCAGGAGAGCTGCAAGACTCGAGTAAACGATCGGTCATCAACTCGCTCAAGCGAATGGAAGAGGTAAGCCATTTTATCCACCCGAACGAACGCAGTGGGTCGAGTGGCGAAGGCTCGGTGACAGCGAGCATGTCCGTGTGGTCTGAGCGGCGGCGGCGTATTTGAACGCGAGCGAAGCGGCCGGGTCTAACACATCATTGCGCTGTCGATCGCAGGCCGAGAAACAGGAAACTGGCCTTGTGCCGATGTAGACCTCAGGGCCGCCACTCCTCTCGAGCCCCGAAAGCAGCGCATCCGAGCGAGCTGTCGTTTTACAGCGTTTCCAAAATGAAATGGGACACCCCCGTTTTGAGCCATGACATATATTTTGGTTCTGGAACCTGAATACACCCACCCACTCATTGCAGTCATGGCCAAGCACAGCACCCTCGATTTCCGCATCGCTGCACTGCGACCGGTGGTCTTCACTCGGAGGGTGGTCTTCACTCGGAGGCTGCCAAAGTGATCTGTTCTATTTCTTATGGCATAGTTAGACGCATGCCATCGCATACTACGCCGACAAATGGGTTGTGGGCAGGTGTCCCATTTCCCTGTCTCGTGAAAGGATAGGCTTTGTGGCCCAGCGACGCTGTTCCCAGGCGCCCGTCGGCGTGCTGACTTGGAGCTGTGACGAACTGTCCTCTGCGCCGCCTCGATCTTCATAGGCCGATCACTTGTGTGCCGCCCCGCCACGGCAATCGCCACTGGTTGCCGTGCGAGTCGCCGGTCTGTTGGTGGCAGTGGAAGCCGGCGACACACAAAACCAGGATGGCGGCGAGAGCGCTCCTGGCATGCCGGCTGGAGCCAGGCTCGAGCCGCGCGATCTATTTTGTTGTTCGTCTCCTCTGGCCGTGGGCAATGTCTGCTGCAACTCGATCAAATGGCCCACATCGCAACCTCACTGGGAGTGCCGTCCAGCTACCGCGACCAGAAATACCTCGTAGGCGCAACGTGCTCTGCATCCTTTGGTCTCGCCTGCTCGATCCTCTGTCCAGTGCAGCCCGCGGGCACCCCGGCTCGGTGTCTGGCATCGGACGGACCGCCTGGCCCGTCGCCTCGAAACTGATGCAGGACGGAGTGGGTGTGGATGGTAACCGCTTCTGCCTCTCGATCCACCTCGCCTCCCGCCGTCTCCAAGGGCACTGCCGATGATCTGGCCCGGGAGTTGGCCGAGTCCGCGACGCTCTATGTTGGCAACCTGTCGTTCTACACCACCGAGGAGCAGATCCACGAGCTCTTTTCCAAGGCCGGAGAAATCAAGCGCATCATCATGGGGCTTGACCGCAATCTGAAAACACCGTGTGGCTTCTGCTTCGTGGAGTATGTGTCTCTGCTGCAAGTATTGGGGCCCGATCGCTCTGGAACGGACGGGCTCACCGTCAACCCGATCGCATCTCTCATCTTGGTCGACCATGCACAGATACTACCATCGCGGCGATGCGCTGGATTGTATGAAGTTTATCAACGGAACCAAGCTCGACGAGCGAATCGTTCGAACAGACATTGATCCAGGATTCCGAGACGGACGGCAGTATGGACGAGGCAAGAGCGGTGGTCAGGTGAGGGTTGAGAGGCCGTCCATCCGATATTTCCGATCCACAAACCCTCATTAGCACGCACGACGCTGATGCATGGAAGCTCATCCGATGTCCATGCGAGTGATGTGGCCATCATGGCGAGGATATTTGCTGTCCATGTCCGTCGCAAGTGGGATCGCAATCTGGTGATTGCCCCCAAACCGACTCGCTCTGCTGACAGCTCCGTATCGCCCACCGCCAACGTCCAGGTCCGTGACGAATACCGCGAGGAATACGATGAAGGGCGAGGCGGATGGGGTCATGCCCGCCAGCGCGAAGAGCAGCAGCGAAGCACATACGAGTCCTTCAGTACGGTGCCGACAGGCGCTCAATCCGACTTTTATGCCAAGCCATCTGGTAGGTGACAGCACGGCTCTTTCGACGCCAAAGTAACAGCGTAATCGGCGCAGGTTCCCCATGTGGCATCGGTGTTAGTGTCGGTTAGGCGCTCTTGTTGCTCCAAGACTGTCTGTAAAGCGAGAGGTCATCATCCCGCCACCAAAGTGACGAACTCAATTGGCCCTCGATCGGCGGCAATGGTCCAATTGTCACAGCTCCAAGCATCGGCGCCGGCTTTGGCGGTGACTTCAAGTCCAAGAGAGGTCGTGACGACAACGAAGAGGCCGACATCGACATCAGCGCCAAGGTGTGTCGACTCTCGGTTCATGCATGCGCCGGGTACTATTGGCGATCCCTGTGGCTTGTGAGGGCGGCATCGGAATCACTCGACCCCTGCATGCACGGCATCGTGACTGTCCCGCAAAACCATTGGTGGATATGACCACTTCGGTCTCTGCGAAAGCGGTCCCTGCGGATTGCTGGCGCAATCCAGCGCCGAGTGTGGTCGTCGCAAATCTGGTCGCAATGTTGGTCGCAAACACAAAGGCTAACAGCAACCTCGATCGCACCCCCGGAAACCACCTCAGAATCCCCGATTCCGCGAGCGAAGCGCCTCACCCGAGGACGAGTAAGGGGACGGGCCCGGGGATGTATCTGTCGGACGCCAAACCGATGGGGTGGCAGCATCCGCGCGTTGTCCGCATGGGTTGGACGGAGCAAGTGCTCTGTCCGAGGCAGCAAATACAGCATGTCCCGAAGGAGCAGTTTCTTGCCGGCCGTCGACGTAGGGTGGCGCCCTCGTTGCCGGCATGCTGCGAGCCAGGCCTGCGCGGATGCGGGTTTGGACCAGGCCTGCAGGCCTGCAGGCACTTGCAGACGATGGTGCGATTCGCGGAGCCAGGCGTGTGTGTGTGTGTGGCTCGCCGGATCTCGTGCGGTCTCGCTGGCCTCTCGGTGGGTGGCCGCTGTGCTGCAGACGCACAGCCTGTGTGTCCTCGCTGCGAGAGCACGCGCCTCGCTCGCCGCCCTGCGCCGCTCTTTCTCGACAGAAAGCCCAGGCCGTTTGCTCATCCATCTCTGCTCTCATCGCTGCATCGACCCCGCATCCAGCGCCCATCCCCCCCGCGGCTGCAAGTCCCTGCTCGTCGTCTGCTCTCGTTCGGCGGTCCCTGTCGATCCCATAGTGACCTCGGCGCTGCTATCGCCTCTCGTCGAATCCTCGCTCCGGCTCAGCCCTCCATCCACACCTAAACGGCCGACTGCCTTGCCCAGCAAATATGTACAGCTACATTCAATACATCCTCGACTGGCTCAGGTCGCTCTTCTTCAAGCAAGGCAAGTCCGGACCTGAACCGATCTTGTCACTGCCGCCCATGCCCACCAGCATCATTCGGGCCCTCTCGGCAAAGCATATCCTGGCTTGGCTTGGCTCGTCTCCCCCCCCTTCCCAACTGGCCACTTGTCGGGCAGTGAGGCTTTGCTGGCTCGAGACAGGAGCCGGCCGTCGCCCAACGAAATATCCAGCCAGGAGACAGCGCGGCCCTCTTGCGGTCTCTTCTCATAGACAGTATCCGCATCTGTGGCGAGCCTGGAGTCATGTGAGACGGAGCTGATACCATATCTCAGATCTATCCTTACTAACTGCGGCCTTATTCTTGGTTCCGGTCACCGCTGCTTGAACATGGCGCTGCCTGATCGACAGAGATGGAGCTGACCCTGGTCGGTCTCCAAAACTCGGGCAAGACAACCCTCGTGAACGTCATCGCCGTGAGTCGCTTGATCGCCGCTGCTGCCACAGTTGTCGTCGCTGCCCGCTGTGGATCTATGGCTTGTGTTCCAGCCGGCAGATGCGGCATCGTGGCCGAGCCGTCATTCCAGGCCCGGCTCTCGAGAGGCCAGCGCTGTGCCTATCTGGATATCTGTTCCAAAGCCTGCCGGTCTTTCTGCAGCCCGTAGCTCTGCTCCCGTTGGCTGTGCCCTGATCTGCGCTCTGTCGATATCTCTGCAGAACGGCCAATTCACCGAAGATATGATTCCCACCGTTGGGTTCAACATGAGGTGCGTGCTTCCAGTCCGTCCCGTTGTCCGCAGCGCATGATCCCCACTTGCCCGGGCCGTCGTCTCGGGCATCCAAAGTGTGTCGCAAGTCTTGTTCGAACTGTCTCGCTACTTTGCTTCATTCATCCTGGCTGCTGCCACCGCGTCTCATTTATCCTGATGCCACTTGCTCTTTTGATCCTTGGTTCCACATATTCTTGTCAACAGGAAGGTCACCAAGGGCTCTGTAAGAATTGTTCCAATGCCAGCGCCAGCGTTGTGTCCCCGCTGCCACCGTTGTCGACGACGAATATCTTGGTGGCTGCAGCAACTTTCATGGGGAGCGAAGGCTGCCTTGCACCGCTTGCTCACGTAGAGCCTCCCCAATCTCTGATAGGTCGTGATGAAGCTGTGGGACTTGGGTGGACAGGCCCGATTCAGAAGCATGTGGGAGCGATACTGCCGAGGAGTCAATGCCATCGTGTAAGTGTCACGGCGCATTGTGAACGGGCTGGGGGCTTCGGACCATATGGGCTAGTGACATTGTGAACATCATCTGCGTGGTTCGGTCTGAAAGCACCCGTCTGGGCTGTGATGTACCCCAGCCGTTGATTTATGCTGTTGCGAGTGCTTTGCGGCGATGTCGGCTTGCACTGTGGTGCGGCGCACTAGCGTGTGAATTACTGGTATTCCGCAACGAAAGGCTAACTGCTCTTTTCTATGCGCGCCCCACACGACCCAGCTTCGTCCTCGACGCTGCTGACCATGCCAAGATCGAGGCAGCCAGGACCGAGCTGCACGGACTCTTGAGCAAGCCCCAGCTGGCTGATATTCCCGTGCTTGTGCTTGGCAACAAGAACGATCTCCCTGAGGCCCTCAACGTCGACCAAGTTATCGACCGGCTGTACGTTGATGCATGCGATTGTGCCTGGCCGGCGACTAGATGGGGCTCTGAGTGGCTGAGAGTTGCATGCTGCTAGGTGTTGCGGTGGCTGAATACCCGCTCAACCACACGAATCTGCGTCTATGCGGAGCGGCAAGCACATTCGCCGGTGGGAGCTCACGCGTGCCGACTGCCTCTTCTCCTGACAGGGGCCTCAAATCCATCACCAACCGCGAGGTCTCGTGCTACTCGATCTCGTCCAAGAACCACGTCAATATCGACATCACACTAAATTGGCTGATCAAGCACGCCAAGGCCGGCGCTAAGAAGACGAGCAACTAAGTTTGCAGCGAGCCGGCTTTCTGTCGACCTGCTCAGGCTGCAAATAAAGGCTCCAGCTTCCTCAGCACCCTCTACCTGTGGACAACGAGCGACCTTTGACCTCTGGCCTTTCGGCGGTCATTGGGAACAGATCGGCTGCCCTTGGGCCCCTGGATGCCGACTCCCACCATGTTGATCCCTGGCCTTCCCTGTTTTGATTTGACACGTTTTGTCCTGTGCTTTAGTTTCCGATTACTTTGGTCGGCCCTCGCTCTTCCCATGTCTTGCCTGTGCCGGTTGTTCTGCCATTCTCTTTTCTTTCTCTCTTTTTGACATACTTGATATACTTTGTTTGCATGTTATGCTCCGACGGCCGTCCCAACAGTTCTCGCAGCCGAGTCGTCGGGGTGGGTCGATGATTTTTTGCAGCAACCGGACCTTCCTCTTGCTCAGTCCATCATCGGGCCTTTGACCGATAACATGAGCTTGGACCCAGAGCCGACTCCTCCAACCGGCTCGCTGTCCACAGCTGTCGTCCAACTGGGCCAGCCCTCTTGTCGAGTCCGCCAGTGTTTCATTCTTCGATTTTTATGTTGTGATCTTCATTCGTGCGCTGCACAGCCCAATTCCGCCTCAATGCTTGCTTCCCCGACCAAGTATCTCATGTATCTGGTTTCGCCCTCGGCTCCGTTGCGCTCAAGGGATAAAAATATATCTTGCTGAAAAATGAGAACGAAAATCAAAACCAAAATGGCGGGCTTTGCCTGTCCCAGAGCCGCGGCGGGACATCCGCCTCGAGTGCATCGTCGGAGATTGATGGCAGCGATGGGGCGGTCGAAAGGCTGCAGCCAAACCAAGCCTGTTGTTTCCTCGGCCCTTGCCTTGCCCTGTCTCTATCATCATTCGCCCCCGCACCATCCCTCTTGAGCCCACGAAGCCATGCTGATTTCTGCAGCTAAAATCGCCGTGAGCTGCTTGACCCTGTTGCTCGTCCGGGTCATCTCGCTGCTCTTCCGGTTCTCCAAGACTCTCCGGAGCGAGAAGGGCCGAACCAGCCCATGCGCAACCTGCATTATCCTTGGATCAGGTTCGAGGTGCTCCCCTCCCCTCCCCTCACTCCGTTTCGCTTGCAGCGCCGCACCTCTTGTACGCAGCTGGCCTTTGGCAGCCTATCGACAGCGAGCTCTTCCCGTCGTCATCCTCATGCCATGTCCAACCCGCTGTCGATCGCGCTCACATTGCTCTGCTCAACTCCCTTGGTCCTTCTGCTGTCTTGAGCAAACCATCAGCGCACTGACATGTTCCCGACTCTGCCTCGCTTCCGTCTGATTCGCTTGACCACTGTTTACTCAGGCGGGCATACCTCAGAAATGTTCCGGCTGCTCAAAGCCCTACCGACGGGCCAGTTTGACCCCCGGATCTACGTGATGGCCCAGAGCGACCATATCAGCGACGCCAAGATGAAAGAGTTTGAGGAAGAGAGGCTGCGCCGCGTGCCGAATGTAAGGTTACTTTTTTTTCCCTGTCCGGTTGGCTCATAGCTGGCCAAAGTCAATTGAGATGGCCGATGGGGGTGGGGGAGGAGATGAATGCCGATCCAGGCCAGAGCCAAGATGCAACATGGCTATTGCCCCCACGCCATGGACAACGCAAAAGCGGCTGTCGATCCACATCCAGCATATATACCGACATGCAACATGAGCATCTTCCCCCCCCCCTCGAACTCACGTTTGCCTCTCTCCCCCCCCCTTCGCACTGGGATAATCTAGGGCATCCGCACAGGAAAGGCCGAGTGCGTTCGCATCCCTCGAGCCAGGGAAGTGGGTCAGCCCTTCTCCACGGTGCTCCCGAGCTTCCTCAGAGCGGTATATGCTTCGTTCGCCATCTTTTGGAAACACGATCCTGAACTGGTAAGCTCCCACGGCACCTCCCTGCAGCGTTTGCGGATCGGACTGCGTGGAGACATGTCTGAATAATGGATATGCATGCCACTGACGATCCTGGTGTCTGCTGAATCCCCTCCATCCCTCCACCCCCCCCCCTCTGCACAATCCAAAACGAAACGCAAGATTATCTGCAATGGGCCCGGCACATGCCTTCCGATCTGCTTGATTGCCTATGCCCTGCGCATCCTCTTTATCCGGCGTGTCCGCATCGTCTATGTCGAGTCCTACGCAAGGGTGTCGACGCTTTCGTTCACCGGCAAGATCATGTACTGGATCGCGGACCGCTTCATCGTCCAGTGGTATCCGCTGCGGGAAAAATACTGGAAGGCCGAGTATTTGGGGCGGCTGGTGTGAGCGCCCGTGGCGGGGAGAGGGAGGGCAGAAGCCCGATGTCCCAGTGAACAGTCTGTTGGATGTCTCGCCCCGATGGGAGCGGCCTGGGACGATCAGTCCGATCATCGGCGGCCCGTTTGGATGTCGATGCATACATCTCAGTAAGTTGGGTGGAGGGCGCTGCCAACAAATGTATTCATGCAAATCGATTCTTCACAGTTCACGGCTTGACAACACATGGTCCACTATAGACCATGGTTCTCCTTGTTTTGTCGCTTGAGTCTGTAGAGCTGGTTCATGAGCGAGGTCGGGAAGGGCGGGCCGGCGATAGTAGGCATCCATGTGACTTTGTTGGTGATTTCCTGCAGCGAATCTAGCGAGCCGTCTGTTTCGAAAGGGCGATGTGGGCCATTAGAGGACAGAGAAGGGGCTTGCAGAGCCGCAGGGAAAGGGGGCCATATTCAAGCACTTGCAGACAGGGGCCACTCGGTGTGGATCGATGCGGCTCGAGACAAGATGGCTTGAGGATGCCCATAAGCCACAGCACAGTGCTGGCTTGCACGGCCTACCTTTCTGACCATCCCAAGGGTTCTTGTCGGGGATGGGAATCAGACTCTGGGAGGCCAGGGTCTCGCGCTGCCACTCAGTGCGGCCCTTGGCGGGGTTGTGAATCAGAACCATTTTGACGTCCGTGGGTTTGCTAGCGACGGAACCGCATCGTGTCAGCTCATCGATGGAGTCGAGCCGTGACAGCGTCGGCGAAATGCCTCTGTTTTTCTTCATCCGGATGATTCCGACGGGCATCATTCATCACAACGGCTCGAGTGATCCACCTGATCCAAATGATTCAAGTGGCCAGGCTCATGCTGCAGCTGCCTGATGTGCGCTCTCTCGGACGCGTGGCTGCGAAGGCAGACTTACTTCAGGATGGGATCAAGCAGGGCAACGTCCTTGTACGAGATGGGCGACTCCATCTGCACTCGGCCACCCTCGGGATATCCGGGGTTGGGCTTGACGTGCTTGATGACCTGAGGAATGGTGAGACCGCGGGCAGAGGCGATCGAGCCAGTTCCCATGAAAGTGGTGAGTGCGGTGCCCACACTTGTGCTTCGACATAACCATAACATCGATGCTGCTGTTTAGTGGTAATGGTGGATCGCCCCATGCAATTTCCAGACGGGCAATCCAGTGGCATCGGAAGTGTGGCTAGAAGAACGAACAACCAAGGACGATCGTTACCAGCTTGCAGCCTTCCACCAGGACGGCATTGTCTCTCTCGAGAACCTTGATGATCTTGCCTTGCTTGCCCAGGTCTTTCATTCCGCCAATGACTTCGACCTGGATTTCGCCCGGTTCGCAAAGTGAGCGGTGGGCAGAGGATAGATAGATAGATTGATATTGGAGCGCAAAGTTGGCCCAGGAGTCAAATATCACGATGGCCAAGACAACGCAGTAGGCGGCGAGACTTTGGCGATGCAATCATCGGTGTCGGCGTGAGTCAGCCGCGGGATCGATGTTATCCGCTCGGTCGGGTGCTGACACCAGGATCATGAGCGTCGTCGCAGAGTCGAATCCGATCCCAATCGAGCAGAGTCCAGAGCCGGACCATATATCGCTGCACAGACATCCATGATGCCGATGGTGGCTCCTGCGACTGCCACCAAACGCATCGCAGCTATCGTGCGTGCTTCTGAGGCACCGCCTCTGGCCTGAGCAACTATTTACCGTGTCGCCAACGTAGATGGGCCACTGCTTGAGACGATCTTTGGGGTGGACCTTGGGCTTGGTGGGCTTGAGCAGGTTTGCTCCTCTGAACTTCATAATCGGCATGGTGGCAGGCGATAGCGAGGGTCAGACTGGTGGCGAGCGGCGGGATGTCTGGGCGACAGATCGGTGCGATCGAGGAGCGAAGGCAGCCGGCAGGGCGATGGCCGTTGGGTCGTGGGTGTTGGTTGTTGGCGACAGGCCAAGTGCGAGGAAAAAAAATGAACAGATTTCCTGTGCGTGTGTGTGTGCGTGTGCGCGTGTGTGTGTGGCGGCTGCAGCCGGATCGAGCCGGGCATGACTGTGGCTTGGAGCCGCTTCTGTGTTTTTTTGCTCTGCGCTTTTGGCCATCCCAGCAGCGGACCAGTCCTGCACCTGTCCTGCTCTGCCAGCATCCGCATCGCCTGCGACGATCGCCACTGTCCCAGTCCGCGCCGCCAGCTACGCTCCCGGAGGATCCACAAGCAAGCATCGAGACATCCCGGCTCGCCTCAACCCAACACCGGCATCCCCTCTGCTCTCCCGACGCATTCCGACCACCCGAGCCAACAGCACCATGTTCCGATCACTGCTGTCGCTGCGATCGCCGATCCTGGCCCACAAATCATCGTATCTGGCACCTGCTCGTCAGCTGTCTTGCGCACGTATCCTGCGGCAAGAAGATTCGTCGGTGCCGCCACTTCCCGGTATGCTCTCTGGCCTTCCCCCGTCGCCAAGCTCAAGGCGTCTGACACCGCGACGATATAATCTGGTGGACGAGCCATCGATTGCAGGATGGAGATCTTGCGTACGCACGCTTGACTGACACCATGAACAATCTTGATCCTTCTTCCATGTCGTGCGACACTTGCGTTCTCTGGCCACTTTTCGTCGCATCGACTTTGACATTCCGCGCTGGACCCATCCTCAAATCCTTACATAACATATGCTCGACTCGCGGAATGCAAACAATCAATCTATCACGCTGGGAACCGGGCATATCTATGGGACACGGCGATGGCTCCATCCTCATTTGCCGGGCATATCGTCACCGGGCCGACATGCATCTGCGACTCCTGCTCGGCTCTGCGGCCTGATGCCATGGCGACCCATGTTTCGCCTCACGGCCTATAGCATCCAGCTGTGCGAAAGGAACAGTGATGAAGGGATTGAATATCCTCAAGGACGGCAAGGATCCCGTGGCCAAGGACGACTCGGAGTATCCCGAGTGGCTGTGGCGCCTGCTTGATCCAAAAACCCCACCCACCGAGCCCCACGAGCGATACAGCCGAAAGAACCTGCGCAAGCTGCAGAAGGCCGGTATCAAGCTGCACAACAAATCCAAGAAGTAACACTGCATTCCGCTGGGAATATACTCGCATGGCAATATTTACTCTCTGTGAATGTGGCTCAAACCATCGTGCGCTGGACTCGGCCATCTTTCGTGTGTCCAAGAGCGCTATTTCTCACTGGAGCAGATAGGATGCAACATGATTGCTGTGGGCAGGCGACTATGGAGACTGGACGGCGATCCACAGCCTTCATTTGGAAGCTCCAAAGCGATGAGGTTTTGCTGCAAACGGCCTCGTTGGATCCAAGCGATCCTATTACTACATGTGCGATTGAAAGAGGACTGTCCCGTTTCTTTCTGGAACCACTGTTGGATCCTACCAGCTGTCTCGGGGCTTTTTGTTTATCCGCGCCCTCGACTCTTTTTCTTTCCGCTCGCGACGCTTCTCTTTCTCGAGATCTTGACTGGCGGTTTGGATATCGCCAAGGACGCCGATGACCACGATATTGTCCGCGGTTTGGTCGACCAAGTTATGTGAGTGTCAATGAGCTGTCGTCCAATTCAGCCGTCCTCCCTCATCATCGCCGTCGACAGGATCGAGAGGCTAGCACGCTGCTCGGCTGTGACTTACAGCTCCTTGACCCGGGCCATCTTCTCCTCAGTCGGACCGAGGGCCACATGCCCGGCCTTGATGATCGTTTCGTAAAGCTTCTCGATGCAGTCGTTCATGTTGGCCATTTGGGTGCGGTGCCGGTCGGAGGTGAATATCATCTGCCCGCTTTTGTTGAGGCGGTTGATGTTCTGTCCGGAGGAAGACAGAGCATTGAACACCGACGAAAGCCCTTGCGTTGTCAGTTCCCACTAGCCGTATGCCCGCAATCGGGTTTGGTCCTGCGGATGTGAGCAGATGGTAGAGGACCGCACCTGTTCCTTGAGCTTGGCTACGACTCCAGGGGGAAGCCAGTCGATTTCCTCGAGGTCGATGCGCAGGTCTGCCTTGGAGCTGACTGCGGGTGCAAACATGCGTTCGAAAACAGGGTCAGCGAGCGGGGCCAAAGAGACCCATGGCAATGCGGACGAGCTGTGCGATCGACGGCATCGACGCCTCCGAGAGTGAGGCAAGTTCACAGAGTATTTCTCTTGGGGTTTCGGAGCATGCCTCGAGATCTCACTTTTGTTGACGTTCTGTCCACCGGGCCCGCTGGCCTTGACGAATGAAATGTAGAGCTTGTCTAGAAGTGACAGCAACGGGGTGTTAGCCAGCCAGCCCGAGTCCAACAACAGCCAACAAAGCCAGCAGCAGTCTGAAGCACGCTGCAATGTCTTGCCGCACGTCCAACCCGAAGACCCATGCGCTGCACCATGTCGGCAATGCGATGGTTATGTAGCATCCCATATCCGCTGGCTAAGGCTATCCTACGTTTTGGAATCATGTCGAGCTTGAAGGTGTTTGCAAAATCAGGAGGAATGGGGGATGCGTCGGAGCTCTTTGCTCGTATTGGCCGGAGGGCCGGCAGGATTAATCGCAAAAGCCCTGCAGATGGCCTTGCAGATGGGACGCATTGGGCCAAAATCGAGGTCATTGCGGACAGCGTCGGAATGAAGACATCGGATCAGAGCGATGATCAAAGTGGATGCTCAAAAACAGCCAGGCGGGATGTGGCAAGAAAGCGTGATCACACTCGATCCACACTCGATCCACACTTGGCGATATCAACCTGGCCGGCCACACTGTGGCTGGCTGCGGAGGTTGGGCGGACGATGACGCATCGTCTGCACGCAAACGACTCATCGTCCGGCCGGAGCGGAGCCAACAAATGACGAATCTGGCGCAAACGAGCCGCGCTGAATCGGATCTGCGGTGGGCGGGTGAGCGAGCAAGTGGGCGAGCGGGTGGGTGGGTGAGTACAGGCCAGTGCCGCACACGGGCCTCTCCAACGACCAGGCGGCATACCCAGCCCGAACGAGCCCTGCTGTGCTGTGGATGCGACGTGCTGGATCTTTTTTCCAACGGCCGGTTGTTGGACGTGCGAGATCTTTTCCAACAACCGGCCTGTCATGCTGGGTCAGATGCTTGGCTGGGCTCGGGCTCGGATGCTGGCTTGGGGGGGGTTGGCAGGGGACGCGCGGTGACTCGATTGTCCATAGATGGCAGGTATTACAGAGTGGCGGCCAATGGGCACGCGCAGGGTCGACGTACTGTGCGCAGTGTAGCACAGTGTGCCCATTGTGGATCAAGCAGCCAGGGGCAGAGCGCGGTGGGCCACGGCAAAGGGAGGGCAAGAGGGGCCACGGCAAGAAAGGCAGGGAAAGAAAGGCAGGGCAGATCGCCGGCCTGCGGCACTCCTGACTCTTCCCTGTTCATCTCGACCGGCCCCGCCGCTGCTTTAAAACGGAGTGCCTCGACCTCATATCCCCCTCCTCACTGCACTCCCCTCTCCTGCCTCATCTGCACTAATGCTGAGATTGTCGCTCGCCTCTGCCTTCGGTTCGTGACTGTGTATCTGCAGGCCTCCCGCCAGGGGAGGAGAGCAACGGCGCTTGGGAGCGAATATGCTGGAGCTGACACCTGCACTCGCACTTGCACTTGCTCTGGATTGGTCCTGTCGACGCTGGCTGCGTCTTGCCGGGCCGGGCCGGGCCGACTTTGTTAACCCGACCCTGTTTATCTGTTCCCGACGCCCATCAGGACGCAAGACCGTCCAAAGGTGAGCAAGCCATTTCAGTGCGGCGCTGGCACACGACAGAGCCTGCTCGGACCCATCTGCATCCGGCTGCGGCTTGGTCCGTTTGGGCATGCCAGCATGAACTTGCACACTGACCCCGGTCTCTCGTCTCCGTCCCCTGACCGTGCCATGGTCTTGCCAGATCCGCGCCCCGTCTGTCCCGCTTCGCCAGCACGATCACAGGTGCCCGCTCTGGCGGGTTCTCCAGCACCTTTGCCTTCCTCTCCGGAGCGGCTTTGGCAGGCGGCCTTGTTTGGTTTGGTAGCAAGGAGGTAGGCACTCGTCGCCGTTGGTGTCGTCGCTGTCGGGATCCGGTTGCCCAAGCACGCCTGTGCACTCCTGGTCGAGCGGTGGTCGCGTTGGTTTCTAACCCGGATCCACTTGTCTCCGGCCACAGAACCCGCTTGCTCTTGATGTCATCAGTGTCTTCTCCAAGAATGCCACACAGAGTGCCATCCCCGCTCCCACCAAGGAGCAGCTCGAGTCTGCCGCCAAGGTCAAGGATGCGGCCGTGTCAATGAAGCCAATGGTGAGCAGCCCGGACGCGCAGTTGGATCTCGATCGGTGTGCTCAATCGCAGCCGGTGACCCATTCTCGCCTGTGGCTGCCATGTGTTGCTAATGGTCCGGCATCCACTTCCCTCCCGCCATGCTTTGCTCAGATCGAAGACACATCGCTCCCAATGCGTACTCGCATGGAGGCCTTCATCCGCAATCTCCAGCTCGAGATTGTTGAGGCCATGGAGTCGCTCGAAGGCCCCACTGGCGCAAAGTTCCTCCGCGATACTTGGGAGCGTCCCAACAAGGAGGAGGGTGGTGGTATCTCCTGCGTCCTGAACCACGGCAAGACCTTTGAGAAGGCCGCTGTTCTCGTCTCGGCCATCCACGGCAGGGCTCCTCCTCAGATCCTCAGCCGCATCCCCGAAGCCAAGCGGGCAAAGATCAAGGGCCCCCTGAAGATGTATGCCACGGGCATGAGTCTCGTCATCCACCCACTCAACCCCATGGCCCCGACCTCGCACTGTAACTATAGGTATATCGAGGTCGTCGACGACCAAGGCAGCGTCATTGATTCGTGGTTTGGCGGTGGCAGCGATCTGGTAAGTTGCCATACCCTAGAGCATGGCACTCGGTTGAATCGCAGCAGAGGATAGTGTAGCAGAGGATAGTGCAGTTGCACCCCAGACCGTTGCCCTGTCTCGGTGTAGAAGCGCTCGCTGACAATCTCGACTCTCGTGTGTCTGCAGACCCCGACCTACGTTATCGAAGAGGACGCTGTTCACTTCCATCGCCTGCTGAAGGACGCCTCTGATCCGTTTGACCCAAGCTACTATCAAAAGTTCAAGGTCGAGGCTGACAAGTACTTCTGGATCCCTCACCGCCAAGAGACCCGTGGCGTCGGCGGTATCTTCTTCGATGACTTCCGCGGCAAGAACCCCGAGCATGCCTTTGCGTTTGTCCGCAGCTGCGGCAGCGCATTTGTCCCCATGTACCAAGACATTGTCGCCAAGCGCAAGGATACCCCCTTCACGGAAGCCGAGAAGGAATGGCAGATGCTTCGCCGCGGCCGGTATGCCGAGTTCAACCTGGTAAGCTCGGTCGCCAAACAGCACTGAGAGCGACTCAGACTCTCGGTGTTGCAGCACGGAGTGGCTGGAAGGCTCCGCTTGCAAATGCAGAAGTGACTGACCGGCCCAACTCCTCCTTCCACAGGTTATCGACAAGGGCGTCAAGTTCGGACTGGTCGTTCCTCAGGCCCGCGTCGAGAGCATTCTGGCTTCCCTCCCCGGCAGCTGCAAGTGGGAGTATATGCACAGCCCTGTTCCTGGCTCCCGCGAGGATGCAACCTTGCAGGTCCTCAAGAACCCTCGCGACTGGGTGTAAGCCCATCCGCAAACCAGTGTGCTGGTCTGCCATCCGACACAGTCCGATTCCAGCCCAGACCAGCTTTATCAATTTCAGTGCCCCTGTCCGGCCTGAGGCCATTCCTCCCTGCCGTGAAATCAGCCAGCCAATGGGCGGCATTCCTCGAGTCAAACTCGCTTCTGAATTCTGTTCTGCATTTCCATATGATGTTTATGTCCGGGTTATATCCGTAATACCTCCTAGAGCGCCAGGCATCGAGCGTGCTTGGCGTCATTTTTTCGCCTCAGTTTCAATTGCCCCACAAAACGAAACGGGATATCCGTTTCTGAAGATGGATGCTGACCTTTTCTGGGTCTTGAATACATACCCATCCGCCATGACCAAACAGTATGCTCAAGGAGATCCACCAATGTGGCTGCCTTTGGGAATGTCTCGGGGAAGCAACGGAAGGGGAAGTGGGCGGAGGAGGGAAGGAGAAGGGATATGCTGTACCAAGTTCACGCAGACTCCGACTGTCCATATGGTCAGATGGTCAGATGGTCAGATGGTCAGATGGTCAGATGGTCAGATGGTCAGATGCATATTCTATCGAGGCTGTTGCAGCAAATCCAATAAAAAACGGGACACCCGTGTTTTTGACCATTCATCGAATATTTTGTTCCCCAATGTTATCGCGCGCTGACACTCCGAGACCAGTGTGCAGGTCGATTGTGGAGACCGGAGAGCGACCGGTGGTATTCACTTGGAGGCTGCCAAAGTGATCTGTTTATTTCTTATGGCTTTGCTTGATGCAAGCACATCACATACTACATGTTCATGGAAACGGCTGTGTTGTCCCGTTTTTTTCTGAATAACGTGTACTTCCCAGACCAACAAGCAGTGCTGAATCGTGAAAGGACGCAAACGGGCACAGTCCTGTCTCGTTCTGAACAAGCTGCAACTGTCGTCGACTCAGCTGCAGATAGCGACGACAGTTTGGCCGTACTTTATGCGCTATGCAACAAGTTCGCACTCTGATCGTTTTGTTGCATACCTGGAGTGACGTCTGCTGTTCTATTCGGCCGCTTACATTTCGACAACGGCATCCAGGCCCAGCACCTCCAGGCCATGCCGCAACACTGCCTTGGCAGCACCCAACACTCTCAGCCGGGCCTGGGCAACCGCCTGGGTCTGCCCCTTGATTCGCATGCCATAGTTGCATGACGAGACTTGGCTTGCAACGTTGACGAGGAATGCAGCCAGCGACGATGCCTCCATATTGAAGATACCCTGGATGAATATCTTGGGATACTGCGCCAGCAAAAGCGCCAACGCCAGGGCTTCAGGCGACTGGGCGAGGGGCTCCAGATCGGCGTCAAGGTCCACAGCCACGCCGCAGTACCGTTCAATTCTGGGAGAGTAGATTGTCCGCCAACGTTACTATGCGTTTGTTCGACCCTCTGACCAGTTGGTTGAGCAAAGTTCTCTTCCGCTCGACAGCGACACCACCGGCTCCAGACTGCACTTACCCGCAGAGCCTTGCATGAGTATACTGGCAATAGACACCAGAGCTACCGTCGTGGTCCAGGAGCTCTGTCCACTCAAACTTGACGCTCCTGGAGCGTTTGAATGATAGGATTTGCATGACGATGACCGAGAGTCCAAGCGACTCCGAAAGCCGTGAGATCTGTGAGAGTCCACCGACGGCGTCGCGGACAGAATCAGACTCTCGGCCACTGTTGGTTGCATCAATGTCGTCGTATGTCCGGTCCATGCAAATGCCGAACATGTGCTTGCTTGCTCGCTCGAGGCAGCCGAACAACCCATCGGCCGCGGTCGTTGGGTGGTCAAACTGCGCCAGAGATGCGAACGCAACATGCGATGGAAGCGCGCGAGGCGTCGATGGAGCTGCTGCGACGGCGTCATTCAATGTTCGAGCAAGCGGCGCCAGAGTTGTTGATTTATGGTACTTGCTGAACAAGTCCGCAGCCTTGGCGCATTGCTTCCAGTAGTACTCCTTACTGTGTTCACAGAGATGAACCCGACGGCTGGCCTTGCTCTGCTGATCGAGCAGTTGGGCGACATCGGCCGCGAACTGAAAGGATGCCGCATCGTCGATATCGTTGGCACTATCGCGCAATACCATCCTACCGAGCCCGTGCGTTGTCATATCCAAGATCAACTTGGACTCGTGCTGGAACACATCGGGCAATTGCTCGAGCCTGGACTGGACTGTCGCGTGGCTGTGAGCGAGAGCATCGGCTTCGATCGAGAGCGAGAGGTTGTATGCACAGAATATGGCTTGTGTCTCGTCCTTCCATCTGCTCCAGAGATGTTCCCAGTGCATACGGGTTTGTACATCGCCGTGGAAGAGGCGACGGAGATACTTCCCAGCGGGGCGCTGCGTCGGCTCGACAGAGGCACTCGGGATGACCACGTTATGGAGCGCCGTCGAGGATTCCGTCGATGGGTCTGTCGTTGAGGGAGCTGAGGCCATGGGCTGATCCAGTTCAGCCAAGAGCACTTCCGTATCGGCGCTCCAGATCTCACATCTTGGTTCGCAGACGACACTGTATCCCATGGCTCGGAGGGCGCGGGCACAGTAGTTGGCCGTAATCCATCCCCTCAGATCGGTGCCGGTTGGTTTGCGGCCAAAGGGTACACTGTATGAAACGAGAAAGGATGTACCAGCAGGCAGCGTCGGGAATCGCAGCGACGGTGGAGTGACCAAGTATGCGGTGGAAGGATCGCAAAACAATCGGATTTCGTTCAGGACCATGTCGATCAGTCGGGCAGGGCTGAGAAAAACGACCACAAGATCATGCCGTCGCTCTGCCGAAAGGATGAGGCCGTCTGGAACAAGCTGTGCCAGGGACGGGAGAGCCGTTGCACATCGGTCTGGCATTAGCATGGTGGGGCACCAAAGATGCAAATGGATCTGTTACTGACGAACAGAGTGTCTACTCACTACCTGCACCAGTGCAGAGGCAAGACCGTCGACCGTTTGCGCCGGGCACTGGCTGGGCTGCTTGGAGAGGTGGTCATGAAGTCTGCAGAGATTGATGGCGAGTTGAGCAGATCCCTTGAGCCGGAGACGCTCCAGGACGCCCGGTGGAAGCTCTTGCAGGCGGACGCAGGCAGCGATTCGGGCAAGCAGATGGGTCCGAATCGAGTCCTCGAGGGGCATCACGATTCCCGATGGCGCGAGATGCAAGGGAGGCGGATCGGGGGAGGGCAACCGAGGCCGCGGCGAGATCGTGAACGAAGATGGATTGCGCGAATGCGACCCGGGACTTGACCGGCATGGTCTTGCTCGGGAGTATTGGTCACCTGTGAGCGCATGCTGGTGGTCAAAGGACAGCTCTTCCACTCCCACAACGCTCTCGAGGCACACCGAGAGCCCGCATCCCAAACCGCACCACACAGGGATATGGGTGAGTTCACCCCGAACGGGACGCTAAGGCAAAAGCCCAATGAACAGACCCATCTGATGGAGAAAAAAGTAAAAAATAGGTGGATTCACGAAGCGTGTTCTTCAAACCAGTTTTTATTGCGGCGCACATGATCATGCATGTTTACACAAGGGTCTCGTAGGGAACGGGAGAGAGGGTCTCGGGGAAGTTGCCAACGGTCGAGACGTGGTGAGCGGCGCGGGGCTGGACAGGAGAGCGCTTGACGACAGCAGTGGCTGAGTGGAGGAGACGGAGAGAACCTACTGGTCAGACACATGCCCGCAATCGCTGCTGTGAAGCGGGTTTCCCGGTATAGATCGAAGCGCAAGCGACTACTTACTGCCGTTCTGGCGAGCAGCGACCTTCTTGGCAGCGTTCTCCTTGACACGCTTCAGGAAGTCGAGGCGGCAGTTCGAGTGCTTGATGTGCTCGATGCGGAGGTTAACGCGCTTCTCCATGTAGCGGTTGCCGACCTGCTTGTGGATGATGACACCGACGGAGCTCTTGGTGACGTTGTAGATGACACCAGTCTTGCTGTTGGCGGCAAATCGACAGAGAATACCGACGGGATGGTCAGCAACAGTTCCGGAGCCAAAAGCACAGCAGAGCGCTTCTAGCGCCATGGCGGGCAAACGTACCCCTGGTAGTACTTGTGGGGCATGCCCTTCTGGACAGCACCGTTGGCCTTGATATCAACAATGTCGCCGACCTTGTAGGTGATAAGGTAGGTGGACAGCTTGATAGGGCCGCCAGTGCGGAAGTCACGCTTGAACAAGTGACGGGTGCGAGCGCGGAGACCTGCGGACATCGGTGGACGACGGAGACGTTAGAGGACGCCGGGTGCCTGGGCGTTTGCGGTTCCACCTCGGTAGTGGACTAAGAGAGGCCAGTCGAGGATCGAGTCGATGTCGAGTGTTGCGGAGGTGCTGGCGGATCCGGGATCAATACGATCGATGCCACTATATTATGCAGTGCCGCGATGTGTGTATTGTCGGATGCGGCTGCAGCTCTTGGTCAGCCGCTGGTTGTGCCGAGATCCGTGTCTTGCGTCGAGCCGCCACTGATCCAGCCATCCGAGGTTCGATCGAAGGCGGCCGGCCTCTCCGTGTCCACAAACTACTTTGACTGCCACAGGATCCGGCTGACGGGGTTTGGTCCAAGATCGAGGGCTGCGGCCGGATACATACCAAAGGAGTGAGGCATCTTCAAAAACTGAAATGCGACATACAGAAACGGAAACAGTCAGGAACCAGCTCTGTCGCTTGCACAGCAGTGTCGCAGTCTCCGAAAACGATGCCCTGTGAATCGACTGCGGATATGGCAGCGCTGGGTCCCGAAAAAGGACACCAATGCCAATGTCTGTGCTGGGAAAGCTGCCACGACGACGGCGACGCATCTCGTCCGCTGCGGGTCCGCTGATATCCGTCCTCCAGTACGATCGCCACAGGGCTCGAGCTCGGTCTCTGGCGCAGCGCATCGGTGGCTTCATCCTGGCCTGCGGCTGCCTCGCAGACGGGCCGTACCTGGTGGAGATAGAGTGACCGTTGACGGTGATCCGAACCAAGGCGATGTTGGTTATGCGGAAGCCAGGGAGGAACAAAAAAGGGAAGAGGAAAGAGGGAGCATCGCAATGGCCGGGCCAAAGACTTTGGTGCTGCGAGACCGAGGCGGCAGGCAGCGAGAAGCCGGTCCTCGCCAGGCCCCCTCGCTGCGCTCTCGCACGGCCCTCGCCAGCCTCGCTGCCGCTCTCGGCCACACTGGCGCCGCCGCGAGAGCGTTCTCGCCGGGCTCGCCCTCGCCGCGAGAAAAAAAACGCCACGCGCCCAAGCCACGGCATGTGCAAGTCAGGTGGCCCGCGTGGCTTGTATCGGACATATTCCCGACAGCCACTCACGGCGCGTGGCGCATTTGCTGCCTCCTTACGTAATGCGTTCTTTTTTCGTGGCCGTCAGTGCAGACGCAGCCAGGCCGGTCGCAGTGGGTAAAAGTGATGGCCTGGGTGCATCCGTCTGCTTTCCCTCCCTTTCCCTTTGCCTAATTCCATTTCTTTTGCTGCAAGAAAGAGGAGGCGACATTCATCATGGTCCACAACTACTCCAAGACCGCCAAGGTCCCCAAGCGTCCCTACGAGGCCGCTCGTCTCGACCAGGAGATCAAGCTCGCCGGTGAATACGGTCTCAAGAGCAAGCGTGAGATCTACCGCATTGGTCTCTCGCTCTCCAACATCCGCCGTGCCGCTCGTGAGCTTCTCACCCTCGACTCCAAGGACCCCAAGCGTCTCTTTGAGGGCAACGCTCTGATCCGCCGTCTCATCCGCATCGGTGTCCTCGACGAGACCAAGGCCCGTCTTGATTACGTGCTTGCCCTCAAGATCGAGGATTTCTTGGAGCGCCGTCTCCAGACCCAGGTCTTCAAGCTCGGTCTTGCCAAGTCCATCCACCACGCCCGTGTCCTGATCCGCCAGAGACACATTCGGTACGGCCTGGCTCCCTCTCTCTCCTCGAATCGCCCGGATTGAGCGACAGCAATCTGCAACAGGATGACGTGGAACCCCGCCCCCCCCCTAGAGTGCGGTTGTGCCCTTTCGGTGATGCGCCGGGTACAGCAGGATAGCGGACGACAACCCGGAGCAAACTTTGAAGTTGGGGCTTCAATCCCTCCCCCTGTCGGTGTGGCATGCTGGTCAAGCGCCGGATGTGGCTTTCGACTTGATACTGATGTCGATTCCTCAACCTTTACCCCTCCCCTTGTGCTGTGCAGTGTTGGCAAGCAGATCGTCAACGTTCCCTCGTTCGTTGTTCGTCTCGACAGGTTGGTTTCGCTGTCGTGCTGGATGTGCAGGGTTAACATCGTGCGACGCAATGACCGGATCACTGCTCTCGCAACTGGCTGACTTGGTTTTTTTTTTTTGCTCGCGCTGCAGCCAAAAGCACATTGACTTTGCCCTCACCTCGCCCTATGGTGGTGGCCGTGCTGGCCGTGTCAAGAGAAAGCGCTCTAAGGCTGCTGCTGGCGTAAGTAGTTGAACCCTTGACTTGATGAGGCCCTGGCAGTTGCATGATCGATCGGACGTGGCCAAACGCAGACACTGATCCCCTGACTCCCTCCACATTCACAGGGTGACGAGGAAGTCGTTGAGAATGATGATTAAACATATCGTGTAACTCGGGAAATACATTCATGCTGACGGCTTTCCCGTATCTGTGTACATTTCAATATCACACCTGTGCATCATCGACGACAGTCGCTTCGTGTCCGTGCACCTCCTGCGTGATTCTGGAGCATCGCTCGCGGGGCGGGTGCTCAGCTGCCAGACCCCATGGCTTTGGCTGGTGCTGGCGCTGGTGCTGTGTGGGCGGCGGATCGGATTCAGACGCGGTGTCCAGAGGGAGCGAATGGCCAAATGCTGGATTTGCCGGGCGCCTGCTGTCGTCGCTCCTTGCCTCTCCATCTCGCTTCGGTCGGATTTCTGCAATGGGCGGAAGCGCTGCATACAACATCAACGCTCAACTCGAGCACTGTGAGTCCCCGCACCGCCCGATGTAGCCGGTGTGCCTCGCATGTCTGCAGTGCGCTTGTGGTGTGCTTGGTATGTCTGGAATGCCTGGCATATCTGGTATGCCTGATCGCTGACCATTCGACTCCGTCCCGCTGCAGTGCAATCCAAGCAGGTCGGAACGGGCCATGCCGACACCACCCGATAGTGAGTGATCCGCCCAGCCCACAGCAAGCCGACCGTCGCATTCGCCCCAGTATCGGATCTGTTCTTGGCTTCTTCTGACTTGTCGTCTATCCTTCGACATCGATATCGATCTCAACACTGCTGCTGGACAACCCATCGGTCTCTGCGGCGATACCACCCAATCGACATGCCATATCAACCGCCTCATCTTCCAGCGAATGGCTCACCAACCAACACCGCGATTCCTACGCCGCATACATCGGCCACAACTCGCTGATCGCCTACATCTCCGTCGCCGAAAACGAGAGCATCGGACGGGCACGATTCAACATGCTGGAGGTGAGCGGGTGGATCTAATCGGGCACGTCGTGGCGATCCTGCTGCTGCCCGAGTTGTCATGCCCTGGATCGTTTGTCTCCGAGACTTGGCGATCGTCCGTCCCTTCCTGCAAAACGCACATTGAGCACGTATCTGATCTCGTCTGATTTCTCCGCATCCAACTTGCCTTGCCAGAAAATGCTGAGACCCTGGTGAGAACCTGCCGAAATTCTTGGCATCCGTCATTTCCTCTCGTCTTTGCTATATCAATTGACTTGTCGATGCGCTCGGATCTCCTGTGCCGTCGGCTCTCGGGCATTAACTCTGGTATCGTCTCCCTTCCCCTGTCGTCAGCGGACCACCACCTGCCCGAGATGACGACGACGAATAGCTCATACCTGTTATATGACCCAGGAGCAGTTGGATGTGGCGGCGAGCCACATCGAGCCGGAGGGCACTCGACTGTGTTTTGTCTGTTCCAGCCCGATCCAGCGTGGTGACGACCAACCCGCCTCACCGTCCCGGATCACTCCTCACCCACATCGTGACTCCATCCAGATTTGCTCATCATTCGGCCATCTTTCCAAGGTGTACGCAATACAATCCGCTTGGTGCTGTCCGACCGATCGTCTCGAGAGTGCTGGCAAGGTGCCGGACTCAGTCATGCAGTGCACACAAAATGAAGCGGGACACCCTGGTTGGAGTCAGAGTCGTCGCTTTCAGGATCCTGAATGCATCCTATCCATCGTCCGTCCTGGCGCCGAGGAACCACACTATGTTCGGAGCTGTCCAGCCGGTCGGATCAATGCACCACGCTCCCGCATCGCGACGTCAATGCAGCCAGAAACATGATCTCAGAATGCGAGTCGATCGCCGCCACAGGAGATGGACGAGTGTATTTGAGACTGCTCCCAAAGCCAAGAACAGCTCGAGACTGGACGCAATCGCATGGCCTGCCCACCAGGACCTACGGACCACTCTGAGGGACACTCAGAGAGCACACTGCCCCGCTTCGTTCTGAACAAACTGTATCTATGGCCAGATGTCAACGCCTCTACTTTTATCCACCTGATTTGATACTTCGTTGGATACTCCTTGCTCGAGACGTATCTTCCCACCGACCAGATCCAGGCGTCTGGCTCTTCACTCTCAAGAAGTACTAGTGCTGCTGAGTTCGAGTACTTCTTGATCAGCAAGACTGTTCGTCGAGAGCTGCTCGAGACCAGCAGTTGCCTCCACGACTCCAGCTTGGACAGAGACGACATTTTCAGGCGGCGATTGAGCTCCAGCCGCACGACGCTTGAAGACAAAGTGATGAGAGATGCCTCCCGACACCTGAGTCTGTTCCAGCCCCGCCTCCGTGGCCATTCCTGCGACTCTCCTTTCATATTCCTCTTTTTGATCGCTGTTCAAGTCGAGAACGAATCTGCGCCAACCAAGCCGGCCACCGGATCGAGAAAGTGCGATGTTGAAGTAGGGTCATCGTGTCCAGAGCCAGTCATTAGCGCACGCCCGAGAGCACCCGGCCATGCCACCAGCTGCGGTACTTGCAGACCAGACATGTACTCACTGCGCATTTTCGACAATCAGGAGGCCGTCTGTGTCCATAAGCTCTGCCAGATGTGGCAGGCGATGAGCCATCAACGCGCCTAAAAATATGCTCCTGAACTTGCGCACAAACTTTTGCTTCTTCTTGAGGAGGTATCCAAAGTCACAGGGCAGAAAATGGATCTGGACGTGGTCCTGGGCCCTGTACATCTTGGCGTCTGTCGCCAGGTCGGGCGTTCAGCCGTTTGAGAGACACTGAGATGAGTCGGGGGCGCTTTTGGTGCCTTTGCATCGGCTCATGGAAGCACCTTGCCGCATGCCATCTCCGGCAGAGACAACCAGCGGCGTGCGCCGTCTCCGAGGGCTGCGTACCCGGATCACTCAGCAGCATGGGCTGTCCCTCCTTGTATTCTGCATTCGTTTCGAGCTCGTACATCATGCCCTTGATGTTGAACTCGGTCACATCGGTCGCCGTCTGTCCGGATCGAGCAGGTTCGCTGTGAGCCTGGGAATCGATGGTGGCTGGTTTTGGGCTGGGACACCGCTCGATTTCTCACAACTGGGCCCGATGGACGTCCTACCTTGGTAAAGACGCCGTTCTTTGTCTTGATCAGGTCTTTGTTTTCGCTGTCGAGTCCAAATGCCACATAGGGACCCATCACAATGTCGCTAAAGTAGCCCCATTTGCTGACCGTCAATCCATCCTAGTCCAGAGCATGCGCGTGAATCTCACTGCCTGCATTTGCAGTTGTCGGTGCGGGTGACTGAAGGCAGATGGCTCGTACGACGATCCGCTGTGAGAGTAGCATCTACCTCTTTCATCCCATCGACGGTCGCCATCGTGCGGTTCGAGTGCTCATGGGAACTCTCGCGGATCTCAAAGCCAATTCCGTGCGATCGCCACTTTAGGTACTCGTGCTTGCTCAGAACCGATTTCTGGAGGTGTCGTGGAAGTGTATCGGCATGGGTGCGTGCGCGACAGGAAATGAGCGGCTGTATCGGACTCTGTCTGTGTGCTCAGTGTCCACTTCGAGCGGATTGAGCACATCCTTCGCCCAAACCCATCCCTCGCTGCTACTCTCACGGCCTCGAGCATTGGATCGAACTTACCCCGCTCTCTGGAATCTTCATGTGATAGTCCCAATCGAATGCATTCTCGCGGTGGTCGAACCGGATGCCAAGATGCCTGCGTACCCGATATTCCCTATGATAGTGACAGGCTTCAGCTGGGTGTCCTGCGCACAGCTGCAGCGGTTGCGGCTCGCTTTGCTGCGGTTTGATTCCGTTCGCTGGCGCCCGTGATCAAGCAATCCGTACCAAAGCTTGCTCGCCTCGTATTTTCGCTTGGGATCCTGCCAAAACTTGAACACAAACTCAAGATCATCGCGCTCCCTAAATCTCAGGTGGTTGAAGGTGAATATCGAGGCGAGAAACCCGGTGCCGTCCGTGACCGCTCTGAGGAGAAATATCGGCGCAATCATTTGCTGTTAGTGTCCGGTGCATCCCTGTGGCGCAAAAGTGACTCCGAGCGCCCTTTGAGAGTAAATCGCCACGTCGACCGATCCATTCAGTAATCGATCCAAAGTCCAGGGCAAGACCATGATGCCAGCACCATATCCGCGGCGAGCAACAGTACCTGATCATTTCGGGTGTTTTGAGCTTGACCCAGTCCGCTGATTTTTCGCGCATCATAGTGTTGCCATAGATATCCATGAAGAGCTCGCACCGCTCTGCCAAAGAGAACAGCAGGCGGTGTTATCTCTCCGACTCCCTCGTGAATGGCAAAGCACAGGTGCTCCACATCAATGCAAGCACCGCGCCATCGACAGTTCGGATCCATACCCTGGAGCCCAAGGTCGTTGGAATGGTCGAGAAAGAGCAGCAGCAACGCCATGTGTCGGGCCAGCTGACAAACGTGTGGCTCCATGACGAAGAACTGGACAAAATGGAAGGGTCAGACGGGTGTATCGCGAGCGCCAGCTCACATCTCCCAACGCTGTGCAGATTCGTTACATTGAGCTTTGTGGGCTCGTGGCGATGCGCCCGGCTAATGGTCTTCATCAAGTGCCTCGAATCGATGCTTCCAATCAGAAGAATGTCGTGACTGCCATCTCGATGCAGTTCATCGTCTACATTGTTTGGAGAAGTGTGTGGGAGTGAGGCAGCGGACTTGGCTCTGTGCTCCTGGGAACAAGCGGCAGACCAGACGCGTGGTTCCCTGTATTTCTCGGGCCGTGACTGGGAACAGACCTCGCCCGGATCGCCCATCGTTTATACTCTGGTAGACATGTTCTTCGTTGATGGAATCTGGGGATAGCGCGAGGTGAGCAGCGATCATCGACGGTGTTTGCTCGGACGCATCGGATGGCGAGTGCCTGCGCGTGTGCCTACCTCGATCTTGCAGATCAATGGATTTGGAGAAGCCCCAGATGCCCACGGATCCGATTCCTTCCATGGCTCTATCGCCGTCCTTGCGGTGCGAAACAGGAGCCAAGCAGTGACCGTGCCGCTGCCGGGGTGCGTCCTCCACGATATCGGCGGGCGTTCCCACGCTTGTCCTCTGTCTGCCCTCGCCCGCTCTCGCCCGCCCTCGCCTGCTCTCGCTCATGGCGGCTCCCCATCCGTCCCGGCCCGCAGGCTCACGTGCGCTCTATTAATTTCATTTCGCGCGGCCTGCTCGCCAGGGCGGTCCGTTTTTTTGCCTTGACGCAGGCCGGCGCTGCCCCGCCTCTGCCTTTGCCCGGTCCAGCCAGCATCCAGCGCCCACCACATATCCAGAGCCATGTCCCGAGTCTTCCGTGCCGCCGCGGCCTTCAAGCCCGTTTTCTTCCGCCCTGCCGCTGCGTCGGTCCGTGGCCCCGTCAGCCTCGCGCAACAATTCAAGTTCACCCCCAGTGTCTTGACCAGACTGTACTCGGCCGGCCCTGCTCCGCTCTCTGTTCAGCAAATCGAGGACCGAGTGATCCTCCTCCTGAAGGACTTTGACAAGGTCGATGGCTCGAAGGTTGGTTGATCGGGCGGGATGCAGGGTGGGTGAGATGTGCGTCTCGGGCGAGATCTGTCAGTGGTTTGCAGCCCCGGGCTTGGGGTTGGGGGCTGGCCTGATCGCCGCGCTGTCAAGCGATCGGGGCGCTCCAGCTTCGGACGGGCAGCCGACGGACCCGAACAGCGTGGATACTCGGCGCGGCTCGGCATCAGTCTCGATGTGATCTGGGGAATGCTGTGCCGCCTAGCTCGAATGTTGTGTTTCGGCATATGGGGCCAAGCTGCTCCAGATGGCGACTGTCGCGATCAGCGTTCGGCCGCGGCGGATGATTGGATATCTCGCTCAGCATTGCCTGTGTGCACGGGTCATGTCTGTTGCGATCTCTGACCGCTGTATGTTATCCTTTTCCTTTCTGAAACCTGGACAACTGCACATCTTGGCTTGGATTTCTGCCTCAGCTCAACCTGGACGCTCACTTTGTGAACGACCTCGGACTCGATTCGCTCGACCAGGTCGAGATCACCATGGCCCTCGAGGACGAGTTCAACATTGAGATCCCGGATCGCGATGCCGAGGAGATTTACACTGTTCGCCAGGCCGTGGAGAAGGTAAGCGCGTGGTGTGCCAAGCAAGCGACCGCCGCTCTCGATGACATGTGCGAGCACCGAGCACTGCGGATTGGATTGGACCAGGGTGGATCCACCGCGGGGCCGGGCTGCTTGTCCTCCTGTGACTCTGTTGACGCGCCGAGATCTCTGCTGCTGCCGATCGCATACTGATGCGTGCGCTGCTGTGTTTCTCTCGCCACCGGCCTGTAGATCTACGCCAACAAGAATGCCATGTAGAGTGTTCCGACTGAAATGCGACTGAGCTGCATATTTATCATTTTGCCTGTACACTTCCAAGAAAAACACGGGACCCCCGAATTTCCGAGCACTCGAGTCGGATGAGAGCCAGTCGTCTGATTGAGAATGAGAGTCATGGGCTGGGGCCTTTTTTTCATGGAGCTGATGCTGATACTGATGGCGTCGGCGATAGATGTGCGGCAGCGTCGACGTTGAGAATGTGTCCGGGTATCACGTTGGATGCGATGCGATGCGATGTGCGTGATGCGATGCGAGCGATGCAGCTGCGTCCACATCACATCGATGTGCGTGAGCCGCGCGGCCTCTCCTCCTGGATCCGATGCCATCGCACGATGCATCAGGGCCGGCGGTGCGAGTGGGTGTTGTTCATGCGCTGCCTGGCACCAAAGCGGTCAATCCCCAGCCAGGAGGGATGTCGTCTGCGCCACGCGCATATTAAGGACTCATTTTGCGTTTTCGAGCGCGCCGCCCCAAGTCGACATATCCTGCTGGCAGCTCGACAGGCAAGAGCATCTTCCTGTGGAGACTCAATCCAGCAACAAGCGATACCGCCGGTAGGATCTATCGCCACGGCGACCGTGCTCGTCTGCATACATTCGCTGCCGCATTGCCGGCTGCGTCGATCGCTGCATTCACAACTCCCGCATCACTCGAGCCTGCGTCGAGACCCTTCCTCGGACCCAATCCTGGTCTTGGGCCGATCCTCACGCCGTGTGCCTCTGCTGCCATCAGCCATGCTGTTCAAACAATCGGTCCTCTCGGCATGCGCTCGCGCCCGAACCCAGGCGCTTCGCCAGCCCATGCCCGCCATGGTCCCTGTTCGTCTTTCCCACCGCAAGTCCCCGCCTCCCCCGAAACACTGGACCAAGCGCGGCATCGATGAGTCCATCCTGAACTCTCTGTGCGATGCCGCCAAGGTTGCCGAGGAGCAGGTGGGTCTCGTGGGGTGTGTCCGATGGGCCACATCGATATCAAGCGTACTCTGCAGCAGGGAGCTCGCCGGTGCTCTATACTGGATACACACGGATCGACCACGAGCAAACCGCGGACGGGGAGGACACCGGATGCACCATCGACCATGGTTTGGATGCTGGCTCCGTTCTCGATTTATTGGATCGCCGTCGGAACGGATGCGTATCAAGGAAGGCTCAGCTCGGAGACCCAGCAGACTGGGCACTGCTGTCTGGACATGCCTGGATTACCAGAGTCCATGGATATCGCTCTTACTGGTAGCCCAGGAGTGTTTCAAAGCGCTTCAAAATCAATTTCAGCTGCTGGACCCTGGACGATAGAATGTTGGAGCCTGTTCTGTTCCTTTCAGCGGGCCTCTGATTTGCGAAAGTCTTAGTTGTCGCGGGACGTCCATGGATCGAGCCCTGCCGGATGCATCCATGCTCGTAGTCCATACGCTGACCGCTCGCAACGGGTGGATGTGGCTTCACAGGTCTATCTGGACTCCAACTATGCTCGGGATCTTCTGCTAGACCAGCGCGACAGGTTCGTTTGCATGCGCTCCTCGCTCCAACCCGCATGGGAAATGAGAGTAATGGGAGACGAATCGCTCTCTGAATTAGCGCTGACAGTCACTGGTGCACTTGCAGATACGAGTTCTTCCTCCAGACATGCGACGAGTTCCAGATCCCCATCGAGTTCAACAGGTGAGCCTCGGTCGGGCTTTCGTGTGTGGCTCTGCGCAGTGTGCCGGTAGATGCACACCGGATCTAGCCCTGCCCCCCAGCTGCTGAAGCAAGACCTTGCCTTGTCCATCAGACGACTGTCCCAGGACCACGCCTCTGGACGCGAGACATCGGACTGGGTTGCTGCCCAGATGGAGCAGCAGGGCCGACTCACTTTCTAGAATATATCAGCGCGACGAGGCGCCAAGCCAGCAACTGTGCTCGAGTGCCTGGTGCCGCCTCCCTGCCTCCTGTTGTTTGGCCGACATCTGGTTTCCGCTCTGGATCAAAATACACCCGGCTCGCCACAACGGTCTCTTGGGATGCAAAGATGCCGGTCGCTTTGCTGGACGAGCGGGGAGAGCACACACGAGCCGTGATAGCGCCGAGGTGACAAAAGTCGGAAGCCTTGCGGGCCATGCCAACCTGGTCTGGCTGGTGCCACTCGGGGCCGGTGTCGCCAGAGGCGATCTTGCTGCGATCTTGCTGCGATCTCTGGCACCGGGCCAACGAGATGCATGGATGCGCAAGGAAGGCACGTTTCTGCCGACAAGGATGTGCCGTGCATTGTCTCCTCCGGCCTGCCGCTGTCTGCCAAGTTTCCAGCAGTCCGGACGAGCAGCGGCCGTCCGGCAAGCGCACGCTGCTGACCCCTGCGGCCGCTCGGGGGGGGGGTACCGGCTGCCGGAAAGCCGCTTGGCTCCTGGAACGATCATGGCTCCTGGTGAATGGGTGTCGCTACTGCTGTCGCCGTCGCTGTTGATGGCGGCTCTGATGGCTATTTGACAGGCACTGTTACCTTGTCGTTACGGACATTGGGTGCTGTTGCTCCCGCACATCGCACATCGCCCATCGGCCAGCACTCGCTCGCTCGCTCGCAGCTCTCCGTCCCATCCCGAGCGACGTCGTCCGCGGCACGCCGTCGTCGGCCCACCAGCGCATCCATCTGTCCTGTCGATGTCGATGTCGGTGTCTGGCTCGGCTCCCCCTTTGCCCCCGCGGTGGCGGCCGGGCTGGTCCTCTCCCTCGTCGTGTGACCATGCCCTCGGCCGCTCGCTTGCTTCTGCCGTCCGCTCTTTGGCCCTGCCTCGACGGCCTGTGCTGTTCCTGCTCCTGGCTCCTGCTGCCGCTGCCTCTCCTGCTGCTCCTGCTGCCTCTGCTGCCTCTGCTTCCGCCTTCTGCGTCTGCGAGTCTCCCCCCGTATTCTTCTCTAACCACCTAGCGCCATGGATCGGTGGTCCGCCAGCGATGTGGCCTCTTGGGCAAGCCAGAACGGCTTTCCTCAACACGCCAGAGACTTCCTGAAGCACGAGATTACCGGCGAACTCCTCGTCCGCGCCGACCACGCAATGCTCAAGGCCCTGGGCATCACCGCAGTCGGCGATCGCATCGTTCTCCTCAACAAGATCTACAACGAAAAAATCAACAGCGGCATCCCGATAGATGAGGACGATTATATTCCGCAACGTAAGCCTGCTCCTTGCCCGTCGTTTTGCCTCCATCCCGCCATCGAGCCCAATCTCCATTGAATTCGTGCTCCCGCATTGGATACTTGCTCTCCTTGGCTTGCCACAGCTTAGGCTGACGGCCTCTATCGTTCACACCGGCCATATCGCCGATTCTACAGATGCTCGCCACATGAAGGTGAGCTCGGGCTGGCCGTCCCGGCCTCGCACCCTCCCAACCGAATCTCGCCCCCGCATTCCTGCGATTCTCTTCGAGGACTCGTGGGCCAACCCGTGCGCTACCACCGCAGCCGCGCTCGCCCTCTCGGAACTTGGCGGAAAACAGCCCTTTGGACCAGTCTCCCGCAAGCCAAAGGGAGGAGGAGGGCATTCCTCTCGCACACGGCTGACACAATCACTCTCGCTCTCGCTCCCGCCATGCAGCCTCTGCCAGAGAGAATGTACGCCGAATTAAGCTTCACCGAGTTCTCCGAAAAGTTGGCTTTCGACGTCCAGCGCCTGGAGCGAATCATCGAGGAAAAGGGTACGAGTGCTGTTGATGCGATCTGCGCGGCTGCAGCGTTATTGCTTGCCAGCCCCCTCCCTTCCCTCCCTTCCCTCCCTTCCCTCCCTTCCCCGCCCGCAACTCCCACCCTGCCGATACTGGCCTTGCCAGCAGTCGCCAGCATCCTTATGCTCGTCGCGCTCGCTGGGCCCCTTTGTCCCGAGCCATAAATCCGGGTGTGCTCGTTGTCGCTTCGAGCTCCTTTCAGCCAGTCCATGGACTCTGGGGCATCGCGGATCGTCGTGCACTTGAGTGGCTTGTCCTTCTTCGGCTCGGGCCAAATGAGCTGTGCGTCCCTCGCACAACACTCCCGGCTGAATTATGCATTCCAACTGCACAGACCACGCCATTCAGTCGCTGTCAGACTCGGTTGGCAAGCTGAGCTTCCAGCTGATGACGCTGCAGGAAGATCTGCAGCCCGTGTGGACTCTGGTCAAGGGATACAAAGTAAGTAACTCTCCTGGCGACCACCGGCTTTGTTTCGAGATACTCTATCGGTACTGCAGTCCGCTCAGCCGATCCTGGAATGATGCTCGATCCCTGAATCAGCATCTCTTGGCGTCCATGTGGAAGCGCGCTTGTCTCAAGTGCCCTTCGCACACCCATGACTGGTGCTAACCTGACCTCATGGCTGCAGAAATTCCAAAAGAAATCCACAGCCACGCCTATCCCGCATGTCGACACGGCGCTGCTCAACCAGCCTCATGAAAGCAGTCTTCTCGCGACATCCGTCCGGCACGGCTCGCCGAACGTAATGGTCACCCCGAGCCTACAAAGCTCGGTGCCGAGCGTCATCTCACCTGGCCAGGTTCGCATCCAACCGTCATAGGAAATATGTTCGCGCTGCGAGCGATTCGGTTGCATTGCTTTCGTGTGGGTCTTGCCGCAATGCCATGGTTTGACCCCCAATCCCGGCCTCCCTCCCCCTTACCATCGGCGTCTGACACATAAGCCGAGCAACTGTATCGGCTCCTTGGTCTAACGCTCCACTTTACTCGATTCTGCAGCAAAAGCAAGAGGATCTCAATGTTATCCGCATCTACATCGACCGGCTACTGGGCCTGACAACTTCAACCTACAAGGTGTGCCGGGTTCGACCGACACACACCTGCGCCTCTATCATCGCACACGTTCTCCGCGATTGCAAAATCAACGACCATTGGCGGGATTTTGCTCTGTGCATGGAATCCAGCGACAGTGCGACGCAGTGTCTGAGCTTCAATGCCACGCCGCTTCAGATCCACCTGGATTTCCTCAACCAGGGCAAAGATGCGCCAAAGTTCACCCTCCGTCACATCAAGCAGAACAAGACCCAGCTCCAGCGCGCTCCTTCGACCCTGCAAAACTCGCAGATGCGTCGAACACCCGAGCCTCTTTCCTCGACTGAGCTGGAGTGTATCGCCATCGGCATCTACGAGTACTCTGCTACACGCGAAGATGAAACCGACATTGCCATCGGTGACAGGCTCAAGATTGTTGCGACTGAAGGTGGCTGGTCTCAGGTGGAGCGCTCAAACGGCCTTTTCTGGGCTCCAAGCGGATGCTTGTGGCTGCCCAAGAACGAAGAGGCCGTGCCGACGACTGGATGGGTACTTTACGACTACTTTCGTGTCTCCAAGAACGAGCTGACTGTTTCTAAAGGCACAAAGCTGCTGATCCACCGCAAGGCCGAGCACTGGCTCCTGGTCAGCGTCGGCGAGCAAAGTGGCTGGGTTCCCAGCTCGTACATATCCACGACTCCACCGGAGGAGCGAGAGCGCAGTATGTGGCCTGATTCCCGATCGTGTTGCAGCCGAGCCGAAGCCGTCTTGCAGGCACCTCCTGGTCTGCCACGAGGACGTCTTCTCTTTGTTTCCAACCATTCATCCGTTTGTTTGGCTAACCCCCTGATTGCCTTCCGTCGGTTTGTCCAGATGACGAAGTTTCGCCGAGGAAGCTGGCGAGTGCCCTCGCCACCACGGTGGGTCTGCTTGGGGGTGGGAGAGATGGCAGTTGGATGCGGGAGTCGTGTCGTTTCAGGACTTGGGCTGGTTGCGGAAGACAGGCTGAGTGGGATGCACTGTGCTGGCCGGCGAGTGGAGTATATTCCTCTTCAGTCAGAGGTCGTGTGTACATTTTGGCTGGTCCTGCGATGCGGGGCCATTTTTCACCGTCAGGCATGTGCCGGCTGAGAACTGTCGTCCATGCCGGCTGAGAACTGTCGTCCAGGCTCCCCAATCCATCACTGACGTACTAACAACTGTGCAACCCATGCCCACCCACAGCCATTGTCGGCGATGGTACGGTCCCGCAATATGGAGTTCAGATCCGACTCGGCCTCGTCTGGACCCCGGTCGGACGGCTCTCCGGCGCTGTCGCTGCCGGCAGATTTCCGGGACGACTCTTCGGCCCCCAACCGCGTGGCAACCGATTCCGCGAAATCGAGATACGCACCGAGCGCCTATTCGACCGCAGTCGACGACAGCCGGTCCCACATCGGCCTCGATGCGCCACTGGTGATCTCCAGCACAGTCGATGATATGACGGCAATCCTGAATCGGCTGAAAGAGCGCCACGCATTCCTGACCGAGCACAGACTGTGGGGCTCGGCCGAGTCGAGCCGAGCGTCCTCGCTGCACAACCTTGGCTACTGCTTCGATTTCTGCAACATTCTGCTGCAAAGTGTCGGCTCCAACCGTGGCAAGGGACTGGTTCTTTCGATCCAAAGCAGCATTGCCCAGAGGCTTCAGACCCTCGTGGACGACAGCACGGCCAAGCTGGAGTCTCTGCACGCACCCAACATTAGCCCCGATCTGATCACCACGCTCCTGCCGGGTTTGATATCCGACATTTTCAAGGCGCTGGAGTCGATTCTCGCCATGTTGACGAGCAACGCCGCCGAAATCTTTGCGACCCCCACGGCCTACGACGGCTTCAGCTACAGCCCTTCCTCTGGGCTCAATGGCGACATGGCACAGTCCGCCGCCGCCTATTTCGCTGCAAAAACGGGTCAGGCGCACTCCTCTGGACCATCTCCCACGAGTCTAGGTTACATGGGGTACTCGGAGTCGCAGCTGCCTCAAGCCAACAAGCCTCTCGGTGCTGGCGGTGCTCCGGCTCCCAAGCTCTCGCACCAGCACAGCTTTGGACGTCTCGACGAAGGTCGCAGCTACAGCGCCAGCTCGCGTGGAACCGTCCCCGTGCCCGCCGATGCTAGTAATGGCGACCACTCGATTGGCTTGCAGGTGGACGGCGTTCCCATGTCCAAGGGCAATAGCGGCGACCCGGCGCTGCGTGGGATTTGGTCCAGCAAGACGAATGACATCCACAAGGAGCTCCAGTCCAAGATCGGCCGACGCAACCAAGCCGAGGAAGACCGGGCTGGCAACCTGTCCGGACCCAACTCACCCAACACGGTTCCGTCACCTCGACTCAAGAAGATCGGCAGCGACGGTGGTGAATCGAGCGCCGCCAGACTGGCAGGAACCGGTGTTGGTGCGCCCGCCGCCATCGCAAAAACCTATGTCTACGATATTCGCCCGTACGAAGACCTGGTCAGCCGCAGGGACCCTGACCTGGACATGGCCAATCTTGAGGTATGTGCATATGTTCGTGGCGGCACACCGATCCCTGCTTTGCACTGGCCCGGCCTCGGCCGGTGCGGCCGGTAATTTGAGTCCAGTCCGCCGGCGTAACTGGTGTGTCTTTGCCCTGCAGCGATATCTGTCCAACGAAGACTGCCAACGACACTTTGGCATGTCGAGGGAAGAACTGCAAAGGCAGCCGCCGTGGAAGATCAGAGACCTGAAAAAGTAGGCAAGCGCAGCGATATGTGCGACTTGGTGATGCGAGGCCAACGGACGGCTGCATTCAGAGACACTCGTGAAAGTCCAGTCGCCAACGCTTCACTTTTCGGCTGACTGATATTTTGTTTTCGGAATCCCTCACAATGCTCCTCCGTCCCCATCCCAGACTGGCCAAGTTATTTTGAGCGACCGAGTCGGGCTGGGACACCCTCGATACCTGTTGATGGCTGTGCTCGCTCTGGCTCCTGAATACATATATGCACCTGTCGAAACAGCCACTGCCGCGCGCCGGACTTGTCTCGCCAGAGACGCACCCTGGGCTGCATACCATACCCATGTCGTCGCTATCGTTTACTATTGCTAGTATACTTCGTATTATTGTTTATATTTCAATTGAAAGCTTTCGAGGCCTGTGGGCCCTAGCAGTACACAAGGGAAGGAGGAAAGCAGGGACCATCCTATCGAGCAGTCCGGGGAGATGAGAGCCATAGGCCCTCGTTATCGTTATCGCCCTCGCTGGCGGCGGCCTGTTCCGTCGCAGCCGGGACACCGCCGTCGCCGGCTCGAACCGCGCGCACACGGCCCCGCAGACAAGGCGCTGCCCTGGCCGACAACCTTTTTCTTGCTCTGCCCCTCTCTGCAGGAGCAAACGTCCAGGACCGCATCAGCCAGGATCCGCATCAGCCAGGACCGGCGTCTACCAGGCTCGCTGCCCCCCCCCGCTGTCTTCTGCAGCCCCGTCGCTCGCCTCCAGCCCGGTCGATCTGCTCCGATCAAAGCATCGCTTTCTGGCTTGGCCATCTCCAGCCCGACCGTCGGACGTGCCAGCCAGCCAGCTCACCCGCCCGCCGTCTCGACTCAGCTCATCCCTTCATCTGGCCACAGACCATCACTGGGCCATCACTGGGCCATCACTGGGCCATCACTGGGCCATCACTGGACCATCGCTGGGCCATCAAGCCGCTTCCATCCAAACTCTACCCTCCGCACTAGCTGAGCCTATTCTGCGCTCGCCCACTGGCCATCCACCCCATCCGCTCTTTTTTCTCGCCCCTCTGTCCCAGCAGCGCATCACAGCGACCACAAGCAGCAGCAATGGCCGACACCCCGTCTGCACAGCAAAACAGCGCCAGCGTCCTCTCCATGCCCAACCTCAGCGACCTCGAGACTGCAGATCTTGGCAGCTCCGAGCACTCTCCGATCAGCGGCGACGCCCTTCCCGAGTCGCCCTATCTCGACTCACCCGAGGAGCAGCCCTACTTCACTTATTCGTACTATACCGAGCGGCGCCACGAATCGCATGGCGCTCCAACACTAACACACCCGTGCCGCACCCAGGCGCCCACCGACTGGAGAATGAAGGAGCGGCTAAAAACCGTCTCGGTCGCTCTGGTCATCTGCCTCAACATCGGCGTCGATCCGCCGGACGTCGTCAAGACCAACCCATGTGCCAAGATGGAGTGCTGGGTCGACCCGTTCTCGCTCCCGCCGCCCAGGGCCCTCGAGAGCATCGGCCGCAATCTGCAGCAGCAGTATGAGGTGTGGCAGCCCCGGTCGCGCTACCGTCTCTCTCTGGATCCGTCTATCGAGGAGACCAAGCGGCTCTGCCTCTCGCTCCGCCGCAACGCAAGGGAGGAGCGCATCCTGTTCCACTACAACGGCCACGGTGTGCCCAAGCCCACCCCCGGCGGCGAAATCTGGGTCTTCAACCGCAACTACACGCAGTATATCCCCATATCCATATACGACATCCAGACCTGGCTGGGCTCGCCGTGCATCTATGTCTACGACTGCTCCAATGCCGGAAACATCCTGCAGTCCTTCAACCGGTTTGCCGAGCAGCGCGATACCGAGGCTCTGCGGCAGGCCGAGGTCAACGGCGCTTCCAACAACGGTGCGCCCCCGACCCCGTACGTCCCGATGCGCGACTGTATCCAGCTGGCTGCCTGTGGCCCCAACGAGATCCTGCCGATGAATCCCGAGTTGCCGGCCGACATCTTCACCTGCTGTCTGACGACCCCCATCGAGATTGGCCTGCGCTGGTTCGTCTCCAACAACCCGCTCCTCACCAACATCACCCCGGATATGATCATGAAGATCCCCGGCCGCCTCAACGACCGCCGCACCCCCCTCGGTGAGCTCAACTGGATCTTCACTGCCATCACGGACACGATCGCCTGGATCGTGCTGCCGCACGATCTGTTCAAGACCCTGTTCCGCCAGGACTTGATGGTCGCGGCCATGTTCCGCAACTTTTTGCTCGCCGATCGCATCATGCGATCCTACCACTGCACGCCCCAGTCGAGCCCCAGCCTGCCGCCGACGCACCAGCACCCCATGTGGGAGGCCTGGGATCTTGCTGCCGACATGTGTCTCTCGCAGCTGCCTGACCTGCTCGCCCAAGAGGAGAACGGGACGGCGGTCGAGTACCAGAGCAGCACCTTCTTTGCCGACCAGCTGACGGCCTTTGAGGTCTGGCTCACCAAGGGCGCCATCTCGCGCGAGCCCCCGGAGCAGCTGCCGATTGTCCTGCAGGTGCTTCTCAGCCAGGCGCATCGCTTGCGCGCCCTGATGCTCCTGAGCAAGTTCCTTGACCTCGGTCCCTGGGCCGTCAACCTGGCCCTGTCCGTCGGCATCTTCCCATATGTCCTGAAGCTGCTGCAGAGCCCCGCGGGCGATCTCAAGTCGGTGCTGGTCTTCATCTGGGCCAAGATCCTCGCCGTCGACCGCTCCTGTCAGAACGACCTGCTCAAGGACAACGGCTTCACCTATTTTTTGAGCATCCTGGTCTCCCACACAGGCATGCCCTTGATCCCAAACATCTCAGAGCACCGCGCCATGTGCGCCTTTATTCTCTCGGTCTTTTGCCACAACTTCCGCAGCGGCCAGCAGGCGTGTCTTCGCAGCGACTTGCTCCCGTCGCTCTCGCTGTACCTCGTCGACCCCGACCCGCTCCTTCGTCAGTGGTCGTGCATTTGCCTCGGCAAGATGTGGCAGGGCTATTCCGAGGCCAAGCGCACGGCCGTGTCGGAGAACGTCCACGAGAAGCTGGCTCCACTTTTGCTCGACCATGTGGCCGAGGTCCGTGCAGCAGCGCTCTTTGCCTTTGGCACACTCCTGGACGAGATCGAGGGCGGCGACCCTGTCATCACCGTCGACGTCGGCACCAACATTGGCATTTCGATCCTGGTGGCGACCTCGGACGCCTCGCATTTGGTCCGCAACGAGCTCGTGGTGACCCTCTCGCACTACGTGCAGCACTACCACTCCAAGTTTGTCAACTGTGCGCTCGAGATGATTGAAGACGATCGCAAGAGGTTCACTGAGGACGTCCGGAGTCAACCAAACGGCCGGCGCTCGGCCTCGCTGGCGGGCATCGACTGGCGATCCACCCAGTCCCAGTTCAAGTCGCCTTCGCACAACAGTATCTACGGATGCATCTGGAAGGTGTTACTGGCCCTTACGGTGGACCCTTTCGAGGGCATCGCGCGCAAGGCCATACGCATCGTCGACCAGATTCACCTGAAGCTGGCCCGGTCGCATTCGCTCGAACTGCCCCTCCACGGCCCGGGTGCTGTTTTGGACGGACTTCAAGCCCCGTCTCCGCTGCCGCTCTCGAGATCGTCGACAATCTACCAGTCGAGTGCCGCCAAAGAATCCCGAGCCACGCTCAAGCGCTCCACTTCCTTTGTCCACTATCTCACCGGCCGAGGCGCCTCTTCCGAGAACCTGCCCGGCGAGCTCAACGGCTCCGCCAATCTTGCCCAGGGCCCGGCCAGCAGTGGCACTAACCCTCCACCCAGTCCCTGGCTTACGGCCGCGAGCAACCTGCTTGTTGCTGGCGAGCGCCGATCTCGAGCCGGTGCAGAGACGCCGCCACCGAGCTCGCACAGCCGGCCTGGATCTCGGGCACCCTCGCCTGTGCCCGGCAGCGGAGCTGATGCCCTGCGCAACCTTCTGGAGAACCCCAGCTTTGAAATCGACACGGTGTCTCTGGAGTCCGAGTTCTTTGAATGGAGCTGCGAGTCCTTTGCCGAGCCGCAGATTCGCGTAAGTACTGTCGGGTGCGATGGGAGGTAGAGTCGGGTCTAGTCAAATCAACTCGAGCCACATCGAGGTGCAAAGCTTGTAGCATGGCGCCATGTGTATCCGCTCGCTCTATGCGTCGCGACATGTTCGCTGCGACGGCCGGCGGTTTGACGAGCTGCATCGACTTGGAAGAGATGGTGGTGGCCTCGGACCGATGGGATGATACTCACGCGGCATGCTCCATCATTTCTGATGCTGCCACAGATGCGGGAGCGAGACGATGCCGGCAGCGATAGTTTCAATGAGCGTCAGTGGCGCAAGCAGCGCAACGACAAGGTTGTTGCAGCCAACCTTCCCTTCTATGAAACGAGCGGTACGTTAAACAACCAGCTGGGATGCTCTAGCTGCGAAGAGGACGATGCACCGGTGAATATGAGAGGACGATGCGCCGGCAAATGCGATCTCCACGGTGTTTCTGACACTTTGGAGGGCGTGCCTGTCGGCTACTCGATGGCAATGCAGGCACGCGCAAGTTTGAAGAGTGTATCAAGATGATAACGACAGAGCAGCCGCCCACGCTGCTCCGCTTCCACCAGTTCGAGCAGCATCTGGCATATGTAGACGAGCGAAATATTGTGAGGTGAGTTGCTGCTGTGTCGCTGGCGGGCGTTTTCGTCGCTCGGACGATGTTGCCGCAGCTCTTGTAGCACCGCCCTGTGCCATGTTCCCCCTTGTTTCATTAGCCTTGTATGCTGAGCTCCGCACTGACCAACTGCCTGGATTGTGGCTCGTTCAGTGTGTACGACTGGGAGGAGAACGTCAAGTTGTCATCCTTCTCAAACAAGAATCCGGCTGGAAGTCGGATCACATCCCTGCGCTTCATCAACGAGGAAGATTACAGCCTGCTGTTTGTGGGATCAAGTATGTGATGCCACAGGAACAGCAGCGATGTGGTGCACGATGGAGCATGATGCAGTATGGAGCATGATGCAGTATGATGCAGCACGATGGAGCCGAGCGCGGTTTGCAACTAACACTTCCGACGTGGCCTCCTTGCTGGGTCTGGAAATGCGGCGTTTTCAGGCGAGGGTGTGGTGCGAATCTACCGAAACTACGAAGAGAAGCGCAAGTACGAGCTTGCAACGTCGTGGCGCGCCCTGACAGACTTGTTTCCCGAGTCGAGTGGACCGGGTCTCATCTCGGACTGGCAGCAGCACACCGGACTGTTGTCGATCTCGGGCGAATCCAAGTTCATCCGTATCTGGGATGCCTACCGCGAAACCTGTGTGCGGGTAAGCATGGACTGCACGTTTTGCTGTCGATCTCGCAGCTGCAGAGACGGACGCCTGACGGTCGCCGACGAAGCTGGTGTGCTTGATGTGGAGCTCCGATACTGACCGACGTCGCTTGGGTGCTCAGGACATTTCAACACAAACGGGCCAGCCGGTGACATCTCTCGCTAGCAACCGACAGAACCCATTCCTGGTCATTGCGGGATTCAACGACGGCGCCATCCGTCTCTACGACCGACGTCAGAGTGGCACGGATTGGTAAGTCGACTGCAAACTATGGACGAGGGTGGCGCGGCACTCATTCGGATGGCATCGGTGTGTCGGCAAAGTGATCCCATGAGGTCGTTGCTGGCCAGGACGTGAGACTCCGCAAGCCGATGGGCATGGCCAGGGCATGGCCAGGGCATGGCCAGGACACGGCTCGTCTGCTGACCGAGAGCCTCCTATCGTCGCTCTAGCCTGGTTCATACAATCAGCGACCATCGACAGCGCATTCTGTCCACCATCTTCCACCACCCCAGCGAGCAGCTGATATCGGCCTCGGCTTCGGGTGAGGTGAGGCTGTGGGATCTACGAAGCACTGGTGCCACGGCCGTTCTCGAAGGAGCAGGCGCCAGCGACATGTCGGCATTCGCCGTGCATGAGCAGGCGCCCCTGATCGTGCGGTAAGTGGGTCTGAACATGGCTACCTGTTGGTTTGTTCCAGGAAATGGATATAACCCCTCGGTCACCCGAGGCTCGAGTCTGCTTGGTTCCTGACAGCGCTCTGCCTCCCCCTCTCCCGCTGTGTCTCAGCGGAAGTGCCTCGCATACAATGTGCGTCCAGAACATCGAAGGGCAGATCCTCAGCCAGATCCGGTATCACGAAGGGTACATCCTGGGACAAAAGCCCGGCGCCATCAACCACATTGACTTCCACCCGCACAGCCTTGTGTTTGCTGCTTCTGCGGCTGGAACAAACTCGATCTCGATCTACGGATCCGAGTTGCGAGCCCAGTAGAGCCTCTCTGCCGCCGCCGCCGCCGCCGCCGCCGCTGCTGCTGCTGCTGCTGCTGCTGGATCAAGGTACACCTCAGTCGCCGCAGAACGACCCAGGTCTGGTCGAACAACACCCACAAGCTGCGGGGCTGACCACCGATACAAAAATATGTCTGGAGGGAGCCGCTGCCGGCTCTGCATCCAAACGCAGTACCACGGGTCACGGCCCGGCCAAATGCCACCGTCCGGCCATCAATACAGAGTATCTGAAATTGGACACTGACCATTGGACATGGGGCGCCGGGCGTTGAACGAGCGCCGTTGGCCTATGAAGGACAGCGCCGCCGATTTTGGAACCATGAGCCCGTCTGCGACTGACGACCGGATCTCTGTTGTCGCAAGCAGACGCCCCCGCCCACAAGGACGTCCTCGCACCAGCGCGATGGGTCCATGGGCCTCGGCCGCCCAGTTGGCTGCTCCAGGCCAAGGCCCCACGCCACAGCGCCTTGCAGCCGCGACGCGGAGGCTGAGCACACGCCCCGAAGACGCAAGGCCCGTCCGGTGTGGCGGTGCACCGACCGTGTTTGTGTGACAGCAGACGCTCTCTGCGCACGCACTGTCGCTGTGTCGTGCGCCTCTCTTGGCGCAACACGACCCGAGCCGCGGAGCCACACACACACACGGCCTCCCTGATTTTCTCCCAGCCGCCTGTTGTTCTCGCTCCCTTTCACTCCCTTTCGCTCCCTTTCGCTCTCCTCGGCTCTCGCCTGCTCCGTCCATCCTTCGCTCCTCCGTTTGCCGACTTGCGTCTCGACCGACCCTCGACCAAGCACCATCCTCGCTGCCTCTGGCCTTCCCCCCCCGTCGTCGCTGTCTGTCGATAGCTGCCCCCCATGGCCAGCGCCGAATCCTCCTCCAAGGCCCTTGCCCAGGACTCGCAGCCTCTGCCGTTCATTCCGCCTTCCCGCTACGTCCCCCAGGTACCGTCTTTCCGCCGCAGACCCTGCCGCGGGCGTTTTGCCGGCTCTGGCTCAACCGGCTCAACCGGCTCAACCGGCTCTGGCTCAACTGGCGCTGGCTCAGCCGATCTGTGCTTAGTCTTTTCGATCACGCTCTCATATCCCGCTGTCGCTCTGCACCACCAGGACAAGTACAGCAAATGGACGTTCTTCATTAGCGCCCTCGTCTCGGTGTTCATTATCGCCTTCCAGATCTACATCATCGTCGTCTACTTTGGACTCAACCCCGACGACCTCGACCTATCGTATAGCGATGTCACTTCCGAGATTTTCAGGACAATCATCAACAGCTTCATCATGTACGGCTGCTGCATATCCTGCTGGCCGAAACCGCTTGCCCATTCGTGCGGCGTATCCTGTCTTCTCGCTTGCCATGTGATTCTGTCTGGCTGACTCATCTGCAAACACCCGCTTCTCGTTTTAGGTACCGAGCATGCTTCCTTATCGCCTGCATCTTCGGCTCCATCATGACATGGAGCGCTCTGATCTCCAAGAACATTGTCCAGGTCATCTCCGTTGGCATCTACTACGTTGGCGCTGCTGCCTTTGCCATCATCCAATACGTCCAGTCTCGCCAGTATACATTCACCTCGCTTGATCCCAATTCGGCCGCTGTGAGCCTGGCCGATATTCTCGACAATGGATTCCACTACTCTGGCTTCTCCAAGTTTGCCGAGGTTTGTTTCTAGCCATCGTGGTCCTGGGACGTTCGAGCAATGATTCTGTCCGCTCCGGCCCTGACTCATCCCTCGCTCCTTTCTAGGGCTTTGTCATGTACACCAGTGTCGCCCTGACCCTCTTCCTGTTCGGCATGTCCAACGGAATCGCAAATGAGATCCGATGGTTGCTGTACAAGTACGTCCCTGTCCATCGCACACTCTCGGTCGGCAGCCCCGTTCCACACATATGCTTGCATCCACTTGCACTTTTGTGGCATCCTACCGTCGTGGACGTGCAGCATACCATTCCGCAATGCCTCATGCTGTGTACTAATTCTGGACATGCGATCCCACTCCTGTGACTCACACAATCTTGGCTGCGATCGTGTCAACTGTGCCTTTTCGGACGAACCCGCCGTGCTTCCCCTATCCAGGCGCCTCGGTCCCCGATTGAACTTGCGTAGAGCCTTCCTCAACTACCAGATCTTCATGGCCCTCATCAAATTCAACGCCTTCTTCCTTGTTGTCTACGGCATCCAGGTCACCACTGCCTTCGTGCTCGACCAGACCCTTGCCGTTAATCTGGGCTACGTTCAATCGGCCGCCAGCCAGCAGCTGCTATACAAGCTGCTTCTCGTCTCGATCCCGCTCGTCCTGATCACCATCACCATGGGCTTCGTCGCCGTCCACACCGACCGTGTGCTCTACCTGTGGATCTTTGTCGTCGGATGTGTCGGAACGGTTGCTGGCATCATCTTTGTGATCATCAGGACCAGCTCTTACCAGACTCAGGCCAACGGCATGAACGCCTTCTTCATCATGCGGATCTTCCTCTACTTCTTCTCGGGTCTGTCGCTCCTGTTGACGCTGATCACCATGTCCTTCGGTGTCATCCTCTCCAAGAGCTTTGGATCCAAGCTGGGCCAGTACCTCTACAACCCTTGGAACCCCGAAGTAGAGGAGGAGCCGTCCACCGCTCCGGACGACATTGTTTTGGAGTAGATCCGAGATTCCCCTCCCCCGCTGTGTTTTTTATCTCCTTCAATCCATCTCACGCCGCTCGTCTTTGCCTGTGCTCATCACTGTCTACACCTTACACGACCATTCCCTTCTCAATCATGTACTTGTGGTTGCTGTGCTTGTTTCTCCGCCTCGCCCCCATGACATCAGTTAGATCCACGGCCTGCACCCTGGTCTGTCGGAACATCCAATTGTTTTGGTCACTCTCCTTCGCTCTCTTGCCTAGTTTTTTGTCTGACTAAAAACACGAACAAGAGCCATCTTGCTTGCCGACTCACCGGGCCACACCCGATACAAGTCCAACTTTCCCCGGTCGCATCATGCACAATGGCGACATGCGATCTGACGCCGCGATGCGACCACCATGATTGCGAGACTGACTCGCTGGCATCCATGTTCCCATGAGGCTCGGACTGAATTAAATCTATGGACAAAGACAAGCGGTAGCCCCAGACGAGAGCGCACATTGGGTTTCGGGAATCGATAGATATCAAACCGTCGGTTTACTGGAATAGGCTCTGAAACCAGCACACAGCATAGAATGTCGCCGCGTTCGTCGGGAAGGCCCGGATCGCCGTTGCGCCAGCGCCAGCAAACAGCGTCCGGATACCTTCCTTGGCAATGATCTGTCGCATGCAATCGAACGTTCCACGATAAGCAGGGGCATGCACCGAGGCATCGGGAACTGCAACCAAGGCGAGGGGTCAGTGGTGTAGAGTTCAGGAGGAGGGGCGCATGTTTCGGCCTTCCGTCGCCCATGCGGAGTACCACGCGCCTGTGGTTCCATGCTTGCTCGATACCTCCCCGAGCGACCATCCTACCGGACTGCAACCGAGTCTTGACAACATCGAAGGGATAGGTGATCATCCAGGCCATCTGGAGAGGCAGCAAAATGTCAGATTATCCCATGGATCCTCACTGGCACCGTCGCAGAGCGTCTCGCTGGCCGGCTGTCGGATTATCGGTTCAAGCAGTTGGCTCCCTACCACTCCAGCCATCCCACCGGCAAACAAGAGCCCCGCAGTCGGCTTGTCCAGGGGTGCTCCTTCGGGCACACAGTAGCGGCACAGCAGCTCATAGGATGCAAAATAGACACCGTAGCTTGGGGTTTCGCGAATGAGAGTGCATCCAAATCCTCGATAGAACCCGCGGATGCCCTCGGCTCGGTATATCTTGCTGCAGCAGTCGAGGGGACCGCGATAGTACGGTGCTGATGATCCGCTTGGTGTACTGAACTGATTCTGCAGCCGGATTTTCACTGCACAAGAGCGGCGTCCAGCCAAACCCACACCCACACCAGCCCCCGAGATGATAGCGTGATTAGTTCGATCGTGAATCAAGTGCAGTCGTCTCTCCCCGCACAGAGAAAGAGTCAGCACGTCCATTCATGGATTAGATGCGTTCCTGGCATGACACTTACCGAGCTCCATGGGGCAGCTGGATTTCCGTTTCGCATGCAAATGAACGAAGGCGGCGGGTTTCAGCGAGCGTTTAAACCCTGTCGTCATGCGGAGATTCGATCAATCGGGCCAGATGCATGCCACACAATCGGGCGACACACCACCGCACTGCCGTCGTCGAGCTGTCGACAGATGCTACGCAAGACCATGAACTCAATCGATCTTTTCTCGTCCAAACGATGCCTCTGAGCCCACCTGAAAAATGCATTGACAAAGCCCGATCCGTTTCCTGCCCAGAAGATTGTTGCGATGGAGCTCTCTCGGCCATTATCGAGGTGCCGCAGAAACCAGCCGTAGACGCCAAAGAGCAAGCTGTCGGGGGACGGTTGGCGCCGTAATTGAGTTCGTCGGTAGTCAGATACGTGCAATGAACAGATAGGTCCTTCGAGGAAGTTTTGCTCGATATATACGAGATGTCTCGGCATGCTCGAGCCAACTAGACTCAGCCAAGCCAGGATCCTCCAACGGGGCCAATATTCGCTTTCGTTCCATGCAACTCAGCGGACCATGCGACGCTGCCCGAGCCCACCCAGCAATGGAATTTGACCTCCCCACAAACCTGTTGATGACTGCCACTCCAAACAGCGGCGAAGACATGCCTGGCCGGAAGTAGTACTTTGCATGAATGAGCGAGTTCGCGACCCACAGATACAACCACTGGATCGTGGGCCGATACAGAGCCGCAGCGACAGAAACAAGACCACCCCTGAACCGGCTTGCCTACCTTTGTACAGGCCTGAAATCTGGCAAAGAGGGCGGAGAAATTTCGAGGTGCAAACAAGATTCGTCAGGATGTCGCCATAGATATCATCTGTACGGCCGAACGCACAGCATACGTCTCTGCATCGCAGATCGCCGTCTACCTTCTCCTCCTTGATGATGGTCGCAAAGCAGTCCATCAGATTGCGGTACCGATGCCCGGATATGGCCTGCGATTGCAATCGAACCCTGAGTGTGGACGAATCGTTGATGGTACGGCGCATGAGCGTCATCATCCTCGCTGTGATGGCGACAGACGGGCGGGATAGTAAGGACCTGGGTCCGGAATGAGTCAACTTGAAGCAACTTACTTGATGGTATCCTGTGCGCCATTATTCAGTTCGGTCCACCGACCAGCCGTTGTATGGCGACTTGCAGGGTCAGTAACGGCAATTCTGACGAATTGCAGCATGTTCCAGGCCCAATCCAACCGCACTTTCATAGATCTCGTGCCCTGATGAAAGCATGCACCCGGAACCCACCAGAGGATGGCCTGGCAAGATTCAGGTATGTAGTCCAAGAAAAGTCAGCGCGGAAGCGACAGGGTCCCTGGCATGGCCCCTCCATAAGCAGTAGGAGCAGCAGCACGATACATACCCACCAGGACACCAGAGGTTCTGAAAGAGGAATCCCGGCCAAAACGAGGTCGGGCGCCGTGAATTAGACAGAGCCCGGCAGAGGAAAGGAGAGCAGCTCCGTGACCTTCATACATGGCTCCGGCTGCTCTCACAAGCACGATGCGATCGCTCCGAACGAGGATCGTAGCGCGACAGAACTTACCCTGTGAGCGCACCACGGCAGATGGACAAGCGCAGAGCGGGAGTCGAGTTAACGGAGGCAGGTCGAGCAAACTGCACACGGGTAGGCATGTTGACCGCATCGCAATGGCCACCGAACGAGACTACCTCCAACCACGCCAGCGCCGAAATCGATGGCGATGTGCTTCTGGCTTGGCACTTCAGTCGATGACGAAGACATGGATCGTATGCTGTCTGTTTCTGCTCCTTGTGGCAGATCGAGGGAAGCTTGGTGAGGCGTCGATGCGACTGGATAACTGCTGTGAAGATCCAGAGGCAGCAGATTAGTTGTCGAGCCTGAACCATGCGCTAGCCGTTCGATCCAGCCCATGACAATGCGATTCGTGGCCCAAGGCGTTGCTGGCTGTTAGCTGCGTTGGTATGCCCCAACACGGTTACGCACGAGACCGGGATTGCCAAGATCGGGCGATGTGGGCTCGAGGCTGTGTTGGCAACAGGCGAGCACGAAAGTCGGAAAGAGCCGACAGACCAGATCGAGATGCTCGACGGGGACAAACAGGCGAGGCCCCGACACGGAGCGGCTGCAGCCAACGCATCGAGAAGCAGCGCCTTGCCCCCCGGTCGGAGTCGGGAGGAAGAGTGCCCCACCCCTCGCGGCCGGTCGCCGCCCCGAACAAGCGGCCCACCCCGGGCGCCCAGTTTCGCTCGGGTGGAGCAAGCGCCTCCTCGCTGGGGGTGGGCGAGTGGGGGGCGCATGGGACGACGACGACGACGACGGAGCAGTAGTTTCCACCGAGCCCAAAGAAGTACCTCCGGCTGAGACCAAGGAAGTCGTTTGCACAGAACTCAAGACCGGCTGCTTGGCCGTTCCTTCAGCCCGTCTCGCCTCGCAAAGCAGTCGGCAAACTCGGGTGAGTTGCGCATCAATACCCAGCACCAGCCAGCGCCCTCCCGATCCATGCCGGAAGTGGTCCACCATGTGACGGTTCATGTCAAGACATGGTGCGACACATGGTCTGCTTTGAGGGCGCGCCAGTGCGTTCAGGCTTGGGGTCGTCGTCGGCCACCCCAGATCGGGAGCGCACAGGATGCCAAGTTGATCCACATCTACGGGGCATGCTGAGCCGTGATGCTGCTGCCTCACGCAGCCTCGGTATCGGCAAAGAGCGAGCGAACAAGCAATCACCAGTGCTGCTCAATCATCCCAGTACCTCTTCGTCGTATGTCGCCATCCTGCCTCGTCGTCACTGCCATTGTCGAATCGGCGGGTCTCATCAGACATCTCGGCCAATATCGATAATGGCAGCGGCCCAGACAAGCCCTCAATGGATGCGAATCAGCCGATCGATTGGCAGCACATATTGAGGGAGCACAGGGCATGTGTGTTCGCCCCCCGCAGCTCTGATCCTGCACAGAGGCTGCTGATCGTGTTGACTATCCCTGATTGGAATGAGGTGTTGCTCGTCCACATCTCCTTGAAATTGGTCCCCTGGACCCTCTGGATGCGGTCGTTGCGAGAGCTTTACCAGCTTAGGATATGGCATCGCAACCCGAAAGGACAGGATCGCCTATGCTGGACTCGAGCAAGCCGGCAGTCGCCCCTGCCACCAACACCCACTCGAGTTCGCGGAGCATCACATATCCAGAACGGCCTGTGTGGACTGAAGTGACTATGGACTCACCAGTAGTCGACATCGACAGTCCGGTACCCGTCCCGGACAGCATCGACGAGCCGCTCAAAACAAGCCCTCCCACTACACATTCCCCTAACTACCGCTGGAGCAGCATACTGAATGTTCGTCCCACGCCTGGAGACTTGCGGCAGCTGGCAATTTGCCTATCAGCTTTTCTCGTGGCTGCGGTGACCTATGCCCTTCTACTAGTACCCTGGATATACGTTCGATCTTTGATCCCCGAGTGTGTCAACCAGCTAGATGGCTTTGTCTGCAGCATTCCTCAAAAGCTGCTGTATATCTCCCAGTTCACGCTTCTGTCGGCTTGCATCTGGACCAGGTCTGTTCCTCCGACTGTCGATTCTCGAATGCGGCGTCAGTCGGTCTGCGGACCACTGTGTGCTCTCTGTCCGCGACACTCGTAGAGTCGACATTGATCAGCTCTGCTTTGAACTTGCAGCAATACTACCACGCTCCGCCGCCCCAAGAGCCAGTATACATGGCACATACCCGTCGTCTTTGGAGTGGCATCGCTTTCAACGTGTCTGTCGCCGATCGTCTTTGATTCGCTGTGGAGTATCACACAGCTGGCGCTGTCGTTGGTGATCTATTCGATTTTCCTTGTTGTGGGACTGACGATCGTTCCGCGCAAGGTTCCCCTCAAGACCTTCCTCATCTGGATCCAGCCGCTGATGGCAGGGTACTTTGTGTGTTTCATCGTTCTTGTGGGAATCTTTGGAGTGGCCTGCTGGAGACTCATGGCTTGGTCGGAAAGCATCGCCGCCAACCCAGTTGCCATCGATATCGAGTACAGTCTGGCTCCAGTGGCCCTGGGAGGATGCGGCATCTTGGCCCTCTGGGTGCTTGAAAAGTCGCTGTTGCTGGTCGATCGACACTTTGCTGCGCTCGAGAAGAATCCGCTCCCTGTCAACACAAAGGGCTTCGCAACCCTGCGGGTCATTCATACGAAGAACCTCAGTCGGCCCAGCGGTTGCCGCTCGGCTCTGTCGCGGCGAGGACCAGTCCTCCTCGAGTCTCGCATGGCCACGGGCCGGGAAGTTTGGACGTCGGTTCAGCGGGTGCATCTGACTGCCTTTGTGACATCTGCCTTTGCGGTAAGTGTCTCGGGTGCTTTGGTCGCCCAAGAAGCATGGCAAGGACTTGGCCAGTGTTGAGCCGCTCCCTGGCAGCTACACACTGGTGCATCGCATGAATCGCCATTCAATCCGGAACGTCCGGCTAACCCGCAACGAGTCCTCTAGGGTGTTCAAACGATCCTCACACTCTCCTCAATGTACAGCTCTCCTCGTACATACGTGCTCAATCTAACGTTTACCGTACTATTGAACGGTGGGTATGCAGGCCATCGTATGACCGTGAGCACTTGCAAGACACAAGCGGGTTCGATATCGATACTTGGTTCTTCGACCATAGAGCCAGCAAGTGCCCTCGGCTGAGAAAAGAAACGACAGCGCCGCATGAAGCAGGCATTTGCGTTTCAGCCGAGCCCTTTCAACCTCCCCCCTCCAACCCATGCTGACTGGCCTCGCTTGCTGCTGCCGACTTGCAACACCAGTGCTGGCGCGGACAAACATCGGCCTCAAGTTGATGCACTACACCGGGCTCGAGTTCTCGCTTAGCTCCTTTCTGGAAAAGTCGAGTGTCAGGACGATCTACATTGTGAGTCTGGATGCAGTCGAGCAGTCAGGCGTGCAAGTGCTGCGGCGCGGCTTCTGTGAGGCTTCCATATGCCAGATCAAGATATGAGCCAGCTGCCCATATGCCACCACTCTGCTGTTGCTGAGGTGCCTGTGACACTGAATGAGCAACTTTCGTCGGTACCAGGGTGCCGACATGATTTCGAGTGTGTATCCGCTGATTGTCCTGGCAATGCTCAACATGACAAACTACGCCGGCGTATTCTCGGTGAGCATACTGCAGCACGACAGCGACATGCGAGGCTGTCGTATCGATATAGGACATGGCTTGCTGAGCGATTTCACAGGAATCCTGCATCGACAATGGACCCAATCGGACCAGTGCTGACGCCTCTGCTATTGCGTCGGGAATGCCTCAAGTCCCTTGCCTGCGGTCCGTCCCACGAGCTGTGTCCGTACTTCAAAATCTCTTGGCAGTTCTGGATTGGCCTGTCGCTAACCAGTCTCCTCAGCGCCATTTTGACCGAGTTCATCAGCGTGCGCTTCACCAACCGGGTACTGGGCTGCCAGGGGTATTGCTACGTCTACTCGCCCTTCTGGATGTCGGTGTCAAGGCACTTTTGCTCCATTGGGTTTGCGTATGGAGGGCTTGTCGCTGGGGCGACGGCGATCTTGGCTCGGTCCGGGGCCAACGGATAAGGAGCTTGCACCGGGTTCGCTCCGAAGATGCTGTAATACACTATTGTGGATGCAGGAACAGCCCGGGGCATGGATTATCCTGCATGGCCGATGCGATATGGTCAATGAGGCGCGTGCGGTGGCCCTGGCCCTGGCTTGAGCGGAGCAATCCAGGCCCCAGCATCCGGCCTCGAGGCCGCTGCTCCTTGCCCTGCCGCAAACCACCACCACAAACACCCATCGCAGCGCTCCAGCAGATCGTCTTGTCCGTGTGCGCCGCCCTGGTAATGTCCGAGCAGACGAAGCATACGCCCCTGTCGCTCCTCACGCCCTACTCTGCCGATATCTCGGTGCGATTCAAGGTCGTCGATTTGCTTGTCCAAGTCAAGCTGCCAGGTGAGAGCCGGCCTCGCTTTGGCCTTCCCTTTGCTTGCTCGCTGTTGCAGCCGGCTCGCCATGGGTCTCTGGTTTGCGGCGGGTATGGCTGTGGATGCTCTCCGTTCTCTCGCCTTCCGACGCCGCTCGACCAGGGCCTGACTCTCCCGACGGCATGTTTTCAGCACACACCCCCAAGCAGCACCGAGTCGCCGAGTTCCTGGTCGGCGATGAAAGTGGCATCGCCATTGTGCAAGCCAAAGATGGTGAGGAATGGAACGGCATTGGACGGTGACGCTGGAACCGGAGCGGTCTTACCCATGCTTCGTTTGTCGGGAAGGGGGGGGAGTTGAATGTGGGCCTAACGATCGCAAACCTTTGTGTGTGCCAGACCAGATCGACCGTCTCGTTGTTGGCGAGACCTTTGTGATGAGCCATGCTCGAGCCAAAATGTACGACGGATACCTGCGACTTGTGTCAGATCCCTTCCAAGTCGAAAGTATTGCCCTCGAGACACCACTTGAGATCCAGACCCAGACCGACGCCAGCAGTGTGCTTTGGGAGTACGGCACGCCGATCCAATAGGCCGCATATCGAGGCGATGCATCAGGTCGAGGCGGATCATGTTCGAGAGGACGCAATCGTTGCAATACAGCATTTGAGGACTGCGGTAGATGCTGCCCATTACCCTCGAGGGAAGCCACAACTCCTTCGTCACCACCGACCTCCCAGAACAGCTCGTCCATGAGAACGGCGGATCCATTGCAGCCCCCAGAAACTCTGCGACCATGGAGCAAAAGCTTTGCCGCCGAGGCCATCGACACACAACAGCCAGCATTTTGGGCTCGCGGCGGTTGGAATCGCGGGGGTCGACAAGTCACACTATCCCATTCCTATCACAGAGGCGATCTTCCCTGTCCCCACTCAGTCCGGATCGGCTGAGGCGACAACGTGAACGACAGCGAAAACTATGCCCAACGTGTATTTTGTATTCACATTCAACTCATGGATACAACTGCTTAAGCGTCCTGAGCACGGGCGATCTGAGCAGCAATACTGGAATGGAGCAGCAACAGGTGTGCCAGATGATTAGATCAGAGCGACGCCTACAGGCACATAGACCGATCCCGTCCAAATGCAGATGCAAATGCACATGCAGACACAGCCATGCAGCTTGCTCAACATACCGATCCAGATCCTTCTGGCCATCCTGGGAGATTTGGCGACCGCCGTTGGCGCCCTTCTCAAGAACCTTGATCTTCTCAAGGGACTGCATGACCTTGCGGGCAACGGAGCCGGAGGCCTTGACGGTGTGGTGGGGGCGGGTACCACGGTTGACACGGCCACCGTAGTTCTTCTTGAGGCCACCAACTCCAACACCCTGGCGGAGGTAGATGTGGCGGGCGACGGAAGCTAGAAGGAAACAAAAAGAGGGATCGCAATTGAGCCACCGCAACACCGGCAGCCGGCGATATCATCAAACAAGGCAGCGTGGAAGCACTGGTCTGGTCTGGCTGGGACTTACCGGCACGGACGTAGTACCAGTCGGGGTCGTAGGGAGCGAGCTCCTTCTGGGTGCCGGTCTTGACAAGATCGACCCACTTGGGGACCTCGAGCTTGCCGGTACGCTTGAGGTAAGCAGCGTAGGCCTTGACGAAGGCGTGGGCGTTAACGTCTTTAACAGTGACACCGCTGGACATCTGGAGGGAGGACAGTGGGGTCGGAGCAGTCAAAGAAAGACACGGATCGTCAGAACGGCACATCACTTGGGCATCCTCGGGCACCCAACCCAGGTTTGGGGGCTGGTCATGTCGATCGAACGACCGGCTCGCTTTCGGATCGGGCAAGTGTACGTCTGTCCAGAGAGAATCCAAACAGCTTTGTTGCTGCCGCTGTCCGAGTTCGATAATCCGGCGAGCCAGGAGTGGATCCGCTGGGTCTCGCACGAGCTTGTGAGGCCTCAAAGCCGATCCGACCGGTCGGCTGGAAGGTACACTCTGTTTGCGCTGGCCAGAGCAGAGGCACCTCGCCTCCTGCCCCCTCTCGCGCATCGAGGCGAGGATCGTCTGGGGAATCGTGGCCCGTCGAATCGCTTGCTTGATCCAGCCGACCGATCGATCATCCCGTCCACGGGTCGGGTGCTGCCGCACAGCTACTTCGGATGATGCCCCAGTCGAGGACAGCAACTGACGCCGGTTGGTTTTGCTCGCCGAAGCCAGAAAACAAACCCTGCCCATTTGTTGCCCTCGGCTGCGAGTGTCGCTTCCGCTGCTGGCGGTTGCAGCTTCGACGCCTCGGAATCGGAGGAGCGCCGGCGACTGTCCCGTCTCGCCCAGCAGAGCCCGTTCGACTTTTTCCTTTGCTTCCTTCCTGTCTGTCTTCCAATCGATGGCTCTTGAGCGAGTCGGCTGTCTCGTCGATTCTGGCCAGCAACAGCGGGTGCCACGGTCGGCTCCTTCCTCCCCCAACCGACAGGGCGGCCGATTTCCCAGAAATGAAGGGGGAATCGAGCGGGCGGTGATGGGTTACCTTTAGTGCTGTGTGTTGGCTGAACTCCGTGAAGGATAGGAATTATATAGCCTCGGTTGAGTCAAGAGGAAGAGGAAGAGCACGTATTGCCGTTGGGCCGATGCTTTTGGGACGCTGCTGGCACGCCGGTCTGTGTTGCGTGCTCTGTGTCGGCAGAAAAAACTGCGCCACGCATGTGGCGCACGCATTCTGTGGCGCATGTGTCACGTGTATTGCTGCCTGGGTGGCCTGGCGAGACGAGAAGAGAGCGCAGAGAGAGCACAGAGAGAGCACAGAGAGAGCGCAGGGTCGGTGGGTGGACATGGACATGGACGTGGACGTGGGAATGGGCATGACCATGAGCATGGGCTGCTGTCCAGAGAGTTTACAGAGATGAGCGTCGCAGGGGCGTAGCGTGGTGGCCCGGACTCATACAGACGAGCGCAGATCGGTGTTGCGATGAGCAGGAAGAGGCATCGCCAGCATTGGCGGACTACGACCCCATAAAGTCCTTCGTGAGATCTGCATGTGTCCGTCATGGTCAGTCCGGTACATGGAGCAACGCAGCGCAAACTTGTTTCCAGCGATCCTCCCCTCGCTCGCTCGCTGCACAGCTGGGTGTACAATCTCACTCGCCCCATCGGCACTTGCCAATGTCTTCCAGATGCGTGTTGGTGAGCTTGATGCGCTTGTTGGTCTTCTTTGGTTTGACTTTAACCTTGGTCTGGATTGGCAGTTCTTGCATCAGCACATTTACCAGCCACCATATTGCTATCGCAGTACCGGTCAGGCTCAGCCCGCACTCTCTATTTGCCGAGCAGGAGCCTTGCCATGACGCGAGACTTCCCGAAGGTCAAAGCCCGGCGACTTACCACTGACTTGGGTTTGGTGCTGAATGTATCCATTGATTTGAGTCCGGCTGGTTGTGTGGATGTGATCAGGCTTGGGTATATCACAAGATTGAAGTCGGGGCCGTGCCCAACCGCCGACTCGCTCTCGTGACTGCAACATCGTGCTGCTCTGGCACAGCTGCTCTTGTCATCCCGGACGGTGTCGGATCATGTCAAGTGCTCTCACCTTTCTCCAGCTCCTTCTCGAGGTCGCCTTCAGGAGGCAACTTGATTTGATGCCAGTAGGTCTTGAACTCTGCATCGTACAATGGTCAGAGCCGAATTCTCATCCCGCGGCGTTTCGAGGAGCGCCCAATGGCATCGAGAAGCAAGTGACCTTACCTTCGGACATGTGGACATTGAGCGAGGAGTCGTTGTAGAAGAGCACCCTGGGAACAGCCCCAGCACCTTCCTTGTTCATGAACACGATGATGTCCTCGGACTTTTCCAGCTCCTGCAGGCCGTTCGGCTCCGATGTGAGTTTTGCAGGCGAGGCGTCCTACAGTCCAAAACATGACGGCCCATCGCCCATGGACGACAAGAGAGCCAGTCGATCGAATTGCGAGCGCACCTGAACCGCGGCCTGCCAGTTCGGAAAGGACTCTTTGAACTCGTCGTCGACCTCAAGACCGTGAGAAAGCTTCTGGCTCTCGAGCAGCCTGAGAAGATCGTGTTTGGACTTGATATCAAACTTGGGCTGCGATTCGTCGATGGGGCGGACCACGATAGTGTCGAAGCCACAGACAACGGATGATGATTTGCCCGATTCGAGCATGCCACGAAACGTGCACCGACAAAGAAACGACGAATCGAATTGATTCATTAGAAAGCTTGCTGTCTTCCAGGACCACTTAGTTGCTTCCCTCTCCAACTCGAAAAGCGGCATCTCGGTTGTATCAACTCGGAGTCGCCGAGAGAATGCGCCACGAGCGACACCATCGTCGACCCATGGTACCATTGCCATTGCCACTGCCACTGCCACTGCCATCTGCGATACAGCGAGCCGCCTCCCAACCGAGCGATGAGGCAAGGCGCATACCCGGAACTGGAGTGTCTGTGCTTCAAAATCACTGATGATCTTGAGGTTGGTCCGGATACTCTCGATCAGCTCGTCGTTGGTCGAGCTCGTCAGGTCATATCCAGTCTCTTGGTAAATTTCGTCAAACGAGAAGGGGGAGTCTTTGCTCTGAGAATGGAATCGAAGCGATCCAGACCCGCAGGGAGATGGATTTGGAGACCATGGATGCCGCAGAGACAGGATGAAGAGTGGAAGGGAAACGGAGAGCAGAGTATGAATGAAGTTGCCATAGATCGGATATTGATATCAGTTTGTCGGCACGGTGCGGTGTGTCTCTGCTTAGCTGCGAGCGCATAGCGTTGAGTGGGCAAGGAGAGAGGTGTGGAGACCTCACCTTCAGAATGTTGATGATGAGAAAGAGTTGCTTCGCGACGAGATCGGATGCTTGTGGCGCACTTGCGTATGCTAGAGCGACAGAGGAGCATTGACGTGGATTAAAGGAGAACCCGCAGAATCCACATTCGGACATGCAGTGCTCGAGCTGAATGGGGGGGGGAGCGATCCGTACTGCTGCTAACAAAGGAGGGTCGTTTGGGTTTGCTGACGCTTGGCGGCATGGCTGACGACGAAGCCGGAGCGATCCGCTCGTGCCGAATGACCGGCTGGGCTTGCATGCGCTCCCGGAATGCGGCCTGTGAGTAGCGGCGTTAGGACGATCCAAAGGATATGTGATTTTCCGAGCAGGTCCGCTTGGGTCATCCCAAAATACAGCGAATGAGGCCAGATGGAAATCAACTGCAACAGGGGTACTGGGGAAGTCAAGCCGGGGTTTGCTCATTCGGGCGGCTCGCTGGCCTGATTCTGGGTCCGATGCATCTGGGTTGCAGGGCACTGACCTTGGACTGCTCCATCGTGGCAGGTCGATCGGAGGTTTTGAATACAGTGTCGTGGTTGCTGTTGTTGCAGGAGCCAGATACCGGCCAAGAAGCCAAGAGGGACGTGCTGCTTCTCAAGAGCCTTCGATCGGGATCAGCAACGCGGGGGGAAGGGTTGGGGCTGGGTTGGGGCGGAGCTTGCAGATCTCCGCCTCTGACCGGATTGATTGCAGAATCGCTCTGAGACCAACCGAGGCCATCCTACCAAACATATCTGTATTGGCAACATCAAATCACTTTGAACAGCTGAGGGAAGTGACCACAGAAACAAAAAAAAAAAAACAAGGAAGTGAAATGGGGGAGGGCGAATGGCGGGTGGGAAGAGGTTGTTTGGATGATGGATTTGGCATCATAGAATCCGCAACACCGAGCTCAACGAATTCTACGAGGCCCTGGGATCAGACTGGTCGGAAGGGAGGGGAGAATGGAAGCAGGGAACAGAAAGTTGGTGTGAGGAGGGGAGGGAAGGGGAGCAAACCAAAGGGAGGGGGCAGCCGCAAAGTGGTACGGAGGCAAGCGGCGGAACAGGACGATCATAGAAGGTCGTATTCGACGAAGCACATTCGAAATAGTTTTTTTTTTGTGTTTGTTTCTTTACTAGAACTAGAATCCACGCTTTGGAATCCTGATGCAGGAAGTCAAGGAAGAGGAGGATCGATTCTGGGCTGTTCCACGGTTACCGCAGACGAGGAAGCCGGGAGGATATGCTGGATGGGGGGGGTGAATGATGGCGCTGTGCAAGGGCGAGGGGCCGGAGCAAGAGAAGGAGGGATCGTGGCATGGCACTGAAGAATAAATGGATGAATCGGCAAATAAAAAATAAAAAGTAAAAAAAAAAAACAGAAGGAGTGGGGGACGAAGCAAGGGCAGAATTGACCAGCTATCAGTCAGGATCGGGCCAGAGGGGGAGCAAGCAAGCAAAGGGGCGAGGGAGACAGGGACGCTGGGCTCTAGTGGCATCAGCAGTGTCCACGGACTGGCTTATCGCCGTATCAGCGAATGGCAGTCAGCGACAGGGACGCCGCATATACCCGAGCCATTTTGGGAGCACATACAAGGTTTGTCGCGGGACTTGAAAGAAAATCAAACGAGGGGGAGGGAACCGGGAGAGGGAGTTGGATATGGGAGAGGCGAGGCGGTACCGGCGCGGCGGCATAAAGGCGGTCTAAAATAGGTCGAGGAAAGAAAAAACAACAGCAGGAGGCGAGGAGAGCAGGCGGTCTTCAGGACAGGGGGTTCTGGGAACCTGAGTCTGTTCTTGCGGGCACAACAGCGGCGTTGCTGAGGGCAACGCCGTTAGAGCTCGAGGATCGGACTAACGGCTTCGCGGCGGCGCTGTTTTGTCGGCTGGGTTTACCGGTGAGGGCATTTTTGAGGGCTCTTGCCGCAAAGACGGTCAGTCCCCTGACAATGCATGCCAAGTAAAGCGAATTAGCACACGGCGGCGTATGGGCGGCGGCATGATCGGTCCAAGTAGTGCAGTGTACGTACAAATTGTCCCAGTCGGGGTCGGTCAGTTGTCGCAGATCGCCGATCGTCATGATATCCTGGTTGTGGAGTCGCTGCAGCCACTCGTTTCCTTTCTCCACACCTCGTCCGGCGCCTTCAGCAGTGTCCTTGACAAGCTCGCTCACCAACACGTCATCGGCATATTCTACACGAGAGAGTGTGAGGGGAAGGGGCGTGGGCCATCATTAATGTTGGTCGCTCGCAAGCATAGTCAAGCGGCAGACCGACGGAACTACATCAGAGCGCTACTCCCAATCAAGCGGCCGACACGGGGCTGGCTCCACACGGACATACCTTTTCTGGCAATCTGCTCGTACATCTCGTTGTCCATCTCGTTTTGGGAGGGCTTTCGAGTCAAGGTGCTGTGCTCACTTGACGTTGACGACGGCCTCGAGCCCTCGCGCTGCATGGGGATGACGTCCGGCAGATAGCTGGCCGGAGGGCGCGAGTCGGAGCGGGTCCGCTGCATATCGTCGTCTCGCTCGCCCTGGGAGCGGGCACTTGCGCTTCGGCGGTTGAGACGGGATTCCTCTCGATGGCGATCGTCCTCCAGCATGGGACGTTGTAGCTCCTTCAATATTCGATTGATTTCGGTTGTGATCAGATGCTGGTACCGAGACGAGAGGACCTGCTCGTGGATCATTTCGCTCACAACCTGTTCTGCCGTATCGGTCTCGGCTGGAGGCGACAAAGAGCATAGTCAGCATCATGGCTTATGTCTTTGCATCGTCTCTGGGCGCAGAGCAAATCCACCATCACAGCAAGGGCCGCGTGGCATGGGCGACTCGTCCAAGAAGCCGAGCCCGCGCGCACAGTCACAGCTAGACGAGGCCACGCCAGCGGAGGGGCTAGCGCTCGCATCCGTACCGTTGAACTCAAACTTCAGTCTCGACAGTTTGTCCATATCCTTGAACACCACTTGCATGGAGAGCTGGGTTTTGGTTTCGTTGGCTTCCAGCAGCAACACTTCAGGCTCGATAGCCATGAACGGATGCTCGAGGATCTGCTGAGCAGTGGGCCTGCAAAACGAACGGCAAGTCAATAGCCAGCCAAGCAGTTCAGCTGCGTAGGGCACGGATGTGGTGTCGATAGACGCAGCCCTCATCGTGCATTGCGCAGTCCATTTGCTGGGCACGCCGGGCTGTACCTGTCCTTTTCATCGCCGATGCACTGGTTGATCAAGTCGAGGACTTCCTTTTCCCGAACGCGTGACAGGCAGTTGGGCTTGACTCCCTGAAAACGAGGGCCGGCCGGCTGAATGTGAGTAACGAGGGAGGACAGAAGCAGCGGCCGTGTCGCTGGCACGATGGCGGCGACGAAGGTTATGTTGGACATGTACCTGCGTGACCTTTTTGAAAATCTGAGCGGGGTTGGTGCATTCCTGGTAGGGGTACTCACCCGTGACCTGAGCCGAAGAGGGACGAAGTGGGCCATCAGTGCACTGTGTGCGGTAGCAGAGGGATGTGGCATCAGAACCAGTTGGTTGACTCACCATCTCAAGCAGGGCCATGCCAAAGGCATAGATATCCACGCTTTCGTTGTAGCCGGCCTCGTCGTACATCTCGGGGGCCATGAACTCGGGAGTGCCAATGACGGTGTACTTTTTGCCCCACTTCATCTTGGCGGTTCCCATGTCTCCGATCTTGACCTCGCCGTGTGATCCGTTGATGAAGATGTTGTCGCACTGGAGCAAGACAAACGACCGTGCGGGCGGCATCAGAGACATTTAGCTCGACAGACAACTCGACAGACAACTCGACAGACAGCTCGGCAGACGAATCTTACCTTGATGTCGCGGTGGATGATTGGTGGGTTGTGAGAGTGCAGATATTGCAGACCTCGCAAGATTTGCCGACACCACCGCTTGACCACTCTCACGTTCGGAATGGACAACCGGCGGATATATCTGCGGCGGCATGGTAGGTCGAGCGTGGATGAGCCTCGGTGCATAGACGCTGCACTGAGATCGAGCCGCGAACAGAGGTCGCAGGCGGTGGCGCAAGTGAGAGCCGAGCTTACTCTCGAAGGGTTCCCGAGGTCATCAGTTCCGTGACAAACACAAACTCGGTGTTGTTGTACCAGCAGTCGTAGAACTGGATGATGTTTGGGTGTCGAACCATCTTCAGGATCTCAATCTCCTCGCTGAGCTCGTTGAACTCGGCCTTGGTGGTCTGCAGGCGCCGGCGAGCCAAATGTGGTGAGTGGATTAAGTTGCATGAGCCCAAACATAAGGTGGGGTAAATGAGTCACCGTCGAGATTCTCACGATGGTCGAAAGAGAGGCATGGTAGATACGAGCAGAGCCGTGGGGGGGGGGAGGCAGAGGCTCGAGCTGTTGATCGAGACGTGTGGCGCCGAGGGCCGCCACAGCCGTTGCCACCATAGCAGGCACGACCGTGTCCTGGGTTCGAGGTTGTGGGCTGATCTGAGGAGTGGCTTACCGGACAAGCATTCCACGCCACCTCGATGCCTTCTTCGCGATCAATTGCTTTGTGGACAACCTTGAAGGCGCCGGTGCCGAGGAGATGATTCAGCTGCAGAATTGGACGGTGGGTTGCAGGATAGCATGAGCAAGGGCATGGGGGGGGAATAACACAAGGAGAGGCGAAACAAAAGCAAAAGCAAAAGCAAAAGCAAGCATTAATTGGCGGACGGTAGGAACGGTCGGATCACAGATCGGTGCGTGGAAAGGTGGTCGAGCCATCGACGGAGCATGGCTATGCGACGGCCGGCACAACAATCAGGAGGAGATCAGGAAGGATGGAGACGACGAGGTGCGTCGAGATGATGTGAGGCAGAGGAAGGGCTGATTGCGAATCCAGTCAAGAGAAAGAGAGAGGGGCCTTTGGCTTGCCTTGGCATAGCGATTGTTGGGACTGAGCTCGATGACTCTCTCGGAAACCGAATCCAGATTCAGAGGAGGCGGGTGATCGCCGGAGGAGCTCAAGCCTGTGGAACTTGCGTAGGTGGAGGTGTACTCCGGCGAGCGGGGATTTGAGGGCGGATATGCATCGCTCTTTACACCGCTTGGCCGAGGCAACGACGAATGGGACATGCTGGGTGGGTGTGATGGCTTTAAGTTAAAGGTGATGAGGGCTGCCGTCTGTGGACGACAGGTGCGGCTGTGAGGAAGGGAGGTGGCTGCTGCTGCTGCTGCTGCTGCTGCTTTTTGATCGAAACGCTTTGGAGGTGCTCAATCCGTTTCGAAATCCGCCATCCAGATTGCAGGCTAGAGCGGACGAGAGACAGAGAGACAGAGAGCGAGCGGAGCGTTAGGGTGGCGGCCAACGCAAGAGCAGGGGATCAGGATCCAGCGATGCAGACGTGCACGAGGGGCTTTGGTGGTTGGTGGAATCGCGGGGCAGATGGCGGCGGCGCCTTGCCTCGAATCATGGAACGGGCGGCAGAAGACGACGAGAGCGGGGAGGCGGATGGGGGGCAAATGCGGAGAGGCAGACAGCCAGGTCGTCCCAAGGCCTGTCAATGTCGAGATAGCCGGCGGTGGCGACGACGGCAACGACGAAAGCAATCGGTGGGCTGGCAAGCATGGGCGTGGGGGATTTGGTGGTTGCATTTGGTACTTACGCTGCAAGGACGGGGTGGCCGGATGTCAGGACGGCAGGGAAGTAGCCTGCAGTGGTGGGAAAGCCAGCAGGACGACCAGAGCGAAGAGCGATCAGGACGGGTGCCGAACAACCTCGAAAAAGCACAGGTTTGGGCAGTCTGGGGAAACAAGGGCGGCTACAGCAGCGCGGATGCGGTCGTCGATGCGGGTGGGCAGAGAGCAGGACGAGGCAGGCGGACGGAGACGTCACCTGGGAGGGGGGTTCTATTGGAGATGGTGCAGGCCGGTGCAGGCTTGGTGCAGGCTTGGTGCGCTGGCAGGCTGGATGGCCCTCGGTCTGGGGAGGGTCGCTGGCAGTCGCGATGCTATGTGGGGAGTGGAGTAGACCGGGATGCTCGATGTCGTTGGAGAGACTCGCCGAGGGACTCGCTGGAGGTCTCGGTGCAGAGCTCGCTGCAGAGCTCGCTGGAGGGCTCGCTGGAAGGACCAAGGCCGCCAAAGAGTTTTTTTCTTCTTGTCCAAGGGCGCACGCCGGCGGTGCTGGCCACTGCGAGAGCACACAGACGCTGTCGACAGAGACTGTGGGCGGCGACTGTCTGAGGCGACTCTGTGCAGCGGCAGAGAAGAGAGAGCGAGAGGGACAGAGGGCGAGAGCGAGACAGAGAAGAGAGAGCAGGAGAGAGGAGAGACCGAGAGCGAGACCGAGGGCTTGTTGGGCGGCTGTCTGATCGGGCACCACAAATGCACCAGCGAGGCGCCAGCGAGACGCCAGCGAGGCCATTCTCCTTGCACCCCCCCACGCCTCTCCCCGCGCAGCACAACTCCTGTATCACCGCACCGCGCACAGGCCCTCCAAAACGGTCGGTCTGTATTCTGGGTGCTGTTGGCCCTCTGCTTGGCTCGGCCGTCGCTGGCCACCACCGCCAAACACAAAAAAGAAAGCCGCTTGCAGATGCCGTCCCCGCCTCGAGGCCCGGAGCTGTGCAGTTCGGCCGCGTGGTCGTCCCCGGTCCAGCACAGAAGGGGCCTGGGCTTGCGTTTTGCGGGACGCTTGCTCGCCATCTGCCTCGCGCTGCGTCTGCCCCTCGTGTCCTGCCGGCGCCTCAGACCTGCCCGATTTTGTTTGTGATGGTGCGATAGAGGTCGCCGACGTTGCCCGACCACTTGTCCAAGGCGCTGTAATGGAGCGCATCTGTGCTCCTGCTCACGCAGTCGTCGGCCGAGAGAGAGGGTCGTCAGCAGAGCAATTCCATCGGCGCTGCAAGCACGCTCCCACAGCGCCTGCACCAACTTGACACCACTCCACCATCCAAAAGGCGAAACATGTCCGACAGGGATGCCGGTCGCGTGCGGTATCGCCAAGGCCCAAAGGAAGCCGCTTCTCCTGGCGCTTCCCGCTTTCACACAGCCCCACAACCCCAGCAAATCCGGCAGCTCCAATAGGCCCCAGCCCCTTGTCATGTCTTTCTCCTCCTCCTCCCCCTGTTCGCACCGGCCTGCATTGCCCCCGCCGCCGCCCCGCCGATCCCGTTGCCACAATGTCGCAACATACTCTTGGTGCAGCTCCAGGCGCTGGTTCACTTGGTCGATCTGGCCGTTGACCTTGCCGTCCAGGATCAAGCCCACCAGGATCTCCTCGACATCGGCTGGAGATATGTTGAGTTGCTGCAAGTCGGAAAGAGGATTGCCGGCATGAGGATCCGCAGATTGTCGTCGCGTCGTCATCTCGGTGCACAGCTCTTGGATACCCACGCAGCGACGATGCGCTACGCCGTAGTATGGCCTGCATTGTTTTTCTCTGCCTATCCCGCGGTGCGTCGGCCTACCTTGGAGGCAAACGGAATCTCGATCCGGGTGTACGGCTTGATGAGCTTGAGCAGGACCTGGGTGCGGATGTTCCTGAGCACATCGTCGATGTATGCCCGGATGAAGGGATCACCCATAATGCTTTGCTGGTTGTCTAGATGGATCGCAGTGCATCAGCGTGGGGCCTGGATGCGCCGCCCGTCGTCCTATCGACCGTTCTGCCACAAATCCTGCCACGGAGAGCCTCCCCTCCACGCCGCTATCCAGAACACGGCACCTTTCAGAATCTTTTCAAACTCGCGAATGTCGTTGCGCTGATAGGCGTTGACGAGGTTGGTCATGGCCATCATCTGGGGATCGTTCTTGTATCTGCCGAATCCGAGACAAACCCCGATAGTGTCGAGAACGATCATTGATCTTCGTCAGTCGTTGGCCGCAGTGACTCGCGCTGGATCTACCGATCTGGAATCCTCCTCCTCCCTCCAAAAGGCAAGCGAGCTAGCGGCAGGCGGCAAGCATGCTCACGGTTTGGTTTCCTGAGACTCGAACGGATTGATCTGTGAGTCCATGAGCATGTTGGCGAGTACCAAGTACTTGAGGCACTGCATGCGCTGCGGGCTGCCGGCCTCGTCGTAATTCTTGAATGCCTCGAAAAAGTCGGTCTGGGCCTTTTCCCACTCGTCTGTCGAGTGAGATTGATCGTTAGTCGGGATGGAGCTCTCCCGTGCGAGCCTATCCTTCTCTGGTACTCACTTTCACCCATGTGCATCTTGCCGCCGCATTCTCGGATTACACCTGCAAAGCGTGAGTGGTAGATGGTGAGCAGAGGGGCACATACGACCACGCAGCCACACAAAGTCGATTGTCATAGGAAGCCGTCCCCGTGTGCCTGTAGCGCCTACCCATGATGCGGGGGTGAGGAATGGCGGACTTGACATGGAGGCATTGCTGGTACAGCGCCTATTGATCGAGAGCGGGATCAGCAAAGCTATTATCGGCAGTGTATTGCGATGTCGGCAGCACATCGCGACATTGCAGTACGTCATCATCAGTCTTGGATGAGTGCGTCATCAGCCCGTATCCAAAGGGCAGACACACGACCCCTCGTGCCCGATGAACGGAGGGACGGATGTCGGCCGCCACCTACCTTGAGCTTTTTGTTATTCTTGGTCTCGGTGTACATTTGGATCTCCAGAGCAAAGATCTCCAGGAGCAGCGTGCCCTTCTTCTGGTCATCGGTGCCGTCCGTGTTCTGGCATGAGGCGTGCAGCTGTCGCAGGATCTGATGGTCGATCGAAGCACGACTTGGTGAGTTTACTGGCCAATGATGGACTTGCTGGTCGGTAGTGTACAATGGCATCTTAAATGATTGCGTTCAGGGCAGCTTACCTTGGTCAGACGGCCGTACTCCTTCCGGTCAAGCCATACACGAGCCAGCTTTAGGTTGGTCTTGGTCCACAGTCGCTATGAGCAGCATTCATGGCCACGGTGTCAATGTCGAGAATGACAAGCACGGCGTTCGCCGAGAAACGATCCCCCAAAGATATGACCAGGTAGCGTTTGTCGACGATGGCCAGAATCTTGGTATGACGCATCGCTGCCGTACAAAAAAGGAGGGATTTCCCGATCCCCTGTGCGGCTCCGCACTCACCTCGTTCTTGGCGTCCTCGAGCGCCTTCAGAGTCACGGCATAGAACTCCTCGAGGAAGGCCATCTCCTGGGAGTTTGAGACGTTGTCCAGGATGTTGTTGATGCTCTTTTCGCTGTAGTTCCGAGTCACGGCGCTCTTGATGTAGCCGAGAAGTTCTCGGTAACTGGCCAGGGTCTGCGATACAGAGGAGCACAGTACAGCACAGTACAGCACAGGCAGCACAGGCAGCACAGCACCGCATAGACAACGATTTCAGGATGAGAAGGCCGTTTGCCTGGAACAAGTGGCCAGCACAGCTCCCTTCCTCGTCTTCAAGCCCTGTGGTCTCAAGCAAACTCGCCCGAGTCTCACCTCGCGGTAACGCTGCATCTTGTATGTAAGCTTGATTATTTGCTTCAGCGCCTTGAATCCCCTGGTTGTCGCAAGATGAGCGGATGAGCCTCATTCCCTCCAGCAAAGCAGCAGCAACCGTGCCCAGCCCCGGCATCTCATCAATCCACTTTCTCCTGACACGATCCTCGCCCTGGCTCTTGAGTGCGGGTTCTATCCAAAGCGCTTGGCATGCTGGCTTACCATTCACCACGCTCCATCTCGGCCTCGGTATCGACGACGCTTCGGAACTCTTCGAGTGCAGCCTCGGGCTCGTCGTCCTTTTTGGCTGCACAACAAAAGCAATCGCACATCATCGTCAGACAGGGCCGCTTCCTTGAGTCAGGGAATTTGTTACAGTCAGGCGACGGCGATGGGACGAGATCGGCTCGGGAGAAGCCCCTCGCCAACGATCCGTCCAAACATCCACAGGCTGGCTCCCGACCGATGGGCACGGCCAGAGGTTCGCCACAAGATGTCTCGTCCGGAGGTACTCTTGTTCGGAAGAAAGGGTACCTTTGGCATTATAGTATTTGTTCTCCAGATCGACATCGGGCTCTTCATCTCCATCTTCGTCGTACTCGAACTCAAAGTCCTCCTCGTCGTCCTCAACCTACCGGCCCACGGACTCCAGGTTAGATGGCATTGTCATGGGTTCTGGATGCAGCTCTGTTCGGCGAATGGCTTGACCGACGCTGCCTTTCCCCATCCCCTTCGCCCCCCTTATCTCGTGCGCACTGTGATGGCCTGCCGGGCACTCCCGAAGTGACGCAAGACAAAGATCCTGTCCGAACCATCAGAGACAGCGGCCCCGATCGATCTCCCAACCCACCATAAAGTCATCATCGTCCATGTCCGACATTGCCGCCGATTTTTGGTTCAGGGAAGCGGGAAGGTAGGGGGAGAGGAGTGTGCAGAGCAGAGAATCGGGTGGTGGCTCCGGCTGGGAGCGGGTGGCGAGAGAGAGGGGTGGTCGCCGAGGCAGGACGTTCGCTCTGTTTTTGCCTCCTTCCGCGCCTCGGAGTGCAAGGGTCTCGTTTCTCTTGGGCATGAGCCCACACCGAGACCGAAATCCGAGGAGGCGGCCGAGAAGCCACTCTCGGCCTCGGTCTCGGCCTCGGTCTCGGGAGCTGCCCGTGGAAGCAGGTGACCGCGGCGTGACTCGCCGATACGTCCCGGTTTCATGACCTGGTGCCAGCCTTCGTTGGCCGCTGACATGACCATCTGCCGCACTCTTGGGCTTTCGCGCCGCTGCTCGGCTGTGGAGACCGAAGAAGCAGTATGTCACAAGCTACGCAATCGCAATGAGAGCGGGACAGTGTCCAGCTCGATTCTGAATATAGTGTAATACAGCTCACATCAAAGACAAACACAAGAAACAACAGTAATGAACAGCAATATCGGCGAGCGTTCTTCCACCGTCCCTCCTTCTCCGCCTACCAAACAACACATATACTCGAAGTGCGTGTCTTGTTGGAGTAGGTGTGGCGGCGATCATGTTCGGTTGGGGCTCAAGCCAGGAAAATGTAGCTTCGTCTGGCGTTCTTCCAGGCAAAGTAGACCATGGCCAGAACAACGACCAGGACAAACAAGAACAGGCCGATCAGGTCCACCGGGCGGTTGCGTTCAACGGGCTTCTGGACCGGTGGGGCAACAGGAATGTTGCTGCAGTCGGTCTGGTTTCCGGGGAGCACACGAACGTGAATCTCGTCGCCGTCTCCGGCCGTGGCACTGGTCTGGATAAGAACGACGTTGGACTGATTGCCGCAGTTGATGTAGGTGGCGGGTCCGCTGAGCTCGATGTGGAACCCATCGGGGTAGTGCAGCCTGAACGAAGTAATAGATATTGGATGGTGGAGTTGGTGAGTCTGGCGCTAGATGGGTCAATATGAAGACAGCCACAGCCATCGAAAGTTCGCCGGCGGCAGGGAGATGCGTACTCTTTCTGCACACGGATCACGGTGTTCTGGCCCAGCGTCGACGGCACAACGTTGTACGCCAGATCGAACGTCTTGGTGTTGTCGCTGTACTGCATGAGGGACACGCGCCCGGCAACGGCCTCGGCAAACGGCCGGGACAGGAACTGGGCGTTCTGCTTGTGCACCTCTCCAGTATCGATGATGAAGAGCGAGTCGTTGTAGCCGGTAATGGGGATGTAGCGCTTGTATTCCCAGCTGTGGGCAGGCAGCGGTAGTGTTAGCTCGGAGCAAGTTGACCCCCACTGACCTGCGCAGCACTATTTCCTGGCATTTTGAGGCCGTGGCCGTATCCACTTCTCCACCGACAAATGCAACCTACCCGATCCAGCTCTGCAGATACTTGTCAGCGACCTTGAGCTGATGCAGGAGATCCGGCTGGCCAATGGCAATGTCAAATTCGGTCATCATGAGTCCACAGTTGCCGAGTCGCTTTGCATTCTTGATGCGCTGCTGGATGTGTCTTTCCAGCGAGTGGCGGTTGGGTGCCAGCCAATAGTAGTGGTAGCTGAGCACCGACTTGCTGACATAGGGCTCGCCACCTGCAGGCCCGGGTACCGGAAACAGTCAGCAGCACCCTGTGCGTCGTTTCTCAGGCATGTTTCGGATTTACACATCCGTTCTTCCGTAGCAAGACGGGCTCGTCGAGCTGCTATCTCCAGCACATGCCCCTCATTCACTTACCGGGAGTCTTGGTAAATCCGTTGTAGTTGTCGTCGGTGGTGACCGACTCAAAGAAAATGAGTCCGTCCTGGTCAACCTTGCGAATCTCCTTCTGGATGATGTCGTAGAAGGGCTCGAGGACCTTTGTGGCGGCGTAGCCTTCCTCGAGAATGAGCCGAGGGTCGCTCAGAACGTCGCCACCCAGTGGCTCTGTGCGAAGGCGGGGGAGAGATGCACCATCGGTCCGCTGTCAGCGAATGCGGATCGCGCGGGTCCCATGAGCAAACAACCAGTGATGCGTATCCACGGACACACACAGCTACTCACCATTGATGATTTCGTAGCCGAGGACGTTGGGATAGTCCTTGAATTCGGTAGCAACCCTGGCCCAGAAAGCGGCCATGTCGTCTGCGTAGCCATTGAGGTTATCATATAGGTTTTGGTACGCTCGGGCGGCCGCAAACGAGCCCTGGTAGTCGGGCCAGTTGAACTCGTCGCACTGCTGGCGGCTTGGAGTATGGTCGCCCTTGTGGTTCCATGCCTCGCGAGTAAGCGGCAGTGGGAAGCCTCCGAAGGCACCAGTCGAATTAGCTGCCCAGAGCGGGATGCCTTCGCCACAGTATCGCTCAGAGAGATTGTCTTGGTGCATGTCCAGCAGGACGTAAATGCCCTGCGATAATTCAATGGAGGCCGGAAACGTTGGTGGCTGAAGACAGGCGGATCGCTGGCCCACCGCTGCATGCAGCCGAGCGCATCAAATGTGCTCCTCCTCCGCGCTCGACCAGCCCGCATATCGACATGCTGTCTACACCGGAGCTGCGCCTTATAGGCCTTACATGGCGTTGGCACACCTCGACAATGTCCTTGAGGACCTCAAAGTAGGTCTGATTGTATGTGCCGCGCTCGGGCTCAGCGCCGGGCCACATCACGCCTGAAACAGCAATGGCAACCGCAGCAGCAGAAGAGGCAGTTAGTCAAGCTGCAAGCACGCGGGAGTCGGCCAAATGTGCTGCTCGAGGCTGCTGGCGCTCACCCAGGCGAATGACGTTCATGTTGAGGTCTTCCAAGAACCGGGCATCGTCCTCATTGAAAGAGTACTGAATGTCCCAGAAGCGAGTCTCGGGAAAGTAAGGGAAGGCTGGAGGCGGATGAAACAACAGGCATCGGCAAATGAGTTCAAGTCAGCGGCGCTGTAAAGCTGTACTCTGGGAGCCGGTATGCTGTGGTAGCCAGGCCCCCGGCGAACGGCAGCGGCCAGACCAAGAGAGAGGAAACAAACTGGAGGCCCTGGCCATCGACGCACCTACCTTTGTACACGACGTTGACACCGTGGAAGAAGCGCTGGCGGTCCGTCGCATCGACAAAAACGCCAGACAGATCGATACCGTGGATCCTCGATACGGGCTGGGTCTCGGGCACGGCAAAAGACCATTGCAGGCCAACGGACGAGTCCTGGGCAGGGCTCTTGGCGAGCACGGAGGTAGCAGAGAGCACGCCGATTGCGGCGACGGCGAGCTGGGCGAGCATGGAGTCGAGACGGGAAGGCAGGGCTTGCAGGGCAGCGACGCCGCCCAGAGAGCCCGGCGAGTCGATATATATATATCCTGCATCCACCGCACATCCACCCTGCGTCCTGCCATCTGCAACCCCACACGCGTCGCACCCTGGTGGAGGCCAGGCAACGCACCACGAAACGTGCCGAGATCAGGCGGCTTGGTGGTGGCGTTGCCTGGTGGCGGCCGTCGCTGTGGATTGGGGATCGGGATTTTGCGGCTCGTCCTTGGGTGCTGCATGGACATGGACATGGACATGGATATGGACATATGCACGAAGAGCATGGGATGGGCCGTTTCTTGGAGCAACTCGGCCCACACCACCATCGAGGGTCTCAGCACGACAGATGCGAGAGATGCCAGCGGTGGCCACACTCATGCTGTATTCCACATGTCGCTCACGACCAGCACTCCTGCTGGAACCGCCGCTGCTTCTCCAGCCCGCGCAGATAAGCAAGCGCCTCGTCGTCGGTCATGTTGCCTTCGATCTTGAAGATCTCCTTGAGTGCGTCCTCGACATCGTACGGCATGCGCTTGGCATTACTGGGGTGAGAGGTGGCCATGGCACGGATCAGCTCAGCGAGCCGGCAGTGGCGACGCATGGATGCAGGAAGGCAGGCAGATCGACGATGGCAGCGATTGGGTCGTCGGTAGCGCCGAAGCTTCCCAAGCACCGTCACCACTTACCCTGAGAGGAAGACGAAGCCACCCTTGACTCCGATGAGCTCCCACATGAGCTTGGCTTGCTCCTGAATGCGGTGCTGGACGTAGATCTTCTCGTCCTGGAGGGTTGGACGAGGGTATACGTATCAGAGCGAGTCGAAGACGGCGCAGTCGAGAGGAACAATCCCACGGCTCCAGATGGGTGCGGTGCTGGTGGCGTCGGTGTCTCAGCTACAAACCTGGTCCCGAGAAAACGCCGTGAACACCTTGAGCTGCCCCCTGTTGCAGGCCGCTTGCCATTCAGAGGCGTATACATAGTCTTTGAACTGATTGCGGCAACCAACAAAGAGGACATTATCTGCAAGCAGTGGTTGGTGATGGTCAGGAACCACTCCGAGCGGCGTATTGTATCTGTCGTCGGCCTCACACGTCTGCCAAAAGCCTACCGTGGTGCCCGCGATTGATGCGCTCCTGTATGAACGATCGCATCGGAGCGACGCCTGTGCCTGTAATCCAGATGAACGAGTTCCCGCTTTGTTAACGAGCACTGTCCAGAAGGTCCAAGCCCGCCTGCATTATGTGGCTCTGTATATCAATGTCCCCATCATGCATCAGTGTTCGGAAAGGGACATGACTTGCCTGGGCCAATGAAAATCGCGGGCACGCCGTCGTCTGGGAGCTTCATGGTGCCTCTAGATATGTAGAACGGGACGGAGGCTGGATCGACATTAATGCCTGGCACGGGTCACGATACAATATCAAGATCTCTGCGGGCGGCACATCTGGCGACCGCACACACGCTTACTTCCACACGGCAGGCTGGAGAGCCAGCTGGTGCAAACTCCGGTTCTCGGTTTCTTGAGCTTTGTCGTATAGTTGATGATGCCGACAGTCAGGTCGATTCGGCTGCGGTCGACCTGTCCATGTTGGAATCGGAGATGAGGTCAGGATCGTGGTGCTAAAGCAAACGAATGCTGCTTATCGGGCCACGGGATCCGTCAGATCGTCAATCCCCTCAACCAGCTTCGGAAACGCCACGCAGAGTTGCAGATAACATCGGTCAGCCCACATTCGGAGACGACGCGATGGAGAAGAGACGCGGCCGGAGTTCGGGAATCAGATCCAACAGATATTTCAAGGGGACTTTGGCAGAGTGGAAGTCCTGGAGGACCTCAAAGGTGGTGCGCTTCATCCGATGGCAGTACGAGTAGAGATCGGGCTAGAGAATGAAAATGCGCAGTGTTGGGAGAGCGATGAGGAAACGACGAGCACATGGAGGCAACGGAGCATGCTCACCGCGGTTGAGTCGACAAGCGGTTGAGCCGTCAGGGACGCAATGCAGAGTCTGTACCTGTCCCTCGCTCGAGGCGAACTCGCGCAGCTTCTCGGCATGGTCCAGATCCGTGGAAAAGAAGGAAAGAAGCTCGAAAAAGTACCGCCGCGGATGCCCAAACAGATCCAGATGGCTCTCCAGCAGGATTCGGAGGGTCATGATGGTGCCCCAGTGCTTCGGCCGCTTGGCATCTGGATCGTTAGAAGCCAGGGTGGAAGGGGAAGTGAGTCGACAGTAACTCCCAGCCCAACAGGAATGCGGGTCCACTGCCCATTCGGAAGCAAAGCAGGCAGAGTGACGCACCCTCTCGGACAGGCTTGAGCTGCAGAGGCTTGTCTGCAATGTCCTTCCAGCCAAAGAAGGCCAGTGCTTCCTCAACCAGATCTGGGTCGTTCTTGGGGTAGAGGCCCATGACATCACCGGGATTATAAACAGCGCTGTCGAGCTGCGCCGGTCCATCGATTCGGAAGGAAAGGTGCCGGATGTCCTGGAAATGATCGGCGGCGGTAAGACGCTCGTTGGCAATCAACGTGGCTCTGGGAAGCAAGGCATAGGATGCAGATGGCTCGATGCGATCGGCGTCTTCAAAGGACAGAAACTCGATCTCGAAGCTTGGAGGGGGCGTAGGAAGCCAGGATACCAGTGCGAGTTAAGGATAGGGTGGCACGTTTTCGGCATGTACGAATCACAAAGCGAGATCGAGGGAGGCCGACAACCGGCTCGGCGTGGAAAGGATATAGAACCGTCTCCGAAATGATCTCCATGTTGGGTGGCAGCGGATACAGCGCCATTACGATGGCCCATAGCTCGGACAGCCACGGATCGAGTTCAGTGTCCACTCTGGCGAGAAACGAATGCTGCTTAGCGACTGCTTAGCGACTGCTTAATGCGACCGCCCTGCTGCGATGTGTTGCCAAAATAACACACCCAAGTTTGTGCTGATCGTCGCCGTCGCCTCTTCGGTGTATCGCCTCTGCGCCGAGCTGAATAAGTCGCTTGTAAAGTTTCTTGGCTGGAAAGTTAAACCTGTCCACGATTGCGTAGGGTATATCAGCGACAGCAACCCAAACGCCTGTTGCGACCGGGCTGCGATCGAGGATCCGGACAACACTGCACCTCTGATACGAGCTGTCTCCAAGACCAAATACAGCAAACTTGAGCCCTGCGAGCGAGTCGGCAGGTAGATTCTTCCGCAGCAGGAACTTCCAGAACCGCTGAGGCAGCAGAGCGGCGGGTCAGCTTCATGGCTGGAGTCGACAGACCGAGATTCACACACCGAACTGACGAGTCCATTCCAACTGGCGAGTCCATTCCAACTGGCGAGTCTATTCCAACTGGCGAGTCTATTCCAACTGGCGATCGAAATCATACCTTCATATTATCTGGCTCATCGCCCTGGCCGGTGACAGAGCACACAAAGATCGCCAGCCCTGCTTGCGTCAAGCTGGCCTGCCAAACACATTAAGAAGCAGTGTCCATGTCAACCAAAGCAAGTCACCGGCAGCGTACCCGTGGGTCCGCCGAGTCTGCTGCGATGAGCGGGCCGGAGGGCCATGCAATTAGAAGATGGGGCCAACCAGCGAGGGTCAGAATGCCACTCACCCGCTCGTAATCGTCCATGGCGGAGAGAACAACATGGAAGTGGCGGCGACGGGCCTCTCTTGCGATGCGCTCGGCCACCTCCTGGGCGCAGCCTGTTTGCGAACCGTACAGAACCGTGATGTTCCTTTCCTGCGGCATTGGTAGAGCTGAGGCCGATCGAGGTGAGAGGCGGATGGGTGGCTCTGGCAACTTCGCCAGCACAAAGAGCGCCGACAGATCCGACTGCGCACGCTATCGCCGCCTGACGATTCCGCAACGAAGCTCTGTTCCGTCCAGCCATGCGACACCGCAAGCAGAAATCAAAGACCGGGCGGAATGACATATCAACATGTGTGTCTCTATTCAGGTACCAGACAAAAAGAGATAACAATCCCTGGCAGCCCTCTGTTCCGTTACGATTGTGACTACTGCAAAACTATCATCGGGGGGAAGCGGTCGCCGGGTCGTTGGCTGCCGTGCAAGCCGTTCCCCACAGCCGTCTGGCTTGCATTGGAGCGCCATGTCGCCCAAAGCGCTCTCGGTTCATCCGTGCGGCATTTCACTTTCAAACAAGCCGCCCTATCAGCTTAAGCGTGGCGAGGAGCGATCCAGAATCAGGGTTGCTTTGTGTGCCGAGTCGGTTGGTTGGATGTCCGTCAGAAATCGATTCGGCCACTGCGGGCAAATGCGTTGCATGTCTGCTACTGAGCCTCAGCATCAACCCTGACCTTTTTCTGGTCGCTCTCGGCATCGCCGTCGTTCTTGCCTTCGTCGATCGCGCGCTTCTTTGCTCGGGCCTAAAGATCCGACGAGGAGCAGCAGTGGGTCAGTGCGAGCCCTTTGCAGGCATTCCCAAGCCGGAAATCAGTGCATCAAGTGACGTACCTTGGGGCCCCAGTTCTTGGTCGGGTTGACCTGGTACCGCACCAGCTTGATCTTGCGCGAGGGTGCCTCCATTTCGGGGTGTGGTTCGAAGTTGGCCTCGAAGCTGACACGTTTGGGTACAATGGCGAGAACAGGATTGCGTTAGCGCATGATGCCGCCGCGGTCTGCAGCTCGACAAGGCCACGGAGGATTGCCCAGCATACGCACCTTGGCTCAACCGCCAAAAGCTTAGCCGAGACAGACTGCTCCTCGCCCGACTTGGTCTTGACCGGGTGGAACTTGACCCAACCGCGCATGACATCCCAAACCACCGATGTGGGGGCGTTGGTTTTGATCGAGCCACTACAGGCGTGAGAGACAGATACTTTGTACCCCTTGTGGAGGAGGGCCGAGCTGGGGCCGATCAATGACGTTGATCAGCAAAGAAGGATGATAGCCAAGACTGCAAAGGACTCGCTTGCGACAATGGCAGCGGCACGGCAAGCGAGGGTCGTGCTGACAGGGGAAGTGGAGTGGATCACTGGCTTGGCAAGCTCTGTAAGCAACAACATCCATGGGACTTACAATACGGTGAGCAAGGGCGGCGATGTGCATCGCAGGGAGCCGCTGAGCGAGCTCAGAGAGTAATAAAAGGGAGTCTCCAGTTCCTGGTGGCAAAGATGCGGTGTGTCTCGTGAGCACAGGGCGTCAAAGTCCAGATCATCTCTTGTGGAGAGGGAATCCAGGCTGGCTGCATTACCTCCGAAATGACGGTGAGCATGCCCAGCATCCGACCATTGGTTTTGTACTTGTCCTTATTGTCCTTGACGTGCTGGATGACTTTCTGGAGATAAACGTCGTTGTGGAGCGGTCCAGCCCAGAATGGACCACCGATCTGAAAACACCCCCCCCCAGCTGTGAGTCGTCGGTTCGAGTTGAGCAGTCGGAGAGGGATGTTTGATGTTGTCAACCAGATGGAGCGTCTGTCACCTACCCTGGTTTTTGTTTCGCAGAAGCCGCATGCTTGCGCAGCCAGCGGTCCGTTGGCAGGGCCGCCTTTGACACTGTTGCCGTTTTCGACATACTTTCCAATCGGCTGGGTGACAAACGATCGGCATCCATTGCAGTGATATACCATGGCAGTTTTGCTGGATCGGCCATTGTAGAATGAGCATGGGGCCTGCATACAGCGGAGCTCTCGGCCTGCGACATCCATCCAGCGAGCGGCATCACGACACCGGCTTCAGCGAGCTCGCCAGGGATTCCTCTCTCTGCAAGGGGAGTGGATCCATGCGGTTGAGGCTACTTCAGCGCATGCTGAGACAGTACCTCGCAAGCTTCTTGACCTCCTGTGGAGAGGTGTACACTCGCACAAACATGCGAATGTAAAAGTCGATGCTACAGCTGGCAAGTGGCACAATATATCGCTTGTGTCGGGCAGCTGACGTTTGGATGGTGTGCAGTGCGATGCGCAGACCCTGTTGACAGATTGTGTTATTCAAGCGCATGGAGCCCAAATGGAGGGGGGGGGCAAATCCAGTCCGCTTGTCTCGCCGGAGCTACCGGGTGTACTGATGCAATCGGTAGTGGACTGCGTCGAGTCTGCTCGCAAAAGGATGCGGTTGCATTTTCGTGCTGCGTCCAGCGACTTACCATTTCGTGGCAGTATGGGGCGTTCGGAATGGGCATGCCTCCGTATTTGGCCCAACACGAGTCAGGCTGGCTTCCGGCAAGAACCGCCATATCCGTGCAGGTCACAGCCAGCAGGCCTGGCCACAAGAGCAACTATGTCAGCGTTTAGCTCGGATCGAAGCGATAAGGTTGCACTGCCAGCAACTCGACGCATCGTACCTCCGTCGGCGACAGCTTGGACAGCGGCATCGATGAACGGGGCGGCTGATCCATATGGGTCCTGAAGATGGCAAGGCATACAGCAGGACTCGCTGCGTCAGCTTGATTTTGTCCAGTGGCGACTGTCATTTCCAATAGAGTGAAGCAGCTGTCCCAAATTCATATGTCGTTCGCTCTATCGAACCTACCAGATCGATCATGTCGTACTTTTCGTTTGCAAAAAGCTTCTGGTACATGACGGCACTGGCCGCACGAACAGTCCGAGACATGCGTGAGAACGAGGACACGATTCTTGGGCTGTACATTTGCCGATGGCATGCTCCACGTGGGGTGGGAGCTGGCATCAAGAGCGCTCCTACCATGCATCACCGAGACTTGGAATGATCTTGTCCTCGCAGCCGTTGTGGTTGACATTTCGCTTGATGGTCTCGACAGCGTTCGCATCAAAGTCGTTCGCGGTGATGGACTTGGCATTGGGAATCTCCTTGGCATATCGGATCGATCGCAAGCCCGTGGCCGAGAGTCCCTCGAGAATCGCGACTCCATCAGGCACTGGTAGCGGCACGGCTGTTTTCGTGGTGGAACGATATTGGCCGATAAGCTCGCTCGTTCACACAAAGGTCCACTGTCCGCAGACGGCTCCAGGCTTACCGTTCTGATCCTGCTTTCGCTTTCGAGTGGCTGTAGCTGCCTCCCGCTTTTCCTGCAGGTACATTTCACTCCAGACGTTGATGGCCGCAACCGACTGCATGTGACATCCGTCGCGTGTATGTCAGTCTATGCAATTGTCACAATTCACGGGAACGATTGCGGCTGGGCAGACATCGCCGCGCTGTGTAGATGTTCAAGTGTCGTGGCAATCGAGATTACCATGTCACGATTGAATTCCTGTGGGTAAAGATGTGGCCGCTTGTGTTAGACGAGCTATGCAGCATCAAAAGTCCCGACGGCAGCATCGCTCGAGCAAGCGAGCGGCACTGCGGAGCACCCACCTGAACCGGGTTGTAGAAGACATCGTTGGCATTCGAAAACAGGATCTCGGCCTGGCCTGGTGACGTTGCGATGGTGTTATTTGCTGCCGCGGAGGATCGGATGACAGAGCCGAGAGCGTGCCAAAGATGGAGACTGGGATTCGGGCAACAGACCTTCCTTGATCGCCGTCAGACCGTCGGCAGTGGTATACTGCTCGAAGGTGGGCTGGCTGGGCTCCTCGTCTGGCTCTCCCATGCTGTTGACGGACGGGTCTGCTGCTTGTGCGGAGCTGGATCTGTCTTGTTGTATCTTGGCGGCGGCGTTGTGCTGCTGGGATGCCGCTGATGCTATCACTGATGCCGGTGCCGTTGGTGAAAGTGCCCCTTGGTCTGCGGCCGCATCTGGAGGTCGATTTTGGTCGTCCAGATCGCCGCGAGCCCGTTGGTCGGCGGCACAAAAAAATTTCTTACGTAATGCGCCATTCGCTGGCTCGAGCCAGCCAGCGAGTCCTGGCTGCCCTGATCGCGACCAGGCTTCTCGCTCCAGCTCTGCCTCATCGCAGCGCCCGATCCTCCTCCATCCCCCTCCTCCTCGACAGCAGGGCAGCGACTGTGCGCCAGCCATGTTCTCCAGCTCAAAGAAACGGGTGCAGACCCCGAGCCGTCATACCCCGACACACCGCACCTCGCCCAGCAAGACCAAGCCCGCTGGAAAGGCTGCCGAGCCCGATGTCACGACGGTGATCGACCATCGCGCCTACTCGGTCCGCACGGCTGGCGTGGTACATCCAGAGGTCCAGAAGCTGCTCAGGCGAGAGATTGCCTTCATCAAGGGCGAGAAAGCCCGGTTCAACTATGCGTACTACAAGCCCAAGGTTACTCTGGATCGCATATCCGGGTGGGCGATCTTGGACCTTGCCAACGAATCCAGCCTCTATGTCTGGCAGTTCCAGAAGGTAGGCCGCGAGCGTGGGCAGACGCATATCGCTTCCATCTGCATCACCGATCGAGACGGCCCAGAGGGTGCATTGGATTCTCAAAACAGCGTCTCTTATCCGTCCGACGACCATCCGACGGCCGCCAGAAACTCGCCCTCGGACACAACGTCCAAGAGTTTCCGGCCCCGACCCTCATCAACGACGACTCTCCTGAGCCCAACATGGTCGCAGTCATCCCTTCGCTGACCGAAGACCCGCGGCAGACCGGCCTGCTGATCTGCAATCAGGAGGGCTCATGCCGGTATTATGACAATATGCTCTTTGGGTCGGCGTCGTTCACCGACATCCGGCTTCCGGTCGAGTCGGCGGATGCAAAGTACCTGATCAGCTGCGAGGTAAGTCATGGACGGCAGTTCAGCTTTTGATCAGCACCTGTTCCCACAGTGGTCTCAAAGCGATTGATCGGACGCAGCCCACTGTCCTTGACCTAATCTTCTATCGCGCTTGCCATGGCTCAATCTGACCGGATCTCTGTCGATGCTGCAGCCCTTTGGCTGGATCCTGGCCACGGGCGGCGGGTCATTGTTTCATATTGTGATCAGAAACTCGGGTGGACAGGTGGTCCTCTCGTATGAGTCGCTTGTCAAGCCCCAATCGTTCGCATTCGGCCAGCTCTTTTCGCAGCGGAGCGACAAGCATAAAGTGGTTTCTGTGATATCCGGCCCCAGGAACGACAGCGGCAACTCGCGAGATATATTTGTGCTGACCGACCGATCGCTGATCGTGTGGAACATTTCTCCATCGCGGGGATACCAGGTGAGGAGCAACCGCGGACCAGGCAGGCGAATGGAGGGCAAGCAACTGCCCCAGCCGGGCACGATGCTGCCATCGACTCGTTCGTCACTTGCATGGCTGAATCGAGACTATCTGACGACAACGATCCGGCTGACGAGTGACCGTTGCTGGAAAGTATATTGGAGAGCAAGATATCAAGGCAGATGTTGCGCAGCTACTTGCACAAGTATACCAAAACCGACCTGAGTCGCGGTACCTCTCTACCCACGACGACCTCACGCCCAAATTTGTCGACATGGACTACTCCGAGTGCGTATGCTACTGGACAATCGCTTTCGGCAGCCACGGCCTCGCTCGTTGCTGAGCACGACGGCGATAAGGAGATCGACTAACCACACATCAATCTTGCTTGTGTGAACAACCACAGGGGTGGCTTGGTGGTTCTGGCAACGTTTCTAGCAAACGGCAGTGCTCGCTTCGCCCTGTGCACCCTCTCGTTTGATCCGGTGTCTGGAGCCAGCAGCGCCGCGCAAGCCAAGATCCTGGAGCACAAGTGCAAGCCTCGAGAAGTACGTTGCTGCATCGGCGTGCTGATGAGCAGTGAAGCAGGTGTAAGCGCTTACTGACACCCATGTGTTCATCTTCAGCTTCAGTCCCAGACACACCTCGGAATCACCAACGGTGGACTGATTGCCATGGTGACGTTTCCCGAGATGATTGTCCTCACATCGACAGTGCCCGAGCTTCTCTCTGAAGAGCAAATCTCTCTGAGGCAATCGGGCTCGGATGCCATTATTGGACTGGAGCTCGCCCGAGCTCGCGGCAGCGTTGATGCGGACGACTACGCACTGGTTTTCTCTGCCGAGGCCGGTATTCTGGGCCTGATGGTGAAAACGAAGAGCATCCTTGCCAGGTAAAGAAACGCATCGACTCGGCAAACAAAGCTGTCCAAGAATGTGGTTGGCGCAACATCCTTTTGCTGCGATGCGCGATCTATTCTTACATATCCGTGGATGTTGCTCCCTCAACCATCGGCGGCCTGAAACCGTGGCGACTGTCTTGTCTTAGTAACGCCACCAAAAAGGTATGAATGGTTGCAATTCGCATGGAGTGCGCCAATTGAATGCCTATTCGCGATATGCTGGTATGACTACCAAGCACCGCTAATCCAAGCGGGTTTGTCTAGGACACTACCGAAGTTGGATCCAAGGAAACGGAGCAGCTAATTTCCAAGATGGGACAGTATGTTCTCTACGACGAGGAGCAGGAGGAATACGCTGGTGTAAGTACACCGTCAAGCAACCAAAACAACTGGTCGGCATTGCCGCTGTCCACATCTAGACAGCTCGTCAGTAACAAGTGTCGTCGCAGTCGGGTGATTTTGATTCGGCAGCCATCCACTTGAGCGAGGCAATCCTCAAGGAGGGAAACAGCCTGTTCCCTGCCATCATGGAGCTCGAAGAGCAGCTGAAGCTCAAGCTGTGCTGCCATAAAAGAATCATCAAATTTGTCCACGCTCACGGAGGGCCCCACAACAGGGTGAGTGTTGCCCTGACCCTGACCTCAAACTCTGTCGGCGACCACTTGAGACACTGGATGGACCGGATGGCGCTTGGGCTCATGCTTTATCCTTTACCTCAAGCTCTCGGAAACCACGCGCTTCCAGCTGTATTTCAACACCAGAAAGCTTGCAGCTGCATATCGTCTGTGGCGCCATCAGAACAGCTACGGGTGAGTCGGATACCGGATATCTGTGAACCAACACGAGGGTCCCTTACTGCCATTGCTGTGGGCCATTGTTTTCGCGGAAACAACGGCGTGGAAAAGGTCGCCGGGCTGCGACAACAGCTACATGGGACTGACCACACGACAACACCACAGCCAAAGCGCCGACAGAGCCACGGATGTCCTCAGCGCCGCTATCAAGAACCTCTGGAAGTATCAAGATATTCGCCAGTTTTTCCGCTATAACGTGCGTGTGACTGATGCATATGCCTCTGGATGGCTGCGTGCGCAGTGGAATTTGGTTATTAAGACAACTGGCCCTTAGATCTCGGACATTCACAGTATCATCCAGAGTCTTCGATGTGGTGCCAACGACCCGCCGCAGCGCATCATCGAGCTCAATCGAATTCTCTTGGTAAGCCACGGAATCTCTGGAACCAGCACATCCTCCTTCTTCACCATGGATATACCACACCCGACACTGACACAACTACCCAACGCACAGAACTTTTATGATGATTTTGATGAGCCCGCGGAAGATGTACTTCGTGAATATAATGACGAGCGAGAGGCATACGCCTTGCCAAGACAGTTTCCAGCAGAACCCTGGAGCGGTAGGTTTGCTGCGACGCCTTGAATTCCACATCGGTTTTGTGTCCAACGTCTCACCAGCTTACTCACTGTGGCTGCCAAAACAGCCAGCGAAAGCATCTACACCCTTGTCTCCACCCACTTTGAATCGACTCTGAGATGGCTGAGTACAGCTTTGAAGGATAACGGCCATGCAGGCTACGGCTCCGAGCATCTCGACACTTCTTCGGCGAAAGCGATTCTCGTTGGACAGCTGATCGCCCTCGGAGACGTTCTCCACCGCGTGTGCCGTGATTTGGCCGCGGTCTCCCATCGGTAAGTAGAGACGCCTGTGCGCCAACATATCAGCCCCTGCGCAACTACGCCTATTGTCCCCCAAACTAAACCCTTCGTGGACGCTGCCCGATTGAACTGGCACACTGAAGCCGCGAGAGCGACCGGACACTCTTTGACAATATCCATGCCATGGTCATCAACGGACTATGCACGGTCGATGGGTATTTAGGTGAGCACTGCGCCGAGCATTTTCAGAACTGGATGTGTCGAGCCAAATATGATACCGGCGTCGGTGGTGGTCGCGATCCCATTCACATGAGTCTGGTGGTGGGCGGGGCTGTGTCTGCGGAGCTACATCGAGGGCTGATCTGATTCGATACGACGACCGCATTGGTGCCCCAGCCCATAGCGACAGCTTTCCCAATCTCCATGCCGCGGCATTCAAGCTCTCCGAGCAGTTTGGATACTACCGCACTCTGGCCAAGCTCAGCTATGAAGATGTCAGCCGCAACAACTCGTGGTACAACGCAGAGATCAAGAAGGGGTACCAGGGCCAGATCAGCATTGACGAAACCCAAGCCAGTATCATCGACGGATATGTCAACAAATATGGCTACCTCTTCGCCAGGGAGCTGTTCCAGTTCCAGTTCGAGACGCGTACGTTATGCGCTCCTCGATCACCGACTGCAGCCAACAGTTGCTCAACCGGCTCCGTTGCTGACCCTGCGATGTGTTCCACCGAACAGAGCGATACGCAGACCTGCTGAGCCAGCCCGACAGCTACAACCACCTACTCTTGCAGTACTTGCAGGAGCATCCAATTCCGATGCTTTCGTGGGTACATGATTTCCGAGTCGGCCGATTCCAGGAAGCTGCCGAAACCCTGTTGGCCATCTCCAAAACCGAGAGCTTGACGGAGAAAGCCAAGGTAAGAGCGTGGAGGACGAGTCGGTGGTCCTCTGGCGTCCTGTCCCACCTATCTTTGTGCCTTGCACCTGTCTCAGTGTTCGATATTGTCCCTGATTTTAACTTGGCTGGCTGTCGATTACGTGCAGACTGCCGCGAGCTTGGCTCGACTGTCGCTTCTCTCCTCCGAGTTGCAAGACGAGACCCTGGGACTTGGTAGGTGATGCAAGCCATTCAGATTCAGTCTGTCCAGCTCGGTCGGTCCAGTTCAGTCGGGAGGAGGGCGTGATGAAGACCGATACACATCGGTGATTACAGGGGAAGTGACCATGGTCGCGGCGGATGTTCCCCAAAAGTTTTGGCGCTGTGGTACTTCCGAACCCGTTTGCTGACAAACTTCATGCTCTCTCTGTCCGGACCCTGCGTTGGCTCGCCGCAGAGGTTCAGAACCGCATTCTGCACCTGGAGAGCATCGATGCCATCTCGACCTCGTGGATGAACCGCTATGTGGACGAAGGAAACGCAGCCCGTGCGTTCGCCAAGTGCCGCGAGCACATCCTGATTGTGCTCCGCAACCGACCGGGGCTCAGCTGGTGCTGCGAGCAAGCTCATCGCAAGATCGCCAGTGGGCTTGTGGTCGCACCAGAGGACATTGTCGACCTCCTGACGTTGGTTGATCTCGAGGAGTCTCCGGACAATATGCGCTGGAGACTAGCGCTGGACATTTGCCCGCTCATCAACAACTTGCAGCAGGTATGGCGGATCCCCTTTCGCTTTTCTCCACCCAACCAACCCGGAGCCATCGCACCGTCGTGGGTCACGCGGGCATGAACGGCCCTATGTTTTTACTGACTTCTGTCTGTCTGTTTGTTGGGCTGGGTCGCTGCGCTCACTCGCCGGCATTGCAACCCAATCCCTCGACTTTGTACCGCCATCCGCCTCATGTCAATAGTGGATGAATACTATCATTCGCCGAGCGCTGTTGCAGACCAGGTGAGGGCCGTTGTTGGTTACCAGACTGTGTTATCGCTTTTGGTCGTCAGCGAAGGAACTGAACCATGCTCGTTCCGCGCCTCATTCGCTGGCTATGCTTCGGATTGGCGCACTTCACCAGGTGGGACCAAGCCTGGCTGCAATCGGATCGCGAGTGTCGAGAAGAGCTCCAGACGACACCGATCTTCCATGTGCTCAACACTCTGTGTAAGTACAAGTGTGTGTGCATACCTCTCGCCATACACCCATAGAACCATTCTGTAGGCAAAGCGAGTGATACGATCGGCAAGGCAAAGCACCAAGCATGAATCGGCCGAGCCCTATCTGCTCCACTCTGTACCGACGCCGCTTGTGATGTTGCTGCTCCGCGTCCCTCCTCACCGTTCGCTGCCGACTGTCACTTCCGCAGACAAGGAATCGCCGTTCGCCACCGAGCATCCAAGCATCCCCAACCTTCTGAGCTCCCTCAAAGCCTCGGGCACGCCGGCGATTGAGGAGCACCGCCTTGCGGGGGCACCGCTAGACGTCAAGGGCTGGGTTGAGATGGACCTGAAGAGAGAAGGCCAAGAGCTCCTCCAGCTTCTCTCTCAAGGAACCCACGACATCGAGTACTATCTTCAAGTGTGCATCGGCATTTAATTCATGGCCCGACATGTGGAATGGGATGGCATAACCCGCCTCCGCCTCCGCCGCACATGGGCCGTATGAATCAACAAAATAAACCCCACGAATCGGCACTTGGGTGGCCCATACGCTTCGGTAGATATAGCGCATGGCGGGACACGAACAATCGGCTCGGCCAAAGCACACATCCAGAAACGCGATCATTTGCTCTTGCCCTTGGTCGCTGGCTTGGATGCCTTGCCTGGTGTAGCTGCTCCAGAGGCACCCTTTTTTCCACCACCACCCTTGGCTTTCTTTTGCGGCTTTGCTGCCGCCTGTGGGAGGGCATTGTGCCAGTCAGTCACTGCCAGGGGAACACCAGCATCGCCTCCAGCATCACCTCCAGCACGAGTCACCCACCCGTTTGGCCAGTATCTTCCTCCACCACGACTGGATTCTCATGACGGCAGCTTCGCGGATTTGCTTGATGCGAAGCTCTTCAGCCTCCTTCTCCTTGGCCAGCTTGTCCTCCTCGACGACACGCTCCAACTCTTCATAGGCCGAGACCAGCTCCTCGAAGCGATCGAGATCGGCAGTCCGCTTCTGCTTGAGAGCCTCGAGCTCGTTCGTCTTGGCCTCGGTATCCTCCTCGTACTGCTGCATCCAGTCCTGGATCTGCTTCTCAAGCACTTCGCGCTGGCGGCAGAGAAAGTCGCAGATGGCCTTGTTGGCCTTGACCTCCTCGTCGATCTGCTTGGTGAGCAGCGCCTTTTCTTCGACGAGGGCCGTTTCCTTGGCGATGCACCGTTGCTTGACGCTGCTCTCGCGGGCCTTGGTCTCCTTCTTGATGTACTTTTGCTCGCTGTTGGTCAAGGCATTGATCTCCTGGATCGTGTCCTTGAGCTGCTGGATGACCTGGTTTCGTTCGTTGGTTTCCTCCTCGAGGAGCTTCTTCTCGTTAGCAAGCTCTTTTTGGAGCTCTTTAAGCAACTCGGAGGCCTCGCTCTCCCTTCAGGGCCGCCGGTGGGTCGAGGACGGGATGAGGCAAAGCGTGGGAACCGGATCGTCAGCCCTCTCAACGTGCACCTACGGCCGCCCCGGACCATCCCGGCGGTATCCCCGATGTCAAACCTCGCACCCGAATGGGTCGGTGGATGCACTCGGGCTTACCGGCTGATCGTGTTTTCGAGAGCATTCTTCCGCTTGTGCTCCTCGTCAACGGTGGCGATTAGGCTGGTGAAGCGACAGTCGCGCAGCTCGCGTGCGATTTTGATGAGCAGGACAATGAGGCTGTTGCGCTCCGTCTGGATTTTGAAGAGATTCTGCGAGTAGCTTGGGTGGGTGCGCAGACACTTTGAAAGTGCTGGATCGTAAGAATAATAGAGGGGTCAGTCGGACTTGAGCGGCAGCGGGACAGCGTTGGGATGGGAGGGGGGGGTGGAATGCGATGCTTGACACGGCTCTTGAAACTGCGAACCGGTGTGGAAGCAGCCGTTTCGTACATTGCACGGACTGTTGAAGGTCTTTCTGGATGTTGGCGATGGCTGCTTGGTTGTCTTTGAGACGGGTTTTAAAGTCCGGCAAGTTCTTGATGCGCTCCTGCTCATCCAGCATCTCGATGATGCGACACTCGTGCACCTTTTGCTCCTTGAGCATCTTGGTAATTTCGTCGCTGATCTAGCAAAGGGACCGAGAGCATGATGTGTCAACCAAACAGCGCCTTGCAGCAAAAGCAGTCGAGATGACACGCATCGCGGCAACGATTGCTCCTGGCCGATGTGCCGGCTCGAGGCGACAGCAGAGCGAATGCACTCAACTGGCTTGCCGTCGATTTTGCCTGGATCTGGCGCAATGTCGCTGAGGATCCGGAGCTGCTCGATGGCATCTTCGAGAATCGCGATATAGGCCAGACTCTTTTGGCCGGGTATCATGGTCTGCTCACGGAGCTTGGGATCGTCGACAGAGACGCCTGTGTCATTTTTACCGACGGTTGTTGGGCGCGAGCCCGTCGGAAGAGGAGGGAGGTTGGTGGACATCATTGTGATGAATGCGATACGCGCGAGTGATTTGGGTGAGGGAGAATAGCAACAATATGAGGACGGAGATGGATTCAAGATCGGAGTGAGCCAAGGCCGACGAGGCAGGATGTGGAAGGCAGTGTTGCTGGCCACCAACCGCCGAGCGATTGGAGATAACGGCCGTTCGGCGGGCTGGCCGATTCCCGCTCGAGAGCGAAGCCCAAAGTAACAAGTCTGGTTGTTCACAGGCGACCTTGACGCACTCTTGCATATTCTGCGGGAGAACCACATTCCCATCCTCGTTGAGAACGGCACAAAATCCCAGAACCCAGGCAGCAAGGCCAGCATATACAGTGAAGCGAGAGTATTCATTATTGATAAGGCCAGATGTTGTCGTGCGACATTTCAGTGCGGTTTATTATTGGACAGAGCGATTCATGTCTAGCTCAAATAGCTTAAGCGCGCTTGGTAAGAAGCTCTGTTACAAGAAGCGATGACAGGAGTCGGCGTTAGTGGTACTAAGTAACAACAGCACAAAATAGAGCAGGGGCCAAGAACCGGCTAGTAAAAGCCAGGCCGGCAACGGAACTTACGCTCAATCTCACGGACAGTCTCGTTGAGGATGTTGGTTTGCTGGAAGGAAGGGTCAACACAGAGTCAGCGACAGTGTCCGGTCCGGGCGACGTGGAAATGCCACAGGAACGGAAAGAGAGCTGGCAGCACGAGGGTGGGAATACGTACGACTTTGGGATCGGCAAGAGAGGCCTCGATCTGCTTGATAACATGGGCAGCAAGCTGCTTCTGCTCGCGCTCGCGGATGCTGGCCTCGTGTCGGACCCAGGAGTCAAGGACGCTCTTGACCTCGTGGTTGAAGGTGACGGTCTGCTTGAGCTCATAAGCCTCAGCCTCGAGCTGGGCAATTTCCTGAACATGGCATGCATATATGGGAAGTGGTTACCATGAGAATGAGAATTGCTCGATGGCTGCGGAAGCTTCATAAGGAATGCGTTGGACGAGAGAATACGCACTCGCGAGATCTGGTACAGGCCCTTGGTGACCTCAACGACATCGGAAAGCTTGCTGATGTGAGAGATGCGCTCCTGGACAACGGCCTTGTGGTCCTCACGGGCCTCGTTCAGGACCTTGCGGATGGTCTGCAATCATCGACAAAACGGTCCAAACAAAACCAGAATGAGCAAAGGGCTCCCGGCCACGGCTCCGATCGATTGCAGGACTCTAGCGAGGAAGCACCCGCTCAGGCAACCGGGTGCACGGGGTTCAAAAAGTCACTGGACACGACATTACGTTCTTGCGGTCGGCAAAGTACTCAAAGGCACCGTCCTTGCCACCCTGGAACCAGAGGCCGTAGGCACCGAAGATACAGAGCATCTCAAAGAACTCGTGGTCGACGATGTAGATCTCCTTGGAAACCAGCCAAGCAGCGACGGAGGCGGTCAGGAGGACGGTGCCAGACTTGGAGACGGGGTTGTTGCCGGGGAACTTGTCGAGGATAGCCTTGGCAACCTCCTTGGGCTCGGGGCGCTTGGTCTCTGTTTGAGGCAGCAGTTCAGCCGAGTCAGCCATCAGGGCGAGCAGGCGCACCAACGATAACGATGGGGCTTTGCCGGGTCATCGAATGCAACCGATTGCTTGGCTTTGATAGCAGCCGCATGCCGCCCGGAACGCCGTCGATGATGGAGTCGACAGGGCGACGTCTTGGCGATCCTTACCAGTGGAGTAAGCGCGCAGAGCAGCGCTGGCACTGATGCGGATTGGAGAGATGGGTTGCAATCATGGCGAGCCGCAGGTGAGTGAGCGAGATCATCAGGTGTTGATTCCAGCGTGTCGTCGAGAGGCCGCTCGAATGTCGAAGGCCCGAGGACTCAATGGATACTACATAGCAACAACGTACCCAGCGGTCTGGCTGGGAGCAGCGAGTCTGGCGAAAGCAGGCTTCATGGCTGTATTGCAAACGTAGCAAGGGATTAGCAGCTGGTATCGGCGGCATGACCAAGCCAAACTCGCACCCACCGACTATTGCTGGTCAGACTCAAACCAACACACGGGACCCGACCACCGCGCATCAGATGGGTCTACGGCTGCGGATTGCGCGATACCAACCCGAAGCGTTACGACCCAAAACAGCGCGGAAAGACATGGTTCCTGTGGATGAGCGTTGATGGGTGGCAGAGCAGTCGATTGATTAGAGTCGAATGAGAGAGAATTCGGACGAAGAGAGGAGACAGACGCAAGTTGAAATCGGGAGTGTCCCGAGCCACCATGCATTGGATCGAGCAGCTATCCGGATGGTAGTCGAGCGCGGTCGGGAGTAGTGAGCATTCCAAGGTCCATGTGGTCGATCCCGAGAAATCCGCGACAGAGCGCCATGGCGTCCTGAGTGCATACGCCGAGTGATATCTGTGGGGTAGGCCTCCGCCTCGTCCGCCGCGGGGACATGAGATCTGGCAGCATACATCGGACCTTCAACCAGCCGACCGAGTCCAACATATCGACAGAGCTCGACTCAGTCGGGCGCTCAAGTGACACATGGGCCACCACTAGCCCGAGTCTAGTCGAGTCACAGCACAGCTCGGTTATCGGATATCGGTGTTGATGGAGGCTCGTGGCGTTGATGGACTAGTATCGCTGGCGATAGGCGATGGGCGATGGACTGTCTGGATCCAGAGGATATCTTGGGGCGAGGCCACGACAGCCCACGGCTGGATAGCTGCTGCCGACACGGCGAACAGGAGCGATCGAGCGGGCCAGAGAGGGCGGGAACAGGGACGGGCGGCCAGCCGGGTTACCTTGGAATATGCGGTCTGTCGAAGGCAAGAGCAAACGAAAGAGAGGGACGAGGGGGAGAAGCGACGCCGAGACCTTGCCTTTGAGCACACCAGAGCGAGAGCCACACGCAAGCAAAACGCAAAAAAAAGTGTCTGTGCTCTGTGAGGGCGCCTGCACCGTGCTGGAACCACAGCGCGCGAGGGACGGCATTAATTGCTAATGAATTTCATTTGCCCCCGGCTCGAACGCACTCGAGCCGGCAAGACAGCCGGCACGTGGCGCTTCTGTGGCTCTGCGGTTCTGTGCAGCTGTGTGTGTGTGGCTCGCAGTCATTCTGGCGCGGCTGTACGACGCTGTTCCGCAACCAGCTCCAGCCAGAACCAACACCCAATCAGGGCCACAGCCGGCTCTCGACCACCCGCGTCTGCCGATCTTGCTCCAGCCCGCATCAGGTCCCGCCTCGATTGCAGCCCTCTGATCCCAATCCCAATCCCAATCCCAATCCCAATCCCGAGCCCGGCCAACCCATCCTCCGCCCGAGAAATCAGCCACACAGTATGTCGAGGGCCTCCAAGATTACGTTTTACACGAGCCTGGCGCTGACGACCGCCACCATCATCGGCGTCAATTACTGGAAGGATGTCGAGTTTGTCGTAAGTCGATCAATCGAGGTGCCTGCACAGCCGGCTGCGGGTGCTGTTCCCGTCCTGCATGCGATCGGTGTCGATGACCAACACGGCGGCCCACTTTCGACGGAGCGGCCCCCGCTCCATACTTACTCGAATGTGTTTCGTCCCAGGCCCGTCGTCAGAACATCGAGAAGGATGAAGAGCGTCGTCGGCAGCGGCTCGAGAACCAGCTGGATCTGGAGCGCCAGCAGCGAATTTTTGCAGAGTACGAGAAGGACCAACGAGTCGCCTCGGGCTTCACTGGCCCGGGGTCTCCGGGGATACCGGAAGGCGCCCTCTGAAAGCCACGTTTGACCTCCGAGACATACTCTGGGGCGTGTACGAATCGAGAAGGAACAACACCTGATTTTGAAGCCGGTCCATGCTGCCATTTCCCACCTCTGCAATACACACCCGCAACCACCCGCAACCACCCGCTACGGTGGCCATCCACAAGATCTCGCGAATCCCATGTGGTTGCCTGGTGGCACTTTGAGATGTTCAGCGACTGTCTGAGGAGCTATATTACAGGCAATCCAATAAAAAACGGGACGCCCGTGTTTTTGACCATTCATCGAATATTTTATTACCCAATGTTATCGCGCGCTGGCCATGACCATTCGCCACACATCCGACTTTCGCACCGCCGCATTGCGATGCTACGCCCTCATCCATAGCCTGTGTAAGGTTGCCTCCATCTTCAGTGTGTCCAAGAGCACCATCCATCGCTGGCACTCCGAGACTAGTGTGCAGGTCGATTGTGGAGACCGGAGAGCGACCGGTGGTCTTCACTCGGAGGCTGCCAAAGTGATCTGTTTTATTTTTTATGGCTTTGCTTGACGCGAGCACATCACATACTACCTGTTCATGGAAACGGCTGTGTTGTCCCGGTTTTTTCTGAATAAAGTGTAGCATGCGGTGGCCAGAGCCCGTCCAGCATTTGATTTGTTTGGGCTACTACGCAACCAGCCCATTTTCTGGCATTCAAGCTCGATGATGCACGGAGGTAGATGCGTGTGGCGAAAGCATGTGCTGAGCAACCAGACAGTCAGCACTGCGGTTCTTCTTGGTTGGCACTTCTGGCTCGGTGAGGCCGCGCATGAGTCTGCTGTCGGTAACAAGCCAGGGTCAAAGTGCTACTGGGAGTATCCGTCATAGCACTGTCAAGCCTTGGCCAGCTGGGTGTCGATGTTGGTCAGATAGTTTCGGAGAGCTTCTTGATCATAGTCTTGGTAACGAGCAGCGGCCAGGTTCTTGCGAGTCTGCTTGGCCCACTGACGAAGCGGCGGCACTATCTTGCTGTTGCACGATGACGGCTGAGCCTGCAGCAGGAGGCTGAGGGTTTTTGCGGCATCCTCAAAATGTGCCTGTGGCTCGCTTGTAGACACATACTCGTACAGGATCTGGCACCAGGTCTGCAGCGGGCCGGCAACCAGCAGATCCTCGATGGCCTCGTACTTGGTGCGCAGGTCGAGTTGATCGGGAGACTCCTCCCACATGTTGGTGTCCATGGAGTCGGCCAAGAGAGTCAGGATCTTGCCACGCAGGGCCAAGCTCTTGGGATCAGTGCCGATCGTCTTCCACAGTCGCGAGAGGACCGAGAGGCCGTGGGCGTACGAGTGGAACGACTGGAGGGCATCCCGGTTGGACCGCACCAGCGATCCATATGCGAACAACAGGCGGCTGGTCACCCGGATGGATGGTTCGGTGGCCAGAGCGTTGCTCAAGCTCGAGTAGAGGCTATGCTCGCGAATAAAGTCCTGGACCTTGGGGTTGTTCTGCATTACAGATTGCAGCAGAAAGTCGGATGGTTCAATAGAAATATCGAGCCAGCTGCGGGAGGCAGACTTTCCAGCGATGATACACAGGCCAACGGCTTGGGTCCACTGCGATGGCTGGGCGGCAACGGAGACTGTATGTGCGGTGAGATCGCGGGATCGAGATCCGTTGTTGCTTACCAGCGTCAGCGAGCCCAGGACGAGCGCGGCCTTCTCACGGACGTTTGCATCGGGGTTCTCAAGATATCCTATCATGGCAGGGATTCCGTGCTCGGTCCGTGCAAAATCGTAAGCTGAATACCGCACCACACAGCGAATTAGTGCCCGGGGCTCGTATCGGCGGTTGCGGACGATTCCTGTCTTGGTAATGGCGGAAGCGTACGATCCAACGCTCTCCAGTCAGCGCATGATCCATGACTCACCCCAGTCGATCTGGTGGACGGTCTGTTTCATAACCGGAGGCAGAGACAAAAGTTGGCATATGGCATCCATCAATATCAATATCGATCCATCAATATCGATCCACGGCAGAGAGGCCTCGCCCAAAAGCGAGCAGCCGGGATGTCGGATGAATAATCAGGATATCTGTCCGCGATGTCCCAGCTCCCGAATGTGCAAATCAAGTGCGCTCACATCCTCGATGAATGCCAGGGTTTCGAGGATCTTGGTCGTGTCTTTTGTCTCCTGCAGCTTCACAACCAGATCCTCGAAGGCGTTGCGGCCAGGTACATGCTTGGATCTGGACGAGGTTGAGGAGCTTGGGTCAGACGGATCGGGCCGAGGCTGGGGCGATTGTTGGTGATGGTGCCGCTCGGGTACGGCCTCATCCACTCGCCGGATGGAGCCATCTTGATCAAGGTCAATCGATGCGACGGCGACGGCGGCGTGGTCGTTGGGCTGGTCGTCGGTCTCGGGGACGTATATCTTGGCCTCTTTCAGGCCCGTCTGGAAGTTCATGCGAATGTAGAGCCCTTTGGGCACTTCTTGGTCGTCATGGACTGGCTGAAACTCTGAATGAAGGATCTGCGGTGAGTCTTGGGGCTACGGAGTCCGGCTTGACGAGAGCATCACTCTGACTGCGAATCAGAGGCAGTGGCAGGCCGGAAGCTGTTTGCCGGAATACGGCCGCATCCGATTCATCACTTGGTAGGCACTGATCCTTACCGTGGGTGGGGAGGAACAGCCTTGGGTAGCATATTTCATTGCCGCTCGCATCTGGTTTGCAAATGAGGTCGCTCTGTGATGCAACCGCAGCCTCGGGCACAGATGCAGATGCAGTCGCTGACCAAACCCCGAGCGAGGCCAAGATCGCCAAGACAGCGAGTGCGGAATGGGTCCTCATCGGTGAGTATTCAAGACGAGTAAAGTTTGAGGCAGGATGCTGTGCACGAAGCTGCTCGGAGCAACGGAGCGATGCTGGCGATCGGCGGTGCTCGGTGTGGTGCAGATCAAATCGAGCCGGATCGCACTGGCCGGTGGGAAGAGAGAGCAGCGGGTGCTGAAAAAGCAAGCCGACAGCCCAATTCCACGTCATGGTCGCGGCCCCAGGGCCGTGTCGGGTGGCGATTGGGCGAGCCAGGGCGAGCCAGGGCGAGCCAGGACACTCCAGCACCGACTTGTCCCGCTGGTGCAGATGGAGGTGGGTCATTGTTCCGCCGCGGGGTTGGGGAAGTGATGGTTTCCTGGCTGGGTTGTCAGCGAGTGTTATCGGTATTTCAGCGGGCACTGAACGAAACAGAAACCAGTCACCCAGATGAATGGTGCTCACGGACCCATCGAGCATGGCGACGGCCATATGCAGTGTTGATAGCGGTGCTATTCGACACATTCGCATGTGAATCCAAGATCCAGACCATGCGGCCGTCGCTATTACGGCACTTGTGGTTGCGGGCAACAGGCATCGCCACCACCTTTGTGTCGTCTCGGCGTCTCTGCTCTCATGTCCCCGCGTCGCATTTCGCCTCCATCCAACCTCGAGCCCTGCAGCCATGGGCGTAACCTCAAGAAAGCTTGTCGTTGTCGGCGACGGCAACGTCGGGAAAACCACGCTACTCACCGTCTTTGCTTATGGTCGCTTCCCTGAGGTCGGTGTCTTTGGTCTGCTGCTCCGTTTGCCCTTGCGCCGCACTCTGCTCGAATCTCGTTTCGAGGAGAAGCCGCTGTCCATCGCCTGCCCACAAGAGGACGGCTGAGAGCCATCAATGCGGCCACAATATCCAGCCAGCCCAGATTTTTCTGAACCTCAGTCTTACCTGCTATCGACATCCTCTCGCTCGCTCTGCAGCACTACATCCCCACGACTTTCGAGAGCTATGTTGCCGAGCTCTCCATCGACGGTCAGGACATTGGGCTTGCCTTGTGGGATACTGCTGGCCAGCCGGAATATGATAGGCTCCGCCCTCTTTCGTATCCCTATTCAGATGTTGCCCTGATCTGCTATGCCGTCGACTCGCCCGAATCGCTCGAGAATATCACTTCCCAGGTGAGTCTTGGCCGCCTGTCGCACTACGAATCCGGCGCTGACGCCGTTGTATGCCGCGCCGCCACCATCAGCGTGCGGCGAAGCACTGATGCATGTGCGTCGTTTCCGTTCTTGTATCGATTGAACTGCGAACGGCCGACTCATCCAACTCCTCCAACCTCTATCCTCAGTGGATCGGTGAGGTCCGCCAGTTCTGCCCTGATGTGCCCGTCATCCTCGTTGCCTGCAAGGTGGATCTCCGAAACGATCCAAACACTCTGCGGGCCCTGGCTGCTCGCAATGAGCATCCCGTCCTTGCCGAAGAGGTACATTCCTGGCAGCTGTCGGCCGGCATCCTCGGTGCCCGTGCATTGGGTGCATTCTGTCGAACTCAGCCACTCGACGGACTGCATTGCGGGGCCACACCCGTATTTGCCCCAATGACACTACCCCATGTTCACCGCTCCGATGCACTCGATCTCACTTACTGCATCGCATCGCTGATGACAGGGCCAAGCAGTGGCAGCCAAAATCGGAGCTTATTGCTACAGTGAAACCTCAGCCAAAAACCTCGAAGGCGTCCGCGAAGTATTTGAGAGTGCCAGCCGTGCGGCGCTGCAAAGGAATCGCTCGCAAGCCGAGCCCCATAAATCCAAGAAGTGCGCGCTGCTTTAAAGCCTTCCGAGCGACAGGGAGCCACGGATAAGGCAAAGAATACATCAAGTGGATTGAATTGGGGACGACGATCTCCACCATTGGTGGTGAATGTGCTGCCCTGGCCATGGATTTGGGTGTGGGGACGCTGCGGCCAATGAGTGCCGAGTGGATCGAGATGCAGCCGAAGTACTCTGTGCATGGAACCGACAAGCCGCTTGCCCACAGTGATCAATCTGATCAAGATGGGGTCCATAGTAGGCCCTACGAAGTGAAACGGGGGATCAAGACTCGACACAATGAAGAAGGGATTGCTGGGGAAGTGGTCAGCATGGTGCTGACTGATATGTAGAAAAGACCGAATATTGAACAGACTGATCGAACGCCGGATGGCAAGTTTGGTCGACGAGACACAACTCTATCTGAAGGCATGGAAACAGATACCCACGGAAGTGGGTGTTTGTAACGAGACGTGCTTGGCTGAGCAGCGCTGTAGGGTGGCATATTCCGTGTTGTTACATCATTACTATCAAGGTATCATCAAGGGATGATCCAAAGATCATGGCCACTGGCCGAGTTCTTGGAGGCTGTCAATGGCCTCTTCAAGACCCTGTTCTGCAGCCTTGCGGTACCAGAAAACGGCGGTGTCGATGTTCCGGGCGATACCCCTGCTCTTAAGGTAGCAGTTGCCGAGCTCATTCTGCCCGTATCGACTGCCCTGCTTGGCCGACTTGCGAAACCACTCGATTGCTTTGGTGGGGCTCATGGCGACTCCCGTCCCGCTGTCATAGCATCGACCAACCATCCATTGAGCATACGAGTGGCCTTGGGCGGCAGCCTTGCTGTAGCACTCGAATGCATTCGAAGACCGGATCGACAGGGAGTCCCTGGGCAGCCGTTGATAGTACCGGCGGCACTGTCCCAGCCAGAACTGGCTGTCGCTGTGACCATTTTTGGCAAGCTGTTCGAAGCTTCTCGATGCCTCTGTCTGATGCTGTGCTTCTCCGGACACTTGGATGAGGCCCACCGCGATCAGATGCTTGCACAGCCAGTCACTGTCCGATCCCAGCTGGCACAGCTCAAAGAACTTGTGCACCGTGAGAGTATCTGGGGAGCTGAGGGATCCCCAAATTGCAGCGAGACATTCTTCTTCCCCAAGTGGGAAATCTTCGGATTTGGTGTCGCGGATGATCTTGACACCCTTCTGTTCGTCGCGCATGGTACCCCGGCCAAGGTAGTGCATCCAGCCGACCATGTGGGTGGCGATGGGTTTGATGACTGGATCGGTAGATTGGGTGCTGACTTCCTGCCAGCGATTGAAGGCATCGACATCGCTCTGTTCGACACCATGGCCGATGAACGAGAACCATCCCCGGAGAAACAAGATGTGGAGTCGGCCGTCTTCGCTGCCCTGGTCGGCGGCCTTGGAATACCACTCGATGGCTGTGTCGTAGTCTTGATCAACACCTTCACCACTCTCATAGCATCGACCGAGGGCAACTTGGGCCTGTGCCACTCCACGGTCCGCAAGACTGCGATACAATTGGATGGCTTTGGTGTGATCTGGGTCGACCCCGAGTCCGTTGCGATAGCAGCCAGCCAGGTGGAACTGTGCCATTGGATGGCTTGTGTTGGCTGCCTTCTCCAGAAGGCGGAAGATGTGCTGGCGCTCGGCACTCCCTTCAAGCTCATCGTCGTTTTCTGATTCTTGGTCAACTTGGAGGATCCGTGCCAGGAAGTACGAGGCCGATGCATTGCCCTGCTCTGCCCGATCTTCCAGCCAGGATCGGTCTGCTGTGGCTTGATCCTCGCAGTGCAGCGAGAGGGCAATCTGGTCGCTCGGTGTGAGTGCGAACCGCAGCTGTCCGTCTGGATTGCACAAGCCTGCATTCTGACACCAGGTGTGGAAGCGAGGCACCTTGGAGCTCAGGAGAGGCCGGGCTTGTTTGCACACTCGGAGGAGGGTTGCGATGGTGGTCAGGTCGAGGGCGAGCTGGAAGCTGTCGTTGAAGCAGATGATGGTGAAGATGTCAGGGTTGTGGTCGTCAATGTCCAGTCGAGCCATGCTGGTCGAATGATGGACACTGGCAGCCATGATGCGATGCAGCGGGTTGGGATGTGATGAGAGTTGCGATGGCGATATCCAGGCGACGAGACGAAACGAGGTGGGGCGAGACGAGATGGGTGGGATGGAACGAGAGTGGCACAGTCACCAAACCAAGAACATGGCTGGATCCACGGATCGAGTGCCAGTCAATCGATGCTTGTCATTCACATTCCCACACAGCTGTCACTCCATCACTCCATCACTCCATCACTCCACCTCATTCAGGCGACCAAATGCATCAACTATAGGAGATCGATCGGCGACATTCAGGAGCGTGCGATGTCGAGGCAACAAAATATATGATCAATGGTCAAAAAAACAGGGTATCCCGTTTCTTTCTGTATTGACTTTAAATTTCTTTCCGCACGAGCGGTGTTCTGGGCTATTTCAAAAGTATTATGGCGTCTAGCGACATCCTGCGCGTAATAAATGAGGAGGACGCGAGCAGAAGAGAAGGGAGGGGGAGGAGGTTGTGGATGAGATTTAGCGGAGAGGTCCCAAGCTTAGTTACCCCAGGCAGAAGTAAGGCTGGAGAGAAGCTCGCCCTTGTAGTCCTCAGAGAGCTCCCAGAACATGGTGCCACTGAAGCCGTTGGACTTGATCCAAGCAGTCTTGGCAGAGATCGAGGTAGTGTCATCGTAGGCAATGAAACGGCTGCCGTCGGTGATGGTGGGGCTCTGGGCAAAGTTCCACCAGGTGCGGGTCCAGCCGGAGCCAGCGGTGGTGGGAGTGGAGAGGACACCCTGGGAGCGGAGGTTGGTGTACATCCAGACACCAGAGACATAGGAGCTGCCGCAAGGATCGGTCCAGAGAGCATCGAGCTGATCACCAGTGATGGGGGGGCAGGCAGTGGCGTTCTTGGGGTCCTGGCCGGCCTTGTTGCAAGCCTGGAAGAGACCGCCGTTAACAGCAGCCTCAGCAGCAGTGATACCCCACGAGCGACCGTAGAAGGCAACACCACCAACGAGCTGGTTCTTGGCAACACCGGCGGCGGCAAAGTTGTTCATGGCAGTGGCAATCGAGAACTGGACGTTGCCGAACTGGAGGTTGCCGGCAGGGCGCTGGGGGTCGCTGGCACCAGGGAGGTTGAGGGGAGAGTTGAAGTCGGTGTAGGGAACCCAGGAACCGTAGAAATCGTAGGTCATGACGGAGATGTAGCTGAGGTACTTGGCATACTGGGTCAGGTAGTTGACGCCGTTGACGGTGTAGCGGTCGGTCTCGGCCGAGGCAGCAATCGAGAGGATGCGGTTGGGGCCAAGAGCCTGGCGAAGGGCAGCCAGGAGGTTGACAAAGTTGGCAGCGTCGTTGGCGTTGACGTGGTTGCAGGGAAGACCGCCACCTCCGGGGTACTCCCAGTCGAGATCGAGACCATCGATCCAGAACTGGTCGAGGAAGGCAACGACCTGGGTGGCAAAGTTCTTGGTAGCAGTGGCGCTGGCAGCAACATCCGAGAAGGTGCCCGAGAGCGACCAGCCACCGACGGTCAGGACAGTGCGGAGGTTGGGGTTGGCAGCGCGGGCAGCCATGAAGTTGGCAATGCCCTTGGTCTTGCCACTGTAGGGGTCAATGGACCAGGGGGCAGTGGCGCTGCTTCCACCGAAATCGGCCCAGGGGTCGAAACTGTAGAGGGTACCATCGGACTTGACACCGAAGAAGGCGTAGTTCAGGGCGTTAACCTTAGAGATGTCGATGGCGTTGGGGTTGTTCTGGGAGCGGGTGTAGATACCCCAGTCGGGCCAGTAACCAACAACACCGACTTTACCACCGTTGGCGTTGGGGGCGGGGCGGGGAACGAAGGTGGGAATGGTGTTGACATCGCAAGCACCAAGGTCCTTCCAGGAACCGCTGGTGCCATCGGGAGTGGTGCCCTTGCTGACGTAGTAGTTGGCCTGGTAGAGGTGGCCGTTGTAGGTGACCTTGGAGCCCTGGGTGTAGTCGACGGTGGAGTCCCAGAGGGTGGTGCAGGGCTGGAGGGTGCCGGTGGGGGAAGCGGAGGCCGAAGTCTTGGAAGGGGTGGTCTTGGAGGGAGTAGTAGTAGTGGTGGTGGTGGTGATGGTAGTGGTGGTGGTAGTGGTGGTAGACTTCTTGGTGGAGCTCGACTTGGCGGGGACAGTGGTGGTGGTCGTAGTGGTGGTGGTGGAGGATTTGGCGGGCTTGGTGGTCTTGGTCTTCTTGGTCTTGGTTGTCTTGACGGGCTTGGTGGTCTTCTTGGCCTTGGTGGTCTTCTTGGCGGCCTCAACGGTGGCCTGGAGGTGGTCCTGGGAGGTGGCCACAACCTCGGCCGAGACCGAGTTGGGGTGGTGGTTGGCTCCGTTGCGGGCAACAACCGACTGGACGGCGGCGGCAGCAAGGATGAGGGTGGCAAGCGACAGCTTCATGGCAGGCAGGCAAGAGATGAGGGAAGGACGGAGCGGGCCGACGACGTTCAGGCAGAGAGCAAAGGTGTTTGCGGACCAGCGGAAACGACGCCGCCGCAACAGGGAGCGGGCCGGGCCGAGGCTTTTATCGTCCAGCAGACAGGATCGGGGCCATCCCCAAGGCAGCAGAGCAAAAGGAGGAAGGGTGGGTGAGGGTGGAAGGAACATTCCCGGGGGGGGAGGGTCAGCCAAGGGCGGGGGGAGCGCACACGGAAGCACGCCCCAGCCAGCAAGGAAGGGACAAGCCGAGGAAGGTCTTGTGGGAACTGGTGGAGTGCGGCATGGAGGCAGGCGACGGCGATCGACGAACAGTGGCAAGGTAGAGAATGCAGCAGAATGCAATGGTGAGCAACAGAATGCAGCAGAATGCAATGGAGAGCAGCGGTGCCTCTTGCGAACAGCCAGGAAGGGGTGGATGGGGACATGCGACCTCGGCGCAAGGCGTGAGATCACAAGAGGGGATGCGCCGCTGGCATTCAGGCAGTTCTGGTGCAAGCACACTGCACAAGGGGGGAAGAGCAGCACGACGCAGGCGACACAGCAAGATGCAAGAGGGAAGAGATGGCAGATGGGGGAGCAAGGCAGACAGGGGACAAGAGGAGACAGGCGACGCGACGACAGGGGCATCAAGGACACGCGACTGCCACGAAGGGAGATGCGCCGTCGCACAGGGCAGCAGCAGACAGAGCTAGCAGAGCAAGCAGAGCAAGCAGAGCAAGCAGAGCAAGCAGATGAGCAAGATCTCGCACAGGCCTTGCACAGGCCTTGCACAGGTCTCGCACAGCAGGCACAGTGCTGTACAGGTGCGAGATGCGAGGCGGAGCGATGGCGATCTCAACCCACAACCCATGCGGATGGACAGCAGCAGACACACAAGCAATCAGCAGCAGACACACGAGCAATCAGCAGCAGATACACGAGCAATCAGCAGCAAATGCCCCCCAGAGCAATTCACAACAACCGCACACCAGAACAACGACCAACACTTGTGCTCGCACAGAGGGGGCTCGCGCGGGCCGGTGCGACCGGACCCTGCACGCCTTGCTTTTCCTTTCCTCTTCCGATCGCGCTGAGGGCGCCTCGGGAGCGCACGAAGGGTCACGCGCAAGGCGGGTGGCCCCGTGGCGGACGGCCCTGTACAAGGCATCGTTACACCGGGCTGACGACCATATATAGACAGGCTGCGCAGGGCAAGGGTGCGGGTTGGGCAGAGTTAGGGCTCAATCAGATGTGGCGCAGTCGTGTGACGTGGAATGACGTCAGCGGGGTCTGACCTGCCACTTGCGTGCTCATCATGAACAGAGGTTGCTGGATTGCATCGTGTCTGCGCTGCTCGGATCGTTCTCTCATGCGCTGTTTCCGCCTTGATCGCGCAACTTCGTGGTGGCGGGCGGCATGCGGGTCGTGTGGATTGAATGATGCTGCGATCAGTGCATGCGCACGCAATCGAGTGCATGGGCCATTGGGGATAGCTCGGATCGTTGGGGGGGGGAGGTGCTTGGGGCCGCTCTGACAAACTCGCCATTGCCGATTCGCCCAGCGAATCCGGAAACCCGCTGTATCTGGGACATGCCCGAGGTCTCTGATTCGCCTGATAAGCCGCAGCACCCGACCGAACCCGACCGAACCCAGCTCGATGACGCAGCCACCTGTGCCGAGCCTTGCCCGATCCGCAGGATGATGCGCTGGCGTTGCTCACCGGCTCCTGCTCGGATCTGCCCGGCTGCTGGTGATTGAGCAGGCGAACGACTGGCCGAAGCCACCGGTGCTGCGCGTTGGGTGCTGGCGGATGCGACGCGGTGCTGGAGCGACCGATTGCGTGCGCGGCGATAGGCGATTGGCGGGTGCGACCGAAGAAGAACAGCGGCGAATGTGCGCCAAGCAACACGCAATGCGATGCGCGTCGACGTGTCAAATGGTGGCCGCGATTGCGCGAAGGTTCGTTTGGGTTCGGTGCGCAGCGCGACCACGCGGACAGCGAGTGGCGCTGGGGCCTCCACGCATCCGCATCAGCAGCATCAGCAGCATCAGCACTGTCGGAGTGCCTGGGGCGGCGAGGGAGACGGCTGTCGGGTGACAGCGCACACGAGCACGGTGGGTGCCCGTTTTGGCGGCCAAGGCGCCTGTGCGCGAGTGTGTGGATGTGCCTCCGTTGTTTGAGTTTGCGTTGTATCCCACAGCACCACAGCGACAGACGGCAACGCGCGCTGACACACACACCCACACACACACACACACACACACACACACACACACACACACACACACACACACACACACACAGACACACACAAACACTGGCCCCCACAGCCGCCAAGCTCCGTGGGGCTCCGGCCCGCTCCTGCGCCGGCTCTTTTGGGGGCAGCGGCCGCCTTCTGCCGCACCCGGCCGCCTTGACGCTTGCGCGAGCCCGACCAACCGCCTCGCCATTCGCTCCCCTCCGCCTCGTTTGGTTCATGTGGGACTGGCCGGATGACCCTCAGATGACCCTATTGTCGCCACTGTCCCCGCAAGCCGTCCGTCTCCGTTAAAAGTCGCCCGCGGCCGCCCTCCTTTGCGCCTTCTCGTTCGGCACCCTCCGTTGACTCCCCTTCGCTCCTGGCCTGCTGCTCTCGCCTCACCCAGAAAACTCTGCCTATATTTCTGGCCTGCCGCCCTCTGCTCTGTGCCGCGCCCGTCTCATCCGCCTTCGACTCTGCCTCTGCGCTTCGCCTTCTCTCCTGTTGTCTCTGGCTGCTTCTCCTCAAGACCGTCGCCTGGCACAGGCCCTCCAGACTCCCACCGCCACCCCCATCCACCTCTTCCACACCATCAACTCCTCCTCACACTCTCCCCTTCAGCCCCCCCTTCCTCGCCGTCTTTATCTGTTAGACCCTCTCTCCCTCTCTCCCTCTGTATTTATTGCGCTCCCTGGCCGCTAATTGGCTGGCTCCCATCGCTTTCTCCTCTTGGACGATCTGTTCTCCCAAGCACGGTCTCTCCTGACTGGCGCTGTCGTCCAACGCTCCTCCGCCTCCTCCTCCTCCTCCGCTGCTCCCGAGCTGCTCGCTACTGCCGCGCTCGAGTCCATCCCTCCGCCCGTCTAAGCTTCTCCGGCGCTTGTTGATTTCGTTTTTCGATTTGCATCCTCCCGAGGTCACTTCGAACAACCTTTTCAACCAAGCCACGATCTGACCTGCTTAGCCCTAATTATTCTTGACCTTGATTTCTTGATATCCTTACGTCTGTTTGCCCAAAGATCATCCACTGCCCAACATGGCTGCCTCCCTCTAAACCCCCCCTCATCCCCCGTACACACGTTTTTTCCTAACGGAGAAAGCATCACTCTTGCCAACCAGAATATGACTGTGATCTTTTCGATACATCACTCATCCGAGGTTCGTGTTGCTGTCCCCTATCGAGGGTCACTGTGGGTGCCATTCTTGCAGACACCTGGCTGTCCTGCTCCGATACCACCATCGCGCCTGCCCGTTCGACTGTGCATCACTTCTACCCGCCCTCTGTTCACCGTCGGCTTCGCATCGGTCGCCCTTATAAACTGCACGTCCTGCTCCTCTGCGTGGCCTGTCGCTGCTGATCAGGCTCCGTGCCTGTTGGTTCTCTCGCTAACCCTCCGCTTCTCTTTTCTTCTGCCCCTCTGTCCTTCGTGATCCGCCTGGCGCTGCGCACACTTGTCCACGCCGTGTCCTTGCCGTCCATCTCCATACTGCCTTCACCACCACCGCCAGCCTCGCCTCAAGGGATCTCCCTTCGCCTTCAATCTCTCTTCACTATAGCCATCATCGCCCTCTTCGGCTCCGTTCTGAATCACACGGCCCCGCAATTTTGAATTCCGAAATCTCTGAAAAAAAAGAACCAACTCTCTTCAAAAAACCGACCGCCCGCTCGCCTTTCTCGCTCATATCGCCTTCCGCCGCATCAGTAATCCCTCCAGAAGCCCCTCCTCCCGTATCTCCAGCCGCATCAGCCATGGACTTTGATCCCACCCTCAAGCTCTCAACCGTGATCGACCAGGGTCGATTGCGCCTCCTCTCCATTCTGGGCTCGGGCTCCTTCGCCATCGTCTACCTCGCCGAGGACACCGAGACCCGCAAGCGCTATGCCGTCAAGTGCCTCTACAAGGAGGGCCTGACCAAGGAGCAGCTCTCTCTCCAGCGCCAAGAAATCGACTTTATGCAAACCGTCGGTCGCCACCCCAGCATTGCCCAGATGATCCGCACCATCGACGATGTCGACTGCCTCTACCTCGTCCTCGAGTACTGCGCCACCGATCTCTACGAGGTCATTTCGGACTTTGGCCCGCTCGATCCTGCCGTCGTCAAGTCCATCTTTGAGCAGCTCGCCAGCGCTCTGCTCTACTGCCATTCGCGCGGCATCTACCACCGCGACATCAAGCCCGAAAACGTCCTCGTCGTCGACCCCGTCCGAAACCACTACGACGACATGTCGGTCCGTCTCACGGATTTTGGACTGGCTGCCACCGAAAAGTACCAGACCGACATTGGCTGCGGCTCGCTGCGCTATATGTCTCCCGAGTGCATCGGCCTGCACGGCTCGACCGGCTACACCTCGGCCGCCAACGATGTCTGGGGAATGGGCATCCTGCTCTTCAACATGGCCACCGGCCGCAATCCCTGGGTCGAGCCCAGCCAGACCGACACGAGCTTCGCGTACGTGCTCGAGCACGGCGTCGGTGCCCTCAAGGAGATGTTTGGTCTCACCGACCAGTTCACCGACATTCTGTGCCAAGTTTTTACATCCGAGTCCAAGCGCTGCTCCTTGTACACACTGCGATCCTTGGTCCGACGGGTGGACCAATTTGTGGAAAACTATGATGACTATGATGAGCTGCAGTTTGCCTTTGAGCAGCACACCATCTCCGAGACCAAGGCTCGCCCCCTGTCGCCCCCTGCCTCCGTCGTGCCTGCCACCGGCGCGACCCTCTGCAGCGCCCCGAGCAACTCGTCCTGGTGGTCCGAGAGCGACGAAATGGACTTTGACACCCTGCCCGTCTTCGAAGACTCGGTCTCCAAGCCCGACGATGTCTCCAGCAGCCCTGCCTCGGCCAGCACCTGCAGCAAGTCCGATGCCCGCATCTCATCCAACAGCGGCAGTGGCGTTTCTCGCCAAGTCCTTGCCGCTCCTGGCTCAACGCCGATTTCGATCGCGACTGCTGCTGCCGTCCCGATCCCCGCGTCGATCTCTGTCTATGATGCTGCCAAGGCCCGCAACGTCTTTGCCGAGACCAGCATGGCTCCCATCGCTTCCTCGCCCGGAAAGAGCCGCCGCCGCCACCGCCACCGCAACAAGGCCAGCAAGAAGGTTGGCGTCGATGCCACAAAGCCCACCGGCGCTGCCCTGGCTGCTCGTGCCCTCAACGAGAGTCTGAGCGGCATCTACTCGTCCGCCGTCTCTGCCGTCCAAACCCTGCATTCGTACATGTTCCGAACCCTGTCCTCGTCCTCGGACTGTCTGAGCCAGTTCAGCGAAGGGTCTGTGGTCGCGAGCACGACCAAGACCCCGATGATGGCCTGTACCATGCGCCTCTGAGACGGTGCCCTGGCCATTTCGCTGGTCTGTGCTTGGCCGCTCCCCCCTGTGGCTTGTTGGACAAGTCGTCTGCATCAACCTACCAACGCTCGACCAGCCTGTCCGGATCCTGTCAGGCTCTCCACTATGCACCACCGCCGGCACCGTCCACTCTTTCTTTCCCATCGTCCTCCCTCACCCCTTCACCCATTCACCGTCTCCCGCCCCCCCCTTTCACCGAGCCGAGCCCGATCAATATACGCACCATAAATGACAATGATCCCATAGTGTTGCCTCTCACCCTCTTTTCTGCTTGTTTCTGTGTTGCTCCCCCCCCCATTTTTTGCTTTGATTTGTTTCGAATGGACCCTTCTCACCTCCTATCTCATACCATAGCCAGATACAGAAAAAAGAAACCGAGAACCGCGTCAGCACATGTCCTGTTCTTCCCTTTCTCTCTTGTCTTATGGTAGCTCCCGTTGCGCTCCCGTTTCTGGTCCGTTTGCTTCCTCTTCGATCATGTGCTTGTGACATACTTTACGTGATTTGTTTTATTTTTGTTTGCCTTGCCTGGCTTCCCTCTCCCCCGGGCTTTTTGCGCTTTTCCAAGTCGGGTTTGGCATCAACTCATCGCATGTGTGTTGAGCCGACCAGACTAACCAACCAATCAACCAAGCAACCAACCAACCCATCAATCAATCAACCAGCCAATCGATGACAAAAAAATGTTCAAGTGTGGAGTTTGCCGATTGCAATATATCGAAAGTTGTGCTGATATTTGACCTGGTGTTCTTATTCTGCGGAGGCGGGTTGGGTGGCCGTGAATCCCACGCCATGCACAGCGCTGATCGGTGGGACAGGCCCCTTGTCTTGGCCAACCCCAGCCAAACCCAGCCCAGGCGCCGGAGGCGCGATGTCTGTATCACCCACGTGGCCAACGGGCCAAGACAGCCAACCTGCAACAGAGGGCCTTTGCAACCCAGCGGGGGCTCCCATGAAGCGGCGAAAACAGGGGTGTGGCAAATCGTGGGTTTTTGTTGCCGCAGTCTCCGTCACAGCGCCGTGGGTCGCGGGCTATATATAGCAAGCTTGGTCGTCCCTCTCCCTCGATATTGCACGTCGGGTCATTCGAACACAAGCGCTATCTTTCAATCCTCGTCGTCCAGCTTGTCCCCGCTCGCCATGTCGCAGCCCCAGTCCAAGGGCACCAAGGCCGCCATGGGATACCATCCCACCACCATCGGCACCCGCTCGCCCAACCCTCTCGGCTTCCTGTTCCTGTCGTGGCTGCTGCCGCTGCTGCGGCTCGGAGCCTCGCGCCCGCTCGTCTTCGAGGACCTCTATTCCATGAAGCCCAAGAGCCGGGCCTCGTCGCTGAGCCAAGCCCTCGAGGCCTCTCTGCGGGCTGCCCCTGGTGCCGCGGATGCATCGCAGCCTCCCTCCAAGACGGCCTACTCCCGTGCCTTCATGAAGTCGTTCCTGCCCCGATGGTGAATGCCACTGCCTCGCATGCTCTTGTTCCGGGGGGGGGATTGCTGAATGCCGGCTGCCACTCACTCATCCACTCGGCCATTCATGCATCCACTCACTCACCCACTTACCCTTGTCTGTTCCCTATCCTTCCCCTTCCCCTCGTTCCGGTTCCGGTCGCTTGACATCCAAGGTTCCTGGGCTTTGTCTTCTCGGCAACCGGCATGCTCGCCACAGTCGCCATCCCGCTCCTCATGCGCCAGATCGTCCTCAATCTCTCGGGACAGCCCACCTTTGTCCAGAACCCGTACGGACTGGCCTTCCTCATGTTCGGATGCACGCTCGCTGCCGCAGTCTGCGCCGCTACCAGCACCCAGATCATGACGGGCATCGCCATCGATGTCCGCACCAGCCTCATTGGCTTGATCTACCAGAAGGCGCTGCGGCTCTCGGTCAAGGCATCCAAGAAGTTTGATGAGGTGCCATACTCGTCGTTCTCTGGTGTTGTGCATCGGATGATTCGGCCTCGCCACATCCAACTACACCGCATGTACCCCCAACGCATCCGTCTGTGTCCTGTCAAGGCTGCTGCCCGGTCCTGGTCGCCCACATCGACTGGATTTTATCGGCCTGCCTGCACACAGACTCGTCCACACAGACTCGCCCGCGGCAACTGACTCGCTCGCGCTCATCGGTTTCTCCAGGGTGCCCAACTTGTCTTTGTCAATGTCGACAGCCAGGCCGTATACGACACCATCATTTACTTTGACTCGTGCATCAACACTACGGTCCAGGTAGAGTTGCATCTCACCATGGATGAGGTCCACGGCTGGATGAGGTCCACGGCTGGCTCGCTGGCCGTGCAATCGGGAGCGATGACCGTCATGATTGACTCGCCGGCTGATGTGGCGCAATCATGCCCTCCCTCTCTCACCCGACGCAGATTGCCCTGGTGATCTACTTCATATACACCCTGATCGGACACTACATCCTGATTTCCGTCTATGTGATGCTCGGCGCCCTAGTCCTGCTTGCGGCTTGCACCGTCTTTCTGACGCAAAGCCAGAAGAAGATGCTCGCCAACAACGACGACCGCCTCAATCTCATCCGCGAGGTGTTCATGAACATCAAGATGATCAAGCTGCGCGGATGGGAGCTCATCTTCGAGTCCAAGATCGACGTTATCCGGTATGCCCCAGCTCTGACCATTCGTTTCTCTCCACCGTGCCCAAATATGCGCATCGCTGATCCACCTGCGCGTGCTCCCTCGATTCCCCTCCCATCGATCAGCGAGAAGATGATGCGAGGCATCAGCGCGTACTTGATCAGCACTCTGCTTCTGATCGCTGTCATTATTGTAAGCGAAGCCGTGCTGGGTTAGGTCAAACAAGAGCTTTCGACTGTCTCCGGCTGGCAGTCACAGAGCCATTCACCCCAGATATCGCTGGCTGCGGTGTGGTAATGTCCCAGTCCCATTCAAGGTGCTGCACGCCTCTAACCAGCTCACTCCCTTGTTGCTCTCAGGCAGTTCCGCTTCTTTTGCCCGTCATTACTTTCATCGTCTACTCGGTAAGTGTGTTTATTGTGCTTGCTGCGAGCCTTTCTGCGACGATTGTTTATGCCAATACACTCCGTCAGCCATCAGCCACTCACAGTCACCTGTTCCACTGCAGATGAATGGCAATCCTATGCTTCCAGAAGTTGTCTTCCCGACCTTGACATTCTTTGTCATGCTCATCGCCCCTCTCGACATTCTCCCGTTCAGCTATGGGTATGTCGCTGCAATCGTGCGTCGCAGCTCTGTTCTTGCATGATGTGTTCTCCGCGTTATCGATGCGGACTTCATTCTGGATTGTGCTGACCATGCCGACTTGGATCCGCAATCGATCCACCTGCGTCGCTCTGATGCTGCTTCTCCGACGATCAGTAAATTTGCCCAGGGCCTTGTCTCCTGGAATCGACTCGTGGCTTTCTTCAATGCCGAGGAGTCGTCTGGTGACTCGGCTCCGCTGCTGGCTGCCGATGTTTCCACGAACATATCCGCGGCCATCGCACTCAAGGACTGCACCTTCCGTTGGGAGACCAGCGAAGAACCCAGCACGAAGGACGACGCAAAGAAGAGTTTTGGGTTCAACAAGAGCAAGCGCGACCCCAAAGAAGAGTCTGTGCAGGACAGCAACCTTGATTCTCCGTTGACCCAGGGGGCTGATGATGCACCCGCGACTAAGCCTGCGTTCTCGTTCGAGGGCCTTGACGTTGAAATCGCCCGTGGATCTCTGACCGCTATCGTTGGCCGCGTTGGCTCGGGCAAGTCGTCCCTCCTGACGGCTGTCTCTGGACAGATGACCAAGGTCCAGGGCACCGTCCATGTCAACGGCAAGCTCGCCTACTGCAGCCAGCAGCCCTGGATCCAGGCCGCCAGCATCCGCGCCAACATCCAGTTTGTGTCTCCCGAGTACGACGAGAAGCGCATGGCCGAGGTCATCACCGCATGTGGCCTCGAAGCCGACATGGCCCAGCTTGCCGGCGGCATCGACACCCAGATCGGCGAAAAGGGCATCAATCTCTCTGGTGGCCAGAATGCCCGAGTTGCCCTGGCCCGTGCCGTGTACAGCGACGCCGACATCTACCTGCTCGACGATCCCCTCGGTAAGTCGCCACACGATGCCAGTGGATTGCCCAAGCTCATGCTGCTGTCTGTGCTGCTCATGTGGTTGTTCGCATCGCTGCCCATGTGGCTCGATGGCGTCCACCCACTCTTGCATCGACACCATCCTGCACACTATCGCCATGGTTCCTGCCCACCCCCCACACACGTACTCATCATCACTGTTCATCGACCCGATGTCTCTCTCCGCATCGATACCGATCCGTCCAGCCGCACTCGACTCCCATGTCGGCAAACATGTGTTTGACAAGTGCATCGGCCCCAAGGGCATGCTCTCCAGCAAGACACGAGTGCTCGTCACCCACCAGCTCCACGTTCTGCCCTCGGTCGATCGCATCATCGTCTTTGACAATGGCCGCATCGTCGAGTCTGGAAGATACTCGGAGCTCCTTGCCAAGCCCGAGGGACACCTCAAAGAGATGGTCCAAGACCACAAGGTGTGCATCTGCATCCGGGCTTTGTGATCTTGCTGTGGGTGATGGCGAGGCAACAGGTCCCGATGATGATGTTTGGCATGTACGACAGACTACCGCCCGTTGCTGACGATTATCTCTGCTGCTTGACGATTGTCTCTGCTGCTCAGTTTGACTCTGACGACGAGCAGGAGCAAGAAGATACCAAGGCCGCTCAGTCAAAGGAGACGAAGGAGAAGACAGAGGCTGGAGAGGCCAAGGATCTGATCGAGGAGGAGGAGATCGAGACGGGCGACGTCCGTGGAAAGACCTATGTAAGTTGACTGGACCAGCAAATACTTTGAACGCATCGATCTGCTCACAGCCCAATAACGCTCTCTGGCGCGCTCAGGTGGACTTTTTCAGATACTCTGGCCGATACTGGGCCGTCTCACTCATGGCACTTCTGTTAGCCATGTTCACTGGATTCGGATTGGCGGGAATGATCTACCTCAAGTAAGCGACTGCTCTTGTCCTCTCAGCGGTACCACTGGGTAGAAAACTGCAATCGGGTTTCTTGGAGGATACGCTGACACAGCCATCTGCTCCGCCCTGTCGCATCTCACAGCCAGTGGATCCTCGATTCAGCGAATGGCATCGATAGCATCTACCGAACCCTTTACATCATTATGTCGCTGCTTGAGACTTTCAGCTGCAGTAAGATGCGATTTGCATGTATGATGCCCGTCATACATCGAGGTTGACTTGTTGCTGACAGTTTGTCCTCCCCTGGCATTGCTCCAGTTTCTTACTACTTTGTCGGTGGCTTCAAGTAGGTTTGACTTGTACAGGAGGTGCTCCGGGGAATGATTCGGCGGCGCCGACGGCAACGTGACACTGACATCTCGCCCACAGCTCCATCGTTGGATCGCGCAAGATTCACAAGCTGGTCATCAAGAAGCTGCTCAACTTTCCGATGCACTTTTTCGAGACCCAGGTGCGTTTGACACTGCCCACTGGATCCCTGTGAGACCTGGCAAGTGCTTTGCGATCCCCGAGCCGACCCATGGTCTCACCCTCCACTTTATCCCATCGCTCAGCCGCTCGGCAGAATCCTCAACAGACTCAGCAAGGACATTGAGATGCTCGATCAAAGTAGGTTGATCTGCTCTGTTAGTCGGTATGATGTAGAGTTATCTGGCCCGTTGCACTCGGGTACGGAAGTTGAAAGTCGACACTGACTCCAAGGCTTTCCACAGCACTCTGGAACATTGTTCAGGGCGTGTGTATCATGGGCATTCTTGTTCTCAGAGGTTCGGTAATCACCGCCTATGCCACCCCATGGATCATCAGTAAGCATCTCGCGATGTATTGCATCTGTGCTCGAGTGGTCTGCCCATGCGCTCTAACTCCGCACTTGTTGATCCCGTGCTCCAGTCGAGCTTGTGATCCTGGTGGTTGCTGTCTACTACATCTTCAAGTTCTACCGGTACGACTCGCGCGTCTCGAATAGCTGTGGCAGAGTGATATCAGTGCGGTGCTAATCCTGGCTTCTCCCCGGCCAACAGTGCATCGGTCCGCCAGCTCAAGCGCCTCGATTCCAACATGGTGAGTAGCACCACATCGCCACGCATGTTTGGCGCTGTTCTGTGGTGTCGTTCATAGCCCACTCGACTCGCTGCATTCGTGATTCTGGCTACATACGCTGTGGCAACTCACACACTACTCGCCTATGCCACTCATCTCTCGCCAATACGCCATGCTGTCCGCCAATCCCCCATGTCTCGGCTTGCTTGCAACAGAGGAGCCCGCTCTATGCGTTCATCTCCGAGTCCTTCAGCGGCGTCTCGGTCATCCGTGCCTTCCATGTATGTGTCCATGCCGAAATGTATCGCCCGCTCTGCCTGTCATGGATCGTGCTTGTCATGGATCGCGCTTGTCATGGATCGTGTCTGTCCTGTATCGCGTCCATCCCAAGACCATGCCAAGCACAGCCCAGTGCTGACTCTCTTTGCCTTTGTCGCAGGCCCAAGAGACCTTCATCGAGCGACAGCACCGCTTGATCGACGACTCGAATGCACCATTCTATCTCAACCAGCTGTGCGCCATCTGGCTCCGTGTGTGGATTGCGGTGAGCATGGTGCACTCTGGGTCGCGTGTGTTTGGCGCAGGTCCATCGATAGGTCGATCCATTGCACTCCGGCAACTGACGCCTGTTTCATCCCACGCCAGTCATCCATGTCTTTGATCACGCTCGCAACTATCCTGATTGCTATCGGAACCAAAGTTCCTCCTTCGACCGTGGCTCTCGCCTTGTCGTGTGCTGTGGATATTCCCAGTCAGCTCATTGTGAGTACTCGAGTTTGACGATGTCCTGTGCCTGCTACTGAGGCCGCTTCCCACATTGCTGTACTATGCAAGCGTCCCTCCTTTCTCCATTTTGCGACGCCGTCCCGCCTCGCGTCGCTGCGCAAATCGCTGCTTGGGTGCGTCTGCGTTTGACACGAGTGTGACTGGATCCATCTTGGTCGACTTGCCAGAACTTTGGCCAGGCTTTCAGTCTGTTTGAACAAGGCATGAACACCATCGAGCGCCTGGTCCACTACATCGAGAACATTGACGGCGAGGCCCCAAGAAAGTGTGAGGCCGTCGATCCCCCGTCCGAGTGGCCCAGCAAGGGCGAGATCCAGATCAAGGACCTTGCCGTGGCCTACCCGAGCCATCCCGATCGGCTTGTTCTGAAGAACCTGAGCCTCGAGATCAAGGCAGGCGAGAAGATTGGCGTCGTTGGACGCACCGGCAGTGGCAAGAGCACCCTGCTGACGGTCCTGTTCCGTCTGCTGGATCCCGTCGGCGGCGAGATCACCATCGATGGATTCAGTACGTCCCTGCACCATGCCGATATGCAATTGCGCATCTCCCGCAACTGTCCAGCTCTGGTTGCGCGTTAGAGAGCAATCTGCACACTGCAGATCGCCTCTGGTCACCCTCTGCATATGGAGACTCACCTTGCACTCGAGGCTGTGCTTTGGTGCGCAATCGTCGCTCGCGCCACACCAGCCGATCGGGAATGCAAAATACTCACTGCCATCCTTGCCATCCAGAAACGGGCAACATTGGCCTGCACACGCTCCGCCAGCGCCTCCAGATCATTCCGCAAGAGCCCATCCTGTTCTCGGGCACCATCCGCTCCAACATCGACATCGAGGGCAAGTTTGGCGATGCCGAGATCTGGGAGTCGATTGGGGTATGTGACACTTCTGAGCGCGGTGCTGGTGCCGTGCTGCATGGCCATCCCGCAGGACTGATTGTGTCGGAGCAACTCGTACTCACCCAGCGATGCGACCGCCACCGTGGCTGTTGCCTTTAGTTTGTCGGCTTGACCGACTACATCTCCAGTCTGCCCGAGAAGCTCGACTCTGCCGTCACGACGGGTGGCCAGGTGGGTGTGCTTGATGAGCGCTGGGAACGCAACGCTGGTCCGGGAGTCGATGGGATGTGGACTGCACAAAGCGGGCAGGAGAAGCGGCCGCCTCCTCCCGTTGGACCATGAGCAGTTGCCTTCTCACGCTCACCGCATATATGGCTCGTGCTGGGGAAGTGTGTCTGCTCTCTGACCAATCATACTGACTGATTCTCACCTCGTCACGACAGAACCTCTCCGTGGGCCAGAGACAGCTGCTCTGTCTGGCCCGTGCCATCATCTGCAAGCCCAAGATCCTGGTCATGGACGAAGCCTCGAGTGCCGTCGACGCCATGTCAGACACCTTGATCCAGAAGGCCATCAAGAGCAACTTTGCCGATTCGACCGTGATCAGCATCGCGCACCGACGTAAGTACAGGCACACTTGCTCATCGAGACAAGGCAGGGTCGCAAGCGACAGGGGCTTGCCGTTGCGACCGAGGGATGGTCGGAATCGATGGACAGCTGCTGACGCCTCGCTGGTTCACTCGCATGCATCCCCGCGGACTCGGAGCAGTGAATACCATCGCCGACTTTGACCGCATCATTGTGCTCGATGCGGGCAACATTGCCGAGATGGGCACGCCGCACGAACTACTCGCCAAGGAAGGCGGTCTGTTTGCTGAGATGGCCAATGCAACGGGTCCGTCGAACGTGCTCAGGCTCCAGGAAGTCGCTGCCCAGCACTCGCACTCGACCCTGAACGAGCTGTGATGGCGGCGCAAATGTCGCTGTCCGGGCGTGCTGGGATAGCTCGGCGACAGAAACCAGTGCTGCATTCTCCGTTGCCCATCGCCGTCGCCAGCAGCGTCATCCTGTGCATGCTGGTAATATGAAGATCGATTCCACAGCTGCGTCGATCACCTTTGAACAAGGCTACACTCGCTCTGATCTCGTCGATGGAGCCCCCCATCTTGGCATATGTTCCTGGGATTGACGGATTGGTGATTCAGGTGTGGGAACATTTCATGTTTGATTGAGCGTTTCTATGGGGGGGGGCTGAACTCATGTTGGTGTTCACCAGGACGAGCCGGATGTATTAGGTCAAAGAGGCGGACGAGCCGCTGAGTCGGTTGTCTTGAATGCCAGAGAGTGTCGCCGACCAACTCCCATCCATTGATGTTGCAAGCTTGCATATTCCCTGTCGTGACTTGGTCGCTGTTGAGATACGGGCAGGAAGCAACGATTCAAACTTCAAGCCCACTCGTCGAGACTTGAGAATGTTGACCGCCATTGATGAAGCTGGTCGACGGACTTGAGGCGCTTGGGAGTAGTCATAGTTATGGCTGACCCGGCGATTCTCTGTCCATAGTGATTGCATGCTCGACGAATGGGAGGAAGTGGCGACTGATGTATTCAAGTCGGTGGAGCGACAACACTGCTCGATCGTCACCGTGCTATGCCGATCCACATCTTCCTAACAACTAACACTAGCTCAAGCTGTCACTTGATTCAATCCCCTTGTCCAGTTCGATAGAGAAGTATTTCATTTGCTGAAGGTATGGATGATCGGGAGCACGCTCGAGAAGGATATCAATGGCTTTGGTTGTGGAATCCCGAGCAGCATCAAACTGCTTCCTGGATCTTTGAATGGTTGCAATGCCATGGAGAGCTTGAGGAATGATCATGGGGTTTGAAGGCTGTCGAAGTCGCTTCACCATATCCATGGCATCCCTGTAGAGGATGAGGGCATCGTCGCCGTTTCCTTGGAGTCGACGAAGGTCACCCAACCAACACAGTGCATGGGCTACCGAGGCATTATCGGTCGTGGAGTGGATGGTTCTGAGAAGCTCGAGTGATTTCTCGAGTTTGGATTGGGCATCGTCGAGTCGCCCGAGTTGGATCAGGTCTGCACCGCAGCCAATTTGGGATTCGGCCTCTTGAGCTCCTGTTGAGTCGTTTGAGATACGAGTAACAATATCGAGGGCCTCTGTGTGGTATTCGAGTACTTTGGGAAAGTCAGATTGAAGAAAGTGAATCCATCCAAACTCATCTAGGATGTTAGGCACGTAAGAGTGTTCACGAGTACCACATAGCTTGAGATATATTTATAGACACTGATCGGCGTATCGGAGAGCCTGTGAGGTGCAACCCAGAAGTCGTGAGCAATAGGACATACTGCTCAGGATCTGTCCAATGTCACCTCGTTCGAGAGTGCCACCGATATTAATACTGATATCGGGCGACTCTTGGTAGAATGCAAGTGCATCGTCCAGGTGTCCTTGGGATATTGATACCTCACCCATGTTGTTGAGGACTGAAGCAACATCGGGATGCTCGCGGGTCCCATAGAACACGACACTTCGCCTCAAGTTCCTCCTGAACTTCTCCATTGCCTAGGTGTAGAGTGGCTTCTCTTGGGCCAATTTGGCAATTTGGTACTCGATTCGGCTATGCAGTTGCTTGGTGTAAACTTCTGGCACTATCTTCTCGGCGTATTGGTCAAGATGCTCCGCAAATTGTTGTGCCTTGAGATCCATCGAGTCAGTCAGCTTGATCAACACTTCACCAGTTGCATCATCGATTCCTTCGACATTCAGTTCATCGTGTGCTTGGACATACTCTCGAGCCACCTGCTGGGTGAGCGAGTGGGCCGAGTACTGTCCCTCGGCTCCACTTCGGAGGAGACCGCTCTGGACCACCATCTTGATCAGATCGGCCACTGTGGACAGATGGACTGGTCAGTTCCATGTATAAACACCATCAACTGCACTTCGATCCACTCGCAACTCACCTTCGGTCTTGAGCTCCAACTGCTCTGCAATCTCCTTGATCAACTCAAACTGCATGTTGGCCGGCGCCACCAGACTGAGGGCACCGAACAGCCTGGATGCCTCGATGCCTTCAACTCCTCGCTTCATAATCGAGTCCATCGACAGATCCACAATCACCTTGAGCGACGACTACGTGTCGTCCTCGCCATCCTGCAACTCCAATGCTCCTGCAAACGTGGCCTCGAGCTCCGACAGTGGAGTGTCGTAGTTCTCGGCAAACGTCATGAATGTCTGGATGACGAGTGGATATCCGCTGATCTTGGCCACGATGCTGTCGAGGGACTTCTTGGTCTCGTCCGACACAAGTCTCTCGACAATCATTGGCGACGACGACAGGATATATTCGAGTGTGGTGGTGTCGTCCCAGTTGCCGAGACGGAGCAGATCGTGCTGGAAGCTCGGTGCCTTGGTCTCAAGAGCACTGGTGAATACACCAGGAGGCAGCGAGGCCAGCCGAGTCGTCACCACCACATCGCCGCTGAACCCGACCGACTTGGAGTGCTCAAACACAGAATCGGCCACGCTGATGTCATCGATATTGTCGAGCATCAGGAGATAGCCGTGGGTGTTGGCGAGGAACCTCGAGGCATGCTCCTTGACCTTCTCTGGATCGGCACCATCGAACATCTCGCACAGCCCATCGATGGCAGTCGACTCGGTCGAGCAGTTGACCCAGAAGACCTGGGGGTACTGTGGCTTGATGCCAATGGTCTCGGCTTTGATGACATGGAGGTCTTCCTTGTTGCTCGCATTCATAATGTCCATCATGAAGAACAGGATCTGGACGGCGAGGACGGACTTGCCCATGCCACCCATGCCGGAGATGACAGCGCGGCCAGTCAGGGTGAGCTGCTTGAGCAGGGTGACCGAAAGATCCAAGTGGTCCGGGATGCTCGGGCATTGTCAAGATGTGTATTCAGTACACGGCATCATACGGTTATCCACAGCATTAAAGCCACTCTGAGAGAAGACCAGGTTGGGATTCCGTCATCCGGATGTGTTTGCAATGAGATGTGCTTGCCTGCTTCGCTTGCTTGTTCGGTGTTGGCCAAGGACAGTGATATTTGGGAGTTCAGGGGATCACAGCTCTCGACCGAGATACTTGAGGCTGTCGATGGAATCTTGGAAACCCTGTTCTGCAGCCTTGCGATACCAGAAAACGGCGGTGCCGACGTTCTTGGGGACACCTCGGCCTAGCCAGTAGCATTCACCGAGCCAATCTTGTCCGTATCGATTGTCCTGCCCGGCCGACTTGCGAAACCACTCGATTGCCTTGGGTTGGTCCTTGGCGACTCCGTATCCCCAGAAGAAGCACGTTCCAATCCCACATTGACCGTAAGAGTTGCCTTGGTCAGCCGACTTGCGAAACCACTCGAATGCCTTCGTGTAGTCTGTCGATACTCCCCCGCCATAGCAGTAGCAATCTCCGATCCAGAACTGGCTGTCGCTGTGGCCCTCGTCGGCGAGTTGTTCAAAGGTGCCAGCCGCCTTCTCCAGGTCCCGAGTGGTTCCGAATCCATGGAACACACACACAGCCTCGAGATGTCTGCAAATCCAGTCTCGGTCCGACCCTATCTGACAGAGATCGAAGAACTTCCGGGCTGCGGGTGAGTCGGAGTCGGACGAGTTCCAATTGGCCAGACATTCGTCCTCTCCGAAAGGGAACTCATCCGATCTGTTCTCCCGGATGATCTTGACACCCTTCTGTTCGTCGCGCATGGTTCCCCGGCCAAGGTAGTGCATCCAGCCAACCATGTGGGTGGCGATGGGTTTGATGACTGGATCAGTGGATTGGGTGCTGACTTCGTGCCAGTGGTTAAAGGCATCGATGTCGCTCTGTTCGACATCATGGCCGATGAACGAGAACCATCCCCGGAGAAACAAGATGTGGAGTCGACCGTCTTCGCTGCCCTGGTCGGCGGCCTTGGAATACCACTCGATGGCTGTGTCGTAGTCTTGGTCGACACCCTTGCCATTCTCAAAGCATCCACCGAGGGCAACTTGGGCCTGTGCCACTCCACGGTCCGCAAGACTGCGATACAATTGGATGGCTTTGGTGTGATCTGGGTCGACCCCGAGTCCGTTGCGATAGCAGCCAGCCAGGTGGAACTGTGCCATTGGATGGCTTGTGTTGGCTGCCTTCTCCAGAAGGCGGAAGATATGCTGGCGCTCGGCACTCCCCTCAAGCTCATCGTCGTTTTCTGATTCTTGGTCAACTTGGAGGATCCGTGCCAGGAAGTACGAGGCCGATGCATTGCCCTGCTCTGCCCGATCTTCCAGCCAGGATCGGTCTGCTGTGGCTTGATCCTCGCAGTGCAGCGAGAGGGCAATCTGGTCGCTCGGTGTGAGTGCGAACCGCAGCTGTCCGTCTGGATTGCACAAGCCTGCATTCTGACACCAGGTGTGGAAGCGAGGCACCTTGGAGCTCAGGAGAGGCCGGGCTTGTTTGCACACTCGGAGGAGGGTTGCGATGGTGGTCAGGTCGAGGGCGAGCTGGAAGCTGTCGTTGAAGCAGATGATGGTGAAGATGTCAGGGTTGTGGTCGTCAATGTCCAGTCGAGCCATGCTGGTCGAATGATGGACACTGGCAGCCATGATGCGATGCAGCGGGTTGGGATGTGATGAGAGTTGCGATGGCGATATCCAGGCGACGAGACGAAACGAGGTGGGGCGAGACGAGATGGGTGGGATGGAACGAGAGTGGCACAGTCACCAAACCAAGAACATGGCTGGATCCACGGATCGAGTGCCAGTCAATCGATGCTTGTCATTCACATTCCCACACAGCTGTCACTCCATCGCTCCATCACTCCATCACTCCATCGCTCCATCGCTCCAGCCCAGTCGATCCGGATGGGAAACTCGCCTCAGTTTCTCAAGGCCGCTGCTGACCGCGGCAACCTCAAAGTGTGCTTCAACCTTGCCATGCTTCCACCTCACCGGCGAGGGGATTCACCAAGACTATCGCAGCAACCGACAAGTAAACGCCCATCAACGGACTGGGCTGTGACGCTCGAGCTCGGAGCAACATCAATGTGGGATTGGGGTGGTGTTTGATTTCAGCGTACATGCACGGCCTTTGCACTCCCATAAGTTGGTCCCGGTATATTTCCCAACTTTGATTTTGCGTGGCTATCAGCGGACAGACTCGGGCGGCAAGAAAACGACTGGCACAGCAATACGAAAGATTGACACAATATGCAACAAAGGGAATCATTGATACCGGCCGGACATCAATGAAGGTCGAGTCGAACGCACTTCTCGGCTGAGTCATGTCGATCATTGGTTTTTGGGGCCGCTTGAGCTGATCAGCGACGCAATCTTGGGGGCCATGCGATACCGGATCTGGTGCGCTGTTGAGTGGCCAAGGACAGCAAATCCGTAGCATCCCAGGCCAACCCAAACTAGATCCTCCAGGATAGCGCCGCTGGTAGTGAGCGTCGATGACCAGTAAAATATGGCCATGATGACCGGTAGGACATAGACCCGGCGCCCCAGCGACTGGTAGCCGCCGAGGACAAAGAGGCCGAGATGGTACGGACTCAGATACAAGCGCATTTGCTTGGCGATCGGATGGCAGGCTCGCACAACAGCGGTTAGGTCGCCAGACCAGACCATGCTGCTGACGCGGTTGGCAAACGACTCGGGGTCTGGGAGTGACGCAACAAGCGCAGCGACGGATTGGTAGAGCTCGGCGATGGTGAGGCCGATCTGGGATAATCCAGGACCGCCAGAGGCACTTTCCAGCGGAACCTTCATTTGGGCAGCTTCTTCTGGCAGGAAGTAACTTGTGAGGCTGATGGAAATATGAGCCAGGGCGTTGAGGACTGTGACGTAATAGACAATGTATCCCACCCAGCAGATGATCTGGGCAGAGCCTAGATTGATCGTTGCAGTTGAAGAGCGAGTTGAACAGCAACCAGAGGCCGACCGGAGATACAGACCGAGTCAGGGGGGGGGAGCGAGGAAAGATGGCAAATGATAAGCAAGTAGTCGTCCAAGGCTCAAGTCGGTGCGAGTGGCTGATCTGGGCATCAACGTGTTGCGTCATGAGATGGCAAGAACGTATCCATCAAGTCCAACAGCCAGCTACACAGACAGCCGAAGCGGTCACGCACCAATGTCGACAAGCACAACTGCACACTCACCAAAGGTAACGTCGTCGTAGAACGTCGTAATCCACGAGTAGTTCGTATGACAAACCTCACAGCGGAGCCGACCCGTGGGTGCTCCGCACGCCAGTCTCCATTGTCGCAGACAATCCGCGTGGATGAACCGGGCCGAGCCGGAGCATTTGCATGGTGCTATCAATGACTCTGCACAGTCCTCGCCAAGACAGACTCTGCAGGTCTCGAGCGGCGCATTTCTTGTGAAGGGATGTCGCTGCACCGATTGGCTGTGCTGCAAGTGGACTGACACAGCCTCTCGGGTCACTGCGGACACGGCCGTTGGAGCGATGGTTTCTGCGCTTGGACGTGCATCCACAGGCGACGGATGACTCGCTTTGAGCCCCGATGATTTCCATGAGCGTCCGTGAGACTGGGAGAAAAATGCTTGAACAGGAACGTAGGTGGCGGGAGCGTTGGGATCGGCCGCATCAGGGCAGCTCTGAAGCGCAGGCAAAGATGCCGGCCCCAGCTCCGAGTCACATTCAGAAGCGTCATCGTCGTGCAGGAAGAACGAGGGCTGGATTTGCGACAGCGTCGGGTTGAGAGATTGCAGCTCCATAGCGAGTGTCTCGCTGATATCGTCGGGGACCTCCGCATCCTCATCGGATTCATCCATATCGATCACTGGTCGCCCATGTGGGAGCTTTAGCTGTTGTCTCTGCTGCTGTCTCAGCGGCGACGGCGACCGAGACGACAGAGGCGACGGTGGGGACGCCAGAGATGGCGATGGCGAAGGTGGTGACAGCGCCGCGAGACGATGGATTGCCGGTGACGACGGACGGCTCCTGATTCTCTGGAATCGGAAGCGCTCCGACAGCAGCTGCGAAGCGGCATCGGTAATTGATCGGCTGGCGCCTTCGGCAAGAGAAAGCAGGGACGGAGCCGAGAACGAGCGATGCAGCGGGTCGTCCTCCTGTCGGGACAAGCAGTCGGCGACGGCTGGAGCTGACGATTTTGCTCCGGGTTGGTAGGACGGCTGCGATGCCAGCACATCGACGGCCGAATCCTGCGGACATCGGTTGACCAGCAGATGGCAGAGATGTTTGCATGCGTGCTGCATTGTGGCGGCCTCTGGGCGATACTGCTGGTTCTGCACATCGCATCCAGGCAACCAACATTGGTCAAGAGGAAGGGGGCCAAAGGTGTCAGCCGAGTAACCAGACAAGCAACGGTGCTCACATGCCGAGCGAACATTATCGGAACTTGGTAATGGGATGCTCCTGCAGGGTATCCCATCAACTCCATTCCTCGAAGCCAAGCACGAATGAATGGTGCGAGCCCGGGAGCACAGGCGCTGTTGGCATATCTCCACGGCCCCGACGTTTTGACCTGCCTTGTTTGAGAAGCGAGCTGGGCGGTCCACTTTGGTGGGCTGTTGGGATTGAGACAGTGCTGGAGAAGGCACCGACGGGCAGGTTAGCTGCGAGAGAGAGAGCAGCAAATGTTGGAGGGTGCGGGGCAGATGGGGATTGAGACGGGAAAGCGGATTGATGCCGGGCCAGGCGACCACTTGACCACCCGACCATTTGACCAGTGGGCCGGCTGACCGATGTGGCTCAGGTGACCCAGCACCATGGCGAGGACGAGTTGCTGGATGGATGCACTCAACACATGAGCAAATGGGACGCCATCCCGATTGAAATGAACATGTAGTCTATGATGAGAATGAGTCCAACAGAGCCGTTTGCGATATAACCGTTTACCTCCGATGCTCTCCGGTTTCCACAATCGACCTACACTGCTCAAAGTATCAAGCAAGCCGCTGCCTTTGGGGATTGGATGGACAACCCTTGCCTTGACGCCATGACAGATTGCCAAAGGAGATGACGACCTCGGTCTCCTTGGACACACTGTTTGGCCGTGGTTGTGATGGTTTGTGTGTGTATGTATTCAGGTCCCAGAAAACAACAACAGGGTGTCCCGTTTCCAAACGGGTACGCTGTATGGATAGCCGTCGGTCCCCATTGCAGCAAATGCAACATTATGGTGTAGACAGCGGCTGCTCAAGACAGACACGGTCTCTCTGCGCATATCCAGCTGGGACAGCGTCGGTCACTTTCGAGAGTGGATGCGGGTGATCGCGAGGTTGCCCTGCTGCTCGTCAAAGAGGAGCGAGCGGGTCTTTGGGATCATGTCGCGGGCTACGTCTGTGCGTTGGATGAGCTGCAAGCGCGACCGTCAATAAGAGTGACGATCGACAGTGTTAGTTCCTTGAACAGATGCGGAGGCGCCTCGAGCTATGCTTTGAATCCGAAGTACGCCGTTATCGGGATCTCCCAGTCATAGGGCTTGGACTCACCTTGAACAGCCCGGTGCCGATTCCCATGGGCTGGCCCATGATGATGCACTCGGATACGCCCATGATTTCGTCCTTCTTTCCAAAGAAAGATGCGTCGAACAGATGGTCCGTGGTCTTTTCGAACGACGCCAGCATAAGCACACTGTCGCGCATCTTGGCGATGCCGAATCGAGTGATGCCCAGAACTTCGCCCTGGAAAGAATCGGTCGGGTATCAGCCGTCTCGTTCGCTTGCCTCGCCGTCGCTGTGCTGTAGCTCCATCAATCCATAAAACGGCAGCCCAACACGGCGCAACGCACCAGCTGCTGGTGCTTACCTTGAAGGTCATCAGATCGCTCAAAAGCATGACGTGTCGTGGATCGATGGTCATGCCGTGGCTCGACATTGTGAACATGATTTCCTTGATGATTGTCAGGCTGTTGCCGGTCGCAGGTACGTCTTTCGATCAGCATCGTGTCGGGTGGTGCCGCCAAGGTCGTCCCGAGATCGATACAGGTGTTGGTGTTGGTGTTGGTGCTAGTGCGTGACTTACCGAGCAGCTTCGATACCAAGGGTTTTGAACACCTCAAGGGTGTGGTTGGATTTGGTCTTGAGGCCATCGACACCGTCGGTGCCCATGACCTCCATAAGTCCATATCCCTCAACGAGGAGCTGATACTCTTTGGGTTTCTTGCCCTCCGCCTCGCTGATGATGGCGCGATTTACCGTCCGGATGCCCTGGTGTACAGCCAGGCATGCATCGGTATTGGGGGAAGGGGTCTGTCAGTTTGGCATCACGCATGGCAAGCCTGATATCACCCCTTCCTCTGATCACACCGACAGACTGCGACTGTGGAGCACAGGGTTGACATTCCTACCTTCACGACCACCTTGGGAAGGGCCCGCTTGAGAACCTGCATCTCGTGGAAGATGGATGCCTCGTTCTTGCCCTCAGAGACACGGACGCGGAGTGCCCACTCGCCATCAAAGGCGATGTTCTAGATGCAGACATCGAGTCGGTCAGTCGCGCTGGATCTACGGGATCGAGCCGGGGCCTCTGAATGAGGCCATCAAGGGATGGATTCAGGCTGCTTACTGCGGACGAGATCTTGAGCTTGGGGGCGCGAACGATGGCGTCGCAAACGGAGGCGACATCGAGATCCAGCTGAGAAGGCCGAGAAAATATTGGTTAGAAGGGCGACTATGCTCTTCACTTTGTAACCCGAAGCGACTATGCTCTTCACTTTGTAACCCGAAGTGACTATGCTCTTCACTTTGTAACCCGAAGCGACTGATCGGGCTTGGGAGGCGCATCGGCATGTCATGCAAGACGGACGTCCCGAGCGCATACAGCAAAGCGAGCCGCACCTGAAGCCGATGGATGGTGCCTTCGTCCAGCTTGATGCGCAAGTAGCACTCCTGAGCCGAGACAATCTCCTGGATGTACTCTGAGATCTGTGGGGGAGGGGGAGGCGCAAATCGGGATAGCTGGTCAGCACGCAAGCGTTGGCTGTGCGCTGCAGCGCTTGTATATGCTCAGCGGCACACGATTCATGAACGAAGATGGGCACGACATATGTACATCTTCAAGGCGAGTCTTTTCAACACGGCCCTTGACGACACGAGCAGCACTCTCGCTGCACGCCGTCTTGGGATTGAGAATGGCCGTAATGATGGGCGTTGAGATGGTCTTGGCGGCGTTGATGATTTCTTTGATTCGCGGCACACCGAGGGTGACGTTCATACTGGCGACACCGGCAAAGTGGAAAGTTTTGAGGGTCATCTGGGTGCCAGGCTCACCGATACTCTGGGCTCCGACGGCACCAACAGCCGTCCCTGTGCGCGAACAATGTAAGTCAGCATCTTGCAAGAGTATGTGCAGGGAGCGCGGTTGCTGTTAATCTGTCGCCTCGTCGCCGGGTTTTCACACATGCAACTTGACGGTACCTGGCTCGATCACAGCTCGGGCGTACTTGGTGGCACAGATATCTAGGAAGCACTCGAGCTGCTTCTTGGTGATGCGGGTCTTGATCTGGTTGGCGTCTTCAACAGCGCGACGTGGATGGTAAGCCATCTTCTGACCGGGATCGTGTCGGCCCACACTTGCACATCTCGACTGCCTCAAGTAACCGCTCAGCGGGGTCTTACCTCCACCGTGCTTCTTGGATTTGCTGCCGGATTCCAGGCCTGTCCCAAGACCGTGTTTGCCGCGGACAGAAGCCAGATGATTCATTGTGTCGCTGATGAACGCCCTGAGAGTCTTGATGTACTCATCGGAGCAGATCTGCTTGAAACGGGGCTCGTCCAGGGCCTTGTTGACGTGCTGCTCAACCTCATAGGGCAGCAGACCCTTGTCGCGCGGGTCGTTGAAGAGGGACTGTGGACAAGGTGCAACGGCAGTTGCAGCAACAGCCGCAAGAGCAGCAGCGTGAGTGGCGACTGGATGAGGGAGAGAGACCCGCGCAATCACGACAAGTGAAAGATGGTTGCGTACCCGAGAGTGCTGGAGGTTTCGAACAAACTCAACAGGTTGCTGGGCACCCTCGATGCTGGCAGGATCCAGTCCGTCATCGCCATAGACGAACTGCACGACACCTCCGGAGGCATTTCGAACCGATCGGTCGTAGTGGGCCGTCAAATCCTCAAGAGCCTAACCACGAGGGGTGGGGGAGGCAAACAGCGTGTCAGAAAGTGGATGAGGCAGCGCAACATAATCACGTATGACATTGATGGAAGTTCAAGGAACACAAGGCGCATCCTATCCACTGCCTTGCCGATAATTGTGTCGCCGACAGTCAGTACATCACACATCTCTTTAGGAGCGCTGCACTAAACGAACCTTCATCAAGCGGCGAGACATGTAGCCAGTCTCGGCAGTCTTGACAGCGGTATCAACGAGACCCTCACGGCCAGACACGGCGTGGAAAATGAACTCGGGCGGAGTCAGGCCACTGTAAAAACTGTTGCGGACGAAGCCCTTGGCGGCGGGGGCGACGGCTGGGAGATTGGACACACGATGAGCCGCGTGCGCAATAATGTGCCATATCAACATCTGCGATGGCTCGGGCAAGGCAGGCGCGCGCAATATCGCAGCTGCGCAATATCGTTTGCCACCACAGGACTGGAGTCTTACATTGCTTGGGGAAGTGTGGCAAGGAGCGGTCTCCAAAGCCGTTTGGGATACGGTTGCCGCTGATGATCTGCTGGCCGACACAAGCGACCATCTGCGAGACGTTGATCTTGGAGCCTGGGCACCAACGAGCGTTGTTATCAGCATCACCAAGTTGCCCTCCGCGAGCACACGTCGCGGCACATTGCAGCACATGGTCAAAGTAGCGAGGTTCAGACCGTGTGTGAATGGCTCCTCGACTGGGATCCCATGGTTACCTTTGGAGCCGCAGAGGGACATGATGAGCGGCGCATTGTACTTGCTGAGTTCCTTGAGACAGATTTCGGCGGCTTGGTCACGGACCTTGCTGAGTACACCAGAGATCTCGGACTGGGGCGCCAGAGAGAAGTCAGTTTCGAAATAGAGCTGGCAATCATCAAGCCACAGTGCTCGAGTCGGACAGAGCCACGACTGTCACTCGTCTCGAAGAATGCAGCGGGAAGCCCGAGACGAACCTCCAGTGTCTGGGCCTCGTTACAGCCCGCCATAAGCTTCAGCTTGCCGGCCTTGGCCTGGCCGATGAGCTCATCGCAGCGGGCATATGCTTCCACGACCTTGATATCCTTTTGCTTGGCCAGGATCTCGCCAGGCTGGACATCGTCAATGCCGATCGAGAAGCCCTTGTTTGCTGGTGTTGGATCAAAGATGAGGCAAGGATATGAGAAAACGAGCCTGACAACCACATCGCCACTCTACAATACTCGTGAGCAAAGTGAGCCCCGCACACCATCAAGGTGTACAGGTGGCCCATGGCGAGCAAAGAATGTGGCTGACTCGATGGCTTCTCCCCACAAGCAGCTTCTTGAGTGCGGCAAGCCCACCGTGCGGCCGGGTCGAGACAGGAACTTACCAAGCCAACGAGCAGAGAGCTTGGCAACGCGGTTCATGCAAGCTGCGGCCTCGATTGGCCCGTAGTCTCTCAAGACGGTGTAGAACATGGACTTTTTGCTGCCGTCGCCGATGATGGCCTTGTCGACGACACCGCACATGAGCTCGCTGTTGTAGATAAAGAGATAGCCGTCGCTGGGACACATGGTACTCTCCACGCACTTGTCCTTCTCGAAGGTGCGACACTTGGTCTCGAGGTTCAGGATGACCTTGGACTTTTTGTTGGGCCGCAGCAGCACGCTAAAGATTTGCTTTCCAGTCCAGAGCTTGACCGGCTGATGGCGTAGCGAGGAGGCGGAGCAAATCAGCGAGAGAGAAACACATGTCAGCGGCCCTTGGATGGCGTGGGGGTTGTTGACCAAGACAGAGTCACCAGTGCATCGACGGCAGCCAAATGACGAACCTTCCAGATGGCTGGGGGAGGAATGTCGATGTCAAAGGTAGCGTCGCTGAGATACGAGCAGACTTGGGTGAACTGCGAGCGGTCGTAGAAGGTGTCCTTGCTTGAGATCAAATACGACGCGGTGATGAAATCCTGGGTGGCGGCAATCAGGGGCTCGCCGTTTCTGGGGGTGACTAGGTTGTTTTTGACCTGCCAGTTCAAGGGCGCCACCGAGGAAATTGGAGCAGCGTTGCGTGGAGGGTTGGCCGAGCGAATGTGTCAGCAACGGCCACGAACGAGCTACGATGTGCACGATCGTCACCTCCAAAGAAGGCTGCTCACCCGGCGCTCAGCAACACAAATCCCATCTCCGACTTACGCCCATCAGGGTGATGGCTTCCGCACGGGCTTCTTCGGTCTGTGGGACGTGGATGTTCATCTCATCGCCATCGAAATCGGCGTTGTAAGGCGTGCACACACACTCGTTGAAGCGTAGTGTCCTCCACGGCCGAACCTTGACCTGGTTGTTATTTTTGGGAGGGGCGATGGTCAGCGGCAGATTGGCTGCAACAGGATGTTGACGACAATGACAGCTGCACAGCGCGGATGCGTTCAAGCGAGGGAGAAGAGTCAGGGGAGAGGCTGAACGTACCATGTGCGACATAATACTGAGCTTGTGGAGCGACGGCTGGCGGTTGAACAACACAATGTCGTCATCTTGCAGATGGCGATCGACAATGTCGCCGATCTGCAGGCTCTGGGCCACCTTGGCTCGATCGCCAAACTTGAGGAATCTGGTCGATGGTTGGGCCAAGCGGAATGAGTGCGAGAGTGAGTCGAGGGAGGGGTCCGATGTGATGCAACTGACGATACAGCTCCGCAAGCACAGTGCGGCAGTCATCCCGCGCCCACCTCTTGTATCCCTCGGACGACGTGACGTAGGTAGCGCCCGGATGCACATCGACGCCGTTCATGACGTTCTTGCGCAGGCGCTCGATATTGAAGGCCGTGACGCGCTCGGGATAGGTCAGGATGCGGCAGATTCGCTCTGGGACAGCGACCTGGTCGATGCGGAGGTTGGGGTCGGGGGAGATGACCGTTCTGCCGGAAAAATCGACACGCTTGCCAGAGAGATTGCCTCGGAAGCGGCCGTGCTTGCCCTTGAGTCGCTGACAGAAACCCTTCTTGATTTTGCGGACGTTCTGTGAAGAGGCACGGCCGAGACGACACACGGCGTGGTGAGAAGCGCGATATATGTGTGTACTTGACGATGTGTGATCGGCCCTTGGGTGTCAAGAGAGCTGTCGTGCCGGCAAATATAGGACCACCCCCAGCGAGACCAGTGGGGATTCGGACGGTCGACTTACATAGAGACTCTGGAGATGATGCGGCACACCAGGAAGATCGCTCGTGACATACATTGCGCACTGCAGCTGCAGGTAGTCCCAGTGCTCCTGTTTCGGCAATGGAGGCGTTGCACGGTGGTGAGATGGCTGGAAGATGGCGCGAACTGGATGCTTGCCACCGCTGCCGCCCGCGTTGCCGTACTGCAGCGACTCTCGTGACGTTGGTCCGCCGGTATTACCATCAAACTTGCCGTCGGCAGACCCTGGGCAATAACGGCCCGAATCTTGCTGTTGATATCGATGATATCAGAGAGCAGGACAGTGAGATCGTCCTCGGAGCTGATGGAGGAGGGGAAAGCAAGCTGGATGGTGAGACTCTGGCTGGCTGACAGGATACACCCAGGCACGCCAGCGGACGCCGACAAGCCATCTCAGTAGACTGGGAGGCAGACAAGCGGGCAGACGGGGATCACACAATACCTCGAGGCGTCCACGCCGACAGAGGGGCGGATACAGACAGGTGGAACCGGAAGCGCTGTCCAAAGGAAGAGTTCTGGGCGACCGGTGCTGGGATCGAGTCCCATCAGCTCACAGTCCTGCAGAGAGGTGCAGTTAGAACACGGAGTGCAGCAACCGGTTTCGCCCAGGCAGTGTCGATGGGTCCTCTGAGGCAGCGGACCGTGACTGAGCCTGCTGGTCATTTCCACTCGACCGAAACATCGATGTACACTGATACCTCGTTGCTAATGCGCTCAAGCAGTCGCAGGATCGTGAGAGGCGTCATGTCTTCCATAGCCTTCGAAATGTGGGGCTTGAGGGCGGGGTCGAGCTGGGAGATATTGGTGAATCTCTCACGGAACTCGCGCTCCTCGACGACGTTGTTGGCGGTTCGCTTGCGGAACTTTTCGTGCACGATCTTCATGGCGCCGACCTTCTTTACGGTTCCTGGAGACCCGTTAGACACATAGTTCGATGGTGAGTTCCTGGGCGCTCCACTGGGTTGATTTGCGAGCCTAGGGCAGCTCTCGAACAAGAGCCTGACGATGCAAAGGCTGTAGGAACTGCATGCTCCGACACCCACCGTTGAGGCTGTTGCAGTGCGGGCATCGGGTCGCTTTCTTGCACGTCGTGTTGAGCGACTTGAGAATGTCGTTCCGCCTGTTGCCGTCGGTGGTCGATCGAATCCGCTTGAGGAAGACTCTGCGGACCTGCTCCTCCAGCAGCACCCTGCTGCAGGTCTGCGTGAAGACGAAGGGCGACTCAGCTTCAGCAACGACCATGGAGAAATGACACCGACGCGATTCGGGATATCTCGAGACCTGCCCAGGCATTCAACGAGAGGGCGATCATCCGGTCTGAAGTTTTACCTTGCAGATGTTTTGCAAAACCTTGATCATTTGCTTGAAGTATCCGATGTGGAACACAGGCAAGACGAGCCGGATGACGCCAAAGTGGCCGACGCAGTCCTGTAGATTCTCGCCACAGGTTTCGCAGCGGCTTTGCTTGTCGGAAGTTCCCTGCAAGGATCGAGCCACGGTGGTTAGGGCAGATCAGCGCAGCTCGGAGCTGTGTTGAGCGTCGTCGGCGTTCAGAAAGCAAAATCGCAGACTTGGAATGCAGCCGCAGGGCAGCAGGGTGTTTCGATGTTCCTTTCGTATTCGTCTCAGATCCGCGGATGACACATTGATGCAATGCCGATAATCGCGACGGATTGCATCGATCGCGGCAGATTGCATCGAATGCCACCGAAACTGCCGGATCGCGCCGGTCCTTGTCCAGATCGGACCGGGGCCGCATCTTACCAGCCGCTTATCCAAAACACCATATGGGGCGGGGGCGCGAACGGGACCTTGGACATTGACGTCATACAGATTCCGCTCATAGAGCTCGAGCACGGACATGTTCATGGCGGCTTGGCTCGAGAAGACGCCAAACTCGAGCTGTTTGCTGTTGATGCAAGGCAAGACAGACCGGTGCATGCGGGCATGGTTAGTCTGGACTCCTGTATCGGGAGGGTGTGACGCCACGCCGGGATGAAGCAAGCCATTGGGTGATTGCGCTCGGAGCGACATGACTGCTGATGCGGGAGAGGGCGGATATCGTTACATTCGCTTTGGGGTATTGTCCACGACGGGCTTCTTCATGGTGACGGATAGATGGGGTTAAATCGGCCGAGCGAGGGGAAGTGGCAGCGGAGATCGATCCAAGAGAGGCCACAGATCGATTGGGCAGGCGGCCTGGATATGATGCAGCCTGGTGCAAGAGCGGCAATGGGCGGGTTGCTTGGGGGTCGGACTCGATAGTGGCTTTGGGGTCGGACTCGGTTCTGGCTATGGGACTGGACGGGATGCGACGAGATGCGACGAGATGCGACGGAGACCAGGCGGGCTCGATCCGCTTGGACGGGGCAGAGGCGGCGTGGTTGGGCTGGAAAGGACCCGCTGCCTGGGCCAAAAAAGAATGCGAATTAATTAGACGAAACCGGGGCCGATAGCACTGCCACACATGCAACCCCAGCCCTTGCCCTTGCCCTTGCCCTTGCCCTGGGCAAGAATGGAATGCGGGATGCATCGGTGTATCGGCCGGCGCACAGCGCGACTTGCAAATGCGGGACGGTGGAGATGAACCGCGGCGGCTGTGCGGGTCCAGACGGTACAGCGACAGCAACGCAGCGCCAGAGGCCGACGGGCGGGACAAATGACCCCCACGGCAATGGGTCGGTGGATGTTGCTGGCGGGGATCGCAGCGTCGATGCCTTCTGCCCAGTTCTGCCAGTTCAGTCCAGTTCTGCCGGCTCTGCTCGATGGGTCCTGATTGGCGGGCTGCGCAGCGCCACCCAGCAGCCAATCCGCGGGCGCTTACCTCAGCCGGCGTCACCTGCGTGGTGGGACTCATCGCAGCCGCTCCCGCGTGGCGGGCAGCCACAAGGCAGCCACAAGACAGCCACAAGGCAGCCACAAGACAGCCACAAGGCAGCCACAAGACGGCCGCACGGCAGCCAGAGCGTGGCCGGCCGCGCGCCGAGGCAAGGCAGGCACCCGATCACATGCGAGACAGATAGCGCTCCCATTCGTCCTTGGCCTGTGTTCCCCTCGATGGCCGATAAGAGTCTGTCGCGGAGGGGGCTCGCAGGTCTCCATCGCCCTCATCGCCGTCCCCGCTCTCTGGCCTCTTATATCCGCCGTCTCGCCCTCGAGATCGATCCGTCGCTCTCCTTCCCTTCCCTTCCGCCTGGCGATCTGTATCCAAGCCTCTGCTCGCGGCCGCATCCCGTGCATCCACCGGCCGAATCGCTCCCTGTTGGTGCTGTCCGTCCGCTCCCCCCCGTATTCCCACCAGGCTGGACATCTTCACTCATCGCCAACGAGCCGCCCTTGTATCCATCGCTGCAGTCCCGGATCTGACTCGCTGCCATTCGGATACCTGTGTCCGTCATCTCGCACTGTGAAGGCCTCAACCTCCTCCTTCTGCTCCTTCTCCGCCAAGAGTGCCTGAATCTCGGCGCTGTCCAGTCCCCTCAGATCGCTCCGGACATTCCCCGTCGTCGCTTCTGAGACACTGCCTCGTGTCTCCCTGGTCTCTGCTGCGTTCCTCTCCGCCATTCCTGCATCGCCAGCCATGTTTCTGTCAAGAACGTGCTCAAGACCCCGATCGTGCTCGTGTCCTCGGCAATGTCTCTCCCCGGCGGCGGCAAGCCATCGTCTCCAGATCGCTCGTCCAAGTTACGCCCTCGCATCTCCTCCATCGCCATCGCCGCGGAGTCCCGTCGTCCCTGTGTCGCCAAGAGCCCTGTCGACCTCATCCGCTGCCCGGAGCAACCTGATGCACTACCATCTCGAGAGCGCGCCGCAGCCCATGTCGTCACAGCTGTCGTCGCCAAATTTCTACGAGAACCGCATCCTTGAAAAGTATGCTGCCTACGAGACCAAGCGCGTGACTCTGCGGCAGCTCGCCGTCTTTGGCAAGACCCTCACCGACGAAAAGCTCGTCCGCTCCGCAAACTACGTCAAGCACGAGCTCTCCGTCCGCCTGGCCCACCGCATCCGCGACTTCCAGTCCCTGCCCTACATTGTCGGCACCAACCCGCACATCGAGCTCATCTACAACATGTACTGGAACGCCTTTGAGCGCTTCCGCACCTACCCGGAGATCCAGACCATCGAAGACAATCACCGGTTCTGTGAGATGCTGCAGTTCATGCTGGACGCCCATCTGGTCGTCATCCCGCAGCTGGCCCTGGGCATCGTCGAGAGCGCTGGCCACATGTCCCGCACCGAAGCCGACCGCTTCATGAATGAGATGCTGCGGAGTCGCATCGGCCGACGGGTTCTCGCGGAGCAGCACATTGCCCTGAGCTCGGCCTTTGAAGAGCATGGCGCCACCATCGAGCCGCATCAGATCGGCATCATCAACTCCAACTGCAATGCCAAGGAGACGGTCGAGCGCTGCTCGGCGCTGGCTGCTCGCATTTTCCGCGACGGCTACGGCATCGAGCCGCCCAAGGTTGTCATGGATGGGCATGTCGATGCCACCTTCACGTACATCCCGGACCACATCGAGTACGTCATCTACGAGCTCATCAAGAACTCGATGCAGTTCACCATCGCCAAGCACGCCCCCGGCGGCCTCCCCGAGCCTGTCTCGCGCGGAAGCATCCCAAAGCCCACCCCAGGCATCCCCGCCGAGGAGGTCATGACCCGCGCCCGTGAGTTGGCCATCCCCTCGGGCTTCCAGGAGGCCCTGGCCGACGGCGACGCCTCGCAACGGCCGCTGCAGACACCCGCCCTGCCCGATATCCGCGTCACTGTTGGCCAGAGCTACCACGACATTGTCTTCCGCATCTCGGACGAGGGCGGCGGCTTTGACAAGGACGTGTACGAGAACCTGTGGTCCTACAGCCATGCCTCGAAGCGCAAGTTTCTGAACTTTGACATGATGCCCAAGCTGGCTGCCAAGATGGACGAGCCCGTGCCGGTGACGCTGCATCTGGGGCTGGGTCTGCCCATGTCCAGGGTCTACGCCAATTACTGGGGCGGCAGCATCAACCTGCAGACCATGTACGGATACGGCACCGACGCCTACTTCAGAATCGGTGTTGGCAACCAGATGGAGCATCTCAAGTTTGAGGAAGACAGCAACGTGATGAGCATTGGCAAGTGAACGACATTGGGTCTTTTGAGCAAGCGGAGCCCGACGGTGGCTCGTTTGCGTGAACTTGGATGAACAGGCAACAGCAGAAAAACCTACCCATTTTCTTCACTTTTGCAGCATGGCCTACCCTTTGTCTCGCCCGGCCGGTGCGGCTGCTCGCGCTTGGTTATTTGCCTCTCCTGTAATCTTGGCTGTCCAACTTGGCTGGCCTCGCACCTGCCCCTCTCCCTCGCCGCTGCCCCCCTCCCTCGCCGCTGCCGTCCTCTTGCCTTTTAATGTGGCTTTGTTGCCTATAACGTGCCCGTTGTGTACTGCCTCGCTTTGGTTTGCTTATGACCAGTTTTTTTGGAACTCCCCTCCCCTCCTCGCTCCGGTACAACCAATACTCCCGCTCAATACAATCCCTTTCTCCACGATGGTGGAGCCCGCCCTCCCAACAACAAAAACAGATTCTCTCCAGATGCTGTCGATGAGACGCGACCCTGGCTGTGCCTATATTCCTCGCTGTTGCAGCACAGTCCGACTTGAGCAATCCGGCAGGTGACTACGGCCTGGATGAGCCCCGAACAGCGATGTGGCGGCCAAGGTCCCGCAGCGAACGCGTGAGCGACTCTGGATCGACCGAGGGACAGCCCACCACTGCGAGGGTTTGCAGATATCGCCAATACCGGTCCCAGTGCACATCGAGCAGGTGTGTTGTTTCCAGCCACGGGGTCGAGCTTAGGCCCAGGAACCGAAGGTTGATCAGATGGATCGACAGCATCTGCAATGCGCGCGGGCCCTCGGCAAATCCCAGGACGCCCGAAAGATCGAGCGCGGTGAGCAGCGGGCACGAGAGGCACAGGATGTGCGCAAGCTGGATGCCGGGCAGGTTGGTCGAGTACGACAGGTCCAGCGACACCAGTCGGATGTAGCCCGTCCAGGGTCCAGGCGCGGCCGGCAGAGTCGGGCTTGGGAGTCGAGGCTCGGCTTCGGGTGACAGCGGCTGTGAGGTGCTGCTGTTGCCAATGGCTTCGTCATCGCTCTCACAGAGATCCTCCCAGTCGTCGACCGGATCGTCGTCACAGCGCAGTGCCTCGTGCTCATCGGTGCTGGGGCTCAAGTGCTCGCTGTCGCTTCCTGCGGCGATGGCCCGGAGCACGGTCTCTTGGCAATGGTCGGCCACGGATGCTCGGCCTAAGAAGAGGGTGTGGATGTTCTCGTCGTCGGCGAGCCCGGAGCTGTCGCTGCTCCAGATGCGCCTCCGCACATGCGGCGCCAGGAGCTCGCACAGGTCCTTGAGACCGATCTTGGAGGACCCGGTGAGGCTGCAGGACCGCATGAGCGGGTCCTTGAAGAGTTCCAGTTGCGTGACGGTCAGGTCGCGGCAATGCTTCATGATTTGCTCCTTCTCGAAAAACAGCAGCGATGAGAAGAGCAGCTTCTGGGCGGGGCGGGCGTAGTGGCGGATGTGCTTGCCGATGACGGCCACACAGAGCGACTGCAGCGACGGAGCCACATGCAGCTCGCTGTCGGACGGTGGCGTGGCGTCGACATGCAGTGCTGCCGTCGGCGAACGTTGATGGGCATCCACATGTATGCACACGGAGGAAGATTCATGGAATTGCATCGTCGATGGAGACATTGTTGTCGATACGAAATGCAAGCACGGAGAGACTTGGCGTGAGCGAATGCGCAGAGAGCTGGCTATCTTCTCTGGACACCCTGGCAGATGCCGCATCCAGTGCCAATGTCCCTTCCTGAGCGACTTCGATTCGGGATCGTCGCGAAAACAAGATCCGTGCGACAGCCCGACTTACCCATCCAGTTTTGCTGCACCTGCCTGGTCTGGGCATGGCCGCCTTGGACCCATCCGAGCGGTGGAGCGGGGCCGGCGACATTCAGCCGCGACATGTGCCGCACCAGGTTTCGCTCCATATTTTGAAGATGCTCACTACGAGACAGTCAAACAGCGGTGAGAGGGTTGCTGTGGAGGGAGCCGCTGGACCAGAGAGCCGGGCCGCACAAGTCTGCCATTCGAGGATGCGCCAGTCGGACGCTTGCGTACGTACTTGTAGTGAACGAACGCAGAGGATAGACCAGTTTCTGCGGCCACAGCGCGAGGCTGGCTCCGGCGGGTGCGGTTCAGCAGATCATGAACGGAGGGTGTCGGGCCTGGTTCGTTGGACAGCGAGGATGCGGATGCACCAGCCAGTGGCGAGAGCAAAGATGCGGATGCCGACGACGACGACGATGATGAATACTGCGCTGAGACACGGTTCCAGTTGCTTTGGTGCTTGCGGCTGCGTTTGCCCATCGACCTCGACTGGCTTCGATGAGGCAGATGGAAAGCCAACCAGGAACGGGAGTGGGCGGCGGACTGGCGCGTGTGTGTGTGTGGGGTGGTGCCGACCGTAACCGGGATGTGTTGTCCCGTGCGTATCACGTGGCTTGAAGTGCTGCGGCGCCGGCAACGTGGGCCAATGGGAGGGCCGCCAGGCACAGGCGCAGCAAGGACGCACTGCCACGCTGATTGGTCTGTACGCGGAACCTCGCACCGGCCAGTTGCCAGGGCGTGGGCGGCCATTTGTCATCCCCGGCGTGACCAGCGAGCGCACACCGACAACTGCGGAGCGTGTGGGGTTGGCACGAGGGGACAAGGGCCAGGCCTTGTGCCGACCGCGTTGCGGCGTCCCAGCGCGCAGTGGCCTTGTGTGTGTGTCGCTGTCGTCATAATCTCGCTGCTGTCTCGCTGCACTCTCGCTGCACTCTCGCTGCAGCCCAACCCGCCTCGCCTCTTCTCGCTCTCTTGGCACACACACACACACGCGCTGTTCAGAGCCACACACACGCTGTGGCTATTATTAATCCGCTTGTTTGCGCGCTTTAGAATTGCCTAATCTGCGGCCTCAAAGCCCATCGCCGCCCGCTCTTTCGCCCTCCAATTCGCCGCAACCCCCTCTCTTCCCTCCATCGCACTCCCATCCCCATCGACCATCCCCATCGATCATCCCATCGATCATCCCATCGACTCCATCGACCATCGCAATCCGCATCCTCCGCGTCGCCCTCCGAATCGCCGTCCGAATCACCCGCATCCCCAACTCGCTGATCCCACCCCGACTGCCAATCGACTCGCTCCGTTCCCGCTCGTTCGTTCGCCTGACACATCAGCATCACTTGTCTTTCCGCAATCGACATTGTGCTCTCCATCTCTTCAACAACAATACCAGTCCAGTTCACATCGGCCCCCTGCACTCGCCTCTTGCTCGAGTAATAATAATAAGCACATCCTCCCAGCTCCAGCGCTCACCCGCCCCATCCCAATCACACCGCCGCCATGGACTCGTTCTCCGACTCTAGCTTCCTCAACGCCCAGCAGCAAATCTTCTATCCTGATCTCCTGACGATCGAGAACCTCACATCGATCTCCAAGAAGCGGCTCGCCGACTCGGACAACGTCGAGAGTCAGCCCAAGGCTCAGAACACCTCTCCTGCCTCGACCCCCGAGGCTGAGGACCCGTTCTTGGCACCGGCCCCAACCAAGAAAAAGCCTGGTCGCAAGCCGTCCTCGACCGAGCCCCCCAACAAGCGCACGGCCCAGAACCGGGCTGCCCAGCGCGCCTTCCGAGAGCGCAAGGAACGGTATGTCAAGGAGCTCGAGGCTCGAGTCCACCAGCTCGAGAACATGCAGACCACCACCGAGCCCACCAGCAACGTCACCCTCGAGTCTGAAAACAAGATCCTCAAGCAGAAGGTCGAGGAGCTCGAGCGCGAGAACTCGACCCTGCGCGAGATGACCTTCACCTTCAAGTATGCCCCGCCCACCACAACCATGCCGCTGAGCTCACCCTTCAAGACCGACTCGCCGCCGCCGCAGCTGCCCCAGGCCACGCCCTCCCCGCTCACCGCTCCGGTCTCGAACCCGGCGACACCCTCGTCGCTGTCGACCCCGCAGAACTGGGGCACCCCTGCACCCGGCGACGACATCTTCAGCCTCTCCGACATCGACTCGTCTCTGCTTCCCAACGGCGACATCTCGCCCATTGTCGGCCTGGATCCCAGCCTCTTTGCTATGCCCGCGCCCACCAACCAGTCGATCTTTTCGCTGCCCTCGGCCATCCCAAACCCTCTCTTCCGTCCCCAGATCCCGGCTGTCGGGGCCGTCGGGGCCTTCGCCGCGCCTGCCCCGGTGCTTCCCCAGACCCAGCCCTCTACCGACTTCAACCTCATGGCCCACGATATCATGAAGAACCTCCACCAGCTGCAGGAACAGCAGCAGCTCCTTAGCCAGCGCCAGCAGGCACTCAGCATGCTCTCGACCCAGCTGTTGCTCAACACCAACGCACCCGCCTTCCAGGTCATCCGCGAGCCCACCAACACCTTCAATCCCACTGTCGACACCGTTGCCGGCATCGACACCAGCCTTCCGCTCTTCGAGGACGACTACGACCACGACATTCTGTCGCTGATCACCGAGACCCCGGTGACCACCGCCCCCCTGGCTGCTGCCCCGCCCACTCCGACTACGCGGTTCCTGGAGACCATCACTCTGCCTTCCCCTGCCCCCACCACCGACGGCCATGTCCTGCCTGCTCCTCAGCCCAAACTCACAACCGACGACTACTTTGCCCTCAAGCAAGTCATCGACACCCCGGCGCTGTACACCAGCCTGTCCCCGAACCAGCAGCGCGAATGCATCGAGGCGCTGGGCAAGCTGAAGGAGGCCAAGACCCTGATCAACGACCAACAGGTCATGGACGATCTGTGTGATATTTTCAAGGTATCCATCGGCATGGCTTCTGCTGGGTGACTCTCGGCCCCATGGACACGGCGCTGTGTGTGTGTTGCCCATTTGACGCCGACCCATCTGCTCATCTGCTCATCTGCTCATCTGCTCATCTGCTCATCTGCTCGTCTGCTCATCTGCTCATCTGCTCATCCGTGAACCTTTTCCCCAGGCAAAGGCCAAGTGCTCGGACATGCGTGAGCTTCAAGACAAGATTGTCGAAGCGTGTAGCAACAGGGACGAGAAGACCGTCGTCAACCTCGTCAACATTGCCAAGCAGAAGAAGAAGCTCTATGCGGTAAGTCGGTCGCCACACATTTGCTTGTTCTTGTCCCCTTGCCTCACCGACATCATTCGTGCTACCCGAGCTCGCTCGCTCGATGGCACACCCCGATCCCAGTCACTAACAGTTCTGCTTGCGTCGATCACTTTTTCGGCCCTCCAGCTGCGACAAAAGGCCGGTGTGACTGTTCTCAACCCCACCCTGTCATCGTAGACTCGATACTGCTCCCTCGAGCCCGCTTGCTGGATCCTGGCACCCGTGCCATGGCGGCCACATTGCCTCTCGAACTCGCGCCGACCAGCACTGCCGCTGTTGGTCGCGGTCGTGGCCAGCGGTCCAAGCACGTCTTGACTGCAGCTCCCCGTGGCCGCTGAATCCACTGCATTCTCTGTCTGCGCCTTACTGTGATATCCCACACCATTTTCTTTTCATCTGCCTGTCTCGCCGAAGGGTTTGAAGCTGGTGCTCATCGCATAGAACGGGATGGGCCTGGCTCTCTCGGCGAACATTATCGACCCTTGCTCCGCCGGCTTGCACCCTCTCCCTCCTTGTGCCAGGACTCGCAGCTGGTCTGTAGCTGCATCCCTTCGTCGGACCTCGGCGTGCCAACGACTCTCCTTGCCAGCCTCGGGCTTCGGCAACCTCCGACGGCCATGTCGTCCCCAATACACTACTATTTTTCCGCACAGTGTCACTCGTCGTCTCCATCGGCAATCCGGTTCACATGGTCGGCGGATTGCTGGACGGCCAATCGCAGTCTCGGTCTCATCGCGCAGAATCCCCCTGCCGCCATCTCGCGTTGCGGCCAGCCCTCTTTGCATCCCGTCGATTGCTCGCCGGTCCCCACTTGAGCAAGATCTCGCCATCACCAGCCGCCGTCGTCGCCGTCATGTCGTACTCTGCGGCGCTCCCATCGACCCGAGCGCACGCCCGGAAGCTCGCTGATTTCATCTTGCGTGCCGAGGGCAAGTGCACCGTTCTAACGGGTAAGGCAGCGATGCTCCTCTTGTCATGCCTGTTGAGATGCTTGCTGAGATGCCTGTTGAGATGTCTCTTCTCTTAGCGCCGCTTCTGTGGCATGCTGGCTGCGGAACTCGCCATCGTGCTCACCAAGCCCTCACCATCTGCATCAGGTGCCGGGGTCAGCACCGACAGCGACATCCCTGACTACCGAGGACCGAACGGCGTCTATGTCCGGAACAAAGGTATGCGGCATCGCTCAAGCCTCCCTTCTCTCACTCACTCTCTCTCATCCACTCACCCCACTGATCTCACCTGTCGGTAGAATGCGGGCTCGGCTGAATCGCGGTGCCCGAGGCTAATCTTGGCGTGCGATCCTGGCTCACCTGCAGACTACAAGCCGATTCAGTATCAGGAAGTGAGTGGCAACAACCGCTGGTGATGGTCTCTCTTGTCGATGGTCGAGTGAGATCGTGGCTTCGTCTCGAGCGAATCGACCGGGATGGTCTCGAGCGCACGAGGAGCTTGGCCCAAAGTTTCGTTCTCCAAGACACAGGATCCGACAAATCGCCCAAGGCCACTCGCAACTCCGAGATGCCATTTTGCACCACCCCGGATCTCAGTCGGCTGTCATCTCACGACCTTTAATTCTCGCTGGCTTTATTTCATCTCCCAAACGCGCAATCACTCCGGCATAATATGGCATGGCACGGCATGGTATGGCTTTGAACCGGCGAACACCCTCTGCTCCCCTCCCACCTCAAGTTCATGGGCAGACACTATTCCCGTCAACGTTACTGGGCCCGATCGTATCTGGGCTGGCCCAAGATCGCAAGGGTTTCCCCCAACGAGACGCACCTGGCCATTGCCGAGATCGAGAAGCGCGGGCTCATGGACTCGGGGCTGATTACGCAGGCATGTTTGAGGGGCACTCTGGTGCGGGAGCAAAGTGGGCTGCAAGCACTTCTCGAAGTCGATAGCATCTGGTCAAAGTGATGCTCATGACAGAGTGGAGGGCCGGCACGGCGATGAGCGGTCAAGGTTCCGTTCCCTTACACTAGCGCTCCGATGGCTCCAGAATGTCGATGGCTTGCATCGAAACTTCAAAACACTCGAGCTCCATGGGACACTGGTAGGCCACACCAATGGCAGCGGGCTGCTCCGAGTCCGGGGCCCAGGATACAAGCGGATGAACCAGCAGGCCGGACGGATCAGCTGCCCGCATTGAGATATTGTCGAGCCCCCAGATCCACTCTCGCTCCCGCCGTCTCTGAGCCTGTTTCTGACTCTCATCTGCCAATATCACCCCGACAGCATCAGGTGCATTGCACCTCGTGCAAGCACACCGTTCCAAGAGAGGAGTTCCAGCAAGAACTGGCAAGACTGAACCCGATCGTGAGCATGTGGGCTGCCCACAATCCCGAGAAGCTCCAGGGTGATGTTGCTTCGTCGACACCCATGAATCCCGACGGAGACACCGAGGTAGATCCCAGAGGACATTGGCGCTTGCGCTGTCTCCCTGCCTTCTTGGAGTGGATGGCACCACCATGGAAGTAAAGAGGACGGCTGTTTCTTACACTGATCTCTGATACCGGATCGCTCTCTTTCAATGCCGATGCCGATGTCGATGCCGATGCTAATGCTAATGCTAATGCTGCTCGCCAGTATCAATGGGACTACAGCCAATTCGTGTACCCGTCGTGTGTCAAGTGTGGATCGGTTTACAAGCCCAGGTTGGTGTCGCAAGCAAGCCAGCATCAGAACTGTCCTCGGCTTGTTAGATTCGGGCTCCCGATTCATGTCCCTGGAAGCCGTCTTGTGAACGCTCGCTTAATCCTTGGGTTTTCGCACACCACCACGATGGCAGCGTCATCTTCTTTGGCGAAAACATCTCCGCACATGACCGCGACCGATCCTTCTCGATGGTCGATGACGGCAACGCTCTGCTGGCCATCGGCACCTCGCTCCAGGTCTACAGCTCCTTCCGGCTGGTCCAACGAGCCGCCAAGGACCACAAGCCCATCACCATCCTGAATCTCGGCGAGACCCGTGGCGACCCTCTCGCGACCCTCAAGATCGAGAGCAGATCGAGTCACGTCTTGGCAGAGACTTTGGATCTGCTTTGAGATTGCGGTTTGTGGAACGAGTGCGAACAACGGGGCTCCCCTGATGGCTCGGCGGGTTGAAAGTTTCGAGGAGAGCGGGGCGGAGAAACACTCCAGTACATCTGCCAAAGCAGCACTGGTTCATGTTGCCATTGGCGATTGCCTGGTTGTCGCTGCTGTTGGTCGAGTGTATGATATGATATGAGTATGATATGAGTATGATATGAGTATGATATGAGTATGGTATGAGTATGGTATGGATATGATACGGATATGTCCCTCTCCCCATGATGGCGTGCTCTGTCCGATAGAAATAGTGCATCACATTACTATCTCAACACGCAGTATGAGCAACGGCAGTGCTATAGACAGCCAAACGGGCAAACATCCAGAACGAAGGTGAGGCGCAAGCGAGGGGGAGAGGGATAACGAGGGCAAGCGGTAGACGGGCGGTAGTCGTGACTCCAGACAATCAAGAAACGGGACACCCCGGAGTTGGGCATTGATTGATTGTTGTCTCCCAACACATCGCGCTGGCCATGACCACTCAGTGATGTGTTTCTGGATCTGAATCAAGGACGCTCTCTCGCACAGATGGCTTCCCGCAAGCGAAAGGCACCACCCAGGTGTGTTCACAGTGCCGGGAAGTCATGGAGCAGCCCAGAGGGTCGAGTGAATGCACCACACTCACATCGAGTGAATGCACGCACTCCCGCATCGATACATGAATACCAGTCGATTGCCGCCACAGGGGATCGACCAAGTGTATTCAAGACTATGCTTCCAAAACCAACGAAAACAAAGAGGTTGCCAACCAGGACGGGAAACAATCGCATGGCTTGCTCACTGGAGCCTACGGATCAGCAGACTTGAGTCGCCGATGCCAGAGAGTGAGTGACCCGTTTCCCTCTGGATAGACTGTAGGGAGCCATATTTGAACGAGCATTCAGGGAAAAGCAGAGATCGTTGGCACCATGGATTTGTGAGGGTGATGGTGGCTGTGAGGAGAGGCGAGAGGAAGAGCGAGCGAGAGAGCGAGCGAGGAGAATGTAGATGGCGGGAGAAAAAGCAAAGCGGGGCTGGAAGTCAAGTGGGAGGAGTTGTAGCAAAAGGAGACAGGATTCATAACGGCGACGAAGAACGGCGCGAGAGACGGGGAGCAGGGCAGGGGCACAGTCCGAGGGAACAGCCTGCGAGTTCGCTGCATCGCTTTGCCCATGCGCCAAGTCCGGCGTTGGAGATGTTGGTCGGATGCATAGACTGTCTGGATCGATCGGGAGAGGCTTAGGGTTCGACCTTGCCGTAGCCTCGGTTCGTATGTCGGTAGATGCTGGTTCCGCTCTATTTCACGATACAGAAGGAAGGGTGAGCAACTGGACCAGCTACCATTCCTGAGCGCGAGTGCTCCGGGAGCTCAACACATGCACTGCACATCGCCAAAAGCCGATCGGCTGGCCTTACCTGCTTGTCGCTCAGCGTGCTGGCTCCCTCGGGATCGATAATGGCCTTGAGATCGCTCGGAACCTGTCCGGTCCGATCCGGCTGGGTCAGCGATCTAAACAGCTTGACACGCCCTTTTGTGCACACCACTCAGGCTACTCCAGCCGAACTATAAACCAAAAAACAACCGAGCAGCCGAACGCTCGACTCACCACCCAGAGATGCTTCTGATGCTTGATCATCATCTTTAGGCACTGCACCGACGATATCGGGTCGTCGTCCAGGGGGTTGCCGCTGGATGACTTGAGCAGATTCGGGGCAATGATTGTCGCCAGGTTATTGATGTTCATGCGGTTGCCGCCAGTCTTTTCGACATAGACGCTCATGTCTTGGAGGGCAATGGCGTCCGGATTCTGAGGCTCGGCCACCTCGGAGTGAGAGGCCACGTGGCCCAGGAACCACACGAGAACCGAAAGGAGGTCCAGGTTGGGCTTGGGAAGGAGACAGCACACGTAATGCAGCGTCTTGTAGCGGTTGGTCTCGGACGGCAGCTCTGAGGAGAGACAGATGGACAGATGAGCACATGGACAGATGAGCAGATGGAGGCAGAGGCATGAGCAGGACGGCACGACGATCGGGCGGCTGGGCAGATGAGCACACAGGCAAGTGGAAACATGGACACAAGCACAGAGCGCGGGCGCCGCCGCTCTGCCCTGTGCCCGCTATGGCTGTGCCGACAAGACCTACTCTGTGTCGCGACAAACAGGTTGTGGAGCTTGTAGGTCAATAACGGCTCGGGCAACTCGCGCAGGAACTTCTTCATCAGCGCCGCGATCTGGATCTGATGGTCCTGGCTGAGATCAATGTTGCGCGGATCGCGATCGAGGTTCTCGTGGAGGGTTGTCAGCCGGCGGATGTTGCCGTTCTTTCTGAAGATGCCCTCGACATGCAGATCTGAACAAGACATGCGTGTATGTTTTGCCGAAGGTGGGGGGGGGGCAAGAGGAAGATGGCGGAAAGGGAGGTTGGGAGGAGGACGATGAGTAAAGCGGACGGCAATGAATCGTGGACAACATGTGGCTGCTTCACGAGTGTGCATAGGCTCGGCCATACCCATGTTCAGCAGGGTCCTGATGCAAGCATCCATGATGATAGGAATGCGAATAGAGGTGCGATCACCAAGGTCAGTGTCGACACCGTTGCGTTCGACCAGAATGTCGAGGGCGACTCCGAACGTGCCGTCGACTGGGGGGAGAGAAGGAGGAGGCAGGGATGGAACTGAGTCAGTACGACTGAGCAGTGTGACGGACGAGTCCAGCACAGCAGGGAGTCCAAGATCGTGGAATCCTCCTGGTGATAGCGAAATACATGCAAGCAAATGTGGCTTTCAGCCCAGAGCAGCCAGGTGAGTCTCCCAGACCTACCCTTGACTTCCTTCTGCTTTTGCTTGGGCTTGAGCGCCGAGGTCATCCGGGACCAGACGCCACCCCCCTTCTTGGAATCCAAAAACTGGCGGTAGGCAGCAACCTCGTCGGGCAGGAACTCCTTCAGCCTCTCAAGCGCGTGAGTCTCGAGCTGCAGGGCCTCGAGACCGGACAGCTCCGAAATGTAAATGTTGCCGTTGTTGATGTTGTGAGATCGTCGGTACTGCGACAGCGTGCGGCCGATTGCGGGCCGAACATCGGGGTAGTGATGGGTGCCGTTCTCGGCGGCCACCTGGAGCCCGCCGACTTGGGACGACGAGATTGCAGCACTATCATCGACCTCGCCGTTGGTAAGAGCCTTGGCCTTGGGGGTAGACACACCCATCATGTCGTTGGGAATGTACTCCTCGTCTTCATACTCGACGGGCGGCGCCGACGGCACGATCTGGATCTTTGGTGGCTCATCGTGAGATAGCTCACCAAGCGATGGCGATTTGTAGACTGCATCGATGCGGGGTATCGGTTGATCGCAAGAGAAAGCGTGGGTTGTGACAGTGTGGTGAGTGGGTGTGCGGGGTGGGTAGACGGTGTAAAATATGGCCACGAAAGTTGCGGTTATGGGTTCAGTCGCCGATATCGAAGGGTTGGAGCCCGTGTGCACCATGGAATAGGGAGACAGCGGATGAGTAAAAGGAGCGAAGCACAATGCGATCGGCACACCAGCACCAGCATCGACGAGGATAGAACAGTTTTGCACCGCTGCAACACACCGCACACCGACACGGATCATGCACACGCGCACTGCAGCTTTGCCACGACAAAGCAGGCAGGCAGGCAGGACTCACAGGATATGCTTTGGCTCTCGCACAGTCGCTGAAGCGCACAGCGCAGCGAAAAGTTGAACTGCTGGAGCTGGGTGATGGAAGTAATGTCCCGCACGACGTTCTTGGGAGCGTGGGTGAGGCAAAACAGGGCACCGGTCTCGGGCTGACAGGCTGCATCCCGAAGCTGCTCCGTTAGCGACACCCGACAGACGCTGCAGTGGAAGCAGATCGGATGCCATCGCATCGTGCCTTTCCGCTGCGGACAAGCCTCTTCGACGGTGCTGGAGCACAGCGTGCAGGTATCGACCATTCGAGGCTGCTGGCTCTGCTGGTACAGCCGTTGGGCCTCGGTTTCGTCCTGGATGTCGCCCAGGGCAATAAGGCGGTCCAAAAAGCGATCGACCGTGACGGGCTCGTTGTACTTTCGCTCCTGGGGGGACGGGTGAAGATGCATGAAGGGGAGGTTGGGTCAGGTACAATCGAATGGGATTAGACGACGCAACCTACACAGTCGGTATGTCGCAGTTGGTCCATGGCATGCTTGGACTTACCAGTCTGAGGGCGCCATCAAGGGCCGCGCGGATCAGGATCTTGAGCATCTGTGCCAGACTGGTGACGAGACGGACCATCTCCTGGGCAACCTGCTGCCGACGCTGCGACGGCGCGACGCTCAGGAGCGAGAGGAAAAAGGAAATGCGCTTGACAAGCTGCTTGGGCTCGGCATCGTGCGACAGGCCCGTCGAGTCGCTGTGGCCCTGCAGCTTGTTTTCGATCTCATCCAGGCCCTCGAAGAGGGCGTCGATGTGGGAAATGAACTTGCCGGCGTGGATCACACCGTTTCGGTAGTTTTCGTTGGTGACGTTCAGCAGGATCCCGGTAATGCACTCGGCTGCCGAGTCCTCAAAGGTCGAGAGCACCGTCAGAATCTTGCGAACCTTTTCGAAGATGGCCTCCTGCTGCACCGAGTCGACGACTGCGGGACAGGGTGTGTAACGTTAGTGGATTGGGCCTGTTGGATGAGCAGCGGGCCGCGGGGGGCCCGGATCGTCCTCCTGCCAGGGAGCACGAAAGCGAGGACGGACGGACGGACGGACGGATGTACCTTGGCTGTCGGGGTCAGCTTCCGAATCAGTGATGGACGCCAGCTTGACATTCCAAAGCTGAGAGGAGAGGGAGGCCGGATCAAGTTGGATCGAGTCAGGTCGAGTCGGGTCAGGTCCTGTCGGGTCAAAGGCGGCCAGGGACCGATGCATGGCAGAGGGCCTGCAGCAGCGCAGAGCTGGAGGAGGGAGGCAGGGAGGGAGCATTTACCTTGTAGATCATGTAACAGTCCGGGTGCCAGTGCTCGGTAATCTCGTTCTTGGTGATTTCGACAAAGTTCTTGAGAACAAAGGTCCGGCATCCGCCGCATCTCGCCGCAAAGCTCTTGGAGTAGTGTTCCTGGCAATAGATCTGGCCGTCCCGCTCGTAGTAGCAATCCCGCTGGCGGAAGATCTTTGGACACACGGAGCATGTAAAGTGCTCCATGTGGAACTTTTTGTTGAGGGCGCTGATATGGGGGCCACGCATCGCCTCGCCACACTTTGCGCAGAGCAGGTCCAGACGCCGAAAGTAGTCTCGTTCGCAGAATACATGCATCCGTCCGTCCGAGCCCTTCAGGCCAAAGAACTTTTCAGCCACGACCTGGGAGCAGTCCTGGGGAGCAAGAGGAATGGGTGAGGGAGCAGCGGAGAGACAATGTCAGCTTCTATATCGACAGTCCAAGAGCAGACGGCCAGGGGCGACGAGAGGGTTGGATTGGGAGGGGTGAGCCGACAGAAGGACAAGCGAGGTGGAAGCCGCAAAGGCCAAAGCGATCCAAGAACCAGCGACGCAGCCGGCCGGACGCTCCCAGGCCCCGATGACAAGACGATGCCACTGGGACGAGTAGATATTGACGGGCCGCACCGAGACGTGCAGCACCCCGATCCGGCGACAGGGACATGCCGGTTCAGCCAGCCGAGGCATGAGCGGAGCCCGAATGCAAGCACTGATCCGAGCCGGATTGAGGGCGAGCAACACCAAGAGATGCAGGTGGGAGGAGCCGAGGGAGAGCCGGGAGCGGGAGCCCAGCGCCACCACCAGCGGCGATCCAGACCGTACACCAGCAGAGACGAATGGGAGGTCGGCTGGGCAGAGAAGGCAGACGGAGGAAGAGGGTACCTCGCATTTGAAGCAGTCGATATGGTAGTTTTCGCTGGAGGCACGGACGAACTGGCCGTCGATGGGCTTGGCGCATATCTTGCAGTACTTTTGGTTCCGATGCCTCTTCTCTGAGGGAGCCGATGGGGCCGAGGGAGCCAGAGGAGCCGACGGGGCCGACATGGCGGATGGAAGAGGGACAGATGCGGCGCTCCGTTGCAAGCAGGACCGAGCAGAGCAGAGCAGAGCAGAGCAGAGCAGAGGCGAGCAGGACCGAGCAGGACCGAGCCGGAAGGAAAGGAAGGCAGTTTGGGATGATGAAAGGCCGGCGCCGAAAGGCCGAAGCGAGACGGAAGCGGCCGAGACGAGGGCGAGAGGGGCGAGGGAGGGGCGGGTGCGACAGTGGCGAGTCGCGGAGCGGGGGCGCCGTGCGACCGCCGCGGCGGGCGGGGGTGCGTGGAGCGCGTGAGGTGGGTGCCACTGCGGAGCGTTGAATTGTGCTGCGTTGTGCTATGGTCTACTGTGCAGTCCAGCAGTGGATTGCCGAGCCGAGCTGGCGGCTTGCTGGCGGCTGCGCTGATTCTGTGCCTTGTGTGCGGGGTGCGTCTTGGATGTGCGATTGCTGCACCCGCATCGGGAGCCGGACGAGCAGCAGGATCGGGGACAGGGCGGAGAACAACCAGGCGGGTTCCAGGACAGGCAGCGACCCGATGCTCCTGGATATCGCTGGAGTGCTTGTGGCGTGTGGAAAGCGCAAAGAGAAAGCGCCAGGCAACAGCAACACCGAATAACGCCGAACACCACCACCGAACAACATCGAATAACAGCGAATACCACCGCCGAACAATACCACCGAACAATACCACCGAACAACACCACCAAGACCAACAGCAGGAAACCCACCGCAGGGATCCACCCCGCAATACGGAACGGCGGGATCACCGGATCGATCGCCTTGGCCGAGGGAGTCCATCGCCGTCCCTCCTGCAGCCCGGCGACGCAGCGCATCCAGCACCAGCCCGGCGACATGTTCCCGAACTCCATGCCAAACAACAATTCGCTCCGTCCTTGTCGACATGATCCACTCGCATCGACCTTGGACCATTTCGCCACCACGGCCGCGATCGCGATCGGCCGAGCCACCGCGAGGGATCCTTCAGCCCGCCCAGCCAATCCGCTGTCGCCCTGTTCCTCGCGTGCACAGCCCCGATCATTCTGACGCTGCTCCTGGCTGCTCGCACGAATATAAATCTGCCCTCGCCCACCCAGCTCCCTCTGCGCCCATCCAACTTCCTCTGCAGTTCCCTCTCCCAATCGATCTTTGCTCTCCCCACCATGTCCCAGCCCTTGCCCGACATCCTCGCCCTCGGCCCCGCCCAGGTCTCGTCCGTCCTCCTGAACCACGTCGGGTTCAACACCAAGAGCCCCAAAAAGTTCCTCGTCGCTGCTCCTGCTGCTGCTGGCCTGACATCCTTTGAGCTCCTTGGCCCGGACGGCGCCAAGGTCTTCACCGGCCCGCTGGTCGCTGCCGGCACCACCGACGAGTGGTCTGTTGGCCACCACTGGCTTGGTGATCTGAGCGGCTTTGAGGCCGCTCCTGGCCTGAGCTACCGCATCCGTGTGCCCTCGGGCGACTCGACTCCTGAACTGCTCTCCGAGCGCTTCGACATTGGCGACGAGCTCCTGGCCGAGAGCATCGTCCCCGACCTGATCCACTACTTCCGATCCCAGCGTGTCGCTGGCAAGTTCGCCAAGGCCGACCACACCGTCCCCTTCGCACCTGCTGCCGACGGCACCCAGCGCTCCGGAACCGTCGATGTCCACGGCGGCTGGTACGATGCCTCGGGCGACGTTTCCAAGTACCTCAGCCACCTGTCGTATGGTGAGTGTCTCGCTCAGGACAGACAGCCACGGGCTGCAACCCCACATTCGTTTGCTGATAACCGCTCTTTGTCGTTATATCCAAAAGCCAACTTCATGAACCCCCAGCAGACTCCCTTGGTTGCCTGGAACCTGCTCGACGCCGCCGACGTCTTTGCCACCCTGCCCGACAACGACCGTCTGACCGCCCAGGTTGCGCACTTGCGCGAGGAGGCCATCTACGGCGCCGACTTTTTGGTCCGCATGCAGGACCCCGAGGGCTACTTTTACATGACCGTCTTTGACAAGTGGTCCAAGGACATTAAGCAGCGCGAGATCTGCTCGTGTAAGTGTTGTGTTGCTCTGTTGTTGTGTTGCTGTGTTGTTGTGTTGCAAGAAGATCGATCTGACCCGTCTGGCCCATATCTGCTCTCGCCCTTCTCGATCGTCACAGACGCCACGCAAAAGGGCCTCAAGTTTGATACTTGGCAGGCTGGCTATCGCCAGGGCGGTGGTCTCACCATCGCTGCCCTCGCTCGCACCAGCACCCTCAAGCCCGAGTTCATTGCCGCCTGTGGCGATTACGCCCCCGAAAAGTACCTCGCTGCCGCCGAGACTGGCTTCCAGCATCTCGAGCTCCACAACAAGGAGTACCTCGACAACGGCGAAGAAAACATCATCGATGACTACTGCGCGCTGCTGGCTGCCTCGGAGCTGTTCCTGGCCACGCGCAAGGAGGAGTATCTCGAAGCTGCCCGTCGCCGCGCCCAGTCGCTGCAAAGCCGCCAGGCCTCGAACGAGACCGTCAAGAACTTTTGGGTCGCCAACAACCAGCTCGATGGCGGCGAAGGCTTCCGTCCCTTCTTCCATGCCTCTGATGCTGGTCTGCCCGTGACCGCCCTCGACCGCTACATCGACGCCGAGACCGACGAGGCCGCCAAGGACGCTGCCCGTGCCACCATCCGCCGGGCGGTGGAGTTTGAGCTGGCCATCACCACCGAGGTCAACAACCCCTTCCACTACCCACGCCAGTACGTCAAGCCCGTCGATGCTGCTGCCCACACTGGTGAGTCTGAGCGCCTGCCTGTCCGGACGAGCAGGGAGGAGCGGGGACGAGCTTGCCGCCCTGGGCGTACCGGGATGCTCAGCCTGGTCGCGTGAGCCGCAGCCGCAGCCGCGCGAGCCCCGATCTGCCAGCAAGGGGCGCATCACACCATACAGGGCTGGCGTGGCGGATCACAGGGCCCTGTGTTCCTGTCCCATGGCCGCGCGTGGTTGCGCCACAGTTCCTGTCTGCCTGGCGGCATCGGGACCCACCCGGTTTGTCTCGGTGGCAACATGGCCTTGCCTGCGGGTCTGTGGTTGTGGTTGTGGGCGACATGACTAACCGGGCTTCGTGGCGCCTGTGCCGATCTGCTCCTGCATAGCCTTCTTCTTCCCCCACAACAACGAGTCGGGCTACTGGTGGCAGGGCGAGAACGCCCGCCTGGGCTCGCTCTCGGCCGCCCTCTCCAAGGCCCTGAAGCACCTCACCGACGCCGACAGCTCGCTGGCCCAGGAGCTGCGAGTCTCGGCCACCCGCCACATCGACTGGATCCTCGGCGCCAACCCCTTCGACATGTGCATGCTCCAGGGACGCGGCCGACGCAACCCCGAGTATCTGCGTCCGTTTGCCAACGCCCCCGGCGGTGTCTGCAACGGCATCACCTCGGGCTTCGACAACGAGCACGACATTACCTTCAAGCCCGAGCCCCATGGCGGAGACTGGGCCCAGAACTGGCGTTGGGGCGAGCAGTGGATCCCGCACGGTGCCAACCTGCTGCTTGCCGTGGCGTACCTGGGCCGTTACTGAACCGCGCAAGCGTGTTCCCCCTGAGCTCGCTGGGGCGGTCTGTCGATCCGTGAACCGACCTAAATAATGGCTCGGCCATCAATCCGACCTTTGATATGGAGTCTCGGGCGCTGTGTCCGAGATCGGTGTTGTCCATCGTGATTTTTTGATGTAGATATTCTGTTGTTACAGCGTGTCCCCGAACGAAACGGGGGGACACATCTTGTTTTGAGCCAGAGTTGTTTTTTTCATGGTCCTGAATTACACACACCCCCATCGCCCATCATGACCAAACAGTGTGCCCAAGGAGGACCGACATTGTGGAATGCCTCGTGGAAGCATGGGAGGAGGACCAATTGAATCCACAGACTCAGGTTCGCTTGGTATGTCGAGCAAGCACCACCATCGCCAGAGATATCTATCCAGAGAGTTGAGTAGCATGCACCGCACTCCCGCATCGCGCCGTCGATGCCAGCCGATCGTCGCCAATGGAAATCGACCAGATGTAATTCAAGGCGATGGTCCTGGATCAACAGGCATCGAGCCGCTGATGCCAGAAGAAATGGACACAGTTCCACGTGTATCTGCTCTGGCTGTGTCAAACAACCGTCATATTCGCGATTAGGACATGATATTGTCAGGGCGGTGAGAGACGGTGAATGGGGAAGTGAGGGAGGGACAAGCAGGGGAGGGACTATCAAAGGCCGGCAGCGACAGTGTTGGACCAGCCGCTGGTATCATGGGTGATCTGCCAGCCAAAGAAGCCAGCGTTCCATTTGCCAGTGGCTTTGGCCTGGCTGATGCACGAGGCCAGAGTCGAGGCAGACATGAAGCCGGTGTTGACGACATCGGCCTGGGTGATGGGCTTGCCGATGACGACCTTTTCGGAGGGGACGCCCTTTGCGATGATCTCAAAGACGGAGGTGCCGATAAAGGGGGCCTGGGACTTGTTGAGGAGCGAGGTGCAGTCCTGGTCTGTGAGAGAGAAGTAGGAAGGAGGGGAAGTATCAAACAAAGATGAACATCAGTAAAGTCAGCGGAACCACAAGAGTGATGGCTTGGGGAGCTGTCCCAATGTCGGGGCCGTTACTGGCTCACGGTGTTGTACTCTGGATGGAACTCGGGAGAACACTCACAGTTGGTGGATCCCTGGTTGTAGAACTGGATATTGTACCAGTCGATGGTGGAGCCGACCTTCTGATCAACAGTCAGGTAGCCGCCATTGGGATACTGAGTGGGCAGATCCTTGCCGACAAAGTCTGGATGGGAAGGTGTAAGGAAGGTGGGTAAGTGACCGGTGCGCCAGTATTTAACAAGTAAGGCCCTGAGGCGACACAGCCAAGAACCACGGGGGGGGGCACGAGCACTCACAGGGAGCCTGAGGAGCGTGGGTGATGATGTAGCGGGGGCTCGGCAGGTTGTTGCGGAGCTCGGTCTGGAATGAGATCAGCCAGGCCTCGCCCGTGCCAGCCTCGAGCGAGGGATTGTCCTCCCAGTCAATATCGGCGCCGTCGAGCTGATATTGCTTCACAAAGGCGGCGAGGTTCTGGGCGGTCTTGACAGGATCGAGCTTGCTGAGGGTGGGGAACTCGGCGGCACCAAAGGCTGATGCAACCAACAACAGTCACACGCAGAAGAGAGAGGAGACAGCAAAGACGCCGATGTGAGTCCATGGACAAAGTGCGATATTCCCGGACACATGAAACAGAGTGAGAGCGTCGGATCTGGCAAACTTGCTTGACTGCAGCAGAGATGCTCGACATACCCGCAACAAGCACAACTTTGCCGGCGGCATGCAGGCTGTCGAGGTAGCCCTGGCGAACAGAAGCATCCAGTCCCTGTGCATAGCCAAAACGTGCAGATCCAGGGAACAAAGCGCAGATGGGTCAGCTCGATGGCGATCAGGTGAGAGAGACTGAGGATTGCCTGCAAACTATGGGGCGTGGGAAACGAGATTGAAAGACAGTCCCCAAAATGGACTCCACGGCCCGATTCGACCAATTGAGGCCATAAATCAGGGCCATCGAATATGCGGCTACTTACGGTCCACGTGTAGGCTGAGTCGTAAGCACCGCTCGAGAGCCAGAAGCCAAGGATGAATGTGTTGTACCGGTACGAAGGAACAGATCCGGGGATGAAGAAAGCAGCAGGAGACGAGTTGCCGCTGGTATTGTCGTCGTCTGCAAATCGGCAGGCAAGGGGAAGGAAGGAGGGGGAATTGAGCAACGAAAGCGACGCAAACGCAGGCGCAGGAGGAAGAGCGGCAAGGGAAGCCGCAGACACGCAAGGCAGCGATGCCAGAGAGATGCTGGGATCGCCTCAAACTCACATCCAATGATTTTAGGGCCGCTGATGGTGGGGACAGGCACCTGACCGGTTGGGGTAGGAGGAGATGCTGTCGCAGTGGTGACGGCCGAGGTGATCTTCTTGGTGGAGCTCGACTTGGCGGGGACAGTGGTGGTGGTGGTAGTAGTGGTGGTAGAGGACTTGGCGGGCTTGGTGGTCTTGGTCTTTTTGGTCTTGGTGGTCTTGACGGGCTTGGTGGTCTTCTTGGCCTTGGTGGTCTTCTTGGCGGCCTCAACGGTGGCCTGGAGGTGGTCCTGGGAGGTGGCCACAACCTCGGCCGAGACCGAGTTGGGGTGGTGGTTGGCTCCGTTGCGGGCAACAACCGACTGGACGGCGGCGGCAGCAAGGATGAGGGTGGCAAGCGACAGCTTCATGGCAGGCAGGCAAGAGATGAGGGAAGGACGGAGCGGGCCGACGACGTTCAGGCAGAGAGCAAAGGTGTTTGCGGACCAGCGGAAACGACGCCGCCGCAACAGGGAGCGGGCCGGGCCGAGGCTTTTATCGTCCAGCAGACAGGATCGGGGCCATCCCCAAGGCAGCAGAGCAAAAGGAGGAAGGGTGGGTGAGGGTGGAAGGAACATTCCCGGGGGGGAGGGTCAGCCAAGGGCGGGGGGAGCGCACACGGAAGCACGCCCCAGCCAGCAAGGAAGGGACAAGCCGAGGAAGGTCTTGTGGGAACTGGTGGAGTGCGGCATGGAGGCAGGCGACGGCGATCGACGAACAGTGGCAAGGTAGAGAATGCAGCAGAATGCAATGGTGAGCAACAGAATGCAGCAGAATGCAATGGAGAGCAGCGGTGCCTCTTGCGAACAGCCAGGAAGGGGTGGATGGGGACATGCGACCTCGGCGCAAGGCGTGAGATCACAAGAGGGGATGCGCCGCTGGCATTCAGGCAGTTCTGGTGCAAGCACACTGCACAAGGGGGGAAGAGCAGCACGACGCAGGCGACACAGCAAGATGCAAGAGGGAAGAGATGGCAGATGGGGGAGCAAGGCAGACAGGGGACAAGAGGAGACAGGCGACGCGACGACAGGGGCATCAAGGACACGCGACTGCCACGAAGGGAGATGCGCCGTCGCACAGGGCAGCAGCAGACAGAGCTAGCAGAGCAAGCAGAGCAAGCAGAGCAAGCAGAGCAAGCAGATGAGCAAGATCTCGCACAGGCCTTGCACAGGCCTTGCACAGGTCTCGCACAGCAGGCACAGTGCTGTACAGGTGCGAGATGCGAGGCGGAGCGATGGCGATCTCAACCCACAACCCATGCGGATGGACAGCAGCAGACACACAAGCAATCAGCAGCAGACACACGAGCAATCAGCAGCAGATACACGAGCAATCAGCAGCAAATGCCCCCCAGAGCAATTCACAACAACCGCACACCAGAACAACGACCAACACTTGTGCTCGCACAGAGGGGGCTCGCGCGGGCCGGTGCGACCGGACCCTGCACGCCTTGCTTTTCCTTTCCTCTTCCGATCGCGCAATCGGTCACGCGCACGTGTGCATGCGTGACTGCCCGCAAGCCAGCAACAGGGACCCGGCCCCGGTGCCACAACAGCATACAGCCCATCCATAACGGGACACCGTGCATTCCGGTCATGCGGGTCTCATTATCCGGGTGATGAGTTACAGCCATTCACCATGCGGCGACCAGTACGACCGTAGTGTGCCGGGCATTTCGCTTGCTCCAACGTTGTCGAGGCGGTCATTTATTACAAATACGAACGCAAGCGGGATAGCGGCTTGTTGTTTTCCGAACACAGCGTGGCTATCAGTTGAGATTTATCAAGATAGTCATGGGCTGGAATGGGGACTCGTGTGTCCACAGGATAGACAGTCGGGGGGCAAAGTCGCGGCGACCGCTCGATGGGGGCAATTTGATCATGTGGACTCCGTGACGCACCCAGAGTGGCTGATTGTCAATATTTACCCATTCGGACGAAGTAAGTGGTGCAGGACGGGTGGATGCTGCTACAAAATTGGTTTGGGAGTCGGAGGAGCGAACAAAGCTCTCGCCAACACGGACCCAGGCAATTGGGATATTGAAAAATTCATTAGACAGAATTGTGTTGCCGTCCGATGAGAGTTTCACAGATTTCACATAGCTTGTATGTCCTGTGAGCGTGCCCCTCCGATCACAGGTGAAAGTGTCCCAAACCTTGATTCTGTTCAAGTCTCCATGATCGACAACTGCCACAATCTTGCCATCAGGCGATAGCACAGAGTAAAACTCGTATCTCTTATGAGTCGTGAATGTTTTCTTGATCTTCCCTGTGCTGGCATCCAGATGCTTGATTGTGCAGTTGGACTCGACAAGCACGATCGTTTTGCCGTCGGCCGATATTGTCGTGGCTGCAACATCTGCATGTCCCATGACAATGTGCTTCAGCTTGCTGGTCGCGGTATCCCACACTTTGATGCTGTCATTTGACCACGAGGCAAGCCAGTTGCCGCTTGGTGAAACAGCGACTGAGAGCACTTCCCCTATGTGTCCCACAGTTGATTTCACCAAGTTGCTCCAGTTCTTCCTGAATCCGATTGTCACCAGGAACAGGATCTTGTCTTCAAGATGTGAAGCGTATGTCTTGTAGATCGCCGTCTCCTTCGGTGTGAAGACATAGCCCGAGTTGTACACCTGCGGTGCACTCTTGATGATCGGATCGGCAAACTCGCGGATGAATTGATGAGTGTCCTTGGCCAGTTCCTTGGTGATGTCATCTGCGATTGTGCTTGGAGCCAGGGCGAGCGTTTCTTCCAACGAGCGGAGCTGGGTGGTCAGCTCCGGAATCACACCAATGAGGGAACCAGCCTCCAGCCAGAAGAATACATGGCTGGCGAGGAACCGGCTCAGCAGATTGTCCAGCCCGGAATCACGGTACTGCTTCCAGATTCGACGATCGAAAGAACCATCGTTGGTGTACCACACAAAGTGTGTGATCCAGTGGGCAACGCTGTATCGCAGAGCCGGTGTGATCTTGGCCCTGACTCGGCCCTCGAGGTAAGGGATCTTGTCGTGAAAGTCGTAAATGCCACAAATGTTGATCACAGGCTCGTATGAGAGGATCACAGAGAGACACCATGACGTGAGCGTGATATGGAAATTTTTGGGGACATGGAACGGCTCGCCGACAGACTCGTCTCCGAGCAGATATGCGACAATCGATTTGTGCTTGCGAACCTTGACCATCGAGCTGCCTTGATTGTCACGGTTCAGTTTGCCGGGATCGAGAACGGGTCCAAGTTCCTTGACGCATCGACGGACGACTCGGATGTCGATGCCAAAGAGCTCAGCAATCGCACGAACGGTCAGGGGAGACTGCGATGTGGCAATGGCCGAGATCAACAGAGGGAGCTGCTGCTGGTGGCGGGACTGGGCATAGACGTTGGCGAAGGCCCGCTGGTAGCTGGCACTGTCGTTTCCATTCATGACCGCGAACCAGAGATGGAACTCATCGTCGTAATCATCGTCCGAATCGAAATCGTCATTGGCATCGCAAGTCTCCAACTCAGGCGCGTCTGCCCGTTGCTCCACAGGCGCTGGATCGGGTGTTGGCACAGATGCAACGGTCGGATGAGCCTGCGGGTTAAAAGGTGCAAGGATGGAGGCTTCGGAGTGGAGAACTGGAGTGACGATAATGGGTCTCTGGTCTCCATTTTGAGCGGGATGGATCTCGGCAGGCTGGCGGAGGATGGCGAGAATCTCGGGAAACTTGGGTCGCATGGCGGGATCTTGGTGCCACCAGCGCTCAATGAGGGCACGGATGTCGTCGGGGATGCCGTCGAACTGCTTGGGTCGGTTGCCTCGGAGGACCTGAGACTCGAGGGGCGGTTAAGTTCTTGAAGTGGCTGAGGAAAGTGCCATTGGGCAAGACAGTGACGAGGGTGTTCAAGACCTTCGTCCGGCCCATGCTCGAGTATGGACTGACCCTCGAAGTGCTCACGAAACAGCAAGCCGTGGTACTCAGACGTGTAAGTGTATTGTTGGTGTCGCTGTGCTGGATCATAAGAAACTCATGCTATGGAGCGATGCACCTCGGATGCGGACTCATCACCCTGCCCAACCGCCTCAAGCAGCTGGCCCTCCAGAACCGAGCCGTCTGGGAAGACCGTCTGGACCACAACGACAAGATGGTCTCGATGGTGTTGAGATATTCCCGCATCCAGCCCAGCCTGATGGACGCATCCCTCGGCTCCCAGTTCTACCTCGACGAGTACTGGCGACAGCTGATCGTGCTGAAGGAGCAGTGCCAGCCGGACTACCCGATGAGGAAGCTGTTCAGGAACGGCTACTACCAGCTCCCAGGGCCACCAGTCAAGCTGCAGATTCACATCGAGGACGCGCAAGGCTTCGACAGGCAAAGGAGCTGACTTTGGCCCGCACCGTGACGAAGACCATGTCGGGACTGTGGGCCGAGCGAGGGCCCAAGAGAGATCGATACTATCACAACATGATGGTAAGATGGACCCTCGGTGCCTTTCCTGGACACCCGTATGGCCACTATCGGCTGTGTGTCTCCTGCACGAAGAGCCGAGGAGAGTTCGTCGCGATGTGCCGGACCCACACCCAGAGCTGCGTCGGAAGAGGCCGCTCGTGTCAACGGATATTGCCCCCATGAGTTCAGGCTGCACTGCAGTGGACTGGTTTCATCCTCGCATGGTCTGACCACATACGCTGGCGTGCTCCAGTGTCCCTGGGTCGGATCGAGGGAGGATGGTCTTGGTGCCGGGGAAGGCTGGTGGCTTGCTGCCTGCTTTCTCCGGTACCCTGTGGCGAGGGATGGTCTGGTTGTGCTGACTCTTTCCACCATCCATGGTTGCAGAATGAGTATCGATTGTCGTGGTCGAGTTGTCGTTGTCGGGTCATCGGATGTTTCTCTCGGTCAATCAACATCAGCGATTGTCATGGGACAACACAATTGTATATTGGATGTATTGGATGTATTGGATGTATAGAATGCCTAATACAACAACACTCGGCCACTGCCGTTTCATCGGAACCACATTACAAGTTCACTTTACTGTCGTGTTGTCTGGGATGTGCGGTTTGCTTGGTTGCTCTGATTGAATATTCAGTGTTGCGACATGGTTTGGGAGTGGGACTTGGGAATCAGGGCCATTTGCCGAGTTGCTCGAGGCTGTCGATGGAATCTTGGAAACCCTGTTCTGCAGCCTTGCGATACCAGAAAACGGCGGTGCCGACGTTCTTGGGGACACCTCGGCCTAGCCAGTAGCATTCACCGAGCCAATCTTGTCCGTATCGATTGTCCTGCCCGGCCGACTTGCGATACCACTCGACTGCCTTGGTGCGATCCTTGGTGACTCCCCATCCATTGTAGTAGCAAAAACCAACCATCCACTGCCCATACGAGTTGTCTTGGCCAGCCGACTTGCGAAACCACTCGAATGCCTTCGTGTAGTCTGTCGATACTCCCCCGCCATAGCAGTAGCAATCTCCGATCCAGAACTGGCTGTCGCTGTGGCCCTCGTCGGCGAGTTGTTCAAAGGTGCCAGCCGCCTTCTCCAGGTCCCGAGTGGTTCCGAATCCATGGAACACACACACAGCCTCGAGATGTCTGCAAATCCAGTCTCGGTCCGACCCTATCTGACAGAGATCGAAGAACTTCCGGGCTGCGGGTGAGTCGGAGTCGGACGAGTTCCAATTGGCCAGACATTCGTCCTCTCCGAAAGGGAACTCATCCGATCTGTTCTCCCGGATGATCTTGACACCCTTCTGTTCGTCGCGCATGGTACCCCGGCCAAGGTAGTGCATCCAGCCAACCATGTGGGTGGCGATGGGTTTGATGACTGGATCGGTGGATTGGGTGCTGACTTCCTGCCAGCGATTGAAGGCATCGACATCGCTCTGTTCGACACCATGGCCGATGAACGAGAACCATCCCCGGAGAAACAAGATGTGGAGTCGGCCGTCTTCGCTGCCTTGATCTGCTGCCTTGGAATACCACTCGATGGCTGTGTCGTAGTCTTGATCAACACCTTCACCACTCTCATAGCATCGACCGAGGGCAACTTGGGCTTGAGGTATTCCTCTGTCCGCAAGACTGCGATACAATTGGATGGCTTTGGTGTGATCTGGGTCGACCCCGAGTCCGTTGCGATAGCAGCCAGCCAGGTGGAACTGTGCCATTGGATGACTTGTGTTGGCTGCCTTCTCCAGAAGGCGGAAGATATGCTGGCGCTCGGCACTCCCCTCAAGCTCATCGTCGTTTTCTGATTCTTGGTCAACTTGGAGGATCCGTGCCAGGAAGTACGAGGCCGATGCATTGCCCTGCTCTGCCCGATCTTCCAGCCAGGATCGGTCGGCTGTGGCTTGATCCTCGCAGTGCAGCGAGAGGGCAATCTGGTCGCTCGGTGTGAGTGCGAACCGCAGCTGTCCGTCTGGATTGCACAAGCCTGCATTCTGACACCAGGTGTGGAAGCGAGGCACCTTGGAGCTCAGGAGAGGCCGGGCTTGTTTGCACACTCGGAGGAGGGTTGCGATGGTGGTCAGGTCGAGGGCGAGCTGGAAGCTGTCGTTGAAGCAGATGATGGTGAAGATGTCAGGGTTGTGGTCGTCAATGTCCAGTCGAGCCATGCTGGTCGAATGATGGACACTGGCAGCCATGATGCGGTGCAGCGGGTTGGGATGTGATGAGAGTTGCGATGGCGATATCCAGGCGACGAGACGAAACGAGGTGGGGCGAGACGAGATGGGTGGGATGGAACGAGAGTGGCACAGTCACCAAACCAAGAACATGGCTGGATCCACGGATCGAGTGCCAGTCAATCGATGCTTGTCATTCACATTCCCACACAGCTGTCACTCCATCGCTCCATCACTCCATCACTCCATCGCTCCATCGCTCCAGCCCAGTCGATCCGGATGGGAAACTCGCCTCAGTTTCTCAAGGCCGCTGCTGACCGCGGCAACCTCGAATTATTATGAGCGACGTCGCAGGCGAGTTGGATGGCATTCCTTCCTTTTGGAGTCAACATTTGCTCGTTGTCTGGAATCTCAGTATACGCACCGCTCTCCACCATCCTTATCGTTATCCAAGAGTACGCTGACAGGGCCCAAAATGGTTTGAACGAGTCTCAATTGCATGCAAGCGTTGTTGTCGAAGTGAATAGTTGGGATTCAACGGCTCCAGTCCACCACCATCAACCCTGGGTCGCTCTCTTCAAGGCCGTCCTGTCTGGATCGGCATTCGTCTGGTCAAATACCAATCGACTTCCCACAACGACGGCCCGAGTGGAAGTTCTCGTCTCGCCTTGGGGCTGTCGAGGCAGTGATGCCCATCTGGACTGGCATCGATGGATCCTACCCCTGGCACCAAACCCGCCAAGTCATTTCCCACCAACGTGGAAACGGTCTTTGCCAGAACACAATCTATATACAGAAAATGAGATCAAGTGACATGAGGAAAGCAGCAACAAAGGCGTGCACAGGAGCCGGAGAGGCACACATTGACGGCCATTCTGCTTTGCCGCTCGTGGTACTTGGGTCCCGAAGTGAGCCGATGGAAGCATTGTGGGAACACAGTCGTCACAGCGTTATCCCCAATGCGGAGCGAGAGAGGGAAGAAATAGCGTAGATAGATTAGTGTATTTGTTTTATTTCAGAGATATTAGAACGAAGGCAGAATCGACAGGTTGGATAAAGTGGAGGTGATCGAATAATAGGCGGATATCGCATCGTGTCCTTTGCATGATCGTATGCGCACGCTCGTGGTACTGGAGAAAAGCGGCCTTGCAAGCCAAACAAGCCAGGAGTCACTGCGACTTACTGTTTCGAATCCAATCCTTCGAGTTGATTGCATCAAAGAACTGAGAACGAGCAGTCGGAGCGGCAGACATAGAACAAAAACATCGACAACTGAACAAAACGGACAACGAGGCAACAATGCCGCCCAGGACGCGCAGTAGGGAGGACTGACATGTTGCGTGGAATTGGTGAGTCTCAATGAGGGACAAGGAGGAATGGACAGCAGCCAGAACTGTGTGCATGGCGAGACGCCACAAGAGCCGGAGCCGGAGCCAACAGGATGGTGAAAACGGGCGTGGCAAAGGTGCAGGAGGGAATGGCCACATCGGGTTGCTGCAGGGGGCACGCGCAAACGAATAAATATAAAAACGGGAGAGACGGCACCAAAACCAGTCACTATGAGGTGTAAGCATAAGCCACGGAGGGAATAAAAAACAGCCGAGGCGAGCACGGTATGTGGGGAACTCGGGCCACCCAAGCAGGGTCGTCTTTCTATAAGAAGGGGTGGGTCAGAAGAGGTCAACAATAGGAAGGAGCCAAAACGTGGCGGGGCACAATCAGATAGATAAGGGAAACGAGGAAATCGCGGCGGAGAGGCAGAAGGGCCAAAAAGGAGGAGAATATCGACCAACCCAATCCTACGGGGGCAGCACAAAAGACTAGGGACACACATCGGCCAACTGGGCGATGGAGAAGCAGCAGCAGCAGCAACGACAGCGGTAGTGGCAGCAGCAACAACGGCCACAGTCAGCACGCACAGCAGCGGAGCCAGGCAAAGAGTTGCGGACGAAACATGCAAAGGCGAGAACGACCCAAAAAGATAGCGGGGACGGCCGAGACAAGCGGAGTTGCCGAATGCGAGTCATAGACTAGCAAACGGAGCGGGGCTAGATCGGACAGTCGGCCCTTCGGCTCAGCGCAACAATGTGTCGACCAAAACGAAGAAGGGGGGGGAGGGAGGGTGATTGGGCCGCTATGGCCGATCACCTTTCCCAGGCTCTCGTTATCGGCCGGGTTTCGCTTAACCAGGCTTGGTACTCCTCGGGACTGATGCTGAGCTGGTAACTCAGAACCCGACAAAAGTCTCGCTCGAGTGCGTTGAGGTAGGCCGAGTCCAGCTGAGTGATCCGCTTCCAGGTTCCCGGCTTGAAGGAGCGATCGTCCAGGAGTTTCTGCGAGAGCATCAGGGCGGTGATGAACATGTGGCTCTCTTGTCCGGGCATCAAAAAGTAGATGGGTTCGGAGCGCACCCGCTTTTGCAGCAGCGTGATCGAGATGAAGACGATGGTCAGCGGGATCGAGTTGGAGAGGGACGACAGCACGCCGTGGATGACGGCGATTGAGTGGGCAAAGTTCGGGTCGTTCATGATCTCCTCCTTGGTCAGATGCTCGGGCAGGATCCCAAGCGAGTAGTAAACCAGCGCCGTGACGCAGACGGCAAATTGGCGCGAGCACAGTGCCGCTGCGGCCCGCGAGGGCTTGCTCGGTTTGGATGAGGATGACCGCGAAGTTGATTGTGATGGCGGAGGAAGTGGGATGGACTGTGATTGTGCGGTCTTGTGCGAGGCAGGCTGCGATAGCAGCGGCGGAGGTGGCGGAGGGACAGGCCGCTGCGAGGACTGCTCGGGGTGCAGTGCCAAAGACGACATTGTCGCTGGTGTGGGGCCGGCCCCAGCGAGATCTTGTTGTGTCGAGGATGGAGCATCGAGCTGCATGGCATCAACTTGCATGCTATTGTTCTCCACGGGCTCCGAAGGAGTGGGCGGCGGCATCGCTGGTCGATGCGGAAGCGAGTGCCTCAGGGACGACTGGGAGAAGGCATCCCATGATGTCGGATGAAGGCGGTGGGGGTGGGAAATATGCGAACCCGAATAGTGAGTCGCCTTTGGGCTCACTATCATCCCGCTGGCGGAAACGTCGATGGCGCCCGTTGTTGCAGAGAGCCCCGGGCTCAGCGAGGATATCGGATGTTGGGAGCGGGGACGGGCGACCGGGTCTGTCGGAGACTCGGTTGGTGAGGTCGGGAGACTGGGCTGGACACAGGAGCGGCGGTGAACGTGGGAGGATGCCGTCGCTGGTGCCGTTTACAAGTCAAGGTGCGAATGTCGAGACAGCGCCAGATGATCCGAGACCGACCGGAGGTTCGTGTTCGGGGCGATATACTCTCTGGCAGGAAGGATTTGTTCAACGAAAGGGTGCTGGGTGGCCGGACACAGGAGCGTATGCATGCGTCTGGATGGAGCGACAGAGAGCGAAGGCGAGCAGAGCATGAGCAGATGCAGATGCAGACTGGACAAGCAAGACCGAGGACAGTGTTCACGAGGGAAGGAGCAAACGGGCGAACGAGAGCGCCTCCAGAGAGTGCCTCCAAAGCAGAGACGCCGACAGGAGGGAGAAGGAGCAGCACAGATGGGCTTCGAGAGAATGAATCGGGCCCGGGACACGGATATTTACCGATGCGAGAGACACGACGACCAGGAAGCGGCGGCGGCGGCGGCGGCGGCGAGAAAGACTGCTGTTGTTCGCGATGCGATGGGGCGGGAGATCCAAGACACAGGCAGGGTAGTCCAGGATGCCGATGGGAAGATCCAAGTTGTGGATGGGGAAGATCCAGGAGGAAGGATGGGGGAAAGATCCAGCCAGCGGGCGGACAGACAACGGCAGCAGGACATGCGTGGCCAAGTGCAGACGCAGAGGAGCGTCCTTGCCGCGGCGGTGTATGAACGCTCATGGGACCGGCGGGCCTTTGCGGCAACGCGCGCGCGGGCCACAGCGGCCACAGAGACAGTGTGCGGCGACGCGACGCAGCGGGGTGCCGCCGCGTTGTTTGCGGGCGCGCCCAGCAGCCCTGACGCGGGCACAAGCGGTCCGCGGGCGCAGGGCGGGGGGCGCCAAACAAGCGCCGGGCCGAGTGTGCGTCGAGGCGACGCGTCTCCGGCAGCGCCAACGACGCCAACGCCGCGCCCGCACGAGCGGAGTTGCTGGTCCCTGCGCCTGCGCCCCTGTGGCAGTGCGGTGTTGCGCTGTGTTGAACTGTGTTGCGCTGTGCTGTGCTTGTCCGCTGTTTCGGCATGGTGGATCCGTTGGGCTGCACCTAGAATGACACTGACCGCGTCCGCCATGCAATCATGGTCATGTCCACCATGTGTCGACCTCAACCCGTCCTCGACATCGACATCGACATCGACATCGACATCGACCTCAACCCTTCGTCGACATCGACATCGATATTGACATCGCCGCCGACCATCGATCCGCGGACACTTGTTGATCTCGCCCAACGCTCCGCTCGCCGCGCTCCACCCTCCGCTCCGTCGCTGCGGTTCGCATGTGCTGGGCTTTCGACGGTTTATTCGTTGGCGTCGGTCGCTCCGACTCGCCGGACATGCAGGCGCCGCTTCTGGCCGCCGCAACTCCCGGAATCTACAGGCGCACTGGGGTGCCGTTGTTGAGGGCGCTCGTCCAGATGGCATCAATCACCTGGTGGACCTTGAGGGTCTCGTCGCTGAACGTCTTGGCGCTCTTTCGGCCGGCAACGCAGTCGGCAAAGTCCTGGATCATGCACTGCTCCTGGATCACATCGCCGACAAAGGCCTTGCGCTCCTCGGCCTTGCCGATCCCAGCGGAGACGTAGTACGTCGCCGTCGTTGCCGGCTGGAACTCCTCGGGGGACGGGAAAAAGTTGACCGTGCCGTCGAACGGCAGCACAAAGTCGTCCATCCACAGGCTCTTGTCGAGACCGGTGATGTCGATGCGCTGGATATCTGTGGCCAGGAACGAGACCTCGAAGGTGGATGTGCGGCCATCCGTCCACTTCATGATGCCCACGAAGATGCGGGCCGCGCCGGTCTCGGGGTGGCGCTCGACAATGTGTCCAACGACCTGGAACCAGAGGCAGAATGTCAGTGGACTGCAGGCAACGCCGGCTCCGCTGCTCCAGGCTGAGGCACATGCGCTCAAAGGCAGAGTCCTCAAGGGCAAGAGACGGCGTGTGGCTTCGAGATCAAGTAGAGCACCAGACTCCCATATGGCCGCCCGAGCTACACTCACCTCGACGGGCAGCTCGTAGCCAAAGACAAAGAGCGAGTAGCGGATGTTGTACCATCCGAGATCGCCCAGGACGCCCGTGGCCTCGAGGTTGGTGTTGAGTCGAATCTCAGACTTGGGGTCCATGGTGTGGCCAGGGTACGAGAAGCGGCTGACGACAGAGCGGATGGTGCCGAGCTCGCCCGACTCGATCGTCTTTTTGATCTCGGCAGTGCGCGGATGGTGCACCCAGAAGGTACCGTCCATGAAGACGACGCCGTTGGCCTCGCAGGCAGCAATGATCTCGCGCACCTCATCGGTGTCGCGGCCCACTGGCTTCTCGACCAGGATGTGCTTCTTGGCCTGAAGGGAAGGCAGTGGGACGGGAGGCATATGGCACGAGGTCAGAGACAAGTGGCAGCACGATCGGATACTACTCCTCCGCTATTGGAGCCCAGAGTCAGAGACACTCGATTCGCAAAACCGGATCATCGCTTGCACCGCCAGAATCCCACACAGACCTGGGCGGCCTTGATGCACCATTCTTTGTGCAGCAAGCTGGGCAGCGGGATGTAGATCGCATCAATATCCGTGCGGGAAATCAGCTCGTCATAGGAGGTGCAGACGTTGGGGATATCGTGCTTGGCGGCAAACGCCTGGGCCTTCTCGAGCGATCGGCTGGCGACAGCGACGACCCGGTGGCCAGCGCGGTGGATGCCGTATCGGACGACCTTGTGGGCGATGCCTCCGGGGCCGATGACACCCCAGCGAAGAGCAGACTCGGCAGACATGGCGTGCGGTGGTGGTGGTGGTGGTGGCGGCTGCGGTGGGCGGTATCGAGTCGAGCCGGCGGATGCTGCGGGGACGATGATGCTGTCGGCGTCAAAAGTCCCAAGCGCCCCTGGATATGGGCTGCACCAGACCCGAGCCACGGGGCGGGCGGGTGGGCAGCACCCAGCCGCGGCAACAGCCCGGACCAATGGGCGGCCGGTGGCGGCAGCAGCAGCTGCGCGCGTGGGGTCGGGCGTGGCCCACACCCCTTGCTGGCTCCTGTGCCACAAGGTCGTCCGCGTCGCACACCCGTCAGCTGATCGCGGGCCCACATCAACACAGCTCCGGCTGGACCACTTGCGCTGCGGCCCGCGGTGCGACCAAGGCCGGTGCCTGGCGGTTGCGGGCCCACTGCGGTGATGGCTGCACATCGTGGGGGGGGGGCGAGCAGAGCAGCCCATGGCCATGGCCTGCGATCGTGATGCGCAATGACGGTGGGCTGCTGGAGATGGGCCGGCGCTGCTGGCGATCGGCTGGCGCGGAGGCAGCAGAGGCAAGCAGGACGGGCGTTGGTGGGCTGGGATATCCCCTGGCCCGATCGCGCTTGACTCATGCAGCGCGGCTGGGCCGCGAATACCGGCTCGCATGGGCGAGGCTGGTCAAATGCAGCCGACGTTGGCGCTGGAGCCACCCAGCCCGACACAGCGACGGACGCTCGCGGCGGGAACTGTCTCTTCCCTGTGTGTCTGGCTCTCTTGCTGCCCGATCGATCGATCCCGCGTGTATTCAGCCATTCCCTCGGCCAACCAGCACCAAGCACTGGCAACATCATCTGGGTTCTCCCGGATGGTTTGCCTTGGGCAGAAACCCTGGTGCTGGCGTGTTCCGCCAGCAGGGAGACCCCGTGCACGGCCGGCTCGTGCATCGGTGCGACCGTGGCAGTGCAGAGTCGTCACCTGACAGTGGGCGAGACGCGTCGACCGCCACAGCATCAACACGAACAACAGCGTCAACAGTATCAACACGAACAACAGCGCTGCAGCACGCTCTGTGCCCGTCACTCGCCCCCTGTGGCGCGCGGCGTCCCCAAACATTGCTGTTCGCCGCCCCGGTCCGTTGTCGCTCTCGTCACGCCGCCAGCCAACTCTCCCGTCCATGGTCTTGCAAGCCGCGCGAGGCCAGCTGCTGCCCCCCCTCGCTCTTTGTCGTCGTGGAACAAATTTGATCTGGCTCGTCGCCGTCGCTCAAGGCCACGTCATCCGCATCGCTGCTCCCAGCCCCTGGCGCTATAAAACGAGGTGGCTGCCTCCGTCCTCGCTGCACCGCCATCGCAGGCTCCTCAACACACGCACCCCTCCGCCATGACTTCCACCCACGAACAACTCGAGACCAAGGGCTACGTTGTCATCGACAACCTCATCCCCGAGGACCTCTTCAACTCCCTCGTCGAGGCTGCCGATCGTGTCATCGCCAAGGGCCGCAACTCTGAGTGGCGCGAGAGGTACGTCCTGCATCCGCTGACGCAGCCCAACGATCCGTCATCCCCGAGCGGGATCACCATGCGCTCCTGCCTTCGAACAACCAACTTGCCTTCGGTCTTGTAACAGTTTCCGTGCTCACACCCGCTCCACAGACGCACCGTCGGCAAGCAGTTCCCCCCCTGGCCCAAGGACGAGGCCATCCACGATATCTGGGGCGTGCAGCACGTCATGCACCCCGATCTCGGCGAGCCCGTCTTTGCCCAGTACTACGCCTCCGAGCCCATGCTAAAGGCCATCAGCGAACTCCTTGAGGTCTCTCCCGACCAGCTGCAGCTTGGTATGTTTCGCATCTGCAACTGGCTGCTGGTACTGTCGCCATCCGTGCTGCGTTTCGCATCTTCATATTTCCATGCTGATCCCCATCTCGCCTCGCTCGCTCGCTCGCTCGCCTCCCAACAGAGCTCTTCAACCTGCTGATCAACCCCGTCGACAGCGAGTTTGCCCTCACTTGGCACCGCGACTGCATCGAGGTCAACGTTTCCGAGGAAGTCGAGCAGGAGCGCCTCAAGATCCCCCACTATGGCACCCAGTGGAACACTGCCCTCTATGACGACTCGTGCTTCATCTTTGTCCCCGGCTCGCATAACCGCCTCCGCACCCCCGAGGAGCGCCGTGTCAACATCGAGGAGCCCTACGGCCACATGCCCGGCGAGGTTGTCCTCCACCTCAAGCCCGGCCAGACCGTCTTCTACAACAACAACCTCCTGCATCGTGCTCACTACCCCAAAGGCGTCAAGCGCGCTACTCTTCACGGCTGCATGGGCATCACCACCGGTGGCCCCACCCGCGCCCAGAACATCTTCCAGCACGGCCTCGACTGGATCAAGTCCGATCGCTTCCGCGAAACCCTCCCTGCCACTGCCCTCCCTCTGCACGACAACCTGCTCCGTCTTGCCGAGGCCCGCAAGGACGTCAAGCTCGAGTACGACCACCCCAACGACGGCTTCGTGGTCACCAAGGAGGCCTAAACGCAATGCACATCCCCCTGTCGTCAACACCGACCCCTCCATACCAGTCACTCCTTGCAGATCGTCCTCTGGACTCGACCACCTCGTCTCCGTGCAAAGCTTTGTCTCATCTGATATCTTCAGCCTCGGCTGAGAACACCAGAGACCCGACAGATTCCTGCACGTGTATATGTTTCTGTTCACCATTTTCAAAATACAAATGCAAAACCAGGGGACACCCCAATCTCCCCAGATGCCGCAGGAGCTGTACCAATAGTGCCGGGGTCCAGCCGATCGTGGCATTGGACGAACATGTGTTTTCAGCCAGGATCACAATCGGCAACTGAGGCTTAACAAGCAACCAGTTGTTCAGGAGGGGGGAGAGTGAGCGGTATTGGGGTGGTAATTGTGATATGACAGCATCGACAGGAAGGCCGGCCAGGTCGAACAGAACAGAGCCAATATCATCGAGGTGGACGGATAAAAGCCAGTGCAGCTGCGATCGACAGAAGCGGCGGCTTGCCCCCTCTAGTTTGGTCTCGTTCACAGTTGTATCTTCTTGGCGACACGCTCAACAATCTGTCCAATCGGGTTGTAGCCCACAACTTCAACGTCCATCGGCTGGGCGAACGTCTCGGCTGCAGACTTGGCCGCATACCAGAACCGCGTACAAAATGACGTGCCCGTCCACTGTCCGTTCACATACACCTCCCATCGATCGACGGCTGCGTCGGTGCTCGGAAGGTTCTTGGGTTCCCACACGATCGTGACGGCTTCTCGGACGGCGCCACCATCGCCATCCTTGGCAGGTTCGGCCTTGATGACGCGGATGCTTGTCGAGCTCGACTGCTCAGCCGGAGCATCTGAAGCAGCGTATTCACTGGTTCTCCAGACCCGCACCTCGCCAACGTGGACGGCGACATGGCCGTTGCCAGCTGGCGCAGCGCAAGTAGCCGGGCTGGCGAGCGCAATGCCACTGTTCTCGCCAAGGCCAAAGAAGCTGCCGTCCAGAGATTCGCCGTCGTGGCCGCCAGCAACAACAAATCCGATGCCAGAGACCGATATTTCTTCGTCGTCTGTCGAGGCCAGCTCCTTTCCCAGGTCAAAGCCAACCGTCGTCCAGCCGTACTCGTCCGTACAAGTGGCATCACTACCCGAGGCGTGCCCGGATCCGCTGTCGGCCGCATTGCTGCCAAAAACAGTCCAGGCAATGGGATCATCGTTCACGTGGAGGGTTACTCGGATCCCGACGCTGATGGGGGTTGCCGACTGCAGCTGTGACTGCGTTCTGTCGATTCGGAAGCGCCCTTCGACTCGGGTGTCTTCGGTCACGCAGACTCTGGCCTTGAAGGTTTCGGCCACAAACCCAACCGGGCCCGTGGCGTTGCTCTCGGCAAGCTGATGGACACCGGCATCCGTGAGTCGAATCGCCAAGCTCGAGCCGCCGTTGTAGGCCACACCGGTCTCCACTCCAAGGCCCTTGATGAGCATCACATAGGGCAAGACGCTGCTGGTGGAGTGTTCAAAGGTTTTGGCATCGGCATCGAGCTGGAGAAGCTGGATGTGGTCGATTGTTCTATATGTTGGCGGAATCGACTGGCGGGAGAGGTGGAACCACGAGCGCTGGTGGATGGGCTGCAAGAGAGCAAGTTGCCAGAGTCAATGACCGGATGCGAGACGACCTTGGAGTAGCAAAAACCCCACACTAGGATCTAATTGCCAAAGAAACCACTCGCGTCTTGTTACCTTGCCACGAATGTGGTAGGCGTTGCCGTGGCCCTGGTCAAAGTCGGTGTAGAACATTGTCTGGGTGCCGGCAGGTCGCTCGGGAACATAGGAGCGAATGCATCCCAGATCTGGGGGGCGATTCGTCACCGACACGGCAGCCACCGTCGATCGCAGCAATGGTAGGTGTCGGTGGTGCATATGGAATGGTGCGTATGGATGGTGTGTCAGTAACACCGATGGATCGGTACATGCAAAAGAGCGTCCGCGTGAATGGCGCTCAAGCCGTAGGTCCCAAGGCAGCGCACATCCAGCGTCGACCAAGGCTCGCCTCCGGGCGGCCGAACCGAGCATTTCGCAGACGCCATCCTCTAGTTACCGCTTGGGTCCTCACGACCAGAAGAGGGCTTTTCGCCAGGTGCCGTTGGCGGGAATGGAACGGGGCAGTGGGGGTCGACCCAAAATCGTCGGTCGCTCAGCTCGAGATGCTTGCTGCCAAAGAACTCGTACGTCCAGCCCGGAGCAAACAGGGCCGTTGACGTTTTGGCCTTGGAAATGACGCGCAGAGCCTGGACAGAGTCCAACAGGCCGAAGGAGTCCAGAGGGGCAAAACAGCGAGAGGAGGGATGTCAGTCTTATCGAAGGGCACTCGAGCGTATAAAGACACGGAGAGACAGCACGAGGCCAAACGCATCAAAGGCCACGCCGAACAACATTCGAGACGTAAAGCTGACCTTGTGGCTGTTGTGGCCGCCGCCTCCGAAGGTGTTGCGTCCCCAGACGTCGATCCCCGTAAAGACATCGCGCTTGCGGTTGCCGGCTGCCGCAGCACTAAGGCTTGGGAAGTTGCTCCGCCAGGTGTAGTTGATGAAGATGCCGTCGGTGACATCGAAAAAGATCTGGTTGGCCGGGCTCAGGCGGTCCTGCCAGCGAATCTCGCCCGTTAGGACCAGCGAGTCGTACCTGAGCCAGGCCGGTGGGAGAAAGTGAGGTGGAGGACATGGACATGTAGTCCGGCTTATGCTCGTGGATGAGCCATCATCGCCCGAGGTGCCAACGCAGCACACTAGGCGATCCTAGAAATCACACAGTCAATCACACAGTCAATCACACAATCACACAATCGCACACCACAGCCCAAGTCCACGAGGGGCTCTCTCGAGCCAACCCTACCAAATCAGCAGCGATCCAGGAATGGTCTCGTGGAGTCGCATCTTCAGGTACGACAGAAAGTGGGCCAGGGCATACGCCCGTCTGGGATGGCCCAGAGGAGCCTCGATGTTGATGAACCAGCCATCAAACTTGTAGAACTGGGCGATCTCGACTGAGGACATGCATTTTAGTTATTTTTTATCGATCAGGGCAAGCATGCAGACGACGCCTCCGCCAGCCCGATCAACCGTCTGTCAGTATATCCCGAACGGCTCAGCAGCACGACGTTGCCTCCTCCCCCCCCCCGCCGCATAAGTCGCCTTACCAAGTTTGTCGGCAAAGAACGGAGAAAACGCTTCTTCGTCAGTGATGCCTTCGATGTAATCCGGGCCATAGATGAGCTTGAGGTTCTCAGAGACTCCGGGCTCCCACTCTGTAATCAGCGTTGCCTGTGTTCCGTTCCGTCGGTGGAGACGACACGGCATAGGTGAGGGTAAGCGGCTGAATGGGAGGATGCGTATATCAATACCACGCACGCTCTGCTCACCAGCATCTTGACGCCGTTCCGATGGGCGGCATTGGTCCAGTTGACAGGCGGGACGGCGCCACGGGCATGGCTAAAATCTGTTTGGCAAGGGTCGGCTGATGAGCCCCGTTCTTCAGCAAGGTCCTAGTCCCTGCGCTGGATCACGAAGCAGGCATCGCATGCATGGTGCTGCTCGGTGTGGTTGGCCTACACAGCCGAGGATTCCGCCACTTGTTGTCGCCGGCCGTTTCATCGTCTCTATCGGCCGGCCCGCTCGCTCTCTCGGCCGTTCCTGTCTGCTCGTTCCAGGAATGCATGAGACATTGGAGACAGCGGACGGCTTACAGATGAAGATGTCTACAAACTGCCAGTACTGGAATGAGTAGAGATTGTCATGGTTCTGGAGACCCTGGATATACTTGTCCTCGCGGTAGCCTGCAGAAGGGTGATCGGTAGGGAGGTGGCTGTTGGGTGAGCCTGACGCCATGTCCGGCCAAGCTGCAGACGGACAGGATATGGGAGACTCGTGGTGCAGTCGGCGACGCTACGCCGCACCAGGCTGGGCCAGACCAGCATCTTACCGCCGGCCATGTCGTGGCAAAAGATTATCTGCCCGGGCGACTCGTGGTCTCCCTGGCCAGAGGCACTGGCTCGTGGGCGCCATGCGATGCCGGCGACGTTGTGCAGGTCCTTGTCTGTAGGATGCCAGTTCGCAATATCGTCCATCGAGGCCAGGGGCGCCGAGCACGGGCAGCTGTCTGTGGACGTCATCGTTGGTGGCTGGATGGCTGGATGGCTTGAGGGGCGAGATGCAGCAGCGAACAGGAGAGGGAAGCCAGCCGCGGATGGATTGGCTTTCGCTTTGGCCAGGGCGGCGCCCCCTGGGCCACGCCACCGCAGGGCTTGGGAAGGGCTCTCGTCTCTCGCCTCACACTGCTGGCCTTGTCTGGCGGTGTCTCGAATATATTAGCGGAGGGCCAAAAAGAGACGGGAGCGCAGGGATCACGCAGGCATGAGCTGTGCAGGCACGATTATTCTCTGGTCTGCTCGAGACCCGGTCGCTCAAGCTCAACCACGAGCGGGCTTGTTGGAGATCTTTCGGACACGTCTGCGACGCTTCTTGCCAAAGCTGTCGATGAGGGGGGCATGAACGGGAGAGTAAGGGCCAATTCAGATCCGCTAAAGCGTGATCCGTGCGCTCTCCCTGCATGTCGCCATGTGCTCCCAGTGACCCATACCTTCCGGCAGCCGACATGGTTCGGCCAATGTTGTCGGGCTTCTTGACTTGATAGATACTGATCGCCGCAACCACAGACAACGAGAGACAACCAGAGACAACCAGAGTCAGCGACAGACGGCTCCCGAGTGGGCAGTACGTCCCGCACACAGTCCGAATCGAGCCGGCTTGCAAGGAGCCCGGTCGAGGCAGTGATGGTGCTCGCCAGCTCGGTTGGACAGCGGCTGCTTACCGGACAATCAGATTCTCGGAGCTGTAGGCTTCGTCCACGACGTTCAGCTTGATGGGCTTGCGCGGGACCGGCTGGTTGCGGACGCGATCGTAGGGCTGCTGGCCGCCGTAGAGCTCGTGGAATCGATAGTACGACAGCTTGTACATCAGGCTGTTCTTCATGGTGGGGGTGGCGCTATCGTCGACACGGTACTCGCCGCGCTCGGTGAAGAAGTTGCGCTCGGTGATGTCGTTGGGGTAGACGCCCTCGCCGATGCGGATCATCCACAGGAACTTGTTGATGTCGTCGCCAGAGTAGCCCAGCAGACCGCCAAAGATCACCAGCACGTAGTCCACGTCGTGCTTCAGCATGACGTCGTAGGCGACATCCTCGCTCGTCGACATGGCCTTGCCGACCGTGGCAATGTGGGTATTGTTCCAGGTGTTGTTGTCGACCAGGACGGTGCGGTTGGCCATGCCGGTGATCTGGTAGCCGTAGTCCCACCAGGACATGATCTTGGCATCGGCGGGGGTGTTCTCGCGAAGCCAGTAATAGGCCTCACGGAAATCATCGATGATAAGCTGCGAGCCATCGGCACGGCGCGAGGCCAGCACGATCGACGGAGACGAGTAGGCACTCTGGGTAACCCAGGTGCAGTGCCAGACAAAGAGGATCAAAAGACCAGTGATGGCCAGGACAACGGGCAGGTTGCTCGAAAAGGCCAGATAGGATGTGGCGGAACGCTTTTCCTTTTCTTTCTTGTCCTTGGCGTCCTTGGTGTCCTTCTTGTCCTGGGTGTCCTTCTTCTCGGCGGGGGTGGCGGCAGCGGCAGCCGGCTCATCGCCGTTCAATCGCAAGTGGCCTTCAAGCAGGGTCGACACGGCGATGGCAGCAGCAATGCAGACGACGGGAGTGAGCGTGAGCATCAGACGAACCATGACACCGGCAAAGTACGAGGCCGTCAGAGCGTAAATGATCACAAAGACGTGCTCCTCGCGCAGCTCCTTGAAGCAGAAGAAGATGCCGGCAGGGAAGAGAACAATCAGAATGTGGAGATCAAAGAAGAAGGAGGTCCAGGCGGTGGGCTGATGCTCCGAGACGGAGGCGATGATGGGGATGTGGATCTTGGCGTAGCCCGTGTCCCAGAGAGAGTAGAAGCGGCCGGTCCAAGGGGCAACGAAGCCGCTGAGGGTCAGGGCAACCAGGGCGGCGACTCCAACGACGAAGCAGATGCCGACAAAGATGTACAGGAGCCGCTTGAACTGTGCAGACGAGACCTGGCTACGGAGCAACTCCACAAAGGCAACGAGCTGCAAGAGACCAAAGATGCCTTTGTGTGCAGTCGGGCAAGATCAGAAGCGGAGGGCAAGATCAGAGGTGGAGGGCAAGATCAGAGGCGGAGGGCAGGATCAGAGGCGGAGGGCAGCATTGAGTCAGCGTCATGATCTGTGATCCAGCAACAGCCAGCACGAAGCGACGCGGCGATCTAACGCTAGCTCCAGCGGCAGCGGCAGAAACTCTTACCCAAAGCAGCCATATGCTCGGAGGTGCGAGTGGGCTGGAAGCCGACAAAGGGAATCTGCATCGACGAGAGCGTGCCGATCACATAGAAGGTCGAGTAGGCCACATACAGGCGGGTGGAGAAACGACCCATCAAGATCAGAGCAAAGGCGTGGAGAGGGATCAGGTTGATGATGAAGACGTAGCCACCCCAGGCGGACACCATGTAAAAGTAGAACAGGGCCGTCAGAGTGCCGTAGAGCGCCGAGCCGGTCTTCAAGGCCTTGATCCACAGGAAGAAGGTGAACATGAGCAGGAAGATGGCAATGCCTTCGTTGTCGTAGCTGCCGGCAACAGAGCGCGAGATGTAGCCGGGGGCGATGCCGATAAAGAGCGCGGCAAGGAGGCCGGCCGAGGTGTCCTTGATCTCGGAGGTGAGGCAGTAGGTGGCAAAGGCGGTGAAGGCCGAGAAGAGGGGAGCCAGGAACACACAAACGTTGCGGATATCGATCGGGAAGTTGAAGAAGTTGAGGATGCCGTGGATCAGGCCCGAGGTGACCATGATGCCGGGGTACACTGTACCGCCGACAACACGTCCCAGAGGATACCAGGAGAGCTGATCAAACCTGGGGCGAGCCAAATTGGCAGCCACATTGGCAGCAGAAACGATGTGGGCTGTCAGATGCCGTTGGAGGGGCCAACCAGCACGATCGCTGCCACGGCGATGAGCAGACATGCGGCGCCTACCAGTTCAGAAAGTCGTAGAATCCATTCTCGACGAGCTGCTGAGTGGTGCGGTAGTTGAACCAGGGATCGAACTCGTGGATGACACTCTCTGGTTCACGGAGCGCGGACAACAGCCCAATGAATGATCTGGGGGGTCAGCCGCGGCGATCGTCGTTGGTGGTGGACAAGCGCTGCCGCCTTTCTCTCCGCGGAACGGATGTCGTAGCATCTGTGAATAATGATCGAGACTCACCAAATCGAATGATCGAGAAGAGACGGGTCGAGAAGGCCATGATGCCAATCAGGGCCAGAATGACCACGCGGAGCCATGCTGACTCTGGAGGAGGTGAGAGCACGATTGAGCCGTTGGTTAGGCGACATCCATGAGCACAGTGCAATCAACCGCCGCGTAGTGGGTCTCGGTTGTACCCAGCAGTAACTTATCAACGCGATGTGCGATCGGATGGGCGAGGCCGGATGGCTACACGCCCCGAGCGAGTATCTGCTGGGGTGGGGGCTGGTTGGCATCGCCGTAACAGCTCTGGACGTACCCGAGGAAGTCGACAAACCAAGCATGGTGGGAAGACGTCACAGGCCGCGGAGCTGGGCAAAGTGCAGCGACGGGGCGTGGGGGGGGGCGACGGGACGGGTTTGCTGGAGTCGACCGGCAGGATGAGGGCCGTGCTGACGAGGGAAGAAGGGCGGGGGCTGGTCAGGCCAGCAGCGAGATGGCGAAAGATCCTGGAGATTCTGCGAGCAGCGGACAGAAGGCGCTGGCTCGAATGCGGCGCGGCTGGAACCGGTTTTTCTGCACAAACACAACCCAAAGGGCAGCCGATCGAGTTTGTCTCCAACCGACACCGACCTGCCTGCCTGCCTGCCTGCCCGCCTGCCTGCCTGCCCGCCTGCCTGCCTGTTTGCCTGTTTGCTTGCCTGCCGCAATGAGAGCGCTTGCCTGCCCGGCCCGGTGGTCTGCGAGACAGCATCGGCACATTCCGCTGTGTGTGCTGCCGCCACGATCGACCCTGCATCCCGTGTGGGGCGCCTCGGTGCGGTGGTCCTCGCCCAACACCGCCTTGCAGCTGGATCGCCGGTTCAGCCACTCGCTCATCAAGTCTGCCGAGCACGATGCATTTGTGGAGCACCTGAAACGCCAGTGCCCCTCCAAGCCTGCTCGGATTTTCATTATCGGTACGAGCGAGCACCCGGCCCTCTCTATCGGCAAAGCTGTCTCCCACACTTGCGATGATCGTAGTTATCCGATCGCACTGCGATTCCGACTCACTTTGGCAACTGACTGCACCGACAGGGCTGGTGGGCATGTTCTTCAAGCTGTCGCTGAAGCTCTTCTTTAACGTCAAGACCTTCCACAAGGAGCGGCTCATTGATATGGTCAGCAATCGCGGCGAGCGGCCCCTCATCACCGTCGCCAACCACTCCTCCACCATGGACGACCCGATGCTGTTTTCGATCCTGCCGACCTCGGTGCTGCTCGGCGACCCGGACAAGATGCGGTGGTCGTTCGGAGCCAAGGAAGTTGTCTTTATCAACGAGTACGTTTCCCGATGCGGCAGGGAGAGGGGCGGATGCCGGACCACAAGCAACTTACTTGGCCTCGGTCTGAGACTGCGGATGGGACATGATCGTGGCAACATGGCAGTCCCGGTGCCAGCAAACCGATGCTGCGAATCATCGGGATCGCTCGGAATGCGCTCGCTCGAAGCATCTACGGGCGCTGTGCTATCTTCCAATATCGGGTGCTGCGCTTTCTTTCAATATCGGGCGCTGTCTGTCGCTGTCAAGCTGCTTGGCATTCGATCTGTCCAAAGGCGCCAGTCGGATAGATGGGCAGTTGGACAGATGCACACATGGATGGTGACGGCCGTTCGTGTATCTGCATCTGCAGCGATTGTATGCATGCCGACTCACCCGATGTCCGTTTCCGCACTTAGTCTGATAGGCAAGTTCTTCTTTGCTGGGAACGTCTACCCCATTGTCCGCGGGAACGGCATCTTCCAGCCCGCCATGGATATCGCGGTCGACAAGGTCCAGAACAACCAATGGGTGAGTCTCACTGGATGCGTATGCGGCCTCACTGGATGCGTATGCTGCCTTTCTGAATTGCATATCTTGGGTGCATGAGCGTCGGTGCCTTCTGTGCAGCCGTCTGACTGAATCGTGCTGGCTGTGAATGGCAGGTCCATCTCTTCTCGGAAGGTAACGCAGATGAGCGCCATCGATCAGTCCGAGTAGAGCGGTTTCGATTTGGAGCGAAGGGATTTGCGCATCTTGCTGTGACCCCGATCGAACGGAGCCAGGTCTAGCTCTGACGGAGCGACAACCAAATCTACCTTGACAGCGCGCATCAACCAGGAAGATGAAATGGACCGGTTCAAGTGGGGGGTCGCCCGGCTGATCATGGAGAGCAAGACGCCGCCGGTTGTAGTCCCGTTTTGGCACAAGGTGAGTATCCCCTATTGTCCTGCACTCGTGCATCCGGCAGTTTTACGCCCTGCCGAGTTGCGCATTTGCAGGTATATTGACGGGCAAATCATCCACATTCCGAAGAGCTAACTCATTCTTATCTGGTCTCAGGGTGAGTAGTGCTCGTGACAGACAGGGTGTGCTGTTGCTCGGCCTCGAACCGGTGAATGGAGTTGCCTGCAGCACTCTACGCGCACAGCGGCGGAACAGCGCGACTCGACGGTGTTTCCGAGACACAGATCCAAGCTCGGTATCGCCATGCTCTGTTGACCTCGTATGCCGCATATCTGATTCTGCCAGGCATGGTCAAGGTGATGCCAGAAAGCAGTCGCATTCGCCTTCCGCGGCCGTTCAAAACCCTGGTGCTGGCATATGGCGAGCCGATCGACTTTAAGGATCTCCTTCCAAAGCTGCAAGGAAAGGACCTTGCCGAGACTCGCTCCAACATCACCGAGTACATCCGCTCCAAGATGATCGAACTTCAGCGCCAGACCGAACTCCAAATGAAGCGGGACAACATCCAGGCGTGATGTCGTGGAGCCGCACGGGCTTTCCAGCATGCGCGTCTTGGATGCAGGGGCTGTCCGCGCGGTCAGCTATCTATGTATGAAACTAAAGGGCAGGCGCTGTGGCATCTGTGGATGCAGGACAGCGGCCTTTGGGGCTCAACTTCCAGCCCTCACCACTGCGGCAGATTTTTCCAGGATAGAACCAAGGTTGTGTTGCACCTGCCCTCCCCACCCCTCTCCTCCTCCTTTCCTACTTTGAGCCATATTTGCTCGCCCCTATCCATTTATTGCCCTTGCATGTCACTTTTCCCTTCACTATCGGCAGAGCTGTATGAAGTAAACTGTTTGAAATCTCCAACATTCAGTCCGGTGGCTATGTATCTGGGAACGCAGGGAACTCGGTGAAGATGAGGTCGAATGTAGGCACGGATGGAAGGTGCTCGATGGGCTTGGGATTGTATCTGCACGAGGCGACCGAGAATCAATCGGGTCTTGGCGTGAGCGTCTATCGCAATGCTCAGGCGTCTGCAAAGCCCAAGATTCGACGACACCCGACAATCAACAGAGCCCGGCAATCGCCGTTGGCCAAGTATTCGTACCTGAATCCGGAATCCACTGAGTTCCATGGGACCTCGGACGGCCTACCGGCTTCCTTGGTGGCTCTGGGTGCACATCGATGACGAGGCAAGCGGCGTTAACAACAGCCGCAGGTGATCAAGCAGTATCTGAGTCGGCCCATCCCAGGACCAGGACCAGGACCAGGACTGGAGGCGAGCGAGACTCACCCGAGACGGCTGTCACTTTCCTCAAGATAGTTCAGGGCAAGACACATTTCGATGCAGCACTTTCTCAGCCGCTCCGTGGCGTCCTGCACCGTCGACATGCTTTCAAGCGAAAGCAGCCCTTTGGCGCAGAGCGAGTACTCTGGATCGGTTTCTGTGTATCCTGTTGATGGAGTCCTCGACTGGCTGAGATCTGCATATGGGTTCTATGGGGCGTGCATTGGACGTGTCAGACTGATGGATAGCGCACGATGAATCTCTGTCCAGACATCATCGCCGACGTCTTGCTTAGGTTGCACTCACCCAGCTCGAAATTGGCCCAGGTGGGCGCTTCTTGAAGAGCTCGGGAATCGTCTCGGTCGACAGATCCGTCCGGTTTGGAGAGCTCCTCTCTGTCATGCACAAACGCAACACCGCCTCAGCAAATAATCGAGTAAGCGCAATCAGTCCAAGGCTGACACGACATGGATGCGCACCAGTCGTGTCGAGGGCTCGCAGGGAGCGGCTTGGGATCGGAGCGGAGAACAGGTTGGGGTTGGGTCTCTCGATTGGCTTGTAGCCGTGCTGAATCTCATACGGGATCGTCTGCCAATGCAAGGCGGTTTGTCAGAGCTCATACAGTTGATGGCAATGCGCTAGTGTCTCACGCCAGTGCCAGCCAGGCGAGGTGATGCCATGACAGCCTACCACAGGCGTAAGTTTGGCCGGGCTCAGGAGATTTACATGCTTGATCGCATCGACGGCATTGATGGGCGACTCGGTCTTGAATCGGAGCCGCCAGAACAAGCATCCATCCATAGTCAGTCACAACAGCGACGACCAAGAATCAAGCCCATTCCAAGCACAGCAATGGCCTTTTGTCAGTGCTATCCAAAGCCCATAGACAGCAAAGCAGCGACGGATGTTACCAGGAAACAAGGTCTTCGGGATACTTTTGGCGGCGCAGTTCGTGGTCTTGCTCCCATGGCCAGACACTCGTCGAGGATGTGGCTCACGCACTCGACATTGAGCGGCTTTGATCGTGTCGTCAGGCTCTTGGGATCGTCGAGATCTTTCGAATCGGCGCTCGGTCAGATTGCCTGTGCGCTCGACTTGCTCCGCCTGAATCGGCGGTGCCCTTGTATGCAGCCCAGATCGCTGTATGCAGCCTAGATCGCTGAATGCAGCTCAAATCGCTGTGTGTAGCTCAGATGGCCGCCACTTACCAGTCTCAAATAAGCGCTTCAACTTGGCAAGGCGTCTATCTGCCCGTTTCCGTATGATGACGGTGCAGACCGCCTGGTAGAATAAATTCTCGACCCGTTGCTGGATCGCACATGCCGGAATGAACCGTGATGATGAATGACATGGGCGCTGCTCTGTCGCCGTTCATACACATACGATGCACATGCACATGTCTGGGCTGGATACGGACCTGGTTCTGCCACTCCCCGTCGTCTCGCCGCGAGAGATGATGCAGCGATAGCGACTGTTCATTGACGATGACGACCCGGGTGTTGTTGAACACTGTCGCGGCGCTCGGAACGACACGGAGGTTGTCTTCGAGGCACTCAACGACAACGTTGTCGTCTGCGCAAACAAATCACAAACAGACATCAGCCCGTGCATGCGAGCGACACAATCAGGCGCCAAGGCCGATCGCTACCTTCGACAATCGGCACCGAGACGCTCGAGGCCCCTTCTCCAAGGCACACAAAGCGGCGCAGCTCCTTTGATTTTTCAAGCTCTTTCTGCAAGGAATGAACCAGGGCGGAGGGATGGATTGGGATGTAAGTAATATGAAACTGCGTTCCGAAACGATTCTTGTGTGTTGTAATTGGTGGTGCTTGACGATACAGAATTCCAAGCAGTCGCCCATACCCGGTTCTGCACATCCATGGCAAACAGGTCGCGCTCCTTGACTGAGACCCGAGGTATAGCGGATCATGAATTGCCAACGCAGCGAAGACATTATGTGCCAGCAACCATCGCAGAGTCGCATTGGGTTTGCCGACCGTTTGGACAGCAGTGGCGGGACAAGAGCAGCAGCAGCAGCAGCAGCAGCACAGCTCAAGCGGCAAACCTGGACTGGACTCGGCCGTTTTCTTGGTCTTAGTTGAAGGACGACGCCGCTTGCCTCCCCTTCTTCGCCCATGCTTCCGTTCGGAGGCAGTGGAATGTGTTGCCTCCATGGGAGCGGTCGGCGTTTCCTCGCTCTCGGTGTCGTGCCTATTGTGAGGTGAGGTTGCCGCCAAGAAATTGTTTAGATACCATGAAGAGAAATCGGTCAAGAACACTGCGCCGATTCAAACGCTGTGCCCTGAGTCTCGGATGTATGGCGATACTGACGCTTTCAGCAAGTCCGGGAGCAGCAATTGGGTCGTGCCGATCAACCGGCAGCAATGTGGTTGTGCGGCCAGCTGAGAAGTCATGAGTCCCAGGCGAGCCGTTGTCTTGCGCAAGTTTGTTGGACTGAACTGGATAGTAACAGGTGTTTCGGAGCCAACGTGAACGGTTCCTGGAAGTACCAAAGGGCTCAGAAACCGCTCAAGGACAAGTGCGACTGATGCCCATGTGCCGAGAGCCAGGACAGAGTTGGTACCTTTCCGCGGCCAAACGGTGAAGGGATTGGGCTCGGGAGCGTCCTCAAAATAGAACTCATAGTCGAATTCGACCGGGATTTGCGACCGGAGCATGATGATCTGCTTCGCTGCTTCGCCAATGGGGCAAGGATCAAACCGGATCTGCTTGGGAATGATGTTGCGGATGGCTGGGTAACCTGCTCATCCGCAGAGATGCATGCACAGATCAGATACTTGGGGGCTTCCCTCAGCTCGAGTCTATCCATACGATCTGCGGCGCTCGCTTCGGTGAGTGAAGCCTTGAGTGAAGTCTTGAGTGCAGACCAGCTACGAACCGTGCAGCGAAACCTGCGAGCATCGCGATACGGCTGTGGTTAGTTGCGGGTCGGTCATTCCTCCAGCAGCAGCAGCAGCGGTCCCTGAGACACGCGTACCTGGTAAGCGTCCCCAGCCGAGGAGTAAATGGTAACGACGTCATGGTAATATATCCATTCCGGAGGATTGAAGATCACATCCAGCTCCTCCGAGTCGCCGGGGATCAGATCGCCCTTCTTCTTGAGATGCAGCTTGAACACGGGCGAAGCCACGACCGAAATCAGAACGCGCAGCTTGGACTTTGACACATTCTGGATGGTAATTGTCTGCAGGTGGCTTGTGTTGAGGCTCGGGCATGGGAAATGGACGATCTGGGGGGTGATGCGGATGCTGGGCCGAGTGTGCATGTGGGGCTGGGAGGAGATGCAGTTCAAGTAGCCCTGAAAGCCAGTGGAAGCTCTGAATGCCTCTGATGCGGTGACCGAAGAAGCGACAGACCTGCCGAAAGGGCGTGAGCGGGCTGCAGCGGATTACGGAGCACGGCCTGGAGCGAACAGGCGCAATCCCACCCGGGCGACAGCCGGGCAATACGAGGTGTGTGGGAACAGCGCGGCCACACAAACTCTGGGCGAAAGCGGCGGAATCACAGGGGCAGCCAATGTGAAACGGCCGCGAGCCCAGCGCCGGCATGGCATCCGCATGACCGGCGGGGAGCGTGGGAGGAATGTGAAAGCGAGGGCGTTGGCCTGGGTTGGTGGAGGGCGATGCCGATCACGGATGCTGGTGGGTGATGGCCGGCTCTGACGATCGGGAGAGGCAGAGGATGATTGGCGAGATCGAGAGGGAGACCGAGAGGGAGATCGAGACGCATTCCAGCAGAGGGGCTTGTGGCGACCAAAGAAAACTTTGACAATGCTTTCGGCCATCCGCAATGGGACCGGCTGTTGACCATCGTGGTTGGAAGCCGTGGTTGGCAATCGTTGTTGGCAATCGTTGTTGGCTCGCACGTGAAGTGCAGAATCTGCTTTTCCTTTGTTCCGACGCTGTCCGCACATGCAAGTGGCCGGGGCTGCAAACACCGCCCGGCCGTCACGTTGGTTGTCGGCAGGTATAAAAGCGTCGCCGGCCCCCGCTGCCCAGAGACCTCCTCCATCCAAAGCCTCTGCCAACGATCGCACTCGCCCGTCTGCCTCTTCGTCGCCATCTGCTCCCACAATGTCTGCCGACTCTGCCTTCCGCCGCACCAACGTCCTGGCCAGCCATCTGTCCACTGGCGGCAAGCCCGTTCCTGCCGGTAATTCATGTCCTGCATCTGCCAAGAGCATTGCACCCGGACAAGCGACAACCTGGGGCCACCGATGTCCGTGTCCTGCTTTGCAACAACAATCGCTGATTCCTCTGTTCTTACACCGCCTCCCTCCTCGATCGGCATCCAGCCCATGCCGCCAAGAGCCCTGACGACGTCGTAATCTGCGCGTGAGTGGGCGATGGTTGCAATGTCGTTCGGATTTGTTGGCCCTGCCATCCCCGCCCGATGAACGCTGCCCCCTCGATTCATGTGCATGATATTGGTGGCTTCAGCGCCAAGTTGTCTCTGGCATCCTGAGCGATAAACGCGCTGACCGCCATCTGCATCGTCGCCATCTGCATCGTCGCCATCTGCATCGTCGCCATCCGCATCGTCGCCATCACCAGTGCATACCGAAGTGCCCTCACCAAGGGCGGCAAGGGTGCCTTCAGAGAAACCCATCCCGAATACATCATGGCCAGTGTCCTCAAGGTAAAGCTCAACGCCCCACCGAGCTCAAGGTGTTCAGGCCAACCCCGTCCTGGCTGCATTCATAGTCGCCACTCACCTTCCTAACCGTTCTTGTGCTCCTCTGTCGTCCACCAGGCCCTGCGGGAAAAGTCCAAAATCGACCCCTCTCTGGTCGAGGATATCCAGATCGGCAATGTCCTGATGCCCGGTGCCGGCGTCACCACCGCCCGAATGGCTGCTCTCTATGCGGGGTGAGTACTGAGCCATGCGATTGCAAGTCCCAGTAATGGTTCACAACGCTATCTTTGCCGATCCGATTCGCTCGGCAGTTCGAGAGCACTGCGCCGTGCACCGATGGTTCCGCCACAGGAGTCACTCGGCCCATTTGAGTCTAACCAGCAGCGTCTCTCCAGCTTCCCCGACAAGTGCGCCATTGCTGCCGTTAACCGACAGTGCTCCAGTGGCCTGACGACCTGCGCCAACGTCGCTGCTGCCATCAAGGCGGGCTACATCGACATCGGCATTGGTATGTATCCGGCGGCCAGCACCCACCCGGCCGGCGATTTGGTATCATATCCTTTGATCTGTTCGCTGATTCATTCGTCTCGATCCCACGCGCAGGCGCTGGTGTCGAGTCCATGACCATGTATTATGGCCCTGGCGCGATGCCCTCGGATCTCTCGCCCACCATGACGGATAAGCAAGAGATTGCCGACGTGTAGGTGTTGCATCTCGAGCTGCGCTGTTTGCTGCTGGTCGCGGCTGTTGCATTCCCGATTGCTACTGACGCTTGCTCGCTCTGCCCGATAGCATGACCCCGATGGGTATCACTTCGGAGAACGTCGCCGAGCAGTTCAAGGTCACCCGTGTCGAGCAGGATGCCTTTGCTCTGCGCTCCCACACCTTGGCTGCCAACGCCCAGAAGCAAGGCCTCTTCAACGACGAGATCGTCCCCGTTACCCTGCCCGACGGCACTGTCGTCACCAAGGACGATGGCATCCGTGCCACCACCGCCGAGACCCTGGCCAAGCTCCGCCCTGCCTTCAAGCCCAACGGCTCGTCGACCGCCGGAAACTCGTCCCAGGTCACCGATGGTGCTGCTGCCGGTAAGGAGGCACTAGATGCTTGCTCGCTGCTTTGATGCGGCTGCCAACGCCGCTGAAAGGACAGTCCAGCGCACATGCTGATCGCACTCTTCCGTCGTTTCCCTCGTCTGTCCGCGGATCAGTTCTCCTCGCCCGTCGCAGTGCTGCTGAGCGCCTAGGTCTGCCCATTCTCGGTCGCTGGCTGGGCTTTTCTGTTGTCGGTGTCCCTGTGAAGATCATGGGCATCGGACCCGAGAAGGCCATCCCCGCCGTCCTCAAGCAGGTTGGACTTTCGATCAGCGATATTGACGTCTACGAGATCAACGAAGCATTTGCCTCTCAGGCCGTGTACTGTGTCAAGAAGCTCGGCATTCCTGTCGAAAAGGTCAACCCCAAAGGCGGTGCCATTGCCTTTGGTCACCCCATGGGTGCTACGGGTGCTCGCCAGGTCGCCACGCTGATGCCCGAGCTCAAGAGACAAAAGGCCAAGTACGGCCTGGTCTCGATGTGCGTCGGCATTGGCATGGGTGCCGCTGCCGTCATCGAGAATGAGCAATAAGCACCGCGTCCAACTACAAGGGGAGGGGAGCTTCAGGAGCCGTGGAAAGCCTCTCCTCCACTGGGCCGATCGGGGCACTCTGCCTTCCAACAGACTCTCCCTGTAGCCGACCAGGGCATGTGTCCCACCAACTCTTCACAACCAAGCGCCCTTGAGAGCACTCAATACATCATAGGTAATCAAAACGCAATGACAGAGCACCGTGCATCCAGCGCGTGAGAGTGTATGGGTGCCTGGGAAGCGGATTCGGCAGCGCTTCCAAATGAAGTACGAAAGCTCTGCTGTGTGCGGTTGGTGCGGGACAATTGCATTTGTATTGAATGGGTTCGTGAGCAACATGGCTCAGCGACAAGCCCGAGGGCGGTATCAGTCACTCTTCCGTGAACAAATGCATCCGCAGGAGACAGCGCTCGGTCAGCGACGCAGGGACATGCATTTGTAGCGGAACGTTGACAATATCTATGGCAAGATTGCGATCCTGCCCTGAGCCACCGGCGGCTACAGTATTCCGTCCCATCCAAACACCTCCACGAGCCTCGGACAGTGGTTGTGGAAGAGCGTGCCCAGGACAGACTCGCTCGGCAGAAGGGTATCGTTTTCGAAGCCCTTATGCCACCAATGAACGCCGATCGAGTTGTGGTGAATGGCTTCCATGTGGCGGCAGTGCTGTGCGGCGGGCTGGATGAACAGCCTTGAGTCGGACCAGTGCACCGGATAGAAGCTCTGGTTCCGGGTGATGACCAGGCCATGGCAGCTGGGATCGACTCCGGGAGGATACTGGCCGTCCCAGGTCGTCAGCGGATCGGAGGCATTCTGGGCAGCGAGGCACTGCTGGCGGAAAGTTCGGGTGACGGCATAAGGCCCATTTTCGGCCCTGGCATGTGAACAGCATCGTGTGAATTCGAGACCGACTACGGACCGCCTCAGCCTCAGACAGCGACCGCAGCAGTGTTGTAATTGCTCGCTAGACACTCTGTGACTCTAGATGGCACACGGCAGCACACGGCAGCACTCAGTCGTCGATCTGCGGCTGCATCGATATGATCCAACAACAACCCACCAGTTCCAGCCGTTGAACCGGTTGATAAACTCCTCAATCATGTGGGCAACGAACGGGTCTTTTGGCGGAAACGCCATGACAGCGTTGTTGATGAGAGACTCGTCTTCGAGCACTAGCAGCCGATGACCCAGCGGGAAGGGCCGCACCGAGATGATATCCATGTCGAGATAGATGCCGCCATGCCGCCACAGGGCCGCCAGACGGAAGGCGTTGCTGAGGTTCTGGTCGATCCAGTGCGAGAAGGTGTGCCATCGCTGGTTGAACCAACCCTCGAGCGGCGTTCCCTTGAACATGTGCTTGTGATCCAGGCGCTTGATCCACAGCCGCTTGGAAAAGATGGCCGAGCTCCAATAGGTCGATGCGTTGGCCGAGGCGTGGAGCTCAAATGGGTCTGCGGTATAGAGGACGACTTGAACATCGGGGTTGCTTCGGATCGCAGCTTCGAGCGAGCACAGGAACGCCGGATGCGACAGATTGCGGTTGTAGAGGATGAAGTGAAAGAGCGGCGGGATCGGCGCGCGATTCAGTCGTTGTTCGGCGTGGTCGTTTGAGAGGAGATGGCTGATAGGAGCCATGGGTCTGTCCAACCCCGGGCAGACGGGCAGTTCGCCCGCCCCTGGCAGATCCGAATCGACCAGAAGGAGGGCAGGAGACCGGCTGAGGGCTCGGCTGGTGATCAGCAGCATCGTCAAAGCGACGAGGATTGTCGCGTAGAACAGGCCGTCGTATCGTGGGAATGATGGCAGACCAAAGCCCAGGCGACTCAGGCGAATCATTCTGGCGTTGCCGAGTGGCAATGAGCAGCGAGGTTGGATGGATGGGGCGAGCACTGGTGGCGGCATGCTTGATATGGGCGGCCGGGCCTCCGGACCCACATGCGCTGCTCGGCGGCTTCATGAGAGCCCGCCACTTCCGCCGGAGAAGCCATGTCGCCCAGAGGCCGCCAAAAATCCAAAACCATCGGCTCGTTCCGAACCTTGCGGATCGGGGATTCTGCCCGGTTGCCCGCGTGTCCCGGCATCGCCTCCGCACCTCTGCCCTGCCGCACCGATAATGATGATAGTGAATCAGTGCATCTGTGGCATTCAGTGCTGGAATTGGAGCTGCACTGCACGCTCGCATCGCAGAGTCGCGGGATCATGGCAGGTTCTGTTCGGCGCCGGTTTCGATCAGCAACCCCTTGTGCGACAATGGATCCGTATCCGCCCCCGCAGCGAGAGGCGCCTCGCTGGCCGAGAGCCTTCTCGCTGGCTGCGAGCCCAGCCGCGGCGCCGATTGGCCAGGCCCGCACCACGAAAAAACCGATCTGGAGAACGCCGCGGCGCCCTCGTCGTCGCCATCCATCATCTGCAACCTCGACGATCGACGCACCGCAGCATGGACTATCCCGGGGGACGATACTCGAACTACAAGAGGACAAACAACGGCGATGGTCGGTATTGCGGGTCGCCGGCTTGTGCGGTCGAGCGGCGCGCAGACGAGTCCTGCTGCTCTGTTGCTGCTGCTTGGACAAGATCTCGATCTGGATATCTGCTCGGACGTCTCTGGGTGAACGAGGCTCCGATGGCAGAGCCGCGCGGCTCTCCAGAGTGCATCGCTCCACAGCGAGAATATGCGCAGGCGTTTGTGGGTGGCAGCTGATCCATTCATGCCCGACTCAGGCTCGAGACGAGATCGCTTTGGTCCCTATAAGGGCAACCGGCGCTCGCATTACTACACGCCGCCTCCCAAGACCAAGGAGGAGGAGCTGGAAGAGAGACTGACGTCTCTACTCGTCAAAGTTGGCGACAAGGTCGGGCCTGTCGATGCGCACCGTTTCGTCGCATGCATCTGCTCGTCTGTCCTTCTTGTCGGGCTGTTGCGCTGGGCTGACCTTGCATCCGCTGTGCGTCTCGCCTGCCAACGACAACAGGCCCCCCAGACCAAGAGCAACCTCGAGGTGCTGGTGACCGTCCTGGAGAAGGAGTACCATGACAACAAGGAGACGATCCTAAAGGGCCTCAAGCACTGGTGTGTGCCAATGACCCTCGACTGGGCAGACCCCGCCCCTGCCTGCATCCCCATTCGCCGAACACGCCGAGCATCCGCACTAACTGTGGGCTATCCGGGCTGCCTGGATCCAGCATTACCGAGCTTCCGATGAAAACGAGCATCTATGCCACGCTTACGGGCATCGTCAACACCAAGAACTTTGATATTGGCGGCGACATTCTCTCCTGCCTGAGCGATGCCATGGACGAGGCCTTGGCCGGCGGCAACTGGAGATCCGTGAAGTTGCTGGTATGGTTTCCGCGGCTGGGCTCGGATATGCCCTGGCTCGGTGCAAGCAGCATCCACCGCTCTGCGGATCGAACACTTGCACATGGACCTTATCTCGGACCAACCGAGGTGTTGTTTGCGCAGCGTCGCTGACGATCACTCTGCCTTCTCTCGCCTGTGGGCCCTGGTATTCAGCTGCGCTACTTTGCCGAGCTCGTCAATGCCAACGTCGTTCTGCCCGGCAGCCTCATTGCCCTCTACGACGGCTTCCTTCGAGTCATGTCAGAGCCCAACCCTCGTATGGAGCGGGTCGATGCGATTGTGTACATTGTCCTTGCCTCGATCCCCTGGGTCTGTATCGAATCCTGCAGCTCGCCATGTTCTGGCTTGGTAACCTTCAAAGACCGAATGCCACAGCTGCTAACACTGGACTGCTCGGACTGTAGGTTGCTCCCCAGCTGAGCGACCGCGCCAGGGACGACTTTGACAGAGTCCTCCAGACCATCGAGGGCTACGTGTCCCAGCGACCTGCCATCGCTCAGGCTTCCGGCGGCCAAGTCGTGCTTGAAGCTCTCAAGATCAACAGAGGCGCTGTCGCCGACGACCCCTACCCCCAGCTCGATGTGCGTGCGACTCTGCTACGCGAACGACCGCATCTGACCTGACTCAATCTGGCCCATCTGATCCGACCTGATCTGACCCCATCTGACCTGATCTGATCTGATCTGATCTGACTACCGACGCCTCTGCAGTTCCTGGACCTGTTGTGGGCCCAGATCCTTGACCTACGCAAAGATAACTGGGAAACAGGTATCCTGCTGAAACCATATAGCTATTTTGAGGACCTCTTCAACCAGGAGCTGCAGGTGAGGGACGATCATCAATGCAGCCCGAGCACTCTTGCGACTCTGCGCTCTTTGGATGCGATCCAGGGTCTACACTGCCGTGGCTGGGTTCCATTCGATGGCACGCCTTTCAAGGCAACGCATCGGCCGTATCCGCCTTGCTTCTCTATCGCCCAGAGCGTAAATGCTGATTCTTGTCACCGATCGCTCTCGCTGCATTCGCCACGGACTTTGCCCCCCACTTTGACGTGCCGGGCAAAGCATGAACTCCGCGAGTTTTCGCTGCCGCCCGACTCCGAGAGCAGTCGCTTCCCATACCAAGAGCCCAAGTTTTGGATCTTTGACGATTCGCTGATCCCCGAGGGCAAGGTGCACCTCCCTGCGACCGGCACGATTGCACGCTTCATCCTCGACGACATTACCTCGGACATTATTCATCTCTTCCCGCACAACCACCGCGAGTGCGCCAACTACCTGCTTGCGCTGCCAGACTTCCTGAACACCCAGTACATCGAGGAGCACAACTACATTCCGCTCGAGACCACGATCGAGTGTCTGTACTGTGAGCTCGTCAAGCTGCCTCGGAGCCAGGAAAAGTCGGTATACTATGCGATGCTCCTCGGCAACCTGTGTCGAAATGCCAAGGACAAGGCGCCTTCGATTTTTGCACGCGCCTTGAAGATCCTCTATGCCCGGCTCGACTCCCGCGAAGGCGCGCACGCTGGCACCGATGTCGAGAGCATCAAGCGCCTTGGCGAGTGGTTTGCCCACCATCTCAGCAACTTTGGCTTCATCTGGAAGTGGCACGACTGGTAAGCACGCGCCGTCTGGATTTTTGATGAAACAGGCTCTCCAGACGGTCCCCACCTGGCACTGCCTCATCTCCCTGGGTGCGTGCACTGACCCGGCTGTCGACACACTTATAGGGAGCCGGCCATCCAAGACCCTACTTCTGCTCAGTTTGTCTTCATTCGCGAGACCCTGGAGCGCTGCATCCGTCTGTCGTACTATGAGAGAGTCAAGGAAGCCGTCCCCGAGAGCTTCCAGAGCGGCGAGTTTCCGATCTTCCCCTCGGAGGCGCCGGCTCCAGTCTTTGTCTATGAGGATGCCGAGCAATGTGGAGGTAGGCCCGGTCGCATGTTCTGTCGACTGCGCTTCTGCAGAGGGAGAGTTGCTGCCGCTTCGTTGGCCAGCAGCTCTCGTTCAGGGCTGGGCCATTAACGGATATCTGTTGGCCAGACGCCGAGACGTTTGCGTTGGCAACTGAGCTGTTGGCAGCTATGAACAAGAAGAAGCCGATCGAAGAAGTGGAGGCGATTCTCCTGCGAATCTCGCGCCACGGATCAGGCATGTCGATCGATAACGAGAACGCCATGAGCACCGACGACGCCTACACCGATGGCAATGGCGCCCAGCTCGTCCGGGACGTGTTTTTGCAGTGTCTGCTCTCAAACGGATGCAAAAGCTTCAGTCATATTCTCAACATCATCGAGCGGTGAGTTTGGAGCCGTCTACCGGTGACGGTACATTCCCGACCGCAGCCAGACAGTAGGCCGGGCAAAGGAGTGGCAGTAGCAGTAGTAGCAGCAGTAGCAGCAGTAGCAGCAGTGGCAGCAGTGGCAGCAGTGGCAGTGGCAGTGGCAGCAGCAGTAGCAGTGGCAGCAAATACGAGCCGTATTAAGCCTCGCCCTATCCGTGCAGATATCTCGTAGTTTTGCAGAAGCTCAACAGAACGTCCGAGGCCCGCTTGCACAGCACTGCCATCATTGCCAACTTTTGGAGACACAACACCCAGTTCCTCGAGATCGTGCTGGACAAGATGATGAACTACCGCGTGATTGATCCCAGCAGCATCATTTCGTGGGTCCTGAGCGAGGAGGTGCTCGCCGAGCACTACTCGAGGTATGGAGCCTGCCTGGCTGCCTGCAATTCGCACACGCCCCTCTTGTCTGCAGATTCTGCTGCCACAAATACCTGACGTCCTGTTTGCGATCTATCCCTCGACCAGATGGTTTATCTGGACCACCCTCAAGAACATCCTGTCCAAGATCAATCTCAAGTCGGAGCAGATTCAGATCAAGCTCGCGGCTACTCGCAACCGCGACGAATTCTCGACCAACGGTAGGGCAGTCTGGAGCCAACGGGCTGTGTAGGAGAGTTGGCTATTTCTCGAGCTGGATCCATGGTCGTCCTATTGCCGTGGCCGCAGCTGACCAGACTCACCTCGATATCTTGTAGAGGAGTCGCTTCAGCTGGTCCAGACCTTGGAGAACTCGCTGTCGACAACCAATCGTGAGAAGAAGGAGGCATTCATTCTCGTGTTCCAGGTATTTTGCGCCACTTTGGTGTCCGCATGGCGACTGCCTATCGGCCATTCCGATGACAGCACGCGAAACATGGCAATCGTTGACCACGACCACCTCTCTGCAGCGCTTCATCGACCTCATCACTCGATACATCCAGAGCATGGAGTCGCAGGGCATCGTGCCTCAGAACACTATCTGGTGGCGATGGGTTGTCGGCAACTTCCGCGAGGTTGGCCGCAATGTAAGTCACCTCGCTGGTACTCCGGCTAGCCAACTTGTCGATACTTGCATGTACACCAAGTTTCACCCTCCCCATCTACTGACCTCCACTGGCTCTGTCACTCCCAGTTCGAGAAGGACATCTATACTATGCTTGTCACTCTGGACGCCGTCGTGTTTACGGATCACATTGATGCCCGAATCACCCAAATCTGGCGGGAGATCAAGCAAATGTACCAGCGTCGTATTTTGGCCTGATCGCCGCCGAGGGCGCACCGATGCCATCGATGCCTGCCGTACTGCTGAGGGAGGGCTCGTCCCAGCCAAACAAACTGAACGTGTATGCACAACAAGCAATACAGCGTCTCTCCGAAGTAAACGGGACATCCAGTTGTCGGGATTGAGCATGCAGGCTGTGGTCGGGGGGGGGCAGCAGTCATCAATGGGAGATGTAATCTCGTTTGGATCATCGAACTGCAGTGTTTCCACCAGGCACCGCCGCCAAGCTCGTCTTGGGCGATCAAGCGTCATGGTGCAGTCGATGGAGCCACATTGCTCACGACGTGCAGTCGATGCCAGCTCTATTTTGATCTGGCGCCCTCCAGCTGGTCGTTCTTGATACGTATCTCCTGCTCGAGCTTGCGCACGATTTCTTCCAGACGTTTCTGTGCATTCAGGTATTCAAGGAGCGAGTGTTGGCCGTTGTCATGAGCGCAGAGGACACCGGATCATATCAAGACATTCAGCAACAGCCGAGCCGATCGCCTCACTGCAAGGTGCTGTACCTTCATGATTGGATTGACCGTCCTTGATATCTCGAGCTTCTTCTCCGAGAGTTTGGCGTTGAAATCCGACAGCTCCTCCTGGAGCTGAATCACTTGGTGGCGGCGTTGTGATGCCTCGTCTGGAGATGTGGGTAATTCGCAGGATCAGTTTCCACTTGCTCGCTCCTCCGCTCGCCTGTACCGATGCTGCGGCTAAAGCAACCCCCTCTGGGGTTCAATTACCTGGCTCTCCGTCGTCGGACTCGTCGCTATCACCGTCGCTGTCGCTCTGGGAGCTTTCATCGTCATCGTCTTCTTCCTTTTCCTGCTCGTCCAGCTCCATGTCGCCGTCGTCCGCATCCAGTGCCTCGGCAATTATGTCGTCGACATCCTCATCGCTCATATCTCGATCTGCAGGCTCGTGGCCTTCGTCCTGATCGATGTCGCTGCCGTACCCGACGTCAGCCTCGTCCTCGGGGTTTTCAAAGATGTCGGGTGTGGCATCGCAGATCTCTGGAGGGTCCGGTCCCGTATTGATGGTTAGCAGCCAAATTGGCCTGGGACCAGCTCAGCAGCTCGATACCCACCATAATGCACGTCGTCGGCATCGGCATCGGCCTGCAGTAGCCGCTCAACTTCTCTCTCGACTTTTTCAATGGCCTGGAGCATTAGGGAGAGTTAGCTTCGATCGCCAGCACCCCAGGTCTTGATGAGACGCCTCCGAGGCGCCCACAGCCGATCAACACTCACTCGCTTGGATATGCGCTTCCGGAAACGTCGCTTTCGGCAGTTCTTGAGCGGCGGTGTCAGGCCATCGGGCCAGATGTAGTCGTCGTGGTTTAAGGGTGTGTTTCGGATTGTAACTGGGTCGGCCTTCTCGGGGCCGTCAACAACAAGCATCTATGTGGCAGATTGCCGATATTGAATGAAAATCAGCCCGGGTGCCAAGTGCATCATCAACATGAGACATCCCTCTACCACTGGTGCATCCGTGGACAAACCGGACATGGATCGCCGGAGCGGGCCGGTTACCTGACAGATGTCTGCAACTTTGTAGAACTGCTTGCTATCCAGCGTCTTCTGCGACTCGATGATGCATGGCAGATCGACCAGCTTGGCGCTGTATCGGTTGCCTCGATATTGAAGCGTCGTCCGCCGACTGTCTGGCGATCACCGGGATTGGCGGGAGTCAGCCGTAGCGAAAGTAGCAAGGTGGAAGCTGGGCTGTCGACAATCGGTAGATCTACCCCGAGGACGCAAGAGCAGGATCTAGACGCTACCATGGAACCGAAACGATAGGTCGTCCAGGGGCTCGCGGGACCTGACGGCCTCTCGCAGCGCATCGTTGTCGGGACCAGGCGCCATGCGCAGGATGAAATGCTCCTCGATCGGCGGCTCATGTTCCTTCTCCTTTTCCTCGACTCGCTTGAGGTTTTTGAGCTTGATCTTGGTGCTGGACTTTGTCGGAGCCTTGGTCTTGGTGCTCATGGCGTGTTGGGCGGCGGGCGGGATCGGTGAGATGGGGGGGGGAGCAGAGCACGATTCCAGATGCGGTCGCGAGGAGTGACAACCCCGCCTTGGCTGGACTTGTGCTTGGTGGGAGTCGCGGTTGGCTCCATCCGTTGGCTCTGTCGCTGGTTCCATCCGCTGGCTCACGTGATGGGGTATTCATGAGTTGGATCACTCCGCGACCCACGTATCTCCAAGTGGTAAAGTGTAAACTCTACGGCGCTTGCATTCGATCCTCTGGACATCTCTGTGCAAAGCACCGTTTCTCAAGATCAAAGCAGTCGGTCGAGCGAGTCGCTCGTGTGCTCTTGGCCTTGGGCGGCTATGGTGATGATGAAATCGTTCAAGTGACGAGGTGAGCCTGAGTCTCATTGGACTCGATAAGTATTCCTTCCCTTGCTTCCACGAGGCATCCCCAAAAGCAAACACCATGCCCGTCCCCTCCGACACTCGTCGGCAATATCGAGCGATGGGTGTATTCAGCATTCGGGAAAATGGCAACTCTGGCCCCACACAGTGGCCCGTTTCGTATTGGGTGTGCTGTATTTGTCGAACCATCAGGACATCAGTCGTTGTGGCAAGACGAGACCGATGAAAGTGAAACCAACGATGCAATGGGAAGCCCTCCGAGCTTGAATCGACAACCTTCGGTTTGAGCCCTCTTGGTGGAAAAATGGCACCTCAAGGCATCAATCCTTCCAAATCCTTTGAGACAGGCTGGGCACACCCATGGCATATCGACTGTATGCACACATCGGATGTGTCGACCGAGCTCTTGTTTCCGACCAAAGTCCATCAGACAATGGGGGCAAATGAACAACTTCCGGGCTGCAGAACTGAGAACTGGTCCTTTGACGAGTGAATCATGGGTACGGATGGAACGAGCCAACTTTGAGGCCGCATCCTTGGGCGCCAAGGATCGAGGACGAGTCGGCTGCAGTGCCATTTCCCTTTCTGAAGTCAAGAGTGCGGAACAATACTGATCCAGTGGATGCAGATATACCCCGGACATGGAAACACCTTTATGCGCCTCACATGGACAGCCACTTCGGAGCAGTATGGAGGACACTGGCACACCAGATAAAGGGATGGCCGGCGACCCAACACGGAGCCGTGGATGTCCTGAAAATACAGGGGTGCCTTGTGGGGATACTTGTGTGGATCCCCGTGTGAGGTCTTCCTCGGACTCGTTCAGGAGATCCCGGATTCTCATGATTGGATTGGGAACGTGCTGTCGACCAAAGAATTGAACAGCAACAGGTATCAGTCAGTGCTGCACCAAAAATGAGACTCCGGCTCAAGGCGTGCAGGACGACCGCAGTGTCCAATCGAGAGAGGACGATGATAGCCTAGTTCCGCTTCGCTTCGGTTGAAACTTACCGAGAATAACCTTGAGACCTACGGAGATAGGCCAGTGGAAATGTTTTGGAAGGGGTGTTCGAGCGAAGGAGGCGCCGCTATGTGATAGGATGATGGTCCTTCGATTGAGGCTCTGGCACTGCCCAGACTTTGGGGGCCTGTCGAGAGCCTCTCCTGCGCATCCTATTTGAGCCCTCGCCGAACTTGACCCACCTTGCCCGGGCGTCTCGGCGGCATGTCGAGGCGACCAACGCCAGTCCGTCCGGAGCCCGACCAGTATCTCTCTTGGACAGCCCGCTCAATTCCCCCGCCATAGCGAGGTTTGGAGGAGAAACGAGGTACGGATGCATCAGTGGATCGGCCAGAGAGACACTCAGTGTCGGGGGTCACGGCGACAAACGAAGGGCGGCGGTCATGGGCATGGGCCAAGCGGATGAGGTTTCGCCGACTCCCGTTGGTGGCGTCACTTGTCAATGGCTTGGCAATCCTGGGTTGGGACACTGCGGTGGGGACAGACGACTCGGGGCCTGAGTGTTGTGGGCACGTCCCCATGGCAGTTTATCTCGATCTGCTGTCGGACTGTGTGGTGGGCATGAGGGCGACGACCCGTTTCTCCCAAGCTATCCAACGACACTGTTCCCCTATATATTCCTATTTTCTCATATACTGCTCGGGACGTCCGGGCCTTGACAGCAAATGATTCAAAAAGGACTGTGTGATTGGACATGAGCCGCCCACTCCCGCAAATCACCGACACACTGGCAAGACCCAGAGCCCCGCTGACCTTGGGGCTGCTCCTCTTCGCCGCGTATTCCTCGGCTGCGTGTGCCTCAGCCTGTTTTCCCTTGTCTGGCCGCCGCTCCGCCTGCATCCAAGAAACAATGCAACTGAGTGCATCATACGGCTCCAGGCCCTGGTATGAGTCACTGCTGCTGTATCCAAATTACAGTGCGTTCCGATTGGTGCTGGTTTTATCCTGTCCCTCGACCAACCTTGCATCGGCGGACATCGGGGTGGATTGCTTGGGCTCGTTGACAGCGGCCAAGGCGGCGGCTGGGTCAGTCCGCTTGGAGCAATGTGGAAAGACGCACATCCCGGACGGTGTGCGGACTTTGTGGTCTCGCAAGACGGAGGTCTGGCAGCCGAAATGCGGCAGGGCGGGGGTTTGGTGCAGCAAAAATGCCGGGGAACGAAAGGCGCAAAGCCGCCAGGAAATGTGCCGCAAGTCGAGCCGGCGAGCAGCGGCCCTCTCATGGGCGCTGTTTGCATAGATGTGTGCACATGTCGCGCTGAATCATCTGGGACTTTCGCGAGATCCGATTTGTGCGGCTGGGTCTCGGCTCCGGACGTAAATCGCTGTTGTCCCTGTCACGATGCTGACCCTGATCCACACGGAGAAAATGGAGATATTGTGTTTGCATCAGAAGCCCTGGGAGACTTCGGGTCGTCTGAACTCCTGTGACGGCTGTGGTGTGTATCAGCGCTGCTCCTGTTGTCTCCAGGAGAGGCGGAATCAGCCATACTGATCTATGACCCCCGTCTGGAGAGGCTTGAACGCCTCTAGCTCCCTTGGATGGCCATATAAACCGGACCCAGCACGGTGCGTCGAGTCCAATGTCCATATCTTGACTCGATTTCGAGCGACCGACTGGTCCAGCCTGAATCCTCCTTTGGTACCCGCACCTCTTGGCCACTTCTAATGATGGTATGGCCATCAAACCAATCATATCGCTCTTACTGTCCCATCATTGGCGTCTACATCTCGACACGGCCCCCTGTTCGGCTTTCATATCTCAAACCATCGGGCTGCCTGTTCCCGCCTCAGGTCCTCCATCACCACTAAACCGAACCCGTCCAGTTCGCCCGCTCCCACCACTGACCCACAGGTTTCGCTCCACTCGTCCACACAGCCCGGCGACCGCCCGCATTATGTCCTGCAGATCGTCGACCAGCCTGAGCGAGTTCGTTGCTCTGGATTCGGCCCCCAGATGTATGGGCGTCCAATCAGTCCGGCCCCGATCCTGCAACTCTTCCGACGGGGACCTGGAGGAGCCCTGATTTCAGAGCAAGTGTTATGCCAACCCATGCTTGTGAGCCTTGGAATCTCTGGTTGTCGCCGTGGAGACAGAGCCAAACCTGCTTGAGCCGCCACATAGGCCCATCCTGGAGTCGTCCATGATCCATCCGGTCCCTCCTGTCTTACCCCATCACCACTACCACTGGATGAGCATCTACAACACTGCTGATATCGCCGTTCGTTACTGATGAGTATCATTTGTCCCTTCTAGCCCCTCGTCGATGATCGAAGCCTCAGGCTTTGTTGTCCATATCCAGCTCTACTCTTCTGATGGCACCGCAGATCTATCTCTTGTTGTCAACCCGATACGTCTCAAGGAGGCAGTTCCTGTCAATCCAGTTTCCCCAGCCCTTCTCCTCAAAGACATACCTGCAGGGTCCAACCCGGATCCCTGTGTCGCTTGGACCCCACCCCCAGATGTGGAATCGTCCGACATCCACATGCTTGAGAACGAAGCCAAGGCGACTGTTTCCCTCCCACCAAGCCCTATTCCGAAGGCTTGGTTCGCAGGAAACGAAGCATTTACTCAAGAGGACCTCAATACCGATGGGGCAGCCTCCCTGTCTATCACTTCCCGGTCAGCTCCTCACCCAGCCTGGTCGTCAACATCGGTGTCGACGGATCAATTCCATGACAGTAAACGGAGCCATAGCCGCCACCGAGCCAGCGAAGATTCAGTCGGTCTATATTCGCATCTGGGTTTGAGCTCTCAAGACCAGAGCATGAAGCGGTTGCTTCCATTTGCCCAGCCATCGCTCTTTGGGAACTTGGTTTCCTCAAGTATTTTCTCCAAGAGCGCCGACAGCTCCAAGGCTGGTGTCTTCTTTGCGTTCGACAAAGTGTACATTCGAGTTGAAGGAACATATCGTCTCAAGTTCACCCTAGTCGACTTGAGCGATCCTCGGTAAGTTGAAGCAATATGCGACAGAGACAAACTGGGGGACTGCCACGGCCAATGATATTGGCAGGGCTGATATCTGGGCTCCAGCACCAAGACGGATCCTTGCCTCGACACTTCGTTATCGATTCGGCGGGTGCCAACGCAATGCCGTCCAACTGATCCTGGATTGCCGAACCTTCACCAGTTCCCTTGGCACTGGCTGCTCGACAGTGAGCACGGTCCTATCCGACCCCTTTGTATCCCATGGATGGAAATCCTTTCCTGGAATGATAGGTGAGGAGCAATCTTGCCTAGTCCCTTAATGATATCAAGCCCCACCGACGCACAAAGGTTGACACCACTGTTTACATTCCTTCCCCTACACCACCAGAGCCTTCATCTGTTCTCAAGACCCTCGTTCGAGGAGGTGTTAGGGCGACTAGAAACGTGCGAAACAAGAGGAATGGAGCCCGTGATACCAAAGTTGTTGAATCCGCCACAGCGACCAACCTCTCCATTCCGACGAGCTGACCCTCTGTCTGCCATCTGTTTCGCCGTGTGTACTCGCTGTGGCCCGAGTGACTCTGAACCAAGCTTGTACACCGAGGAATGAGCAACATGTAAGGTGTCTGGGCCGGGATAGGGCCGTCCACGACAAGTATGGCTCATCGGCACACTTGAATAGAAGATCTGAGCCACCCAATACTCCAAATGCAGAACGAGATGCCTGAGTTCCACCAAGACCTGGATGGAATGCGACAGTGTGGAGCATGTGCATATCGCCCATCACGCTAACCACAGCGCCGGTGCCGATATTGGCCTAGACGAGGAACCATCTCCGCTAGTTCGGGAAAGATTGGACTGATTTATTATCAAGTTACTGGCGGTGTACTTGTCACATCACATAGCTTCATCGGGCTATGGTTCTATTTCCTCAAGATGAGCTTGCCGATCATACCCAGCACCTTCTTCATGGAGCTCGCTGTCAGTCCGCTTGGATATGATCTGGTGCGGTTGATCTGGAGCCATCTCTTGTCATGATCGTGGGTAGTCTCATCCCGGAAGGACAGGATATGGGAAGTGTTGCTACGGGGTTTCGGCACTGATACGACGCACATGCGGGGAGCCGTGCTCGTGGCCGTCTTGGTGATCGAGGGCGGGAAAGAAGGCTGGGATTTGTATATTCCAATGTGAGGCGCCGTCATGCCGGGCGACGGCGCCATCGAAGTAGTTGTTTGAGGTCGAGGAACCAGGTCACTGTTGAGAATTGTGTTGTATGCAGTGTGGAGTTCAAGAGTATCGAGCTCGGAAGGCGCCTTTGAAGCACGAATCAACTCGAGAGCCTCGGCCAAATTGACCTGCTGGGATGTGAGGCGATCAATTTCTTCGATGCTATCCTCATCTGTCCAACTCTCGAGAGTTGAATGCCCAAGGTCATCAGTTTGACTCTCCTCCGCAGCGAAGGAGAGGTCGGAGTAGGACCCGGACCAAGTTGGCAAAGGATTATGAAACTGGATGATTTCGCGAGACATGTTGTCGGAAGGCTACTTGCCAATCTCGGTGGGAGTTGGGCGAGCTTATATAATGCCAGTCGTTCCCGCACGAGACCTGTTGCCATCGCTTGAGAAGTCTTGTCCTGTTCGATTTGAGCCGTTCTGAGGGCTGAGAGGTGCAACGATCGAGCTGACAAGGAACAAAGAACAAGCAGCGGCGAACCGCTGGTCAGGTGTCGTTGACACTGATCCACTGACAGGTGCCGACTTGGCCAAATCTCCATCCACACAGCGGTTGGCTCACAAGCGCTGGTCAGGATGATTCATCGTGGCTGATCTTGGATTCCGCTATCCGGGAAATCCCCTCCATCACCCTGACTCGATCCTGCTGAGATCAATTGGAGCCCAAAACAATCCAGTGGAGCAACTGGTCGCAGCGTGCTGTGACCATCAATATTGGTTGAGCGTAGCGGTCTGTTGTTCAGCAACGTGTTCAAGTTTATCGTCGGGATATTGTGTGGCTGACCGTTCGCTGGTGACTGTTCGTTCGCGATCAAGTGATTATGACGACGGTGATAAGCTAACTATGGACAACGTCGAGGTATCCGTGTCCAGTTGAGTCGGCGGTATTTGCTGGTATTTGTCGGTGAACTTGATGGTGTTGCCACAAACGGTGTCGATTTGAGCCATGTTGTGTGATAATGTGTCAGCGGCCAAGACCCTCTGTCTGAAGCAGGTGGTTGCATGGTGGAGGATTGATGGAGGCCAGCACGCCGGGGTATGAAGTTGCTCACTCTGGCCACGGATCTGATTTCGCTCATTCACCCTCCTAGTGAATGCTCGATATGTGCACAGGTGGTTTGCTGCCAGGGTTGGTGTGGTTGGGACGATTCCTGCGGATGGAACCAACTGCGTCTCCCACCACGCAGTCTTCGACGAACCCAGTCCATCCCACACCACATCGGTCGCCAGAGGAACCAAGCAAATACCACCATGTCTCCGAGGGAAGTGCCAGACCGAAACAGCAAATACCCATCACCCCATTCTCCAGTACTCACGCTATCCACCAAAATCACATACCATCCAACGCCCAATTTGACTTTTGCTTTTCCCAGACCGCGCTCACTCTCCACGCCGAGACTCTGACGAGCCGAGGATGTCGACACATGACCCTTGTAGGTTATATATATCATCACTCGTTCCAGATGAGAAGCAAGCGCTCCAACTCCCAGCATTCGTTAGACTTGTTGTTGAACGCTAGCTCTGGAGATTGAGCTTGCCCAACGACTCGAGGAGCTCGTTCAGGTTCAGGGTGTCCTGCGCCGGCCCCGAGAGTTGCGACCGAGGAGAAAGGCTTCCGTCAGTGTCGATATACGGCGCATCTTCATCAAAGGGCTTGCTTCGGGAGATGAACGACGGAGGAAGCACGCGGCTTGTCGAAAGCGACAGATTCTCCAGCCGCAGAAGCACCTCGTTGATACTGGCCGAGTCGTCTTGCTTTTTCCAGGTTCGATATACGCAGTGCCGCATTACACGCCCGCCTCGGCTGGACCGAATGTGCTTGGATGCGGCCGTGGGGGCCGGCATGCCGCTGGTGGGGCTGTCGTCCAGCGCGGACAAGTCTGAACAGACCGATCCAGAGCAACTGCGGGGCATAGGTGTGTTGGTCTTGGGTACTTCGTCGCCCATGTCTGTGTTTGTGATGGTATCGCTGTTGCTTGCAGTGTCGCTGTATCGCCCACAGTCGCTGTAGCTGTCCGGAGTAATGGGCATGACTGGAACCGAGTTGAGGGGGACTGCTGTAATGTCTTTGGAGGGCACGAGCGGGACGGGCGTTGATGGCGGTGGGATTGCTGCTGCTGGCGACGTTATGGGAGCAGAGCAATTTGCATCACCGGCTGCTGGGACATTCAGAGCTGCCACGGAGGCGCTTTGGTCACAGACAGTCGCAGGACTGGTGGGTATTTGTGGGCCGTGTACGTCGGAGGCGGTTTTGGATGTTTCCAAAGTCGCTGCCTCGATTGTGGATCCTGGGGATGAGGCTGCGTCCGTATCAAGAGGAGGGTATTCCTCGAGCAACAACGGCGGGAGTGGCGACGGTGGCTGTTCTTCCTGATCTGCGGCTGGGTCTTGTTTTTTCAGCAAGAGAGGGGCGAGATGCTCTTTCTGTGATATCGACTTGCCCTCGTGCGATCGGCGACCCGATGCTCGCCGTACCGACGGCACTTTGGTGGCAAGGGCTCCGCAAATGCCGACGACGACGAGGGCCGAGTAAATCTGCGTTGGCAGGATGCGCGGCTCAGCAATGACGCACTGCACATCTCTCCAGATCTTGGGGCACACTGATGCCGGAACTATCAAGTTAAAGCGTAGATGTATTCGCGGGTCGCGCAGTTGCCTCTCACCTTCCATCCCTCCGTTTGCATCGAGAGTCGGGAGTGCCTCAGCAACAGTTGCCGGATGGCGCGAATGAGATGCGCGACGGCACGGAAGATGCCCAGAGCCGGGATGCTGAGAACAGCGGTGCTCCAGCCCCTGCGTTTAAGAGACTGAGGCTGTTGTTTCGGCGTGCGAATGATCAGTAATAATGGCGAGAAAGCACGCCGCAGTCAGACGGCCTCACTTCTCTCGAACTGCAAGAGTGCTCGCGTGGGAACGGTTCATATCGCGGCCATATCGCGGCCATATCGCGGCCATATCGCGCAAGCGCAAACGCTGGCACGGATAATATAGGTCGAGTATGAGCAGATACAGCGAACGCAACCGCACGCACCTGCATTGTTGTCCTTCTAGATGCTGCCTCTGCAGAGCAGGATCACTGCGATGATGGAGCAAACGCAGAAGGTGCGGATTGGGGCGGTGTCGGATCTGGGCGTCGATTGCGACAATCGACACAATCGAATGACTGTAATGACTGCTGGGATTGTGAATATCACAAATACGACGACGTTTAGTGTGCCTCGGTCCCCGCCAGACCGAACGGATGGATACTGCTCGCACATGGCTGGCGAACAGCGGATCGGCGACAGCAAGCAGAGCCGGCGAGAGCGATCTCGTCGCGCGTCTCGTCTCGTTCGATTTCGCCATTTGCAATCCATCAGCCTTCGTCTGCATCTTCCAGCATCTACCCGCATCTTCCAGCATCGTCCCGCATCTACCCGCATCTACCCGCATCGGCCTGCATCTCGGCTTGGCCCATCTCGATCCAACCGTCCAGCTTCGACACAACTCGGCGATCGCTGCACAAGCCTCCCGTGCGAACTCATGGACCGTCGCAGCACCAACGGGGGGACTGCGGGCCGTTGTCGCAGCCCAACATCCGACACCACTGACCTCGGCTCCAGAAAGCGGCGAGCATCGCCATCCGCCAGCGAATACCCTCCTCCTTCTCGCCTCACAAGGCCTCGCTCGAGGTCACCTTCTTACCGCGCTGGCCGGCGGGCGGACCGTCATCGATCTCGCTCTCGGAGCCGCTCGCGATCCTATTCGAAATCCTATTCACGATCCCGATCCCGATCTCGATCCCGATCTCGATCTCGATCCCGCTCGCCCTATGACCGTCGGTACGAGCGTCGACGTCAAAGCCCAGGTCGAAGTCAGCGTGGCAGTCGCAATGCCTCGCCGTCGCCAGACCGCCGAGGCTCGCATCGCCAACGCTGGGACCATGACGGATACTCTAGCGACCAGTCGTCCGACCACCGACATCACCGATCCAAAGCCCGCTCGAAGGTATGGCATGCGCAAAAAACAGAGCTTCTTCTCCGCGCCCCCTCTGCCGGATTGCAAGCGTCGTGCAGCAGCGGCTATGCTCCTGTTGCCGATGATGCGTCCGTGGGGTTCGGGAAATCCACGGCTCGTCTGAGAAGCGACGGTGCAGATTTCCCCCTGCCTCAGGACGACCTATCTACGGCGTTGCGCCGCTTCTCTTCCACGAACCAAACGTATCTAACTTATTCGAGACATCGACATCGACAACAACGACATCGATCCCTCGGGTATTCCCTCCGCGCCAAATAGCCCAACGCCGAGCCCAACCAGAGTGTGTGTCTCAAGGGATTACCGCTGGAGATGACTGATACTGAGGTATGTCGACAGAAACGCCATTCAGTCAGCAATCGATAGCTAGACCCTCCGGCGTCCTGGCGTCAAAACTTGGCTCTTTCCACCGACTAATCACCCAATCCACAGCTCCAGAAGCACCTCGAGAAACTCGGAGCCGACATCGAGTATGCCAAAGTGATTTGCGACAAAGCCACGGGCTCCTCCCGAGGATTTGCATTCTGCAGGTTCATCAGCATCGAGCACGCGCGGCGATGGATGGACCGCCATGAGCCCCGGATTGACATCGGAGAGTCTTCGGTCCGGATCGAGTACAGCAACACCGGCTCGAACGACGCTGGCGACGACTGGGTTTGCAAAAAAGTAACTGTCGATGCAGTGTCTGCAACGGCCCACGGCCTGGACTTCTGGTCTGGGCTTGAGGCTCCGGCCTGGCTTTCGATTCAGCGGCTCAAAGTATGCATCTTCCTGCTAGTGTGGCAGTTCAAACTTTAAACGCAGACGAGAGTGCTTCCGGTGCAATGCCGCCCAGCCAGGTAAGCAACACATGTTTTACTTTGGCCGGATGCTCAGCATTGAGGAGATTTGTCTGCCTGCTTCGCGACGAGACTTTGCCTGTTTCGCAATGAGTGCTTCCTGATGCGTTGTCGTGTGGATCGTTGCTGAGCAGAGTCCACGAAGGATAAGACCGAGGCTTTCGTCAATGATGGCAGCCGGGACGTCGGCACTGCTCCGTCGTCGATGCTTCTCGTTCGGGACTTGGATCCCTTGACTACGGAGGAAGAGGTGAGAGCTCCAATACGAGTGCAGGCCTTTGGATTGGACACGAATGTGTCGCGCTATCTGACGCTGACTCTCCCCACTCACTGCCGATCTCCTTGCTGTGACCTCGCCTCAATGAATATGCATGTGCAATGCAGCTCTATGACCTGGTCTCCAAAGTTGCCTCGATTGTGTCGGTGCGAGTGATCAAGGACCGACTGACGCGCAGGTCATGGGGATTCGCATTCATCGAGTGCGCTTCGGTTGAGGTAACGAGCCGATCTGTGTTTGTGATACACTGGCTGTTTGGTTGTGAGTGGCACCCGATCCAACAGTCGTGCATATCCTCATCTCGACCTCAGGCGGCCACTGCGGTCTTCCAGAAAGTGAACCACCCCCTCGATCCGCGTCCGCTGCAGATCGGCGGTCGGCAGCCCACCCTGTCCTACGCACACACCGGGAGCTTCATCCCGGTCTACTGTGACCCGCAGTGGGTGACCAAGCAAATCAAAGGACCCGGCGGCAGCATCATGTCCGTTGGATACTGGGACCAGCAGGCCTATGCCAAGTCATACAGCCCTGCAGCAACAGCCAGCGAACCACCTCGCGTCGCCGGCAGCAAAGCACCGAAACAAGCCAAGCAAACCAAGTCGGGTATGCCCAATACAAACCCATTCCTCGCGCAGCATATCGTCTGCTTCCTCTTCTTCTCACCTCAGATCATTCTTGTGGTTGTGTGCGCTCCAGCCGTCGAGAAGCCGGCGGTGTTGGCCAAGTCGATCGACAATGAGCTTGCAGCCTTCCACTCGTCAGCCGAGGCCAGCGGCAAGCCCGGAGCGACCGAAGAGCTGGCAACTCGCGACAGCACATCGATCCAGGCGCTCCATCCAACGTGGCTATCGGGGGACGACCAAGCTGCCTCGGACAGTCAAAGGTAGGCCTTTTCACTCCGCCAAACATTGTCATTTTGGAATGCCTCATGACGATGATAGCTGGCTGACTGGTTGCGATGCGCAGGAAACGGCCATTATCCCAGGACTTTTCGAGCGAGATCGGCGGCGATGACTCCAAGTCCAAGGGATACCTTTCTCTCGCCAGCAAGAAAGTAGGTGTCAGCGATGTGCTGGGACTATCCCAACATCCGCATCGTTCCCACAAATGTCGTGACAACACTGCTGATTCTAGATTCACCATCTGCACCCACTGGCGCTCCAGATGCGCTCGACCCTCCAGCGGTGGCACGATCGGCAGGAGGAGAAACTGGCTGAGCCTGAGGAGCCTCTTTCCGAAGAGAAACCTGTAGAAGAGCCACAAGAAGCCATTCCTGACGAAGAGATCAACCGGGAGCTGGAGCAGGTTAGAGCCCACCGCTTGCAATTGGGTCCGCGCGAGCGGTTCGCCAGATGCTACTTTGGCGATATTCTATGACGGCCGTTGCAGCTGTTACAGCTACGGCCGAAGCGGCGAACTGGATGTTGATTTCTGGCCTGCCTGCACCGACACCTTTCTCGCGCAGCGCATGCCTACGGACGCCGAAGTCAATGAAGAATACAGCAACTTGAGCATCACTGCATGCATGCTCTGCGAGCGGGGCTTTAAGAGCCCGGAAGATCTCACAAAGCACCAGATCAAGTCTGCTCTGCACAAGGTAGGTTGTCGAGGCAGCTGAGGATGGCTAGGCCCACCACCGAATGAATCTAAACGGTAGTGTATTTTGGGCTGTGCAGGCAAACATGGCAAAGTACATGGAAGAGAAGCGAAAGGAGCTTGGCGAGCAGATCAAGGCTGAGCTGGCGCATGACCGAAACATGGCCTCCAGCTACCGCAACCGCGCTGCTGAGCGGAGGCAGATGTATGGCCAACCGGAACACCCGAAGCTAGAGCCCCGGTTCCCGCCCAAGAAGCCGACGGCGCATGCACGAAATCACGAAAGCACTGGGTAAGCGCCCTCACTTCCCTCCCGATCCAACGAGAGTGCAGCGAATGCTTAGTGGAGCGTCAAATGAGGATGCAAAAGAACTGGAGAGAAGCTGGGCTCGTGTTGGCCGATCCAGAAGTTGGACTGACCGACAACTTGTCCTACATCGGCATCGGCATCGACATCGGCATCGGCATCGGCATCGGCATCGGCATCGGCATCGGCATCGGCATCGGCATCGGCATCGGCATCGGCATCGACATCGGCATCGGCATCGGCATCGGCATCGGCATCGGCATCGGCATCGACATCGGCATCGGCATCGGCATCGGCATCGGCATCGGCATCGGCATCGGCATCGACATCGGCATCGGCATCGGCATCGGCATCGGCATCGGCATCGGCATCGGCATCGGCATCGGCATCGGCATCGGCATCGGCATCGGCATCGGCATCGGCATCGGCATCGGCTTCGGCTTTGGCTGTGCACAACCACCAAGATTCGTCCTTCTGTCCAAGACAACCGCGCCGCCGCCGCCGCCGCCGCCATCGTCGGCAGAGCCGCCATCGTCGGCAGAGCCGCCAGCGCCCAGTCCCCTGGGCTCAGACAACATTGGCAACCGTCTGCTCAAGATGATGGGCTGGAAGGAGGGCGAGGGCCTCGGCGCCCGCGGCACTGGAATCGTCGAGCCCGTGCAGGTAAGCCTATTCTCCCACTATCGACAACCAATTCTGCCTGGGCGTCAGCGGTAGCTTGGGCACTGAGATGGCTGGAGTTTATAGAGACTGACAAGCCCGCTCTCGCAGGCGGAGGGCAACACAGGCCGATCTGGTATCGGGACCCTCGGAGCCACTCTGCAAACCGACACCACTGACTACAAGGAGATGGTGCGTCGAACCACGCTCAGTCGATACAACCAAGAGCCATAGGACAGCGAGAGTAGCCCGCTGCGATGTGGCGTTGCGAGTGCATGCCGGGCCGACCGTCGCCAATACAGACTCAGCGCACACTCGTACATGGATCAAAGGTTGGAGGGTGGGGCGGGTGCTGCTCCTGGCGAGCCGTGGGAGGGGTCGTTGACTTTGGGGTTCCCAGCACGACAGGGTCCAGTTCCCTGGACATGCGGATGCTCTGGGAGACACCGACATCGGGGACCGCAAGGAGAAAGACCAGCCCGCTGCGGGACGTTCAACAGCATCAAGCATCCAGCAGCATTCTGCACTCAATATCTTGGCTGTTGCTGAAACGACAGTCCCTCTCTCGATCGAGGAGCAAGAAGAAAGTCGATGGGCGACAAACCCGCGACGGCGACGGCGATGGCAGCGGCAAACCACAGGCGGAAGATGAGCGGCATTCCGCCCGAGGCCATATCAACCCGTCGGTGCTTCCCAGAGCCCTGCAGGTCGGAACCGAGCACCCTCGGCGACGCTGTCAACTCGATCATCGCTGCTGCGACGAATTTGCATCCACGTCCAAGAACAGCTCGCCTCACCCTTTAGATCGGCCGTGTCCCGACGCCATCGACCCCCATGAGAGCCCGACTGGTGATCCAGATGCTGAGCATCCTGTTGGTCAGCATGTGCACGGTGCTTATCGTGCGCATCTACCGCCTTCCGTCAAGATCGCTGGCACCAAGGGCAGCGCCGCCCGTTCGCCGAAACGAGGTTCGGCTGCCCAACCTGCACCAATGGCAGTACTCAAACAACCCCTACGTCGGCAAGGTCCATGCTGTCGAGGAATTTGCGGCATTCCAGATCGAGGCGAATCCGGCCATGTCTCGGCCAACAAGCAGCGACCTTCCCAGGGTGCTGATCCTGAGCCTGGCCTTCAATCGCCTGTCGTTTGGCGGAGGCGATCGATCGCTTGCAGATTTCTTGGACATGATCCAAAGCCTGGACTATCCCAAGGAACTCCTCAGCCTCGGCATCCTGATCTCGAGCCAGCGGGACTTTGACCGGCTCATGCCCATCGTGTCCTCGTTTGTGCAGACACAGGGACTACAGCGGGGGAGCCTCTTTCTCAGAGAGGCCGACCGTTCGGGCTCGATTCGGGACCATCGTGGACGATCGGGCCAGACCCAACGCCGAAGCCACATCGCGAAGCTGCGGAACGAGCTTCTCTTCCGGAGTCTTGACAACGAAGATGCAGTCCTATGGATAGACTCGGACATTATCGATGTCCCCCACGATATGCTCAAGAAGTTTGTCGTCTCGGGCTTGGACATCATCACGCCGTTTTGCCGCAAGGGGACAGTCGGCCTGAGAAACCACGACCGTAAGCAGCCTGCTGGCTCATGTGCATGGAGATGCCTGGACAACGACCCACTCGAGTCTGCAGATTGAGAGTTGGCTGCTGTGCGTCTCGATGGCTGACCCCTGGCGCTTTCTCGCTGCTGCCCAGTGAATGCTTGGTCTGGCAAGAGGACTCGGCCGAGCCCCGAGCAACTCAGGGCGATCCACAGCGGCGAGCCGACGGACTATGTTCCAAGGCACAGCAACTCCCACCTTGTGAACAATATGTATGACGATGGGCTCGAGAGAGCGCCGCTCGATTCGGTGGTAAGTACGCATGGCTTGCTGCAGTCCTTGTGGCAGAGGCATGGCATCGGCTAGGCCGGCTGTAGCTGACGAGTGCCTGTGGATTCTTCACTTGCGCCAGGGCGGGACGGTTCTGTATGTCAAGGCCAAAGTCCATCGGGCCGGGGTGATCTTCCCGCCATTCCATTTGATCGGGACCGACTGGGACTCGGAGGATGGCGGATACGACGGAATCGAAACCGAGGGGGTATGCTACATGGCCCGAACGGTTGGGTATCGCTGCTGGGCGATGCCGCAAGTGATCGTATCCCATGGGTGATGGATGCCGTGGACGATCACATCCCATGCGCGATTGAAGCGGCCTTGGGCTGCATCGTGTTGCATAGACTTGCTGCAGAAGAATGGAACATGGATTTCCTTGGACAGCGGCGAGAGGATGCTGCCTTGGCTGCGCCGATGCCGAGCAGGGCGAGTCATGCCGATCGACCGGATTGCAATGCAGATCGACGGCCGCGGCAACGGGGCGGTGACGCACCAGCTGCCCCATTCGACTAGGTCCATGGACGAGGCTGAGGGAAACCCTCGCAGACCAGACGGCGGGAACTCGGCCTCCATGTCGGCTCATCGTGGAGCGTGTTTCTGGGTGCCTGGCCACACCTGCCCACCCCCGGCGACGCGAGAGGAAGGGGGTGGACGACCTCGGGGTGGAGCGTGATGGTGTTGTGTTTGTGGTTTGTGCGCACCCCACAACCCACAACCCACAACCCACAGCCCACAACCCACAACCCACAACTCACAACTCACACAGACACAGCCGGCGCCGCCCGTGCGCCCCACGCCAGCGCCACCGGCTGCGCACGAACGGCGTCGGAGTTCCGGGGGTGGGCGAGTTCCGATGTGGCGCAGAGGGTGCCGACCTGCCCCGTCCGCCCCGGCGAGGCCGCCGCTTTTATCGCTCCTGTTCGGCCTCCAGCCGCGATCTATCCTGCTCTGCTCTGATCTGCTCTGCCGTCGCCACCGCCGCTGCCGTCGGATCTCGCTGCTCGTTCTCCCACCCACTTTGCATCGTATCCATCTTCAGGCCCACAACCATGCTGCGTCAAGGTGCCATCGCCGCCGCCCGTCTGGCCGTCCCCCGTCTGCGTGCCCCGCTTTCGCTTGCCACACGATCCTTCAGCTCGTCGCTGCGTGCTGCCACGGCTGTCCCTCAGCTCGGCCATTTCAAGCTGCCTGACGTCCGCAACGAGCCCATGGTACGCCCTGGCGCATCCAGCCTGCTCGACATTGGTCCCACCTGCGCAACCTCCGCCACCGGACGATACACCGGGCCCAGCATTCTCTCGGCTGCATGCGTCTCGGCCTGTCGCGCTTGCATGCGGCGGCGACTTCCTCAGCAAACCCTGTCAGATGAATAACGCAGTATCGTTCGTCTCTCTTCGCTAGTTGAACTATGCTCCAGGCAGCCCCGAGCGTGCCAAGCTTGAGCAGGCCATCAAGGAAATCAGACGCGATCTGGCCGAGAAGGGCCCCTACCGAGTCCCCACCATTGTCAACGGCGAAGAGGTGTGTCACTTGAGGGCTTTGGCCAACCGTAGCGGTCCCGCAATCGCCATGGTCTCGCGGTATCTGTGTCGCTCGCTGGCCCTGACTAGATGTACCCTTCGATCCGGCCTGTCCACCATTGTCAGTTCTTCGAAGGAGACGCCCAGGCTCAGTCTATGCCTTTCGAGCACAGCACCAAGCTCTGCACTTACCACAATTCCAGCGCCGCCACCATCCGCAAGGTTCGTCAAATAGAGATTCTGTGCCGTAGCGCCAATCGGCTCTGCCTTTGCACCCGCTCTGATCCCCATGCGCATCACCACTACCCATTTAAACACCTCACCTTTCTTGTGATAGGCCATCGATACCGCTCTCGCCGCCAAGCCTGCCTGGGAGGCCATGCCTTTCAACGATCGTGCCGCCATCTTCCTCAAGGCTGCTGACTTGCTCTCGGTCAAGTACCGCTACAAGCTGCTGGCTGCTACCATGCTTGGCCAGGGCAAGAATGTCTGGCAGGCTGAGATCGATGCTGCCGCCGAGCTTGCTGACTTTTGGCGATTCAACTGCCAGTATGCCTCTGGTATGTGGATTCAGCGTCTTACCACTCCTTCCTTCAAATTGATCTTGAGTCGGTAAATCGGTGGATGTTGACCGAGGCCGCGTGCGAGGCTGACAATTGGCTCTCGATGCTGCGCTTCCTGGGCATCAGACATCTACGCTCAGCAGCCCACCAAGAACTCCGAGCTGTACTGGAACAGACTCGAGTACCGCCCTCTGGAAGGCTTTGTTACCGCCTACTCGCCCTTCAACTTCACTGCCATTGGCGGCAACCTCGTCGCCGCCCCCGCTCTGATGGGCAACGTTGTCATCTGGAAGCCCTCGCCCGCTTCGATCTACTCCAACTACGTCATCATGGAGATCCTCAAGGAGGCTGGTCTTCCTGACGGCGTCGTCCAGTTCGTCCCCGGTGATGCCGAGCTCGTCACCAACGAGACCTTCAACCACCCCGACTTTGCTGGTCTCCACTTCACCGGCAGCACTCATGTTTTCAAGATGCTGTGGCAGAAGATCTCCAACAACCTGGACATCTACAAGTCCTACCCCCGCATCGGTACGGCCTCCGTCCTCGCGTCTGCCTGTGCCCGCTGCTGGGTGCCTTCATCTTTAGCTTAATTGCATTCCGAGCGATAGTCTAATACCCCCCCCCACTCGCACTGGTGGCCTTTAGTCGGCGAAACCGGTGGCAAGAACATGCATTTCCTGCACAAGTCTGCCGATGCCCGCCACGCTGCGCTCCAGACCATCCGCGCCGGCTTTGAGTACCAGGGTCAGAAGTGCAGTGCTTGCTCGCGGTGAGTACATATCGACGGGCAACGACACATTGTTCTCTGAGTTCGCTTCGCTTTGGTGGTGCGACTGCTGTGGAGCAGTCGATGGGCTACCGCGGTCCCTGATGCCAGACAGTTCGCCAACCTGTCGCTTACCCCTGTTCTTATTCTGCAACTCGACTATTGTTCGCAGCGTCTACGTTCCCGATAACCTGTGGGACGAGTTCCGTGAGACCATCGTCACCGAAGTCAAGAAGATCAAGCAGGGCCCTGTCGATGGTGAGGACGAGCTCTTTACATGTCCATCTGCGCGAAGCCAATTTGTTCTTCAGCCTGATCGTAGTCAGTGCGCTGACTGGCTTTCTCTCTCGCTGCTGCTCTCCTCTCCGACTCTGCTTCATCGACCAGACTTTACCAACTTCTGCGGCGCGGTCATCAACAAGCCATCGTACGACAAGATCACCGGCTACCTCAAGAACATCAAGAACGGCGATGGCGTCAGCTCCATCCTTGTTGGCGGCAACTGTGAGTTTCATCCGATGCGCTGGTCGATGCACCTACCCCGGCCACCACCAATTCACTGGATGCATGCTGATCAGCAAAGCGCTTTATCCTGCCTTCCCGATTCACCATGCACCGCTCAGTCTCGGACGCCAAGGGCTACTTCATCGAGCCCACCGTCGTTGTCACCAAGGACCCTCACTCCAAGACCATGACCGACGAACTCTTTGGCCCCGTCGTCACCGTCTACGTCTACCCCGCCGATAAATACGAGGAGACTGTAAGCCGCCGATCGCAACGCCATCAAGTGCATAGGGTGCAGTGGTGCTGATCATATCGCTTTCGGTCGTGGCTGGCTCTGACTTTCTCCCCCACTGTTGCTCAGCTCGAGCTGGCAGACAAGACTACCTCCTATGGCCTGACGGCCGGTATCTTTGCCAGCGACCGCTACGCGCTGATCGCTGGTGCCAACAAGCTCCGCAACGCTGCCGGCAACTTCTACCTCAACGACAAGTGCACTGGCGCCATTGTTGGTTCGTATATGTCGCAGCCACGCCATAACGGGGCGTCCGTTTGCTCGCTCTGATCTTTGTCGGGCTTGAAACCCGCCCAGCAACTCACCACCATACATTCCACGCTTCAGGCCAACAGCCCTTTGGTGGAAGCCGTGCCTCGGGCACCAACGACAAGGCTGGCTCTGCTCTGTAAGTCCCGATTGACGCTCTCGGCTGGGGCTGTTGGAATCTGCCGATTTGCTCTCTGGTGATACCGGCTGAAGTCGCCCGTTCGCATGTGCTCGTGCCAGATGGCCCGGGTGATCATCCACATTCATATGATTCGCTCACACTGCATCGCCCCGCATCTCGATCTTGCAGCAACCTGTACCGCTGGATCTCGCCCCGGACCATCAAGGAGTCTTTTGTTCCCATCACTGCCTTCGACTACCCCTCCAACAAGCAGTGATTGCATCCCTTTCCGTCCATTTGCCCCTGGCTCCTCGGTCGCAGGGCCGTTCATCACGCCTACATCACCCCCACCGCAGCCTTGGCCTCGAGCGCTGCAGCACAAGGCATTTGAATATATTGAGTTTGTTGCGACAGAGCCATTTGCCTCGTCCTTCTTTGACCGTTGTTGGGCTGCCGGGGCTATCCACGTGATTGGCCCGTCAGAAGCTTCCATGATTGCTGGGTTGGGTTGCTTGGAGCTTGGTGTTTGACGAGAGCGGACAACCCAAGCCAGCGCCGCTGCACCTGGCCGGCATCTCCATCCGTCCATCCGCCCGTCTTCTCCGCACAGACGAGGAGCGCATTATCTTTTCCGCGTCGACATGAGCGCCATCCACTGTTTCTTCTGCGGCGGCAAGGAATGCAAATACGAGAACTGGAGACAGTGGACATCGGATCCACGGCATCCGAATGCCATCGACGGCCTGTTCTCCAACTGGTAGGCTCTGTTCTGTTGATGCGATTCTGTAGCGCGCCGTTCTTGCCCGCTCTCTGGCCCTCGCTTCCGTTTCAGCTTCAGTCAAGTCCCAGGCAGCCTTGTCCGGGAGCCGTCATGCCAATTCTGATCAGCAGGGTCTTTTTTCACCTTGATGGTTTCTTCCTCATCCACCACGTTGACTATCGCTGCACTTGCGAATCTGGCTCGGATGCTGGACAACTGGTTGGTTCGCATTGGACGCGGGGCATTGTCGTCGTCGTCGTCGTCGTCGTCGTCGTGGCATTCAACCTTCTTTGCTCGGCTGAAGGATATCGCCAAACATCTTGGCGATGCAGCGACCAAGCACAAGACTGATGAAGGAATACAACCTCATCGAAACCTTCAAGTCCCTTGGCATCATGAGCATCTTCAATCTGCAGGAGAATGGAGAGCATGCCTCGTGCGGTGATGGCAACGAACAAGCGAGCGGCTTTAGCTACCTCCCCGAAGCCTGGATGAACGCCGGTGGTGGGTGGCTCATGCGTTTGGCAGGTGTATGTGTGTTGATGTGCAGATGGAGGGAACAGAAACGCAAAGATCCCAGTCGCAGTTGATACCTTGTCCAACTGCTAACCCGCTTCCTTCGGCATTTGCAGTCTCGTACTACAACTTTGGATGGTGAGAATTGTGCAGGAGTTCGTATGGCCGGCCTATTGAGGCGGGGGGGGGGAGACGGAGCATACAAATCAAGTCTGCGGCCAAGCCAATGCCGGACTGCTGACTCTGTTTCGGCCCAGTTCGCATAACCCGGTCTTGCTCCATCTGATCCGTGTTCGTTGACAGGAAGGACATGGACACTCCGGACTTTGAATCAATGTTGAGCATCGTCCAGGTCATGTCGCATGCCCTCGAAGACGACAAAAAGGTATTCCCTGATCCGGGGGTGCTGGGGCATCGTCCAAAGGAGGCTGCGTCGTTCGGGAGCCGAGGATCACGTTCTTGGATCTGCGAATGGGCGTGGATAGGAGGCACTTGCATCCAAATAACCCAGGCCCCTCGCTCAATTCCCAGATATCGGTTCATTGCCACGCAGGATTGGGTAAGCGGTCCGCAGTTCGCTGGGATGTCTCACAATCGTCCTGTCCGATAGGATCGTTAATGTCCGCCTTGCGGATCTCCATCATCACCAGGTCGAACGGGGTTGGCAATCGCCTGCTATCTGGTTTACGGCGGCCACATGCTGCCTGCAGATGTGAGTCGTCCGGTCGCCTCCGTCACGGCTTCATTCGGTGCTGCCCATAAGGCGGTTGTTTTACTCGAATCGGTGTGCAGCTGTCCCGCCGCATCTGCACATCCTGACTTTGATTGTATGTGCTTCATCAGGCCATTGTTCTCGTGAGATCCAACCGGTAAGGCAAAGCCTCTTGCGGCCTTGCTTGCCAGCGACACAGCTCGCATCATGCCAGCATCTCATCCATGGCTACTGTTCAGGCCACTTTCCATCCAGACCAAGAAGCAGCAGAGCTTTGTACATCAGTTCAGCGACTTTCTGAACCCGCTGCGGATGGTGTTCCCAGGCATCTGCCAGAAGATCGGCCCTCACAGCCATGAAGTCCTGAGAGCAGCTTCCAGGCCAGTATCCGTGTCGGCGTCATCATCATCGTCATCGGCGGCCATTCCAAGTCCTGGTCCGGGACAGAGCCCCAATTTCAGCACGGACCGGAGTTCCACAACAATCAAGAGTCCGGAGAGTGCTGGTACGATGGCAACGACTCACATGCGTATATCTGACTCCGATACACGACTGGTCTTCCTGCTGGAGTCTCCCATGCTTGTTAACCAATCCTACGGGCCGTTATTTCCATGTCTGCCCACGATATTTCCAGAACTGACCGAGCAGCGGCGATCGTCGATAGCGAAAACCAGGGAGATGCTCGGATTGCCAGCAGCACCCAATCGCCCTGTGTCGCCCCCGATCTCGTCTGGACCGGCATCGATTCCACCGAGTCCAGCTCCAAGTCGGATCATCAAGACGCTGTCCCTGAAAGATATTCTGGCCAACCAACAGCGCGTGCTGCGGGGCAATGAGCAGAGGAATCTCAAACACATACCCAAGGTTTGTCGGATGAGGTGCCGGCTCAAACTTGTCGCCACATATCCCACGATCATGTCACGGCCGTTTGGTGGTGGCTTCCCTCCACATCTCTATGCTTGGCCCCTCCCGACCCAGTCATGCCTCATTTTCCCGACACACTCCTCTCGCTGTTCGCTTCAATGCCACCTCAAGATTGCCTACAAGATCATCAACCGCATACGCACCTTGCGCTGCATCTACTGCCAAACCGCCGATGCACCATCGAGTGTGGGTGAGGACAACCGTGCCTCGGTCGAGTGGTTCTCGTCCCTCGTGTTCAACTCGTTTGTGCAGTTTGGAGGCATGTCCGAGCTCTCTGAAAAGATGGCGTTTGTTCAGGTAAGCCCCCACACAAGATACGCTGCTCGAGCAAATTAAGTGCTCTGTGGTTGTAAGTGCATACCTTCCGCCAATCGAAACCGGAAGAAAGGCCGTGCTAAAGTCCACAACTGCTCTCTGTCGACCCAAACAATGACAACGTGAATGCATGGCCATAAAACGCCGTGTGCAGGCCAGAATCAATACCGACGACTGGGAAGTCATTGACAATGAGGACAATCCCGGTTTCCTTGTCGAGCTGCTCTTGTATTGGCTTACGTCACTCAAGGTGGGTCGAGACTTCCACGAAACCGGATGACACGAGCTTTCGGGACTCTGGGCTCTCGGGGATAGCTAACGGGGCCGTTCCTCCGGTAGGAGCCTGTGATATCCAACAAGCAGGTCAAGCTCTTGGACACGCCTCGACTGGATCCAAAGAGCTTCACCAAGAATCTCTCCAGGTCCAAGCTCTCGTCGATCAATTATCTGCTGGAGCTCGTGCGCCTGGTAAGCAACGTGGCCATTCGGACCTTCTCATCTATAGAAGCAACATGGATCCGGTCCGGTCTGCTCGCCATTCTAACTCGCATCCGCCGACAGCTCCCAGAACTCTCCTCGGAGCAGGTGCACAGGATGCTTGATCAGTACTCGGTGCTGCTGACCTCGGCTCGGAGCAGTATTTGTTTTCCGTTTGCGCCAAAGCTCGTTTGCCTCGAGAGCTTCAATCCCCCGCCGCCGTCCCTGCCCGCAGCGCAAGGTCTCGCCGAGAGTGCCGGATCCCAGACACCGCCGCTCAAGACGCCGGCGCTGGTCAAGATCGGAGTCATGGGGTTGAACCTGATTCAGGCGCAGCTGTTTACGACCAAGACCACGGCCGAGGAAAAGTCGCATCTGTGGACAACGTCGTCCAGTCTGGAACGAAACTCGAGCGTTATTCTCAGTTGCTCGACAATCAATCTGTCTCAGTTCCTGAGCTACTGCGCAACAGCATTCGCCTTTGTCGAGGAGACCAAGCTCGCCATTTCGGACTCGTTCAAAAGCGCGGCACAGCCCAAAGCAGTTGAGGAACTAGCAGCGATCCTCGACCAGATCAAGGACCACGAGTGTGCAGATGGTCCAGCGGAGCAAGCGTCGCTGGTCAACAAGGCAAGTGGGAAGACGGCGTGCTGAACTGGGGATTGCGGCCCTCACCGGGTTGCTGGCCGAATCACGAGGGGGGCTGACAAGTAGTTGATTGATCCAGGACCCAAGTCGCTTCAAAGCCGATCTGGTCCTTCCTCCGACGGCACACATTGAACGAGAGCTCACCAAGGAGCTGCCAAGATCTCCGGTCTCGCCAATGTCACCCATATCACCGACGTCGCCCAAGAACGGATATTCAAACGCGGGCTTGGCGGGGATCGATTCGCTTCCCTCTCCAACCGAGAGCCCGATGCTCTCGCCCACCTATCGAAGCACCGAGGTCATGCAGTACATCTTGGCGCTGGCAAAGGCGGGCCATCTCGAGCCGGACATGTGCCTCAAGGCTCAGATCCTATGCGAGGACGCAGACGCAGAGTTCCTCGGGGTCTATCAGAAGATGAGGATATCCGATTCGGAGCAGCGCGGCCGCGATCAGTTTGTGCGGGATCTCAAAGACATGCTGCTCAAGGTCAAGACGCTGGCGTGATATGGTCTCGCCCCCGCCCACCCACAACGATGGATGAAGAGTCCATCGACTGCAGCAACGACCCATGCACAGGGTGTGCCAAGTGTATTGTATGTAACAAAGTCATTGACTGTATTCGCACTATCGTCTGCCCAACAGAACGAAGGGACCTGTTGCCGTATTGCTGCAGCCGACACCGAGATCGCAGGCACCATCGGCCAACCTTTGCGATTCTTGGGCGATTGAGCTTGCGAGTGCTGTTGAGATGGAGGGCAGCCCAAGCCAGCTCACAGACGCTATGCCGGACTCATCGACTTCTCCGCAGCCGCGACAGACTTTTCATATACTTCACTTCCAAAAATCGTGACAATCTGGGGCTTCAGTTCACCCTGGACGTACTCGCTCAGGGGAACCTTGACCATACCCGGGTTGACGGCGCCGTCCCGGGTCCATTTCTGCGACAGGCGGGCCCTGGGCCAGTCCCGAAGATAGACCCAGGGTGGCTCGACCGAAATCTGATAGTACGTCTGGCCCGGAGCTGGGGCAATCATTTGCGACTCAAACACCGACTTTGGCTGCCTGGAGGCTGTCTTGGTCTCGCTCCAGAGTGCCTGGAGGCTGTTGCTGACAGTCGAGCCTTTCTCCAGCTTGGCGGGCTCAGGCTCCTCAGCGTCGTTGGCGGAGGGATTGGCAGGATCTTTGGCGGCCGCTGTACTGGCCCGGCTGCTGGGAGAGCTGCTCTTGGGCGATTCGACCGTCCGACGCTTGATATTTGAGCTCACGGGAATCTTGGTAACGCCGCCCCCGGACTTGCGGCGGATGGCCGGCGGTGGGTTTGGCGGCGGAACAGGGTTGATGGGAGGCATTAGAGGAGCTGCACCGGGTTGGAGCAAGGGAGTTGGTGGACCGGGCAGGTCAGTGATGGAGATGCAAAAGTCGGATGGCTACTTTAACGCAGCGGGACGGGACTATGCAATAGTGCTGGAGATGAAAGAAGTACCCGTACCGACACCGATGCCGCCCCGAAACCAAGCCGTCTGTCTCGAGTCCTGTCGGGTCATTCCCACGGCGGACGTCATCCAGCAATGCGGGTGGTAAGCGACGGCAGGTCAGCAGGCGGTCCTCGCCGTGATCGAGCGATTGGTCGTCATGGATATCAGCAGTGTCGGGGGATGTGGGATATGCAGACGCCTGCGAATCTGTCCATGGGTGTGCGATTGCCCTGATACTGATCGATCTGGTTAAGAAAGCCAAGCAGGAACTCCTTGCCCACCTCCACTCTCCCCCCATTCAGACCAAAGTAGGACCCGAGTGCATGGAGTCTCTGTCTGCTCGCGCTGCATCGGCCCTCCAGGATATGTGATTGACGATGGCAGTGATTGGGGGGAGGGAGGCAGTCCGGCTGCCCCATGGGAATGCCGTCGAATCGGAAGTTTCAGAGCCGCCGTGGTCGTTCGGCATCGGCCTGCTTGGTCCTGCGCTTGCTTGGTCCGGCCCGCATCCTCGCGGACGCTGCATCTGCCTGCCTGCATCGCCCGCTCGTCGATCCTCTGCGGGCCGTCGTCGCCATTGTTGCTGTCTCGAGCCGCCAGCACCCGCCCTGTTCGCTGCCCATCTCCGTGATCCGTTCGCTTGCCCGATACACCCGCGTCGCCGTCCCCTCCCCCTCGTCCTCTCGCCCGCTCTTCGTCTATCGCACCCCAGCCGGCTCCGAGATTCAGCTCTGCTTCGCTTTCCAACCCTGATTCTTCCGATCGGCGGCCTGGAGCACCGATCCCCGCGTTGATCGCCACCCCGTCCCAGCGACGACACGTACATCCGCGATCCGGCTGCTCGGAGACCCATATCCTGGCCACCTGCCGAGCTGCTTGCCGAGCTGCTTGCCGAGCTGCTTCTTCACCCCAGTCTGACGAGACTCATCAAGCCCCTCTCCCCGGCACGAAAGCCAAAGCCGCCGGTGCTGCCGCTACTTTTGCACACACACCCAATTCATCATCCGGTCGGTGCCGGTCACTGCGATGAGCAACCGAGGTTTTGCTGCTGCCCGTCCGGCTGCCACTGGAGCCACCCAGCGAGCATGGCAGTCAGAGTATCAGCGTGAGTTTACCTGGCGACGGCCCGATGCGCTTGCCCGTCCGGCGCCTGTCTTTGGCCAGCCGAATGCCGGTCTGGACGAGCCCGAGACTGTCCAGTTCGAGGGCCTTTCGCCCACGTTTCAGCCGCGGAAGCCCAAGTCGGTCGAGTTTGCCGTCGACGAGGGTCTGGCGCCGGGCGGCTCGTCGCTTGCTGCTTTCAAGTCCGGAGGCGGCCATGGCCCAAGTCTTCCAAGCCGGCCCGACGAGCCCGGCCGAGAACGAGCTGCCTATTCTCCGTTAGAATCGGCTGGATTTCCAGGCTCGTCTGAAGCCACCGGCCAGTCTTTGGCGGCCGCCGGGGAGCTTTCCTCTGGGCTCGCTGGCAGACCCGCCTCCCAAGCCATCCACGACGACGACACGTCCTATTGGCGACATGGCGACGAAGAAGCTGGAGCTGCGGTCGCCCAGCCAACCTTCATGGACAAGGGCCTCCGTGGCAACGAGGTGGGATGCTGCGTAGATGCCTCACTTGACTCCCTTTGGGCCAGTCTGCGGGCATCAGGGAGGCCGTCGCAGTGTCGCAGGTGTTGCCGCCCTCTCGCTGCAAGCGCTTCGGCATGGTGGTGCCCGATGAGTCCTGCTGTGAGGCGCACCAAAGCTCATCCGTCTCTGACTCTTCCCAGCAGAGCCAAAGACATCTGGGCCAGCTGAGCGACGACCTGGGGAATATGCGCCTGGATGGCGGAGCCGAATCCAACTTTCTCCGGGAAATCGGCAGCACCGCCAGCCCCGGCCTCAATCCCAGCCTCGGTCCCAACACCAGCAACAACAGCAGCCATCCGTTCTCACGCTCTGACTACACTCAGACTGACGGCAATCCAAGCATATACACGAATGGGAGAAAAGGTCGCTCGGCGCATCCGACCGACCATCCCGAGAGACGTCGACAGCCACCGAGTTCGGCCCAGACACAGCCGAAGCACCCAAGCGATCCAAGTAAGCGCATGGCAGCTGGTGTTGACGGATGTGATGCGATCCAACCGAGCATCCAGCCCAGCCGGATCGAGGCTGATCTGCTTCTAGACCAGACCGCTGGACTGCAGCCGGCGGAAAGCACTCACTCGCACGGCGCACCCTTTCTTCCTACCTCCACTTTCACTTCCAGGCAACTGGGTCACATCCTCACAGAGACAGAACATCCGAGCCGGCGATCTGCGGCCGCACTCGGCGGGACCGCGGCCGCAAGAAAGCACCGAGACAACGCTGACGGCCGAGCGTCCTGGGTCGCCAACGAGGCCGCATCCTCTGAGACCAGCCAATGCCTGGGGCATACCGGAGGATGAAGGCACGACTCTGTCGGCCAGACGCACCGCTCACTCCTCAACGGAACCCCGAGAGCATCCAGTGCCGACAATGCCCGTGAACCCACAGCACAGTCTCGCCGTCCATTCCCCTCGGGTTGCTATGACCCAGCCCTACAGCAGCCAGGGTGCACAGGAGCAGTACCACCAGCGCGCCGTCGATGCACTCAAGCGGTACTCCGAGGCCAAGCACACTGTCGAGATCCTTCAGAATCGATTCCAGACCGAATACCAGCGCGAGTTCACAATATGGCCCAAGACCAAGCTGAAGCCCGGCGACATCCTGCCCGACGCGAACGAGCCGCCTGTCTCGATGGTTACGCCGCGGGCCGGGCTCAAGTCGCCGTTCTCTGGCGGCATATCTCTCACCGACGGCTCCGAGGACGCAAAGCTGGCCAACGAGCGGGGGGGTGCACGCGGGTCTACCCACGGCCGCTCCAGCGGCCCGGCTGTTGCCCAGGGAGTCAAGAGTGTGTCGTTTGCCTCGCCGCTCGAGCTGACGCATCCGTCAGAGGGATTTGTGGCTCGGGACAGCCGGTCGCCAGACTCGGCCGGCCCCTCCCCAAGCCCCGGTGAGGGCGAGTATTCGGCCAGGCCGCGCCAGGCCAACTACCAGGCCTACCAAGTGCCCAGGACTGTCCGAGATGATCTCCACAAGAACTTTCTCAGCAACGGCAAGCGGCACTATCCGTACCGCAAGGACGAGATCCAGATGCAGCTCGAGGACATCAGGATCGAGTATCCGGTCAGTGAAGATGAGCCGACCAGCGCCCGACCTGAAACAACGCCCGACGGATGGCGGGGGCGCATCCTCACTCCCAAGTTCGAGCCGCCAACAACCTATCACCTGGCACAGGACCTGCTGCAACGGGCTCGTGAGCGCAACTTGGAGCTCAAGGTCTCTGGAGTTCAAGCGCGCACAGGACTCAGAACATGACCTGGGCCAAGATGCCATCGTTCAATGCCGTGGTCTGAGCCCCAGCACTGCTTGTACACGACCGAGGAAGGATGCAAGACCCGAGTATTCGACCTGGATCTGGGCCACCTCCAGATCGTAAACCGCCAACGGGTTAGCAGGACGGAAGAGCAAACTGACGCATACGACCATCATCCCCTCCCCCCCCCTCTCCTCCCCCCAAATGCATCATCGTCAACAAAGCAGTGTCTATTTCTTATTTCAACTACCATAACGGACTGTCCTTCAATTTTTTCCATCCGAGCAAAAGGGAGCGAGACCGCATTCAGAACCACCACCACCACCACCACCGTCGCCGCCCCCCGGCAAATAGAAGAATGGCGGCAAGGCGGGTGTCGAGCGATGGGAAGGAGAGCGAGGCAGAGAAGGACGGGCCGTGCACAGGCCTCCAAACGATAGCGATTCTTGGCAGACTCGGCTCGAGACAAATAGCGAGATTCGAGACTCAATGCATCCGACTTGGCCCTTGCGCTCCACCACCGTCGCGTTACATAAATACATAGAAATCAACTCAAGTAGGGAGGGGGGAAATAGATAAGCGAGTGCACACTCTCGCCAGGGAGCTCCGTCGCGCAATGGCAGGCGATTCGATCGCTGTATCAATTCCCGACGCGGAACTGGTGGATGGCGTTGCTCTTGGACGCATGAGAATAGCAGCACGGTCGTGTTCAAACGGAAGGACATGTTCATGTCGTGAACGCTGAGGTTGAAAGGTACGGCATAGTTACGCATTGTTCGCCGAGCTGACCAACCCTTTGCTGTACGAGGGACGGCGGTGCCGCGTGTGCTATATCGATGAGAAGTATTCTTTGGATCTATAGCGGATATTGGAGAGGCGAGAGGATCACAGCGAAGGAGGAGTATGGGTTTGGCGAGAGTCCAAGGGGAGAGAAAGAGAGTATGCAAAACAAAGTGATATGAATATATGTGTACATGTGGAGTGGGAGGAGGGAAGGCATGCATGTTGGCAACCGAAAATAGAGTCAAAAAAACAAGCTTGGAGACCGCCTGGAGGCAAGTGATCAGTTACAGTAGTGGCGGAAGGGGGGGGTGTCAAGACCTCGGCAATCGTGTCCCTTGTATCAAAAGGGGTGGAGTGGTGAAGAGTTGATGGTGGAGGGAGGGACAGATCGGGCGGCGCGCGACTCAAGGCTCAGATGGGGCGGTCAGCTTCAGATAGCGCCGTGGCAAAAACGGGCCGAGAGCAGAATCGTTTGTGCCGCTGTAAGCGCTGCGGTAGTGCGTGATGGCCCATCGCAAGTCCGAGTGGTGGCTGCCGGCTCTCGGCTCAGGGGCATCGTGGCCGCAGCCGCCATCGTCGGCACTCGAGATCTTGGTGGTGCCTTCGGTGGGAACAACGCTGTCTCCAGAGACCTCGAGCCGGAAAAAGGTTTCGGTGCTGAAATCGTAGTTGATGTACAGGGATTGGTGGACGAACGATTTGCACGGGCCGATGGTGACCGTCAGCAGCACATATCGGTTCAGAAAGCTCGTGATGGCCTCATCGATGTCGCTGGTAGAATCGTGATAGTAGCGGTGCACCCGCCTCATCTGGGTATCGGTGATGTTGTGCTGGATTGGCACGCCAGCCCACATGGAGACGTAGCAGACCTGAGGGAAGGGCGATGCCACGTGTGCAGAGTGAGCCACGACGCGGCAAAAAGTCGGAATACGTCAGGAAGGGATGCATGCAGTGCGCGTGCTTGGCGGTGTGCCGAGCGAAGGGCCTTACATTTGCCCAGATGAACATGAAACACATGGCGTCTGTGAGGATATTGACTCGGACGTAGGCTTGGTCGGTCAAAAACATCAGCTGCACCACGCTCTCGTAGTTTTCCCGGGCTTCTTGACAGCGAATGAATCCTTCGAGCGTCTGGGGCTTCTTGGATGGGTGGTCCCAGAGGTCTGCGGTTGAGGGGAGCAATTGCGGATTGGATGGGAGTCAGCGGGCGGAGGATAGTCCGGATGAGGAGCAGAGATCAAGTGCATCATGTGGTTCTGGACCGTAGAGCCCGTGGCAACGGTACGACAGCTCCAAGTAGGACGCACGTGGATTTCGGCGTGAAGCACAGCTGGAATAGAAACACGATAACAGGTCGCATGGCGGCAGTGAAAAAAACAGCTACCCACCCATGATCATGGCCGGGTAGTAGACCGTCATGAGAACGCCGTAAAAGATGACGTGGAGCGACAGGATGTCGGTGATGCTGCTTCCGCCCAGGATCGGCTGCTGTTTCGTCGCTGTCGGCTGCCACGCAGCCGAGAACGAGACCAAGTCCTTCATCCACATGGGCAGGTTGCCGTACCACACCCACAGCTTGCGGATGGCGCTGGTCTTCCAGCTCTGATACTCCGCGACCAGATTCCACCTGGAGCTGCCGGGCCCGTCGTGTTTGGTGAGCGGGCCATCGTTGTAGACGGGCAGGAATTTTGCTGCTTGGTGGTACACTTTTGTAAGAAACAGCCGGCCTCTGGCCACAATCGGGACAATGTCGTCGGTGAGACGGAGCAGCTGGAATCGGCCGTTGGACACCAGGGTTGCGTCTTGACTGGAGACCCAGTATGCTTCCCGACTGGGATACAGCGATATGGGGAATGTCCGCGCATGCGAGTACTGAAAGTACGGCAACGCCTTGATTTTGTACTCGAGAAACTCGCAGTGGTGCCATATCCGCCGCATGCTCTCTTCCTCCTCCCAGAGAGTGGGGTTGGTCGAAAAGTCGTCGGCTTGCTCCTTCCGCAGAAGCATAGGGATCTTCATTGCCACCGCCATGCGTGTCGCCGCATCCAGGAATCGCAAGGCAATGGCGACTGACGGGAGAGTTCATCATAGGCCAAGACGTGGGCGGGACAGTCAGAAACAATCCAGTTTGGCAGCGAGCGCTCAATCGATGAGCCAGACAGGGTGGAACTCACCACTTTCCGACACTATCGGACGTTGTCGACGGGGATAAGCGGTATGGATGGAATGAATGTCATTGATGGGGCGAGCGAAGGGGCCAGAGAAAGCAGAGAGTCGGGTGAGCGAGTCGATTTGACGGCGAGTCCGATAGCGTCCGACACAGCGGGTGATACTTGCGGTTTGTATAGTGCGCCAGAAGGACGAGGGTCTGTAGAGCTGCAATGCTGGGATGGTCGAGCTCAAAGGAAACGAGCGAGCGGGCCTTTTGATAATAGTGCGTCCGATAGTTGACCGAGAGGGCTGTTGCCGAATCCAAGGCAGGCTTGGCCGTCCAGATATAGGCGTGCTCGCTATGCCACATGCCAAAGGCAATCATGATGGCGACGAGATGGTCCGGTAACCGGGCGAGGAGGTCCGCGACAGGACGCCTCTTGGTGAGCCCGCATGGCATGTACCGATGTGTCGTATACTGTAGAATATATCGTGTCAACCGGGTTCCAGCGTGAGACGGGCGACAGACGGGCGACAGACGGCATTGGTAACCAGCAGCCAGCAACTAAGATCTGGCATCCAGCAACTCAGGGACCCGTTGACTGTCTGCCGAACCCACTCGGATCGCAACAGCAAGAGAGGCCGACAAACGTGCGTACATCAAAAAAGCAGTCTATCAGCAACGACTCGCTCTTGAGGTCCAGGATGTACGGTGAGCTGCCGGGGAGCCATATGGGCCATGACGCCGACAGGGAGATGTAGGCGGCGTCTCGCTGGGGCGGCTGACTTGAACGGCCAGAGGATGCAGCGGCTTTTGCTTTGGCGGCGGCCTTGGCCTCTGCCCTTCGTTTGCGGGACTCTCTCCGGTGCTGGACATCAATCCTTCGCAGTTGGGACTCCAGGCGGGTGATTTGGGACGAAAGCAGCCGCCGATACCTGTGGCGAGAACAAGGGCTCGAGCGTGAGCACGCACCGGGTGCCATGACTCGGCGACGATCGTCGGGAAGGCGGGCCTCGAATCCCGAGGAGCCGGATGACGGGCGGATCGGGAGACGACATGGACAGGCGCAAGTTGAGCATGCACAGACGGGCGACGCAGCCACTGATATCGCAGCCGGGACACTCACCCGCGATGATGGTGCGACTGCGACCTCAGTCTGTTCAGAAGAGGGTTGTCCGACGGCAGCAGAGGATCGCTGGCCTCGGAGGAGTCGGCCGGAGAGGGCAGCGAGGCCATGCGCGGCGAGTCGGCGGCTGGAGCATCGGCCAGGGCGGCCGACGCTGTGGAATGCGACGACAACGACGACACGGACGACGGGGATGATCGGGAGTGCAGCATTGGCGCTGGGTGAGCTCGGAGGCCGTGGGGCCAGGCGTTCGGGGCGACCTGGGACGGAGACCAGGCCGGTGGGATGGGATAAGACGGGATGGGATGGGTATGATGGCTGGCTGGGTTGGTTGGGCGAGCAGATGGACGCCGCTGGGTGCCGACGGACGAGGCACAGACGAGCAGTGCCGAGAGCCAGCGAGAGGCGAGGCGCGGTACAGACGAGAAGATTCGACGAGGCGGGGACACTGTCTGTGTGCGCGGCAAGCTGCGGGCAAGCTGCGGCGCCTGTATCCGGTGGGTGCGTGTGTGTGTGGCCCGCGGCGCTGTCTGTGTACACCGCGCCGAGCGTGTGTGCGCGGCCGGCGCCGTTGTGTGTGTGCGGACATGCCGTTGCACAGGCTGGGTCCGCTGCGCTGTGCGACCGCCGGCGGGGCGCCGCCGATTGGTCCGCGCTTGCTATTTCCGGCCCCGTGCCTTGGGCACTGGTTCCTGTTGCGCGGCCGCGCCGGTTTATCCGCCCAATCAGCGTGCGGCCGCACCCACGGCCGCGCATCCGCCCCGGCTCCGAGCGAGCGACTTTGCACCTCCTCCCGGTTTCGGTCTGGCTTTCGGTCTGGCTTTCAGTTTGGCGCGTTCATGAGCCCTCGCTGCCTGCCCAATCCTTCGATCTGCTGAGCGTCTGCTTCAGTCCAACTGCTCCATCCCGAATCCGCTTCAGCTCAGCCTGCTCCATTCCCTCGGATCTGCACCACTCCCCTCGGATCTGGCCCAGCTCTCCAGCCCGACCAAGGCCTGCTTATCGACATGTTCAGCTCGCCAACCCGGAACAAGGGCCTCCGAGGCCTCGATGTCGCCAGCCTATCGCCGTCGCCTTCGTTGGAGGACTCGCCTTCGCCAAAGCCCTCCCGCAAGCGCAAATCCACAGCGCCATCGATAACGCTATCGTCCCGAGCACCAGTCTTCCACGATCCCTGGCTGTCGCCTCCACCACCACTTCCTCCCAGCCGCTTCCCCGAGTGGGTGCCCGGGGCTCCAAAGTCTATGAGCTCTCTCTCGAGCCGCTTCAAGTGCCCGCAGACCACTGTCCCGCGCCCGGCTGCAGACTCTTCTGCGTCTGCCGCCAAATCCCCGCTGCCCATTACCGCCAGCGTTCAAAGGACCTTTAGGAAAATTGCCAGCCTTGCCCATCCCCGCCGGTCGGTTCCTGCACATGCCTCGCCGACCTCGCGGACGTCGCGGAAGGCCCCAGAATTCTACGGCCGGCGGCATGAGCCGCACCGCGACGACATTGTCGAGGGCACTCAGTCCTCGTGTGCCTCAGCAGCCCATGCGAGCGTCCCTGTTGCTGCCGACCCTATTGCCGACGTTGTCTCGGAGACCTATCCGGCAGTTGATCTGGCGCCACTGTTTCGGAAGGCTCAGGAGGGCGCCGGCGACGAGGACGACGAGAACGAGCCCATCCTCTCGTATCAGAGCGGCGCCAGCGGCGGCCCAACTCCAAAATCACATCGACGAACCAAGCGACGACTGGTCACCCCCAGCCGCTCACCCTTCCTGAGGCGGTCGGGGCCGCGGCCCTCGGCCTTTTCGGCCACGCCGCTTCAGTTTTGTTCCGAGCCCGACGAGCTGCCGCTTCCGAGCGCAACGATTCCTCCATCAAAATATGCAAGGTACTCCAAGCGCCTCACACTGGTGTCGACGCCAACGAAGCGCCGGCCGCCCACGGCATGATGCTGGCTTGCTGGCTCGCTGGCTGGGTTGCTGGTCCGCGAATAGGCGAGGCGATGCGATGCACGACGGCGGTATCGCCATGGAACTGGTTCGGACGAGTGCGACGACTCGGTCAAGCAGCGCCCAATAAATAGTTCGCCGTCATTTTTGCAAGCCCGACAGCGAACCCTTGCACATGCAACCGCATCGCATCGAATCAGACTGGATCGGACCGGACCGGATGCCGTTGGATTGGATTGGATGCCATTGGATTGGATTGGATGCCATTGGATGGGACGCCATTGGATGGGATGTCACTGGATTGGAATCGATCGGATCGCGTGGCACTCCATCAAACCGCATCGGATCGCATCGGATCGCATCGTGCCGCTGAGAGCCGGCCCTGCGGAAACGACGGCGACGATCAAGAGCACGTCCGCCTAGAGACGCTTTTGCTTCGAATCCGATGGCACTGGAGCAGCAAAAGCCCTGACATTGTCGTGAAAGTACACAACGCTGACCGTGATGGCGATGTTGATGAGGAAAAATGCAAGACTTGCCGCCCAGAGCTGCCGATAGGTTTCGATTCCCAGGTGCTCGAGCTGAAAGGCAAACAGCAGCCACGCAGCCTGGACCGACGACGATGACGAGTAAGCAGAGGACGAGAAAACGGATGAGGGTGATTGTTGGGGGTAACGCAATGAGGATCCAGAGTCTGATGGATCGAGTGCAATAGAGTGCAACCGAATGCCACCGAGTGCAACCGAATGCCACCAAGTGCAACCGAATGCCACCAAGTGCAACCGAATGCAATCAAGCGCTTCCACGAACCTGGCCAAGAACCCACATCACAAGGAGCCCCAAACCCAGCTTCCACTGGTCGCGGATGAGTCGGTTGCGGGCGAGCAACACAGGCAAGAAGCACAGATACCACACAAAGTACTGAGCATGCCAAGATGCAAGGTAGTCCAATCGGTCAGCATCATGGTTGGCTCCCAGACAGCGACGGGACTACAAGGGTGGGCCGCTCTGTCCTCGCCACAGCCTGCTGGCGAGCATCTCTGCCCCATTCTGCGATGCCCATACCTGCGAGGTGCAGACCTTGTTCCAGGCGACAAACACAAATGTCTGCGCCCAGCAAGCCAGCACCAGATTTCTGCGCCCCAGGCGAAATCCGATCCAGATGGCAAGGGCGAGTTGCGGCACAAACGCAAAGAGGGAGAGAAGCTCCATCAGCCGCTCGAACCCCGATTCAGGCACGACTTGTTTCGACGCCTGCGCGCTCGCGAGATAGAGCGGATAAAAGTAGATGGAAAAGTTGTGCCGGTGGTCGGTGCGGGTGAAGTGGTAGGTGAATGCCTCGGCCAAGAAGCTGTGGCCGTACTGCAGATATGCAGCGACGTTGAGGACCATGAAAGACAGGATCGAGACGAGGGTGAACTGGATATGCTGCCACGAGAGAAAGGGCTGGATCCGGCGCCGGATGCCAGCGACGCTGAAGATGGGAGCCGTGTCGACTTGGGCTGAGGGGGTCGCCATGGCGCTAAGGAAAGCCGAGCCGTAGATGAACGGGTAGATCTTGAAGTGGACGGCCAGGCCGAGAAGCACCGCCGAGAGGATCCGGCGGCGGGTCTGGAAGGCATAGAGAGTGGCAAGGACCAGTGCGGCCATGATGGCCTCACACGAGCCGCGGGCCGAAATGACGAGGACGACGGGGTTGAGTGCCCATGCGACGCAGACGAGCGTTGTGATGGCTGAGGAGGCCGGCTTGCGGGGAGCGGGCGACTTGGCCTGCTCGGCAGACGGTTCGACAGATGGTTCGGCAGATGGGTCGGCGGTATGGAGGGCAACGAGCAGCGCCGCGACCAGGACGGAGGCCGCCGAAAACAGGACCTTGCCAAAGGACGGAAAGTAGACGATCGGGGTCAGGATTTGCGCCAACAGGGGGGAGTATCGATAGGTCTGGCGTTCGTAGGGCGATCGTCCGCCATGCACGAGAGCGGCGGCGTCGCTAAAGACGGCATAGTCGATGTCGGTGAAGGGAAGCGAGGCGTGCTTGTCCTGGTAGAGGCCATAGGCAATAAAGAGCACATGTGCGAGGGCAGACAGCAGCGCTATCGATGCGACCGGGGAGCGGGAGAGCAGCATGGGAGGCAGAAGCGATGCCGAAAGCGATGCCGAAAGCGATGCCGAAAGCGATGCCGAAAGCGATCGGTCGAAGCGCAAGTCGCTGGCCAGGAGGCGCCGTGCGTCACGACACGCGGGTTTGGATGGCCGAATGGAATCAGTCGAACCCCGGGGAACAACTGGGCTGAACTGGGCTGAATGCCGCCGCTCGCATGATCATCACCAGCATATCGCCAGCGTATCATCAACGATATCGAGCATCGGCGGCCGAATCAACACCGGGCAGCCACGCGATGTCTCCACAGCAATCAGAGCCCCGGCAGCAACGGCATCACGACAACACCATCACCTGGCCGCACAAACAGCCCCGGATGCATCAGAGGGCGTCACCGAGCCAGCTGCCGCCGATGCAGCATGCATACATCGGCCGTCACCCCAAACACGCCGCCGGCGGGCCAGGGCAACATGCGATGGCCGTCCTTGCACGGCTCATCCTCCCGACCAGACGAATACCACCGAGGCAAAAACCACCGAGGCAAATACCATCGCGGACGATGCCATCCACGCTGTCTGGCTATCTGCTCCCATCGCATGCGGCGACATATCTCACACCACGCCACGATATACCACACCACACCACTCCGCACCGGCTCGTGATCGGCGCAGTGTGTGTCCAACATCCAATGCCCTTTGCTCCCACGAGACCCCCAGCAGCCGCTAATACCCCTTCGCAGCACCATCAACACCCGCCGCGGCCACCGGGGCCGGAAGGCTCTGCCCGGAATGCTGCGAGCCCATTCGCCCGTCCCGGCCTGCCCCGGCCTGCCCGGCTGCCCCCCCCCAATGAGGCGCCTTGGCCTGTCCTGTGTGGTTCGCCCCCCAAGTCATCTGTTGTCTCCACACCGCCAGTCACGACATCCTGCCGAATCACTTGCTGTTCTTCAGCCGTCCCCGCGGCCACGCCCGCCAACGTCCTGAGCGTATATATACGAGTCCCCTCGGCCGTCCGGGTCTGGGCACTGCGTCGTCCCCACGATCTACCTGCACTCGTCCTCAACCCCACCTCACCTCTCAATCGCTCACTAGTGCCTTTCCGTGGCTGCCCAACTGGCTGACCAACTGGCCATCCATCAAAGCGTCCCCTTCTTCTGCCTGTCGCTTCCGTAACCAATCTCGGTGTCTGCCACCCATCTCTTCAAAGCTTAGTCCCCGTCGACTCTGATCCCAGCGATCCTCAGTCCAGTATCCTCAAGTGTGCTTGCCAACAAATTCCCCTATTTTGGTGAACTCCGTCCTCTGAACCCCCCCCCAAGCAATCCCGATCCGGTCCGGAACACTCCTCCAAGCATCCATTCCATACAGGCTCAACGGCCTCGACTATGATAGACTCAATGCACATCGTCGCACACGGCCCCGCTTCCACACATGTCTATCCCGAGCTGGTTGCCTGCCGCCCGGCTCCCTGCCGCTTTTCCTCGGTGCAGTACCCCATTCCGTTCCCTTCGCCCCTGAACCTCTACACCCTCAAGTCGGGCAAGTCCCCGCTCGAGTTTTCGCTTCTCGCAGGCCTGCCTGCTGCTGGCTCCAAGCTGCTGCAGTCCTCCGAGACCCCCACCATTCTCTTCAGCAGCGAGTACGACTCGCCGCTGCTGTGTTCGCCGCAGGAGCACCTGGTCCTCGTGGCCTATGACAGCTCGGCGGCTTCAAGGAAAGCCCTGTCCATCGCCGTGGGCATGTGCGGCAAGCTTTACGACGGCCTTGTTATCATCAGGGTGGCCGAAGGTATGTCTGTTGGTCGGGCTGGACCGGACGATCGCTGTCCGCCCACGTTCCCACACCCCCACCTCGATCCACATCTCGCTCTGGCCTCGTCAGCGATCTATCGCGCCGTATTATGCAGTCGCGATCACTTGAGTTCCGTTGCCACCGTCGCTTCCGGCTGATCATCCGGTGTTTATTCTGTCCCAGATTACGTCCACCCGATTGTGGCCCGCGAAGAGGCCGACGAGCTGATGAAGTCGATTGCTCGCGGCCTCACGCTCTCGTTTGAGTGTCGGGTGAGTTGCTCCCCAGCATTGCCATTGCTATTGCTATTGTCATTGCCGCTGCGGTGGCTGCGTCGGGTCCGGTGCTCGCTTTCTCGTCCGAGACACAAAGTTGCGTCGATTCGCACTCGTCACTCATCCTTGCTCCACCGAATCATCGCTGCCTTTGCTCAAATCGAATCCAATCGCATCAAATCAAATCAAATCAGATCCCGGTTTTGATTCTCTACAAGCCCGGACGACCCGAGCATATTCTCTCGGAGCAAATCGGTGTCTTTAATCCTCGCGCCATCGTCATCGGCAAGCAGGGCGCTGGCCAGTGCTCTTCGCTCGGCCGCGTCGCCGACCATCTCATCCGCAACGCCAAAGGATGTGTGATGGTCGTCGACGAGGACGCCTGAGAACCGCACAGATACCCCTACAACGCCAAGTGCTGCTCAAGGACCTCCTCGCCCTCCCCTTCTCCTCCTCCCTCACGCTATCCAGTTTTCTTTTTGGACCACCCTTGCCTTTCTTTGCCGTCCTGATGTCCCGAATGATGACGACATCCCTGCGATGAGCATTTATCTGTCTCGATCAGAGCAGCTGGCCGACTTCCTGTTTTTGAACTACTACCTTCCTCCCCCCCCTCCTTGGTCGTTGGCAATTTTGACTTTGCGCTCTTTGAACGAGCTGGTCCGATCGAGTGTCGCTGCTGGTCATCAGCCGCGATTGGACCCAGTTTTGACTTGGCATCGCAAGGACGAATCTCTTACTGTTTCCTCCCTCAAACTCCTCCATCGCCTGACCCCTTCTTTCGATCTCTCCCTCACAATCCTCGAAAATGCAGCCGGTTTCGGAGATAACGATGACGATGACCGTCTCGCGAACCGGGCTGTACGTTTTCCCTGTGTTGTCGAGGCTGTCGATGAATATAGCGTGTTGAACCATGGGAGAAAGCGAGAGGTCGTGCTCGAATGTTGTCCGAATGACCACCAAAGGGCGATCACGGGTTCTGAGAGAGATGGCACGAGCCGGGACTCTGCAGAACATCGATGAGGTCACCAAGCGCCAATCATTCGCCTGGCCGATCCAGCCACCGCTTCAATGGCGGAGGTGTTCGTTGATTGGGTCCTCCGCTCGGCCCCATTGCAACCTGTCATTGTCTCCGAGGATCCCAGCACCGCGCTTGGTCGAAGGCTGACTTTGGAGACGAACTGCCTTGGGGAATGAGGACTGGGAGGAACCCAATCATTTCGGCTGCGTGCCTGTCGCTATTCGCTTCGCTCTCACTGGGAAGCAGAGACGAATGAGGAGCTTGAGATCTGACTCAGAGGGAGGGACGCCATCAACAGCAACACCATTTCCTGTATTAGAGAGCTGGGTGAGCAGCCTTCTTGGATCGAGCGCCAGCCTGTCACTGATGTCTGTGACCATCGGAGTCTGCCGACCCGATCCAGCCCAGCTCGGCTCAGCCCGACTCTGCTCGGCTGCATGTCTGGGGGGTATCGCAGCCGCCCGTTTGGGTCTACAATATGGCGAATATCAAAGCCCATCTGGTCCAGCTCCAGAACAATTTGAAGGTGGCCAAAAATGAAGGCCAGCCGAAGCCGGATATCGGTCACTTCATTTTCAAGGGCTCTCCAGGCACAGGAAAGACGACAGGTGAGGAGTGGCATGCTTTGGTACTATAGTAGATGGAAGTTCGAGCACGGCTGCAGGGAATTGCGGTCAGACGAGTAGTTTTCCACAGTCCGCTGCGGAGCCGATTGTGTGATGCCATTGGTGCTGCATTGGTTGGTAGCTGAGAGTTGGATATTCTATGCTGAATTGTGTCGAGTGCTGATGCCCACTAGTGCTGATACTGATGCCGCTACCCTCGTATTATCGTGCTCCCTTGATTCAGTCGCTCGAGCAATGTCCAGGATTCTGTATGAAATGGAGATGCTCGCAAGTCCAAAGATTGTAGAGACATCAGGCTCAGATCTCACTGGTGAATACGTCGGTCAGACCAAAACCAAAGTTAGCGAGAAGCTTGGTCAAGCTCGAGGCGCCGTTCTCTTCATCGACGAAGCATATGAGCTTGGGAAAGGCAGTTACGGCGAAGAAGCCATGACGACACTCTTGGCAGCAATGACTGATCCCGAGTATCGTGGCATTGTCATCATCATTGCCGGATACGAGCATGAAATCGATGAAATGCTCGACCGCAACCCGGGCCTCAAGAGTCGATTCTCAAATAGCTTTTACTTCAACGACTGGTCCGCGACCGACACCCGGAACTTCCTCATGCAAGAGCTTAAATCGAAATATGAAATTCGGGATGAGGATCAGCGCCAAATTGAGCTGATCATACTTCAGCGGATCCAGAGGCTGCAAGCCTTGCCAGGGTGGGCAAATGCCCGCGATGCGCTTGCAATTGGGAAGAAGTTCCAAATCATTCGGTCCGAACGAGTGGTTCAGTTCCCAGAATCGATTCCTACGATCCAGCTCGCTGAAATCGATCGTGCTCTTGAAGAAATGATTCGAGAGAGGACTCCAGCCAAGGGTGAGGCCGCCATCCGAGGAGGGCGAAACCAATCGTCAGCGTACCCCCGTCAGCTCTCGGCACCTCCTCCTCAGCAACAATTCGCCTCATCGCACGAGGAAAGAGAAGTCACCAGACCACAAAGCCCCATATCAGGCGAAGATCTTACCCACGATACTGAGGAACTCTCTGCCGAAAATGGAGGAAATCACGATGAAGAAAACGCAGATGAGGACGATGACGACCTTCTCAATGCCGATTTTTCGTATTTGCTTGGAGGAACCCGTGACTCTGGTGTCAGCGATGAGGTTTGGGAAGAGCTCGAAGCGATCAAACGCCGATATTTCGAGGAGCTCGAACGACTCCGTCGCGAGCGAGAAATCGAGAAGCTGCGCCTTGAGCTCGAGAAACAAAAGGCCACACAAGAGCGTATCCGACGGCTCTGCTCTTGTCCGATGGGATTCGCTTGGTACCAAGTTGGCGGTGGATGGCGCTGTGCCGGCGGCTCCCATTACGTTTCGAACGAGCAACTCCAGGCCAATTTCATGCAGTAACAGCACACATGTCGCAAACAGACTTGAACCAGTGTCCCGTTTCGTTTGGGGGTACTCTGTTCTGGGTGAGGACTGTCGTTTTTCTGAGTTCTGAATACACAACCGCCCGTCGCTGTGATGCTCCAGTCGCAGCTGTTGTGTCGTGTGGATTTGCGACGTCAATGCGATGCCCAGCACGATCATCGTGTGCAGGTCGATTGTGGAAATCAGGGAGCGACTGGAGGTCTTTAATCGGGAGTATTCACTCGAGTCTTCGCTCGAAGACTGTCTGAGTGAGCGATTTCATTGGATATGGCCCTGTTTGACGCCGGCCATCAAAGACGACGCTGTCGCAGGTCAAGGCAGGATCGAGTGCACCACACACACACACACACAAAGTCGTCCCGGATTTCATTCCCCGGTTCGAGCCACCGAACGAGCCATATCCGGAATCTCGCCTTCGTCTCCTTGACCGAGATCCCTTCCGCCACCCAGCGACTGTTTCCCTGTCAGATCGTCGAGTGTGATTGTTTGGTTGCAGCAATGTCGTGGCAGGTACAACGATGCGATGATCGCCGACTCGGTTGCCCTTGCTCAATTGATATGGGTGCACACAATAGTCTCAACCGGCAGAATCGGCCTTTGTGGCTTTGGTTTTGCTCAGATCGTGTTTTGGGGCATTGATCGCATCCAAACGAGGCACTAACATGCCCACTCTCTGCAGCCTCCTCCATCTTATCCCCAGCAGGTTTGTAAACAAGCACCGATCCCATATCCGTCTGGGGCTTTCATATCGATCATGAGTGCCTGAGCTGAAGTGTGCGGTGACATCGGGCTCGATCTCAAGCAACACCTCAGGCAGCCGCTCACCAACCTGCCCTGTCTATTATTGCGGCTCTATCTAGAACGCTCCGGGAGGTGGTCGCCCGCCCCCTTTTATGCCGTTTCCAGGGGCACCACCGTTCGGCCGGCCACCACCGAGACCCGGGCCTGCTCCAGGCCTCGGATCGGCGCCGTTTCCTGGCCCTCCCGGCCCTCCCGGTCCTCCTGTTCCGTTTCCCGGTGCCCACCATCCGCCAGCCATCGGCCAAGCTCCTCCCAGGCCGCCTCCGCCAGGATTTCCTTCACCGGCAGTGAGTTTTATTCAGATCACGCACTCGGTAGATCTGCTCCGGCGCATTGGCACATGCCGTTCTAACGTTGTCCACTTGCCGTCGTCGATGCGGATGCGACCTCCTTTACAGAGCGTCTGGACAACGCACAAGCTCCCGGATGGAAAAGCATACTACTTCAACACCGTAACAAAATCTAGCTCGTGGGAGAAGCCAGAGGAACTCATGACGCCTTTGGAGGTAGGCAGCCAATGCAGAGACCACCGGGCTCGTTCCGATGGATTGCCGCGGCTCGGCAGGCATGAGTAGATTAACAGTATGATCCCACCTTCCAAAGCGTGAGCTCTCCAAATCTCCGTGGAAGGAATTCACTGCTGCAGATAGTGGCAAAAAGTACTACTATCACTCAGGTGAGACAAGACTCCAGCGCCCGCAGTTGTTTCTGGGCTTAGAGGACTGTGCTGACGACCTCCAATCGATCTATCTCTCCCACCTATTGCTTCTTTATGATTGTATGGCTCTTCTAGGAACCAAGGCGACGGTTTGGGAAATGCCTGTCGAGTACAAAGCGATTCTGGATGCCCACGATAAAAGCGAGTATGTGTTTCTTTCACGCACAACCCGCACATTGTTCACGACAGTGTCTGGGGCTCTGTCACCACTGCTTGCGCATGCTCGTATCAAAGTGCAACCCTCTGATTTACCTTTTCTGTTCCGCAAGGTCGGTCCCTGAGGATGCTGCCAAGTCCGCTGCCCCGCCATCGGTTGCTGTTCCTGCGCATGATAGCGCCTTAGCTCTGGCGACTACACCTTTGGCTTCATCGGCGCCATCTTCTGCTGTCACAGCTACACCAACCACTGCAGTCACTGCGCTTTTGAACGACGGCGAGTTGAGATTCGGCTCAAAGGAAGAGGCCGAGGCAGCCTTCCGCAAGATGCTCGACGAAGCAGGCGTCGAGAGCCACTGGACCTGGGAAAAAACCATGCGGACCACCATCAGCAACCCCATGTATAAGGCAATCAAGACCCTCTACGAACGCAAGGTCTTCTTCCAGAAATACATTGAAGAGAAGCGACGCACAGAAAGAGTAAGCTCTCCTGTCGCAGCATGGCGAGCGATTTGATATACACGCGAGTTTCTTGGCGCATCATGGCCTAGTGCATCAGAGCTAGCACTTGATATCGGTGGAAGCTGTGAAGCGGTACCCCGAGCAGCAACATGCTTCAGGGCTGACTTTCTTACTTTCATATAGGAGGAGTACAAAGAAAAGGCAGCAACTGCGCGAGCGCAGCTTGTCAAAGCGCTTCAGACGCATCCCGAAATCAACCACAAAACACGCTACTCCAAGGTGCTGGAGCTTCTTGCGAGTGAGGAATGTGTCAAGATATTGAAAGCCGAGGAGCGAGATAGCATCATTGAGGCCCACCTCACAGAGCTGCGAAGCACCGAGAAGGTATGCAAAACAGCGAAGCTGCTGCATCCACTCTTGAGAGCCAATACTGATTTGATTGAACCCGCCATCGTCGGGGATACTGTCTACCGTGTCTGCAACACAGGAAAATCTCCGAGTCACCCGGAGAGAAAACTTGCAAAAATTCCGCGAGATCCTCAAAGCGCTTCTTCCGTTCACGATGACGACAACCTGGAAGCAAGTGCACGCCTACTACACTGCTCTCCCGCAGTATCTCGACGATGAACAGCTCCAAAAAATGGACCCCATCGATTCCCTGCAGATTTTCGAGGAGTACTCCCACCAGGCCGAAAGCGATTATTGGGCAACCAAAAATGCCGAGCTGGTTGCGCGCCGGCGTGAGGAGCGAAAGCGACGAGAGTTGTTCAAGAGCCTCCTGGAAGAGCTTCAGGCCAGCGGAATGCTTCACTCGCGATCAAAGTGGAAAGACCTCTATCCCTACTTTGGGCAAGACCCCCGATATACCGACATGGTCGGGCAGCACGGAAGCACCCCCATGGATCTTTTTTGGGACGCAGTCTGTGTGATGGACGACCGCTATCACCAGGAACGACGAGCCGTCTCGGAGTACATGAAGGTACGATGCCTTGCGTCACACTGCTTCCTCTTGCATCTGCTCCAGAAATACTCGTCCTGCCCATGCAAATGCAGGTCCCCCGATTAACCATGTGGCTGGCCCAATAGTCTCAGGGACACTCGATGCCAGAGAGCTTTGATGTCTTTGCGGCAACCATCCCTCACGATATCGCACAGGGGCTGCATTCTGCCACACTGTGGAATATGTTTGAAGAGGTGAGATGCTATGCGAGTGATGAGCAGCTGCGCCGCCAATCCCATGTCGGATTCATCACAGTCGCTGTCAGAGTCCTGACATATTTCTCTTGCCAACCCGGATCGCTGTCATTGCACGCAGCATCGAGAGAAGCTCGAATGGAAGGCAAAAGAGGAGCGCCGACGCCAGGCAAGAAGAATCAAGAAAAAGATGGATGGGCTGAAGCATGCTCTGAAGCGGCTCACGCCGGCAGTTACGGTCGAGAGCCAGTGGGAGGCGATCGAGCCCCTGGTTGCCGATTCAAGTGACTACGAGGCTTTGGACGCAGAGCAGCGGCTCGAAGTCTTCAACAAGTTCATTGCTCGCCTCAAGGTACGACCAAAGTCGTCTGCTGCTCTTCCCGGGTGGCAAAGCTCGAACAGAGCGTCACATCTTCTGATGCCGATGTTTTCTATCACTCCAACGCGCCCGCAGGAAAAAGCCGCCGATCGTGACCGGGAGACTGCCAGCGATCGGTCCGCTGATGAATATGGCGACGAAGATGACGAGGACGAGCGGCGTCGCCGATCGAGCCGACGCGATCGCGATGACGACTACAACCGGGACCGAGACAGGGACCGAGACCGTGATCGTGATCGTGATCGTGAACGGGATCGGGATCGGGATCGAGACCGGGACCGCGATCGCAGAAGACACCGAAGTAGCAGATACAGCGACGAAGAAGACGATCGCGAGCGCCGTCGCCAAAAGAAAAAGGTAAGGAGTCTGTGTGCTAGCCAGGCTGACGACCACCCCCCGCTCGGTGTCGGACACTGCCTGAATCAGCCCGCTGTATACTGGATTGTGCGTGGCAGCGGGTGGGGCCCGAGAAATACCTCTGATATTGTGTGGCTTCCTGTCGTGGGTTCCACCATGGCTTCTCTGCTCGATGGACGGTGGCGTGCTTAGCGTCATGGAGATGATGAAGCCGTCGAAGAGCGCGACCCCAAGAGCAGCAGCCAGCCCAACCGTCGATCCTCCGAAGACGACCATCGAAAGCGACGCCGCCGTGACAGCGACGTGGGCCGGCGAATTGGCCCTGACGAGAGCGAGGAGGAGGGCGAGGTGCGCTAAATGTGCGCCGGGACTCTGATCTGGCAGCCACGCAACTCTCTTCTCGTACACAAGGACTGGTATAGCGACGCTAGCTTCAATACAGTCGAATGGACAGTTGTTGGTGTTGGTGTTGGTGTTGGTGTTGGTGTTGGTGTTGGTGTTGGTGTTGGTGTTGGTGTTGGTGTTGGTGTTGGTGTTGGTGTTGGTGTTGGTGTTGGTGTTGGTGTTGGTGTTGGTGTTGGTGTTGGTGTTGGTGTTGGTGTTGGTGTTGGTGTTGGTGTTGGTGTTGGTGTTGGTGTTGGTGTTGGTGTTGGTGTTGGTGTTGGTGTTGGTGTTGGTGTTGGTGTTGGTGTTGGTGTTGGTGTTGGTGTTGGTGTTGGTGTTGGTGTTGGTGTTGGTGTTGGTGTTGGTGTTGGTGTTGGTGTTGGTGTTGGTGGCTTCCCAATTCCTTGGCTCGATCCGTCCACTCGATCCGTCCACTCGATCCGTCCACTCGATCCGTCCACTCGATCCGTCCACTCGATCCGTCCACTCGATCCGTCCACTCGATCCGCCCAGCCAAGCCAAACAAAGACCCTTCGATCCTGCTCTTCTCCAGAGGACCATCCACATCGCCCACCGCTGCTGGCAACGTCGAGCCCAGCCAAACCAAGCCCAGTCCACCCGCCCGCCGGTCGTGCTTGAGACTGCAGAGACCATGTCGAAAGATCTGGATGATGAAATTCTGGCCCTGGCCGAGGAGCCCTCGGTCCGGTCAAAGAAGCGGCGAAACATCTCGTACGTGCGCCATGTGGATCGCTGAGCTGCCCAAAGTGATCGCCCAGCGCCAACATGCAGGCCCTTCGTCTCGGCACCGAGTTGCCTTGATATATGCTGCTGTCCTTCCCCGGGCTAGCTACCGGCTCTGACACCCACATTCTCATCATCCACTTGCTTCTGGGCTTGATCTTGACCCTTGCACCGGTCCCTCCCCTGCTCCTAGAAATGACTCCAGCTCCGAAGATGAGTCGGACCTTTCCGACAGAGATGAAGAGAACGACCCGTGGGCTGAAGTGAGGAAGTGGGGCGATGACCTGATGGGTGACGAGGCCGACCGGGCATAGTAAGTTCCTCCAAGCGACTCCTTTCGGCTCTGGCGGTCTGTTGGAATCCCCTTCAAGCGGCTGGGAGGCCGACAGCGCCGCTGCTGTCTGCCGTATCGAGCAAACTGGCGCCGAGCCATCGCTGGTCAGAATGGAATCACCTCTCTAACTAGTATCAACAACATCCTCCGTCGGGGCGATGAACGAACCCATGTATAGCCTGAACAGCCTGACGGAAATGGATCGAGAACTCACCCTGGCAGATCGTGCAGCCAAGGTCCGTTGGTGGTGCTGGATATTTTCTTGCTCTTGCTTGTGTGTGTTGGGCAAGCGATGTACATGTCGCCGTGGTGGTTCGGTTGGTGGCTCAACGAATGCCAATGGCCAAAGTGTTGATCATCGTACGGGTTTGCTGGCTCGAGACCAGCATCGCCCGCGTTGTGAGATCGAAGATATGGCACTGGCACCATCAGCTTCCCAATTAACCTCCAACCGCAATGCATTCTTTCAAAACCAATAACCAGAGAGAAATCATGCGAGAATCGCTCGAGGTCCAGCTCAAGCTCCAAACAACTCAAAAGAAGGAAGGCGACCGACGGGACGGGCCCAGCCGTAAGTGCGCCCAGACCAGTGTCGGCCGAGGACGAACCCGAAGACGAACCCGAGGACGAAGCTGTGGACTAACCGAGTACTTTGCCTGTCTTGCCTCTCGATCAGGATCGTCCGCACGCAAGGGGTCCGATAAGGAGAAGAAATCTCGAACCTTGTCCGTGCTCGTTCAAAAGCGAGATAAAAAGACAGAAAAGCCCTCGCATGTAGGCGTCCACTGCCCAAACCAAGGATTGTACCGCAGTGTCAGGAGCCTGTGTCGATTGGCTGACGGTGCACTACTCCCGCCTGACCGGCGACATCACCTCCGTCTCACCCTCTGCCTCAGGATGACGAGCATCCGAAAAAGAAGGCACACACCTCGTACAACACCGACTCCAACGACGAGAGTGATCACAACATCGATCAGGTATTCTTCCAACGGAGCGCTCCTGAGCGGCTCTTTCTGGCAGACTGGGCACACGAGAAGGAAGGCGACCACAGCTTGGTTGATTGGAGTGGATTTACGCTGTCACCGTGGCAGTACAGCAACCTCCTGACACTCGTTGCCGCTGTGGAACCAGGACAGCGACGACAAGATGAATCCGTACGATATCCGGAGCGAAGACTATCTCGCCCTTCAGATTACCCGCGAGAAGATGGAAAAATGGATTCACACCGACTTTTTCGAGCATGCTGTCGTCAACGGGTTTGTACGGGTGTCTATCGGACAAGACAAAGGCAAGCCTATCTATCGTATCTGCCGGATTGAAGGTGGGTGTCTGCAACGACGCGTTGGATGGAATCGGCGCGAACGTAGCACTGGCTGCAATGAAGGGCGCTTGTCGGGTTGATTCGCTCGCAGCTGACTGTGTGCGCCGGACATGCTTTGCGAACCAGAGGTCGTCGACCTACCCAACCCCGTCAAGCTCCGGCACAACGACACCATGGTACTGAGGGCCCTTGTCCTCAGCCACGGCAACTCAAAACGGCAGTTCAACATCGATGCCATATCCAACCAGCCATGGACAGAGGTTTGTTTGTGAAAGCCTGGCCGCCGCAGTCGCGGGTGATGTACCCCGGTAGCGATTGCACAGTGCGAACATTGGCACCAATGACCAACTCAATGCGTTGTTTGTTTGGCGGCCACCTGCCGGTCGGTAGTCTGAATGGAATCGATACAAGGGCACTTGCATCAACGATAAAGCGGAGTTATTGAGCCGCAAGGATGTTGACGAGAAGGCCAAGGCTATTCAGGAGGCCGAAAGCCACATCTTCACAGAGGTGCGGCAGATCCCCGGTTGGCTTCGTATCGATTTGCGTGCTGCATACCACATAGTCGTGGTTGCAAGCGGCGCGCTGTGGATAAGTCATTGCCGCGTGGGGCTTATCGAGCTCATATATTGCGTCGTCGATGGTATCGCTGATGCAACCAGTGCTGTGCTGACCGCATTCTATCTCGGATCGGATTGGACCACATGGGATCGGATTGGATCGACCCACAGAAAGAAATCACCAACCTCACCAAGCTCAAAAAGTCCCTCTCGCGCAAGCCCAAGAACGTTGCTGTCGAAAAGATCAACCTGCACCACGAGCTTGACATTGCCCGGGCCAGAAACGACGCTGAAAAGATCGAAAAGCTCATGGAGCGACTGGAGGAACTCAATGCCCTGACCCAGGAGTCCGATCGCACGCGAACCGACGAGCTGGCAAAGCTCAACGAGCGCAATCGATCCATGAACAGAAAGGAGAGTCTGCAGGCCGAGCTGGCGGCTCTGCGCGAGAAGCGGCTTGGCGGTAAGGCTCGCTGGATCCCAGGAAGTGGACGTGATGCACAGAGGAAGCCAGGTCGTGCGCGGCACCGGGCCTTGCCTCGGCTATCAACTCGCCAACCGATCGGCCTCGTCTTCTTACAACTCGATCCTCCTCTCCCACCATCTTGGCTCGACGGCTATCAGGCGCGGACTCTTTGGATCCGTTTGCCCGTCGAAAAACGGCTCCGTCCCACGTCGTAGGGTAATCATGGCGATTCCACGGCTTCGAGACAGGGCGGAGACGAGGAGCAAGCCAAAATCGTTGCTATTCTGAAAGCATTAGCCGTGCATTTACCCGATATATTGGTCTTGTCGTGCCCGCTATGCCAGGAACGAAGACCAGGCACTCGACGATGGATCCAAGCCCGCGAATGGCGCAAACGGCGCAGCGTCGCATGAACTGGCAAGCATGAATCCTTTTGGAGCGTCCAAGCTTGATGCCATCGCGACCAGCGCAGATGACTTCCTCGACAATCTGGATATCGCCGAGATCGAGGCCGGTGCGTTTCAGACTGACATTATATGCTGTGAGGCTGCAACTCGGGAATGTGTGCGCCTTTCGGATCGGTTTGCCAGTGTAATCAGTTTGTCCCATCGCCTGATCGTGCCTTGCAGCGTCTCACCATCCCGCTCTCCTTTGATTCTGCCTCAAGATTTGTAGAATTGGTGTGATTCGCGAAACTGCATTTGCCCATCCATCGGCGGCTGCTCAGGGCATCCAGGTCTAGGCAGTCCGGTGTGTTGTCTCTGGCCCCATGTTCCCTTCCGTCGGCGCCGGTACTGGAGTGGAAGCCGTCTCCGTTCACGCCAAAGACAGAGTCCGCCACAGTGAGGTACATGCTCCAAGTGCAAATAAACCAAAAACCTTTGGGTCGAGACTGGCCAGAAGCTTTCGTCCGCTCGCAGGAAATCGGATCTGCCATCGAAAGGGACGATTGGAATTCTCAGGGGGGATCCGTGGCGAAAGACTGTGGATGGTGTGGACGAGCAGGTGGAATTGGATGACAGACGGGCAGCTCTATTCATCGACACGACAGCGCTGGCTGTGGCAGAGGACCCGCCGCCTCCAGAAATGGCGCTACCCATCCTCGCTGTCTCTCACTTGCCACCCTCGGTCCTTCTCAGGACTGGCTGCATCGCGCCTCGAATCCCGGCTGCGACGGCCGCTCAGTGAGAAAAGATGTAGTTCATCAGCTGGCGGCCGTTTCCGCCGGTGAGAAGGTGTGCGCGCTTGATCGAGTGGTCGTTGAGCTCTGCTTGGCCATCCCCAGGCCACAACAATGAGAGAATCGGAGAAGATTGAGGCGCTGGTCAGCTACGATACAGAACTCGACTGTGCAAGGGAGACGCTGAACAGCCACACCGTACCAAAGCCAAAGTGGGCGACACTGGACTCCTTGTAAAACTTGAGCATCGCAGCTGTCTCTTCTCGGCTGTAGACAGGGAGATCGCAAACCACGACCTTGTTCTCGGTGAAGATGCTGGGCTTCAGATCCACCACCGAGATGGTGAAAGCGTCTCGGTGATGCGGGGCCAGGCTCGACGGGAGCATGGCGTCCGCGGCCGAGTCCAGGGTGTGGAACTTGGCTTCGTGGGTCTGGGCTGGGGCCTGGATGGGGTCGCGGCCCAGCGGGCGGTGGACGTGGGTGCGAGCGTAGTGCTGAAGGTAGGGTGATCGGATCCGCACAACGGTGGTGTCGTTGGTGCCGATCACAAAGCTGTTCTTGGAGGAACTGGACTCCAGGAACAACTTCTGGAACTCGTGGCAGAGCGACAGCTCGTGGGCCATGATGGGCTCGCTCTTGGGGGTGCGGTATGCGGTGCTTGAGAACAGCGATCCGACCTGATCCAGAGCCACAAAGACTCTGGATAGCAGCAAAGACGGTACATGCAGCGCAGTCAAGGCATTGGGCGTATTAGCGTCGATGAAAGCCGCACAAAGTCCTGCAAGCACGAGCGACTCACTTGGGGGACTGGCTCTTGAGGATCTTGAACAGGGCCTGGAGCACCAGAGTCGAGTGCTGCGGCGAGCTGATGCCAGCTTTGACCAGGCTGGCGAGGTTATCGTCGACTTTCTTGCTTCCCACTTGCACAGGCTCAGCGAGCTTAACCTGACAGGCGGATACGGGGGCGGCGGCATCAGACGCGACAAGGACGAGGATGGAATCATGTCGATTGAACAAAGTCCAAAACAAAGTAAGCACCACCGTCAGCTCGAAAGCCGGCAAGTTTGTCCACAGCGGCATCGTGGATTCGGCCGCAAGGCCAGGATCTCAACGGTCGTGTGTGACGATCGGCTGGACAGGCAGCAACGGCTGTGGAAAGCCACAGTGTCCAAGTCGGCAAGGCAAAGGGACGAAAGGAAGCATCCATGCGACGGACGCACCTCGGCAAGCGTCTTTGCGTTCATCGACAGTATTGACTCCAACACAGTCGCCGTAAGCTCGGGCTGGTCCCACTGGTTGGTGCTCTCGTTGAAATAGTAGAAGCTCGATGCCGAAGTCCACTGGGAAACTGGTATTCCGCATCAAGTAGCATGGTGTGGAGTAGAATACGAAGCGATTGCAGAGGGTGAGGGCGCTGGGCGAACGGCGGGTCGGCCAGGATCCGCTGGACAAGCACGCACTTACGCTTGGGAAGGTAGATAACGATCCAGTTGGCGCTCTGGAAATGAACCGCAAGCTGAAACAGAGTGTAGGTCTTTCCAGAGCCCTGCTTTCCGACTTGGAGTGGGGATCGTGTCAGTTCATGCAGTCCACAGCGCATCGCGCAGGACTATGGAGCAGAGTCTTGGGTGATCAGCTTACCAAGCAGAGCCTTGCCCTCGAGTCCCTTCTCTACAGACTCCTCCGCCATCTCGATCAGGTCCAGGGTAGAGTGACGGAGCATCGCCGACGACTCCTTGTCGCTGAGCCGATTCTGGAGAGAACAGTGACGCAGCACGAGTCAGACTGGCCGAGGCGGGCCCCTGAGAAACCCGGCTCGATGGTGTTTGCCTGCATGAGATACATGCACCGAGCTTACCAGCCGGAGCATGCCATTCGGCAGCTGAGAATCCGGAAGGGCTTTGATAAACGACTGTGGTGCCTTGAAAAAGTCGCCAACGTTTGCGCGGGTGCCGGAAGCCTGGAAGCGGCCATGGAAGCGGCACGAGTAAATCAAGCTGCTGGTCGTGCACCAAAACCAAGCCGCCAATAACAGCAGGCAGAGCTGAAAAGTCAGCAGGCAAAGAGTCAATCGCCAGACGAGAGACATCTCTTTCTGACTTACAGTTTTGTAGGTAGCGATGCGCAGCTCCTCATCGAATTTCAGGTCTTGCAGCTGGATGTCGACAGCCGAAATGAACGACAGTGAGAACCAAGTCGGGCGGTGCAGCTCTGCGGCGCTCGCTCAACCCCTCAAGGCCTGCGATTTCGCACTGGGCTCGACGTTCACCTTCACTTCGGGCTCTGCAGGAGTATGAATGTATCGCGCAAAATTGCCATATCGTTGACATCGTTGACATCGTTGGTATCGTGGTTGTCATGAACACACGCAGAAAGAAAGGCAAACCATTAGGCACCAGCGGATTGCTTCTCTGTTGCTTTGTTCCCCAGACAAGATGCAAAGTGCCAGTGCTGCTCAATTGCCAACACATCAACGGTCAGGGCAATCTTGGATATTCTGTCCTCGAGTCTCCTGATCTTCAATCCACCATTCCCTCTCGGTCTCTGCAGCTCTGTCTCGCTTGCTCCCAAGATCTCTGGCGTGTTCTCCGGTGCCGTGGCTCTGCTTTGGAATGATCTCGGTATGTAGACATGCCTGCGCGCTTGCCGAATCTTGCTCCCGGAGAAGGGGCGGTGGCCAGCGATCGAGTGGCCAGGGAGAGCATCGGTCGCAGCGAAAGTGCCCGCGGCAGCATCACGGACGAGCGGATCATGATTCCCGCAGAAGATTGCAGCGGCCTCGCAAGCATTCTCGAAGACATGGTGGTGGCTACGCTTTGTGGGCTTGAGTAGTCGTGTGGTGTAGGGAGGCGCCGAGCGAGAGCGAGTCGTTGATCGATCGATTTGGCTTGGGAGGGCTGACAAACAGCTGAAGCGAAAAGGATGGAGGCTCGGGTGCGCTCGGGCAATGTCGATCGCGGCGACAGACGCACGGGCACGCAGGCGGATCTGCTGGATGTTGCTGTGGCGAACCAGATCAGCTTGCGCTTTTGCGTTTTGGGTGAGAGAGAAAAAAAGCACAGACCATGGTCACGTGTTGGATCCAACCGCCTGCCTGGGCGCTTCATGGCCGCGCTGCTGGGCGGGGGAGCGCGGGCGTCAGGGCGATCTGGGCAGGGAGCGAGCGAGCGAGGAAGGGAAGGAGCAGCCCAAACGGCGAGCCAGTCCCGTTTGTGTGCACGCCAGCGCCATGCCCTCGCCAAACTTCTTTTCGCTGCTCCTCACGGGCCAAATCGAGTCTGCATACGTGGGTATCTCTGCCGGGCATCGGTGCAGAGAGCCGTTGGCGGCATGGCAACAGACGCGATGCTGGGTCGGTGGCATACTTCAAGGAGAGCGCCGAGACACATGAGTCGAGGAAGAATGACGGAGGAGGCCCACTGAACGCATGCGACAGCTCTACATGCCCTCGTCCGCGACTGTGAGGAGATCTAATGCGGCAATTGTTTGGCTCTGTCGCTGACGTTTCCCACCACCCACGCTCGTGTCGGTGCAGTTTCCCCAGCACGACAACCTCTACTGCAAGTTTTCATTTGCGCATGGCCAGGACTGGATCATTCTTCACGTACGTTGACAGCTGGGCGATCGGTGGGTCTATTGTGTGCAGGACGCCAGCCCTAACCAACGATACGTGCGGAACAGGGTCTGGAGGAGGGCATCACTCAGCAGTCGCTGGCATCCAGCTCGCCAACTGTCTCGACTTCGGCTATCGCAACCGGACTGCTTGTTCGGCCCTGCGTGTGGAACTTTCCGATCGAGCTTGCCTTCAAATCCACGAATATATATGGTAGGATTGCAGCAATGGCTCTTGAAGCACACCCGGACCACGGACCTGGTCGAGACACCCACCAACACCAATGCCCCGCGACTGACGATGTGTGTTGGCGGGTGGATGGCATCGCGCAGGCTGGCCAAGAATCGTCGTGAGCGTCTATGGAACAGACGAATTTGGCCGGGATGTCATTCGCGGATATGGAACCATGCTGCTTCCGCGGAGTTCTGGACGGTAGGTGCTGTTCTGGGCGGCCGTCATCTCATTCAGGAGCAGAACCGAATCTGCCCCCCGTCCGCCAGTTTATAACCGGGCGGTGGATAAGATGACTTGAGAGGGGATCAGCCCGCACCCGAAGCATCACTCCTCTGACAGAGCAGCGCTGTCCGTTGCCATTCAGGTTTGAAAAGTACATCGAGATGTTTGCGCCGATCGCGACAAGCCCACTCAACCAACTTCTTTCGTGGGTGGTCGGCAAGCTGCCCGAGTTCATGGATTCCAAGTTTGTGGCGCAAAGCGATGGTCGCGAAGGTAAGCCAAAACGGCAGCGTTGCAGGCAGCATCCAAGGGCTATGCAATAGATGCGCCGCATGTACTGCATGTGCGGTGAGCGAGTCGTATCCCGTGGGATTCGACACTCACTCGATGGATCCAATTTTCGTTGATCTGCAAATGCCTTGGGACCATGAAACGAATCAACGCACGAAACTCGCGGCTGGGACGACGACGAAACAACGCCATTGGTCATCGGCGTAACGGCTCCGCGACGGCACTATCATCTCGCAGTGACCAGGGTACGCAGCCAGGGCGCCGTCAAGGTCCAGCTCAACGTCACCATCCGCGACATTGCAAAGTGCGGCTACATGCTGGGGCCGGCCAATGCAGCGGAGCCGCCCCGGAGCTCCAAATAGACACAGGGCCGACAACATCCAGCGGGATGAGACAGCCATCAAATGATCAAAAAGCCAGCAATCAAGCAATGGGTACGATCGGCGAGACGGCAATTTTTGGCATATACTGAGGTTGCATCAAACAACAATAAGGGGGACATTAGGAGGGACAAGAAAGCAATGGATGTACTTGCGATGGGGGTGGGAGAAGAACATAGACACTGCAGCGAACAACCTGGCTCAAAGTAGCAAGGTCCGAAAGAGAAGCACAATGCTGGGGGACTTATCTATATGTAGATTGATATAGATGTGTAGACGGTGGGCGGAGAAGTAGGTAGGGGCAATCGAGCAGGAGTCGGGAGGGGGGGGGCCGGTTAAAGTGGGTAAAGGACCATCGAGGAGGATCGAATTCCATCGACCCACCAGGCACAGTGAGCATAGATGGCGGTATCGAGGGTGCAGGCGAGTCGACCTTGATAGGATCCAGAGGAACATGCTTGCTCGGGGTCGGGGTCGCGATCAAGCCAGAGATTAGGAGTGGCAGAGGAGTATGTAGCCCATAGACGGGTGCGGAGACAGTGCCATAGGAAGAGAGCACGAACGACAGCACCGAGCTGGGCTGTGGCATGCTCGGATGGGGGAGAGTGGATTACACCGTCGCAAGACCCGGCGAGATGGTGACGGGGGCAGGCGCCGGCGACTTGCAGAGCTCGGGGGATGGCGCATAGGACTTCCACGGCAGCCACGAGCGCTTGCCCCGGGAGGCATCGGCAGCAACGGAAATGTAGTCCCGCACGGTGCCTCCGGTCTTCCACCAGCCGCCCTTGAGCGAGGCGACGGCCTTGCGGGCGGCGGTAGGGTTTTTCGGGTATAGCTCCCAGATGGCCGAGAAAAAATCGATGGCATCGGTGGCGGCCTGGAAGCGCTCCTGAGAGCCGACCTTCTGGCATATGGCCTTTCGCAGGAAAGCGGCACCGACAGAGAGAACATCGCGGTGGAACTGCAGGTCGTTGGGGTAGCGTTCGAGCATGCAGTCAAACTCCTCGATGGTGTCGCTGACGAGCCAGATGTCCAGGGTTCCCTCGCATCCAAGCTCCTTTATCGGATCAGTGACCTGGAAAACGGCGGAAGAATTGGAGGGTTCAGCCAGAGAGCAGGAGCGAGCGTACATGACGATGTTGATGCGAGCATGGATGCGGAATGCATCGAGCGACTGCAGCGGCAAGGATGGCCAGCGGCAGCAGAAACGACAGTGGCTTACCATGAACGAGAGGGCAACGAGCTCGCGGTCCATGAAGGGGTTGTTGCATGGCTTTGCCTGTTTCTGGGAAGAACGGGTCGAGAGCGAGGTTGAGGTCTTGGCGGACGAGCATGTCGAGTGGGAGTTGGACGAGGTAACGGAGGCTCTCATTTGCACAGACGAACAATAAGGGTGAGATGCGGGAGATGAAGGAAAGGAGAGTGTGGGAGGGCAAGGGGATCAGAGCGAAGGGGGTGATCCCATCAGCGACAATCGGGAGGAGACAGGATGGCGGGGAAGTCCTCTGGCTTGGACGGCGAGAGGGTGAAAGGGACTGAAAGCGGAATTGGACGAGAGTGAGACGGAGCGAAAGAAGAGCGTGGACGAGACGAGGGGAGACGAGTTTGGACGAGACCGAAACCGAAACGGCGACCGAAACGGCGACCAAATGGGCGACCAAAAAGAAAGGAAAGGAAAGGAAAGGACAGAAAAGGACAGAAAAGGACAGAAAAGGACAGAAAAGGACAGGCCAGTTGAGGAGACACGGCGCCGCACAGTCACTGTGAACGCATGTCACACACGCGGCGGCGGTGTCGCACAGGGCGTGTTGCCGTCGCACGGCGCATCCGCTGCGCTGTCTGCTGCACTCCACAGTTTCTGTGGCGTCACAGGGCACACAGGCGCGCACCGCGTGACAAGCCGCGCACAGGGCACACGCCCGCCGCACAACCAATCGCCGCCCTCGGCACAGCGCCAACAAGCGTCGCCGCCGCGCCCGTGCAGGAGCACAACAAGCCGCGCCTGACCAGCGTCGCACAGAGCGCCACTCGCGCGCCACAAGGCCGAGCCAATCGCTGGTCGGATTCCCCTGTCGTGCGGCCAGCCACGGTATGGCTCGCCTCAGCCGGAGCGTGGGAACAGAGCCGCTTTCGTTGGGTTGGGAAGCATGGTCTTGAATGCACCAGGTTGATCTCCTGTGGCAACGGTCGACCGGCATTGGTAACTCGATGTGAGTGTGGCGCATTCGGTCCTCTCAATATCAAGATAGTCGGGTCGGATGGGTCGCTCTGCCTCCAGTCTCCTTGGATGCACAGGTGGTCAAAACGAACGACAGATGGGGTGCAATCCAGCATAACGACAGCCCTGGATCAGAGCAGGATGTCCTGTTTCGTTTTGGAAACGCTGTATATCGGTCAGTTGCCTGGCTGAATGAATTCGATCGGCTCTCGCCCATGCAAGAGAAGGACGGTGCGTCTCGATGCGTTTCCAGCGCGCTGTGCAGCCATAGACATGGATGTCCATCGTGCACACCACCACCCACTCTGCAGAGACGCTATCGAGAAGCAGTACTGTTGACAATCGATGTCTCTGGCACACGAGCAGCCTGCATACCACCGGCCCACTCGTCCACGATCGATATGAATCAGTCCCGCCCTGGCGCCAGATCTGAGCCCGCGCACACTTCTTGCACTCGCCGTGTCCGTCGGCGGCTCTGGTTACCCGCTCACCGCTCCAGAGGGCTTGGCCTTGGGCGCCCTCCACCTGCGTTGGCATCGAGCCTCCGCTTGCCCTGGCACCGAGCCCTCTGTCTTCTGCACCCACTTGCCCGCCTGCGGCTTTCCCACGCCTCTGCCCCGGCACTAACTCGCCATCCCCTGCACCTTACCACGCGTTTCCCTCCAGCCCAGCCATCCCGCCATCCGTCGGCCCTTCGATTCAGACCACTCCCGCTGAGCATCCATGGTGTTCGATTCAAGCACGGGCATGTGGACGCCCAATCCTCTGCTCCAGTCGCAGCCAGACCTCCAGAGAACATCCATGCACGCGGTCGCCAACCAGACCAGCGCCAACACGCTGCCCAACAGCTCAACAATGATGTCGCTTGCCCTCTCGGCGATCGTGGAGCGCGACGAGGGGCTTCGCGGCTCGCTCCGGCAGATGGCTGACCAGTACTCGTCGCTTATGATTCCGTCGCTGCTGGAACGCCCACAAGCTGCTGTCTCGGGAAACCCTGCGGCCACGCCCGCGACCAACATTGCCGTGTTGCCACCCATCGGAAACGACGCAAAGGTCATCAGGAGTAAGGTCGGCCCCGTGGAGATTCGCCTCTACACTGACCGCACCACCTTCGTGGCCCAAGGAGAAGTTACGGGGGTCCTCCACGTTCAGTGTGGCAGCACCAAGGGCCTCAAGATCGGGCGAATCGAGCTCCAGCTCGTGGGATATGAAGGTGAGCATTGAGCATTGAGCATTGAGCATTGAGCATTGAGCATTGAGCATTGAGCATTGAGCATTGAGCATTGAGCATTGAGCATTGGGCACGCGCATCGCATGGATCGCACGTACCATTGCGCCGCCAAATCGCATGTTCTCTGGCGTTTCTGGGCACCTCTTCCTCCGCATGGATGGATGCTTGCACACGGACGACCACCCAGAGCCACTCGAGTATCAGATGGCTTGTTTCTATCGGCATGGCCATGAGCTGATCCACCCGTGAATTGCCCACCTCCGCGCTCCAATGGCAGCTATCATTCCCTCTGCCGGCACTCCTTTGGCCCTCTCTCGCCGTGCGTTCTTTTTCACCAAGCAGTGTCTTCAGAGTGTAGACAAAGCTCCCACCGACGCCATCGTTCCGGGCACGCCCGACGAGCACGGCATGTGGTCTGCCCGAGGAGGGCTGACCAAGCTGCCCTTCTCGATCGCCATCGGCCCGGGCTGCAACTCTGCCGCGCAATCCTCGGGGGAAGAGAATGCCCCCCTCCCGAGCTCGTTCTGGAACAGGCAGTTTGGCGGTGTGCGGTACATCCTATCCGCGTGAGTAACTGTGCACCCATTCCTCGCAGACTGCGACTCTGGCTGATTGCTTGACGACCTCGATCGGAATTGCCGATTCCGATGACTCGAGTGCATGCATGCTGTGTCGCGCAGCGGTCCAGCGTCTGATGCCTGCGAACACTGATGGTTCTGCTTTGCCTCACTGCTACGGTTCTGCCTTGGCTCACTGCGCATTCCTTTGCTCTCTCAACGATGCCCTCAGCTTGGTCTTCATCAAAATCGGCCACAATCCACCCACGCTCCCGCCCGTTACTGCCTACCGCGAGCTCTTTGTTCTCGAACACACACCCGCTCTGCTGTCGGCTTCCTTCCCTGCATTCAGACAGACCAATTCACCCACCAGTGCAACAGACACCCAGCTTGTTGGCGGCATGCTTGGGTTTGGACGAAAAGGACACGTCCAGCTCAAAGCCGAGCTTCATGTCCCCCAGCCGAGCGAGACATACGAGCATCTGTCTCTGGGAACATGGGTCGCCGGCGGAATCGGGTTTGTCGGTGTCGAGATCAAAAACTTTTCGCCCCAGAAGGTTCGTGATTGCTGCAGCGCGCCGAATACAATGTCACTCTGATTCGGCTCTCGATTTAACCGAGTGACTTCTTCCATCTCTCTTCCGTGACAATATCAAATGCACTGGCACTGAATTTGCGCCATTGTGCGACTCCAAACGACCATTATCACTCAATCCATTGGACGGCCCTTGGGCTGCGATGTCGCCTTTCGGTATGAGCAGGTCAAGGAGCTCAAAGTGGCCCTGATCCGTCGCCTCAAGACTTTCTCCCAAAGCGCTCCGGGCGCGAAAGCCGACAAGGGCGACGATGTTGCAGATGAAAGAGAAGCGTCACTGTTGCCCGTGAGCTTCTCGCGCCAGCTCGTTGTCGAACGGTCGTTCAAAGCCATGCGCCAAACCTCCTCCTCGGGCGCCCTTGTCTCTCGCCTCAAGTATGCAGCCGAGGGATGGGCCGAAGATGGAGAGGATGTCCCGCCAAAGTGGGGCTGGTGGAACGGAGTCGAGCCCAACGATAGCCGCAAGGTCATCGTTGACATCTGCGTCCCGGTAGGCTCCTTGTGCTGAGCAGAGACTGATCGACAGGCTAATTGACGACTTCGACACGGACCATGTCGCTGCTGTGCGCTGATTAAAATGGTATTCCACCTGTCTCGATTCTCACTATCCTGTGCATTTATGTCGCGCACGGGAACAGTTCAACGTCCGGACGATTCGATACGGCATGCTGATCGATGTTTCGTATGTCGTTCAAGTCGTCGTGTTGCTTAACGGCGGGTAAGTGGCGAGCATGTGAGCTTGCATTCAAGTCTCTCTTCAAACATTCCTTGGGCATTCCTGATGGCAACCATCTTTGTGTTGCCCTTTCGAGACTGATATGGGGCTCTGGTTTGCTTTGCTGGCGCACTTGCAGGAAGAAGCTCTCGGTCGATATTCCCGTCACTGTGCTTCACCCAGCGTCGCTGTACAGCAACCTTCCCTCGACCCAGAGGGCTGTGCGAAGCGGCGAGCGCACCTCAGACCAGTCCCTCGCTCAGCAGAGCGCCTCCGCTCTCCAGATCTCACCCGATCAGACTCTCCAGAGCCTTGCCGACTTGGGACGCCGCTTATCCGCCACCAACTTGACGTCCACCGAAAGTGCTGGCATCTCGGCCTGCATGACGTCACCGCACACTGCTTCGGCCCAAAGATACGATCAGAACTCCCACGCAGCGATCCCAGGAAATCAGCAAGGCCTATATACAGACCCCTCGTGTGCTGCCGTGGCAGATGTGTCTGGTAACTACATGCACCCACATGCAGCGCCCGTCGCACCGACTGCCTTTGTCGAGACTGGGGGACAGTCGTTGCCACTGCCAGTGATCGAAAGTAGGTCCGGGCTGGCCACTGCAGGATGCCAGCGAGGCCGAATACTGACGTGCTGCTACGTTCGCCGTCGGCAGCTTCATTTTCACCCCAGAGTCAACACATCAGCTTGGATGCTGCCTTTCCGAGACACAATCCGTTTCTGGATCCAGAATCTCCCAAACATCAGCCAAACAACGGCAAGGATCACCCTCATCGCGACGGTTTCGCGGAACAGGGCATACCTGATGGTAAGAGGCCACGAGCTTGCGGAGGAGGGAGATTGCAATGCCATGCGTTTGTCCTGGGTGGTCGCAGTGGTATGCTCTCGTGTGCTGAGTCACACAATTTCCGGGCCGCAGCGCTACTATGATTAACCACTACTCCTCTGGCTTGTCGGAACTCATCCGATGCGGTAACTTGCATTTGACAGAAACATTCGTCGACACCCACGAGGCGTGGTCATTTGGTGCTGAACAAGCCACACCGATGGGCGGCCGAGGGGAAGTCTCGGCTGATGCTCCTGTGCTGCAGCATGTCAGTCCTGCGCACAAGATATATATGCACAGCCTGATGCAGCGGGCCAGCACCCTGCCACGCAACTCCAACTCCAACCCCAACCAGCCCGGCAGCCGACACAACTCCATCACTGGCACATACTACGGCGCACAACATCGCTCCAAGCCGCCTCCGCCTCCGCCATCGGCGAGCCACCACGGGACCCTGTACCGGCCAGGGGACCGAAGCTTGGCCAAGACGACTCGATCGATCGAGCCTGACGACGATACATTTGAGCTGATCCAGTCGAGAAGAGAGGCCGACCGTCTCCAGGCCACGACCGAGCGCGACCAGCTCATGAGCCAGCTGCTTCAAGAGGCCAACCAGCTCAGTCGACACGCGCAGCACACCTCCACAGCAGCGACACTGCCCTATGCCGAGGAAAATGGCTCTGGACCAGGCGCCGCCACGGCCGACCGCTCCGCGATCGAGAAATCGATTGACCTGATGTTTGACGACGTGCATCGCCTCTCGGACGAGTGTTGAGCGAAGGGGACAACCGCCGAACAGAGCTCGCCGGGTGGGCTGTTGGGGACGCTACTGGAGTGCTGCAGGAAAAGGCAACATTAGAGAAGAGAAAGGCAAAGCGAAGAGAAATACATTGAACCGACTGCAGCCAAGGCGATGCCATCGCTGGCGATCGAGTAACGAGCTTGCTCGATCAGAAAGCGTTCCCACAGAACAGCATTCCCACGCGACAGCGAGAGGCAGCGAGGAGCACAGAGACCGGAGCGAGAGCGCCTCTCCGCATCTCCTCACGTGTCTCGCCGGCGCACACAGACAATGGCGCCGCACAAACGGCACAGCAGACACACAAACACACGCACACGCCGCGTGCACGGTCACACCGCCGCGCGCGCTTTCCATTCCAGGCAAGCCAGCGCGTCGGCCCCGCACGCATGTTTGCCCGGCCTCATGGCCCGCGTCTGGCCCGCGTTTGGCTCGCGCTTGGCCAGCAGCTTCGTTCTGGTCCTCGCCAAGCACATCTCTCCAGCAACTCCGGTCCCGGTCCCGGTCCCGGCCCTGTCGCTCCCGCTCTGGCAACGTGGATCAGCTCCAAGACGATCGCACCCAGGCCCGCCAAGCCGTCCTGGACCCATCTGCGGCTGCTTGTCCAGCCCGACGAGGAATGAGAGCCTGGACTCGTCCGCATGCACCCTCCGAAAGCAACCCAATGGCATTCTCCCAGAAGCCCTCACCGATCGACTCGTCGCCGAGAAGGTATGTCTGGCGGCCCGTGCTGCTTTTGCGCCAAGCGTCGGCCTTCCTGCCGTCACCGCAAGCCTCCCAGCCTGCGTGGCTCCTTCCCTTGCTTGGGCCCTCAGCAACTTTTGCGCTGTTCGGTCGGCGTGGGCTGCATTCTTCCCTCCCTCCTTCTCTCGCATTCGCCCCTTATCTCGCATCTGCCCGATCTTCATTCCACCCCTCCCACTCGACCATCCGCCTTCGCTGACATGGACTTTCCTCGGACCTCCGATTCGGAGTCCAGTGCCTACCACCCAAGCATCAACGCGCCTCCCTTTGGCGTCCCAGCTATCGAATCGCCCATCACCCAGCTTCGGCGAGGCTACATTTCGGCGCAGAGAGAACTAGACCATCGCGATGAAGAGTGTATCATAGCAGTCAAGATGTGCCAGAACATCTTGTCGGAGATGGAGGAAGTAAGTCACTCATCTCCTTCAGCTGCGACATACGACCTTCGTTTGTGTGGATGCGCACCCAATCTGTTGTGTGGATCGACGTATTTCACTTTCGGCATGCCTCAAAGGCTTATCCGAGTCGTATCGGCATCGCGTCTTTCCATCGTATCCCTTCCTGTCATCCTTCAATCTCTTAGATTGCCGATAACATCCGAGCACTCGAGTCGTCATATGTGACCGCTCTTCGTGAGGGGTCGGCGGAAGCGCTCGATCGCAGCCGCCCCGTACCGCCATTGTCGCCCATCAGCCGCGAGGTCACAACGCTCTCGGCCTCGCTCCGCGACTTGATGCAGACGCTGACAAAGTCTAACGACCAAAACACAAGCCGCCGAAAGAGCAGCGCGCCTAATCTGCAGCTGGCTCTGCTGAACCTGCCCCTGAGCATTGCAACCGACCAGCCCAGACTATCCTCGCCGCTTGCCAGTCACTCAGACGCCAACAACGACGACAACGACGATAACGACGATAACGACGATAACGACGATAACGACGAGGCCGATGAGTACGACGACGACGACGACGACGATTCGGAGGATGACATCTCCAGCTCACGACAGCACAGCGCAAAGAAAAGTACTCCGTCAGAGCAAAGCGACCACGATCGGAGCTCCTTGGGCCAGAGCATTCTTGGGCTTGACGGGTCGAGTTCGCCGCTCCAGACTCCTCCTCGCACCGAATCGCCCCTTGCGAATGAGCAGTCGGCCGTGTCCGAGAGCGGTGCGGTTCCCACGGGCCGCGGCAGCATCGTTGACAGAGCCCCGTCGGTCCGAGTGAACATCCAGGGGCTATCTCAGAAAGGCGACAAGCGCACAGGCACACACACCGATCTTCCTCCGCTCCACGGGACGGCCCGCACCGCCAAGGAACTGGACCAGCAGAACGGCTTGAGCAAGCTTGATGTCAGTCTACTCGAGTACGCGCGTTCCTTCCAGCAGAGTCTTATCGAAGCCCATGTGCATCTCAACGAAACCCTGGACATGGTCGAGTTTCTGCAGGAACAGGTGGATGGCTTGAAGGAGAAGCGTGTGCAGGATTTCGAGACCCTCAGTATGTATCTTGACAAGCCAGTCGCCCTCGCATTGCCTGGCCACGACCGCGTCGGCTCTGCCGAAGCAAAAAAAATCTTGGCCGTGGCGGCGGTTTCGGAGCCTAACTGCTCGGATCGACTCGTTGCGCTTCAGGGAAAATGGACGAGGAGATCTACAACCTCGAGATGATGCAGCAAGAATACGAGGAGCGGGTCAAGGACTTGGAGGCTACCCTGGAGAAGCGAACCAGCGAGCTCGCGCTTCTGAAAGAAACAAATGCCCGACTCAATCTCCAGGTCGAGGAGATGCACGCCAAAGAAGAGAGCATCATGGAAACCCAGGAGTACCTCAAGAACCGCCTGTCGACCCAGGTCGGCAAGGCCCAGATTACTATGTCCGCCCTGAACCGAGAAAAGGCCGAGCTGGCCCGGAAGCTGGAGGAGCAGACCCGCGAAGCCGAGCGTCTCTTGGCCGTGTGCACCTCGCTGATGCGCTACAACCTGTACCAGTCCCAGAACGAGAGCCATGTCCAGAGCCTGCTCGATATGGACGAGTCCATCTTCTCGGACGTGCCCAGGACCCTTGAGGACCAGGGCATCTTTCTGGAGAACCTCAAGGCGGCGCTCGCACACGCCCGCGGTGAGATCCGCGACCTCGAGACGGTCAAGGCTTCCCAGGCCGATGAGATCAAGGCCCTGCATGAAGAAATTGCCCGGCTCAAAGAAAACATGGCCTCGTTCGAGCTTCTCTTGAGCCAGACCCGGTCCCCCGGTCGCGAGCGGAGCGCCAGCGAAATCAGCGAGCTTGGTGTGGGCACAAACCCAACCTCGGCCTCCTCGGCATCCGATGTCCACTATGTGTCTCGTCGCCGGCACTCTGGCAAGGCTTCGAGAGGGAACGTCAGCCCGCTTACCTCGCTGTCGTACACCCGCCATCGACGCAGCTCGGGCGCTCGCAGCAAGTACGAATCCAGTGTGTCAAACGTCGAGGCTCTCAAGAAAAACCTCGTCACGGGCTTCACGCGCGAGTATCTGCAATCCGACAGCCCCAATCTTGTCTCGGAAGACCGGCGAGGCGAGCGCCTGAGCTTTGGGTCCATTTCCCTCGAGGGTCGTCGCAAATCCTCGCTCCTCAGCGTACCGCCGTCGTTGTTTGTCCCTCCAAGCTCGCTGCAGTACGCCGCTTCGGCGATGACGACCGATGACAGCGACACATCCTCGCTGAGCGACCGCTCCGAGGGCAGCCTGGAGGAAGCCCCTGTCCACGAGAATCTTCTCTCCGATGAACTCAACCGGTGGCGAGTCAAGGGCAACCGTCATAGTGATATCTTTTTCCGTGACCCGCTTCGGTCCGGTGGCCTAGGCGAATCTGGCGATCGCTCCCATCGTGCGTCGGTGCTATCGCACGGCACGTTTCGTCTGTCGGCAGCAGCCCCTGAGTCGACAGCTGCCTCCCAAGCACTTGTGCAGCGCGAGGACAAGGATACACAGACGCCGTCCGAGTGGGATGATGTTGTCGAGAAGCCGGCAGCCGCTCTCGTCACCCGCCACCGGCCGATGCAGCCGTCCATTACCGAGATCTACTACACCGAAACCTTCCTGACCACCACCACCACCACCACCAAGACCACCACCACCACACGCAAGGCCTCCGCCAAGAAGGATGCTTCCTTCCCAGCCCTGACGCCGTCCGCAAGTGCCCCGGCTCTGACCCCTGGTCTGGCTCCAGCCTCCAAGTCACCGCCGCTTCCGACCTTGACCCTGCTGCCCGCTCCACCGATGGCCAAGAGCCCCAGTGAGATCATCACCCAAGCGATCCCAGAGAGTCTCCGAGCAATGAGTCCAGAGACGCAGCCGTCAATCGGCCGTCCTCAGGAAGGCAGCTCGCGGGCCGAGGATCTGGTGCTTGAGTCGCTAACCTACACACTGATTGGTTCGTGGGTAAGTATGCAACGACCTCACTCGGTCCTTGGACATGGACATGCATCTCAGGGTATCTCGCAGGGTGCGTTCTCTGCCTGACTCGGGGCCTGATCGCCTCCCCTCCCTCCCTCTCTCCCTCCAATTCGATTGAACTTTTAGCTTCAAAAGTACAACAGGCGTGGCCGACTCTCGCGGCTTCGCTACTTCTGGGTGAACCCGTTCGCACGAACCCTTAACTGGGCCAACAAACCCCCCAACCAGGGCACCTACCACGTCGCAACCAAGACAGGTTCGTTCTGGCATCGCAGACACGGGGCTGGCGGTACTGTTGCTATCCTCGCTTCGCTGCTGCAATCCGGCGATGGCCGAGCCCTGGTATCGACGGACTGACGCTCATGCTAATGGTGCGATGCCGTCTTTCCTTTGCTGTGCCTGTGCAGCATACATTTCGGGCGTGTGTCTGCCTGAGAACATCCACGAGGCGCTTGCCGGGCCGTCGGTCCGCGACAGCGCTCCTGCCCAAGAACACGTCATCCGCATCCTGACCTCGGACAACTACGAAGTGCGCATCCTGCCCACCAACTGGTTCGACTACCACCACTGGATGCAGAGCCTCAAGTTCCTCTCCGAGAACGGCTCGCACGGCCTGCAGCCGCTGCAAGAGTCCGATATGGCTTCAATCAGCGGCAAGCGTTTCAGTCGCGGCTCGTCGTTTATCCGACGGTCGCTTCAGCGAGCCTCCAGCCTCTACTCATCTCTGCAAGGCAGCACAATCGAGGAGGAGCGGATCAAGAGCCCTGCTCTCGCTCGGTCCGGCTCGGCCATGTCCAACTACAGCCAAAGCGCCCCCAACAGCCCGCAGGGCTCGCAGATGAGCCTGAGCCGGAAGCGCAGCTGGCTCGGCAGTGCCCAGACCATCGCCTTTTCGCTGTGGAAGAGCCTGCCCATCCGCCGACCCTCAACCCCCAGCTCGCCATAGACAGCATCTTGGCCCGCGAGGCCGACACCGATCCCTAGACCATTTTTGTGATATCACCGCGCACGAGGCAAATCGCCCGCACGGACCCTTTTTGTTCCCGTTTTGCATTTCCGAGAATGAAACGCAACACCCTGCTTGCCCCCAGAGTCTCCGTGTGGGCATCCGAGGCGACCCAGAGCTGCGCGGCGCCTTCGAGGAAGCCCAGGACCATGCGCAGCAGCGGCTCATGATCAGTCACGTGTGCGTTTTCAGTCGGTCCTGATCCGTTTTCAGGCGAGGGAACTGCCCCCGCCATGACCATTGCACCGCAGCCAGCAATGATCTCCAGGTGCATCCGCCAAGCCCACCGCCAGGCCCGTCTCCAGGCCAGCGTCGCCCAGACAAGATGGATCTCGGCATGTCCGTCTCTGCTGCAGCGCGGCGTCACCCGACGGGACCGGCGCAGCGGCCCGCAGTCCAAGTCCATCGACGATCAGGTCTCGCGCGATCTCAACAACCTCGGCAGCCCAGCGTCCGCAAGACGGCCGGTAACCCCCGATGGACTGCCCATGCTGTACGCAAGACCACAAGCCCAAGCAGAACCCGTCCCGGAAAACGGCGAGACGGTGCAATCCGAGCTGAATGTATGGCGCATCGTGGTTTGCAGTGTGTGCTCCTTCGGCCTGCAACTTTGATTTTCATCGCACCTCGATCCACTCGGGCTCTGCTGTCATGCCGTGCATCTCTGTCAAGGGCCCTGAACGCTTTCGGTGCGATGGCTTCTGAAATAACCATGTCGCAGCATGAGCAGCAGGTCTCCAATCCACCTGTCCTTCTGCGCATCGAGCCTAATCCGCAGTCCTGCTCGACAGCAGCCACAGCGTACTGACAGAACCCAGAGCCTAACGACATCATATCGACTATTTGATCAACAGGTCTCGGGACGAGAGCAGTTCCTGTCGCTTGGTGTCCATCCGCAGATCGTCGACTCGCTCATGGCCAATTTCGCTGTCGAAGCTCCCACGGTCTGCCAGCGAGACATCATCACTGGCATCCTGGCTCACAAGGACATGATCATCGACGACGGAACGGGCTCCGGCAAGACTCTCGGCATCGTTCTTGCCATCCTTTCGAAAAAGTATCAGCTCGACCTCTTCCGGAGCGGCGTGCTTCGCCGCTCGCCATCGGGCCCTGGGTCCACCCGCGGCAGCTCGGATCAACAGCACATTGCCGCTCTGATCGTCGTGCCCAACCGGGATCTGGCTTTCCAGATCTACAATTGGTCGAGGACCCTGTGCGCACACGTACCGGACGCCGAATGGAACAAGACCATGCAGTGCGTCATTCCGGGCGTTGACATGGCCGATCAAATCAAGCTGCTGCAGTCAACTGGCTTTCCCAAGATCCTGGTCGGCACTGCAAACCGGCTTTATCAGCTGACGCAAGAGCCATCGATCCAATTCGACTGGACACATCTGCAGACCATGGTACTCGACGAAGTGGACGAGCTGGTGCGGCCGCCCAAGCGCCGAGAGTTCCGCGCTTCCCACAACATCCGCAAGACGCATCCGCTCGCGAGCGAACTGCTGATCGAGGGCATCCTCAAGATACGCCGACAAGACGAAGCTCTGGACGTCAAGATGTTCCAGAGCCGGACGGTTGTTGACTCGGCTGGCCGCGTCGAGCTGGCTCCATCGATCCGGAAGAAGCGACTACAGCTCGTCGCTGTGTCGGCCTCGACCAACTCCGAGATGCGCACGGAGCTTGTCAAGGAGAGAATGTGGATGATGAACCCGATTCGCCTGCCGCTCGACCCAAACCCGTCCACCAAGGTCGTCGGCCCCGAGACCCTCCGGCATCATGCCGTTGTGATTGATTCCCACGGCACGCCGCACGATCTCGACATGGACCGGTTGTATCAGGACCCTGCCGACGACAACAACGACAGCCCGGCACCCCGGGACCGGGATGTGCCTGCGACTATGCCGACGATGGACGCCCTCGAGGCCCTTGCATCGATCTGTCACGCACAAAAGATCGAGAAGGCCTTCCTGTTTGTATCGCCGCAAGCCAAAGTGCAGGTTATCACTAGCTTTTTGAACTCGCTTGGTATGGACGCCCAGCCGCTTTCGAACCAAGCCGATTATCTTGATTCGGTTCGATATCTCCCAAGTACTGTGACCTCTCGCGAGGATGGAAACCCTGCTCCGCTCAACGTTGCAGCGACCCAGGTGGTGGCCGAAGCCTCTCCTGCCGATGTCGAGCTTGCATCGGGCGAGCCACAGACCACGGAAACGACACCACCGACGACTGTCGCTTCGCAAGCCGAGACATCGATCGACACCCCATCGCCGGTCCGAAAGCCGACTCTGGCTCCTTCGTCGGCCCGGACACCGACGACTGCGACACTCCAGCGCCGTCGCCGACAGACCCGCATCATTGTCGCAACAGAGTTCGAGGCCCGTGGTGTCGACATTCCCGATGCAACTCACATCTTCATCATGACCGTGCCGCGCAACACCTCCAGCTATCTGCAGATGGCGGGTCGGGCAGCACGCTTTGGCCGCCGTGGCTCTGCGACCACAATCTTGCCCGAGCACGCAATGGCCAGCGGAATGCGGCCCATATACCGGTTCCTGAGGTCGTCCATCACTCCCGTCCTGAACGTCCCGCGCACACAGTAAATGTGGTGTGCTCGGAGATCCCGAACGGGACACTGTTATGCTTTCGTCATCAAAATACAACTCAAAAGTCCTTACATTTCCACAGCCATGTCCAATTCTTGATTTGTACACCATCGCCTGTCAATTTGGAAGATTGCTGGTGGGCTTGTGGTGGCACCCCATCCGCCCTGGTCTGCTCGCGAATGACCTGGGCTTGATTTTTCTTCAACCAGCATCGACTTGTCTGGTCGCATCTCCATCACCCGCCCCGCAGCCGGGGGCCGACCGATCGATCGACCGAGCCATGCCGTTCGGACAGAAGCGACAGCGCGAGGCGCCGTCCTCCTCGCATCATCCGGCCGTGGCTTCTGGCGAGGTCGTCGACGAGACCGCCCACGACCTGGCTGACATCTCGCTCTCCAAGAGGTCGGCGACCGACCAGGATGTCGAGCGCAAGCTCTCGCAGATCGCGCTGCTCGAACGGACTCCGTTGCGGCCGTCGATGCATCCGCTGTGGAATCTCGCTCCATCACAGGCGGCTGCAGGCCAACATCCGCTTCGGCCCGGATCGCCGTGGACGGTCTCGGGGGCCGTCGGTGTTGCGCCCGAATCATCTGCCGAAAGCCTTCGTCACCTCAGCGAGCGCAATCCGCCAAGGCCTTCTCGGACCGTTGCTGCGACGGCCCTCACAGCGCCATCGCCCGTCTCGCCTGCGCTGCCCTTCATCTCCCCCAGCGGCGCATCCATTGCACCCGCTTCGCCATCCGCCCTCCTGCATCCAGAGACATCCAGACCTATATCCATGACCAGCAGCGGCCCGTCCTCGTCGTCGTCACTGCCCAGCTCCCTTGCCTCCATGGAGGAGCTGCAAGCCGCCCTGCCTCGGTCCCCGCATCCTCTAGCGGCGCTTCCAGCACGAACCGTCGACCGACAACTCGAGCAGTCCCTGACGATGCTCCGGTGCCTGGGCATCTCTCATGAACTGACACCCTCAGGCTATTGGAGCGGCCTGCCGCCGCCGCCATCGGATGCCGATACCAATGAGAATGCCAGCACTAGTGCCAAAGCCGATACCAAACGAGACGCCTTCGGTGCTTTCCCGGCGGTCTCTCCGACCTCTCCCCGATCTCAGTTGCTGCATGTAGCAAGGGCCGCATCGGACCAGCGGCGGAACTTCCGGATCGACACATCCTTGGGGCCAAGAGGTCCCGTAGCAACTCCAAGCTCGTCGCCAGTGGAGTTTCGTCCCAGCGCTGGCTCTAGCTCCGGCTTCAGCTTTCTCTCACCCGCCTCGGGTCTGCAAGTCCCGTCGATGTCACCACCATCCACATTCAGCCGTCGCGGTTCCATCGGGTCGCCGCCGATCCAGCGCTCGGCGAGTACCATCGCTGCTGAAGCATCCCCTCAGCGATCCAAGCCCAGATCCAAGCCCGGTCTCAAAGAAAAGCTCATCTTTGAACGCAAGACCCTCAACAAGACCATTTCGTCGGCTCCGAGTCGCCCCGCGACGCTGCCTCACCGCATCCATCATCACCACGGCGGCGATCGGGACACCGTCCACCTCTGGACCAAGACGTACCGGCCACTGCGGATACCGAGTGTCTTGCTCACCCCGGCCGGGTCGTATCTCTGGTAGGTTTGCGATGCGACATACGTCGAGTGGAATTCATGGCCAGGCTGATACTCATATGCGGCGCATCTCAAGCCATATCGGGATTCCTTCCGCTGAATTGATCAAGTGTCGCCTCTTCCCAGGTCCGGTCGCACCCCGCAGCTGAACCCAGAGCAGGCTCAAGTTGTGCTCTACCGGGCGCCGGGACTGTCTGGTCTCTTGGCACCCACCAGTCCGCCCGAACATAGCATGCCGCATCTTCCCGAGCAACTCAGCACCGAGTCCCGGACAACCTCGATAAGCTCGATGATTACAGAAGTCGTTCCGCTCGCCAAAGCCGACGAACTCTTGAGCTCGCTCGACGACGATGTTGACAATGGTGATGCCGTGCGGGGGCCTCAGATGGATCTGGACTGAAAGCGATGATGCCCTCAACGCCTGCGCCGAATACGCCTGTCACGAGCAGCAGCACGGGCGAATCTACGGCGTGCAGTTGAAACCGCCGCAGAATTGGATGAAATACAGCCATGTTTTTGGACCCTGCGCTCATCGACCGTTTCAGCGGGTACTTGATTGTGGCCCCAAGGGACAGCGGCACTGGTGATATTACCAAGTATGTGTATCCAAGCAAGCATATAGACTAGCAAGGATACCTGGTTGCTCTGGTTGCCCTGAGCAAGCTCCGATTCTCAGGCACTCGAGCGTGGTTTGCCATCTACCGCTCAAAGTAGGCTTGGGCGCTCGACAGGCTGGGGTAGTGTCGGCGCTCTGGCAGGATCACTGGCAGGCAGATGGGCTACTACATCGTCCGCACCGATTCGAGGACCTTGTGCAATTGCGTCCCGCACAGACCGAACCAGGTGGCCGCAGCAGTATCAACGTGGGCCTTGGAGGCCGTCATCATGTCGCTTGCTAGCTCGACGATGGCTTCGAGTGACTCCACAAGACCCGGCCGATCGACGGGCGAGATGAGCAGCACACTTGAGATCTCGTCCAGTTGGCTGACCAAGGCGGAGGTTTTATCGACGAGGGAGTCCATCCACTCGATGGTATCGGTCGCAGGCACAGAGGGCGGCGTCTGCGCCAGGATTTTGGTGAACTTTTTAAGCAGCATCTTGGACGAGTTGAAGAGCTTGAGGGTCTGTTGGACAATCTCGCGGTCCTCGGGAGCGATGAAGGTGGGCTCGTCAAAATCAAAATCAAAATCATCGTCGTCGCCTTCGTCGTCGTTGGTGCCGCCATCGACATCGGCATCGGCATCGTTGTCAATGGGCTTGGCCTGGTCGGCGCTGTTGTCCAGCGACGTCTGGATCTCGGCCGCCACATCGTCAAAGATCTTGATATCGGCCTCGATGGCCAGTTTGCAGCAGATCGCATTCGACAACGGCACGGCTTTGATGAGCTCGCAGTTATCCCAGACTCGTCCAGTCGAGGTGAGGTATCCGGCCGCCCGCAAATTCGCCTCGAGGTCCCGTGGATGCTCGACAAAGGTGTTCAGAAGGGTTGCAAAGCTGACCACGACGGTGCTGGTGGCCGACCGCAGACGCTTGGTGACGTTTCTTCCGAGGCCGAGCGGGACCGACTCGACGGTGGCAACGAGATGGGTCAGCGCCTGCTTTGCAGTCTCGCATATCGAGGCAGTCTCCCGAGATTTGCCGTTGGCGGAGAGAGCCAGCCGCGTGGTGGTGTGAGAGAGAAGCGTTGCAGATTTCTCTGTGTGTTCGCAGAGGCGGGCCGAGTCAGCTCACATCGTATCCATCAGCCATCACGGGTCGTTATCGCGATCGGCGCCTGTAGCCAGATGCCAATACATATGCGACGCCACGACTCTGAGAAATGGTCGTATCGGGGCGGAAAACAGGCACCAGAGCTGGCCGTACCGATTTCGGCCTTGAAATCTTGCTCCTTGAAAGACTGGAGGCTCGAGCCGGTCGCCGGATTCAGCTGCCGCAGGTCGGCGATGTATGCCAGGGCGAGATCCAGCAGGGTGTTCAGGGCGGCGTCCATTTTGGGTTGTATCAGAGAGGGAATAGACTCGGGCTGTTGTGCGGTGTGGTGCTGGCGGGGACGATCTTGACCTGGCTGTCTGCTGGCCTCGGGCGGATGCGACTTGATCCCTCGCTGGCGCAGACTCAGGATCAAGAATGGATTTGATGTTGGGTGTCTGAGCAAAAGAAAAACGCCACGTGATGCATGATCGCCGATGGCGCTGGCGGGACAGCAACCCAGCCGCCTCATGGATTGCGCTGGGGTGCTGGAGAGCAAGCCGAGCCCGAGAGACGCAGCAACGCGAGGTGCCTGTGGGGATCTGGATGGTCGAGGGATATGGGTGCTTCTCTGTTATGCGATGCGATGCATGCAATATGCAATATGCAATATGCACCTGAGTTCATAACGGACTGCCCACGCTTGTGCGGGCGTTCACAACCAGACTGACCGGGTGACTTCCAGAAAGCACAGTATATTCGGGCGAAAACGGGACCCACTTCCATTCGGTAACATAGTCTGTTATGATCTGCATCCGACAGCTATACAGAATCCAAGGGAGCGCCTCGGCAGCCTCTGAGTGAAGACCACGGGTCGCTCTCCGTCTCCACAATCGACCTGCACACGATGGCCATGTTGCGCGCCGCACTGATGCCTCGATTCCATGCCGCTGCGGTTGTCTCGACATCGGGCGGCGATGGAGGGTCGTGAGCGAGAAGGACCATATATTGGACGCTGGAAGAGGACTGCTTGGCTGGCCAAAAGCCCCGCTGGGTGGGCAATGTCGTCGACGACCTCAAGCATAGCATGGACTGCGAGATTGCTTTGACGGACGGCCTGCGGGCTCGCGAGGGCTGGCTTGGGAAAGCAAGAGGCTAATTCCAGCGGATCCACGAGGATAGCGACCAGCTGCCTGGTCCTGCTTCTGGCCGATCGGGTTTGTTGTGTGCTTCAGCCTTCTGCTGCTCCTGCAGCAGAGACTTCCAGTGCGCTAGCTCGTCTTCCAGTCCACCCAGTCTCTCTGCCGCTTCGAGTTTGTGCTCGGCCTTCTCCAGCCGGGTCCAGACGTACTTGAGGGTGATCAGCGTCAGGGACGAGTATGCCAGGAACTGCGAGAGGGGGCGGCCGTACTTTTGCGAGAACGTCAGCTGTTCCTCGGGCAGGGTGTAGATGGTTCGCCGGATAGATGATCGAGGTGCCGGAATGGCGTGTCGCAGGGCTCGGGTGATATGTGCAGACATGGGTGTGTGCTGGGCTTGGATGTCGAGGAGGGACGGATGCTTGGGGACGCAGGCCAGGACGATCAGAGATCGGGGAGACTCGATCAGATCCGCCGCGGCGTCGAGCCTGCGACTTTTGGGCTGCCTGTTCCGACGCACAGGCTTTGGCTTTGGCTCTGGCTCGATCAGACAATCCCTCGCCAAACCCACACCGATCGCAGCAGCAACAGCAGCAACAACAACAGCACCGCCTGCCGCCCGCAAGACCCATCCGATTCTCGCCAGCCGCTTCCTGGTTCAAGACACTCAGTTCGGCGTGAAGCTGCCATTCCAGTCCCGTCGCGGCCTTCGTCTTCTGTCCTATAGCCGAAAACTCAAATACCGCTCTTGTCAGCCATGAGCTCTTCAAGACTCGGATCGACCTTCCTCGGCAGCATCGCTCGCACCACAACCCGGTCTCGGCACTCTGCTCGGCTCGCCACGCTGCAGACCCGGCGTGGATATGCCCTGCCTACTGAGATGGCCCCACCAGACGGCACCAACCTGCGCGGCTGGGCTCTGATCGTCCATCGTTCGAAGCAGGGTGCCGAGTTTGTGTACAAGTTCCGGTCGAGTCTCTTCACAGTCATGCTCTGGATGATCACGGGCTCACTGGCGCTGGAGCTTCGCTGGATCCGGGCGGATGTGCATGAAGAAAAGGAGCTTGCCGACCTGAAGGAGCGCAAGCTGCAGGCCGAAATCTCAGAGATCCGAGCACAATGCGATCCCGAGTACCGAAATGCGCTCGAAGCCGCTCGCCAACAAGAGGCGATGCAGCGGCTAATCAAGCAGCAAGAGTTGCAGGAGCGGATCCGACAGAGCCAGGCCAGACGGGAGCAAGGTTAGCCTATGCTGGTCGAGGGAGAACCAGTGGACTGTGTGTGGATATCATCACCAGGACACCATGTCCACGAACCGATTCGATATTGCAGATGCCTCACCGTCCCGATGCATTCTCTCTGAACGCGGGGTGCTGTGTCTTTCGGCCGTCGAGACGGATGCAGTTTGCGGAGACTCTGAAACTCGGCTAACATCGCGTCCTGTTCTCGTCCGCGTCTTTCGATCGATCCCAATCCCAATCCCAATCCCGATACCAGACAAACCAGCCGGGCCCTCTGCAAGCACCGAGTCATCTCCGGCAGCGCAAATCAGAATCTACTAATGCGGGGCACATATCGTACTCTCTCAGATAGGCAGCCATGGCCGGCTTGTCAGCATATCGATGAGACGGCCGTGTCTCCTGTTGCGGCTCGGCAGCAACAAGCCAAGCAATTCGTAGTAATCTGCTCTGCACACTTCCTTCCAGACAGCTCAAATAGACCGAACTCTGTTTTTGCAGTGCCCGATTGTAACTTGTCCAGTGACAGAGAGGGCAGGAGAGGGAAAACATGCATCCTATCTGACTGCTCCGTGTGCTCCAGCCATCAACACCTCCACCTCTACCCTCTGGCTCCCGGCCCTGGCTGCTGTCTAAATACATTCATGGCAACTAAGTGTTACCTTGGACTCACTTTATCATTCGGAAACCCTTGTCCGGGACCATTTTTGTTGTCCGCGAGCGCTAGAAGCGTCTGGAGCACTTTGGCGCTTCCCGACCTCCCGACACCCACAGTTGCGAGTGCATCCTTGGCCCACTGCTGGCGTGCTTGTAGATAGCCTCTGGCAGCACCAAATAATGTGCTCGAATACTATTTTAAGCACTGTGTACATCCCAGGACCACAAAAGCTGTCGCTGTCCCGAAGCGTTCCGGTGGCTTGCTCGACACTGCGATCGTGCGCACCGGATAGTCCAGCCGATCGAGCGAGCATATGTACGCCAGTTCTGCATCGCCATACTCATCTTGGGCTACAGGAGATCGACATGTAGAACATCTTCCGCTCCCAGCCAGGCTGGCATACTGTCGGACGGTGTCGGGATGGGTGTGAGCACTGCAAGCGAGCGAGCGAGCGAGTCAGCAAACGGGGCGTGAGGCGCAGCCGTTGGTGAGCAGTCTCCCCAATACCACACACCGACCAGATCGCCTCTGCCCCGGACAGCCTGAACCTGTGGCGGATCCATGCAGGTCATTATGGCTTTGATGCTGGTGGCCGTGTGCTGCCACAGAGGAGCTGCGGCTGGTTGACTGGCTGGCTGACGGACTGGCTAGCTGGCTGGCTGGCTTGGCCGCCTGGATCCCAATCTGCAGAGATCCGTGGGAGTACTCGACGCCAGCGCCATCGGATTCCCTCGGTCCCCAACCCTTTCGCCTATCGAAGCAATACATATCCTGAGCCGTCCAGCGTGGACCGCATGTTGCCAACCAGTGTTATTGGCATCACGGGAACAGACGCATGGTATGGACAGCTATCACCAACAACATTTTGATCTTGACCATCGATGCCACTGCTACCCTCAACTAGTCGCAACCTCATGTAAGTGCGTGAATATCGAGCCCACATTCGCTTTTTTTTTGGGGGGGGGAACTAGACCGACGACGCTGGTGATATGGCCCGTGTGTGCTTTGTCTGAACAGCGGTCACCTGGTCCTTTTGTTGGACGAAAGGGGGATCCACATACACTATGACGCATCACCTGGTGGCCAATGAGACGAGCCCGGTTTTGCCCGTCGGTGTTATAGTGATGTGAACCAATTGAGTTGCACGGATTTATCCCTTGGGTGGGGTCCGGCCGCCGATTCTGCGGTTTGTTCCCAGCGGCTCGTTGATGGACACGGCTCGCCGAGCACTGCAACGCCCTCTGCGCTCCTCTTCTTGCTCCTCCCCCGACGGCTCTCTAGTCGAGATAGTGCCCTTGGACAGCCCTGGCAACCCGCTCAAGATGAACTCACTCGAGCCCTCCTGATCGCCGTCTGCCTCCACACCACGAGGACCCCTGGGTTATGGGCTGTGATTCGATCGATCGAGCAAGGCTGCTCCGACATGCTGCGCCTGGTCAGCCCGTTCTGGTCCTCATACAGCCGTGGCGTGTCAAGTTGCCCCAGATTTGCTTGGGCTCGTCCTGCCGCCGTCTCTCTTCTTGGATCGGCAACGGCCGTGTTGAGGGTCTCCATTTGCAACCGTGCTCCACTATACGTCCAATCGCCTCTGCCTCATTACTCCACATCCTTGCAGCGCCGCACCATCCCATCTTCATATTGTCGCATCGCCGTATTGTTGCATCGCCGCAGCCTGCGCTGCTGAGCACCGCCAGCAAGGCGGCAGGTATCCGATGGCTCTGAGCTGCTCTTGGGAGGGCGGCAGAGTGTCTGTCGGATGCCGAGTCGTTGAGGGGAGCCTGTTTGCTGCCCCTGGGCACGAACGATGCGAGCCTCTATATTGGGCTGGATACAGGATGCTGGGTGCCGGATAACAAATATGCATAAAAAAGCGGAATGCAAATCGCGGGTTGTGGCTGCTGGTGGCTCACCCAAGTTCTCTGTTGCTGCGTCGATCACGGCTGCATCAAAGCCGGCCGATGCTTTCGCTAACAACAGTCTGACCGCAAATGTTGGGCTCGACGATGGAGTAGGGCTTGATGAGATGGGCTTGATGTGCGCTTTGTTTTCGATTCTGTCTTTCTCTTGGAATAGGTATCGGGTGAGCAGGGCTTGCTCTGGACACCAAGTGCCCCGACAGCCAACTCGACAGTGCTTGTGATCGTCTATGATCTCGGCTCCTGGAAGTATCCTCCTTCTCGGACAAATGTACTGCAATTCTACACGACTGCTCTGACGTACTGGCTGATAGGTCGCGAGGCTGCGGAAGCTGGGAGGTATCTGTAGGGGCATGTGTGCAGCGAGTTAGCTGCCTGTCTGTTCCAGCTGCTGTCTGCTCCACTCTAGCATCAGTCGTCTCGATTGTGACGAGCGACCGAGTGAATGGGCGAGGCCTGGTCCGACGGACGTAGGGTGGATCGAAAGGAGTATAGAACGTCCAAGAAGAACATCGGCAGTAATGGACAGTAGCGAACGAACGAACCGCAGCGATACGGCGGGCAAAGCAGAGAGATTGGGTGACGACGTGGGCGGCCGCAAATCGTCAGAGAGACGACAGCGGCTGGAGAGTGGAACGCTTTTTTCCTTCCCTTGGCGAGCCTAACGACTTTACCGACCCTCCAAGCAGCAGACGCTCGCCACTTGACTCCAAGGAGCTCGCTCATCCCCCCCTTTCAACCCGCATCGACAACGCACTAACCTTTGCCCGAACAAGGGCTCATCTTGGCTCGCTTGGCAGGGGCTTGAGCGGGACGTTGCGTCTCCGCATTCGCTCCTCCTTCACCGGTTGGACCTTTCGGACGATTCGGACCACGCCTTGATCGACCAAGTATCGAGTCAGCGGCGTGATCTCTGGAAGTGGAGGGGCATTGCCGAGTCAAGACAACGATGGAGCCGGTGGTTTCGAGGAAGTTGGCAGGCAGCAGCGATGTGAGAGGCAGCAGAGCAAGTGCGATGGTAAGAAACACGTCCGTCAGATCGTCGATATGACATCATTATGACAAACCAGCAGCAACATCGCCAACCGCGGCCACCGATCCAGGCGAGCGGCTCCATTCTGTTTGACGCTCTTCTCGCCACTACCCCACACATTCCCCTCGTGCCGAGCAGCATGCTCCTGCTGCACTGCCCTTGCGTCTCCACCAGCGCCAAGAGCTTGAATCCCGCAAGCCAACCAAGTTACGTACTTGCCATGCCCGGAAAGGTTCTCCAGCTGTGCGATGTGAATACCTCCGACAGGATCGAGGTGAGCACGACGGGACATGGACAAGAGCTGTGCCTGTGATATCAAATGGCGGGATACCGGTTATCGCCACCAGGGACAGGTGAGCAGCGGTGAAGGTGGAGAGAGAGAGAGAAGACGTTCGGGGTCAGAAACCAAGCACAATGAGCCGCTGTACGAGCAAAGTATACTGACACCCGTAACGCGGCTCGCCTGACCAGCGGGCATGCGCCGTGACTGCTGCACACAACTCGCAATCCTGGAACTGCAGACCGATCCTCCTATCGATGTTGAGCAGCGGCAGTTGCCTCCGGAAGACACAAACGAACAGTCTCGCTCCAATGCACTTCTGCCCTCCATCCACCAGAGGCCTGAGCCAGCAATGCCCCTTGTCTCGACCGCACAGCCCGACTCTCACACAACGACCCGTCAGCTGGCGAGCATGGAACGTAACGTACAAATGCAGATCCACAAGCGTGAATTGCAGCCGGAACGACCCCTCCATGCGGACGCACAGGTTTCCAAAGACAAAGAAGACGCCCATGGCCTGGTCAAGTCCTCGAGCAAAGTAACTGGGCGACACGAGACTGCCAAAGAGCGTTGTGATGGCTCTGGTAGCGTTGCGATCGCGGCTCCGGTTCCCGCGGCTCTGTTCGTCCGAGTTGGTCTCTGCAACAGAAGAAGGTGGGCCTTCGAGAGCGGTAGGATCGTGGGGTGACGGGTCAAGCGGCGCAGGATTCAGTGCATTGGATGTTGGTCTCGAGGTATTGCGCGGCTGGTTGAGTTGGCTGGAGTGCTCGGGAGTTGGCATCCGCTGTTGATATTCGGAACGGTCTCCTTGATGATCCTGCAGCTCAAGTGACGGCCGAGGGCTTGCCGACTCGGACGAGTCTGGAGATGCCGAAGCAGAGGCAGAGGACCATCTTGCGGCAGGACTGGAAGTGGACGATATGGCCGGGATCGAAGAATCAATGCGAAACTGAGAAAGGCCAGGCACAGAGTCAGCCGGCCTTGGTGGCGAAAATATTGTTGTGAGATCTTGAGTTCCGTCGGCGGAGAAGAGCCTGGCATGGACGACGAAGCTGCTGGCGACGGCGAGAGCATCTGTGCCTCCTCTGTGGGCGACACAGGGCCGAGACAAGCCAGATGATAGAAGATTGACGATTGGAGGACGGATGATGTTAGAGGATGGTAAACGATGATAGGAGATGGTGGACGTGGAAATCGGAGGTAAGAGGACAAGAAGCCCGTCGACGCAAGAATGTACTCGCGGTGTTGGTTGTTTGGCATCAGAGAACAAGCCAGTTCCGGACCGCTTATTGACAGTCTTCGATCAATTGATGCTGTCTCTCCTCACAACCCAAGGCCCATCGACGCTATGCGTCAAATCTTGGCAGGTACCGATCGAAGCGACCCAGGGATCGATGCAGCAGACCCAAGAGCTATTTACCCTTTGATCTCCTTACCGTCGCCGGTAATGTACGAAAGCTGCAGCACCGGGACAGGATTTATCGGGCGGCCCGATACTGTGGTAACATAGCCGGAAGTGCGAACGTGCTCTGGCTGCTCCAGAATTCTAAGCTTATACTGTATCGGATAGACAATTGTCGCAAAACAAAATGCAACGGTCGGGCGTTAGTACTGCCTCACCCCTCATCGCCGCGACCGCTTCAGACCATCAACACTCCATGATCGCCAGGGCCAACGCCAATGTCAGGATGGAGCAGCAGGCAGCAGGCAGCAGGCGGTCGCATGGGATCCACATTCCGGCGAAAACGATATGCGATTGTCCGCGAGGAGGCAAGCAGAACGCCGTTGGAGTGGACAGACGAGGCAATTGAACAATGCCGCGACAGCGATCATATGTAGACACTGACTGCATATTGCCGAGCCAGATGGATATGGACACTTACCATGGATATGATTGTCCAGGAACAGGATACGACGGCAGCGATCGAGGAGGCCTAATCGAGAGGCAAGTTGGGTAGTAAGGCTAGTGGGGCAGGAGCCGAAAGTTGAGTCCGACGAGAGATCTGGGACGACTGGGTCGGGAGCCCAATAGCGAGCCTCTATATACCATTGGGGGTATTAATGGCACCGGGCGCTGTGGTGCCGCGGCATCGCGCAAGGCTGCAGCAGAACACCCCGGATACCAACAAGCGAGCGAAGGCAGCGCAACCAAAGCCATGGAGGCTCGAGCTGAAGCTGAGGTTGAGGTGTGCAGCGGTGCCGGATATTTACGCTGGAGAGCAGGAAGCGAGCGTACCTCTCGGGTGAACAGGAACGGCGGACGAGGGCTTTGATGGTGCGATCCAAAAGCGTGGGCCAGGAGCAGGCGATGCGGTTGGGCGGGAGCGACAGGGACGAGATGGCGATGCGACAAGGCGGCGATCAGCAGAGATGCTGCTCAGCACAAGACGATGTTCCCGACGATGCAAGGCGACAGGGCGATAGCGCTGCAGATGGGCGGAGAGCAGGACGCCGGGAGGTGCAGACACGCAAGCGACAGGTCGAAGGGCGCCTGGGGAGCGGCCCCAACAGCAATTCCCCACCACAGACGCGGCGATTGCGCATCGGCCCACCGGGCGGCAAGCCATCGGCGACACAGGCAACGGCATGGACAGAATCAGCATCGCCAAGGTGCAAACAGAGCCGACAGAACCGACAGAACCGACAGAACCGACGGAATCAACAAGCACCAGCGCTAGCACAGTATCGACAGGCGCTGACAGCATCCACTAAAGCTGTGGGCTGGAAAATGGTAAGCCCCGCCAGCATCCGCGTGTAACCGCGAGGGATTGGCCCGCCTGGGCCCTTTGCCGCGGCCAGCCAATAGGCTCGGCTCTTTTTATCCACGTCCGCCACTCAGAGCCAGAGCGGTTTGCCCCTCTGGATTGGGCCGGCCCTGCGATGGCGCGCCGCTGCGTGAATGGGGCACGGGTCCGCTTGCTAGCCCTGGTGCGGGTGAGCGCGGATCCCGAGAGCGGACCGCCTCCGCCGCTGCTGCCGCCGTAGCTGTTGCTGCCGTCGATGCTGGTGGTGAATGTGTGGTTATCCCCCTCATCGATGTCGCTGATACGGCCCGATGCCCACGTTGATGCCGCACCGCTGCTGCCGACAGCGTTGTCCTCTGTCTATCCCTCCGACACCCATATCGACATGCCTGGCCCGTGTCATTCCATGCCGCCGACGTGCACGGACAGCGGCGTCGTACCACCGTGTGCACCTGGTTCGCGGGCAGCGGCCGCTGGTCACAGTCCCGCCGGTCTTTGGCACAACCCAGCTCGCCGCCGAGAACGTGGCCTCGCTCATGAGACCGGCCCGCAGATCCCAGTGCAGACGCTCGAGGCATGTTCTTCGAGACGATCGCTGCCCCTCATGGCGACCATGCGACGCACTTCCGTCGTGGGCAGCATCCGCAGGACCATCGCCCAGCGTTTCTGCGGATGCTTGGCGCCATGGCAAAGCGCCATGGCGAAGCGGCTCCGCTGCTGCTTTGGTCATCGTGGCGGCCTGGCATCGCCGTCCGGGAGTCAAAGGCGCCAAGCGGGTTCCTCCGCTGGATCCCGGTGTCAGCAGTGCGCCCGGCGATGCTGACGAGCAGATTTGCAGCGGCTGTCTTGGGACTGGGATGCTCAGACGAAAGTCGACGTCGCCAGCGGCGGTGCATCTGCGACAAGCGACCAACCATTTGCTACCAGCGGGCACGGACAACTGATCATTTCAATGTCCAGGCGGTCTGGGCGGTCTGGGATGTCGGGTGCTGCGATCCCACCCCCACACAGGGCAGGATGGTGCATGTGTGCTGGGCGGGATCCTCGTGGGATCCTCGCAGAATCGCAAGACGGCGGAGAGCAGACCCCATGCAATATGTTGCTGCATGTCGGGACAGGCCCTCCCCTGATCCTGGCTTCTCGTCTTCCCAGTACCGCTCGGGGAACCCACTGTGCAACCCAGAAGGAGCTTGTCGCCTGCAGAGATGCATCCAGCCCAGGGACAGACGCCAGCTGTGCTCGCACAATCGACCGACCCTGCCGGATCTGCGGCGGACGACCAGGTCCATGTCTGGATTGGCTGCAGCGTCGTCTGCCGAGCCCAGCTCTCTTCCTTCAGCGCTCCTCCCAGTCCATGGCATCGCTCGCACCGTCGGTGACGCCTGGCTTCTGGCACCAAACAGATCGAGCAGCCGCAGCAACAGCAGGAGGTCTGCGGCTCTGGTCCAAGTCGCCGATCCACCTGCAGCTCTGGTTCAAGTCGCTGGCCTATTTGCAGTCGAGACCTTGCCTCCACATGCCATCTGGGTCTGCTGCCCACCACATGGCTGCCCTCGCTGCTCATGACCACCATCCCTCCGCACTTCCGTTTTTCCTCGCGCCGACTCGCATTCTGTCGGTCTGGCCAGCCTCCTCACGTGAAGTTTGCACATGCCTGGTTCGCCCAAGCGGGAGCCGCTGTTGATCCAGGGCCAGGGCCAGGATGGCCTATTTATTCTCCCGACCATCGACCCATTCTTGACCATTTTGCACCCGCCTATATCCTCCCTCACGACCCGATCGGTTCCTTGCGCGCTCCAAGAACCGCTCGCTCGCTCCCTAAACTCGCTTCAAATACACACGACGTATCATGTCCAGTGCCCTTCGCTTCGATAACCGAGTTGTCGTCATCACCGGCGCCGGAGGAGGTGAGCATTCCTCAGTGACCTGCGTCTGGAAGCTGGGGCGAGTGGTTGTTCTGGCTGGCCGGAGGAGTCACTGGCCCGAAGACCTGCCTGCCTGCAAGGCCCTCACCGTCTGGAGATGCGCTCATGCAACCCATTTGCTGACCCTCGTCTCGCATCCACGATGTATAGGTCTCGGAAAGGTATGGTGTTCATGGCGCATTTGACTCGGCTCGTCTGGTCTTGGCCGTATCTTCCCAACGCTTGCACTTTGGCTGCTTGAACGGGCTCGTCGGCAACGGCATAAAATCTACCGAGTCCCTGGCATTGACGCGGCATCTTGCTTCTGCATTTCTGCATCGCCATTTGGCGTTGTCTTGTTTCGTCTCTCCAGGTCTACGCCCTCTTCTTTGCCTCTCGTGGTAAGTTATTTCAAGCCGCTACTACCTTCGGGTCGATGGCCCAGCCCTTTAGATCCCAGCCTCACGCACTGCATCGCCAAAATATGCAAGGAGGGATGCCACAGCTCTGACTCGTGCCTTGCTGTTGAACAGGCGCTTCCGTGGTGGTGAACGATCTCGGACAGGTAAGCCTGCCACTCGGTTCTGTGGCCCTTGAGAGCCCTGTCGTCACAGTACCGCCATCGGGTACAGTCGCCCGGACAATTCTCAGAGCATCTATTGCCGATCCGCCCTGGCCTGCTCGTCGCATGTGCGGAATCAATGATCGTGTGGTGACTCACGCTGCTTCCATGTACCCTTTGCTCTCTGAAGGCTGCCGATGCTGTCGTCGCCGAGATCACCAAGGCTGGCGGAAAGGCCATTGCCGACCACCACAGCGTCGAAGATGGCGACAAGATTGTCCAGGCGGCTCTGGCGGCCTTTGGCCGCATCGATATCGTCATCAACAATGCTGGGTAAGCCTGGGTCTGGCAACTTCTGCTGCCGCCGTTGTCGCGGCCGCCATCGACGTCGTCGCTGACCAACACTGTATCATCCAGTATCCTCCGCGACAAGTCCTTCTCTCGCATGTCCGATGCGGAGTGGGATAGCGTCCACGCCGTCCATGTCCGCGGCTCCTACAAGGTGACCAAGGCTGCGTGGGACCATTTCGTCAAGCAAAAATACGGCCGGTAAGTCCACAGCAGCGCTGCTTTCGAATGTGGGTGCAGAGACGCAATCGTGGATCGTCCGGCGTATCCCTGATGGCTAACTCGGTCGCGGATGCTCGGGTTCCAGAGTCATCAACACTGCTTCGGCGGCAGGCATCTACGGCAACTTTGGCCAGGCCAACTACAGCTCCGGTATGCGCATGTGCAGCCCTGTGCCGACCGTCTGTGCAGCCCTGTGCCGACCGCCTGGACAGATAGATGGTGGTAGTGCACTACCAGCCTTGCGGTTTGCTGGGTCGGGAGCCACCTCTATGCTTGGCCGGTAGCTCAATCGCTGACGCATTCCGTGCTTGATCGCACAATCCCGTCTCGCCTTCCAGCCAAGCTCGCTCTCCATGGCTTTACCATGACCCTTGCCCGCGAAGGCGCCAGAAACAACATCCATGTCAACACCATTGCTCCCCTGGCCGCCTCGCGCATGACCGAGACGGTGATGCCACCCGAGATCCTCAACAGTCTCAAGCCCGAGTACATTGTGCCTCTTGTTGCCTATCTCTGCCACGAGTCCACGGCCGAGAACGGCGGCATCTTCGAGCTCGGGGCTGGCTTTGTTTCCAAGCTCCGCCGCGAACGCTCTCGCGGTGTCGTCTTCAAGGCCGACTCCAGCTTCACTCCTGGAGCCGTCGCCGCCCGATGGAAGGAGATCTGCGATTTTAACCAGCCTGAATACCCCAACTCTATTACCGACACCGATTGGATGTCCCTGCTCGACAAGGCCAAGCATCTGCAGACCAACGCGCAGTCGGCCAGCGACCTGAGATTCGATGATCGAGTCGTGCTCGTCACCGGCGCCGGTGCTGGTCTGGGTCGCGCCTACTCTCTTCTGTTTGGCAAGGTAACTGGCTGGGTTGTCTGAGATTGTTTTTGGCGCATCAACTGCCGGCCCTGTCGTGAGTCAGTGAACCGTGGTCGTATTTTTTCCATCGGAGCTGTGGGGCTCTGCTGGCAAAATGTTATCTTCGCCGCGCCGCCGATCGCTAACATGGCTGGCTCCTTCATGTCTGCCTCCAACCCAGCTTGGTGCCTCCGTTGTCGTCAACGATCTCGGTGCTCCCGCTGCCGAAAAGGTTGCCCAGGAGATCCGCGCCGCGGGCGGCAAGGCCATGGTCGTTGCCGGCTCTGTTGAGAACGGCGAGCAGATTGTCCAGGCCGTGATCGACGCCTTTGGCCGCATCGATGTCGTCGTGAACAATGCCGGCATCCTTCGAGACCGCTCGTTTGCTCGCATGACCGACAACGAATGGGACCTGGTCTACAACATCCATCTCCGCGGCACCTACAAGGTCACTCGGGCTGCCTGGGGCCACATGCTCAAGCAAAAGTACGGCCGCATCATCAACACCTGCTCGGCCGTCGGTCTCTACGGCAACTTTGGACAAGCCAACTACAGTGCTGGTGAGTATTTTATTGGACTGGTGTTCCTGTCTGTATCTGCTTGGGAGTGTGTCTCTATCGATCTGTGATTGGGTTCGCACCGATGTCCGATCGGACACGGCTCCTGCTCGACGTGAAGATCCTCATGCTCCAACTCACATCCAACTTTGTGGCTAACACCGACTGATACTGACGGACCCATCCATTCGCTCCCTGACACCCACCTGCATTTCAGCCAAGGCCGGTATCCTTGCCCTAACCAACACCCTTGCGCTCGAGGGCCAGAAGCACAACATCATCTGCAACACCATTGCTCCCAACGCCGGCACGGCCATGACGGCCACCATCCTGCCGCCTGAGGTTGTCGAGGCTCTCAAGCCCGACTACGTCGCGCCGCTGGTGGCCTTCCTTGCCCATGAGTCCAACACAGAAACCCGCGGATGCTATGAAGTTGGCTCCGGCTGGATCTCCAAGGTCCGCTGGCAGCGCAGCGGCGGCGTTGGCTTCCCGGTCGACGGCCAGCTCCTGCCCGAGCACATTGCCTCGAACTGGAACGCCATCACCACCTTTGATGACGGTCGCGCCCACTGGCCAGCTACGACCCAGGAGTCGTTCACGGCGATCCAGGCCAACTTTGGCCACACCTCTGGCGCTGCCGCTCCGGCGCGTGCACCCAAGGATGGCGCCTCCAAGGTCGATGTGGCCAAGGCCCAGAGCATCAAGTTCCCCTCGCAGACCTTCTCCTACAGCCAGCGCGATGTCATCATCTACGCGCTTGGTGTCGGCGCTCGGCGCACGGACCTGCCCCTCGTCTACGAGAACTCGGACAAGTTTGTTGCCCTCCCAACCTACGGCGTTGTTCCTGCGTTTGCTGCCCAATCGGCCGTGTCCTTTGGCGACTTTATGCCCAACTTCAACCCGGTAGGCACTGGAGCGGCGCTGTCTTGCAATACCAACAGCAAATGCCGAGCCGTGGCGTGCCTTTGATACTGCGATGGCGGCTGACTGATATCCGTTGTGTGTATCTCTCGCAGATGATGCTCCTCCACGGCGAGCAGTACCTCGAGTTCAAGAAGCCTCTGCCCGTCGCCGGCAATGTTGTGAACCAGGCCCGCGTCATTGACATCCTCGACAAGGGCAGCGGCGCCGCTCTCATCCTTGGCGTCACCACCACCGACGAGAAGGGCGAAGTCATCTGCGAGAACCAGTTCACCCACTTTATTCGCGGCTCGGGTGGCTTTGGTGGCAAGAAGGAGAGCCAACGGGGTCCCGCCACCGAAGCCAACGAGGCTCCCTCGCGCCCTGCCGACGCCGTCATGAGAGAGAAGACCACACCCGACCAAGCTGCGCTCTACAGGTAGTGTATAGTGCAGCCATACGAGCTCGGGTGGCGGGTATGGGAGGTGGCTCTGTTCTGCTCTTATATGTCAAAGCCCTTTCGGCTACGAGCAGCTTGCACCACTTCCTGTCCGAGCCGCTGTCCAGACTGCTGTTGCCAGGCTGCGCGACCACCTCGATCCCAGGCTCGCTGCTGACTCGGTTTTCCATGTGTCTGTCTTGTAACCCATCTGTATTTTCCTCCAGACAATCGGGCGATCTCAACCCGCTCCACATCGATCCTCAAATGTCTGCCATGGGCGGCTTCGACGTCCCCATCTTGCACGGACTATGCAGCTTCGGCATCGCCGGCAAGCACATCTTCCAAAAGTACGGAAACGGAAACCCGGCCTCATTCAAGTCCATCAAGGCCCGCTTCGTCAAGCATGTGTTCCCCGGCGAGACTCTGGAGACCCACATGTGGAAGGAGGGAAACAAAGTCATCTTCCAGGTCAAGGTGGTTGAGCGGAACGTCGTGGTCATTTCCAACGCCGCCGTCATCCTCAACGGTGAGAGAATCGGCTACTCTGATGGTTTTGGGCGGCGCGACTCCGAGCCTATGGATGCGGGAAGGGTGCTAATAATGACGAATCTCTCCTCCTCACAATATCAGATGTCCCTGTCCCTAGCAAGGTCACCGCCCCCGCTACCGCTGGGGCAGCCACTATCTTTGCCCAGATCGAGTCCGGCCTAAACTCCCTCTCAGCTGAGGAGAGAAAGACCCAGGTGTCCAAGACCAAGGCCATCTTTGGCTTTGACATCACCGATGCCTCTGGCGCTCTCTCAAACTGGTTCATTGACCTCAAGCAGGGTGACGGTGCTGTTGGCTCTGGCAAACAAGCTCCCAACAATGCCAAGATCGACATGACCGTGAGCGTCAGCGACAAGGACTTTGTCGATCTGGCTGCCGGCAAAGCCAATCCGCAGAAGTTGTTCATGGCTGGCAAGCTCAAGGTCAAGGGCAACATGGGTCTGGCAACGTAAGTGCCTGCAGCGACTGCGAGTGGTGTAGATCCTGGAGGTCTCGGCATGAGACGGCAGCAATGATTCTGAGACCGACTCTGTGTTCTCTCTCTCTCTGTTTCCAGTAAACTCGAGGGTGTCCTCAAACTCGGTGCTGGCGGCAAGGCCAAGCTCTAAGTAACCAAATCCACGGGTACACAGAATACAACACACGATGCGGCCTTATCATAATCATTATTTTCGCTATACTTTCAAACGACATACGGATTTGACTTTCCAAAATATATCCCAGCAAAGTGGGAAGAATGATAACGAAATGCTTGGGTTTTGAGCGTCGAGGACGATTACTGTTCCTTCCGACGAAAAGCAGGCTGCTGATTCGGGCGGTTTGGCCAGCCACACGGCAGCTGCAGAGTGGTTGCAACTTGAGACAATCGAATTGGAGACGTTCAGGCAGTGTGATCCGCAAGGGCTGTCGATTGGGCGGCCATTGTTTGCCGCTCCCCCTCTCCTTGACCTTTGGGCGGGAAACGTCGCATCGAGGGAGGGGCCTGTCGACCGAAGGCAGATTGTAGTTGTCCCTCTGTCGCTTTGCCGTCCTTCTCGCACGCTTACCTTCCTTCCCTGCCATCGACTCTATCTGCAAGTAACAGCAAGATGGTAAGTACCACTGGCGGGAATGTGATTCTCGCCGGCCATGCTCGAGTTTGATGCTCTCGGCACGAGCGCACGCCTCTGTTGCCTTGAGTGAACTGAAAATGGGATCGTTGCAGATGGGGTGCGGACGGCTGATGGCTGGCACGGCAGGATGGCCGATAGCGCAACTGCGATTCCAGATCCATCGGCCTTGTTTCTCCACTCACCCGCCGACCCACTCGCCGATTCCCCATGTGTCCCTCTCCAGTCCGCCCGCAAACAAAAGAAGAAGCGTGCCGTCCGACAGAACTCGAATGTCTTTGCCATGTTCGATCAGAAGCAGATCGGCGAGTTCAAGGAGGCTTTCTCGATGTTCGATCACGACTCGGATGGATTTGTTGACAAAGAGGATCTGAAGGATATGCTGGCGTCGCTTGGTAAGCGAGGTGTTGTTTGCACTCAGTTGGCGAGCTGAGCAGGTCGGTGGTTTCCAGCATCCTGGTCATTGGGTCGACAGGGAGCTCCCGATCACTGAATTAGAAACGAGCCCCGACTCCACATGGATGGCGACTGCGACTGCGACTACCAATGTGAATGTGAATGTGTCCTGGACGGCATCGACAGGCAGCGGCCAACCACCGCATCCAAGCGCCAGCAGCCGCTCTGACTGGTGTTTCCTCTCCATGCTTTGCGGTGCCAAGGACAAACCCCCACGGACGAATATATCGACGACATGATCTCGGAGGCTCCTGGCACCATCAACTTCACCATGTTTCTGACTCTCATGGGAGAGAAAATGAGCGGCACCGATCCCGAGCATGAGATCCTGCAAGCCTTTGAGTGCTTTGACGAAGGGAAGACGGGATTCATCAACGCCGAAGCGCTCCGCGAGCACATGACAACCATGGGCGACCGATTCACAGACGAAGAGGTGGGTGTCGAGCATCGCTGGGCCGCGCTGGAGGGCTCATCGAGCGACGGCATCGAGCGACGGCATCGGGCCACACAAACGGACGTCCCGACTGATGATGCTCTTCGTGCCATCAGGTCGACATTATGTTCAAGGGCGCCCCTCTGGATGCCAAGGGCAACTTCAACTACCGTGAATGGACCCGGGTACTGAAGCACGGCGAATAGACTGCCTGGTTGTGCTGCGTGCCGGTCGTTTGGGAGAGTGCTGCTGGGTCTTGAGAGGGGAGGAGCGGATCGGTCGAATTCCAATACACATCTGTGCCAATGCGACCCCGTGGCCCGTGCAATGCAGTGCCGTTTGGCTGCCGAGCTCGTGCTTCCACGTCGACTCGGTCGCTGGATCTTCAGTCTGTCGATCCGGTCGGATGCGCCTGGTCCCCAATGGTCCTGGAATGTTGGTGATGTCGGTGGTGGTGATGTCGGTGGTGGTGATGTCGGTGGTGGTGATGTCGGTGGTGGTGATGTCGGTGGTGGTGATGTGGGAACCGGCCGACCGAGATCCCAGCGAGGCGACCGAGGAGCGTCTCGGCCCTCGCCGTGTCGCTTTGGCTGCTCCTCGCCAGAGCCCGACAACCACTCAACGTCCTTCTGGATCAACCTCGAGAGCAGGTTGTCTGCACCGCCATCGGCTCGCCCCGGCCATCGCCAGTCCCTGCCCTCCCCCCCTCACCGCAGAGTGCGCCCCCCTCCCGATCCCTTCGTTGCGGGAAGATCGCTTCGACATGCAGCCCTCGTCCTTTGCTGCGTCCTCGGGCCTTGCCAAGTACGCCCTTGCCCCTCCTCAGGACATGTTGCTCAATCCAACGCTGGGTCAGTCTTGGGTCTTCTTGCTGTGTTTTGCGCACTGCTCCAGTGCTTCTCATGACCTCTTGACGTGGACGCCCGCCGGTGGGGCGTAAAGGTCGTCGTGTCTGCTCTGCCCTGCTTCTCCGTCGATCCGGAAGTGCCTTTGGCGGTGTGCCTCGATCTGTTGTGTTCTCTGACCCGGTCATAACCATGTTTCACCATCGGACCTTTCTCCCAAACGCCATTGCCACACCGTCCAGGCTATGCCGACGTCTATCCCCAGCGGCCGCACCAGGACGAGGATCTGCTGACCGAGTCGAACGCAAAGGAGGGATTCAAAGACCGAGCCATCGTCCAGGTGAGCGGCATCGCCATCCATACCCGGTGCGATCGGCATCGAGATCCTCCCGTCTCTGCTGGCCACAGGCATTCCGCTCCTATGCGGCATTGGCATGTCTCTCACATTTTTGGCACGTCGGTGGACGGTGCTCCTGTTTTGCTGCAGAAGGAAACCTTTTCGCTTCAAGATCTCACATACGACAAGTTCCATGAGAAGCGCATCCTGCAGACCCTCAGTGGCTTCGTGGCTGAGGTGCAGGCACACAAGCAAAAGCTGTCGCTCATTCCAAGGTGACTGGACTGGCTCTTGGGCGAGCCGCTGCGATGTCGAGCGGCAGGATGCGCAAAGGCTCCTTTCCATAGTCGAGCGAGTCGTTGGGCCTTGCCTTCGCGATGCGGGCCAGTTGTGTCGTGGCCCTGTCTTCCAGGCGAGCCGCAATCCTGTCCTTCGCCTATTCCTGACCGGGAGCTCTCTCGACGCCATCCGACAGAAACCTCAAATACAAGATCGAAGAGGTTAAGCGGAGTCTCTATGCTAGCCTGCACAAAGCATCCGACGGCCAGACGCTGCTGGAGATTGTCAAGAACCCAAATATGGAGTATGTGTCCTTATTTGCTCATCTGGACTCGAAGAAAGCCTCGGCCGCCTCGATCCAATGCCGCAGAGAAACATGCAAACGGTCCTTGCGGCTCCACACAGTTGGCGATCGGCGTCGGACGGACGCTAATTTCCTTAACGGCTCCCTCCCTCCCTGTCCTGGACAGTGTCCGAGCGGATCGCCTCATCGACTTTGTCATCCAGAAGCAGGTTCCGATCCTCAGAGCAGTTCTATACTGCAAGGCATTCTGTCTCGTCGAGCAGGTGGGTCTGCTTTCGTCGGGGCTGTACCTACACAGAGCTTGTATCTCCGCCGCCGAGGCGACTCGCTAGGTTGGGCATCCTCGAGGTCACGGATTGTGATGGACGGTTTCGAAGTCGACCGGCTCGATGGCTCTCTTGGTTGGCGTGTCCCCATACTGACCCACGCAAGGTCTGCTTGACTCTATATTCGATCCGCAGATGAGTCGCCTTCCATCCGGAAGCTCAGGAGAAGAAGGTTGCCGATGGTGGACCGGACGGATGTGGCAGTATCAAGACGGACTGCTGGCCAAGATCAGCAGCTCGTCAGGCTCTGCCCGAGGAAACTCACAGATCGCCACCGCGGCCCGCAGTCTCGTCGCCACATGGCGATACAGGTGAATGCCAACGGCCCTCGCCGCACAGCCCACGCGGCTGTGTCGCTCTTCAGATGAGCACTCTCCATCTCCGGATGCATTGCCAGAGCCGACCTGAGTCGATACGGCGCCTGCACGAGTAGGGGTCAGCATCGCGAGAGCGTGTTAATTCCTCTACTGACTCGGTGTCGATATTCATAACCATCGCCTTCGTTTCGCCAAACAGCATGCGATTCCTGCTGTATCAGAACTACGAGGGACTGATCGACCAAAAGACGCTTCTTCTGAGACTCACCAGCAGCTTCGCGGAGCCCAAGTCTGATCAGGTACGGTCGGCGATGCTGCTCCGGCTGGGCACAACGGGACTGTTTTTTACCCACCCATGCGGCGAGAATGCCTCCCTAACACCCAGCGTCGCTTGCAGACCCACTTTTTGGTCGATATCCTCAAGGCGCTACTCGACGATATCTGCCGGACACGCACGCTTACAAGGATTTTGATTGAATCGTGTGTCAACAAACTGGGCCGAGTAAGCCATCTGCTATCTTTGGCATCCTCCCTTGCGCCAGACGAGTCTTGTTCTGACCCATCTGTGCTGCTCCCAGCTTGGTCTGAGCTCGGCGTCGCCCGCCCTTGCAGTGGAGCAGCGCAACGCCGTCCTCAACCTCCTCTGCGCGACAATTCTCAAGGCGCCTGATTCTGTCATATCTCCGCAACACTGGCTTGCCCACGAAAGGGTATTCAAGCACGCGCTGGGCGCCGAAGTTCGATCGGTGCTGGTGGGTGCCGTGGCGGTTTTGTGTGTGTCAATTTCGATGCCACACAGGTCTTTTTCCTTTGATTGGATCCCGAGTTTCCGGCTTTCAGAACCTACGCACTGACGCAGTGACGCACTGACGCACTTGCGCCAACATTGGCACAGAGCTCGGATAAGAATAGGGGAATGGCGCAGCATCTGAGGCAGCAGCAGCTCAGCATCGAGTGCCGCAATCGGGATCTGCTCGACTCATGGGACAGCGAAAACTTTGCTGACTATCTCTCAAAGGTTCAGGTGAGCGCTTGCACGATGAGTGTTGTTGCCCGGCCGAGTCGAGGCTTCGAGCTGCGCACTTTGTCTGGCTGGGTGAACTGATCCCACCTGGATCTTGCAGGTTCAATACAACCATCTCGCTCCGCCGATACTAGAGCTGCAGGTCAACGAATCCATCTATCGCACGTGGCACAAGTATATAGAACTGGAGTTGAGTCGGGAGACAAGCTCAAACGTACAGCAACCGGCGTCGCTCTTACCCGAATCGCCGCCGTCCGAACCTGCGGCCGTGCTCCGATTGCTCTGCCGACATGTTCACGCTCTCTGCGACTGGGCTGTGCACACGCCCTTTTACAAGGGCTTTGAAATCGACGCCGGATCTTTGCTTACTGAGGAGCCAAGGCCGTTGGCGACGCGACAGCAGTGTTATTTTGTGATGTGGATGCTCTCCAAAGCTCTGGCCAGTGCGGAGGGACACATGGCCGCTCTCACCAAGGGCACCCTCCAAGATATTTTGTTGAACTACCTCGACAAAGCTGCAGTTCAGGTGCCGGACAAAACAGGTAAGGGGCGTCCCTGGCACTACTACATTGAAGCATGCTCTCTTGAGCGACAAGCAGCGCTGAGCGAGCGAGCGCTCTTGTCTCATGCTACCTATATATGAACGAGTATCGCCGATGCTTGCGCACAGTCACGAACTCGCGATCGGGGGTGTGTGTTCATATTGCGGCCGGATATGATGCTCACCTCGCTATGGCTCGTACTTCCCAAACCACAGTGTCCCGCTGCATTGCGTCGCTATTTTCTGTGCTGGTCCACACGAACCTGTTCTCCTACACACAATTCTTGGAACGCCTTGTCGCCCGCGGAGATCTGGAGTACCGTGAGGCTGGAGATGTACGTGCTCGACCTCTACACTGATTCACAGCCAGGGTTCCTGCCACTCCGCACTGTCTCACGATCGCGTCTCTATTGCTGCTCCATGCGCCGGATCCTACCAACATCGTGAACCACGCAGTCTCGCTCCCTTTGGCGGGCGATGCTGCTCAAAGAACTTTGTCCGCTGGACCTGAGTCCGCACTACAGCATCCTTTGCGATAACCTTGTGAGACACAACGAAGCCCAGTCGGTAAGCTGAGACAGTTGTTGCCATGTCGCAAGTGATGCCGTAACGCACACTCACTGGTGTTGTCGTCCATCTATCACAGCCACAAAGCCAATACGAGCTAGCCCAGACTTTGGTAATGGATCTGCTCCAGCCCATGTTCAAGAATAGAGCGCTGGATATCAGTCGCGAGAACCCGCGCTGGGATACCACCGACGAGTATATCCGGTCTCGGAAGATCGACACTACCAAGATTACCGCCGTGCTCGGTCAGGATTTATCCTGGTCCGACAAAGCCCGACTCGCACGGTGGATTGTGGAATCGTGTTTGGACTACAAAGTCAAGGATGTCCAGTAAGCGCACTGTTTCCGCGAACCAGTCGGGTGCAAGGTCTCCGACATGCGCATGTGATGGTGGATTTCCATCCCGTACAACTGACTTGCTTCCGTATACAGAATCGATGTGACGAACTGGCGGAACTTGACGACACCCGGGAGCTCACTGCTCAACGTCCGCCAGTTCTGCGCCGTCGTTAATTTGCTCGAGATTCTCTCTGACCCGCTTGGAATTCTTGAGGTACTTTACTCTGGATTTATCGACGGGCAGCATTCTGTCCCTTTGGCAGAGGAATGGCCGCTCGTGACAGGATCCTCGTATCCCACCGGTGACATGTAGCACTGACGAACTATCGATTGCGTCGCTGGTTCCCCATCGCTTTGCCATAGGTCTCGCTGTGGATGCTCCAGAAAAGCACCGACAAGGGCATGTACCCATTGGTGATAGATGCCCTGCGGCGGCACGAATTCGAGTATCTGTGCTTTGGCCGGATCGACGACATCACCGAGGGGCTGACGAAAAAATACCAGAGCCACAAGGTAGCAATATTGTGGCGCCTCAGACATGCCTGCTTTGGCACTATCTGTGAGCCCAGCCGTGCCAGACCAAAGGCAGTCTTGGAGATGCGGTACAAGCCAACTCACCTCGGCTGTCTCTTGCTTTGTAGGGGAGCCAGTATCTGCAGTTTTATCTCGACTATCTGCAGCTGGCCGATTACACAGGTCTGCGATTGGATCCGGCACAATCTAAGCTGGCCGCTCTGGAGCTGCCTGGAACCACCCACCATGCTGAGAAGATCCCTATGGAGTTCAAGGCCGTTCGTGACTTGGTGGATACCCCGTCGTCTATTCACGAGAAGGCATCGGAGCTGTACCACAGCTTCCACAACAACCCTGAGGCCGTGCGCCGCATCTTTCTCTATGACCTGGATCTATTGCGAAAGTCCTATCCGATCAAGAAGAGGTATGAAGCTCGAGACGGGACTGGCGAGTGCATTAGGCTTGACGTTCGGGCAGCGACATGAGCCTCGGTGGCTGCTGAAGGTGTGCATATCCGAGCGACCATTTGAGAGAAACAGTTTGGCCTTACGGAGCAATCGGCATGTGGCGATTTGCACACAGCCATCTGCCAGATCCATGCGAGACAGCAGGTGTGGGCGACGACATGGAACGGGCTGTCTGGGATATGATTTGTTGCTGTACATCTGCCGGCTGCAGAGCCCTCGCTAATCAGCGATATTCGATCTCCGGCAGCGTCTTCGACTTTCGGCGCAAGCTCGAAGTGCACGTCGAGGTGCTCCGGCAGCTGAACGAAACATCGCTGTTCCTCGATGATGTCATCATCGACTATTTGAAAGAGCATTACCTCACTCCTCTTTTGAGCACTTCGAGCGCTCCGGTCACGGGCGAGTTCCGCAAGCCACCGGCGGGGTCGGCCACACATGGCAGTGTCAAGCACGGCGAGCTCCTGGACGCCGGAGGCGGGCCTGCTTCCTGGTTTATCACGCTGCTTGTGCTGCTTGTGTGCCGGCGGTGCTGCTCGCCTCTGTCTCTTCTCAAGAGACTCTGCGAGCCGCTGTTCCGATGCATATCAAGCCACTTGTTGGTAAGAGTCAGACATCGGGGCCATCGGCTTGGTTCACCGGGCGGCTTGTGGGCTGTTGCGCATGTCCCGGTTGCTGATCCTCTGTCCTGGTGCTCGCTCGTATATAGCTTGGTATCGCTGTGGATCTCAACCTGCTCTCGAATGTGGTGCTGTTGACGCGATGTATACTGGTTGTTGATTCGGTTGCAAACGTCAACGAGCGACTCTTTTTGACGCAGCAGGTATGTTCTTCGATTCCGCGTCGACCAACGTGCACTCGGATCCATGCGATCACAAGGGCTGCGAATCTAACGACAACGGTTTGTCTGGCCTGCATCCTTGCACTGACAGGACCTCCACGCTCTCCACACGATTCGACACTGCGAGCTCCGCTCGACAGAGGGTCTGTGCTGCGTCGTCAAGATCTTCCATTTGCTCGCGAAGATCGCATCTCACTTCGAGTCCGAGCGCACACCCTCCAGTGAAAGCCTGCCTGTGATCGAACAAATCTCGATCACGCTCAAGATGCTGACGAACGACTCGTGCTGGTTCAAGCGTGCCATCCACAGCAACTTGGAGTGGTCCTATGAGAATATGATCGCGGTCCTGCTTCAGACGGATCTCCTGCCGAGCGCTCCGGAGCCAAGCAACCCTGGCAAGACACCGTCGGCAGGACCAAGCACGCCCGTGCCCACCAAGACCGGACAGGGCCATTCCAAGACCGGGGAGCGCAAAAAGAAAGGATCGATTGTGGCGCCTACGCCGCCTTCGGAGAAGCCTGTCGCCACACCCACATCAGCGCCAGCCGAGGTTCCGCGCCTGGCACACCTGCTTGCATGCAAGAGTGTGCTATGGCGCCACCTGTCGCTGCTCCAGATGAACAGCCTGACAGCCCTTGACCAGCAGCGCCTCCCGCATACTCTGGACGACCTGGTACCGATCTTTGCTGCTTCGATCGCGCAGCTCAGCCAACGGAGCTTTGGCCAAGAGCGCCAGGTGATCCTAGCAATGCTCTGCTTCCTTGACGGCTGCCAGAAGGCTGCCTGGGCAGAGAGTGATCAAGATGCCGCTCAACTCCTGGGTGGATTGAGCGCTGAGCAGTTCGGCGACTCTATCGTCACCAACTTTGCCAAAGCCTTCTTCCTCAGCATTGATGCGACAACGCCAGTCCTTGTGCGCCGCTTGCTTCAGAGCATGCCCCTTGACTTTGTGCGGCCCCTGTCGCAGAAGATCGTCGCAGGAATGATGGTGCCCTTGGGGAGTGATACTTTGGCACAAGCAAGCAATTCGATCGAGGCGCTTGTTTCCTCAAAGACACAGTCGTCACTGTCGGCGCTGCAAGCTGCCATATCACTTGTGCGAATCGTGGTGCAACATGACACACAAAGTGTGGTGCCGACTCCGAGCACCTCCACGTCCAAAACCAATCCCGTACCGGTCGACGTTATCAAACCATGGATACCCCTCGCAAGCACGCTCCATACGCAGATACGATGGTTCTACGACTATGCCAAGGTAGGCGATGCCCTGCTTAGCGAATGGCTCACGGTGCAGCTTCACTTACATAGGCTTACTGCCTCGATCTGCGCTGAAAGTCATCAATAGGGCAAGCTGCTGTCCCACAGAGCGCCATGGCGCCGCAACCATCGGAAAGTAATGCTGTGGAACTTGGGTTCATGCGCAAGAGGTATGTGTCCACTGGACTCCTTTTCAGGCGACCCCCGACCCGTACCACTTTCTCATGTGTTTGGTCCACCGACCCGGCGTCGATTGATCAGCCCCGCGAGATGCTCACTCCGGGACTGCTTTTCCACTATCGACCTGAGTAGCTTCCAGCTCCGGCTCCGGCTCCTGCAAGCGCTGTCCTTGGTCCTCGCCAACGCTCCCAAAGAAACATCGGTCCCCGACCTCGTGGAATATCTGGTCAAGATCATGGCAACACCGTTCGTTCATGACCATGGTCATAGCGAATATCTCTTCAGCTTCACTTTGGACGTAATGTCGTGCCTGATCGATGATGTCAAGTCCAGAGAAGCCAAGAACCAGGTGATGGACGCACTGAAGAGTATACAGAAGGTAAGCCGTTTCCGACTGAGGCCCTCCGATCCAGCCAAGTCGCCTGTCCGCGTTCTGCAGCTGCTGGGTGGCCCAAGCGAACATGTTCTAATCCCTCGACACTGCCTGCAGCAAATACCGTCAGTGTATCAGTTCCCTCCCGTCTTCTCGGACCGCATCGGCCGCATCTTGCCGTACCAAGTTTCCAGCAAGCAATTCGGCGACATCTTCTTGACCAACCTCGATCCGCGATGCCCCCAGCCCCCGCAGCAGATCATGTACTTTTCACTGCACAACCACATCCAGCACTTCAAGCCCTGGGAGTGGCTCGATCGCTATCACGGCTCCGATGCGACGTCGGGCGCCGCCGAGCCGCCGAGCAAAACCTTTGCATCCCATCCGACCTACGATTTCGACACCCCGATTCCGTTGTCGATGTTTGGTGCGGCGCGCGTCCATTCAAGAGAGACACGAGTCTATGAAAAGCACTTTGCATCGAGATCATCCACTGCCGCGAGCGACGGCGCCATCGCCATCGCCATCGCCAATGATGCAGCGATGGATAGTACGCCACTGGATACGAGGGAAGGCACTGCGTTGGAAAACGGAGTCCATGGTCGAGAGACTGCCTCAACAGCGCCGCGGATAGCCGGAGACAGCGACCTGAAGCGAGGGCGAGACGACATGAACGTCGATAGCCCTGCCAAGAAGCACAAAACCGAGCCGTGACACCAAGCGGCCTCCATGTGCACTTAGTTTCTGTTACACCCCATCCTTGCACATTGTCAGAGATGTGTGTATTTCGAAGCCAGTTGTGATTGCCGCGCTGACGAAATGATATTGGACGCTCTGGTTTCATTTTGAATGGAATACACGCACATCCATCATCCGCAGTTGCCATTGATTCTGTAGACGGAGGGCAAGGGCATGCACCCAGCCCCGTCTTCTGAGGTTCCTCAGCCGTTCTGAGCAGTCCTATCACCAGTGGAGTCCATGTGTATTCCAATCAAGACAAACTTGCTTGCAGCGACATGCAGCAGTGCTTCCCACGACGAGGATCCTGCATCAATGAACGCTCTCCGCTGGTGTTACTGAGCTCCGTCGCCAAAGAATAGCACACGATCGCCCCTGACAGCCTCTTCGGTGATCCGAAAGAACACAAGTGGGTTCGACTGCGAGATACCCGACTCTCGCAGCAGCCAATCGCATGCCCCGCTTCCGTTGATTTCGATGGCGGTGACGGACGCTGTGGTTTGATGTTAAATTGTGGTCAGTATTGCGGTCAGTTCGACCACGCATCGCCCCAAGTTATTCAAAGTGCGGATGTGGATGCGAGCAACGCAGGCTTTGAGCCGTTTGCTCAACAGAGATGCACCTGCCTTGAGCCTTGGCGATTCGGTGAATCTCGGGGGTGAGAAAGAGGCGCTCGGCCTCCTTCGGATTGTATTCGAGCTTCCTGATTTGGGCAAACTGGAGCTGTGGCATTGGGCAGAGGAACATCAGGACAGTGTCGCGGCAGTGGAAGCAGCTTGGACGATGCGGTGCTGGGCAGCCGGAGCGCAGATGGATATACCGATCCCGGGATTTTGTGGATGAGCTCGAGGAGCTCGCGAACAGACAGAAACGATAGAATGATGAAGCTCTATTTGGATGCAGACCCGGGTGAGCCCAAGTGGTAAAGCGAGCCCAAGTGGGAAACCACGACGGATCGAGATGTTGGTGGAGACCCCGTTGACTGACCAGCAATCACGATTGAGCATGCGATATCACAGCAGAGCCGCAAGTGCATACCTCCTCTGATGATCGAGGGAGCGGGCCCAGTGTGCACGGGACATGCCACTTGTCCAATTTGGAGCCAGCCCAAAGCGGATGCGTGAAGGTTTTGATTGCATCGGCATGGTTGTACTGGAAAGGTATTATGCACACGGCGAGGGGTCAGGCATTTGCCGAAAGCCATGCGGCGGCCGCGACAGGAAATGGTGAATCGACCAGAGGCATTTTGCGCTGCTTCTCTATGGCGCGGCGCTGGGAGAGAGTGTACCATGAGTAATGTGTGGCCCGAAACTCGGGACTCGACTCACCACAGATACCGCTGTCCAGTTGACGCCCTTGGCATCGTTGAAGTCGTATATGTTGAACCACTCGTTCGCCAACACGCTGAGGCCGGCTCTGTCGAACTGGGACGCCAGCTCCTCATAAAAGTACCAAAAGCAGGACACTTGGATGTCTCTGGATGTTTCAATGATGGGCTGGGTGGCGGCATAGAGAGAAACAAAGACGCCATCGCAGTCCCGCATTCTGGGGCAAACGAGCAGGAGCGAAATGGCATCAGGGCGACCGGCGGCAGCGAACCTCACGACACGTTAGGGCCTGAACATGAGGACAAGTCGCATACCTGAATTGCTGTCCGGCAGCGACAATGACACAGTCCTTGCATTCGCGAATGAAGATGCTTCCCTCACACGGCCCGATGAAGATGAAGCACGAGATGCAAGCATCGACTGTCACTTGGGCCGTGCAGTCAAAGATGCAGAGGCTCGAGTTCTGCAGAAAAAGTAAAGCCAGTGGCTTGAGCACAGCATATTGGCAAGCCACGAAGGGCAGAAACAGGCCAGAATCATCACATGTCATGGAGTAATCAACACGAGCAAGCAGACCAGGGCCACTTCCCAGCCCAGGCAGCCCGCAAGCAGGTACTGGCCAAGCCGGCACAGACCTCACAATCCTCGATCGAGAACGGCATTCCGCTCGGGATGCTTCCGGGTAGCTTCATGTGAACCTGACCCCCCGTGATCTTGGAGAAGGTGAACTCTTTGGGATCAAATCTTGGCCGAGCGGACGGCGCGTTAGATGCAATTGGGTTCGATGTGGTGACGATCTTGGATGGGGACGAGTACTTTGGAGTCTGTCGAAGCAAGCTCGAAAGAAACGGCAGGCTGAGCACGCATCCCATCTTGGTATTGACACAACGACAGCGATTGTGCAGATAATGCTGGGACTAGCGGACGGATGATGTAGAGAGCAGACAGCGAGGCGCCGATTTGAGGAGGTATCGAGTGCAATGGAATGGCGCCTGGAGCTGATTCTGCGCGCCAATATACCATGGCGAACGCATTGGCTGGATTTCTGGATCAAGTTCCAGCGACTGCCCGCTCGCTTGGCGAATGAAACCGACACACATCTCGCCTGACCAACTCGGCATCGAGATGAGGGCAATCATGTGTATTGTGGTATCAATGTATGTATCTTGCATAGATGGGATGTCCACTGGAAAATGCGGCTGCAGATTTTGTTCAGGTGGAATCAACCTCTTGTCCTGGATAGCCTTCTGCATCAAAATGGGTTGTGTGAGCACAATGTCGGCGAGAATACACCATGGCTAGACAACACCACCGTCTTCACATATGTTCCGAAGATGCCCACCTAGTTCGAGGGTACTATTGAGCGAATGCGCTTTATCTGCGCAACGGCCATAGCGAAGGCTCTCCGCAGCTTGTTTGTCGTCTCTATCACCTTTGCCAGAAGTGTTCCCATCCGCGATCTGGAAAGCTTGATCTGGAGTCGTCTCTGGTTGCGGTCAGAATTGACCCGCCGCCGGGCCCTGGATCGCAGCGGATTGGTGAATGCGATAGCCCACATTTCAAATCCTCTAAATGCCAGGGCCAAGGTGTCCTGGTGGCTGGTTGCACGGGCGCAATAGCAATCGCTTTGGCTGTTCAACGAAAGCCCCTCATACACACACACAGGCTTCCGGAACATCCGAGCACAGCTGCTGATCACCCTGGGTCATCTGGGTCCGTCACGATATCGGCCGATCGTCTCGGAGGCTGCACTCTCACAGCCTGCTGTCCGCAGCGCTATACACATCGCGAAACGGCGTGTCAGGAAGCGTGGACGAGCTCGAGGCTCGTTTTGGACGTTCATCCGGTTGGACTGCTCGTGAGAACCGTCCGTCCAAAGGCTCAGAAATATTGTTCGTGAAGTGATGACCACCGACCGGGCACTGGGATCACAGGGTCACGATCTCAGTCTCTCTCCGGGCCGAATCGACAGCGAGCTGTATCTGAGCAGACCGCTTCCAGAGGCCCTCGATTGACTTGGGGCAACGATTGGGGCCATTCATGATGGTGACCAGGTGTTCGGGGAAGCATCCCCTTGCTCCGTTTCCGCGATGTGAATGACCATAGGTGTTATTCAAGATCCAGAAAGAAGGAGAGATAGAAGGGAGGAAGGAACGAATGAATGAACGAAGGAAGGAAGGAAGGAATAATCATTGTCCTCGAGGCCGCAAGGCTCATAAATACGCATTCGGAATATCCAGTTCCCTATGACTTGGTCTTGTTTGGTCTGGTTCCCGTTGACGCAGTTTGCTTGCCCCAGCAACGCCGCCTCAAGCATGGCTTTGAGGACTGGACCAGGCCTCCAAGGGAAGGATGGTTATGTACGAGCTGATCATGTCGAGCTGAGATCCATCAGCTGGTTCTGTATGCGGAATCGGGAGAGAAGGGAGAGAGTGTGTGAGAGCACGACCACAGCTGACGAGGCTATCGGGGGCACCAATGCGTCCGATGGCAGCTACCGATCTCGTCGTCGGGGCGCCCCACCCAGCCTTGCCGTCTCCACATCGCTGTCCAGATGCCCACCTGCAGCTGAATCATCTTGGTCTGCAGCAGTTCGTTGTCGCTCTGCAGTCTCTCCCTCTCCTGCTGGACCCTGTCGAGTTGCTCAAAGGTGTCATTCAGATGCTGTTGTGTGAGCTTGAGGGCTTCTTCAGCGCTGGACGCTCCATGAGCACCAGCCGCTTTCTGGAGCTGCTCCAGCTCTTCCTTGAGCTGCTCAATCAGCTGGTTCTTGGTCTCCAGCTCTTCGTTCTTGGTTTGTAGCTGGATGATGATCGACTGAAGCATGTCTTTGGTCTCATGCAACTGGTTCAGAAGCTCGGGCGGCTGCTCGTCTGTGCGGCCGTCAGACCGGAGGCGCTGCAGTTGTCCCTGGGCCTCCTCGAGCTCCCTGGTGCGCGCCGAGACGGTGTTCTCGAGCAACTTGGTCTTCTCGTTGGCAACATTCAAGCTGTTCTCGAGGATATTGACATCGTCGCGGAGTTCCTCCATCTGCAGGGCTGCGGTCTGGGCCGAGTCGAGAGCGTTGTTGCGTTCGAGCACGGCAAGCTCGTATTTTTGCTGGAGATCCAGCAGCGTCTTTTCCAGGCTGGCAATCTCTGCCGCCTCGGGGTTGGCGCTGCGGACCTTTTCCAGCTCGGACTCGAGGGCAGCGGCACGGGCGCCGGCTTCCTGAGCCTGGGTCGTAAGCAAAGCAATCCGGGCCGAGCCCTCGTCCGAGTCCGCCTTGCTTCCCGTGCCATTCTCGACAATCTGGGTCAGATTCTCGATGTTGCGGAGTTGGCTTTGGATCGAATCGGCGACGGCGGCCCCGTCTCCAGCTTTGCCAGAAGAGAGGGCCTCGATCTCGAACTGAAGGGCCTTGATCTGGGCATCTTTCGACTCCAGAACAAGCGACAAGCTCTCGATCCGCGCGACGAGCGAGTCTTCGATGTTGTTTACCGAGCGAGCAGAGTCCGGGTTCTTGAGCAGAGCATCGAGCTGCTCCTCGTACTCTTTGCACTTGGTGCCATACTCGGAGTGGAGCGATGAGATGGCGAGAGCATGCTGCGTCTCGCTGGCCTCGAGGGACTTTGTCAGCTCCGTGAGGATGGTGTTGTGGCGCTTGATGTTCTCCTCGATCTCAAACTTGCTGTCTTGGAGCTGGCGGGCGTGGTCGGCGGCCAAGCTCTCCAGCTCGGCGTTGAGGCGGATGATTTCGTTGTCTCGCTCCTCGATGACACCCTCGAGGGTCGCCGACAGATGGGCAATGGCATCGACGCTGGCGCCGGTCGAGTTGTTGACGTCTTCCCGCAGCTGGGCAATTTCCTTGGCGTGCTGGATCTTGAGGGCCTCCAATTCCTTGCGCGCGTTGATGCTGTCGACTTGGCCGAGCGCCGAATCCTTGGCAATCTTGATGCCCTCCTGGCATTTGCGGGTCAGGGCCTCGAGCTCGCTCTGGTGAAGACTTTGAAGCTGCTCCATGTTGCTGACATGCTCCTGGTTGACCCGAGCGAGCTGCTCGCTATCGGCCTTCAGGGTTCGAATCTGGTCCTCGTAGCGCTCCGTCAGCTCGGCGAGCTGCTGTTCATGCGTGGCCTTGAGCTCGCTGATGGACTGGCTCAGCTCGCGCACGTCCTTGTCGTGCACAATCTTGCGGCCCTCCAGCTCACCGGTCAAGCCGGCAATCTCCGAGTCGTAGGCGTGCTTGAGGTCCTTGATTTCGCGCTCACGGGCAGCAGCGGCCTTGTCGGTCTCTTCCTGGATCGTCTGCAAGTACGACTCGTGCTGCGCGCTGACATTCTGCAGCTCGGCGGCAAGCAGGTCGGACTTTTCGCGGAGATGGATGATTTCGGCCGCAGTGTCCGAGTTGGGCGAGCGCAGCAGCAGGAGGCGGTGGTCTTCGGCGAGGCGAGAGAGCTCGATCTCGGTGTCCTCCAGTTTTTTCTGGACGAAGCTCAGCTGCTTCTCGGCCGCCTGTCTGGCGTTGTCGAGAGCCTCGATCTGAGCAAAGGTGAAGGGATGATTGTCGATGCCGGAGGCGGTAGCGGCGTCGTCATCAACAGGGCCACGCGAGCGCGAGCGAGTGACGATCTCGGCGTGGGAGTTGGCCAGATTCTGGGCCTCCTCCTGCATGCGGTTGAGTTGGAGGTTGAGCAGCTCGAGCTGGGCCTCGCGGTTGAGCAACTCCGATCGGAGATTGGAGTTTTCGGCCTCGAGCTCGTCGACGGTTCGCACAGCGTCCTCCATGGTTTGCTCAAACTCGATGATGCGGTTCTGGGCGTTTTCAAGAATGGATTCGTTGGTGCTGATGCGCTCGTCGCGGGCGGCCAGCTGGCCTTCGAGGTCAGCGATCTGCGCGCGAAGGTCCATGACGTCGTAGTTGACGGATCCAGAGGCCACCATCTCGTCGATGCGCTGCTGGGCGCGCTCCTCCGAGTCCTTTAGCCGGGTCAGTTCGGAGCGCAAGGCGCTTATCTCGATCTCCAGAGTTCGATGGCAAGCCTCAGCCTGGACTCGGGCTTCTTGGTTGCGCTTCGAGGCACGGACCCACAGGGCGATCTTGGACTGCAGCGACGATATGTCGGTCTGGCTCTGCGAAAACTTTTGCTCGAGCTCCAAGACACGGCGACGCTCGATGGAGATGACGACATCCTCGCCCTGATCACGGGCCTCGAGGAGCGATGCGAGATACTTTGCGCTCTCTTCGGCGATGGATTTCTGTTGCTCGGCTTCGCGGTGGAGGGCTTGGCTCTGTAGGCATGTTGCGGGTTGCGGGTTGTATCCAAGGGATCCAGGGACATCCCCCGCCGATTCGTAGATCCACGAGTCCAGTCGGAGGGTATTGCAAAGTGAATCCCAGACGGCGAGCGGAAGAGCAACGTTCGGTTCGTTAATATTGAGAACATGGAGGCCAGCAGAGTCACGCGGCACTCTGACTGCACGCGAGCACAGTCCGTTGTTGTCGCAAACAGCCAGAGGGGAATCGTTGGCACCCCGTCGCCATGAATCCCGGGGATTCCTTGCTCGCCGGACTCACGGCAGCGCCGAGTCAGGTTTATGGAAAAGAGTGGGGCACCGGGGCTGTTGAAGGGCCAACTCGGAAACCCCAGGAAGACACTGACCTGCTCAACAGCTTGCTTGGCCTTGACGAGCTCCTTCTTGAAGTGGAGCAACGTCTGGAAGAGAAGAACACGGCCCTCGTCGATCTCTCGCTTCGACAGGCTCTTCTTGGACAAAAGATCCTCGATGTTCTTGGACTGATCGGCGTCCAGCTCGCCGTTGACGACGATGGCCTGGTCCTCGTCGTAGTCCACGTCGTGGCTCTGTTCCGGGCCGTTTCGGTGCTGCTGGGTCTTGCGGAAGGTGGTGAGCTCTGTGCTGAGCCAGTTCTCCTTGACCTTGAGGTCATGGATGATTTTATTCTTGACATTGATTTCGGAGAGGAGCTTGCTCTCGGACTTTGTGCTGTCGAGCAGCGAGGTCGATGTCTGGGAGGTTGGCGAGGACGGTGCCGGTGGGGGTGTCTGGGTGTTTCGCTGGGGAAGCTCGAGGGGACGGATGACGGGTGTTCCGATCGACCTTCTCCGGGCGGCGTAGTAAGCCGAGCTGGGCTGGGCTGCCGAGGACGAGATGCTCATGGTCTCAGGCAGCTTGATCGGCGGTGAGGAGCGGGGAGTGTGGAGGCTGGGATCCTGTGGGGAACAGCAGCTCGGATACGGATGCGAGGGGTGGATAGAGTGGGGGGAGATATCGAGGGATGGGGTGTGTGTTGCAGCCGCAGATCCAGCAGGGACGGAGCCGAGGAGATGGCGACAGTGGCAGCGTTCCTCCAGGTGTGGCCTGGCCAGGGTCAGATCCAGGCAGAAGCGGGAACGAGGAGGAGGCTGCAGACGAGGCGGTGGATGGCCAAAGGACCGAAAGGACGCACAGGAACCCAAAGCAGAACGAGACAGACGCTTTGGGACGGCGCCGGGGAACACCGGGGTGACACATGCACGACGCCGGGCACTGCTGTCGCTGTGCGTCGCTGTTTGTCGCTGCTTGTCGCGCGCCACCGCAAGCCGCCCCAGGCGCGCCCGGGGGCGTGCCCTGCGGCAGTGCGCTTGTGCGACGGCGCCCTGGCCAGCAAGGGCGTCCGCAGCCAGCCACGCTGTGGCTGCCATGGATGCACTCGATCCAGCCCGAGCCGCACTCGATCCAGCCCGAGCCGCACTCGATCCGCCCCGGCCTGGTTTTGTTTTTCGGTTGCGCTTTCAGGGCCGCGACTCGCTTTGATCGAGCCTCCTCGTCCTCTGCCCCGGCATACCGCAGGATCAGCCGCAGGATCGCCCGCCGACTGGATCAACCGCCGCATCAACCGCAGCCCCGATCACCAGAAGCCGCCCTGCCGAAATGGGTATGTCTGCATGCGGGCAAGTCGCCGCAAACGGCCTGTGTGCTTGACCCCGACCCCGCCGCCCGATCGTCAGCTGCCGATCTGCCCAGCAGCATCCTTCCTAACACATCGCCCACATCCATATCGGCATTCTGCCGAACCACCGGCGATGCAACTGCGTTCGATCGGGGATGTAGAAGAGACATACGCTCCATACGACCAGCCACAGCCGGAAATGATGGACGACGTGCGCATGCAGTCCTCAGAAGCATTCCCCGCCGAGAACGGACGAAGCGAAGGAGGAGGTTAGATCCAGCTACTTGTTTGCTTAAGTGACCGATCCGTCGTCCAATCCATTCGCTTCTTGTACATCTGTGAGATTTCGTCTGGATACTCCCCCACCCACCTGTGTACACCTCCCTGCCCTCGCTTGGGTGATCGGCCTGGTCCGCTTGCTTAGCCGTGCGCTGCCTCGATGTGTCCGCTGGGTTGCCTGCCCGTGCTTTCCATCGGGCCCGTGCTTTGAAAAGGAAAGCATTCTAAAGCTCTGCCACCGTTTCGCCCAAAGCTCCACGTTGATTCCTCCGCTCATGATTCCGGAGAGGTGATGATTCATGTTGATCATCGCAAATCATGATCGGACCTCCTTTCTCCCGTCTCTGCGTCGATGGCGCACCGACCTTCTCCTGCTGCCCTTGCTTCCTTGCCTTCCTCTCTGTTTGGCTCTCAGCACTTTTCTCGCCCAAGTGGGTCACGTTTCAAAATGTCGGGAGCCTCTCCTTGACGACGGTAGCCCATTCTTTAATACCCCGTTCTAGCGATGGGCGAGGCTGATTGACCCACAAGCTCAAGCCCGAGTCGGTCATTCTCCTTCACTCATCATCCCCCTCCATCTTCGCCTCACTCCCTTGGTTTTGGTGCCTCAGCCGCTGGTGCCGACAGTACTAATCAACTCGCTTTGGCCTGAGCCAACGCCGATCGTTTTGCATGGCAGCGTCGGCCATTTCATTTACCAGACTTTTCTGATCCCGCTTTTGCAGGCCCCCAGGAATTCGAAGGAGAGTTTGAGCGCGACTATGACCGACACGAACGCAAGGAATACGACCGAGAGCGTTCCCATCGCTCGGACCGTGACCGTGAGCGGGACCGAGACCGCGAACGGGATCGGGATCGAGATCGTGAACGGGATCGCGATCGGGACCGTGATCGTGATCGTGATCGAGACCGTGAGCGGGATCGCGACAGAGATCGATCGGACCGTCGTCACCGAGATTCCGATCGCGAAGAGCGACGACGAGAAGGCGATGAAAGTCGAGATCGCCCTGAGAGGCGAGACCGTGAACGGCGTCGCGAGCGCCGAAGCTCTCGATCCCGCAGTCGGTCTCCGGAGCGAAAGCGTCGCAGCAGCGGAGAACGGCGCTCAAGACGATCGTCTGCAAGTCCCCGCGGAAGCCGCCGCGAGCGTTCTCTCACGCCCTTGCATCTCAAGGTCCGCAAGCTCAACAACTGGGACATTCCCCCGCCTGGATATGAGGGCATGACGGCTGCTCAGATCAAAGCCACAGGTACGCTGTCGGAGCGCAAGCAGCCCATTGCCCATTGCCCATTGCCCATTGCCCATAGCTACGGGACGGCCTGCTTGGACGATCGCCCTGTGACGGCCGGGATAGGAGCCCTGGTCTGTGAATGGTACTGACGCTACCGATGCCGTGCTCCTATAGGCCACTTCCCATTGCCTGGCCAGACGGGCTCCAAGCTCGGCAGTGCACCAGCCTCTTACGGAGGCGCTGCACAGGAGCCGTTCTCGCCTTACAACTCCAACAGTTTCCCAGACTCCTCGCAGCCCGGCCAGCCCCTCGGCAGAATCAGCCAGGGTGGCGCTGGCCCAGCCGCGCAAAACGCTGGAATGGCTCGTCAATCGCGGCGCCTGTACTGCGGCAACATTCCATTTGGCATCAGTGAGGTACCATCCGTGGACCATGCCGGGCATCCCCGTCGCCCAGCCAGCGTGTTGGCCAGTTCCCTCGGAATAGGCACAGAGACTGCTTGCGGCACGATGTATAACACAGCATGCTGCTTCGTACCCGATCATAGCACGTGCTTGTCGAATTTTTCAACACCACCATGACCCAGCTCAACATGACAACGTCTTCGGGTAACCCAGTGATTGCTGCCCAAATCAACCACGACAAGAACTATGCCTTTGTCGAGGTAGGTTTTTGATTGGCCCGGTGTCGTTGGCATCTCCAATCCTTTGGCGCAATCTGTCCTTGGCGGCCGCGCCGTTTCGTGTGTTTGGCCGGTCATGTTGTGTCCCGGTTCGATGTTGAAGCTGGTGGCTATATGACATACAGCTCGATTCTACCTCCATGGGGTATCGTTGTAGCTGCTGCGAACGCCATGTCGGTGAGGACTGCTTGTTAACAGAGTCACTTGCTCATCCCCCCCCTTCCTCCACCCGATTCTCTCGATAGTTCCGCTCTCCCGAAGAGGCCACTGCAGCCATGTCTTTCGATGGCATCACCTTCTCGGGCCAGTCGCTCAAGATTCGCCGCCCGAAGGACTACCAGCCTCCCCCAGGAACTTCCGAAAACGGCCTCCCCATGCATTTGCCAGGTAGGCTCAGGTGCTGATGGCAACCGCAGAGCGCTCGACCGACGATCACAGCAGTACTTTGCGGGCTGTTACAGCTGTGCTTTGCGGCGGCCTGTTCTCACCGGTGCCTTTCCGTTCCAGGCATCGTGTCGACCAACGTACCCGACAGCGCCGACAAGATCTTCATTGGCGGACTGCCCATCTACCTCAACGACGAGCAGGTGATGGAGCTATTGAAGTCGTTTGGCGAGCTCCGAGCCTTCAATCTCGTCAAGGACAACGCAACCAGCATGTCCAAGGTATGTGCGCTCGACAGTACGACCCCGGACCCACATCGCGGTCGCTACGACCTGTGCTCATCCGCGACCCGCTTCCTTTCGCAGGGTTTTGCGTTTTGCGAGTATGCCGATCCGACCATCACCGATATCGCCTGTCAGGGATTGAACGGCATGGAGCTGGACGACAAGAAGCTTGTTGTCCAGCGCGCCAGTGTCGGGTCGAGCAAGGGCGCCGGCGGCGGCCCCGGCATGGGGTCGCTGGGCGGATCGTTCGCCTCGTCGCTACTCCCATCAAGCCTTCTGCTCAGCAGCGGCGGTCAGGTTGACCCCACCAACGTCGTGGCGCTGATGAACATGGTGACGGAGGAGGAGCTCCGCGATAACAATGAATACGAAGGTCAGCAGCCACGGCACACGGAACGGATGCAGTCGTGTGGAATGGCGCATGTTTGCCCCAACCTTTCTGCGATCGCAGTTGTGTATCTGTACATGCTTCTGCGAACCGAGACTGAGCCGCATTCCACTTGATTCCGCGATGACAGATATCATTGACGACATCCGTGGCGAGTGCTCAAAGTTTGGCGTTATCAGCTCGATCAAGATTCCCAGACCAGTCCAAGGCCAGGTGGTGCCTGGACTCGGAAAGGTAAAACCGATTGCAGAAGTCGCGTGGAGTCTATGGGGTGTGGGCGGTGTCTGAGGGGCGCTGGATTCCGTTCTCTGGGTCTGGACTGCTGACGGCGTCTTTGCGCTTTCATCCCCTCCCCCGTCGACTCTTGTTCACCCGCAGGTATTCATCCACTATGTGACGAAAGAAATGGCCGCAGTTGCGGTGAGCGCCCTGGCAGGCCGGCGATTTGCGGATCGCACTGTTGTGGCGGGCTATTACTCGGAGAGTCTGTATATCGAGGGCAATTTGGGAATGTAAAGGGGCATCGGCTGCAGCCGCAATGCCGAGTGGAAGTAGCACGGACGACAAAGGCGACAATACATCTGCGTTGGGGCCAAGGGATCGTGGCACTCGATGCAGGCGATGCACGATATGCAGATGCCGCTTGCACCGCACATGGAGCACCGCACAGGGAGCACCGCACAGGGAACATCTGCCATCACTCCGGCCAAGTCACGTGCGCCACGCGCCCAGGCACGTTCGCCAGTGGGCCAATCACCTGGCTGGCCGGCGCGTCGCACCAACGCCAGGTGTGCGTTGCACAGTGCCGTCGCTTGCGCGGATCCTGGCGCTGACGCGAACGCCCGCGAGCGGCACGCGGCCGCTCCAGCGAGGAGATCAGCAGGCCCATCTGGGGAGCGACGAGAACGAGGGCGAGAGCAGGCGAGACGAGGGCGACAAGACCGCACCCGCGTCCTCGCCTGCTCTCGGCTACTCTCGGCTGCTCTCGCTGGGCCGTGCTCGCTGGCCTTGGTCTGGGCTCGGTCTCGGATCCTCCTTTTCATTCTTCCCAAACCATCGCCTCGGGGCCAGAACGACATCGAAACGGCCAGCCGGGGAATCGCACTCGTATTCCCTCGCTGCCCCACCTGCTCGTCTCTCCGCATCGAAGCAGCCCGGCCCCGCAATGTCTTCGTCGCCGCTGTGGGCCTATCCGACCCCACCGGCTCTGTCAGCGACCCGGAGCCTGCAGCAGCAGCAGCAGCAGCAGCAGCAACAGCAACTTCAGCAACAACAGCAACAGCAACAGCAGCCACCATCTTACCCAATCCGAAACCCGTCGCCACCGTCCCAGCATATCCACGGCTACCAGCAGCGTATCGATGCAAGCTTCCACAGCGACCACGCCCTTGGACAGCCGCAGAATGGGCTTTCGGGCATGTCGCCGTACTCCAAGCATCAGAGCCAGCAAGACGCCTTCCATGCAGCATACCAACGGGCGATATACAATGTATGGATAGGGCGATACGGATCGTCGCTGCGGTGTGCTTCCTGTCCTCCCTCCCTCCCTCCCTCCCCCCCTCCACCTTATTGTCCCACGAGACTGCATGGCGATTCCCGATCCTGACGACTCTGGCGGCTGTGTCTCCCGTCTGGATTGACGGTCCGTGCTGGTAAATCAGCAGCATCCGCCCATCATGCCCTTGATCTGTTCGCCTTGGGCCTGGACTGATGCATCTCTGTGGTCTCGTGGTCGCCGCTTTCGTGCAATTTGTCGGTGTTGACGTGCGGTAATCACTGACGCCGCCTTCCATTCGACTTGTTATCAAATGCCTGTCAACGCTTCTCCAACGGCTCATTTGGCTCATCTGGCTCATCTGGCTCATCTGGCTCATCTGGCTCATCTGGCTCATCTGGCTCATCTGGCTCATCTGGCTCATCTGGCTCATCTGGCTCATCTGGCTCATCTGGCTCATCTGGCTCATCTGGCTCATCTGGCTCATCTGATCACCGTCCACCACCCGATTCTCTCCCTGTGTCTTTACCCCCCATATCCATGGCCCTTCCCGTATGTCGGCCCGATTTGACGCAGAAGCAACGTCCGCAAGATGCCCTCCATCCTGCCACCATGGCCGTCAAGCCGTTCGCTTCGTCTCCCCGGCTAGGCTCGTACTACAAGCCTGCTGAGCATCTGGAATCATACAATGGATACCCGTCTCCGGGGCCAAATCCGCCCCGCCCCATCCCGATTCACACGTCGCCAAACTCACCCGGCTTTTCGCCCCGATCGCCGACCGTCTATTCGCAGCCGCCCAAGCGCAAAGGCGGGCCCAATCTGCACATCCAAACTTCCCACCAAGTCTATCCTCAGAACCCCACCCTGCCGAGCCCGGTCCTCCAGAGCTACATGACCCCAAGTACAGATGTCTCATACGACTCTCGGAGCTCAAATCCAACCACCCATACCTTCGACGACGACTCGGACGGCGACGATCCGTGGGACATGCTCGGTAATGCCAGAGAGCAGGCATAGAGCGGGATGTGGAGCAAGACGTAGATGCCTCGGCTGTGCTAATGCCAGATCCAGATCCAGATCCAGCTCTGCGACAGAGGAGTTGTCGTTTTGTTGTATCTTCGGCCGGCGTCTCGTTCGTAGATCGTGGTAATCCACTTGATGCCCAGTCGCGGTGGATGTACTGACTGAACTCTGCATCCGCTTTGTCGGCTCCATATCGATTATGTGCAATGTCTACACAGCGTCACAAGATATTGAGACTCTGAGTGCCTCGCTTCAGTCGCCGACCCTTGCCGTGCCCTCGCCCTACTACTCTTCGTACGAGTCCCTGGCCGAGCCGGTATACCCGCTCCAAGGCAGGCGAGCTGGTCCTGGGGCGCCATTTATGAAGGGCTACTCGGACCCGACCTCCCCGACAGCGACCTTCCCGACGCCCAAACGTGTCCAGTCGCCCCAGATTCGCCACAACTACTCTCCGGCCTCAAAATCGCCCATGCCGTCCAAGTACGACTACGCTTCCGCCACGATGGGGGAGGCTGCCCGGTCACCGTCGCCGTATGCGCCGCTGTTCCGTCCGCCGGAGCATGTGTCTCGGGATCGGCTACCACCCGGTGGTGAGGGCGGCCCTCAGACCGTGGCATGGGCCAGCCCACCGGATGCTCAGCTCGGTCCGATACCAATGCCCCGGTATGCCTTTGTTCCGGACACTGCCACCCCAGACCACCTCCCAAAATCCGATGTGCCCTGGCGCAAACCGAATCCTCCTCAGTCTCGGAAAGCTAGCCGCGATGACCTGTGGGGCTATGCTGCGACCCAAGATACCCAGCCCCGTGAGGCCGTGGCTGCAGCGGGCTACTCTGGCGATATTCAGTACTTTTCCGATGCCAAAGGAGCTGCCGGTCCAGGGTACGATGCTAGCACGACTTACGCAAGCGACCCTATTCGACCGAGCCGGCACGCTCGATCGACGGGCTCCATGGGCTCCATGGGCTCCATGGGCTCCACAGGCTCCAACCACTCGACAGGCTCGGCCGATTCGAAGGGCTCGGCAAACTCGACGGGCGCTGCAAGCCTGGGCGACTCAGCCGACGCGGACGAGCTCGATGAGGAAAAGGACACGGTGCCCTCGATCTCAATCTCGGCTCTGGCCGAGGCCGTCAAGAACGACCTCGCTCTCAACGAACCGATACGGCCGCGGCGGAACTCGCTATCCCAATCTGGGTTGTTGGCTCCGGCATCGGGCCGGCCACGCCGCAACTCCCAGAGCATCCCCACAGCACCGATCCAGCCGGGGCCTCCGCGCTTCATTCCTCCGTTGATCTCGAGGCCAACGCATCCACGACCGTGTATTCCGTTGATACGCGGCGAGAGCTCCGGCCCTGGAGGACGCGGCGCGGGCCAGCCGAACCGGTCGTCTCCCAAGGAAGAAGGCCAGGTCCCTACAGCGCCCATGCAGCGATCGATGCGAATCGTGCACAAGATCTTTGGGCCGTTCACGGCATCGAGCTCGGTGCAGTTCCCGGTGTCGCGCGAGGTGCTGCAGAAAGAGCAGCCGCCGTCAAGGACGATCCGTATCCGGTGCTGGGACGAGTCGGACGAGGCACAGGCGCACACTTGGCCGGTGCTGCTGCGCGAGATCATCGTCAACAGCGAGCGAGTGAGCTTGGGCACGCGAGCACAGAAGCCGACGGAATCGGCCGGACAGCTGGCCGAGTGGGTCGGGCGCGACGTCCCTTGCAGCCTCAAGATGGTCGAAGGCATCAACGAAGTCTCATTCTTCTGGGCAGGAACCGGCAAGGTGTCGTCGGACGGATGGTGGTTTTCGATCGACATGGTCGAGGACGACGAATAGCCGCGGCTGTCGGGCGCGCGGCGCCCCGCTTGTCTTTATCTTTTTACTTTTATTCCTGTTCTCTTGTCGCCCACTGGCTCTGCTGGTCCTGGTCCTGGGTCTGGGTCTGGGTCTGGGCTGGGTCCTGCTGTGCCGCAGTCCCCCTTCTGTTCCATGCGAACCGCACCTGTTTTTGGTTGGACTCTCCCTGTTCCTGCGGCGCAACGCTGTCCTGGCGATGGGCTCCCGGCTCAACACCACCCGTTGTTGGCTGCTTGGTCGCTCTTGCTTCCCCTGCTCTGTGGCCTGTGCGCCCGCCAGACATGCGCCCTGTTTCCCCCCACCGTTTGTTGAATATGTACAAATTTTCCTCCCCAACCCGTCTCGCCCCCGTCTCTACCGGTGTTTGGCCCACAAGCGTCGGGCACTCTGAAAATACAGCGATTTCAACGCAAAACGGAACACCCCAGTCTCCTGAACCACATTTTGTTCCATACGATGAATAGTGGACATGGCCATTTGCCAAACATTTGACTTTTGCGTTGCTGCCTTGCAATTGCCACTCGCTTGTCCTTGCACCGCGCTGGGCCTGTCTCCCGCCTCAGGTGTTGTGTCCATATGAAGCCCTTGCCTCCGATGAAGCGCCCCAACGCAACCATTCAGCGCCCCAATGCAACCATTCAGCGCACAGAGACAAGCGCAGCCCACCGTGTGCAACACGCCCGCGCAGAGTTCTGCCGACCAAGCCGTCGCCTGTGGGCCTTTCCCCCCTGGCCTTGCCCAACCACCCGCCCGCGCTGCGCTGCCCTTGTCGGCAGGACCGAGCCACCGCCAGCCCGCGGCCAGCAACAAGGGGAAGGGTCTCGGCCCCCCGCTTGCTCTCCTGGCGCCTCGCTGGTCCCTCGCGGGTCCCCGCAAGACTCGCCGCCGTCCTCCCTCTGGTTCCATCGCCGCCTTCGTTGCTCTCCGTCAGCCAGCGCCATCCCACCACCATCCATCTCTCGCCCAACCTCCAAGTCCCACCGCCGTCCATCCAGCCCCCGGCCGTATCCGTCTTTCTCCGCGGCTACTCCCTCTCTCTCCTCTTGCTTGTTCGGCCTGTCTGCACTTCCTCCCTCCCCCACTCACCCCGCCTGGCCCTCTGCCACCGGCGAGATGTCTCAAGAATCCGTCTCCAATCCCTCCACCCTCGCTCCCCCATCCAGACACTCCTCCCCCACGACCCATGCTGTCAACTTTCTGATTTACCAAAAGGATGAGCTCCAGAAGCTCACGGATCTCAGCCTCTCGGTCTCCGAGATTGACCACCGTCCCAACATTATCCGCTTCGATGAGGCCGGCCGCAGGATCATGTCCCGCCAGTTCCGTGCAAACGCTTACACCTTCCCTGAGCGCATCGAGTACCTGCTCGACATTGCCCTGATCTTGTACCATGCCGGGTACAGGCTCACCACCGAGGCCTGCCAGATGCTCGACGACGCCAAGAAGGACAGAGAGCTGTCCAAGTGGCGAGTCATGGTCAACGACGAGATCCACAACAAGCTCAAGTTTGTGCGCTACTACTGCCTCTCCCAGGTCGCCTTCCTGACCATGGGAGACTTTGTGGGCCTCGTCCTGGCTCTCGTTCGGCGCCATGCCACTTTCCCGCTCGAGATGGGCGACTTTACTGCCTTCCTTCTCGAAAAACGCTGCATCGAGCATGTCTCTGCGATCCAGGAACCGCCCGTTCGCCGAAAGCGCTCTCCCAGGCGGGCTGCCTCTCCCGACATTATCCTCCCTGATGCCGACGCTACTTCTGCTGCCTCTGCTGCCTCCTCTGCCTCTGATTCCCTCCCTCTGGCCCCTGCCACTCTCGCTTCTGCTTCTACCTCTGCTGCCGAGTTTGCTGCCTCCCTTCGCACTCCCGTTGCTGCTGCTGGGTCGGTCGCATTCCCCACCCCGTCCCCCAGCGGCTCTCCCCTCTCTGGAAACGGCTCGGTAGATTCGAGCTCGGCAGACTCGAGCCAGATCGAGTCGTATGACCTCCTGGGCAGCGATCTCAACTTGCTCCCCGTCACCGACCCAGCCGACAACGACCCCAACCAGCCTCTCGACCATGGCGACCTTGGCAACGGTCAGCTCGCAGTGATGCCGTATCCCCTCCAGTTCGGCCATCCCCTCCAGATCTCCGGCGAGGTCATTCAGCAGACAGTTTGCAGCTACTTTGATGTAAGAACGCACACCATGCTTTCCCCCCCCCTCGCTGTTGAAGCTCTGGTCGCCTCCTTTCCTCGGCTTGGTCCTTGGCGGGATCTGTCATGAGCCGGTGGCGGACCAGCGGCTTTGCCTTGCCGCTCCTCTCTCTGAGCACGCCCACACCGCCCTGAACCATTGACCAGTATCCCTGATCTGATGTGGCGCTTCTTTTTCTCTCCTGCAATCCGCAGAACTTTTGCTTCCGCGGCGTCCGCTCGTTCATCCATAGAAACTCGACCTTCATGAACTGGAACAGGCTCTCCGATGTTCTCAAGATGTCCATTCTCGGCCACTCGCTGCAAACTTATCGCCCCAACACTTCCGCCTTGTCACCCGTGCATGCCAGGGCCTATTATCGAAGGGCCTGCGAGCTCATTATGGAAGGCATCGACGAGGTCTCGATCGATATGCTGCAAGCTATGCTCATCTGCGTGCACACCTCCCTCCGTAAGCTCTCAGCCTCCCCCCAGTGCAGAGTGTTCTGCGGTTCAATCTGTCTCTGCTGGCCATTCTTGTGCACGTCGCGTTGCTTGTTCTCGTTGTCCATCGGCGCACAGCTCTCGTTTGCACATGTTTTGGCACCCGCTGACAGCCCTGTCCAATGCTTTCTCTCCTCGGTTTGTGTGGTTCCAGGCAATCGCGATGGTATGTAGTTCGTTGTGCTACATGCTGTCTTCCGGTTGTGTCTGGACATGTTCGCCCTGCTGCCCCATTGATGTACTTGGTTCTCTTCGCCGTACTAAATCCGCCCTCCCTCGCTCTACCCTGCCGCATCTCCTGTCTCCCGTCCATGCGCTCCGACCACAGGCAACATGGCCATCCGCCTGCTCTACACCGTCCTGCGCTACACAAAGTATATGGCCCAGACGATTGCCCGCGGCGACCCACTCGCCGCCGAAACCATGCAGCGCATCGTATACCATTCGATGTGCACCATCATCAACTTTGATGGGCACTCGATCTCCCTGCGCGGGTATTCACCCTTGAGCGCCGAAGTTGTTCAGTCGGCCCTGCGCCAGATGATTCAGCCGCCTCGAAGCGAAGCCGCTTGGAACGAAAGCCACTTCCAGCCCGCCCTCAACGCATCTGTCGACGAACAGGTCGTTTACACCCTCCCCAGCGATCCTGTTCCTCGCGCCATCAGCTTTGCGGACAATGTCCTCTACTTCTTCCGCCGCCACCACTACAACATGCAGTACCTGCGGCTCTTCAACTACGGCATTCCCGGAATACACTATCAGGATGACTACAAATCGCTTATGGCAGCAAAGTACATGAACGAATATCAACCCTATGTCAACAGCTTGACTGCCTGGTGGAAGCAGCTCCCTCCTGAGCTCCACATGTTTCACGAAAGCACGATCCACGACTACAGGTTTGGTGACATGTCTTGGATCGAGTCGGTCCAAATCTCCCTGTTTTATCACGGCACCGTGGCTGTTACCCTCTTCCCTCGAATCATCTTTGGTGAGTCTCCTTTAGCTGGACCGACTGCGCTGGGCTGAGCCGGGCTGCGGCAAAGTGGATACGCCCGCTCTGACTGCCCTGATGGCGCGAGATATGCATGCACGGAAGATGGATAGGTCGGGCCTTGGGAGGGGAAAAGCAGGCGTGGAGGTGCGCGCTCTCCTCTCGAAGGAAAAGACGGAGTGGCGGCCTCGACTGCTAGCAAACAACCGGCAACCGTGCACTCCCGTCAAGTACTAAGCCCGCTATGAACCCATGTGCCTTGCAGAGCTGTGGACGGACCAGTGCTCGACCGAGTCTGCGGCCTACAAGCAGTGCCATGCTGCCGTCAGCGAATTCTACCATGTGTTTTTCCTGATCAATCACCACAACGCAAATACGAAGCTGCTCGATCGCGACCCTATCAAGTACCTCTTGATCTACGTTCACTGCGTAAGTCGCCGGCTGTTGGCTGTTGGCTGTTGGCTGTTGGCTGTTGGCTGTTGGCTGTTGGCTGTTGGCTGTTGGCTGTTGGCTGTTGGCTGTTGGCTGTTGGCTGTTGGCTGTTGGCTGTTGGCTGTTGGCTGTTGGCTGTTGGCTGACCCAAATGCAGCCCGCCATTCCACCGTTTCGCTAACTGTGGCCCCCACACTTCCTCTTTCATGCACAGGCCCGTCTTTTGTGCAATCGTGTCGCCGAGCGTGTCGAGTTCACTCAGGGACTCTACCCTTTCCCCAATGTCGAAATCACTGAGGACAATGCCCCGGTCATTGACGTTATCAGTCGCATCAACCGATTCCACTACTTTGACTGTGGGGCTCCATCACCCTACATCGTTCCTCTCTCGCCTCCCAGCACCCCGCTCCAGGAATTGGGGCATCCGTCGCCCACCTTGGTCCAAGATCCTCAGGGCATCGACATTTCCCAGTGGGAAGGTCGCCATCTCGCCAAGATTCCTTTCGAGCTGCGATTCTTCTGCTCGGCAATCATGGAGGCGTACTTTAGCCATGTTCCGTTCCAAGTCGGCATGGGCCCCTGGATGCCCACAACCCTGCTGGCCCATGTCCAAAACAGCTTTTGCGCCGCAATGCAAGCGTGAGTCGGTTCTTCAAGATGCTCGTGCCAAATCCGGGGCTTTCTCCCCTCCCCTCCAACCCCACGATCCCAGGCCTCGCCGACAATACCAGTCCTCCCCAGCCCACACTCCTCGCTCGCCCAAAGTCTTCCCCCCCTCCCTTCATCGTTTCCTGACGCCAGACCTGGTCCTCCTCTCACACAACGATCCTCCTCGAAACCACTCCCTCCAACTCTCTTCGCCGCCATCTCGCCCCACGCCTTCCTATGGACACAACCCTCGCTATATTCTATTGCTTTCCACCGCCTCTCCGCTGATTTGACAAACCTTTTTGGTCTCATCCGCCTCGGTTCTCTACCCGCCCACTGCGGCGATCGCCTTTCCTCATCCCAGGCCCGCCTTCACCCTTGTCGTTGGTGCTGCTGCTTGGTTTTTTGCGTCACATTTTCCCCTGACTTGCATCGGCTGACTCGATTAGACTCTTCATCTGCTCTCGCGATTGCCTTCTCCTCCCGTCGCGCCCGCTACCCCCCTCTTCCTCTTTCTTTACATCTTGTTCTCAGTCCTTTTCGGCTCCACTCCCGCCTCGTTTCTCCATATGCGTCCTCTTGTGCTCCTGCCACTATGCCCATCCAACCCTTGCACATCCATCCCATGCCAGTCCTGCACTGGTGTGTCAGTTGTGATGCTGATTGTTTCCGTTGTGATGCTGACTGTGTTTTACCAACTCCCCGACCTGCGATCGCTGACCCTCCGGCCAGACACACAGGCTCGCCTTTGCTTCTCTCGTCTGCCATCTCATGGCGACGCTCTGTGTCCTGCTCTATTCAAGCTCTGTTCTCTTGTCGTGTGTCTTCCGTTTCGTCCATGTTTGTCGTTTTTGTCTCCTCCCTCGAGTCGGTCTTGCTCCTGTTTTGTTTCGATGTCGTGCATCTGACGGAATGGCTCGCCCAGCCCCTACAAATGGGGGGCCTCATGATGTGTATGAACTTGACGCGGCCGTCATCCAAAGACAATCACCCGACATCAAAGGAAACCTACCAGTCCTCCCCAAAAATATATCCATTCCATGAACAAACCCGGGCGCGGTCTCCGATGAGCAAGATCCTGGCCGCGGATGCTGCAGCTGCCAGAGTTGGACTGTTGGCTTGCGGTGTATTTTGGAATCGAGGTGCTTCATTCGTGACACTATGAAAAAATTTCTTGTTAAAAAAATGAGCGAGAACGAAAAAACGCGCTCTCGGAGCCACCTCGGTCGGCGAGAAGAGCAGTCTCTGGCGAGAGACCCCCGAGGGAAGGCGAGAAGCCTCTCGCCGTCACACACACACACAGTGCACACACACACACACACACACACACACACACACACTTTGCACAAGAGAGTCAAACACCTCCCATCGACCATCCCAAGAGGGATGGCAACCCCGAAGTGGACTGCCCAGAATATGGGCGACCCGGCATCCACTGTCGAAATACTCAAGGAACAGTGCGAGATACTTACAGTCTATCCAGAAAGAAACGGGACAGTCACTTTCTGGCTTCAGAGGCCTGAACCCCGCTGACTGACTGTCGGCCCAGCGGGTAGGCCATGGCATTGCACTCCTGACTTCGTTGGCAATCGAGTGGTTTTGGTTGGTTTCGGGAGCACAGTCTTGAATAGACCCGGTCGATCTCCTGTGGCGATGATCGACTGGCATACCGAGATCATGTTCCTTGAGGCATTGATGTCTCGATCCCACAGTGTATGGCAGCTTGCACAGCTCCGTACATAATGTGACTTCTCGACATCAAGATACTCGGGTGACTCAAGTCGCTTGAATTCCCGGCAATGTGAGCACACCTGGGACGTGTTGAACTCGTTCACCGAGCACACACGGATCTTGGAGACGGATGGGTCTGGTGGTCGTCTCTGGTGGTGGTGGAATTGCTCAAAGTACTTGGCGAACCTGAGTCTCCTGGGACTGGATGGGTATCCCTTCCCCTGTTTCCAGGATGCATTCCCAAAGGCAATCACCACTTCGGTCTCCCTTGGTGCCTGGTCGATGACTTGCTTGCACATCTCGTGGACAGTGCGCTGTCGCTTGCTGTGGAGATCGAGTCGCTTGAACCGCCGTCGCCGGGTCAGGCTGAAGTACAGCTGTTTGTCCAGCATGTCTCCATCGAACACATGGCGAATGTATCGCAAGAAAGAAGGCACTCCAGGGATCTTGGGGCTCGGTGTGGTGCTCATCCATTGCTGCAGACCAAGGATCTTATGGGTGCTCTGGATCCACTTGGTCGCCTGGGTGGTGCCACATCGATGCTGGTACTCCTTGTTGGAGAACGACACGATCTTCTCGTTGGCACGCTGTGCCTTGGTCACCTTGACACCGTCTTGCTCCTGGATGGATGGTTGACCGGGTGCCCGAATGACAGCGGTGAAGATCGATCCCACACCAGGGTCGATCCCGATCCAAGTGGTCCGAGAGTCGTCGATGGGACCGACCCTGGTCTGGGTCTTCTTCTCGGGAGTGAGCTTGGGTGTCTTATCGTCCTTGTCCACGGATTCTGGCTTGGCATCAGGATCCTTCTTCAGGATCTTGTATCTGAGTGTGGTGATCGAGCACCCGACCCCATCGGTGGTGATCTCGCAACCAAAGAGCTGCTTCCCCTCCTTCCTGGCACCAAAGAGTCTCGGATCCAGCTTGAAGTTGGTCTGCCAGAAGATCTCTTGCTTTGTGGTGCCATTGACCTTGGTCTTCAGGTCGTCCCACTTGAGACCAGTGCCAGTCTGGTATCCAAGGATCTCCCACAGTGCTGTGGTGTCGAGCTTGACATACTTGGCTCGGGCATCGCAGAGCGGGACCAAGGTGCACTGTGCTCGAGGGACATTGTGTCGTTTCTTCGTCTGGGCAAGTCGATCGGTGAGGCGCTTGATCCGCTTCGTGTTGACAGCGATCTGCTTGCACACCTCCTCGTGCTGGGTATGGAGATCTTTGAGTCTGTCAGCCCCGATGTGGTGGATGGGTTGACACATTTCTTCGTTCAGTCGCCCACGCTCTCCTTTCAGATCATCGGTCACCCTCGCGAGCCTGGGAATGATCATCTTCTGAAAGACCACCATGAAGAGGGCCTCCTTCAGGTGGGTCAGGCGAGAGACCTCACTGGCCAGAATTGGTACGACTTTGTACAGGTCCTGGTGGCTTTCGTACCGAAACTCATACAACTGGTCGGCATGGTGGGCGAAGGATTTTCTCAGATCACCGAGGAGTGTCTTGGAGAGGGGATTCTCCATCAGCTTCATGCACTCATCGACGTGTGTGTGCCGTTTCACACCCTTGGGAGCAACCAGGACCAAATTGCAGAATCGACGGAGGAGAGACCAATACCGATCAAGAACGTGTGTCTCGCAGTTGACAGCATAGGTCTTGACAGCCAAACCAAGGACCTGTGACCCAGTACCCTTTGGGAGGGACACTGGAGGCAGGATACACGATTCGCTCCATGTACTTCGATACATCTCATAGGTGTCGATGATGTGCCTGTCATCTTCTGGGGTGTTCGTCCTGACACTCACTGTTCCTGTCTGCACCATGTTGAAGCATTTTCGAACGAACGCGGGTTCACTCGACGACACAGTGGGGAGGGTGATGCCCTCGTCCAAGCACCGCCTGAGATGCAGCTCCAGGAGACGAGATGCTTCGTACTGCACGTGTGTCATGGCCCGGACAGTCTCCTCGATCTTGTCGTGCAAGGTGTCGTTCTTGATGATGGCATCGAGAGTGCACTTGATGATCGAGTACTCGGCCTTGACTTGCTCGTTTGGGCCACAGCCAGGCAAGGTAGAGCTCCAGAGTGGGTTATAGAAACGGCACTTTGGGGTGTTGCTTCTGGCATGACCCTCTTGCTTGCACGTGGCACATACAGGGACCTTGGGTGCTTGGCTGACCATTTCAGCGACCGAGGCAGGGCTGCTGTCGACTCTGGCTGCACACTTCTTGGTGAAGGGCCTAACATGGTTGGTCAGGCCACAGGAGGGACACGATTTGATAGTGGGCTTCTTGGCCACAGGAGAGTCATTGGGTGATCCCGGGTCGGGATCGGGGGGTGTCTTTCTCTTGGGAGCCATCTGGCGAGAAAATAGCAGCGATGGTTGGTTCTTGTCAGGAACGGAGCTGGACTTTGGCACCAGACAGCTGATGGTAGTCGAACGGACGGTCGTAGGACGAAGGGGAGTGTATTCAATAGGCTAAGGGCAGGATACAAGAGGCAAGGTGAGGTGCTGGTTCTGAGGCCACAGCACCTCGTTTATATCTCTAAACGCCGTCCTTGTTCGCCGCAGATTTTTCTTCCACTACAAGGGAGATTGGTTATCTGCGACGGGGGGAAATTAGATCCGAACGTTTCCCTCGCCCGCCGGGAGGTTTCATGTCAGTGCCTTACCCAACATTGCACATCAAAGAAACAGGACACGGGTTGGGGCGCCCATGAAACCATCCACCGGGCGTGGGAACGCGGTTCGTGACAGCTCTGCCCTTGGGGAAGAAGGAATCTCCTCAAAACCAGCGCATTTTGGGCTGGCAGAGATGCTCACAGTGGCGTCCTCGATTCAGATCCAGAAACGCATCGCTCGCTCAATCAATCGTGGGAAGACATCTTGTCAAGGTGAGTCTTGCCTGATAGCCAAACGATCATGTCATCTCGCTGACACACAGCCACGCTTGACTAGGTTTCCAACCAGAGAGATTCAGATGGTGGTGGTTCTTGTCCGCAATCGGAGTGGAGCTTCCAACAATGATACAATTGGTCATTCCTCCACACCAATTGCTCACCACCACCGTCAATCGGCTCAAGGTGATACCAAATGCCGTCAACCGACCATGGCCGGATTCCAACTTTTGCTGCATCTTGGTCTCCAGCGTGTATTCATATTCGAGATGAGCAGCCGCGAGGGGCCGGAAAAAATTGATAGTGTGAGCGGCCATGGCGAGGAACTGCGGCCTGAGATCGACTTTGTCACGTGTTCGCTCGAAATGGGAAAAATTGGACCAGACTCGCACCCCTCACGCCCACAATCCCCATCCCACCCGCCAGCACCATCCCAACACCGCCAACGACCAGGCCAAGTCACCGGGGCTCGAACTCAGCAACACTACATCGACCATCGACCAGGCCAAGTCACCGGGGCTCGAACTCAGCAACACTACATCGACCATCGACCATCAACCATCGACCATCAACCATCGACCATCAACCATCGACCATCAACCATCGACCATCAACCATCGACCATCAACCATCGACCATCGACCATCAACCATCTATTGCTGCCATGGTCACAGCGACAGAGCCTTCAAGGGAAGCCTCGAGCATCAATGTGCTCCTGCAGGACTCGGTCTCGTCCACGGCCACGCATCGGAAGAACGCCGTTCGGCTCAAGAAGCTGCTGCTGAAGCCATCCACGTCGGTGCCGGCTGCTCTCGAGTCCCTCTGGAACGCCATGCGCCTGGTGCTGCTCATGAAGAAGGGCCATCCACAGGGAGATCGCTTTGTCAAGTTCTTTGAGACCTTTATGCAGGAAGGAGACGACAGCGGTATGAGCGACCTTTCTCCCTCTCCCCTTCCCAACCGGCATCGATCGATCGATCGCACTGGCAGAGTCATCCACAACCGCTTCGATGGAGACTATGCTGCCATCGGGGACGCCGGATACAACGCAAACAGCTCGTCCAGTTTCCGTTTGGGATCGTCGATCCCAAATCATTGTCTCACATCTACTCGCTCTCATCCGCATTCGATCAAATAACGCCCGGATTCATCACGACCGACATCCAGACGAAAAAATGGCCGAGATCCGATCAAAGGTTGCCGAGTTCTGTATCAACAAACTGTACCCGGGCCTCATTGCCCGCGACCGAGTCGTTCGCTTCCGTGTCTGTCAGATCCTGTCTGTGCTGCTCGGTCACCTCAGTGAGCTCGAGTAAGTGCGCTGCATTGTCCCGCTCTTCCATAGTTAACAGCTGCGAGCAGATCCATCTGAATTGCCGTTGGTGGCTAGCAGAGCCACCTCCGTTTCGTCGATTCCAAGCCCATCAGCGCTCCATTTTGTGTCCGCATCAAGCGCTCCCCTCTCCCACCTCACTCATTTGTCGACATTCTGAATCCATGCCTTCCTGCAGCGACGATGTCTATGTTCCGATGAGAAACAATCTGCTCCAGAGAACTGTGGACCGCGATACAAACGTTCGCATCCAAGCACTCAATGCCGTCTCCCTTCTCCAGGGCTCTGGGGACGAAGAAGAGGAGCAGCTTATCCGAGAGCAGCTTTTGCAGGTGCTCTCCTCCGATCCGTCTGGGTACGTGCATCTCGCTCGTTTCTTAGGAGGAGAGGGGAGTCGAAGAAGAAGTGAAGAGGAAAGTCATGGATCTCGATTGGATGGGATGAGATCGAGTGCGATAATGGACATCCTCAGCAGCAACGATCGCGAGGACGCCGCAGTCGGACACCTGGGTCTCATTGTCGAGGGACTCATGCGAACCCAGGCATCGCCAGCTCATGCAACCAACACTGCGATCACAACAGGGACGTGCGCCGGACGGCCTTGATCAAAATCGACCTGGACACGACCACATTGTCGCATCTGCTCGAGCGTATCCGCGATCAAGAGACGACGGTTCGAAAGGCCTTGCTCCAGCGACTTGCCGAGGATCCCGATCACCTGGCGATGCTGACGCATGCTCAATGGGACACCCTGCTTGCCTCGGGGCTGTTTGACCGGTGAGTGCAAGATCCTCAGGAGCAGCTGCAAGCGAACGGCCCACGCAGCCACAGAAGCAGCTCTTGCTGTTTGATACTTGCTCTTGATCACGGTGAACAACCAGTCGGCGCCTTGCCATTGACTCTTTTTGTTGGTCGTTGTTACCGCTGGGTCCCTCACGACGATTCCTCGTATACCCCACAATGGCACGTTCCTCGAACATCCTCAGCGATGAGAGTGTCAAGGCAGACTGCGAGAATCTGTTTGCAAATGTATGGCTCCAGGGCCAAGAACAGCGCCTGTTTGAGGTATGTCTCTGTCTTTCAGGCCAACTTCGCCGCACCGAGCGCTGCATGTCCATGTCATGTAACCCAGGAGTGGGCACCAGTGAGTAGCCCTTTGTTTGCGGTCAGTGATTCTGACATTTTGACCTTTGCATTCGCTCCATTCCGCCGCGTTGCAATCGGCTATCCGTCCTTTCGTCCTCCTTCTGCCCAGTTCCTCTCCCAAATAGACGTCATGGATCCCGATTCAAGCGCACCCGCTGCGCTCACGACGTTCTTCAAAGTCCACAAGGACAATTGGCTCAAGTCGTACCAAGGTACCGTTTCGATCGATCGATCGATCAGCGCCGTCGAGCGTGCTTGTGGTGTTATGGGGGGGGGAGTCGAATAGGCACAGCACAGTCAAAGACCAGGAGCGCAAGACGGTAGACTCGTCCGTGTGCTAACATGACAGCCCTCCCTCGCTTTGATTTCTTTTGGTGATCGCCAGAGTCGCTTTGGGACAACCTCTCGGTCGAGCGAGCGTTTTTCTTGCGACATTGCATTACCTTCTGCACAGAGAACGATGTAAGCAGCAGCACCGGAAGGTTCTATAGACTTTTGGCTTGTCGCAGTTGCTAGACTGCTGACTTGTCGAAGGATCTTGGCTTTGAGTACACCATCAAATGCCGCTGTTGCTGCACCCGCAACTGCCCCGTGTGGCACACGATTGACCCTTTCACCGCCGTGCCTTCCTCCCAGCTCGAAAACGAGCTCGACACCATTCGCCCTTCACTGACTGCGGTGGTGGAGATGATCAAGAAGCACTTCAAGGCTGTCAGTCAAGATACTGACGACGAATCCCGTGCTGAGCAAGAGTTTATCATCTCCCAGCTCCTCGTCATTGCCGAGCATCACGACTTTAGCGACGAAGTCGGTCGACGGAACCTCCAAAACTGCTTCTGTATGCATCCGGCTGCAAGTCGAGCGGGCCTCGCCGGTCGTGCGCGCCACATTGAGCATACGCTGGCTGTACATGGATGTCTGGCAAATGCGATTCCACCCCTCACACGAACGAACTCGTTCCACCCTCCTCCCAGGCGAGTTGATATCAATGTCGGATCTCGAGCGAGATTGCTTCCTGACCATCATCAAGACCATCCAGCACCTCTCTATCGATGAAACCGATTTTACCCGGCTAATCATCGAGCTGCTCTATCAAATCTATGACCAAATTGACGAAAAGTATGAGGATTCTCAGGTAAACGACCGAACTGAACGAGCGGGGTGTCAGATGGTTGAATGGTTGATGCCATCACCAATCAAATCGTTCACAGCGACCGTGACGCCGTGTCGTTCATCTGTATTTATCATCTCTGGATGTGCCTGTGCCGCCACTCACCCGCTGAACCTCAGGACTCATCCCAGGAGCCGGGCAGCTCGATTAGCGATCTGGATGGAAAAAGGCGCACATACACCTTTGAAGACTATGTCATCATTCACAAGTGCCTCGACATCATCAGATGTATGATGGAGTGTCTCCAATCGGTAAGTCGTGCCTCAGCCTGCTGTCGCCTTCAAAGTCACAGTCAGATCTCGGCCCGTCGCCTGCTTCTGGTTTCAGTCCAAAAGTCACCGGTGCTTAGACTCACCATCTCGTGCATGACGCAGGGCTTCCCGCAAACAGAATCGATGAATGGCCTTCTCAAGAACTTTGTCTTGCCTGGCATCCAGAGTGGCAACTTTGCGTTGTGGGAAGCGGGGCTCTACTGCCTTGGTCTGTTTTGTATCTTTGACGAGGTAGGAGTCTACACGGCGTGCAGTGGGTCCCCGTGGCAGGCTTTGTGCCCAGGCTGTATCGCCCTGAAGTATGCCAGCGTGTGCTGCAGTGAGTATTCAGCCACTTTTATCACCGCAGTCACTGGCACAAGAGAATGTGGCGCTGTTCATCCACGCCTACAACACCGTATCCAAGGACATCAAGCTCGCAGCCATGAAGGTATGGGTTGTGCCTGGTTTGCTCTTCGGGCACTCACAGTCTCGATATGCCTATGGCCTCGCATATTCGGTCGATTCGACACCTCCGATTCTAAAATACTTTTAAAACACCCCGCCCCCGGCTGTCTAGATTCTATTTGACTTGATTCTCCGCCACGGGCACACCAAGTTCTTGACGAGCGATGTAAGAGCGGTTGTCGCTTGTTTGCAAAATGCCCGGTGCTTGCAAAAATGCCCGCCGCTTGCAGAATGCCTATCTCTTCCAAGACAGGAATGTATGTCCACTGATACTCGAGCGCAAACAGGTTCTTCAAGTCTTCCAGGATGCGATGGAGTCTGAAGACCCGGATGTCTTGACCCTTGCTGTTGAAGGCGTCGCCAAGTTGATGATGCTCAAATGCACAAAGAGCCCCGAAGTAAGCAGTCAGTCGCCGCACATGAGTCGTGACGGTTCTTTGGCTGTCCAGCCGTCACACGAACCGGAGGCGGATATCGGCATATGTGACTTGCGTCTGGTGCGATGGTTGCTTCGCCGGTAGACTGGAGACGCCATTAACTGGAGACACCGGTTCCTGTGCTTGCTTCTATATCGACAGCTCCTCCAGGCTCTTGTGGTGCTCTACTTCCATCCACTCACCGCGTCCATGAATCGCCTCAAGCAGTGCCTATCGTATTTCTTCCCGGTATTCTCGCACTCGAATCACGACAACCAAAAGATTGTCTCGGAGGTATGCCGGTCACATTGCAACGACTGTTACGAAGCGCCTGGCATGTGGCCACAGCCGTAACTCGAGCGCGGATGCCGGACTCTCGGCCGCTCGCGTGAGGAATACTTACTGGACAATGCTTTCTGTGTCTCGGTGCACGCATGCTGTTCATCCAGGCGTTCTTCCCCATCCTCAAGACCATGATCCCTGTGCATCAGGGCAACAAAGACATGATGATCCCGCCGCTGCAGATTGCCCATCGAATGATCGAGTGGACCGACGTACGCAACCTCGCCAAGTAAGTCCAACGCTCTGCATTTGACTATCCCACGATGCCATTAGACCAGCCATCATAGCAAGCAAATACATCTCCCGAGCCACGCGATTCCGAGGCGCATGTGGATTATTGACATCGTTGCACATGCACCTTCCTTGACTGCTTCTTCCTTGGCGGCGATCGAATCCATCTTGAATCTCAGACAAACCCCGGACGTCAACCGCGAGCTGCATGCCGACATTGCACTCGATGTTATCACAAACGGCTGCTACGAAGAGGAAGTCGAGCCTTCGGGTGCGTGAATCTATCTGGACCAGCATCGTCTCTGCCTCGGATTCAGACAACAGCAGCGCGATATGTTCTTTCGCTTGCGCAACAACGTACTGTGGCGCCATCAGTGTGCCGCGGATCGTCTTCTCGATCCCACCCTCTTGCTGACTCGCCGTGGTATTCCAGCGCTGAAGGTCTACTGCCAAATCCTCGGCAAGTTTTACATCCCCTCGGATATCTCGAAAGTCAAGCTGAATCGCCTGCGCGTCGAGGTGGCGAAGCTCAAGGAGGTGAGTGGCGTGAGTGATGTTGCAACGCCAGGACCTGCGCATCTTTCAGCCAACGATCGTGCGTGCCACCCAGACCAGACTTTTTCTCACAAATATTCACTCGGTGTCTGGCCGGACTCTGTAGATCGTCAAGGACAGCGTGGCCCTGAATGCGCTCAAGAAGTACGCCCGCCTTCTCAGAGTGGCGAGGGCTCTTTGGCGGCTTCACAGGAGTACTTGTTGCTCATCATAGCGTTTGTTACTTATCCCTCGCCCCTGCCTTTCCGGTTTGGATGAATCACAGATTTACGGCCCATCTTATCGAGATCGAAGTTGCAGGAGCCAGCGCCACGGAGCGCGACAACGATGCCGAGGACGCACACGAAATGATGGATATCGTCAGGGATCTGCGCTCCGACAAGGACGCTGGACGGTATGTTCCTGCTTGCTGTGTATTCGTTTTTTTTTTTTCGAGTCACAGAGCTGTTCACGAGCGAGCGCCTCCGCAAAGCGAGCCGGGGAGTGCGGGGTATCTATCGTATTGACCCGTTCGGATGTATGTTCTACAGCGCCGCATCAAGCGGAGAAGAGTCGGACGATTGAGACCTTGCTGCAGAAAGGCGATGCACCTTGCGACAGCATTGTCGGCCGCTCAGCCTTTGTCATCTCCCTGCACCATACACTGGCATCCACACGCTCCATCGATGACATGGGTCGTCTAGCGTGCCCGGGTACGCTTGGGACGGGGCGGAGGATCGTCTGGAGAGGCCACTGCGGGTGTCGTTTTGCGCTTGGTGGATCTGGTGGATCTGGTGGGCTTTGCATCGGCTGGGCTGCCTGCAGAACCCGAGCCGGAGGCGCTGGTCTTGCGCCTTGAGGCGGATCGACCTCGGCGGACGGGATCGGTGGTCTTGCTGCTCGGATCTTCGATATCGGGAGAGGCATCCACATCTTGGGCGGAAAGATCACGATCATCGGATGCAGATGGCGACGAGTCCTCCTCGTCCTTGTCGTCGGGATTGGTCGAGAGGAGCGAGGCGATCCTGGTGACGGTGTTCCAGTTGCGGCAGGTGTTGTACTGGTTCAGGATGCGCTCGAGCGAGGTGCTCTTCAACTTGGAGCGCCACAGGCCCTGCGGAAGATACAGATAGACCTCGGTGCCTTGGACAGAGAAGAGTCCATCCCGCTTATCCGGAAAGGCTTGCTGGAGGGCGGCAACGTCGGCGGCAGGCACGGGCGACTGCAGAAAGGCGACAAAGAACTTGCTAGGCTCGCGGGCAGCCTCCTTGGGGAACGGATTGGCATCGACGATCGCTATCCACTGCTGCTGGGTCCGGTAGAAGGTCTCGATGGGCGGGCCTTTGGTGTGGAACTTTACTTGGATGTGCTCGCGGATGGCCGTCTCGGAGAGATCACCGCTGGGGACGAGCGCGCCGGCATCGAGCAGGATGTTGCCGGTCTGCAGAAAGGTCTGGACACCAAGGCAGCCGATGCCCTCGAGCTCTCTGCGCAGGACGTCCATCTTGATCATGTTGTGGCCGCCGACGTTGATGCCGCGGAGGAGCAGGACGATTCTTGGCTGCTGGGCCATTGATCGAGGGAGAATATCAGGAGAAACAGGGAGATCCGAGGGCGATATGATCAGGGAGACCAAGGACGGTTTCAGGAACAACGACATGAGGCTGAGGGACATGGGTGCGCAGCGACACGTGCGCGCCATGCCAGGACGGATCGGCGCTGGGCGCGGCGACGCTTGTGCGACGACCGTGACACCCGCTGCAGTGACACAGAGTGCGCGCGCTCTTGTGCAACCCGGCGCGTCGCGACAGCCAAGGCGGGGACATGTCGCAACACCGAGACTCGATCCAAAACGGCAGTTCAAAGTCGCAGTTCAAAGACCCAATTGGGGTGCACGCTTGTCGCCCGTCAATCCACCGAGTGCGGCATTTGGACTGGCGGTGGAATTGACAACATCGACTCGATACTCCAATTCCAATTGTAATTCCAGTTCCAACTGCAATGGCAATTCCAATTGCAACTCCTATTGTAATTCCAATTCCAATTCCAATTGCAATCCAAACTGGGATCGCCTTTGCGTTCTTGCTCCCGCCGCGCCGTGCGACCCGCGACCACCCACCCAGCAACCCACCCTCCCCAGCCGCCCTCCAGCACACTCGAGGCACAATCCGCGCCTGTCGTGGGGGAAATATTTATAGCATTGCACTTTCTCCTGCTCTCCTTCTGTCCTGTGCCCCCGTCTGCTGCCGCCTGCTCTCCTGGGCCCAAGCTCGATACTGGCCCCCCCGCCCTTGGCCCCTCGGCTCTTGCCAGTCCCTTTGCCGCTCCCGTTCCCGCTCCCGCTCGTCCCCATTCCCGCCGCGGCTCCTGCGTCGTCGTGCCCGTCCTTGGTTCGCCCCTTCCAGCATCGTCGCTTCCCGGCGCCGCGCCAGCCGTCTCCATGATCGCCGGACCCAGGAAAGCATCGGGCCTCGCCGCCTTGGCCTGCGTCTGCCTCAGTCTGCTTGGCTCGGTCGATGCGGCCTACAAGTACGTCGAGTGCGGGTATTGGACTCCTAGCGACTCCCGCTGGGCCTCCGCTGGCAACACCGTCCAATCGTGCTACAACGTATGTGCCTCGCAAACAACGTATTTCGGCATCTCCGTCAAGCCGTGCTCCAACGGGCAGCCGTCGTCCGACACTAGTGTGTACTGCATGTGCATCAGCTCCCTGCCGCAGTCGTATTCGGGCTGCGACCAGACCTGCAGCGGCGACGGCCTCCAGTGCGGCTCCTGCACCAACGGCTATGCCCACAGCTTCTATCAGGTGCGTCCGTTGTCCCGCCAGGACGCCCATGTCATCATGGCCTGTCCACGGCGTCTTGCACTTGCTCCTTTCCATCGAGGCTACGAAGCACAGCTCGCTTACCCCTGATATTCCTCCAGGTCGTCCCTGATCCCCCTCCTCCTCCTCCTCCTCCACCACCACCACCACCACCACCACCTCCTCCTCCTCCTCCTCCGCCGCCGCCTCCGCCTCCTCCTCCCCCGCCTCCTCCGCCTGCATCGACCTCGGCTCAGAATCCACCTCAAACATCGCAGTCAACTGTTGCACCTACGACCACATCTTCCCTGTCCGTGTCTGCCACAACTTCGGCAGCATCCTCGGCATCAACTCTGGCCGGCACCAGCTCACTGGATGCTTCCGCAACGCCGTCCAAGACCTTGGCAGGTGGCTCTGGTGCCTCGCCATCAAACACAAACTCGGCCTCCAGCCCCAGCGACTCGACCAGCTCCGGAAGTAGCATGCTCCCGCTGATTCTCGGGGTCACATTTACGGCCCTGGTTCTGATCGGCCTTGTGGTCGGGCTATGGGCATATCGGCGAAAACGCAAGGGCATCCAGAACACCACCACTCATCCCTTCCAGCAGCTGCAGGACCAGTCGCTCGGCCGCGGATTGGCCGGAAGCGACAGGATCCAACCGTCGATTCCTCGATCATCCACCTCGAACCCGGAGCCTGCCATCACTCCCAAGCCGGCCGAGGACTACGAGCTGGCAGATCGAACCCCGTCGGGATCGGGATCGGACCGGAGCGTGAATCGGAGTCTTCCGTCCCACAGCAGCGCCCTGTCGTCCTCTCAAAGCGCCATCGCTGTTCCCACCAAGGTCTACCAGGCCGCGAACGTTCCCGGCAGCTCTCGCGGCGACATGTACTCCCAGCCAACGAGCTCGTCGGCAGCGTCCCCCTCGATCCGGGCGACTCCCCCGAGCGCTCTCCTTGGCGGATCCGACATTATTCGCACCCATTCGGACCAAACCCTGCCTCAGCTTCCCACCACCGGGCTCTTCCAGCCCCCCGCCGTGGTCTCCCCAACCCGAGCAGATATCCCGCCGACCTACGAAGAGAGCTTTGCCCACGCCCAGGCTGGGCAGTACTTTGTCACCATGGTCGCCTTCCAGGCAACTCGCGAGGACGAAATCGATCTTAGCACCGGTGATATTATCTCTCTGGAGTAAGTACGGCCCTCCAAATGCTTTGGAAAGACACCTCGTCGCTGGCACGAAGCAACAAGCGCCATCGTTCTGACTGGTTCTCTGATGTTTTTTTGCTTCACAGGGAGAGCTTCGATGACGGCTGGGCATCGGGCAAGAACTTGGTCTCGAACCGAATCGGCGTCTTCCCTCTGCAGTCGCTCGTCCAGATCTCGGACGACAAGCTCGCGATGCTCATGAGAACCCTGTCGCAGCAGCAGCAAGCTCGTCTCGGCGCCTTCCCGGCCTCCCAACTCAGCACCGACACCAAGGCGCGGTATGAGCTTGAAGGCCCCGACGACATCTTCAACGCCATGCGAAACCCCAATCTGCTGACGCCGACACTGTCGGACCTCGCTGCCTCAGGCGCGCTCGCGCTCGGCACCGAGGAATCTAGAATGGCTCCGGTCGCTGGCAACTCGGCCCAGCAAGTTGCAGCGAGCTCGGTCGTTCTCTCGCCGGATCAACTCTGGAACAGCGGCCGAATCACATTCCAGCAATACGTGCGACTCAAAGAGCTCGAGAACGAAGAAAAGATCCTCAACATCCGAATGAGAGAGCTCGAGCTGCAGCGAAGAGGATAAGCCGATGAAGGCGGGAAGCAACCCGAACCACATATTCCCGACGCGCATCCTCGTCCAGCTGCCTTCTGGGCGGGGTGGTGCTGACACGCCAGCCCCACCGCCGCTTTCCGGAATCCCCTCCCCCAAATGCATCCAAAGACTGGGAAAGCAGATCCACTCGGACAGGCCTGGCTATCGCGGGCCCTCGCGCTGGCTTTTGCTTTCCATCTCCAGCCCTAGATGAGACCCATACCACTGCCGCCCTCCTCCGGGTCTATAGTTCTATCCTCCGGGCCCACGAACCGACACTCGTCAGTAATCTATCTTTTTCGTTTCTTTTTTTTGATTTACCTTTTTTATTATTTTGATTCGATCGGGCTGGATTTCATTTTATCTCATTTCATTTCATTTGCGGCCAATGTATCTTGGGCGCTGCGTCCATTTGACGGCGTTGACAAACCAAAACCAGGGCATCCAGAGTGCCATCCGGTGCCATCCTATGACATGTTGTACTATGCAACACAATGCCATCCTATGACATGTTTTACTATCCTGCGCAACGCAACACTATGATATACTTTGCTCTGCGATGCTTTGCCACGAGTACTACACCAATACAGCACGAGTATTCTACACGCCGCACCTCACGACAGCACAAACATGCCGCCCATTGGCATTCCTGCAGCTCCAGTCCGAGTTACAGCCGCTGCGCTGGCAGCCTCTCAGAGCTCGGGTCGGAAATCGCCCCAGGCCTGGCGGATTTCGGCGTCGGCGTCGTTCTCGACCCGCTCGGTCTGGTCCCAGATGTAGCTCGCGCGGGTGGTGGTGGTGTAAGGCACCCATCCCTCGACGCAAGGATTGCCCGAACGAGCAAAGCTGGTCCAGGCCCGCTGCATCCGAAGCGACAGCTCGGCGAGCCGGGAGTCGAACCAGTTCATCGAAAAGAGCATCTTGCCCAGCCCCGAGCGCAGCGTCCCAAAGACCAGAGGCAGCTCGGTGGTGTGGGTGGCGTTGCCGCCGAGGAGCTCGACGAGCTTGGATCGGTGGTCGCAGCGATACATGAAGACGGCGGCGTGCTGGGCCTGGGCCGAGGCAAACTGGATCGTCGGGATGGTGAACATCAGGTCGCCGCCGAGCCGGACATGCGCCGTCTTGGCGGGGAAGCGCTCGATGTAGTCCTGCGTCAGCTGCTCGGTAAAGAGTAGGAGCTCGGACTCTTGCATGTGGATCTGCGAGCTGAAGAATGCATCGAGGTCGTCCTTGTGGATCGGGATGATGGGCTTGCGCTGCAGCTGGAAAAACTCACCCTCGCTGTGGTTGTAGCCGATGAGCAGCGGGATGTCCTTGGCAAAGCCGGCCTGGATGGCATCGAGCGGATGGTGCGGCAGCCAGTCGCCGTCGACCACGGGCAGGAAGCCGAACTTGTGGTTCTTGGGGACAGAAAGCGCCGCCAGCTTCTCGGCAGGAATCTCGCGCAGCTCGGCGTATTGCTCGGGCTCCAGGCCAAGGTGCTCCCTGACAAAGTCGCGCGATGCTTGAACTGCATCGCTCCGGGACTGGCGGACGGCGGTCGGGGCTGGGCTCTGGGCGATGGCCTTGTGGAAGAGCCCTCGGGCGGCAGGCACCGCAAGCAGCGTCGTCACGGATATGCCTCCGGCCGACTGCCCAAAGATCGTGACGTTGTCGGGGTCGCCGCCAAAGGCTCGGATGTTGGCCTGGACCCACTGCAGGGCCAGGACCTGGTCCTTGAGGCCCAGGTTCGAGTCGAAGCCCTCGGCCGTGTCGCCCAGGAAGAGGAAGCCCAGGGCACCCAGCCGGTAGTTGAGCGTCACGACGACAACGTCGCCATTCGTGGCCAGGTGCTCGCCATGGTAGAGGTCCTGCGAGCCGCAGCCGATGACAAAGGCGCCGCCGTAGATGAACACCATCACAGGCTTGAGCGGCGACGTCTCTGGATTGGAGGCATTCCAGATGTTGAGGAACAGGCAGTCTTCCCGCGGCGGCGGCTTGGAAATGGGCGGCACCGGGAGCCACTCTGGCATGAACGGCGGCTTGGGCTGGGCTGGAGCGGCCTCGAACGAGTGAGCCCTCAGCACCCCGGGCCATGGATCCACCGGCACCGGGTTTCGGAAGCGAAGGGGGCCGACAGGGGGTTTGCCGAACCGAATGCCGCGCCAGACGTACATGCCATTCTCGACGAGGCCCTCGATGAGGCCGAGCTGGGTGCGGACGGTGGTGGTGACGGTGAAGGGCATGCTGATGCAGAGCGGCGGGCGGGCTGCGGGCGGGAAGCAAGCGCTGCAAGCTCCCTTTTGACCCCTCTCGAAAGAACATCCGGTTTGCCGCCTTGCCCCTCCCACCAGTCCGGGTGGGATCGGCGCCAGGCCGATGGCCTTGCTGGTGGGGCTGGCTCTTGTTGGGGCCTGTCATGAGCGACTGCTGCAGTGGTGGAGAGAGCCGGTTCGGAGCCGCATCGACTTGAGTTGCCCGCGGTGCACAGCCCAGCCCCAAACGACGAGCGGCATCTGCCTCCGATGCTCGGGCAGTCTGGTCATGCAGCCCAAATCCAGGGTCGAAAAGTCAATGTGGCACTTTGATATTGTATTTGACTGACGACGGGAAAACACAGATCCCGCCGGGTGCCAGGGGAAGGCTAATCGGGTGCACCATGCAATCCACGAACAATGAGGAAGGAAAAGCCTGGCCAGTCAAACGCAGTAGTATCCCGCTTGTGGGTGAGTGGGTTGGTTGTTGGGAGGGAGAGGGAGAGGACATGACAATCAATGGACGGAGGGATACGATGAGCAAGCGAACGGAGAGATTGAGTGGACATGACAAAGCAGAGTAGAGCAGAGCCGACAGAGAGACGGAAAAATGCAAGCTGGCTGCGGCCTCGAACGAGAGACTTGGCCGAGCCTGGCCCGCACCCAAACTTGATTACTTGAAATGTGAGCAACGGGTGTCAAGAGACCAGGAGGCACATCCATCCATCCATCCATCCATCCATCCATCCATCCGTCGCGGCTACAACGCCGTGTCGGTGGAGAGCCGTTTAGCTGCGTCGCAGGAGAGGCTGGCGGTCCTCGACAGAGCCGCTTCTCATCCAGAGACCGTACTTGAAGGCCGTGATGGTGATCACAAAGACAGTGATGAGCAGCACCGTTGCCCAGAAGGAAGGGAGAGCAGAATGGCTCTTGGGCTTGTCCTCGGCGGGCTGGTCTGCAGCCGGGGTCTTGGTCTGGCGCTCGGGAGCAAAGTCCGAGACGTGCTTGAGGCGGTCCTGGGCAACCGGGGCCGGGGGGTTGCTGGGCTCCCAGCAGGCGGCCTTGAGGCAGCTCTGGCACTGCTCGGTCGGCTGAGAGTTGCCGGCGCGGTGAATGAGAGCACAGGCAAGGCAGGCAGACCAGTCGTCGACCTCGGAGGCAACGGTGCCCTGGGTCTCCTTATCGGCAAGGAGCGAGAAGCCGTTGCCGATGTAGCTCTTGGCAAGATCGCGCTCGTAGGCACGCTTGAAGGTCGAGGCGTTCGAGGGGAAGGTGCCGAAGCGGTTGGGGACGTAGACCAGGAGAGGAGGGAGCGAGCCGGTCTTGGGCTTGTCCGCCTCGTTGAGGTAGCAGCCAAAGAACGTGGTACGGTCGATCAGACCCTGGTCCTGGTACTCCTCGGCGTGCAGCGGGACCGGGGGGAAGGGAATGTTGCTTCGCTTGGCGTATTCGGCGGTGGAGATGATGGACGAGCCGTTGGGCCAGCCGCCCTCGTAGTAGCTGACGGTGCTATCGACCGCAAAGACCACATCGATCTCGCGAGCGGGCTGGATGAGGGGCCACAGAGGCACGTTTTGTCCGTCCTCGCCACCATCAACCAGCTCAACCTCTTGGATGCTGGAAGTCTCGTTCTCAACGCCAGCGAGCTTGTAGAAGGGGTTAGGGACCAGAGCACTGTCGACGTTGGCATCCGAGAGGTAGGTGATGACCTGCGAGAGGAACGAGCCGTTGGAGGCCTTGTTGATGTCGTTGAGAGCCTGGTTGAAGATCGACGAGGAAATGCCGAGATGGAAGGCAAAGTGGTCAAAGCCGACGACGCACTGCTTGTTCGAGACGGGCTTGCCGTTGTCCATAGAGGTGCCAAGGTAGGTGGTATCGATGAAGGAGTTGACAGCGGGGCTGAAGCTGCCGGTCTCGAAGAAGCTGGTTTCCCACTGGAGACATGGACGTGTGCGACCATATGGTGAGGACAGCAGTCGGTAAGACATAACCAGATGCCACACGGGACGAGGAAGAGTTGGATTAGTCTGGGTTGACAGGGGTTGCGCCACCAGAGCGGCCCTGGACTGAGGCAGCCCACCCGAGGCGTTGGAAGTGGCCAAGGCAAAGCAGGGCCACCGGGCGGACGACAGACACCCGAGCTGAAGCAGCAGGACGTACAATGTTGGAGTACTCAGACACGTCGTTGTCGTAGTAGCGGCGCTGGTCCCAGACCACGATGGGGAAGGGGGTCTGGTGGTTCTTGAACGACGACGAATCGGCCAGGCCCGAGAAGGTCTGCGAAACACCATAGTTGGAGTGGTTGGTGGTGTGAACACTGCATAGGCGACAGAATGCACAAGAAAGCGTCAGTCGCACTGGCAGGGGCAGTCCAATGACAGAGACAGAGACAGGGACAGGTGGCCGCCACAGAGCGACGATGCCACCAAGAGACGATACATACGCAACGAGGCGACTCCAGTAGTCGGTGATAGAGGTCTTGAAGCCGGCGCGGGTCTTGTCAGCAACATCCTTTATGAACTCGGCGTAGATGCCAATGTCGGAGATGGCATCGATCGAGGCGGGGGTGGCGACATCAACATCGATCTTCCAGACGTTATCGAAGAGCCAGCTGACGGTGGGGAAGTTGGTCGTGAACATGGAGCCGACGAGGAAGGAGCCGCCTGGCAACGGGAGAGCCGGGACGCATGAGTACTGATCGCGAAGCAAGCACCGGCGCCTGTTACAGGAGAGCCGCTGCGGCAGAAGAACGAAAGCCACCTCAGTGGGCGCTGCCGAAGGCGAGACGCACGGGCCAGATACCTACCCGAAAGAGCCGAGACATAGGTCGACATCTGAAGGATACCGCCGGTCTTTGACGAGACGGCCTCGGGGTTACGCTCATCCAGCGATGAGATGACACCAGCGCCGACAAGCATAGCACTGGGGAGAAGTCGCGGGTATGCACGGGTTAGCGCAGTGGGCACTGAGAGTCGAGCTTGGCTGACCAGGAATGCCTTATTGCACAGATGCAGATTGCGGCTCACCGGTTGCCGCCGCCGCTCATGGCAAGGCCGATGCGGGGTAGACGCTCGTTGGCAGCGAGGAAGGCTTCGACGTCAAAGTCCTTGAGACCAACACGCTGCAGGTAAGCCCTCCAAGCATCGCGGACCTCGGTTTCTCGTCCGGCGACCCAGTCAGACTCCTGGACGGCAAGTGTTTGCTGTGAAAAGAGAAATCGAGGAGAAGGGTAAGTCGAGATGGGGCCGGGGGGGAGCGGAAACAAAGCTCCAGAGATATGCGGCGAGAGCTGCCACAGGCAGAACCAGCGAACTTGCCTGGCCCTTGATCTGACGAACGATGGGAGAGCTGGGGCACTCGACTCGGCGGGGAGCGAAGGGGCTGTAGGGATCAAAGTACCAGTACTTGATATCTGTAGATGGGCACCGAAGCGGTTGTTAGCCAGGTACGGGCTTGGAGAGCTGGCGCTCCGGTTTGTCAAGATGCCTCGATGCAGGATTCGGCGGTGGGAGGATTCGGCGGTGGGGGAACGAGTGGCATGCACTGGCAGCGACATTGCGGCAGAGGCAGACGACTTACAGCCCAGGACGATGAAGAGGACCACGAACAGGGCAAACGAGATGACGCCCTGGCACACTTTCTTGGTGTGCGGGCCGTGGTGGGGAAGAGGCTCCAGGTTGACTTTCATTCTCGGATCAGGACAGGCAGAGCGAGACGAACGAGGATGCAGGGCGGCCTGGCGCAGAGGCCGTGTTTATATAGGTCGCGATCCATACAGAGGCACGCCTCGGTCGGTGGTGGTGGTGGGGAACGGCGGCAAGAACGACGGCGGATGGCCGCGACGGAGGGACCCGGGGTGGCGGGCAATGGTCTGCGGGACGCAGGAGGAGGATTGCAACCTTGGCCAAACCTTGGTGTTGTATTTGCGATGCAAAAAATGCAAAATGCAAAGAAAATGACAATAATGCAGCAATGAGATCGGGGCTGCTATTGCAGACCGATTCTGGACAGGAGCAACGGGATGCGATAGGCGTGAAATGCAATGAACATGAAATGCGGCTGGCGAGTTCGCTGGCTGGTCCGATCCAGCAACAGCAGCTACTGCACGACGCAGGCCCCGCAGAGACCCCCCAGAACAGCGCTCGTCGGCCAGTCCTGCTCGATCGCCGAATCGGTCGTGGTGCCGTCGTCATGGCCCTCGGCTGGGCTGCGATCGATCATCGACCGACCGACAGGCTGGTATTGGGACGACGATGCCATGGTTGGACCCGGTGTAATCGATGTGCTTGTCGAGACCGCTGCGATGCTGTTGCCGGTGTTGCTGGCGCTGGCTGACGGACCATCATCCAGCCGCAGCTCCTTGTATCTGGCCGGACCGGATGATGGCTTGGAGGTCGAGACGGGAGAGTCGTCGAGCTCGTCCTCATCGAGGGTACGAAGGCGATTGGACGAGATGTCGATCGAGAACCGACCAATGTCCTGGGGTTGGAGCGGCTTGGGTGTTGCCAGAGCCGAGAGCTCCGAGGACTGTGGCTGAGAGCCGAGGGCGTGCGGCATCTGGAAAGCGGGACGGTCGTGGCTGCAGTTGGTGGGCGAGCAGGGAGGTGGTTGTTGGCGGAACGAGCGCAGATCTGGTCGATCGATCGGATTGACAAACGGGTGGAGGCCATGGACAAACGCCAAGCTCTTGGCTGGTGGGCGTTGGATATGTGGCGTGTGGGACTTTGACCGTCCCCAGCGACAGCCACGGAAACTGGCGATGTGGAGGGACAAGTGGAGACCGACCAGGCGACTACATCAGATACATCAGTCGCATCAGATACATCGGATACATCAGATACATCAGTCGCATCAGCCATATCAACCATATCAGTCGCATCAGATACATCGGATGCGTCGGATACACAGCCAATGGCACCAAGCCAGCCGCCGTCCCGTCGCCACCACAGCTCTAGATATCCGACGCAGGTGATGTAAATGTGTATTGGGCCCCTGTGCGTGCAAACCAGTTCGGCTCACTGAGCCTTGGTCTGGTTCTTCTGGTCAAACTGGGAGAGCTGTCGGTTGGCTTCCTCGCGGAGTCGTCGCCTGGAAAGAAAGGTTGCATGCAGTCAGCACAGGGCTACACATCCAGATCACTTTGCCCCGGCCAGGCGATGCTGCACATATCGGATCGGATAGCCAGCCAGCCAACCAGCCAGCCACCGATTTCCCTCCCCTCTTCGTGCTCGCTCGATGACACAAGCTATACTTACAGCTCGGCTTGCTTCTCGGCAAACTTGGCCGACAGCGCGACGTGCTGGGCTTCCCACTCCATAAACTTGGTTGTGTGGGGATGGGTGATCTTGCGCTTGGCCAGATCGGACTCGGTCTGCTCCAGAACTTGGGCCTTCAGCGAGTCCCGGGAGTTTCGGTAGTGGCTGAGGGTCTTGGCTGTGCTTCTGTCGCTGTTGCGCAGACTCAGGTTGTATCGCTGCGCCGTTGAGCCAGGAGTGCTGGGCGGAAGGCCGTTCGGGCTCTCTGCGGCAGCACGGGTGGCCTCTGCCTCTGCCTTGGCACGCTCCTCCGCCTCGATCTTTTGAATCTGCTTGGCAATCTCTTCTTTGCGTGCGCTGGCCTCGGCCGTATCCTGCATGCGGCGAACGCGGTAGAACTCGCTGACTGCTGTGAAATATGCCTCTTCCTCCTTGAGCTTTTGGTTTTGCATCAGGTATTGCGCACGCTTGAAGATGCTGAGGGATGATGGATGCGAGGATTGGACGAGGGTTAGACGAGTACAGAGGACCGGGCCAGGAGAAGTCAGTCCCAGCGGAGAAGGGCGAGCTCGCCGGTGGCGATTGAGAGTCGGAAATCAGCATATGGCCGAAAACAGGTGGATATCGCCGTGCAGTTCAATAACAGAGCCGTTTGCCGGCGATTCGCAACCCGATTCCGGCAAAAGCATCTCGGTCCCGACATATCGATCCCGGGGATCGGCGCTATCCCACATGCCCAGAAACATCTTGGCGCCGAGTCCGGGTATCCATGCGCATCGGGCACCTACTTGTCGGCCGAAAACTCGATGGCATCGGGATTGATGGTCTCCCAGCGATCGAATCCAAGTGCCTGGGTGTCCTCGACCAGGTTGAAGGGCTTTGACAGCTCAAAGGGATGATGCTTGTAAAAGTCCTCGCGAAGACGATCTTCCGGATATACAATAACGGGCGGCTTGTCGGCATACTGTGGCTTCTTGGGTTTGCTGCGATGCACCAGGCTGACCGAGTTGACCTGGCTCAGTCTGGTCCTCTGCACCTCCTCTTGGTCGACAAACTGGCCGACCTCGGACGGAATCACGGTCTTGAGCACAAACGACGCCGAGGGCGGGAACATTTTGACAGCCGACATCCACTTGGGCTGGGCCGACTCGGCCGAGCCGGGTGCCTTTGCCGCCAGCGATCGGTTGGCAAAGTGGATGATGCGTAGCGGATTGAGCTTGACGGTTTTCGGCGGCGCTCTCATACTGGACGATGGATTTGTGGAGCACAGACGTGTCTTCTGGAGCACACACCAGCATATCGACGACAGACAGCGGCATGAGCGAACTTGGGTGTCAGCAGGAGCTAGTATCGCATGCGTCCGACCAAAGGCGACATCCGGCCATCGCAATCGAGCCGATCCTGTGGCTCTGATGCAGAGCCCGCAGAGCATGCACAGCCGACAGAGCGTCCCGATGCGCACTACTTACAGATCGCACCGGCCGATCGTGTGTCTGTTTGCCTGTCTGATCTGCAAATGCTGCTGGTCTGGCGCTCGTCGCGGCTGCATTTTCGTTTTCGCTTTTTTTTCCCAGGGCGATTAGGTAATGCGACACGTGACTTGCCATGTCGGACAGAGCACTCATGAAACCGCTCCCGCCTCGCCGACCCTGGCGAGGATGCGTCTGTCCGCCTCTGCTGGTGCTGAGAAGCGAGAGCCCGTCTGTGGGCGAGTGCCTGTAATGTCTCAGGGAAGAGAAGGAGGAGCCCATTGTGCCGATGCCACAAACACGCGACATGGAATCATGCCCAAGTGAGCCGTGAGCTGCGAGGTACTTTATTGGAGCGGGGAGATGTGCAGATATGCAAGATGAGAATGGAAGAGTGCAACCAGGGGTTGAAAGGGTAATGGAAGCATGGGCGAAGCCAAAGGAGACAAGAGACAATCAGGCTGGTCTCAAGCATTGCCCAGAAGCCGTTTGAAGCTGCTGCGCTCAGACGTCGCTCTCCTTCAGCTTCTTGACACCGGTTGAGCCAAAGCCACCCTCGCCGCGCTCGGTGTCGTCGAGTTCCTGAAGCCCGAATCAGCCAGGGTGTTAGATCACAGGGACGCTACTGGCGGGTCGAGGCTGGAACGCGCCGACGTCCAATGAACCGCTCTCGATCTGTGCCGACTGCAGAACTTGCGCAGGAAATGAAAGTGCAGCGCTTTGGCTGCAGAATACTTGCCTCGACTTCCTGAACATCAGCAATCTCGATCTTTTCCAGAATCAGCTGGGCAATGCGATCGCCTTGCTCGATTTTGAACTCTTGCTCGCCAAAGTTGAAGAGCACGATGCCGAGGGTGCCGCGGTAGTCCGAGTCGACGACGCCAGCGCCAACGTCGATAAAGTGCTTGACGGCAAGGCCGCTACGGGGAGCGACACGGCCATAGGTGCCGGGAGGCAGGGCGATGGCAATGTCGGTCGGGACAACAGCACGGCTGCGGGGAGGGATCGACATCGAGGCAGCACTGATGGGCGACGAAGCCAGGCACAGATGCGGTGAGAAGCCATCGAGGCAGCAACGAACAGCGACGACGATCAACGGCGACACAGCTAGGCTGGCACCGTGGTCGGATCAGGATCGGGAGACAGCCCCGTCGACGACCGGCGGGACATGTGCGCACCTGTAGAGGTCGTAGCCGGCCGCGCCAGGCGAGCCGCGCTTGGGCAGCTGGGCGTTCTTGGAGAGCTTCTTGACAAGGAGAGGACGCATGGTGGGCTCGGAGGTCAGCATGGCGTAGGCGGCGGCGGCGGCGGATCAGACGGCGACGGGACGGTGGATCGGGGGGAAGAGAGGAGAGGCAAGGCCGAGCCAGATATCGGCCGCGACGGATTGCAAATGCCAAAAGCGGGTAGATGTGCGCAGCCACGGGGTCATGTGCGCAGCCACAGTCATGTGTTCGGCCGGCCCGTGTTGGCCCGCTGGGGCTTTGGCTCGCCGGGGCGTCCCTGCCCTGTGCTCATCCAACCCGCATCGCAACCATGCTGCTGCTCGGGCTGACGGGCGGAATCGCATCGGGCAAGTCGACCGTCTCGGGCTTCCTCACTGCGCAAGGCGGCGTGGCCATCATCGACGCCGACAAGATCGCCCGCGATGTCGTCGTCAAGGGCCGGCCGGCGTACCGGGAGATTGTCCGCATCTTTGGAAGTTCCATCCTCACCCCCGAGGGCGAGATTGACCGCGAGAAGCTTGGGGCCATCATCTTTGGAAACGACAGCGCCCGCAAGCTCCTGAACGGCGCCACCCATCCACACATCCGTCTCGAGATGCTTCGCCAGACGCTGTGGTCGTTCCTGTGTCTCAAGTCGGTCGCGATCCTGGATACCCCGCTGCTGTTTGAGAGCCACCTGGACCGATATGTCCACTGCGTCATCGTGGCCTACTGGTAGGGCATCACACCGTCGGTCCTGGGCACTGCTGAGGGTCTATTGTGCGGCTGCATGTTGCGGGTCTATTATGCAGCTGCATTCTGTGACTGCATGTTGTGCCCTTGAGCCCTGCACTTGGCTGGTCGGCTGTCTTGCTTGGCTGCCATGGCAAAGTGTGGCAAGACATCACTGTCGTCTGGCTCCTCAGTCCATCATCGACTGTTAAGCTCTCACTGGAAGCCATTGTCTGCGGCCACCAATGTCAACCACCAACAGCTGCAGCTGACTGACCTGTGCTCTATCCAGCCCAGTGCAGACTCAGAAGACACGGCTCATGGCCCGCAACAGCTTGGACTCGGAGGCCGCCGAGCGACGGATTGCCTCGCAAATGTCGATCGAGATCAAGCGCGAAAGGGCCGGCATCGTCATCGACAACTCGGGCTCGCTCGACGACACCCGCCACCAGGTCGAGGCTCTGTTGATCAAGCACCGCCCGTCGACCTTTTTCAATATCTTCTGGTGGATCGTGCTGCTGAAGCCGGCCCTGGTCTCCTACATTGGCGTCGTCTCGTGGCAGACCATCCGCTCGCTCTTCAGATAGCCGGGCACTCTTTTTCTTCCCAACCTCTAATGAGCAAAATGGACTCGCGAGAGACTCTGACAAGCATCGCACCGCCGTCAGCTGAAATATAATGTATCTTTGAAGCAGAACATATTGTTGTCCTTCGCGCTCTGATCACTCCCCCCCCCTCGAGGTGTGTGTGCCAAAAAGCTTTGCCAGCTCGGTCCCGGTTGCCAGCCAAGGAATGCATGTGTGTGCATCCGCAACAAATCCCAGCAATGTCGAAGCGTCCGTTGTGCCAAGCCAACGATTCGGTGACATGCCTCCAAAGACCCCGCAGGAGCGAGCAGAGCCCCGGATTCTGGTTCTTCCCCACATCTGGCTTCATCGCTGCCCAACCACAGCTTCGACTATCTTCCAAGCGACTCACGGCGCAACTCCCCTTGCTTCTCTCGCACAATGCAACTATCCCGGGTAGCAGCCAGGGTTGGCGGGTCCCGCTTCCCCAGGGCTGTGGCTCTCGACCGACACATCGCTGCCCACGATCCACTCAGCCTGGCAACGGCACACCGCCTTGGCGGACTCACTATCGACGGGAGGATCGCCGCGAGACCGTACTCGGGCCCGAGTGCATCACCGCAGAGCACCGGTGCACCCGAGAAGGATCAGTCTGCAAGCCATGCCGACTTAAACTCGTCGATGGGCGGCGTGTTCCAGATCCCTGTTGCCAGCAGCGAGGCTCCCGAGGCCGAATCGATTGACAACGACGCAGAGTAAGTCTCGCTCTTGCGTCCTTAGCAGTGCTGGAAGTGTCAACGGACACCTATTTGAGCGGGACGCTGCGACGCCGTCGTCGTCCTGGTGGTGCATTTCGTCGATCGAGCTGCGGAGGCTGACCATCCCGACCCTGCCGTGTTGTTCGTAGCTCATTCAACCCACAGACCATCAACCTCAAAGGTGCGATCCCGGCTGCACTCGAGCGGACATGCACTCGAATCGAATGGGAGGGGGGGGATTGTATCTCCAAACCGAACGAGATGCTCGATCATCCATATCTATATTCAGATCCATGTCCACCCCCTTGCCCAAACATGGACTCTATGATTCCAGCGCTGGCAGATTGGTCCTGTCCCCAGACTTGCATTGCTCTCGCTTGTCTGCTTTCCCCGTTCTGGTCCCATGATGCTGCAACAGGGCGAATCGCCACGCATTTTCGATATCACACTCATGCTTTCCTTTCCTGGGCACAGTTGTTCTCCCGTCGGACTCACTCCTGGAACGCATGCGATCGGAAAAGTACACTTCCCTGACAGCCAAGCAGCAACGCACCATCGCCGCGCAAGTCAAGGCCGATCTGGTCGATTCGATCGCCGGCAAGGGAGCATCGCAGTCGATCCTCGTGGAGACAGTCAGCAAAGGCAAGTCTTGGGTCCAAGTGCGCCTCCCGCCTTTGGTGTGCGTCCATGCGGCCAACTGAGCTGCGAGAATGGCAATGTGCGTCAGTCCAACATATCGAACTGGAAATACCGGGCCAGCCAGTCGGGAGCCTTCGATTGCTGACGGCTCATCCTCGCTGATCACCCAGGAGAAATCAAGGATGCCCTGTTTCTTGCCAAGCTGCTGTCCAACCACTCGAAAGGTAGGATCCGGGACGTTTTGCCAGTAGTTACATACCCGAGCCGACTTGGATGAGAACAAACTGACCGACGAGTGTCTATCCGAATTCCTCTGCGACTATCCGCGCTGGATACTCAACTCAATTCACAATCGGTCGGTGCCAGAGGGCCAGCCGTTAGGATTCCATCTGTATCAGCGCATCGGAGAGCTGGGTGAGATGGAAGGCGAGTTCCGATGTGCCCAGCTGCTGTCGACTGGATACCAAGGCCAGAAGCGAGATCTCTCCAGGGCGATGGAGCAGATCCAATCCCTTGCGGAGCGAGGACATGCCGTCTCGCAGTATCTGATGGGCGAGTCGGCCTTCAAGCGCGGCGACAGCGCCAGCGGACTGGAATGGATCCAAAAATCGGCCGATAACGGGTATCCCACGGCCTACGTGCAGCTTGGTAAGCAGCGATTCAGATGCAGGCACGACATCCGACCTGTCCGCTGAAGTGGTGGATCCCGGCGATGGTGACTGATGTGCGACGGCAGGTCATCTGTATCGCAGCGGCCACGGATCCGTGCCGGTCGACCAGTCCAAGGCATTCGAGTGTCTGAAGAAGGGATCCGAGTTGGGTGAGTCTACGCCAGACGCACTCTTTCTTTCCTTCTTTCTTGATCCGTGCCACTCTCGATCTCCCCGGAAGCTCGGTGTCAATGTTGTACTGTTACTCACCAAGTCGAATCAAACTGAACCATACGGCCGCAATTGAAGGTGTTGTCGAGGCCACCTATCTACTCGGAATCCACTACCAGAGCGGACTCGGAACCGCAGTCGATGCCCAAAAGTCCTTCGAGTGCTTCCAATCCGCAGCACACGCAGGTGAGCCGACAGATGCTGCTACTCTTGCGCGAATCTGGCTCCATTTTTCTGATCGAACCACTGCGATGCACCGCTAGGTCTGTCGGCGAGCCAGCATAATCTCGGAGCAATCTACTTTAGTGGCCAGCCCGAGATCGGAGTCGAGCGAGATCTCTGGCGCGCGATGGAGTATTGGAAGATGGCCGCTACCCAGGGCTTCCAGCAGTCCCAGATGAACCTCGGACGCCTCTATCTCGAAGGGAGCGTCGACCAGAAGGACCCGACAAAGTCGCTCCAGCCCGACTGGGATGAGGCACGACTGTGGTTTGACAAGGCAGCCAAGGGCGGCGATCCAACTTTCCAAGAAGAGGCCAGACTGTTTCTGGGGATGATGAGCGACCATGAGCGCTCAAAAGTTGGTGGTGCCGAAGCGGCAGCTGAACCAAGACCAGGACCAGTCACCCAGCATCGAGACAATCGCAGTTGCAGCGTCCAATGATACGAACAGTCACAGAGCCATAAACCTGCCGCTTGGTATATGCGGGAAGATATTTCACATGCTCTGCTTGCCGTGTGGATGCGGATGTGGATGTGGATGCAGATGTGGATGCGAACACGCTTTCATACACGGCGCCCCTCCCCTGATCCAATAGCCACGACTGATCTCACACACCTCAAAGTAGCGGAGGGGCATGGCGTGGATGTAGAACAAGCAGACGATGGATTTGTCACCAGCAGTCGAAACTTTCGTATGGATATGCTCGCGGCCGCTATCAAATATCCGTGGCCATTTACAGAAGCTATCGGTGTGCATACTAGAGAACTCGTGGAACCAAGACAGCATCTGGGTGCGCCGCGGGTCCGGGAGCGGACCAGGCTGGGTCACTACTCCAGAAGACGGTCATTGAGCATCTCCTGGAGCATGATCATGGCATCGGGATGTGACTGCGCCGCTGCCTTCTTGACCCAGGAGAGAGCAAGCATCCGGTCGCTCGACACGCCGGTGCCGTGCAGGAAGCAGTAGCCGAGGGAATACTGGCCCTCGGCATTGCCCAGCTTGGCGGCCCGTTCGTAGAGCTTGAACGCGGCTTTGGAGTTCCTGGTGACGCCTTGGCCCGAGTAGTAGCAGTTGCCCAGCTGTACCAAGGCGCACTCGCAGCCCTCCTCGACGAGGACTCGGTTGATGCCAGCGGCCAAGACCTCATCCACACTGGTGCCCATACCCGAGAGGTACCACTGCGCCAGGAGGAGCTTACAGAAAGTGTTGAAGGGGGAACCCAGGCAGCACCACCTGAAGAAGCGCTTGAACTCGGGAACGATCGACGCTATGTTTTTGGGGAATCCATTTTGACCACTCGTGTTTGGCGCTCCGCTCTTGGGCATCTCGCCATGATCCTCTGCACACGCTCTCAGAGCCATGTATTGTCCAGGATCAGTCCAAGGTAGCAAACCAAACCAAACCAAACCGATGTGTCAAGCACCAACCGACCGCCTGATCCAGAGGACTGCCACATTCTGGCGCTCAGTCGCTGTGGTCGAACGACCACACCTTTACGGTGCAGTCCAACGAGCCTGTGACCACTCGGCTGGCATCCGTCTGCAGACACGAAATCGGCCCGTGGTGGATCTTGATGCCCCGGCTGCGACAGCCATCGAGAAAGAGGCGCTTCTCGATCGGCACGCAGCTGCGGGCTGAAGGAATCAGCGGCGTGGTCGCAGCCTTGGCCTCCTCCGAGTCTTGTTGCCCGCCTTCATCCGCCGCAAGGTCGGCTTCGCTCAGAGCATTTGATGGCGAGCGAATCCAAACGGTGTCGCCCGAACACTCGCTCGACCACTCGTTGCGGGTCTGCGGTCGGCTTGAAGCGGTGCTGGAGGTCATATTTCCCAAGTCGAGCAACCGCAGAGTGGCATCCCATCCACCGGCAATCACTCGGCGGGCATCTTCGTCCCAGACCATGGCGCTTATCGTTTCGAGATCCCACTCCTGCTCGAACTCGTCGCCCGTGAGAAGGTCTGGGATACTCCAGGGCAAGGACAGAGTCGGAACGACGGGCACCGACTCGAGCGACCCATCAAGCGACGGCCCAACCGAGTCCAATGCTGATGAGGGATTTGACTGCAACCCGCGGCTGCTGGCCTGGGACTGGCGATTGACAGTCCAGTGCCGGACAGTTCCGTTTTCCGAGCCAGTGAGAAACCGCACGACCGATGGTTTGTGGCGGATGGACTCGGAGAGCTGGACGCTGTAGAGCTCGTGGCTGCTGGCCCAGATCCAGCACTCGGCCGCTCCGCGAACAAGATCCCAGAGCATTGCAGTGCCATCGCCGCCGACCGTGACGAGGGTGTGGTTGATGAAATGCAGATCGTATATGCTGTTGGTATGGCCTTCGAGCGAGTGCAGCGGGAAAGAGGCGTTGATGCCAGTGTGGAGCCGCCTCAGATCAAAGACTTGAACAATCTCGTCTGCCCCGGCGCTGACGAGGTAGTTGTCGGTGGACTGCAAAGCAAAGATTTCGTCCTGGTGCGCCTCCGAGATCTGATCGTCGGACAGCGGATCGGAGCCACAGCGCATGAACATGTAACAGTATCGATGTGCAAATATCAGCGTTTTGAGCGACGGAATGGGGCGGGTGGGTCAATGGAGGAATGGCGGGGCCGTCGCCTCCATGCACAAGTGCCGATCAAACATGTCTTCCGCATTCATGGATGCAATTCAATCGATAATGTCACACTAACCTCGAACACTGGCTGCCGCAGCGACGCACGCATATCCCACAGTCTGATGCACTTGTCTCGGCCCGCAGACACAACGCTGTACGGACTGGCGCTGCTCTTGGTGCGCAGGTCTGATGGCCCCTTCTGCGAGTTCAAGTGAACGATGGAATTGACGCCGCCTAGGTGAGCATTGTGTATGAGATGGGTTGGAATGGGCTGGCGCGAGCCTGGGTCGGCCCCGGCTCTGCCCAAGTCCCAGATCTCGATGAAAGGCGACTCGGATGCAACAGCGAGCGTCGTCTGGGAGAGCGCAAGACTGGTGATTCCGCTCTCCGAGAGGGTGAGAAACGAGGCGGTGATTCGCGGCTGGGCCATCGTCCAGTTGCGGTAGATGCGAAGGTAGTTTGGTGGTGTCCAAGACCGGCAATCCGGTAGCGAGCTCCGATGCGAGGAGATGTTGCTTATAGGCTTGGGTCCGGAGAGATCGGATGCATCTCCATGAGTGAGTGTGATATCCCTTCGAGCACTGTGCCTCCGAGCGGACGGTTGGACTTTTGGATGACCCAAGGCAGAAGTGTGCATCGCGAAGGATGGTGCTGAAAAGTCATAGCCGCTCCTCTGAAATCCGGTGGCTACCCTCCAGATGCGATGGTCGAATGCCAGGTCGTAGAGTCGTCGCGAAGAGCGACCGGCCCGGCAGAGTTCCCTCGGATGGAGGTATCCGAGGATCCGGAACATCACCTCGGTCGGGAGAAGGAGGAGAGAGCTTGAGAGATCCGGAGGCGCCATAGCGGAGGCAGGATCCCAGGCTGGGTTCATTACTGGCTAGAGTGACTTGGGCAGTCCGTTTGAGAGAAGAGGCAAGCTCGGGCGGATGCGAATCTGGCTGGAGCAGTTTGTTCAGTGCAGATATTGGCTTTGTTGGATGACAGGAAGACAAAAGCAAGCACGGCTGTTGTCCGATCAATGGAGATCAACGGAGTTCGATGGAGTTCAATGAAAGTCAATGGAGATCAGACCCTTTGATAACTTGGATGCGACTCGGCAGACGCTGCTTGGTCTTTGGTCTTTGGGTGGCCCCGAGACGCAGCCAGGGTCGATGCCGAGAGCGAGAGAAAGAGTGGTGTGAGGAAGCAACGGCGAGCCCTTGGAGAGGGTTTTTGTGGTGTCTGCCTCGGGCTGTCGGAATGGAAGCGCCGTCGATCATCTTGTGGACAGCCGATCCTGGGACAACAGTACTGGCGGGTGTACATGGCAGAACGCTGTGGGAGCGCCCGAGGTTCGGACATGCCGTGTGATTGTCTGGGTTGGCTGTTGCTGCGACGACTTGTCAAGTTGTGCAGGGGGTTCAGCCACAAAGCGATCCGGCCCGCCTGATCGTCGATGCATGGGGAGGCATCGTGGAGGTAATTCCGGACTCGTCGCAGATCACGAATCCCACGCGGAGTGGGTGATGATGGTGCGATGGATGTCGCATGCAGGGACGGTGGGCAGACACATACCTGTTCCCTCGATATCCGTGTGTGCTGATCGTTCCTGCTGGATCTCGGCCCTGGAGAGGGGCCCATGATGGCGATATGCTTGAGGCAGCAACGACGGGTTATTTGGTGGATTCTTCGCTGATTGAGAGCCCCGGCGGACTGGCTCTGTCCTCTTTGGCGGGAGCGGCTGCCCGCCTTCCCCTCGCTTGCACCCCCGATATCCAGAGCAACCCTGGTCATTGCTCGGCATTGATCCGCCACCGCCGCCCTGCAATCCTCATCCCGCTCCCCTTATCGTCTCTCGACCCCCCCCCAACACTGCCATGTCGCTGCTCTCCATGATCGACAAGAAAGCCATGCTCGAGGCACGCGAGGAGCTGCCCGTCGTTGGCGAGGAGCGAGTCTACAAGCGGTATCTCTGCATATGGAATCGCCAGGTGGAATATCCCGACGGCCGGATCATCGACTGGTACATTCTGGTCCTGCCCTTTGGCTGATATTCGCCGTCCTGCTCGTTTGCCGGGCCTGTTGATGGCTCACTCGATGCAAGAGCTGCATCCATCATCTTCGCCATAGCAGTCGATCGGCCCGACCCGCGGGTTTGTCTTCTGCTCACATTTGGAGCCACTCGCCGTCTCTTGCACATAGGGACATTGCTGGCCACAACATCCAGATCCAGCCATGTTTCTCGGTGACTTTTCCGTTCAACACTGAGAAGGTAAGCGGTCGGCTTGGAACACAAGCAGCACAGGACGCCATCGCCGAGGCAGCGACCATATTCCATGACGCTTATTCCATGACGTCTATATCCGCGAACGGGGCGATGCTCTCTCTCTTGCAATGGAATCCTGAACAACCGTGCATCCCTTGTCTCGATTTGACTCAGAAAACGACGACATTGGTGATCGAGTATGCCCAAGGCGTCAACCAACTGGTACGGCATGCAATCGCTGTATCAAGCTGTGGACCGGCTTGAATGCTCCCTGCTGACGCCTGCTCTTTACCGTAAACTGGACGGGAATCGCAGAAATACACTTTTGCCGCCGGTGGGTTTGATCCCAAGAAGCACAAAGAGTAAGCTGGAGCAGACTGGCGCGGCCGCTACGATCGACCGCTGACCCGCAATGAATGGATGCTTTGAAGGATACACTTGCTGATTGCTCTGCCACGGATAGCTTGCTAGAGACGGCTCAGGCCGAGCTCTCGGAGGAAGCCCGTCTGAAAGGCGGAGAGTGGATCGCCCTGCTACCCGAAGGCCACGGAGGTATCTCGGAGGTACAATAGCCGCAGACTGACCGATGTGGTCATGACGCAGACCAACTGGGTCCAAAGCAACGAACGGGTGCAGCGCCTGCAAAAGATTCATGCTGGGGAATGGATAGAATCGGAGCACTGACTCGTTGACGATCCGGCTCGCAGCTCAAGTGGTGCCGGAACCGATTCATTCCCTATCTCGTGCTGAACCCGCAGATCGACGACACTCCCAGCCCGCGGGACGCAGAAGGTATGAGCGATTGCAGGGATGGGTGAATGAAGGAATCAATCGGATGGACCGATAGATGGAGATTGCATCGAGCCGCAGGGCCTGGGAATGCATGTGTGTGGGGAATGCATGTGCGGGGAATGCATGTGCGGGGAATGCATGTGTGGAGCATCATGGCTCCAGGTCGTTTGCTGATCCGATCATTCTCGGTCTGCAGAGTTCATGCAAGTGATCTACGACGTCCCCTTGGACGAAGTGCGAGATATTGTGATGCGCGGCGACATGATGCTGCCCAGCGTGCAGACCTGGGTGATGGGCGAAGCATACCTCCGCGAGCACGGCCACATCTAGAGCCTGGCCGCATGGCTGCGTTGCATGGCTGCGTTGCATGGAGCGATGCGTTGGTCAACAGAGATTTGTGATTGCGGCGAGGCCCTGGCCGGCATGCTCCTCGCCCCAGGGAAGTGGATGCGCACGCACGCGGCGCTGACCCAGATTGTGCGGATGTGGATCGGCACGGGCAGGGGCAGCCGCTCACGCCCATGGCCGACACAGCCCTGTGCGCCGGCGTGCGTGTCGCGGCCGCGGCCTTGTGGGCCTGCTTCGGGGTCGCACGGGGACGGCGATCGCGGGTCTTGTGCGACGTCGCGCTGTAACGTGCTGTGCTGTGCTGTGTGGGACTGTGCTGGCGTGTGGGACTGTGCTGTGCTGTGCAGTTGAGTTGTGTGCGATTGAGCGGCGTTGAATGGCAAATGCGATGTGTTGAGCAGGTCGAGTGCATGGTTCGCAGAGATATACATCAGCACGACATTACATCATACCATTGCATCGTGAGAATACACCATGGCATTACACCATGTCATTACATCATGTCATTATATCATGTCATTACATCATGTCATTACATCATGTAATTATATCATGTCAGCACCATCAACACACTCTGCCAACCCACACGCCCGCTAATGCAGCCACTCCTCCACCCTTGCTCCCTGTGCGCTCCTCGTCTGTCCAACGGCCGTGGTCGTCGTGCGCCTGGGCCTCGCCGCCCGTTCGCACCGCCGTCCCCATCCACTTTTTTTTCCCTCCTCTGCGTCTCCTCTGCGTCTCCTCTGCGTCTCTGTCGCTTTTGTCGATCCCATCCTGGTCGTCGGTCTTGGTCGTCTGTCTTGGTCGTCTGTCTCCCCCTCTCTGCTGGTGTCTCCCCTCGTCCATCGACCCACTCCCCTGATATCGCTCGCAATGAACAGCATAGGTGGGTCCCGCTATATCGCACCATGGCTTCCCCCAAAAAACTGTCCTCATCCTCCCAGACACACAATCGTCCCGCACCGGCCAGCTCGGTCCCATGCATCGCTGCCTACCCACCCTCCACTCTCCTCGATCCCAATCCAATCCATCCCAGTCCATCCCAGTCCATTCCACTTTGCCTCCACTCACGCTTGCTTGTGCTTTTCCCTCGCCTGTGCCGGACTGAATCCACCAACGACCGCCAGACGAGCAAGACGGAGCCTACTCCACCTTCCTGGGCTCCTCCTACCAGGAGTCGTCCTCGTTCCTCTCGAATCTCCTCCGCAGGAATCCGTCCTCTCGACGCAACCGCGACGGTAAGGCTCCTTCCGCCCGCTTTCTCTCATCCTCCTGCTCGCTCCCCTGAGTCGCTACGTCCGGCCGTGTTGGTCGCAGCCAGACGGCGCCATCTCTCGTCAACCCGCATCCATCCCATCCCTCCACTTGGCCTGCTGTTGCGCCTTCCCACTTGTTTCCGCTTGTGCCCTTCCGTGCCTGCTGTTTCGCTTAGGACGTCATCGCCCTTGGGGTTTTTGCTCGAGTGTGCCCCGCTTCCCAGCCCCATTTTGTTTTCCGCCGCATCCTGCCCTTGATTGTCGTCGTTGCTCGGCTATCCCGCAGCGTTTGGCTCGCTCCTACCACATCGGCTTTCAGCTGTCCTGATTTGCCCAACTCTGCGTGCTCGGCCTTATAACCGCTCTGCTCGCCATGACAGGCTTTGGCGACTTTGGCTTTGGCCATCGACGAACCCCGTCCAAGCTCAGCACCGAAGTCGCCTCCGGCGCCGGTGTCCACGATGCCTCGGCCGCTGCTCCTCTGCCAACCAACGCCTGTGGCCGCTGTGAGGGCCGTGGCTTCGTCCACACCTCCAAGATGAAGCACGACAGCAACGCCAAAACCATTCGCTGCACATTCTGTGCCAACTGCGAACGTAAGTGTGGACTCGGGGGGAGGGGATTCTGGAGGTGCAGGTAGCCCCCGCACATCGACGATACTGGTCCCTGTTGATTCCATATGGGCCTCCTGTCCCATGGAGGCGTCCGCCCTCGTCTGCTGGTTTCCCTCATCCTCGATCTCTCGTCTGTCTGTATCCCCCATCTATTTGCATCTCGACGGCGATCCCTCACCCACTTACGCTCGGTCTCACATCGACTCTCTGTTGCCGCCGCAATCGCAGAATGCCATGGCAAGGGCATCCTGTTCAACCGTTCGCGAGCCATCTCAAGCCCATTCGAGTCTCCCTCACCCACTCCCCCGCCAACCCAAACACGCACCCTGGCCAAACCAAAGTCCTCCTACAATCTCTCCAAGGGCAAGGCCATCTTTGTGTCTGTCCCCAACTCGCCTGCCCTGTCGGAACGTCTGCCGCTGGACTCGCCGCCGCCGAGCGCCGGCCACAGATCTGCCTTGGCCGAGCACGACTGGCCCGTACCAGCCCACGAGGACGACTCGATCTCGCCCTGTGGCAGCGGAACTACCACGCCCAACGGCACCCTGCTCAAACAAAAGCTGCGACCCGCCGCCATTGTCGACTTTGCTGCTGTCCGCGAGCAACTCAGTGCGCACCCAAACGTCAGCGTGTTGCGCGAGAATCTGCCCGAGACTGCGGAGCACGACGACCCGATCCAGTCCGAGGACGCCGAGGACGCCGAGGCACATCCCGGCCATGAGACCTATACCGTGTGGGTGTCGCCCAAGCGGACGACCATCCGGAGCTCGATCTCGAGCCACGCGAGCGAGCGGTACCGGTACACACCGCACAGCACCCCCGGCAGCCACCCGCACTCAATCCCGCACTCGCCGCATCCGCTCCAGCACTTCCACTACCCGAGCAACGAGGCCGGCGAGCACGAGGACAGCTGCTCCCAGGAGCCGTTTGGAGCAAGCGATCCCCATCGCGGCAGCTCGCACATCTCGGTGGCCTGGACTCCGTCGCCCAGGCTGTCCAAGCTATCGCCTCCCCCGTCGGTGCATGCCAAGGTTTCGGACCAGTTTGACCGCCACGACCAGCTCTCCAACACCAGCATCCGCTCGAGCGTCGACATGATCCGCCGGATCGTAAAGCCGCACTACCCCTCCAGCCAGCAGTCGAGCATGAACGGCAGCAACTCGGATGCCGAGTCGACAAAGTCGCCCACGGCCAGCATCGACTTTGACGAGACCTTCAAGCAGCAGCAGCAGCAACAACAACAGCAGCAGCAACAGCACCACCACACGCATACCAGCCGCAAGGGCCAGCTCGGCGTGCACCGGTCCCAGTCGAGCTCCTCGCCGCGGGTCAACAGCGCGTCCAAGTTCCGGACACTGCAGAGCAAGATTTCGAACCCGATCAAGAACGCCTTCTCGTCGCTGCGATTCTCACTCAACCCGCAGACGGTGCCCTGCGTGACCTGTGGCGCCCTGGGATTCCACCACATTGGTCCAGGCGAACACTCGACCGAGCACGACAATGCGTATGTGTGCCAAGCAGTGTCTCGTGCGGCGTGGGCGGGGGTGCGTTGGGATGTGGGCCGGACAAGTGGTTGTGGTGGGCCGGGTGAGTTGCGATGTTGGTTCTAACTGCGTCGCCTGCTCCATCCAGATGCCCCGATTGCCGCCTCTGTCCGCACTGCTTTGGAAGCGGCCAGATCTTCAGACTGCGTTAGGGAGCTGCCCGGCAGATCCCCTCACTCGGACGATGCGCCATTTCCAGCCGCGACCCGCATTGCAACAACCCAAGTCATGGCACGAGTCGGCTCCCCTCCTCCCCTCCTCCCCTCTCCTCTCCTCTCTCCCTCCGCCTTATCCGAATATCGAAGAAAAATGCGCGACAACCAAGCATCTATAGAGTCGCGACCCCACCTATTATTACGCAGCCAAGGGAGACGAGAAGAAGGCCTGGATGGAAGAATGTGCGAGTCCGCTCTACTTCCCTGCTCAAAGTTGGCTCCATCCGCCCGCCGCCCATCTGTCTGCCCTCCTCAACATACCCGCACCGTTCTTTCTTCTCCCCTCCCCCTCCTCCCCTCCTTTTGATTCCTTCCCCGACACCTTCACGAGCATCCCAAAAGCACCAAATAATTGCCATGAGAATCGCATCCGCAAGCATGCGGCCTATAGTTAATTAATGAATTGGAACATCCTAGTTTTACAGCACCTTTTGTTCTGGATGCGAATACACACCCGTCCATCCATCTACTCATCCATCTATTCATCCACCCATCCATCTATTCATCCACCTGCCCTCCTGCCCTCCTGCCCTCCTGCCCTTCCCGTATCGACCGTTGGCCTCGGTGTCGTGCCACCCTGGTCTGGCTGGAACGATTTCCCACCAGCCATGCACGGTTTCGCACAAGGCAGCCCGACGCGCGGCGCCTGCCTGATTTGGACACGGCCGCAGCAGCACGCGACGCACACAGACAGTGCAGAGGAGCGTGTCACGTGACGATCTTCCAGCCAGAACGCCCATCAGAACGGGGCTGCATTGGGTTGTGCGTTGTGGGTTGTTTGAATGCTGTTTGTGGGCAGAGTTGGGGAGCGTCGTCAGTCGATAAACATGCCGTTACTGCGAAGATTCCAAGTACACACTCCAACTATCCACTCCAAGTACACATCCCAAGTACACACTCCAAGTACACACTCCAAGTACACACTCCAACAGCTCCAAGTGCACACTCCAAATGCATCCACATCCACGCGCGCGCTGTGCAGCCGCCGTGCGACCCTCCGTTGCCCGTCGCGTCCGCAGAACTTCCCATAGTCGTCGTCGCCGTGTCGGTGCGGTTTCCTTCACACCGTCGATCGCATCCGTCGATCGCATTCGTCGATTGCATTCGTCGATTGCAGTACCCGTCTCCCAGCCTCCCCCTGCCGGTGCTGCCCCATCTTGCATCACTCGCTCCCGTCGTCTCCGTTGCCATCCCTGGCTGTACTGTCGTCGGCCAAGCCAAGCCGTCCCTCCCTCCCTCCTCCCTGCGATCGTCCTCCTCGTTCGTCCTCTGTCGCATTTCTGCCGCATCCCGTTTCAAGCCCAGATGGACTCTTCCGGCTCGCCCCGCAAGGTCCCATTCGCCATTCGCCGTCGAACCAGCGATCAACGACCCATGCCGACACCCGTCACCGCCGGCACCTCCAAGCGGCACGCCTCGCAGCAGCGCATCAGCCTGCTGGGGTTCTCGTTCCGCTGGAGCCTGGTCCGATTCCTCGTCGGCTCGGCCGTGCTCTTTTTCGCCATCTACCTGCTGGGCATGGCCTACTTTGTCGGCAGCTGGTCCGACTCCAAATCGACGGCCCCCTCGGAATTCGTCAAAAAGCCCGTCGATCTGCATCAGCTCGAGGCAAAGTTCCATGCGCTCAATCTGTCGGATCTCTCGCCCGAAGTTGCCACAATGCTCAATGGTAAGAAGCAAATGGCTCCCCATCCCCCCCCGTTCTGCCCCTGCCCCTGCCCCTACTCGCCCTGCCCCTGCTTCTGATGCTCTGCATCGATGTCTGGCTCTCGCTCGTGGATCGCACCCTCGTTATTGGACCGGAGTGCCGTTCCTGTCGATTGGGAGGCATCATCGGCACGCACGATCGGGCTGGCTGGAACGAACGCGACGTATCTAATCCTTCCTGTCTCGCTCCCCTGCCCCAATCTCTCCCCCCTGCATCACCATATCCAACGCTTGTGCATCACTGTCATGTCGGATCGCCCTGTCTTGCTGTCCCTTGCGACCCAGATATGAAGCGCAAGCTCTACGAACAGCGCGAAATCATCAACTACCTCGAGCACCACGGCGGCCAGCTGCCAGCGAGCGAGGATGGCTTTGTGCAGCCCCCAGAGCTTTCGAACCACTCCCAAGTCAATCCCGAGTTCATCGACATTGGCGAGCCCAAGAAAGAGGCCATCAAGATCGAGCGGCTCAAGGACAACGAGGAGCCGCCCCATCTCGAAGGCAATGCCGGCTCCCCCGTCACCTCCAACCCCAAGGTGGCAACGGCATCGCTTCCCTCGAGCTCGGACTCAAGCCCGAGCCCAAGCTCGAGCCCCAGCGAGACTGAGACAAAGGGTAACAAGGTCGATCATTCCTACGACGAACCCCCGAGACGTCCCAGGCCCAACGGTCCCGACACCGAGTACGATCCGCGACAGGAGCCCTCCGAGGAGCTGCTTGGTATGCTGCCGCCATGCAATCGTGTGTGCAAGGTTGAGGTGATGGACCAAAGTCTCTACTCACTTGCTTCCAGTCCCCCATCTCCCATGACTTTGACATGTCATGATATCGCTGCAACGTCATGCAGCACATTCGTTACGGCTCACCCCCTCGTGTCTCCCTTGGATCCGATTTCGTTCTTTTGCAACTACTTGCTCTGATTCCACCATCTGATGCTATTTTGAATCAAAATGCATCGTCCTCTGCTATTCTGGTTGCCTGACGCCGTTTCGCTGCTGTTTTGCCCGTGCTTCAGACAACGGCCGTCCCAAGAAGCGCGCTCACCGTTACAAGATCGACGAAAAGGACAATACCCCCATCTACATCTGGCGAACTGTTCCGTCGTCCTCGGTCTGGTGCGAGGGTTCCAATCGGGCTGAGCGGTAAGCACCACCGCTCTTGGCTTCTCTGTCTGCTGAACCACAACGTCTCCCCTTCAGCACCGTGCGCGCATGGTAGATGTTGTCGCTGACGCAACTGTCGCTACTTCATGCCCGCATGTCGGGGGTCCGTCGCCGCTGTACCTATTCTTTCACGCCCGGTTGCTAGCGTGTGCAAGTTCCGCAATCTGTGCTATGCTCCGCAATACGAGCGCTGGTTCATCTTCAAGACCAACCGCACGGTCCTGCACGGCGTCCCAGAGAACCATCACACCACGGCTCTCCTCGAGATGACCACCGTCACCAGCCACACCGCCATCTTCTTCAACTACGAAGAGGTCAATCCCTTCTCTCCAAAGTTCCGCAATATCCCCATCCGCTACGAGGAAGACCTCCATTTCATCACGATGCGCCTGCACCCCGAGAACATCATGCACAACTTGCACGACGACACCTTGGGCCTCTACTTTTTGATCAAGCAGTACGTTGGCCAGGGCTCGGCCGCGCTGGACATGCCCTTCTCACTCGACACCCACCGTATCCTTGTCGATGACGGCTTCCTCGCCACCAACACCGAGCAGCCTCTGCGCTATCTCTCGAGCCGACCCATCCGCTATCGCAACTACCTCGACCAGGAGCCCGACGTCATCACTTGCTTCCGCGATGCTGTCGTTGGCAACCGTAAGCTCGTCAACTGGTATCAGTACGGCTTCACGGAGCCCCAGGGCCCGATCAAGGACAAGCATGTCAACGGCATGCACATCCGCGAGATTTCCGAATGGTACGCTCGCCGCATGAAGCTCCCCCTCGACCCAGAGGAAGACTACCAGCAGATGCTTTCCATCAGCGAGGCTCGCGAGAAGCTCGAGGAGAAAAAGCGGCAGGAGCTCACCCTGAAGCGCGAGATTGAAGAGAAGCGGCTGCAGGAGCTGGAGGAGCAGCGGCGTGCCGCCAACCTCTCCGTCGAAGCCAGCGGCAACGCCACCGACTCTGACACCACGTCCTCGGCGCTGCCACCGGTCCCCACAAGCTTCCACCCGGGCACGCTCATTCCCGGCGTTCCCGAGAACTACGACCCGACCTTGGACCCCAACATGGACCCCATCAGCACCGATATCATCGTGATTCTCTCTCGACGGGGCAACCGCCTGATCGTCAACGAGGACGACCTTGCCGAGCGGCTCCACGAGCGGTACGGCCTCGAGGTGGTCTTTGTCCGCAACGAAGACCACGGCTTTGAAGAGCAGGTCGCGTTCATGCGCCGCGCCCGTGTCGTCCTGGGCATGCACGGATCGCTGCTGATCATGGGCATGTTCTGCAAGCGCGGCGCCATCATGATCGAGCTGTTCCCGTATGGAGTTCCGTCCGAGAACTACACACCCTACCGCACCATGGCTCATCTTCCGGGGATGCTCGTTTCGTACCGTGCTTGGGAGGTAAGGCTCTGCGTGTACGCTATGCCGTGCGTTATGCTGTGCTGTGCGGGCGAGTGTTGCGCGAATGTGGCATGCGTGGGTGTTTTCCGAATATGTGGCATGAGCGAGTTCTGGTTTTTGGCCAGACAGAACCTTTGTCGACGTGGCTGACTAGTCGGCTGACGCTTCTTTGATACCAGAACAAACACAAGAACAACACCATCAGCCATCCCGACCGACACGCCCTCTTTGGTGGCATCAAGCACCTGAGCGAGGAAGAGCAGCGCGAGATCGAAGAGAGCACGACGATTCCGCCGCACAAGTGCTGCACCAACCCGCGGTGGCTCTATCGCATCTACGCCGACACCATTGTCGAAATCAACGAGGTGATCGGCCTGATTGACGATGCCGTCAAGGAGTCACGTCTGATGCGCTTCAACAACTACCTGCGCAACTGGGAGGAGCCCGACATGCTCGAGCTTCCGACTGTCGAGACGCCCGTTTGCCTGGACGGCCCCGGCCGCAAGCCCGGAGAGCTCTGGGCGCGCTGGGGCAACCCCTTCAGCGGAGCCAAGGTTGACCGGTGGTCCGTCATGGTCGAGGAGAAGCAGACCGAGTACATGGCTATATATGGCCCATTGGTGGCCATCAGCGGCTTTGAGCCGGGCACCGAGGTCGTCTTCTGGGTCCGCCCGACCTACCCGGACGGACGGAATGGCGAGTTTGGCAACCGAGGAAAATGCCCCGTCTAGGAAACAGCCGAGAGCGAGCGGGGTCCAGCGGCCCTCGGCCGTGTTGGCTCCTGCATGCGCTCGCCACCCCAATGTCTATGGCACTCGCTCACGCTCTCGACTGGATCCGCTGGACTCTCTGGCACCTTTGTCCCGCCCTGTTTTGCCGAACCGATCCGATCTGATCCGATTCGATGCTGTCTTGACTTGTGGGCTTGCATGTTTCTGATATGGCGGGCGGATGGATGGAGAATGTCGAGAACATGGCAAATTAGTCAATGGTCAACCAGACATCCAGATAGCACATCTGGAGAGGGAAGCTGCGGTGAGCGGGCAGCGTTCATCGTGGGGGAGGGGAGATATCTCATTGAGGCGTGTCTCGTGGAATCATCATATCGTCGCCGTTGCCAAGTTTGCTTCCGTTGGAGTGTCCATGGTTTCCGCATGTCCATCGACTGCCGCAAAGTATGCATGGGCAAGTACCGGCAGTGCACAGCACACTGAGTCTATGCACCGTCGGCTCGCCGAGATCAACCGAGCCCGCAAAGCCCGCAAAGCCCGCCAGATCCAGATCCAGATCAAGATTCCAGGGCCGAAACGTGCGGCCCTTGGCCTCTTATCGCTCGTTTCTTTGTTGCGCCCCCGCTCATTGCTCAAGATCAGCACCGCTGGCCCCGCAATCCGGTCCTGGATCGCAAGCCATCGCCGAAACCCGAGCCAGCAATCCTCTGCCTGGCCAAACACACGAGGTCGCAGCCTGCCCCTTCCATATCGGCTTCACCTTCTCTCTGCTCCCGCTCTCCTTCCTGGAGTCGTCGTTGGGACTGGCCCATCGAATCTCGAATCAGCTTGATCGTCGCCTCCAACGACCAGGAACGTGTATCTGTCCGCCTTTCGCCTGAAGCCCTCGCCCCGGTCGTTTCGCTGCATCTTACCTCGCAACCTCAACCACCACCACAAAAGCTGCCCTCCTTGCAATGTCGTCGCCTCCGTCCGCCCCAGCGTCTCCGTTTCCGCCCCGGACCGAGCCGCCAACGCCAACCAGCATCGTGAAGCGACTCTACTTTTGTCGGCACGGCGAGACCGCCATGAACGCCGCGGGCGGGCTCCAAGGCCAGGGCTCCAACTACGAGCTGAACGACACTGGGCGAGAACAGGCCCGCTGCATGGCCCAGGTCTTCAAGGACCTCGAGGTGGACTATTTTGTCAGCAGCGATCTGAAGGTGAGTGCACGACTCCCGAGGCTGGAGAGCAGGCCATATGGGTGAGATCTGCAATGCCAGCGACCCAGTCGCCGGGATTATACAGGATCTCCATCGGCAAGAGTCGGCTCTGTTTCTGTGCTTTTGTTGCTGATGGATCTGTACATGCCTGCAGCGTGCCATTCAAACGGCCGAGGTTTCGCAGAAGCTCTATCCCAAGGAGATCCCGCTGACGGTACGAATGAACGACCCCTTCCCCTATCGATCAGTGGAAGATGACCTCGTTATCTCGGATAGAGACAAACATTGTGGCATTTGACTCTGAAGCGCCGCTCGGTGTATAGCAGCGCCGATGGGACCCCGGCCCTGCCCACTCTGGCTCGGCATTGACGCTCTTGTCGCTCTTGTCGCTGCCCACATCACTAGATCGAGCCGGCTCTGAAGGAGATCAGTTGGGGCGTCTGGGAAGGCACACGCACTTCGGAACTGGACGAGCTCGTCAAGAGCTGGGACCAGGGCGACTACAATGGTAGGGACGTCGCTTCGACGATGTGTTTTTTTTTTGGATTGGATTGGCTGCCTTGTTCCGGATATCGACGACCGAAATTTACTTCACTCACTCACTCACTCACTCACTCACTCACTCACTCACTCACTCACTCGCCCTCTCTCGAAACGTAGCAAGCGCCCCAGGCGGAGAATCACCCATCCAGGTTGAGGCGAGGTGCATGCCTGCGGTATACGCCCTGTTGAAGAACAGGCCCGAACAAAATATCGTGGTGGTTGGTGAGTGGCCTGGACAGAGCAGATCGCCCGCTGCCCAGGATGCAGCCAGTCTCGACCGTTGGGTCGCTCCTGATACTGACGCCGATCTCGTCCACGTCTACCGCTTCGGATCTCCCGTTGACTAAGTGCACGGACGGCTCCTGCGGATCCTGCTGTCGTCGCTGATGTTCCGAAACCTCGACTACATGAGCACCCTGACCCACCACAACTGCTGCATCAACGTGGTTGACTGCATCATCGAAACCGACCCTAGCCGCATCTCAAAGTCCGAGGCGGCCGAGCCCGGTCCCCAACTGCCGTTTGCAAACCTGTCTCGTCTCCCGGATCCGCATGTCCTCGACTCGCCTCGCGGAAACACATGCCACGCCTCAGCTCATCGCCCTTCGCAGCCCACGTTTTCCCATCCCGTGGGCATCAAATGTATTCCGCGAGTCTTGGACTATAGAGCTCATCTGCCGGAACACATGAATGGATACATCTAGCGGACACCTCCAACAGCATTGTGTCCCAGGACTTGCTCAGTCGTAGGGCACCAATAGAATTGGACTGTGTACATTGCGACAATCAGTCTCCGAATACAGTCAGTCCGATGACCTATAGCACTGTGCGCCAAGTGGGAGGGAGGAATATTGGTTTGGGGAAGAGTTGATTGGGTACTGAGTTCTGGGTGATGGAAACGCACATGCTCATGCCCGACTCACAAGATCCGCTCCCCTTCATCCGAGCACAGCAAGCATATGAGCCGAGTATACTCGCTCGGGCATTAGTATTTTGAAGAGCTGCCCTTCCACCCCTTATTGCCACTACCGTATGGACAAGTGAGTTGTTAAATTGACGACGGGGAAAATAGTTTTGAGAACGCAGTGGCAATTTCACCAAAGCGTAAATTGAAACAAGGGCAGTGACCGCAGTGAACCTTTGATAACGCCACCAATGGCACTATGGATGGCCGAGATTCGCACGATTCGCCTTTAACCGGATGATAAATTCAAAACAGAGATCATTCCTGCTGTGGCTGCAAATGCACCTATCTCAGGAAGTAACACCACAGCAACAACAAGACAAGCAACCAATAACAAAATCTTCTTATAAACACCTTCGTCGAATTGCAGATTTACTCCCTTAGGAATGACAAGCTCCAATTTTTCTTCGAAATCCATAAGTTTCTTTTGATTTTCGTTGAGTTCAAAGAGGACATTGTCTTGATCGTATCCATGCGCCGAGTGGTTTATGAATCCAATATAAACTCCAAGATTTTGATTGAAACAGGCTTGCATGACGATATTAATAACCTTTTCCAGGACATGATCCTTGCCAGCGGGGACTCGATTTATGATGATCCAATCCTCGTTTGCTCGCTTTGGGAATTTCTTCTTGACAGCGGAAAACACCGTCAAGACGGCAGCTAAATCTGACTCTACAACCCGTCCGGAGATTGTGTTGACAAACCCTATCAGTCTCGTTGGAAGTCCCGTCGAGATTGCCGCCGAAAATTCATCGAGATTCTTCTTGTATTTATTCTCTCCAGCCTCTTGGAGTCCGGGAGTATCGATAACCAAGACATCGCCATGTTGATGAATCTGGCGATGCTGAGTTAGACTGGTACCGTTGTATGCAACCCCAGACTGAAACACGGTTTTGCCAACCATCGAATTGAGGACTGCTGACTTTCCCGTTCCGGGATTACCGAAAGCAACAATGGCTCTCTTGGGCTGGATGGGGATGTCTTTCTTTCTTTGACTCATGAAGTCTGAGGAATCCAAGTTGAGGATGCGGAGTGGTAACGGAGGTGAGCCAGGAAGTCCAAGGAGATCAAGGGTACGATATCACTCCGGTCAAGGAGGTGACTTGGGGCGGGAGAGTTGAGTACTTTGGAGTAAGCGGTGTTGGCTTGACAATGCGAAGAGGGCGGAGAGATTCAGCCACACAGCTGGTTGTTCGATGCGATGTCGGCTCGGTAATGCCGCTGCCAGACCTGATACAAGCTCGGGAGGGGATGGGTATTTATCAAGGAATGGCAAAGTTTACGAAGGTGGCGAGGGTATCAAGACGGGACAATGCGAGGGAGGATTGCCCCAGCCAGGAAGCTAGCAAGCGCATCGTCAATGGTAGTTCAGTCATGATGTGAGCCAGGAAAGGCCCACGGTCAGCTCCTCGGTGCGATTGGTGAGGCCCTGTCTATATTCAGCCCAGGTGCTCCAAAAAAAGAAATGCATGCTGAACACGCAAGCGTGCTGGATAGGATGTGATGATACAGAAATGTGAAGTGCACGTCTGCCACCGGTGGTGGCGTCGATGGAGCCGACCTTCGCCGCCAGAGTTGCTCCAGCAGCGATTGGTCCAGCCGCAAGGGTATCAGTAAATTTCGCCACATCATCGCAAATGGTAAATCAAATAGGGGCCGCCGTCACAAATTTGGAGCCCAGGGTAGCTGTGGAGAGTCAAGGAACCGAGCCCGCCCAAAGGTATCGCCCCCATTTCGGGGTCATCCATTTCACAAGCAAGATCGGGGCATCGTCGCGCTTTCTTGGCTTGGATTGCATCTTCCTGGTGTCGTGGCCAGAGGCGTGCAACCGGAGGGTATCCATGCCCCCCCCCCTTTGTACCCTGCATCTCGCAGCCGTGCGTTAATGTCGGGATCCCGCGGCCCCGGCACCACTGTCTTGGGATTGGTTGACAGGCCGTGCTTGGTTTGCTCTGTGTGACGCGTCCACACACGTGGACAGCGTGTGTCCCCGTGACCAGAGCCGACCAGGCCCCAAAACCCTCGCCTCCTTCCTGGTCCTTCGGAATGCTCGTTGGGACGAGATCGATCCACAGCAGGCTCCTGATCCCAGAGACAGATTGCGACGCTCTCTGCCTTTGGGAGAGGACGGAGACCCTTAGCCAAATCTGAGCCCCTGGCCTTGATCAAGCAATCGACGGCCTGCTGCTCTCGCTCCCATCCTGAGATCACGGATCGTATGGCAGCGTGATGATGATAACCAGCCCAGTTGAGGCCATTTATCGCGGCGGCGAGCGTCTGGCTCGCGGGTTGCGATCCGCCAAGGTCATGGCTCGACTCCCCCCCAGAGAACAGTCAGAGTCGAGCAGCTGGAAAGCAGGTAGGTCTCGATCCCCCGCTCTATTTGGCCAGGACGCCACTCTTCCGCACTGGCAGTGCGCCGATGCAAGACTGACAAGCCATCCGCTGTGCTGACTCCTCCACAGCTCCTCGATGCGCTCCGGGGGTTGAACCAGCCGTTGCCCGGTGGCATCGCTATGCCTGCTCGGAGCCCGCTCGCACGCACGCCCGGCCGGTGATCTGGAAATTAGTTTTCAATCTGACTGCCCAATATGTACATGTGCGGGGGCTCTGCCGTGGCGATCTGTGCTGGCGGTGATGCGCTCGGACATCAGGTCTGCGCTGAAGCCCAGCAGTCAGCCACAACACCCCGCACATCGCCCGTTCCAGTTCCTGGAGACCGATGCCGATAATCTCGTGAACGAGAGGTTTATTCAACGTAACTATACATGCAGGACAATATCAGAGACACACCGAGGAACTTGTAGCCCAGCAAGCTGCGTGGAAACGCTGGCCGTCGATGTCATCTCTCTCAATACACGACTACTTGGGCAGCGACCCAAGGGAGGTATTTACTGGTTGGCCTTGGAGATGGCGGTCTCGAGATCGGCAGCCTTGGCGCCAACAATCTCGGTCTCGAGCTGGCCGTTCTTGTAGATCTGGGAGGGAGGGGAGGCAGGGGCGTGGTCAGCGCACGATCGGATGAATTGCGAGGAGATATATAGCCAAAGCGCTGCGCTTCATCCTTCAGCATCATCGCTCTGCGATGCGAGTCCCAGCCTGCCCGCACAGATGGAATTGGCCACAGGCGGTGAACAGATCGCTTTGCAAACACACCTGGAAGGTGGGCATGGCACGGATCTTGGCCTGCTCAGCAACGTCGGGGAGCTCATCGACATCGACCTTGGCAAAGACGACGTTGGTGTAGATATCAGACCACTTGGCGAACGAGGGGGCGCTATTGAGAGAGGGCACAGTGTGGTCAGGTCGGACTCGTTGGAAATGGCCTAGCCCACAGAGGGGCCAGCTGGCTCAAACCGCTGCCTTCAGCGTCAGTATCCCACACACCACGCTGAGGAGAGCAGAGACGGAAATGCGCTGGAACTCCAAGGAGACAGAGGGGCCCCAATCCAGATAATACGTACATGACCTTGCAGGGACCGCACCAGGTGGCGTAAAAGTCTGCACGTTGGGCGAGAGAGCGGTGATGAGCAAGCGGACGAGCGAGAGCGGCTCCGGTGAACGAAGGCAGTGCAAGTCACTGGCGAGGCATGTTTCCACGATTCTCGGCCGATATGACGGTCCAGATGACTCACCAACTGTTGCATCAAGAACGTCCGGGGTGGCAAGACGGAAATGTCAGGGGAGCCAGCCGGGAGAGAATCACCAGACATGATTGGGGAGCAGGCAGCATATCCCGGGTGGTGGCAACAAAGCACCCCGGAGCCCACCGACGATGGTGCAAACATGCATCCGGGGGGGGGAAGTGAACAAGCCAAGGCGACCATGAGATGCGATATCGGATCAGTGCTTGCCACCGGCGAGCCGCCAGGCGGATTGTATCAGCGAGGATGGACTGGCTGCATCGATAGCGCTGCAGCAGAGCAAAAGCAGAAGCAGAAGCAGAAGCAGACGCCAGCAGAGACCGTACCGACGGCGACGGGGAGGCTGATGGTGGCGTCGAACTCGGCCTTGGAGGAGATGATCTTGGGAGCCATGGCGATAGAGGATGCGACTGGAGATGTTGCGGTTTGATGGGCGGTTTGATGGGCGGCGGCTTGGAACGGCACAGAGACGATGCAGGAAACGGGCGAAAGAAGCCTTATATACCAGGTGCGGCGCGACTGCTGGCCAGCCATCGACTGGCTATAGGCTGGCTGTTGGCTCGGCTGGGGTGTCCCACAAATGGCAGCATCGCACAAGGCGAATGCGACACCCGCTGCCCAATCGGCGCCGGCAGAGAGCTGCGCTGCTGACTAATGAGCTCCATTGGCACGACGCCGCGCATTTCTCAGCTCGCGCAATGTGCGCAGCCGCTGAGATACTGCCGGGACGGATGTGCGCAGCAGCAAACCGCAGTGTGGCTGGCCCGCCTTGCGCCACGCGTTCATTCATCTATCCAAATGTGGGCGTGTGTGACGGCGATGTCCGAATGCGGTATTATCGATTCTCCCTCCCCCCGGCGGGATCCACCACGCCCAATCCAGCAAAATCACCTTCCAAAGATCGCCTAATCGATTGCACCTCTTCGCTTTTGTCTTTGCCGGCCCTTCCCCTCGCTCGTCCTGCGTCCTGCCTCGGGCGTCTCGCTCCCAGGACACAGAGCCCTCAGAGTCCTTCCAGAGCTCTTCCAGAATCCTCCGGTGACCCACCCAGTCGCTCGGACTGCCATCAGCGCCATTGCCCTCGCTCCTTCCCAGAGCCCAGCTTGGTCGCCACGCCGCCTTTGCGTTGCAGCGTGCGTCTCTCGACAGTGTTGCACTCGAGACCGTCTCTCTCGCTCCGAGGTCGTGTCTGTCTGTCTCGACTGCAGCCGCATCTACTGCTCCGGTCTGCTGTACCATTCGAGCAGTACAAAGCACCAAACAATCACGCCAAAGGCGGATAACTCTGTCCGCTCGTTTCTGTTCGCCCCTCAAGCGTTCGGCGGCGTCAACGGCGTGTACCGACATCTGCGCACTTTGTGATTATCTGTCGTGTTGCCCGGATTCTCGTGGCGTTCTAGTTGCCGTCACCACAGCCCAATCGAGCCCAGATACCGGCACGCCCATTTCTTCGGAAGACAGCCCTCTGGCACGCATTCGCTTCGACCTTCTTGGACACGTCCCAAAGTTCATATCCAGATCCCCGTCCGCTGTCGCTCTGTCAGCTCACCAAAGCGTGTCTGGAGCTATTGCATAGACCTTGGCTCGCAACCTGGGCCAACTGAAAGCTGCACTAGAAGCCTATAGATCATCTCTCCGCCTGTCCGATACCAAGGCAAGTGGCCTGCGGTCTCGCTTGCCGACTCGTGTCGGACGCGACAAATGCAATGTCTCTCGAGGTCGCCGATCGCGGGGTTTCTTTGCTCTGGCTCGTGCAGCAACCTGCTCAATCTGTACTGACTTGTCACCCCTCGTTTCCGACCACTGCAGGCCACAACCACCTGCCGAAACCAGCAAACCACCGCCGACCGCCCAGATGGAAACCAACGACTCTGCTGCGGTATCAGCACCCGGATACCCACCATCAAGCCCGCACTCTGGCACCGCGGCGACATCACCACCGACACTTGCGCCCTTGCTCCCTGTCCCCCTGGCATCGTCGTTTGCCCCTGAGAATTCGGGCTCGTCTTCACACATGTCTGGACCACCGCTAACCCCGTCGTTCACCTACAAAAGACTCAACTGGATCAACTCCCAGCCACACCATTTCAATCCTGACGACTCCTCCATCATCGGCAAGAAGCGCCGCAGACGTACCACCCAGGACGAACTGCATGTTCTTGAGTCGTACTTTGAATCCAATCAACTTCCGAATGCCGCCATGCGCGAGAAGCTTGCCAAGGAGACCGGCATGACCACCCGTGCGGTGCAAGTTTGGTTCCAGAACAAGCGCCAAAGCTTGAAGAAGAAGCAATGTTCCCAGCCGCCCGTCTCCCCGCCGCCGTACCACGCGAGGCCCTTGGAGCTCAGCTCGCCGATCCGGGTGTCGAATCCGCTGCCCCTTCCCGCCAGCATAGCGTCCAGCCCGTCCAATCCATCCAATCTGCCGAGTCCATCAAATCCATTACAGGCCTATTTGATCGGCTCACCTGAAGTCGAGTCGCCCCAGAAGCGCTCGGGAACCAAGGCGACACCCGTGTTCCAAAAGTTCAAGTTCCACACTTACAGCTCCCCATCCTCCTCAGCATCAAAGATCGCCGTCCCTGATTCGCCCGCAGAGCTCACGGCCATGTCCCCGAGCAGGCGCCCCATGTCTCAGGCTCATCACTCTCCTCTGAAGCCGCCGGCTCCGTCAGCTCGCAGAGCTCACTCTCACCTTTCGCCATCGACACCGACCCGTCCCGCTGCCCAGATGCCGGCGAGTGTCCAAGACGACGACCTGGCGGCGATTGCTCTCGTCGATTTGTCCCAGTCACTCTTCAACTCGCCGACCCGGCCCCGTGTTCGAGCCACAAAGACCCCACAGAGCCGTCGTGCCGTACCCGTTGGCAGCTCCGAAAAGCGAAGCGGCCTGCCATCCGACCATCACGAGCCCTCTAACCTGGTGCCCCAACTCACCCTTTCCGACTCTCTGCTTTCGTGCGTTTCATCGTCATCGTCGAGCTCTTCGCCGCCGAGCTTGATATCTGCCCTCGCTGCTGCATCATCGTACGACTCGGATCGCGGGCCGCCCGGCCTGGCCCTGGACTCGGCCAGCTCCTGTGACTCTGTGGATCTGTCGGATATGGAGTCGTTCAAGGCGAAGCGAACAAAGACATCTGGCCTTGACAGAGCACCCAGGTCCTCGGTGGCAAACGATTCTGGCGAGGACACTGAGTCGGATGCATCCACCGCATCCACCGTTGTGCTTTCGAGATCAGACTCGTCTCTGCCAGCAAAGCCGGTCTGGGCACCGAGTCCCCCAGTATCCGGAGCAAGTGTTGGCACGCTGCAGGCGGCACCGACGCTCACCTCGTATATCTCGTCCAAGGAGGAAGAAGAGGCTCTGGCGGTGCTGACGTCGCTGTCAGGGTGTGCTGCCGACAATGTCGGCCCCACAGATGCAGTGGCCGAGTCTCCTCTCGATGTTGATGGCCCCTCAAATCGATCGTCGTGAAGAATTTGGTGGCTCTGCTTTCTTTATCACTATTTTTTCTTGCTTCCTCATGATTTTTTTTTTTGGAACCTTCACAAATTGGCTCTGGGCCTTGACCCGCGACGATGATGCCGACGTGCCCCTGATGTATTCACTTTCGCTTGTTCGACCTGTCCGAGGCCTGCCCCCCCCCTTGGCCATCACATGAACGACCTGGCAGCCAGCAACAGGGCGCAGCCGTCTTCGTTTCGGTTTGTAATGCCATGTAATTGGTGACAATCTGTTTTGGAATGGCCCGTCGCCATTTTCTGGAGCCTGAATACACACATATCTCGAGAGCTTCCAGGATCGGAATCGTCGCCAGGCTGACCAGAGTCGCGTCTGGTGGTCGCTGTCGAGATACCGCCCCCTCCAAATGCAAGCCCAGGCTTGGCCTCCCATCTCGCCTTCATCTCGTCCATCGCATCCCAGCCGCCATGAGCAACCCTGACGGCTCGGCCATCCGCGGTCTCGGACTCGACCAGTTCCTGCTCTTTGGAGACTCGATCACCCAGTGGAACTATGATCCCTCGAACCACGGCTGGGTTGCCTCCTTGGCCCACAAATACATCCGTCTGGTCGATATCGTCAACCGCGGGTTCTCGGGTATGGATTCCGGGAGTCCTTAACTGCGTTATCTTTGGCTCGCTGGCAAATCTCGCAGGAAGATCCTGTGGATCCTTCGTTCATCTAGAATACGAGCAGGCGTGCGCTTGCTCTACGATTCCAACATCCTACTCTCCCCATCGCCCACTTGCGCAATCCGACGCATCTTGAGATCCGGCTGATGGTGTATCTCTTGCTGGCGACCAACACAACCTACTTTCTGCCATCCAGGCTACAACACCGAGTGGTGCCTCCCGATACTGCCCTCGATCCTCGAAACCACCCTCCCCAGCCAGGGCAGAAACAAGATCCTGCTGGTTGTGCTATTCCTCGGGGCCAACGATGCAGCATTCCCTGCCACCCACCGCCAGCATGTGCCTCTCCAGCAATACAGCGACAATCTCACCAGCATGATCCGCATCGTGCGGGCCCACCACCCCGAAGCCCGGATTCTGCTGGTGACGCCCCCGCCTGTCTTTGCCGACGACTGGGAGGTCAACTGCGTCGCGAAGGGCCGCCCACTGGACCGCACTGCCGACATAACCTTCAAATACCACACAGCCAGTCTGCAGGTTGGCCAAGCGACGGGTGTGCCCACGCTGGACACTTGGAAGCTCTTCTTTGGCCCCGAAGGCCGGTACGACCCCGTCGTCGCCAAGTCGGTTTTGCACGATGGGCTTCACTTCAATGCCAAGGGCAACGACATTTTTGCCGCGGGCATCCAGGACCGCATTGCGACGCTTTGGCCCGAGTTGACCCCAGAGCAGCTCTTCAAGGATCTGCGTCTGCCATGGCACGACCAGCTGGATGTCGACGACCTTCCCGAGAGCCTGTTCCGTAACGAACGCAAATGAAGGCCATCCCACCGATAATCACTGCCGATCGGAGGGGCAGCACGAGCGACGACGCTGTCGAGAGGAGAGATCCGTTGACAGTGCCAGATTCCACAATGGCCGTAAACCACGTCGAAAAAATCCGATCCAATAAAAAACGGGAAACCCTTGATTTGACCATTGATCAAAAATTTGTTGTCCTAGACCATCGCGCGCTGGCCATGACCATTCTGTGATTTGAATCAAGGACGACACCCAGGCGACCAAGTCCCAAGATTCCCGGGATGGCTTTCTTGCAATACATTCGCCATGTGTCCGATGGAGACATGCTGGATAAACAGCTGTACTCCAGCCTGACCCGGCGACGGCGATTCAAGCAACTCGATCTATTTCGAGCAATTCATCCATGTGTGCCAGGACGGGAAGGGCTGGCTGAACGGAAGACTGGCCGAGTGAGGGACATGGAGCATTGGGGCAGGTCCAAGCCAAAGCGTTCGTCTGGCTGGCGGGGCACCGGTCAAATTTGCACTCCTTGCAAGGAGAGCGGCCCGCACTTTGCTTGCCAGGACAAGTGCAGCTATGTTTGGGCACAAGAGGAAAGCGCTTGTTGGCGGTGGAGTGCTTCTTGGGCTCATGGAACCCGGCTTGCTCGCAGGAGGCCGCTGTGCGTGTCGAGAGCAAGGAGCAGCGGGCGGCTGTTGACAAGCACCGGCCAGAAGAGCCGCGTCTCCAATAGGGGAAGTCCGCGATGTACAAGGCAGGCACAGCAAAGTGCCCACGCTCGCACAGCAGGGCATACTCGTCTGTACTCCAGATCGGCCTGGGCAACAAGCGATCGCCGGCCATGGATATCCCTGTGAGGTCCTGTGCGTCCGCGAAAACGCAAGAGCGATCCGCGTGCCTGGCGGTGGGGGCGGGTGGGCCCGACACAAGACAGCTCCTGGACGGCCGATTTCCCACACGAGGGCGGCTGGTGCAGCGATATAAAGGCTTGCCCCCGAGCGCAACATTCGTAGGGGCAGCACTGTTGCTTCCTCTCGCCATCCTCGCAACCGCTGTCGCCATGAAAATCGCCTTGGCCCACCGCTTGCTTGCCCTCTCCGCGCTGGCCTGTGCCGGCGTCGCTGCCCGCACCTCTCCTTCGGCCACTTGCCAGGAGTGGAGCGCTGCCGGCTCCTATGTCTCTGGCGACTGCGTCGAATATGCCGGCAGCTCCTGGCACTGCGCCACCAGCTACTGCGTTGTTTCGCCCGACAGCCATGGCACCGGATGGGAGCTTGCATCCAGCGGGGATCTGGTCGCCGCTGCTGCAAAAACGACCAAGACAACCAAGACCAAGACAACCAAGACCAAGAATACCAAGACGACCAAGACCAAGAAGACCAAGACCACCAAGACAAAGCCCACCAAGACAACCAAGACAACCACCACGAAGAAAACCACCACCACTACCACCACCCCTGCTCACACCACCACTACAACGACCACCACCACTCCCGCTCGAACCACGACCACCACCACCACCACTCCGGCTCGCACTTCAACCACCACCAAGGCCGCAACCTCGACCACCACGACCACGACCACCCCGGCTCGCACAACGACGACGACGAGCTCGGCCGGCCCCGCCCCGACCGGCACCCTCCCGACCTGCCACCAGGCCTGGGTTGCCGTCTGGACCTACCAGGGCGGCTCCATCGTCAGCTACAACAACGTCGACTTCAAGAACAGCTTCTATGCCAACGCCGGCGACGAGCCCACAAAGTCAAACAACTGGGTCTCGCTCGGCCCGTGCGATCCAAACGGCATGCCCGACGGCCCTGGCCGCGACGGCGTTCCCACCCTCGCCCAGGCCCGCGCCTTCGAGGCCTCCCAGACCAGCTCGGACCTGTTCCAGAAGATCAAGCGCTCGATCGCCACCCTCGACAACTCGGTCGTCGAGCAGGTCGCTCCCGGCAAGGCCTCCAACCCGCCCAACGTCAAGCGCGTCGAGCAGATCATCCCCCAGAGCAAGTGGAACTACTACTTCTCGGTCGCCAACCCGCTGTACACCTACACCGGGTTCCTCCAGGCCGTCGCAAAGTTCACGGCCTTCTGCGGCGACTACTCGGACGGCCGCGACGCCAACGCCATCTGCAAGCGCTCGCTGGCGGCCATGTTCTCGCACTTTGCCCAGGAGACCGGCGGCCACAGCGTCCAGCAGTACGGCATCGCCGAGTGGCTGCAGGCCCTCGTCGCCGTGCGCGAGAACGGCTGTCCCGAGAGTCCCGGCTGCAGCTACAACAACGGCTGCGTCGACCCTGTCTGGAACTACATCTGGACCTGCGGCAAGAACCCCGACGGCTCGTTCATGAACTACTTTGGCCGCGGCGCCAAGCAGCTGACCTACTTCTTCAACTATGCGCCCTTCAGCCAGATCATGTTCAACGGCGACCCGACCGTGCTGCTCAACGACCCCGATCGTGTGGCCACCTCCTGGCTCAACCTGGCCTCGGCCGTGTTCTTCTTTGTCTACCCGCAGCCGCCCAAGCCCTCGATGCTGTTTGTCGTTGACGGCACCTGGGTGCCCAACGCCGACGACATCTCGCGCCAGCTCGGCAACGACTTCCCCACCACCATCCAGATCATCAACAGCGAGTGCCAGGACTCGCCCACCAAGGCCGCCGCCCAGAACCGCATCAACTACTACCGCAACTTTACCGCCGACCTCGGCATCGACATCAGCCACGACAACCTCAAGTGTGCCGGCATGGGTCTCTTCAGCGGCCAGAGCTCGGCCGCGCTGTTCATCTACTGGGACAAGGCCGACTCGCCCTTCACCTGCAAGCTGGTCAACTACCAGACGGCCTTCAACGCCCTGATCGACGACCAGTATGTCTCTTGTGTTGAGCACAAGTGGAACGTGACCCTCAAGTAAACCAAGCGGCAGCAGGCGCCGTGCCGTTCCACTGACGAGCATGCATATGAGCATGCATATGAGCATGTAGATGGGCATGTGGATGGGCATGGCCTGTGGCAGCGACCTGCTGGTGGCCATGGCTCGTGGCAGCGATCTGCCGATGAGCGTCTTCATGGCCCTGCTTGTCTCCCCGGCCCTGCTTCTCTCCCCCCCTAATCCTCCTCCGTAATCGCCTCCGAAACTGTAATAAACGCCGTTCCTATGGACACACATGCTGCTCCGTCCCAGAGCGGCTGCTTGGCCGTGTCTGCCTCCCGCGCTCGCCCAATGAGGCATCCAGGATCTCATCCTCACCACAGACACATGTGCCTGATGGCGCTCGTGTTGGGGGACAGCAATCTCACGACAGCCTCGAGACTCACTCGCTCGACTTCATGGTGCTGTTTGATGGCACTGGGATCAGCACATTGCCGTGGCGCATCGGACATCAGTTGCGGCCAGTGCGGGTGACCACGCTGGTCTCGGGATACTTGATCTTGAAGGACGAAGACGGGTCCAGGGGATCGCCCAAGAAGCGAACGTGGTGCAGATAGCTGAGACACTTCTCGACGACCTCCTCCAGCGAGGGACAGGGAGTCGGGTAGATCGAGCGGGTGTTGGCGTTGTCGATCGTGAAGGACATGTCCATCATGATGTGCATGAGCGGGAACAGGGCGTTGCTCTCGACGGCGGGATGGGAGTGGAATGCCTCTTTGAACTGCTCGCGGGTCTCGAACAGGATCGGCCAGCCATGGTTCCTGACAATCTCAAACAGCCGGGTCTCGGAGAGGACACTGTGGTGAGTGAGTGAGTGAGTGAGTGGGTGAGTGAGTAATCAGAGTCGGAATCCACCATCCACACCACATCGCACACCACATCGCACTTCACACCACATCACACACTCCTCACCTGTGCTCCGAGTCGCTGATGTGGAACACAAACTTGGACAGGGCCTCCTCCGAGCCGGCAATCTCGGCAACCACCTTGGCGACATGGTCGACGGGATCCATGGTCATCGTGACGAGAGTGGCGTGCGAGGGAGCAACACCGAGCTGAATGCATCCCTTGACATATCGCCAGATGTAGTCATCAGAGTTGGACACTGGAGCGATGGAGGGTGTGAAGGCGTCAGTTGATGTCAGTTGGTGGATGAGTGGCACTTGACAATCGAGACCATCGATTCATGGCCAGTCCATGTGACGATTGAGACATCTGCACCACACCACACCACACCACACCACACCACACCACACCACACCACACCACACCACATCACATTCGACTCACCTCCGTACTGGCTGTCGCCGGCAATGACGGCTGGGCGAATGATCGTCGCAGGTACTCCCCTCGATCGTGCCTTGTTGACCAGCTGCTCAGAGACCCACTTGGTCTGGCCATACCCGCCAGAGATGTTCCAGGCCGAGTAGATCTTCTCCTCGAGCGGCTTGTCTGCCTTCTTGGCCATCGGGATCGTGCCGATGGTCGAGATGTAGTGCAGCGGCTTCAGGTGGTGGGTTGTGGCCAGTCTCAGGGCCGTCGCCGTGCCGAGGACGTTGGGTCCCCTGAGTCTGTCATAGTCAAACAGCCAGTGGACCTCGGCGCCATTGTGGACAATCATGTCGGTCTCCTCGCTGATCTCCTTCCATCGCTCGTCCGAGAGTCCCCACTTGTCCTGCGACAGGTTGCCGCACAGTCCAACGAGTCGAGACTTGAGGTTGTGGTCAAGGAAGGCTCTCTGGCTCGGATCGAGGACCAACTTCTGAGCCGTGTTGATGATGCGGTCGATGGCGGCCTGCTCGGTCGGGGCTCGGACCAGGCAGTTGATCTTGGCCCGAGGGAACTTGTGTGCCAGCTCAAAGACCAGGAAGGCACCGAGGAAGCCAGTGGCACCGGTCAGGACGATGCCGCGAGGGTCCTTGGGATAGACAAACGGAGGGAGACCCTCGGCCGTCACACTCGCATCGTCGAGCTTGGCGGCCTCAGCAGCCAGATCAACTGTCGGCGGAATCATCGGTCTGTCGTCGAGGATGTCGACAACCAACTGGGCGACATCAGTCGGTGTCATTCCGTTCGACAGCAAGATCAGCGGCGAGATCTCGACATTGAACTCGTCCTTGATGGCGAGGGCCAGACGGCCGACACTCAGCGAGTCAAAGCCGACGCCGCCGATGTAGTAGTTGCGGCCGTCGAGGGCGGGGTTGTCGATGATCTGGCTTCCAAGTGTGGAGATCTTGGCGGCAGTGCGGGACAGGGGAGTGTTGGCGAGTTTCAAACGAGGGTACTCGACCGACTTGCCGAACTGATCGACATTCTCGGCGATGCGCCTGAGCTTCTTGAGGTCGCGCTTGCCCGAGTCGTTGAAGGGGAACTCGTCGAGCTCGAAGCAGTTGTGGATCGGGAACTTGGCGACGTTCGTCAGCGCAAACATGTCCTCGGTCAGCTGCAGAAGCTCGGCAGGAGTGGGGTTGACCTGAGAGCCGCTTCTGCGGACAAAGAGCATCACGATCTTCTTCTCGGAGGTCTGGATGAAGGCACAGTCCGAGATGACCTTGGACATGTTTTCGTTGGCCAGCTCCTCGAGGGCGTTGAGGTCGACATAGACGCCGTTGACCTTGATCTTCTGGTCGAATCTGGAGTGATGGTGTGGAGTGAGGGAGTGGATGGCGTGAGTATCCGGGATACAGGAGTGGGATGTGTCCTCAGGGTACCGGATGTGCACTCGCCATCAATGAGAGATGCAACACCCAGCCATTGACTCACCTTCCAACCACAGTGAACTGGTTCTCGCCAACCATCTCGACCCAGTCCATGGTGCAGACACGGGGCGAGCCATCCTCAAGGAAGCCGAAGGGTGAGAGTTTGTTGTTTGGATCGGCATTGACAAAGTTGGGGTGGTTCTTGATGGGATGGTCCTTGTCGACGGCAAAGACGAGCACACCAGTCTTCGAGACCTTCTGGTCGACAATGTTGCCCTCCTCGTCAAAGAGGAGACAGCGCACACCGGGTTTGACGAGCTTGTAGACCAGCTTATCAGGAACATCGCTGTTGGCTGGAAGGAATGCCACTGAGAGACCACCCACAAGCAGCGACTGATGATCGAGATGGAGTGAGAAACAGCCTTTGTTCCGGAAAGTCATGTCAACCCAGATTTGGCTCTGCACTTACCTCACTGGATGCATAAGCAAGCTGAAGTTCAGCATTGGGGAAAACCTGTCTCGCACTCTGGACAACACTTGACGGAACGAGCTCGGAGCCGAGGCCGATGATTTTGGCGGCCGCCCACTCCACATCCGAGCGACCGGACTGGGCCATGCTGATGATCATCTTCATGAACGAGGGAGTCTGACCGATGAGAGTGACAGCACAATATCGTTCGTCAGCATCCATATCGTGAACGACTCCTCCGAGGCAGGTTGACAGCTTACCAGGTAGAGGTACCACACGCCATCATCCAGTGTCCGTATGATACTCTTGACCTTGTCGACAGTGTTGTGTGTTGGCTCAGGCATCCATAACGAGCCCTTCAGATTGAGCGTGCCGAGCAGCAAGGTCATTGTTGCCACAAACGATGGCGTCTGACGGCCACAGCGATATCATTGGTTACAAGGCCGAGTGTCGAGCCATCTGGGCTGCAAAGGTCGGCCATCTCACCTGACAGATCCCAGTCCTGATTCCGGCAAGACGGATGGAATTTCGAATTGCGATTCCTCCGGTGTGCGAGAACTTGAAGCTGCATCGATGGATGCGAAACCCAAATGGGATCAGGTCGGGTGCTGAGGCTCCTCCACTGGGATCCAGAGGCGAGAGTTCAAACATTGCAATATGTGATCAACTGTCTCAGGAAGACTCACGACTTGGGGATGCCTGTGGGATCGGCCCCGAGACAAGATGGATCAGCGTCACGGATCGGAAATGCGTCGTCGACACAACATCATCCTCAGCCTTCCTGCTGTGACATCCACTCAGCCTGGCAGGTGTACCTGTTGTTCCGGAGGTGCATTGGATGGTCACAAACTCATCAAGCGGCCCACAGACATCGAGAGACGGGGACGGAATGCTGTCCAGCACCGGGAAGGTGGCGGCATCGATCAGCGTCACACCCTCGGTGCGGCCGGGTTTGGTGTGGTGGTGGAGAATGTACTTGGTCGCATGTCTGTCAGTTGGTGGTGAAGCGAGTGTCAGATCGGGATCGGGCATAGCTGGCCCGATTCAAACCTCGGACCAGCCTGCTCATCCTCACGACAACAGGACAGGGACATGCCTCTCGCACAGGGCCTTGCGGGCTGCAGGAGGCAGGTTGAGGGCAAAGTTGAGTGTTTTCCTGGATGGCAACAAGAGACAGGTGAGACTCGACCCTTGTCATGGAACGGAGCAAGGGTTGGGCATGTGATGTGGGTTGTGAATATCGCCTCGAACAAGCGACAACATCACAACATCACAACATCACAACATCACAACATCACAACATCACAACATCACAACATCACAACATCACAACATCACAACATCACAACATCACAACACCACAACATCACAACATCCCACCAGACCAGCGACACTCACTTGCCCAGCATCCACACGGCGAGCGAGTCGATCACCCAGCTGGCTTCGGCCTCGCAGAAGGTGCCGATGACCTCGTGGTCGTCGTCGTCCCAGCCGGGAAGAGCCTTGAGAGCCTGGGCGACCGAGTACGCCTGCTTCCACACACGGAGATAGCTGAGTCGCTCCGAGGCGCCGCTCTCGTAGGTGTTGATCAGGAGGGAATCGGGTTCGTCGCGGGCAGTGTTGACAAGACACTCGACGGGATGGAGCCAGGGGCCAAAGGGATCGAGCGGAGAAGGGAAGGTTGGCTGCTGGGAGACAGGGGTCTGCGACGAGACATCTCGGTCGCTGGATGGGACGGCGAGTCCCCCAAAGCAACAAGAGATTGCTCTGAGCATGGCGGGGTTGGGTGAGGGAGTCAAGAGACGTTTGGTTCCAAAGACGTGCAGATGAGGTCCAGAGAGTGAGGGAGAGCCAGAGGGCGAAAGCAGAGGGAAGGGAAAGCCGAAAGGAAAGGACAGACGCTTTCCCCCTGTCGGGTTGGCAAGCCAGGAGACGGCCTTGGTGTGGCCGTTCTGCCAGATTGCATCGTGAGTGCTGTTGTGTTCACTGGGCTGCTGAGTCTGCCGATGTGACTCTGTGCTTGGGCGGTGGATCTGGCTGGTTGTCTCCTCGATGCTGTGCTGTTGCCCTGCTCGGCAAGCCTGCTGTTCCAGCACTCGGCTGTTGGACAGTTCACTCAAGCTGACATCGTCAGGCCGTTGGTGAGTGGTTTCTTTGGTGAGCAGCTCTGATTGTGGATATCGTGTCTTGTTCTGTCGAACCACCTCGATGCTCTGTCGGTCGACGCACCCGCAGTCATGCTTCTCCATCAACTGCATTGCGATGGTAAGCTTCTGGACCGTTGTGGAGTGCAGTGTGGGAGCTGCCGATACCGACATTGGCCTTGCATCTCGTCCTGCCATCTCATGAATCGCATCTTGCAGAACGATGGTGAGGGCCACCATGATCTTGCACTCGGGGTGTGGTTTGGGGTTGTGGATAGCGTTGCTGCTCGCCCAGGCTTCGTTCGACTCCCCTCATCCGAGACAGCAGAGCGGATGACATCAGGTTTGGAGAAGACGAGTGTCTGGCAAATGAATACGGGACGACTGCCAGCTCTGATTCACCCGCATCTCGCAAGTTCTTCAACCTCTGCCAGCTGGAATCGGACCGAGACTGGTTGTGCAGATATTTCATTGCTGTGTGTCTATTTCATGGATTCGGGACCATCGAGGACCACAGCAGGTAGGCAAGCTGCTGGACCTGCTCAGTTTCGATCGCACTCCCCCTCGCAGTCGCAACCCTCCCGCACTTGGATCACTTGTTGCTCATGTATCCGCTCCCCGCACTGCCTTCCGAGCATTCGCACTTGGTGCACACCCTGCACTAGCACCCACTCCCACACTCAGTGTAGTCCCACCCTTGCAGTCTCCCCCTGCACCCTCATCACAGCGTAGTATAGTGCCAGCATTTGCCACTCCACCACCCTGACCTCCCTTCGATCCTGCTGTTCCCTTGTGGGAACTGCTTGAAAATGTGTTGACCCGCTTGGTCTCTGACCTTGTGGGCAGCTGAGGCAGCACTAGGCTGCAACAGGAGTAAATAGGCTTGCCTGTGTACTCAACGTGCCGGGGGTACCAACCTGTTGAACCTGATGATTTGTCTTCTTGAATAAAGTTGACTATAGTAACAAATATAATCGAACATCTTCAGCGCTGGCCACGGGATGGATGGAGGGTAGGGTCATCTGATCACGGCGACTCTGGTGGGTGAATGATCAATTGCTCGCCAATGCGAGAGAGTATTCGAGAGACTGGTTGGCTCTGTCGACGATGATGGAGTGGTCAAGCCCTGCTGGCGATACGATGCGATGTGGTGCGACGGCCCGCGCCATGTATGTGGTTGGAAGGGGGGAGGTTTATGTGCCGAGAGGAACTGATCTGGTCGTGGGTCATGTCGGATCGAGGGAAGATGGTCTTGGTGTCGGGGAAGGCTGGTGGCTGGTGGCTTGCTGCCTGCTTTCTTCCTAACGATGAGGCGAGGGATGGTCTGGGTCGTGCTCATCATCTATGGCTGCAGAGCGGGTATCGATGAGTGAATGTTGATAATGGCGTTTTCGAGTCATTCGATGGTTCTGTAAATCAATATGAGCAACGGATGTGGGACAGCACTCTTGTATATTGGATGTATTGAATGTATTGGGTGTATTGGTTGCCAAATACAACATCACTCGGCCATTGCCACAACATCGGAATCACTTTGCGAGCTCACTCTTTGGTATCGCGCTGTCTGGGGTGGGTGTTGGTGCAGTTTGCTCGGCTGCTCTGGCCATAGGCTCGGTGATGATGATATGGCAGTTGGGAATGACAATCGATAATCAGGGCCACTTGCCGAGATACTTGAGGGTGGTGATGGCATCTCTGTTTCCCTGGTCGGCGGACTGTTGCCACCAAAAGATGGCAGAATCAATGTCCTTGGGAACGCCGTCACCTTCATTGCGACACCAACCAACCCAACACTGTCCGTACCGATTTCCCTGTTCAGCCGACTTGCTGAACCACTCGAATGCCTTTCTTCTGTCCTTGGCAACCCCGCGCCCATAGTAGTAGCATCGACCAACCCTCCACTGTCCATATGAGTTGTCTTGTTTGGTCGACTTGCTGTACCACTCAAACGCCCTCACCAAGTCCCGAGATACTCCATCGCCGTAATCGTAACTCATTCCGATCCACACCTGGCTGTCACTATGGCCGTCGTTGGCGAGTTGCTCGAAGGTTCTCGCTGCTCTCGTCTGGTCCTGGGTGGTTCCGAATCCATGAAACAGACACACAGCCATCAAGTGGCTGCAGAGCCAGTCTCGATCAGATCCCGACTGGCACAGTTCGAAGAACTTGTGGGCTGTGGGTGATTCCGACTTGACATTGTTCCACCACTTGACAAGGCACTCGTCCTCCCCGAGCTTGAAGTCATCCGACTGGTTGTCGCGGATGGTCTTGATTCCATTCTGTTTGTCGAGGGGTGTGCCCCGGCCAAGATAGTGCATCCACCCGACCATGTGGGTGGCGATGGGCTTGAGAACCGGGTCGGTGGACTTGCTGCTGACTTCCTGCCAGAACCAAAGGGCGCGGCGGTCGTTCTTGACCATTCCTTCGCCCAGGAATGCGACCCAGGCCATCTGGAAGGACGCTTCGAGGTTGCCCCGTTCGGCGGCGGCCTTGAACAACTGAGCGGCGAGCTTCCACTCATTATGGTCGATCGGGAGACCCTCTGAGACCAACTTGGCAGCATCGAAACAAGCAGAGGGATCACCTTGCTTGGCGCGAGAGACGAGTGAGTCAGGGAGGCGAGTGGCTGAGGAGTAGATGCCATCAAACTTGAACTTGGCAGAACGACTGGACCTGGACGAGGAGCAACTGTCCCTGTTGAGAGTGGCCGAGTCGCTGGCATGAAGGTCGACCGAAGAGGCCTCGATGGTGGAGAGAGGGGGAGGGACAGGGACTTCAGGGTCCGTGGGAACGAAGGCTTGGCTTGCCATATTGGAGCGATACGATGGACAGCGTCGAGTTCAAGTGAGAAGAGATAGGCGACAACGGTGAATGTCGATACCACTTGATGGTGCTCGCTTGGGTCGGAGAAAGCCCTTTTCTCGGAGTGATGAGCGAAAACGGGCGGATACTCGTTTGGATGACGCAACATCACAGGGCGTTTCGGAGGATTGGGTCGGCTGGGGTCGTTGTTGATCTTCCAATCATACACAAGATGCTTTGATTGAGCCCATTGGGCAACATCTCGAATCAATATGCCGTGGCCTTGAAGTGGCTCGAATGAGCCAACCGCTACTGTATTCAGGGGGAAACGGGACACGCTCACCATCCCACATGCCAGCGTAGTATGCGATGGCATGCATAAAGCTCAGCCATAAGAAACGGAACAGATCACTTTGGCAGCCTCCGAGTGAAGACCTCCAGTCGCTCTCCGGTCACCACAATCGACCTGCACACAGTGATCATGCTGTTCTTGGACACATTGAAGATGGTGGCGACCTTGGTACTCTGCGGAGCAGCGAGTAGCATCGCAGTGCAGCGATGCGGAAATCGATGGTACTGCGTTTGGTCGTGACAAGCGATGAGTGGGTGGGTATTCAGGTTCCAGAAATAACATCAGTCCTGTCTCAAAACGAGTGTCCTATTTAGTTTTGAAACGCTCAAGAGATCCTCCCAGTTTGGGTAGTTGTTGAGAATGGCATCGACTGCCTCGTTGACGACAGGGCCTTTGCAGGGCGGCGCTGGTTCATGTCGTCACCGGGCCGCCACATCATCAGCGGGTTGTTCTCGGATGGCAGGGTGCAGTCCGTGAAGTAGTATAGGGGTATATCGGTGACTATACCGTTTTTGAGAGATGATGTAGATGGGGAAAAACGGTATAGGCGTTAGGGTAGGGGTAGACGTGGGGTGGGGGCTGTGGAGGACGGTAGGGTTAGCGTAACCTAACGGAAGACGGGGTAGTCGTAGGGGTACGGCGGGGTAGGGGTAGATGATGTGGTTGGCGGGGGTGGTGGTAGGGGAGGACGGTAGGGTTGGGGTAGTTGGGGTGGATGTGGTAGTGGTGTTAGTGGTGGTAGTTGTGATATTTGTGGTATATGGTGTTTTATTGTGAGGGTTTAGGTTAGGTTAGGTTAGGTTTAGGTTAAGTGTGGTTGTGGTTGTCGTGGTAGTCGTGGTAGTCGTGATAGTCGTGATAGTTGTGGTGTTGTGGTAGTCGTGGTTGCTGTGGTTGCTGTGGTTGCTGTGATAGTAGTGGTAGTCGTGATAGTAGTGGTAGTCGTGATAGTTGTGATCGTCGTGGTAGTCGTGGTAGTCATTGGGTTTGGACGTCCATCGGGTTTGGGGGGAATTCGTCCTCTTTTATATTTCTGTCGTCTGCTTGCGTGTGGCTTGGGTTTGTGTGGTCCGTGTGACTTGTGTTATCGGGGGCACAGTGTGGTAGATACCGTATCTGTTGGGTTCGTTGGAATTTGGTGTGGGATGTCGTCGAATGTGGAATATTGATATATCGTTGTTATTGTGGTTTGTTGATGGTTCCGTGGTATCCGTGCGCAGTTGTGTTTCATGTCTGTTTGTGTGGTGTCCGTTGGGGTTGTGAGAATGGTGTTATCGGTGTGTATGTTCTGGGATGGTGGGTATTGTGGTTCGTGGTGTTGTTTGGTGCTGCGCTATCATCGTGGGCACTCGTCGATGGCAGATCTTTCTGCTTGGTCGAACATGGTGGTGCGTGAGGCTTTCAGGTCGCGTCTACATGGTCGTTGTGGGTTCATGTTGACGCTTGAGGAATAGCATATTGGTCGTACTGTACAGTCAAACCAGAAAGAAACGGGACAGTCACTTCCTGGCATCAGCGACACAGGTCTGCT